ACCTTACGAATACCCTTACCACCACCACCTTCGGAGGCCTTGATCATGACGGGGAAGCCAATTTCCTTGGCCTTGACGAGACCCTCCTCGGGCGAGAAGGTGCAACCCTTGTTGTAGATGTCGTCTTTCACCGTGACGATACCATGCTTATCAATCTCCACATCGTCGACGCCAGTTCCGGACCAGGGAATGCAAGGAACGCCGGCGTGCTGCGCAACGATTGTTGACGAGATCTTGTCACCAAGCGAGCGCATGGCAGACGAGGGGGGACCGATGAAGATGATCTTCTTGGGCGAGGCAGCCAAGGATTCGGGAAGTCGAGGGTTTTCAGAGGCGTGACCCCATCCAGCCCACACGGCGTGGACGTCCATTCGCTCCGCAACATCCACAATCAACTCGACGTTGGCATAGTTGTTGTTATTCGTACCACCGGGCACCTGCGAATCATCATCTATCAGCACATTGTTTCCGGCATTTTCGACCACATTAATTGCCCGACAGCTGCACATACCTCGACATATTGGTCCGCCATCCGAATGTAATCCGCGTTGGCGTGCAGATCTTCCGGGGTTGCCATGACTGTGAATTGAATGGCACGCTCGTTGCCAAATGTTTCGTAGGCCCATTTTCGTACGGAACGGATTTCTTTTACAGCGGCAATACCGTTGTTGGCAATGAGGACCTGCAAGGCACAACCAGGTTAGATTCCCCCTCTGGGATGATAAAGTATGATAGCGCCAGGGCCAGGGAACCGGCAAACTCACGGAACTGATGACGGAGTGACCATCGTGTTTGGCCACAAAGTCCTTGACGCTGCTCGGCGGCGCGGCTTCGAGGTGGTTGCCACCGATGAAATGTGAAGGAAGATTGTGCTTCTCAGCGGTCGAGATTCCGTTGGCGGAGGCCATGATGGAAGCAATCAATTAAGGATCATAGACTTCTCGTATAGTAAAAAGGCGGTCACCAGGATGAGAAGAGAAAAAAAAGTGTGCAGAAGAGAAAGCCGAGAAGAGGATTAGTGGCGTAGGCAGAGAAGAGAAGAAACCGCAAAAGATCGTCTCGCTCGTAGTGATACAGGTCTAGAAAGAAATGCGAAGAGAGAAGAGGATGAGAGAGGAAGAGACGAGGAAGAAACGAGACTGTCTCCAATCGTGAGTTCACACGGTGTCAGGAGGAATTATCTAAGTCGTAAGAACGGGAGGAAGTGGGGGCTAGGATGAGAGGAAGTACCCCAGCTGTGTCAGAGAGAGGAGGGGGGAGAGGTCAGCAAACTAGGGTTTGTGAAGAAAGACGAGGAAGAAGAAGAAGAAGAAGGGATCCCTGGGCCAGAAGAGATGGAGAAGAAAAAAGGACGAAGCGATAAGTCGAGGACAGCACAGACAGGCAGACCGACCAGACCAGGCAAGAGGGTCGGGCAAGGCGGAAATGTCACCGAGAGCTAGTCCGTAAACAGGGGGGAGGAGCAGCAGCCAGCGCGGTGCGGGAGCTAGTGGGATCTTGGGAACTGCGACGCCGGGACTTACCACGGATCTCAACAGGAGGGATTAATGAGAGGGGAATAAGAGATGAGGGCGGAGGTACGGCAATGGCTACAAGGATGAATGGAGAGGATGGTGATAGAAAAGGACAGAACACCCGTGGATGAATTGGAGTTATACTGATAGTACTCCGTAGCAGAGCATCAAGGGACGGAGTATAGTAGGGAGCTGGGATGAAGAGGGAAAAAAAAAAAAAAGCCGGGTGGATCCGCCCCAGCCAAAATGCACAAACACGCCCAAAACGGAGGGAGCGACCCCCCAACTGCGGCAGAACAGAAGGCGGTCGCCTGCTTGTTGGGCCCCGTGACGTTGTTTCGCCGGTGAATCCCACCACTTTCCGGTCAACAACTCGACAACAGTGGGAGTTGAGCCGGAGAGACCCAAGGGCAGCCGTCTCCACCCCAAGGAACTGCCGGCGGCCCTCGCCAATGATCCCGTTGCAATTACGGCGGCCCCTCGCTCGATTCATCCTAGTCCTCACCGTCTTGACTCCGGAAATGGTGCGTTCGACCTCGAGTTCGATGGCCCTATCGGCTGCACTGGCCGGTCCAACCTTCCTTCGGTAATCGGAGCACTAAGCAGTCGCATAGCTAATCTTCCCACGGGCCTATGAGTGTCTTGGTCTTTAATTAATCCCGTCGGGGCAGATCGCATCGTCTCAGCAACCAGAAAAAAAAAAGAAAAAGAAAAAGAAAAAGAAAAAAAGGTTCCGTCTTAAACTCCGCATGGCTTAATTACTCCGAACCTCGTCGGGACTTTTTGACTTGGGATTATATATACCCCAGCCCAGGTTACTATTGATTCCGATCCACCCGCAATCTCACCCTGTGACCATCCCCTATTCTATTCTATTCCCGTCATTCAGTTCGTCGTGAACTCCGTGATTCCATAGGGCTTGGAATCCATTTTCAGCCCTTCGGTCCGAAACACCGACCATCGCAATATCAACACGACCAAAACCCCCCGTCGATCGACGGTGCCCCTACTTGGCAGGAGACGGGCGCTGCCAACCACATCCGCTCATTCGGCGGGATGAGACCGTCGTATTCTCGAAACCCACAGAATATTGGGTCGAAGATGACAGAATCCCATCGATAGTTCCTCCCAGTCTCAGGGGGGGTAGTTACAAAAAAAGAAAAAAGAAAAGAAAAGAAAAGAAAAGCAAAAAAGAGTAAGCAACCCTTTCCTCTTTATCATAAGCACAATTATCGACAAAATCCAAAAACCCTCCGGTCAGCCAAAAAACCGCCGTTTCCGGAGTAAACCGATTATTCTCACGACCCGCCAACACGGGGAGGAAGACGATGATCATTAATAACTGAGCGACCGCGCTGTCAGATGTAGATACCTAACGCCATCGTAGCCCAATAGCACCCAGGCACTAGACACGCAGACGAGTCGATCAGCTCGAAGCGACGCCTACAACCCGCCAGCCCTGTACCTGAATCAGACACTCATTTACGTAGCACTCAGTCCCAGTCTCCCGGAGTCTCGGACGCTCAACCAGACAATGTTGACGACTGGATCTTCCCCGTCCGCCCCTCCCTCCCACCAATCCGCACGCGGCCCTGCATTCTGGAAGAAATGGCCGTTGCCCCGTTGGGGAGAGCGGGTTCTGGGATGCGGATCGACCTCAGCAAATTCCAGACTCCATTTTTTATCCTATGCCGTTCCGCGTTTCCGGCCACGACTCGCGAGTCGCGATGTTCATCGTCTTCGAACCGTTGGAGATGGAATACGGAGTAGATTGATAACTGGTTGGGTTATATGATAGATATATCTCATTGTCTGATTGTTTTTAGGTTTATCCATATCAGCGTCGCGACCATTGGTAGTCGGTGTGTGGCTATTTAGTTGCCTAAGGCAAATATATATAGTTGCAAACTTGTTTCATTCGAAAAGATCTTCATATCCTCTATTTATCTATCTTAATCCGCTTCTTACAAGGAAGCAAAAACACAAGTAGTTCTTCTCAGCAGACGAAAATTCCACGAACACCTCTAGATCCACGAACCTAAGACTGCAGGAACTATTCACCAGCTACATGCATTCGGAATCGTCCACGAGACCCCAACAAAAGCAACTTTTTATGCCGGAGGACAGTAGGACGATTATTCCGTGATTTTAGAATGCCATGATTACTACGTGGACAGGACAGCCACGTTCCACACATTTTGGCAAACCATCGCATGCAGAGTACTGTGGGTGGCCCCTTACCGTCGGTTGCGTATATATATCTCGCCCAGAAGTATCTCACCACATTGTAGATTTCAAAAACCCACAGTACCGAATGATTTAGTCAACTGCACAATGGTAAACAATACTAGGATCCAATATAGATCTAAAAAGCTTAATTAATTAGGTCCAATCCCTGTCGAATAAACACCGACGAGAAGAAATACCAAGTGCGAGTTGACCAACAAAGACATTCGCTCACTTTTAGCCCTCATTATATCTAGTTTATTATACTTAGATAACCCAAGCTCGGCCCCAACCTAACGGAGGAACTGGGAAAGAATTACGATCCCGCCCGGTCGAATGACTAAAGAAGCATCTAGATTTCACTGAACACAACCAACCAAACTACGTCATTGTCAGCCTTCTACTACCCAGACCAAAATAGGTATCCGCCGACTGAGCATTTCTTACGAACCATCCTATCTGGGAAAACCAAATCCCATGTAGTACAGCATATCAAAAGACGAATGACAGATTGAAGCAAATATATTCACCAAAAGTAAACCTATCAAATCAAATCCCGTTGCAGCAGGCCGAACCACGGCTTCTAGAAACCCAAGCCACGAAACTGTTAAACTGGGTATTGTGCAACACCTAAGGGCAACAAACGCAACAGATGTAAAAAAAAAAAAGTAGACAACCAAAAGAAAAAGGTGTAAGATGCTGAGTAACAGCTTGGACGCCGATGGGGAACAAACCCCTTGTTAAAACAAGAGGAGGAACCCCCGGCCGGGAACAACATAATCGATGCGCCGTGAAAAGAGACCAGACACATTCGCCAACTCCGCCTTCCGCCGAAAACCTGATTGTACAGACGAGGTATGACGATTATCGAGATCGATGCAATAAACACACGACAGCGCCCAGGGGGAAACGGGAAGATATTTCTCCCAGGTTCTATGAACAACCAGTTTCCCGAAAACAGTCCTCCAATAAGGTAATAGATGCCCCGGTCCTCAGAACTGGAGCGTTTCAAACAAATACAATGAACTTTGCAAAAGGGGTAGTTGAGTCAAGAGGGGTAATCAAAAGAAACAAAAAGAAAAAGGTTGGGATGCAATGAATGACAAGAAAGATAGCAATCTGGATATGGTATGAAGTTGAAAGTGAACAAAACCCGCGTACCAGCCGTGAACGTCGTAAAAGGAAGAAACAAGCAGAGCCCCTTCTATACGATCTTTGCAATATAGAAAGAGGCATATCTAAAAAGACAACCACAAACGTCTAGAACGTTTCACCCAAGTCGTGGGCCTGGGGTTGCGGCTCAGGTAGTGACCCCATGTTGATTTTTCCCCGATCCAGCCCGCTATTGGCCCGGAGGCTTCGAGGTGCTGGGATGGCAGAGATTCCACTAGGAGTGCGCTTCTTAAGCCCATTAACTCCATTGACTCCATTAACCCCATTAATTCCATTAAGCCCGTTGGGGGTGGTGGGGGTGCTGGAGGCGGAGGAGGAAATTGAGCCGAGACGGGTCTCGCGAGCCTCACTGATCTTAGCCCGCACAGACATGCGGAGCGCCAGATCCTCGTCCTCGTCAATGTGAGCCATCCCGTTCACAGGAGCGCCGTGAGTCGACGGATTGCTGAGAGAGGAGCGAGGTCGCCGACTTTCCGTGGTCGGGTTGGTCGAGTAATGTCCGAGCGGCGTCTTGGTGCGACTCTGACGACTCTCGGGACGGGTGGACGGCGTGATACTAGGGTGGGTACTCTGGCTGAACGAGCTAGAGTAGCTGGTGCGGCTACTCGGTCGGCTATCGCCCTGAGTCCGAGCGCTAAAGGATGGTCGATTGTGCGTCAGATACGATGAGGAGCTGTCGGCGTGAACCGACGAACTGAAACTGCTGCCACTCAATCGCTTGCGGGAGTTTCGGCGAGCCGTGATGGTCGAAGCGACGGGGCTTTCGCCCACCACGGATCCCGAGCGCGAGGAGGCTCGGGACGGGGAACTTGAGGGCGGAGGCAGCTTCGATTTGGCCGACTGGACCCTCTCTTCCAGCTTCTGCATCTTGCCGATCAGGCCACGGATTTGACATAAGGATCCCGACTTGGGAAGTCCCGAGGCCGACGACCGAGTGGCGGCCGTGTTGGCTTTCGGTAGACCGGGACGAGAGGTGATCGACGAGTTGGGGCGGCCAGTGCTAAAAGCAAAGGAAGTTGCACGAGAGTGATTGGGATTGTGGTGGCTGCCGTTGCTGTTGTGATTCGAGTAAGAGTGAGAGTTGTATCTCTGCGTCCGGGAGCCATGCAAAGACCGCGAACCAAGCTCGGAAGCCGAGGCCCTTTGGAAAGGGAAACCAGGCGTCGCCGTGATGGACTTTCGCATGCTACTGGACGACTCGGAGATGGGTGGTGAAGGGGGAGTCGCAGCGGCAGAGATCAGCGAATGTTTCATCGGGGGCGTGGCAAACAAAGGCGAGGACACGATGGACGTTGCTGGGGAGCGATCGAAGATTTCGGGGGTCTGCGGCGTGGACGGGCTGCGGCCCAAGGGAGCGGGTTTTCTGCGTCGGCTGCCATTCATATCGGCATTCCGAAGTTTCTCCTGTACGATCTCGGTTTCGATCCTCTGTTCTGACAGTTCACCGCGAATGCGTTGATTCTCAATGCGAAGGTCTTCCCGCTCCTGTTCCCCGGTCTTGATTTCCTCCTCCAGGAGTACTCCTCTTTCGATGGCCATGTTGTATTTGAACTCCAGATCCTCCAGGGATGAAGTCGTATGTCGGGCCTGGCGTTCGTAATCATCATTTGCAACTTCGATGTCTCGTAACTTCAGCTGAAGAGTTCGATTGGTATCACGCAGCGAAGTGATTTCTTTCTGCAGGCGATTCTGGGACGCATCGCCCTCCGACTTGGACTGCTTGTATTTGGACTGCGGGAAAACAAACAAACCGTTAGTCCGGCTGGTTCTCAACGGCGCAACTTCCCCTTCAGAGTAATATCAACCGGAACATACCTTCCATTCCTCGACCTCATATTTCATAGCCTCCACCTTCTCCTTCAGTTGTCGTTCGCGCTTCTCCGATGCCTCGATGTCCTTTTCCAGCTCCGCCTCCAACTCCCGACTGGAGGCCTGGAACTCCGACAACTCCGACTCGAGTTGTTCATATTGCGCCTTATAGTAGGCCAGCTCCTCTCGGCTTGAGCTGGTACCATTGGGTTTCGCGGAAGAGGACAAGACGTCGGCTGAAGGCATTGTTGGCGTACCGGCCACCGACGCCGGCGAGGGAGAGAAACACGTTCGAGAGGACCACGTTGGGAGATCGTCACCGCCGGAAGAAGGGGGGGAACTTGCGCGCGCAGGCAACCTTATCCGAAGACAGGGTTGAAAGCGAGAGCCGGAGATTCCCCGAATTGAGAACTATCCACCGGGGATAGTCTCGAAGCAACCGTGCGTGAACAGGTGGTGGTCGTGGTGGAGGGGGGCGCTTCCCCAGGGGAGGCGGTGTCGCAGATAAGTCGATTGCGACGGGCTTGTGGACTTGAACCAAGGAGAACGAACCCAGGGACAAGAAAGGAAACGAAAAAGGGGAAAATGACAGAGCCACGGACCTGAAAGACGGCCGGTACTCTTTGCGATTTTGACTTACCTGGAGAGAGAACCAAACAGTCCCTCACAGAGGGGCCAGGATGGGTCAGTTGTTGTGGGATGTTATGGGGGGGGAGAAGAGAGAGGGAGTGATGCGATGGCGACTGGGCCGGTGATTGACCGGCGGCGTGTCCACGGGAACAAACAATCAAGCGTAAGCGTCAGGTACCTTACGGCCAACCAACGGATCCTGGCAGTTACGGTACGGGAACGAGGTGGGATCCGGACGTGGACTTGGGCATCGACGGAAGGGTGTTAGGCCCGACAAGTACCAGCCAAGTACCACTTTCCCTTACACCGTCGTCATAACAATATCCATACCGCTATGCCTGCCTGGGCTTAGCGGCACCTGACACACGGGCTCCGGGAGGCTCGTGCTCACCGCCTGCGCTGTGCGTCTTCCGAGCCGTCGTGTCTGGTAAGTGCGAATGTTTGGGGATCTCTGATCGTGGCCGGATCGCCTGTTCGTCCTGTAAGTTGATGCTTGTTTCCTTGCCCCTGTCACTGCTCTTGATTAGTCCGCCTCGGATCGCTGCATCGGAGTGTGGTTGTCCTCGTGGCTCTGCCCTCGCTCTCTGCTGTCTTCCATTCTTCCCACCCCCCCATCGTCGTTGGGGAGAGATCCGCCTTCCCCGACTCTGGGTTGGGCGTCGCTGGTCTCTCTCCTATGTCCACGCACAATGCCATCCCCGGTTCACAGCACAATAGTTTGGTTCTCGACAGTTGAGATGTCGATTGCTTCCACGCACCCAGATCTAGATCCCTCCGTGGTTTGATGATTCGAGGGCGTTTTCTAGAGCTTCTCGCCATTTTCTCTGCAACTGTCATGATGACTTGGACGGGAGTCCCCTAATGCTGATGCCCGATTTCAGACCTCTTTTGTCTTTCCCCGTGGAGATCCACTCCCTTAATCGCAATGGCCGACCCCACCGATCTGAATCTCGATGCGCCGAGCGATCTTCAGGACATCCCGGAGATGGCCATGCAGTTGATTCCCCCTCCGGAAGGGACGTATCCTGACAAGTAAGTTGCCTGGTTTTCGGTTTCTTGGCACGGCCGTGGAATCTATGCGATCCACCAAGATTGGTCTATCATCTCTAAGGCCTCCATCGAATTGTTTCTCTATTTATGGCATTTTTACATGGGTCTACTTACTTACGCTGCCGGTCACCATCAAGGTCATCTCTTCTGACGGCAGTCCAGGCGCACGGCAAAGCACATGGATACAATGTCGTCGTGAAATCGTCCAGTACCCCCACCGAAAAGAAGCCGGGCCGTACGGCAAAGGTGTGGCTTCGATGCGATCGGGGTGGGCATTATCGTCCTCGGAACGGGCTCACCGAGGAGACGAGAAAACGGCGGCGAACGTCCCGTCTGATGGACTGCCCGTTCATGCTAGTCGCAGCCGGAACTCCTGGCATTTGGACGTTGACTGTGTTGAACCCGACTCACAACCATGGCCCAGTGATTGAGAAGCCGCGGCAAGTTCCTCATCATAAGGTCCGGAAGGGCCAGATTGCCGCAGTCCCTTATGACTGGCCACACGACGCTACTTTGACGCCATACACGACTGCGTTGGTGATTGTGGACATGCAAAAGGATTGTAAGTTGCACAGCTCCATCACTGTCCTCTGAATAGCACTAAGACGCCATAACAGTCTGCTCGCCGGGTGGATACCTAGAATACCAGGGCTACGACATTTCAGCCACACAGGCACTTATCGTCAAACTTCAGCATCTTTTAGGAATTTTCCGTGCGTCCGGGTTTCCGGTCTACCACACTCGCGAGGGTAAGTCCTGTTTCTCTCACTTCTAGAACAATCTCTGATCCGATTAGGCCATCGACCCGACCTATCTACATTATCTAGCCGAGAAGCCTACCGATCACGGAACAATGCTTCCGGGCTGGGAATTGGCTCGCCTGGCCCACTCGGACGCCTTCTGATCCGCGGCGAAGTTGGCCACGACACCGTCGACGAACTATATCCGATCCCCGGGGAGCCTGTCATCGACAAGCCGGGCCGCGGCGCATTTGCGCACACCGACTTCGAACTTCTGCTCCGCAACAAAGGCATCAAGAACCTGGTCATCGTCGGCGTTACCACTGACGTATGCGTCTCGACTACGATGCGCGAGGCCAACGACCGCGGGTTCGATTGCGTTGTTCTGGACGACGGCACGACCGCCAGCGACCCCAGCCTGCACGTCAGCACGATGGACTCGGTGAAGATGGAAGGCGGAATCTTCGGCGCGGTGGCCAAAATGGAAGATGTGATCAGCGCCGTGGAGAATTTCAAATCGGTCACTGTGAAGAAGCTGGCTCCACAGATGACGGTTTAGATTGACATGATTGGAATGGGCGGAAGACTACCTTACCATGCGAGGCATGACATTTGGCCTGGTTGATTCGATTGGCCAGAATTTTCTATTCTTGTTTGATGTGCACATTCAGCGACATGAAGGAGTGATTGGAGCAGTTTTCATTATTTATTTTAGCCACGATTTATTGATTGCTTAGTCTAGATAGTTTCAAGGGCCTCGAACACGACAAGATGAATCACGAGAAATGACCCTTGATTTAATATCTAGTAGAAATGAAATGTAAATGTCCAACCCAACGCCATACGCTCAATAACAGATGCTACATATACACCCTCACGGTAACTCTCACCCATCTTCCGTCCCCTGATCCAAACCAAAACCAAGCATCAAAGCAAGGTAACCCCCCTACCTCACCAACCCCCGCCCTCAGATAGTCTGCAGAAATGTTCTCCTCAGCCTGACATCAAAAAAAATCTACAAACACCCCCCACCCCTAGACCCCTGTAGGCCGGCCCCCTAACAAACCGAAAGATAAACCAACAAACTAAAGCCACTTCCTCCCCGCCCCGACCACCCTCCCCCTGAACACCGAACTCTTAATCTCCCCCCCCTGCCGATAAAACGGACTCATGACCGTCTTGACGTAGTTCTCATACACCTCCGTCATGAACTGGCGCACGGCCTCCTCCGTCTGCGGCGACGTCGGGTTCGCAGCGATGCTGGAGGCCGAGGCGCGGGACGAGGAGCCGCCGCCGAGGGCGGACGAGGAGAATGAGGAGCCCAGCAGGGAGGAGGAGGTTCCAGGGGCGGAACCGCTGGTTGAGGAGGGGAGTTGGGGTGGTTGGTGCAGGAGGAGGAAGCGCGCGCCGGAGGGGGTCAGGAAGGCGGTTATGTAGGCGCTCGAGGGCGGGTAGGTGTCGATGTGTTTGAGGTACCTGGTTTTTGGTTGTTAGTTTGTTGGTTGGAGGTGGGGAGAGGGGGTGGTTGGACTGGGTTGGGTTTGGTTGAGGGTGCTGGGTAAGGTGAAGGGGGGACGTACATATTCCCGTTCATCCACTGCGCCTCCTCCAGGATGTCCAGACTCGAGTGGATGATGAACTGGTTCATGTACTGCGCTGTATCGGGGAAACGGAAGCGCGCGATGCCATCGCCGCCGCTCTTGGAGGTGCCGAAGGCGAGGTTGAAGAGGGGGACGTCGGTGGGGGAGAGGATGGTGAAGTAGTAGGACATTCTTTGGTTGTGTTGTGTTTCGGTTCTGTGGTAGAATTGGTGTTGTTGACGGCCTAGGTAGGACACGGGGATTGAATCCCGAAAGACAATTGGAGCTGTAGGTGGGTTGATTGCAAGGAGGAGAATGAACGTGTTGAAGTATGCAGTCTGTACTCCGGATTGTCTCCGACGGAGGATATTCGATGATCGGAGCCATTGGTTTGTTTGCGCGGTTTGCATGGACTGATGCTGCTCACGTGACTGATAAGATAACCGGCTCTCAAGTCGCATCTTCTCCGTCTCGACTCTCGACTCGAGTCGAACTCATTACATTACTTACAATCAACATATATACCTTACCCACATCCCTTCTCTCACCACTACCCGACCAATAAACCACACCATCAACCGACAGACTGCCACAGAAAATGCCACCAAAACCCTCCTACGGCCTCAGCCTCCCCAACAAGAAACCACCCGGCGGCGCCCCCGGCGGCCAAAAGCGCAAGAAAACGATCTTCGACTCCGACTCCGACGACGACACAGCTGCAGGCCAAGACGGCGACAGCGGCGCGGTAGAAATCTCCACGATTGGCGGGCTCGGCGAAGAGAAAGAGGCGCCGAAACCCGCGCCATCAGGCCTGAAAATCAAACCCAAATCGACAACGACCTCGCTGCCGCCGCCGAAACGAAAAGTGCCGTTCAACGGAGCCGGAGCCGGCGGAAAACCGAACGTGAAGCCACTGAGCAAGAAGTCGATATTCGCAGACGAGGACGACGAGGACGAACAGGGCGGGAATAATGAGGAACAGCTAGGAAGCGGACCGGGGACGGCGGGGACGTCGTACGGTCTGAACACAGCTCAGGGACCGGGACAAGGGCAGAAGAAGGATCAAGGCACGAAGGAATACACGAACCTCTCGGCCTTGCATAGCAGTCGCAAACACGCGGAAGAAGCCTCGGAGCTCGACCCCTCGATCTACTCCTACGACGCAGTGTACGAGAGCCTGCACGCGAAGCCCGAGAAAACAAAAGCCGCTGAGCAAGGATCCAGCGAGGTGCCGCGGTACATGACGAGTTTGCTGCGGAGCGCGGAGATCCGCAAGCGGGATCAGCTGCGCGCGCGGGACCGGCTGCTGGCGAAGGAGCGCGAGGCCGAGGGTGACGAGTTCGCGGACAAGGAGAAGTTCGTGACGTCGGCGTACAAGGCGCAGCAGGAGGAGCTGCGGAAGGTGGAGGAGGAGGAAGCGGAGCGGGAGAGGCAGGAGGAAGAGCGACGGAAGCAGAACGGCGGATCTGGCATGATTGGGTTCTATCGGGATGTGTTGTCGCGTGGCGAAGAGCGGCACGAGGCGGCCGTGAAAGCGGCGGAGGAGACGGCGCGCAAGGTGCAGGCGGGTGAGGTGCCTGCGGAGACGGATGACACGAGCAAGGAGAAGACGGATGCGCAGAAGGCGGCGGAGATGAATGAGCAGGGCGCGCGGATTGCGGTCAACGAGGAGGGCAATGTGGTTGATAAGCGGCAATTGCTGTCGGCCGGTCTGAACGTGGCACCAAAGCCGAAGACGCAGGGCGATGCGGCAGCAAAGGCTGCTCGTCCGGCGGCTCGACCGCGCTTCGACTCGGGCAACCAGGCTGGTGGCCGGGCTGGTCAGCGCGCGCGCCAGACGGAGATGATCGCGGCGCAACTGGAGGAGCAGGCGCGACAGGAAGAAGAGGCCGAGGCGGCCAAGCAGAAAGAAATCGCAGAGCGCAGCCGCAGCCAGAAGACCAAGACCGACGTCTCGAGTGCGCGGGAGCGATTCCTGGCGAGAAAGAAGGAACGAGAGGCCGCCAAAGGGGGCGCATCCTGATTATTTACTTCTTTCCGGGGGAGGTCGATTGCATACAAGGCGTTTGGTCTACGAGATATTTCCAATGTAACATAACTGACATATACCATGAGACGACGGCTCAGAACCGATTTCTCAAATTTAGTAGTGTATATAGACTAGTCTAAAACATGGTGTTAGCTGCCGGAACAATGTACCATGGCCATCTCTATTGACAGTGAGATATCAGTGTGATGTGTTCACATGTAATGCGGCATTTTCCCGAAAACAGTCGTGACTCGTTGGAAAAATGTAGTAATAAACTCCTCTGGATGCTACCGTTTTGTCGGATTCTATGTCGGCCTGCGAGCTATCCAACCGCGCCGAAGTGAATGAAAAGAGAGACATATCCCAATAACGCCGTGAAAGCCCATGTGGTAATAATCTATGCGGTAAGGGCGAAACTGAGGCCCATGAGACCCATTCCACCTATGGCAAATCCTATGCACATTCCCCGACGGTGGGTTAGTGCGAGACCTTCGCTGAATAATTGCAAGGCCACCGAGGTCATGACGCCGGCTGTCGCGGCAAACATGCCTCCGTACACTCCCCAGGAGGGACCAGAGCCGTCTTCCCCGGGCTCCCCGGTATGACTAGCACCCCAGATCCAGAGGGCTGCTAGAGCGGCGCCGGCCGGCTGACTGATGCCGCCGAGAAGACTCGACCAAAACATGGCCTTCGCCCGCGAATGAAGAGCAAGGTAGAGAGGCAAGGCCATTGCAAATCCTTCGCTAATGTTGTGGATGAAGAGGGCGAGAAAGACCGTCAGCCCCAGAGTGGGACTGGCATGGTTGGTGGCATAAGTGATGAAGCCCTCGGGCAATTTATGCAAGGCAATGGCCACCGACGTTTGGAGACCAATGGCCAAGAATGCATTCTGGGGCACGTGGTGATGGTGCTGGCTGCTCCCGGCAGCCTGCGACTTGACGGCGTCCTCTGCGTCTGCATCACCAGCAGAATCCTCCGGCAGCCCGGTATGCGAGGAAGAAGACGAAGGCACGCTGACCTTCTGCTTCGGTATCTGCTGTGGGACTGACAGATCGGTGGCTGGAAAAACCAATCGATCTGCATCGTGCTGCACGGGAACGGAGACGGAGCGCGGGATGGCGGGGCGGAGGCCATCTTCGCCCGGACCAACCAGGGTTTTCGAACATTCAAGGCCACAGGCCTGCGAAATTCCATAACACGGGCCATTCTCGTCGCATTGTGCCTTGACACCACCCATCAGGCGACTTACGCGCCGGACCAGTTGGCCGCGCCAAGATTCGCGGAAGACGGCTCGCTCGGCATCCTGAGGGTGAGCTAGTGGGACACCGGCCGGCGTAGATTTGTGCGACCGAGTCAACAGGGGAGTACGTTCCGTTGACGCTTCAGTCGTCTCGGGAGGGTGTGAGTGATCGTGATGGTCATGGTGGCCATGCTCGAGATCGGAAGCGGGGTGTGGCTCGTGGGAGTGGGCACAATCCACCACGTGGGAGGGAATATAATGATGAAGAAACGCGGAAAGCAATCGGATAACAATGACACCGCCGAGGAAAAGTCCAATCAAGGTGTATGCTGCGGGCGAGGGCGCTAATCCGGCACGGGTCAGGTACTTGAGGGAGGTCGGAAGCATGCTATACAGAGAGGTAAAAAGCTGGGAGGTGTTAGCAGCTTGACAGACAAACCCTAGAGGTTGAATAGGGGCGGTACCATGACGCCTGCACTGAGACCGAGCGAAGCCGACAAGAAGCCATTGTGATTGACAATCTGGAAGTTCTTGCGGTGAGAGAAATGGCGGAGAATTACATCGATACATATGACGGAGGAGCCTAGAACGCAAGCTGGAATGCCGTTAGGATGGTGGCGTTGGAACTGGCATTGAGGGTGACTTACCCACGCCGGAGACGGCGCTCATGACCCAACCGCGGAGATCGTTACTGGCGGCCATGATGGGCGAAGGGATAAGAGGTGTGGAGAGAGAGCGAGAGGACCGGGGGAGAAGCGAGGAAGATAAGAGGGACTGAAGGAAGGGAAAAGGCGGAGAAGGAGCGCCGTGAGAACCTTGGGGGAAAATCCCATGATCTCATGAGTGGATCGGCTGCGTCTGAATGGCCGCTGTTGGCGCTGGAGCGAAGGGGCTTTGTTCTGCAGGCCAGATCGGAGGGAGTCCCTGAGGATCCCATCCCGGCAGAGGCCTGGAATAGAACGCCATGAAAGCATCGGAGATGTTCTGATCGTCATTGTTCCTGTCCTGCTTTGTTCCTCGTGTTCTACAAATGCCGGTCTTCTGATTGGCCGACGGGCCACTGCAGCCCTAATCCATCAGACTGCGATACTTCCAGGTTGATAAGGTACTACCTTAAGGACAGTCATTGCACTCCAGCTGTTTCATTTATGCATGTCAAGTGAGACACCGGAGATTGAGAGACTATGGAATTTAAGTCTATCTCCTTGAAACGCGATTATTCGATGTAGTCACGTCAGCATGGTACTTATACTAAAGTCTATTCACAGAGTCAGATCGACAAGTGTACTTCTACAGAGGGTTAAATCCTTTATTTGAATGGTTTGAATGACTCTCTTGTCTTAAAAGCCTGCAGAGTTGATACCATTGAGCTCTGTAATACATGCTTCTACTCTAACGACTGTTAAACCTTACTATTCAAGCTTCAAGTAAGTCTTCGGATATCATGTGCTCGATAGCTGCCCCATCTCATTCATTGGTAGCGCAGAACGAAATTAAGCATTTGCTCATCCCGACTAGTGACTCAGATATGAGGCCTTATATTGTCCAATTGGCCAGACGGTGCAACGATGCCAAGAGCCTCGGATCATCTGAAAGGCTCAGCTGCATCGGTCATCGGAGGGAATCCACGTTACCTGCCGGGGAGACTGCCTATATATTGAGCCGATCAACTCTCATTGGATTTGCCTCTTGATTTGTCTCTTGATGTGAATCGAGAGTGTATCTCCAGGTGTAGTTGAGGTGCTGTGCCTTGTCTTATACTTCAAGTGGAGCGCAGATCGGGCCCTGATCACCTGATTGGACAAGCCTCACTGTCTCTGTTTGGCGATTCTCTCTTTTCTTCTTGTCCTCCACCTCCACCTCATCTCCCTCCCTCCATCCCATATCTTTATCGCCATTCTTAGTCATGTCCAAGGCCACCTTCGCCGCCATCGCTGCGGCCAGTGCGGCCACCGGGGCTGGCTTGACTGCCCTGGTCTATTCCGCTCGACCCCAACCTCCCCATCCTCCACAGCAACAGCAGCAACTTCCTCCGCCGACTCCCTTAACCTCCACGAAAACTCCCGCCTCTCAACCCGCGCCGCCTTCGCTCGCACCGAAACCCGCCGCCGGCTCCCCTGTCGACCCGTCCGGAATCTACCAATATGGCTTCCCCGGCCCGATAGCCGACACTCTCACATCACTCCCCTTGGCCGGCGCCTACGATCGTCGCACGCGCAACCCTTCCTGGGTCGCCGAACACATCACCCCCGCGTCGCTTGCCCTCAAGAATGCCGACCGCAAGAACAGCACCTTCTACGAAGACACCACCATCCCGGCCGCCTTCCGCGCCAAGCTGTCCGACTACTTCCGCTCCGGCTATGACCGCGGACACCAGGTGCCCGCTGCCGATGCCAAATGGTCGCAGGGCGCGATGGACGCGACGTTCGCTCTGACCAACATGTGCCCCCAGGTTGGTGAGGGGTTCAACCGCGATTACTGGGCTCACTTCGAGGACTTCTGCCGCAACCTGGCGAAGAAGTACCCGTCCGTGCGCGTCGTGACCGGTCCTCTGTATCTGCCCCAGCGTGAGGCCGACGGCAAATGGCGCGTCTCCTACGAGGTCATCGGCACTCCCCCTAGCGTGGCCGTGCCGACGCATTTCTACAAGGTGATCTACGCGGAGGAGGGACCGGCTTCCGCGGCTGGCAAGGTGGCGCTGGGTGCGTTCGTCCTGCCCAATGCTCGTATCTCGAATGAGAAGCGATTGGCTGAGTTCGAGGTGCCATTGGAGGCGGTCGAGCGTGCCAGTGGACTGGAGTTTGCCGCCAAGTTGGAGCCCACCCGCCGGAAGAAGCTGTGCCAGGAGGTTAAGTGCGAGGTGACTGTGCGGGAGTTTAACAACGCTTCCAAGCGGAACTAAACTGAGAGGGTTGGACTTGGAGATGAGGGAAGGATGGGATCCTCAGAATACATAAGAACGGCGGGCCTTGGTTTAACCGCCTAGTTCTGTTCAGTTTATATCAGACTGTCGCGGCGTTTGTAGCTCGCATGCGTCAGACCTTGTACCTATACATACCTGTTTCTATAGACCGGTGCTCCTTTTGGTATCCTTATTATACATACACCTACCATAAAATATTCGAGCTTGACCATCAACATTGGAACGCAACTCCCTTCTTGGTTGCAACATTCCCTCCACGTCCAGCAAACCCCGTTCCCTCTGAACTCACCTCCACCAAACCAGGCCGAATGCCTTCCTTATCTTTCTTCTTTTTCTTCCCGGACTCGTCTTTCCCTTTCGAATCTGGCGTGACATCCGTTTCGCAGACGTAGCACAGAATCCGCCCGTGAAGCGCAGCAGTCTGCTCCTGCTCTTCCTTCGTAGCATGAGGATCCGGTGCATCGTGAGGTGTCATGAATTTCGTGACACATGGCTGACAAATAATATGACCGCAGGGTTTCGTTACTGTCAAATGTCAGTGACACGTCCCATCCTGCCGAGTAGAGATAGAACATACACATCGCCCTCAATCCATTCGTGAGCGTCTTCTTGCAGCTCGGACACACACGGGCTAACGTGCCATCGTCCGTTTTCTCCTCCGTAAAGTGCACGTCGACCAGCGACTTGAGCGAATAAGCGTGGCGGTTGGAGTCCGTCGACGCGGGACAGATCGGGGTCATTTTGACGGCCTTGTTGGCGGCGATTTCATTCGCATCCGTCGTCGGCGTTAACGAGGGGACCCAGAAGGAGGGGAGGGCCGATTTGCTCGATTCCGACTGTATAAGTAGGTAGTCCGTTAGCGAAACCCATCCAATCCCGACCAGCCTCTGGATAGGGCTGAAACCACAAAGTCACTAACCTTCTCCCTCTTCAACTCCTCCTTCAACCTCTCCTGCTCCTCCCTCGCAACCCTCGCCATCTCCTTCTCATCCAACTCAAACACCTTCTTCCTCTTCCCATCCACCTCGACCTCGCGCGCCTTAAACGCCGCAACCGCCTCCGCCTCCTCGGCCTTCCTCTTCCTCCCCGGCCCAGCCGTCGTCCCCTCTTTATCCGGGCCCTTCTTCCCTCCCTCCAGCCCCATACTCACAAGCTCAAAGTCACGCAGATCCCGCTCTCTCGCCTCCTCAAGCGTGCGCTCCTCGTCCTCCGCTAGACGCTTCTTCGCGTCGTCGCGCTGCTTCTCGAGACGCTTGATCTCCTGCCGCTGCGCGAGGAGGTCGTTGATGGCGCATTCGCGACAGAAGAGGTCGCCGTTGGTGGCGCACGCGACGACGGGCGCGCGCGCGGGGTGCAGACAGAGTCGGCACGAGGCGAACGGGAGAAACGAGTCGCGGCCGATGACGCCGCGTTGCGTGCCCCATGAGGCGCGCAGGAGGCCGCGCTCGTAGGACGTGAAGTGTGGGAGGGAGGTGTTGCGTTTTGAGTGGGCCATCTTGTTATCTGGATGTGCTGGTGGTGGTGTTGGGTTGTGATGTTGAGTTAGGATGGGGAGGGTTGGTGGGGCATGAGGATTAAGGGGATGTTATTTGAGAGGATTAGAGAGTGGAGGGAGGAGTTGAGAATATGAATTGCATTGATTGAGTTAAGAATGAGATAGATGGATTCGGTGGAGAAAATCCGAGGCATGACATAATCACCGCCTCGTCTTGGTTGTTCAATTTGGATACTTCATCTACTTACTCAGGAAACAGAAACAGAAACAGAAACAGAAACAGAAGACAGCAACACATGGAAAACAGAAAGGCGAAAACATGAAAATAATGGATATTTGCTCAAGAACAGCAGAAGGAGCATAGACTGAAGCTTGTGAAGTTGAAACGAGGCACACTCCACCATGTGATCTGTTGGCAGGCAATCAATTGCCTTTGGCTGGACCCTTTCCTTTATTCTTCTTCTTGCTCTTCTTCTTCGTCTTCTCCTTCAGTGGCACTACGGTCGACACTGAACCTGTGTCAGATACTTCAGCCTCCATGCTCGAACTGCCCTCCCCTTTCCAGCTCGGCTCAATTTCACTCGGTGGTGCAGGCGAGTCATGGTGTTCTTTCTCAAACCGATTCCACAGCTTCTTGATCTCCTCATTAAACCCCTGGCTGATTTCGTCAGAAACAGAGGAATCCGAAGTGGGATTGGCGCGCAATGCCTGTTCTCGTGAAGCCTGCACGGGCACCTGCAACTCGATGGCCAGCAGCCGCGACACCTCGTCCGATATCGCTTTCTGCTTCATCCTGTTGATTAAATCGAAGGATCGGATATACATCTTTGACAATTCCTTCCAGTCGTGGTCCTTGCGTGTTTCGTCGAATTCGTCAGGACACACCAAGTGGGTAGCGTCTCCTACCTCCGGCCCGATTCGCGCCTTCATGGTGTCGGTGAGGCGCCGGTATTGTCCCACGCGCAGGTATTCGTTCGGCTTAGCAAGAGTCATGGCTTGGAGATCGGCCTCCTCGAACAAGTTGAGCTCTTCCCCTTGTCCTTCGGTTGACATGCCCCAGGATGAGGTTCCGAATCCCGGCATCTCTTCAAGGTTATGTCGCCAGCGCGTATATTTTCGCCGAAACAGGTCCTGGGCTGGACGCAAAGCTCGAATGCTTGCTATCGCCTTATCCAGAAAGGTGACGGCGCGTGCAATGTCTGAATGGAACCCGGCAATGATGGCTATGTGCGCCCAGGTATGCGCGATGCGGAGGGAATTGTACTCCAGCACGACGAGACGGTCCAGGAGGTCGCAGGCGGCGTAGAAGACCAACGCTGGTCGGCGCTCGAGGACATGAGGGCAATTCATCAACAGATCAACATCGTTCTGCTTCTCGTATGTCTGTTCAACGAAGGCGCTCGGCTTGGAACAATAGTGGCATGCGCAGGAGAAATTGACCCTTGCAAGACACATCATCTGCCTCTGCACAAACACGCCATGGAGCGGCAAGTAGGAAATCGTGATCTCTTCGTCCTTCTCGATATTCTTCATGGCTTTCACCACTGCACACGTCACCACCGGCTCTTCGGGCATCAGAAACTCGCCCCCGGCCGCCACCGCCGCCCTCGCACTGCCTTTATACGGATGCCTCTTGACCAGCGTCAGGGTACAGTTCGGCACGCACGAATGGTTCAGCCACGCGAGGCCCAGCCCCAGAACGCTCGCATCCTTATCATCCGACTTCGCCGTCAGATAATACTTGCTCCAGATCTTCACGCACCGACCCCCAGGCCTCTCTCCTATATTCCCTTTCCCTGCACCCGCATCGACATCAGCACCACCACCACCACCACCACCCAGCTCCAAAAACTTCTCATGCCACTCATACCCCATATCCCTAGCCAAACTGTCCAACAAAACCTCACTATCCCACGGATCCCGACAACTCTGCATATCCTCAGCGCGCACACACATGACCTGCTCACTGAACACGACACTCCCCATGGGAATAGCCTTTTTCGCAAACAGCCCCATCCCGGTATTATTCTTGCAGGGGCGCCGTTCGATATCGATCGCGAATGTAGGCACGCACACTTTTCTCGCGGTGTTGAGGATCCGCTCGAATTCTTCCTCGGGGCCGGGCGTCGTGCGCAGAGGACATTTGCATGGGCTTTTGCAGTGGAGGAACGAGGGGAGGGGGTTCTTTGAGGAGGTGGGATTCTCGAGGGGGTAGGATATGCGGCTGGTTGTGGGGAGGGAGGACATTTTGGTGGATGGGTCTTGATTCGAGGGGTTCATATGGATTGGTTCGTCTTCAGAATCGATGAAGAGAGTGAGTGATTTATCTGCTAGGTGTAGTGTCTTTCATCTAGATGTACACTTGAGCAGATGACTTTCAGCAAGGCGAAGCGATAGCCAAGTTGTCAGAAACGAGGTTAGCGATAACGACGAAACCCAGCCTGAGCAACAAGAACAGACACCCAAGTAGGCGAGTAAAAGAGCTCACATAGATATATACACACTTCCCGGTAGGAGTAGGCGGAAGATACCATTATGACTGAGGATCTGGAGAATCACAGCCTGCGCATCCCTATACAGACCGGACGTTTCCGAAAACTACGTGGGTTTCCTTCTCTGGTGACATCGCTTTAGGGGATGAGGCTTTCCTTGGTAGATCTTCCATGCTGGATTGCTATTTTTGGATGCTTATTCACTGACCGTCTGTTGAGATGGTATATGGACGTCAGGCAGAAAGCGGCGAGACCTCTGGTAGGCAGAAGCTTGTACTGCGACTGAGCTCTCTATGGAACTGGAACGGAGTATCTCAGTTCCTAGGAGAGCTAAATGATAGGCTTCTGGGTCTACTCTATCCTATAGATGAAGACAGTCTTTCAGCGAGATCACCTGAAATGAGCTAAAGGTCTAGTTCGAGTGAAGATAAGTTGATATTAACCCTCACTACCTTTCCGAGAATACCTCGTTCTCGCTTCACATTCCCATTTCCTCTGAATGCAATCTGAAAAAAGACCTATCCCAAAGTACAGATCAGAAGGCCTGAACTTCACTGTTCATGACAGAATTCCTCGGCGGGGAAGACGTCCTCCTCATCAGAGTCAACAACATGGCCAGAAACACGACCTCCAGAAACATCACCACGAGCAGAAACAACGCCTCCAGAGCCCTGACCAACAGAGCCCTGAACATGAGAACCAGAAGAAGCTTCACCCTCCCCCTCATCCAAAGTAACCCTCAACACCGACTGAATAAGCTCACTCAACCAATCCTCATCCAACTCCCCCTTCACCTCACCCTCACCCTCACCCTGACCACTCTCCGCAAAAGTAACCTTCTTCTCAGGGGCCGTGAAATCCCTAGCCATCACCGCATGCCTCCTCTTCAGAATCCCCCTCACCGGCGACTCCCCACCCGGCGCGTATCCCCGCGTATCAATCGACTCCCGGAACCCCGAGCCCTCCGCCGCGCGCCAATACGCCGCATTCAAGTCCTCAGCCCGAAAGGGGTAAGAGGTGCGTCTGGCCGAGGCCGAAGCCGAGGCCTGAGGCTGATACTGAGGTGCCAACGCAGGAGACAGGGAAGAGGTTCTATTGCGAGCGCTGGCGCTGGCGCTGACGACGCGTCGGAAGGCGGAGATGGAGGGCGACGCGGAGCCTTTGAAGCCGGGGTTGGGCGCGCCGGAGGGCGTGATGATGAGGCCTGTCTTTCGGGGGGAGCGCGTCGCTGCGTCGCGGGTGGCTGCTGCGTGCTGGGAGGTGCCGATGCCGCCTTCGTTTTGGATCAAGTGTCTGTTCTGGGGCAGGATGGCGTCGGAGGAGGTGCTTGCGTCGTAGAAGGAGAGGGAGCGGGGACGGCGGTAGATTGGGGTGCCAGGTTCTGTGTGAGAGCTAGTTGTGGATGGCTTGAGAGAAGTAGGAGCTGTGGCTGGAGCTGTAGCGGGGGGAGGAATGGTGGTAGGGATACGGACAAGAGTAGGGGAACGTGGAAGTCCCGGTCCCGGTCCTGATGCAGACACTGAGGCAGCAGCAGCAGCAGTAGTATCAGTAGCCACGACACTCGAAGACGCAGTGCCACCATCTGTCTCAGCAGAAGTCGACAGAGAAGGGAAAGGCAAAGACCCCGAAGCAGCAGAAGCGGCAGACACAGTCAGAGCAGCATCGCCACCATGCAATCCAGCAGGAGTAATAGCAGGCGACGAAGAAGGAGCAGACAGAGAGAGCAATGGTCCCGACACAGCCGCCGGCGCTGATGCTGAGATTGGAATCGACACTCGAGTTGAGAGCGACTCGATGTCAGGGATCGTGACCTGTCTAGATTCCGATGCATAATTCATAGCAGCCAAGACGCCAGCAGCCGCAGTGTGTGTGGGAGTGGCTCTATCGCCAGAGGGGGCTTGGCCAGCTAGGACTCGTTAGCTTTGGTCTCTGTCTGTGTTCCTTGTTTGATAATGCATAGTAGCAGGGCAGGCATTTGAATACAACCGCAGATAAACAGCAAACAACTCATCAGGCAGAACTGAGAAACACATAATGCATATAGAGATCATCTGCAATAAAAGAATTCACAAACACAGACAAACATACACAAATAAACAGACAGACAAGGTAGAAGGCACCAACAAAAAGAGAAGGGGATAGGGAGATGAGGAGGGATGCGAGAGCCTCACGTGATGATCCAAGACCTAACGACAACAGCACACGGCGACTCTGGCGGCCAGCCGGCTCAAACTTCCTGGGCTTATCAGTCATAGTGTTTGTTGCCTGATGACTATTACTAGTTAGTACTGACTATATCGAGATGGAAATCAACAAGAAAGAGATAGGATGGATGGGCAAGGCGAGACAGTGGGTGGATGGGTGAGAGATGGATTCATACGGGTTCAGACCAGGATCACAACAACATAACAGATCAGAAGCAAGCAGATTGAAAAGGGCCTATCGAGATTCAGCATGAGAGACAGAGCTGAAGAAACTTACCAGATTCAAAACCATAGAAGGAAAGGAGAATGGTAGGGTCTTTCTTGCGTACAAGAAGACCAGGAGAGGAGGGGTGAGAAGGCGTGAGGAGAGAAGAAGAGGAAGAAGGGGGAGGGAAACGAAAGGAAAGAATCAAAACATAACACCCAAGGAAAAGATTCACTTTTCCTTTTCAGAGCAGGCTGCGTGCAATTGGGTGAAGGGGTTTCTCGGCGTCGAGTGCCTAGTGTTGCGATTGCGGTGCCTGACGACTAAGCAGATAGATGAGTGTTTGAGTATTAGAGTGACTAGGACTGAACAATAGCGAACAGATTTAGGTAAGGCCAGAAACAATGTATTAAGATATGGATTGTTGGCTTGATGAATCTAGAATGCTTTTCTACAATGACATTGATACTCCGCTTTGGCTAGCTACATATAGTAATGACTAGAGGTTTTTATATTTTGATATAATAGTTCTAATTGGAAAATATCAATGTATTCTAAAGTGTAATGGCTAAATCTCTTTGATATCTACACCTGCCTCTCACGGACTGGTAGTATACCTGTCCTTGAAACTGAGAAACCATAAGGATCAGAAGCTCAAGTATAACCCTCCACAGATCAGTCATATACATCTGACAGTATCAAGTCTAGCCAGAAAAGCCATATCTGCCAAAGACACAGGCGCAGTAAGAAAACACATAAGCCCACATACAATCCGGATTGCCCTGTAACCAAAGAAGTCTTTGAAGGACAGCAGATAGGCAAATAGGTATATAGATGAATAATTACGATTAGCTATTAATTATTATATAAAGTATTCCCAACTCTAATAAACCCCCAATCCTTCTATATCAATCATCCTCCTCCCTATCATCCTTCACCACGCCCCCAGACACCAAGAACCCCCATGCAGTCTTCAAAATCCAAAACAGCCAAAACAGATTCAACCCCTGCAGCGCAGCCAGCAGCCCGAACGTGATGACCTGGCTGATCCTGCATTTATATTCCTGCCGGGCCCAGTGCAGACCCCACGGGCCTGCGGTCTCGAAGTCCGTGAGAATGGAGTAGAGGGCGCGCAGGTTCATCACGTGGCGGGTTTGGATCCAGACGAGGGCGAAGACGGCGAAGTAGGGGGCTTGAAGGGGGTTGTCGAGGTAGTTGAGGAGTTTGGAGGTCTGGAGGGTGGCTGTTAGTTATGGTCCTGGGTTGGAAGTTGGGGAAAAGTGGGTCGGATTTGAGCTGTCTTCGAGGGATCATCAAGAACTCACCGCAAGAAAGAAATCACTCGCATCGTGGGTCACGAATATCACTACCCCTAAATACGTGAAATGGAACCTCCAGCTCAGCGCGATCAGTCCGACCGTGACGAAATGGTGCGTCACCAACGCGCGGAAGTCCTTCCGTGGAGCCTCTAGCCCCAGCACCAGGACGAGCATTTGCTGGGCCCAGAAGCTTGCCTGGAGCAGGTAGAAGGCTTTGAAGAGAGGCGAGTGAACAAGGTGCGGATAGTGCTGGTACATGATTTCAGTGTTCAGGTGCATGTTTCCGAGAACGGAGAGTGACCAGGTTGATGGACTTTGCGAAGAGAAGGACAGAATCTCGGTGTCCATGAGAAGGTAGATGCCGAATATGCTGGAGACGAGCGTGTATAGAGCCGTGTAGAGTTGTTCGCTGAACCGGCCCTGCTTGCCGGGTGAGGCGATTCCTGCGCGTCTGGCTAGAGCGGGCAGGAGATATGAGACGAGGAATTCGCGGGCGAAGGTGAAAACGAGGGCGTAGAAGGACACGAAGAGGATGTCCGCGGGGCCTTTTGCATATTGGGCCCGACTGTTCCAGGAGAGGATCGACTCCGATTGTTCACGCGCATTGTCTGGACCTGCGTAGGAGAGGAAAAGACAGGCATGCAGGGGGTTATTGGCCGTAGGGTTGAGGAGGTAGAGGGAGAGAGCTGCAAGGCAGAGGAGGAGAGGACTGAGCCAGGTGTGTTGGAGAGAGGTTTCCTTCCATTTGCGTAGATTTGGTTGGATCAATCGGAAAGGGGAGAACTGTTGCTAATCCATGGTCTAGTTAGAAACCTCATAAGCTGCATATGGATGGATCTTACCGATAATTGAGGGTGTGGCCGCTTGGTAGCTTTAGATCTGCTCAGATCATTCGTTACAGCATGCGCTTTGGCCATATTGAATCGATCTGAAGAGAGGGATAGCTGTCCATATTGAATTCGGCCAGACGCCTCTCTTTAAGAAGGGAAGCTATAGAGTGGATCAACGCCTCAGACTAGCTTGTTCTGGGGGGAGCTTGCGAGCCTTCAACCCAACGCGGTCTAGAGGCAATCCTGCAGTCCACGATTTGGCCCCGATCTATACAGTCTACAGCTATTCGGGTGGTATTCAATAACAACTCCACATCCATTGCGCCAACAGAGTCTAGATCCATACGCTAACCAATGCAATCGTCACATTCCGTAACCCGCTATTCTAAATGAAAAAAAGGCCGCGCAATGAGACAATAACATGACAGGAGAAAAACAAGGGGTATAACGTCATAAATGAGAAAAACCCGATTTTGTTAGCGGCTGAGAAAGTAAAGTAAAGAAAAAGAAAGGGTATATCATGCATTGACTGCCTGCTCCGGTGGACTCGGGGGCATCTTTTGTGGCGTGTTCTCGTCGACAGTGTGATCCGCGTCTGCGCTGGAGTGCGGTGGCACTCGCTCTTCATTCGGGGCGCTGGCTGCCTCCCGGAAGGGTGAGACGGGGGCAAAGAGTGATGAAGCTGCACTCGTCGTCTCCGCAAGCTTGGAATCAATTCCAAGTGCGTCGTCACTTTTGGCTTTGATTTCTCCGTACAGTCGACCGGCCGCTTCCTTCGATCCGTCGGTCTCCGGCTCTTCAGCCGTCTGGAAACTCTTTCGGGTGGCCGTACTGGGACTGCGCAGAGACTGAACGTCCGTTAGATGCGTAGGCTCGGACATGATGGAGTCGGCACTACTACCGACCCCTGCTTCGCGCGCTCGCGGCTCATCAGAGGGCGTAGGCTTGCGCAATTTGAGCCGCTCCTCCGGTGGCATATTCTGCCATTCGGACCCAAACGTCACGATAGATGCCTTCTTGCCATGCACCGTGAAGCTGGCCGATTTCCGCGACAGACCCTCTCCGCCGGTGCCTCCTTCCTTGGCCCGATGATCATCTTCAAGCGCCGCCATACTGGATGCAGAGTCGCGGGATTTCTTGCTCCGGGGGTAGTTTCCATGACCACTGGAAGTATCGCGGAGGGTACGATGTAGACTGCGACGGACTCGGCCCATCCTTTCTCCTCCCGTCTGGGAAGACGATCCATCCTGCTGGTGTGCTTCTTCGTGTTTATGTTCATCACCCTCAAAACCGATGACTGAAGATGGCTTCCGGGATTGAGGAGATCCGTTGACGTCCAGCAGCCCCGTCTCGCGAAGCAGACGCTCTTCACCCTCCTCGAAGCTGTTAGGAACCGTGAGCTTAGAAGTTCGTGATCCCAGGCTGGCAACATCCAATTTACTACCAGCGCTCAGCACGGACGCCTCCCTCTCCAGCCTATTGGTCGGAGCTGGTGACCAGGACTCTGCGCGCTCTTTCGAGTTGTCCGCAGAGAGTCGTCGACCGGCGCGAGGAGCGATCTCCGACGAGGTGATGGACACCGGAACACTCGGCCGCCGAGCTTCGGTGGGCAACTGCTGCTGTGGGGGTGATTGTGGTACGGGAATCATGTGCGCGGACGCTGTCGGACTCTCCGGCACTGCCGCCACCTCTGCCTCTACCGGTGAAGCCACCAGAACCTCATCCACTGGGGAGGTCAGCTTTTCGGTTGGAGTCTTTTCGGCCAAATCCGGAGTCGATGGCACGACGTTGGTCGTGGGGATCTGTAGATGTAATGACTTCGGATCCAGCGGCGGCGGCCTCGGCTTGTCCTCGTCGAGATCTTCGCCCAGGTCCCGAACAAGGACCTCCCGGTAACATTTGGTGCGCCAGATATCCTGTCTCACCCACTTGAGTTTCGCAGCCATGCGGCCGGCCGCCATGATGACGTGTTCTCGGGCCCGCGCGTGCACGGGCGTCAGGACCTGGAGGTGTCTGGCGTTCCGCAAAAGATCATCCAGCTGCCGTTGACCACTAAACAGTTTTTCATTGGCCTCGCGAATCCTTTGTCGGATGAGATATTTCCGGGCTAGGACCACGTCTCGAGAGACGTCGGTGTCGGGATTAGGCGACGGAGGCTCTCGATCAGCCGAGAAATGGGAGTTGGCAGAGTCGGAGGAGCCTCTGCGGCTCATCCGGTTTCGCTGGGCTTCGTAGTTTGTAGCGATCATGCCCTGTGTCCGTACGCCGGTCGTCCGGAACGTCGAGGCATAATTGAGTTTGGCCAGCCAATCATTCATGTCCCCTTCGGTGTTGGCCAGGAAAACCTCCTCCAGAGCATTGTGGCGCACGAAGACAAAGGCGTGTTTGTGCTTCTTGTAGCCGGTGTCCAGCAAAGCCACCGCACTGTCCGTCGACATGATGCCGTCCGGCTTGAAGTCTGTCAGAGGGGGTCTGAACACGACCGCCCGTCGAGGTCCATCTTTATGATGAGCTTCATGCTGCGCCATCAGGGATTTGATCCACGTGACGTCCTTGAAGAAGTAGAGCTGCGACAGGGTCAGAACGGCACCCCATTCCTGCCACGGCGACCGGGCCCTCTTCTTCTTCGGGTCTTTTCGCCAGAGCAATCCAACCTTGGCCACCTTGATGTCCACCAGTCCCGGATTGGAGTCGGCCGGGTTCTCCATGCTGGCTGGCATAAAGGCATCCGGCCGTGATCGCGGAGACAAGATCTGGAGAATTCCGGACTTGGCAAAGGCGTAGTGTAGACTGCTCATGTCAGGCGGCCCTTCCGTGCCATCACAGCGGTAGGTGTCCTCCAGATTCATGACATCCTTGAGGCTGGGTCGCAGAGAGTCCAACTTTCCGTCCATGATCAGCGTGTAAGGGTCCACGGGTTCACGGGAAACGCGGGAGAGGTGGTCTGAGCTGGCCGTCTTCAACAGGGTCCGCCGAGGCTTCGAAAGATTGCGCCCATTCGGATTTCCGTCTTCGATGTGGATAAAAGGGGTGTAGGAGATATTCTCGTAGAAGCATTCCAGAATGTCTTCTGCGAGCCCTTCGCCTCGACAGTTCTTCACATAGTCCGGTTTCTGCATTTTCCGTTTGTTATTCTTGTTGAACACATCCGTATGCAGGATCAGAATAGAAAAGGCAATAAAATATGCTTGATCTGCGCGGAAAGTTAGCGACGCGTAAATTTGGAGAGAGCACATTGACTTACCGGTCGAAGCAAAGATACCCGGATTACACTCGTGATATCGATCGGCGAAGCTCTGGAGGAAACGATCGATTTGCTGCGTCTCTTTGGGAAGTTCCACCTCCATCAAGAGTTTGCGAATCGCCATATCGATGGGATCACCAAAGAAAGAGAAACTTCGCATGTACTTTCGCAACGCAGTCTTGTAAAATTCGTCGTTTGACTGGGCCAGCACCCCGGCAATCACACTCTTCGGGGCAGTTTCTTCGAGTCGAGCGAGATACGTGGCCGGCGTGTCATTTTCCTGCTTCTGGGGATAAGACGGCGCACTAGGCTTCGCCGGCGGTGTCCCAGGCCCAGCACCAGGAGATCCATTCCGAGGGAAAGGCGGCTCTGAATTCTGCCTCAGTCGCTGCGTAATATTGAAAATATCACCGAAACTCTTCCGACCGCTCGTAGAGGTGGATGTCCGTCCGGATGCGCTGAGATGAGGGGACAGGCGTCCGCCATCCTGCGCGTTGGCCAGAGAATCCAAGGTTGAAGATCTCGCTCGGGTAGCGGCTTTATTCCGGCTGGCATTGGAAGGGGTCGAGCGGAGGGAATGCGTCGAGTTGGCGGAGTTCATCCGCGGTAAGTCAGGTCGCGGCGCCGAGACGCCTACCGAGGATCGGGACGGAGAGGGGAGCGGCGAAACATGATCGGGTTCGTCGGAATTGTTGGGTTTACCCGCGGATCTATCCTGTTGGATCGCAGACTGGGATGCGGTGGGTTTAGGGGGCAAGGGGAAAAGAGGGTGGCGGTTCCGTTTCAAGCGCGGCATCCGGAATCGTTTACTAACGGACGACGCCGTCGACTCGCGGTTTAAGCCGTGATCGCCCAGACTCTGGTCGGAACGGGAGGATTCGGAAAACCGCGCGTCCGTCACCGAAGAGCGCTGGGAATCATTCGTCTGCTCGCGACTGCTGCGAATGGACGTCGTCGATAACCGCCCGGGTTCCTCGTTGTTGTTGGTCTGAGACTTCGACAGAACCGGATCTGGTCGCTGGGTCTCGGTCGAGCCATTAGAGGTATGCCGGGGCTTCTCATTCGAGTCCGGTTGTTGCTTCGGCCGTTGTGCAGGGAGTTCTTCGACGTACGGTTTCTTCGAATCGGAGAAGAGCTTAAACTTGGTCTTGGTGCGCTTGATAGGTTGGTCTACTTCATGACTCGTGGGAGCAGTGGTGATGATGGTGGGAGCTGTTTCATGCAGGGCATTTATTAGCCAGGCAACCCTTTAATATAAGCGGAGGGGACATGGATATCGGCTGCTTACGGGGTAGGGAGGGAACGGGAGGTACATCTTCCTCTCCCTGTGCATACGATTGCGAAAGCTGGGGGTCGGACGCATGACGCAGTCTCATAAAGCTGAATCGATTCCTTCGCCAGCTCGAATTATCGCCAGGGGTCAACCCTGTCCGCACTCTTGGTGTGGGGGCCGGCAGGTTATGGGAGCGACATGCGGCAAGCTGCGATCCATCGTTGTCGGGATTATCATCGGTATCGGGACCGACCAGCGACGGAGAACGAGGGGCGGATTCGGACCTTCTTGGAGCGAGATTGGAGGTCGAAAGCGTCGGACGAGGCAGCTGCTCACTATGGCGGGATAGCGATTGGGGCTCGAGTAGGGTTCGTTTCTTGTCGTTGGCGTCCGAGGTACCAATCCGTAGACCTTTCCAATGCATGACTAGGGGGTGAGAGAAGGACCGCAGAGAGAAGTTTTGTTATGTTTCCCAAGTGTAACCCATTCGACAAAGGATGCAACCGACACCGAACGATTGATCTGACGGTGTATTTTTTTTGTTTTTCCGTTTACTGCAAAGCAAATCCAGGGGGAGGGAGGGTTTTGTTCTCGCCGAGTGGGGAGAGGGGGGGAAGAGCGAGACGCGAGGTCAGGGCGATTCCCGTTCGGGACGGATTCCAGGGGGCGAGAGGATGGTCTGCAGGCGTCACCCTTAATTGGAATCAATTGGCATTGCGAACGAACTGGTGGAGGGAGGGAGGCCAGGCGCGAGCAGGCGAACGAGAGAACGGGCACCGATAGGTGGAGGCGCGATTTAAAAAGGGGGAAGACGGAGACGGTAGGGGTCGATCATCAATGAAAGAGTAGGAGCAGTAGTTATTTTGGCTTGTCCGGATGAGAAGCAGGAGCCAAATGAAGGAATTTTTTTACATTTCCATTTGCATAGGCACACGTAGACGGAAGGAAGAGAATGGTTTAACTAAGACGGCTGACGATTGGTGTTTTTGAAACACCGACGGGGAAAAGAAAAAAAAAGAAAAAAAAGAGAGAGAGAGGTCCAGGTATATGAGGGGAGCGAACCGTGCAGCCTTGGAGAAAGGATGGAGGAGGGGTCGGACCAAACAGGCGATCGTAGGGAGAGAAGTGGAAGAGTGGGATGATTGACGATATCAAAGGAAAGAAGGGAAAAGAGCGGATGAGATGCGGGCAGCGATGGAGACGAGGGCCAAGCAGGAAGAGAACCGGAATTGCGAGGATGACGGCGATGACGATGGAGTGCCTGGGCACGTGTTCCGCCAGACACCACAACAACCGGAGACATACATTCCAGTCCATGCGGTTGCATTCTGTCGAGGATTCCTCCCGGAATCGATGCTTGACAATTTACGGGTTAATAGTTACCTACTTCCCAAGAATATATTGCATCTTGTCTACTCCCACGATGTGATGCTATAATTCTATAATTAGTCGTTGGCGGAAAACACCGCGGATGACTAACCCGTTCCTGCCCCAGGCAACGTCTTTGCCTGGACTTCGTGGAGAATTACACAGTATTGACTTCACCGGATATCATCTTTAGCCAGAAAAAATTTTAAAAAAAATTGTCTCGTCCCGGACAGAGCATCGGAGATCGGCTGCGTTAGTGAGCACGGATTTCCATCGGTCCTCTAGATTGTCCGGCTGCAAGCGTGGAAGCCTAATATAAAAATCCCTACATATATCAGCAGGGATCCGCTACTTGCCACGAACCATGTCGATAAGCCGACCAACCCTGGAACCTTTTTTGCCAGTGAACTATCCTGCCCCTCACCGGTCTCTCCGGCTGGATATTCGCTTCTTTGAAAAAAAATACAAAAAAAAAGTAGACAGCCGCCCTAAGCCTAACCCATACGGCGGAGTTATCCGACACGCAAGGTCGAGAACTGACAAGGATGGACACCGGGACTGGAACCTCCCAGCATCGCGGGACCTGGAACATGGAATCAATGGTTGCCAGTGCTCCTTGCCTGGGTGTGTGGACGAGGGCAGGGCGTCGTCAGCCGAGCCAGAAGGCGAGAATTGCAGGGAGGAAAGGCAAGTCGGCGACGACGTTCCAGAAGGGCCGGAAACTTAATCGAAAGTGGAGCCGGTGGGGGACGAGAGGCTCGTTGACAGCGATCGATGCGATGCACTTTTTTCATAATGCCATTACTTAAGTCGGAGTCGGGGGATTGATGATGTTTCGCGCTGATCATCGTTGCTACCGGCGGCTTGGTTCCTCGGTCGGTGGATGGTGGGAGTGGGTTGAAACGTCCAGACGGAAGTGCATGGTGGCTATACGCTGTAGACGGGCTGGCATCAGCTGGTGTTGCAGGGATAGCGATCGCCAGTTCACATTGGGTCCTTCATCGGATGCATAAGCGGCAGGTTTTTATGTTCCGATCGAAAATACGCGGGCAGCCTGAGGTTGCCAATTCCGGCGTCCAGCGAATGTGTCTGCCTGAGGCACGGACGAGTCATCGTCACTCCGCATCCGCACTGCCTCATCTCTCTCTCTCTCTCTCTCTCTCTCTTTCCCTTCTCCTCACATTTCTTGCTCCTTTCCTCTCCCCAAATATCCCCTCCCTTCACTCTGGAAGGATGCTAACTTAGTGTCCGGCGATCACAATTGGACAATGCGTCAACTGCTTTCCCTCATTCTGGTTCTGGTCGCATCGACCACCCTCGTCTCCATCGTCTCCGCCGTCCCCGCCGGCTCCAGCATCACTCCACCGCCACCCATCGAACCGCTCCAGCTGTTGTCGCAGCCATCTAGCCCTCGTCGGCCATGGACCCGGCTCCGAGATTGGGTAATTGAAACGATCTGGGGCATCCCGAAACCCAGTTCTCCTCGCTCTTCCTTCAAGGATGCCTCGCGCGACCGCTCGCCCCCGTCCCGAGTGCTGGCCCGCTACGGGAGCGATGTCGTCCTTCGATTCCACTTGCGTGACACCCAGGAGGCCGAGACCTTGGCCCAGGCCACCGACATCCTCTTCTTGGATGTGTGGGCGTCGACGCCGGAGTATGTCGATATCCGCCTGGCAGAAGAAGTGGTAAGTTAAGGCCGGACCCGGCATCGGATCACATGCGTTGCAGCTCGGCTCTAATTATTCTATAGATTCCTTCGTTGCTAGGCTTATTACCGGACTCCCTTCAGACCGCATACACCCCTCTCATTGATAATCTGGCCGAGATGATTTACACGTCATACCCCAGCCGGCACCCGATAGGACTTGAGCATCCGGCCGGACTGGGGTCGTCTCGGCATTCGTCGCAGGTGGGAGATCTCTTCTTCCAGGACTACCAGCCCTTGTCGGTTATTGTCCCCTGGATGCGGTTGATGGCCTCCATGTTCTCGTCGCACGCTCAGCTGATAAACGTCGGGGTGTCTTACGAAGGCCGCGAGATCCCTGCTTTCCGGCTCGGGTCTGGACGCGGCGATGGCTCCTCCAGGCCCCGCAAAACCGTGGTCATCACCGGTGGAAGCCACGCGCGCGAATGGATCAGTACGTCCACAGTGACTTACGTCGCATACAATCTGATCACCCGGTTCGGGAAGTCGCCCGCGGTCACTGGCCTGCTGGAGAACTATGACTGGGTTCTGGTGCCTACCATCAACCCGGACGGATACGCCTATACTTGGGAATCGGACCGTCTGTGGCGGAAGAACCGACAGCCGACGAGCTTGCGATTCTGCCCGGGCATCGACCTGGATCGGGCATGGAGCTTCGAATGGGACGGCGAGTCTACCCGCTCCAACCCTTGCTCGGAGAGCTACGCGGGCGACGAGCCCTTCGAAGCGACAGAGGCGCAGCAACTGGCCCAATGGGCTCTCAACGAGACCGAGACCAACAATGTCGAAATCGTCGGTTTCTTGGACCTTCATTCCTACTCGCAACAGATCCTCTACCCGTTCTCCTACTCCTGCTCCTCCGTCCCGCCCACCCTCGAAAGTCTCGAAGAACTCGGCCTAGGCCTCGCCAAGATCATCCGACAGACCACCCACGAGATCTACGACGTAACGTCCGCCTGCGAAGGCACCGTAACGCCCATGGACCGCGGCGCGCTGAAAACCTTCTTCCCGGTCGGAGGCAGCTCCGGCGGCAGCGCCCTCGACTGGTTCTACCACCAACTGCACGCCACGTACGCGTATCAGATCAAACTGCGCGACCGCGGCAGCTACGGCTTCCTACTTCCGTCCACGTACATCATCCCCACGGGCAAGGAAATCTACAACGTGGTCGTCAAGCTGGGTGAATTCCTTGCGGGGGAGAAAGTCACCACCGACTGGGCGGGAGAATACTTCCGAGACATCGACATCGACATCAACCCCCCGGAAACCCCGGAGGATACGAACACCACCACACCCCTCAATTCAACCACAGAGACCACCTCCGACGCGGAGAATGACCCCGAAGACGACGACGATGAAGACTGGGCCGTTATCGACTGGACCGAGGAACTCCACGCCTGGGACCTGTAACGCTCACCAGTCCGAGTCTGGCTTCAGGGTCATTCCATGAACTTGTATTTTTTTCTCACGGTTTTTATTTGCAGGTACTGTATTTTGGTCTGTTCATGTTTGGTTATATAGTGATCGGTCTCAAGGCATTATGATAGTTACGGTATGCTAGGGTATGGTATGGTAGGTAGTTAGTTTTTTTAGGTAATGGGTCGAACGAACCTGGAAATGAAGATATGACTTGATATGACATGAAGCCTTCTCGGTACTTGCGCCACGAACACATGACTTTTGGTTGCTTGAACAATCGACTGTTACTTATGAGTTGTTTCCCTTTCTTATTATTGATGAGACCGTGTTCTTTCTTTGATTAGGGGTTGCTTTACATGGGATCTCTCTCTGATAGTAGGATATATACCTACATAGTCTAAGTAGTCTTCCTAGTATTATAGTGTACCCAACATATACGGCCAGGTATTTAGAGCCCATGCAGGTGACACTGGGCAAGGAAAGGAAGAATTTCTACAGAGGTCGAGAGGACGACGGTTATACGCACCGGATAGATCGAGATTTACACACCAAGAGCTACACACGATACGGAAAGTACAAACTCCAAAATGATCTGAGAGGCTAAGAGGAAAGAGGGAAAACCACTTCATGAACATTACCAAGCATAACGGAGGTATAAGATACATATATCATCATCGTGAGGATCATCCAAAAGCGCGAACCCATACAGGGTCGAAAGTTTCAGAACAGCCACGACACGAACTTGCGATAGAACCAGTTCGCGCCGGCATGCTTCTCCTCCTGGGTGGACTTCCAGGCCAGATACTCCTGCTCCTCGCGGTCGACCTCGTCCTTGCCGGACCAGAGGTCGGCCTCGTGCGGGGGGATGCCCTTGCAGCCGGTGGCGAACTTGTAACCGAAGATGAGGATCAGGTAGAGCGGGATGCCGAGGTAGGCGGTGATGAACTTCTTGTAGTTGAAGTTGCCCCATTCCTCGTTGTAGGTGAAGACGTCGTAGCTCTTGGTGAAGCAGATGATGATGCAGAAGACGAGGGCGCCGTAGGAGCCGTAGACGCCGAAGGGGGCCTTGTAGGCGAGGTCGGATTCGGGGACGCGCTGGGCTTTGCGCGCGCGCACGAAGTAGATGTGCGTGACGAGGAGCGACACCCAGGTCAGGAGACCGAAGATGGTGACCAGGTCGACGAAGTAGCCGAAGACGGTCTTGGAGTCACTGGAGACGTTCATGTAGGCGAGACAGGCGATGAGGGAGCACACGCCGAGGGCGAAGACGGGCACACCGCGCTTGTCGGTGCGGGCGAAGATGGCGGGCGCCTTGCCCTCCTTGGCCAGACCGTAGATGGTACGCGTGGCGATGTAGAGATCAGAGTTGGCGGCGGAGAAGACGAAGAGCAAGATGCAGGCGTTCAGGATGTGAGGGAGAGCGGGGATCTTGGCCAGCTGGATGGCCACGACGAAGGGGGAGGCGGCGGCCGAGTTGCTCTGCTTGGTGGCGAAGATGAGGTCGGGGGAGTTGTAGGGGACGAGCGTGCCGACGAGCAGGACGCTGGTCACGTAGAAGACGACGATTCGGTAGAAGGTCAACTTGATGGCGCGGGGGATGGTCTTGCGAGGGTTCTGCGCCTCGCCGACGGTCACACCAACCAACTCAGTACCCAGGTAGGCGAAGGTAGCGGAGACCATGGTGGCCCAGAAGGCATAGAATCGACCGGCCGCGCCGTCATCGATATAGGTGTTGAACGCGCCAGGCTCTTTCCAGTAGCGGAAACCCTTGCGGTCTTTATCGGGGCCTCCTCCCAGCATCAGGATGAAGGACAGCAGGATCAGACCGAGAATGACCACGACTTTGAAGGAAGACAGCCAGAACTCGAATTCTCCGAAGAACTTGACTCCGAAGTAATTGATACCGACGATCAACACGAGGAACACTGTAATCCATACGCCTGCATTGACCCGTTCGGTGTCTATCCAATACTGTATGACCAACGCGCCTGCTGTTAATTGATTTGGCGTGACGATGATATATTTAAACCAATACCTGCGCGACTCGTCAGCGAAATTTCCCTTGTAACCTCAGAGGGGGAGAAACGTACGTCCAGCCGATAGCAAAACCCATAGCAGGATCGCAGAAGCGCGCGGCATAACCAGTGAAACCAGAAGAGAGAGGCAACCAAGCGGCCATCTCACCGAGACCGCACATGACGAGATAAACGACGAAACCGACGACGGAATACGAGATGAGAATAGCAGCGGGCTGTTACGAGTTAGTTGATTTTTTCGTTCGAATATTAGTGCACCTACGCCAGCCCTAGCGCGGAAAACCTGTTAGCATGAAGCACATCGTAGCAATTGAGTCCAGTCCACTTACTTTGCCAAAGCCGAACCCGTTCCAATAATAAGACCAGTACCGATAGCACCACCGATGGCTACGAGAGTTAGCTAATCGCTCGTCGACAGCCAAACATTGCGGAGACCGACCAATCATAGTAATATGACGGGCCTTGAGATCACGGTGAAGGTCGGTATGATGGGCCTGGTTCACGGTGCCCTCTTCCGTCGCGGACAACTCATTTTTGATGGGCACCTCCGTAGAGAAATCATTGCCCTTGTACTCCGTGACTCCCATGGTCGCAAGGAGGAATTTCACAACCAACTGCGGGGAGGGAAGAAGGAAGCGGAATCGCGTGCGCAAGCAGGCAGGCACGCTCTACCGTCCGATGGCGACGGGATGGAGATATTCCCTCCGAGATGGGAGTAAAATGGGGAGGAGGGACGGGAGAGAGGAATGGAGGTAGGGAGAGAGGAAAATATCCAGTGGCAGGGAACGGGGGAGGGAGGGAGTATTTAGGCGTGGATGGCAAACGGCAGTAATGAAAATTAAAAAAAAAATAATACGTATCAAATAATCAAATAGAATCAAATCAATCGGATAATAATCAGACGGAGGCTGTGAGATAAGCGGGGAAGCTATCACGACAACGTGTGAACTCTCCCAATTACACCATGAGAATTCCGAATCCACGATTAGCCACCGCGGGCCAATAGCTAGCTGGACTCGGTATGATTTGCCTCCGTGTACGGACGGCCAAGCCGACGGAGTGGGAATGCAGCCATGGACATTGACCCGAGTGACCAGGGGCTACTAGGAAGGTAGGCTTGGCCGTGCCCGACCTGCACGAGGAGAGCCGGGGAAAGCGAAAGGCTTGGGTCGAGATTAGGCTTTGTTGTTAGTCACGGAAACTGCTGTTATCCGGGGTAATCTGGGTCCCTGGAGAGACTAAGAGAGTACGGTAGGTATTGTACCTAGATGTAGTAGTGCCATTGCTGCGTCGTTTACTACGATTCTGTCCTCTGGGTTCCATGTTCTCCGATGGCGAGGTACTGTCGGCTCTGACTTTCTTCCGACTTCTTCCCACTCATCCTCGCAAACAAGCACGCATAAGCCGAAGCAAAGCGAAGGGGCAAACCTTCTCGGCCACCCCCGCAGAGGCAGACCAATGGGGACGGGGGCCCTGGCGGTCTTGGCACGGCTTGGCTGTCACCGTGGCGCCGACCAATGCAACCCTGTCGTTTCCACGACGAGAGGCAGGTTGCTCTGGCCCGCCAAGACGCCTATCAGCTCTATCTCGTCAGCCGGCACCGGCCAATCAGCCACCCCCGCTTATCTGCTCGGTTTTCTAGAACCCTTCGGCCATGTGGAATTCCTCCTCGTCGCATCCTGGCAAAGACCTGCCTCGAGGCCGTTAGGACCATCCGCGAAAATTCTCCGATCGGTTCGCATGGGACCGACGATGGATGCCCACCGAGGTATTCTCCGACACCGTATAAAGCCCCCAGACGTCCCCCCTCGTCTCTCCTCCCTCCCAAAGGATTCCTCGCCCGTCGCGTGTGGGGAGCCTGACGGTCCTAGTCTCTTAGACCCGAGGCGGCCAACCTGAACTCGGAAGTCGTTAGGTAATGGAATCCGCTTTCCCCGGGATTCTTATCTGGTCCATGCCGTCGGGGGTGGGCCACTCGCAGAGGAGATCTGGTCATCTGGGCAGCTAGATAACCTGAGGGATTTTTCCCTTGCCATTGACAGGATCTGGCCATCTTCCCAGTGAAGCAAATTGGAAAGGCAGCTGGGCGAGCATTTCGATAAGACTCCGCCCAATGGGAGAGAGGGCGGAATCCTAGTAGGAGCGGGATACTAGGTTAGGTTGGGTCAGGAGACTGCCAAGTCCAGCATATCAACGAGATACGCGGATGATTGGGCCCGTTATCTAGGGGCGGTGATACTGTAGGACTCACCGGAGCCAGGCTCTTCGACGCGCCCTGGATGCGGTTAGGTCAGTGTCATCTGCATCCTCGCGTCTTGGTACGGGCCCTGCCAACGGTCTCCGGTCGCACAGTAATCTCTAGACCATTGAGTCTGTCCTACTCTATCCATCGCTATTGCCCTCCAGTGCCACGTGAATTACCCTAAGCCCTTCCTTCCCAACATTCTAGTACTCCCAGCCGCCCCAGTAGCATATTTCTCCCAACTAAACTCTATAGCGGTCTTATCCCACCGACGGCACCGGCTGCAGGGAGTTCGCCTCGGTACACCCGGATGATTGTAGAGTAGCAGTCCTGTCAGGCGTCAGAAATGTCTTTTCGCTCATCAGCATTTTCGCAGTGTTGATAGTGAGTTCAGGAATTCTAGGTCATCTGGGTAGATATATAAGATGGAAGGAATTATGCACATGGACACACATCTACTCCCCACCATCTTCCTCAAAGAGGAGGCTGAAGACATGCACACGAATGGAGAGAAAAGTAAAGCAGAAGAAAGAAAAAGAAAACCGACAACTCCATCCCTCTGCCGAAAACTACGAACCCCACTCACTTCTTCATCGCCATGTACACGCAGAGACCCAGAGTTAAGCGCTCGGTGCCAATAGCGTCCAGACGAGCGGGGATACACATAATGACTCGTACGGGAGAAGAACGGACATGTCCCAGTTCAGTTAGCTGGGTTACTCGAAGCTAATGGAATGCACGAAGGCGTGTGCTTCAACGGCGGTTGGTTGAGGAACTCCAAAGGGGAAGTATCTGGACTCTAGACTCGCTGGATGGCGTCTAGGTGGGTATAGGTCTGCAGCGTGGAAAATGGCGCAGAAGTGCGGCTGAAGTGACGGTATCGTTGTCTTTGGAATCTGTTGTGGCTTGCTCTGGTGTCATTCGGCCCCCACATTGGAATCTTGATGGTGTGCAGGGTGAAGTCTGTGAACTGGTAGTGGTTGCACGGATAAGATGGTGTGGTGTGGTTCGTGTCGACGGCCTGATCTCGTGGATACTTTGCATCTTATTACGTAGGAACAGCCATGCTGCGTAGACAGTGATAGTGGATTCGAGGAGTCCTCGAAGATGCCATCTGTAATCGAAGAGCACACTGTCGTCTACCATCTACTTGTGATCTCCATCAAGCCCTCATCCATCAACAATGGTATGACCGATAGACTCATCATACAATATAACCAAACGAATCAGACCCCTTAACCTACCGCCCAAATTCAATAGTCGTTCCTGCACAGACAAAAGCCTCAGCGGGGTCAACACCACCAGCACGTCTGGACTCCCAAAGCGGACAGAACAAAGAGGTCTCCACCACCTGCGGCCCGAAGGAACAACCAAAGCCGCCTGTCAAAATCCCCGATCAAGCGCGCAATCTATGCAGCCGTTCAATAGTTCGGAACAAGTGCTGATGATGACATGGCAGCGACGCCCGAGAGACCTGATGACGGGACGCCTGCAGCAAGAAGCGGGGATGGGCGATAAACAGGCCCCTCTGGGTGGACTGAAAAGAGGGTTAATTTCCCGCCAGTCCGTGGTCGAGTCCGGTTCCCCGTCCGCTCCGTGATCGACTGGCCGCTGCACGCTGCTTAATTGATGCTATTTTGGTGCGGCGAGGGCCAATGACGGCGGGTGTGATATGCAGGAGACCGCAGGCGTCGGCGCTTAAACGGATTCATCGCGAAGTGATTGGCTTCCGGTAAGTCGGGATGCGAGGTCATTGGTGCGACGCAGGGCGCATTTTGCTATGATTAGAACAGCTAAAATGGCAGATTCATTGGGTCTTCCCCTCTTCCTGCGGGCTGCCAGGATTCGTTCTTCCTGGTCAGGATGGCCTGAGGAATGGGTTTATTTATCTCGACTCATTCCTCTGATCGGACCGGATCTTTCTTCAACGGCCAGTGTCCTGGGTTGTTGTGGTTACACCACCTTGATCTTGATCTTCATCCATCTTATACATCCTACATCCTACAACTGCACCATGGGTGTCATCCGTCTCCCCCGTCCGACAGCCCTCTACGTCCCCAACCCCAACTCCCCTCCATCCCCTTCATCCTCTGCCTCCTCGTCAACCCGCACCCTCACCCCCGACATGATCTCTCCACCGCTCTCCCCCGACTTCACCTTCGACTCGGAGACCCTGCCGGCCTCCAGCCTGCCCGCCCTCGAATACATCTCCTCTAAGCTGCAGCAGAAAATGATGCATGTCACGCTGCTCGTCGGCCGCGGGAAGCCCTATCCCACCGGCACGCCCTCCGACCTCATGGTCATCCCCATCAGCCCGCTGGACCCGACCTCGACGCGGATCCTGCACCGCACCGTGGCCAAGGGCGCCGCCAAGTTCTCGCTCGGACAGAGCTGGACCGACGCGCTGGCCCGCGCCCAGTACGAGCGCCACGCCAACGAATACCTCATCCAGCAGTCCATCATGCAGAACGAGGTCGTGTTCAGCCGCGAGGGCCTCACCCTGCTGAACGTCGACCGCATCTACACATTCAAGCGCCGCCTGTGCATCCTGTCGTCGAAAGGCCCGCACGTCGAGGACGAGTATGTTGGCTCGTGCGTGAAGCTGCTGCACCGCACCATCCAGGACTTCCAGGGCCGGCCGTTCAGCAAGGCGTTTTTCCATCGCGTGTACGAGCAGCTCGACGTCCGCGACGAGCTGCTGATGCACATTGCCGCCGTGTATCGCCGGTGCTATGGCGTCGAGGGCATCGTGTTGCCGGAGAGGGGCGGTGTCGAGACTGCGACGCGGGCGCCCGTGTCCAGCAAGAAGTCGGCGTCGAGAATGGGGAGCAGGGCTGCTATGAAGCCGGTCATGAAGCCGGTCCCCGAAGTGGAATGCACACAGCCTGTCGCACCCACAACCACAACCACAACCGCACTGACATCGACTACGACCGCGACAACCACTCCTGCCATCAAGATCCTTCCGGCAAAGCCCGCCCCCGGTAGCAAGCCCCTGCCCGCCAAACCAAGCGCGGCCACCCGATCGGTGCGGAAATCGCCCCTGCGCGGCGCCATCCGGTCGCCGCGCGAGTCTGGGCCGCCGCGATCGCGGATGCCGACGAAACGAGGCCCCAAGACGCCGCAGTCGGCGTCGGACGTGACGCCCATCACGCGGAACGAGTGGAACATGCTGGTCGGGACGGACTTCCGACACGCCAAGCCGACCGTGACGAAGTGGACGCCGTCGCCGACGGTGATGGCGGCGGCGTGATTCTGTCTGGGGTCAGTCAGTCTTGTTACCCTCCTGTGTGGGTATACTCTGCCGATAGATGCCGACCCTACGGAGTGAGCACTCGGCAGAGACAAGACCGGGCATTTTCTCTTGATAATTCACATTATTCCACCGTCCGACTGGACCGGCCCAGAGTCCGGCTAAGACAGCGATCCACCGCGCTTGGGGCACTCGGCGGCCATTCAGAAGGCGCGCATCGACGGTTTTTGTGTCGTTGCCGAGCGGTGGGGCTGCGGCGTCCAGTCGGCGAAGGCAGACAGCAGTGAGCACAGTCCGATTCGGATGGATCCAGAGACACATTCTGGGATTCACTTGGGAGGATTTGACTTCATGTACATACAAGTATATATACCCTTGACAGGGACGAGTGATGATAATGATAATGACTGAATGAATAAACACACATTGAGCAACTCTACCACACGCAATAGAAATACTTCTCATGCAAGGAGATAAATCACCATCAAGTAATCTGCGCGGCCGACGGCCATCTGGAGGGGTTTCGGCGGACAACGCAAGCTTTTTTCACGCCGCTAAGGGCGACTAGAAAACGCATAAGACCCCGAAGGATGATCTAAAATTTCCTTGCCCTACGAATATCCGTGATTCCGTTCTCCACACGACAAGAAATGGCATTGCTCGATTGATATTGATAATTCCTTCTTATCTCTTATCGGGTTGCTTCCCCGCCAGAAAAACCTTACTCTTTACTGTCATTTTTAATTCTGACATCGTCAACTCTCATCTGCATTACGCCATCTTTCTCTATCTTTCTCTATCTTCCACGCTATATACTATACAGTACCTGATATAGGTTGATATTTCTTCAGTATGCGGGACTCCGCCATCCTCGAGTCCGCCCCGGACGTCCCGACATCCCCGCATTCCACGCCCTCCGACTCCAAGAAATGGTCCCCCCAGGCTCTGATCAGACATGCCGAGCGCTCGCACAGTCGCATGCCGGGCATCCGCAAGGTGCCGTTGCGCGCCATCGCGGTGATCTTGTTTGTGGCGTTGATGAACGTCGTGGTGTGGATTGCCGCGGCGATTCTGCTGGTAGGTGCATTCGTTTGGTCGATGTCGATAGGAGTATGGCTAATGAGTGTAGCGTTACTATCCGTATGTGATGTTTATGCTCAGGAAAGGGCTGTAGTGATTTAACGGACGCTGATCGTGTAGGTCGTTGGTGTCGAACGCCGTGCTTTCGTATACCCTTGGCTTGAGGCATGCGTTTGACGCGGATCACATCTCGGTATGTATAACCTGTAGCTCTTTTGGAAGCATGAGTGTTAACGAATCCAGGCCATCGATCTGATGACTCGGAGACTGCTGGCCACCGGCCAGCGACCCGTCACCGTGGGCACGTTCTTCTCCCTCGGCCACTCGACGTAAGTCCCGTGGATCTGAACACCGCTACACATCCTGACCCCAGCAGCATCGTGATCATCACGTCCATCGTCGTCGCCGCCACCGCGGCCGCCGTGTCCTCTCGCTTCGACAGCTTCAGCACCGTCGGCGGCATCATCGGCACCTCGGTCAGCGCCGCCTTCTTGATCCTCCTGGGCCTGATGAACGGGTACATTCTGTATAAGCTGTACAAGCAGATGCAGAAGGTCCTGGATCTCCCGGAGGGTCAGGAGGACGAGGCATGGAAGATCGAGGGCGGGGGGATCATGTTCTCCGTGTTGAAGAAGATGTTCAAGCTGATTGATCGGTGAGATTAACTCATCCCATGATAGACACAGAGAGCTGACCACGCAGTCCGTGGAAAATGTACCCGCTGGGAATCCTCTTCGGCCTGGGCTTCGACACGTCCTCGGAGATCGCGCTGCTCGGCATCTCATCCATCGAAGCCGCCCGGGGGACTGATTTCTGGGTGATTCTGATCTTCCCGATCCTGTTCACAGGTAAGTCACCCCCCCCTTTATGCCACACACCAATCGGAAGACTAAACCCACCAGCCGGAATGTGTCTCCTCGACACCACCGACGGAGCCCTCATGCTCTCCCTCTACATCCAACCCGCCACCAACTTCCTCCCCGCCAAGCGCGAATCCCCATCCACCCCGCTCCTCGAAGAGGGTCTTGACACTCCCCCGGAGGAAGTCGAATCGCAAAACCACCGCGACCCCATCGCTTTCCTCTACTACTCAATCGTCCTAACCACACTGACCGTGATCGTCGCCATCGTAATCGGCATCATCCAGCTCCTAACCCTCGTGCTGAACGTCGCCGAACCCACCGGCCGCTTCTGGGACGGCGTCCAGACCGCCGGCGACTACTACGATGCTATCGGCGGCGGGATCTGCGGCTGCTTCATCGTCTTCGGCGGGATCAGCGTGTTCGTGTACAAGCCGTGGAGAAGGTGGATTGCCCGTCGGCATGGGCAGACTGTCGTGGCGGATGAGGAAGGCCACGAGGGGCGGTTGAGACCTGATACGCCGATTCTGAGCGAGGAGCGAGGGTCGCAGGGTAAGAACTATGGCGCTGTAGACGGGAAGAAGGATACTAGGGTTGTGGTTGATGAGAGGGCTGATGGGCCGGCTTAGACGGATGTGGATGAAACCAAGATATAGCCGTTGAGCGTGGAAGGGGGTTTCACATACGATGGACTGGATGTGATTTTGTTTTGGCTACACTACCCTACTCGCACTGAATCCAGAAGCTGGTTGAAAAGGGAAAGGGTAAAATAGCAGTGAATTCAGACAATTTAGCTTATATCCAGTATATATACCCATAAACCCAACCCATCCTTCAATTCGTCGACATTCGAACGCGGTCCCCAATTCCCCCCTCCCCCAAAAGAAAAAAAAAATAAAATAAAAGATCTAAATCTCCCTCCCATACGGCCTCCCCTTCAACCGCCCCTCCGAATGCGTCGGCAGTGCCACACAAGGCCTAAACTCCAGCTGTCTCACATTACTCTGTTTAAACCGATCATAGGTCCGGCCCAGGGTATTCCGATCCACGGTCTCTAACCACTTGCGAATATCCTCCCGGACGGCCGGCATGACGCAGTCCTTGAACCACGCGTTTTGAGCCGCGTGGTCTGGCTTGTGGCGCGTGTAGTAGGCCGAGTAGAATGTGTCGTCTATCCCCTGTGTGTTGTCGGCTTGGTTCGTCCAGGGGCAGCGGTAGTTGTAGGAGTAGTAGAAGTAGCCGTTTTCGGTGTGGGGCATTTCTTTTTCTTTTTCTTTTTCTTTTTCTTTTTCTTTTTTGGGAGGGGAATTTATACTTCTCAGTTCTGAAGGTGAGACTGTGATGCTGTGGTGGATAAGTGGGTATAGCAGCAGCAGCAGCAGAAGAAACAATACTGATTTTGATAAGAAGAGGAAGACGAGATTTGAGCCAAGGTTGGGAAAGACTGGAGAATTTATACCCACCATTTACTTTTACTCACAAGGGAGGGGTAAATCACAAGGCTGTGTTCAAGGCGCTATAGCCTATAGGTAGAGGTAGCTAGACGGGATGGCGGATGTAATACTTGTCAGTTTGTCCGGTTGTGTTGCTCGAATGGCTCATCGCTCTCTGCAGGGAATGCTCATCTGCACTGGAGTCTGGATACGAGATGTGGCTGTATTCGTTTATACGCTATACTGCGTAATATGGATTGTTTATTCATGGGGGTTGGATGAATTCAATTTTCAGTGCGATGCGCTGGCGATGTTTGCTTTTTATAAAGGACGGGCCAATAACCATAGGAATGGTTTGTTGGAATCGGGTATGGATCTACAAATCAGAGGATAGGAGCACGGGTATATGCCAGAGCTAGATCAAACTACTAGCGTATGCTTGCGTGTTCTAATATGCAACTGGGATGTTGCATCTGAGCTTAGGATTTCCGACTCTGTTTATTTATGCCGTGTTGGCTTTATCGCACAATCTCCTGTTGCTTGTTCGTACATGCTAAGCTGTAACTAGCCATGTGCACTGATTCCCCGGTATGATATGCATAGTGAAGGTGGTGCGCGTTTCTATTTACTCCATTTATCAGGGGATGGGTGCAGATGTGAAAGCTTGATGCTGCTGTGAGTAGTGCTGTTACTCCAAATCCCTGTTTTTAATTTGAGTTGATGTTAGTTGTGTGTGCTACCGAGGTTGCTTATTGTAAATGCACAATCAGGTGTAGGATAATTCCAGACTATGAGTAAAAAGCCCCAGATCGGCTGCCTGGTTTTATGTCAGGTGTTTGCTTGTCAGAGAGACCAACACAGGAAGCGCCACCATAGAATAGGATCTCCTAACATTTCGTCCTAATCCCTATCTAGCTCCGGAATACCAAATGATCTAATAGATAGATTAATAAATCTACAGCTGTCTGATGGCTGCCACATGGTCCGTCACCAGGCACTCAGGCTCGTCTGAGCCGTAGTAAATCATGTTACTATCATCCAACGACTAATCGCCGTACTACTAATCTAGAGTGCCTAACACGGATGTTATATTTAGTATTATCTACTGCGATAGTGTCTCCAGACTATATTAATTGAAGATAATATTATAATTCTTAAATAAATATGGCTTGCCGGCCGCCTTACAGGCCGCGCGGGTGGGCATAAGAAGATATACTATGTATTACCAAGGGAATTACATTATTTGTCTACCAGCTTTAGGGGGAATAATATGTTCTATCTCATCTACTAGTTCATCAGTAATTACTCTTCATTAAGACATTCAGACTACAAAACCTCAGATGGGACTGGGAGACATTAGGCAAACATAAGTTACCAGAACAGTGCTCATGCATCCGCCCCCTACTCCAACCATCTCTAGTACATACAACCAAGCCCTCTCAAACCCCCACAAACCACTCATGCCCCAACGCCCCCCAAGCCGTGAGTCTCTTTCCCGGATCAAGATTCGTCAGACCCCCAATGAGATCCTGGAACGTCGCGTCCCTAGCATCCGACCACTCGGTAAACGGCCGGTACGGGATATTCTCGTCCAGCCGGTCGTCCCACAGCATCTGCAGCGCCTGGCAACTAAGCTCGTCATCCGCAACATGCCTCACCAAACCGCCCAATCCCTCCACATCCCCGAAATAAGACACCTGCCGTTGAAGCCGGATGAGCTCCGGCAGGGCCCCCTGCGCCTGATGCTTCTCGAAATCTGCGTCGGGGCCAAAAGATGACGCGTCCTAACATAGCGTAGATACACTTAAGCGAGTCGGGTTAATCTTGACTCACTCTACACTCCGTGAGAAGGGGCAAAGAACGGGAAACACGTACAACTACGCCGAAAGAGAACAGATCCGTCGGTTTGTTCAGCTCGGCTTTGAGATGGGCTTCAGGGCTGCGCCAGTTGTCGTTGCCGGCTAGCATGCCTTTAATGCAGCGGCGGGGTGGGAGGTAGGCTGCGTTTTCGAGATCGATGAGTTGCACCCGGTCAATGGAGATCTCGTCGGTGGAGGAGCTGGAACTGTCGACCATGATGTTGTCCGGTTTGATGTCTGGAATAGTCAGCGCTCAGCACTCAGAACCCGTGGATAAGTAGAACGTTTTGGGGAGGGGTTAAGGACCCAGATGAACGATATCTCTATCATGAAGCGCTGCAATGCCTAGTAGACTGGACTTGAGGATCTTCTTTCGAGCGGAGACAGGGATTCCGCGCTGGACGAGATCCAGAAAATCGTCTTTCAGGTGCCTGTAGACGAGAATCCGTTCGCCGGGGATGGTGTCATGGGGTAGTCGGATATAGGGATTGGGGCATTCAGTCAGCCGGGGCAGGATTTGCTCGTTGAACTTCGAGAAAATGGCTTCTGGAATGTCTTTCAAGATGAATTGATCTCGACCTGCCCTGGAAGGTGTTAATGTATACAAGCTTATAAATAGACGGAAAGGGCTCGTACGTTGCCAGCCAGACTCGACCGACGTGAGGTCTGTCTTGAATCAGATCCTTGAACTGGTAGCGACGTCCAGTCGCGCCGATGCCATCTTGGCGAGGGTTCGTCGGAACATGCTGTGTTGTCTACTTCGAGTAACCGCCGGCGAGAGCAAGCGGATGGCAGTAAAGGACATATACAAGGCAATGCCAGATCAGAAGCCTTGTTTAGGGCAATCCTTCATGGACAAGGTTGGTTTAGACAAGGGGGTGTACAGAAGGAGATGTTGCTGCAGGATCTTGTAAAATGGGTTATGGATTGGGAGTAGATTGAGGCTGGTGGATTGAGGAGTCAGAAACGCCCTCCTGTTTAGAGGTGTTTGTTTGGTTGATATTTGTCGACTGGATGGTATGACTTGAACGGAATAAATATCAAAGCTGGATATGATATATGGTATATGACCTGGCTAGATAGAATGTAGGTAACGAAGAGATTGATACCACCGCAAACCAATACTACATGCTTCATTTCTACCCATTTCGCAGTTCTCAAGTGTTAATATCCCAGTTCATGCCATGACCAACAAAGTCCAACGGTTACTATATATATAGATCAAAAAATTAAGATAAAGAAAGGAAGAAAGTTAGAAGATCAAAACGAACACCTCCCCTCCGGCCCAACCCACCTCCCCCTCCCCACAATCGCCTCAAAAACCAACCTCTCTCGCTCCTCCCACGTCTTCCCCCTCGCCTCAAGATCCAGTACTCTCCCTTTGCCATCACGCTCGCGGACCCCACTGGAGTCAAATTTCCAGTTATGCTCCTTCTTCGCGAGCCGGCGCAGGTCCCGCTCGAAGGTCGTGTCGCCGGTCCAGCCGAGCACGGCGCATCCGATGCTGCGCCAGGGGGAGACGATGATGTCGACTCTTTGGTGGGGGTTTGTGTTTTTATTCTTGCCTTTGCTTTGAGGGGGAGGGTGGGCGTCTGAGTCCGTGCTGGGTGGGATTGGATCCTGCCACACTACGAGGGCTTTATCGAGGGTATCGAAGTGTCGTGATCCGTCGATGGCGTCGCCCCGGTACGGGAGGGTCTGCTGATCGCGGTCAGAAGTCGAGAGGTTCAAGTGCAGGGTGTGGGTGATGTAGTGGGATGCTTCGAGGGAGGCGAGGACGTCGACGACGAGGTTATGTGTGATGGCGTCGTCGCGGTGCGTGAGGATGAGGTCGACGTCGCCGCAGCGGTCTTTGCCGCGACGGTATCCGCCGACGATGATGCATTCGATTTCTCCTTCTCCATCGTCCGGACGGACGAGGTTCGCGTGTCGGTGGACAGTGGAGGCGATGGATTCAACTTGGGGGCGGGATATCCCGAGGAGGAACTCGTCGTAGTATTTGACGCCAATTTGCTGGACGCGAGAGAGCCCGGACCAGCCGTGGAGGATGATGTCGTCGAGATCGCGCCAGTGGCGGGAGTAGTAGAAGTCGCGGGCGGTTTTGGCGCCGACGCCCCAGATCTGGGTGAAGGTGTGGAGGGTGCGCAGGGTGGCGTCGGTGTCGAGTTGGGAGGCGGCGGCGAGGGAGCCGGACGCGCTGGACTGATATTCGGAGAAGAGGTGGGCGGTTTTGGCATCGCAGCCGGGCAGGGATAGGATCTCGGAGGCGCGCCGCAACTTGTAGGGGTAGGCGGCGATGGCGGCGATGGATGTGCTATATGCGCGCACGGCAATCTCGTCGAGCGTGAGTTGGCGGATCTGGCGGATCTTGAGCAGTTGGTGGATGAAGCCTTCGTTGGGAGGGTGTAGGGGGGCATGGCGTTGGCAGGCATAGGGTAGGCGGTTGCGCACCCAGTCGGGAGGTGGTGGGAGGTTGGTTTTGTCTTCTTCAGCTTCGGAGGTGGTGGTGCGATGGAGTTTAGGTGGATGAGAAGGTAGTGCAGAGACATCCTGTCTTGCTCGTTGGATGATGCTAGTTGATTTGGTAGATGGCGATGTCGCAGGACGAGCAATCTTGCGAGCTCGGTATATCAGATATGGATCCATAGGAAGGAGGGAATCCGAAGTGAGACATCGATCGAGCCAGTCTAGTTTCACGACTAGAATGAAATCTTCCTTCCTCGTCGCGCCTGAAGAAACGGACTCGGACTGCGGTCTCTTCAAATGCTTCTCGACCCGATGTCCTTCCATGCCATCTTCCTCACTTTCCGTCTCGGTGTCCAGTTCAACCACCTCTTTCGCAGGCCCTGTCAAATAAGAGCCCTTACCTTCCAGAGCTAGCCCATTTGGCTCATTCCCCGTAGATACCCTCGCCTTTTTGGACGGTGGCTCATCCCCACGCCCCCTCCCACCAGCCAGATCAGAATCCAGGACCTCTTCAGTCCACACCCCTCTAGCCCTCAGCTCCAACGCAGCCCTCTTCTTATGACTCAGTCGTCCGAGGACCAGGCCCGCCTCGGAGACGTCATACGTTAGATGAGCAGCGCCGCGCACCAGATGGTCCTCGACCGAGTGGAGAGCGTCGAGAGATAGATGCGTCGGGAGGACAAAGACGAGAGGTAGAGATTTGAGATCCAGTCTTGATTGGGGGTCGGATTTCGTTTGAGATGGCAGAGACTGAGGTTCAGTTTGGCTCTGGGATTGAGATCCAGCCTGTATTGTTCCTTGCGTCGACTCTGAGGGTGCGGACATTATGGAACTGACAGTCCCTATTCGATGATATATACCGTTATCGTGATGGTTGGAAGATATTCGTATATAAATAAGTCAAAGCCGAGATGGATCACATCTCATCCATGGCGTAGACGATATAAATCAGAAAGAAAGATAGTAAGATAGATACTATAAGCGCCGAAGAACCCTTCTGGGCATTTCGATTTTCTGCCGACCACGACAAGTCCGGTTGGGTAAACGTTGAGTCTATTTAACCAGGAAGCATCCGTAAACTGTATGATATGTTACATTCAATCCCAGAAAGTTCCACAGGATAGCGAGCGGGACTAACTTGTAACCGACCGTCAGGTTTCATTCGAGATTTGAATATCAGTTATCGCATGATACAAACAATCATCTAATCATCTCGACGGGTTTCTTTTCGAATATCAACGTGGCCGAAATTTATGAAGTGCGAGCTTATGACTCCCAAGTAGTTTGCAGATCGAGTTGATTTAGAAGGTGACTTGTCAATGTGAAAGAAGTGAGGTCTTCGGATTTCGAACGGCGTGACGTCACGTTATCTGGTGATAGTTGGTGCCTGAGGTGTCTATTTGATCCGGCCTTCTACGGTGGATTGAGCATACTGACAATAGTCCTGACTGGTATAGGATCAATCCAGTCAGATCACCCAGATTACTCAGAGAAATGAACACTTCGAGAAACTCGAAAATCTTAGTTATATAATAGCGAACTAATACATATTCAGACACGATAAAGTAAGATCAAGTTGAGAATCGCTCAAGCATAGCCAGCCTAACGGAGCTCAAGATCAGAATCAGACAATCAAAAAGATAAACAGTCAAGAAGGAAAGTCAAAAAACAGTATAACACATCATTAAACCAGAGCCCTGGAACTAGTCATTTCACCATATCTACCTCTTCCCCTCGTGGTATCGTAAGCGTTGACAACGCGCATCTGCCCGCCCTCGTCCGCCTGACTGAACGCGTACCCGCGCTGCTTGCGCATGCGCTGCACCTGGCGCACCTTGCGGATCGCCTTCTGGAACTGCTCCATGCGCGGCCGGTAGTCCTGGACGTTGTACTTCTGGATCTCCTGCACGTGGTGGTAGTGCTGCGGGTAGTACATGCGTTTGGCGTATTTCCAGGCGTAGTCGCGCAGGAGGCAGACGCAGGGGAGGACCACGGCCATGAGGTAGAACACGGGCGACTTGAACAGCCGCGGGATCGTGCCGTAGTATTCGGTCGAGAAGCCGATGGCCGGCGCCGCGTAGCCGTAGGCTGGCAGGAACGCCAGCCAGATGACCATCGATCCGGGGATGGCGATGAACGTATACTTGGTCCAGATGTTGGTGATGAGCGCGGCTTTGCCGAGCACCGTTGCCAACACGGCCGTGTAGAGGGCCGAGCCCCAGACCCAGTGGCCGGCGACCATGCCGTCGGCTTGGGGAAGATCCCAGAGGAAGATCAATTCAGAAACGATGTAGAGAATCAGGGAGTGATAGAAGCCGTTGAGAACCCAGGACCAGAAACTGTGTCGCTTGAAGAACATCCCTTTCTGTCCAAGCTGGTACAGTTGAGGATATCGATCGAGTAACCGGGCGGAGATAAACTGGTCACAGATGCCCATGGCAAACGGGGGGAGCACGGTGAAAAAGACGTTGTAGAAGGAAAGAGTCCACGATTCGTAGATGACTTCACCAGAGAACGCGTTTTGGAAAGAGTACTGTGGATGTTAGTAACCAGGAATGACCAAGATAGTATCGACATACCCAAAATTGAGTCATATAAAGCGCAATGTTCTTATAGAACGAATACAGAATAACCCGACTGATTCGATGGTAGCTCCACGCGCCATGCACCAGAAGTAGTTTGCGAAGAAAACGGAACTGGGCAATCGACACATCGGCGGACCGCGCAGCTTGAAGACCTTCGACACCGCTGATACCGACGCCAACATGAGCGGCCTGAATCATAGACACATCATTGGCGCCGTCACCAATGGCGAGAAGTAGCGACTTGAGATGGCGCTTGACCAATTTGACGACCAAAGCTTTTTGAAGAGGAGAAACACGACTGACAGAGTTAGCTTTTCCTCCTAAAATGAAGGGAGTGACTTACCAGCAAACCACCGCCTTACATTGCACCGCCAAGTCCAAAAACATCTTCTCCATATCCTTCTCCAAGGCAAAAGTCAAGGATCGTCCGTCGATCACAAGAGCCAACGGTTCGGTCTCTCCGGAAGCCGACTGGGTTTGGACAGCCTGCAGCTTCTTCGAGATGTTGTCACTGGTAGCTTGCGCCGTTTCCTCGTTGATCACCAACAGAGTCATGTCCTCCGAGATCAGTTTGCAGGACATGCCAATGTTAATAGCCGTTTCCTGTCGGTCACCGGTCAACACCCAGACCTTGATTCCGGCAGTCTGGAGCGTGTGGATGGTGTCCGGAACTCCATCCTGCAGACGATCCTCGATAGCCGTGGCGCCCAGCAGGTAAAAGTCCTTCTCGATCAGCTCCGACGCTTTGTCCAGCTCATCCGCACGATTACCGCCGACCGTCGTCGCTGCCTTGTCGAAGATCTGGTACCACTGCTGGAACTCTTCCTCGGGGATCTCACGCATGGCCAAACACAGCGTGCGAAGACCTTCCGAGGCATAGTCTTCCAGATGTTGCAAAGTCGATTCAACGATGGGGTTGTCCGAATTCAGACGCTCCAAGATGACGGTGTCTGCACCCTTCGTGTAGATACGGACCTTGCCATCGGGACAGCGGAAGATCGTCGACATTCGCTTTCGGGTGGAGTTGAACTCGCAGACCGCCAGTAGTTCGTATTCGTATTCCTGGCCACCCACGCTGATGAGCACCGAACGAGGTTTCCGGTTGGTGAATTGATAACCCAGCTGTGCCGCGCCCTCCACCAAAGCACCCTCGTCCGGAGACGCGGCTTGGTATTTGATCTGGTCCGGCTTTTCGTCGTTGCGCTCCGGGATAACAGTATGGCATGTAGCAAGCAAGGTCAGGAAGTGGTGCATCGCGTCCTTCGTCCGATGAGACTGCAGGTTCTCGCGCAGCTGTTTGAAGTTGTGGACACCGACTTCAACGCCGTCTTCCACCGTAGCCCGTCGGTCTTCCGGAATGTCCTCGCCGTATTGAATCCCGCCTATCGTGCACTGCTTGAACTCCATCATGTTACAGGTCAGCGTACCCGTCTTGTCGGAGAAGATGTACTCGATCTGGCCGAGTTCCTCGACCAGAGAAGACGTTCGACAGGTTGCCGGGGTGTCGGTTTGCTCGTAGTAGATATCCAGATCAGAATTGATCAAGAAGGCCTGCGCATACTTGACGATTTCGATGGTCACGAACAGCGAGATGGGAACCAAATTGGAGTAGAGAACCCAGTAGGTGAAAATATCGAGCACAAACTGCTTGACGGGGTTGACGCTGCCGTAGTCCAGATACGCCAGTCGGTGGTCCTGGGTCTGCCGGATGATCAAGTCACCCACGGAACTAATGACGCTCAGAGCGATCAGAATGCCAACCAACATCAGAATCTGGATGTTGACCATGCGCTCGACCGCGGTCCGCTTGATCGGAGTTGCCGTGGCATTGCGCATCAGTTTCGTTTCGTGACCGGTGAAGACGACGATTCCGTGCACCCATGGCGTATTTCGCAGTGTCGCGCCTCGCAGGAGAAGTTGGTCGGGAGCCAGAGGCAGTTCCTTCTCTCCTCCTCCGGCGTGCATGGTCAAAGTCGCCTCGTAGGTGTACAGACTGCTGTTCGGCTGTTCGGAGCGAACGCGGCCGCTCAGCCGGCTGAGGTCGGCCGGGCTGACGAGATGCGCGGTTTCCGGGATCGCCTGCTTGATCTTCAGATTGGTCTCTCCGTCCAGATTGGCCGTCTCAATGTAGCACAACCCCTCCGGCTCGGAGGATGCCAACAGCACCAGATCAGCCGGGAAGGGCTGTTCGGATTCGACCCGCACGATATCGCCCACCGACACATCGATCCATTTCGTTTCGTGGAACGCAGATCCCTTCAGCACCTGCGTTTTCGAGTAGTTCAGTCCCTTGTCCGAAGCCCTTCGCTTGTAATCCTCGACAAGTTCCTTGATCGCGGAAACGAGCAACACAATCAGCAGCGGACCAATGGTGGTGTATCGATTGGTCGGAGACACGTTCGGAATCTGCTGCAGAACCGCCGTGAACAAGAAAAACAGGTTGGCGTATTTGGAGAACTGTTCGTAGAGGAATTTCGGCAGGAAGGTGATGACATTGTACTTGGCCGTGGACACGTGGTTGTCGACGAACTTGTGCACCGCGTTGGCCGGAGGATTATTCAACACAATCATGCGAGGACCCAGCGTGGACGGGTCGACCTTGCTGCGGCCAAAGCCGAACTTGAAGTTGGACTTCTTGGGTTTCGTCGGCCGGGGAGCAGCGGCGCCGTGAGATTCGTCCGGATCGGCACTGTCGATGCGAGCCGCCCTCGCGCCGTGCTCCGTCAGCGGCAGATCCATCTCCGAGTATTCAGGAGCCATGCCCAGCATGTGCTTTGCCCGGCCCATCAGGCCGCCTCCCAGGCCCAGAATGCTGTTCCGCTCGGTGGCCTGCCGTACGCGGTGGCTGGAGTGCAGGGGGTCCTCCCCGTCGTCCATGTTGTAGTATCCATGGTCGTCGTCGTAGTCGTCGACGGAGTAGCGACGGTAGTTGCTCAGTCCGGAAGTCTGCGAATATGTTCTGGAGGCCTCGGCGCCCATATACGGATCGGACATGTAGGCTCCGGACTGGACGGGCGGATGCGCGGAGGTCATCGCATGGGCGCCGGAGTGCTGCTGCTGGTGTCGTCCGCCAACGAAACTATCGTAGGACACGGAAGGCCGCGCTTGAGGTTCATCGGAGTCGTTGATGTTGAATTGTCGCAACAGATGTTCGTCGTTGACAGGCGGGCCCTGGCCGGGATTGTACAAGGGAGTCGGTTCCTCCAGCTGCAGCAGATCGTCATCGCGGCCAGCGGCTGGATGAAGTCCTGGAGGCCTACCGCTGGCCATGATGATGGGGGCGGACAGACACCGTCAGAGCGATGGAATGCCCCTGGAGCATTGATTAGGGGGAGGGGGGAGGGGGTTGGGAGAGTGGGAGTGCCGAGAATGAAAAATGCAGGTCAGAGGGGATGCAAGAACTGTCAAAGCGAGAGAATCCGATTGGGAGGGGAGGCACAGAGAGAGAAGGATGAATTCTGACTGCCTTCGGGGGGAGATGCGTTTTGGCACTAACGAGGGCGGTGCTGATTTATGGATCTCCGCCTGTGGCTGGGGAGGCGTTTGGCTTTCGTCCTGGTATTTTTAGGGAAGGATGAAAATAGGTTTTATAGTTCCATTTTATTTTAGAATCCACGATATTTGGAGGAATTAGCATTGGGAATCTGGCAGAAGCAATTATGATCTGATCTGGCGTCTCGTGGTTATGACGTCCGAGTGCGAGTCTAGACGGCGGTGGCACAAAGAATCCATCCCAGCCTCAGTTTCACTTTTATGATCAAAGGACGGCTACTCGGGGTCATTGCGCATTATTTAGTTATCATACATCGATTGTGTGGTGTAATTTATTTTAATAATTCCGTTCATCGATCATTCTCTGCGCGGGATTCCTCTGCCATGCCACGCTTGGCCCGTCTCGCTAGATCGGCCTGAAGAGCCTTGTCGACCGTCGCATTGATCTCCTTGACTTTCTCCAGCGCCACATTGGTCTTGGTGACAAACACCATCGCTTCCACGGGCGATCCTGAGAACTTGGACAGGAAACACACGTCCCCGGCGCCGTTCATACCGATGATGACGTCCGCTTCCGACGCCTGTTCTTCCTTGCGCGTAGCGTCCAGAATAACCACCTTGCCCTCGTCGAAGGTGTGGAACGTAACGGAGAGCGGCTTGTGTGTAATGTTCAGCGGCACCGGCACCCGTTCGTCAAGGCCGTAGACGATCACCTGTCCGTCCTTGACCACCGCGTCGGGACGGCGGAAATGCTGCAGTCCGGCCATCACGCCGATGCAGGCCGCATCGATCAGGTTCCCGTCGTAGTCGGTGATGTGGACGTCGGCGCGGACACTCCAGCAGCTGACACCTTTGAGGATGCAGAGCGATTCGGTATCGAGGGCGTTGGAATGGCGGATGACTCGGTCGAGGACATTCGTGACGTAGGTTTCGAGATCTCCTTGTCTGTGCTATGTTAACGAAGGGGTCCCAACCATGAGAACGAACGTAGTAACCTACCGGCCGTTATCCCACGCCGGAGAGCCCATGGCGGTCAACTCCATGGCGATGGCGAAGGTGCCGTCGAAGGGACGGTCATCGTGAGGTTTTGACACTTCGGACGAGATGCGCACGATCAAACTGGACTGTCAGCGAATTCGTTGAATTGTTGAATTGTCTGGAGGACTGAGGTACCTCGTCTTGCCAAGCTGCACCTTCACATGGCCGTACTCCTCGCCAAAGGAGACGCTCAAGGGGCGGAACTGGTCGGCCTGGCGGCCATCGAGTCTCACGTGCTCGCGCAGAGCATTGACGATGAAGTCGCGCTCAGAGATGGAGAGCGGTGCTTCTTTGTTCATGGTTGCGGAGGGGAATCGGCCCCAGCGGGGTCTGCAATTGAAGATGCGACGGCGATTTTTGTCTCCGCGGCGTCATTGTCGGGCGATTGTTGTTCCGGACAACAGCCAATAAGATGCCTCAGGCTTCAGGCGGTGTAGGCTGACTCAGCTACTCGGGCCTCATTCAGTCTCGATTCTCAGCCTCTCTATTCCACTGTCCAGACACAACGAGCCACCATGACTACCGGTATGTATCTGTTTATCTCTCATATACAGCATGTGCTAACCTCAGAATAGCCCACAGACCCACATTTGATCCCGTATGACCTTCTTCTATAACCGTTCGCAGACGTTCGAGACTGACCATCCTAGGCGCAAGGGAAAGAGGCCCTCCGTGGCCCAGCCTACCACCAGCGACTTCTCCCGGCGCACACGCATCTGAAGACTCGGTATGCTGTCAAATGAGGTCTAACTGCGTTCAACTGCGCCATCTAACTCGTGCAGGCAACTGGGTCAAGGCAGTGAAAACGAATCGCAGCAACGCGACCTGCGCGCCGAACTCCTCCAGGCCGAAGCCGCCCATTTCGCCAAGAAGAATGGTGTTCCGGTGGATGCGCCTGCCCTTGAGAACGCTGCGCCGAAACGCCAGCTCGAAGGAGCGCCTGCTAGCGGAGAGGAGGGGACGAAGGAAGAAGACCCGGAAGCGAAACGGCGGCGAATACTAGAAGAGACGCGAGACATCGATGCAGATTCGGACGGGTCAGAGGAGGACAGCAGTGAGGACGATAGGTTAGTGGGATGCTGGGAGTGTGAGGGCATTGCTGATTGAGGATAGTGACGACGACGAGGACGAGGCTACCGAGCTGATGCGAGAGCTGGAGAAGATCAAGAAAGAGCGACAGCAGCAGAAAGAGAAAGAGGTATGTCGGCATGGTAGATATTGGGCCAATTGCTTATGCTTCATAGGAACAAGAGCGCGCCGCCGAGGAAGAGGAACAACGCGAGGTGGATATTGCACGAGGCAATCCCCTGTTGAACTCCCAGGACTTCAACCTGAAGCGGAGATGGGATGACGACGTGGTTTTCAAGAACCAAGCTCGCGGGACCGAGAACAGGGGCGACAAGGAGTTTGTCAATGTAGGTTGGCCGGTACTGATTGACTGGGACTGGGCTAATATTTTCTAGGACTTGCTGCGATCCGATTTCCACAAGCGTTTTATGGTGAGTACAGTCGCGAGTGTCCTAGAGAATGACTACTAACGGGGTACAGTCCAAATATGTGCGGTAGAGGTCTGGAGCTGCTCTCCAATTTACTTATCGAGCCCTTTTGTATTACCGCAAGGGACACACCCGAGATCCTAAATGATCAGCCGATCATTGAACTGAAGGCAAGCACTGGCAGGTTCAACAATCAAAACCAATGTCAGACCGGGACGCATAGTCTGGCTATCAGAGGCCTCAAGGGAGGAAGGAGTCTGGACAAGGCTCGCCAAATACCTTATCACAGGCCAACAAGTACCATTATTCTCGATAATCACCAGTCAAATGAAACCTTTCTATACTTGTAGACTCTCATAAACATCATACATTTCCCCATATTAAACCCATACTAAAATGTCGGTGATCCACCGAATCAAACTGCCGGCAAAACATCCCCTCCGCATGACCGCCCAGCACGACAGCCAACCACCGACCGACAATCCCTCATCTTTATCCAGGCTCAAAGACACTCTCTAGCCCAACAGCTGAATTAATCGTGACCATGGACTCGCAACCGTCGTCAAAAGCACTGCACAGTATGTTCTAACACTCATTGCCCCATCTGTTTCTATCCAGTTCCAGTTCCAGACCGGCAATGCTCACCGTCGCAGATCGCATCAACACCGACGTATCGCAATTACTGCAGCGATTCGAGAATATCATGGCCACTGCTACTGTACGTCCCCTCGTTCCTTTCCTCTGACTTGGACATAGTATAAGGAATACAGCTAATGATGAAACTGCACCAGGTCGAAAGCACAAACCACACGTCCACCGCCGTCGAGACCTACCAGCTCGATGTCGAATCTACAGCTCTGGTACATACCCTACCGTCTACCTTCTGTTTCCTCGTCCTTATCTCCACCGACCTATCCCCTGGCGACCCTCACTAACTATAATGAAACAAATAGGTCCGCGCCGCAGAAGACCTCCTCTCCCTGTCCCGCACGATGAAAGAAACCTGGCTCTTCGGGAAACTGGACACGCTTGGCGAAGACGAAGCGGACGTGAAGCGTCGCGAGGAGCTGGAGCGGGACGCGGAGGCGATTCAGAAGGCTGTTGAAGACGGGGGGTTGTTGAAGGCTGCGAAGTGACCTTCCTTCTTTTGGTATGCTGGAGTGTATGTGTATTGAGGTGGGTTGTATATTATGCTGGTTGGGTTCTGGGTGCTACTGTTACAGGGCGGCGGTGATGGCGTTCGGATTAGTTCTCTGGTCTGGGTTGTATCATGGTATTTATTTCTGGGAGTTGGGGGTTGAATATAGTGATGTTATGTAAATTGAGAGAATGAGATACCCTTTGGTTTAAGTGGTTTAAGTGAAGCGGGGCAGGTCATTATCAGGCCGATCGTATCTGAACTATCTCGGAGTAGACTCAACTCCAACTTTTCTCCATCATTCTTCATCTTCACAACCCACCTCCACCTACCTACCACCTACCTGCGCATACTCTACCCTCCACCAAACCAAACCAAACCGATCTGATCCGAGAAATCCACCTCAATCGCATAACCACCAAAGACCAACAACCAGCACTCCAACCAGGGCAACATCATGCCCCCCTCCACGAACCCCTCGCAACCAGAACCCCAACCCCAACCGCAATCAACAATGCCCCTCCCCAAAAAACCCCTAACCCTAATCGTGGCCACGACCCCCCTCACGAGCCCCCAATCCGGCCACCAGCGCCTCGGCATCGGCCTCAACGGGACCCTCCCCTGGCCGCGCATCAAAACCGACATGTCGTTCTTCGCGCGCGTCACGACCCGCCCACCGTCTGAGATCCCGGGGTCCACGAACGCGATGATCATGGGGCGGAAGACGTACGACAGCGTGCCTGCGAGCCTGAGGCCGTTGGGGAAGAGGCTGAGTGTGATCCTTTCCCGGGGAGGCGAGGGCGGGAAAGGGGGGTTGGGGGAGAGAGTGAGGAGGGATTTGGAGAGGAAGTTGGAGAAGGAAAAGGAGAGGGAGAGGGAGTTGGCTCAGGAGAAGGAGAAGGCTCAGACTCAGACTCAGGAGCAGGGGCAGGGGCAGGGGCAAGGCACACAAAAGGGCGAGGAGAAACGCGGCGGAAAACAAACCTCCGCGATAATCGCCACCTCCCTGCCCTCTGCGCTAGATGAGCTCGATCACACCTACTCCAAGCCGGACTCGCATCCCCTTGTCGGGCATGTCTTTGTGATCGGCGGCGCGGAGATCTACAGGTCTGCGCTGGACCTTCCGTCGACGCAGCCCTTGCGGATCGTGATGACGCACGTGGAGAAGCTGAGCGGGGAGAAGTTCGAGTGCGATACGTTTTTCCCGGTGGATGAGGAATTGGAGGATCCGGGGTTGTGGAGGACGGCTAGCGCGGAGGAAGTGACGGGGTGGGTTGGGGAGGTGGTGACGGGGGAGTGGATAGAGGAGGGGGATGTGAAGGTAAGGATGGTTGGGTATGAGAGGGTTCAGTAGGTTTATGGGTTTTTTGGGTCTTAGTTGGAGGGGTGGTTTATGGATTTCGTGTTTGACTCAAATCTATATCTAGATTGATATACCTTTACTGTCTATACATTCATCTACCAACTCTTAACTCTATTCAACTTGAACCATCCAACAAAAGACGAAATGCAACGCTCAAACAACAAAGAAAGGCTAGGCTAGCTAATATACACCAAATATAGCATATCCAAAGAATCGAACAATATATGCAAACTGCCAAGCATCGAATGCATCACACCAAAATATGAACCTGAACAGCCAGTAGGCAAGACTACCTATACAACAGCCTACTCGTTCTCTTTCATGAACTTCACAAATGCCTTCTTATGCACCAGTCCCGCGTACTGCCCGTTCTGAAGAACGCACAGATACCGCAGACCCAGCTTCGCAAAGCATTGGTAAACAAGGTCGATGGGAGAGTGGATGTCAAGAGAGATAGGGGCCTAGTCGGGTCAGTCAGGTACAATAGAAGATGAAGGCGGGGACCTACGGGATCAATGTACTGTCCGAAATTCACATGATCCGACTCCCCTTCGTCGTCCGATAGAACGGAAGACGCGTCCAGCGCCATCAGACATAATGTGTTGTCCTCATCCTCCAAGTCATCCAAGGCGAACTCGAGCTCCGGCGCGGGAATCAGTCCCGTGAGGATATTATCCCGCAAAATGGGAAGTCCGCTGTCGAGTTCGCCTGCCACGAGCAGGTTCTGCAGTTTCGAGCGAAGCTCTGTGGCCGCGACGAACGGCGAGTCGGAAATATCGATGACCCGGCTCTTGCGGACAGGGCGCACGATGTCACCTAAGGCGGCGTCGGAGACCACCTGGATCTTGTTATCCAAGAATGGGTAGGAGTTCATGTCGGTTAGGAGATCCTGCTGCAGTCAGTATAGATCGCCATCGAGACGCCAGGAAACGTACGTAGATACTGCGCGGCTCGATCGCGTCGGCCGTCCACTTGGCGCACAGAACGGCCAGCGAAAACGGCAGCACATGGTCCAGACTGCCGGTCAGCTCGAACAGAATGACTGCCAATGTCACGGACAACCGAGTCACACCGCACATCGTAGCTCCGGCAGCCACCATGGCGTAAACACCCGGGGTCACGCAGGATTCCATGCCGGAGGTGGCGGGACACGACGAGCCGAATAAGAAAAAGCTGGGATATTTCACCACCAGATACTGCGCCACATGTCCTACGATTCGTCCCATGAGACCACCAACCACCATGGACGGCACGTAGATTCCGGCCGGAAGCTTGATACCAAAAGTCACCACGGTGAGAAGGCTCTTGATGACAAACGCCACTAGAAGATAGCTGATGATCTCGCCGATGCCGTCCTCGCCCGGACACAGTCCCGTGCGCGATGTGGATTCGCGCTTACACGGACTTGCCAGTTCAAACAGGAGCTCCGAAACAGGAAGCTTGGTATATCGGTTCCAGAAGCTGGTCACTCCGGTGAGCAGCGCTACGAGCACGACCTCAAGCATCGGCCAGCGCTTGATGATGGGGATTCGTCGGAAGGATCGGGCCCACAGGCTGGACGCCTTGATGAAGAGAGCGCCCAAGACACCTCCCAACACGCCAAGGAAGATGAAGATCGCCATCTCAAAGAGCTCCCAGTCGCCCAGATACCGCACCTGGAAGAGAACGATCTTCCCCGTGCCATACGGATTCAGAAACTTGAGAGACAGTGCCGCCGCGATACAGCAGAAGAACGTCCTGAAAAGGGTCTTTGGGGGGAAATAGTAGCTGACTTCTTCCAAACTGAAAAGAACACCGCCGATCGGAGCCCCAAAGGCAACCGCCACGCCGCTCGCAGCACTCGCACTCAGCACCTCTCGTCGCTTGCCATCGTTGTGGCTGTATTTGGCAAACAGTCGACAGCAGATGTTCCCTACGCACGTGGCAATATGCACGTACGGACCCTCCTTGCCGAGACTGAGACCGGAAGAAACACTGAAAACCAGGGCAATCGTTTTGATGACCAGCGTTTTGAAGCCGAGGTAGCCGTGTAGCACGAAGCCACTGTTGATGACCTTCACCTCGGCCACCCCACTCCCGGCAGCGGAATAGTACACCATGTCCGGGCGAGTGCGAATCGGACCGTAGGGCTGTGGATGGTCCGCCGGGTCAGGCGAGTCCGCGCCGTCATTGCGTTTCGTTCCGCGAGACGAAGAAGCCCCCAGATTCTCGTCCAGTGTCGTCAACGAGATGGAGGAGGGAACCACCGTTTTGGTAAGCAGGGTTAGAAAGCAGGAGATCACCGACAGAAAAAGCACCCAGAACATGAACATAACGAAGTCCACGCCCTGGTTGTCCGTCTCCGACGACCGAAGCATCCTCGACCATGGCCGCCACGCCCCGCAATTCGACTCGCCTAGACAACAGCTCTGCCGGCTGTGAAACCACTGCGTCGTGCAAAAGCCCTCTTTCAGGTCAAACACAAAGTCCTCGGTGACGTCCACGAAGTAGGCGAGCGCCGCCGTGATGCACCCGATGACCGCTACCAGAATCCAGCCCTGCGCTCCGTCGAACCACGCGAGCAGTCGCCCCCGGACATCCTTCCGCATGCGCAGTTCGCGCAGTCTAGCTCCGTCGGCAATGCTGTCATGCACCCAGTCGGTGGAGGTGAACTGGTCGTACCAGGTCCGTTCGTCCAGGAACGATGCCGTCATGCCATCTTTGGCGGACGCAACGAGACTATCCGCCTGGTCGGCATCCAGACTACCCCGCCGACTAAAGCGAATGGTCTGCGAGTTGGCGCGACTATGATGTCGGGATCGACGCAGACTCCCGGCGAGCAGCGAATGTCGAAACGGAATTTCGGCCCCCGAACCACCGGACAAATTGGTATACGACCGTCGCAAAGTCCCTTTCTGGTTCTCCTGTGATTTCCCTAGAAGACTGGTGGTCTCCCCAACCTCTAGCGGCGTATCTAGCGACTCATAACGAGTATGAGATTCGGACAGCAAACTGTGGCTTCGTCGGAAGGCCGCAGGGGACGGCGGAGCGGTTCGCGAGATCGAGATCGAGGTCGGACGGTCCGCCGGGTCCGTGGGAATTTGATCCTCGTCCGGAGGGATGTTCGGGAAGTAGGAGGAAATCGAGCGAGGCATAATTTTTTTTTGGGTCGGAGATGCGGTGACGAAAGCCGTGGGAGCCTCGGAGTTTAAATTCAACGCGCTATGACCTTGGGTTAAGACGGTCCTCGTCCGGGACGGGAGCCTAACGGGACCAAAACAATCCTGCGCCGGCAAACATGTCTCGTCTCAGGACGAGAAGAGAGACCGAAAGACCAAAAGAGGACCGGTGATGGGGCGTTGGGCAAGCAAGAGTCCCACGATTGGCAGTCCAAACTCCCCGCAGTTCTCCAACGGCGGTGTAAGGAGTAGATCAAGTGCAAAAGGAATGGGTGGACGGCGCAAGAACCGGGGGTTGAAAAGGGGCAAATCTGACGAGGGAACGGGCGAAAGATAAATCGGACGGCAACAAAGAGGGGCAAACAAGAGAAGTTGGAGACTAGCCAGGATCAAGACGAACAATGCGAATACTAAATGAAGTTAAAGAATAATGAAAGGGTCTTTCTTGGGGTGCAGGCAGATGACCCGCTCATCGGGGGCGCTAAAAAGCACATCATCTGATGGAGATCCTCGTTGGACGTGGAACATGACGAGTCCGACAGGCGACCCGTGGATGCGTTTGGCCCTCATCTTGAAGATCTGAACGTCCATTGAAGGCAGCCTCCTTCATTCCTCTGCCACACGTGAACTGTCACGCCGCGTGTCTGGTCTTTGTCAGCCATGCCTACCCTGTAGTGAGTCAACTATATGCTGTTAATGTCGATGAAATAAATAAACGCAGAACATCTAGACACTCGCCTTCCCCGCACATCATTCGTAACCAGGAGGACTGAGCTCTCGCCGCCACTCGGGGAAGCAAGCTACCGACCCTCTTCCTTGGGCTCGAGATCCCCTGCACCAGTCATGGCAGGCGATAGACCGATGTACATCAACGTCGCATGGACGGTCGCATTATAGTCGCCTTCTTATCAATCTCAGTGGCGGGGGTCCAGTCGTGACCCACCAACCCTGCATGCATCGAGACCGCTGTCTGTCAAAACAAAGGGTTCCATGCTATGCGCTGTCGGCGCTGAAGCAGGTTAATTCGATTTGACGACGATCGGGACGGGATGATCCGGGCTGTTTCTGGTTTGACTGAAACAAGATTGATGGCTTTAATATATTCAATGGATGGGGATGGACAAGGATGATGGAGGAGGGAGAAGAGAGGAATGCGGGGATCATCCCCCGCCGATAACCAGTTGGTCTGGTTGCCGCGAAGGGAAATGAATTCCAGATGGCATGAATTCTGAATGAACAATACGACAACGCTGGTCAATGTCGATTGTACAATTTGCGACATGACGCTCAATTCGTCTGATTTCGAGTTTGACCTGGCCTACATGTAGATCGCTATGGACAACACATTGCATGTAGCAAGAATACCAATTCCCTGGTATGCCGACCACTCTATTCCTGAGGCGCTGCAGGCTTGATGTACTAGAAGATCAATCCCTATTATGAAAAGTTGTGGGCTATACGTAGATGCAATTAGCAGATTTTATTTAACTCAATCCTCTAAAAATCAATAACAAAGGTATCCTCAGAAGCCCTGCAGAAAAATCAAGTCGCTATCATATTTTAAACAAGAAGAACCCTGTTTCCGTTAGTCAGACTTTGGTCAGAGAACAGTGTATCAGGATGACTTACGCATTCACGCAACCGTCGTTCTCGGGGTTGTCTAACAAGAATTAGCCAATCGGTAGAATCTGAACACTCGGTCAAACTTACTGGTAACCTGTGCCCATTTACCCCAGACCACCTTTCCTGACGTAGTCACCATTCCCAGGTCACTGACGTTGACTTCGATGATGGTACCCCGACTCAAAACTCCGAGACGGGTGTACAGGGGGTTGTTCGGGTTCTTCTGGACGTTGAGGATAGGGACCTGGATCGTAACACCCAGCTTGGGGTGGGTGACATTCGCCTTCTTGTAACGCAAACCCATCGGTCTAGAAAAGTCAGCCATCACCATCACCTTCATCCTCACCCACTCCTGATACCCAATCCGCAAAGACATACCTGATAAACCGCTCATATTTGACATTCTGCCGCGTAAAGTCCTGCCCGACGAAAGTGGGTTTCGTGATCATGCGCTTCCACGCCTTCTTATGGGTCTTCTTGCCCGTGTTCACCACCTTGAACATCTCCTCCTCCGAGATACCGCGCACTTTAGGGATCGGCACGGCGAACTTGGCGGCCTTCTCGTTACGCTTGTCCTTGATGGCGGAGGACAGGGCCTTGGCGTTGGTGGCCTCGGAGCGGTCGAGCAGGTAGTGCGGCACGGCGGACGACAGATCGGCGGCTTCGGTGTTGGACTTGACGTTCTTCTCCTCCTGGGCCTTGATGCGCTTGCGCATCTGAATCTTCTCCTTGTGGCGCTGCTGCTGGTGCAGCTTGGCCCGCAGACCACGCAGGTTCTGCGCATCCTTGGAGGCCTTGTGGCCTTCACGGGCCTGCTTCTTGCGAGCCTTCTCGTCGGCGTCGAAGCTGGGGGGTTTAGCAGGACAATCGGGAGGTTACGGGGATTAGTGTGCATACCGCTTTCCGTGCAGCTTCTGCCATCTCTCGACGTATTCGTTCTGGGGCATGGTGGCGGCTTTCTGAGGATCTGAAAGTGCGGAATGGAAAGATTGATGGGATCTCGATAAGGATTATTTGGGTGGGCATTTTCATTTTTCTCGGCGCTGTGATTGGTGGGGGGAACGGGCGGTGGCAAAAAATGCGACGCAGTTGGCGGTGAGTCACGTGCCATTATGGCCTGGCGTCGTTGCCTGGGGAATCAGGACAACATCAGTTTACCCGCTATCTTTCCCTACTCCATAGGGAGTATACGAGGGAGTAGTATGAAGAGCCACACAGTATTGCCATGCGGCGGCCTATCACTTACAGTTCACCTCTTATCCGCTATCAAAATGTGTCTCCTCGATTTACCCGGACATCGATGAAGAATGCTTTCCATCGAAGAAACCTCAACACTCGATCCTTCGGTTCATCAGCGCAGTTATTCGCAAGGGTAACTTCACCCGTCAAATCCGCAGGATCAGATCAAGACCTTTTTTCTTATACGGCGGGGCGCTACATCTTTAACGAAAAGCTTCGCCTTGAAGAACGATATGCTGAGTTTAATGTCGAAGCGCTGAAAACGGTGGCCGCAGGCAGCGTCGGTAGAGACACTGTCGTTAATATAAAGAAACTCGCGGGAGGGTGGTTTCAACCGAGTCTTTGTCCTCACGATGGACGACGGCTTAGAGGTTATTGCCAAGATTCCCTATCCACTCACAGCTCCCAAGAAGTTAGCCACGGAAAGTGAGGTTGCAACTCTTGACTTTCTGCGGACGAAAGGGATACCCGTACCGCGAGTTCATGCATATGCTTCGGAGAGCAACAACGCCGTGGGAACTGAGTATCTAATCATGGACAAAGCTTGTGGACAGCCATTAGACCGTCGCTGGTTTGATCTCACCCCGAAAGAAAGGGTTCGTTTGGTGACCAGTTACGTCGACATCGAACAGAAACTGTTCTCGATCCCATTTGGATCTTATGGTAGCCTCTACTATACACATACTGTACAACCAAATCTCCGAGCTGATCTTTATCAAACTCCACATGGGCATCAAGATGGCCGATTCTGTATCGGGCCTTCCGCCGATTACATGTTTTGGCGAGGGAAACGCGCTGCCCTCGAGTTGGACCGCGGGCCTTGTTAGTCGCCCGCTCCTTTTTTTGTTTTTTTTTTTTTTTTTTTTTTTTGCTAATTGTTTGAAATTTGTTTCTAACCGTGTGTAGGGAGAGACCATCGGGATTATATTCGCAGCGTCGGTCAGCGCGAACTCGAATGGACCAGCAGATACGGCAAGCCGCAACAAAATGATTTCCCTCATAACACCATAGTGAAGGGGGAGGTTTCTCCAGGAACTTATCTCGACCTTCTCAGGAAGTTTATCTCAATCTCGCCATATATTCTTCCTGAAAGCCGCGAAGACCCCATGAATATGCCTACCCTGCGACATCCAGGTAATAGCCGTGGTTAACTTCCGTAGCCATTCGATGCTAATAGGGCCCAGATCTAAACCCATCCAACGTGTTTGTCTCGGACTCTTGCGAAATCTCTTGCATTGTTGACTGGCAACATAGCTCTATCCTTCAGTTGCTACTCACGGCGGGTAACCCGCCACTCTTTGATAATCCAGACTCCGAGCCGCCCAGCAGTTTGGAAAAGCCCTCCCTCCCCGAGGACTATAGTTCTTTAAGCCGCGAAGAACAGTCCAGGGCTGACGAACTCCATCGCCGGAGAATGTTATTTTATCTGTACATGGTTTTTAACGGCCGAGATAACAAAACTCATCTCGAGGCACTTCGATATCCCCTCTCGCCGCTTCGACAGCATGTAGTAGACCGAGCCGGCCGCCAATAGAGCGGAAATGTGATTACGTTGAAAGGGGCCCTTATGAGGCTTATTGAGCGTTGGGGACAGTTAGCGAACAACACAGGGGGAAGTGGTTGCCCCGTTTCTTTCGCGAAAGAGGAAAGGGAGGAATTCTATCGGATTGAAGAGAACTGGTTGAAGGCGACGGTGTTGCTCGAGCATTGGCGGGCTCTCCTGGATGATCTAGGAGAATATGGATAGGTGAGGCATGAATCATACGAAGCAGTCATGCAGACTAACAAGCAGCTTAAGGGGGAGTGGCTAGCTGAAGCGGAAGACGAGGAAGACTTCAAGTCGGTGGATTTGTTCTGGCCGTTTCAGGATCACGAAGAAATGAATTAGGAAAGACCATACATTTCTATACTTCGAAACGCAATACACATTTCTCCATCATTTCTCGAACTGAGCATGTCTATCGATCAGAGTTGAGAAGAGATGACACGGTACAAATGAAATCATCTGTTGAAATCTCCTTGTTGTCCATGAGGACCTTGAGGTGTTCGACCCTATCATTGATCTTGTCATACGCTGCCAGATCGTCCAGCTTGTCGGCCACAAATTTCTCAGCATCCTCTGCATCTCTATGCTCCTGCATGCGCTCGTCCCACCATTCCGCACCCTTGTGATTTCGCAACTGCATGTAAGGAAAGGTTGGTGTATCAAAAAAGCCGCTTGATAGAAGCATATGGAGCCACATAGCGCCTGAATCTTTGGACCATTTGACCAGCTCAGTAAGTTCTTTCCGGTCGCTTTCTGCCGTCTTTTCTTCCTCCTCTTCTAGCACACGTATAAAGATCTCGAGGCATGTGAAGTAGCGATCGGTGGCTTTGGGAGCCTCTTCCTCCTCAAAATCCCACTCCTCGGTGACCGGGCGATCGAGAAGAAGCCACCAGGGAGCAGATCCAAATAGCTGGGCTGGCCCGGCATAGACCCACTCCATGTCTACTACCCCGGTGATAGTAAGGTCATCCTTACTTCGTACAATGACATTACCCAAGCCGAAATCGTCGCAGATCAGCTTGAAGGGGCCGTTCTCATAGGTATGATTGATAATTCGGGGATTAAGGATTCTAATATCTTCAGCGATGCGTATCTCGACCTGGCACTCCGCGGGCCGGCGATTGAATTCGGTTGAAATCGTAGTTGTTGCCAGTCTTGATTGTTAACGCATTGAAAGTATTCTCTAGTCGTAGGGAGCATCTCGATCTGAACATCTGTTGTTGTTAGTGGAGTTCCTATTTCAGGCCACAGATAGTACAAACCAGAGGTGCTGACACCTCCTACTCTTAGTATTTCATGCATCTTCCATGTGAGTGGGCGTTTTGGCGCAGGAAAGTTTGTCGTTGGCATGGGCAAGCTGCCAATATGATCGAAATCGATATTGAAAAGCTGCAACATAAAGCGTGCCATCTGCCTGTAGACGGTTTCAATCTGTGCGGAGGGAATTTCATCCTTCAGCAATCTGGAATCATCTCCGCCAAACACATCATTCAGGCAGATGCCATTGATGAAGCTCATCAAGATGAAAGGGCCCAGCCCCAGTGTATTTTCCCTTGCTAGGCCCCAGGCGTAAACCTCTGGAACGGGGATGGACGTTTTTTCCCTGATAAGTCGGAGAGCTTCCACCTCCATCGCCACCTTCTCGTCGGCATATTCCGGGGCAACGCTCCGAGCACGAGGGAGACGGAGAATCCAGATTGTTCCGTCATCAAAGACGAATTTTTGACATACATTATATGAGCCATTCATAAACCCTCCATCCAATCGAGACGGATGACTATCGGGATGGAAGCCAGTAACCCAGCTGCAAATCTGCCCGCTCAGACGAGCCATATTCACTTTATTCACCCACTCAGTCTCCTCCGCCATGTGAAGGACATCGAGAGGCTTATTGTAGTCCATTCGGGAAGATTTGCCTTCTGTTGGCTGGAACACAAGTCGTATGGAGGGAATTGAAGGAGCACACGCTTGGCAGGGGCGTTATTTGTCCACTGACTGCCGAGGGATTGTCAAATTGCGACCAGTAGAAATGGAGGAAGCCCGATAGGTATCAACAGTAAAAACCTACTTACATCTCGCTTGGATTCAGACCATTTGTCTGACTTCAGGGAATTCGACCCTGATCAGTGGCAAGAGAATGCGACAGGACAGGATGGGGCGGATGGGATGGAACAGAATGGGCAAACAAGCCTCGGAACTCGAACATTTGTTCTGCGTGAAATGTGAGAAGGGAAAGAGGACAAAGTGAAGGCAACTATAGCAGGGCCCAATGCGACCAAAATGGATGAACATGGGGTGTCTGGTATGCCAGTAAAACAGTTTTAAGGCATAACTACTAGTTCACGTTTACCACTGTTCAAGATATTCTGTTTCAAGGAGCTCCAACGATTTCACCAGATCACAATGTCTACCAACAGAGCTAACATTCATCATGCTGTTACTGAACGTATCGCCGAGACTCATTCGAATACTATATCAGTTATCGTCAATACCGGCAAGTCTTCTCAGATGAAACGAGCAGAGAGCCGTGCCAAAAAAGAAGCCCGAGACAATGGGGAGAAGAGTGATAAAACAGGCAAAGCGGATGTTGTTCATCTACCTATGTACCTTTGGCTATTTCCAGATCTTTGGACTTTACTGATTATGATTCATAGACGAAACACGAATAGTGATACAAGACACGATCAAATTTGCCAGCGTCTTTTGCTCATGAGCATTCGTTATAGCCCTCGCGGCCAGATACCTATTTTGTCTATGGGATTCACATTCTTTTGCTATCGCTAAAACTTCATAAGCTATGTCATAATCGCTATTCCTTCTGGTCAAGTGAGAGGGAGAAAGTCTGTGTCCATAGCCTAATGATGTAACTGCAATTTAGCTATTGATTGATGAAGACTTCATGCAACGAAAGTTCCTTTCAGAACATTGCGAGAGCAAAGATAATTATGATAGGAAGGAATTTAAACTAGTAGGCTGACTACAGCCAGGACCGATCTACCACAGGATGCTCTTGAAATTAAGTCCAAGTTGTTCATGTGCCTCTAGGTTCGTAAAATCTTCTCGATCGAAACGGTTTGACAGTTAGCAAGCGTAGCATTATATCCTGCAAGAAATTGGATAACACAGATAGGGTAATAAAGGACAAGGGGGAAAAATAAAATATAAACACCTCGTATATATTAGTCTCTAGGGCCTAGGCTACCATTCGGAAGAAGGGTTTCCTCCGCGTCAGCATGTCCTCGTCTATCCCAAAGCTATTATTTGATATCTTCTCGCCCACCGCCTCAGTCATCACGCTGGTAGTCGTATTCTAGAATCAAATCGGGTCCGGGGTCATCGGGATGGGTACTCTCCAAATCAAGAGGATAAGTAAGGAGACAATGCGACCGTATAGAAAGTGGCCCATGATATGCAGGCGATCTGGAGGTTCGTGATCTCGAGATATTGACGCCTGGGGGGAATAACTAAGTCGAGACTTCTGACTCATCTATTCTACGTTATTAATTATATTCGCCGGGGAAAAGCCGATGAACGAGTCTTATTCAGTTCTTGCTTTCCTTTGTTCCCTTCTTTTTTTCTTTTTTCTTTTTGTTGTTTTAAATATTTATTGCCCTCGCCTTTCGAAAAGACCATGCGGATGTCGATTCCGCCCGTCCTGCCAGACCCATGGTACCAGAGAATCGTCTTCAGATGACCCCTGTTCGGGAAGAAAATACAAAGAGCCATTCTAAAATAATGATCTTAAGAAGTCCTGCATAGAAGTGCGCCAGATCAGGTCAGACAATCCGCTAGTACCATCCTGCATGGAACCACTGCCGATAACGAGATCTACTTGGCCTTACCACTCCTTCGGACTCGAAATGTGGCGTGTGGGTTGACTTTCTTATCTTCTATTTCTTATTGTCTCGCTCGTTGAATTCTACTAAATCATGAGATCACGAACCATTAAAATAAATGATCAACTATGAAGTCATTACCTACAGCCTCCATCGCTAACTCTGGCATCCTGAGTCTTCTCCACAATGCATCTCCATCCCACTCATCCACTTCATCGATATCGTCCTACTAGATATATCAGACCAGATCGGATCAAATGCAATGAACGTCTTCCCCGAACAACCCAGCCTGATCAAGCTCGACGCCTGTCTGGGCTCCCGAGACGCCGCAGCGATTACCATTCTTCTGGAAGCATTGCAGTAAGTAGGATCCATCCCATCCAGCCAATCCGTCCTAGGATATTAAACAGTGAGTATAGTCTTCCATATACGCTGAGTCTCTTCACACCACATCCATTCCCTCCGGTGCACCATGCATATTTCACCGACATACTCCCCGACGGAAGCAGAGTCGACCTGAACGACGTCCTCGAAATAGCATCGTACCTCATCGACCGGTATGAGCAGGAAAGGCGACTTGTCTCCTACAAGCCTGGAACGGAGGAAGATTTCGAGGTCTGGCGCTGGGTGCGACTTTGGTCTGAGGAGCCACTCCCTGCAGCACCGGCTGATCAGGCAGATGTCGTACGGAGAATGTTACACCGGTATCTCCTTCTCGAGCAGCGATTGCAGAATCAAAGGAGCGGTGGGTATTTGGTGGGAAAGAAATGGTGAGGACGTTCTTGGAGCTGCCATCTTGAAGACTGTTGTGAGTAGAGCTGACGATGGTATACGCGCAGTACGATGGCGGATATTCTCTACTTCCCTGCCATCGCGGCGGCGGAGTCTCTCGGGCTGGATCTGGAGATGTTTCCGGAGCTGACGGCGTGGTTTAATCGGCTCTGGGGATTGGGAGCAGTGCGCAGGGGAATGGAGGCTGTGAGGTTGGCGATTAGTTGAATTACTGGAGGGGAAATGGACTGGCTTGCTGGCGTTTGGCGTAGTTTATTTTGTGCAACTATACCCAAGACATGATCAGGTTATATGGAGAAGGAAATCGAATCAAGAGTACTTTTGTTCTGAGCTACGTCAGTCATCGTCTGATCCGTAGCCAATTACTTCAAGTTCCCCACTCCAAGCCACCTTCCCACTTTAGATATCCTGATGCCCAGGACGCTGTCATTGTTACTTTGCAAGAAATCCATCCTATAACGAGTCCGCGTTTCCGCCACCGGCCAGCTGGATCAGCCCATCGTTCTTTGACGGCTGCAGATGGTGAATTGGAGAAGTGGGAAGTGAATAAGATTGCAGTCATACTTTTATTCTATTTATCCCGCCTTTTTTCTCTATTTTACGCTTTTACCTTCTTACCCAAACTCTCACTTTCTCACTTTTCTCTCAACGTCCTTCTTTTCTACACCTTTATTTATCTACCTAATCCACTATCTTACTTTACCTCCATCTACAACCTCCATCGACAACCTACACTGCAACTTACACAACCGACCAACTAATCATGTCCCGCAACATCGGCATCCTCACCTCCGGCGGCGACGCCCCCGGCATGAACGCCGCCATCCGCGCCGTCGTGCGTACCGCCATCCGCTTCTCCTGCACCCCCTACGCCATCCACGAAGGCTACGACGGCCTGATCACCGGCGCCTCCCGCATCCACCCACTGACCTGGGAAGACGTACGCGGCTACCTCGCCCGTGGCGGAACCCTGATCGGCTCGGTGCGCTGCGAGGCCTTCCGCCACCGTGCCGGGCGTCTGCAAGCCGCCAAGAACCTTGTCCTGAACGGCATCGATGCGCTGGTCATCTGCGGCGGCGACGGTAGTCTGACGGGCGCGGACGTCTTTCGAGGCGAGTGGTCGGGTCTGCTGGACGAGTTGGTAAAGAACGGAGAGCTGGACGAGCAGGCTGTCAAGGGTCATGAGAACCTGAGCGTAGTGGGCTTGCTGGGGTCGATTGATAATGATTTCTCCGGGACGGATGCCACGATTGGATGTTATTCGGCGCTGGCGAGGATCTGCGAGGCCGTGGATGATGTCTTTGATACGGCGAGTTCGCATCGCAGGGGATTCGTGATCGAGGTGATGGGGAGGCATTGCGGATGGTTGGCACTCATGGCGGCCATCGCGACGGGGGCCGATTGGTTGTTTATTCCGGAAAGACCGCCGAGGCAGGGCTGGGAGGATGATATGTGTGAGGTTATTATGAAGGTTGGTTTCCTGGACTTTTGGCAAGAGGCATCAGGGCTGATGGCTTCTAGAATCGCAACCGTGGCAAACGACGCACGATCGTGATCATGGCAGAGGGCGCCCAGGATCATAATCTGCAGCGCATTTCCTCCGACACCGTCAAGAACGTCCTCAGTACCCGTTTAGAACTCGACACGCGTGTTACGGTGCTCGGCCATATCCAGCGCGGAGGCAGCCCATGCGCTTACGACCGCTGGCTGGCTACCCTGCAGGGCATCGAGGCCGTCAAGGCGGTGCTGGATATGACGCCCGACTCGCCGTCGCCGGTTGTGACGATTCAAGAAGCTCGCATAAAAACGTCGTCGCTGGCAGAGACGGTGGCGCTGACGAAGGAGGCCAATGCTAGTCTACAGGCGAAGGACTTCGATAAGGCCATGAAGCTGCGAGATCCCGAGTTCATGGAGTATCATCGGGCATATCGACGATTAAGCACGGCAGATCATCCACGCACCATGCTACCCACGGAGAAGGTAAGTCGACCTCACCACTACTGACCCACTACACTCATACTCACGATGCCACAGAGAATGCGCATCGCCATCATCCACGTTGGAAGTCCCGCCGCAGGCATGAACGCAGCCACGCGCGCCGCCGTAGCTTACTGTCTGACCAAAGGCCACACGCCCATCGCCATCCACAACGGCTTTCCGGGGCTCTGCCGCCACCACGCCGACACGCCCGTCTCCAGCGTGCGCGTCCTGCGCTGGGAGGATTGCGAGGACTGGGTCACCGACGGCGGCTCAGACATCGGCACAAACAGCGGGCTCCCATGCGCCGACCTGCCCACAACCGCGCGCTGCTTCGAATCGCACGCCTTCGACGCCCTCCTCGTCATCGGCGGCCTGGAAGCCCACGCAGCCATTCACCAACTGCGCGCCGCCAGAGCCACCTACCCGTCGTTCCGCATCCCCATGATCCTCCTCCCCGCTAGCATGGCCAACAACGTTCCGGGCACTGAATACAGTCTGGGCAGCGACACCAGTCTGAACACCCTTGTCTACTTCTGCGACGTCGTCCGCCAATCGGCCTCCTCATCTCGCCGCTGCGTCTTCGTCGTCGAAGCCCAAGGCTCTTCCGCCCCTTGCCCTAGCCCTTACCCCGGCATTGACCAATATCCCAACCTCAACAACAACAACAACAACAGCGACAACGCCTCCGCATACCTCGCTACGGCCGCCGCTCTAACCGCCGGCGCTATGACCGTCTACACGCCTGCCCACCCCATCACCCTCGACCGCCTCTCCACCGATATCTCCTACCTGCGCTCCCAGTTCGCAAACGACCACGGCGCGCCTCGCGCCGGCAAACTTATCATCCGCAACGAGAGCACCTCGCCGCAGTACAGCACCAACATGGTTGCGCGCATCATCCAGGGTGAGGCGCACGGCCGGTTCGAGGCCAAGGGCGTCGTGCCGGGCCACTTCCAGCAGGGCGGGAAGGTGTCGCCGATCGATCGCATCAGGGCGTTCAGGCTCGCTGTGAAGTGCATGGAATGGTTGGAAGGATGGGCGGGCCGGACGGTGGATGCCGGAGAGGGCGAGGGCGTCGCGAGGATTGGCATCCGCGGGAGCCGCGTGTTGGTGGAGGAGATGAAAGACGGGGAGGGAGAGGCAGAGACGGGTGAGAAGAAGGTCTGGGAGGGATTACAGGATGTGGTGGATTTCTTGTCGGGGAGAGCCGTTTGATACACACTGACTGGCTTCGGCGAGTCTGGCTATCTGGTTCATTCACTAACGATTTTGTTGGCTTGTTCTTGAGCGACTGATTGCGGGTTTGTTGCGTCTTGCTAGTACTGCCTTTTCTTATTCTTCTGTCTTTCTCAATGAACTCACCCATGTAATGCATCATAGATGCTACATACCACCTACAGCATAACATACCATCTACTCTACATTCCATAGACCAGACCAGACCAGCCCAAACTGGCTTTCTAAGCACACACACACACACACATAGAGAGCGAGTATGTGTGAGAAATTTATAGAAAAAGAGAATAAGCAGCCTGAGTCACCCCATGCAGCAACAATCATCAAGTACTCTGGCACACAAACTAGATATTTCCATTCCATCCCATCCTACCCCACAACATAACATAACCTATCTGGGCCACAACTGCCATGTACTATACATGTACACGCGGACACACATACATACTTCGGCCGCCGAGATACTAAACCGGTCACTGGCATCGGTCTCGACCGAGGGGTTGTATGTGAGGTAGACGGTAGGTAGCAGGTAGGTAGACACGTCATTGAATTCAATCCAATTCTGTTCTGCTCAAGTGAACTAAGCTGTAGCTGGATGCGAGCATGGAGGTAGAGGGTAGAGAGGGAGGTGGCGTGGACTTTTTGCTTTTTGCTTTTACTTCTGTCTTTTTTGCTATTTCTTTATCCTTCGGGTGAAGGCTTTACTGCGGGATGGGTTGGATCTGGATCTTGGTTCCTAATGTGGGGATTTTGTTGATTATTATTCTCCTTGGATGCAGTTGATGTGAGCACTGGAAGAAAGGAAGAGAGTAAGAACGTGAAAAGGAAAGGGGAGAAGGAAAATGCATCGTGAACATCATCGCAGAAAGAGAATAGATGGCCCAGCATCCGGAATCCACCCAGGCAGAAGAATTAAATCAGATGACCGAAGACAAAAAAATAAAAATAAAAATGAAAATGAAAAAAAAAAGGACAAAGAGAGTAAAGCCAATATCAACCTATAAATCTCCCCCCTCCAAAGACCCAACCAACAGATCCAACCGTCGACTCATCTCCTCGCAGAGTCCCTCGTGGCGTCCGGCACCACCACCGGGTACATTGTCTCGCCCCAGGACATCGACCAGTCGAATCAGACAGAGTCTAGCGCGTTTTAGCTCCCGAAGGAGAAGAGTCCGACAGATGGCCTTTTGCTCGACGAGGTCGATCTCGAAGACTCCGAACCGGATGAGTCGGTCGCTGTTGCTACTGCCGCAGGGATTGTTGTTGGCGGTTCCGTGCAGATTGGTCGTGTGGTGGCTAATGTAATTGTTGCTGCAAGATTCTGGCCCCTCCATGCGGATCACAAAGTCGCGATACCCCGCGGTGAACAGCCCGATGATCTTGCTCAGCGCAACGGTGAATAGCATGTGCGTGTCGTAGCAGCATTCGAAGCCCGGGGTTTCGGTCATGCGCAGCAGCGTGCTGAGGTAGCGTTGATTTGCAGCGAGGACGGAGTCCACGGTATGCGCTTGTCCCGAGGTGGTCTGGTCAATGTCGTGCAGGAGCTGGAGGTAGTGTGAGCAGCTGAGGACGTCGAGGGGGCGGAGGGAAGGAGGCCCCGACAATGGAACTGCATCTTCGAAGATGTATTCAGGAGGCGTGATAGGGGCACGGATGGATGTGATGCTAGTTCGGCGGGGATCGACGCTGCTGGTGTTGCTGCCGGAGTCGAGGTCCCAGTCCTGGTTTTGGGTCTGCGTGAGACTCTGGACGTGGGCGTGGTTGAGGGCATGGTGGATTTGTCGATCGACGATGGGCAGGGGAGGAGCTTTCGCTATGCTGGGGATCTCGAGGCCAGGTGTGGGTAGACCACAGGCACTCAGTTGGTCGAGATCTGTGGCCCAAGACAAGTAGTTGAGATCTGGCTGTCCGAGGTCGACGTTGGTGGAGAGAATATGGGGCGCATTGGATGGAAGAACATCTGGTGGAGGAACCGGCTCCCCAGGATGGGCGTCGCCTGCGTAGAATGGAATATTGCTGGTGTAATCATGTACAGCGGTAATCATGGATGAAGGATCCCTAGGGAATCCTGTCAAGACCGTAGCCTGAGGTGGTGGACGAGAGGCGGGAAGGTCGTCTTCCGGATGCTGCAGAGATCGAAACGGGTGCAAGGCTTCATTCGACGGAACGGGATTGGTGGGAGACGGGAGAGACGTCGAGGAAGTTGAGTTCAGCGTTGATGAAGACGACGAGGCAGCCAACGCTGCTGCTGCTGCCGCTGCTCGATTTGCCTTACTCCTTTTCCCCGGGACTTTGCCGATTCTTGAGATGGAGAAGATGCAGACCAATCCCAGATTGGCACACCGTTGGCATCCTGATTTCTCACCCGAGCAGCGAACCTACCGGCAAATATTAAGCAACCTGAAACATAAGCCCAAGAGACGGTATGAATCACCCACCTTGGCCGCATGACACTCGTTGCAGGCTGCCCGGAGCTTTGGGGGTCGTTTGGCGGTAGTGCATGCTCTGCTGACAGAGTCAGACTAGGAAAGCCTAAGCTGGACAAGAAAAGAAAACTCACGAAGCCATCTGGAAAGGGTTGGGCACAATTTTCTCCGACAATCTTCAACGGAGCCAATGGCCAAGACAAACCAAAGATCCGCGAAGAATGAAACCCACCGAGAGCCAGCAGCCCAGCGACGTCCACGTATCTTCGGTTATACTTATGTATCAGGGAAGGCGTGGAGAATAACGACGCCTATCACGGTGTCCCAACCGGCCGTCGAGTGCTCTACATCCCAGTGACCTGCGGCAGGACAATCCACGCAAGCCCCCTCAGATCCCTCCAGTCCCGAATGCATTGCACTCGGATGCATGGAAACCTAAACGTCCGATATCTGATCTGATTTGGCAGGCGGGGATTCGCCTCTGGATGGGGACGATAAAAATAGCGTAGGGAGGAGCTCAGGCCATTGAGACGAGCAGGACGAAGAGATGATGACGAGAAAAGAATGCACGGCAGAATGTCTTCTTCAGGGTTTTAAAGCGCACGGGGTTGGAGTGGGCGGTCTAGTCCTGGACCGGCCACTCCTCGGAGCACTTCTTCCTCTCCCACTCGACCTACCCACGGTAGCTCTGGCATCCACAGCGAACGACTCTTTCAATTGGCATCGCGATCTCTCTCGCCATCAATATCCAATCTTGACCCACTCCTCCCCCCAAGTCAATTCTTCAACCCAACCCAAATCTCAACCAAGCCATGGCCAGCACTCAGGTTGCACCAAACGCTGTGTCCCCCGCCAGGGCCCTATAGATGGACAATTCGGAACCCAACGGTACGGGTCAAAGCATTGGCTTAGTTCACCGGCATGAATCGGAGCTCCAGGCCAGGGCCACAGTAGGACATTGCCAGCCATGAAAGCCCCGGGCTGAACTTGATGGCAACAACGTTTCTTTTGGGGGTGCCACGAATGCCTCCGACCAGATATTTAGACACCCAGTTTTCCCACTCCCACCCATTTGCTTGGCCCAATGACGTGACGCTCCGGGGTGATCCAGACGATATATGTATATATCGACGGCAATCTCGCCTGGCTTCATACTGTCAGGTCTTATCTAGCCGTGGTGACGGTTTTGGATGGTGGGCCATTGACCCTGATGGCGTTGGACGGTTTCCATCGAACGGTGCATTCGGTGAAAGGTTGGGTACTGCTACTGCCACCTCTACGGTTACCTGGTGTTCAAAGCGCAGGCTAGCTTGCCTGTCAGTCTGTTGACCTGTCCTAGCCATGCCGGTGCCCTTCGCTCAAGTACATTGCCGTGGTGCTATCCCTTCGATCCGAAGGCTCCGGTCAGCTCATCTCCAGCTGTAGACATGTTTGCTTCTTCTGAAGGTAGAAAGCCTCGAACCTCAGTGCATGGGGTACTGGATGCCGGTCAGACCGACGGTACAATACGCAGCATACTTCTTGTTGGGTGGGACCTTGTTAATGGTTCACAGCATCGTCTGACGGATGCACCGTCCAAGAATTGCCACCGTGGAGCTTGACACAGGTTCATTCGCTCTGAGCTTTCTGGATGCCAGCGTTCGTAAGGAGTGGAATTAGTAGGGCACCAAGTATCCAGGAATCAGCCATATCGGATCGGGCCTTTCCGTACCCCGTTGGTGCTTGCAACATCAATACTACATAATGTAAGCAGCCATCATGATTCCAGAGTCACCAAGCTGATTTCCCCTTTCGGTTTCGGTCTGTCGGTAGTCCAGATCAGAATCCATCAGATCTCCGATCATCTCGATCATCTCGCCCCACCAACAGCCTTGTCTCTACAGACATCATACGATTGCCAACCTGTAGAACCACCTCTCCGTCAAGACGCCTACATCAAGGTTCAGAGCCGCCGAGACTTTATCTCCGATCCAGATACACAATGTCCTCCCGAACAACCAGGTATCCAACGGATTTAAGTCCCGCCAATCCCGACTTTATCCTGACACCGACTGGCTTAGCCTTCTCTTTCTGACTTGATATTTCAGTTCCATCTATGGCCCTGCCATTTAGTATGCAGAATATGTCCCATCATTGACGGTCTCGTTTGCTGTGAAACCTCACTTCTTGGTAGAATTCCGAGGACTACCGCTGGCTTGTACATAAGTACGTGCTGGATCCATCCTTGGTCGGATGGGTTAGAAACCGAGCTCGGCTAATCGCGTGGTAATCCCTACTTGCTTGCCTGTACAGGTCCATACCGGTGATCGCTGTGGACATTTGGACTTGGAAGTTGATTACCGCTCGGGATTCCACCTCCCTTGCTTTTTCTCGAGTGACAAGGCTTGTTAAACAGTTTCCCACAGCTGTGTCTGTGCTTCCCTTCGAGGGCTTGATCACGGCCAGAAATGCAGAGGCCAGCCTGTTTGTTATCGGCAATCCCGAGTAGACGTCATGGTGCGTTGGTGAAAGCTGTCTTATGGCTTGCAGTCTGCAGCGACTGGAAGCCCTGCTCGCCATCGCTGTTGAATGAAGAGAAAACACATCTCCAGATGGATAGAGGAAGCCACAGAACACTTTCTTCTTTCTATTCCCACATTGCTCCTGTGATTTGCTCTCTCGGCTACTACTTTTCTTTTAATTTGAATATTAACCCATTTATACTGACCGGTCATCATAAGGTCTTCGGAACCGCTTTCATAGGCAGCTAAGATTTCGTTGCCAGACAATGTTCGGGTTTCAAGGCGGATTCTCCGGTTGCTTTGAGACCCGACTCAATGCTCGATGTCAGATGTATCCTCAGCTCTCTGAATCACCCGGGTGAATTGTTGACAACTCACATAATACATATTTGGGATCACCCACCTGAAAAGTGGTAACTATTTTCATCTGACAGAGGATAAAATGTGTGGAGAACAAATGGTCTGGAATCCCGACTAAGGCAGTTCAAGCTGACGAAAGCAAGCTTTTACTAGTAATAAACCCCCACGACTACCCCCTTGAATGCAAGTTTATGGACTGAGGATTAGATACCCGCTGAACAGCTATACATTCCTAGCCTAGACAGCAAAGGCACCGTGATGGCCTTTTCCATCTCTCTACAACAGTCTCGGACGGTGCCGTAATGAGCAACCGACCGTGTCTCAAGTTTTCTAGTCGGTTCAACAAACTGTCAAGGGCACTAGGAAGCCTGACTGTCAGCTACAGGACACGAAGGCAAGAACACCATGACGAGCGCTGAAAACTAGTTCGTCTCCCGTTCGCATATAAAAATCTAGCATGTGAAAGTGGGCCGAACTGCAGACCTAGATAGGATATTATTCTACCAGCAGGCTCAGTCATATCCTAGATATATGAGTACGGCTTTCTGTCTCTCTTTCTGCCTGTTTCTACCCATGGCAACATTACGGAGAATGCTAACATCCGTCATCACAGCCCGAGCCAAGATACTTGCAGTGACGATCCGACGATGACTTCATTCCCCCGTTGAACACGCAAACACACACACAGAGCACAGACGCAGACAGAAGACAATCCATGGATAAAGACAACCCCTACTGCGTACATCTATCAACAAAATCACCTGACCACAACATGACAGGCCAAGATCCACGGAACCGACCTCCCAACATCCACCATGGATAGAATAGCCACGCTCTACCAACCCTAACTTTAATACCAGGCCCGACCCGCAGCACCATCCCTATTCCTCGCTGGTCCTGGTCCTGGTCCCAACCCCAGTATCCTATGGAGTACGCAGTAAAATGAAACAACCCCCAGACAACTAACCACGATATATTACATTGTCCTCCGTAGAGTCCAGACTCCAAACCCCCTCCTCTCTCTCCACCGACCTGCATAACAGTCGACGCACCTCCGACGAACAATGACAAGCAGAAATAACAAAGCCAAAGTACCGTGACGGATCCACTGCCACTTCCCCGTCGGGCTTCGGGGACCTCCCCGCTTGGCGACCAATCGCGGTCCGCAGGGGGACTGGTCAGGTCCCCGAGGTGGAGACAAATGAATGACTAAGCGGTATGCGTACGGTACGGCGGTCAGGTGATGTCGGGACTTGATGGACCTCGGCTCTTGCAGACGATCCACTATCCACTATCCAGTGGTATCAGTTTAGGTACTACGAGGAAGGGAAGTTTAATGAAGGACCCGTTGGCTTGGATGTGGACGCACTGAATTAGGAAAGTCGACTTATGGATATATATGTTCAAGATCGACAATTGATAGGTATGATAAAGTATTACCCGCTCACTGGCTAGGTAGAATCAACAGGAAGAAAAACGCCAACGCCATGCTCTTCAATCAGACAATGCCAACATAGTACTCATCAGGGAATGAAGAGAGGAAACCATGTAACCGGATATAGACAGACAGACAGAAATAAAAAGAATGGAGGGATCAGGTATCGTCGCTAAGCCAAAAACTGCAAGAATCGAAGAGAAAATCGCCGCCGACCCGAAAGAACGCTTTTTTTCCAGGGCCAGATGATAAATGACTGTAAACCAATTCTCTGCAACGCTAAATTCAGTATGGAAAGGGATATAGGAAAAGGGGAAATGTGCCGGTGGGCGGCGTCGGACGTAAAATCTTTAGCAGCGCCTCAGCCGGCTGGCTCGGAAGGCCGTCAGGTCCAGCGACTCCACGGACGCGGTACCGTCGTCGACCTCAATCTCTCCACTGTATGCCGGAGGCTTGTCTTCCGTCTTAACCGGCTCGACCGGCGCAAGCTCTTCTTCGGCGTCGGTGTCTTCTTCGGACGGCGAGTTGCTCTGCTCGGCCTGCAGGCGCGTAACCTCCTTATTGGCGATGTCTAGCAGATGCTTGAATTTATCCTCCACGTTACTCAGCTGGGTGGAGCAATCCCCCGAGCGCAAAAACTGGTAGGCAGCCGTCTCACACATGCTGTGGGCGATCTCGAGGTGTTTTTCCGCAAGATCAAACGACGAGTCTTTCGGCGTTGGCGCGCTGGGAGCCCCCGGCATGTTTCGTGCTCGTGCACTGCGAATGTTCGACAGTAGTTGGTCCTCCGGGGTGTCGACCGCGGAGGGCGTCAGTCGCGGATCTTCACTCCTGCGTCCGCCTCGACCGAAGGCGGCGCGGCTGCGAAAGCCCCCAAGCGGGAGCTGGGACATGCGGCCGCGACGGATATTATTTCTCGCCGTTCCAATGTATCGCACCATTTCCTCCAACGACTTCTGGGTGTGACCGTCGTACTGGATGATCAGGTTGTGTCGCGGGTGCACATACGAATATCGATCGTCGTCCTCGTTATCGATCGACGCTTCGTCGGTTGAGCGCTTTCTGGGAATTCGAGAGGAAATCGGTTTCGAGTCGCCGGCCAGCTGAGTCGGGCCGTCGGGCACGCATTCGTCGGTGCGGATAGAGCAGATGGAGCTGTTCTTGCGACGCCGGGGCTTCGCCACGGCATGCTTCCTGAAGTCCTCTGCATATTCGGCACGTTTGGCGGCGGTGTAGGTGGCCAGCTCAGACAATCGCGTGATCCACTGCGGTAAATTTTCCGAGAGATGGGAGAAAGCCCCCAAAGCGTCCATGGGGCCGGCCGGCATGGTCTTTGCGAATGTTGTCCTCCGATGACCGAGTAAACTTCAATGGGTTCAAAAGGTGCAATCTGTGTTCAGGAGGATCCCTCAGATCCGGATGGGCAGTCGTGCGGTCGTGCGGTCGTCAAGGTGGCGGTCAATGATCAAGTGTTGGTGGTATAGTATAGTCCGTAGAAGGTACTAGTAGTAGCGGCAGCCGGGGTCCCAACCCAATTCGGGTCGCTAGTTGAGTTCCATGGAATCGTAGGGAGTGAAATCGTGGAAGGTCGGGGGGCTCTCCAAGGGTCAACCAGGGAGGGGGAGAGAGAAGAAGAAAGGAATCAAGTGGTAAGAAGGAGGGGAAGGCAGTTCAGAAAAGAAAAGAAAAGAAAGCAGAGAATGACGAGAGCAAAAAGGGAGGGCGAGAAGAAAAAACGCAGCGACCGGGGCGAAGGAAGAGCGGCAAAAAAACCGGAACGATACGATACACATTACGAGAAGCCCGAGCGTGGGGCGACGCTGCAGCCGCCCGCAGCTAAAAGACCCCGTATTCAGCGTCAGGACCGTACCGTACCGTGTGGATTCCTTGGGCATCCTTGGTTGCCTCCTTAGGAAGTCGCTCGTCTTCTTTTCTTCCTTCGTCTCTCTTGCTCTCTCTCTGCTTCCCCCATCCCGGTCAATGCGTCAAAGGAGCGGTGTGTTTGATTGCTTCCATCCCGTCGGTCATTCCGTCTCATCATCTCACGATGGCACAAGCTTCTCACCACGATCATTTCCATCTCCGAACCCTCGAGGCCAACGATTGAGATCGCACAGAACGGCCCTCGAACCAACGGCCGTCAAACGAGGCAACTAGAAGGAAACCTGCGCCGTTCCGTTGACCCTCTCCGCATCCTGATTTCGATTTCCTGAAGAATGGGCAAGATCGACAACCCCCCATTCCCCCTCGCTCATGCCAGACAGACAAGAAAAGCCTGCATATCAAACGGTCTCTTTCCCCAGAACGGACATGACACGTAACGGCCCTCCCGCGGCTTCCGCTGTGCTCATTGGAAGTCCTGAAAAAGGGCACGTCACCCAAGAAGCTAAAGGACGCATCCACGGGGGCATCTAATCATAACGTACGGAGTAAACGAAGGAGAAATCTCGCCGCCCGGAATTCTGAATTCCTATTGAATCGTGTCCGACGGACTCGTTCGGCGCAGCCTTGCGACCCTCGGAACTAAGACGAGGACGGTCTAAGCCGGTGGAGTTCACCCTGGGCCCGATCGTCGGACAGCCCGTGGTTGCAGGTTTATTGCCTGTTTGGAACATGCGAACAATCAATGGGAAGGCGAGCTGACACGCTTTCATTTAACGCGCAAAAGAACTGTCAGAAATGTTTCCCAGACTCCAAAGTCCAGAATTCTTCGTGATAGGGGACAGTGGAGATCGGACACGGAATTCTATCAAGCCCCCCACTCTTAGTTACCTGTCGACTGTCCACTGTCGAGTCAGAATCGCCCTTTTGCCATGAACTAACTGATTTGCCAATGGATTTGCTTTTTCTCCCATCCAGTTTTCGGTAGGACACTGCGAGGCAGCAGGGATGCGTCTCCTTTGATGTCATCCGATCGATCAATCAGCTGATGCGATTTCACAACCATCGGGGTTTCTATCGTGGAATCATCACAGCCATTGTTTTTCCGCTCGGAATAATCATAAGACAAAAATCGAACAACTACCCCTTCATCGGAGAGCAAACATGTCGGCCGCGTTACACAGCGCCGCAAGGGTTGCACTGTAGGCCTGTGCATCTGCTGGAATACGTCCCCAATACTTGACATGTGTGGCTACGTGCCTGTTTGTCCACCATAATGCCGAGCTACGTCCCAACTTGCTGGCCAGTTGTGATCCGGTCTGTGGTACGGAGTACATGTGATGTAGTAGTGTCACCCTCGTTGCTCATGATTATCTGGTACTTTCTATGGCTCTTTTTGTCGCTCTTTTTTTTGACGTGCCTTTCCGATTATCTTGTACTCCAACAGGGTATAATATTTATGCGTTGACCCTTCTTTCTCGACCCATACATTGTCTACTTAACATTTCCCACTCGTCCAGGCTCCTACCCAGCTCTCCAGCGTCGTTTGGACCTCACTGAAAGCCTTCATGGCCTGTGCATACTGCGTATTACATGCCACCACTCTCTCCTCCAGTTGACGCCCCATGACGTTGTGAAGAGACAGCGTCGCCGCGCCCTCCAGACTTTCCAAGGCTGGGAACTTTCGCGGGGCGGGAGCAGTTGATGGCCCGGCCTCGGCGGAGGCTGTCTGCTCCTGTGCTGTGGTGTTCTTCTTGGACCGCTTGGTCGCCGGGGGATTGTTTCCCTCGTTCTCCTGGGCTGGTTCCTCAGATGATTGCTTCCGAGGCCGTCCGCGGGTCCTCCTGGCTGTTGTAGCGGGCTCTGCCACTTCCCGGGCTGGTTCTTTTCCCTTGCCCTTGTCCTTGCCCATGGTAAGCTTAATCCTTTTCAAAGGTTCTTCGGACTCTGGCTGTACCTGTTCATCTTCGGTATCAGCATCGGCTTTGCGTTTGCGCGTCTTGGTAGATGAACTGGCGGGTTCGGGGGCGACTGAAAGAGTCAGCTTTTTGTTCAGACACAGAAACAAACTTGACAGCGGGATAGGCGCTTACCTTCTCCATCTTCCCCGATCGGACGGCGATGATTACAGCGGACCTTCGACTTCCTGCAGCTATCGCACGCCGGGGTCTTTTTGACCTGAGATTCCGAATCAGCTGCAGCGGACTTGGACGCTTTCGTCGCCTAGAGGACTCAAACTTAGCATACAGAAGAGACCATCAAGCAAGGGCCAGAGTTGCTTAGCTTACCTTCTTGCCGCGGGCAGTCTTCTCCGGCTGGACGGAGCTCTCTGCGGGCTCCTCTTCTGCGATCGTCGGCATGGACGACTTGCTGGCCTTTCTGGTCCTCATCCTGGTCTCGGGCTCCGCAGTCGGCGATGTCTGACCCTCTGACGGGGGCTGTGTCGACGGGGGAGCGTCCTCCTGGGCGGACTGCAGAACTGGTTGTCAGTAGAGGACACGGTGGGTAGGATCTAGGCTTGTTGCATGACGCACCTGATACTCTTCGTCACTCATGACTTCGTACAATACTCTAACAGGGATGGATTTCTGTTTCGCGAGTTCGCAGAGTGTTGGTGCGAGATTGAAAGACGATTTGAGATCGCTGGACGAAAGATGAAAGTGTTGCTAAACTAACACGACAACGAGAATAGGAAAAGGAGGATGCTCAAGGCTCGGGAATATCGAAATACGATCAACGTATCTTTGGAAACTCTCTATGGAGACGGACAGTCGTTGTTGCTGTGGGTGAGATGGTTGCTGGGAACAGGAAGTCCCCGTAGGTATAGGTATCTTATATAGGCCAGATGGGCCAGACAGGCCAAATTGGAGACAAAAGACTGCATAATTGAGATGAATGAAATGAACACGGTTCTTTGGTCTGGTTATCGTCGGTGATGAAAGCCTCATTATCTATTTCTGTAGTTCTCTTTTCTTTATATGGCCGTGGATAGGTGCACGCAACAAAGAGCAATGGTTATTGTCTGCGCTGTCCAAATGTGAGCAATGAAGCGTGCCTTGAAGTGCATTCACTGCTTTGTCTCCTTTATACCTGTCTACACAACACAAACTACAAACATGCAGCAGTAAACATGCACCAGCACAAAGAATCCACTCCTCTATAGGTATCTAAGCCGTTGACATTGCCAACCACAACCAACCAACCACCCAATCAACCCCACTCAGAACCACATAATATACAATCCATCCATGGAAAAGTGTTAGAGTGTAAAAGCCTACGGCCACAACTCCACCTCCTTCCACTCCTTCTGGCCCTGCTCTTCCCCTTCCAACGCCCACACCTTGCGCTCCATCGTCTCCACATTCAGACTTTCCACCTCCTCCGGTATGATCACCATCACGCGGAAATTCGCCCGCGCGGCCTCATCGTTCAGGTCGGTCACCTTCTGGCCGAGTTGGGATTGTGGGTTTGAGTCCTGTGCTGTGCGCAGTCGCCCGGGGGGTGGGTTTTTGAATGTTCCTGTAATCGGAGATAAGCTGGTTAGTATTGTTTGGAAGGGACGGGGTGTTTGATTCACTGGTCTGGTCTGCTTCACGCCACTGGTGTCCGTTGGTACGCCCAGAGCTACAGCCAGAACCCCAACAAAGCCAAGAAAAGCAAAGAGGAAGGGATGGGGGAAACGAACCTCTCATCCCCGGCGACAAATTCGCAAAATAAGCCGCCACCTGCCTCTCAAACGACCACTCCCACTCCCCCTCCTCCCCCTCATCCTCAGCCGCCTTCCCCTCCGGCGCTAAGAACCTCGACGCCCTTAACACCAACCGCCTCGCTCTCTCCTCCTCCTCACCCCCGGCCATGTCCCCAATCACGCACGCCGTCCCCCGCACCCGCCACTGGGTCCTCACGCCCTCAACCCAAAACACACACTCGACTGCCCCGCCCGACATCCGCAGCTGAGACACCTTCTCCATGCGCGCATCCGTCGTCAACGAAAGACAGTCGCTGACGCAGACGGCCGGGTTCAGGCCGATGCCTTGTTCGTGTAGGGCTGAGATGGCGCGCGGGTCGAGAGAGGGCGTGGCCCAGAAGCCGCGGAATTCGCAGGTGCGGGCGCGCGGGAGGGGCTGGTTCGAAGCGGAGAAGGCGATGGTGGAGAGGGTGAAGGAGGTGGTGGAGAGGGTGAAGGAGGTGGTGTTTGTGGTTGTGAGGTGGGATTCGAAGGGGGGGCGCCAGGGGGCTGGGGGTGGGGCCGGGGGTTGGGGGGACATATTCGATTGTGATCGTGATCGTGATGGAGAGATTAATCGGTGAGAGGCGAAGGGGGGTCGTTTGTGGTGAGAGGATAGATGGGTGAGTCGTCGGAGCGCGGTGGTGATGGTGGTGGTGGTGGGGTTGGGGCGGAGAGGAGCCACGATGTCTCTGTCGGTCTGGGGCTCGTCTAGAGTGTAAGGGTTTGGAAAAAGCTGAGATTCTTGGTTGGTTGGACAGATTGTAGATCGACAGAAGCCGGATGGAAGAAGTGAAGTGGAATTGAATTGCAAGAAGTGCAATGATGACGTTGAGGATGGACGGCACGTGTCTGTTATCTTATCTGATCTGATCTGGTCTTTGGTTGGAAGTCGCAGCGAAGGCAATCGCTCCTCAGTTCTTGGTTTTCTGCAATGTCAAAATGTCCGGGTTGGATGAATTTAATATATCCCTAAGGTCCTTTAAGCCGTCTGTGTTATTTCGAAGTAGCCATAGTGTTTATTACTGGCTGGATGCAACTAATCAGTATGGAACTGATGTGGTGGTTCTAAATATAGCTCTGACTTGAGTGTCCAACAAAGACGAAGAACGGAATTAAAAGAGAGTTAAAATAAAAAAATTAATAAAGGAAAACAGAAAATCAACCATTAAATGTAAGAAAATTTGCAGTGTTCTGTCAAAATGTCATTCCTCCGCTCAAAATGTGTTCTACTTGGCCAGCTGGCGAGGGAGGTGAGGTGAATGAAATAAGACGATATAAATTACCAAAATTATTAGGAACTAGTCTGAGACGCTAAATACCTAGACAAAGATCAGGAAAGAAAATGGGCTCTAAAAAAAGTACTCCTCCAGAAATAAATTAGTCTTGAATCCACGCCAAAAAACAAACTGAAGAATAAACCCCGAAAACGATACAGCAGTCTAGAAACCGATAAACCAATACAATCATTAGAGCTTGACAGGAAGATGAGCAAACATGTCATGAAGAGCCCCAACAAGAAAGGTGAAATCAACAGTTCGCAATTTCCTGCTCTAGCTCCTCGAGCACAACGTTGAGCATGTGCTGGGTGTGGAACTTCGAACTGGCTATGACCGATAGATTCCAGGACTCTCCGACGGGTTTCGCCAGAATGAATATGAAGTCCGCGTAGATCGGTCGACCTTCGCGCATATAAGCCGCCAACGTATTCTCAGCTTCGAGGATACTGGTGCCGGCGTCATGCTCCATGTTGTCCAGATTCTGGAACTGAACGACGAGCTCTGGCGTGCGAGAATCGACGGGCCAGTTCGTGCAGTGGGCCGCGATGTCACCGAATTGGCTGTTCTCGTAGGGCAGACCCTTAATGTGCTGTTCGTGGACCGAGTCCAGTTGCTGCTCGAGGACCTGACTGGGGGTCACCCGCACTCGAACCGGAATCGTATTGACGCATGGTCCAGCAACGTTCTGCAGGGTAGCGGGAAGCGAGGCCCGACCGGAGACGATTTGACCGAAGACCACGTCGGTGGCGTCGGCGACCTTGGCCAACATGCGCGCACAGAGAGTGGTAAACACTGTCGCCGGAGTGAGTCCCTGGCGAGGTTGTGGAGCAGGGATGCTCTTCTTGGCTTGGATCATCCCACCGACATGTTGATTGGGGAGACAGCGGCCATCGACAGCTGAAAGAGACTTCACAGGGGTTATGGAGGAGTTTTCCAGGAGAGAGCGCCAGTAGGGATGCGCGGTTTGTTGCTGCTGTTGGACGTGTCGAATATATCCCGAGAACTTGGGCTCTGGGGCTGGCGACTCGCCTCTGTAGAAGGCGGCAAAGCACGAGAAGATTAGTGGCATACTGAATCCATCATATTGCGCGTGAGAAAGGCGGATGGTCAACCGGATGCCACCGCCCGGAGTGTGCGTGATGAAGAATCGAGTGAAGGAGCGACCTTGCTCCAGAGGGCTGTCGAGGTCACGGCGATAGACAACCTCGGCACACGCTGCCAAGTCACCATGGGCTTCATGAATGACAATGTCGGGCTCATCAGGGTTGAGCACGACTTGCAGCTGGCGGTGGCCGTCGACAATGAAGACGGTGCGCAGGATGTCTAGGTGCTGCCACAACGCTACACAGCTCTGACGGACAAGGGCAATGTCTGCACCCACCGGGAGATCCATGTAGATGTGCTCGATTTCACTCTTTCGTGCATCCAGCGCAGACGACACGTAGAAGTCTTGTAACTCGGTAGTGGGATAGACATCGCTGATCTGGGTCTGAGGACAGTCGAGTAACGGAAGAACGGAGCTTTCGAGGAAAGAGGGAAGGGAAGAAGGAGGAAGGGAAAGCAGCGAGAAAGGCCGAGGGTTATGGTAAGAGGACCGGCCTTCACGGAGACACAGGGCCATGTCGCAAAGACGAGGGTTGGCGAAGATGTCAGGGACTGCCAGCGACAAGCCTTCGTCGCTGGCCCGCTGGCCCAAGCGGATGGCTGCGATTGAATCGCCGCCAATGCGGAGGAAGCTATCATCGGCGGCGATCATGCTGGCATCAAGGCCCAAGACGGCAGCCCACAAACCTTGCAGGAGCCACTCCATGTCGGTTGTTGGGGCCTGGCGTGCACCCCGAGAAGGTTGCAGCTCGGCCAGCTCGGCCAGGGTACGCGAGGCTGCGGCTTGAACTAGACGAGATCGATCAGTCTTGCCCGACACGGTCATTGGAATGTCGACGACGGGAATATAGGCACTGGGGACCATGAATCGTGGGAGTCTTCTGGCGAGGTACTCGTCTAGACCCCGGGTACGATCCGCCAGGACGGCTCGAACCTGATCAGTAGACGCGGCGGCGACCTCGCCCAGGCCGAGGAAACAGACGAGCATAGGGTTGTTGCTGCCTTGAGGTTTGATAACAGCGGCCAAGACGGAGCCATCGTCAACGTCGTGAATGCCCTGCCGCACATGGGACTCCACCTCGCCCAACTCCACACGCTGGCCGCGAATCTTGACTTGCCCATCCTTCCGGCCGACATAGAAGAGTAAGCCATCCGAATTGTAGCGTACGAGATCTCCGGTGCAATAAACCCGGCCCTGTCGACCTGAGAAGCCGGGGCTTCCGCGGCGCAGCCAGCTAGGGTTCTCCACGAAGCTCTGTGCAGTACGTTCTGGGAGCCCAAGGTAACCCCGGGCCACCATGGGGCCTTCTAAGCAAAGCTCACCGATGCCGCCCACGGGAACCAAGCGATCTACATCCGTAGGATCAACGACCCAGGTGTTGCAGCCGACGGCAGTGCCGAGGGGAGGGTCCCGGGGGTAGTTTCGGGGAACCTGAAAAACGATATCCGCTCCGGGGCATTCAGAAGGTGAGTAGGTGTTAAGGATCTCATGCGCGTGCGGTGCCCATTGCACGACATCAGCGTGAAGTAGAGGCTCCCCAACCAGTGCCAGAGTATCGAGGCACGGAGTCTCTACCGGATTGAGCAGCCGAGCAACGGTGGGGGTCAGAGTGACATAGTTAACCTGGAACTGACACATGGCCTTCTCGATATCAGCCCGGCGCTGCGACTCGTGGGGTATGCAGAGACAGCCGCCGGCGACCAGCGGGTGGAGCAGGTTGCACCAGGTCACATCCCAGGCGTAGGACACAAAGTCGAAGAGACGAACGTTCGGACCGAACGATATGGCCTCTTGCTGGTAGAGTATGGAGTTGCTCATGTCAGAGTGGCTGACGACGACTCCCTTTGGCGTGCCTGTACTGCCCGATGTGAAAACCACGTATAGTGTTTGTGACGGATCCACTGACGGACATACTAGATTTGATGGAATGGAGATGTCGGAGAGCGTCATATCGTCGATCGCAACTGCCATTTGGGCGCCTAGGGTCTGAGCGATAAGATAATTGTCGCGGGACGACAGGAGAAGAGCGGGTTGAACCTGCTGCACCATCACACGGAGGCGCTCCGGCGGCTGCGTAGCGTCCATAGCCACGGACGCGCCACCAGCCTTCATCACTGCGAGAGCAGACACCGGCATCCACCGGGTCTTTTCAAATACCAGCGGGACGATGCTGTTGGCTCCGACCCCGAGGGCCCCAAGGTGAAGGGCCAGGCGAGTTGAGAGACCGTCTAACTCCCGGTATGTGAACTCGCCATCCCACGCGCAGATTGCCTGTGCATCGGGTCGTTGTCGGACTTGGTCGGCAATCAAACCATGTATGGTCGCGTCAATCGTGGGCGGAACGGTAGCATTCCAGCTCCAGATGAGCTCTTGGTCACGGTGGCCTGCAAGGTCGACTTGGGCGGCAGTTTTGGCGGGCGAACGAATGATTCCTACTACCGCTTGCAGCAGAGATTGTACCAGACTTTCGGCCTGTTGTTCAGATAGAAGTGACTGGTGATAGGTGAATGTAACCGCAGTGTCTTCGCCCCCAAGGCCAACATTTAGCATAATATCATACTGTTAGATTGTGTTAGTCAAACTATGCTCTAGACCGGGGATTGGGTCGAGATTAACTACCTCTGTTGGGTCATAACCATCTTGCTCGTCCAGACGAAGGCTAAACTCATCATCGTCGCTGCAGGCCTTGAGGCCCATCCCCTGTACGGACAAAACTGTGTTGAATAGAGTGTCCGCTGATGCACCAGAGGATCGAAGAATTTGCGCTAGAGAGCTATGCTGGTGGTTGAGGCTGCTCACGAAATCGGCCTGATTCTGTTGCATCATGGTGACAAGGGATTCCTCATTACCGAGATGGATCCTGCTCACAAGTAAATTGATGAATGGTCCGATGGTTCGGTCGGCTCCTTCGACAGGAACATCCCGCCCTGACATCAGATAGCCAAAGCACACTGTGTCAGAACCAGTATAACAACGCAGAATAAGGGCCCAGGCCAGTTGGAAGAGGTTTGCTGGGGTGAATCCGTTCTGTTGGCAGAATGCACGCAGAATAGAGTGGGTTTCCCTATCAAGCGAACGTGTTGTGGAACCTCTGGACTTACGGCCCTCGGAGGGTTCACAAAGAGACGGGAAAAGACAGGCATTGACCCCTTCGAGATACTCTTTCCAGTAGTTGACGCTTGCCTCAACACTCACACTCTGGATATGACGGATATAATCACTGTATAGTGGTCCCGTAGTGTCCGGAAGCATGTTGTCGTACGAGGCACATATCTCGCGCTTTAGCAGTGCCGTGGAGGTCGCATCAGTAATGGCATGGTTCATCTCAAGGTCACAGAATATGCCGTCTCCAGAGGGTGTTGGGCATAAAACCAGGGAGTGAAGTGGCTTGTGTACGTGCGCTTTGGACTCCCAGTGGCTCGTAAGGGCTGCCGGCGGATCGGAGGAAGAGATTAAATGGATCTCGGGCTCGCTGGCTTTCATCACTAGTTGATCCTTGAAGCGATGGGGACAAAGGCTCTCCACAAACACCGTCCGGAGCGCCGGATGCCGGGAAACAACGCGCTTCCAAGCTTGTACGATTCGATCAATACTAACTGAGGGGGAACGCCTTGACGGTCGTATGAGCCACCGAATGCGAGTCCAGTAGAGATGAGGACTTTTCGCTTGACTCAACAATATTCCCTGCTGGATTGGTGTGAGAGGATAGATGTCCTCTACCAAGCCGTGGGCGAGCCGAAGATGGGGAAGGATGTGATCATTTAGCTTCTGCAGGGCTGGCTCGGTCAAGGAAAGTAGCGGGAAGTCACATAGTGTGTAGCTGGGTGGACGCTGAGGTAGCTCTTGCGCGGCAGTTTGCAGCGAGGATTCGTACTGAGCTATCCAGGTTGGTATGTCCCCCGAATGCTTCATATGTCGGTTAAACATGAAGCCAAATTCAAGGCGACCCTGAGAAACCGATGCCATGACTTCAATTAGCGCAAAACGGCCCATTTCATTGGCAACGTCCGAGAGACTGCATTCAGGTGGATTGGCTGGCGCAAAAAGGGATTCATGGCGTTCGAGCTGCTGGTAGAGACCCATGTAGTTGAAAGTGACTTCGGGAAGACCATAGCCTCCAAATACCTTCCTCCCGTCGTCATTTAGGTAGCGAGAAGTGAAGTAGGGCCAACCATTGGCCGGCACCTGTCGGCGACCATCCTTGGTACGGCGGACGATATCATACAAGGTATCCTCGTTCTCGACCGAAGCAGGGACAACCGTGGGGCTCATCGTAGTAAACCAGCCTACTGTACGTGACAGGTCGATTGCTGAGTCCCAGGGTTCGCGCCCATGTCCCTCACTGAAGATGGTGGGGGCCGGACGATCCTGGAATGTACGGATGAACGAATGGAGTAACGCTGCCTGCAGGATCTCGACTGGCTGTGTATCAAGTGCCTGATTAGCAGGTCCTAAAAGGCTATCGGTGACCTCTTTACTCAGGCTGAAAGTGCTGTGAACGGTGTTTTCGAAGGTGTTGATCGCAGGGTCCAGACCCCAGTAGTCTTGGGGTGCAGGAATTTCGACAGGGAAAGCAGTTTTGGGGACCAACTGATCTCTGGCATACTCAGCTTGGAGTCGGGTCCAGGTCAGGAAAGGTAGAGGTTTGAAACCCGAGACCTTGCTAGTGGTTAAATGTTCCTCCATGTCGCCAAGGATGATCCTCCATGAAACCAAGTCAACGGCTAGGTGATGAGCCACGAGGAATAGGTATTGGCCCTGGGTGCTAGTATCAATCAGATCCACGGAGAATACCGGGCCAGCGTGAATATCAAGGGATAGTTGGCTTCTGTCCAAGATTTGCGATGCCTCAGAAAGAGTCCTCACGCAGTGCCGCTCATATCGATAGCAGTCTGGGGCGTAGGGCACAATCCGTTGAGTCCAGTGTTCATCAGCATCTTGATCAAAGCGAGCGCGCAACATCGCATGCTCAGCCACCACAATCTTAAGCGTCCGCTGAATATCCTCAGACTGAACTGAGCGTGTGATGCGGATGAAAAAGCTCTGGTTGAAGTGGTTGGATTTGGCAGTATCAAAGAACATCTGCTGGATGGGTGAGAGTTCGAACGATTCGTCTTCTTTGCTCTCCCAGTCGAGGAGTTGCTGCTCCGTCCGACTTATTGCACTAGGCGCGATTTTTGCAATGGTGCCGAGCTTGAAAATATCAGGCACTGTTACTCGGAGGCCTGCTGATCGTGACTTGGCAGAAAGCTGCATAGCAGAGATCGAGTCACCTCCCAAAGAGAAAAAGCTATCATGAGTTCCGATCTGTCGCTGGTCGATATTAAGCACCTCAGCCCAGAGCTTCTGAAGCTGCAGCTCGGCCTCAGTTTGAGGTAGCTGTCGCTGGCCCTGCGTTGGTTGCATCTGTGCGAGCTGGTTAAGATTTAATGACGATCCCATATCGCGTAGTCGCCGGCGATCCGTCTTGCCGCTGATGGTCATTGGAATTTCTGCTATAGGGACATAAGTTGTAGGCACCATGAATTGGGGTAGCTTTTGGGAAAGAGCATCTGCGAGCCCTGCCGTGTAGGGACTCATTGCTGCGTGAATGCTCTCCAAGGATGAATCGATGGTTCGTCCGACATTGAGGTAGGCCACAAGCATTGCATTCGCACTGCCCAATGGCTTGATGACCTCCACGACGGCCTCAACAGCCTGAGAAAGAGCAGCATGAAGATGGAATTCGATTTCTTCCAGTTCTACACGCTGACCACGAACCTTGACCTGACTATCCTTGCGGCCAACATAAACAAGACTTCCATCGGAATTATACCGGACGAGATCTCCGGTCCGGTAAAGTCGGCCTCGTCGACCTGGTATCAGGGAGGACCCCTGTAGAAGCCATCCCGGGTCTTCCACAAAGCTTGCAGCAGTCTTTTCGGGCTCACCGCGATAACCGAGTCCCACGAGGGGACCTTCCAGCCATAATTCGCCAACGGCACCAACGGGGGCTAGGCCTGCTTCACCAACAACCCAGGTGTTAAGACCAATACCACGGCCGATCTTGCCAACTTGTCCGGATTCTAGGTTGACAGCAGTCATCGTAGCCGCGACTGTACATTCGGCCGGGCCATAAGCCATCCGGAGGTTTACTCGCGGCGCCCAGGTAGCGATGTCCTGTTTTGACAGTGGTTCGCCTCCAAGAATGAGAGTAGTCAAAGATTTGACCTGGTTCGGATCTATTGTGCGAGCCATAGACGGGGTGAATTGGACATGCGTGACCTGCATGGCCTCCAGAGCTTCTGCGGTGCCATCTCGGCGCACCGACTCAGAGGGAACGCACAAGCATGCCCCGGCAGCCAAAGTATGGAGCATATTCGACCAGGCTACGTCAAATGCGTACGAGACAAAGTCGAAAACACGAGCATCAGGGTCCAGTGCGAGAAGGGCCGGCTGGTGAATAATCGCGCTGGCAAAGTTGGTATGGCTGATTGTGGTACCTTTGGGTTTGCCTGTACTGCCGGAGGTAAAGACCACATAGAGTGGGCTCGATGGAGCCACTGCTGGTAGGTTTCCAGTGTCTGGGACTGGGAGCTGGGAGAATAGAGATTGCTCAATGGGAAGAACATGCGTGTCAGTCAGCCCCTTGGCGAGCTTATGGTTGGCATGAGATGATAACACCAAAGACGGTTCGATATCATGCACAATTGCTCGTAGGCGCTCCTCTGGCTGAGTCGTATCCAACGCCACGCAGGTGCCTCCTGCCTTCATCACTGCGAGCGCAGCAATTGACATCCACATTGATTTCTCAAAGCAAAGGGGGATTGCGTCGTTATTAGCACAGACGCCCAAGTCAACCAGGTGTCGTGCAAGTCGCGTGGAGAGATGATTGAGCTCTTTGTAAGTTAGATCACCATCCCATGCATTGATAGCTGCGGCTTGAGGCCTCAGATGTGCTTGTCTTTCAATGAGATCATGCACACATGCTTTGACTGGTTCTGCAACATGGGCGTTCCAAGACCAGATATCCTCCACATGTCGGGGACTCATCAGGTTCACATCTCTAGCGCTTTGTTCAGGATAATCGATCACCTCTACGACGGCCTGTTGGAACAGCGCCGCAATTTGCTCCGCTCCATCTTTGGATAGTACCGCGTTGGTAAAGTCCAGGGCTAGGCTGGTGGCGTCTTGGTCATGGGAAATTGCAATCGCGATGTCATACTTGCGAATTACGTCAGTAGTGAGGTCAGTCAAAGAACGCAAGTGATGAACACACCTCCGGGGAGTCTTGACCTGTCTGGTCGATGAAAGAGATTTCGCTTTCCGTGCTCGGAGGGACTATGCCACCCTGTACTGATATGCCGGTGTTAAAGAGCCCTTGACCAGGCTGCCCGGAGAATTGTAGAATCCTAGCTAATGGAGTGTGTTGATATTCGAGGGCGGCAATGTAGTCTTCCTGGTCTTGCTGCAGAGTTTTCATGATAGAAAATGGCTGGCCGAGGTTGAGTCGGCATACCAGCATGTTGATAAATGGGCCTAGGGCCCTTTCCACGCCGGGGATTGGAATGTCACGTCCAGAGGTTAAGTAGCCGAAGCATACGGTCTCTAAACCGGTATAAGCGCGTAGCACAAGCCCCCACGCTAGATGAAAGATACTGGATGGTGTGATTTCAGATTGCTGACAGAACTTCCGGAGCGCAAGGTGCGTTTGATCATCCAGATCTAGGAAGACGGACTGGCGTGCATTCGAATTTGCGAGTTCAGGTTGTCCCAGAGCGGGAAAGTTGCAGACAGGAACATCGCGAAGGTAGCCCATCCAGAAGTCCTTATCTGAGTCGACGGGCAAGCTCTGAATGTAACGCACGTAAGCTTCATACGAAGGCCCTGCGGTAGGTGAAATACTGCCAGTATATACAGCACAGAGCTCCTGTCGAAGCAAGCCTAAGGAATAGGCGTCCATCATGGCATGGTTGATTTCCAGGTCACAGAAGACTGTACCCGACGTCGATTGACTCAAGGTCAATGCATGTTGAGGTGAATCTCGCTTGCTGGCCACGTCTGTATGCCACTGACAGCCCGTTACAGGGTCAGTAAGCGTCTCAGTTTGCAGCATCTGGACATCGGCATCAATCGCTTTCACGACGACTTGATCCTTGACGCCTCCAGGCCGGACACTATCAATAAAGACCGTTCGAAGAATAGGATGGCGGTCGACCACTCGCTGCCAGGCCCGTTCCAGGCGGGGGCAATCCACTGGCGAAGGTCCTGTGGGCTGCACAAGCCACCTCACCCTTGTCCAGTACAGCTCCGGATCCTTTGCTTGGCTCATCAGGATTCCTTGCTGAATAGGAGAACAGGGATAGACATCCTCGATCTGGCCATAGGAGAGGGAGTGTGCAGGTAAAGCCTCACTAACAAGGAACTCGAGCGACGCTTCAGTCAAAGACATCAAGGGAAAGTCGCAAATGGTGTAGGTCGGAGATAGGAGAGGGAGTTCGTGTGCTGCCATCGTGAGTGACTGCTCACATTTGGCGATCCAACCCTCGATCTTGCTTCTATGCTGCAGATTGCGATTGTATAAGAACTCTACCTGGAGCTGGCCATGAGTGACATATGCTGCAACGTCGATTAAAGCAAAACGAGAAACGTGGGGAGCGGCATCGGCTAGTTCCGATATAGAGACATTTGACTGCTGGAAAAGCGCATCTGGTCGCTCTAGCTGCTGATACTGTCCAAGGTAATTAAAGATGATTTCAACCGGTCCACCGATACGGAAGGCCTCCTGTCCATCTGAATTAAGATATCGCGAGGCGAAATAGGGCCTCCCATTGCCTGGTATCTGCCGGCGGCAATCCTTAGTTCGACGAACGATGTCAGTCATCTTGTCGTCCTTGGTAGCGGCAGCCACCACTGGGAAGACTGTTGTAAACCACCCAACAGTCCTGGAAAGGTCAATCGCAGAATCCCAGGCTTCTCTGCCATGTCCTTCTGTAAAGATCGTAGGGGATGCTCGATCCGAGAATGACTGTGTAAAGGAATGAAGAAGGGCTGCGTGAAGAATTTCAACGGGCTGGGTATTGAACACGGAGTTGGCAGGTCCCAGGAGGAGGTCGGTCAGGGATTTCTCAAGGACGAAGCTGTGTTTGACCGTAGCATCCATAGTATTCGCGCCTGGGCCCGGAGTGAACCCCCAGTAGTCGTACAGCGGCGGGGTGATTTCAAATGGAAAAGCATCTCCCGGAGACAGATAATCTCTAGCATGATCAGCCTGAAGTTGACACCATGCCTGGAAGGACAAGGATGGATAGCCACTGATCCTTCCATGTACCAAGTATTCTTCAAGGTCACCAAGAAGAACTCTCCAGGATACGAGGTCAACGACGAGGTGATGCGCGACCAAATATAAAAATTGACCATCTTCGCTCGTATTGATCAAATTAGCCGCAAATATGGGTCCGCTCTCGATATCCAGCAGTTCCTGACTATGGTTAAGCAGTGGTCTCGCGTCACGGAGGGAACCAATGTCATGAGTTCGAAGCTCAAAGCTGCCACACGAATCGGACAAAATCTTTTGAGCCCAGACATTATCCGAGTTTTGCATGAAGCGCGCTCGCAACATCGTATGCCGCATGATCAATCTTTCTATTGCATCCTCAAGACGGTCAGGCTGGATAGGTCGAGACACGTGGACCAGGAAGCTCTGATTGAACATGTTCCGCTGCGCATCTTGGAAATCAAAGAACATTTGCTGCATTGGCGACAACTTGAAGGGCGTGTCGATCTGCTCTATGATACTGAGAGACGCAACATCTGCGCGCTCTGATCCTGAATGGCTCGCCAGCTGCGCCACGGTCTTGTGTTTGAAAATATCCGCCACCTTAATGTAAAAGTCGACGGATTGTGATCTCGCAGACAATTGCATCGCTGTAATCGAATCGCCCCCAAGTGAAAAGAAGCTATCCTCGATCCCGACGAGTTCCAGGTCAATGTTCAGGACTTCTGCAAATAATTGTTGCAGTGCGAGCTCCACAGAAGTAGATGCTGCACGGTCACTGCCTCGGGAGGGCTGCAGTTCAAGCAACTGACTTAGTGTTTGGCTGGACCCCAGCCTACGAAGCTGGGTACGATCGGTCTTGCCATTGTGAGTTAGAGGGATCTCAACAACAGGAACATAGATGTTCGGCACCATATAACTAGGCAGGGCTCGTGGTAAACCCGAGCCTAAGATATCAGTGTAGTAGCCGAGCGCCGTGCGTATGCTGTCAACCGATCCAGTTGCTTGATCGCCTAGTGCGAGATACGCCACTAAGGCTTGACTTTTGCTTCCCTTTGGTGTGATGACCTCTGCCACCACTGGGATATCTGCGTTGGTTGGTAAAACCTGGTGGATATGGTACTCCACTTCTGGAAGCTCCACGCGTTGACCTCGAATCTTGACCTGTGCATCTTTGCGGGTTACAAATACCAGGGCCCCGTCTGGATTATAGCGAACCATGTCACCTGTTTTATAAAGACGACCTGTCCGGGGTGAGTGACCAGGACATCCCCGGGCCAACCAAGGGGGCGTGTCTACAAAACTGGCCGCTGTCTTTTCCACTTCATTGAAATATCCAAGGCCAACAATAGGGCCCTCGAGCCATAGCTCCCCAGTACAGCCAATGGGACTTAGTTGATCTTCGCGGTTTGGATCAACAACCCAAGTGACGCACCCCTTTCCGACACCCAGCTGAATTCGATCGGTTGGACGACGATAGGGTTCGAGGGTAGCCCAGGGAGTGGTTTCGCAAGGACCATAGGCATGGACAAGAAGGGTATGGGGTGCCCACTGCTGCAGGTCTGTCAATTCAGTAGCCTCGCCAGACAGGAGGAGGCCTTGCAAGGGTGGAATAGCCATCGGGTCCAGTAGACGGGCTATACTCGGCGTGAGAAAAGCGTAGTTAACCTGCAACCTACGCATAGCGGCACTAATATCCCCACGGCGTTCCGATTCCATAGGGACGCAAAGGCAGGCTCCAGCCGCGAATGTATTCAATATGGTCCCCCATGCGACATCGAATGCGTATGACACAAAGTCTATCACCCGACAGGTAGAAGTTAAGCCCATGGAGCCTTTTTGGTACGTGATCGAACTGGTAAAGTTAGAGTGGCTGATGACTGCCCCTTTAGGCGTCCCTGTGCTACCAGATGTGAAAACAACATAAAGCGGACTGGCAGGATCGACCGAAGGAAGAGATGCCTTCTCAATTGGTACCATTTGAGAAAGACTGGCCTGATCCACGCAGACGATGGTGCCGATCCCGAGAGATCTAGCCTTGCTGAGCATCGTAGGGGAGGTGACCATGAAATCTGTTTTGGTCTGCTGGATAATCGTGCGGAGCCTCTCTTCTGGTTGCTCTATATCCACCCCCACTACTGCAGCCCCGGTTTTGATAACGGCGAGACCGGCAACTGACATCCACTTGGACTTTTCGAAAAATACAGGAACCAGCGTGCGCGGACCAACACCGACGGAGAGTAGATGGAAAGCCACTTGTGTAGACAAAAGATCGAGTTGTTCAAAGGTCAGGCCACCGTCCCATGAGCAGACAGCCGGCGCATCAGGCTGCATTCGTGCTCTCTGTGCAATCATATCATGCATACAGACTTGGATGGGCTCGGGAACTACTGCATTCCAGTCCCAAATACGCTGGAGACCCTGTTGACTGAGCAGATCGGTTTCATGAGGTGTTCGATCTGGGTGGTATATTGTCTGCGAGACTGCTTGAAAAAGCAGATTGAGCGCATTTTCAGCGTGGCTAGCAGACAAAATTGAATCATTGAATGTGAAGTTGACAACCGTCTGATTGTCGTCGACACCAATGTTTATCATGATATCATACTAGAAGGGGGGTTAGCTGACAGGGCGTAGTTCCCTTGTATACGTTACTCACCTCAGTCGGATCATCGCCTCCAATGTCTGACAGCGATATGGACGATTGGACATTATTGCCCCCGAACCCGCTCGCCTGGACAGAGATAGCAGTGTTGAAAAGTTCTTCGCCGGCCAAGTCCAAGAAGTGAATCACCTTCGCCAGAGGATAATGCTGGAACTCTAAGCTGCTCAGATACTCGTTCTGGTTGTTTTGCGCTAGAGCCACTAAAGATTCATTGTTTCCCAGTGTCACCTTGCTCGTGAGCATATTAATAAAAGGTCCAACGGTCCTCTCAGCTCCCGACACGGGAATGTCCCGACCTGAAGTAAGATATCCAAAGCATACCGTCTCCAAGCCAGTATATGCTCGCAGGACAAGTCCCCACGCAATATGGAACACATTGGAGATCGTCAGTCCATGATTAACACAAAAGTGGCGCAAGGCATAGTGCAGGTCTGGATCAAATGGCCTCGAGATGTGAGACTTAGAACGAGGGCCGTGTGGGTCCCGCCCACCAAGAGAGGGAAAGACACAAGGACTGGCCCCTGAAAGGTGCTGCTGCCAATATTCCTGGGCGTTTTGTTGTGGTAAGGACTGAATGAACTGAATGTATTCGCTGTATAGACCGTCCGTGCCAGACGGCAGAGAGCCATCGTAAGCGGCGCACAGTTCGTACTTGAGGATTCCGATGGAAGAGGCATCAATCAATGCATGGTTGATTGAGAGCTCGCACATGATCCCTGTTGCTGTTGTAGATAAATATAGAGAACTGTGGGTTGCGTATGGCTTCGCCGGTTCTTCGGTTGCATCACTCGGCGCAGAAGAGATGACATGAACGTCTGCTTGGAAGTCTTTGATAACCAACTGGTCTTTAAACCCATCTGGCATTATGCTGTCAACGAAAATAGTGCGAAGCATTGGGTGTCGGTCCACCACCCGTTGCCACGCGTGCTTAAGTCGAAACACGTCCACTGGAGCCGATTGTTCTGACGATTTTGCCAGCCAGCTGATTTTGGTCCAGTAGAGTTTGGGGCTTTTTACCTGACTCATCAGGATTCCTTGTTGCATCGGCGAGCAGGGGTACATATCCTCCACCTGACCATATGAGATGCCAAGCTGGGAAAGGGTTCTACCCAGCTTATCTAGCTCCGGCTCTGTCATGCGCAGCAGAGGGAAGTCACATATGGTATAGCTTGGCTTCAAAGTCGAAAGCTCATGAGCGGCAGCCTCGAGAGAGGACTTGCATTCGCTGACCCACCGGCGGATTCTTCCATGGTTTTTCATATGACGATTGTACAGAAAGTCCACCCGTAGACAACCATCGAGCACGGAGGCCGAGACATCGAATAGAGCAAACCTACTGAGGCTTCCACTAATATCTGCCAGTTCATGGACACTAGCAGGCATGTCAGATAGCCGGAAGAGCGAATCTTTCCTTTCGAGCTGCTGATATAGACCCAAGTAGTTAAAGATAATCTCGACAGGGCCGTTGATCTGGAAGGTCTTTTTGCCAGAGTGATTCAGAAAGCGCGACGTAAAGTATGACCAGCCGTTGCCAGGAATCCCGCGCCTGGCGTCTTTGATACGGCGTACAAGAGCTGAAATCTGCTCTTTTGGATGCACGGCAGCCATGACAGGGAACATAGTAGTAAACCACCCGACAGTGCGAGAGAGATCAATAGTGGAGTTCCATGGCTCTCGTCCATGGCCTTCACTGAATATACACGGTGGTGACCGATCGCTGAAGGCTTTGGCAAAAGAATGAAGCAGCGCGGCATGAAGAATTTCAACAGGCTGCGTGTTAAATGCAGCATTGGCAGGTCCAAGAAGAGTCTCGGTCAACTGCTGTGTAAGAATCACGCTGCCTTTGGTAATATTGTCAAAGGTATTTGAACTGGGCTCAACCTCCCAGTAATCATACTCGGGGGGAGTAGGACTAAACGGCAAAACCGTATCGGGAAGAAGATGATCTCGGGCGTGTTCAGCCTGAAGCTCGCACCAGGTCTGGAAGGACATTGGTGCAAATCCCGAGATCTGCCCAGCGCTGAGGCATTCTTCCAAGTCACCTAGGATGATTCGCCATGACACAAGATCAATGACCATGTGGTGGGCAACTAAGAAGATGTATTGACCATCCTTCTGACAGTTGAGAAGATCAACTGCGAACAGCGGTCCATCTTGAATGTCTAAGGAGGTCTGGCTCTGGTTGATGATATCTGATGAATCCTCAAAAGAAGCGAGCTCATGAGAGGAAAACCGATAACTCCCGGCAGACTCTGCAAGAACTTGCTGAGTCCAGATGTTCTCTGGGGCCGAGTTAAAACGCGCCCGGAGCATTGAGTGGTGCGCAACGATGGCCTCTAAAGCACTTCTGAGCTGATTGGAAGCAATTGAACGGGTGGCTCGCAGCAGGAAACTTTGGTTAAAATGGTTGTCCGCACCTTGCTGGGCATCGATGAAGAGCTGTTGGATAGGCGACAAGCCAAAAGGCACACCGAGGCGCTCTGCTGTATGGGCCACAGTCTGGCTGATGGTGGCCGTACCGTGTGCCAAGCGTGCTATGGTCTTGTGTTTAAAGATTTCGGGGACGGTGATCTGAAGGCCTGTAGACCGGCTCTTTGCAGAGAGCTGCATGGCTGATATAGAATCACCTCCAAGGGCGAAAAAATTGTCGTTAACACCAATCCGAGTAGGACTCAAGTTGAGTGTCTCCGCCCACAATTTTAAGATACGATGTTCCATCTCAGTCGTAGGCGCCTGGCGCTCACCCTGGGTTGGTTGAAACGCCACTAATTCCTCCAGCGAGCTCTTCGCTCCAATCTCACGTAGTGCTCGCTTGTCAGTCTTACCAGTTGCGGTCATTGGAAGCTCGGCCACTGGAATATACATGGTGGGAACCATATAGCTGGGGAGCTGCTCCGCCAACCGACCATTCAAGTCTTCGGTATGGCTTTTGAGTGCCTTCCGTACCGTCTCGATGGATCCCAGAGCCACCTGCCCTAGCTCAAAGAACGCGACCAAAATAGGGTTGGTACTTTGTCTGGGAGTGATGACTTCTACCACGACTGAGACACCTTGAGCGCTTATGGGCAAGGCGTGGTAGAGGTGATGTTCGACCTCCGCAAGCTCCACTCGCTGACCTCGAATCTTTACCTGGGCATCTCTGCGACCCAAGTAAAGTAACGTGCCATCAGAATTGTAGCGGACAAGGTCACCCGTCTTATATAGACGACCGTGCCGGCCGGGAAACCCAGGCCCTCCCCGTAGCAACCACGGTGGATCTTCGACGAAGGTCACCGCATTGATTTCGGGCCTAGCAACATAGCCGGCGCCGACGAGAGGCCCTTCAAGCCAGAGCTCGCCCACAGCTCCATAAGGCGATAAAGTCTGGGCATTTGAGGGCTCTAAGACCCAGGTAACCATCCCTCGTCCAGCGCCGATGGTTCCTGGTGGGTGGTCATTCTCGCCCAGATTGAATGTGGTAGATATAGCACTGCACTCTGCAGGGCCATATCCATTCTTCAGCTCGACATGCGAGCTCCACTGTGCGATTTCGTGCGTGTTGACCGCCTCGCCGATAAGAACCAGGCATCGGAGATCTGGTACACTAGTGGGGTCTATCAGTCGTGCGGTAGAAGGAGTGAGATCCGCGTATGTCACGGCCATTCGGCGCATGCATTCCACCACGTCATTCTTTCGTTCATCCTCTGACGGAATGCATAGACATGCTCCGACGGCCATTGTGTGTAGGAAGTTAAGCCAAGCTGCATCGAAGGCGTAAGATGAGAAATCAAACACTCGATCTGTGGCTAGATATCCTAGCGCTTCCCGTTGGTGGTAGACCGCACTGGCCATATTGCGGTGGGTCATGAGAGCACCCTTTGGCACACCAGTACTGCCGGACGTAAATGCAATATAAAGGCCAGCGGCGGGTCGAACAGTGGGCAAGACTGTCTTCGTCCCCAAGTCAAGTGACACGGGGTTTTCAGAGACTTCTCGTGAAACGACGCGCACTGCCTTCTCTGTTATCCGACCTGCCAGTTCTTCTTCCTCGACTGAGCTAAGAACAACAGGTGCCTGCACCTGCTGTACAATCAGTCGAAGTCGGTCCTCGGGTTGAGTTACGTCCATCGTCACGGAAGTAGCGCCAGCCTTCATGGCGCCTAAAATTGCGACGGGCATCCACATAGACTTTTCGAGACACAGAGCGACAATTGAATCTGGAAGGACTCCGACTTCAATCAAGCGATGTGCTAACCGAGTCGAGAGGGTATCTAGCTGGCCGTAAGTCATTTCTCCGTCCCAAGCACGAATGGCACTGTTATTAGGTCGCATGTGGACCTGCTGCACGATCAGATCATGCATGCAAGATTCTACTGCGACGGGCACCGGTGAGTTCAGTTCCCAAATACGCCGAAGATCGGCTTCACTGGCACTTTCGAGGTTGAAGACATTTAGATCTTGGGAAGATTTCACGCAAACAAGACGCAGGATGTGCTCCAGTTGTGCCGCCATCCTCTCGACTTGGACAGGCTTCACCACGTGAGCGTCGTAGCTGATCTGGATGGACACGCCATCGCCTGTTAGCTGACACTCCAACATCATGGCGTATGTATTGAAACTGTTGAGAGCCGATGGGCTGAGCGAATCGCCCTCTTCTCTGAATAACCAATCACCTGCATCATGTTTCGCTGACTCGGGGGCCGGCTGGACCACGAGTAGCGTCTGGAACGCGCAGGCAAGGTCTGTCTCAGGGCTGATACGTCGGATCCGTGGAAGCCCGGCTTGCTCAAAAGGGATCATGTTGATGGACTGCTGCTGGATCTGATCGAGAAGGCTCGCGACCGTCGCGTTCTCCTGAATATCCACACGGACCGGCACTGTTGCGATTGTAGGCCCTTCCACTAACTCTACTCCGGGGACGGGTGCTTGACGGCCTGTCAGCGTAGAGCCGAATATGACATCATGTGATTGGGTGTAATGGGATATCAGAATCGCCCAGGCAGCGCGTAGAGCCGTTGAAGGGGTCGTGTTGTTTTGTGGCCACTGGACGTCAGTAATTTCATGGTGCATGACCTCCTGAGCACGGGGTTGGTATTGAGCAGAGGGTAGGGCTGGGAATTGCGCAGCTCGCGAGCCCTGAAGTTCTGCTTGCCAGTACGTGTCAGCCTCAGGTCCTATTTCAGTAAGATACTTCACGAATCCCGCGAATGATGCTAGGCCGTCACTTTTCGATCCATAGTAAGCTTTCTCGACCTCGTTCAAGAGTAGAGGCAATGACCACCCATCATAAAGCGCATGATGTAGCGTCCATATAGAGTAGAACCGGTTATCAACTCTGTCGTGCACCAAAGCAAATCGTGCGAGAGGGGTCCCAAGCCCGACGGGTATTTGCTCATCATGCCGAAGAAAGGCAGGCAGACTGTCGCTCTCTTGCCATTCTGGAGACTCCTTGGTGACGACTTGAACCAGCCCTTGTCCCTGGAGATCAACTATCCGGGTTCTTAGGATGGCAGTGGACATGAAGACCTGGTCGCAGGCATTCTTGAAGCGTGGAATGTCTGTATTATCATGCAGTCGCATAACTTGGCGGATAACATAGTCTCCAGGGCGTTTCACGGTGAGTGACAGTAGTCCCTCTTGTAAAGGGGTACATGGCAAGACATCCTCTATAGACGCAGGGCTCAGCCCGCATAGGGCTGCGCATGCTGAGTGGGCCTGATGCGGATCCAGCCCTGGCTTAAGCAGCGACAAAGGCGATACTTTCTGCTGAGATAGAACTCCCACCTTCACTGCCCGTGCCATCTCGCTGAGGATTGGGGCATTGAATATACTGCCGACTGTGAGCATGAGGCCCTGCTTCGCTGCCAGTTGAACTAGTCGAATTGCTGCAATGGAATCACCCCCAATACGCAAGAAACTGTCATTGGCCGATATTGTGGTAGGCTTTCTACCAAGGATAGTAGCCCAAAGGCGCTGCAGATGGTGCTCAATGATTGTTTGGGGCTCACGCCGCCCGCGGCCTAAGGGTTGCATCTCAGCCAATCGTTCCAGACTAATCGATGAACCAATTTGATGTAGTCTTCGGCGATCCGTCTTTCCAGTAGTAGTAAGTGGAATTTCCACTATCGGGAAGAGCATGCTGGGGACCATGTAGCTCGGAAGCTGTTTCATCAAGCTTTCCTCTAACCCCTCGGTAAAACCGCCCAAAGCCTCGCGAATTGCTTCATCAGGACCCTTGCTCTTCTCGCCCAGAGGAATAAAAGCCACCAGGATTGGATTATTGTTTCCTTTGGGGTGGATAACCTCTGCCACGACACGCAGACTCACGTTGGCGGGTAAAGCTCGGTGGACGTGATACTCGACCTCCTCGAGTTCAACACGTTGGCCACGGATCTTCACTTGACTATCTTTCCGGTTAACATAGAGTAAGGCACCATCTTCACGATACCGAACTAGGTCGCCCGTCTTATAAAGCCGGCCGCGGCGGCCCGGATTCCCACGCGCTCCGTTTAATAGCCAGACCGGATCCTCAACCCAAGAAGCGGAGGTTTTGTCGTGATCTCCTAGATACCCTGAGCCCACAAGCGGACCTTCTAACCAGAGCTCACCGACGGCTCCAAGGGGTGCGAGACTTGTGCCTTGCAATGGTTCGACAACCCACGCAGTCAGTCCAAAGCAAAACCCCAAGGTGCGTGGGGAGTCACGTTCGTTGTCAAGGTCGTGAAGTGTTGTAGCCATGCTGCATTCCGCGGGGCCATATATAACCTTGATGTTCAGATGGTTCCAGGTGGCCACATCCTCCGACGCTATGGCCTCCCCGCCTAGAAGAAGGGTCTCTAGACTAGGAACCGTCACAGGGTCAATTGTCCTGACCATCGAGGGGGTGATGAAGGTGTAGTTGACCTTAAGTTGCTCCATACACTCCGCAGTTTTGTCCTTTCGCTGCGCATCGGACGGAATACACATACAACCACCGGCAGCAATAGGATGCAGAAAGTTAAGCCAAGCCGCATCGAAAGCGTAGGACACAAAGTCAAAAACACGGGATGAGGAGGTAATCCCAAGGGCTTGACCTTGATGATGAATGGCAGAACTGAGGTTTTGGTGTGAGATAACAGCGCCTTTTGGTGTTCCTGTACTCCCCGATGTAAATGCAACGAAAAGTGGGTCCGCAGGGTCATTTTGTGGGAAGCGATATTGCTCTGGAAGACGGACAGACTTGAGAAAGCCGATATCAACGGTCACCACTGTTTCCACGAGACTGGATGCCAACGCTCGTTGCCTCTTGGATGTCAGGACAAGCGGCGGCTGGGTTTTCTGTATAATATGTTGTAGGCGCTCCACTGGCTGCTGAGGATCCATTGCTACACCCGCACATCCTGCTTTAAGCACACCGAGCATCGCTACTGGAACACACATAGACTTTTCAAAACACAAGGGAATAATTGACCGTGGGGTGACGCCTCGTGCGGAGAGATGGTACGCAAGTTGGGAGGATAATCTATCAAGTTCACCATAGGTCAAATCCCCGTCCCAAGCGCAGACCGCTGGGGCTTCTGGCTGTTTCTGGATGCGAGCTTTGATCAAATCCGTGACAGAGTTTCTCACTGTCTTAGGAGATTCCTTGTTCCAAGCCCAGATAGCTTCTAGGTCCCGTGGACTGATGATTTGCAAGTCCTCCACGTTGGTCTCCGGTCGAGTTATCATGGCCCTGACAGCCTCAAGGAATGTACTGGCGACGGTAGCAGCTTGGGCCTCCGAAAGCAAGTTGAGGGAGTAATTGATGGAGACCTTGGGGTTGGACTTGCGCAAGAAGACGGTAGTGGCGATGTCATACTCATTTGGATCATCCCAGGTTTCATCATCGAGTGAGATCCCGTAAGCCTGTGTGTCCTCATTTAGCCCGCCACTTTGCACCGACAATGCAGTGTTGAAATAGGGTTCCGAATCGGCATTTAAAATATGCAACACTTCAGCTAGCGGATAGTGTTGGTACTTGAGACCCTCCAGGTAATCTGCCTGCTGGTCCTGCATCATGCTGAGCAGAGGACGGCCGCTGACGAGCCGTGCATGGTTCACAAGAACGTTGATGAAGGGTCCCACAATGCTGTCGGCTTTTTCAACGGGAACATCACGTCCGGAGCTCAGAGAAGCAAAGCAGACCGACTCGGTACTTGTATAGCATCGAAGGACTAGGCCCCATGCAAGGTGAAATACACTTGACGGTGTAAGCCCGTGAATCCGACTGAAGGTTCGTAAAGATTGGTAGATTTCTTCTGTTATTGGCTCGGATGCTATGCCTCTAAGATCAGTAGGCGTCTCGTTGAGTGTCGGGAAGATGCATGGCTCAGCACCTGCCACGCGGCTTTGCCAGTATAGCCGGGTCTCTGATTCCGACACTGTTTGAATGTGCTGGACATAGTCACTATACAAGGGTGCGGGCTGAGCCGGAAGGTTGTCATCATATGCAGCGCGCAGATCCTGCTTGATGGTTTTCATGGATATGGCATCGATGAGTGCATGATTTATGTCAAGCTGGCAGTAAACAGCTCCCTGCAATGTAGGACAAAGCACAAATCTATGTAAGAGGTCCTTCTGCTGGACAGCGGTTTTTTGGTACTCTGCGAGCGCTGCCACGGCCTCCGTTGAATTGCGAGCCGACATAACTTGAATTGGAGGCGAGGCCTGTTTCAGCACTATTTGATCATTGTATCCGTCGAACACAAAACTACCGGTGAATATTGCTCTGAGGGTAGCGTGTCGAGCAACGACCTGGCACCAGGCGCGAACTAGTCGCTGGACATCAACGGTCTCATCTGACTGCACAAGCCAACGCACCCGGGTCCAATACAGATTGGGGTCCTTCGCCTGACTCAGAAGAATTCCTTGCTGGACGGGAGAGCAAGGGTAAATGTCCTCTACCTCACCGAATGAAATTCCAAAATCCTTGAGGGCGTCCAACTTGCGCCGGGTTTCATTAGTAGGAGGCAATAGGGGGAAGTCCGACACGGTATATCGAGGTTGAAGAATGGCCAACTGCTCCGCTGCCGCTTCCAATGTACTTTGGCATTGTGTAATCCACCTACAGAGAGCAGGCTGTTTCTCCATATGGCGACTATGCTGAAAGTTAAATCGCAGGCAGCCATGGATTACCTCGGCTTCAACATCAATGACTGCGAATCGGTATATGTTGCCGGCCACATCAGGGACCTTGCCGTCAAGGTCCTTGCAGGGTTGAAAGAATGCGTTCTTCTTCTCCAATTGTTGGTAAAGGCCAAAGTAATTGAACACAATTTCGTGGCAATCAGACGTCCCGAATGCCTCCTTCCCAGCTGCGTTCAGGTAGCGAGATGTAAAGTAGGGCCACCCATTGCCCGGCGTTTGCCGACGAGCATCCTTGGTTCGAATGATAATCTCAGCAACACTGAGATCAGAATTGGCTGTCACGACTGTTGGTGCGATGGTTGTAAACCAGCCAACGGTTCTTGAAAGGTCCAGCGAGCTGTTCCAGGGCTCTCGCCCATGCCCTTCGGTCAAGATTGTAGCAGGAGCGCGGTCGTCGAATACCTGCATGAAAGAGTGTAACAATGCCGCTTGAAACAGCTCGACTGGTTGCGTTTGAAACGCTAGATTCGCAGCCCCCAGCAGTATATCAGTAACCGGCTTGGGCAGGGTGAACCCTCTTTCAAGAATATTTTCATGGGTATTTTGAAGTGGATCCAACCCCCAGTAATCCGTGCGAGGGAATTCAAGGTTGAACGGCAGCGCAGTCTCCGGGGACAGGTGATCCTTTGCATAGCTCGCCTGCAATTGACACCAGGTTTGGAAGGAGAGAGGCGCGTCGTTGGGGAGCGTGGACCGAGTAGGATCCGTTAGATATTCTTCAACATCACCCAGCATGATACGCCAAGAGACCAGGTCCACAACGAGATGGTGGGCCACAAGGAATAGATACTGCTTGTCCTCGACTTCAATTAAATGTGCACCGAAAAGAGGACCAGTCTGAATGTTCAGGGATTGCTGGAGAGTAGTAAGGGCCGGAATTGCATCCTCCAATGAGGCCACGTTATGAGTTTCAAAGAAATAGGATCTGTCAGTGCTGGGCGTGATGCGCTGAGACCATCTTCCATCCGTGTCCTGGTGGAAGCGAGCCCGTAGCATGGAGTGACGGTCAACGATGTATCGAATACCACGGAGGATGAACTCCGGACTCTGGGGCTTGGAGATGCGCACGAGAAAGCTCTGGTTGAAGTGGCCATGGATGACTGGCTGGCTGTCAAAAAAGAATTTCTGAATAGGAGCAAGCGTGAAATCAGCGTCCAATTTCTCCGTTTCATTTACCGCGAGGTCCTCGGTCTTATTCCCAGAGTGGGCCAAGCGTGCAATGGTCTTCAACTTGAATATATCGCTCACGGTGATACGACATCCGATCGATCGCGATTTGGCTGAGAGTTGCATGGCCGATATTGAGTCTCCACCAAGAGAGAAAAACGTATCGTCGACACCAATTTTGGAGATGTCGATATTGAGAACCTCTGCCCACAGATGTTGTAAGCGGTGCTCTAGTTTAGTCTGTGGGGCTCGTTTTTCAAGCCTGGAGGGTTGGAGCTCTAATAGCTCCTCGGAACTCAGTGATGATCCTTGTTGACGCAGACGCCGTCGGTCTGTTTTTCCTGTAGTAGACAAGGGGATTTCCACAACAGGGACAAAGAGGTTAGGCACCATATAGCTCGGTAACCGGTCGCTTAGGAACTCCTCCAACCCCTCGGTGTAACGGGAAAGTTCTTTGCGCACGCTGGGTGGGGTTCCTGTTGCGGCTTTACCCAAGGCAATGTAGGCCACAAGGGTCGGGCTCGAGCTACCCCGTAGAGTTATTATGTCGGCTGCCACGATGCCGGTCGTTTCGCCGAAAATCCTCTGTCTAAGATGGCACTCGATTTCCTCGAGCTCGACCCGCTGACCTCGGATCTTCACTTGCGTATCCTTGCGGCCGATATACGCTAGCGAGCCGTCCGAGTTATAACGCACGAGATCCCCAGTCTTGTATAACCGGCCCCGGCGCCCTTGCCCCGGACGTGAAGGCGGCCCACGTAACAGCCAGGCAGGATCACTTATGAAAGTGGCAGCTGTTTTGTCAGGGTCACCAAGATATCCCGCTCCTACCAGTGGTCCCTCTATCCACAACTCCCCAATGGCACCCAAGGGAGTAAGACTGGCACCGTCCAGGGGTTCAACGACCCACGGCTGAAGGCCTACCGTAACACCAATGGTATTCGGATGGTCGTCGGGGTCTCTGAATGTATGGATAGTCGATAAGGCGCTGCATTCAGCTGGACCATATCCATTTTTGAGAATCACATTTGGTGCCCATCTCTGGACGTCTTCGCTAGTTACCGCTTCCCCGATCAGCATCAGTGTTTTCAAACTGGGAATGGTCTTCGGGTCAAGAGTGCGAGTCGTGGACGGGGTCAGAAGGGCATAATTAGCCTGCAGCATTTCTATTGAGCCTGCCAAGTCATCCTTTCTTTGCATATCTGATGGAATGCACAAGCAGGCACCTGCGGCGAGCGCATGCAAAAGGTTAAACCATGCAGCATCGAAGGCATATGAGGAAAAGTCAAATAGTCGCGTAGACCTATCACAGCACGCCATCTCACTATGGTATTCAATTGCACTCCGGAAGTTTCCGTGCGTTATAATTGCCCCTTTAGGAGAGCCTGTGCTACCAGAAGTGAAGGCAATGTAAAGTCCGCTGTCCGGGTTAATGGAGGGAAAGATAAATTGACCAGGGGCCGGGTTGGCCATGGCTTTTAGAGCGGCAGCATCAACGGTTACAACCCGTTCGACCAGGCGAGACGCAAGCGGCGTATACATTACTGAGGTTAGGATCAGGCGAGGTTGAATTTGTTGCATAATTGACTGCAAGCGCTCTTCCGGCTGACTTGGGTCAACTGCGGCGGAGGTACTGCCGGTCTTAATGGCCGCGAGCATTGCCACCGGTGTCCACATTGATTTCTCAAAGCAAATAGGGATTATGACGTTGGGACCAGCACCGAGAGAAAGAAGAAAACGGGCTACCTTTGATGAAAGGCCGTCTAGTTCCCCATAGGTCAATTGACCATCCCAGGCGCAAATAGCTGGTCTATCTGGCTGTTCTTTGACGCGCTGCGTGATAAGCTCATACACACACCCCTCGAGCGATGGAGGCACCGTTTCGTTCCAGCGCCAGATCTGGGCAAGATCCTGGTGGCTCGCAGCTTCGACCGACTTGACCAGCTTCTCTGAGGCATCTTCTTCACAAATTTGGCGAAGCACCTCTTCGAACTGCCAGGCCATTTTCTGCGCCTGTTGTGTCTCGATGACCTGGGGGTCGAAACTCATCCTCAGGAGCATTCCATCAGGTTCGAGGCGACACTCTAGCATGAGCGCGTACGTGTTGATACCCGCTAATTCATCGTCGCCACCGGACGGGTCTTCTGGGAACAAACGTTCTGCAGCAGGGCGAGCTGTCTTCAAGCTTGCCGGTTGCACGACCAACAGAGTCTGAAATTGTGTCGCATGGTAAGCGTCGGAATCGATATGGCGGATTCTCTTCAGACCCGTTTGTTCGTAGGAAATCATATCAACCGCCTGCTTCTGCAGGATCTGCAGCAGATCCATCACACTCAAATCCCCGTTTACATTCACCCGAATTGGTACCGTAGCAAAGGTCGGGCCAGCTATCCTCTCCATGTATGGTACAGGCGCTTGTCGGCCCGTTACTGTGGCTCCGAAGATTACATCACTAGTCTGTGTGTAGCGAGCTGCTAGAATTGCCCATGCAGCTCGTACGGCAGTAGAAGCCGTAATATCGTTCCCTGGCCAGGTCAGATCGGCAATGTGGTGCTGTAGTAAATCCTGTGATGTCGGCTCGTATCCAGGGGAAGGTAGCGGTGGGAAAACGGGTGCTTCAATGCCATCCAACTGAGACTGCCAGTATTCATCTGCATCATTTCCAAGCTCTTTCAAGTACTTCACGAAGCCGTTGAACGGTGCTGATGTATCGCAATCTCCACGCCAGTATAGGCTTTCGACTTGTTCAAGCAAAAGCTGCATGGACCAGCCGTCGTATAAAACGTGATGAACCGTCCATACCAAGAATATTCTATCCTGGGATTCATCCGTCACCAGGCCAAAACGAGTCAAAGGAGTCGTCAATCCCATCGATCGTTGTTTCTCGGATTGCAGGAAACTGGCCAGATCAGTGCCGAAACGCCACTCTGGCTCGTCGGCTAGAACGGCCTGGAGGAGGCCTAAGGTTGGGAGTTCGACGACCCTGGTTCTCAAGACGGGTGTCAGATGGATGACCTTCACCCATCCGTCGCGAAAACGAGTCAGATCGATATCGGAAGGTAGCTCCATGACCAGGCACCGGACATAGTCCCCCGGCCGCTTACTTGACAGAGCCAAGAGGCCTTCTTGAAGTGGAGTGCAAGGGAGTAAATCTGCAATGGAATCTGCAGGAACACCACACTCTTGCGCCGCGAGTGCGCATGCATTGTCGACAACGTCATCACCACCGGGTAGCAGGCTGAAAGCGGGTATTTCAGTGGGAGCAGACTGCTCTAAGAGAGCCGCCTGTGCTAGCTCAGAGAGACATGGATGGTTGAAAATTTCTGCCACTGTTAGGACAAGACCTTCTTTCCGTGCGAGCTGCACGAGCCTGATCGCAGCCACGGAATCACCTCCAATCTGAAGGAAGCTATCGTTTGCGGCAATGCTTCGAGCATCGATGTTCAATGCCATTGACCAAAGACGCCGAACCCGCCGCTCCATTTCGGTCTGAGGTTCGCGTCTGTTTCCACGGCCCGGCTGCAGGTCGGCCATTTGTTGTAAGGTCAGCAATGAGGCGGTTTCACGGAGGCGCCGCCGATCAGTCTTTCCGGTGCCAGTCATAGGGATTTCAGAGACTGGGATATAGAGACTTGGCACCATGTAAGTAGGTAATTGCTCGTTCAGCCTCGTACCGACTCCGTGCGTGCAGCGACGAAGCTCATCTCGCACCCGTTCCGGTTCCTGTGTTGCTACCAGACCGAGTGCTAAAAACGCGACTAATATCGCACTCTTGCTACCCCGGGGAGTGATAACTTCAGCCACTGCCGGTATCGTAGGATCGGATAGAGCGTCCTTCAAGTGATATTCCACCTCGCCCAGCTCCACTCGCTGGCCCCGAACTTTGACCTGTGCATCCTTTCTAGCAACGTAAACCAAGCGGCCATCCGGATTATACTTCACGAGATCTCCAGTCTTATACAGACGGCCTCGTCGTCCCGGACAGCCCGGTCCTCCGCCCATCAACCACGGCGGGTCATCCACGTATGAAGCAGCGGTTTTTTCGGGGTCTCCCAGGTATCCCTGTCCGACAAGTGGGCTTTCCAGCCAGAGCTCTCCGGTGCCGCCCAGCGGAAGCAATCTTGTTCCGTCAATGTCAACCACCCACGTATTGCAAGCGACACCTTTGCCCATGCTGCCATCCCAAGGTCTATCGTTGGGGATGTCCTGGAAGGTAACAGCCACGGTGCATTCGGCGGGGCCGTAGGAATTGATCAATCTGCAGTGCGGCGTCCACTGAGCCACATCTGCCTGGGTCATTGGCTCTCCGATCAACAGGATCAATCGCAGCAATGGAACGTCCTTGGGGTCAATCAGTCGGGCGACACTAGGCGTCAGCTGTACATGGTTCACATGAAGCCTGCGCATTGCCGCCGCAATGTCTTCGCGACGTTCGCCTTCATGGGGTATGCAAAGACACGCGCCAGCCGCTAACGTATGAATAATGTTACCCCAGGCCAGATCAAAGGCATATGAAGCGAAATCAAGGACTCGGGCGGTACTGTTCATGCCCAAGGCTTCCTGCTGGTAGGAAATGGCGCTGCTGAAGTTCGCATGATTGATTATGGCGCCTTTCGGTGTCCCTGTGCTACCAGAGGTGAACACGACGTACAGTCTGCTGGTCGGGCTGACTGGAGGTAGTTCCTTGCATTCTAATTGGGGCATTGACTCCAGGACGCTGCGATCCAGAGGAATGACTTTTGGGGCCCCGAGCCGTATCGCGACATCCCGCTGTGCTGGAGAGCACAAGATCCAGGTAGGCTGCAGCTGCTGTACGATCACTCGAAGTCGATCCTCGGGCTGCGTCGGATCCATAGCAGAGATGACAGCCCCCGATTTCATAACGCCGAGAATAGCCACCATCATCCAGACGGACTTTTCAAAACACAGCGGGATAAAATGATGCGAGTCGGCACCCAAATCGATCAAGTAGTGAGCCAGGCGTGAGGAAAGCTGATCCAGCTGCTGATAGTCCAGCTCGCCATCCCAAGCACAGACTGCTGGGGCGTTAGGGCTCTCACTGGCTCGCTTGCTGATCAGATCGTGCACACACGTTTCGACCGAGGCTGGCGCGTGGTGATTCCATCCCCAGATAGTGCAAAGATCGTCGTCGGAAATGGTCGCCATATCCTCCTGTGGTTCTACAGTGCCCCCGAGGATTGTCGATTGACGCGCAGATGCTTTCACACGCTCAACGAGCCGCTGAGCAAACCTCTGGGCAGACTCAGCAACGGGGCAGAAGATTCCCAAGTCCATACTTCCGCGGTGAATCCAGCAATGGACTTCGAAGTCATATCTACCATGAGTCTCATGGGGCCTGGGCTGCGCTCCCGTGGGATCCGTGAAGTGTAGCACCAGCAGGGTACTGCCTTTGGCATGTCCAGCTAGATGGGCAGAAACCACGAGCACACGATTGCTTTCTTGGCACCTATACACCGTTTCCTGAATATCCTTCTCTTGCATCTTCCCCAGCAACCCCGTCGGTCTGCCCTTGAAATGAATTCCCACATCCACCGCGGCGGTCTCTCCCTGCGCCGTGCTGCCTATCTCCATGCTTACATCGTCAGAGTCAAACCACTGCACGATGTGGAGGACCCAAGTGCGCAGAGTAGTCAGAGACAATTCCACCGGGTCCTGGCAGTGACTGCCGGAGACCTGGTGCTTAATTTCGACATGCTCGATCGCCATGTGCACGACTCCTACAGTTTAGCCCGTTCGTATAGATACAATAGTCTCACCTAATTCTGTCTTCGTGGACGATTAGCAAGACATTCCTGGGTGTCTCGATCCATCCTCCATTCCGGGGCATCACTTACGAATGGACAGGACGGTCTCGATCGTCCAAATTCAATCGCTTTCACGTCGTATCGGCTTTCACGCTGCAAGCGACGGATAATCCAGCGCCTTTCTTATATCAAGGGCGAGCATGTGCAAGAACGTTGACTGCAGCAGTCCCTCTTTATCCTCATCCGGCAGGACTATGGCACCATTCCTCCACCCAGCTTTGGTATTCTACCACAGGATCCCTTGCGTGGGGCATTCAGAGCCTTACCATGATCGATTGGCGGGCTCCTACCCGAGCACCGACCTCCTTGCGGTGCACAATCCAAGTATGCGGTCAACCTGCTGACTCCAGCAGGTAGTATTTCGGTCCCATTTGACCTCGGGAAGCGCTGCCGCGTGCATTCCCGGGAGGGCTTACAGGGTTGGCTGCATGGCCCTGGATTCATCCGAACCAGATGCAGACATGATATAGGAGGATCCGGCAAGCATGAGGGCCCTTGCACGAAGAGGTTCCCGGCGGCAGTGGCTGAAAGCCCGGTTGACCGAGTGGCCGTCCGCGAGCTTCGTATATTGGATCAGTCATTGGCGGGATGGATGGCATACTAACACACTCATGAATGAGCGATGACGCGAGGAGAATTGATGAAGGAGAGTAAGACAGTGAGATGCGTGTCTGAGACGGGGTGGGCCCGCGGAAATCCACCGTGCTAGCAGCCGGTCATGTGCTTTGGCTGCCTGAGGCCTAAATTCCCTTCACTCATGACCACAGGGGTTGGAATGTCGGAGTTTCGCTAGGAGGCTAGATGAAATGTTCCTGAAGAAGACTAGTTACTAGCGAGAAACGTTTCTATAGCGTAGAGCCAGAATGGAGGAGCAAAACGAACGATATGTCAGAATAGTACCTAAGGACTCAGTGGAGAGAGGGGTCCTTCGATTGGATTTTCTCGATTTGGTAGGAACTAGGAAGAGTATACGTAAATGTTATTTAAAATAGAAGTATGAGGCAGTGCTTGACTCGGACTACGTATGTATATTGTAGCCCAGTGCTAATCCATCCTCTTCACCCAACACTACCACCCGGTCTCTACTCGTAAACGTCAAAGACCAGGACAATAAAGAATTGTGCTTCGGTATAAGAATAGAACACACGAATTAATGAAGACAAAGTTCTCTTCACTATAGGAGTGAGTTTAAATTTCGAACAACACGGTGATCACAATATATAGTTGCAACGGTCAATACAACTCTATAAATGGACACGTGAAAAGCTTGTCTTAAGATCAGGTATGCCCGGACGCCCAATCACTTATAGTTATCGCCACATAGATTTATATACGCGAACCAGAAGTATAATATCTTTGAAGATCACCAACAAAGTCACCTTTATAAACAACTGTATCGGCCTGATTAAAGATCTATAGAAACAAATCGCCCGGAAACTTAAAAGTTCAAATAGTCAAAAGCTAATCCCACTTTGCTAGGTGCTGCATCCTTATTCTTCCAATATTCACATGTTTTGATCCAAACATGCCCAATTGACGTGTAGGTTATTGCCCGTGACACTCCATGACTTGGGTATGTCAATCTAAAAACAGCACCAAATATTAAATTATGATAATTAAAAGCCCGATTCCCGCACCCAAGCCTGATCTGCCGCCCGAAGAGCTGTGTTCATCCGCTCGAGGATCTCTTCCGGCTCCTCCAGCCCGGTAGAGAAGCGAATAATGGTCTCTTTGACGCCATATGCTGCTGCCTGATCTTTACCCTGCTGCATTGTCATCTGCACGTATGGGGTGGCGATGCTGACGTCCGCTCCAAAGGAAAAGCCTTTATAAACATGCAGATGGTCAAAGAATGTAGCAGCGGTCGCGACTGTAGCAAACTCGATGGTGAACAGCCCCCCGTAGCCCGGACGAAACTCTTCCGTGTCAGGGCGCATTTGCCGCTCGTAGAACGGGAGGGACGAACAGACAGAGGGATAGAAGAGCCGAGTGATTGGACTGGAGGGATCTGAGACGAGGGGCGCAAGACTTTTGATGAGATATAGCGTCGTCTTGTTGATTCGCGCCACCCGATCAAGGAAATCCCGACTGTTGTATTCCAGCCGAATAGCGTCGTCAATGAATAGGTCATTTTGGTAGAATGAGGCCATCTGCTCATGAAGTTCGGCCCAATGCGGGGAATTGGGGTTAAGAATTACACTATCTCCTGTCAGTAAGTCTGGCAGAGGCCAGGTGACTTGTCATTGAAGTGATTGACCCACCTTCCGGCCATCACGTCGGCCTTTCCACTAAATACTTTAGACAGCGAGGTTATCACAATATCTGCAACCCCCAGCATGTCGACGTTGGCAAAGCTTCCAATGCTGTCGTCGACGATCAAGACCATATCGTATTTGTCTGCTAGTTGGCGCAAGCGGTGGAAATCGACGGTCTTGAGCAGGGGGTTGCTTGGACATTCGCACCAGATCGCTTGTATAGGCCGACCTTCTTGGGATAGCAGATCTTGCTGGGTAGCAAGTCGATCCAAATCCGCCTCCGTTCCCAGACTGTAAGACCAGAGCCCGGGGCCCCGTGTTTCCAGGACCTTCAGTGTCGGCTCGTAAAGAAAGCCCACATGGGCTGATTCACCTCCACGCCAGGCAACAAGCAATTGCTGCACCTGATATACGGCTGCCATTCCGGATTGGTATAGAAACACATCGGAAGGGGCAGTCTGTTTACATCTAACCGGGGGCGTTGGGGCGCGGTCGAGCAGACCTGCGATCCTGGAGCGGATGGTTTCATACGCGACATGGTGAATTGGTCTTGGAATGTCTCCAGGAACGGGACGGAAGGACACAATTCGCGCGTTGTCGAAGCTCTGGAGACAGTACTGTGCTAGTCGGGATGAGATTCCAGGTCCAGCGCGTTGCCAAAAGGCACGCGCAAAAAAGGACGCTTCAGAGCGGAACAAAACAGCGTGGAGCAAGGGCTTCGAAGGACCGTCCTCATAGTCAAGACACAAGGGTTTGAAGTCGATGGAGTGCAACCTGATGGAATCGCCGTTTTCTGTTGAGTCCTTCTCATGTCGCAGGAGGTGAATCATATATTCCCTACATGAAAGGGCGAGTCTCGGATTGGAGAACAATAAGACTAAATGATCTTCATCTCCCTTGTGAAGCTTGGCTTTTATCCGGGAGCCGAGCTGCGGTCCTATCTTAGTCCTTGTTTCACAGGCCTCATATGGCAAAAGACTCTTACGTGGCAAACATCCGGATGGAGGATGGATCTGGGATAGCCGTGGGTGACAGCCGCCAGGTGCTGCGGTTTCCCCTGACCAAAATTGACCATATCCGCCCATGTTGGTATCTGAGACAACAGGGTGTGTTGACGACCGGGATATGGATCCCCCAGCTGGAGAGCTTGGACGGTCAGTTTCGACGACGCTGACATTTTCGACAGGATAGTACCTCTCATTCACTTTGCAACAAGCGCGAGAGTACCTTGACCTCCTCTTTCGCTCTCATCCTGCGCTGGTTGGTGTGATGCTGCTGACTTTGAATGCAGGGCTTCCACTTGGAGAGGACTCTGTAGAACCAAGGAATCTGATAGACCAAAAATGAGCTCCGATATTCTGCACCTCGGCAATAGTTCCGACCGGCGATTATCCCTGGCCTTCCAGGAGGCAATAGGTGACAGGCAAGGAGGAGTGGGGCGCATATCTAGGAGACATGTCGGACCTAAACAAAGAAAACAATTCTTGGGTTCGGGAAAAAAAAATAAAAAGAAAAGCGTGCATACCAGTCAGTCTCCTTGCGATAGATATCATGCTATGCCCATGACTACACCACGGCCAAGGTGAGAGATATCGTGCACAATGCAAACCGGCCTTGTTCGGAAGACCTTCCAACCCTTACTCGGAAGCAGTTTGGAATGAAATCTCCGAGACAGACTAGCTATTATCTCTCTGTCCTTGGTGCTGAGGAGTTAACGATATAGGCTTCAGGTTGATCCTACCCACTTGATGATCCAAGTATGTCGATCCATTGCGAAGTGACCTGCATGTCCTACCGTAATCTGGTATTTGTGTGAACATGTCTTGGCTAGGGTGGAGCTTATAGGGTTCTACAGTCCAATGTGAGCTGACAAGCGATTTTCCCGGCAGAATTAGTGAAATACTGTACCGGCTTTGATAGAAGCAACCTCAGTGAGCTTCCGCTCCACCACATGAGACGAGTCATAGAGTGGATGAGTGTAGATTTGACCGCCTGATCGCTCGGAGTACGTCAAACTGCCTGGCCTCCTTGCGGCAAACTCGAGTCAATCGAACACTCCAGGGATGGAAAGACCACTACTCCGCACTATGTACAGCCCGACGGCGATGTAACCCCCGAGAACCAAATCAGCTCCAAAAATTCCTGTGGCTTCCTATCTACATCGCTGGCGGCAGACAACGTATGTCCGCACAGCTTTCTTCAAACACGAAGCTTCTTACCAGATGCACGGCGCGTCTCATTGCACGACGGGTTGAAAAGTGGCATTGCGCCACCTCAGAATTAGACAGGTCGGCCTTTCCCGTCCTACCGGAGGATATCTGCTGAGTTGTGGGGCTCGATCTTCCACGCTCATCCACACTGAGTCAGTGATCCTACCTAAAATGTAAAGCACTCAAAACCATGCCCGGTACAGGGCACCCTTCGGTCACGGAGTAAGACATCCTTACCCACACATACGGAGGTTTCTCTATACCTGGCGGGCTTTCAAGGGATAAGCAGGCATGGTTGTCGATCATCACAGCGCTGTGGAGTTGCTCGCCGCGCAACACTATGCTCTGCCCACCGTTGGGTCCTCGGAGGCTTTCCTGCTGCCGGAACTAGCCGTATGGAATGATGGGGGAGAACCCGATGTTCGTGGTCGAACGTCGCCTTGCGTCTCACAAATCGCGCAGTACTTTAGTATCGAACCCCTATTCACGACGGTGAGCTCGTCAAGTGGTTACGTGATCGACTCTGTGTTAGTGCAGATCCGAGTGGGTCGAAATGGTCTCAGTATGGCCTTCCTTGCCCGCTAATCGCCTCCTTATGACCAATCACATGTGTTAGTAGGGAGGTTCCTGAGACTTGGTAGCGCTCACATGGGTCATTTTGACCTAGGCCCCGATATGGCCGCCCATCTAGACGAGTCTCAATGCAGGTTCGGACTGTGAAACCTGAATCGCTCTTTTCTCCCGCCCACCATGACCTCAACTGGTACGGGCCGCGTGTAACGTATTCCTATGTATGCATATTCAACATCTAAATCGATTCGGACTACAGAGTCGAAACTTTAAAACCCGAATCGGATAGATTATCTCGGATCGTTGGAGTGATCGCCAATTTGTGCCCTAAACCCTGATGCTCCATTCATTCTACCTGTATTGCTCTCCGAGCGTGTTGGTGTTGGCGTAGAGCCGTGCACGATCGAGCGTGGCCATGGCCGGTTAAAAGGTCAACTTTCTGGATCTCGCGGGATGGAATACCACCGACCAAAGGCCACCGAGCTGCTTGTTGTAGACCTCTCCATCAGCTGTCAGCTCTAGAACAAGCCATGTCGTCATGATATCAGGAGAGATGCCATCCAGATGCCAGGAGCTCCACTCGCTCAGTTCACTTTCTTGCCTACCTTCCGGGTAGGATTTCCAGCGGACGAGCACACTAACGTGAGGCCAGCAACTGAATCGGGTCCTCGTATGATGGCGAAACTATCAATGTCACCTGGAACTCGGTCGTGAATTATTGTTCCGTCCCATTCCTAGCTGAGTGGAGAAACGTCGACACCAGGTCCGAACGCCGAGTGGAATGTGGTGACCTGGACTTTTTATTCTTCTCTCAACAAGACGTGACATTCCTGCTTTTCTTGAACATACGGGGAATGTGCGCCACAGGCCCTATCACCGCTCATGCTAATGACCCGGGTTTTCGGCGAGAAGATGAGCTGGTAGAGGCCGAAAGGGAGCAAATATATTCCAAATTGCCGTGCCACCACGCTCGTGATCGCGGCATGATACGGGGGTGATGACGCTAGCTGATGACTCCAATGGCAAAGTCGGGTCCTGACGCCACGGCCGGTCCACATTGTATCCTTTGGGGTGATGATAAGTCCAGGCATCATCAAGAAGGTGAAGCATCGTCAAACTCGCGCGATGCAACTGCCGCTAGTGCGCCTTTAGGTCTAGCGTGGTCCAGTGACCCGTGCTCCCCGATTGGGTCACCTCCGCAAGCAACCAACTTACTCCGCCGGCGGCCTCCATCCAGGGTTCACCAACACTCGACGATGTATTCTCCCTTTGTCCATGATTCACGCCGTCTGAACATGGATGGTCTTTGGGCAGCCGATGAATCATGGCATTGCATCCGCAATATCGATGACCGTTGGATGCAACATGGGTTGAACGAAATGGACGGGCTCGCAAATTGATAAGATGGCAACATCGTGGCCCCAGGTCGAGTATAATGACAAGTTTGAGAATCCAGACGTTCTCAGTAGCTCGGTGCACGTTTACCAACCAACAGACTCGTCAAATATGTCGAAAACAAAAGACGCGAACACAAACGGCTCCCAACGTCTTCTGGATGACGATTTCAAGGCGGTGGTGGAAGTGACGATGGAAAGATGGAAGATTCCCGGAATGGCTATTGCAGTAGTCGATGGGGGCAACACCTGGGCCGAAGTATGGTCCTTGTCAATGGTATCAAGTATATGATGGACTGACCACTCCTTTCTTAGGGATATGGCTATGCTCAGCTTCCCGATACCCCGGTCACCCCAGACACGTTGTTTTACGCCGGAAGCACGACCAAGGCATTCACTGCAGCCACTCTGGCAATGCTGGTAGAAGATGACGAAAGCTATCCTCAGGTGCAATGGGGTACCCCTGTGAATCAGTTGATCCGCGATGATTTCGTTCTGAGTAACGAGTGGGACACCGATAACATCACCGTTGAGGACATCCTCTCCCATCGGACGGGCATGCCTCGCCATGAATTCGCGTACGGGGGAGATTACGACGGACACCCGGCGACACTGCAGGATATCGTGAGGAGCTTGCGCTACCTACCACGCAGCGCGCCGCCCCGGACTACCTTTCAGTACTGTAATGTGATGTTCATCGTCGCGTCGCACCTCATCGAGTCTCTCACCGGTGATTGGCTGGGCAACGTCTTCCGTCAGAGGATTTGGGACCCTCTTGGGATGAACATGAGCTTTCTTTCTCTGCAGGACGCACAGGACTCCGGGGCCGAGCTTGCACAGGGTTACTGCTATAACGACGATGCGGACAATCCCGGGTTTCAGAAGGTGCCGTGGAAGAATAAGCCGGAGGTATCCGGCGCTGGAGCTATTATCAGCAATGTCAATGATTACGCCAAATGGGCCGCTACATCGCTCCGGCAGAACTCGCGCTTTTACTCCCCGGCTGGGTACTCGAGCATCTTCACCCCAAGGACGCTGGTGCCGTATCAGAAGCCCTGGTCTAAGCCCTCGGCCTACGCACTGGCTTGGTACACCGACGTCTACAATGGGGTGGAAATTGTGTGGCACGACGGCGGAATCGACGGGTTCGGGGCGGAGATTGCCCTGATCCCGTCGCTGGACTTTGCCGTTATCACGATGGCCAACACTACCTATTCCTCTAATTATGCAGGGACCGCGTTGGTGTACCACCTGATCGATAATAAACTGGGTCTCCCATCGACGAAGAGATTCGACTGGAATGCATACTACGAAGATCTGGAAGCCCAGATGGAGGCTGCTCTCGATAACGCCTTGGAAACATTCTACCCTTCTATCCCATCACCCGCTCGGCCCCCGTCCCTCCCTCTGGCCCTCTACATAGGACACTATTGCCATCCCGCGTACCGCCGATTATCGATTCTCTGGGACGAGGAGAAGGGTGTCCTCCATGCAAGCCGCCCGGACTCCACCACCCCGTGCACGCTAACGTTCTCGCCGGTCAGCGGGGACTTTTTCCTCGTGACCGTGCAGATCGTCGGCGCGAAAACCGTGCTCCCCGCGGAATTCCGCCTAGGACCGGACGGCACGCCGTCTATGGTTGGCATCGCGTGGGAACCGACTCTGGGCGACGAGAAGATCTGGATGGTAAAGGAGGACGAACGGGGCAGTCGGAGGAAGAAATACTTGGCAGGGATGCCTCGTGGCGTGATTGACCCCCTTCATCCCATCGACTTCTGAGTTGAACGGGTCAGGCTGTGTCTTTCTGGGCTGGAGGGCTTGTCGAGAAGTGGGTGTGCGGGTGATGGTCAACTACGTATGTAACTACATGTACTTGATTTCTAGGATGACCAGCCCGGTTCGCTTAGAAAGCTCTCCGCGCGCATTCGTTAGTTGTTTTAGCTCCTGTCTCGCGGCCAGGAGGCGACGGCCGCCTTGGGCTCATATTCATTCCTAGTTCAATAACCTGCAGATCTAGCAGCCCCCGCACAAGTGGATAGGGCTGTAGCACTAGGCGTTCAACGATAATTCTGTTGGAGATCGTGCCTCTTCCATACTAGGGCAGGCCCAAAAATATCATGTTCCCGCTGGTATTCTGCCGGCAGCTAGATCATTTGTATACTCCATACCTACTCTATATAATGAACTGCGTGAATAAATCGCTTAAAGAAATAACTTATATATTTACCTAAATTGAATAATGGCTTACAATACCAAGTCAGGAAGACTCCTGCGGTTTTTATAAGAATTCTGCTATCCAACCTACTATATACATCACTAGACAACGTTGGATCAAACTTACCTACCTATAGTTAGTCAACCTTTATTAGTAATTACTACTACGATATAAAAAATCACTAAATTGTATTTATAATCCATTCAAGCAATTCGAGCGATTCGAGCGATCAATTCGAGACGTCAATTCGAGACGTCAATTCGAGCGATCACTTGGAATGATTCATTCGAGCAATTTATTGAAGCGATCATTCAAGTGAGTTGTTCAAATGGTTAATTCAAGTAATTATTGAAGTCAGCCAAGTAGGCAAGGGAGCAAGGTAGGACTTCCTCACTGACAATTAGCCCATTCATGCCGCCCGGATCAAAGGCATAAGACTAAGAATAAAAATGATTGCCGTGTAGCTACAGTCTCGTATCACTCATTCTACATTCACTTCACAGTCTTTCGTTCTTTTACTTCAGATTCCGTCTAATTCAGTCATTCTTTATAGATTCTATACTAGTATAGATCGTCACTCCTTACGACGCCTCATTCTCTAAAGCTAATTACCTATCCTGGCGGACGAATCCGATCAACATGCGAAGCGCCATTGCTATTTCCCCGGTAGCGGCCCTTCTGGCCACTCTTCTCCTGCTGCTGCGCGTCACCTCCGCGGTGCCAGTCACCACCGAGATCGCCGTGCGTGCCCCTACCCCAACGGAAAAAGAAGTAATCTCGGTCTCGTTCTACGTCGACAAGATCAAGGAGATGAACCTCGTTAGCGGCAAGACCTGTCTGTTCTACTTCCGCCTGAACGGCGCAGAGGGCGAAGACACTGCTCGTAACTGGTACAGGAAATATGGGCCCGCGGAAAAGGGCTCCCTTAGCCCCGGGTCGAAGAAGAAAGACCCTGTCACCTACATGGATGCTGCTCCCTCCTTGTTTAGCTACCGATTGAGCATGCCCGCGATGGTGTCCACGCCTCCGAACATGAAGAATGACAAGACCGCCGGTGACAAGATCACATCTCGGTGGATCGCCAACGGACTTGTCTCCCAGGCCGTGGCTGAGAGCTGCGAAGGCGATGCCTACTTCTTTACACCAGAGGGCACGGATTGGACGGAGGTGTATCCGTATAAAGCCTCCCAGACCAACTTCTGGTGGGACTTTGAGTGGCCCGCTCTCTTGAAGAACAGCAAAGTCAACAACGTCTACCAGATTGATCCGACCAAGGCCACCGAGGTCCCCAAGGAACCTATCTCCACGAAGGGAAAGGTAGCCAACCAGGAGTACCAACCCGACAAGAACCGTCCCCTCGCGACTGGCTGGGAATACGATCCCAACAAGGCCGAGACTGGTGCTTAGCCGGCTACCACCAGCAAGGGTGGCGATGCGACCCAGCCAACCTAGGTACTCAGCCCGGCAACAATGGTAACACTGAAAAGAAGGGAGGCCACAGGAACTAAACATCCCTCTGCGCCTGGCATCCATTGTAAACCGGCAAGCATGGCGAGGGGTTACGTCTTGGTGTCTTGCACTGCACTCTGCACTAACGGCTTGAGTGTAGTTGCTTGAATAGCCCGTTTTCCTCCGCTGTTCATGTATTGTCTACTAACTTTGTGGTTTTTACCTTGATTCAGAATGGGAGGGGGGTTGAATCTATATATTTATTTCTCAGTCTTCGAGACTATCATTAATTTCACTACGTACTCTATATGGAACAGCCTGCTTATGATTGTAGTATGCCGTCAGCCTCGGTGCCAGATGAAGAGCGTCTTTCCGACAGACTGACGATGAATGTATCCCTGGGTTGTTGGCAAGGGACATAGATGTCATAAGGATATAAGACAGGAAGAAACACGAAACCCAATAATTCAGACAAATCGTTGTTATGTTGCTGTGTCTGCAGAGAGAACACTTAGGGCTTGGCACATCACCTGGTCGAACCGCAAACATGTCATGGGCTTCAACTGGTGGACCTGAACTTGAGCTTGGAGAAGAGCGACCATATAATACTTGCAGAGCCAGATTTAATGGGCTTGTTCATTTATGTGAATAACTCCGAGGATTGCGGCCCACAGCCTAGGATATACTTCAACCAATTTCGCAGACAGAAAACAGCACATACTCATGGATGCATTCCATTTGTAGCAATCATCTTGAACAGAGTGAATCTCATCGAGCATGCTCCTCAATCTCCAATTCCACAATTGACAACAAACTTTCGACCACGACATGACAGCTCCACGATTGAATACCAGAAAATAAACCAAGCCACACAATTCAAACCACTCTCCAACCAAATCTACCCATCTCAATCGAAATATCCATCAACATCACCGTCAACATCAATATCATCTCCACTATCATCCCCACCCTCCGTATCCAAACGCAGCCGCCCCATCTTCGCAACAACATCCCCATCCACATCGCCACTCCTATCCACAAACACCGCATGAGTCCGCTCCAGCCGTCGATTCTGACAAATATACCCCATCGGCGTGTGGCTAAACTCGCGACCCTTTCGGGTCACCGACAGCCATTGCTGAAGGAAGATCAGGATGGCGCTATCTCTCGCGCCATTTCCATGTTGGTTCAGGTAGTCGACGATGGCGGTGTACTCGTCGTATGTGAAGAAGAGGCAGCCGGATAGAAGTCCGAGCTCGATCTTGAGAGTTGATGGGAATTCGTGATCCTTGGGGAGAGTTGGATAGGCGTAGAAGTTCAGGGAATTGAAGTGGACCATAGTCTTTGCGAATGGGGCAGCGTATACCAAGAGGTGGGTCGGTGATGGGTTAAGTGGCTTGAGGAGCGATAGCACACATTCTGCTTCTTCGGGGATGAGGATGATAGCGGTTGATGTATCCGGGCTCCAAAGGAGCCAGTGCACGGGGCGCTAAATCTCAAGTTAGTTGGGGTTTCTAAGGAAAAAGAAAGAAAAGGAATGTAGGCAAGGAGGATGTATTTCGCAATGTCCGAGGATACATACCAGAAAGTCTTCACGCCAGTATCCTTCTTGGCGAAGCTGGATAGTCCGCGTGAACTCGTCCGAAATAAAGAGTCTTGAACGTTGCTCGATCCGCAAACGATGTTTCCTGCCTAAGGTTGTCTGTTGAAGAGCCCTGAATGGAGTTTCATAGCCAATTGATCCCTCGAGACGGCCTGTAAGAGCAAACTGTCTGATAGCGGGATGCAATCCGGGGAAGACACAGTGCGCAAAGCGTGTAGGTCGCTGGGCTTCCCGAATTTGCTCAACATGGTACATGCACTCGCGTTCTTGTTCAACCTCTGCAAAGGCAAACGTAGACGCGGTGCTCAAGGAGGCGCCATGTCCAAGACGTTGGCTATCAAGACTTTCGCCAAACTTGATAATCTTCTGGCTCATGTAAGTGCCACCAGCGAAAGCGTCGAATCTCGGATTGGGAGTATAAATCTCCTTGAGGGAATGTTCCTCTTTTTGGAGCAATGTATCCAGAAACCTATTCCGGTGCTCTGGGTCTTTCAGAAATTGATCATTCACGAAGGCGGCATCGGTCCGCCGACAAAAGTCGTATCCCTGGGCCAGATACAACGATCGGAGCTGCTCATGATGGCGACAGGTTTGCTCAAGGAGCCAGGCGATCACATCAGTCGAATCAATCGCGTCCTTTGACGACTTTCGACGAACATCCAAGACACTCTGATGGGCCTCGGGCGATGCAACGAAAACCACCGACTGTGACGTTCCCAGTTGCCGAAGTCTCATTGCGGCTTTCAATGCATAAAGGTCAATATTTCATCAAACATAGAGCGTTCAAAAGAGGAATGCATGTATTTCTCACCTTGCACGGTATGATCTTTGGTCTGACCCAAACTCAGCGTCAGCGCTGCCCGCGACGAGGGCGGAAACTTCAAATCTGTTCCTCTGGTATGGGCCTCATCCAGGAACACAAGACACTTATCAAGATCATTAGTAAACGAAGATGCAAGAAGAGGAACCTCCTTGTAATTGCGATCCATGACCCAAGGTTTGCTACCAGAGTCGAAGTACACCGCCGCAGGAGCTTTGTAGTCGATATCCAGCCATTTGCGCGCGAGACCCTGATTGCTGTGTTCCAAAATATGTGCACCAGCATCAATTAGAATGCGAATGTTCATGGCATTAAGCTTTCGGATGAACTGCTCTTCTGTGAGACGCTTGCCATTCTGGCCCGAAGCCACAACATATGATCGATTTCGGGAATGCAGCAGATATGAAAGGACTTCTGCATTAGTGTGGGATAATGCCGGCAGGTCATTCTGCTTGATCGTGAGGGGAAGGAGAAATCGATCATCGTTTGTTCCACTGAACCCTGTTGTGTGCACTGCGGGTTCTTTCTCCTGCGTTGAGAATATCGGGACATCCCATCCGGACAACTGGAGCCTCTGGGAGAACTGCTTGGCGTGAACAGGAAAGACACAGTGGTCAAGGAAGTAATTAATCAACGTCACTCCGTATCGAAGATATGACCAGATCTCTCGAACCTGCATGTCGTCGTCAATGCTAATCAAATTCCAATGTCGCAGCGAAGCAGGAAGGTTGTGCACGTATGCTCCCCAACGGCCGTATTCTCCAGCCGGGTCATCGGAGTCGGACAGACTGTGCAAGCATTGACGCAGCTGATCAACCGATAATCCATCGTAGTAGAATGCGAGACAGGTAAGCAGAATAGACACGTCTGGATGTCCCCACTCAGCCTGCTCAGATGGCACACCCTTAGCATGAAAAGGCACAGCGATTGGGCTCCGAGATGGATGCAGCCCGTATTGCACATTCCACCGTTTCTTCAGACAAAGCAAGAGAATCTCGTGGCTGATCAATCCGCGTAGCAGAAATAGGTTCTTCAGGGCGGTGGACTCTCCGTTGAAACAATGCACCGCAGCCTCGCAAGCGGATTCGTCAAGCTTGACTTGAGATATAAAGTTCCGCACCGCATCCTGGTTGTGCGGCGGGACTAAAGGAAGAATGTTAGTTTTACCAGAGCACAGATCGCTTGTCAGTCTCGTGAGCAAAGCTTCTTCGACCATTGGCTGGAGGATATGGACGAAGGGGAAGCCGCCATTTGGACGTCTTACAACCTCAAGGCTCCCAGGAAATTCGGTTTCAAGATCTGTCAGGTGCTCCTCAACCATTCCTAGTAGTATGTGCGCCGTTCTCCATCGGTGTGGATGGCCATCCAAGGACAACTGCGACCCACTAGGATAAATAAGCTGTGTTTTGACGGCCAAGGAGAAATCACACTCGTCTATCACGTCTCGGGAGACGCGCGTCAACCAGGAATTGGTAGATATAATGGCGCTAGCCGACTGGATCTTGGAATCCGAGAGGCATTGAAACCCACTCAGCTTGAATGAAAGAACGTGTTCCGGGAGCGTCAAGATAATTCCCGAATTTTCCAGAACCTTTTCATGGAGCGCTCCGTACTCTTGGATTGCCGCCGGCTCTATGGGAGATTTTCGCGAAAAGGGAATGTGAAGAACCTCGCGGCCCACCAAATCCCCAAGCCTGGATTGAATGGTCTGTGCTGTCTGCAGAAGGAGAGACTTGGGGACCATCAGGCGCCCGAGGTTCTTCCCGTTCGCAAGAACACATAAGGCCATGGGCATCACCACCGAAGTTTTGCCTGTGGGAATTAGAGAGGCTCATATGAATAATCGCATAAGCCATAAAGCCTTACCTTGACCCATGTTCATCTGAAGAACAGAATTCGATCCCGAGGAAGGGGATATTGTCGCAAGTGCAACATCCACTTGCGTTTTTCGAATGAGTATATTGGCATCAATCTCCATGAGTAGCCAGTCAGGGAATCTCTCGGGCTGCCAATTTTCATGTCCCATGTTCTCGAATTCGTCCCGTGAGCGCTGAGAATCACTCCTCTTGACAGCGTCGCAAATTCGCAATAACTGCTGCAGTTGAGTGACCGCTACGCCATAGTCGAGAATGGCTTCTTTCATTCCACTTCCAAAGACTTGTTGGCTAGATGATCGTAGGCGTTGCAGTATGGTGATAGGAGTCAGACAGGGCCAGAGCTGTCCTGCCGAGAGCCACCTGTGACGAGCATCAGATGCTGTTAATGATCTAACAAATCTTGAAAGCTGCTGCTGCACCGAGTGCTGAGATTTGGGAATTTCCTCCTCCAGGTAATTTAGACTTGTAACTCGTGTGCTTGAGCCCTGGTGCGCTTGATAACTTTCCAAAGCGTCTAAGCTACTCTTTAAGTTGTGAGCATACGCTTGTCTGCCTTTGGACGCCGATAGCATCATTTCATCAACTAAAGCCCTGAGCTCCCGAGTTTCGCGAGAGCCCTTTCGTATGTTGGAATTCCTTTCTCCGTCCTGCGTCGGGGGATAGTGATTTGCATATGATCCTTTGCGCCATAGGTGGCCAGATGCAGGGCCTTGCATACTTTTGTGCCGATGGTTTTCAGCTGATCTGTTCTTCGAAAAGAGACTCGCCATACTTGGAACTGCTGCAGTCCTATGGGGAATGGGGTATGATGCTGACGCATCTATACATTCTGGAACAGAAATTCCATAATCTGTTTGGTGCATGTCAAGGACCTCTTGTACTTTGCAAAGATATTCCTCGAATTCCATGTTTCTGAAAAGTCGTTGCCAATCCGTTTCAATTGACTTTAGCATGGCGTCCATTCTAAATGTCTTTACCTTCATCTGAGGACGGGTTATGAATTGGCTTGGCCATTGATCCAGGATCTTGGTGGCGAGTCTATGAGCTTCCCGCTGAAACATGATATTGAAGTCTGTGAAACTTGTCGAAGAATCCACCCTGTGTTCCTTGATCGCCTGACGCAACGATTCTGAGGATATCTTCGAGTATGAGTGGATTAGTTCCTTGATGAACCCCAACGATGGCCTTTCATTCAAATGAAAGTCAACGTACTTGGCATGCTCTGGAAGAATGACACCGCGCATGCCACTGTAGATGCAAACAGCAGCTAATGTTCGCAAAAGGTCCATGTTCACATCTTTCGCAAATCCAAATGTCGCAAGTTTGAACATGATATCATACCGGCCTTCGCCATATTGACGACACATCTCAGTCAGCGGCCCCCATTCTTGGATCAAATTGCCCTTGAGAATGTCATTCAACGAAGCATTGTTGTGTTTGCCGATGCGCCCGGTGATAAAAGCCGCCTGGTCAAAGATCGCTGCCAACGACGACGGGGTCCGGATGTATGATGGTGAGTGCAGCAAAATATGTACAACCTCGTAAACATTGGCTCTTTCTGTGCTGTTTTGACGGTTGTGTCGACCTAGGTAAGACGCATCTCTAGGCTGTGTCAGCCCAACGATGGTTGATTCCCCTCGCTCAAAATTGCGGCGACGAAAATAGCTTCTATCTCTAAGGTGAGGCACGCCTTCTGAGCCAAGTTGCAGCTGGTAACATTCATCCAAAGCAAACATTCCCAGCCGCTCCAACTTGGTCGCCATGGCCTCGATAATAGGACGATATAAATCATGCTGGATCGTGACCGTGAGATCTTTATCCCAAAATACTTGCTGCTGCCGCTTGAGATGCACTGGGTAGTAGGCTCGTCTAGGAGTAAGCTGAGTAAGGTGAATGAGAGGGTCTGCTCGAGATGGTCCCACAGGGTTCCAAGGCTGACTCGATGCGGAGTTCAAGCAGGCTATTGCTTCTTCCGTCCCCGTACGGCCAGTGAGAGTATCAGGGATTGGGAAAGATGTAAGTGCATGCAGCAGGGACTTTGTATGCACCAGCAGTGGATCTGGCTCACATTTCAACCTGCCAAGTGTGCTATCGATCAAGTATCGACCATACTGGCCATCATTCGTCATCTTTACCAGAACATGTGGCCCACAACGATGGTAGCGAGGTGACCCAGTAGGGACAATAACACTCCGTTGCCTGCGGTTGGATGTCTCACGCATAACAATCCCGCTTTGCAATCCGTACCATGTGCCGGCATCTTGATCTGGGTCAATTTCCGCGTGAAGCTGCGTGCATACCAGATTCCCTTTGGCATTCACGTTGAAACTCAAATCCATTCTTTTCATTTCGACGAGAATATTTCTTGATGTTGGCTGGATGACCGAGATATTCTCCCTGTCTTCGAACCCGTCAAAGATCTTGGCTACCTGTCGAAAGAGGCCGCTATGGGGGTCCACAAGATCGCCGGTTTTGCGAAATGCCTGGCGGGTAGGAATGTCAATCGTCCAATTCCCGACACGGTTGAACCACCACATATTTTTCTTTCTTCGAACCTCTAGTTGATTTGTCTTCAGGTTGAGCCAATGAAAGCAATCAATTAAGAGGGTCGCTGGGAGATCTGCCTGCCCCCCTGTTCCAAAGCTTTGTCGGGGTACAAGATGCAAAAAGTTTCCTTTGACATGTGCACGTACAACTACCTGATCTTTGATTCGACCAAAGTGGACTGTGTGGCGCTCCCTTGGGGTCGCAAGCATAAATTCCATACCTCGCATGGCGGATGGAAATATCAGCAAGTGTTCGTTGCCAAACAGCTCTTGTACATTAGGCGAATCTCGGAACTGTGATGGGAGTTTACCAACAGGCTTCCCATCCACTAAAAGATGACCATCTAATGGATGATAGTGGACATTTTGTGATCGAAAGAATTCTGTTGCAATGATCTGGGACTCCATCCACCAGTCTGATTTTCGAAGCATCTTCCAAGGGCCGTATGCTCTCTCGTCACTCGCTGCATGGGGCCAAACAGTTTTAATGGCAGACTCAATGCAAATAGGATCGAGAGGCAGATGGTTGCGCAGAAACAAGTCCATATAAGAGGTTACTCTAAGGTCACGCACAAGAATCTTCTGGATCGTCGGTGGAAGCTGTGTTGGATCCTGAATGTTTTCTTGGACAGCAAGACATGCTGCAAAAAAGGTCCGCAAGCTATTGTAGTCGGTGCTTCTGCCTTCAGGGATTGAAAATGTTTGTTTGCATAGAATTCCAGATAGTAAACCATAAATGCTCAGTCGCTCGACCGTCTCAGTTGGGACACCGCCTTGAATTTCGTGGCGTATTTTCTGGGCCCATTCTGAAGTAACATGTCGGACACGATGTAAGAGTCGAAGGGCTTCCGTTGCAACTGACTTCGGTCCAAGGTTGAGAATACGTAAAATCAATGTTAGCAACATGTCCATGCAGAATGACTCCCGCCAGTTGTTGCAGATCTGGCTCAAAATCCTTTCGACTTGGGTGGTGAGCTGATGGCAAAACTCCGCGTCTTCGAAGACTTCATGTACTAAACGCAAGGGTGTATGGACAGGATTTGGACCAGCTTGTAAAGCTAAATAGCTTATAAGATGCATTGTCGCCTCCTGACTGAAATTGAGATTCGACGAGCCGAGCTCACGGAGAAGTGACAGCCATCTAGTTGCCTGGCCTTGTAGGAGTCTTTGGTAAGTAGTGTACTCATGGACCGTTACGTTGACAGGGCACTCGTTCTGCCTAGTCATGATCTCGTAAGAGGACCGTCCGTCGGCACCCGCCGCAAAATTGGCGTCATCTTGGAGACCCATGAGGGCAAGAACAGACGAATCCAGGCCGAAATGATGCGCGAATGTCAGATCCATGGGTAGCGCAGATGCCCATCGTTCATTTCTTGTGTCATAGTATCTAAGCTCCGGCCCAAATGGTAGAAGCACCTGGTCGCTGGGGGCCGGGAGGGAGGAACCCTTGTAGTGTGAAACAAGAAAAGATTTCGTTATCGCCCCCAAGTGAAACTTCAGTCTTTTATGCTGATTGTACGGCTTTAGGGAGCTATAATCACGCAAAAGCCCTCTGAGTGGCGATGGTTTTGCAACTGCGCTATGCTCTGACATCCCGAACCTGCTTAAAAGTCTCCATGTAGTGTCCCGATATACTGCCAATTCGACTGGCATAGCAAGCTCAAAGAGGACAGCCCTTCTAGGTATGACTTCGGTGGGCAAGAAGTCTTCGTGTGCGTAAATGATGAGCTTCTTCCTCTTCTTCTTGGCATTGCAGTGAATGCATTTCTCGCGAATCTGTCCAGGTTGACGTGTACAAGGCAACATGACTTGTGAACACAATTGAGAGTACCGCCCATTGACCTGCTGCAGCTCTATGCTTTTCTTCATTCGTGCTTTGTCGGATGCCTTTTGAATCTCGCGTTCTAGCATTTGAAAGCGCTGCGTATCAGCAGAAAGCCGCACATACTTGTCAGAAAATCCCTTTGCCTTCGGGTCGGAAAAGATTGTGAGACTTCTAAACTGAGACTGCTTTTCACGTTTGGTAATGTATTCCTGAATCTTTTGCAGGCGAATCAGATCATCAAGTGATGAAAGCTGCAACACATCCAGTATTTTCGATTTGAAACCACAGCTATACTCTGCCAGTAAGGGGTACTGCTGGACGGCATTTGTATCCATAATGACCCACAGTTCAAACAGATCAACCATCATCAAGCTCAGCTCTTGAACATTGCCCTCAATTACAGACACCACATCGAGGTATCGATTCATCCACCCGGCAATCTCTGTACAGCTTGTTTTCTTGTGAGCTAGCACAGGCCGATGGTTCTGGAATTTGCGCTGCAGTGTATGCACCACGTGGTAGCGTTCTGAAAAGCTTTGGTAGTGCTGGTTGACCATCTTAGGCAGGTCTTTCTCAATTAAGCTCTTGTCTTGAGCAGCCTTCTTGTTGAATGGTAAATTTAGAATGCTCTTCAGGTGTCCAATACTGTTCGGAAGTTGAAGGCACATGTCACTCTTATCTGCCCGAAGAGGGAGAGCTGGTATACACCTTTGAGTAGCATTCTTGAATTTCCTCCATTCCGCGTCCATGGACAGTGTAGCCTGTTGAATGATCTCCGAGAAGTTTGCAGAACAGCTATCTAACAACCCACTGTAAGTATTGCACGAGGCATCGGACCGCTCGGCTTCCAGTTTGCTGAGGCGTCGACAAAGCTTGGCCCGAAGAAAGTGACAGAGCTCTACTGGCAGCTTTCCGGTGGCGTTTTGCAATAGACGAGCGTGAACCATGGCAATGAATACCTTGTAATACGCACGTCCTTGTTCTGGCCCGTAGATAAAATATAACATCCTCTGAATGCAAACCCGAATGACCAAATAGAACGGACTCCGCCGCCATGGGAGAAAGGCGTGGTTCCAACAGACATCATCCCGGATTCTCTTCCGAAGGATCGGAACGGCTGTCTGCGACCCATGAGCTTCCAAAAGGCACATGAGCATTTGTGTGATGAGGTCTGGGGAAGCAGTATCGCGAAGCTCATTAACAGTTGCTCCAGCCTTTTTTGACTTCGCAGCGAATCGATCTATCAATTCTTCGTCGGCCTGTTCGAGGAATGTTGCCAGGACTTCCTGAAAGGACTTTCTCTGGCAGGTATCTAGCGGGATTGTGACTGCACTGCCGGGGTAATCGCATTTCAAGGCACCAGTGCAGGCGAGTACACTCTGAGAGGTCGGTGAAGCTTCGAAGCATTCTACAGCAATCTCTTTTATGACACGATCTCTTTCCAATCGCAATTTATATCAGCAACTAAATCTCTGTGGGGAGCTGGGATACGAACTTTATGACTGGCAGAATCAGAAGCCCGGCATTCTGTTGCGAGATATGTAAAATGAGGCACGCCGTTTCCTTTTGCCCGCTGAATGCATCTCGAAGTCTGTATCGGTTGATGTTGCCATCTTCGTGGATCGACCCGCAGAGATAAAGTGACTGTTTAACAAGCGTCCAGACATTCTGGTACTCGGTTCCTGTCAGTGAAAAGAGAGCTTCCGCAGCTTCGACTCCGTGTTTGATGATTCCTTCGTTTATCTTTCCCACATCGTCATCACTGTGGTCAGGTAGACGAGGTGGTAAAGCGATATGATTGAAGACTTGCTCAATCACGGCGGGGGCGTAGTTTGACATCGTAACGTGTATGGAAAGTGATGATTCTATGAGATGTTGATCATGAGATAGCAGATGATTTGAGAGAAATGATAGAAAGGAAGGGAGGAAGAAGAAGGATGTGAAAGGAAAGATTGTCGAGGGGGGTGGAAGACAGCGTCAGTCGCAGGTAATGAGCAAACGGCGGCAAAGTCTCAGCCGCGCTGGTGACCAGGATAAACAAGGCTAGCATCCCACCAGCAGGCTCCAGTCTAGGCGGGGCAGTAAATGTTTTATTTTTCTTTTTCCTTCTTCCAAGCCAAATCCTGGCTCATTTATTCCGCATATTTCTAACTGGGGTCTGTCCAAAGCATTTCACCGCACTGTTTATCCGCCTTCTGCCCTATACCATGGCCATGTCTCGCATGCATCCTTTAGAGGACGCTTCCCATTTTGAGTTGTAATACTAATATTTAGGGGATGTTAGTGAGAGAGGGTTGGGATATGTGCTATTAATCTCTAACTCTACATCATTCTAGGAGCTACATCTGCCAGTGGAGGTTGACAGGAGACACAAACAAATCCACTGCGGAACTATCTATTACTGTACATGCAGAGGCAAAAGCTCCATAAGATGTATGAAGGTGAAAGGAAAACCAAACTTGAACTCGTCTTAGCTTCGCCCAAAGGCTACTAGTCACCGGCACTGCGTAGAAGTGCGAGTTCGTCGCCGGTGGCCCCTCGCCTCAATGGTTGATACCACCGAGGCTCATCAGGGCCTAATAATAATACAAAAGAGTGATACAGGGTAGTAATAGGGGATAGTAAAACAGCAGGATAGTGATGGGGGATAGTAATACAGCAAGATAGTGATGGGGGATAGTGATAGGGGATAGTGACCAGGGAAAGTAATGCAATAGTGATGAAAGAAAGTAATGCAATAGTGATGGAATATAGTGATGAAGGAAAGTAATATCATAGTGATGAAAGACAGTGATGGGATAGTGATGGGATAGTGATGGGATGGTGATGGGATAGTGATGAAGGAAAGTGATGAAGGAAAGATATAGAATAGTAATGAAAGACAGTAATGGGATAGTGATGAAAGATAGTAATAGGACAGCAGTGATAAAGGAAAGTAATGGGACAAAAAAACAGGAATGAAACAACGGTGATCGATGGGGAAGAAAAGGAAGAAGAAACAAACATCGCAGTGGGAGCCCTCAGATAAACGACATTAGGCTACAGCGCTATTGAACAGGAAGCTACAACACTGTGCTGGAAGGTGCATTCATTGCCATGACGAAGATTCTTGTCATGAGGTCTTCCCTAGGAAGGAACGAAAGTGACGACAAGTGATTTTTACTTAAGCTGGGGGCTGAACAGTATCTCTTTTTTGCGATTTTAGACTGGCTAGGGAGGCAAATAAGTGACTACTGTAGCTATAGCAATTGTAGCAAAATGGCTGGGTTTCATCGAGGTAGTATAGCTGAGCGCCCAAGGTATTGTCAGCTTGCACATGTAGTGATAAAGGATTGGCATATTAGGAGCAAGAAATTCTTTGCCTCATGACATGCACACATACTCAGGGCGAACATTATTATCAAGGGTGTGGTTCAACATGAGAATCTTCTCCCTCATTACAGCCCTCCTCACAGTTCTTTCATTTGCACCTTCAGCACCATACCATCGCACCTGGGCTTGTGTCGTCGGCTCAAAAGGCTTGTCTTCAATTTGCTCGCCATAATTAAGATACCAGCGCCGGTACTCACAATGGTGGGAACGCGGAGGGTCTCTTGCCAGCGGTCATCGGCTGGAGTGTTGGTAACTCCTAGCACTCGCTCATAAAAATCCCATTAAACTTCTGAGTCACTTATTATGCAGTGGTTACGTTGGGAACCAAGACTTTCACAGGAGATGGCGTTAAGGCACGGATATAAGGGTGCCAATAGACATGCAAATGAAGCATGGTACAATTCATACGCAGTTTCACCTTGTTCATAAGGTTCAAACTTGGCAGCTATAGTGGGTTGGTATCATTCCAAATATCAGTACGCGTTGGCCGAACGATAAAGAGAAGTAAAAGAAATCACACCAAACACCGTGTAACACCCCAATAAGCTTTTCTGTATTGTTCTTTTCAAAGACCGAAAAAGTCGGCCATGATTCCGTGTCTTCGTCCGTCTTAAGTCCAACCGGAAGTTTCGATTAATCACATCTGCATCTGTGCATCCTCATCATCGTAGCCCACATCGAACGCACCCCCGGGTATCCGACCCTCGTTGAGCTCCTTCTCTAGTCTCGAGATCTCTTGCAAGCTCTTAGCCTCCCGGATCAGCTTCTCGACTCGCTTCCGCTCCTGGTCGGTCAATTTGACTCTCACGGCCTTGTCGGCAGGGGCCCGGTCCGCGGGACCTCCAGAGGGAACGTCAAAGGTACGCGACTTAATGCCGATGATCTTCGAGGCTAGGGCAGACGGCTCTTCGGCGGTTCCAAACAGCTCCTTGGCCTTTTCGCGCTCGGCCTCCTTCACTTTCTGGTAGTCGAGGAAACGCACGCTGGGCAGTCGCCAGATGACCCAGTACCGGTAGTTCTATGATAGGTTAGCATGAAGTAAATGAAACCAGCGAGCATCGTATATGATTCGCATCCAAAGCGACAACGAAGTCGATGCGCAACACAGGGAATCTATACCTCTTTCCTCGTGATCGGGTTCTCCAGCAACACCAGATGCGTCAACTTCGGCAAGTTACGCAAAGCGTCTAGATCCGCCAGCTCTGTCACATTATTCGAGTGCAACACCAACGTGCTCAGGTTCGGGATCGAGGAGGCTAGCGAAGGCTGAATCTGCTTGATACGGTTGCGCGCGAGGAGAAGCGTGTGGAGACGGGGGAAGAAAGGGAAATTCCCGAGCGAGGAAATGCTGTTATCTGTGAGGTCGATTGCATCTTGTTCCTGTTCTTTGGTGAGCCTCTTGTCTTATTGAGGGTTCATCGGGGAAGTAGCAAGCAACGCGGGTTGAACGTACCCTGGCAATACCCAAGTTCTCAATCGCGGGTATCTTGTGTCCTAGAACGGCGCAAACACAAAACGATATCAATCCAGCTCATTTCAAAAGTGTAGTATGTGTCCTTTTCAGGCCCATATGTAAAACGCACCTCGGAGATCTAATTCTCGATCCTTCAATGGGTTGATGTACGAGAGAGAATTCTGGATGAGTTCGACGGTCAATCGCATGGCGGCGGGAGTGTCTTGTCTATTGGGGTATCATGCAAATAAATAGAATACTAGATAAATCGAAAATTGTAAGGAGTCCGCGAAGACGGGACTAGATCAAGCGAATTCAAGATCAAAGACAACAGGATGGATAAAGTGAAGCTGGAGCTCTTTGCGCAGGCCCAATCGTCGGAGCCGCAATTCTCCAAGGATTTTGCCCGGGCGGTGAGACGATCAGTCAGCATCTGCCGCGTTCCGTAAGTAGTAAGGTGTATTTTGAGTCCGCACTAGGCCCAGGCAGGCTAGGCTTATCTTCTAGTAAACAAAGACCTCTACAGCCTCTTGCTTGAGTTTTCGACATATCAGCTTGGTTTTATTGTCATATAAGGATGTATCTCACAAACAACGGTCAACTCACTCAGAATATCATGCGGCCTCTGCATTCGCAAAACGGCATCGAAATTTGGAAAAAACCAACCCAACACATCCTGTGGGAGGCAAACCCTATACCATAGCAGCTTTACGAACTCCCTCTCCCTTACAAGAATCAAACTCCATAATCAATCTGCTCTCATCGACTCATTCCCACAATTCACACCATTAGCTCTCTGCATTTCAAACTTCCCACCATGTCATTAATTCCCTCGACTCTCAGGTCATCAAATGCCCCGCGCATGTCCGACCGGAGCGGAGCGCCTGCACAATTTGAACTCCTGCGACGGATCAGTTAGCTTAATCCGCGGCTGTTGATTGATCAGTTGCCTTACTCCCACACAGTGCAGGAATACCCATCGGTGACCATCATGGAGGAGATAGCCTTGTTCCTGGAAGCACAACTTTGTCAGCTCGAGCTACCCATTCCGTTCTGTTTGGTCTCGATAGACTACTGATATACTTACCATGTATCTCCAGGAAGAAACCAAGAGCACATGTCCAAGTCGCAGAGGCCCATCCTGTCTCCTTGGCGGTTGACCTCCTGCCAGACGGTGACCTACACAGAGTATCAGATCATGTTTCGGGGCATGAAGCAAGTACAAACATGAAGAATCAAATGAGTATTAACTCGCATTACTTGGGCAAGGAGAACGTTATCCACTTACTACGTCGATCTCTTGCCCGTCGGGTAAGAAGATGGGCTGAGCTGTCGCAGTCACGGCCAAAAGGCCAAGAAGACTGATGGTAGCGGTCTGGAGGAACAACATTTCGATTGGAAGAATATGGTTCTGTTGTCTGTGTATAGCGTAGGAGAAGACAGCAGCTCTTGTGTGTTTGGATAAAGAGATACCGTAGGAGCAATCGGTTAGTAGAATGACTGCCTCATATGGCCCCGACACCTAGCTACAATTTCTTCTCCAAAGCTGTCAGTGTCTTAGGATAACTTACTAGATCGCGTTGAACACTAAACAGAGTGGACGAAGCCATACCGACAGAGCATGTGATCATGCTAGGATTGCAATATAGCCCGGATCAACGGTATCATGCAACCTTCCCCGGACAATCAGATTGGAATATCTCACCCCAAGCGTTCCACAGAATAGTAACTAGTAGCTTGTAATTTTGATCGCATGATGTCCTTTTAACCAAGAGACCAAAGGTTGACGTCAAATTGAGTGTGAAGTTCCCATTGCCAGTAGTCCCGAATCGTATCAGGTGTCGGTCGCCGAAAAAGCCAAGTGCGAACTCGCCGAAGCCGATATTAGAAACTCCCTAGAGATCGTTTCTGGGTGCGGTAGTGTGCTCTCACCATTCTCTGTCTAGACCAGTAGCCCTATCTTTGGAAGTGTTTATTTATTAGTGGGATGAGATTAAGTGCCAAGTGCCTCTACTTCAATAAGACACCGGCGGTCGAGTAGTTCGAGAGTACTGTCCGGAGTCATTTCCAGCGGATTTTTAATGCTCGTACTCTGTTTTCATTTTCTCATTGGAATGTGTTATCAAGGATATTTTAGGGGTTATAAGTAAAAATTTCCCTTGTCTGCTCGTCTAGTACTGGTCGAAGAATGCCAAAAATATATAATGAGCTTGCCGTCTTCATGACCGTTCTGTATAGCTCAGAACCACCGACATTAATTGACTTACGGTTACTTACAATCCCAAGGAGAAGTATCCTTGTGTAATTCTAGCCATACACTTAGTCCCATATCTCGTGGCCTCGTGAAGCCCAAACTAGCCGAGCCCCAGCTCAAACCCGAGCATAGCTGCACTAAACCTCCAGATGAGGAAGGAATATAATTCAGAAAGAGCGAGCTACCTAGTTGACCTTAGCTTGGATTCCAGTACTCACAGCCCGCCTACTGTATAAGCTCATTCAATTCTCATGGAGTTCGCCTATGGCGTAGCTCGACTTAGACGGCGACTTATCAGACCCGATCGTCCTCTGCCATATTACCATCATCACTTAATAACCAGACCCGGCACCACTCAACTATCTTCCAACCCCCTCCTATCAATCAATTCAGCTCATCCCTTGCTCGAGTCCCCTTCTCCAAATGCAGGGGAGCCACAGCAATAATTACAAACATGTGAGATCATCACCATACAGCCAGCGACGCCAGGTTCATGCATTCTGCACGATGCAGGAGCCTGTTATCTCCCGCCAATAACCAATCCAACGAGTTTCGCAGAGCTAAACTCTCCAGGGATGCGCGATCCGGGGTCCCTCTCTAGACCAATAGAGGTTCGTTGCAGATTCGCTATCTTATCAGGGTTCGTGATGATCGTCCGCCGTGGCCGATAACAGCGCGAAAGGGTTGAGGTTGGTTATATCTACTGGGCTCTTGGCTCTTCCCGATAAGGTGGGAACTATGAGTTCAGCTCTGCGATCGCATCCTGGAATGTAATGGGCCAAGACATTGCGTTTCAGCCCTGGGCGGAGGATGGGGGGTAGATAAAGGTGATGGAGATCGCGTCCACTTTTGAGGTTGGGATCAGAAAGCCGTCGGTCGGAATTTGCGATATTCGTGCTAGAGCTGCTGTTTGGTTTTAGTCGGTTTCGAAGGCAGTTTGACAAGCCTATCATGTCCGAGGTGAGTGTTTCTGCTCTATTGAGTTTCAACGATATATAACTCACACGATCGGTTGAGAAGCCAGTGTTCAATGCCTCCATGGCGCAAGGCGGCAATCCGAAAGAGATCGATGTCAACGCGCAATATTCGGGATTCGAGTACAACTACGTCTATATCCTCGCATGCACCTTCATCGTCTTCCTCATTCTCCCTGGTATCTCGCTGCTCTACGCCGGCTTGGCTCGCAGAAAGTCGGCACTGGCGTTCCTCTTCCAGGCATTTATGATCCTTGCAGTGTAAGAGCCCATTGTGAACATTGTTCGAGTCCGAGGACTGACTTCAAGGCAGAACCACATTTCAGTGGTTGTTCTGGGGGTATTCCCTAACATATTCCCGAAATGGGGGCCCTTTCATCGGCACGCTGCAGAACTTCGGACTGATGAACGTCATGGTGGCACCTTCTCCTGGCTCCGCAGTACTTCCGGAAATTGTCTTTTGTCTATTCCAACTGCTGTTCTGTGCCTGCACGGTAAGCCCTTTTTCTAAGACCAATGTGAAGGATAGATGTTTCTAACAGCCTCCAGGTGATGATCGTTGCCGGTGGTGCCTTTGAGCGAGGACGCATCCTACCGTCTTTAATTTTCGGCTTCTGCTGGGCGACGATTGTCTATTGTCCCTTGGCCCGGTGGACATGGAGTGAGCATGGATGGCTATACAACCTTCCCGCGATCGACTTTGCCGGTGGTGGTCCCGTCCACATCGCGTCGGGCTGCTCCGCTTTGGCATATGCTATTGTGCTCGGCAAGCGGAAGCATTACGGCGATCCATCGCTGCGGAAGCCACACAACACCACGCTTGTGTTTCTGGGCACCGTCTTCATCTGGACGGGATGGCTTGGCTTTAATGTACGCACTCTGCACAGAACTTCCCACCAGAGGCTAATTAAGTACAGGGAGGCTCGAGCCTTAACGCCAGTATGCGGGCGATGATGGCCGTTTTCAACACCAACACTGCCGCGAGCACAGGAATTCTAGGATGGGTCTTGGTCGACATGCTTAAACACAAGGGCAAGTTTTCGGTCGTCGGGGCTTGCGAAGGTGCTATTGCCGGACTAGTAGGAATCACTCCGGCTGCAGGCTGCGTGTCCATCTGGCTGGCGGCTTGCATTGGATTCATCACGGGCATCGTTTGCTCTCTGCTCCAAAACATCAACGACTGGATGAACATCGACGAAGGAATGGATGTCTTCAAACTGCACGGGATCGGCGGTATGGTGGGAGCCTTCCTCACGGGGATCTTCGCGACCGATTCGATCTCATCGCTCGACGGCTCTTCCCTGGCGAGCGGAGCCATCGACGGCAACGGGGTGCAAGTGGGAAGGCAACTGGCCGAGATCTGTGCGATCGCGAGCTACTCGTTCACCGTCTCCTGCATTCTGCTGCTGATCCTCAAATACATCCCGGGGCTGCATCTGCGGGTGGACGAAGAATCGGAGATGGTGGGGCTTGACCGAGCGCAGTTCTTCGACGAGCAGATTGGAGACTGGTCCATGACGCCGGAGCACAGCACCGCGACCTTGTTGGGAGTGTCCAAAGAGCCATCGGAGTCGAAAGATGAGCAGACCGAGTCACGGGAGATCAAGGCAGGTGACATCTGAGATCGCGAGATAGTCACGTCATGCCTGCATCCGCATCCCACGTCGGAGGGCGCGATATGATCTCGGCAGACCTCACCTAGAATAGTAGCAAGTAAAATAATGCCACCGTAGGTTCTCCGAGTATCTGATCTGCCCCGAATGAACCCTCCAAGAACTACAAGTACAGAGTCGGATAGCCTGAATGGCGTCATGGGCGACGGGGCTTGAATTATTGGCCAACGGCGGAGTACGACGACCTGCATGAAAGGCCCAAGTAAAGGGGGGTGACGAATGCACCAAGCTTGGCTGGTTTTGTTTTGGCCGCGCAGAAGCTGCAATGGCTAATCTGGTTTGGATGCCAAGTGCGCCAATCAAACGGCCGGACGGGCCCAACTTGCATGGGCTCTGGACTCTGGAGGACCCGGAGCTTACGTCAATGCGACCAGGATGTGCCCCCCATTCGAACTTTGCTTTTTTTAATTCGCTTTTTTTTTTTTCTTTTTCTTTTTTCCCTTTTTCCCTTTTTCCTTTTACACTTTTCCCCTATTGTTTAGGAGGCGTCTTATCGGCCCTATCAGCATCGATTGTCCTTCTATTATTATTGCAAATTCAAGACATCGATGTCCTTGCCGGTCACCTGGTTGTCTACGGTGCTTCGCATCGCTGCGACAGTGGGAGACCGCATGCCCGCTCGTAGGGCAAAGGTCTAATCTGGTTGACGGTTGGAATGCCGATCGCGAAGTCGATGGCAGATGGTGCGACTGACACGGGCTGGACCGTCGTCTACTGCGCTCGGGATATTTCAGTCTGTGTTTAGGGGGGAGGTCTCTGTGCGCCGTGGACTCAGGGAGGATTCTAGACTATATTACGGGGTACGGGATACGGTGCCGAATTCCTTCACTTTAATGAAAGTGGATTGACGAAGGGTGTCGAAATGGTCAATGTTACCCCGAGTTATCTAGATCCTGATGCTAGTGGCGACGCTCTTTTAGAGGTCCCGCCTTGGATGGCACTAGGCCCGGTTGGTGCTAGTCCGGTACTGTTACTGGCCGGTATAATTTACTCGTCCCTGCTGGAGTATAGAAATAGAACCGGCATCCAGACAATGAGAAGCCCTTCGTAAACTCAAAGTTTCACCTCAAAATCCAGCTTCAGCAAGGGAACAGAGCGACGATTGATTCTCAGTGTCTTTCTTGGACACAACTCCCCCCTTAGAAGAGTGCCTCCCTCGCCAAGTGCAATGTCACCATGTCATCTCCGGTAATCTAACGCCGTAAAGGGTCCGTAATCTCGATAAAACCAGACCCTTCCGTTGGTTGCGCACTAAACCCCATCCGGCCTGCTACCTGCCTTAGGCTCCCCGCTGTCGCGTCCACTGCTGTCGCCATCCGCTCCCGTCCGTTTTCTCTTCTTATCATTCATCCGTCACTTTTCCCTTTCCTTTTCCCTCCTCCCCTCCACCTCCGCATTCTCCCTCTCCTTCCCGTCCAGAGGTACCGTGTTACCGTCGTTGCTGGCTGTAAAAGGGTCCTCCTCGTGCTTGGACTTCTTCCCCCTTCTTCTCGCTGCGTCTTATCTTGCTCCCTTGAGCAAGGCCATTCGTTTTTATCCAACCTCTCCCCTCCTCGCCCCCAACCTCGAATTCCTCCCTGGTCTTCTTCGCCCTTCAACGACCAATTCCGAATCGAGACTGCCAATTGATAAATCGGATCGCTCCCCTTCCACTCGCTTCATTCAATTCATCCCGCCCGGTGGTCATGCTTGTCGGTCAAATACAATAATCATAATCTTTAATATCTTTCCCAATGGGCAAATGTAACCGGACCTTCCCTTTGCGATCACCCTTGCTAGTACTAATCTTTTATATGATAGGGCATTATGGAGTTGTCCTGGACGCAGGATCGTCTGTAAGTGTGAGAAATTTCAGTCTGTCGGTCGTCTCCTAACCCCTTGCGACAGGGGACTCGAGTACATGTCTATCGCTGGTTGAACAACGATGTTGCGCGAAAAGAGTCCGATAAGAAGGACCTCAAGTCCTTGCCGGAAATCAAAACGAAATCCGACTGGACCAAGAAAATACGACCTGGTAAGATTTGGAAAATTATAACGGGCAGAAGAAGGAATGCGCCGGCTTTCTAACACAGTGGTCACCAGGAATATCTTCTTTCGCCGATCGACCCGAAGCCGTTGGACCTGAACACCTTGCGGAACTTTTGGAACACGCTCTCAAGATTGTGCCGGACGATGCTATCAAGGAAACACCCATTTTTCTGCTCGCCACGGCGGGGATGCGACTACTCCCCGACCTGGAACGAGGCTTGCTATTGAATCAGATCTGCTCTTACGCCCGCGCGAACACCGACTTCTTGCTGCCCGACTGCGACGTTCACATCCAAGTGATTCAGGGAGACACGGAAGGCTTATACGGATGGGTGGCATCCAACTACTTGCTAGGCAGTTTCGATGCCCCGGATAAGCACGATCACGGCAAGGGTCACCACACATATGGTTTTTTGGACATGGGAGGCGCATCGGCGCAGATCGCATTTGCGCCTAACGCCACCGAGAGCGAGAAGCATGCGAACGACCTGACGCTGCTACGTTTGCGCAATGTCGATGGATCCGCCCAAGAACACCGGGTTTTCGTTACGTCTTGGCTGGAGTTTGGAGTGCGCGAGGCCCGTCGGCGTTATCTAGAATCGCTCCAGGCCGCCAGCGGAGTCGACACTGTCAAAGAACTTCCCGATCCTTGTCTACCAGCGGGGCTCCGAACCACTCTAGAAGGACAGACCGTTTCGTCAGACGAAGCACAAGCCAAAGAAATGTACCTTCTGGGAACCGGAAAGTTCGAGGAATGCCTTCGACAAACATTTCCTCTACTGGACAAGGACGCCCCGTGCCCCGATGCTCCTTGTCTCCTTCACGGGATCCACGTTCCTGCCATTGACTTTGACGTGAATCATTTCATCGGCATCAGCGAATACTGGCATACGACGCATGACATCTTCGAAATGGGACACAAGGACAAGGCGTACGACTTTAATACCTATCAAGATCGTGTCCTGGCCTTTTGCTCGCAGGACTGGAGTACTATCGAGGATGGCATTCACGAGCATAAGTGGGGGAAAAAACTGGATGTCGACAAGGCTCATGAGCTTTGCTTCAAAGCGTCGTGGATCATCAATGTGTTGCACGACGGAATCGGAATCCCTCGCGTGGGACTTGAGGATACGACAGGCTCTGGCCACAACGGAACCGAGGAAGTCATCCAAAAAGGCGAGGACCGGGGCTACCTGGATCCTTTCCAAGCAGTGAACAAGATCGACTCAACGGAAGTTAGTTGGACCCTGGGCAAGATGGTGCTGTACGCGTCTTCTCAGGTTCCCGTGGAAGTCGAAGAATCCCTGCCGGTCGGATTCGGAAGCAACGTTGCTGGTGTTCCCAACGACTTCCAGTACCCGAGTTCTGAGTTGATGCCCACGCCCCAGGGACCTCACACCACCTCGTGGCATGATGCCTTGTTCGAAGAAGCCTCATCTCGCCGAGCTCCTGGCTTTGTACTATTTTTGCTTATCATTGTCATGGCATTATTCTTCCTCTGTGGGCGGAGCCGTCGCCTGCGAGTGTACCACAAAGTCAACACCTGTCTCCACCGTCGCGGACCGTCCCACCCGAACCACCCCAAGAAGCGGAAGTTTTTCGGTGGCAAGTTACCATTCTTCGGCGGCCAACGAAGTCCTTCGTACGAGCGTGTCCTCGAGGATGGGGCTCATGAATTTGACTTGGGGGCCAGTCACTCCGGTCGCAGCTCGTTGGACGACAGTCGTTCCTCTGACGCTGATTCGGGCTTCATGCCACCTAAGCGCGCCGCCAGTTGGGGTAGCAGCACGCCGACTCTAAAGTTCGGACTGGACAACTCTTCGTCGGGGACCATCGGTCTAGGGATTACGGCGGGGTCTGCCATGGACCGGGCAGGCCTCGTCGTGAGGACTGAAAGTCGGGATCATCTGGCCCCGATAGCATTGGGACCTACGACGAACGGCCGGCGTTCAAGGACCGGCAGTCCGTCCAGGTCTCACCCGCATCGATCGCCAATCACGACCCCTTTGACGCAAGAATAATGCCCCATATAATGACCTTTTCCTTTTGTTTCCTTTCTCCATGCATATTTACGAGGAGTTATATTCACGCTTTTTGAACCAGAACCAATCATTGGCAGGGCAGCTGACACGAAGCAACCGAATAAGCCTTAAGTCAGCTTATCGGCAATCCTTCCATGTTTGATCACAGCTTTGTTTCAACTATCCTCCCTGTCTGATTGAACCACTGATTACTGGTCGCTTCTTACTTGTGGAGTTACATGGGCTGGCTAACCATTCCCATTTTTAATTGTCATCCGTCCTTTTTTCCGGAGTCAATTGTTCTGCACTGGTTGAGGATATATACGTTTAATGATGTTGTATGTATAATAGACTTTCCTTGTTTCGAACTTGAAACCTCACTTGGTAGCCTGGTCTTCAGGCTGTATAGGCACCCTTTGTTGGATAGTCAATTAAATATGAATATTGAATGAAGTATTTGTATCCTTTACAAAGGCAGCTAGTCCACTGTACTGTCTTGATTATTTGTATCTCTACATCACGAAATTTGCGGATTGAAAGTACGCAAGAATTCATCTCATGGACAGTTTCCATGTGCTCGCATGTATTTCTGCCCGAACTCATGGTCAAAGCTCAGCACTTCAAGCGCATCGAAGCGTCCAAAAGGCCCGTCTAGCCCTCGATGCCATTACGGCATACATACGCTATGGACGTAAAAGTTTGATGGAGGTCAATTAACCAGACTAATATACTATACTCTCTGCTCGGGCTCTATTTAGTGACGTGACCAGCTCAGGGCGCCTAGAAAGTAGCGAGGGGTAGATTGAAAACGGAAGAATTGAAGTATTGAGGTGTCTAAACAATGCAGCTGTAGAATTCTCGAGGGGTATGATAACAAAACAAGAATGGGTATGGATATAAAATGTTCGTAGGGTATACACAGCAAACCAGAAACAAAAGTAAAAAGTAAACACGCCTGTCAGCCAAATCCAAAACCAGGATCAGTATTCCGATCAGATCAGATCAGATCTAAAGACCAACAGGGCGGGTAGGAAGGGAGCATATAAACGCAGAAATCTATCACAACTTCGACCCCGTCGTGATATCCTTCCTGCGTTTCTGTCGCGACGACACATCCACGCTATCCTCGGGGTTCGGGCTCGCCGCGCTCTGGAACAAGATCCGGCCGACGGCGTCAGACATGAGGAGTACGCGCGAGGAGACGGTTGCGCCGTCGCGGCGGTTTTTGCTAGAGATCGTTAGTGTGCCGATCGTGGGCGCGTCAGGGAAGGGCGAACGCGAACTCACCCTTCACGTCGAGATTGGGCGATCAGCTCCATAAAGTCCCATAGACGGCCTCGGGCCAGGATGTTTCCAGTGGCGGGGTCTCGCTCGGGGGCCCATTCCGGAGCGATGCGCATGACGGGCGAGGCGCGGGATTCCTTGCCCCTCACGACAAGGATGATGCCCTCTTCGGCGAATCGCTGGTAGGAGTTCTTGAGGGTTTCTTTGTTGACGGCTTCGAAGTAGGAGAGGTCGCCTTGGTGGTAGAGGGTTTTGCCGAGCTAGGCTGGTTAGTTTGGGCAGAGAGGGATGGATAGGGGAAAGGGGCGTACAAGCTGGGCGTTATCTTGGGCCTTTTTCAGGTCGATCCAGACCTCTTTGGGTCCGTCGAGGGGAGGGGTGAGGCCGAGGAGGGATACGGTGCCGAGCCAAGAGGCCTCGATGAATGGCCAGATGAGGAAGCAGTAGAAGTCGTAGTTCTCTCGTCCGCATTTGCGTTCGGACTCGCTCAGCTCGACGTAAAGGGGCGTTCCTGAGGGTTCGCGGGTGACGGTGATCACGTCGTCTTTTTCGAGTCCTTGGATGGTTCGCTCCAGGTTGGTGGTTAATCCTTCTGGTGGGAAGATGAATTCTCCGCGGAAGAGCTGGGCGTGTTAGCAGAATCCTTACTATTGTCTGACAGTACATACCTGTGACAAAAAGGAGACTTGGCTCAAGAGATCCGCATAGGTGATACGTTGGTATGACGGACCACCGCCTTGCTTGATCCGTGTGTACATAGCTGCAGATACCAATGCCTCGGTGATGAACAAGTGGATGGTCATGTTCCGATAGAATGAGAGCTGGAACCGGTCCACGGCATAGTAGGTCGGCTCTACCAGACCATCTATTTCGCCCACGATCTGATGCCCCAACACTTCGATTGCGCGGTCAACGACCACTTCCGTAGGATATCGATAGAAATGCGCCACTCGGCCTCCTTTTCCGCGAACGCGCTCGCAGAGCCATTCGACTCGTCGTACCAGTTCTCCCTTGCCGACTCCGCGTCCACGGAGCGTCAACAGAACAGTTCCCACCAGGGCAGTAGGCATCATGACGGACACGTCGTTGATGTCGGAAAGCACCCGGTAGCCCAAGGCACGAAGTATCCGGCCCCTTTCTTTTTGATTCGGCTGAGAGCCACCGTTGGGATCGATCTGATTCGGCAACCGGGTCAATTGCTGACCAATGAACTCTTTGAGACTCCACGGCTCGTGGAACCGGACATCCACTCGTCCTAGCTGTAGCGAGAGGACAGAAGATGCGGACAGGAAATCTGCAAGGTTCTCTTTCGGTTTTGGTTGGCCGAGCAGTTCACTGATATATGACCTGAAAAATGTTAACAGTGGCACAAACAGGCAATGGAGTGTCATACTCAGTCTCGATAACCTTGTCATACTGCGTGCTGACAGGACAAATGATAGTGTCATCAACACGTCCCGATATAACGCTGTCCAGGATGAAACTGAGAATTCCGAATTTCGGGGACAACAGCTTTCCCGTTCTAGATCTTCCACCTTCGATGAAACACTCGAAATTGAACCCCTGCTGCAAAAGCGTGTCGATATACGCCTGCACGACAGTATGATACAACGGGTCGTTTCCAAAGCTTCTCCGAATCCACATAGCCCCTAAGTCGGTCAGCAAGAGCAAGCCCCAGCGCACAGCCAGTCTTACCTGCATGCTGCAAGAATGGCCCCAGCATGGGAATATTGAGGTTATCACCGGCAACCACCACCGGAAGGCCAATTCCCAGACGATAGCAAATAAGCTGCAGAGAAACGTAGTCCACGTGGGACTTGTGGCACGGCAAGAAGACAGTCGACTGCTTCTTCCTGGAAGCCTCCTCGGCGACCGATCGTAACCGCAAGACCTCTTCGCTCGACACATGTATACCTACGTAGGTTCAATCAGCCATTGACCAATAAAACACCAACCAAACCGACCTTGATGATACGCGCGCGTCAGAAGCTGCGTACACAGATAGTACGCGCCGCGAATAAACCGCTTGCTCTCCATCTTGCAGATCATATTATCCAGCATGGAATCCACCACCTCTTTCAAGTTACTCTCGAGTTCATTCCGACGCTGCACTCTGCGCCTGTCCAACGGCCCCTCTCTTATATCTAGTAACCCTTCCTTCTCCTCGACGGCCAGCCGCACCTCGGCCAATTCCGTGACCTTCCCGCGCAGCATGGGACTGGCGAGGATGTTCGCCTTCATGCGTTCCGAAAAGCCATTGTAGAAGATGGGCTGGCCGATCACGTCGTCGTAGGCGCGCCACCCGGTGCCGGACATGTAGAGGCTCACTTCGCGCAGGAAGTCGAAGGGGTTCTCGCGGAAGCGCGCCATGTGGTGCACGAGATTGCGCTCGGTGATCTGGTCATCTTGCGGCTCGGGCCCGCCGGTGAATCCGCTCGGGTGGATGGTAAGCTGGTTCCCGACGATCTCGAGATCAGGGGCCGACTGTTCGACCGGCGGCTTTTCCGACGGCATCGTTTACCGGTGGCGGCAAACAAGTTGGGTTCGGAGGGTTCAACAGGATTGGTGGCGGCAGGAATGGTCAGGGGGTTGTCGTCAGTCAGGGCAGACGGGGAGATGATCGAGGGCCATTGAAGGGGCGAGTTGAGAAGAGCAAAGTAGATTGAATGCAACTGAGGGGAAAGCTGGGCGATCAATCCCAACAAAACGTACGATCATCCCCGGCTTTTTCCCCGGACTCGTGCCTCGGCCGGTCACGTGGGGATGCGGTATCGTCCCGATACGCCGATACCGCGCGGTATCAACCATGCCCGATCGGGTAAATCTGCACTACGCCGTTGGGGGCCGCGTCGATTCTGCTGTTGACATCACCTGGGAATGGGCCTTCTGTCTTCCTATTCCTTAGTGCCGAAACACCGTCTTCATTTTAACTCATCTTTTTTCTCTCATATAAGCAAAACGCCATGAAGCTCCACGGGGCGGCCATTGCCCTTACGCTGGCCAGCTCAGTTCAGGCCTACAGTCCTGAAGGTACTTGCTACAGACAACTCGGGGACTCCATGCAACCCCATAACACATACACCTACCAGATGCCCACTCTCAGCATGAGGGTCTGCGGCCAGCAGGGCCATCGCTACGTGGCGATTCGGGGTGTAGAGTGCTACTGCGGCAGCTCGAAACCACCCGAGAAGTTCGAGGTTTCGTTGGAGAATTGCGATACGCCGTGTCGGGGGTGGCCGAGTGATAAATGTGAGCATATCTAAGTTCTGCAATATCGAGTACACGGGACATAATAGCATTGATTGGAGCATTCAACTGATGGCTTACAGGCGGCGGCAAAAAAGCCTGGTCGGTTTACTCTACGGAGCATTTCTTTAAGCCGCGCTCTTCGTCTTCGAGGACGAGTACGACGAGCATGAGTGAGAAAGCTAGCTCGACTTCGGAGGTTTAGGCTACGTCCGATGGTCCAACAAGCTCTTCGCCAAGTGCGGTGGACAGCACATCGACCGGCGAGACTCCTGCATCTACATCCGGAGCTCTTCGTGGCCTTGCTTCCCTAGTGCCTGAGGCGGTTCATAACTTTGCTGCCTTCGTTGAGGCTCAGGTACTAAGGGTGCAAGTGAACGAATAGTCGCGAGCAGCTACGGGTATGATTCTAGTTGGTCGATTTGGGATTTATGGCGGAGTTAGGTTTAATCGTGATGACCGATATATATAGTGGTAAGGGCTACGACGACTCATAGACTGGGCATGTATTAATATTAAGACAACTCAAACACACCCTCGAAACTCATGTACAGTATAGAACAAGAAACAATCAAGAAACAATCAACCAAGTCTATAAAAGACATGGTCAAGAGCAGCTACGTTCCTGAACATTTATGCAACCATGCGCATAAAATACACAACAGAGTCCGCATGACAATACAAAACATGACTGTCTATCTTATCACCACGTGACCAACAGCTGACCGCATTTCCGCCCGCCGAAGCCGAAAGAGGCAGTGTTTGCTCAGCGCGCAAACCGCCACCCGCAGAGCAAACCGTTGAGTTTCGAACTCTCGTTCGAACCTCCTTTTCTATAAACCCACCATGTTTCGCTGGACGAGAGCCTTCCAACGTATGACTCCCGACTCACTCTAACCTATCCAATCCATCCACACCCCACCACTCAATCCATTGATCAATCTAACAAACCAAAAAGCAACCATCTCGCGACTCACAAAACCCCCCACCATGTCGATGTCCACCGCAGCCTCGCCCTCCCCCATCCAAGTCTTCCGCGACCCCTCCCCCCTCCGCCAATGGCGCCGGCAGCTCCTCCTCTCGAACAAAAGCCTCGGGTTCGTGCCGACCATGGGCGCGCTCCACGAAGGCCACCTCTCGCTGATGCGCCAAGCCGCCGCTGAGAACACCGACATCCTCGTCAGCATCTACGTCAACCCGACGCAGTTCGGCGTGAACGAGGATCTGTCGAGCTACCCGCGCACATGGGACAGCGACGTCGCGAAGCTGCAGGCGCTGAACGCCGAGCTGGACGCGCAGGGCAAAGCCGGGGGCCGAGTCAGTGCGATCCTGGCGCCGACGAGCCGTGTGATGTATCCGAGTCTGCCGCCGAGTTCGGAAGTCGATGGCGATGGGTCCTTTGTGACGATTACGCCGATCTCGAGACGGTTGGAGGGCGCGTCCAGGCCGGTGTTCTTCCGTGGCGTGGCCACCGTGTGCATGAAGTTGTTTAATCTGGCGGCGGCGGATAGGGCTTATTTCGGACAGAAGGACGTGCAGCAGACGGTGGTGATTAAGCGTATGGTGAAGGATTTTCACATCGATACGGAGGTGCGCATCGGGGCGACGGTGCGCGAGGAGGACGGGCTGGCGATGAGTTCAAGGAATGTGTATCTTGGGGAGAGGAGGAGGGCGGTGGGATTGGTGCTGTATCGGGCGCTGAGGGCGGCTGAGGAGGCGTATGCATCTGGGAAGACGAGGAGGGAGGAGATTCTTGGTGCGGCGAATGAGGTGGCGCAGGGGGTGTTGGCGGAGCAGCAGGCTCTGAGCCCATCGGAGAGGGCGCTATACGAGGTGGATTATATCTCGTTGGCGGATCCAGAGAGTCTGGATGAACTGGAGGTGGTGGATGCGGCGCAGGGGGCGATTCTGAGCGGCGCGGTGAAGATGGCGCCGCTGGAGGAGTCGCGCGAGGGTGAGGATTGCGGGCTGGGCGATGGGCAGGTGCCGGTGAGGCTGATTGACAACTTGATCATGAAGCCTCTTGTATCTTAGGAATCCGGCGATGCGATGTACAATATCAACCTGAATATAATACCCAAGTACTAGAAGACCAAACAGGAAATTAGGGCACGATCGCAGGGCTCGGAAGCAAATCGGGCCGGCAGAAATTTCCCGTGCCGGCGGCCTCAGGCAGTCAGGCCCAGACATCGGACCCATAAAAAAAAAGTTACTCCAAGCCGCAACACCGACAACCACCAGACAACTCCCCTACCTCCCTCTCGAATCACTACCAACAGAGAAAATGGCCGACGACGGCCTCCTCCTCAACTTCTCCATCCCCGGAGACAACGACTTCACCAAACCCGAACCCAAGCTGAAAGGCGGTACGTGGAAGGACCGACTCAGCGCGAAGAAGAAAGCGCAGCATCGCGCAAAGAAGCCGCGCGATGGCGATGACTCGAACTCGAACGCGAACGCCGACCGTCCGGTGCGCAATCCGAACCGCATCCAGGTGAACAGCGACTCGAGACCGCAGAAAAGACAGCGGACAGACGGAGGATTTGAGGGGAAGCCGCAGGGACAGGGACACGGAAAGGGACAGAAGAATCAGCATCCGCGACAATTCATCTCGTCGCTATTCTCGAAGAACCCCGAGGCGCAGAATGTGGAAGATGAGGATGTCAAGGACAAGGACCAGGACGTGGAGGACGCCAAGCCGACGAATGCGCCGCTGATCGACGGACTCGATACATTTACGAACCTGGGACTGTCTCCGACCCTGGCGGCGCATTTGCTGACGAAGCTGGAGCTCAAGGCGCCGACGGCGATTCAGAAGGCGTCGATATCGCAGCTCCTGAAAGACGAGGACAGCGATGCTTTCATCCAGGCGGAGACCGGTTCCGGAAAGACGCTGGCGTATCTGCTGCCGTTGGTTCAGCGGATCATGGCGCTGTCGCAGTCTCAGAAGAAGAGGACCGCCAGCCAGGCGGAGGGCAGCGAAGGCGATGTAAATGTGCACCGCGATAGTGGGCTGTTTGCGATCATTTTGGCGCCGACGCGTGAGCTGTGCAAGCAGATCTCGGTGGTGCTGGAGGGTCTACTACGGTGCGCGCATTGGATCGTGGCAGGTACGGTGATCGGAGGAGAGAAGAAGAAGTCGGAGAAGGCGAGGCTGCGCAAAGGGCTGAACATCCTGGTGGCGACGCCGGGTCGATTGGCGGATCACCTCGACAACACGCAGGTGTTGGATGTCAGCAACGTGCGGTGGTTGGTGCTGGACGAGGGAGATCGGTTGATGGAGCTGGGATTCGAGCAGGAGCTGCAGGGCATCATCCAGAAGCTGGACGCGCGACAACGGCCTAGTCGCATCCCCGGGGTTCCGACGAAGCGGACGACGGTCCTCTGCTCGGCGACGCTGAAGATGAACGTGCAGAAGCTGGGCGAGATCAGTCTGAAGGACGCGATCCACGTCAAGGCGAACCCAGAAGACGAGGACGGTGAGCCCAAGAAGAACGAAGACGAGGCATTCCGGGTCCCCGCGCAGCTGAAGCAATCCTACGCGATTGTCGCAGCCAAGCTGAGACTGGTCACGCTGACGGCGTTCCTGAAACGCACGTTCATGCGAAAGGGCTCCGTCATGAAGGCCATCGTGTTCGTGACCTGCGCCGACTCGGTCGACTTCCATTTCGAACTCTTCACCCGAAACCACTACTCGCGCGAGGACGCCAAACGAAAAAGCTCCTCCAGCGACAAGGAAGACTCAGACTCGGACTCAGACGAAAACAACTCCTCTAACGACAACGACGACGCCAGAGCGAAACTCTCCCCCCACGGCACCATCGCCCCCGCCACAGCCTTCTCCACCAAAACCAACCCCGTCACGCTGCACAAACTCCACGGCTCGCTGCCCCAGCACGTCCGAACCTCGACCCTCACCTCGTTCGCGCGCAGCCGCGACCCCTCCGTCCTGATCTGCACAGACGTCGCCTCCCGCGGTCTCGATCTCCCCAACGTCGACCTCGTCGTGGAATACGACCCCGCCTTCAGCGCAGACGACCACACGCACCGCATCGGGCGCACAGCCCGTCTCGGCCGCGACGGCCGCGCACTCATCTTCCTGCAGCCCGGCTGCGAGGAGAACTACGTGGAGGTGCTGAAGCGCGGATACCGGGACGGGGGGAAGGCGCTGACACGCACCACAGCCGCGGACATCATCCAGCGCGGGTTCAGCGGCAACATCCAATCCGAGGGCAAGAACTGGGAGGAGAAAGCCACCGACTTCCAGATCGACATCGAGCGCTGGGCCCTCGACAACCCGGAGTATCTGGAGATGGCGCGTCGGGCGTACCAGTCGCACATCCGCGCGTATGCGACGCACATCGCCAACGAGCGCAGCATGTTCAACATCAAGGAGCTGCATTTGGGCCATTTGGCGAAGGCGTTTGCGCTGCGCGATCGGCCTAGTAAGATCAATGTGCCGGGTCTGCGGCCGGGGCAGGAGGACACGAAGAAGGATTTCAAGGCCGAGCGCAAGACCGGCTCGGCTGGGAAGAAGAGGAAGGGTGGTGTGGGTGGTCGCGACGACGATGATGATGTCCCTCGCATATCGGATACAGCCAGTGCGGCGCGCCTCATGAGAGCCAAGGTCAAGGAGCAGATGGCGGGTGCGAATGAATTCAACCTGGCTTGATCTATGGGGGTGGTTGCAATCGTTGACTTGACTTGACTTGACCTGACTTGTAATGTACATAGGTATATAGCATTGACGAAGCCAAAAGTAATTTCTTTCCATTCAATTGAGTCCTTTCAATAGACGTCCCACAACGAGATCTTCCCGTCTTTAGACCCAGCCGCTAACCAATGTGTTTTTTGGACCTTGTGGTTCCGTTGCTGCTGGACAGTCGCGAGTGAGAATTCTTGAGACATGCTCCCTGCCTCTGCCTCCGACCCTGAATCTGCTACCTGCCCCCTAGAACGACCCTCACCTTCAACACCTGCAAACGCCACCGCATAACACCCCTCCTTATGCCACTTCAAAACCGCCAGCTCCTTCATTGTCTTACACGAATACACCCGCACGCGAGAGTCCCACCCCGCGGTGGCAAAGATCTTCCCGTCGTCTCGAATCCGAAGACCCTGCTGTCCTGCATGCTTCGTATTCACCGTCTTCAGCGCTTTGCCTTCCCCAGCAGGAGCAGAAGAAATAACATCCCCAGGAACCGGATGTTTCATAAGCACCGCATCCGCGCCAGACGAGAGAATATAGCCTCCTGAGGCAGAGATATCGATCGACAAGACGGGTTGCGTGTGAGCGCGTGATACGTACAGGGTTTCCCAGTCCCACTTCTTATTCCATGGGGACTGGTTAGAGGGCTGAGTTGGGTTCCAGGCCTTGAAGATCCCGCGACATTTGAAGACCATCACGTGGCCGTCTTCGTAGCCTGATGCGGCGTAGAGATCGCCCGTGTGCGAGGGGCCCAGGAAGAGTTCCACGGCCATGACCATCCCCGGCTTGATGCTTTCCGGGGGCGGGATCGTGCAGACTCGTCGCTCGAGCGGGAGATGGAAGAGGTCGATGGCGCCGGAGTCGAGGGCGTTGGGGGCTGCGAGGAGGCGGTTGGATGAGGTTTTGTTAGGTGGTGTTTCCTCGTCCGGGGGGTGTGTTGTGTTTGTTGGAGGTGTTGAAGTAGATGGTTCTGTTTGGGACTGTGCTTGTGCTTGTGCTTGTTCTTCTGGATGCGTCTGCGTATCTGCCTTCTCCGACCCCGTAAAGGAGGAGCCATCAACGAACAAGATCGAAAACGCACAGAAATTCAACGCATTAACAGGTAGCGAATGCACCATCCACGGCTGACGGCCTTCATCCCCTCGCTCCCTCCCCTCGTTCGCATCCACAGGGAGCGTCCTCTGCAAGACAGGCTCATCCTGCGCGCGGATATTCCACACCCGAAGTTTATGGTCTCGGCCGTGACTATCATATATTAGCTTCGTCTACGTTACTCCACGAGAATAGCCAAGCCAAGCGATCCAACACAGCCCTCTACACAGAGCATAGCATAGAGCAATGAAAGACAGGGAATACAAACCTATACACCTGGACCCCTTCAGCCACAGAGAATGCCCTAACCTGAAGAATAGCGCTCTCGTGGCCCTTCCACGCCGCGACGGGCCTTTTCGACACTAAATCCCATACCACGATCCAGCCGTCCGCGTCGGCGGAGATCAGACGCAGGTTGTGCTGGAAGATGTGTAGGCTGTGGATGGCGGAGGCGTGGCCGCGCAGGATGTACGTTGGGGTTAGGGGGGGGTTCATTTATTTTCTTATAGAATGAGATAGAGAAAAGATTGGTTGAATAGATAAAGAAGATGGAGATGATCGAGGGGGTATAGATTGTGGTTGATGGAATCTGCGGATGTTGAATGGAGAAGCGAAGATCTTGGGATCATCCGGTCGAGTCTTGGCATTGGCGGGTCGGATCTACTGGTTGCCCTTTCATCTCATCTTCACCTCTTCGTCATTTTAATCTCATCGTCGTTGACCTCATTTTCATCAAATTCCTTTCTTCGTCAAGCCATGATGTCAAATCGTCTGGATACTGATCACTCGCTCAGTCACTTTGACCATCAACTTACCCCATCATAAGATCCAGAGCGTCTAGATACTCTGTCTTCTGTAATGACGGAAACAACGCAATCTGGTTCTTTCCTTAATTGAGCATCTAGTACAAGGTGAAGAAACCCCCTCGACTTTAGAATAAGTCCCTCTACCTATAAATGCGACTTTGAATTCCTCGTCCCCTGCGGAATAACTGCGATGCGTACGTGGATTTGTCGAGAAAAACCGCGCAATCCTCTGACCCCTAGATACTCATAACTAGAACTCCTCGGCTGGGGCAAGCTCCATGCGCGCCATAAACATCGTCGCAAGACGCCTCAGCCCCTCAAGACTGTACTCGAAGATGTCATTTGGATCGTGGTTATCGACCGAATTCCTCCCGAATAACTGACGGCGTGTGACCTTGACGACATCATTTTGCCCAGTTCCATCTAGAGGTCGGGGGAAGATAACCTGCGAAGCATCAGATCATAGTTCCAACCCACTAAGCTATCCATCCATGAACCAAGGCAGGAAACTTACTAGCTCTGCTCCCCATCGAACAGGCTTCCCATCTTCACCCAAGACATAGACCTCCAGTATGCCACTAACATGCACTCCATCTGCATGTATCCTCCACCTGGCTATGAAGACCACTTGGATCTCGCCCTCGCCACCGATGAGTAGCAGGTCCTTATCATTCTGCATTTCCGGAAGACTCTCCTCCCACCCGCTCTGCATGACAATCGGAGGTAGGACCTGGGCCCCAGGAAGAACGAATAAATCCGGGTCTTTACGTGAGCCGCGGTATGGTCCTGAATCAAACCCGAGTGCTAAATAGATCAGCATCAGCGTCAGTCCGAGCTCTCTGAGCCGTGAGCACAAGCATACTCGTCCCAACAAACGGCCTCAGATACTTCAATTCGTCTAGCGAAATCATCCCATGACCCATCCAGCTTATCATTACATCCCGATTCCACACCTGGATACAGTCATGCAGGAAGTTCGGCATGATCTTTACCCAGAAAGTGTGCGTTACTGAGTTATACGTTTTTCTGACAACCCATATCCATGTAGTAAATAAATACCCTTCATTAAAGGAGGAAGGAGAAGAGAGGAGGATTAAACGAACCGAAGACTCCTCTCCTCTTCTCCCTGCTCAAGCACGTCCCAAGTATCATGCGCCCAGGTTTCATTCACGTCTAGGTACACGAGGTGAAGATCGTGCTCGGCTGATGTGATCTGGTCCAAGAGGTGGGCGAGGAAGTCATCGTATTTGGGGAATAGCGAGGCTGAGAGTCTGAGGACTGAGTCTGACATTTTGGTGTCTGGGTCTGTTTGTATGGAAGTTGAGAGGTGATGTTATGAGGAAGAGGGGCTTTGAAGTTGGAGAGGTGGTGTTTCTATTGGGACAGCGTCATAGGAGAGTCATAGAACTCAACTTTCGGGATTATAGAAGAAGGTTTAGTAGAGGAGACGTTCGAGATAGGATTCCCTTAGAACTATCAAACTTGATCCCCGATAAAGTCATTGAGTCCCTCAATATACTTACTGGTATCATATAAAACCCTTTACACAATGATCCGAAAACGCCCCATACAGATAGGATATATACAGAGCCCACTAAACTAGCTCGATTGCGGCTAACCCCTCGGCTTAACATAAATCCCCTGATACGGATGACTCTCCAAGTCAAAGTCCGCGAACGCCAGCAACGGATTCACCACGACCGGAGAATGCAGCTTCAGCATGGCCGACGGGTCCGGATCAGGGGTGAATGCGTGGTCACCGAACAGACTATCCACCTCAACTCCGACGCCCACGCCCACGCCAACCCCGACATTGTGTCCGTGGGCATGCACAGTCCATCCCCAAGCCTCCTGCAGCTCCTCTTTGATGTGCTCGACCGGGCAGCCGGTCTCTTTGATGCGGTCGATCGTGGTGAGGATCTCGTCCTGCGCGTCGCGGGTGGCGAGGCAGGAGGCGGCGATGAAGAGGAAGCGGGTGCAGAGGGTGGAGATTCCGCTGATGATTGATGTTAGTGAGGAATTCTGAGGTTAGGGTGGTTGAGGAGACGCACCGGTCTTTGGTATGCGCTATGATGCCGCAGATATCGTGCGCATGGCTCTGCTGCACGCTCTGCATCTCGGGACTGTATTCTGATTCTAGCGGGTGGATCTTGGTCAGGAGGATGCGAGCGGTGTGGTAGAGGAGTCTAGCGATGATGGACGATCGTTTGATCAGCCTAGCAAGTTAGCAGTTAAATCAGCAAGTAGGTTGCGATTTCATCCTGCGTAACATACCATATTTCCGGGAACACGGATTTCGAATGCGTCTGCCACGGCTGCAGGTAGCCAAGCGGCGTCATGGAACGTGGCACGGCATTTGCCCACTGGTCGCACCACTCGCTGTACGTGCACCAGTCTCGATACCATTGGTCGATCTGCGCGGTGGAGTGATCGAGGCCCTGGACGTGGGAGAAGGAGGATCGGAAGTTGGCGACCTTCGCGCAGATGTAAACCATGCGGTGGGTCCAGAGTTCCTCGTTCCCGGCGACGCTGGGCTGCGTCTGCTCCATGTTCATATCGACGCCCCAAGTGTCGGGATCCCAAGTTAATGCCCAGTTGAAGTGCAGACAGCTGAGCAGCTCCAAACTGATGTTCAGCCAGAAGCACGCCCCGCCGAGACCTTGGCTGGTTGCGTCCCATCGACATTCCTTGACCAGAGCCCTTGCGCCGGCGACGTGGTTCATGCCGTGGACTGAGAGGGTCGACCGGGAGCACATCGACTCGTAGACATTCAATATAACAGCGGTCGTGGCACAGAGGACGGAATCGCGATCCGGGTCCTGTAACATGCTGAGAAGATCTTGCGATGCCAGGTCATGGAAATAGGACGCCTTGCCCTCGCCGTATGAAGGATTCACATGGAAGAGGTGGCGAGCACCGCAGGCCATGAACGCCTTGAGGAGCATCGGTTCCTCCAGCGCATGGAACGGCAGAATGTTCGTAAACTTCGAAATCAGCCACAGCTCAGCTTATACAGGCCAATGACTTACATGCTTCGTTTCGTCCATCGAATCCATCCACGGGCCCACCTGCTCGACAAACGTCTGCACCAAAAACACTTCTTCCGGATTGCTCAAACACGCATTACTGGCCCCTCGCCCCTGCTTCGCCGATCTAAACGGCGCAAAAGATGCACTCCTATCCGGCACCAGCTGAGGCGTTGACACCGAACGCCCGTTCGGCGAGTACGCGACCCCCTCAGACTGACCCATCCCCAGACCCGACCTCCCCGCCCCCGTCGTATTATACCGCCCCGACAGCGGGGGACTGACCAGACTGTCCCTATCCACGGACACCTCCACCGTCGGTGGCGGATACCTCTCAAACCCACCCACATACTCGGACGCAATATGCCTGGACTCATCCCGAAACGAGACCCGATGCCCAGGTTCCGGGGTCAAGTCATTCGGCGGCTTGACGACCTGCGTATCGATGAAATTCAGCCTCACGCCGCGGCGACACACGCGGCCGGACTTGCGACAGTTCTGGCACCGATGCAGCGCCTCGTCGCATTTCAAGTGCCGCTCGCGACAGGTCAAGCAGCCGGTGCGCACGCGGCGGGACTTCCGGATGACGGCTTCGCGGCGCCGCGTGGTGTCGCTGCCGGGGGTGCGGGATGCGCTCACCGCGCTATTCGGCGTCGGAGTGTCCTCGTCTTCGCGAGCGGCCTCCCCCGCGGGGTTGTCGGACAGTGAGACGCTGTCGTTGGACATCTCGATGCCGAGGATTTCGCCTGCGCCGGGCAGGTCCATGGCGATGTCTAGGTCCAGGGCGGGGAAGACATGGTTGTCCATGGCAGAGGCCATGGTTGTGACGATGGGCCTTGTGACCTCAATGTGATCCAGTCCCGGTTCTTGTGTGTGCCTCGCTATCAGCCCTTTAAGCTATGATGCTTGCGCATCTTGACGACCGAGGATGTCCTATCTGTTCGAGACTCCGCTGTCTGGCTGGAGGGGTATACGTGGCGATAGGCAGGTGAGGATGGATCGATCGATGGATAACGAGAAGATAAGCTGAGAATACAACGACGAGACAATCCGATCATTGAACGGCGATTTCTGGGGTCGAACACTGGAGCGGTTAGCAGCTGCGGAGATGCCACGTTCGCGGAAACCGAAGACCAAGCCAGTCGCTTACCGAGAGCAACGAATGCGATTCTCAACCGTGCCTAGGGACCAAATAGAATGAACTCAGCCGATGCTGCAGAATTGCTGGTAAGCGACGTGAAGAGAGAAAGAAAGTCGAGTCGCTCGAAAGATTCGCGGGGAATCCCGACCGCCGGCTAAACCCGGAAGAGTCTAGCGGCTGCCGTCGGATCTGATAATCGATGGGATTGACAAGTATAACTTCTTCTAAGTATAACTTCATGGACACTTCCTTTTATTGATGGTTCATTTTATACAGTCATTCTGTTCATATCATGAAAATCACTTTTGTCTAGATCTCTTCAGAATCTCTCATACATCATGCAAATGCTGAAATACACCCTTGCTGCACTAGCTACCGGAACCAAAGAAACTACCACTTACAGAACATAAGACCAGCAAACTCTGCTGGAAAATATCTCAGTCTAGGCCTTACTGCCCAATCGAGGCAACCGCAGTCGAAAATGCATGAACAGCATCATTGCGCCCCAGAGTGCCGCAGACCCGAAGGTGACACGAAGGGCGGCGGCATACGCTGCAATCACTGCAATCCGTTAGCAAACATGACTCACACGGGACTTGCATCCATGCAAGGGAGTCCCGGAAGACTGGGAGCAACTGACCTTGCTGCTGATGGACAGGGTCCAATGTGGCGACGGCCTGGACGGACTTGCGCACCAGGAAGATGATGTGCTCTTTTTCGGGTCCGGTGACGAGCCGCTCGAGGTGGTAGACCAGTGTGTTCTGGAAGATCCAGCTGCTGGTGGCCACGCCCATCACGGAGCCCAGGTTGCGCCATAAGCCCAGCGTGGTTGTTGCCACGGCCTGCTCGTCGTGCTCGCTTGTCGCCAGCACTGAGACCATCAGCGAGGGGAAGGAGAATCCTTGCCCGAGGCTGGAAAGGGAGACGCAGATCATGGCGATGGCGTCCGGGGTGCCCATGTTCATCGCGGCTGCGGCACAACCGCCCAGGAAAAGAAAGACATCTCCGATAATCACCGTCGGCTTCAGACGTTTCGACCAGGTGATTAGAAAGCCAGTCGAAACACTGGACACGGTGACGGCCAGAGTAGCTGCCACCAGGCGGAGTCCCGACTCGGTCGGGGTGGCCAGTTTGACGGCTTGGAAATACAAGGGCGCGTTAAAAACCATGGTGTTTACGGATATGGAGCCGAAAAAGTTGCCGAAGATGAGATTCGCACGAGGCTGCCTCGACAAGAACGAGATGGGCATGACGGCACGCTCCACGGTGCGTTCATAACGCACAAACACAAAAGCCAAGACGAAAGCCATCACCAAGGACGTGATCACGACGGGATGCGTCCAGCTGTAGACGTTTCCGCCCAGGTTGAGGCCCATGATCAGCGACGTGACCGCCAGGACCAAGAACAACGAACCCACCAGGTCGATTTGCTTGATCAACTGACGTAAAGACAAGCGTTCGGCCCTGGCCCTCTTCAGGCCCAGATCGGCGGGGGTGGTCCACGCTGCGACAATAAAGTAGACGAAGATAAAGGGCAGCTGGACGTAGAACGCACCTCTCCATCCGATCTGATCGCATAGATATCCACCGAAGGCAAGGCCTAGGCAACCTCCGACCCCGAGGAACAGGTTGATGTAGGACTGGTAGACACCACGGTATTCGATGCGCACCAAGTCGCTGGACAGGATCATGCCCATGGAAAAGACGCCGCCGGCTCCCAGTCCGCAAAAGGCGCGGGCGGCGATGAAGCTGCCGATGCTCTGAGCAGAGCCGCACCACGCCGTCGTCACAAAAAAGATGGCGATCGCGAACAGGTAGACGGGCTTCCTGCCGAAGGTGTCGGAGATGCGCCCGAACAGAGGCAGGAAGGCAGTCGAGGTCAATAGGAAGGCCGTGGACAGCCACGACGCCGCGTTGGAGGCGTGGAAATGCGAGGTAATCACCGGGTGACTGGAGGCCATCAGGGTCGAGTCAAAGAAGCCGATGACATAGCCCATCAAGATGCCGGAGAAGATCAGCCAGAACCTCACGGGCGAGACGTTCATAAAACGCGACGCATAGCCGGAGCTTTCACTGGGGGCGCTCCCTTCAGGATCCGTCGGGGCGGGCTTCGTGATGGAAGGAATGCGCTCGAGATTCGGCTCGATTTCTAATCCCTGAGGGACCGAATTCACGCGAGAGAGACTGAGGAGAGTGGGATCATCGTCGGACGACAGCACGGTGGACGATCCATTATCGGTCGCGGCGTTGACTTCGCCAGAGTAGGAGGGCAAGTGAGAGGAATCACTGTTTAATAGCGGGGTTGACTCGCTGATAGAAGCGCCCCGAGGCTCCCGCGAGGTTCCTGGCATTCCTGAGCGGTGGAGAAGTTGAAGGAGATTTCAGGAGAAGGAAGTGAAGGGTTTGATGGCTAAGAATTCACCCCCAGAAGACAAACATCCAACAGGACTGTTGTCAAAGTTTTCTATCTTGCCGGCCAAACCAGAAAAGCAGAGAAATTTATAGAGCGACGACGATATACCGACCGACGACGCTAATGCAGCGCACTGGAGTATGACTCGATTCCACTGCAGTGATATTGGGGATCCACTTGCTGGTTTTGCCGTGGGGATTCAATCCAAGAATCAGGATGTTTGATCGCAAAGTCCTAAAATCGGATTAATTTATAAGCAATCAAATCCTCAGCAATCCTCTTCGCATTCACATCCAGCCTGGTAGCAATTTCTCGCGCACAATAGAACTGTATAAAGATTTTTAACAAAAAGAAAAGAAAAATCCCCCAACGCAACCCCTCTCGACAGACGCTAAAATCGCAGAGACTAATGCTTTAGTCCAACCAGGCGCGTTTCCCGTCCAAAAGAATCCACATCGCTGATTGATCAGAACAAGCTAACATTGTGTCATCGGACCTACTGTCGCATGCAGCATTGGTCTCGCTTGGAGGATATCGCGGGAATGAAGCAGGGAGGTATTTCCTGGTGGACTGAGAGTCATCGGATTGGTTTTTCTTTTTCTTTTGTTTGGTTTTGAGAGACTATTTATGACTGAAAAAGATGGACGAGGGTTGACGAGGTCAGGTGATTTTGTCCTCGTTTTTAATATTTTATTTGATTTCAACTCTTCAACGATTTGAAATATCCCAATTAGTAGTCTAGCCAGAAAGGATGAATAAGAATCACCAGAAGAATCTTAAATCGACCTCGCTGTCATGGTTTTACCGGTCTGCGTGGCCTAGACGAAGCTCGGTCGGTCGCGTCGGATAGGGATCTATAGACAGCTGTACCTATTAACTCTGCGAAAATTTGTCGTTCCATGCTCTTGAAAAATTCCTTATACGCATATATGCCATTAGAATACCTCCATTTCCTTCACAAGCTATAAACGTTTAAGATCTATCAAATACAGCAGTGTTTGTTGTCCAATTATTTCGTTGTCTCCCCGACCACATAACCCCCCTTGCCCGAAGCCTCCACCGTGCCATCTTGCACGCCTTGCTCTTCGTCTTGGACTGCGCTGGGCGCGACTTTATCATGCTCAATCGGCGTATGGTTCTTAACGACCAACCAGGTAGGGAACACCGCAATTCCTGTGAAAATCACGTATCAGAATGTGCTTCAATTCTAGAGTAAATGGTTGGATGCGAACATACCCAGAAGGATAGTATTGACCGCAAGAGGAACTCTACCCCCGTGCCAGTTGCGCGTGTTAATGCCGAAGGAAATGGCCTGCGCGAAACTCTCCTGACCGCGCAGAATACCGGATAACCGGGCTGGGATGATTAGCGTCGTCCACGCAAAAGAACAAGAGCAAAAGAATAACATACACAGCTCGGAGATATTATCCGTCATCGTCGAGAGGAGATAGTACAGCAAATTCTGCAGGGCCTGTTGAGTGAAACCTAGATCGGGTTAGCTGTGTTGTCTGGCGAAGAAAGGAATGCCATACCCCATAGGATCAGGACGAAGAATCCCTCCACGAAGCCTTTGTCGGTCCAGTCGTAGGATGGCGGGTTGGCGGTGTATTTCTCTTGGACCACCCAGGCGTAGACCCAGGCGATGATGTGGATGACGACCACGTAGTAGAAACTATGCCCGTTAGATTTCGAGGTTCATGGGATAGGGGTTTGATTCGTACCCATATGTGATGCGCTTCTTGACGGACAATCCCTTGTAGTCTAGGAATCGGCTGATGATTCCCGAGGAGAGAAGATTGGAGAAATTGCCTTGAATAGGTCAGTCTAAAACTTTGACGAGAATGAAGCGGAACTCATAGTAGCACTTACTGACGAATCCGATCAGAGCACGGGCTCGTACGCCAAAGTAATAAGCTTGGAAGTCTTGGGTGTGGTCAGCATCTTACTTCCGAAACAAGACAACACGAAGCCATACTTGACGAGTATTGGTTGAAATACGCTGCCCAAAACATGGGCAACATCATAGCAACCTGATGAAACCATGAGCCAACTGTCAGACATCTAAACCCAAACCATTACATACCTCTTTCCGGCAAGACAATTTCCAAAGCTCTCGCAGTTCGGCGCGCCACGACTCCTGCACAACGATTTTCACTTTACTCCCGTCGCTCCGCTGAACCTTCTCAGGTGGCGAGAGGAAGATTGCCAGAGGCGTCGCGAGACATTGCAAGGCGACGAAGATGAGATAGGACTCTGAAGCAGTTAGCCAATGGATCGTATGGTCGGATTCCGATAGACATACGTGAGCCGACTTTGCCTTTGCTCTTTGCATCGGCGGAGCTGGTTCGGATTAGCAGAGGACTCGATGTTTGCGACGTGGCGAGGAACTCACTGATTGAGAGCGAGAAGAATGGCTCCGCCCACCAAAGGGCCTCCAGTCCGGAACCACAGCCAGATACTATCGAGGTCAGCTGCTGAGCTTTCGAGGCTTGAAATGTTCAGGTTAAACTCACTTCATGTATCTGCCACGTTTGGATGGCTCTGGATACCCAAGTGCCACAGCACCTTCAGAAGCCCAGAACAGGCCCGCTCTGTCTTGGTCAGTTGATGCACAAATCTGGGCTGAGCTCGTCACTCACGATAATCCGCATGCGACGGATCCAACCAGCACAAACCACACGTTTCCCTGAGACATGTTAGCAAGGATTCAGCGCCATCGAGCGGGGTGAAATACATAGCGGTTGTTCGTATACAAGGCAGCCCTTGAATTCGACCATTAGTGACTCCCCTTGAGACAACGGAATCCGACAACCGCTGAGAAACATACGAGTAGATGGGATATCCGACCGCACCCAGTAACAGCGTCCAGTTCAATCCAATGCGATTCGCAATGGGACCGCCGAAGAGACACAGAAATCCCACTGTCAAAATACCATTAGCTCGAGGTTCAAATATTGCTTAAAACCCGACACGCAGTCAAACAGAGCCAGAAACTGGAAATACTAACTGAGACCAAACACCAGCGCATTGGCGGCGTTAATCAAATACGGCGACTGCGCACCGCCAGCACCCAGGGAATTCATCGCATTCCACAGACCGGGGGCCATGAAGCCCACTCCTCCAATAATGAAGGCATTGAACAGCGTGCTGTGGTACCATACTTTCTTCTCACTCTGCGTCGTGGTGGACGAGACCGAGACGGAGGGTTGTTGGCCCGTCATGACGAATCGCTATTACCGCGTAGTACAGATCCTCGAATCTAGTACTGTATGTCCGATGCCAGACGTGCTGAAGGTTTGAGAGCCAAACTTGGAACAGAAAGATTTTCACGGTGGACATGTCGCCTCTCTTGAATTTTCCGCCCACCAAGGCCTCATCGGTGCGACGGATTGCGTGCTTTGCAGACTCTCGCGATAGCGTGCTATTTCCCATGTCACCATTCCAGATCGTCTAGTATCCAAGCCTGTAGGCAGTCGCCAAGGGCCAATCATGAAGGCGTCGGTGGGATTGTGTGGGGATGCAAAGGTCTGCGGCGTTCGGGTTGGACCGCCGTTCGCTTGCAGTTGCGCTAATGGCCCTACGATTAACCAGAGGTCGTGGACATTAATTGTTTGACATTTTCAATTTGAATACCTAGACTGTCCTGCTTGAAATGTAGAGAAGGATATGAGAAAGAGAATAGGAGGGATCCAGAAAGAAGAAACTAATGTGGAAGGGTATCTAATGGCGAGATTGTTAAGAGATCACATACAAGGAAATTCTGGGCCAAGCTACAACTAATTCATGGTACAAAGGCACTACTCTTCGCCAATCTCTTAATGATCTGCTATTCAATCACTCCTGCCGTGGTCTCGATTCAGATGGCGGAAATAGATTCCGTTAAACTGCCAAATTGCGAACAAATTCAAGGGGCATGAGCTCACAATGTCGTATTACCACTACTAAGTACCACAGGTCCGTCACCAATGGTTCCATAATGGCTCCATATATGTACTCGAACAGTTTGAACAGTTTCCCCGTAGCTTCACCTTCATTGCCCCTATCAACAGCGCTACTGCCACCTCCCTCTCTATCAACCACGATCATGTCGTACTTCTGGTCTGACGATGAAGAACCTTTTCTGACGAAGCTGGAAGGAACCCAAATCACCGTGGGCCAGAACATCTATCGACTAGGTGAACTGGTCTCAGAAGGCCACAGCATTAAGATATACGAGCGCCATGCTCATTTCATCGCACAACGAGAAAGCGACGGCCTGGCCTGCATGGCGCGGCTCCGTTTACAGTGCGTTCCCTGACTGGATTCTTAACAGAGCGAACTACTATCCTAATACTATCCTTGAATGAAGGACAAACAGGGATGGCCATGATGCCAAAGACATAGCTTACTGTGCCGAATGGGGGCGCCAGATCTTTGAGAGGGAGATTCGTCCTCTTCAACTGACGGAATCAATGGCTGCGACTCCTACTCTCCTTGACCATGAAACGGTTTTCCAAACTGCCGTCCATGGATATCCGGGTGGCTATATCAACGCTTTCATCATGTCGAAGGTGCCTGGCAGGCCGGCCGAGGAATACGAGCTCAGCAAGATTGAAGCCGGTTTCATCAAACGCGAGGTGATTCAGATTCTCGAGTAGGTTCATTTGCTCAGCTACCCTTCTTCCTCTATGTCTGACCGTGTTGTTTACGCTGTCTACAGTAGTATGCAGCGTCTCGGCTGGGCGATACCCCAGGGATTTCCCGACATGGTCCATTACGACCGCGAGACCCAGACTGTGTAAGGCACTGAGGAAGCTCACGTCATGATGATCAAACAAAAGGCTCACGCAGAAAACCTAGGTCAATGACGGGACTGGATAGGGGGACTGAGTGGGATCCTAATGACACCGAACCAATCACCGAGGATTCTTATCTGGTGAGCCAATTCGGCGAGGATATTTGGTGGAGTACGACTTCTTTTGGTTCTTCAAGCGAGTCTTGAGAGTCTTGAGGTTTAGATCTCGAGGCCCCGCGTAAGCTTAAGTATATTCTTGCAAGGAAGAATTGCCGGACTGCGAAATTGAGACAGTGTTGAGCTAAGTCCGTGGCAAACGACGAGGATAATGCAAGTTGATAAGATTAATCCATGGCCGTTTGTACCCGCAAACATATCAATGTAAGCAAGATTGCCTGATCTCTTGATCCTTAGACAGTATACATTATCAACAGACCGAACATCCATTACTTAACCCGATTTCCTAATCAATGCACGATAAGCCCTCATCCATCAAACATATCCATTGGTCACTTTCTAATCCAGGCGTCCTACAATGTTCAGTATCGCAGAACATCAAACATGACCGATACCGTCGGAGTTCCGCCACCGTGAGCACTAAATCAGCCAAGATGTCCAGACCTGACCGTCCGCCATTGCGAGTTCCTGAATGGTAGGAAGTGAAACATGTCAGGGATCAAGCTGAGGTAATATTAGACATTGAAATCCGTGGACTTGGCATAAATGCATGTTTGCTATTCGCAGAAATCACAGTTTGTACGCATCGCATTGGTCGAGAACCAGAGGCTCCCACGGAGTTGCGATTTAGCCTGCCTTGGCGTGTTATAACGTCTGGAAGAGACTTCGTAGACTTCAAGATGGCCCAATGAGATTGTTTGTATGGCTCTGGTTTCAGTGTTTATGCTCGATGCAGAGAAGTAAGCGGAAGGGTTGCATCGCTGCCAATGCCAATGCTATCCTGCACAACACATTCAAAGGTCCTGGATCGCTTCTCGCCTAACAGCCACATAGTGCTAGGCACTCCTTTCCAGCCAGTCAAGAACCCAATCACTCCTCGCCAAGCTGTTGGATCTACCAGCCACATCTTGCCTGATCATTCATCAGCATCGGAAGCGCTCATGATCCTAGCTGCTGAACACGCGTCCAGAGAAACCATTATGCTCCGTCATCTTTGAAGGATTCAAGGCCAAGCAGTATGCCTAGATGTGCGGCTTGCGACGGATATCAACTTCCCGTTGACATCGAATGTCAGACCAGTACAATTTCTATGGGTTCCAATATAAGTGGACCAGTATCTCATGGCTATGCCCCAAAGGCCTTGTGTTAGACAGCCAATTCATCATGGCACTCCATAATGTTCGAAATGCCTCCGACACGAGTGTATACAAGACGCTCAGCAGCATATTTGACTTTGCAGACGAGGACCAGAAGCAATGGTGGCACAGCACCGCCCCCATGTTCGCGGACATGCTGCAGGCTTCCGGATACGACATCCACTCGCAATACAAGCACTTGGGCATCTACAAGAAATACATTATCCCGTTCCTAGGATTCTACCCCGTCGATGACGATAACCGATGGCTCAGCATCCTCACGCGATACGGACTACCGTTCGAGTTGAGCTTGAATTGCTCCGACTCGCTCGTGCGATACACCTACGAGCCCATCAACGCCGCCACCGGAACCGCCAAAGACCCATTCAACACGCACGCCATCTGGGATAGTTTGAGTAAACTCCAACTCCTCCGGAAAGACATCGATCTCGAGCTATTCCGCCATTTCAAAACCGACCTGACTCTGAACGCGGACGAATCAGCCTACCTCCTCGCCCACAACCTCGCCGGCTCCGAGATCAAGACGCAGAACAAGCTCGCCCTCGACCTCAAACACGGCGACTTCGTCGTCAAAACCTACATCTACCCAGCCCTCAAGGCCCTTGTCACCGGCCGCTCCATCCAAGACCTCATGTTCGACTCCGTCCACCGCTGGTCCCACCAATCCCCCACCCTCCTCAACCCCCTCTCCGTCCTATCAGACTACATCCAATCGCGCGGCCCAGAGAGCACCATTACACCTCGCCTTCTCTCCTGCGACCTCATCCACCCGTCTAAATCACGCGTCAAAATCTACCTCCTCGAACGCACGGTCTCACTTCCATCCCTCGAAGACCTCTGGACCCTCGGCGGCCGCCTCTCCGACCCCTCCACGACAGCTGGACTCCTCCTGGTCCGCGAACTCTGGTCCCTCCTCCAAATGCCCTCTGGCGTTCTCTCCTACCCAGACCCCTACCTCCCCCTAGGCAGTATTCCCAACGAACAACTCCCCCTCATGGCCAACTACACGCTGCACCCGAACGACCCCCTCCCGCAGCCGCAGGTCTACTTCACGACCTTCGGCATGAACGACATGGCTGTTGCCGACGCGCTGGTTACGTTCTTTGAGCGCCGCGGATGGGCAGATATGGCGGCTTCGTATAAGGAGAGTTTGCGAGGGTACTAGTAAGTCCGACTGATTGGTCTCGATACCAGCGAGTAGACATGAGCACCGGACAGGGTGAGCTGGACTAATGGCTAACCATCCCTCTCTGTCTGATTTAGTCCGCACGCAGACCACAACGCCCTGAACTATGTCCACGCGTACATCTCCTTCTCGTACCGCAACAACAGACCGTATATGAGCGTGTACTTGCATTCCTTCGAGACGGGGGACTACGCCATCAGTATGTGCTGACTTTCCTGACCCCGAGACAATACTTGTGTTGTCCTAATTCGTCCTCGATAGCGAGATTACAAGCACCGGAAGTAAATGCTTCTGTTGAGATCGTGTCGTGAATGGGTGAATTGGCGCTAAGAACGAGTGTTTAGGGTTCATGTTTGATGGTTTCTCGTGTTTCGGTTCTGCCTAATGAAGAATGCAAGTCGCATTGGGAAACTACCTATCTACGCAGCAAAGACAAGTGTCCCGCACTTTAGTATTATAGCAGCCCTAGCGTAATCTATTCTATCTTCTTGTACTTCCTCAATCTGGGCAGTCTCGTTGACTACCTTGTGTTTATACCCACGCATAATGAAAATGTTAGTGGAACTCTTGCTACTTGGGATCTCCGAGAAAGACAGAAGAGCTAGATGGTGAAGGTGAAACTACAGGAAATGAGAAACAAGATGAACAAAACTCTATATAACTCCCCGAGTTTAATATAAGGTCCCAAACCCCCAGACGAAACGAGGTCGTAACAAAAGAAATACACTCGGCCGTTAAAAGCCTCGACTCCACTCGACATGGCTTGGCTTAGCTTGGCCAGTCAAGTCTCACAAACAAAGAAGCTTCCCAGTCCTCGAGGTTGAGTTAAGCCTCTCTCAAACCGTTTGTTCCGGGCTTCTCGCATTCGTTGTCTCGGTTTCAGCTACCGGGTCTACTCGGCGCCATGCCAGCCAACCGCCTGCCCATGGAACCCGGACACAAGGAAAGAGTCAAAGTCGAGGGGAAGATCAGCGCGGAAGGATTTGACGTCGGTACTTTTCTTCTTTCCTTCTAGCTCGCGGGGTTCTATCCATCTGGTGTTCTTAGAGCCCGTTAGAACAAAGGCAGATTACGTGCATTGTGTCCGGGCAGGTCCGAGTCCTGAAACGTGGGGCTAGAAGCAAAGATCTTTCGATCTTTGATTCCAAGGAGGGAATTTCAGGATCGAATCAAAGAGCGATGTAGGTACATTCCATCCGACAGGTAGTTCTACATACAAAGACAGCCTCATCCAAGACACTATAAATTGACCGGTGTGTCACTGCTCCTCCTGGTCGGTCATTACTCATTCCACAGATCAACTCCATTTTCTTCGTATTCTCGTCGAACAGTTCAATCCGCAACAAAGTGTTATCAAGATGTCTGTCGTCGTCAGATACCAGGAGGATGATACGATGCCCATGCTAGCGGGCGTGATTTCCCAGCTCCTGAGGGCGGAAAACATTCCGTGTGTCCTCTGGGGACCAGGATATAGAAGTCTCTTGGCAATGGAAGACTCAAGCCACCCACACTACGTAAGTTCCCCCCTCCCCCTTTACCGGTTTATTGTATCCGAAGAAAAAGAAGGAAAGCTAATTCTCAGCAGCGCGTTGACTTCGTGATCGAAGACGAGAACATGAACGGCGCAATCCGCGCGCTCCGCAAGGCAGGATTCATAGAAGACGGTGTTGGCGCTACCTGTGCTAACTGTATGCACGGGCCTGAATTGGAGCCTGAAATCATTCACCAAGCCATAGAGCTCGGGGATTCCAATTACTGCTTTCGTGCGAATCCTCACCCCATAACTCGCAGCGACTACCAAAGCGACCATGAATTCGCGGCCGCGCTGAAAACTCTGGAGCGGCGTATAGGATACACGCCCAGACCGTCGATGTATCCGCATATTGGCCTGTTTCTGAAATCCCAGCACATGTGGACCATGCCGAGGTTTAAGCTTGACATTCCGCGCGAGGACGACCAGTGTTTCATGCTGGCCAGCGACATTGCGTTCCCGGGGACGAAGCCGCTCCGCAGGCTCCGCTACAGCACGGCCTACGGGCCCGTGGTGACGGTGAACCCGGTTTGTTTTGTCAAAATTCTCATCCTAAGTGTCGTGCGTGGCGCGCACCTCACGGGCGATGTCAATTTCGAAGAATCGATTCCCATCAATCTGATGAGAGTCGCAGACCGTGTGGGGCCGTATTTCGAAAGAGACTCTCATGACATTTTGAACTATGATCGTTATTCCAAGCGCCTTCGCGGGATCTGGATGCTCATCAACTCGATCGAAACCAAGGACAAGGGGATGGCAGCGCAATTCGGCAAGCCGGCGACAGATGATGATGAGGACGCCTTAAGAAAGCGGATCCTGCAGGTGGCCAAGGAGATGGCAGAAGATTTCGATTTTCCAGAGACCCCGACCTCTTGGCGTTTTAAGCCTAGCCAGTAGCCTAGTCATTTAGCTAGAGCTTTCTGACGGGTAATTGATTTTGTACATTGTTTTGGACTTGTAAATGGGCCGCAGTTTAATGTGATTGTGTTATAGCTTTTTGTGATTTAGGAGAGGAGAAGAGAAGAGAAGCAAAAAATAAAGAGGGGACAGTAAAAAGAAAGTAAAGGAAAAAGAAGAAGAAAAGGAAACCAGGAAAAGAGGAAGGAAGGAACGGATGATAGAGAGGCAAAAAGAGAGCGACAGAGAAAATAGGAGGAGAGGGAATTATGGTAGTAGAATCGTGAAGATCAACGGTGTACGCTCCATCCCCAAGTCCATGTCACCGACCACATGACTTGATTCCTAGTACGACTTGTGTACCTCAGAACCAAAACAACAACAACCAATATAACGAGAGAAACTCCCAGCGCTAGAAAAATCACACTTTTTGCCGGGGCATTGGCAAGCTTCAGAGGAAGCTTGGGCATAACAGCCGGGGACGGAGAGCGAATGGAAACGGGAGGAGTTCGGGCGGAGATGAAGTTTCCGTCTGCCTCCTCGCAGGATTCCAGTTTTGAGGGATTCAAGAAAAGTCCATTCCTTGTCAAAAGTGTTTGGAGGAACGGGCAATTGCTCCAAGTCTCAAAATGGACTACCTTGTCGAGCGAATATGTGATGGCATTGATCTCCCACTCCTCCCAGTCACGGGTTCCACCGACGTGCTCTGCGAGCGCATTGGCGTGTCGCAGGTCCGTTAGACCCCCACGGCGCTCTTTCCGAGCCGCACGGTAGAGCTTAAGAGCCAAGAGGCTCTTTTGCAAGACGCAGGGGAATTTTTTAAGAGTATCTTCGCTGGCATCCGAAATCCGAATCGCTTCGGCCGGGGGATCAATGACCCCATTCCTACCGGGAGGCATGACCGAGTGGTGCGGCACAAAACGTGCTCTTGTCTTCATCTCACCATGCTGAATGACAAATCCGTTTTTGGGGTCCTGCGTAAAAGTGCGGCTGTCAAGCTTCATAAGGGCCTGTCTGAGACTAGACTCTGGACCGTCATAGGTGGTCAAAAGCTCCAAACACTACTCCATTTGTTAGCGTTCACGTCTCTAAATGAATCGGTGCATCATACATGGCCATCCTCGTATGTCCCTACGTAGTTGTAGTAAGGATAATCTCCTATAAAGATGAAACGACAGTTCGCCAAGTTGTGTACTCGGTTCAATGCCTGCCGGTCTTTTATCTTGCCGGCTTTGCCGGCCTGAAGTTGCCATAGGGTTTTGAGCCCCTGGATGAGGACGATGGCTGCTTCCTTCAGATGTGGGTCATCGTGAAATGGCATCGTGGTGTAAGTGATGGGTAAAAGAAGAAACGGAGAAGAAAATAATAGAGGTAAGTGTGCAGGTTAGAATTTGAAGGTTGGTGGTGTGAAAAAGCGTCGCTAACTCTTGATTCCTAGGAAGGTCTGCGAGCTTGTCCACGACTTTATAACAATCATTTGAAGAGCAGAGTGCCTGTAAAACCACTTGCTTGCTATGCGACATTTGAGTCTCTTCCAATCCAACGTTGTGGCAGACATGGCTGAGTGTGATCGTGTTCAAGAAACCTTGTTTCGTCCCGGACATACACTGTCTAGAAAAGATTCTAGAATTAGACGGGCTGATCGATAACTTCTCCTGTCAGCATCACGGAGAGCTAGCTCCCCTGGATTCACCAAAGGTGTGGCAGGCGGTACGAGTGTCTTATTCGAAGGTAGTCATAGCGAATGACATCCCGAGCGAAATTATGTTTTGTCTCAACTCCTCACCCACACCGCTTCATGATTCACAACTGACTGTCAAATGTCTCGACGAGATCGATCTAGGCCTTACGACCTTCCCTGGAGAAGCTGGAGAAGAAAGTTCTAGATTCGGATTGATACGCAGTCCGACTTCCTAATCCAGCCATTTGATCTAGAATTCGTTGGTGAAGGGCTTGCAATGTCTCATCGCGGGACACGTATCCGGGGGTCCCGGGAAGGGAAATCCTAAATTCAGCCTATCGGACCGCTGGCACCTGGAAAGCCATCAAAGTCAACAGATACCCTTGGCCCTATATCACGTCTATATCATCTCCGAAACAGACGGGGCACCGACGACGGCCATTGGAGAGGAGGAGTATATTAGACCGGAATAACGATCAGCAGCCGAAGCCCGAGACAACGGGGCTGGGATCTCAGGTAGAGGCGGATGTAACTTCCATGACACAGACGCCACACAGGCGCTCGTTATGGCATAGAGAGCAAGGCTGATATGCATCTATCCGCGTTGGAACACGAGATACCCTGTAGATTGGGCAGATTGGGCTTCTAGAAGGCCGTATAGGGCATCCAGATCTGCCGATTGGACCCAGTATCCGCTCCCCCGTGGATCGGCGATCCCGAAACATTGAACCTTCACTTCGGCCTTGCTAAAAGTAGCTCAACGATGGCGGAACAAAGCCAATTAATCCTGCTGGAAGACGTCGTATTCGGTTTGGTGTGCAGTACTGACTCTGCTTTCGCGAGACCATTTCATGGAATTTGAAACCGTGCAGAAAAGAAACATGCCCATTCAATCACGATGGAGTTGGAATCTCGCTCTCCGTGAAGGTGTCCTCCAGCTTGGAGCACTTGCTTTCGTTAGAGAATGCAGACGAAGTTCTTTCTGAGATAGAAAACATGGATGAAGGAGCACTACACCTAGCTTGGTCCAGTGTATGTCATATTGCAGCCGGCTACAGTGCAGATCAGGGACATGTGGGCAAGCGCGTTAGTTCATGTAGGGCTGATGACAGACTAACAGGTTCATCCGTCAAATGGGAAGAACGACCCTTGCAAGCCACAGCAAGTCATCTTACCGCCTATCTAACCGCCTGCCTATTCACCCCCAATTTCGATTTTGCCAAACTATTATCGGAACAGTATGCGTAGTAGATACTCCATGCGACTATACGGCTAAAAAGACCAGCATAAAATCCGCTACGGACTTTTTGCTCTATGGATCGGTTTGATGTCCGTATTGCTGACCTTCAATCAATCGCAAGGCAATAATCACCTTTTTCGATCATCATCTATTTTTTATTTGCTTTTGGAGTAGCGGCACACATTACGATGACTAATCACGCAGTGGCGGGGCTGATCGGCGATGAATCCGATCGGAATGCGAAGTACTCCACCAACTCCATCACCAATCTTGGATTCCACGCCTTCCACCTTCTCTCCCAGACAGTCTTCCCTTTGCTCTTCCATCATGGCACCTCTCCGAATCGCCGTCCTGGAATGCGACACCCCCGTGGATAAAATCAACGCGAAATACGACGGCTACTGGGGTGTTTTCTCCTCGCTGCTCCGCGCCAGTGCCAAAGCCTTGGACCAACCCGACCGGTTAAACCCCGAGACCGGGCTCGACATCACACGCTGGGATGTAGTCACAGCGCAGGAGTATCCCAAGCTCGAGGATGTGGATGCGCTCTTGCTGACCGGATCGAGTGAGTACTTCTAGTTCGGCTTCCGCTTATCGCATACCTTCCATCTAGGCCCTCGTCTCCCGGACCGATTATCCAAGCTAATATGCCCCAGAACATAACTCCTTCGACAACGATCCCTGGATCCTCAAGCTTGTCGAGTACACGAAATCCGCCTTGCAGGATCCCCGCATCAAACTCCTCGGCATCTGCTTCGGACATCAGATCATTGGGCGTGCGCTGGACGTGAAAGTCGGTCGCAGCGACGCTGGCTGGGAGATTGCGGTTTGCGACATGGATCTGACGGATCAGGGGAAGAAGCTGTTTGGTAGAGATAAATTGGTAATACCTAGTTCTTCCGTGCTTTTCTATGTTCGTGGAGAATGTGCTGACAGTGGCTTTCCAAATCTAGCGCATCCAGCAAATGCATCAGGATATTGTCTTTGAGTATCCTGCGAATGTCGTCCCCCTGGGCTCGTCGCCCCGATGTGCAGTGCAGGGCATGTATCTACCGGGTCGGTTTGTTACCGTGCAGGGCCATCCCGAGTTCAACGAGGAGATCGTCACCGAGGTGGTGACGCTGCGGGGCAAGGCGGGGGTCTTCTCCAAGGAGCAGACCGAGGATGCGCTGGAGAGAGCGAAGAATGAACACGACGGCGTTGCGATTGGTTCGGTTTTCTTGAACTTCTTGCTCGAGGAATAGACTATAGGCGATGGACAGGGACGCGGCAACGATGTATATATAACGCCGTCCCTGTCGAGCTCTTCATATAGATCGAAAGATGGATGAATATTTATATAGATGATACATATATGAGACACGCTTTGATTAACAGAAATGCTCCTATGATGCTTGCGCTTCCAAGCCTGTCCGGATTGACAATAAACGAACACCTCCAAAGGAACCGAACAAACCATACTAAACCGACAATGCAACAAACCAAGTCCAACAAATACATCGAGCAAACTCACTATACCACCACATCACCCCGACGCACTCGGATCCTCACGCTCCAGGAACGTCGGGTCCATATCAACCTTACGCTCGAACTTCGCCCACCAATCTCGGAACGCCTTCATCGGCACGACCTCCTGTCCTTTCTCCGACGAGGCAAAACTCGCCAGGAAGTTGAACGCATTGCCGATGATGCGCTGCGCCAGGACCTTCGTCGTGACCTCTTTCTGCTGCCTCGTCTGTCGCACCAGATGCGTCGACGGCGCCGCACCGGGCGTCTCTGCCTCCAGCGCCGCCAGCTGCGGCGCAACCGACTGCACCGGCTCGATGGAAATCCCTAACGTCACCGTTCCCGTCGTGCCGGGGCCCACGCCCGATTGCCCCGCGCCACCGGCGCCGTCGTCCAGCATCTCGTCCTCCTCCTGGGCCTCTGTGCGACGCGGCTGCGACGGCGGCGGCTGCACCTGGAACACGGACGAGGGCTTCTCGTTCGCCAGGGCGCCGATGAAGCGGAACTCGGGCCCCGTGGGCGGCGGGTTGGCGTCGGGGAATTGCACGTAGATGGCGGCGGCGGTGTCCTGGGGGAGGACGGTGCCCGGGAGGAAGAAAACGACGAGCTCGGTGAAAGAGGGCTCGAGGGGGAAGGTGAAGGCGAATTTTGTGGCTTGGCCGTTGGGCTGTGCATCGACTGCGACGATGTCGGTCAGGCAGGGTCTGCCCGGGACGATGACGGAGAACATGGCGGAGATTTTCTGCGCGGGGAGGACGAGGAATGGAGGGGTGGAGATCACAGGAATGCGGGTGAATTGGATGGCATAAATCGGGTATAGAGATGGGGTATATAGCAGATTATAAGGTAAAGGATGTATAATTCCAGATCAGAGTCAATTGCGAGCAGCGTAGCACAAAAGAAAGACAACTGAAGGATGGAAACCGGCAGAAGGAAGAAAGCAGGAAGAAAGCAGGAAGAAAGCAGGAAGAAAGAAGGCGGCAGTGACGAAATGCCTTATCGATAAGAGCGGGCCTGAGCTGCAAGGCATCCTTCCCGTTGCGGCGGCGGATTTACTTCAGGCGTATATAATTCTCCTTCTCCATCTCTCTCTCGTTCTACCTTGTCTAACCATTCTAGCAGTATCTTATTTTCTCTCTCCCATCCATCCCCACATCATGGCGAAATCTAACCTTGACCTGGTCAACGAATGCGACAAGTACTTCTTCTCTCCCCTATCACAACCCCCACCTTGAGCCATACTAATACTCTCACCATGACAGATTCCCATACCACCAAGATGACCCCTCCTTCTACGCCGCCCACATGAAAAACTTCTACCAATTCCGAGTGAACGGCTGCGATGCAGTTCTCGGGTACATTGCCAAGTCGGTCGCCGAGAAATTCTACTGGTCCCCAGACAACTGGGCCGTGGACACCACGAAGCAAACGGTAACCCTGACCACGGCGGCGGACGCGAGCCCAGAGCAGCGCACCCAGGCGGTCGCCCAGACGCTCAACGAGGCCGTCAAGCGCGACACCTTTCAGATCCTCAAGGGCTGGCGCAACGAGATGTACCCCGTCTTTGCCCCGGGGGGTCAATTCCTGCTCGAGCTGGAGCGCTCGGCGAGTCCGCTGTTCGGAATCGTCGCGTACGGCATCCACTGTACCTGCTACGTGCAAGACGATCAGGGCCTGCGCATCTGGGTGCCCAGACGCTCGCGCACCAAGCAGACGTACCCCGCGATGTTGGATAATACCGTGGCCGGGGGGATGAGCACCGGAGAGAAGCCGTATGAGTGTCTGGTGCGCGAGGCGATGGAGGAAGCTTCGCTGCCGGAGGACGTGGTCCGGGCCAACTCGACGGCCGCCGGCTGCGTGTCGTATATCTATGTGCGGGACCCGCGGGCGGGCGGGGAAACAGGCCTGTTGCAGCCCGAGGTGGAGTACGTCTATGATATCAAGCTCGGGGCGGATGTCATCCCCAAGCCGTGCGACGATGAAGTCGAGGCGTTCTACTTGTACACGGTGGACGAGACCAAGAAGGCGCTGGCGAATGGCGAGTTCAAGCCGAACTGCGCGGTGGTGCTGATCGACTTCTTCATCCGGCATGGCATTCTGACGCCCGAGAACGAGCCCGATTTCCTGGAGATCGTGGCGAAGATTCATCGTCGGCTGCAGTTCCCCACGGCGTCTCACTGCGCGAAATGAGATACCCCGGCATAATCGTATGATTTCTACAGCGGATTGCATTGAGAGGAAATTCTGAGATTCTATTGGATTTTTTGTGTTTACCCAGCCAGTCACCAATCGAACGCCGACGCTGCAATTAAATCATCCAACCAATGTGCACTTGTTTCTGTCTTTCGGAGGTCTTTTGTTTGTTGTGGTCCTGAGACCAGAGTATTCAAAGAGAGCAGGGTCCATAGATGCCCGATTCGAATATACGGAACATTCACAACAGCACGGGCTTTGCCATTCTATTTCTTCATGAGCAGATACACGTAGTCGATTCTCAAGGGCGCCAGCTTCTTGTAGGGTCCTTCAAGGTAAAGCAACAATCCGCCGAAGGAGATAAACACCGCCCTAGCAATCATCAGCACGTTCCTTTCATTTCTACTCGGGATCGCATGCGCCCTCCACGCCGACCCAAACGCAGACGATCAACTTACATATTCCCGGCCGTCGAACCCTCCTCGAACCGATAAACCTTGCCGTGGCAGACATAGTCGTAGTCGTTGGCCAGAGTCTGCTCGCCCATGCCGACGTCCCTCCAGCCGGTCTTTGTTCCGCTGTCTTCCTTGCCGTCGAGCGAGAGCGTCGACGCCAGCGCCATCGACACCGACTCGCCGACCACGCACGGGTACAGCTCCGAGTTGACGTCCAGCGTGAAGCTGCTGGCCGTGTCGGACGACGTGCAGGTCAGACGGGCGACGCGGTCGTATTTCTGCGAGTTGATCCCGGTGATCGTGAAGGTGTCTTCGAAGAGGAGTGGGTCCGACATGGTTGCGAGTGTTGTGTCAATCCGATGGAGGAGGGAGGGAGGTTGATGAGGGGATCCGTCCGGTAGAGAATCGCAGGATGGGAGGGAATCGGACGGCGGATAGATGAGATGGTCGACAGGAGATTGACTGAATGATGCTGGAATCGGGAAGACAAAGCCGCAGCTTTTTTTTTCTGCTGATTTTGGACTCACCGCCGCTTTTACTGCCGCCCGCAGGACCGTCCGCTGCCCGCCAGCCCCGCAGCACGACTGTGGAAAGAGAAAAAAAAAGTGCAATCAACGTCCGATTGTTGAACAGCGGCTCAGAATGTCTTTTCGCAAGAGAAATATAGGCTTGTCGGCTGGCGCGGATCGTGCGTCTGGTCAGAATCCCACCGCGCCTGTGCTGCAAGCTGCAGCTGCGCCGGAATCGAATCCCGGTATTCGACCCTCTCCCGACGATGGACGACCGACTACTTCGACGGGCGCGCCGTCGCTGGATAATCTCCTTGCCGGGCACGGTGGACTCCCGATTGGAAAGACATTGTTGATTGAGGAGAACGGGACTACGGATTTTGCGGGCGCATTGCTACGCTACTATGCGGCCGAAGGTGTTGTGCAGGATCAGAGAGTTCACGTCGTCGGAATGCCCGAGCAATGGGGCAGAAGTCTTCCGGGTCTGATTGGGCCTGCAGAAGCTGCGGATGATAAACAAGACAAGCGCAAAGGCGAGAAGATGAAGATTGCTTGGAGATATGAGCGGTTGGGCGAATTTGGGACTGGAGTGGCTGGATCAAGAGGTATGGAGCATCCCCATTGGTTTGGTAGGATTGATGATTTATTAACAGACACAGCTTCTGCTGCGCCCACCGGGGATCAAAGTCAACAGACCGGAAACCAGGCGGAGCAACCGGCGTTTTGCCACGCCTTCGATCTCACGAAGCGTCTGACCCATCCGGGTATCACAAACATAACCTACGTTCCGCTCGCACCGTCCAAGGAGCCATTGTTTGTCTCAGTCCACAAGCGACTGCAGGCCGCCATCGCTCAGAGTCCACCAAATACCGTCCACCGCATTATCCTGCCTTCCTTGCTTAACCCCACGATATACCCACCCGAAGTCTGCCAGCCCGAGAATTTATTGCCATTCCTCCATTCCCTCAAGGCGCTGCTGAGTTCGCCCAACGTGCGTGCAACGGCCATGATCACAATGCCATTGTCCCTGTTCCCGCGGTCTTCCGGCCTTGTGCGATGGATGGAAATCTTGAGCGACGGAGTGTTCGAGTTGTGTCCTTTCCCCCATTCCGCAGACGCCCTTGCAGCCTCGGGAGCCGCGACAGCTCATGAGGAACCACCGCAGGGCATGCTCAAGGTGCACCGCTTGCCCGTGCCACATGAACGTGGCGGAGGCAGTGATCAGAATATCGGGCAGGACTGGGCGTTTACACTGAGTCGGAAGAGGTTCGAGGTTAAGCCGTTCAGTCTACCGCCGGCTGAAGGAGACAAGGAGGCGCAGGACGGAGCTGCAGCGGGTGGGATGCCTAAGAAAGCAGATCTCGAATTCTGAGCAGAAAAAACCACCACAGATGTAGAAACGACATCGATCATTCTTCGCGGTCAGATTCCACCAGGTTCTCCAGCTCGATTTGTTCGGACATCGCAGGCCCAGAAGAGGCCATTGTGCGGAGGTAATCTCTTCCGTACGCGTCGAGACCCGGTCTCAGCGGAACTCTGGGGAATTGGGAGCGAAACCGACTTCCGAGACACGACGACAACGCCAGCCAAACTGTCGAGGTTAGCCCAACACGAGCATTCGAGGGTCAGAGTACTCACCCAAGAGTAAGAGGACGGGTGTAAAGAACACCAGAAACATCAAAAGGAAGAAGTTCATGGTGGCTGCAAGGCGTGGGGAGCTGAGATAGAATAGATAGAAGGAGAGAAATACCATCGGGTTCAGACGGTCTTCGTACTCCGCTTTGTGCCTCAGGCAGCAGCAGTGATGGCCCGTGCATATGACTCGCCCAAAAAGGGATAGCTCGGTCCGCCAGGGCTTCTTTTTCTTCGACTCGCACCCGAATTTTCTCTTCTTTCCCACCTTCACCATCTCAATCGACCGGCTCTGGTTCTGCTGGACAATCCAGAGCACGTATTTTCATGTGCCTTGTACTTAATGGTAAGCTCATATCCTTCTGTCTTGATGCACAAGCTGTTCTCCTGTTCTTGCATGATTATATAACTACTATAATCTGTCAATCCCCTGAAGCTCATTTTTATCTCTATAACGAGCATATGTGACTGAGAAACGTATTCAAATGATTTGCATTACTTCTCTGGTTTTGATGTCAAGCTACTTTGTGAAGCTCAAGCTAACGTCAACCTGATTACAGATCTTTGTTAGTTTGACCTCGTGTCCGTTGAAATGAATTCGGAACCCTCCCTTCCCATCCCGATCTCGTATATCGCCGGGAAATACTTTCTCTTCTCCATTGATGCAGTTACGTATTTGAGACGGGAGCATCATGTCTGCGGAGTCCTGTCCGGCACTCTGCCGCAGATCCCTCAGCAAAATATCTTCCTGGGGTTACCCCTCGAGCTGATGCCCGAGGAGGCAAGGTTGCTGGTGGAGAAAGGTGTAGCTTGCATTGTAGACGAGGTAAACGCTCAGAGACATGGAATGAAGGCCCTCATGGAGGCGGACCGCCAGAAGTACCTTCACGATCTAGAATCCCAGGGCCTCCAAGCCATGCAGCTGCAGAATAGTCGCAAAGAGCAACAGAAGGAGAAATCTCTGCAGAAAATAGCTGCCAAAAAGGCGAAGAAGGCTGCCGAGAAGCAATCCGGCGATAAAACTGAGGAGCCAATTGTTGATTTCTTTGCCGATAATCAAAAATCCGAGTCTAGCGAGACTGCATCAATTTCGGCCACTTCCGACCCTGCCCTGGGGATAACCCCTGCGACGTCCGTCTCGCTGCTTCCGTCGCAGCCGGCCGCTGAGCACTTGATGCCTCTGCCTGAAGTTCCCTCGTCGTATCCTTTGTTTGCCCACCTGCATTCAGAGGGATACTTCCTCTCCCCGGGTCTTCGATTTGGCTGCCAGTACCTTGCCTACCCGGGTGATTCCCTGCGCTTCCATTCCCACTTCCTGGTTGTCTCGACGGAATGGGACCAGGAGTTGGACTTGATGGATCTCGTTGCGGGTGGCCGTCTAGGCACCGGTGTGAAGAAGGGCTTCCTCATCGGAGGTGCCGAGAAGGATGAAACCGGGGAAGGTGAGAAGGTCAGGACATTCAGTCTCGAATGGGCTGGAATGTGAGATGCATCAGGTTTGGGTTCGTTCTACCTGCCATATTCCAGGAGTGGAATATCTCGGCCATCGCCGTTCGGCACTCCCTTGGGGACTCGCGTCAAGGATGGAGACGAATGGTCGGGTCTCCTGCCATGTCGCCTGTATGGCTACGGGCAACACCAGTCAACGCTACGAGCCTTAGCTTCGAGCACTGGATGGGCGTGTGGCTCTGCCACGTCTGCTACGACACTGCCTACTATTGATTTCTTGGACATCTACTTTGGGATAAAATATCCAGAATTTCTGAAGGTAGCTTGGCGGGCTTCATTCAACTTTGAATAACTTCTTCCATCTAATCAATACAACGAACGATTTATCGATTGATATAATCTCGAATATTTTAGAAATTAGTAAGACAGATAGGGACGTTAGAGCTTCAAGAAGCGTCGCCGTCGCAGTGTAGTATGTGCCATGTGGCTGTTGCTGGTGCCATTAGGCGACCCTGCCAGTGTACCCGGCCAATGTCCGCAGGATGGCTGTTATGGCAGGTCGCCACGACGGCGCGGAGCTCATGCAGGCGCACTAGTGCATACATCAGGGTATATCAGCCCGTCTCGAGAGCAGGCTCATTTATTTCACGGTCTGATCTTTCTCAAATGATATGACGGACTCATCGTCTTTGGAAGTCCTCAACCAATAAGCAAGACAAAACGACCACAACTCAGAGATACTCCACGTTGCGCCATTTGAACTTCTTGTTTGCGCGATCGACAGGCCGGTTCAGGAATTGACTTCCATGCAACTCGAACGTGAGCTCTTTCTTTTCGGCATTCTCATCCTTCTGGGCGTCTGACTCGACAGAGCCCTTCGACTCCGGCAACGGCACCGTAAACCGAAATATCGTCTGTTCTTTCGGAATGGCTGTACACTGTTAGTTATCATTCCCATCCTCAACCACACCAACACGCAGCCGCAAATCACCCCTCTCCATCCAAAAACCAAGGGCAAAGGGCAAAAGAACTCACTCTTAACCACATCCCCCTCCGTAACAACCACAAACGTAAACTTCGTATCCCTCACCACAATCCCCTTCACCCCGACTCTCCCCTGACACCGACTCCGAACCACCTGCACCTCCGCGCCATGAAAGTCCGCACTCGCCAACTTACTCCCATGCGACAGCGGCGTGACCACCGCGCCCACATTCCTCCCCGCACCCCCCTCCTCCTTCAAATCCAGTATCTCCTGCATATACCCGGCCCAGAGCCCATTCAGCGTCTTGAAGATCTCATATTTGCACTCGCTCTTCCCTGCCCCCGCCTCCGCCTCTGAAGTAGAAGTGGTGAGATCGTAAATCCCACTCGCGCGCTTCTCGCGAGCAGACAGCGCCCGCGGCTTCTGCTTGCGCAGGAAGTACTCTTTCTTGCGGAGACGGTGGTGGCGCCGGCGGTCGCGGTTGTCGGCCGGCGTGGGCGAGGTCGGGCGCAGGTAGAGCGGTTTCTGTTTGATGCGGTCGGCGAAGAGGTCGGCTGCTGTGTCGGGGGAGTGGGCGCGGGAGAGGAGGGTTTGGGCGATGTGGGTTTTGGGGGGTTTTGTTGATGGGGTTGGGGTTGTCATTTTATTATGGTCTGGTTCTGGTTTTGTTTTTGATTGGGGGAGGATTGGTTATGAGGGCATTTGGGAGATGCGAGATGCGAGATGTTTGTTGGTTGGAGAGACGATGCGGAGTTGGAGAAATTTGTTATCGCGATAAGAAATGTCACATGCTCGGGGTGCCCTAATTCTTGTCTCGGTCTGGGTTATGTAGATGGGTAGGAGGGGAGATGGGTTAGTAGGGAGGAAAAGAAGATGAATTATTTGGATATAAATTCTTTGGGTCAAATTGAGTATCAAATGTAGTAGTGCTGCTTGAAATAATTGCTCTAATTGTGACATACAGATTTTCTGGGTCTTGGTGCACCGGGGCAGCGCTGAATATATAAGCTCTCCGATGTCTCATTCTACTAGGATAGTAAGACAACCAGACATCCCTGCTGAAGTTTAAATAACCTTTATTTAAACAATGGCCCCTGACTCAGATGGCAAAAAAAAAAAAAAAAGGCAGAAACAGTCTCAGACATGATGCAAAGCATCCCGAAAACCTAATCTGGATCATGTCGGATAAGACAGCGCTCAAGCCATGTTTCATTCTGTTTAACCTTAAGCAAACACGAGCCTACAAAAACAAATCAAAGCTTGTTTCTACGACGTCGCGCCACTGGGCTGATGGCTTGGAAGTATAATGACTGTCTTCAACTCTCTACCACAAACTTACTATGAATTCAGTCAAGTGAGCAGTCCCACCAGGCCAGCAAAAACATCCACTGCTAGCTGGAAGTGGACAAGGCCATTCTCAGAATGGCCTGAGAAGCAAGGCTATCAACTCAGGGGCCAGGAAGAGAAGTGTCGTGGCTGACTATTCTTGGTCTTTTATTCACTCACCAAAACAACCAACAACACAGCCACGTGATGAGGTCGTTCACTTCTACCACTGATCTGATCTTCCTCAGTCACTCATCCCATCAACTACCTCTCAATTAACACTGTGCCGTTCACTTAACTCTACTCTGTACCTGCAAGCCAGACTGTCACGTGCAGTGAATGCCCTATACAAAATCCAACGTTCATCTCAACACAGCAGGTGATCAACAGGACTGATGATGTCGCTAGCCACAGAATACGGGCTCGGTATCCTATATCCTACCTGAGATTGACCATGGATTTTGTATTACTTTACTCTCTTCCTGGCTCAGTTCATCCTCACACATACATTCACTTCCATCTTAGCGTTGCAGGCTGATCTCAACATACACATACTGGTCGGTTCCAGTTCTCGGCAACATCCGAACCAAACTTCTTCACAATTCACCTCCTCTACAGGGGTCAACACTATCATACTGGTGTTAGGGCTGGCTGCAGTTAATATGGCTCACGATGTTTTCTCAATTCTTCTCTTCTATACCCCTCAACGCTCCAGACAGACCTCATCGTTCTGCTCAGATCTTTGAAAGCCGACAAGAGTTGCACTCGGAATTCGGGCTCACAAGGCCAGAATGGAGTCTCCAATGGGCTCACCGAACACACCCTCCACACCCTCCACACCGTCGGTCCGAGGGCACTTACTGGCCTCACTTCTTTCAAGCCCCGTGACGGCCTCACCGAGTAGTCCAGCTTCATCCGTTCAAACGCCGCCGACTTCGCCGCTGCAGTCAGAGGATTCGAACTACAAGAGCAGAACACCTGATGGTATGTCTCGTGTTCAAATCCAGTAACATATGGTGCTAACAGGCTCACCAGACATCTATGCATCGATCTTCCGGTCCCAAAATGAGCAGTCACAGCTCGCAGGCCGCCGGAGCAACCATCCTGAAAGCTCGGAAAATGCAACCCACGAGATCAACCGACGAAAGAAAAACTTCTTCGCCGCCATCAGCAACCTCTTGTTTCCATTGCTGGAAGACAGTGACCTGGAGTATGTCGATGAACTGGTTCATTATGCAGACGCTGAGATCGTGCCCTTCGAACGTGTCGAGCATCCCAAGGGGTAAGTACCGCAAACGAACATCAAGACCTCGAACTGACTATACTTCAGTGTGAAAGCCGTGCTCAAGCCCCACCAACGGGAAGGACTGGACTTTCTTGTCTATTTACGACGAAATGGCATCGGCGGCATCCTGGCGGATGACATGGGCCTTGGGAAGACAATCCAGACCCTTGCGTTGTTCCAGCACGTTAGGGAAAATGATCTGAAAAGCGACGAGGCACCATTCCTCGTTGTCTGTCCGTTGAGCGTGATAAAAACTTGGGTGTCTGAGATTGAGAAATGGACGCCCGGACTGGCTGCGATCAAATTCCATGGCACCGCTGAGGAAAGAGAAAAGACCAAGGCTCTTGTCCGTCGTGCGAAGAACTCAAAGAGAGGTATATCTTCTGTGGTTGATATCGTGATAGCATCGTACGAAACACTCATTGCCGATATTGTGTGGTTCCAGCGAGCCTTTGTTTGGAAATATGTCGTGCTCGACGAAGGGCACAGAATCAAAAACGGACAGTCCAGGAGGGCTCAGATACTGGGTCGAGTGCGCGCAGAGTTCAAGCTGGTGCTTACGGGGTATGTAACTGCAGTCTGTCTTCGGTCCAGGAATACTAACAAGAGATCTAGAACGCCTATCCAAAACAACCTCAAAGAGCTTTGGTCAATTTTGAACTGGCTGTACCCAGAAGTGTTCATCCGATCAACCGAGAGGACTTTCGACGAGGCTTTTTCTCTGAACGGCGGCAGGTTCGATCGTCCGTTCTTAGAGCGTATCAAGAGAGTCCTGAACGTGATCATGCTCCGTAGAGATAAAGAGTCTCCCGGAATTAACCTGAATATCCCGACCAAAACGGAGACAATCATCTCAGTCCCACTGTCTCCCTTGCAGCACTCGTGGTATCTTAGGATTCTGACCGGCGCCGAGGCACTTCTTGATGGATCGGAAAAATCGTCATTCTTGCGCAGAATTCACGAGTACAAGCAGGCCAGCGGGTTGCAGCTCCCTGAGACAAAAGACGTCGCCAACGACGCTTCTGGCTCTTCTCAAGCTCCGCAAGCACAAAAGAGAAAGATCAGAATCCTGGATAACATCCTGATGGAACTGCGAAAGGTACGCCATCCCACCCCACTCGCATCGCAATCTGACATCCCAGTGCTCAATCCACCCCTACCTCCTCGACGACGCAATACCAGACCCCTACACCCTCGAACCCCACATCGTGAACAACTCCGGCAAATTCGTCGTCCTGCAGAAATTCCTGCACCATTTCGTCCTGGCCGAACGAAAGAAAGTCGTCATCTTCTCCGGTTTCGACCAAGCGCTGAACCTCTGCGAGGACCTCGTCTCCATGCTCGATACCACCGATCACAACAAATGCGTGCGTCTCGATGGAAAAACACCGAGTGCTATGAGGAACCTCTCTCTGTATCTATTCCAGAACGACCCTCGTTACATGGTCTTCCTTGTGTCCATCCGAGCCGGCGGCGAGGGCTTGAACCTCATCAGCTCTTCGACCGTGGTCTTCCTCGACGAAGACTGGAATCCGCAGGTGATGAAGCAGGCGGAGTCGCGGGTCCACCGCATAGGTCAGACGAAGCCGGTTGAGATCTTTAGGATCCAGGCGAAAGGCACGGTCGAGGAACAGATGGCGCGGCGGTTGGTCAAGAAGGCGTACTTGGCTAATACTATCACTGGAACCGCGGAGAGAGATCTCGAGACTTATTCTCCGATGCAGAGCCTTGGGTTTGGTGGCTATGAATCCGAGTCTCGTTCCGCCTGGAGCGATGGTTTGGACGATCTTTTTGGCGCCATGGCTTCCGGGTCTGTGAGATCGTTTGGTACCGGGGATTTAAACAACTGTGACTGGACGAGTGTTCTCGAACTATGCGGTGTTCGTCAGCACGGGCCTGACTCTCCTCAGTCCTCGTTCTCGATCGACGCAGAAAAAGCATGGATGGAGCGTTCTGCCCGGGTGAGAACCAACCTGTACAACGGCGAAACAGTCGACACCAGCGGGCGGTCCCTTTCGTTAAATCCCGAGAAGGTCCCAGTGAGCTTGTGCCGGGCTGATCGACGAATTGGAAAGGAGCGCATAGTCATGATCGACGGGTTTGCAGTCTCGAAGCAAAGTCTCACCGAGGGCAACCCAGCCCCTAAAGCCAAAAAGACAGCCTCGTCCCAGAAAATGTCTCACGAATCTGTACGTCAAGCTCAAGTCCTCCACATTTCGTTCGGTCAGCTAACAGTTCAGAAATGCTTCTCCTGCCATGGGCACAATCCCATCGACTGTGCCATCTGCCCGCGGGCCTTCCACCAGAAATGCCTCGAGGACATCGACATGCTCAAGTGGTCAATTAACCGGATCATCTGCCCGCAGCATGCCTGCTACGAGTGCGGCAAAAAGGCACCACAGGCGGGTGGTCTGCTGTTCCCTTGTTTGAAGTGCGTGAAAGCATACTGCGAGGACTGTCTGAATTGGCCTGGCACGAAGTTTGTCGGCGAAAACCGTCTCCACAAGGATCTGGGACATGCTCCGAGTAGCAGCTTCTATATCGAATGTGTGGGTTGTACTCAGAAGGATCTGAAGAGATATTTGCGCCATGAGATGGTTGGATCTGTGAAGCGCGCTCGGTTGTCTGATTGGAGGTCTATGTGGCATGGTGCGAGAAGAGGAAGTGTTGGAATTGGGTCGTGACGAGCTGGTCGAAGGATGGCATTGTTATGGAATGTGTGGGCTTGGTGTCGTTGACTGCATGTTATGTTGCTGGCTGGTTATTCTTCGGTCTATTGTCTAGGTGGATTATTCTTCGATTTGGAATTGCAGGGACTTCGTTTTTAAAACAATTCAGGACAGATTCTATTGGAGCTGATGGTCGCTGTGCACTCGCTCAGTCTATCATTTATTCATCTTCGTAATATCTGCGATGTTTCCTGACTTAGCTTTAACCTTTGTATTCGAGAGACACTTCCCACTGGCAAAATATCTAGCAGTGGATTCCGTATGCTTGTATGGCACTTTGGTCTACCACATTAGGAACAAGCAGGACATTAAGCCCTTGGGCCAGTAGCAAACCCAAATCCCAAGCAAATGAGCATGTCTCATACCCTGTCCCATTTATTGGATCCCCGCATCGAGGGAAAACAGGCAATTCTATCCTATTCCATTTATTGTATGACAAGACTAGCTCCAATTGCCCTGGAGATTTACAGAACTATTGGGCTGTCCTGTTCCCACAATTCTATCCCGCAAATATTATCTAAAACTTTGACTGTGACTCTAGACGTGAAACAAATGTTTGACTGCAACGGCTGATTATTGTATATTGCACCAGTAAGAGTAACCAGCCTCAAATGATCTAGACTCCTGCAAGGAATTGACTCGGTCTCCTGCGTCAACACCAAAGCCTTGCATGGTACTGCCACGATCCGTTGAATACGGAGATAGTCATTCGATTCCCCGTGGCAGATAAATAACTCTCCTGGCTAGTGGATACACAAAAGCCAATCATTGTCTGAGAACTATACTCGTACAGACAAAGGGCTCTCAAAACATCTAGAGAGCAACATATATTCCATTTTAATTAATCTGAGAAGCTAACATTGCAGCACCACTCCTTTGAATCAGAGCGCCAAGTCAGGAGGATAAACATGGAGCGGCCAGACCATTCTAGAGAATGGCAGCTGTCACCACCTTGCGTCGGCTCGGATTGAAACGCGTAGCCTGGTGTCCCTTGCATTAACCCTGGTGATCCCTTTCAGCATGCAGAGCTACCGCATGAAGGGTCAGTTCGTGGGTCATTCATCCCGTCCTGATTTGCGGTGCTTGCAGCTATATCTATTATCTCATGATATAATATTGGACTCGTCCGTTGTATACACAGCGCATTTTTCTTTTCCTGCGAGGAGAAATAAAACTAGAGGTTATGATTCCTTACGTGCCTGCTCAGTGTTAACACAGCCAGAAGACCACGCAAGGGATAATTAACACTTACTCCATATAGCAGAGCATGCTCAAGTGGGTTTTCTGTTAAACTACACAAATGAGATATTTGAGATCGCGTCTATGGAACAAAGGAAGCCAGTGATACTGTCCTGCTTCAAGGTCCTTGCCCAGAAAGAATTACCCAAGGGGAAAATAATCTTGAACATCCATATGTCACCATCTAAACTTCACCGATACCTTGCACATTTCAGCCTCACACGCTCAACGCATACTATCCAGAATCTAATCACCAACCAACTGTCTAGTTCGACTTCTCCCAAATATACCTTCTCAAGTAATGGACCATAAGACAATACAATAGCCTTCCATGCACCACGGCGGAAGTGGGGAGATGCATCCGTTCACAATCCAGGATGATTTGTCCAAAAGACATTCAGACTGATATTCAATTCCTCTTCTGTTTCCTTCCACGTGCATAACGTCATGTGCAGATGCACGAGACGGGTAACCAAGACACGTCCATCTTCGGCCCGAGAAGGACACGCAGGAAGCAGGATTATGACCTAGAATTTTCGTCCGATGCGCGTTACGTGTCTGAGGGGTATACGCTGGGAGTTACGAAATACCGCATTTGACCGCTATCATTTTCCTTTTTCTGTAAGTCACCTGGAGCAATTCTGGGAAGGAGCTAAAGTCGCAGTGGTAGTCTGGATTTGCGAGTCCAATAGGACTGTCCATGCAATTGTACCTTGTGCTAACAGCCGATTGGATCTACTGCTCCCTCCTTTCGCCTCATAATGGAAGAACAGTTGCTTGCAGCGATAGAAGAGCGCAATGCCAAACTAGTGACACAATTCCTGGATGCTGGGGCATCCATGAATTTTGAGCTATTTATCACGGCGGCCCAAGACAAGCAGTATACAATTCTCCAGTCATTTCTTGATCACGGCTGGGATATCAATACGGAATCCACTCTTGATAGTAAAGTACCTTCAGTTCTTGCACTCAGGTAAGTTATACCTAGCTTCTTGTTATTTCTTTCTTTCTTTCTAGTATCTAAAATGTCATAGCTGCGCTTTCAATGATATTAGCCTAGCAACATGGTTATTAGAACATGGCGCCGACCCCAACAAGCGCTGCCAGCTACGGAATGCTACTCCCTTGTCATACGCGGTCCACGAGGCTCCACGCGAAATCATCGACCTCTTTTCCCAGTACGGAGGATCAACCGAACATGGCCAGCTCTTGCACTTCGCCTCCATGCGTGGCGATTTACCAATCCTGCAATATCTATGCGATCAAAGCCCGCGCCTTCTAGGTGGCATCAATCGCTTTCTCGATGAAGGATCTCCAGAATTCGAGATAAACTACAGGCTTGGACTCCGCACACCCATTCAGTATGCGGCAACAGCTGGCTCCGTAGAGTCTGTCAGGTTCTTGGTGGAACACGGTGCAGATTCATGGCTCTTGGATCCTTACTCGCGAACGGCATTGACCTATGCGGTGTACAATCGCCATGAGCCGGTGGAACACTACCTGAAGAGTCTTCAGCAACAGACCAGCTCTGCTTCTTCATATCGTTAGCGTTACCAGATCTTATCAATGAGATAGTCAATGCTGCGCTGCTTGGTCTTATAAATAGGGCAACGTAGGTGAGGCAACGAGCTTACAATAGTACTATAGGAATAGAAATCACGTATTGGAAACATGAAACAGCTCCAGTATCCCACCGTCACTGCACCACGGAGTATGCAGTAGAAGGCAACCCCACTACCCAGTACAGTACTTTTGTAGTCCCTGCGTCTAAACATCCCGCATAAATATTTATACATCCCCTAAGCATAACTCCCTAAACGTCACCCTGCAGATCCCACCTCAGCGGCGCAGCTGCATCCAGCCCAGTCCGGATCCCTGTCCCGTCCCGCCTGGACGTCATCTGGCGTTTTATTTCATGGTAAGGCGATAGTCATGATCGGCATATAACGTCCGGAGGGCGTACTCCGTACAGTGGAGCATGGATGGCCCCACAAGGTAATAATGCCAATAACTATAATAACTATAATAATAACCCAGTCAGTCTAGGATTCTCCTCCTAGACCTACTCCTAGACCACGAGTCGAAGCCCGGGAAGAGCGTACTAATGGATCCACTATCGTTAATGCTCGGAGAGAGTGCCCGAACAGGCAGGAGACTAGATGTCGGTTGGTTTCAGGGATTAGACAACGCTCGAGGATGGTTTAGGTATGGTGTAACGGTTTTATTGCAGGCAGTTATTTGTGGAGGAGCATGTAGTAGTATTTTTTTTTAAATCAATTTGTCAATTTAGCGGCTATTTCAAGCTAGAATTGATACTTCGTCGAGGTTAGCTTGATGTCAAGCGGATGATACAGCACCATGTCTAGATTCTGTAAGTGCATAACCCTTCCTGAATAGAGTGAAAGAAAAAGAATTGTCCTAGAGCCGATGAGCCATAGGCGTAACCGGAATACATAGCCGGACTTTGATAAGAACGGAATGAGCAGTACAGTAGCAGCTCTATGCTACCATTCAAGCTTGGAGATTCGGGATGCTCGTTTGCGAGCCAGTTGGAGGGCTGTGGAGGCGCCGAGGCCGGCGGTTTCTGGAATATTATCCATTGGCATGAGGGTATGTGTGAGGTGTGGAGTGGGATGAGTTACCTCCGGTGATGAAGATGGTCTTCCCATCGAGGTCGGGCAGGTCGGTGGTTGGGTTGAATGTTGATAGGTCAGGCATTTCGATAGTATAGTATCGAAGGAAATATTTCTCAAGGAAAGGATAAAGAACGAAGGCTATCTACCTGGACCTAAGATCTTTAAATAGAGTCCATAACCCCTAAAGATAACCAAAACTCACAATCCTGTGCCACAAGGCCTCACGAAGTTGTAGGGCTATACAAGCACCAGACTGGACGGCTCGGGATTCAGAGCTGCTGATTGACAGGATGGTTGGGGCCGCGCGATTCCGCGAGGGAGTAGATTTCGTTTTGCCCGGCACTTGCTCAGTTCCAAATCCATGGAATGCATCTCTCATCTCTCTCACCTAGAGATTCGTACAGACTGACTGTCTACCCGTGTAATAGATTCCTCGTGGCCTTTAGTTCAATGAAACGAGCGCCATAGTTTGAAAGCATATCCGAGGCTGGCAAGTGTCATTTGTCGGTCATGATATGGAGAATGGCAGATGCATCAGGCAGAAGAGTTCGAAAAGCTGTACGAAAAGAACTTCATACAGTCTGAACCAAGTGAAGTAGGTCACGATCTGTGCTTCCTATACTGCCTAGGCAAAGAACATCTCCACAAAGCAAAAGGCTTTAGCATAGCACAGAACGCTACGTATCAGTCGATCCAATCAGACTTGAAAGGATCAGGTCCGTTTATAAATTGAGAACCTTTCAGGGTTCTGACACCGGTGTAGCGATTATAATGAAGGTATTGCTGAGAGCACCAGATGCACATCATTGGGATCTAACGTCTGTCCTTGTCTACGCAGTATAATATCGACATAACTAATTATGAACATAGCATATGTAATCCATCTTCACAGTGGCTAACCTAAGACACATTCTAATTTACGCGTTACAAAAAAAGACAAAGAAAAGAAAAGAAACTAAATAATACCAATCCTTCCCCCTACGGATTAAACAGTTAACAAAATTACTATCGGTACCTAAACCAAACCATCCTCAATCCGGCCCGCTAGACACGCTATCCAACACCGGCTCAAACTACATCCTACTAAAGAAAATCCTAATAGATTAAAAATAAAACAGAAGTTAGACTAGATTTCCAGTTCCGTCGCCGGCCCCGAGTCTCTGCCGACCCGGTGGCTCGGGTCTTCCGTTGTCTCACTCTATTTTCATTTTCCATGCTTGGGTGATTGGTTCTAAGGTGGGTGTTATTCTAATGGATCCTTTGATTTTGTTGTCTCTGTTTTCTCTTCGTGTGAATATCGTACGGGTAGAGGAGATAGATGGGTATAGCTAGGCGAATTGCATTGTCTGTGTGCAGAAATGGCATGCACTTTGGACAGATAAGGAGACAAGCGAATGGCCCAACCACTGTACCTATCCTGTACTTGTGTATACTTGCAACCAAATGTCATGATCGTAAGATAATCGATGAATCATCGCTGTTCATCGATGCATACTTAACCACTCCACAGTACAGATATTCAATCAGACAAGTCAACCCAAAAAAAAAGAAACAATAGAGAACCAATTCTCGGATAGCCGTCTACTCCGCAAGCCTCACACTCGCCAGCCGCTCTTCGACCTTGCGCACAATCTCAGGGTCTGGTTCCGGTTTGATTTTCTTAGGCCTGTCACATCAATTAGTATCTGATTCTTCAAGCCAGGTGAAGGACGTACGGTTCACGTATAGTCTCCGCGCATCGCTCCTGTCCGCAGTTCGCACAGTTCTCCTGGCCAGACTTATACAGCGTAGAGCACCGATGGCAGGTATATCTGACTCTCTGGCGCGGCTTTCTCCACGTCCAGGACTGCGGTTCGAGCGGCGGATCGACGTCGCCGGGGTATCCGTCGGGGTATTTTTCCGGCTTAGGTCTGTCATCATCAGTACTGCTTCATACCAAGTAGAAGAAAGAAAGCTTACGGATCCCTCGGACACTTCTTGCAGCGCACATGCTCACACCCCTCACACTGCTTCGAGCCCGCCATAAACACCTTCTCGCAGCGATGACAGGTGCGGCGAACGCGCTGCACGACCGGCTTCCGCACCAGATCCTGGCCTCCCGTGCGCGACGGGATCTTGAGCACGTATTCGGTGGGGTTGCGATGGTGCGGGTGTTTCTGATGTGGCTTGAGCTCGCCCTGCTGCGGTTCCCGACCAGCCACGCCCTTCCCCTTCTGCGCCAGGATGTTGCGCAGCGCGGTCTCGGTGTCTTCCGCGGGTTTAGGCGCCGGGTGGCGCGGGCAGCTCTTGCACCGGGTGTGCTGGCAGCTCGAGCAGACTCTGGCGGGCCCGAACGGCGTCTGGCAGCGGTGGCAGCTGCGGCGCACGCGCATGCGGATGGGCTTCGCGACGCGCTGGACGGAGGTGTCGACGGGGCGGCAGTCGTCGTGGGCCAGGCTGAGGCCGTATTTGGCGAAGAGGGCGCGGGTGCGCTCTTCCTGGATGGCGCCCCAGTGGGAGATGACGATGGGTTGGGGGGAGGTTGCGGGAGGTGGTTTTGCAGCGGTAGTGGGAGTGGGGGTTGCGTGTCTAGATGAAGATGTAAGTTAGGATGTTGTGCGATTGTCTTGATAAAAGCTACTCCGTAGAACATACTTACCCCGCTTGTTTATCCTCGGGCTTTTCCATGTTCGCAGAAGCAGATCCCGACTTTGCGATGGACCCTCGTCGCAGCACCGTCCTCATGCGCTTAATATACTTCGACAGGCCCTCTGGCTTCTCGCCAGCGGGGTTGGGTTTCAAGGCGCCAGGCATTTTGTATTACAGGGAGCCGAATAAAACCGATGGGCGTAAGGATGAGCGAATCAGTGATTGTGTGGCGTCGGGACTCGAGTTGGGAAATCGGGGCGACAAATAATTGCGTGGATGGCGTGGAGAATCGACGGTCAAGGGTGAGGGCTGGTGGTCGGTAGTTATAGTTCGTCAGGTATAGGCAGGTTGCACCGAAACCAGAGACTTGGGACCCGGCGAGACGGTGAGCCAAAGCACGAAATTAAAAGAACACGCAGACCGGCGTGGCTGATTGGTGGACTGGCGGTCAGATCACTTCAGGTCTCCACTGAAGGAAGCAGTGCAGGAGGCTTTGTTGGCCGAAGATTAACCAGACCGTTGGGTCGCGAGAGAAGAAAAACGAATCCACGGAGTCGCAGGAGGGAGTCGGCGATAAATAGAAGGCGAAGGACTTTCTGGGGAGCAAGAGGGGTGGAGGGGGCGAAAGGGAGTGGCACAGGGTCGTTTTATTTTATCATTTTATTTTAAAATAAAATGAATAAAATAAAATGAAATAGAGAAAATAATGGAATAAATAATAATGCCAATATTATGGAAATAACCCCGGTCACTAGGATTAGCATTAAGGAGTCGGGAAGAGAATAGTTGGACAATACAAGGCCATATACCTTTTACCTAAGGAGCATATGTTAATTAGCACCAAGACTGAATAATGTCTTGCTAATCCAAATGACAATGCCCGTACCGTGGAAACCGCATGGAACGATCCGTGCGGAACGAGTGGAGGAATTGCCTGGTCGAGGATTGTGGGTCGAATCCCGCCAACCCGACGGTCTGGAAGACTCGTTCTGATTATTTTAAATAATAAGAAGAAATGTCCGTACTGCGTAGATGAAGTGGCACTGATCCCGCCCGGATCCACGCCGAATGCACCAGAGTTTGACCAGCGAACTCTACCGAGATCGAGCATCCCGTGCAATTCCAATCACCTCCGATCATTGCCAACGGGCCTGTCAGACTGCCAGGCTGGACTCTTCCTCAGAGCACTCTTCCAGACCCAACGCCATTGATTCTTCCCGCCAAAACCGCCGGCGACGGTACCTACATGGGGGACGCGGCTAAGTTAGCTGCAGATGGGATCCATGTCCCGTCCTTAGTCTTCCTACTCGGTGGTAGACTAGTGCAGACGCCGTGCTCCGTCCGTACACAGCATGTCTGACCGACGTAGCGGTATTTGCCTCGCGCCATGGATCGTGCAGCGATCGAGTTCAGGCAAACCTCGTACGAGTCATCGTTCGATCACCCGTCGGCCAGCGATCGACACTCGCACTTGCATCAGATGATGCTGGGGAGTTCATGAGGACTCCAGAGACAAACGGTCGGCATCTTCTCCGGAGCCTGTCGTCATTCTGCAGTTGGGACTGGCCTCGAATCCGGATTCGGGGGAAGGTCAATGCTACCTTGTCGTGGAGACTAACGGCGGTTGGCATCCTGAGGGATGGAATCGCCTGACAGCGGATTGGCATCCTGGATTCGGCAACCCCGTCGGTGCCAACGGTAACTGCCAGCGAGTGATGCATGGAGAAGGTTAAGAAAGAATTCGCAGCACAGTCTGTCTGCTGTCGACTGTCGAGTCCCAGACCTCCACACTCCATACCTCCGGATCATCCGTCTCTATTGTCACTAGTCAGCATCATGCCCCCTTAATATATTAATATCGATGCAGAATTCCGAAGACCTGATGCGAAGAAACGCCTCTCCTTCCCCTCACCAGCGCACTGGACTAACCCGCGACGGAGGATGCATGATGCACGACAGGAGGGGAAGAAAGAAATCCACCACGCAACCCGGAGAAACCGCAACGGCTGCCTGCAGGCCGGCGTCCATTCCATTGGCGGTCGCTGTCTTTTATTATTTCCGTTGACATTTATTCTGATTATTATAATCATTCTTGCTAGAATTTTAGTAGCCCTCTTCCCCTCTCGTACAGCGTAATTCGTACTTTCCACCCTTCGATGCTTCTAGTCTCGTCTCATGCAGGCTGACGAGAGCCGGAGAAATTCTACCTACCGGCTTCTTCTCTCTTCCCCTCTCGAGTCCCGCTCGGGTCGACTAACGGTTTTCATGATTCTGGCGGTGATTCCGTGGTTGCACGGCACCCCTGACTGATAAGACTCGAATGAGGTTTCTCCCGGATTCCCCCATCTGGCATCGATTCGACCGCAACCAAATCCGAGCACAGCATTATTAGTGAATTATGAGTGAACAACAACAGCGCGCACGGGAAACAAAAGTCCCAAAACCCGTCCTCCGGTGGAGACTAGACTCCGGTGGTCAGTGCCTGAAGAGCCGACGACTGGAGAAATGTCGTCAGACTCACTCCCTACTCCTTCTCCTAGACTCCGACGCGACGCACGCAGACTCGGGCCCAGTCTGACGCTGAACTTTCTAAAGCCACCGGAAGTGAGCAGCGATCTCCGGTCATTTTCTTTTCTTTTTTTTGCCCTTTCCAGCAGCCCGGACTGGACCATGCCAGTGCCAGCTGTCACGACGCGGCAGACGTCGGGCGGAAAAGGATTGAACTCCTACCCAAACGGGCCCTAGTCGCGATGATTGTCCCTTCTTCCGTGAGAGGGAGGTCCACTGTGGGGGTGCTGATCAGCTTGGTGGGATGGCCTTGGCCGTGTTGGAGCGGAGGAGTAGGAGTTGTGCTGGGTCCGGGTGGGTTTCAATGTTCTAGATGGTGGGCATTACGATAGATGTGGTCGTGTGGATTACTTGGGTTGTTATTGGAGTTGGACTGATGGAGTAGATACGGAGTAATCCTTTCGGTCGAGTACTCCTATCATGAATGTAACAGTCGTGTTTGTTTGTCTGTCGGTTTGATTGTCCTGTTGGTTTATTTATACTTAGTTGAAACTAACGTATTCCACAAGCGAGTCGGCACCACAAGCGAGCCGGCACCCCCGCTCCAATTTCTGCCCGCGGACCAAATACTAGAGGCTTTATCAACGAAATAATTGCATTTCTATATAAAAACTAATTAGGAACTCGATTGGGACATTGTAACCGTCTATGTCCTAGAATATGACAATTACTGCAGCGTGGTGGCGCTCGTACGCGTGGCTCAACTGCAGAAAGTGCAGGGTCTAGAGGAAGCGTATTTTAAGCTTCATCAACCTCATTCTCGCGCTGAAATCGCTCTAGGCCTTCTTGAATAGCTGATCCCTCTGTAATAGCTAGCTGCCTAGTAGAGCGTTTCTTTTTTTGAAGCTTCTTTTCATGAGAAGCGCGTAATTCACGGATTTCTTCGCGTGCAAGAATAAGCTCATTAAGGTGTAATTCATGACCTTTAATAAGCTTATTAAATCGTATCTCTAGCGAAGATGAAGGGCCCTGCGTACGCGCTTTAAGCAGCTTCTTTGCTGTAGATGCCTGCTTTTCAAGCTGCCTAGTTGTATAAGGCGTTTTTGGCGCTGTATTGGTAGATCGACTGCCTGGTGGTGTAGGGGTCTTTAGCTGAATATTCAGCTTACTGAGTACCTTATCTGGATTAAGTGGAACTAGACCAGCATCTGTGAAGCTATTCCGAATAGTATCTGCTTGAAAAGCGCTTTCACGAGCTTGTGGAAAGGCCTCTAAGAAATTAAACTTATCGATATGATTGATTCCCAAGCGTGCCTGTTTCTCAACTAAGCTGCCGTACGCCCGCTTTAGAGGTGAGAAGCAGCCAACATCTAGAGGCTGTAGTAGATGCGATGAATGTGCAGGCATGCAGATAGGAATAATATTATTCTTACTGCATATCTGGTCGAATTAAGGTGTAAGATGGCTGCCATGACTGTTAAGAACTAGAAGACGATATCTTCCAGTTATATGACTAGTAGTAGTCGGAATAAAGAGGTTTTTAAGCCAGCGAAGGCTTATCTCATTAGTAGTCTATCCATTAGGACTAACTTCAATCCTGCTATCGCGTGGGAGTTTGATATCTTGATACCAACCCTCTATATGGATCTTTCCTTTAAAGATCACACATGGAGGAAGTGCCCAACCGGTTGAGTTAATATACTCGATTGAAGTAACCCATTCTCGATTGTTAGGCTGTATAAGAGAGGCCTTTCCGTAGTAATTAGCTCTAGTAACTACTTGAGCAGTAGCTACTAAGCCTATAGTGAAGCCAGTCTTATTAAAATTGTAGATATCTTCCTGTACAATTCCATGTTGTATTATAATGATTTGTACGCGATCAAACCACTCTCTGATAATCTTGGGGTCTTCGCATTTAGCGCGCCAATAATCATAGCGTCGAGTATAGCGAGTTTTCAAGCGATCTTGTCGTTTAATGAAGTTGGAGACCCAGTTCACTCCGACTGATTAAACTGGGGTAGTATCGCGCGCAGCAAGAAGAATATTGGCCATTTCTCGTATATGGGACGGTCGGGGAGGCGCTCCACGTCGATCTAGCGATAGAATCCATTGTATAAGCGATTCCTCTTCATTTTGAGTTATTTTATGACTATTGGCACGTGTTTCTGAGCGATTTGTTTTTCCGCGTAGCCGATCTTGTAGAGTAGAACGAGGCATATTATAATGACGCGCAGCTTTAGTAATTTGGGTAATTTGTTTATTTTCTATAGCAGAGATTGCTAATAGAATCCTCCCCTCCTGCTCGGCTGAATTTCCTGACTTTTGACGCGCTTTTGGAGGCATGGTTAGTGGTTGAATTGAGTAAGGTTTTTGATCGCGGTCAAAACGCGTTGGGGTGCCGGCTCGCTTGTGGTGCCGACTCGCTTGTGGAATACGTTACTATACCATGTGATAGCAATTGTGCATTCAAAACCCAGTCATTCTGACCATTCCTCCGTCTATCCAGAAACCAAAGAACAAGATGAACAAAAGCGGAAGAAACACCCCTAGCCTATATCATCACATCGAGTTTCAGTTCCGGTGGGATGTTAAACCCGTCCAACAGCAGCTGCCATGGTTACACTTCATTTCCACAACTCCAGATCAGCCGCCCCTTATAAATCGGCTTTTCTTCCTCTCTTTCTCCCTCTCTTCCTCCCTGTCTTTTTCTGTTTATCTTTTCTTGCTATTTCTTCATCAAACTAACGGTCATTCTTAGAATGAATACATTCGAATCTTCAATCCAAGTCGGCCTGACAAAAAGCCGGTAAAGAAGGCTCTGGGATTAAGCCATTAAACCCTCTCAAAGACTTTTTCTTATCCATAAGAGAGCTGTTCTTCTAACTCCAGTTCGAATGAGAAAAAAGGGCGGAATAAGATAACTCAATACCTACCGTCCATTATCAGTCTATCCGGCCAGAAACGCACTCCAATTCGGACTCAACCCGCTTGATTAAGATCTAATACGATACCTAGAGTACCGACATAGCTCTCCACCTCGTTTAGCTCCTCTCACGCACCCTCGCTCAATCGATAAGTTCAAATGACATAGACATGATATTAGATATATCAACTTGAACTGATTCCCATCGATACCTCATCCACGTTGATCGATGAACAGTGCTTCGGGCCTTTGACAGGTCAGAGAGAGCCGGAGTTGTTCCTTTCTCCTTCATCTGCAAGGCTGAGACATTTCTCTTGGTTCGGTCTGTCTGTTGTAGCGAGTAAGGATTGGGAATGGCGTCTGCTTTGGAGACTACATTCTCCCGAGAGGACTTTTCGGATAGCCGAATACTTCCAGCTACATTGGAGCTTAGAGATCAACACTGCCTATCACGTCAAATGATTTGCTCATGGGCTTGGGAGGAAGGAGGTTAGGTTAAGCCTCATCCTGTATTTTGGGTCTTGGATGCAAGAATTCCTAGAGTTATAGACAATGCTTCTACCTGTGGTATCCGATAAGCTGGCCGAGTCGATGGTCCGGGGGACAGGGGGTAGATGTGTTCTATGTGTATTCTTGGTCTTGATTACCACGGGTTCTATACGAATGCTTATTCTACTTACCTACTCAAATTGATGGATCTGAAACCTAACACATGCTAAATCTGCCAATCTAAGTACTTCCCGGCCCTCATTAACCCAATACATTAATCTTCTCCCTCCCCCCTCCTCCTCCTTGCCCGTCAAACCAAGCAGCGCTATACCTAGACCCGACAGGCACAGCATAAAACAAATCCCACTCCATCCACCCTCCATCTCATCTACCACACCAACCCACACCACCCACCGGATAATCCCTAAATTTAATCCTCACTCTGCAACCGCGCCTCAATCCCCGTAATATCCTCATCCTCACGCACCTCAATCACACGGTTCACCTCCGCCACGTTACGCATCAGCTCGACGGCGCCCGCGTACATCATGCGCGCGTTCGGGTTGCAGTTCACGGGGAGGTAGTACAGTAGGACGTAGGGGACTGCGAGACGGCCGGAGCCCTGGATTTTAATCATTCGTCAGTAGACCTTCTTATCGGGTGGTGGAGGTGAGGAGGGAGTTCTTGGTGGTGGGAGGTAGCTAAGGTGCTAAGGACTAGGGCATACCAAAGTCAGCGGATAACTCAGCAGAATGAAGCGCGGCGACGACTCCGGGAGCTCGTCCGCCAGCTCGTCCATTTTCGTGTAGACTTCGCCATCTTCGGGGCGGATTTCTTGGTTCTTGTTGTCGATTATGTCTGTTTTTTTTTTTCTGTTTGTTAGTTTGGGTTCTCTGTTGGGATGTGGGTTGGATTTGTTTGCTTGGAGATGATGGTATCTGCGCTGATAGAGTATGTATCCATATCCAATCATTCCAAACCACCCATGTATGTATATCCCGCAATCCGAAACCAACGAAGCAGAGCAAAAAGAGAGCAAGAGAAGCATACAAACAATAGCCTGCGGATCCTTCGCTCTGGACGTGCCGAGCCGGAACTTGCGCAGCTTCTCCTTGGTCTCCGGCGAGAAGGAATATAGCCGGGATTCAGACTGTTATGGTCCATCAGCATGGACAGTTTTGCGCAGAAATGTCGGAGGTGATGCGGGGCAGGTTTGACGGACCATGATGGGGTGTCTGCCTGTCTGGCTGGTCGGGTGGGTTTGGTGGATGGTGGAGGAGGATAGGATGTAATCGAAGTGGTGCTTTTCAAGGACCTGGTATCTCTCAAAGACACAGGGTAAAATGTACGCAGTAAGATGATTGATTGTAGAGACAGACAGGTCGCGTGGAAAATAAAAGGTGGGATGACGATACAAGCCAAGGCGTCCCCACTTCCATCCATCAAACATCAACCAAACAAGTCATCCGCTTTCGGTTCCGCCTTTTTCTCCTCCCGCTTTCTCATCTCCTCTCTTCTGTTGTGCTTCTCTGTCCTCTATTACTCCGTATTGCTACTCCCATTCCATCCTTCTTTCCATCCCCCATATCTCATGTTCAGTCGTCTCAATCTCCTCGCCCGCCATCTACCACGTCCCTCGCTGACCCCGTCGCTCCCCGCCTCCGTGTCGCCCTTTCGTGCTCCGTTTCCGAAGATGACATCATCCGCGGTCCTGAACAGTCGGAAGACGATACATACGGCGGCTTGTCTGATTATCGGGGATGAGGTGCTAGGCGGGAAGGTATTCATTCCCTCTGGTTGATGCTGGGCAAAATCTGTGGGATGGGTTTAGCGGACAAGGTCTTGTGCTAATGGGATCGCTCCGGTCTAGACCATCGATACGAATTCCGCCTTCTTGGCCAAGTACTGCTTCTCGTTGGGGATCCAGCTCAAGCGCGTGGAGGTGATTGCCGACGATGAGAGCGAGATCATCGAGGCCGTGCGGAGGATGAGCAATAACTATGATTTCGTCGTGACGAGTGGTGGGATCGGGCCGACGTACGTATACCCTGCCCTGCCATCACCCCTTGGTCAGATCGGGGTTCGGTAAACTAACACATCCAGTCACGACGATATCACCTACGAGTCGATCGCCAAGGCATTCGGCCTGGGATTGAAGCTCCATCAGAAGGCCTTCGAGCGCATGAAGAAACTCTCCAAGCCGCACCCCATGCAGCCGCAATTCGACTGGGACACCCCATCGCCCAACCTCACCGCGAAGCTGCGCATGGTCGAGATCCCCCACGACAGCACCCTGCCTGAGGAGCAGCAGGCCGTCTTCGTGGCCGAGGACATGTGGGTGCCGATCGCCATTGTCAATGGCAACGTGCATATCCTGCCCGGCGTGCCGCGCTTGTTCGAACGACTGCTCGAGCACCTGAAGCCGTCGCTGCTCCCGCGGTTGACCAACCCCGAGGGGAAGGGCATCTACCGGTATCTGATCAGCACGCCGCTCCCGGAGAGCACGGTGGCGCCGTACCTAACGGACCTGGCGACGCGGACTGCCGCGCGGGGCATCAAGGTCGGCAGCTATCCTCGCTGGGGGAAGAAGCGCAACACGGTCACGCTGGTCGGCACCGACAAGGACTTTATGGACTCGTTGGTCGCGGAGGTCGAGCAGAACGTCCAGGGCAAGCAAGTGGCGCAGGAGGATGAGCTGGACCCGCCTTCCGACACGGAGGAAGGAAAGCCGAAGGAGTACTCTCAGTGATGCACATACTTGTGATTTTAGATTAGACCACAATACCACCTGTTGATATCCACCATCTCTTCATGACCCACCGATAAAAATCACTAGATCCATACGACCGCATCGAGTTAATCGTGATGAGACAACGGCAAGAATATCCAAACAAGTAAATTGACCAATATCTTCAAGAAGTGTAATACAAAAACGCAAACAATGAACCCGATCCTGATGCATGCCGTGGAATGAGGGTAAAAAATCGCGGAATGATGTCGATCCAAAATGCAATGCGATGTCGGCAGGATTTCTGTCAGTTGAAGGAAGGAACACGTTAGAAACAAGTAGAAATTATGGTCCATATCCCAATAGATCGATACATGAAATGGAGACAAGATGGCGTTTTGCAGTCCTGGAATAACCAGTGCGTCCGGACCATGACAATAGCGTTGTACCTATATAACTGCACAGATTCTATTGACAGGCTGATCCCCCGGACAGGGGATTATCGAGAACAATCTCTCCCAAAAAAAAAAAAAGAAAAAGAAAAAAAATCAAACTGAAACAAAGGGGGAATCGAACGTTCATGGAGACGATGATAGCATTAGGGTGGGATGGAAATTCGGTGGTGAAGAAGACATCATCTGATAGCGGCCTCGTATGGTATAAAGTCACAATCCAAAACGCGTCGACAAGTCAATCGTGTCCAAGCGATCATCCGGTCGGCCGTTTGTGTATAGTCGAATGACAAAATTTTGTGGTTTTCTCGTCTTCCGTCTCTTATTCATGGTTCTTTTGTATCCTTTCGTATGTTCGACTTGTGCGCGCCTTGTAAAATCCTATGGTATTAAGTTCAACGTCCGGGTCTCCCCAATTACATAACAATACACTTTCCACAGCAGCCGGCGTTGTCGCCGGGCTCGCTCACGTCCATCTTGCCTTCGGGGGCGCGGGAGCCGAATGCGCCCGAGCCTGATGGGTACGACGACATCTCTTTGTTGTAGCGACGGATCTCACGGACAAGGTCGTAGAAAGCGTTTTCAACATTGATACGGGATTTCGCCGACGTCTCAATGAATTTGCAGCCGAATTGACGGGCCAAAGCCTCGCCCTCTGCAGAATGTCAGCTCTGAACTTGCGGGATGAGACAGAAGGCTCATCGCCATCCTCAACCGATCACCCACCTTGTTCCGTCACGGCTCGCTCCTTCTCTAGATCGCACTTGTTTCCAACGACGATAATAGGGAAGTAGTCCTTGTCCTTCACGCGCAGGATTTGTTGCTGGAAGGTCATGATTTCTTCGAAGGATTGGCGAGATGTTATCGAGTAGACCAGAAGGAAACCCTCTCCGGTTCGCATGTATTGTTCACGCATTGCCGAATATTCCTCCTGTCCGGCAGTATCCAACACGTCCAACAAAGCGACCTCATCGTCGATGACACACTGCTTGCGGTAGGAATCTGTTGACAGAAGAGGTTCGAATAAGCCAGATGATCGAGATAGATCAAGGATTGTAGCGCCCACCTTCAATTGTCGGATCGTATTCATCCACGAAGTGACTCTGGATTAATTGAATCGTCAAGCAAGACTTTCCAACTCCACCACCTCCGACGACCACCAACTTATATTCTCTTAGGAACTATCATCACATCGGTAAGCAATCTGATCATGGTCGATGCCCATGACGAACAAGGTTCAGGATGGGATGGAAATGTCCGGAAGGGCGGGATTCGCAGTAAGGGAAAAGGGAGACGGGAGACGGGAACGAGGCGAGCGAGGATGACGGGCTTACCTTTGAAGCCATAACGACGGACTCTGATCCTGAGACACGTTCAGTTTGAAAGGGAAAAGGGAAATAAGAAACGGTGATCGGAAGCGATCCCAACAGAAACAAAAAGGTGACAGCGGGTCGACGAGGTGGTAGTCCAGCAGATAGCAGAGTAGTACGGAGTAGCAAGCAAGCAAGCACAAATTTCTTTTGCGGCAGGGTCGAAAGGTCGGGGCCCAGGTCCTCGGGAGTTTCGCGCGAAAACAAAAAAAGGCGCCTAAAGGGCAAAGTCCACAGCAACGGCGGGTCAACTTAGCGACTTGGGCCAAGCTTAAAGAGTCGCTGGTGGGAGGATCAGGGGGGGTTCGTGGAACTTTGCAGGCGGGAATTGAGACTGAGTCGCCTGCACCTGTCGTTTGGTTTAATTCTTATTGATTTTTTATTTTATTTCCTGCTGGTTTTCTTTTTTTTTTCTTTTCTTTTTTTTCCAGGCTGTCGAAACTAGAAGTTCGGCGGTGGTTCTTCTTCTTTACCCAAAACCGTCTAGGGAGGGATAAAAGCGGGTTAACAAGAACTGATCCGAAAAATCGACCAAACGGGGGGGAAGGACAGAAGAGAAAATCGGAGCGGAGCAAGAGAGGGGAAAGGGGGGAAGAGGTGGATGGAATGATGGATGAAATGATGATTAAGGGGGAGGTTGAAAGGTGGGGATGCGGACGAGACCTTACTCGGACAGGAGAGGGCGCTGAAATGACGATGGAAGAGGGGGAGGCGGTGGTGAGATCGAATCGACTAGTTCAATAATCAGAAGAGAATCAGGGGTTTGCGGCGGCCGGTGCGTGGCAGTACCCGTGCAAGCGTGGTCTTTTACAGTTATTCTTACGGGTTGCCTAACAATCATTTCTATCAGATTGTTATTGTCCTCCGTAGGACAAGAAACCAAATTGTCTACGGAGTACGGTGTAAAAGAAAAAACAACAGAAACCATTACTGCAGTACGCAGTAATAACTAACAACACCCTACGGAAAGGGGCAGAAAATCCCAATCAAGTGGACCGCGAAAAGGGGGCCAATCCTCGTCTTCCCCTTGGCCAACCTCCTTTCAATGCCAGCCTTCTGAGATTAATCTTCATGGAGTTCCACTCCTTAGCGTGCCGGTGATAATGCTTCTCATTCATCCACTCCCCCTGGAACCGTTTGTCACCTCGACGCAGGCGTACGAGTACGCGGTTTAGCCAGCGACCGACTGCAATCCCACGCCAATCATTTGTTCATGCACGGTGGGTTTAATCAGTTTAACTCTACTCGTTTCCCGTCCTCAGTTCTTGAACGCTTGGCTCCCTCGGATGAAGCAATCAACTTGGGAATAGCGACAAACGCGCTCGATAATCTTCGGCGAACCAACCTGCATCGGCCTTTAATTAATCTCCATCCGACAGAATTGGATATCAATATTAATTGCGATCTCTTACAGTTGGCTAGGAAGCAAACACCGAGATACTCCTACTCCATCCTACGCTGTACTGCCACCCGGATTATCACGACAATCAACACGGCCGACGACCGTTGCTGTGCTTCCAGAACCATCCTCAGCCTTAATCGGTATCCGGAGTCACCACGCAGCGAAAATCAAACCTTACAGCCCGTCCGACCGGCACTTACATCATCTCAATCATGAATTTGTCAATTGACCATCCTTGAACCTTGTCCGCAGTCAACATCCCAGGAGCCAGGAGCCAGGACAGTCCCTGGATCGCGTGGATGTCGCGTTGCGGCTAATTTTCTTAGTCCACGATCTAAGCCAGGAGAGTTTTCCGGCTCCCCACGCCTCCACTCCCCAATGATAAATGGTCTGATCCCTTGCTGTTTCAACCACGGAGCAGACCGATTTCGATCGTCATTGGTGTTGACAGAAGGGATGGAGAGCCAGCCTCCGGAGTAGGCCTCTCGAGCTCCATCCATTTGGTCCTTTTTACGCCTGTCATGGAAAATTGGAGACCAGCATCCACGCCCCAATGTGATCTATATCAACCTTAAACCCGAGGAAGCATTTCTGCATCCTCCGGAACCCTTCACGCGCTTCCGTCCATACGGAGTCCATCCAGTTGCATCATCGTACATCGGCCCTAGAACTACTGCAGCGGACCGCTGATCTTTCTGTCTTGGGCTCTAAGCACTTGCTGTGCTCCGTAAAGTGTTATCGCAGTTAGCAGTTCGCTTGAACATGGTCACACGCTGTACGGAGGACGAAGGGGATTTTTCCGAGACCAACGGGTCGTTTTCTGCCCCAGGGAATTCTCCGTTATCCGCACGCGTCTGCCAACTTCTCCTTCTCATATCCTCCTTCCTGAAAGGCCGAAAGAATGTTGATCACGGAGAAATTTTCCAACACTTTGAGTTCGGCTACTCTGTACTCGACAGCAGGCCTGTGTGTTGCATTAACTCCAGCCACCTGCAATGCAGCATATACGTCGTTCTCTATGGAGTACGTACGCTACGTACTCCATACTGTCAAGATCACTGCCTTTTCCGATAGATGAAACCATCGACCAACTCTTCCGAAATCCAACCTTGGAACTTGGACCGCCAAAAGCCAACGCGAATTCCCGTTGGTTTTCCAAAGGGCCGATCCTCTCGTTTAGGCAAAGCGCCTGCGATTCCATGCTTGGCGCGGATGTGCGTGGGTTTTGTTCACATAATAACATTACTCTGAATCAGAGTCAGTGTACGCAGTAAACTCGCAGAAACATTCATGACCCGATCATCCGCGTTCTTACTTCTTTCGGCTTCTCGCCCTTGGGACTACGACCGCGTAGTCCGGCGAAGTGGTGTTCACCGCGTCCATCACGATCAGCCCAGCCTTTTAGTTTACCCCGTAGGATTGCTTTCCTCCGTTGCCTGGCGTTTTCTTTTCGTTTTCGATGCATAGCCGTCGGAGTGCTCCATAATGGGTTATAGCAGGGAGCTCCTGCCCATATCTTTAGATTAAATTTTATTGATGACATCAGTCCCGAGGTTTGGGATATAGTGCCTCGTGATATCGTTCCTTTGTCTTGCTCCGACGGATCCTCGTCGTTTATCTGCTTTGTCTGTTTGCTTTACTTCGGATGATATTGTTTAGATGGCTATAACATTAGGTATATCTCTACGCTGTACACTTCGCTCCGAATTCTCGCAACCCAGTCAAACCCGACCCATCCTACGCAGTCCAAAGAACATACGCACTACAGCTAAGTAAACAGAAAGACGGCGAAAAAAACCAAATAATGCTAGCCAATAGACAGTAGACAACCGGTAAATATATCCTCTAACCGACACCCGAGAGCTCCAACCTGCAGAACCAGAACCTATCAGACTTCTTCCAGAATGCTACGTCCCACGGTTCGGCTGCTGAACCACAGTTGAAGATGTCCTCATCCTCGATCCGAGCGAGTGGACAGTGGATCCGCCCTTTTTTGGACATGCATTCTTGCTGGATTCAGTGATGTTTGTGTTATTTGGATTGTTAACTAATTGCTTATGCCCCGTGGGTGAATATCGGTAGGCTTAGGGAAGTATATATTTGAATGGATGTATACTTGGATTTGGTTTACGGGTAGCGGTGGTATGGTGGTCGGTTGTCTGCGGCGGCACAATCTGCCAGCCATCTGCCAAGAGCTCGCCGTTTGCTTAATACCAAGCCTCTCCTCGATAGAAGCTCTTCCGAGGACTGGTTTGCTCATAATACGTTGTCAGCACATTGCATGATTACACCTGGATTGATGTCGCTTGGATCGGATGTAACCCGTGTCGGTGTATCCATCCCTGCATTGACGCTTATCGGTGAGGTCGTAGGATTCGGAAAGATGGAGATTGAGCTGCAAGGACTTAGTTTCTAGTTGAATCATTCATCCGCCTATCTGCTTGGTTGCTGGTTGCTGGTTGCTGTAAGTGTATGCAACCCATGTTATCTGTCACGTTCGGGGGCGTGATTGCCGTGCATATTTGACACCCGCGTCGGGAACTGTCGGTCTGGCTTCTAGTGTCTGTGTCTAATGTCGTGGAGGGCAATGAGTGGTTATTTATAAGACGCGCTACAGTACAGGTGTCATGCATGTGGGGTACTTTGCTTAGATTCGTGTTTGCTAGATTTATAATATGGTGTGATGTAGTGCATGACTCGTGTCCATCTTCCTGTCTAATTGCGGACTCTACGTGGAATTTTATATATCGTTTGTTTGCGGTCGAGGACAAGCTTGTTTAAGACCGGCGGTGCATGGCGGAGGGGGAGGCCTGGAGAAGGTTAGTACAGCTATCGCGGGTGATGGGCCAAACATGAGCCAATTCAACTAACCTGGTGGCTAGGGAAGACCAAAGTATCAGCGATAACGACGTTCTCTCGGCGGCCGGCAGCGAAGACCACGACTTCGGCGATGTCGTCGGGGGTAAGGGGCTCGCAGCCTCTGCGACACGTCAGTCTCTATTATCTATAGATCGACAGTGGCGAAGGGAATCGGATCTCACGCATAGACAGCATCAGCCTTGCTCTTGTCGCCATAGAACCGAACAACGGAGAATTCCTACGCAGTGACCACGTTAATCTCCAGACAGCAAATTAAGGGAACAGCCGGGTCTTACCGTCTCCACCTGGCCCGGGTCGATCTCGATGATGCGAATCCGCGAGGCGATCAGCTCCTTTCGCAGGGCGTCCGTGAAGGACCGGATCGCCGCCTTCGTGGCGCAGTAGATGCTGCCGCCCGGGTAGGCCTCGCGGCCGGCAATGCTGCCGATGTTGATGATGTCGCCGCGGCCGCCGTCGCTGCGCTTCTGGAAGATGGGCAGGATGGCCTGCGTCATGTTGATCAGGCCGTTGACGTTGGTGGTGAACATAGTGTCGATGTCCTCGGTGGCGATCTCGGGGGCCTTGGCGACGCCTTTGACGAGTCCACTATTGGTATATTAGCCGGGGTCCTGGGTTGGTATCAAGGTGCAAGACGCACGCGTTGTTAACCAGGACATCGATTTCCTGGAATTCCGCCGGCAGGGACGGCACAAAGTTCTTGATCTCCTGGGCGTTGCTGACGTCCAGCTTCACGGGCAGGACCTTGACGCCGTCACCGACCTCCTTCTTGATGTCTTCCGCCAGCTGGGTGAGGGACTCGAGACGGCGCGCCGTCACGATCAGCTTGAGGTTGTTGGGCGAGGTGCGCGCGAACTCCTGTGCGGTGCTGCGGCCGATTCCGGACGATGCGCCGGTCACGAGGATCGTCTTGCCTTCGAGGCGCTTTCCCATTGCGGTGGCCATTGTGCGTCGGAGAAATGCCGGGTCGGTCGTGGCACGGAGCGGGTTGGGGTTCGTTCGAGAGAATGCGGAGAGTAGGATTCCGGACGGAGGGGAGACGAGGCGCGGAAGGAGTTTAATTGAATTGAAGCCCGCTCGAAACTTCATAAAGTGATTTGGATGGAGGATTCAGAAAGGGGTTCCAAAAGAGGATCAATTTTGGTCGGATTCGAGGGGTCGTGGATGGAGTCTTTTATATCATAGGCAGACGATGACGTGCGGGGAAAGACTGGCCGTGATTCGGCTTCGGCGCTGCGGGGCCAATCAGTTGCGGCTGAAGGTTTGCCCGATCGGACTCTTTTCCGAGTTTCAGTTTACTTCGGTATTGTATATATAGGGATTGCAGTGAACTGGGATTTGATTCTAAGGAACAGTGGGAATGTTAATTGCAGATTATATATTCTTTCTGCGATGTTGGCAGAATGAGTTATACGTACAAGAGGAACCTAGTATCTAGAACTTATAGTATATATAATTGCGCCGAGCATTCTCCGTTGAATTCTCTCCGAATAGAGCCCCAAAGTATTTCAAGGTGAAATCAAACTGGTATGCCTTGCATTTCTATGTTTAACTTGTGCCATGGTATTAATACCGCATCTTTGCACTGAGACAATGAATTGTTCAGCTTGCAGACCAGAGGTATACAGAAGTGGAAACTCGAGCATCTTGCAGGATGCAGACTATACGAGTAACTAGCTCATGATTGGGTTCTATCCATTGCAACATTCTTATGGCAATTTCAAACTGTATGCCAGACAATGCAAAGTACACAGATCCTCCTTGACAAGTAAACTGACTATCTATCCTTGCAGTTCATCCTAGAATCGTATACAAAGCACATGCAAACAAACAATGCCACTGTCTCCAGGCCACTATCCTCAGACCACAAAGATAGCCCTGGGTCGATGACAAAGAATATCCTCGCAAAACAAGGACTTTGGAGATCCATAAACTGGGGGATTACCTTCCATCAACATGACAATCTCTCCCACCCCTCGTAGGTCATCTGGTAGCTTCCCACCGCACTGCCTCGCTCCGTAGACCGTGAAAGCAGGCTTCAGAGGGAAGATCCCATCAAGATAGATATGCCTGGAGCCAATCATATCTGTTGCTGGGCTTGAGATGGGAGGTTCCTGTAGATGCTCCAATCAGGACGCTCCTCGATGGGGAACTTCCAGTATCTTCACTTCTTGCTACCGGAGGCTCCCTGTATACTGTCCCTGAGGCTGTCCTGGCCTCAGGCTTCATCCTCTGGAGCTTCAACATAAATAGCACGTCGATGGCCGCCCTTCTCCCACTCTCTTCTTTCCCACTACTTTCCCCAACTACAAGCGTATCTTCAAAAGATTTCATCCTCTTGAAGTCAGACAGTAAGAACTGTTCACGCTTGTTTAACATCTTTTATCAATACAACTCTACTGACAAACTTCTTCTTCTTTTATCCCAGCACCCTTACCCTACTACCCTTACATTCGATGATGCCCTCCTTCACCGATAAGATCAACAACATCATTCCCAAGGCCTTGACTGTCTTCAACAAGGTATTTTGAATCAACTGTTTTCTCTCATCTTATATAAATCTTGCTGACCTGACTCCGTTGATCAGGTCTTCGGTGCTTTTCCCAACTGCACTACTGAGAAGGCTGAGGACACTATGGCTTCCTCTGCCATGGCTGAGTTCACTTTCGCCCGGATGACGCGGTTCGAGTTCGACTATCTGCCCCCCGACAGCGTGGACGAGGCAGAGGACGAGTTCGACGAACGTCTCCTGGGCGCAACCCTGTGTGAGTCGAAGGCCGAATTCGAGGGACTCGACTACCAGGACTGTTTCTCTTTCCCCTGGGATGAGGCGGTTGCGGAGCTCAATCGTGAAGTTGAGAGGATCGACAGGGAAGAGTTCGTCTTTGTTGAGGAGGCTGACTTGAAGGGGTACGAGCCATATGACTATGGCTCGGACTCTGACGAGGAGTTCTACGACTGTGTGACCGATTTGTACGAAGCGGACCCCGTTTCGGCTGATGCCGAAGATGATGGGTTTGTGGTTGTGCAGGCCACCAGCGCGGAGAACTTGCCTCCTCCCCCCGTCCATGAGATCGACTGGGACTCTAACTGGGATCTCTTGGACGAGGTGGTCAAGGTTCTGAACTCGTCCCCCGAAATCGAAAACGGTCCCGTCGATCCCGACAGTGACGACGACTGGGAGACCGTGGAAGATGAGGAAGTCGAAGTCGACCTGGAGGATTGGTATCACTCCGCAAGCGATGCCGAGGGAAGTTCTGATGGTCCCAACAATGACGATGGATGGGATCTCCTCGGAGACGGAGAGATCCCCCAGAAGATCGAAGAGGTGGAAGAAGATTGGGATTCTTCCTCGACCGAAGCTGGGGATGTTGATGGCCCCGAAAACGACGACGGATGGGATCACCTCGGAGATGAGGAGATCCCCCAGGAGACGAACGGGGCTGGAAAAGGGAATGGCATGTCTCCTCCCGCTGCTGCTGACTCTGAGGATGGCAATGAATCTGACTTTGCTTTTGCCGTTGACAGTGTGGAACTCGTTGAAAGACAACGCGACGAGTTGGAGGAATCGACCCCTTCCGCATCTACGTCTAACGAGAGCGGAATGGGGTTCGTCCTTGTTCGGCAGCCGGAGGGGGTAGATTTGGAGGGAGACGAGGAAGAGAGAGGGGAGGAGGAGAACGAGGAGCGCCTGAAAGATCTCCTCAGTCCATCGACGTTTGACTGGATGGACGAAACCGAGGATTGGGAGGAAGGGGAGGAGGAAAAAGAGGAGCGCCTGAAAGAACTCCTCCGTCCATCTGCATTCGACTGGATGGACGAAGCCGAAGATGACGAGAGTGCCGTGGTGGGTGGAAGCGAGGACGACTTCCCCAGAGGTAGGCTCTACAATTTTATGCCCCCGGATGAAGATGTGCCGATGAACATCGGGCTAATGCAGACAGACCTTAGCGTCCACGTCGATACGCCAGCTGCTCCCTCTTCCGGTTTGATTTTGACCGATGGCACTGAATGCTACGTGGAAGGAGCTCTTGATGATGGGTATACAACGGACGAGACTCTCACGGAGCAGGACGGTCCCCTGGTTCATCATTACAACTGGTATGGGGCCCCTGTCTTCGTGCAGAGCAGCACTCCCCCGGAGGTTTCTCTCCTCGTCTCGGCTGTGGGACCCAAGATCTCAGATCCCCACGAGGAGTGCCGTCTGTACTCCATCATCAACCGGGCTTGCCTCTACGTGGACCCGGTAATTGTCATGCTGGATGAGGGAGACGAGCTCCAGACGGAATTCGAGAGCGTCATGGAGCTTGTCCGCTATGCTACGGGCCGGACGTTTAAGTTCTACTCCCCGTATGGCGCGTGGGTTGGAGACAGCCTAGACGACAAGGTTGCTGTCGACCAACAAAGGTACGATGTTGATACTTGCGAGAGAAACATCGTCAGTAACGAACGCCTGGGCTGCGGAATGACCTGCCGCCCAACGTCCAGTCTGGAGAGGAAGTTGCGCGCTCGGCGGGAGGCTGCAAGGGCCAGAGCTGAGAGCAAGAGGCCCTCGCCATTGAGGCAGGTCATGACGAACGAGGACCTGCACTCGAAAGGTGAGACAGTGACTATGTCGACTCCACTATCTACTGCCGTGCTAACTTGCGACGCCAGAGATGAGGCCGCGATGAAACTTTTGCCCGCGGCCGTGGCCGAAGAGTCCATGCAGGGGGGCTCTGTCGGCTATGAGTCCATATTAGAATTTAACCCTGCGGCTCAAGATTCTCAGTTGGATTTTGAGCATAACCCCAGCTCATTGTTCGATTCTGACTCAGACTTGGAAGAGATCGAGAGGTCCGATGAGCTAAAAGACATCGACATGGAGGGCAAGAAGCCTGAAGGTAAGGTCCTCGAGTCACAGAAATCCGGCTTGATTCCGGATTCCGATTTCGAAGAGCAGTGGTCTAATATTTTGAAAAAAAGCTCTCAGCCCAATGACCTATGCCTTTTTGCGCTCATTGAGTCATTGAAGTCTGACTTTTCGAGCATGCGCTGGGTCAAAGACTTCACATTGTCAGGCCCGGACCCGGACTGGAAAGTCGAGGGTCTGGGTCATAATCCCGCGGATGGCTTCGTGCCTTTTGTGGATGTCACTGTCTTCCCAGTGCTACTTGGCCTGGAGTTGGAATATGCTCCTGAGCGCCAGTGGGTTGAGCTGAACGTTGAGGACGACTCATCCCTATACTCCCGCGACATCGACGAGAGGAGGTACTCCTACGAACTGGAGTCCAACATCTCAGACTCCGAAAGACTACCCTCGATCGACCTTAGACGCGCCGTCAGCGAGTACAGATCGATCGTGGCCCGTGAACACGAGGCCGCCTCTTTCTACGACGACGCGAGGATCATCTCCAACTGGGAGCTTCCTCCCATCCCCAATCCTTTCCCCAGCCTGCAGCCATTCTACTCACTATATTGGCCTGCTGTGGTGCCCCTTCCTCTGTCGCCGCTCCGGCGGCCTAGAGCCCTCAAGAAGCGGACCCCCAAACCCCGTGCCAATATCAAACGGCACATGACTCTTCGGCGCAGGCTGGACCCTCTACGCACGCCTCGGCCTGTGAGACAATCCCTCTCCACGATGGCCCACAAAAGCAGAAGGTTCCCCCGGAAGAGGTCATCACCGAAGGTGCCTGCAGCAGCACATGAGTCCGACTTGTCAGCGTCGGATGCTCAATGCAGGTTCCCGGCCGTCTATGACTCTTTCGACGAGCTGGGGGTAGAGCCACCAAGGAGACAATCAAAGCCCCTGGCTCTTCTTGTGAAGTGCGTTTTGAAGGTCCGTAACGGGACCCGTGCACTTCTGGAGAAGACTAAGAAGGGCCTTGCTCCTAACAGAGAGGACGCACCAGAGGGGGGTGAAGAGAGAGTGAGGAGGAAGCTACAAAAACGGAGAAAGTAGAGGAGAAAAGCGTGGAGAAAATGGAGCAGTAGACTCCCCCATGTATTCATTCTTTTGTTATCTTCTTTTGTATTTCTCACCACATTCCTTTGTTTGGTTGTTTTTCTTTCTTTCTTTTGTCATTGTGACACCTGATGTGACGCTGGATGGGATCTCCTTGGAGTCGAGGAGATCCCCCAGCAGAAGGAAGACGTGGGAAAAAATGTTAAAAAAGAAAAGAGACAAAAAAAAACCAAAAAAGAAAAGAGACAAAAAAATGTTAAAAAAAAAGAAAAGATACCAAAAAAAAGACCGAAGATACAATGCTATTGATGTAAAACATTTTGCGATAAATGATTCCGAAAATGTAAGCCAAACAATGTATATAATTTTAGTCTACATCTGGAAGATTACTGTAGTTGCTCTGTAATCGACCTGATGCGTATACTTTCTAGAACTGTAGGTGAGTATCTCGATCCTAAAATTCCCAAAGAACAGTAACTATATCCACGGCGGAATCTCCACGGAGATTCTCGATAATATTTTTATGGTTGACTATGTAGCGGTCACGAGGTCCTCAGGTGATCGTCAGGGGCAAACAAAACAAATGAAAGCGTCAATTCCTTCTTCCCTTCTTCCTTCTCCACCGAGCGATCGTCGCGACTAGCCTTAACAGCGGTCATACTACGCTCTATTATGGATTAAGTCTCTGACACCTCGAAGGATCGTCCGTCACACTACCCTTTCCATTTTCCCAAAGACCTGCTGACAGCGTATGATCTGCTATACCAGAAACCCGAGAGTGATCACGCAAGGAGGTGTCTTCGAGAAGACAAAATTAACAATGACATGTACGATTTACTTGCGGGATTGCTTCTTCGGGAGCCTCGATAGTATGCAGGTATGCAGGATGCACGCCCACGGGACCAGCTGCAGGGGTATCAGATCCAAAGAGCACTGCGAGAAAGGGAAACTTATCGCGTCAATCAGCCTTAGCTGCATATATTCAGCCAGCATCTCCAATAGTGGCATCGAACCACGCGGCTGGGACAGGACCTCCATTCTCATTGATCGCCTTGCGAAACAATAGTGTGTCTTGTTTCGTCACTTTTCCTGCATGTCGTTTTCGGCGACTCTCGTCCCGCTTTGCGTCCCTTTCTCCTTATACTTGCATGGCCATGCGTCCTGCAGGTATATTTCCATTGGCTTGGGTCAGATCGCTTATCGGCGTGGGTGAGGTCCACGAGGCTGTATCTCGGTTGATCAGGATTCACACGTGGTGGATGGTTGGATGTTATGCATTTTTCTTCGACGTGAATTAAAGCGAGACATTGAACCTCGTGACGAGGACCATGAAGGTAATTGCGTGGCCCGACCTGACGAAGGTATGCCCTCCTTAAATTATGTTGATGTTTTCAAAATCAACTACTAAAGGAGGTCATTCAGAAACCATCTAAACCGCATCAAGTCGATACAATCTTAGTCGGGGCCGAAGATCTGCGACCTGGTCGTTTTCTAATTTCGGCACTTTGAAGATATTCTCCAAACAACAAGACCACGTCTTCAGAGAGCAAAAGAAAAGCCAACTAGTGCCGTTAGATTGTGCAAGCGGATCTTGCAAGAACGGCCAAGAAACCAGTCGGCGCCGTCATGCGTCTATCGATCCTCGGATCTTTTAAAGGATTCTGTCATGTCGATCATTATTTGAGCCTACTCGGGACAATGATAGAAGATCCTTATCTTCAGCTTGCAGAACGTTCATCGGTCGCAGACTCGCACTGATCGAAGACTACGAACGAGAAAAGATTGAGCGAAGAGGCAGAACTTCAATGTCTGAGACTAACGTCAAATTGGTCCACTGAAAGTCAAATACTGAATCGCTCGAGCTCATCATTGACTTCGTGGGAAACTTTCGGGGACCCATACCGCCATTTAGATCGAAAAAACCCCGAGGGAGGCCGGTGACTACGTTTCAGCACTACTTGAGACTTGTCTGAGGCAAGAGTCATGAATAATGGCATTTAGTCTGCAATAATCATTGCGGAGTATTATTCTCGTCTGATTGCGGACCCACCGCCACTCCTGGGATTAACAACTTCTGACCATAACAGAACAATCTATGGCAGACATGATCAGGGTTCCAGGGGCCATGCGATCAGACTGCACTATGCGGTAGCTGCATAACTAACCTGGTCCTTCGGTACGAACTGTCGTGTACTAAAACGTTCTGGGAAGTCCGAGAAGGCTTAATCAAGATACCCACTGCATGCTCGTGGCACGATGGGCAATTTCATCAAGCCGAAACCGAGCGGATCTACAGTTCGTCATCAGAGAGCTCCGAGATTTTACTCCATTTTTGGGGAAGGGACTGTATATTTCATTGATACGTTGATTATTGTGATTTCATTTACGCCGACAGCCATTCTGTTTAATTCATGATTTTCCGATCTTCCCCCTCGCTAACGTTGAAATTCTCTGCGTTCATGCGACCTGATTCATACACGACAGTCCAAGTTGAACCGGCTGCCCGGTGGAGCAGAAGCTGCCGAATCATCAGCGCCAGCACTGCCGACGGATCCGCTACGTGCCGTCAGAGTTTCTAGCACCGTTCGTGACAGGGGAAGTATTGCAGAGACAGGAGTGGCGTTCCATGGAACCAGTGTCCATTGCCCAAACGAGGCATCATTGACAAGACGTTGATGCCAATCACTCGCACCCACCTCGCCCACGACGCATGTGGACCTACCCTCAGACCACTCTCCTATTGCAAAGAATTAACAGCCACTAGCAAGCGAGGGTGAAAATGAATGCCCTGCTTCCACGAGGGTTGATGGCGCTATTGAATACTATCAAACCTTGGTTTGGGGTAGCGGGTGGTAGTAAATATAACAAAAGCCGTCATCCGGAGTGACAATCATAGACTTGACTAACCGACTCCAGTCGCAGCTTGATGCTGTCTTTGCCCAAAAAGGTTGCTACCCCAACATTGGGTTAAGTAGCTGGTCTACACTTCTAGACAAATAGACAATTCGGTCTTCTGTCTTACACTCTTGAATCGCATAGAGTTGATGCCTTGTCATCATGGACGACTTTCACAATAGCTTGATCCCCAGGTCTGAAGGGGATGGCGCCGGCCGAGGGCAACGAGCTCTGGTGGTCACAGGCATCTTGACAGGAATCGCTGCCGTCACCGTCGCAATGCGATTTTTGGCTCGGGTTGGACTGATGAAGACCACGGGTCGTGAGGACTGGACTATTCTACTCTCTCTGGTCAGGAATGATGTCTATCTACTCATTGCTTACCATCGCTAATTTATCATAGGCATTTTCAATCGTATATCTCGGTCTAGTTGCATCCGGCAAGTCCAAACCTCTATAGCAATATCCAGCCGTCTAACAAAGCATAGAAACACACTACGGCCTCGGAAGACACTCAAACGAGCTCTCTCCCCATGACTTCCAGCAACAACTAAAAGTAACTCAACCACCCAACCTCCCTCTACTCAACTAACATCCACAGCGCCTCTGGGCCGCCATCCCCATGTACAACGCCAGTCTCGCCTGCACCAAATACTCCATTCTCTTCCAATACCTGCGCATCTTCCCGGACCGCGGCTTCCGCATCACCTGCTACATCGTGATGGCCATCGTGGCAATCTACTCCTCGTGGGCCATCGTCAGCGGCTACGTCAACTGCGTGCCCGTGGCACGGTTCTGGAACCGCGAAATCCCCGGCTCCTGCCTCAGCTTCGAGGCGTTATGGTTCTTCAACGCCTCCATGAACATCGCTACCGATCTGGCCCTGCTCATCATGCCGATGCCTCTCCTCTCTCATCTGCAGCTCCCGCGCATGCAGAAACTCGCGCTCATGGCTGTCTTCGCTATCGGTGGACTGTATGCCCCCTCTCCCCTCACAGCATACCCCTCCGCCTCCCAAAACATAACTAACAACCCCCCAGCGTCGCCATAACCAGCATCCTCCGGCTCTCCAGCCTCCGCACCGTATCCAAAAGCCCCGACACCTCATACAGCAACGTCGCCGCGGCCTACTGGACCGCCGCGGAATGCAACGTCGCGATCATCTGCGCCTGTCTGCCCTTCTTGCGTCCTCTGGTCAGCCGCCTCTTCCCGAAGCTGCTCTCGACAAATAGCTATAATCGGTACTCGCACTCGCGCGGACTCACCCTCGCCACGAATACGAACGCGAAGTCGAAAGCGAGGAGGTCGCAGGTGCCTAAGGTGCCGCTTTATTCGCAGGATCGCGAGTTTGGGCTGTGTACGGTTGATGTGGAGGTGCAGGCTGGGTTAGGGTTAGGGTTAGGAGGTGGGAGTGGGAGTGGAAGAGGGAGTAGAGAGGGGGGTGCGAGTGAAGGGAGATCGGGGAGTGGTGAGGGTGGTGGGATTGAGGTGAGGACTGAGATGACGCAGCAGAGTTCGGTTCAGGGGGAGGAGTCGACGAGTCAGAGGAGGTTGGTTATGGATGTATGATCGTTTTGATTCTAATTCTACTTCTAATGAATGTATATATGTACCTCAACGGACCTATTTTTCTACCACAGCGTAGATTCCCTACTAGAGGTCTCGCGACTTCAATAAGGGTACGTAGAGGGCTTGCGTAGTATGGATTTTATATCAACGCAATCAGGTACCAAACCGGGACCCGTCAACGGGATAGTTCTGCGAATCCTCGTCCTATCAGAAGTCTGATGGAATCAATTTATATGGTTCGACCGGCGTGTCGGACGCCGACCTCCGAAGCCCTCGGCCTTCAACGCCGTCGTTGACCGACGTACTTCACGGCACACTTCGCTTCTTCATTACTCTATTCTACACAGCTGGGCCTCTGGAACGAGTCGAGAATTTCTTCCATGACCCGCTCGAGTCGAAGCTTGGTCGATGATCATTATCATCGCCCCGAAAACATGGGCCTCGGGATACCGACCTTCACCGAATCCTCGGCCTCGCACTCATAGTGAACCGACACCACCGCTTATATAGACATGTCTGCTCGTCAGGTTCCTCCTCACGATGCACCACTTACACGATCTCTGATTCACCGTGCTCGAGTCTCATTCCACGGGTGATATTTCACGATGACAATCCGCAGCGAGCCCGAACAGCGTCCCAAGATCGCCATCATCGGCGCCGGACCGGGCGGTCTGACTCTGGCTCGTCTCCTCCACCTTGCCAACATCCCCTTCACGATCTTCGAGAGCGACAAGTCCCGCGAGGCTCGCCGTGTGACCGGAGGCGTCCTCGACCTCCATCCCCAGTCCGGACAGCGTGCCATCCGGGAAGCCGGTCTCTGGGGCATCTACCAACAGCACGCCTCCTACGACGCCGAGGCGCTGATCATCACCGACCACCACAACCAGGTGTTCTACAACACCAACGGCGCCAGCCGCGGCCGACCCGAGATCGACCGCCCCGTGCTACGCGACATCCTCCTCGATTCGATCCCGGAACGCCACGTCCGCTGGGCCCATCGCCTCCAGCGCGTGGACCTCGACGGCACGTTGCATTTCCCGCACGGAACCGAGACGGGGTTCGACCTTGTCGTCGGAGCAGACGGGGCCTGGTCCAAGGTCCGCCCGACGCTGGGCTTCATCCCCCCCTTCTACTCCGGCGTCGTGTGTCTGGAGCTGCGGATCTCGCGGCCCAGCGAGGTCGACCCGGCGATGGACCGCATGCTGGGGCCCGGGTCCTACCTCGCCTACGGGGGGGACGATGACATGGCGCTACACACACAACGCCAGGGCGACGGGTCCCTGCGCACGTATGCGCTCCTGCGCCGGCCGGAGTCGTGGCTGCGCGATTGCGGCGTCGTCGACCTCGCAGACCGGGAGGCCGTCACGGCGCTCCTGCGCCGCGAATACGCCCACTGGCACCCCGACCTGACGCGTCTGATCTCGCGCTGCAACGAGCCCGTCGTCAACCGCCCCCTGTACATGCTGCCCGTCGGCCACCGCTGGCCGCACCGCAGCCATCTCACGCTTCTGGGCGACGCCGCCCACCTCATGACCCCGTTTGCCGGCGAGGGCGTGAACACCGCCATGTGCGACGCGCTGAGCCTCGCGCGCGCGATCATCCACCACTACTACTACTCGAGCACCCTGGATGAGGAGGTGCGCGCCTACGAAGAGGAGCTGGCGGCTCGGGCCACCAGAGTCCAGCAGGTCACCTGGGAGGAGCTGCTCGGGATGTTTGAGCCGAATGCCGGACAGCGGCTCGCGGAGCGATATGACGATCTGGTCGCAGCTGGGTGAGGAAGATATGCAGGGCGCCGATAACTCCGTCGTAAATTAGGTGGGGATGCGCGTCTTCCTCGTCTGGGGGTGTACGTGTGTCCATCTTCGTCCGTGGTGAGGCCAAGTAACTAGTGTAAAATAGCCATCATTCCAGTCTAGACACGAACTATTGTACTATACATCTTAAATAGAGAGGATCAACCTATCCTTCTACGCATGCGAGCCTCCTAAACTTCTCTGTTAACTGATCTTAAAGCTCGAGTACGGCCTTTTGGGTCACACCCGAATCAAAGCCATGACGCTGGGAGTAACTCGTGGACATTTGGAGGCAGAGAATGACCAAGAAAATGGATTAATAGTTAATAAGCATAACTATGGAACGAACCCGACGAGAACCCTTTGTAAATCCTCGTCGATGATGTCTCTCTCTGTCTGTTTTTATCTACATACTTTCTATATCAGTGGGTAATTATAATCGACGATGCACGATATGAAGATCAAATTCAACTCCGACTCGAGTATTCGCATCAAAACCCATTCAAAACAGCAATTCCCACCTCCGCCAGAGGTCTTGCGGCTGCATGATTTACAGACGAGAAATATAGTCTGTAGCCATTCCATTAAAGTAATCGAAACCCCTACTCCCTATTAACACCGGATATCAATTCAAGCCCAAGTCGACACCAACTTCCCCATCTCCATCTACATCTCCAGCGAGAACAAGCGGTCTATCCCATGACATAATTTCATTCCTCATCGGGCATCGCAGTTCACAGAGTAATTTCATCAAAAGAGTGATAGAACTCATCGAACGAAAGAAGCTCTACATTCCTTCGCAGGCAATAGCGTTGAAACAGATACGGAAGCTCGACACGGATGCGATAGACAACCACCTTTTTTAACGATATCGCTAGCCTGTCTTCCGCCTCTTCGAGATTGAGATGCATCGTGTCGATTGTGAAGAGGAAGATGAGTACTAATGCACTGATGTCTGGGATCCTGGAGGGACTGTTAGCTGGTTTGTGACAGTGGGCTATCTGAAGGATATATAACGCGAGATCGGGAATTCCGAGGGATATATGGATACTAGATATAGTACCTACCCGAAGAAAGAAGAAGAGAGAATATAACCTCGTAGGGTAGTGGTCAGTTGTACAATCAAGGTACTGCTATAACAAAGGAACGAAATGATAGCCACGGCGATACCTGCCACGCCATGATGGTAAGCTAATCTATACTCTGACTTTGATCAATCATTTTTGGTAGGGGATACTTACTACGATAAGGCGCGGGCCAGGCTCCCACTGACAAAGTGAGAAGAGCTGTCTTCCACACGATATGGGGGATAGCACCAGGAGGAAGGGATAGACCCGACAATTTGGACAAGTACAGTACATAACGCACTAGAAGATCGAGCAGAATAGTCCCGATAAGAACACTCCGGAGGCCAAGCCTCCTTGTTGCACGCAGGAGGAAGAAAACACCTAATACCGTGAAAAGGATCGTGAAGAATAGCGTCAAGAAGATGAACTCGGCACTCATTTGAGGCGTGTCTGGGGTTGTTTCGCCCGTCCCCAAGAGCGCTTCATAATCGAATCCCACTAAAATCAATGGCAGCAAGAGCACAAGAGAAGGTAAAAGGGCTCGGCAGATCTTAAAGTTACTGACTAGGGTCCTCCTAGACGGGTTGGCTTGACGACGACCGCCCATTTCGAATCGATGATGAATTCGGAACAGATCCTGAGCAGCCGCAAGGCCGCTGGATCGAAAGGAGCGTAGCGCTCTGTATGCATTCCGCATTTCGTCTCTGGCGATGAGCGCGTACGGTGATTCCCACGACGTCGTGACCGCTGCCAGAAACATCACATGGAATAGCAGAGCCAAGCTGGTCAGCATGCCCAACAAGAATTCCTTCAAACCACGGACAAATTATACGATTCTATGGACCTTGTTAATGGCCGTGTGTTCTGCCGTTAGAACTCCAGACATATCGCAGAAGTACTTACCCTATCCATGCCGCAATCCGATAGCCCCGTTGCATGGGTTCACTGATTTCAGCCAAATAGGCAGGCGCCGTACTCATCTGGACGGTCCCTAAAACAAGGAGTAACGAAGTATGGATCTGGTCCTGGTAATAACTGGCTTTGTCCCCAAATAGGACTTCAAATATGGAGCGAATAAGACCGAGAGCCCCGGTAGCGAGCAGAATATTCCGCGACGTAAGCCATCGGCTTAGGAGTGCTGTGAATAAACAGGCTGACAGACAGAGCACCCTATCCAGTCCCCATTATTTAGACGGGCGTGGACGTTTTGCATAGAATACTCACACGTAAAGCCAACTCATTTCCTCATAATCATCTTCGTCGCGATGGAATGTTGCCTTATTTTTTACTCGAAAGCCTGGAGGAGCTATCTTGTGATAGGAATGCGGAGGGCTAGTAAATTATTAGACAAAGGTCTCAATAGTTAGGGGAGGGGGATAGGATGAATGAAATCTAATTGTAGATTCCTACTCCTAGCACTATATTAATATATTCCCGGTGCTGTACCATAAAGGCATAGCCTTCGCTGTAACAGCCTAGACATGTCGAGGACCGAAATGTGATAGATTCAGACCATCAATTACTTGCACATACCGAGATCTATCTGCCTGCTCTACCCTAACTAAGCCATCAAACACCGTTGCAGTCTAATACACGCGCCAATTCCGAAAAGATAATCAAAGTCAATCCTCAGAGCAGAGTGCGATTGAATGAAACCAGTAAACCAACAGAAATCCACCCTGATATAAATCTTTTCTGGTAAAATAAGGAAACCCGCTTGTCCCGCCAGCGCTTCAAAGCATCAATAATATAAATAGACAAAGAGAGAAGGAATGGAAAACTTTTCCTTGCAAATTATTGCACAAACCCCGTAAAATCAATCGTCGAGTGACGTGAGAAGGAAAAAAGTGGTATCTCAAATTGAGTAACGGCGCCGGGTGTACAAATCGAGAAATGGAAAGGCCATGAAACATTGACGTCATCATTGTCGTCCGAGTTCTGCCAATTCTCGCTCCTTCGCGCGCAGCATTTCGCGCATCTCTTCGGCTTCCCGTTGGAGCTTGGCGCGGCGATCCTCCTGGAATCGATCCAGTTCGGTTACGCCGGGAAGCGGTTGGGAGTGCGACGGCGCGAGTGGGGGCTGATGGGGATGCTGTTGTTGGCGGCTGAGGGCGGCGAGAGACGGGTCGAGACGGGACTCGTCGTGGGCACCGGAGGGGTTGAGGATGGACGAGATGGAGCTCAATCGAGCCGGAGGTGAGGGGTTGATGGAGGACATGATCGGAGGGAGCTGATTGGAGCCAGATTCCAGCGTCGTTGGGACGGCGACAGCCTCGGCCGATGACGCGGTTTCGGCGAGAGTGCGTTTCTTAGGATTGGCTGGATTGGGGGAGAGCGAGCGACGCCCGAATTGCGGCACGGGCGAATGGCTGGGCGCCAGACGGTCTGGCTCCAGCAGTCGCGGTGGGGGTGGATGGTGTGGTAACGACACCGTCCCAGAACTGAAACCGGTGAAGTCCACGGGCGGCGGCGCGAATCCAAACGACCGAGCGTGCGGCGACACTCGGTCGGGCATGTGGCCGTAGTGATCCATTGGTTCACTGCTATAGTATCGATAATGGTCTTCGTGGCCGTGAGCGAGGGCGGCGGGCGATGCCTCGGGGGATGCAGAGGAACCATTCGACGAGTGCGTCGCTCCCGTCGGCGACGATTCCCGCAAGGCCGGAACAACTCGCTTCCGTCGCTTGATGATGGTCTTCTTCATCGTCGTGGGCCGGTAGCATCCGTGTAATTTGTAATAGAGACCTGCTTAGCGTTAGGAAAATTGTTCGATACACAAAGATTGGGTGGGCAAAAAAAAAAAAAAAGGAAGAGAGGGAATAAGGGCGGCGGCCAACGTACCACATGCATTGCAGATGGGATGTCCATTCTCATCCCGTCGCCAGAGAGGCGTCACCGTAGTACCGCAATTTTGGCAAGATACCAACATGTTCCCATCTGCTCCGGTAGGTATCCCAGTCTTAACAGCCACATCCGGCTCCGGTAGAGGGACGGGCTTTTCGACAGGGGGGTTGGGGGCCCGATTCCAGGCATGTACCGGGACAGTGCCTCGAGGTGTCGACTTGTAGACCCGGTTGTTGTAGGCAGGGCATCCATCGCAGCCCTCGGCGCCACCGGTGCCGTTGCAGCTTCCTCCGCCAGGACACGATCCCGTCGAGCCGTGGCAGCCCCCTCCCTCGCTGTGCGTGTGAGGCTGGTCCTGCGGCAGATTCGAGGGAGTGCCCGTCGGCGGCACACCAGCTTCCGGGCTCGTTTGTACGCGGTTCCGTTTCGTAGGCCGGGCGACATTTCGCGCCTTCAGGTAGAGGCCACAGGCGTTGCATATCATCGCACCCGTAGGCGATCGCCGCCAGAGCGGCGTGCTCTTCGTACCGCAATTACTAGATCGAGTGTCAGCCACAAAGCAACCAGAATAAAAAAAATGAGATGACTAACCTGCAAGAATGTCCTAGAAACGAAGTGTCCTTCTGGGATTTAGGCGATGACGATAGCTTGTCCGAAGCCGATGCGTTCATCTCACCGGACGCATAACCGGCGTTGTCAACCACGGTATCCATCTCATGTCGACTGCGAATCGGATCGGCCTCGTAGCTTTGAGCCCTTGTTTCATCTCTCGGTCGTTCGACGGGGTGTTCCCGACCGGCTTGGGCCGAGGAGATCAGTTGTTGGGCAGCGTCTAGATCCTCCGCCGACGGGTGTCGCGCAACGACATCGGGAGTACGAGGGAGCGATCGCACCGTTTCCATCTGCGGAATGGAAGCTAACATTTCCACCATGTAGTTTGTCGGAAGGGGAGGAAACCCTGGTATTCGCAACCTCCCAGCGAGGGAAAGGCAAAGAGGGAGGGGCCGGACGATAAGGGTAGGATAAAGTTGGAGATGGACGGTCGAAAGAAAGGGGAAAGCGCGTTGTGAGAGGGAGATGTCGCACCACAGTCGGGGGTTGTAATGTATGGTATCACAAAGTCAAAAGTCGGTCAAGATGACGGTGCAGGAGAAAAAGAAACGAAAGGACTAGGAGGGCGTCTGGCTGGAAGGGCGAACGGTAGGTAAATGCAGCTAGTGAGACTCCAAACCCAACCAGGCGGAGCCGGGGAAGAGGGACGATGATCCCTGACAGCGGTCCAGAGATACCGGGGCGGAGTACGCAGCGGCCAGGAAAGAATTTTAAGGGAAAAAAAGAGGGTCAACTAGCAGAAGTGCGAATTTAAAACGACCACGGAAATTTGCGTAGGGTGTCGACCGTTCGATTTGGTTTGGCGAGGCTGAAAGGGTGGCGGGATCGTTTAGGCAGACACGCTGGAAGGTGAAGAATGATGAGTGATTAATAAAACAAATAAGAAGTGAAATGAAGGATTCACGTCAGGAGAGGCGCAAGCCAAGAAACAAGCGAGAGAAGACAAGCAGACGAAAGGAATTAGGGGAAAGGAACGGGAGATAAGGTGGTGGTGGTTTAGGGGGACCAAAAAGCGGACGGACAAGAACGATCGACGGCGATCAATCAAGCGACGGAATGTCGGATCAGATATGATGTGGAGGACGGGAACGAAGGGTGAGACGAGACGGTATGCGTGGCTGGAAGGCAAGGGCAGGGGACACAAAGCAGCAGGCAGGCGGCGAGGAAATGAGGAAATGAGGAAATGAGGGTGATGAGAAATGGAAATTGAGTTGACGGCGATTCGACGGCGTGGAAGGGGATCGAAGACAAGTGGGTAACGAGGGTGATATGATCGATAATTGAGGGATCTTACCAGCAGTCCAAGACCATGAGGCTGTTCAGCATTCCACGCGTGCAGTCTTATCGAAAACAGCGCTCGTTATCGATCTCCCAGGGGGATCTACAGCCGGGGTGTGTTGCGTTCTAAAGTTCAGTCCCCTTGAACTGGACAGCGCAATCTCGGTCGGTTTCTTTTTTTAGTCTTTTTGGGGGGGGAATGATTTGCCCCTGCAGGTCAATAGTGTCAAAGTTAAGGGAGAAAAGGAGAGGGAGGGACACGACGAGAGGCAGATGCAAGAGCAGAGATTACTGGAGTAGAGTTCGGGGCTCTGAGTTTTCCTTTTCTCTGACATCAACAGAGTTGCCCCTTCCCTTTTCCTCTTCTTCTCCCCAGATCGTATCATCCCGGATCCACCGCTCCCCCTTCCGGTCTAGCGCACCGGGGCCGGTGGGTGGCCGCTTGCCCCCATCGGGCCTTAGCGCGTCCGTGCTCAAATAAGCCTGATTCTTTGGCCGGTGATTGGCTGAAACCGGGTTGTCTCTCATGTCAGCGGCATTTTGGGGCTGCTGATTGGCCAACCGGGGCCCTTCCATGGCGCTCTTCGCCTTCGGTTGCATTTCTAATCGACGGCTTCTGACTGCCCACGGAGTGTCCACTTTCGACTTTTTCCTCGTCGGCTTCTCGACCGACCCGACACGCCTTGCTGCTTCCGGTAATTCTGCTCTTTGCCATTCGCTTGTCTTCTTTTTCGCCGAGCCTGGACTGCACTATTATCTCTTACTCAATCCACCGCTTCTCGGTGGTTATCTCCTAGCCCGATGACGAAGGACCCGTTTGATCGATCGTGCCGCTGATTGGCTCGTGGATGGTGGCTTGCTGCGCCTTTTTCCTTTTTCTTTTTCTTTTTCTTTTTTTTTTTTTTTTTTTTTGCCCTTTTTTTTGTGTTCGGCCGCTGATGCTGATTATCCTGATTATCTCTGCGTGATTAGCATTTCGGACAGGGGTCCGCGCCACGGTACGCAGTACAGTCGTTAACCTTTAGCCCGGTACATCGGGGGTACACAACGGACGCAAACTGGGTCGTCTGCATGTATTTCGTATTCTTATTCTTCGCGGGCAGGCAAAGGGGGCGGCCCATTATTGATCTGGATCTCACCATTATTGAAGCCGTGTGACCTTCGCCTGCCAACTCAAATCGTAGGGTAATATTTCTCGGATGTCGGCTTCCGGACTAAAGTACCCTCGCCTCGGTCTGCATGGCACAAAGTACCGTTCCTCCGTCTGACTGTGTTGTGTCTGTCTGTGTCTGTTGGCTTTACGTCATTCGATCTGACCAGAGGAGTCAGTCATCCAGCCTGACACTGACATCTGTTCGGTTCGTAGATCTACTTGCATATCTGGATTATCGGTCCTGGATAAGCCGTCGTATCCGTATCCAGTACATCCACTTACGCCTAATACTACTAAACCAACCACCAACCCAAACTAAAACAAAATTGAGGCTACGTAAACCACTTCGACCATAAGGAACTGGCAACTCGGCTTTCGGCCCCGTCAACGTATACTATTCCCCTTGGACCTTAGTGTACGGCCGACTTACCTCGGAGGGTCTCGTACGACCGATCAAGCATTGAGCGTTATCTCCGACGAATACTCCGAGCAATCTATCTCGGTGTTTCGGTATGGATAAGGCAGGTAGTAGTTCACTCTGCTCGAATCCATCGCAATCTCCGGCCCCATTCTGATACCACGCATATCACATGAGGCATTTCCATCTACCTTTTTCTGGAACGTCGTACCAAGGTCCAGGTAATAATAATCCCTATTATTGATCTGATTTGATTTCCTCCGTAATCTGATCCGATTCGATTGCATTTATGTAATCGTGGTGGCGTGACCGGTGTCCGGTGACTTCCTACCGGTATAACTCAGATGGAAGTGACGGAGTCGATACTTCGGAACCCAGTATGATTCATCATCGTCGCAATCATTGGAACAAGTCCAGGCTGGCGTGATGTGGCTTGATTGGGTGACCGATGTGATCAGTCGACTGCAAACCTAATCAATCAGTCGATTTATCAATCGATAGTACGGAGACTCCGTAATCAATCAGTCAATCGGTCATGCCACGCGGCTGGTCGAATGGGAGGGTTTTTAATTGTCATTTGTTGGTTATTGGGTGGTATTACCCACTGTCAGTCAAGGACCCATGTCTACGTGAGTAGAGTTGAATGTTGCCATGAGAAGTCGTTTATTTGCTACTGCCTGCCAGATCAGACCAGACAGACAATCCCGCTTATGTCTCTTTCTTATATTACAAGGGTCTCAATGAAATAGCAACAGTATCAAATCAAATCTGCCACGCCACTGTGGTCGGGAAGAAAGAATTAAATGGGAAAAAAAATAAAAACAGAGAATCTGAAAAGTCTCTCCGGTGAAAGAAAAAAAGAAAGAAAATATAAGAAAGTGTAAGACTATTCCAAGAAAAGAAAATCAACCCACCCCGACAGACAGCAGATCATCTCATGAGATAAATGAAATCACCAGACGCAGTGCATCGTTGTCAATGCATCCGTCCTTTCTCCCCCTCACTCCTTTTCTTCGAAATGATCCGCGTGAACGGGCATCGCTCGGATACCATCATATAGATTTTCATCGCACTCGTACATCGTCGTCCATCGCTGAAATCACTCTCGGCGGATGGTTCTTATGCTTACTCTCCTTCCGTCTTTTGTATTCCTCCTGTCAACCTCCTCTTTTCGGCCGGTGCTGCGGAAGACCACGATGTAAACCGACGGATTATACATCACAACCTCCCAGTCGATCCAGAGCAATGATCAGCCCGTTTAGATCTGTTCGGCGCCCCAGGCCTGGTCGGTCTCGCGCATGTTCGAAGGGGGCTCGATGGAGGGGACGAATTCCAGAGCGAGGTAGCCGACGCCGATGAATCCGACGATGGAACCGGCAATGTAGCGCAACACGTGGTCGTGCAGGAGAATCGAACCGACGAAGATGTAGACTGTGATTGCCCGACCAGTCAACAAAGCGATTCGAAAGGGTCTAGATCAACCAACGCAGCAGAGGAGACACTTACAAACACCTCGGCCAAGGAACGAGAACAGGAAGGAGGCATAGCGGTAGACATAGTCGGGGACGTTGGGCAGGAATTCCAGCCCACCGATCACTGGACAGGGATTCATCAGTATCGTGTTCCCGCTTTGGGCTAGTCGGTCCAGTCGATCCATTACTTACGGAGTCCGAAGATGATCACATATGCTCCCACGATGATGGAGCCCAAGGACGGAGGGAAGAATTGGGCAATACCGCCCAAGACCATGATCACGCCGACGGCGATGTTGATGATCCGGCTGCCACTGATTAGCTGCTGCTTCTATAGCCCCGTGGCCATTCACGCGCCATCGGATCTCGGAGGATATCGTACAAGATGTTAGAGAGATCCATTTTGATGAGTGTCGGGGTAGACAAGATTCCGCAATCGACTTCGGAGGTGTAAACAAGGTGTCTTCGGAGGAAACGGTAGGTATATGTTCTGAGTAAAAGCAAGCGTTAGGAAACCATGTATCTAGGATGGATCAACTCTTGGTCCGGCGTGCGGTCGACGAAAGTCGAGGCTGGGAATGTCGTAGCCTGAGCTGAGCTGAGCTCGTGGTAGTGGACCTGCCACTGGAGCACAATGAAGCACCGAATCGTCGCGTGACAGGCAGTGGCTCTATTGGCTGGTATATGACCTTAGGGGACAGGGGGTAATCACCGTACCAAATGAAGCTTCTCAGCAAGCCAGAGCAGGAAGAAAGTGTGGAATAGCAAGGAGATGCGAGACTCAGGCATCCCGTTGTTGCGCCGTCGCAAGCAGCGGGTCTGCCAAGAACGCCGTGGCTGACTCAGCGTCCGGATGCGTGCCTCAGGCGTGACAGCTGGGATCGCTGTCTCCGGAGAATTCCTCGATCTACTCCGTAGTACTATGTTTATCTCGACAACTAAGTTCGATACAGGATTGCTACATACAGGCTGACTACACCAACAGCTCGCCCTGCCTATTCTCCAATCTCGCAACGGACAATCCGTTCGCTAAGCGGCTCATCTTCATCGAGTCCTGTTCCAGCTCCGAGTAGATGGCATCCAAATCGGTGCCCAGTCCCACCTGATCGGCCGTTTTCAGGCTTCGTGTGTCGACGAACGGGGCAATGGAAGGCCAGACGCTCTGAACATTGTTGAAGAAGAGCTCGACGCCGAGGTCCCCGAGTCCTTTGATCTCTTTGATCAGCTCGCGTGTTCTAGCTCGGTCATGATGCGCCTTTTCCCAGAGATTGTTCAAGTCCCCATCTATGTCGGTTAGACAATGCTAGACACTTCAAGGTAGTTGTCGTAGAAAGCATAGGAATGACAATAAAACATACCATATTTCTCATCCACAAAATGCGCCAGATCCCCGAGATTCGTCGCCCCCTGCTCCCGATACCGATTATATCCCCCATCCCTCAGCACTGCCGTTCTCTCTTCCCAGCTACTCTCCCCCAGCTTGTGGATATCGTGATACCCAACCTCAATGACCTTGCTGATGGCCCGCTGCGACAAGTCATGTGAAATCGGCCGCGACTTCAGCATCGCGTCGATGACCATCGCAAGCACCGTGTCCGCCGACGCCGTGAGAGGCTCCTTGCCTATGGACGTGCCGTCCAGCGGTGCTCGGCCCAGCTGATCGATGGCTTTCTGTACCTCGGGGTGCTGGTGCTGGTGCTGGTGCTTTTTGTCCGCTCCTTCTTCCTCGTCCAATGCCGCTGCGTCGTTCTCTTGCTCGTCGGGCTCGACGTCTTCGTCTTCGTCGACCTCGTCGACTTCCTCCTCCTCTTGGACCGCTCCCTCTCCGTCGTCGCTTGCATCCCTCTCATCAAATTCGCCCGTCTCGTCCTCTTCGTCGAAGTCGTCCTCGTCGGCGGCCGCGGACGCCTTGGCTGATTTGGCGGGCGGCTGGTCCTCGTCTTCTACTGGGTTTTGGTCCTGGTCCTGGGCTTCGTTCTTCGGTGCTGGCTTTTGTGTGGCGGAGATGTACTGGAGGTCGCGGGAGTTGCGTTTGCGCTTCAGAGCGGCGGTGCTTTCGTCGGTTTCCGGGTACTCTTCTACTTTTGGGGGGTTGTATTTCATTTTGGCTGTGAAATTGAGTTGGAGGATCGAATTGATGAGCAATTGGATGGTTTGTTGGTGTGGATTTCAGATGGAGGAATGGATGGTTGAGTCTGGGGTAGTCCGGGGTATAACTATGAGCCAGGTGCATGTGGTGACGTCGTGATGATGAAGGTGCCATCTCCGCTATCGGGGCGTGGGTGATGGATCCATCCTGGCTTTTCTAATTGGGGGTTTGTTTTCAATGTCATGTTGATGTTCATTCAGTCTTGTCTAGGTCGTGTCTGGCGTATCTATGGTGTACGTATGTATATACTACTCGTACGACTCAAGCTTACAGCTTGGCGCGGTCTCTCCGCTGCGAGAGCACCTCGTTGGCGAGCTTCACTGCTTCCGCGGCACATCCGTACGAAGCCTGGTATCCAAATCCTCCGTGGCCGTAGTTATGCACCACGGCCACCCCGTCGACCTTGTCGATTTCTATACGCGGTCCACCATCCCGCAACGGCCGCAAACCGACCCCGTGCCGGATGATGTCTAATCCCTCAATGCCCTGGCCCTCGCGTACTAGATCTGGCCGCAGCGCAATAGCGCGTTGCATGATGCGCACCGCCAGGTTCGGGTCGGGCAGCGGATCCCACTGGTCTTTCTGGTAGGAACCGCCGATGACGGTGCCGCCGCCTGCCGCCCGAGTCATCATGTAGACGAGCTCATCTGGCGCATCGTCGGTGCCGGAGATCGAGACCATGGCGCCGGGGTCGTTCCGCACGACGACGATCTGACCTCGGCCAGGGTGCAGCTTGTCATCATTAACGCCGCCCAGCTTTTTGGACGAGAGCCCTGTGCAGTTGATCACCAGGTCGGCTTTCTTGCCGCTGTGGTGGGCGTCTGCGGCCTCGGTGACGTGTTTAAATACGCCGCGCTTGAAGATCGCGCCGTTTTTGCGACATTGGCCCACCAGCCAGGGGAGGTAGACCGCCGTGTTGATGCACACGGAGGTGAATCTAGATGCATTGTCGGCACCAGGGGGAAGTTGATCGTCGGGGACGTTCCGGAACTGGAATAGATTAGTCCTGTTTGTTTCGACAGAGTAACTTAAGGAGCGACATACGTTGGGAACGACATCCTTATACCAGGGGTCTTTCTCCGTCAGCTCGGCGAACCACGTTCCGGTCGGGGGTTGGCTGTCCTTTTCACGATTGTTTACGATCGCCTCTGGTCATGATCAGAAATCGTCTGTTACAGCGAGGACATCGACAGACCTTGGAAATGGACCCCCGCGTCCAAATGGTTCTCCGCCAAATCTTTCAAGGCCGGCCAGGTCTCTCGCTCCCATCGGGCATGGGCGCTTCCGGGGACCCCAACCCTGTCGCCGGGTTAGTTTCAGACCAGTCTAGACGGTGGATGCAGACATACGGAAGGTAATTGGCGCCCGCCCACGGAGAGCAGTATTCGATGTCATAGTCGCCGGGCATGTGCTTGGCGACCACGGTGATGGAATTGGAGTCATCCTTGGATAAGAGATAGGCCGTGGTGAGTCCGGAGACCCCGGCACTGAGGATATGTCAATTTGCATTGAATGCGAGGTGCAGGGCATCGACGTACCCCAGGATGACGACGTTGTTTTTGGCGGCCATCGTGGTATTGCTTACGTGGGTACGGAGTATAAAGATTAAAGAGTAGGTCGTAACTATGGAGCAGGGAAGAAGAATGCGGGGTAAGAGTGGGAGAAGGGGAGACCTCGTGCAGGTCAATGAGAACAAAGAAAGAACGAGGACATCAAGGGCAACAGGCCGAGAGAAGGGATGAATTTAAGAGGCAGCATGATTCCCGGCGGGAAGACAACAAAACACCGGCGGACGAGAGGAGAGGCTGGGAATCCCCGGATGCGGAGTAAGACGGAGAATACGGCCTCGGGATTGTGGTGAGTTTGAATCAGTATTCAGACACAATGGGGTTGTTGACACCGTGTTAGACAGTGTCACATAGAGAGAGTCACGAAAGTAAAAAGAAAGAAAAGAATAAAAGAAGAAAGAAAGAAGAATCAAAGAAGAAAGACAAAAAAACCATGAAATCATCAGCTCCCTCACGTGGCCGCAGCCAATCACACCGCGCCGATCCGCTGACCGCCTCGCGTACTTCGCGTTGTGCGAGTCGCCTTTCGCTCTCTTTCTCTTCATCCCAACCCTATCCTGATCCTCGATCTCTCGTCGACCTCGTGTTTTCCCTCTCTTTCTCTCCTCTCTCCTGGTTCCCCCCCCTCATAATTCCCTTCGTTCTGCCCTCTGCTCGACGAAGCTCCGTTCTGTCCTTCGTCTCCCTCTTCTCCCAAATGCGGGCCTTTCGTCGGGCAGAGCTACGTTCCAGTCATGGCGGATGTTCCCAACGGTGGCAGAATCGTGCCCATTGTCTCGCCGGCCCGTCAGCAGCAGCTCTACGCCCTGCCCTCGCCTCCCGCTGAGCCCGCCGACGACCTCCCTCAATCCCTGCCTCCCTCCACGCGTCCCAAACCCGACGACCCGGCATGTCTGAAACTCCCGTGTCTCACCGAGTTAGGGCTCTATGCTCTGCCCACCGAGGGTGACGGTAAGCCTTCCCGTCTCCCGTTTGCACGGCTGTCTGCATTTTGGCGTTGCAACCATGGCTTGCAATGGCTGCATCGACGTCGAGATCTCGATCGATCTATATATAGATCGACCCATTTTGGGTTTGGCTAACGTCCGTCCTAGGCAATTGCCTGTACTACGCGCTCTCCGATCAACTCTATGGCGACTTCTCTCACGCCGACCCCATTCGCATCCGTCTCGCCGACCATATCGCCGCCAATCGGGACTACTTCATGAGCTTCATAGCTGCCGTCGGTGGGGAGCGCCGGGCGCCTAGACGGGCTGCCGCGTCCGCCGCTCGGCATGCTTGTCGCTCCTCTTCCTCCGCTAGTCCGGCGCCCGTCGCGGTCTCGGCCAAGGACAAGGAGCGCAGCTTTGATTCCAAGGTCGCCGAGTCGCGGAAACGGGGTGTCTGGGGTGGAGCCGAAGAGATCCAGGCGTTCTGCCAGTCGTTCAAGAAAGACGTCAATGTCTACACTATGTATGGCATCCAGAATTTCCGTGATGTCCATGCCCCCGACGAGGAAGAACGAGAGACCGTCCATATTGCTTTTCACGTAAGACTCCGATCCTTGTCCTGCGCAGCACCGCCTCTGACTCTACCAGGACTTTCACCATTATTCTTCCGTACGGCATACGCATGGCCCCCACGACGGCTTGCCACAAATCCCCAAATACGATAAAGCTCTCGAAAAAGAGGCTTCTGCTGCCCCGAGCACGGTCGTAGACCTGGCCAGTCCGTGGAAGATCTCGGCGATCCAGGAGGGCCTCGGCGGCAAGTATGACCGAGACGCCATCGTGGAAATGCTTCAACAATGTCGAGGCAACATTGACCGAGCCTTCACCAATCTACTGGGTGAGGGTACGACCACGCAGCAGCCCGCAGAGTCGACCTCTCGGGCGATCATGAAGTCACGTCTCCAGCCATCTTCCTCGTCCCGGTCCTCGTCGCCCTTCAGCACGGGGAGTAAACGCTCCGCCGATGACAGCGACTCGGAGGAGAATCCCCGCCCGGCCGTTCGGCGCAGTCGAGCCCGTGAGCAAAAGAGACGGATTCTCCCGGACGTCACGGTGGGGATCGCCTTCCGGGACGATCAAAACGATCTGGTTTCTCTTCGACTGCGAGTCAGCCCGGATGCGGTCGCGGAGAAGACGATCACCAAGCAGAATGTAGACGGAGAGAACTCGACGGAGGCTGAACCCGAAAAACCACAGCCCGTCATCAAAGACAAGAAACCCAAGGCTAAACCTAAGGCTGTTGTCGGAAGTGGGATCTCCAGTCAGCCGAGTGAATCGAGTGAAGATCGAAAACCACGACGCAGCCAACGCATCTCGCGCAGCCGCAACCCTCCCCCAGCGGCTTAACCTCACCCCTCTACCCTTTTGCCTACCTTTTCGCCCTTCTTTGGATGAATTTCGTCACGCATACGAATGTCACGACCCCTCATACACTTTGGCTTCCGGCAGTTCTGGGTTGCATTTCAAAGCGCGTTGGGAGTTATTTATTCTTTCTGTTTACCCGCTTTAGACACCTGGATTACTTTTTTCCCATTAGCGACAAGCGGTTGATTTATTTACAGATATCGATCTAAGATGATATCATCAAGTTACGACTTTCCTTTCTCTCTCATACACACGTCCACCACCTTTTCTCTCTTTTCTCCACATTCCAAAGGCGTTGAATCCGGGTGGCATACATCGATTCGAAACGATTGCATTGGGAGGCTTTCTCTGCATCAAAAAAAGTTCTACAAATCTTCCTTGGTGTCTTCATCTGCTTTTTCCACATCTTTTGAGATCTACTCGTTTCCCAGGAGGAAACGATCCGTCTTTCGTCAGCACTACTTGCATCCCTGGCTCTGGTCATTCACCTTGGTCTTTCTTGCCTTGGCCTTTGTTTTTCGCTGGTTTCTCCTGGACTTGGTGAAGCGCTGGCTCTACGGTTCTACGGTATCTGGATAGATCGGGCTTAGAGACTTGAATATATTACATGATGCTGGCTTTCTTTTAAACATCTAACGTCTATGGTATTTTGTAGCTTGTAGGCAGGGTTTAGGTTGGTTTGAGATGTTCCTGGTTCGAATATAAGTAGTCTGAGTTAATTAAGGTTCCCTGGAGGAAATCTACGGTTGGGTTGTACTTCTGATTTTTGGGCTCGTCTATCACAATCACCGGGTTAATCAATTAGCTTGACTCAAACACAGGAGAGGAGGGGGGGAAGTACACAGCAGAGCCGTGGCATGTAATAGATAGGTAGGTGGCTGGGATCCATTCATGCGGCAGGGCCTTGTTTGTTCGTTTGTTTCTAAGACCGAGCTGAGCAGGGATATTCCCCCATAGCATAATGCATGTGCTATGCAATGCGTCTTGGGGAGGGAAGGGGTTCGGAAAGACTACTTGGTTTCTCTGGCTATCTTTCTGTCTGCCAGTTTATCGACCTGGTAGTGGTCAATTCGTTGCTGTCGATGTATTTCTATTCTCTTTGGGCTACTACTATAATATTCATATGGGATGGAATCTGATGGGGTAGTAGTAACTAGGTGAGTTACGAACAGGAGCAGATTTGTTAATTGGAGATATGCTTATTGTGTATTGTTGGTCTTGTTGAAAAGAGTTAGATTATGTATGTTGTATTATATCATGTGATACGATCTCTAAACCTCCCAAAGAAGCCATCCGGTCCAGTAGTAGACTCCAAAAAGAAAATGAGGTAGATAAATGATTCGTTAAGTACATTATTCTGCGCATGTTCGTATGCTTATTCCATGCATACATGCTCAGACGACGACGGACAATCCCAGCAATGGATTATGCAGGTCCAGGCTTCTCAGTCTATAAAGTTCTCTGAGAACACAAATGAGAGTAGATTGCAGTAAATCAGATGATGTGGGTATGGAGGGGGAGGTCTGGTTAGGAGACAGGGATTGCTCTTCCTGGCTCCTAGAATACGGGGATCCCCTGAAAATAGTCTAGCGAGTCACACTGGTGCTCACTAGCTGGTAATAACACCGTGTGTCATAACCACCAGTAATAGTTACTGCCAAAGGGCGGGCAAGATATGGGATCTTGACCAATGTAGTAGCGGCGCGTGGTCGACAACGCTATCATCGTAGGATGTTCTAGCTGTGGTATGTCCTTAAACCAACCGCCTAACTGCGCTTGCAGGAGTCTGGATATAATTCCCAAACAGACTCAAGTAACGGTCGATGGGCGGGTCGAAGGACGGGAAAAGTCCGGTCGTAGGCGCACGCCCGGAGAATAGCACAGGTTGTACAGCTCGTCGACATATGTGTTGGACGCCATGTCACCGGCAACCACAGTTGTATGCGACGCATGTCGTCCCAATGTGGACTCGACCGTGGGCTCCGCCAGCTTAGCGACATCGACCTTCACTTCTCGGCGGACCATGATCTCCGGGGTCAGGGTCTTGTCGGCAAGAGACTCTTGCGAAACATTCTGGGCTTCGGATCCGGGTTGTTTGCGCTGCCAGAATCGCCGGGTGGATTTAGTGGAGGGCGCGACCTGGGTGATGTCGGATTCAGTGGCCGAGCTGGTGCGCACATTCGAGTAGAAGAGTTCCTGGCCGAGCTCCTTGGCGAACCCACCGGAGTCGGCAACGCCGTCGTTCACTTGTTGCTGGACACGGAACAGTCGGAGGGGCGTGAAGGTGAAATCCGGGTTGGAAACCTGCGTGTCGAGAGATCCGACGACACAGAACGGCAGGAGCACGCAGTTCTGTCCGTCGGCGATGTTTGGACTGCGGCAGGGCGCGATCAGAGGACGCGCTGAGAACTTGGACGCGGCGTTGACATCGGGGGGAAGGGCAGAGGACATCTCTGACATCGCTCGGATCATTTGCTCGCGGAACTCGTCCACTTCCTTGTATGACCGGGCGGTATCAGATTTCAACCAATCTAAGCACGTCGAGATGGCCCATCCTTCCATATGCGCGATCAATTCTAGGTGGTGGATTTGAAGTCGTTTGGTCGGTAAGGACACCGACGGCAGTGGATTCCCGATACCTTTCGCGGTGAGAACCTCGAAGTGATCATGGATCGTAGGACGCATGACGAAAGAAATGAGATGAACTCCCGGCTCGTAGTTTCGACTGGAAGTAGCATAGTCGCGCATATCGCGTAGATGACCGCCCAAAGCGCTGGTAGGAACGTGCATGCGGCGAGCCATGATCGAAGTAACGTTCTCGATTGTGGTGAACCGAAAGCCTGCCGAGGCCATGCGAGTGGCTTCCTGCTTCTTAAGCTGACGCACTGTGAACAGCAACTGACCCTTGCCGGCCCGCAGCCGTGAGTATCCCATGGCACGCGAGAAGCGCGAGTACGGGGCAGTAGTAGCCAAGACATCGTCGTAGAGCATACCCAGAGCCGGCAACGGTTGTCGGACTTCATCGGCAAGATCCTGGGCAGCCACGCAGAAGTGGCGCTTGAACAAATCGTCGAAGTTGGACTGCAGTTCCGTGTCCTGATCGGAGACAACGCCCTTGGAAATGTAGTGTTCCATCATCGCCTCGTCCGATTCGATACGACCTCTCATGAAAGGAATGACATCCTTGACCAACCCCCAGTTCCTACTCGCTCGGAAGGCCCAGAGAAAGGCGGGGTGGGTTCGGGTCAGATCATCGTCATTGAATGTCTATATTTCTCGCATTAGTATGAGAACGTTGTCAAGAGAAGGGCATCCCACATACTCTACCAATGTAGCGGTCGACGATCTTCCGACTAGGGAGATGGGCGTGCGGCGTCACCATGACTCGGCCTTCAGGATCGAAGAAAGCACAGGTCAAAACCAACTGTTGAGCCCGGGATCTCGATCGCCTGTGACTTCCACCAGCAGCGATGGCACAAGCGGACAACACTCCGCAAGCAGCGCAGGCCTACATTTGTCAGCAAGGATCCCCAGCGTATATGATCAAGAAAACTGACCAGAACGGAGCAGATGATGACGGTCTGGCTTCGAGATAACTGCCCACCATGTCTCATGCTTTCGTCGTGTTCCTTGTACGTCGTACCCACTGCGGCCGTCCAGTGCATGCCCGAGACGGCAGCAGCAAGAAAACATCCACATAGCCCTCGTCTCCACCAACTATCAGTCCAGGTCGCTCTCCATCGGAAGAAAACACCAAGCGCGGCTGTGCTGGCGAAAACGGCGATGATGGCAGAACCGGCGACATTCCCAGCGGCATAAGAGCATCTGTAGTTGGCAATACCAAGTTGACCGACATAATGCATACCACAGACCGAACTGCCCGTCAGTATGCCGCCCGTCAGGATTCGGAGGTATCCGGCTTTCTCGCTGGCACCGATGGCGTAGAAGGCTGTGAGAAGAACGATCACGGGTAATACGAAGGAGACGCCGGTGAAGGTCATGCTGTAAAGGATCTGGATATTAGGTTCCCCATCGCCCAGCACAATCGCTCGGTTTCCAATAAAATGCATGCACCAAATGCCGATGCCACCCATGGTGATTGAGGACGTGAGTAGAAGATACCTAAGTGCAAGGTCAGATATGAACATCTGTTCGTCCAGTTAACGTGACATACCAGTTATACAAACCAGCCCTTGAGGTCCGTCGATGGAGAAGTTCCAACGTGGTAGTGCATCCCATCACACTGACCACATAAGACAGGAAGATGTAGCCAGCGAGGTATGACACCCCGACGTTTGCCCCATATTGGCGGACGTCTGCATTCGACATTTTGCGAATGAGATGTAGTTAAGCGCTCAGGAGTTTGGCAGGGTCATTGAGCAGGGGTTATCGTAAGGAGTGTGTAGAAAGAGTGTCCAGACGCATTTGTATCTGAATAGAGCCACCAGGGAAATCTACAAGGCTGGAAATGAGAGGATAGGCAACCCCAAGAAAGAGTCCAGGAAAAGAAAAAACAAAGAATTAAGGTTGGTACATAAGCAGGACCGGATCATCCACGCGGAGGGCCAGATAATAATAATAAATAATGGTGTTAATCCAAGGCCCTAAAGTTGAACTAACCCCTGGTCGAAGGCTCCTCCAGGTTCCAAGGGTATAATGTAGCGGCGAATGATTATTGGAAGACAAGACGAGGGGAGGACTAGTCCGTCGCCTTCTGCCTCGGGTGCCGATTGGTCTCCTATATACCCTGGTTCACCCATGCACGTTAATTTATCAGGAGCGCTTAAGCAGAGACATTTAGTCCGGTTTCATGGACCACTAAAAGAAGCCGCGAGGGGTGGGAAGAATCGTGGGCTCCATCGTAATCGCTGGAATGAGTCGAATCGCAGTTAGGTGCGGACAGTCCGGGCAGATTGGATCTACGGAGTATAGATCAGAGATCGTAGTTGGGTACAGGGAACGATGGGGCAAAAGGGCACTGGCAATCAGAATCCAGGCCAGCCGGACCTGCGGGAAAAGGATCCGGAATTCGGGAACGTGGTTGGTCAAAGTCTGCTTCGGTTCCTTTTTTTTTTTTTTTTTTTTTTTTTTTTTTTTTTTGTCTGGTGGGTGGTAGGTGGATATCAATCAAAACGCATTCTCCGTGTCAGAAAGATGGGTCTGGGCCATGAGCATCTGGCGTATCGACGTTGGCGAAAGGCCTTCTCGAAGGCGCTAACCAAAAACTCAGCTGCGCCGCAGCATTCTTAATTAATTGTGTCGCTCTTCTCCGATTCGCAAGTCTTCAGCCGAGGCAGCACGGACGAAAAGAAATTTGCAATCATTTTTGAGCGTAAACATTCCTGAACGGGAATGGCCTTCAGAAAAAGGTCTTATTATTATTCCGCGGGACAACAATGCAAAAGTCAAAGTGGATGGAGGGAGGGATCCAAAATGCTGGGAATCCCATCCGTACTAGGGCATAGCCTCATCGGGAATATCGGGCCATGACCATGGTAGATACGTAATTGTTTGGGATCCTGTTAGTTCGTCGACCATGTTGGAAAAGGCAGTTAAACCAGCAAAGTCAACAAAGCCTCTACTCCATCGTCAGGGCTGGTCAATTGCCGGAATCGACATTGATGAACGGCAGTTTGTGCCCAAATGTTCGCCACATGAAACTCTGGCATCGAACTGAAATTGAGGCAAACCGACGGTGAAGCATGTGGTCGAGGGTGAACGGTTAGCCTGACTCGTTAGCGCACGCTCCAGTGTTTAGGCGGGTTAGCAAGCGACGCAGGCGAAACTCTACCGGAGGAGTTCGCTGACACGCCAGGACCAGGTGACAATCAAGCGAGATCATAAGACTCATGGACCGGGTGAGACATCAATTAATCAATCCGGCGTGAGGGGTGGAGTCTTCGAAAAACAACAGACCAGATCGGAGCCAATGCGAGGGGAGGAAGGAGGAATTCCGAAGGCGTGGGACGGTTGAACGTGGGCGAGAGAAGCAAACGAATCTCTCGCCCGACGAGACGGACTTGGCTCCAGTCCGATCGGATCTCCGCTAGTCCGGATGGGGTTAGCGCGGAGGGAGTCGCCACGGGCCTGAACTCGCTTGTTTCATTTACCATCTCTACTCCGGAGTACGGAGTACGATGTACAGTAGTAGTGGTCATCAACTTATCTGCTGCACAATCGGCTCTACTCGTATTTCCAATCCTCATCACTAGCCCGTGTCACTAGCCCCGAGACTCGTGTTCCTCGATTGACCATGCCTATTTGGCCTGCCCCAAGGATCACTAACCCAAGCGTCAAGCTTCCAACAGGGTTCCCAATCCATTCGGACGCCACGCTGGAGTAATTCGGCGATATCTTAGCTATTCCTTGCCTCAGGAATGTCGAAAAGGGATAAAGTCTCCTATCCCCTGAGCTGAGCAGTCGTATCCTGCACGTCAAACACTACGTCCCCATTGTATGAAACAACCAGGATCATTCACCCCAAAACCACCAAGAATAGAAACCTGCCAGACCTCACGCAAGACACACATACCACGTTCCCCGTGTTCTGGCCTGGGCAGAGCCGCCCCTTGTCATAGTCGATCTACATACCACATACGTAACCCATTCCATCTCATGCTCAAGCTGAACAGACAGCGAAAGCATCAACAAACAAACCAAACAACCGGATATAGATCCCTGTCACTATAGCGCCACCTCATTTAATTCAAATGCACGAGCTGTTTTGCTATCAACTTAGTCCCTCCGACTTCCGTCAAGCCACCAAACATAACAATGTGCATTGTCAATGTTCCGGTATTCCGGTAGCAACTTCAATCATCTGCTGTCTCTATACTTCTGTTTCTATCCTACCAACCAAGATGCATCATAGAAGATCCTACTATACGGGGCATGCTCCGTACTACTCCGTAAACACCCAAGACGGCGTTCGGAACGCTCGGTCTCGACTGGACCGGGTTCCCTGTAGTGGCAATTTAACGTGTCTGACATCTGCCAATCCCATCCGCTCCCTTGGGTTCCGTTAATATCAATTAATCTATTTCTCTAGGCGGTAAGCATCGTGTTCCTGGCTCCATTCCGGTAGCTAATAGCTGTTCCTACAGAGCAGTTCCTACCAGGAGTCAGGAGCCAGGAGGTAGCTGCGTACTGCGTATGCAGTGTGTAGTATCTTATATCGCCACCATAGTATTAGTTTCATCATCGACATCATCTTGATCCTAACTAGGAGATTATTTCCAACAAGATAGATTAATTAATCAAAGATCATCCCGAAAGAGTTAATGCATGTTTACATTATGCAACAAAAACACACTTCCTCGGCGCCCTGACTATCTCGCAATCCAAAGTCTAGACCGATTAATCAAAACATCATAGCTCCAGCGACGGAGCCGATGGAGATTCCCACGTAGTACTCCATAGTCAACAAAAGATCTGCAGACCAGGCTGAGCTGAATTACGGAGTCATCCGTACCCACGGTGTCTACGGTCTATACCGTCGCTCTTTCATAGAACTAGACGGTAGGCGACTCCCAGCGGAATACCCTGTCCGCCGGAGATTAATCATAGTTAATGTAATTAGAATAGCCCATCACCGCGTCGATTATATCACACCCCAAGTACACCTATGCCTAGACCCCAGAGCCCCTATGCACATGCACCATGCACACGGAACAGACACTAGGGAATCGACCATCGAATCAAACCATCTCGATCCATCTCCTCCGATCCGAGATCTCGTCCCCGAGTCTTCTCCGGCCGGATGAATCCTGCGTCAGCACTTGGGCCCCCCCTCCACCCCTTTCTTAGCCCCCCTGTCTAGCGGCTCAACTACGCCGTAGTTAATGGACTAAACTGACCCGGGTAACTATCTTGCATTTGACGCGCGAGACACTCACTGCGGACGACGACGCTAAACGGTCTCCCCGAAGAGTTAAGTCAGGGACTGGGACTGGGATCAGCCCATTTCTGTTGCTGTCAGTTGCGATCGGCACGGCGATGCACGGAGGCGGGGTGGAGCTGACGATCGGAATTATGCCGTTCTCTTGGGTTCTCGTGTTCTTGCTCCTACTGGAGTATGTGGGAGAGACGGTGTCGGTATAGCGTACAAAGTAGTTAACTATTGGAGGTGGTTTGGTTTGGTTCGGGGTAGGCTGCTTCGATATTACTTTGACTTTTTCTCCTGACATGGATGTTCCTACTACGCCTATCTCAGTACGTCGTACTCCGTGGAATAGAGCACACCCAGCATTAAACACAGTACCTACTGCGGAGGTACTCACTGCCCAGTGGACGAATGATGCAGCAAACGCCACAAACGCAAACCCGCTGCCAGCTGGCCAGGCACAGCCAATAACATGCACCATCGGGCCCTGCATTTACATTTCCACTGCGTCGGCGTTGCAGTGCATTGCATTCCCCTGTAATGCTACATAACTCGTGCCGAGCGCCGGCCAATGGCTCCCTAGTATGCATGATTGCGGATATGATGGAGACCCTGTGTAGCCGAGACCTAGGGACTCCATTATGCCTAGAGTAGGGGAGTTGGGACTAGGGTTCAGCTGGAGATTTCTTCTGTCTCTATTTAGGATTTAATCTATTTAGCAAGGGGGAGGGGGCAGTAATTAAATTATGCAGGCTAATAGTACCCTGTGTGCTGGCAGGCATCCTTGTTGATTGTGCATGGGTGCGAAGGTATTAGTTGAGTTGTTTGGTGGACTAAGCGAGATACCTATTGATCAGGTTGTCTTGGGCTAGGGCTGGGTCTCCTTTGTAGATCAATTATTCTCCTATGGTGTAGGTACTTTTACTCTAGGCTTTAGGACGACTCTACAGATACTCATGTAGATATCGCAGACTTCCCGATTTCAGAGTTTCCTTCTTCACCAGCCTCCTGCCATCTTTGCTCCAATTTATCTAATCTAACATTCCCATAATGCACAACATTCACGAAAACAATCTAGAGATTAGCCACATGTCAGCTTCCAGCTTATTCCGACGAATCAAGAACCGTGATCTTGACCACAAGAATGGGACACTCATATTGAATGAAATACAACACCTACCGCAACCCTGAAGAATAGAGACTATTCTACTTTAACTCAAACGATAGCATCGAGTTGCTGACCTATCCATAATCCAATCGATCCTACTAAGATGCAATTCTTCACCACCGGTCTAGCCCCCGATCTAGATGATGCATGCATGCAGATATGGCATGTTCGATTCGACCCTGGTCTGGTGTTGCCGGTTGTAAGCACTTAATTTGGATGTCCCGATGCCGTGGGTTGGTGAGATTCGTGCTTACGAAGATTAGTCGACATCTAGATACTCGAACCGAATCGTACTTAAACCGATCCGACTTCATCCAGTCTGTACAGCAACCAAGTCATAATCTTACGAGTCTACAATCGACAACAACACATGACAGCCAAAGCCAATCATATTCCAACCATTAACATAAAAACCTAAAAGGTATATCTTTCATTCAACAAAATACAAAAAAAAAAACCCCGCACTGCGTCACACGTCTAAGCAATCAGGGACTTGATGCCAGCCTCCAGGGCGGGGGGGTTGGCGCCGACGACGTCGGAGACCTTCTGGCCCTTGTTGAAGAGCATGAAGGTGGGCATGGCGCGGACGCCGAGCTCGGCGGCAACGTTGGCGAGCTGGTCCACGTCGATCTTGTAGAACTTGGCCTGGGGGTAGGTGGTGCTGAATTGGGCGAGCTTGGGAGCGATGGCCTTGCAGGGACCGCACCACTCGGCGAAGCAGTCGAGGACAACGAGGTCCTGGGACTCGAGGACCTTGGCCTTGAAGTCGGCCTCACTGGTTTCGTTAGTCATTGTTCATGCAGGGATGGTTTTCGAGTGGAAACGGGTGAGGTATGGGAATGAGCAGTGATTTCGGGAATATGAGGAGGGGTAAAGAGGGGCAGGCGAAGAATCACAAAAAAGTCACACATACGTGGTGATATCGACAACGTTTCCGCCAGCCATTTTAGCAGAGGAGGGATTGAATCGGACGGAGGGAGTAGAAGAAAAGGATCTGGTGGGAGCGAATTGGTTGTATGCGGAGACCCGGGGGATGGAGGAACGAAGAAGAGTCGATGCGATTGACGCTCTGGACAGAGATCTAGCAGAGAAGGAAGAGGAAAGGCGGAGAGACGCCACGGTGGAGGGATTAAAACTATGGAAAATCGCGAAAGATGATTAGCTCGAAATGAGGGGCAGCGAAGGAGGGGCACAAATTGGAATTTATAACGGATTGCCGGAATGACGTTGCGACCGCATGAGTAATCCGGCCGGCCGTCGCTGCGAACACGGCTGCAAAATCCAAAGACTCGACGGGGGACGCTTACCAAGAGGCTCGGGTGAGACGGAGCAGATTGGTCGTGGATTGGCTGGAATACATGGTTTTCGGTCCTTCTAGGTTACAAAGCAAATTGACTGGCTGATGGAAGATGCAAGAAAGGCTGCTAACCGGCTGAGCTGACCAGGAGAGAATCCGCAGAGGACACGAAGGTGCTGGGAGCTGCCGGCGTAAAAGCGGCGAATGGCGTGCTCCGCTGCTTATGAAGCAAGTCGGTCTGGATCGTGCGCGTGCCTCAGGCAGCCTCGGTGACAAATTCAGGCCACCATCAGGCACCAATTCTACACCTTTCTACGATACTACTCTCTGAAGTCGCAGATGACTCATTCCGATATGATTAAACAATAATAGTGTCCAAAGACAGAATCAATATGTCCATTGAATTGAAGAAAATGAGAATGCTCCAAGTCTATCGAAAGAATTTTCATCCAGAACCCTGGACACCTAGAGCCATGTTGCAATAGGCACTGCAAGCTTCATCCAAACTTCCGCTGATGTGGGGGTATCAACAAACACAAGAACTAACAAAGTCCACCAACACTAAATCCACTAAGCAGGAACATGGCGTGTGCTTAGTTCGCATTGGAGCATTCAAGAAATACAATGGTGGCAACGTCCAGTACCACCGAATGGTTGAAAGCCGTATAAAAGGGGATGGGGTCTTTTAACATATGAAAATATTGTGACAAAAGAAAATGGTCCAAAAGAGTGACTGGGGGTATATACTTCGAAACGCATATTAAATATCTAAGATAGAATCGGAGAGGCTCAGAATCTGAAGGGGGTGAATGGTCCAGCACGTCACAAGAGGATCCCGAAAAAAACGAGCTGTTCCTCAGTCATTCAAAGGCACAGCCCAATTCCTAGCACCAGCTAGTGTTTTTAATGGCCATGGCCACTGTCATAGCCGTCATCTTTAGCGAAATGATACTCGGCAGAGTGCTCCTCGATAGGACTAAACTCCTCGTCCGCAATGACGGAGTTGAGAATCCCTTCGTTCGATTTCGGTCGGATGGCTGGAGTGACGAGAACCGGCCGCCTCGCAACATGGTCGTGCCAATTCTCCTCTGCCGGTGCCGGTGCTTGAGCCATGTCGAAATCATGGTCGTGTTCGCTGACAGCGTGACTGGCTCGGAATGTCTCATCGTTGTTGGTGCTGAACTTGACCAATTCGTCACCGTTGGTGGCAACCTCGTCTTGTTTCGGGGGTTCTTCGTTGCCTTCGTCCAATCTTCTTCGGGATGAACTCAGACTGGGACGGACAGGGTTGTTGGTTCTTTGGGAGATACGGCGTAAGAATTGACCAGACATCCAAGACCCTTCGGAATCAATCGATGCCAGCGACTGGGACAAGGGTACGTTTTCCGCGTCGCCTTCCATGCTCTCGCCGGTCCAGGAATTGTGGTGGTTTCCGTTGGCATCCGGTAGGTCCACGTCGGAGCCCGGAATTGGGTATTGCGAACCGATGTGGGCAGTGGACTGGTCATTTTCGACTTCGAGTGGTTCTTCGGGAATGTCCGGTGACTGAAGACGTGAGTCAGGAGGCGAAAGTGGCTCATCTCCAAAGTGTTCGGTAAACTTGGACTGAGAGCGCTTGATGGTACCCGAATGTAGGAATGTTTTGGGAGGGACGTAAGGTGGCGGTCCAGATGACTGGGTGGACACCTTGAAAAAGGATTCATGGGAGGTATTGTTGGAAATTTCGGATCCCCGATCGTGGAATCGCTCACGGTATCTCCGCTTGAGACGTGAGCTGCCTCGCCGGAAGATCGACGATATCGTATTCATCCGTCCACTGCCGTTGTCGGACAGACGTCGCTCCGAGTCGACAGTGCGTGATAAATCTGAGGTGGATTCCCGGCCCATTCCAACCTGGGATGAGGAGGGACTGTGCAGGGTACTTCGCGACATGCCCATTTCCTGAGACGGGGCAAAGCTACGGCGCATGCCCAGCTTCGGTTCCCGGATAGAGCTGTCGTCGATGTTGCCGATAACATTAACACTTTCGGTAGAGGCGCGGACATGTCGGTGGGCTTCCTTGGAAGCATCTCGCAACCAGGAGCCGGCAGGGTCGCCGGACCGGACGACGGCCATCTCGTTGGCTTTGGACGCAGCATCGTCGCCCGCACGGTCGGCTTCAGCTTGGTCCTCGGCACCTGGCCGGCCTCGCTGAACCTGAGCACTGTCCTCTTTTTCGTCCTGCTGGACACGAGATGCAGACTCACGCTCGGCTTCCAATCTCTGCCGCTCAGCGGTCCGTTGGAGTCTACGCTGAAGTTTCTCCTGGTCTTCGATCTGCTTTCTCTCTTTTCGACGACGATCTCTTTCCAGCAGCTCCCTCAGGGCGCCCGCATCCAGGTCATCGGCGAGCCTATCGACTCTTTTCTTCGAATAGCCGGTCTCCTCCGAAACCGAGACAGCCGGTGTCTTTTCCTTCCGAGTCGACCCCTCGGATGTTTTTTGGCTCTTGGCGGTCTGCAGTCGAGGGGCTTCGACATATCGGATGACGGGACGGGGGGTCCAAGCACTGAACCCGTTCACTTTAAACGTATAGGAGTCCGCGAAATCGGAGAGTGAGGATGTAGAGTCACGCAGGGAAAGACTGAGATCGGATTGATGTCGATCAGAGCGTCGACTGTGAGTTCTCGGAGGTCGACGGGTATCGACGGAGAGGTTGTCTCCGGGTTGAGTGGAACGGTGCGGAATGTCAATCGGAGAGGAAGCCATCAGACGGATTTCTCGCTCTCGGGCGATCTCGTAGGCCTTCCGCTTGCTCAACTTTTTCTTCAGGACCGCGGGACCATTGTCGTTACGTTTCGACTTCAACAGCAGCGAAGCATTTCTCGCGATCGAGGGGGTGTGGTCCTGACCGATGGTCGAACGAGAGGCGTGGCCATCGCGACGGGAGCCTATCCGGGAGGGCTGATCCCGTGCCTCTCTCATCGGGCCAACCTGTTCGTTGTCTGACGTAGGTGGAAGGAGGCGAGTAGGCTGAGAAGGGGGCGAAGCCTCGCTCAGGGAGGTGGAGAGGTCGCCGGCGGGGTTAGAGTGTCGGTTCTTTTGTCGCTTCGACTGCTTGCGTGAAGGTTTCCTTCCCAGCTTGGTGTTATCCAAACTATGACGTTGTTCCTGCGCCAAGTGGGCATCTTCGACAGCACCGGCATCCAACTGGATGGTATGCCGCTTACTTTTCCGACCAAACGGCCATATCGCCATGGCGCCCGGTCACATACACCCCGCGCACGAAGTCAAAGGTGGACAGAGCTGAATTCGGATGACAAGTGGGCGCGGGTGACTGGAGTCATGGGTGGGAGAGGATCTCTCAGAAAGACGAAGTGGCGCGGGCACGAGACGGGGGTGGGTGGGAAGTGAAGGAGCCCCGAGGACAAGCTTCCTTGCGAAGGAAAAAAAGGTAAAAAAAAGAATTCTTAGCCAGCCAGCGAGCCGGCAAGTTAAAAAAAGGATTAATGGAGAATAATCGGAGTCAGGTTCTGAGCTCGAGGGGGAGAGTCGAGACCTGGCAAGCGACAGTTGAGAAGCTAGAAAGCAAGCACCAAACAAGATTTTTAGAAGACGGTAGGAGGGAATAGCGTTTGGAGTACAGAGGAAGTAGTAAGGATCCCCAGGTGCTGAGAGGGACCGGGGCAGCAGAACTATTGGTTTAGAACGAACGGATAGAAGAAGTAGTGAGGACTATCAGGCGGTGGTGAGACTCCAAGCCACACACCACATGGAGTGGCAAATCAAGAAAGTCCTCGAAGGAATATCGCCCCGTATGTAAATCAAACGAAAGGAACCCGGGGGAGGGGGAAAGGGAAGAAAAGGGACAACGAGGAGCGAAGGATGGAAAACAGGAAAAGGGAGAAGAGAAAAGAGAAAAGCGACAGGGAAAAAAAGAAAAAGGGAGAGCAGCAACTGCAGAGAGAGCCCGACAAAACAGACCCAAACCCCAAGACCCAGACGAGTCAAGTCAGAAGGAGGCCGTGAGCGAGGGACGGGCCTGGCGAACTAGATTATTAGTCCACTAGGAGGGACTGCGAGGGCCGAGACAAACAAACCGCCCTTTTTTTCTGGGTCACTCAACCAGGGGATCGTCTCTGCTGGTTACACCGTGACTGCCCCCGGGCCGTCGACCTGAACCAGAAGATCCGCTTGAGGTCTGCATTCTCGGCTTTGTCTTTGGTCTTGACTCTTTGCTCTTTGGTCGTTGGCCTTGGGACTTGAGCTACGGGGTCAACGATGCCGGTGGTACTGATTACCCGTACATACAGATACCGACGCCGTAAAGCGTAAACACTAAAATGTCTCTAAAACGGTCCCAATCGGTTGATATGCATCTTCCCGCTTCTCTGTTCTTAGAGAACCTACTCCGTACGCAATATTGATTTCATTCGAGATACCTACTCTTTCCTTAGTACGGAGTATATCTATCCACACGACCATAACCAATAGAGATCTGTCTGTCTGAAAAGGGAATAAATCACGAATAAAAAAAATGAACGAAAGAAAAGATAAAACTCTTTAACGGTGGGGGAAGGGAGTCCCCCAAGGCCAACCCACAGCCAGATTGAAGCCCAATCCCATTGTTACCGCGCACTAGGACGAGCCATTATTATTGGTACCTGCCTTAGGGGACCGCCGATAGGTGTACTATCGAAGCCGCCGCTCTCCACCTTGCCATACTTAGAAACACTTTTGCCCGCTCCGGTGGGTAATTTACCGTTTGGTACCACTAGCCGCTCCACCCACCGTATGTACCGGCCGTACGGAGGACACACGGCGTATGCGTATGCGTATAGCGTATACTGCGTAGGGGAAAGGAGTCAGTTCCCTCCAGGGCTACCAGCAGGGTGCTATAAAAGTCGGCTCGGTAGAACCTCAAGGTGTCATCTCGGGACTCACTCGACTCGAATTCTCTCCCCGTCTGCAGCTCGCTGCGCTTGATCAAACCCCATGAGTGACAGTTGTTCCTTCCCCTCCGCAATGCAATCCCGTTTAGAATCCTCCTGCAGGGGCCGCCCGAGCAATCCATACTCAGCGAGGAAGGGCGGTGTTGGCTCACATAGCCTATTGCACTGGCTGCCGGGTGCTACTGCTTGTTATCTCTCGGCGGCCATGATCTCTGCTGTAACAGTCGAGACCGTCAGGAATCGCTTTGTCGGTCCGACTACTCTGTAAGTAGGTAGGTATGTTGGTACGAAGGCGTACGAACCGTATGCAGGATACAGCCCAGGTAATCGTCAAGGTACTGCCCCAGTGCCGGGCGGAGATATCCCAGGTACGGATGACAAGAAGATGACGATGGGCGATGAGGTCAGCGGGTCCTGCAGCCAGGCGGTGTGATTGGGCGTGCAAAATGAAGAATTGAAAAGACCAGCAAATCATGCGCCGAAGGAATGTTTTGGTGGAGAAGTTCGAGGCATACCCGTAACGCTAAATCTTAGTCTCGCTTACGCAGGGCAGACACGATTTCGAGCAGTCCGGAGTCCAGAGTACTGCGTAAAAGCAGGCTGCAATTCCTTTGGAATCACAACAATGACGAACGGTTGGATGATCGTTTCCTACTCGGTCCAGTCGTTTTGATTTTTCATGGAGTAATCAGCATCGAGATCATGACTACGGAGGTGTTCTATCAGAGCAATGGCGAATGTGCGGTGTTCACCAGAACTAGTAATAAGTCGCATGTATCGGCAAATCCATCCCTTCCCAAGGAACAAATCGGAGCGTGAAACCCTCAATCCCATGCGTCCAGCATTCCCGTTCTCGCCCATTTCACGCTTTCCTGACAGCAATTGACAGGTCCAACGCGCATGGACCAGACGGTGCAGAATCCTGCGCCCATCGATGACATCGTAACGGTCAACCCGCCCGAGTGAGTTATTCGTCCGGTGGGGCTTTGTTTTGATCAACTAAATCCTCAGGATCCAAGGTTCAGAACAGTCAGAACCCTCAAGGAGCGGGGGGAGGAAGACACTAGAGAGACAGCTTCAGTCTCAAGAGTCTCAGACGCTTGAATTTTCTAATTTCCTGCGCCAAAACCCGTCGATCCTTCCGTCGGCCATCATATCCCTGGGTCACTGTGTCAGTCTACGTCGGTCTGGACGTTCGTCGAACCCTCGCGAGTGGAGTTGCCCGCCGAGGAATTTTTTTCACCATCGCCCTTAGGCCCTTAGTAATGGTTAATTAAACAGTCAATGTCTGGGCTTTTTCCCCTCTCCGAATGAATAGCGCCTCCACTGTCCAGTCCGGGACTGAATTCCCGCGTCTCTCCTTCGTCAAACCCACCCACGGGTCATTTCCTTCCTTGCAGATTTCATCATATCGGGTGGGTTCTCATTACAGTGTGCATTCCCATTGTACTGTATAGCAACAATGTCAAAGACAAGGGGGACAATGTCCTCTGTAGGAGTAAAGAGGGGGGGAGAAAAGCAAGCCATCATTAAATGAACTGAGATCCCGAAGCCCCCACCCCCGTTTCTAGGAATACCGAAGTCAAGCCAGCCGTCCAGGACCCAGGACTTCCAGCGCCATGGGACAATTTACCCGACTTGTCAGGTCCGAACCACACGTATCTCGCATTGGCGTGTCTCGAGCCCCAGATCTCCATCAGACTAGGAGTACGTACGACAGTTGACTTCCGTAGATGGGCCGGTGGCCCCGACTTTCCGATATTGCCGCCGACGCTGTCATCAACGCCGTAATCACTCTCGTACCCTGTTCTTCCTCGGTTCTCGAGATTAAATGTCTCTCTTTTTTGCATATTCGGTGCAGTGCTCGTACGTACGCAGGTGCAGGAAGGAAGAGACGGGTAGGGTCCAGTCAACGTCGATTCCGGTGAATACGGGAGGGTGCGCTGTTGAGTAACGCGGGCTGATTGAAGTGCCTGGATTCAATCAACACTGACCAAGGGCCATGCGGCGATAATCAGTGGAGCAGTGCGTTCCTGCATCTAATTTACCACATTGGTCCGGCCAGATCTCAATCTCGTGAGGGGATGGTATTACTTGTTCTTATGAAAGTGAAACATTCCCGTCGTGTAGGAGTCAGAGGGGAAAAGGGCATGGGGCATGGGGCATGCTACTGGCGGTTGTCCTTGCATGGCGGAAGCAGGTACCTCAACTCAACTCCTCTCCGGAAGGGATTTCGGCTGCCGTATTTGCATCCTAGCATCAGGTACATGCCTGCTCAGTCACAACGTCGGGCGTCGTTGCTGGGCTCTCTGGCGAGGTCGAGGGAGGGGAAATTGGTCCCAACGTGATGCCGCAGCCGATACGAAGATGCGCATTCTCATCTCCGATACAGAGAGATCCGTTATGCACGTCATCTCCAGGGTAGAGGGCTCCGTAAAACGACGGCGATTGTATTTCCTAGGCACATATTCGTAAGACATGGTAACCTGGATCATCGCCGGTGATAGGCGGTTTAATTTCTTTTGATCAAGTCGATCGAAGCCGGTGGGGTCAGTGTCAGCCGTGGCTGTCGGGTATAGACTTGTAACGTTACTGCCCTGTGTTCGGTATCCGTAAAATAAGCAGGTACATGCCCTATACCACGCCGTATACCCTGGAGACTAACACAGCCGACCAACTTGATTACCGATGCTATAGAGCAAATCCTCTCTAGTTTCGATCGGAATCTGATCGATACGGAGCAGATGGTCCGTGAAGATTGGCTTCGTTGCCCAAGTACTCCGTAGCTCCCAGCGAAATCCCGAGGTCCCAGTCCTGACCCATTGCAATCCTGACCAAAGTACTGTTTCTCCACGATAGCCGCCCCCGTTGCACAAGCAGCGAGGGGGTCGGCCACAGGATCGGTCACTTGGGTGATGATTTGGTATGTGCATCGGGAGTCGGTACATACATCCTGCCTACTCGTACCTATCCATTATTCATTAATGAATCTTACCTCGATACAGGCTCCTGTATGGATATGTGTTCACCGTAGAAGAGTGGGCGACTCGCATGCGCCTACCAATATTACCTGTCATATAACATGCAGCGCGCCGACCAACAGAGTCAAGCAACCCTAGCACCGACTACGGTACAGAGTATTATCCCAACTCCCCCACGACAAGTGGTATTCGGCAAAGATACCACCGACATGGCCAGAGAAAAGCGGGATGACAATGGCTCGACATGACCCTGTCTCGCGACGAACTTCCACCCACACTGGTAGTTCAGGTTACCTGCAGCTGCTGTGGCGCTAGAGTGTCTGGCACGGGGCCTAGAACGGGCAGCGGAGCGTTGTAGGGCACCACGTTTGGTTTGCGTTGGCAATGGCCTCTGAGTAGGACTATGATTTGATCATGGAAGACACCACTTTCTCCGGCTGTGGCTCCAATGGAGTTCTTGGAACTCTAACCGGAATTGTCTCCGGTGGTGACTTAAGGCTTTTGGCTCCTGCTGCTGCTGGCACTTACTCCGAGTAGGGTCTTGGCTTTGGTCTGTGGCTTTGGGTTATTTCGTACATCTCAACGGTTTTTACTTCTTTTCGGTCTTTGTTTCTGCGGTTTCGTTTTTATTTATTTATTTCTCAGATACATACGGGATATGCCCACGGACTTTCTACGGAGTAGTCTAGTTGAATCCTTCCATCCCTCTCTCGCTACATACAAAGACGATAATCCAACTCTGTCCGACTGGGATAAAGAAACGCGAACCGAAAAGAAACTACCGACGGAAGCCTACAGTATACTAACTTCCCTCCGACACAAGGCCAATGAACACCCATTTGACACTTTCTATCTACTACTAACCTACCAGTATTCTTCAACGCCAAGCCAACACCCATTGGATCCGGCCGTCAACAAACGGAAAAATAAGAAAGAAGAACAAAACGCACCGCCAGCCCAAAGATGCCCGAAATTCAGTGCACACCGCGTGTTCGGATATTCTTTGCCATGGCATTCATGTCAGACGGGGTAAGGGAAATAACAGCAACATGACAGAAATCAACGCCAGGACTAATTCCTTGAAAAAGAAAAAGAGAAAAAAAATCATACAAGACGGACTAAATGACACAACCCCAGCCAACTAACTCGAATCAACCAGATCCATCGACAAGTCGTGGGCCTATGCATTAGTCTCCCCCATACAGTACAGAGAATTCATACGAAGTATGCATGCATCCAAGAAGGAGTCATTCTCTCGACCCCGTCCCTATACAGCAGGATTGCCGGATCCAGCAGCCGAGCGTCAGATAGAGGAAAGACAGAATCCCTGTCGGCTGCAGTCCGCCGTATACTCTAGACCACACGGAGGAGAGGTGTAACCAGACGGAGCAGGGGATGGATTATCGGGTCGAGCGTTTCCTGAGACGGTTTGGTTCCTTTTCCAGAACGCGGTATCGGCGACTCACGTGGCGGCTCAGAAGCCTCTTTATTGACCACGAGTCATGGGCGTTGGTGTTGTCATCGTCTCCAGCTCCCCGGCCATCACCGCTGCCTGTTGCAGGGCGAGATGGCGACTCCCGCCGATGCGTCTGTTGCGGGCTGTTCTGCCCGGCGCGATAGTACTGGTTTCGTCCGCGGAGGGCAGTGGTCAATGACTCTGAGCCCATTCTCTCATAGGATGGAGGGCGTGGTCGGAATTCTTTTTTTTTCTTTTTTCTTAACCAAGGAAATCGGAAAAATAGTAATATTTTTTCACTTGGTATTAATTTATGATGTATGTGCCTCCGCTAGGTGGGTTTAATGCTGACGAATAGGTCCAGAATACAATTAGATCAATAATAAATAGATTGATATGGACTTTTTTTTCTCGATTTTTTCCTTTTTTTCGCGAAGGGCTTTAGAGATTCTAGGTGATCGGGATTTGGTCGGCGAACCAGGGTATCGTCGGGCGAATAACTAATCCCAGTCGGTTGAAAACGGAAGACAGGTGGTGGGGGGATCTTGCTCGGATGTCCAGCGGAGGCGATGAGACAAGGAGCCAGGATTATAGGCAGGTAAGTCGACTGTCGAGGTCGGAACGAGGAACCGGTATAGACTATAGTGGCAGCGGAGGGTGTATGGTGGAAGACTTGTAAGGTCGGTGGGTTTTTTTTTTCCCCCTTTGACTACGTGTACTGTTTTAGCTACTCCGTATGACTTTCTATTATTATTTATCGTTGTTGACTTCGGTCTGACTTGCTTGACTACGGGCGTTCCATGGTCCATCTCGGGGCTTCGGAGGGGCTGTGAAAGACTGAAAGGTTCCAGAAAACTGACTCGGCCCAATCATCGAGTCCCCTCGTTTTCGGGTCAGGTCCCGTGAGCGGCACGTGTCGAGTCCCGTGACTGAGTCAGTCTGGGTTCAACACAATTAATATTCACTGCGGTTGTGGACTGAGATGTTTATAAAAGACGGTGGGAGTATATGCCAGTCTCATAGATGATGGTGGTTGGTGGTTAGCAGTCCCGTCGTAGCAGAAAGTGCCGTAGAGCGCATACGGCGTCAACAGCACATGACGTCGGAGAAACATTGTCAAATCGATGACAATGAGTTTAATATGACCTAAGAATGCAGGGAAACCCCTCACTGTGCCGAAGCATCCTGAAGTCACGCGAATTCCTCCTGCCTCACCGCATGGGATCTGATAAGGCGATCAACACACCGCCAGATCGCGGGACTAGCGAGAACGGGGCAAGAGATCACAAGAGTTCAGGCAGGAATGAGTCAATGAATTCTGGTAGACCAGGTCAGAGTAGTCCCTCATAGCAGTCCCTAGTAGATGCCCACATTGATCAATTCACGTCCCTCCTCTACCATGTACAAGAACTACCCCCAGTAGATCGTCAAACCGCGCATTGAGATTCAGACCCTACATTCCTCCTCCGTAGTAGACAGGGAAGAAGCACCGTAGATCCCACCCGTCCTTCATCACACTTTCATCAACGAAGATCTCTCGTTCGAGAGAATTCCAATCACATCCACCATCAACCGTGATTGGGCTGGATCCATCACAAAATGCCCCCTTCAGACCCAAACGAAACCCCGCATCTTTGCCCTTCGTGCAGGGATGTCGACGGATTTGCTCCCGTTGCTACCTGATCCGTTCAGGGACGGCATATCCGTATGCACGTTGACTAAACCCCGGGGAATTTCCAATTGTTCGTTCGTATCCCAGGAGGGGGGGTCATTTAAGCCCGCGACGTCCCATCCCTACGGAGTACACCCAGGGACTTTCTTAACTGTACCACTCTACCGTGCTACTATGAAGTTCGCTATTTGAACGAAGCTAAATATATCGATGGTTTGAGTTTCCTCGACTCGCTATCCTCTCCTCTCCTCTCCTCACACCCTAATCTCAACAAACCATCAATCAAAGACATAATGGCCGCTCTCTGGCTCTTCGTCGCCTTCGGCTACCTCCTCTTATACGCCTTCGCCTCGCTGCAGCCCCTTCAGCCCGTCATCATCCCCCTCGGGCTCATTGCAAACTGAAACCGCCCTCACACACGCCGGATTGGCTTCTGGCTTCTGGCGTCGGAGGATATCATAAAACGAGACAAACACAAATGCTATTCTTGGATCGAAGAGAAGGTTTCTTTAAACTTGTTTGCGCAGTCGGCCTCGAACCCAACTTACGATGCTGTTTCGGATGGAGGGCTGATCGTCTGACGTGATGGGCTCTTTTCGAGATGAGTTCGCGAGCTTACTATACCGCCCGACCCAGCTGATGTGGTGGGCGGATGAGATGATGCGGCTGAAGATGGTTATTTGCTGTCGTGGTTGGGGGGTTGGTTGTTGACTGCCGGCGCTTTTTGGGCTGCTGCGGTGGTGTATACTGTACATGGGTGATGGCCGGCCTGTGTCTGAGTTTGTGGAGGCATTTGGCCATCGCTGCTTTCGAAATGATGGGTGGATTGACATTGGGTTGTGTCATTCATCGCCCGGGGAATGTGTATAGGGTCATTCAAGGCAAGGGGAAGATGACGATTTTGGATGTGTTCAGGCGCAGGTCTTGACTGGGTTTATGGTTTACGGGTTTACAAAAGTTCTAACGACTGATGATTGATGACATGATGATTTTTATGTTTGATATGAAATGGCGCAGATGGTATCGAGTATTTAGACGGAGTACATGAATATACCATGAATGACGAGTTACATTTTTGTCCATAAATCATTGGCTTGAAGATAGTGGCATTTCAGACATTCCTTGATGACCTTTTTTTCCTTCCCTAGGTCGCTATTCTTTCTTCTCCCTGCGGTAGTGCATTCCGCCCGGTTGACTAGATCCCTAAGCCAACTTTCGCCCTGCCGTCCATCTCGGTCGATGATGAAAATGACCTCATCGGAATGTTTGGTCGACGATCAATCTTCGATAGCCAACTGAATGACAATGGTTTATGATGTAACCGAGTAGATCATCGAGAGGGCTAAGACGCTGGCGCTAACCATCATCGCGTGAATCTGTACTGGCGTTGCGGCCGATGCATAATCTTCCTTCGTGAGTCTCTTGATTTATGTCAAGACCCAGATGCCTTATGTTAACAAAAGCCCTCGGTGCGGGTATATTTTTGGTACTCAAACGCCGGTTCCCCTCTACCTAATTCGTGGCAACCAAGGCCTGAAGTTCGCAATCGTAAAGACATCCAATTAAAACCAGATCTTGATGAGCTCCTCACTAACAGCACTGGGAGTGAGAACGCCACTGTCGGTAATCAATGCAGAGATCAGATGAGGCGGTGTGTAGTCGACCACCTCGGAGCTGTGCGCCAGCTGTTGCTTGTCGCCGTCCGTAATGTCCTCTTCGGTCTTGAAGTCGATCACGTGTTGCTCGATAGGCAGATCGTACTGTCCCAGCGGATAGAGTCGGACAAACTTGTGGCTCTCCGCCACAACGTAGAAAGGCTTCCCCATGGCCTTGGCCAGGAGACCGATCTGATACGTTCCCATACGCGACACGATGCCGCCGTTCTCGACCACACCCTCCGCACCCACAATGACGGTGTCGGTCTTCCCTAGAGCATACGCGACGGCAGACTCCGGGATCGTAGAGACAGGGACGCCCTTTTCCCGCAGCGCACGCACCGTCTCCATGCCCTCGGGTTCCGCAGAATCAGAGAGCACGTAGATCACGCGGAACCGGACAGCCGACGGTCCGCCCTTCTCATCAGCAGCCTGCTGCAGCAGCGACGCGACGACTCGCGATCCACCATTCGTCAACACGGTGCTTCCGTCGCGCACAAAGCCCCGTCCAAACCCGGCGATCTTGTCTCGGCTCTCTTTCGCACGTCGGATGAACAGCCGCCCGTTCGAGAGTAGATGGGCTCGAATGGCATTGAAGTCGCCCGCGGGTCCGAGCTGACCGGGTCTTTGTAAGGTGGTAATGAGGTATCGTTGGAACAGATCGGTTCCGGCAGAAAGACCAATGGGGTTGGGGATCGACTTCTTCAGGTGCGCGGTGGACTTTTCCAGCAGATCGAGGGTCTCCGATATCGTAGACGAGGGCGAATGTGTGAGAAGTAGAACCAACGCTTCGATGGCAGCGATGGGCATCGTCAGGTCCGGGTCCGAGCGAAGCAAGTCATTGTAGGTTGCAACAATGCTGTTGAATGGGATTAGCAGGCATGGTATGAGGTGAGGGATCATCGCAAAGGAACGCACTCAAAAGGCTTGTTAGCCGGCGTCGAGCTGGAGTCGGCGGCTGCCATTGTGAATTCTAGCTGGCCAGGAAGCTCTTTATGGGAACAAGGGACCTTTCGTTGCGTAGACGCAAAGCTATATCGCAGTCACTCACGCCGCGAAAGAGTCATCGAAAAGAGACCGTGGAAGTGGGTGTTTGCGCAGTTTGCATCTGCCCCTCCCGACCGCGCTAATCCGCTTCCGGTTGCCATGCAGAGGCCTTGCGGTAAACAATCATCATAACATTCAGTCGGTCCAGCTGCCCCCTCACCATTACGAGCTTCCACGCCCTTCTCCTTGGCTTCCTCATCGCAAAGAAATTTCGATTTAGCTGTCGCGATAAGCGTTTCACACCAGAATGGCGTACAGCCATCGAATGAGCCAGCAATTCCATGGCTCCCAGCAGCATCACAACAGGGGCGGTCGGAAGAAGGAGGATGATAATGATGCTCTAATGCGCCTGGTGGGTTGACCTTCTATGCGCGCATTTACTCAGACCGTGCTAACTATTAGAATAGCCTGACAAGGAAATCGCAGGATGTATCAATGATATCGGCATCCCTTTCACCTCGGCGGACCTGATCAAGCCCAACCCGCAACAGATTCAAATGGTCTTCGAATGGTTTGCAGAACTCCTGATGAATGTCACCCGCGACACGGTGGAGCCTGGGATGCGCGTGGCAGCGGACGATATTGGAGGGGATTATCCAGACATCGTGCCTAACGACACGCGCAATCTGATGGGTTTTTTTATGAGTTTGCGGCGGTTGATGATGGAGGTATGTATTTTTGAAGTTGGATGTCGCCTCACTTTGAAGCTTTACTAACTCGGGATCTGTATAGTGTGGAGTAAACGACTTTACTTTTACCGACATGACAAAACCTACGCACGATCGACTGATCAAGATCTTTTCGTACCTCATCAATTTCGTCAGATTCCGCGAATCCCAAACCCCCATCATCGACGAGCACTTTAATAAAACCGAGAAAACAAAGGCGCGCATCGATACCCTCTATGGAGAGAACCAAGAAATGGAAGGACGTCTGGACGAGATGCGGCGCAGCCTGAAAGCCAACGAAGCACAAGTGAAGGAAAAGATTCGAAGAAACGACGAGCTCAAGGCGCGACTGCTCGAATTAAGGCGCAATCAAGAACGGGTGTCCGACACTCTCGAACGGGCCAAGACAGAGAGGAGTAGACGGCAAGCAAGCTTAGAGGAAAAGACGGAGAAGGTCGTGCGTACCCGGCAGGAGGTTGAAAAGCTGCGTCCTTACGTGATGGAAAGTCCCGGTACGCTTCAGGCCGCTTTGACCGATCTTTCGGAGAATTTGCTGCGTGAGAAGGCCCAAATCGATGCGATGGAGAAGAGAGCGAGAGCGCTACAAACCTCGTCGGACACGTTTACGGTTGTGAGCAATGATGTGCAGGCCTGCATCAAACTTCTCGAAGACATATCCGTGGAGCTACAAAAGGAAGAGGAGGAGGAATCGCGAGCATCCCGGAACAAGGAAGCGATTTCGGACCGAGGAAACAATGTGAGAGAGGTGGAGCAAACAGAGAAGCTACTTCAGCGACAGCTTGCGCGATGGAATGAAAGGATCGACACGCTCCGGAAGAATGCTCAAGAAAAGGCAGATGTGGCGCAAGCCCGTATGGAAGAGCTACGAAATGTCCAGAAGCAGCTTCGTGAAGAGCGGGCAGAAAAGCAGCGGGATATGGAGAGAAGGAGAATCAAGATCGAGCAGATCGAGAAGAAGGTACGCTGATCCTCGCTCCTTCCAGCTGATTATACGTGACTAACCTCTATCTAGATGGCCGATCTCAAGGAGAACATCGAGAGTGAAATCCAGAGCGCCCACGATGAATATCTGAAGCTGGAATCGCACATAAAGCTTTACATCACCGACATGGAGAAATGTCTATGAGTCATGGAATTTTGTTGATACATGCAGTTCAGGAGTTTACGGTTGGCTCTGGGATACCCCGGTGATTGAGGCTCATATGACAGAGTTCTTTTGTTATTTTATTTTCATAGTCATAAGAAATATTTACACCTCCGGGTTATTTGTAGTCGAGATTCTCGGATCGCTGAATACAAACCACCGCTGTGCTATTCGCTTCACAGGAACGCTCTGCCCGCCCCATGTACTTTCGTCCCTCCCTGTTCGTACTGAACTGTTGAGCAACGGCACATGAGCATTCCACAATGCCTCGCCGCTATCTTCAGGACGTGCAACATCTTGGCATTCGCAGATTACAAGGTCCACTGCCTCGCGCGAAGAAGTCTCGACCGCGGCGGCAAGCGTTCTGGACAGTCCCTGCGCAGCAAATTCAGAGGTTGAAAGATGTAGAGCCAACGGGTCAAGAATCGCCATTAACGGCCGGCACAGCTGTTGGTCCTCAGGAGCATTTGTCTCTTGCTCAGCAGCGTTGTTGAATTGCAGTACAGATAGGTAAGCTCGAAGATGCTCCAGGGTCGGACAAAAGGCCACTTGGGTTCGCGATGACTTGGAGAGCAGGCCAAGAGTTTTGGTCACCAATTGACGGCTATTGGCGGACTCATTTGACTGCGTGTATACAGTGGCAAGCAGTCGTCGGAGAAACTCATCTCTTTTCGAGCAGATTATCAGGAGAATGGTGCTCGCATTATTGTCGAGAATGTACTGTAGAAAACTCGACACATGGTTCTCCAGATATATTTGCGGGACCCTGACAGCACCCATGACCGCAGATAATTTGCAGCGAATCACAAATCCATGAACAGTAAATTAAGACAGATGGCCATGTTTGCTTAACATCCATCAACCCATTGAGGTCCGGACCAATATAAACCGGGTGGGCGGTGGATGTTGAGGGAGAGAGTCGACTGCGGGGAGGCTCGTCAGGCACTCGGCCATATCGCGTCACCTGCCCGCCATCCGCCAAGCTCCCTTCTTCCTGACTTCAGGAAATCTTGCCCCCCTTCCTCAGCTCGAATTCGTGCGCGTGCCCCTCCAAGGGCCTTCGGGGTAAAATGGAGACCATATCTCGGATTTCCTCGATGCTGGAAACAGGTAAAGTGACCATGGACCACCCTCGATCGGGCCCTTTCTGTGATCGTGTTCGGCCGGCTGACGATGTGTGAACAGCTCGAGAACTCACCCTCGAAGCGGCGCAGTCGGCAGCCAACAGTCGAGGGCCGGGTATAGGACAGTCGTCCCGAAATCTAAGTGCATCTCACATCAAGAAACTCCTCGATAGTCGCAGTGACAGGGAGGTTTTGGATGGTATGCGGAGGGTCATCACGGTAAGAACCCGCTAGCCCGGTCGACTGGGATAATTGCGCGTTCTAACAAATCCCTCAATTTCTGCTCTAGTTGATGTACCGCTCCGAGCCTTCCGTTCCCTTCTTTTCCGCCGTCGTTAAAAACGTGGCAAATGCAAGCTTTGAGGTCAAGAAGCTGGTCTACATCTATCTGGTTCACCATGCCGAGACGGAGCCCGACCTTGCGCTGTTGTCCATCAACACAATTCAGAAGTCGCTCACGGACCAAAACCCTCAGGTTCGCGCAATGGCACTTCGTACAATGTCTGGAATCCGCGTGCCTGTCATCAGCCAAATCGTTTCCCTTGCGATCAAAAGAGGTTGTGGTGACATGAGTCCGCATGTGCGCAAAGCGGCGGCCTTGGCTATTCCCAAATGCTACCGTCTGGACCCAAGCACCCTGCCGCAGCTGATTGGTTATGTCTCTACTCTACTGGGTGACAGCCAATACTTCGTGGCTGGCCCTGCTGTCGCTGCGTTCCTGGAAGTGTGCCCAGATAGAATCGACCTCGTTCACCCGCACTACCGCAGCCTGGTCAAAAAACTAGTGGACATGGACGAATGGAGCCAAATAGCGACTTTGCGTCTTCTGACATTCTATGCCCGCAGGTGTTTTCCTCAGAAGACCCAGAAGGGCAAAAAGGCAGTGTCAAAAGGGTTCTATGATGATGAGAACACCACCGAAGGCGAAGAATATGAGATTCCGTACATAGACCCGGACCTGGAGCTTTTATTCCGAGCATGCAAGTTACTCTTGCACAATCGCAACTCTGCGGTTGTCGTGAGTGTCGTGAGTTGCTTCCTCTATCTCGCTCCCCTGGATTACCTCTCCGCCACTGTTGGGCCACTGGTTGCCCTGCTTCGAAGCCCTCAGGATATCCAGCATATCGCATTGTACAACATTGTCGCCGTTGCTTTGCGCCAGCCGAAACCTTTCACAAGATATATTGCGCACTTTTTGGTTCGCGCCACTGATCCACTCCACATCTGGCGCCTGAAACTAGAGATACTCACAATTCTCTTCCCACACTGCGGATTACACCTCAAGGGAGTCATAGTTAGCGAGCTGCAGCACTTTTCCCAGGGCCCGGACCCGGCCCTTGTGCGTGAGAGCCTTCGCGCTATTGGGCGCTGTGCCCAAAGCGACCCTAGCACGGCGGAGCATTGTTTGAAAATCCTCCTTACTCAGATTACGAGCCTCGATGACAATCTGGTATCTGAATCGTTGACCGTGATTAGACATCTAATCCAGCAAGACCCAGCTTCACACGAGCAAACCGTCATTCAGCTGGTCAAGCATCTCGGCCTGACTAACAACCCGGACGCAAGAGCGACAATTGTGTGGCTGGTGGGAGAATTCGCCGGGGCTGAACCGGAGAAAAACATTGCACCGGATGTGCTACGAATTTTGGTGAAAGACTTTGCCAACGAAGAGGAAGCCGTGAAGCAGCAGCTCGTTCTCTTAGGTGCCAAAGTGTATCTGCACCACCTTCTACGCAACCCTCCCAAAGAGGAACCTCAGCCAGAACCCAAGGCTCAGCCACAGCCTCAACCGGAGTATCCCAACGAATGGAATGATAAGCCAGACGAAGGGGAGGGTGAACAGAACCAAGAGATTCAAGGATTTGAAGGAAGCAGCCCCGAGCAACAGCCCGAGCCGGAAGATCAAATCACTCTCCTTTGGCGATACATTCTTCTGCTTGCCAGATACGACACTTCCTACGACCTGCGGGACCGGGCGCGGCTATACAAAGCACTCCTCGGCTCGCCATCCTCGACCCAACTAGCTAATCTGCTCCTTCTTGCTCCGAAGCCGGTCCCTCACGTCCCGAGTCCCTCTGAAACCCGCAAAGATCTACTGATCGGCTCCTCTACACTGGTCATCGGGCCGGATGCCGGCATCCATGGTCTGAAGGGCTATGAGAACATCCCAGATTGGGTACAGGCGGGACAAGAACCTGACGCCAGCCTCCGCGCGGTGGACGTGAGACCGGATACGGCGGAACGAGCGTCTATGACTGCAGGCGAACGCCTCGATAAGGCCCTCAAAGAGCATCAAAGCAATGCTGCAAAGTCAAGCAGGGGGCCGAACGGCCGCGTACAGGCTGGCGCATCAGCACCCTCTAAGAACAAGACTCTTGATCAGTGGTTAGAGGATGAAGAAAGCGAAACAGAAACTGAGGAAGAAACCGAAGAGGAAACAGATTCGGAGGAAGAGGTTACGGACTCTGAAGAAGAGACCGAGGAAGAAACGGACGAAGAGGAGACCGACTCGGACGATGGGGAGGAGGGCCGACAACTCCTGACCCAGCGAGGTGATACCCGGATTCAGGGCTCCTCGAGGGACGTTGCTTAAAGTCCACACGCGTATAATCGATATTAGAGCACAAAAGCCCGATAGAAATTGATCTGTCTTGAAACCCAAGCTGGCAGTAGTACTTCTAGATGAAATGGCGGTCTGGCGCGGCAGAACAGGACCTCCGCGGCCCAAAGAAGAGATACTCAGCGGTCTCAATCCTGGGATGGCATTCTTCGTTTTTAATCTTCTTCTTCCCATGGATCGACAGCGAACATTTGCCCATCAATAGCGTCTGACCATTGAGGAATTCCCTGTCTTCACTGACCAGTGTTCACCGTATCATCTACTAGCCGTCTAGTAGTTTGGCCTCGTGCTGCACGGGTTCCGCCCGCGTTGCCCACTCTGCTTTCTCCGTCGTGGTTTTGTCGGTCATGATGCGAATTACTGCAGGAACTCCTCAGACAGACATATCCCTTTTCGAGCCGACCCGCATAAATCTCGCCTTCTATCATCCCCTGCGTGTTTATTGATTGATTCCTGAAGGGGCGTGCACACATTGTCAGCGACACCCGCGCCCTATTTTTCTCCAGCCTTACCCGTGTACAATTATACTCGAATTTCTGGCGGTGTTCTGTACTAGATCGGATTCCTTTTTTCATAATGCCTGGGCTACCAGGTAGGTTTTGCTCCCCGGAACTCCTGCGTCGGAGTCGGTCGTGTCATCCGTGGACAAGGGGGCTGACGCTACCGCAGCTAGTATCGACCTGGACGAGTGTATCGAGCGGCTCTATAGGAAAGAGCTGCTGGCAGACTCGGTGATTGAGGCAATATGTGCCAAAGCGAAGGAATTGTTAATGAAGGAGAGTAATGTGGTTCACATTGCCGCGCCGGTCACGGTGGTCGGAGACATCCACGGGCAGTTCTTCGATATGATCGAAATCTTTAAGATCGGGGGGTTCTGCCCGAACACGAATTACTTGTTTCTAGGTACGTTTGGGCGTGTTTGACTCCGGCATATCACGCCGAATGGGTTATGCTAACGGTTCCCATCGCGCAGGCGACTACGTCGATCGCGGCCTCTTCAGCGTCGAAACCATCTCCCTCCTCGTCTGCCTCAAGCTGCGATACCCGCACCGCGTGCACCTCATCCGCGGAAACCACGAGTCCCGCGGCGTCACGCAGTCCTACGGCTTCTACACCGAATGTGCCCGCAAGTACGGCAACGCCAACGTCTGGCACTACTTCACCGACATGTTCGACTTCCTGACGCTCAGCGTCGTCATCAACGACCAGATCTTCTGCGTCCACGGCGGCCTCTCCCCCTCCATCCACTCCATCGACCAGATCAAAATCATCGACCGCTTCCGCGAAATCCCGCACGAAGGCCCCATGGCCGATCTCGTCTGGTCCGACCCGGACACCGAACGAGACGAGTTCTCCCTCTCCCCGCGCGGCGCCGGATACACCTTCGGCGCCCAGGTCGTGCGCAAGTTCCTCGAGGTCAACAGCATGTCGCATATCCTGCGCGCCCATCAGCTTTGTCAGGAGGGGTACCAGGTCCTGTACGATGATCGACTGAGTACCGTCTGGAGTGCGCCCAATTACTGCTACCGGTGTGGTAACCTCGCCAGTGTCTTGGAAGTGAGCGATACCGGTGAGCGATACTTTAATATCTTCGACGCCGCGCCGGAGAACGATATCCATCGTGGAGAGCAGCAGCAGGCCCAGCAGAACAAGGACGGTCAAGGCCCTGTGATCGATTACTTTTTGTGATACCCTTTTTTTTCTTTCTTATATTTTATTTCTTGCATCCTTGTGCTTTTTTTCTTTTCTTCGACTTTTTATTTCACCATTTAGGCTTGCGCACGTTTGGAGTTTGGCAAATGTAAAGAAAGCATTTATAGATGGCATTGAGATGGGATGTTAAAGAGGGGACAGACATCGATCTCACTGATGACAGGGGACCCTTTATACCAAGCATGAACGAGACCCGATGCCTCCCATATAGTCTTATGCATGAACTACAGACATTTGAGATGACGATGACGACGACGATGAGAACATCAAGTGATTTGGATTGATTTGATTAGAAAGGATTCCATGTCAAGATTTCAATAATCTGTGAGAAGGGGCTGTATGTAAAGTGTAGAAGAAAAAAAAAAGGATTCAAATATGTAATTGCAAGGAATCAAGTCCAACGCTTGGAAATTTTGAAACACAAAACGAATATGCTGTTCATAAATATATTCATAGTTTCGTACGCAGCACCGAGACCATTATCAGCTCTTTCGTGTCCTCTACCAGTCCTTGGCGATGTCAAAGGCCCATTCGAACTGCAGGTGGTTGGTGCTGTCGTCGTCCAGGAACTTGGAGACCGCGTTGTAATGGCCACGTGCCATCATTCCCGACGGCGCCTCTTCGGCATGGACTGTTACTTCGTTAGTCACAAGCCCTAAAGCGATAGACCATCACTGGGGAGGGGGGCTTACATTTCTTCTCATATACCGGCTTGTCGGTGGTGCTGGGAGCATAACTTCCCTGTAGGTGAATTTTGGGTTAGCAGATCTTCTCCCCCGAATACACTCGTGGCGCGACATACCAGCATCTCCTCGTCCTTGCTGACCCGGATTCCCTTCCGCTTCACGACCTGCAAGTACTTCAGACCGCTCAGGACTTCGTGGTGCACCTGGAACACGACTTTGATGCGGAATGTGGCGCCCTCCTTGATGGTGAACGGTTGGTTCTTGAGGTTTTCGAGCGCGCCGGGCGCAGACAGCTCAATCACCACGTCCGGCCGTCCCTCGACTTCCAGAGCCAGACTCTTGATGATGCATTTCCGGGGGTCCTGAGGATCACCGATAGGCGTGCCAGTGGCCAGACCCAGCGAGGCCTTCCATCGGTTCAGGGCTTCGTCGTCCTTGTCTAGAGGGTAAAGAGAGATTGATCAGTGATTGTTTGGGTATGTCGATGTCAAGCCTAATGGTTCGGCCCGCGTGGCTTCTGCGGGGAGCAGGTAAGGGGGGCAGAAGGAGGGGGAGGAAGCAATCAACAAGCAACCCCACAGGATTGGTTCCCCCAGGCTTCGGTGCAGATTGGAATGCCCTTGGACGGGTACAATACATGACACATGGAAGTGCATGAACACGAAGACCGGGAGAGGAGAGCAGGATCCACATTCTCACATACCAAGGTTCTGATATTCCTCAATGGTCTTCTTCTCGCCCACCTTGAAACCCTCGGTGGTGGAGGCAACGAGATCATCATCGTGTTCGGTCATTGTGGTGGTTGACGGTTCGGAGGGGTGAAGAGAAATGGGGGGAGGGAGGATTAATTTTTAGGCGTTTGGCGGGGTACTTGATCTGCCCTTTTTCCAACGGTTATTTTAGTTATCCGTGCCTTACTTCCCGGGGATGGCGATGCTAGTAGGAATCGATCGCCAAGATCGAGGGGTGATAACGGGGAGACGGAGCGAGGGAGAGGGGATCGCAATGCAAGATGCAGGAGGGCTAGTCCACTTACCAGGGGCTAGTCGAATTGACCAAGGATTGCTAATAGGAGGAGAGAAGGAGAAAGAGAGGGAAGAGAAGGAGGAAGAAGAATAACAGGTCGATACCTAAGAATAATGGCCAACACCACCTACTAAGAGGGGTGGGTTGTTTTGGGCCCGTCCGGCGTCGCTCATTCGTCCGCTCGGGGCCCGGTGGGGAGGCTCTGGGACAGGCGGTGAGGCCGGTCGGCTTAGACTGGGTGGAATATTATTATTGTATACTGCTGCAGAGCAGTAATGATCTGTGGCATGTTATGGGGGCCATTCGGACAGGGAGAGGGAGAGCGAAAGAGGGCGATGGGGAGGGAGTCAAGATGGAGGGGAGCCTGGCCATGTGCCACGGATAGCCTCAGGCTGCCTCAATACGGAAGGAGCCCTCCTCTCCACCTAAATCTAACATGGGTGACAATTGAATCTAGTACCTACCAGGTAGGTAGGCATATTCAGACCGAATAAAGACCGAGCATGACGGTGAGAGGGATTGGGAGCACCCTGAGTAAGGTCTTCATGAATATACTGTTTGTTTGATGTGGTTGTTGTGGTATATGATAGAGTTTTGCACTGTGTCTCTCTCTCTTTTTATATTTTTATTTTATTTATTTTTTTTCAATAAGTATATATTCTTTGTGCTTTATACTTGATGGATGAAAGTTGAAGTATAATAGTAATCATTTATATACTGACCCGTCAGTGTACACAATCATACTGCGACATATGTACTCGACAACGCCCGCATGCTGATGCAGTGACGGACATACCGATACGTACGAAGAGTCTTCCAAACCTACTCCGTATCTACAAAAGACTCTGTCAATATGAACAGTCGACTGCTCCGTTTGCCAATGGATGTATCAACCCGGCCTGCGATGCTCCCATTCTTCGACGTATTTCCCGTCACGGGGCCAACCGGATTACCCGCCAGATCCCCAAGGCGCCAGGGCATCAATACCGTTCCGTACGGCAACTGGCTGCATCAGATACCGGGGGATGGGCCCCGCGACGCTGATACTTACCGAATCGGGAAACCACACTGGAGGTCTCCGAGTCCTGAGTGGTGGACTGCGACCGTGTCGGGACTAGCGTGATACAGCAGCGCGAACGATACGGTCACGGGCCCGTACGGGCAATCGCCCACCCCATTTTCCGATCCATTTATTATTTTCCTCCCCTGCGACTTACTGTACTTTCCTTATCAGAGAACTCGGATTGACCTCGACTCGGTTTTGGATTATCATCTGGTCGCGGGTCTGTCGTCCGTGTGTCATAGGGATTATCCCGACTCAATTGTCATACCATCGTTCACCCCTCCCTTCCCTCTTTTGTGGTGGTGACGTCCTTTTCTTCCCTTAAACCCTCTGCAAAGCCGCAAAAGACGCGCCTGCAACGTGGCCGACGTTTTGGCGTCGCATCCTATCTCAACATCCCCCTCGGAGAAGATTTTTCTCATCGTCATCCCCAATATCCATCCCCTATAATTCCGCCCCATTAGTTGAACCCGCCTGTTCAATCACCATGGTGCGATCGCTCCCCAAGAAAAACAACCCGCTCATCCTGGCCACCGAGGCTCCTGCCTGTAAGTTTACATCTTCCCCGTGGCGCAAGGACGGCGAGGCCAAAGCTGCGCAGTGCACCGCCGATCTTGAAGCTTGATGGTCGCGCCAGACTAACGCGTTGCCTCTCTTGCGATCACAGACGAGGAGCTTCTCGTGCGTCGCCGCTTGGGCAAAACAAACCTTGCCGTGAAGCCTACCCAGATTGGCACGTCGAACGCGACGAAGCCCGAGAACCTGGGACCATTTGAATATGCTCACCTGCGCGCTCCCTTGCCCAAGGATCTCAAGGGCTCCGAAATCTTCCCATCGCACACGCCCCAGCAGCATCCGGAAACGTACTTCCTGATGGTAAGTCGCTTTTATTCTAGTGCTCCACTCTTTTCATCGATACACCGCGCGACATAGCGACTAACCTAAACGTCTTTCAACGTCAATAGCGCCGGAGCAAGGATGGTTTTGTCAGTGCTACCGGAATGTTCAAGATTGCCTTCCCCTGGGCGCGTCTGGATGAAGAACGAACCGAGCGAGAATATTTGAAGTCCCGAGATGAGACTAGCGAAGATGAGATTGCCGGAAATGTTTGGATCTCACCCATCCTCGGTAAGCGCACACTCGTTTCGACTGATATCGATGAGATTCTGATTGTTCCCTCCAGCCCTTGAGCTTGCCAGAGAGTATCAGATGTATGACTGGGTTCGCGCCCTGCTGGACCCCACGGACATCGTGCAAAGCCCATCGAGCGCAAAGAAACAGATTACGCCGCCTCCTCGGTTTGACCTGCCGCCTATTGACGCACCACCTCAGCTCTCGGCCCCCGCATTGCGCAGAAGTCGCCGTTCTGCTTCCCCGAGCAAGAAGCTCGGTTCCCCACGCAAGTCTAGACAAACGAAGGCCATGAAGGAAGCCTCCGCAGCTGCCACCATTGAAGCAAACGCAAGCCTGCAGTCGTCTTTGGATGCCACGGCGGACCCAGAGCCGCTAAATGGTATCATCCAGCCTAGCGTCGAGGTCGACGAGGAGAAACTGGTTCTCAGCCCGGCGAAGTCAGCGAAGCAGGCAAAATCGGCGGTGACGCCCAAGAAGCCTATTGCTACACCAAAGGTGAAGAAGTCTTCTAAATCCCGACGTTTCGAAGAGCCTGTGGAAGATTCCGTGGAAGAGTCCGTAGAGGACCAGGTCAAGATCGAGGTGAAGGCTGACGCCGACACTGATGCCGATGCCCGTGATGACGACAAGGAAGTTCAAACCACCCAGACGACCGTTTCGGTCGAGATGCCTATCACTCTCCCCGAGGCTCCATCGGCAGAGGATACCGAAAAGATGATCGCCCAAGCAAAGGAGATGGTCCAGGAGGCTGTCAAGCAAACTACAGAGCAGGAGCCCGCGGAATCGTCGGCTGCCGCTGCTAAGAAGCGCAAGACTGATGTCCTAAGTGAGGATGAAGAGGACGAAGAAACCAAGGCGGCTTCTTCCCAACGCGTAAAGAGGGCTAGAGTCCTCGAAGAGAAACTGAAGCGCGAGCGTGTGAGGAATCGTGCCCTTGTGGGCGTCTCGGCTGCGTTTGCACTTGCGTGAGTATATTCCTTGCCTAACATGTACATCTTTCAGACTGCTAATTTGTTTTCAGGGTCTCTATTCCTTACTTTTTCTAATAACTGATCCTCTGAATTGAAGATATTCTTCAAGTTGATTACCCATCACTCACCCCCAAGAACCTAGTCCTCTCCCTCCTTGCGCCCCTCTATACCAAGTCCAGTGGACGTTGAATACCTTTTTCTTTTTTTTATCTGGAATGTGTACACCGTATCTACCTACCCTACCGATTATTTATTTCTATTCTCCCCTATGTCCTAACCTTTTTTTGGCCAATCTCCTGTTCCCCGAATGCATGTTGTCGAAAGGATGCTATCCCTATGCCGATTCTTGATGTACCGTATTGACATTTCTACACCTTTTCATTTTCTTTTCATTTTAATTTTGCTCCTTGGTTGTTGGGAGAGAAGCACAGTCTACGAGGAGGAATGAGTGGCATCATCGATGATTGTGGTTGGAGGTCCTGGAGATCGTGAAAGAAAACCTCGATTTTCATTCCGTTCCTTTGATGTGCAGCCCCCCTTTTTCTTTTCATCCTGGATACCTGATATATGTCTTTCATAATTGTGAGTCAGTTCATTTTCTCGAATATTATTCCACCCCATCGTTAGGGTGCTTTCGACGACGGCGTTGATCGGGGCTTGCAGTCTGGATTGGTTCCCTGAGGGGTTTTGGGAAGGAGAATCGGCCGGGGATAGATAGAAAATGCACATGGTAGTTTAATCATTCTTGTCCAGAGCCATAGAAGTACGTAGGAACGCGGCGTATTGAATGAATGTCGAGGCTGTTGAGTAGTAGTTTGAACAACCGCGGATTTCCTTTGTCCGACGAGATGCAAACACACCAAACACCGTCATCTCGAAGCTCCCCTCGAACGCAATCCTTCTTTGAACTTTTGCTTCGGCATTCCCTCTAATCTCTTCCCCAGCAATGCAATGTCTCTCCCGGGATTAGATCTTACGCAGCCGTCGGTGGAAAGGGAGTTTGCCCCTGCCCCGCCGACACAGATCAGCCTGTCCAAGGGCTCGGAATGGCGCTTTGAAGTCGCATTCGGCACGATCGTCCGAGTCAAGGTAAGTTCCTCTGCGACACGACCCATTCTCCTCTTTCTCTACCCAGTGAGACTCGAACCGGACGACTGACTTATCCTCGAATCTCGAATTGGAGGGTGGATTGTAGCTCCTCGCTGGCAATGCAGAACTTTTTGGCACCGAACTAGCCACCTCGCAGACCTATACCTTCTCCGGAACCAAAGCCGCGATTTACACATGGCACGGCTGCACGCTCGAAGTCAGCGCGGGCGATACCATCTCGTCTCTTGACGGACTGCCCACGGCCGGGGTGAATGGCTCCGCTGCGCCCGGGCACGGCGCCGGCGGCTGTCAGAGCGAGTACACCGCGGAGGAGACGCCGATGGTGGAATATGCCAACGTGCACTTTGCGCTGGAGACGCTGCGCCAGGAGGCCAAGGCAGAGGGCAGAGACGGACCGCGCGTCCTCATCCTGGGACCCGAGGATGCGGGCAAGACCAGTCTGGCGAAGATCTTGACGGCTTATTCCACCAAGGTCGGTCGGCAGCCTATCGTGGTCAATCTGGATCCGACGGAGGGCATGCTGAGTGTCCCCGGTACGTTGACGGCGACTGCGTTCCGCACGATGATTGATGTCGAGGAGGGCTGGGGCAGTAGTCCCATGTCTGGACCGAGCGCTGTGCCGGTGAAATTGCCGCTGGTTTACTTCTATCCGATGCAGAACCCGTTGGAGGACGATGGGTCAATCTACAAGCCTATTGTGTCGCGATTGGCGCTCTCCGTCACCGCGAGGATGGCAGAGGACGAGGATGCTCGTGAGACGGGGATTATTGTGGACACGCCCGGCCTTTTCAGTCAGAGTAAGGCTGGCAGTGTCGAGATGATCAACCACATTGTGACGGAGTTTGCAAGTATGTGTGATTTGTTTGGCCCGAAAGTAAATGCGGTTGCTGATCTATTTCTACTATTTCTGCAGTCACTACTATTCTCGTCATCGGCTCGGAACGTCTGTATAGCATCATGATGAGGAACTACGACAATAAGCCCAGTGCTAGCGCCTCGGCTGCCGCGTCGGACGAGCGCATTTCCGTCGTGAAGTTATCGAAATCCGGCGGGTGCGTTGACCGCGACGCCGCGTTCATGAAGGGAGTACGCGAATCTCAGATCCGAACTTATTTCTTCGGCAATCCCATTCCCTCGACTGCATCGGCTGCTCTTTCGGTGTCGGCGTCGTCGACCACCAACGTCACACTTTCTCCCCACGCCCAGCAACTGGACTACGACTCTCTCGGAATCTACAACTACACTCTCGCATCTCTCGAAGAAGACGAGGACGAGTATGATCCGGCCCAGTTCGGCGCCAACGATTCGTTTCTCCCCGGCGGAAGCAACGACGCCGAGACCACCGCGGTGCCCCGGTCGCCGGATGGAAACGCTGCGCCGTTGCTCGGGGTGATTTCATCCACCGAGACGGCGCCGCAGCCGCCCGCCGCTACGACGATGGTTCCTTTGAAGAAGACCCTGCCTCCAGCACCGAGCACCCTCGCCAATTCCCTCCTCGCCATCACGCATGTCCCGCCGACGGCCAATCCGGCCGATATTCGGGATAGCAGTATCATGGGATTCTTGTACGTGGCCGATGTGGACAGCGAAAAGGGCAAGATCCGAGTTTTGGCCCCAGTCGGAGGGCGAGTACCTCCGCGGGCGATTGTCTGGGGGAAAGGATGGCCTGGAGAGGTGGTCGGATTGGTTGGATAGTGGGATCTTCTTGTCCCTTTCTTTTTCTTTGTTTCTTCTTTTCCCCCACGTATAGAGATGATTTGAGAGTGGGTCCTGGAGTTAGGGGGATGCATATGTTTTACTATTATTTGAGGCAATAATCAGGAATGCTGAATCAGACCACGCGATGGATTTAGTGTGCCGGAATCCACATCACGAATGCGACCTGTCGAACGAGGTTCAGTCGTCGTGTCTTGGCAGTTGGCAAGGCTGTCGGGCTAAATGAGCATCGCCACTTGGGCGCGGGACGAGGGGATAATAAAACCGGGAAATCCCCGTGTTGATGCTGGAAGACAGCTTGACAACTACTCGTATACATTGGAAGATCGATAATTCAACAGAGACCCCAAATCACCTGACTCCGCTTGTTCTTCTCCTCATTTCCCCGTCTTTCTCCTTCTCCTCTTCCCTTCGCCAGTCTACTCCGTCCGGGGTAGAGATATTCGTGCCAATGCCAATTGCTTGGCTCCGCAACTTCTTCTCCCGGTTTTCGGACCTTCGTCGCCAACGGAAACGTCCTCGATCGCACAGCCAGCGAGTGCGAGACCGCGAGCGAGAACTGCGGCGGCGACGGGAGGGTCCGACCAAGTTCAATAATCGCGGCGGGAATATCGTTGTCGTGTGGAGTTGAATCCTTTTATTGCATTCAGTTATTCTCAGTTTTTCGTGAGCATCTGGGGTTGTTTGGACCAGTCTTAGTCATTGCATTCAACTGGGGTTGGACCGCTGAAGGGATGGTGGGTACGCTCGCTCTTTATTTATCTCTAACTCTATCGCCGATCTTGGAGAACTCCGTGTTATCTTAACTTCAACTGACCTCATCCACCTCTATCTAGCTACTGTGATTCTCAATCCACAACCACCAGACAGAGGACCATGACACATCCTTGCCTCGCATTACCACCGTCAACCTAATCAATCAATCACCAAACAACAACCAAAACCAAACCCCCAGAAAAACCAATGCAATGCTTCTCCGTCTCCCCCGCCGCAAACTCCGCCGTCTCCTGATCATGCTCCTCCCTTTCCTCCTGACCCTCCTTCTCCTCACCCCCTTCTACATCATCTACAAGCCCCCTAACCTCCTCATCCGCTACTTCCAACACCGCTGGCCCGACGTCCTCTTCCACCTCCCCCCACCTCCCAACCACCATGCCTCATCCACCGAAGGCCGCCAAAAACTCATCGCCCTCACCATCGACGACGCCCCCTCCCCCCACACCCTCGAGATCCTCGACCTCCTCTCCCACCACGACGCCCACGCCACCTTCTTCCTCATCGGCTCGCAGATCCCCTCCCGCGAAGAGTCCCTGCACGAGCTCCTCCGCGCCGGCCACGAGCTCGCCAACCACGCCATGCGCGACGAGCCCTCCCGCGCCCTCTCCCCCTCCGACCTGGAGGCCCAGATCCTCTCCGTCCAGGACTCCATTCGCGCCGCGTACTCGGTTGTCGGGCTGCGCGAGCCCGCGGGGAAATACTTCCGACCCGGGTCTGGCTTCTTTAGCGCCGCGATGAGAGACGTGGTCCGGAAGTTGGGGTTCCGCATTGTCCTGGGGAGTGTGTATCCGCATGATGCGCAGATCCCGTGGTGGTGGGTGAATGCGAGACATGTGTTGAGTATGGTCCGCGAGGGGAGTATTATTGTTTGTCATGATCGGAGGGAGTGGACGGTGCCGATGCTGGGGGTTGTGTTGCCGGAGTTGAAGAGGAGGGGGTATAGAGTTGTGACTGTGAGTGAGTTGTTGAATGGGGTTGAGGGGGGAGAGGAATCATAGGGTTATACTACAGGGCTGTGGCTCGGTAATTTGATCTCTCTATATATACTATTATCTGTGGAAGACGGACGGCTGATATCGGCCAATGGTCTGTTCTATCTTGTTTTGATTCGTTTCTGGTGTTACGGCATGGCCATTGGTCTTGGTTTCTTGGTCAAATCATTTCTTGTACATACATATTTACTATCTAGCGACTGCTCTATATCCAATATCCAAATGGTGATACACCGGTACATTTTGCGTTGCGGGAAGCACAAGAAAGCAGAACCAGACATGCAAAGAAAAAGAGAGAAGAGAAGAGAAGATCGGAGAGATAGGAGAAGTAGGAAAGTAGAAAGGAAAATGCAAGAATGCAAAACGAAAAGGAAAAGGAAAGGAAAAGAAACGAGAAGGGAATCGGAAAGAGAAAGAAATAAAGAAAAGAAAAAAAGCCAAAAAAGAAAAAAACAAAAAAAAGGACAGAAAAAGCCGCCGAAATAAGTCGCCAGCGACTTATCTCTCCCAAACAAGTGATCATGATGCATCCTGTTCTCCTGCCATGTTCATAACTTGTATGTCATCTCGCCATATGTTCAAGTTCAAGTTCAAGTTCAAGTTCAAAGTCCAGCCAGCCAGACATCCATTCTACTCCCAGGCTTTCCATTCTTCGAGATTCTTCCTCAGCTCCGTCTCACATTCATATCCACGCGCTTCATCATCCAATAGTTCTTCTTGTCGTTCCCGGAATCGTTGTTCCGCGTCAAATCGCCGCAACGCAGCCAGCTTCAGATACATCAGGTCGTCGCGCTGCACCGCGTCCCGGAACTTGGTGCGCATGCGCGGCGAGTACAGTTGGCAGCTTGCTTCGCGGCATCGGGAGGGCCCCTCACCCGGGGGCAGGCGCATGAGGGTTGAGAATTTGCGCGCAATCGGGTGGTTGGCTTTGACGAGGGGCCAGACAACATCGTCGTAGCAGTCCTCGCACACGGTCAGCTCGGGGAGCTGCGGGATGTAGTGCCAGGTGTTGAGGACCAGGCGGTCGCGACGGCAGTCGCGGAGCACGACCTTGCGGCGGGCGTAGGCCATGAAGTCGCCGAGGTCGGGCTGGGAGGTCCATTCCATTTCGGACCGGTTGGCGGCAATGTCGAGGTAGTCGATGTATCGGACGAAGCGGGGGCTGTCGGTCACGAAGTCGCAGACGCGGGCTTGCAGGGCCGTGCTTCGTTTGAAGGTGTTCCGGTGGGGAGGCATCAAGGTTCGTAGGTTCTTGACACACGCGGAACAGACGTTGAATTTGGGGAGGAATAGACCTGTGTCCGGGTCGACGACGCGGTACCAGTGCTGTTCACTGACGATGCGGCCAGGACATGGCTTGCTGCCTGATGATCGGGTCCGCGTGATCTGTTGGAGGAGGTCAAGGTGGTCCAGTTGTTTCTTGACGGTTTGCATCCAGGCCAGCCGGGTCCACGGCTCGCTCATCGAGCAGCGGATCATGTCGCCACGGGACCGAGGGGTTCCTAGAATGAAGGCGTCCCGGAATTTGGACTTGCGCATCTGCTTCATGCATGAAGGGCAAATATTCAGATGAGTCATCCCTCGGATCGTGAACCAGTCTTGATAACCGGCCACCGGAACGGATCGAGGGCAGGGCAGCAGGCAGGATCCATCCTTGCTGGGAGAGGGTGGGCGAACGGAACCTTGGGGAGAGTTGCTGCGAGATGATTGTAGTTGCTGGACAATGTCCGGTTCAGCTTTCCGGTGGCACGAAGGCGGCTTAAGTGCATCTTCAAAGAAGGATACTGTGCGCCTGGTGGTCATACGGCTGGATGGCACCTGATCTGTAGAGTGAGATCGCTGCTCCGGGCCAACAGCCAATGGCGGGCGTCGTGGTCGGGATAAACCTGCTGGCGTCACAGTAGCAAACGAGGCTGAGAAGGGATCCTGCTCGGCACTTCGTGGGCGATCAGGCTTCGGCGACGCCGTCTTAGGCCGCGACGGGGGCCTCTGCACAGGAAGCTCAATTTTGCGCTCGAAAGGCTTCGGAGGTTTGGCGGCCGACAAAGGAACGGATGGCTTTTGCACATCGCTGTGTGCCGTGCCCTTGGAGTCACGTTGTTCCTGTCGCTGCCGCAGCTTTTCCTCCAATCTCTCGGCCAGGGTGGGCGTGTTGGGAACGTCCGCAACAGTCTTCAGATTCGTTGAGGCCCGTAGGGGTTCTGGACGATCGCGCCTGGTCTTGGTTTTGGACTTGGCTGCATTCGAGTCAGACAAGTAACCCGAGGAAGAGCCGGGCCGCTGTGTATCTGTTGCTGAGCGTCTCAAGGGCCGTGCGGATTTAACACTCTCTGATCGTCGAGGAACGGACGATGAGGCGGGTTCCGACTGCTGTCCATTATGGGTGTGGACCCGGGACAGACCCTTCCGGAGTGCTGGAGGAGATTCCTTGGGCCCTGCCGGGATGGCTTCCTTCCGGGTTCGAGTGCTCCTGGAACTGGGATCGCGTTGGCGAGAAGAAGACCTCGATCCTGCGCTGGTGGTGCTTTGGGGGATATGTCCTGGGTGCGACGTGGTTCTCTGGGGTGAAGGGCCTGGAGGAAGGGCCTTCTGAGATGTTGGTGGCAGGGAAAAGGGGGACGGACCAAAAGGGAAGTTATTCAAGTCGAGTTTGCTGGCGAGGTGCTGAGGAATTGAAAACTGAGGGAAATCCGTGGGCGGCGTTGGCGGCCCGGCGCTGTCATCCGAAGAAGAACTGGGTTCCCGGGAGAATTCCTCCACAACCAAGGTCTCTTCTGAGTAACAAAACACGTCCATGATCACGGGATACTGATCAACGGTTCCTCTGGCACACACTCCTTCGACTCCGGGGTTTTCTCCAAGGTTCGACAGTCCTTGCCATTCACGGGAAAGGGATGCAACTTCGTCTTCTACAGACGGCAAAGGGGGCCACTGGGGCTTCTGGCGCCAAAAGGGCATGACTGGATCACACAAGGTATTCTCAACAGAGAAGTGAAAAAAGAGGCAAATGGATTGTTGGCAAGTCCAATGGGTCAAAGGGGAACGAGATGTGGTTCCTCTATCTTTTTGCGACAACAGCTATCCTGTTGCAATGGCACGGCAAATTAGAGTCACTCTCCTGGCTGCTGTTGGCATGTTATACCCGTCGTGTCAAACTCACTCGGGAGTTTCCAAGGAAGAAAGTCAATGGCAAAGCAAAAACCAGCTGCAGAGACAGTGAATCCAATTGGCTGAGCGGGTTAGATAGAGTACAAGCAGTGGTCAAGAATCAGGCAAGAGACAAGAATAGAAAAGTGGAAAGGCCGCCAGGGTCTTTCGGAAAGCTATTAGATATTAATTATGCACCAAAAGGATTAAGACAAAAAAAGACTTTTTCTGTTATACAACTAGGGATAGAGGAGCTAGGACGAGGGAGGTGGGGAGGCGTATATAAATCCCAATGAAAACCTGGTCGGGCAGCGCCTCCAATCGTGGAGGCCCTATCAGGGCATGGGGCCTGAAAGGTTGGGCGTTAAGAGGCGACGAATCAGGCCATGCAAGATGAAACACGGCGACCATGGCCATGCGCTGAACATGAAAACGAATGGCTCTCCGAAGGCCATGTCAACAGGCACAGAAAATCGAAACGTGATGATCCTGGCCAGAAGGTATCGCTGCCTGCAACCGGTGACGTTGTCGGTTAGTAGTCATCGGCGGAATCCACAATTGCTCTCAGTCCCATCAAAAAGGGAATTCTGGCCTGTGATCATCGACCGAAAAATAATACTGCGAGAGAGGGGGCGCAAACAATTGTGGAGAGACGATGCAGAAAAGGCAACGGCCGTGTGGAGGATTGGATCGAGACAGTTGTCCGCGGCAAGGTTATAGGCAAAGAAGTCGCGGCCAGACGAGGCTGTGTGGAGTCAGGGAGCGCCTCGACTTTTCCTTAACGCCATCGTCGACATCTTGCAGTGGTTGGGCTCCCTTGACTACAGGACTTTGCCCAGAACGATGCATGTCGATCTGGTCCTTAGTGGGATGTGCTGTAAGTAGGTTCCTTTAAAGGGAACCTCGAGATGAAGCTATCGACGACTGTGGGTCACTGGACCCGCTAGTCCCAATGGGGAAGCGTAGCCCTATGCCGGTTGCGATGAGAAGGCTTGGACTGCAGCACTCCTGCCAATCAAGCCATATTGCTGTATTTTGATCATAAATCCTGGGTGTCTGTGTGCCGATTGCCGGCTGCTGCCATCGAGCCAACTCGATCGGTGGTCAGATGTTGAATTCTACATAGGCCTTCGCCCAATAGACCAGTTTCTTGTAAGTAATCGCATCGTACTACACCGGAACATGGATGGGATGAAAGGACTCTTAGGAAATGAAAACCAAGTCATATAATAGAAGATTTTCAAATTAATAATAGTATCTGACGATCTTTATCTGTGTCTATGAACATGGGTAATTATGGCTAAAATCAGCTTACGATCATATTGGTAGGGTCATGTGAATTGACAATGACTTTCATTTCACTTCCCACAATCCATATTTTGAGTACATAAAACCCTATACACTTAAAATTCCAACCGTTTAAAAGATTTGAAGAATTTATACGATCAAGCATGCAAGTACCCTGCCGCAAGAAATTGGTTGGTTCGGACTGCTTGCTCTCGGGCTGATTTCACAATAACCATCCATAAAAGTCATAAAGCAGCAAATCTTCTCAATAATCAACACTTAATGACAGTTAATTGTCCCTTACATTCGGCGACTATTTCGGAACTAAACAATGCATGGAACTGGTCAGATTTACGATTAGTTAAATAAGCTTCATCATGACTCTAAAAACAATTGCTATCATTTGTTTTACCTGCATATTGAGTCTGGCCGCTATAGCCGCCCATACCCGTCAGTGCAGAACAATCTTGGCATTCAATACATCAGAGGCCATCCCATATGTCTGGTATGAACAGTGACTGAATAGCGACCTAGCCACGATGGTAGCAAATTGCCGTCAATAGCAACATGCCCAGTGTCACCGCTGTCGACATCAGGCCCTTACAACACCAACACCATTCTACCCAGCTCATGGTGAAAGACGATTCGGGGCAGTCACTGTTCGCAGAGAGCGAGACCCTACCGACCCCATGGACGAGCATCACCGGCCAAGATGTCATGCAAATTCACCAGAGCACCTTCGATATGGGTGACTCGGCTGGCATCGCACAGGTCGAAAAATGATGAGTGATATCATAGCAGATGCGTGGCAGTGAACTGGCACCTCTGTGGCTTGGGGCTTTACCTTCCATCGGAAATTCGATAATATTACCCCAGGACCAAATCCATTCCGTGATTGGACTAAGAACGCACGAAAAAGACAGAACCCTGCAGAAAGAAGGGGCTATGGCGGGTTTGAAGAAGAGCATAATATGATTGGCTGCCGAAGCGATCTCGTGCTTGTGTACCGCAAAATATGTACATCAGAGTAGGTACTCTGATACCAGAAGACTCGCATATTGTTTTGCTACCAAGCTAGCACCAGATTTGAGGCGAACAGTTGTTTGACTGCATCAGAATAGCTTAGCGAACACAGCCGCCTAGCGTGGTGCTTGGCCGGGCTGGAATGATATCATATGTACTGAGCATCGGATATCATTCGAATCAGGTACCTACGCTTCCGTGCCCATGGCATCCTGGTTAGTTGGTTAGCAGGGGTTGCCCGAGAGGCAACGAACGAGTATGACGACGTTGTTGTTGCAGGAGGGGCAGCAGCAGATGATGGCAATGAGTTGGCTGATATGAGATGGACATAGGAGCTGAAAGACGGAATAGGGATCAGCTGTGAAACACCAGCAGAAACCCCTCCAGATGACAATAAAGATGACAGGGGAAGAAGGGTGAGTGAGTTGGATCGAATCGAGCGAGACCAAATGGCCTGTCATGCGCGTGCATTACGAGCGTTTATGCCAGGAATGACTCAGCTGTGCGTGTCTGTCGGCAATGCCTCCGACAGTCCGATACTCCGATTCGGAATCGGATCTCCGCCGACGATGGCGTCATTTCCGATGGACTTGGATGGATCGGAATTGAAGGTACGGAGTAAAAAAGCGATATGAGTTAGCGTAGAAAATGATTAATAAACGAAATAGTGATGCGGAATATATCCGCCATCCATTGATAATGAGAAATGCCAATTTGTACTGTCGATGTGGTGATTCTTGTCCAGATGGGAATGCGGGGAGAGACTGTAGATGAGATCAACGCGAGATAACATGGACTTACTAATGTTGAACCCCCTCATATCCAGGGAATATCCTTCATCCACATCTCCATCGGCAGCACTTCCTGGACGATAACTACCCGCCATCCCCTCCGCATGTCTCGCAATCGCATTTTAACTTCGCCATCCCACTTGACCTCCCTCCTCCGTCCATCAACCATCGCAACGCCTTCTCCCAGCGCTGCTCGTCTATCGGCAATTAGTGGACATCTTCGCCCATCCCCGCTAACTCAACCAGCTCAAGCTCGCAAAATGTCCACCCCATCGACCATGAAAGCCGTCATTGCGGAGAAAATCGGCGGCCCCGAGGTCCTCGAGTTCAAAACGGACCATCCAGTCCCCACCCCCAAGGAAGGCCAATTGCTCGTGAAGAACAACATCTCCGGCGTGAACTACATCGACACCTACTTCCGCACGGGCCTATACCAGTCCCCCAAGCCCGAGATCCTCGGTCGCGAAGGCGCCGGCACCGTCGCTGCCGTCGGACTCGGTCCTAACCCCTTCAACTTCAAAGTCGGCGATCGAGTCGCCTGGCTCACGACGGGCGGCTATGCGGAGTACACGGCGGTCCCTGCGGACCGGACGGTGCGCATCCCCAACGGCGTCAGCGATGAGGATGCCATTGCTTCGTTTCTGAGTGGTATGACCGTGCTCTCGTTCAGTAGGGAGACGTATAACGTGCAGAAGGGCGACTGGGTGCTCTTGCATGCGGCGGCCGGTGGCGCTGGCTTCCTCATGACGCAGCTCCTCAAGGCTGTCGGCGCGAAGGTCATTGGGACCGCGGGCGGTCCGGAGAAGGTAGCCTTGGTGAAGAGCTTGGGTGCGGATGTTGTCATCGACTACCGGAGCGAGGAGGGCAAGGACTGGGTGAAGATTGTTAAGGAGGTGACTGGGGGGCAAGGTGTCGACGTTGTGTATGATTCCGTTGGAAAGGATACCTGGGAGGGAAGTTTGGAGGCCGTCAAAAGGAAGGGCACAATTGTTTGGTTTGGAAATGCCAGTGGCCCGGTGCCTCCTATTGCTTTGCCGTAAGTTTGACGTGCTGTCTCGGTGGCTATGGTGGGATTCAAATGGCTAATGGAACCTAGGAAACTCTCTCCCAAGTGTGTCAAGATCGCCCGGCCAACTCTGTTCGGGTACATCGAGACTCGCGAGGAACTGGAATACTACGTGAACGAGCTGTTCAACCTGCTGAAGTCTGGTCAGCTCAAGGTCAAGATCCACAAGGTTTATCCTTTGGAGCAAGTGGCTCAGGCCCATCGCGATCTTGAAGGTCGCAAGACAACGGGAAAGCTTTTGTTAAAACATGAGTAACGGGCATGCAGTATATAATTCAATCTGAATTTAGAGCACATGTGAAAAGACAAGTTCGATTTGACCTTAAAGGTTCTCGCAACTTGGTACTATCAATCTCGTAACTACGTACAGTAGGGCCGTATTTCACTTGGTCGCCCCGCCATTTCCCGCATTCTCATCTTTGTCTTCACCAGCATCGTTATCGTCCTCTTCATCGTCCTCTCCGTTCGTCAGATCCCTTGGTTTCTTCCATCCCAACATGAGATCGTTGCAAAGGACCGTGTAGATAGAACAGTACGCGGTCTGAATATCCTCGAAGAAATGCAAGCCGCAGTTCAGTTCCCACACCGAGGTCATGATTTTCATGCCAGGATAGCAATGCTTAAGCAATTCTTCCTCCAGGAAAAATTCAAACTCGGGCATCTGTATGTTGCCAAGCGCCCATTCCAGACGTTCTTCCTGGCTCAGATCATACGCCGGCTTGCCGGGGTCAAAGTATGCTCTGCCAGTAATTCTTCCGACAGGATGCAGATCGGGGGCATACTCCTGATAAAAGTTCCTGACGTCAGGGTCAATCGGAAACACGGCGGTGACTTCAAAGCCATGAATATCCTCCACGAGCATCGCACGCAGGGCATTGCTGTTTGCAAGATCCCGAAATCGCTGGGCCTGCTCATTGGAACCAGCACCAGCCAGGGCAAATTTAACCACTTTGCGAGCAATGTCTCTGGTCATCCGCACGCCATTATCTTTTGGATTCTGCCACTTATCGTCTTCCACATACATATCGTAGAGGAAGCCCCCAAAGAGGGTGGAGCAAGCGGCGTTGAAGTCCCCAGGCGCCTTGACTGTGAATTGCTGGTTATCCCAGAGTTCTTTAGAGGCGATATCGCATGACCTTCGGGCCGCGTCGATGCTTTCGTTGTGCTCAGGGCAAACATCGTGATAAAGAAGATAAGACAGGAAATTGCGGATCGTGACAGTACCCAGCTTGATCGTCTCTTCAGTTTCGGGATTAAAGAAGTACGGGAAGTAAGAAGTCCTGCAGGGATTGCTTGTTAGTTAATGGACAATGCCGAGATGGCTGAAATAGTCGGCCTTACAAGTAGCCTTTGACCACGGCGTCAAAATCAACAAGCAGGTTCAGCTTCTCATGGTTGATGCTTGTTTGGGCTCTAGCAATCAGGATCTGCTCGTTGTCCATTTCCTTCATATCCTGTTCATCCACGCCGGCAAACATTTTGGGACCAACTTCCACACCACCGTAGGTGAGATACTTCATGAAGATATGGCGTCGGTCACTCTCGATGCGGCGGTTTTTCATGTAGCGCAGCAGGGCATCTTCAATTCGACTGGGTGGTATTAGCAAGTGGTAGCACATATTCAAGTATTGAAAGGGGCATGCAACTTACTAAATGAGCGGTCGCGAGCTTTGACAAGTTGGTTAGATGTTAGTTCTTTATGCAGCCAATGTCAACTTTTACTCACACGTCATAAATACTCTTCTCCTCTTCAAACTGCTCCGGGGTCATAGGAGCGTCGACATAGTATTCCTCGAAACCAGTAGGCTTGTTCTGTAGGATGTTAACCCAAATCAGGGTGGATAATGCAGTTCAGAGGGGAGAACCTACTTTTCCGCGCTTGCTCTTGGGCTTCTTCTTACTTTTCTTCTTCTTCTTTGGTCCCATCAAATCCACATAGGTAGTCATCTGGTCGTCTTCCTTTTCATCATTTGCCCCAGGGTTGTCAGGCTTGGGGGTCAAAGATGCCTCAGACTTGCCATCTGAATCCGGAGAAACTGAGGATGACTGGACAGGCTCCTTGGCATCTTGACTTGGTGCAGGACGGAAGGGAAGGTTGACGGGGTTATCTAGGGCCTCCATAGTTGAGGTTTGAATGCAAAAGCATGATAGGACGAGAGGGGTAGATGAGGGAAGCAGGTGCGGTGCTCGAGCAAGAAGATTGCTTAGTCTTTGGCCCAAGTGAATATAGAGTGCATCGGTGGAAAGTGAAGAGTGACTGTCCCGAGTTGCCTTTCACCGTGGTCACGTTACTGGGGGGATTGGGGAGGACAAGTCGTTGTTGTTGTGGCTCTTGTTGGCTGCACCTTCATTTGATTCCGTTTGCGCCCTGCAGCCACCCATCATATCGACCCCCGCAAGGACATGTCAAAGGAAGACGTGAATAGATGTTCTTAGGACCAAAAGCCAAATGAGAGGAAACTTCTTTTTCATTATTTACATGTGAAGGCTGCACGATGGTCCTTATTTGCCGAACCATCTGGATAAAATCTAAACCCATGTATTGGCAGGATATACTAGCATTGGACATTTCCCTTCTGACACCTGATCTTGACGCAAAGGATGATTCTTCAGGGAGATGAATAGTTCCCCGGTGTTTAATTCGCCTTTGAGAAGCTCTCTCTATCTTCGAGGAGATGATGCATAAAATCTTCTAATTGTCATAGTCAGCTTTCGCCCCGAACGTTTCCCCGCCATTTTTCAGATAGGCAATCTCGTCCTCCGTGGATGTCCTGCCTAACGGCGTGTTGCGATGCGGGTAGCGACCAAAGCGTTCGATCAAAGCAGAGTGCTTCTCTTCTTCATCGGTACATCTTTTAATGTATTCTCGCACCATGTCTGGCTGCTCAGAGAAGACCCGGTAGCAATCTTCGGTCTCGGGGTCCATTGAAGAATCCTTCCCACTTCGGATTAACTCCTCTGCGTCGTTTGAAATCTTGTCATACTGGAGTCTGGCTATTTTATGCGTTTCCAGGTTCTCGGTATGCATCAACGGCAGATAGAACCACACCCGATAGGCCAATTGGTATTTGATCGGCCGCGAGTCCGGAACCCCTTGCTTGATGGCTTGCAAGGCAAGTTCCGATGCCAATGGGTCAAACTGAGTGAAAACCACTGCCGACTGCAGGTCTCGATAGCAATTTCTAGACATCTGATCCAGCAGCAACAGAGTACTGAGCCAGTCAAGAGGAGACTTGAGGTTAAGAGCCGTTCGAAGCTCGGTTGCGGTCACATTGGCTTCCCGAATAGCCTCCAGGGCGGGCAAGAATTGCCGTCTGGGAACAAGTCAGGGTTTGGTCTCCAACGTCTGTTCTCGAGGAGTGAGCTGAACATACGTGCATAGCTTATCGAACTCCGCGTCTCTGCTGAACCAGCGGGCTATGTCGCTTTGTCCCGGCAGGGCCGAGTTTGACCCCAGCTTTTGGCGCTGAAACCAGAAATCCAGCAGGCTCTCTCGGAAAGAGGGGGTCAGAATGCGGGTGAACTGAGAAATTCGGGACATGCTGGTGGTGGCAGCGCAGTGAAGCAATCGTGATGGGTGAGTAAGCCAGGGATGAAATGGAGCCCTCAACCACGCTTTCTCTGCATCCAAATCACATGATGCTGCGGGTCAAATAAGCTTGCAGGCATTTTCAGTCGATCCCTGAAGGGACAACCCAGGACCGATGAAGTGGAAGGGGCGTTCATGATAGCATGAGCTCCCATCAGACTGAACGCTGCAATCTCTTGTTTTCATCGAGACTTTGGCTGGGAATCTGCATCGGGAACCGCGTCAGGCTGGACTGAGATCTTCGTCTCTTCCAGGTGGGCAGCTCCGTCGACTTCCACAATGGTAGCCCATAATAGCCCTGTCAGGAGCTCGATGGGAAGACTTCAGTACAAATTGAGAATCCCGCCGAGTGCAAGTTGAACCAGAGAACTGCAATTGCATCAATGAGCAGATTGTATGGCATGACTAAGCAGTTGTATACGTCGTTGGTTGCGCATATCTTATTGTTCTCGAAGAGATAAAGGGAGATGAATTCACAGTAAATATTCTGAATTGCAAAAGGTCAGCTCAAAGAATGATGGAGCTCATGTTGTAGAGGTACAAGTACTAGTAGTACTATGGCGGTTTCGTGGAACTAGAACGATCGTATAGCATAGAAATATATAGTGTGACTACCGCTGACGAAAATAAGAATTGGAAAGGATGGGATTCGATTGCCTAGAGCAAATGAATGGAAAAGAACATAAAACCCAACCGTAATGATGACAGCATAGTCGGTGGTTGATCAACATGAGACAGCCCTCGGGCGGGTCGTTGAAAGGGATGATGCGATAGAGCTCCATGTTCCACAAGGCTGACGGGCCCGTCAGATTTGTCTCCTTTCCCCGTTGTCTTTGCGCCAGACCCTGGACCCAACCAAACACCCTTGCTTCGTCTCTCCTTGTGTGTTTGCTTCGCTTGCTGCGTATTTGCTTTAGTTCCGTTTGGCATTTTTCGCCTGGTCGGGCTTTGTCCTTTCTCTCTACCGCTCCTTTTTGTCTTTATCGCGGCCTCTACCGGAATGCAGTGCTAGCCTCGGCCGGTCTCACTTGGAAACACTCGATTCTTCATCTGAACCACCGGAATCATGACAACGTCATCTTCTAGATCGGAGAGTGTGAACCCTCCGCAGCTGGACAGCAACAGCTTCGTCGCTTTCGACCATGCCGCCGCCGGACAGTAAGTTTCTTGACCTCGTCCTGGGAATCGATCGTCGCTCTCTGAGTGGTGCCGGATGGCCGCTTTGCGATGCGATGCGATGCGACTTGATGACTTCGTGCTCGATAATTCTTGAGAAGCAACTTGCCACCAGTTCAGATACTGACGCCAGCTCTCCTAGTGACGGTGTCCGCTGTACGCCCTCCGGCTCCTTGATTGCGAAACCCTGTACCCACGAAGAAATCGCTTTCTACGAATCCAGCGCCCTCCATCCCACCTTCAGGGATTTCATGCCCACGTTCATGGGAACCTTGTCATCGGCTGACCAGCAAGACCCGCTTGCCCTCGCCGCCTCTCAGCAAGGTGGCGCTGTCGTCTTGCCCGAGTCGGATTCCACGTCTACTACGAATACTCCCGCGACCACCGACCCATCTGCCACACCCTCGCAAACGGCACCGGATACCACAAAGCAAAAAGAATCTTGGGTGCCATCTGGAGGGAAGAAGCTCGAGACTGGCCTCTCAATCGTGCTGGAAAATGTGGCGTCAGGCTTCACCCGGCCCAATGTCCTGGATGTTAAGCTCGGGGCCCGACTGTGGGCGGACGATGCGCCCCCTGCGAAGCGGGCTAAACTGGATGCGGTGTCGAAGGAGACAACGAGCTCTAGTCTCGGGTTCCGGATCGCCGGAATGAAGGTGTGGACTGGCGTCAATGGGGAAACTGATGCGGGAGGCAAGACGGACCCGTATGACGTGCGCCACGAGGGGTCCGAGGGTGCCAAGGGCGAGGTGATTGAGAAGGATGGCTATAAACGTTACGATAAGTGGTATGGACGGTCTTTCAGCCAAGAGAATGTCAAGGAAGGCTTTGAGGCCTTCCTGGCCGGCGCTAAGGCTGGGTCCATTGACCGAGCCAAGTTCCTGGCCAAGCGGCTGGCCGACGAGCTGAGGCGCGTGCAGCAGGTCATCGAAGCCGAAGAGAGCCGTATGTATTCGTCAAGTGTCTTGATTGTCTACGAAGGAGATCCTACGGCGATGGAAAATGCGCTGGAAGAAGAAAAGAAGGCCATCGAGCGGGGGCCGGAAGAATCTGAGTCTGAGGATGAGGAGTTTGAACTCGAACTCCAAGAAGACGGGTCCTATCAGATAGTCGACCTACCAACTGGCCCAGGAGGCGCCACGCAGCAGGTCAATGCCATCAATATTAGCATTGACCCGGCAACCGCCCACCTGGGTGATCTGGGCGAGGACGAGGACGAGGAAGACCCTCCCAAGGTGCATGACCTGCGTCTGATTGACTTTGCGCATGCCAGCTGGACACCTGGCCAGGGACCAGATGAGAACGTTCTCACGGGCATCCGGAGCTTGGTCAAGGTATTCGACGAGCTGGCAGTCGAATAGCCCCAACTGTACTACTGTCTTACTATCTATCCAACAAGTCGCTGGCGACTGCGGAACATCTGTTTTCATATAGCATGAGCATATCTGTCTTTATTTGCCACTGTTTTCTAGCTGGAGTGTATAATAGATAATCATTTGAAAAACAATCAACCAATAGTATTTGTACACTATTTCTCAATTCTCTCTTATCCATCAACATCAACATCTTCGCCGATGTCGATGACCCGCTTAGTCATCCGATTTTCCGCTCCGACACAATTTGGCAGAACATCATCGCAACAGCGCACCTGTCCGTCGAAGCAGCAGCGCAACCTGTCAAAATGATTCCCACTCTTGCCCGGCTCGGCCGGTCCGTCTGGAAAGGTAAGAATGATATATACCCAATTCAGCTACTCCAAAAACTAACACGCTATCCCTCCAGGCCCGAACATCGTCCCGTACGTCTATCCATCCACTCCAACCCAAGATCCGACCTCGAATACATTCCCCAGAAAACACTCCCATGACATGACACACTCGAATCCAGAAGCATGACAGCAAAAGAAAAATGAAAGAAAAAAACAACACCTCTAACCTCCTCCATCTTCTAGTCTCCCTCTCCCCGCCAAACTCCCCCCTCCCCCGGGCACGCCGCCAATCCGGACCCAGAAGCGCGCCGCCACCATCCTGCCCAACTTCGTGGGGTTGAAGTTCTCAGTCCACAATGGCAAGAATTACCAGGATGTGTTCATCACTGAGGAAATGGTAGGGCGGAAGTTGGGTGAATATGCGCCGTATGTTTGATCCCCTTCCCTTGGACTTCGACGTGGATTCTTTTGGGACTATTCTATTTCTCGGCTTGGTTTTGTTTCTTGGTGTGGAAGAAGTGGAAGCTAATGTGAGGTGTGTGCAGGACTCGCAAGCGTTTCACCTATAAGTTGTCGAAGAACAAATAATTGCGTGCGTTGGGATTGCGAGCTTCGGGATTTGCTGCTGTGCTTGCTGCTGGTGTTTGTCTAGACGGGTTCGTGGGCTTCTCTTGGTTGCTATCCAGAGTGGCTCTGCGTTGCTTTTCATAGACACTCATGCACGCGCAGTGGACGAATCCGGATTCGACGCATGGAAAGAGGTTAGTCAGTCAGTCAGTCAGGATGGGATGGGATGGCTTGGCGAATAAGCTGTCTCGAGGTGTAGAAACTCGGTGGTCTCGACTCGATTTGACTCGACTCGACTTGCTGTGTGTGATTTTCTGTGGCGTTTCGTTATATCATATCATTGTGTATATCTACATCTTTGTCATTGCATGTGTAAAATTAGTCGATTGCGGAGTTTGATGTTCGGGGGTTGAAAATTATCAATCGCTTTGATCTATTCTATTCTATATCTGGATTTTGTGTAGGCTGGTTGGTGTTTGGTTTTTGAGTTACCCGGGTTTCACGCCATTCGATCTAGGTAGGTTGTGACCGCTGCGTGATTGGGCTCTGGAGATTTCAGTGGTAAGGTATAGGTTCTTGGACAGGGGTGAGTCCTACGCTTTACCTACGTTCTTACCTAGGCGGGAAATTTTAAGATGCCAAATCTCCTAGTATAGGAGGTAGAGCTATTCAGGGAAAAAAAGCGAAAGGAAGGAGTAAAGGGCATTAGAATTGACCCCAAGAACTACCTAACTACCGTTGACGCCAGACGCAAATTCCAATAATGTAAAAAGGAAGACCCAATGTAGGATATCGTTTGTCCTCGACCCCGTATTTACGCCTGAATGCAGCCTAATCAAGGCGACAAACACAAAAAGTAATGAATGCTGCCATTCCCCGTTGCGTTGTCACGAGTGGCTCGGCATAAAACCCCCAAAAGACGGGTATATCCATCTCTAGAAATGATTCGAAAAGGGATATCAATCGATTTGATTGGGCTCTGTCGAGCCCAACCTCATGAACAGGGTCATCATAGCATGAAGGGGAGTGTCATCCAAATGATTCCCGTGAATAGTTCCAGAGCCCCGTTCACCCACGCAGGGCCACAGAACAACATGCTGTGGTGTAGTTGTTTCTGAAATCAGATTACCGGTAAAATTCCCCCCTCTTGACGCTCACTCCATATTCAGAAACTGCCATCCCCAGGTCTTCCATGGTGAGCACTGTCCGCCCTTGGCCTGAGCCGCCGGACCCACCGCCTCCAAAACCAGGTCGCTGGATCCCCAGATGTGTACCGGCTTTGCCTTTGGCTTCGCCACTAGAGACGCCCGCCGCAGCCCCCGCAGCACCTGCGCCGGCGGCACCTGCAGGCATGCCAAGTCCCGACGCGGCGTTGAGACTGCCCATGGGGTTACTGGCGGAGGAACTGTTGGAGGCGCGGATACGCGCGTATTGGTAGGAGTCGGCTGCGATGTCGGCGATGAACTTTTGCGTGGCGAGGGCGAGGAGACGGGCGAGGTGAGGAGGGGTTTGGTTGGGACCGTTGCCTGGTGGTGGCAGACCGGCGAGGGTGAGGTAGTGAGCTGTTACGGCGTCGGGAATCTATTTGGAGTTAGTATAAAGTGAGAGAGATAACTAAGACAGATAGAATAAAGGGGATGTAAAGAAACAAAGAGGTAAAAGCGAAACAAAACGGCCTCCTTACGATCGGCGCATATTCATCCATCTTGCCTAGGAACTCGCGCAGGCTAGTCTCTTTCTTAGACGGCGCCGTGGCGGCAAGGGCATCGACCGAGTCTGCGGTCTGAACCGGATTTCCCAGAGGGATGTTCTCATCTGCGTCGGCTGCGTTGGCCATGTCGATATTATTGTCCGCGGTGCTGTCAGCTACTCCGCCGAGTTCGATATCTTGGTCGATGGAGGCATCCAGGGCGGTGGGATCGGTATCGGGTTCTTGTTTGGGCACGACAGTCGCCTCCGAGTTGGTTCCGGATTGCCCTGCAGCTGCCGTAGTCGATGAAGAGGGGGGTTCTTGTGATGCAGACTGCGATGCAACGGGTGGAGGTTGCGACGAGGATGACACAGGAGGTTGTGATGACGATGGATCAGCCATGGTTGGTTGTGACGGGAGAACAAAGCAAGGGAGGGGAGGACCAAGCGACCGAATAAGGCAAAGGACAAAAGCAAAAAATTCGCCAAAGAAAAATGCCGGGTTGGACAATGGGCGCGTTGGCAATCCAGGGTCCTTTGAACTCGGGTTGCAGTTGGACGGAGGTAGTGAAAGATGTACCGCCGCGGTACGTCGCTGGAGGGCGGAGAACCGGTGTCGGCCCGACTTTTCAGGTGTCTCTCCCAGACAACTACGAGTAACCAAGTAGATCCCTATTAATGTATGTTGGACGACACAACCGTTCAACTTGATCGTATATCTCCCTAATAAAATACATGCATGTGCAGGCTAAATCCTTCCGCCGTCCTTGTAACAGATTACCCAACGATATTTTATCTTACAGAAACATTTGGTATTATCGCGCCCAATCTCCAGGTCCTTTGCATGACAAGCGTCAAGTAAAGGGAAAATCTCTTGCTGTCGAGGGGATCAAGCCCTGGACACCCGGAGATAAGAGAGAGAAAAAGGAAAACGCCACAAGCGAAACAGAACATAGATGGCTGCAAAAGCAATTGGAAAGAAAGAAAGAAAACCACCCCAGAGTTATTGTCCGACATGCATACTGGGATCGAGGTGATCCTGATGGTGATGGTGATGGTGCTGGTGTTGTCCAAACTGATCTCCGTGAACCTCTTGACCGAGGGTTTGCATCAAATTCTGCTCGGCCGTCTGGTCAAATGCCGAATGGACATGATGATGGTGGTGATGATGGCTGTTGGGGTCGGGAGCCAGACCGGGCGAGGCAGACATAGCATCGTGTCCGTGACCCATTGCAACCTGCTGGGAATGCGCTCCAGCAAGTGCCATCATTCCTTTAATTCCCTCGACATGCGCCTTATCCTCTTCTCCTTGCTTCTTCTGTCGCTCCCGCGCCTCACGCTTGGCCGCCTGGGCGGGTGCACGAGTCTTGAGCTCACCAGTGACAAACTTCAAGTAGTAAGGAACCTCGATCCCGCTTTTGAGGAAGAAGAGCTTCAGATTGCGGGCCTTGTCCTTGAGCTGTACTTGGTTGCGATCTTTCAACGCTTCACTGATGGTTCCTCCCGGCCCGAACATCGCGAGGATTTGACTCCAATGAGGACCTTTCACCCGATCAAGTCCTGCCATGAGGGCATTTTCTTCTTCGGTGGTCCACGGCCGACGCTGGCTCGGGAGACCGGACTTACGGCTGCTCGGAGACGACTTTGCCGAGGCCGCCATGCGAGCGCGTTCGTAGAGGACCTGCGTTGGCTGAGATTGGGAATAGTGGGGAATCCCGGGCATGTATCCATGATTGGCAGCCGCTGAGCTAGGCCGCCCAGGAACAGACATAGGAGCAGTCTGGTGAGTGAAATGTTGGAAGTTCTGCTGAAGAGGACTTTGCTGGAAGGTGAGCTGTGTGGGCGCTTGCTGGTATCCCGAGGGCGTGGGGCTGGGTTGGTAGTGGTGTTGTTGCTGCTGTTGTTGAGGAACTTGCTGAGGGGGGAGCTGGTTCGTTGGCTGCGCGGGCGAATATCCGTGAGGAACCGGCGTGCCCTGGTGTGACCCCTGCTGCGACACTGGCTGCTGAGGTTGCGGGTGTTGAGGCTGCTGGGCCGAGGTTTGCGGCGGCTGCTGGGTATGTTGTTGAGGCTGGGTCTGCGGCGGCTGCTGGGGTTGCGGGTTCTGCTGCTGGTTCTGCTGCTGAGAGCGTCTCAACCCGTGACCCTGCAATGCGATCTGTGCCGCACGAGCCGCACGAGCAACGAGATCACCATGCATATTTCGGTCGACAGGAACATCGGGAGTCTGCGATGCGACCGGGAATTGGCCTTGAAGAGGTGCGCTGGAAGTCTCTGGCGCATCTCCACTAGACGAAGAAGGTTGTCGACCCTTGGTAATCTTCTATAAGACCTTTTAGTAAAAGTCACCAAGTCCGGGGGAGAGCAAAAGAGACACGAACCTGCTGATTGCTGATGGCATCAAAATTCTTGGTGATGTACGAGCTCAGATCTCTGAGGAAATCCTCCCAATGATACTTGTCAGGCAACGCCCTCATCGCCTCCTCGTTGTTGATATCGTTGAGAAGAATGTCACGGCGCGACCCAGCGCGCTTCACGAAGTCAGTTTCACTCGGGGCGGGCTGCCGTGTTCCAGGGCGTCTGTCGAGAAGACGTTGTTCCAGGTCATCGGGAAAGAGCTCGAACAGGATCTCAGTTCTGGATCGCTCTTCGTTATTCATAGAGGCAATGAAGGCCTGCGTTTTGAGCTCTAGGAAGAGAGCACCTTGAACTTTCAGTAAACGCCCGCCTTCCGGGACGAAAACATCAAGGAAATTGTCGTTCAATTCAGAAAAGCCGATTTCCTGAGTGCCGAAGATGCTGGAGACGAACGACGCTAGATTCGCCTTCCGAATGATATCGACTTGCGAAGACTCGGTAAGTTCCAGTTCAATCGCCGATAAAAAAGATTTCTTCGAAGAGTAAACCTTCTTTGTATGATCGAAAAGGGAACGCATGGTTGCATAGGCCTGGCCATTTTCCGAATCCGGCTCCGAAACGAAGGAGGTGATGTCTTGATAAGTCGACTTTGCCAGCAGTGATAGAATCTGAGTGGACTAGAGAATATTGTTAGAAGCAATTCGATGCGCAACGAGGCTATGGAGAAATAGCTTACTAGATTATCCAGGATGGGTAAACTCTGCGTTTTCAGATGCGAGTTTGCCTTCACGAATACCATACCCTTTGGCGTTGACTGGTCGGAAGTGTCGACCAGTTGCTGCTGGCCGAGGACACATTGCTCCTCCACCCGTTCCGCATGGTTCATAATATTCGAGATCACTGTTGCCATGTCTGTGTCAATATCCTGGCTTGTCTCCGGTGCCACAGGGGCTTCTGCAGAGCTGTCGATCTGACCATGTTTGTCATCTTGATGCTCCACCGTGTCAACTACGCCGGGGCCCAGAGCCGACGCCAATTCTTCTTCAATTTGGTTTCCAGGAATCTGGTCGTCCAGTCCAGGTTGTGACGGGGGAAGGACGAGGTCGTCCGGTTGCTCGGACTCTAGGCGCCGTTTCTTGGGGGCGCGAGGAGATACGGAGCCGTCATGTTCGTCGAGAGGGTGCGACAGTTTCGGAGAGACTACCGGCAATCAAGTCAGTAAGCCATGGTTTCAGCGAAGGCTATAACAATGGTCCCAAGAGACTGAAAACAAGAAAAGACAATGGGCCTTGTATGTTTTTCTGGCTGCTGAAAGTCGGGTGGCAGGGGGGGCGGCAGCAAACGGACACAGAATAGCAGGCGTGGAAGACTAACCAGGATCCTCTTTTACGGGAAATGGAGAGGCAGGAAGCTCAGAAGGCTCCTTGAAATCAGTAACAGGAGCTGGGACTCCTGAGTCCGCCATGTTATGGTCGGTCAAGAGGGTATGAGCAGGGCGTTGGCTTCCAAGAGCAGAAATGAGGGCTTAGGGGTAGGGCGCAGGCGTAGGGCTTGCGAGGTTGAGACGGAAGACGGCGTGACAGATTTTTCGCCGGGCGGAGACACCTGGAGATGACCGTTAATACGGCGTCTGGAGTAGCTAGAGGGCCTAGGTAGAAGTGAATGGTTTTAATTCCTCGGCGTGACTGGGTTCATTGTATTCACCTCTCCAATTCAGCGAGAAGAAATCGATTCACGGCAGCATGTCTCTGTAGGTAATCTCGTAGCCAAACATACCACGCGATTACCGCCATTATTACAAGCATTTCATCCTGGGATATTTGCTGACTCAGTCTTGATCACGTGTATATATATCCCAAACAGGCAAGCGCCGTCTCCCCGGGCGGGATTGGATGCCTGAGGACGAAGCGTCAACCGTCCGTCTCGACCGTCAGGATGACCCGAATCCAACTCGGACGGAATACTGATGGCGGGCGCCGGACGTTTCCTCCCTCCTGTGCCCAGCAACCTTGAAGGTTCTGATCCATGGTTTACTATCTCTATACCACTCTTGGATTCATGTCTCTTGTACAATATACTGCTTTGATGGTCGCTTTCAGTCGTTCTCGGTGCAATGCTACCTTCAGGTCTACACGTCATAGACCAACCATCGGATAAAGCAAACTGCAACAGACTGACGTGCTCTAGAGAAATGTTGAATCTTTAGTAAATTTTGAGTCGCTTGCTACCTATGCCATCGTGCATCATTTTTCTGAGTAGCAAAAGTGCTTAAGCCCCCCTGGAAGCTATTCGCAATGAGTTGCTTCGGCATTAGACTTCCAAGACATGGCGTACTGATCCTTAGTAGCTGTCTCAAAGTCAATCAATCTGATGAAAATTATCCATCCAAATCTATGGGGTCCACTGCGTATCAGGCCCATAGCAGTTCCTTGGGGCGTAGCATTGCCCTAGTTCCTGGTACTCGGTGGTCCCAACGCAAAAACCATAGTATTTATGTCGTCACGTCGCAACTCAGCCAAACAGAGGGAGAGTCTAGACGCCAGTGGAATCCTGACTTCGACGTTTTCAGAAGCACACTTCCTGCATGCTCCTTTGGCTATTCCCTCGCGTGTGGCTGCTTTATATCTTAGGCCTGCGAGCTTACCGGCAAGGGAGTTGTTGCTTTTTCCGCAGCAACCTTCGCCGCTCATTGGCAGCACACGATCCAAGAATTTGATTATATGCGTTGAGGAATTTGGTGATCAGGAAAAAGTCATGGCAGCCTCCGGTGTTTATGCCCTAACCTTTGCCGCTGCTGCGTTGGTTCACTCTGCATCAGCTCAAGATCTCAACGAGCAGGTTTGGGGAGTTTTCGCTTTTACTCTCCATGGAGATAGTATACCAGCAGTTTTGCCGCAACCTAAAGCACTGACTCCATATGGCGCCGGTGATTTACATGCAGCAGGATCCGCTTTCCGAAGCCGCTATGTTGCAGTTCAGGGAAACAACGACAGTTCAAGCACAAGAATCGAAAGCCTATCGCCATACGTGCTCGACACCGGTGAGATTGAGGTTTTGTCGACTACCAGTCCATCTGATGTTGCCTCTGCCCAGGCTTTCATGCAAGGACTCTATCCTCCTCTCAACGAGACCTATACCGGCACATATGTTGACTTTTCATTGCAATTGGCCAACGGCTCTACGATCACTGCTCCGTTGAAGGGATATCAATATCCTCGGATTCTGACCTTGAGCTCTGACGACCCACGATCACTGACAGTGGATGGCCAATCCTCTTGCCTCATGCATCAAGTAGCAAATGCCGAATACCGATCCAGCCCAGAGGTTCAGGAGATTGCGCAAACCTCCGAAGCATTTTATAACAACCTCTACAACCAGGCCTTGTCCGGCGTGCTTGACCGGTCATCGGCCAACTATCAAAATGCTTACCACATTTCCGAGTTCCTTGACTATCAGTATGTGCACAATGAGACCTTGTTACATCACTTGAACCGGGACGAGATCGAGCTTGCCCGATCATATGCAGACCAATCTGTTTTCGCAATGAACGGCAATACGTCCTATTCGTCAGCCATCGAGAGCCCTGATATTCGCACCATCGCCGGACGCACTCTGGCTGCGAACATTTTGGATACATTCGATAAAAACGTCCATTACCGTGGTACCGACGGGAAGATGACGCTCGTTTTTGGTGGCCCCGAACCTGTTGTTGCTCTCACGTCTCTGTTGCAGCTGGCATCGACCCAGAATAGCAACTTCTATTCTCGCCCTATGCTTGGAGGCTCGGTGATTCTAGAGCTATATAGCCTAGAAAGTGCGGCCAACCCGACCTATCCTGACCAGTCTCAACTTTATGTGCGATTCCTTATGCGCAACGGCACTGATTCTCCTGAATTTCGGGCATATCCCCTTTTCGGACACAGTCCCAGCAGTCTTGCCATCCCTTATACGGAGTTCCAGGCGGAGCTAGAGAAGTTCGCGTTGGGCTCGACTCGGGAATGGTGTCTTCAATGCGCCTCGGAGGCCGTGTTCTGCTCTGGGGTTCTTGAGAGGGAGCAAAACTCACCATCCACCGACAATGGCAAAGGCCTACGTCCTGCGGTCGCCGGTGTTATTGGCGCCGTTGTTACCCTCGCTGCTTTAGCCATCATTGGCATAATTGGGTTCCTGATTTTCGGTTTCCGAACCAATCGATTTCACAGGTCGGCTCTCAAAGGATTCAAAGGGAGCAGCAAAATGGCAAGCGATCCTGATATTGCTTTCAAATCCCCAACATGGGAGGATGTCAAGCCGACCACCGACCAGGATCCTCAGAACCCAGGAGCTACCGGCACTATTGTGAGAGGGCACGAGCGCTCGGGCAGCTGGGAATTGAAGAATCAAAATGGAGACAATGATGTCAACCATGCCCAAGGCGATGATGCAGTGTCTCCATTTGATGATGACAATGAAGAAGAATGGCGTACACACAGTGTTTTGCAGGCAGTCACGGCTCGTGAGCATGTCTGAGAAGTCCAAAAGCTTACCGGTTTATTTTGGGAGTTGTGCATTATTACTGTTTTACTTAATCAGAGACTTCTTTTTTACGGCATAATTATACTCCATTTACTACTTAACTAATGAAATTTCTTTGTTCAAAATGCGTCTCTTTATTTCTTGCTCTTCAGTACTTCACTGGCCTTCACTGGTGGGCACCTTCCAGATTGGGGCGACGATGCGATTGTCCATGCATTGTCAGCTGTTCACTTGTCTTTTGTCGTCTTTTTTCTTCCCCCTCTTCCTCTTCTCATCTTTCTCCTCCTCTCTGTCTCCCTCTCTCTCTCTACCAGTCTCTCATCTTTCCTGTCCCCCTAATTCTATCATCAGCCCCTTCTGCCTACCAACTCTCGGTTCGCCTAAAGCAGCGTCAAACATGAAGAGATACGACATTCCAACCCTACTGGGGTTGTGTCACAATGGCCGGATCCCTCTCGATCGGTTCAGTGGCCCAGCGGTGGACAGTACGTGTCTCTTCACTTCCCACGCTTGGAGCCGAACTCGGTTTGCTGACTTTTCCCGATTCTGTCCAGACAATCTGGTCCGCTTGCAAGCTAGAAACACAAACCCTCTGTCCGAGCAACCTGTCAATCAGTCAAAAACTGTGTTTGACACCCCGCATCCAGGAGGACCCATTCCGGGATTACAACCCTTGCCTCGTCCTTCTCCCCATACCCCAATCCAATCTTGTCGGCCTATCTTGAGCCAGAGCAATGATGGGTTTCAGCAGTTTGTGAAAGCACATTCCTCTCCAAAGCATCAGCGTGTTACTGCTGGTGGCCGCATTGTGCCGATGGAGCCACAGCTTGCTGTTTCAGAGTCAAGCTTCCCTCAGGCGGGCGAACTCGAGGCTAGAGAACATGAGCCGTTTAGCTCAGAGAACACTCCAACACAGGCCATGCACACTGACCCCTCTACTGGTAACAAATTGGATACACACCATGTGGCCCCTGTGGATTTGCCAGACCTTCGCCAACAGCCCATTCCCAATAATGATCTATGTCAATCCCTCCATACCCTAGGCTTTGACGTGGGATACGGCCCGGGATGCGCTCCAATATTCCCACCAGTGACTCCAGCTCCAGGCATGTTCCTGCAGCCTAACGTACCTGTTGAGTATAGAAGTCAGCAGTATGCTCATAGAGCGGAGTGTCTACCTCAACCTTGTTATCAGCCAGTGCTTTCAGACCCTCACATGTATGGAGTTGGGGTACTCGGGGTGGACACTCCCACTTGGTACCCAAATGTGTATCCGGTGATGAACACACAAAGCCCTGTTGCTCCTTTGCCCCCCGCAATTCAGTCTTACAACTCTGTCGCAGCACTCGCAGGTTTTATACCAGGTCACCATCATCGGACTGCCATGGCGCCTTCGAAATTCGGTCAGTATGCCCAGTATCCAACCCCTCCTGATACATGTTACGCGAAGTCGACATCCCAAGGGATATCAAGTACGCCGAAGGTAGCCCAGCCTGTCACTCTGAATCAACCTCCCGTCCTTTCTGGGCCTTCTATGGCCGAGATGCCAAGCCGCAGGTCTTTCGAAGAAGCCAAAAAGCGGCATGATCTTCTTTCCGGGCAACTGTCTCGTCTGGATAGATATACAGCTTTACACTCCTGGGAGATTGACCCCGAATCCAAGAAGTTATTTGTGCAGCAGCGCATGTCTCTGGTAAAAGAGTTGGACACGATTCGGCTGTACAGGGAGCAGTTGGATGTGATATATGGGGGCTCTCATGCAAGCGCTTTGAGCGACAAAGCACAAACAGTCCCTATTCACCAAACCCAACCCAAATCATGTAGACCGGGGAAATTTACAAGCAAGCACGCTCCTCGGACTCTCCCTTTGTTTTTGTCTGGTTCACATTCTGCTGACCCAGGTTGTACCACCCCGGGTCTTGTCGTGCCCCCGGCTCATCCAATTCATGGATCCTTTGAGCAGCCATTCGTGAAGCAAAGTATGGAGGATGCAAACGGTTTGAGTCACAATGCCGGGGTTAAAACTATACCATCCGGATGCGAATCACTGACGGAGTCGAATCTTCTCTACAACGAGCAAATCCGCCAAGCAGATTTTGCTCCTGTTAAGCGGGCCCTGCATGCACAAACCATTAAAGCAGCGTTCCCCGATGACACCGGACGTGGAACAGTTCTACAGAATGGAACCTCGCAGCTTCAAAAGTTATTCAATAGAATCGAAGCAGCCAACACTCGGTGTGAACCAGTCGATGGTTTGCTCCGAGAACTATCTGTCGTGACTGCTGGACTTATCAACGACAGGAGCAAGCAAGACGATGGGACAGGGCCAAGGATCTTTGGACGACAAGTCCCTCCAACCCATGAAAGTCAAACTGCAGGACATCCATCAATTAATGACTCGAGTTATGTCCCTGAAAAATACCGTGGCATGCAGCACATCAGGAGATTCTGGGAATCCGAGCCCTCTCCGGAAATCTGCAGCAAGAAGCTCAGGGATGTTTCTCCTGAAACGGATGATGAAACCCATAGCAGGCCTCCCTCGTCGCACGTATCCACAACAGATTCATGGACTACAGTCAATAAGGGCGAGTAAGTTTGCCCTAGCATGAACCATATTGTATCAATGGAACATTTGCTAAGGTCTGCAGTAAACGTTACTTCGGTAGGGATTCGCTCGTTGATGAGCACCCTGGAAAACGTTTCGAGTCGATCTGGAAAAGGTAAAGAGAACAACCAACCTCTTGGTCGTCTATCCTTAATCAAATACGGTCCGAACGACTGGCTAACTTTACAGAATAGCCGTCCCGGGGACCGTCTCCATACCGCTGAACCGCGACGAAAGGAAAACACCGAAGTCACTACATGCGGAAGTTTGAATACGAAAAGTGGCGCGAACAGGAAATCAGTTTCGATTATCCAGAAGCCCTCCGCCCAAAAAGATGCGCACACTAAAGGTTTCGTGGCTCCCTTCGATGGGGCTGGCGATGTACCCGACACCGACGGTGCCTCCTCAAGGGACCGTGTCGACCACGACCGGGTGCAGGCTCCGGAGCCATGGTACCAGAAAAAGGAACGTGTCAAGGCTAGCTATGCAGTGGTACGTGAATTTCTCAGGCGCATTGAAAATGAGGAGAAGAACATGGTTTATGAGTACCGAATGGCCGGACCGGCATCTTGGTGGTAGGCCTGAGTCCTTCGGTTGCAGTCCTTCCTTTTGCCTCCTATGGACATCCCCCTATCGCTTTCTTTTCCGTTATTTTCTTTTACTTTCGCCCTATTTCCCTCTTAAATTTGGGTCCTTGTGGAAGGCATGAGTGGACACCGAATTGGAGGTGATGAACCGGGGGGTTGGGTTGGTAAGGATTTGGTACATCGCAGAGCACCATGATGTTTTCTTCTGCTCCTCGGTTGATAGGTTTCTTTTAGCCCCTTTGGCACAACCCCAGGACAATTGGCGGTAGACTTATGCTTCTTTTGAGTGTCATTTAGAAATCCAGCATGTTTTTTCTTTGCTCATCTGGTCCGGAGAGGGTCCCGGGAGTCGGCTTGAAAGCGATTGACAGTTATACATAGCCCCGTCACTTAAGCCGTCAATGGACCTAGGAATATGAAATTACTGCCATCATAAAACCTATCTGAAACGTTTCAGATGAGCGTAGAAGAAGCGGCGAGAGGGGAAACATTTCACATTTGGGCCTTGTGGCTCGATCTCCTGCAAGGGGGTAAGTCGGCACTAATCAAATTGTGCTTACTAGCTGGACTCTCAAACATTTCTGGGTGACTGCATGTTTGTCTCTCTTGTTCCAGCCGGGTTCTGCTGACGCAGGCACTAATTCAACGGTTATATTTTTCCATTCCTCGAATTCCAGGCCCAAGTCGTACATGGGATTTGGAATCCGCCAAGTTGCTGTACCGACGAACTAGACTCGCGGTGGCTGCAGAGTGGCTGCAGCCAGCGGTGAACCTGTCGATTGCCAGAAAACCCGGTTATTGCATCGCTACCGAGATTTCTAGTCGGCTGTGTACTCTGCTCACTGTATACTGTGTAGCTGTTGAAGGAGCGAAACGGCTCACTCTCATAGATCGTCATACGATTCACGAATCATGAGAGAGCACCGAGGGAGCCCCTGGGAAGGATCATGGAAGGCGCTCTACCGTGTTTCGTTACTAGAGATGTATGTTTCCAAGGAAGTGGACACTCAAGGGAGTCCCCGTACAAGTGGATAGGACTCTTGGAAGCGGCATTTTCCTTACTCATTGCCAGCCAATGCCGCTCTGAACCCCCACGATATACAGCCGTGCATGCTAGTAGATCTATCTACATTTTCTTTGGAGAAACCAAGGCCCAGCCTTGTGTTCCACCTTCGAGTCTTAGCGTGCAGGCGGACTGAGCACCACGTCACCCCACAGGCAGGGAGTGAATCTGGATGCATCCGTTGCAGGATGGACGGAGACATTTGTCAGACGGGAGGTGACCGCGGATTACCAAGAAACCGGATCAGGGCCGCAGCCAGAAGAGGCTAAGGCCATCCATGGTCGGGAACGGATTAGAATTCAGGTTCGAGGTTAGGATGGCATATCCGGAGGGCCAGCGAAAGGCGCCGAACATCCATCGAAGAATGCCGACGGGAGGGATGTCACTCTACCTTGCATTGTGAGCCGTTGGACGGGCCACTGGCGTACCCGGTACCAGGCGGTACCTCGCCAGGGCCGGAACGCTTGACTAAGCCTGGAATTCCTCCACGTCTCCACTTTCGCCTCCCCGTCGCTCGCTCCCTCTTCCTTCTCTCCCTCTCTCTCTTCTTCTTCCTCTTGCTTTCGTTTCTCTCTCGGGTCCATCCTGTGTTTCGTCTCTCTGCCTTCGCTTTCCTCGTGTCTCGCGTGTGGAATTTGCCCTGGTCTGCGAATTCCCCCCCCCCCTCTTTCTTTCCTTCGGTCCTTGCGTGCTGGATCGCAGTGGCTCCGACGCCTCATGCCCCCATTCGTCCCCGAGCGGATGTCCCTTTAATTCCAGGCCAGCACCGCCTCCTCGCCTCCCCGCGGCCTTTTGGTCCGCTCTGCTGCTAGCCAGCCCCGTTTTTATCGCTCGCCGGATTCCGCATTCCCGATTCTTGCCTATCTCTTGGGACTCGGTTTTGATTTTGATTTGATTTTCTTTTCCTTCTGAACGCATCGACTTCACGTTCATCCCTTCGCCAAACTCTATTCCCTCTCCCCCGAATCCTGGTGCAATTTCCAGTGATCGACAGGCATGACGCAGCTTTTCGCCTCGAGCCCGTCCAATGTGACAAACGAAAAACGTGGGAATTTTTCCGGTCTCTCCATGGCGTCCAAGAAGCACCCCGGCGAGTCGAGCCATCTTCCGACCAAGATAAAGAATTTCTTTCGCATCAACAGCTCCGGCGGCAATTCGTCCCACCAAAGCCATCACCACAGTGGCGACCGGGATCGCGACAGTTCGTCCGGCACCGCCAAACTCGATACCAAGTCGACTTTCAGACAGTCCCGTTTCCTACCCACCATTGGTCGCAATCGCTCAACCACCGTCGCGAGTGAAGGCAACCCGCTGGATGAGGGAGTCTCGCCTACCGCCACGGCCAACCCGTATTTCGTCCACCAAGGACAACCCTCTCTGCAACATCGCAATGACGGCTCCGTCCCCTCTTCGCCTCCGGACACCCCCGAACTGCAAGTGGACGGCGTCTCCGCCGCCGAGCAGGCCACCACTGCCAACAAGGAGGAATTAGCACGGAAGCTTCGTCGCGTCGCTTCCGCGCCGAACGCGCAGGGTCTGTTTGCGCGGGATGAGGCCGAGCGCCCCCAGACTGCTGAGCTGGGCAAGGAGCCGTTGGTGGAGCAGGCGGGCGCCGTTGACTCGCAAGTCAGCCTTCCCGGGGATAAGGAATTGAATCTTGCCGTGCCCGCACTTGGCGCCGATAGCAAGCTTCCTAGTCCGGGTCAGATCCGCGACGCGGTTGCTTTCCGTAGGACGTATAGCTCCAACTCGATTAAGATCCGCAACGTGGAGGTCGGACCAAGCAGCTTTGACAAGGTCAAACTGATTGGTAAGGGTGATGTCGGCAAGGTCTACCTTGTCCGTGAAAAGAAGTCGACCCGACTGTATGCCATGAAAGGTAAGCCTATCGGTCTTGTTCACGAGAACGGAGCGGGTGTTTTCTTTGGTTCAAGCGGGAATGATCGCTGACAACGTCCAGTTCTGAGCAAGAAGGAGATGATCAAGCGAAACAAAATCAAGCGGGCCTTGGCTGAGCAGGAGATTCTCGCCACGAGTAACCACCCGTTTATTGTTACCCTCTATCACTCTTTCCAGTCTGAAGACTACCTTTATCTGTGCATGGAATACTGCAGTGGTGGTGAATTTTTCAGAGGTACGTTCGACATTAATGTCCAGCGCCTACGCCATCTACTAACATGTAATTTCCAGCTCTGCAAACGCGTCCCGGGAAGTGCATTTCGGAGGACGCTGCACGATTCTACGCTGCGGAAGTCACTGCCGCTCTCGAGTATCTTCATCTGATGGGATTCATTTACCGAGATTTGAAACCAGAGAGTATGTTCATGTCGTTTAGAAACCCTAGTTGAGTGCTGGACTAACAGTGGCCCGTAGACATTCTTCTTCACCAGTCAGGTCACATTATGTTGTCGGACTTTGATCTTTCCAAACAGTCTGGCCCGGGAGGTGCACCCACGATGATCCCAGGACGTAGCGGTAGCTCGACGACGTCTTTGCCTACTATCGACACAAAGTCTTGCATCGCTGATTTCCGAACCAACTCGTTTGTCGGCACGGAGGAATACATCGCTCCCGAGGTCATCAAGGGATGCGGACATACCAGTGCTGTTGACTGGTGGACGCTTGGTATCCTAATCTACGAGATGCTTTACGGAACCACGCCATTCAAGGGCAAGAACCGGAATGGTACCTTTGGCAACATCCTGCGTGATGATGTACAGTTCCCCGAACACGCAGGGGCGCAGCAGATATCGAAGTAAGTTCCCACTCAACATTCCGTGCCATACGTGGCAGGATGGCTGACCATGTAATAGCACCTGCAAATCCTTAATCCGCAAGCTCTTGATTAAAGATGAGACGAAGCGTCTTGGGGCCCGAGCGGGAGCCTCCGATGTCAAGACGCACCCCTTCTTCCGGCAAACGCAATGGGCGCTTATTCGCCACATGAAACCACCCATGATCCCTAACCAGGGACGCGCAACCGACACCCTGAACTTCCGCAACGTCAAGGAAAGTGCCAGTGTCGACATCGGAGGGAACAACCCCACCAAGATGAAGGGTGTTCCCATGGATTCTGGCCTTGCCACACCCAACGGCGAAATCTCCGACCCGTTCGAGGAATTTAACAGCGTTACCCTTCACCATGACGGGGACATGTAAAATCCGCTGATTCATGAATCTGACGACTAAATCTCTTTTTTTCCTTCTTTGCGAGACTGTCCGAGCGTTCTCTGTATCGCATGCAGCTCAGTTACGACGATGATGCGAGAAGATCTTTGTATCCGAAAGCAACAATATCCCTACCGCTATAACCTGGAGTATCGGGAGCTTAGAGTGTTTATTGGGTTTGTTTTTATTTATGCCTCCTGTTTTTCCATCTCTATTCCTGCTCTTGTTTTTTCTTTTTTCTTTTTTCTATACTTTGTTGACTGTCGACGGTGGCTGAGTGTGTCCTCAAACCCCCTTTCACCCATGGGATAATTTTCGGGGTTCGTTTTGTCTTTCATTGCAGCACTATACACGACTTGTGTGCTTGTTTCTCTACTGTCATTATTGCAGAAGACGGCGTTCGCGATTTCGGAACCATTTGCCAGCTGTCTTCTGCTGATCATCCAGCGAAGATGCGCCAAGGCAACACTTTGGGGATATTGTTTGATATCATTTCGTCGTTAGAAGATCGGGACTTTGGACGCCTGGTCTTGTTGACAGGCCCGGTGCTTGTGGACTTGGAACTATAACAATTATTCTTTGCGGTGGCTCTCAGTAATTTACCATTAATTGTAGATAGATCCGATTGTTGAATATATGTAAAACAAACCAATTCATTGATTTTGAACTAAAGACCTGTGGAGTACTGGGTAAGGTACCTAGTTATGGGATTTATCAACAAAACAAGAGCCGTGAACGAACCTCCGACGGAGACGCCGCAACCCAAACAAACCGAACTTCCACCACAACCACCACCACCTCAGATCTCTACCTTCCAAAACAACTCACCTCACCCCATCCCTCCGACGAAAAGATCAATCGCATTACCTCCTTCATCCAACCTACCCAAACCCACCAATCCACCATGTCCACCCCCCTCGACGACGACCCCGCCACCACCACGCCGCGGGACTCCTCCGTGTCTGAAAACCCGCTCCTGCGCGCGTCGAACCCCCTCGTCTCCGATCTCGAGCAAGAAGTTCTCGACGAATACACAAGGCTCCTAGGAAATGTCAATAAGGTGTGTCCTCCCCTCCCCAAACTCCAACCTACCGCTCAAACCCAACCAACCCCCAAACTAACGACCCCGCCACGACGAACACCAGCTCTCCGACAAACTGTCCGACCTCTCAGGGGACCCGTCCTCGCTGACTCTCGACGGGCTGCGCCATCTCGAACGCAAGACCGCGACCGTGTGCACGCTGCTCAAGGCCAGCGTCTACAGCATCGTGCTGCAGCAGCAGATCTTCAATGAGAGTGAGGAGCAGCAACAGCAACAGCAGCAGCAGGAGCAGGGTCAGGGAGGGGCGTATGATGGAGACGGGGATGTTGATATGGGGTATGAGGATCAGTATCAGGGGATGATGTATGAGGGGGATAGTTTTGAGGGGAGGTATACTTGATTTCGTTTTTTTGGGGTTTGGGTAGAGGTGTTATGGGTTCTTTTTCTTTGTGGTTTTTGTTTTAAATGTGATGTATGTGGCTATGCCTATGATACCCGGTTGGAGTTGAGAATACCACGTCTGGCTGGCCCTATTCCTATTCCTATTCAATGATGCATAATATGACAAGGGAACTTTGCAAATACAAATACATATGGGAAAAAGAAAACCAAAATTATATACACAGCTCTAACGCAAAAGACATGATTCGCACATGTCGCTGAACTGTGCCTTCGTAGTCATACAGTCAGTCAGTCGATTCTGTGCGTGAGGATGACCGTCCAATTCAGATTCAGAAATTGACATAGCTCAAGGCCCCGAAATGAAACCCGTTTAGGCATGTCCGGAGTAGTAGACCTTGCGCACGTCCACCAGCTTCTTTCCGCGGGCCCGGGCAATCTGTTCCGGGCTGCGCTGGCTCATCAGAGCGTCGTAGGCGGCCTTCACCGTGTTCATGGGGTTTCGCGAACGACCGACACGCGCGGCGAGATCGGAGATACCGGCGGCGCGGCACATTTCGAAGATCAGATGTTGACAGCGGAGACCAAAGCCTTGATGAAGGTTAGTCAAAGATCCTCGAATATAAACGTGGAAAAGGTTAAAACTTACCGGGAGGTCTGGTCATCAACTGCAGCTCAGTAGCTCCCACCTTGCCCTTCACGTCACCGAAAATGGTTCGGTTCTCGTACCGCGGGATGGGCTGCATGTTGCGAATGGCTCGGTACCGGGATTGGGTCTGGGCATCGGTACCTTCCTGTGACTTGGCCTCACCAATTCCCAAGAGACCGTTGGAGTTACCGGCGATGGCGAGAACATATATACTCCGGATCTTACCCAGACGCGTCTGGTTAACGACCGAGTGTTGGACAAGAATCTTCGTCCTGATCGCGTTGATCTCGTGCACACTATAGCCGGTGGACAGCACAAGGTTTTTCAGAGCATCCGTCATACTGTCGGACTCCTTGTTCTGGGATCCTGGCTTTTCCAACTCGAAGATCCTCGGACGCTCCTCCCGTTCGCCAGACAAGTTCTCTCCGGGCTGGAAGAAATCCGGGACCAGCGCACTGTGGGGGTTCAATTCGTTCTCCTCCTTGCCCTTGGTCACCCGGAGAGTCTCCAAAAACTGCACCCATTCCCCCACGTTGACGTTCTCGGGCATTTCGGCAAAGTAGCGGGCAAAGTCGTCCACGAAATCATTGTCGTTCTTGAAGGTCACGTTGTAGTCGGAGTTGGACTTGGGCGCGCGAACGTGCCTATCCACTCCGGGTTCAATGACGGAGAAATCGTCCAGGTACCGGAGCGCCATGGGGTCCCGACGAACGGCGAACTGGTCGGCCATATCCTTCGGGTCGACGGCGGCTTCACCGGCCTCCACGGCGGCCATCTGCTCGGGGGTGTACTCCTCCGCTAGGGCCTTCTTTTCCTCCTCCGAGTACGGCTTGAAGTCCTGCGGCTTCATTTCCCGCCTGATCTCCTGCAGGGTCTTGCTTTCCGTGGGCGGTTCATTGGGGACTCCGGGTTTCCGATCCGAGAACTGAGTCGGCGAGAGGTGGAATTGGCGACGAGGCACGCGAGAGACCGGAGCGGCAGCGCGAGAAAAGCTGCAGAACAGGCATCTGGCCGGGCGAGCGAAGCTCATGGTGAGGAAAAGAAAAAGCTCTCTGGCCCGCAGAGGCCACTGGAGAGCAGATCCGAAGAGGAAAAGGAAGGAATCGAGAGGGAGTGGGGGGTCGGGGGAAGAAGACGAAGGGGAGGTCGGGAACGGAGACGAGAGAAAACGAAGTTGGTGAAGGTCAAAAGTCGGCCGGGACTTTCATCTGAATTCTCGGCGGCCCGCTCGACCAATCCCCGCCCGTCTTTTTCCTCTCACTCATCACGCCCGTTCCTCTTAGCTTTTTTCTTCTTTTTTCCTGCCCCGGACTCTCTCCCCCCCTCTCTTTCTCCTCCCTCGTCGCCTGTCTCTATATGTTCCGGAAGGCCTTTTCTTTCGTCGCTCGAACCAATTGGTCGCATCTCTCCCAGCTCCGCCGTTTCGCTCACCCCAGTGCTCCCTCGCCTCGACCCTCACATGCGCAATTCTCCGCGACCATAATGCCGAACCCTCCCAAGAGACCCAACCAAGGTGGAAGGCGCAACAAGAAGCCTAGGACGGAGAAGAACACCAAGAGCAATGGCCATGACGAGGTGCTCCAGACCGACATTGACCAGCTCTTGCGCAAGAACAAGCCGGAGACCGAAGTCGCTGCCGACTCTGCAGCAGATACCCCTCAACCTACGCTCCCAGAACCCTTCACCGAGATCGAAGTGACTGTCGCGGAGCTGTCATCTACAGGTGACGGTCTTGCGCTGTCGGAGAATGCCGACCATGTCTACGTCGTGCCTTTCTCCGTGCCGGGCGACAAGGTGCTGGTGAAAGTCGTGCGACACTTCCAGTCCCTGTCCTACAGCCTGACGGACTTCCTCAAGGTCATTGAAGCAGGCCCCACGCGCGACGATTCCCTCATTGGATGCCAATACTTTGGCAAGTGCTCCGGCTGTCAGCTCCAGATGATGTCGTACGAGGACCAGCTGGCCCACAAGAGGCGCATCGTGGAAAAGGCGTACGCCAACTTCTCCGGCCTCATCCCGGAATTGATCCCCGCCATTGGCGAGACTTTCCCATCTCCTCTGCGGTATGGTTATCGCACGAAGCTCACGCCGCATTTCGCAGCTCCTCCCGGAAGCTCCAGGAAACAGAAAGAACCCGCCCAAACTCATACCGAAGTGCCGCCTATCGGCTTCACCTACAAGAACCGGCGCATGGATATGGATATCGAGGACTGCCCGCTGGGCACCGACATCGTTCGCAAGGGTCTCAAGAGCGAGAGGAAGAGGGTCGCGGATAACCTAGGACGCTACACTAAAGGCGCGACGCTTTTGATGCGGGAGTCCACCACGCGCATCCCCAAGGACCAAGCCAACAATACCACCGCCGAACCCAGTACCGAAGAACAGCAAAACGGCAAAGACTCAGGGGACGTGATCCGCGTCGAGCACGACAACTACGTCGAGGAGAAACGCTGCGTGACAGACAACAATGCGACCTCGATCGAATACGTCGACGACTACATGTTCACCAACAAAGCCGGCGCCTTCTTCCAGAACAACAACTCCATCCTCTCCGGCTTCACGGACTACATCCGCCAACAAGCCCTGCCCCCTCACACCCAAGACGCCTCCAAACCCCTCAAATACCTTCTTGACGCCTACTCCGGCTCCGGCCTCTTCACCATCACCCTCTCCACCATCTTCAAATCCAGCCTGGGCGTCGACGTCGCCGGCGACTCCATCACCTCCGCCCGCGAGAACGCCCGCGCCAACAACCTCCCCAACACCGGCTTCGCCGCCGCAGACGCCGCCACCCTCTTCAAAGACGTCCCCTACCCGCCCGACCAGACCCTCCTCGTCATCGACCCCCCGCGCAAGGGCTGCAGCGAAGACTTCCTCCGCCAGTTCCTTGCGTTCGGCCCCCGCCGCGTCGTCTACGTTAGCTGTAACGTGCATACGCAGGCCCGCGACGTCGCGGTCATGGTGCAGGGCGATGAGCAGAAGAAGGTCCGCTATGAGATTGAGAGCATCAGAGGGTTTGATTTCTTCCCTCAGACGGGACATGTGGAGGGCGTGGCTATCTTGAACAAAGTGAATATGTAATATCTTGCATCTCTGGAGTACGGATGTCTATATATATTTATTATCTATCGATTGAATAGGTTGGGATTCCCTTCCATCTGGTGTGAGTTGAGACATCAGGTGAAGAATAAAAAAAAGCGCACGTTGCCAATTTACCCAAAATCTATATATACTAGACAGGGAACCCTGGACAGATCTAAGCGAAAGTTTATTTCTTGATACTCGTGAAGAGAAACCTAAGGAACAAGTATACTATAGACAAGGGCAAAAAATAGTAGCTAGCGAAGATAATAGGTAGACATATTCTTTGACAGGCGGATTGATCTTGCAAGTTTTACGAGCTGCCGGGGCCACCGAGAAGAGCGAATCTCCGGACAATGCTGGGGCCTATTTCGTCGTATTCTGCCTTGGTGTGGCAGTAGCTTCGGAATTCGGGCGTCTGGCCCAGCAAGCTTCCTCCGAACCACGGACCGTGTCTCTGTCTCTTGTGCGTCACGACGGCCACGTCCAATCCACCGCTTCGAGCTCCGCCGCTGCGTGCCTCCGAGGCCCGGATACGCGCGTCCACCAGGTGCCGGATGTCACGCTGTAAGCGTCGGCCAAAGTCCTTGTATAGCGTGGAACCTCCGGACAGAACGATGTTCTTATACAGGCCTCGCCGAACGTCGATGGGGGAGGACTGGATGACGCCGTCGACGACGGTCGGCAGGGGGGTCAGGAAGTCGGAGGAGTAGATTTCGGGGTTGAAGAAGATCTCGGGGGCCAGGAATCGTTCGTATCCAACATCGATTTGCACGCTGCGGCCGTTGGGGGAGGTCACGGTGTGCTTGAGGAGACGGTCCGGCTCGCGGTCGTAGCGGGCGAATTCCTTGACGATGTCAGGGCTGACGTAGCAGTACTCCTCCTTCACTTTCTCGGCCGTCTTCAAGCTGCTATCGGGCTCGCCTCGGTCACGCAGCAGGCTCTGTACGAAATAGGTGATGTCTCGACCGGCAATCGGTATACTCTTGATGGACGATCCGATGACATATCCTTCGGCGACGGGGATAACGTGGGTGACACCGTCACCGGAATCGATGACGGTTCCGGTGAGAGACCGGTCGGTCACCTTGGAGGAAGTCCACGAGGCGGCGAGCGCAAGCACGGCTTGGACGGCGATGTAAAGACCGGCGCAGTTGAAGGACTCGAACATGATCTCCGCAGTGTTCTCACGGTTCTCGGGGGGATTCAGGGGCTAGACAGGAATCACACATGCGTTAGGTCATAAACTGTTCATAGGTACCTTGTCCAAGTGGGTTCGAGACAGCTGCCTTACCGGTTCAGTGAGAAGGAAGTAGTGATCCTCGGGCTCGACGCGCAAGTACTTGAAGATCGAGTTCGACCAGAACCGTTCCATCGCATCCCAGTTCTCAATCTGACCGTGGCGGATGGGATAGTTGATGCCATATCCGGGTCCATTGGCGGCAGCCAGAGCTTCGTCGCCAATGAAGAAATCCAGGTCCTCCGTGCCACGCTTTGAGGACAGGTGTGAGCCTGCTCCACCACCTCCGGCCAAAAACGAGGGCTTGTTTGCGACGGCGGGCCTGGTCGCGCCGCCGGAGCTGCCGGGGCCACCTTTGCTAGCAATTGCCGTGGGGAAGACGAACGAGGGCGAGTCGTTACCGGCGAAACCTGGGGTTGACTTGTCAGCCTAGAGCGATTGGGGCGAGTTGGAGCAAGGCTCGAGGGTGCAGTTCGGCTCACCGAGCTTGGAATAACCAGTTCCGCTGGCAGGGAAGACTCATGTTAGCGAACGGGAGACCATGAAGAGGGGATATCAGGGGGATCAAGGTCGGACGTACTTGTCCATGACAACGGCCGGGGTTTGGGACGCCATGACGAATGGGCTGAAGCGCACACGCACACACTTCCCCTATCTTCGCAGGTGGTAGAAATCGAGGTTTACTAGCTGCAGGGGAAAGAGTAATTGGGCACAACTAGGGTAGACCGGAGATTATTAGTAGGGGCCGGGGAATAAAGGAAAAGGAGAGAACGGAGGAATGGCGGAGGAGGGGAGAGGGCGGGCAGCAGTCGGTATGGCGATGATGGGGAGGTGCTGCACTAGACGTGAGCCCGTGGGACGTACCGTTCCTTACCAGTCCGTACCGGCCCGTACGGCGGCTCTGCTGGGGAACTGGAGGTAAACACCAGGCACCGGGAATACCGTACGGTATGGGCTGTATCGTACGCAGACGCATGACATCGACGCCAAGCCTGTCACGTGCCGTCACCTGCCGGCGCCCAATCGAGTAATCGCAGCGGAAGTAAATCCTCGTCTGGCGGCATTTCCATCTTTCTTTCTTCTTTCTCTTCCTCTTTTTGGTTTCTCTGACAGCCTGTTTGCTATGACTGCCGCTGTGGCCCAAGGCAGCTGCCCTGGCAGCCCACTGGTTTGATCGGATCGCTCTTTGGGAAGGTACAAACTACAGACAGGCCGACAAACACCATTCATCCATTCACTGAGCTCTATCTGCACTTTCTCTCTTCACCTATCCAGTATCAATTATCCTATCCATTCCCCTCCTCCCTAAGTTTCTCTCTTCCTATGCACCTGTGGATTTCAATCTTTGACTCAATGTCGTTTATTGTCATTCTCTTAAAACTTGCAAATACGTATTTGTACATCTGTTAGACTTCCTGTCTTGTTGACACCGGCCTTTCAACGACCAGTTGCTGTGATTTGTTTTCAAGTTATTTTCCACCTCAGTCAGACAAACTGCTGGATCCGCTTGTTGTGTCAATCAGGAGACATTTCATCGGAGGTCATGTTGATCCAGTGGACCATGCCAACCGTCCGATCTCATTGAATGGCAAAACTCGATTCACCTCTGCAATCACTAGTTTTCAACTGTACTCAGGCGGTATCCAATCTTCCCATCTCTCCGTATCCTCTGCAGCTGGTTGCAACACGCGTCGACTCTACGACTCCATCCCCGGTTCCACCCAAACTCACCATGAGTCGTTCGCAGAAGGGCGGCAACACGTCTGCCATTTTTGTCCATGCTGGAGCCGGCTTCCATAGTCTACACAATGAGAAGGCTCATCTAGAAACATGTGAGAAGTAAGTTATTGTCGTCGGCACTTCTATCACTGCCTTTGTCGACAACCTCCCATCACTCATTTCTAACTTCGCACAGTGCATCTAAAGTAGCAATGTCTATCTTGAAAAATGGTGGCTCGGCTGTCGATGCCGTGGAGATTGCAATCATGCTGCTTGAGGACTCCGAAATCACAAATGCTGGATATGGGAGCAATCTGACCATCGACGGCGCCGTCGAGTGTGATGCTACAGTTGTGAATCACCAGGGAAGAAGCGGTGCGGCTGGCGCGGTTGCTAGTGAGTTCTTCCTCTCATTCACTTCTTCCCACCCGCAAGGCTAATCGGATGAAAGATGTTAAAAATCCCATCTCTCTTGCTCGGGTCATTTTGGAAACTTCATCAAAACCATTGTCATTGCAGCGGGTGCCTCCCAATTTCCTTGTTGGCCCCGGCGCTACTGATTTTGCCTATGAGCATCGGCTGGTCGTCCTTCCTGATGATGGCCTGGTATCTCCCGCAGCACGGGAGAGATGGCATCGCTGGCAACAGGATTTGGTCGCCAACGAAGGAATGGAGAAGCAACATCATGGTCACCGTCAGAGCGATCGCTTCAAGTCATGGATCCGTCGGCCGATACATCTTCACCCCGCTCAGCTACTTTCGTCTCATACGAACGCACACCCACCCTCGTCTAGCCCTCCTATGCATGAGACCAACAATGATCCGAACCTCCCACCGAATCACCCAAACAACAGGCCCAGAGGCTTCGGTGTCACACCGCCAGCGGATTTCGGCACGCCCTCTTCTGACTCGTCCCGGACCAGGGATGGCGAGTACATAGATGGTATGTCTTCACAACCCGAGCAAGCCTCTGTCAGCGCGCTGGAAGAAACATTCGCCGGGTCAGCCATGGAAGTGGACTCGACATCGGAAATACCTGGCACACCGGCGAACCATCAGAAAAACGACGAAATCGCGCTCGATCCAACAATGGACCGGATAAATGACACCGTTGGTGCGGTAGCAATTGACTGCCATGGCAACATTGCAGCAGGTTCTTCATCCGGTGGCATAGCGATGAAACATCGGGGTCGAATCGGACCTGCAGCGTTAGTGGGTATAGGCACCGCCGTAATCCCGGTGGACTCCAGTGATCCCGATCAAACTAGTGTTGCCGTTGTAACGTCCGGAACTGGGGAGCATATTGCTACCACCATGGCTGCTAGCACCTGTGCTTCTCGTGTTTACTATAGTCACCGGAAATGCGACGATGGCGACTTTGAAGAAGTGACCGAGGAGCAAGCTGTGAGGGCGATGATAGCATCCGATTTCATGGGTAAGTTCTTTTGAACCTTAAAAGAACGCTGGTGGCTAACTACCTTTCCTATAGAACACCCCGGCGTAAGAGGCAGCCATTGCCAGGGTGCCATTGGCGTGATGGCAGTAAAAAAGACGAATGACGGCACATTCCTCTACTTTGGCCACAACACAGACTCTTTCGTGGGTAGCCTTCTGTTATCCTGCTGACTTGGTACTAAACACCGGTTTGCAGGCCCTTGCATCGATGTGTAGCGAGGACAAAAAGCCGACCTCCGTGATGTCTCGTAGTAATGGGAACGGCAGCATCGCCCAAGGAGGTCGTGCGTATCGTTGGAAAAGGTAGAAACATAACTAAGCTTTCCCTAATGAGGGCTGACAGTACTGATTCCCACGGTTTATAGATACAAGGTGGCCGAATCATCGACGTAAGTGCCTCTTGGAGACCATAAACATGCCGAAATGAGTCTTCAATTGTCCAATTGTCTCCGGTTATATACGTTCGCTAATTCTGATTCCCTAACCAGTAGCTAAATGCTTGCATTTCAGTCCAATCGCAAGATCCAATTGCATCCTCATGACCACTTCGTGGGCAGTCAAGTCCCAACTGTCTACCGCTCTGCCTCTCCCTTTGTTGCGTTTGCCGCCATGATGAGCCTGACCGCGTTGGCATCAACGACCGTGCGTTATTTGCATACCAAATCGCAAGAGATGCTGTCTCCAAATCTGAGTCGCCTCGCTCGCTCAGATGAATTTTATCCTTGATTGACTGGGTTTGCTGAAGAGGTGGGTGGACGAAATGGAATGTCTTGAATGGCTTTGGTAAAGGCTGTTGTCGAGGTAGCGGTCCGATCCACATCGTTGTATGAACCTAGGATACCAAATTACCAATAGACAGAAATAAGTCTCCTTGAGCTGAGATACTCCAGTCGTAGGATCTCGACAGACCAGTTGTCACCAGCACAAATGCCGCGCCTTCTCCGACATGTAGTCGTCTAACATCCAAGGTGACTGAGCGACATCCCCTCCTACAGTTATCATTGTCGTGTACTTCTTCCAGCAGCCAAAGCCTAGCCTCAAGGCCCCGGCGTCGGCGTAGGAGTTGGCGTCGCCGTGCCCGACGGGCCATTCGCCCTCGGCTTCTTCTTCTTCGCCTTCTTCCGCGCAATCAGCGCCGGCTTGGCCCCATAGTCACCCATCTCCAAATGCGTCCCACAGGTCAAACAATTGCCGTTCTCGGGCGGCTCACAGAAGATACTCAGGCAGATGGAGCACACAAACCCGATATCCACGACCCTGCGGTGACAGAAGCACGCCGCCCGGAAGTCCACGTCCACGCGCGTCGGCAGCACCAAGTGTCGTCGGGACCGCTGGTCCGGCAAAAACGCCATCATCAGGTACTGCAGCAGGCCGCGCGGCTCCGTCAGCGCCATGTACGCGCCCCGCGTCGCATCCGACGCCTGCTGCAGGAACACCGCGTCGCCGCGCAGCTTGCACACGTCGATCGGGATGTGGAGGCGCTGGCACGCAAAGATCCCGTTCATAATGGGGATGTACTGGTGCGCGGAGTCCGAGGACCCACTCACAGACACGATCAGGATCCGGGACTGCAGCCCTCCCTCGGACGCCGATGTCCCTCCTGGCCCAGTGCCTGGTCCGGTGCCCGGCGCGCCACTGCCCCCGTCTGCCGTCGAGGTGTCCCCGCCGTGCGCCTCGGACCAGGCAATGCTGCGCCGGTTGATGTGGCTCAGGGCCAGGGTCAGCGCGCCGGCCATCATCGTCGCCGACGTGGACTTGACGTCCGACACGGAGGTCTCGGCCATCAGGGCGTGCAGGTTCCGCGTGACCTGCTCCTCGACGATCCGGAAGGGCCGGTACTTATTCACCTGGCTTTGTGGGACGCCCGTGGTTCCGTTCTTGTCCACGGCGGACGGGTTCTGGTTCTCCTCGCGCGGATACAGCCATGTAGCTTGTTGGCTGTGGGACGCGACGACTGCGACCTCGTTGGCGTAGTTGCATGCTAGGTGGGCGTTTAGGAAGACGAGGACGTTCGCGATGGCTTTTGATAGCGGGAGTTCGTTCTCGAGAAGGGCCCAGGCGTGCGGGTTGGTGTCGAAGATTACGGTGAGGAGGGAGGGGGCGGGGTCTGTGGTTTAACTCATGTTCGTTAGCGAGTTGGTGTAGAGGGGTGAGTGGTGAGGGAGAGGGAGAATTTGTGAGGGTTTAGAGAGGGGAGGGGAGGGAGGGTGACTTGCCGTGGGCACTGGTTTCGTAGTGCTCTGTTGCGTCGACGGAGTTCATTTTTCGGTTCCCCTGGTTGGGTGATCCTGGAGAGGTTCAGGGTATTGGAGGGAGTGCCAAAACTGGATTTGTATCCAAAAACGGAGCGAGGACGAGATAAAGGAAATTTGGAGGCGGATGCGGAGAAGAATATTCAAAGAGCTTGGTTATGTCATTGCATGATTTTGAGGTAGATATGGACGATGATGATAGTGGTTGAAGGTAGGGACTGCTTTTATGATCAATACAGCTTCCAGAGCTGGCCGATTTATTTGATGTGTTCTCCGAAGCTGGAGGTGAGAAAGACAAGTGAAGCTTGGGCGAGCTATACCGATGATCGTCCGGCACGTGATTGCAGCCTGGGCGATGAGGCAGAAACAGTCAACCAGACTGGATGGCAAAGAAGTCTCGGCATGCTTCAATTTACCAAGAAAATAGAGTAGAGAAACTAATCAATTATCTGCATTGTACAGCATGTGCCGGTTGTTAAAACCAGCCTTCTATCGCTAAACTAAACTATCCTGCAGTGGATACGGTATGTTCGCATGCAAATGATCAAAACCATCCATCCAGCAGAACAAACGAACGTGTTGTGCAATGAATCAACAAAAGCCTTCGCTATCACGAGATCCAATGTTGAAGGTCTCAGAATACCTAGCACATTTACAAAATCGATTCCGGTTTGATATGCAGGTGGTTGTCCTGCACGTCGGCCTGGCTCAGAACGGGGATCTTCAGCGACTGGTTCATGGGGTCGGAAGTGGGCTGAGCGAGCGGGCTGGGTTGAGGAGTAACAGCCGGGGATGGGTTATCCTTGTTCTGATGCTCTGTGAGTCCCTTTCGGATGGCGAGAACGGAGTCCACGATGACGGCATCAATGCCTTCGGCAACTTGGAGCTGTTGGACAATTAGCAACATTCCGATTGAGTGGTTGTCTGCAAGCGTACCTTGACGTTGGCAGGTTTGTTGTTGATCGCTCCGTATGACACGCAAACCAGACCGGATTCCTTCACCACGCGCACTAAACGAGGGCAGAGAACCAAGGCCTCCGCCTGGGTGACGACACCGAGAAGGTTCCATCGAGACGCAAACCGGACGGCTTCTTGGAGGCTGCTGGCCCGGATATCACCGGCCGGCGTGGACCCGGAGTCGGTCAGGAACAGAACGGGAATGGAGGGTTGCTTGAAAGATAGCAAAAGACACATGTCGGGGTTGAAACTGGAGAAGATCATGTTGCGACCCTGTCCCAGATCATAAGCCATGCGGAGAACCGTGTCGGCAAACGAGTTCAACTCCACCGCATAGGTGTCCATCTCTTCGTCCTCACTCTCAAAGAGCATAGGGTATTCTGGCGATCCCAGTCAGATCGTCTTGTAACCGTCCTTTCGGGGGGTGGTATAAACTCACTCAGCTCGATGTTAAACCCAACGGATTTGGGTAGCTTCCTAAACAGCTCCTCCAACGTAGCAAACGGCGCTTGAATGTGGTTACCGCGGGTGTTTCCCTTGAAGCCCTTCTTCTTGAAATCACGCGTATGCTTGATCTTCTCGTTCAGTTCCGAAGGATCGAATTCAGATCCGCCGACAGACATGGACCGCTGGCGCGTGTTCGCGTCCTTTCCTGGAACGTCGGCCGATTGTCCTTTGTCGCCCAGCTGGAGGAACTGCTCCAGAGTCAAAGTGTGGACGGGAGCGTCGATGCCCGTTTCGCTGACAAGGAAGTCATGGTAGATCACTGGGACGTGATCCTTCGTCAACTGCACGTCAAACTCCACGTAGGACGCGCCCAGATTAGCCGCTGCGATAAAAGACTGGATCGTATTCTCTCCAAGTTGTAGAGAGTTGCGACTGGCAAAGTTTTTCCCTAGTCCGCGGTGGCCGATCACCATGGTTGAGCTGCTCATACTCTTCCAGTAGGTTTGGTCACCGGTGATGGACATGTTGGGATGCTGGAAAGGGGTGACGATGAGGAAGTTGAAGGTGACGGTGCCAATGATTTCCAAAGTGTTGGCTGCGATGATGGGCACTGTCGAGTCACCCTTCAAGTTGATGCGATGGGATCCAACGGTTGGTTTGATACTAGAAAGCAACGCAACGCCTCGTCCCACAACCTTATCTTTCGAACCAGCGTATGTAGGAATCAGATCGAACATCAGCCTAACCTTGGTTGCGTCCGCGGCATGGAACACCATGGGCTCGGTCGAGATGTTGTCTTGCACGGGAAGATCGATGATCTCCGGTTCTCCGTGGGCTCCAGTAGCCGAGACCACGAGGGACAAAGCTGTATCCAGCTGAGTCGAATGGGCATTTTCCATTGGAATGCGGTCAAGATTGACGGATTCGATGGGTTTCCGGGTATCCATGGTCCCCAGGCTGACCAGGATCATGGCTTCATCGGTGAGATACCGGTGTCCAAAAGACTTAATAGGCTCAGAAACCCGCAAGCTAGAACTCCCGGCGGATGTCTGCGTGTTGGATCTCCGGTCCGCCAGGGAGGAGGGCGGGGGAGAGGAGTTGGATGACGGAGAGACCGAGCGCGTAGGAACGGGGATGACAGGCTCGGCCTCGTTGACTTCGGGCTCCGGCGTAACTTCTGCAAGACGCCGAGCCACGGCAAGGTGACCTCGCAGAGCAGCATGTTCCTTCGCCGTCCAGCCGGAGGAATCGGGCTTCTCCAGATCGGCACCGGCTTCGATCAGCAAGTTCACCACGCTGAGCGCGTCATCGACGCAGGCGATGAACAGCGGAGTCCAGGAATACGTGTGCTCTGCGAGCTCAGTATTGGCCTTCTGCTCATGGTTGCCGTCCAGCAGGATCTTGGCACATTGGTCGTGGCCAAACCGGGCTGCCACATGGAGTGCGGTCTCGCCCTGTTCGTCCTGATAGTTGATATCCACACCGGCATCCACCAAAAGTCGAACGATATCCACGAAGTTCGCCTTGGTAGCCAGAGCAAGCACCGCGCTCGACCGGGACACCCGGTTCCGGATGGTTATCTTCTTCTCCTTCGGTCCTTGCCAATTTTCCGCGTCCAGAAGGGTCCGGGTCGTGAGAGGGTGGCCGCCGACTACACTCAAATGGAGGGGCGCCCATCCGTCGTGGTCTTGCCACGAGGGCCCATCAATACCCCCGCTGACGTCGAACATATCCCAGGCTTGGAGGTGCTCGATGATGACCTCGCATACAACCTTGAAGCCGTACTGGGCGGCGTAATGCAAAGGCGTTCGACCAGAGAGGTCCCTCGCCAACAGGGCGGGTCGCTGAGAGCTTTGAAGCTGGTCGAGCAGATGCTGCAAAAGCGACACGGAGGGGTCCGAGCGCTCGAGATGCTGCGGGAAATCCGCCTCCTTTACTACGGATCGTGGGGGTTGCAGGGTCGGCAGGGCGGCGGGAGTGATGTAGTTTGACGTCTCCAAGGGAAAGTCAAGTACCATCGCAGCGGACTGCTCCGAGTCCGTGGTGGATTGCGCCCGACCAATTGAGATCACCAGTCGGTGAATGCAGTTGCGCTTGTTGATATCGTCGTCCTCGTTCAGGCTGCCCATCCGGCCCAGGAGGGTCGAGATACAGGACTTAGCGCGGTAGTAGATGCATCGCTGCAGGAGATTGCTGAGGATTTTAGTGTAAGTGCCCTCTGCGTTGTCATCCGCAGCAGACTTGAGCGTCTCCAACAGCTCCAGCATCACATGAGTGTCGTCCTTGCGCAGGGCATCGTCGACTGCAAGCAGCAAGCTCGTCGGCAGGTTCAAGTTAGGACGAGCAGGGCCCCTCTTCAGAGACAGAGAGGAGTGGGTGGAGCTGGCGTCGTCGTTGGCCTTTTGGTCACCCAGTGTAGACAGCCAGTCGTTGATCCTTTTCAAAGACTCGGAGACTCGAGCATTAGAGGCAAACGGGGAGGGGTCCACCTTGGTCTCGACGTAGGTCTGCTGTGCATGAGCACCCACCTTTTTGTCAAGCTTCTTGGTGATCTTGATGAAACCGCGGCGGTTGACCTCGCCGTACCACTGCAACTTGCGCAGCTGTCCGCGCAGCTCCAGCAAGGCAGCTAACAGATCTTCCACCTCCTCGGAGTCCAGACGGTGACCGACATCAAGAGATTGGCCATACCGCTCCTCCAGCAGTTTCAAGCGGCGCGCAAAATCCGAATATTTCTTGTTGTAGAAGTAATCCACGTCCTCGAGATTTCGATCGAGGGAGTAAAAGAATCCTGGGGAAGGAAAATCGAGTCAGGAAGACGGCTCTGCGGCCGGACAGACGTAACCAAACAAAAAAACGAAACAAAATCAAAGCAGCTCACCGGCGAGGTCTGCCTCATGACCAGCCTTCACATTTTCCGCCGCCGACTTGATGAGTTTTTTCAATGCCTTGTACTTGATGTAGGAAGCGCTCCACTCGGGAACGACATTCCGGGGTAGATTGCGGCCGAATTTCATCTTGACGGTTCAATTGCTTTTAACTTTATTTAGAGGGCAGAATCAAATCCAACGCGTTCTTTTTGATGTTTGTCTATTGGCTTCCGCTTCCAACGGGAACCTTGTATCGAATTGAATGGAGGTGAGTCGTAACGGTTCTATCCACGGACAACGAATAGTATGTATGACGGGGTCTTTAGGTCCACAGAAGATTAGATCGATGAACGTAGGCGAGTTGGAGGAAGGGAAGAGGAAATAGACAATTGCAGAGTCGAAGACAGCAGCGCCATGTGTTGTTAATTGCAGGAGGGCATGAACAAAGAGTGCTCAATCGTTTGGGTGTTTTTCTTTTGGGATGTAGATTTCAAAGGGACCCCAATGTGGCGCAACAGGCACAAAAAGCAACCAGGCCGATCAATTATGAACACTAGGGAGCTGTGACTGGGGTGTGGCCGGGATGGTGAATGGCAATAGCAATAGTCCGGAGGGATTTAGTTCGGGACTAGACAATGAAGCGCATCAGCACGTGGAAGCCCGAGGATCGGCGGACAAAGACAGAGGAGCAAAATTGCGGTGAGACGACGGATTGAAAGGAAGGGGACTGGTAGGGAAGTCACCGGAGCTGCAGGAGAAAGGAAGATGCAGAAGGAAGCAACGCAGAAAGAAGACAGAAGGTCAGAAGTTTGAGGATCCTTGGAGCGGCAGGAGTGTGGAGTGGGATGCAGGCCAACGGGCTGAGCCAACGAGACGAACGGGCGAGAACATACCTTTCGGTCGGGAAATTCCCGGGTGACTGGTTCGGTGGAATTATTCGTCCCTCGCAGCAATCCGTAACGAGTGCCTCAATAATAAAAGAAGAAAGAATCCAGCGGTGGCGAGTCGCTGCTCGGCGTGGACGGCGGGCGGCCTCTGATTTGCCCGCGAGCTCCAGCGGATTCCGCTTACGGAGCAGAAGTAGCTTTGGAGCGTGTCCTTTCGTCGTCAAGTATAGAGTCTGGATGCACAGCGGACCCCAAAGAAAAAGACCGAAAAATGGGAGGACACGGGAAAATAGAGCCAGATAAGAATCCCTCCCAGACACAGACCGTCTCCCCTCCCGACGGTCACAGTCACAGGCCCGCAGTCTGTTTTCCACTCGGCTTCATCCTCACGACAGGGCGGGATTGGCGAGATCGCCGGGGCCTCCTCCACTCGATAGGTTGGTGGGTCATCCTGCCTGCATCGTTGGCTCGGATCATCAGGTCTTGCTCCGACTCGACTGGTCAGGTCAATCCTTTCCTTTCTCTGCCGTTGAGTCGCGGATTCTAGATTTGTTGGGGGGGTTTAGTTCGGTCGACATGCAGGCGAGACGAGCGAGGTTCCAATCTCGACCGCTTTGGAGAGGCTCTCAGTCTGAGGAGACCGAGTATAGTCGTAGTTCCATGCGACAGACTGCGGTGGCACTCCGTACTACGTCGTATGTAGTGTAGTCCATATATGTCGGTAGTAGGGGGGACCTGGTTGGACCAAGCGGGGGGAATCCAATGGAGGGGGGAGGTATACTTCCTTAGGTACGGGGAGTACGATTGGACTGTTGCAGATACTCTCCGGAGGGGAGAACCGCTCCGTCACCTGACGCTGCGAGGCAAGGCGTGACATGCCCCACGTTGTGATCCTGAGGTTATTACTGTCTTCTGCTCCGTCCTCCGTTCTATACCGAGCATTGTCTACGATGGATGCCACCCCCCGGTCAAGCCACGGCTGCCTTCTCCCCCAACCATCGACGAGCACATCGCCGAGCATCCCGGACAGGCTGGCGAGTGGCGAGGATCATCCTCCCATCCCCGCTTTCTCTGACGTCGATGCCCCCTCACTTGCGTACGGAATTGGCCATTGAAATGGTGCATCTCGTTTATCATTCAATATGTGTGGACTCCTCATCCGACACTAGTAGTCATGTTCTATGCAGATGAGCTGTGCCCCTTGTATCCGTCGCTCGTAATCCGGATCTCGTCATACTTGTATACCCCCAGAAAGAAGAAAGCCAACGTCAAGTGAACCGGATAAAATAAGACCACGCCGTCCTAGAAATAAGAAAAAGCGAAAGGGCGCCGAAAAATTAAAACGAAAATAAAGACGACAATACAACAGCACGAAACACCAGCTGAACGAATCCCATCCCGGGTCCAAAGGATTTCAAGCAACGCTAAAGGATCTGAAGATTAAAGACAGAAAAATAGGGGAAAGAACAGAAAAGAAAAGAAAAGAAAAAAGAAGAAGAAAAAGAAAAAGAAAATTATCGTCAATCCTCAGGCCACCAAAGGCTTCAAGGCTTCCACCCCCGTCTGCAGGATAGTCGGGTTCGAAGTCTTCTTGAGCACGTTGGTGAGCGTGTCGACGCCGCCAGCGCTCTTCACGGCGTCCCTGGCCCGCCGTCCGATGTCTCCGGAGGCGACGCAAGTCATGTTGCGCAGGCAGGCCACGCCGCGATGCACCAGGCTTTCGTCGTCTTCCTGGCACAGTCCCAGCAACAGTTGAACGCCGCGCGGTCGGTCGAGCACGCCCGCGATAGCCGCGTCAAACTCGGTCAGCATGGCGAGCCCACCCCCGGCGGCGCGTCGGGTCGCCGCGTCGTCGGCATCGGTGAGAGCCAGGAGAATGTGCAGGCGTTGGGCCGCTCGCTTGGACCCGTCGGCGAACTTCACGACGCCGGCCTCGCAGGTCATGAGATTGCAGACCAGCTCGCAGGCGGCGCGCTGGATGGGCGGGCTGTTCGATAGGAGGAGATCCTCCACCGCCGGCCACGCTTGCCGCACTATGGCATCGGGCACGGCTTCGTCGGGGTACGAGGCCAGATTGGTCAGGGCCAGCAGGCTCTCAAAGACGGGCAGCAGATCGCGGGGTTGCTCGGCAGTGAGGCTGGTGGTTTCGGGCGACGCCAGCAGGGATGCCAAAGGTCGAATAGCCGAGGTCACCTGAGGGAAGCCCGAGGAGGGGAAGACGTGAGAAGGGTTGACCGAGATCAGGATTCGTGCCAGTGCATGCGATCCGTTCTGCAGGGCCTCGTGCGAGATGGACCCGGTGCTCCCTTGCCGGGGCACTCCCAGTTGAAGCAGCAGCTTAACGGCTCCTCTCTGCGCCAGGGGACCTCGCGACTTCCGGTCCCGGGATAAGGAAAGCAGGATTTTGCTGACCAGCCCCTGGATCGAGGGCAGCGCCGTCTTCCCGCAGTCCACGAGAAGAGGCATGACGCCCGCGGTGACGACGGCGTTGCAGCGAGCCACGACGTGCTCGTCACTATCCAGCGGATCCGGCCCCGAACGGGCATTGGGAGAAGCCTCGGCGTAGGACTTCAGCTGCGTCATCTTCTTCTGTTCTTCCGAGAGGTTCGGAAGGAATTGCGTGAGGTTCACGATGATCATCAGGCCCCCGTAGAGCACCGACGAGTCGGTCAGATTCTTCTGCAGAGTGCTGATAAGGTCTTGCAGGAACGCCGGGTCGTTGGCCAGTTGCTCCTTGACGGCAGGTTTGACGGACGAGTACGCCAGCCCCTCAACCACGTTCTGTATGTTTTCACCCTTGTGTCTCGACATCAGTCCCTTGAAACGTTCAACCAGCTCCAAGACCTTGCTTTCTTCCCCCTGAGCCTTACCGTTTGCCTCCGATCCATCCTTTTCGGACGTCCGAATCTTCGCCAGTACCACCGCCGCCAATTCCGAGGTCTGGTCGTCGCCATTCGTCAGAGTATGCGAGAGCCAGTCCGAGAGGTTCTTGGCAATGGCCTCCCGGCACGGTTTGTTGATGCACGCGGCATTCAACAGTTCCAGCAGCGAGGCCTCTAATTTCCGACGCTTGGCGTCCCGGGCGGCCATGGGCATCAGCACGGGCATGAAGCCTTCGGAAAGGAAGAGCGAAGCGGCGACCTCAGGAACCACCGGGAACACGGCGGCTGTGGCGGAGAAAGCGACCACCAGGTCGTCATTCCGAGCCTTGCTAACTTTGGCGGATATGAGCTGCGAGAAACTCTTCTCCCCGGTCTCTCCGGAGGCTTCCAGGTACTTCACGGTAGCCAGGGTAGCTTGACTCCTCAACTCCAGGGGCAGCCGATTATCCAGCGACGACAGAATCACCTCCAGCCCCTCATCATCCACCAGGTCCTGCAATTTCTCCGCATCGACGGCCAGCAATCGCGCGATACCCTTGAGCGACCGACCGTCTAGATCGTGCCCCGACTCCATCAGCTTGGCGATGAACAGCTGGAAAAGCTCCCGTTCGCAGTGCAACCGAGTCTCCTCCGACGGCCAGACGCCGTGATCCAACACCACCGTATCCAGGCAGACCGCGGCGTTGTCGCCTCGGTCATAGATTTCATCGAAAAATGTCGTCACCGAGACCTGCAGCTGGTCGGAGAAGTGCTGACGTACGTCGGTGCTCTGGCGCACGAGACCGGCGATGATCTCATCCTGCCGCTCCGACAAGGCATGCGCGCGTTGGGCTAGCAGGAGTTTGGCACATTCCAGCGCAACACCCTCGGGGGGTTTCAGGCCGTCGGTGCGCAGGTACAGGGCGGCGTCCTTGCCGGCATCTTCCTCGCCGCGGGTGACATATCTGCGGCACAGGTCGAGCAGGTGGTGGCCGGTCTCTTCCTCTTGTTGGATTTTCAGGAATGCATCTTTGACGGTCGGGTTTTCCGGGGCGAGAGACAGAGCTTCTCGGAGATTTCGCGAGGCGGCCTGTGCAAGACCTCCGACGAGCGGAGATGGAGTTAGACCGATGGACAAAGGACGAGAGAGAGAGAGAAAATTCAACCCTCGACAGCACGAGGGAGGGAGAGAAAAAAAAAAAGAATAAGGGGAGGCATGAAAGCCAAGAAGAACGCAAAAGGACCTACCTCGCGATGGCCGGCATCTACCAATTCAATAGCCTCCCTTGTCAGGTGTACAGCGCGTTCGTCACCCGTTGAGTGAACCATTTCAGGCTTTGCGGGGAAGGGGTTGAAAGCGAAAACGCGATAGCGAACAGCAGGAGGGGAGAGGCGAAGGGGAAGAAAAGAAAAACGGAGGGTTTGTGGATAAGACGATCTAAATGAATAGTGGGAACGGGGAAAGTGGGCGACGGTTGGAGATTGGAGATAGTGGCAGTATCGCTGGACTTATCGGGAGGCAGGCGTAAGTAAGCTGGGAAAAGTCCGATAACGCAAGAAGGGTTTTACCGTTTTATTGTACGGAGTAGTTGACTGGTTTCTTTTATTTCATTCGGAGAAAAGAAAAGAAAATAAAATAATTATAATAATAATAAAAGGAGACAAGTAAAAAAAGAAACGAAGCAAAGATAGAAAAAGGAAAAGGAAAAGAAAAAAAAAAATGAATAATACACCGAATTAATGGTGATTGATAAGTCGCAGCATCATTTCTGGAGCATCGACTGCATCATCGGCGGCTTCGCTGGTCCGGCGATGACCCCCCGGACATCCGACCCTCGGACTTCCCATCGGTCATGTCAGATGGATTCCAAGGACTGCACCCCCCACGGGACAAGATAAACCCCAACCAACTTCCCCTTCTTCCAACCACCGCCGTCCACCTCATCACGTTGCTTCATTTGCTTTTCCATCCCCCACGGACCAAGTCCTGCGGTTTCTCTAGTCTGCTGGCACTATTGGATGCTTCGCAGGGACCAAGACCCCTTTCGATCTGCACCGGTCTCGGGTCCGTCACTTCAGTAGTCTAGCCTAGTGCTGCCCCCGGTCGCCTTCGTCTAGGGAGATAGATGGTCGTACTCAACCTCAACATCTCCGCTGCCCGTCTTGGCGGGTGATGCAGAAGAATTAGGGAGAGCGAGGCGCGCTTCCACGGCTGCGGATGGCTTTCCGACTGGCGAATTCGCGGCCTCACCTGACCGGCCGCTCCGCCTATCTTCCAGACCTTCCAGACCTTACTTCCTGCTACGTCCTGCTACTTCCTGGCTCGCCGAAGGGTTGGAGATACGCCGGTGGAAATGCGCCCATCGACCGACTTGGCGGTTGCATTCGCCTGCCGTGATGTTCCACCGTCCCGGGTGTATGGAAACTAAACTGCCTCGTAAATCCAAAATTGACAACCACCGCTTCACATGGGCGCGTCATGCCTTGCATGGCTCCACGTATGCACACCTGTTCTCCCTTCTATACCTGCTGCTTGGCCTCCGCGCTTGGATGCCTGAGAGGTCATCGCTGATGTCATGCTCCTCTATGGGGGGTGGGTTTCTGGTGCTTTCTCTCTTTTTTGCTTTTTTTTTCTCGACATTCTTTGCTTCTTCTGGTTATTTCCTGTCTGCTTTTAATCCGCCGCCAAACTCTCGATCGCCTTCATTGCGACCCGTGTACGACGTCAATCTCACGGCCAAGCCTCTCTGTCCATCGCCAAGGCGTTTTATTTAGCCTCGCTTACATCAGGCATCCCTCCTTGATGCTTGAGTGTAGATCACTCATGCCCACTCTGACCCGTCGCACGCCCGGGTTTCTGTTCTGGCTCGGCTGGGTTTTGGGGCGACCGTCAGTTCCGGGCGATTCAGCCCTCGCTCCGCTCATCACCGGAGCAATAAACTCCCGCCCCAAGGGCTCCGCGGGGGGTTCCAGGGCGAAGACCTCGACCATCCACTCGTACCACACCTTTCGGTCGTCCGTTTGCCGGTACATGGTCACCACGACCTCGCCGTTGTCTGGCACGTTAAGAGGTGTCTAGACAATCGACCAGAGTTAGCCCGCATTCAGATCGATCGCATTCTCTTGGCTCCCGCGGGGACTCGGTGTGCTTGCTTACCTTTAGCGGAAAGTAGATGGGGAACCAGCTGATCATGTTGGCACTCTTATGATCCATGGTCACGGGGTTAGTGGACAACTCGACGTCCCGATACAGGACGGTTTCAAAGTATCCCGCCAGACCGTGGCAGACGCCTCGGTTCTGAACGGGAAAGGCCAACCGCGTGCGCCGCACGTTGTGCGCATTCGAAATAGTCGACGAGGACAGGGATTGAGGCGGGATGTGCTTGTTAGGGTGGGAGAAGGACCACGCGGTCTGCACAAACGGGGTAGGAGTCTCGGACCCGGGAAGGGTGGCGATGGATGACCGAACGTTGTTGGGATTGCTGCTGGCCAGGTTGCTGTTCATGATGCTAGCAGCGGACGGCTGGTTGGCCGAAAGAAAGTCGATGGCATGCAACATCACCACATATGGCGTCTCGGGAGCCGCGGGATTGGAGGTTGTCTGGTGCATGACATCGGCATGAAGCTTGGGTGCCGAGATGGGCGTGAAATGGGCCGTGTACGAGGCCGGAATGGAGATACCGTGCACGGGATTGATGAGGTGAGTAATTCCGTCCAAGCATTCGGGCGAGAGTTCGTTGTCGCCGAATGAACCCAGGAGCTCGGAGATTACAATGTCAATCGTAGTGTAGCTGAGCTCCGACGCAGTCGGTTTGGCCTCGGATTCGGGGTTTTGCGCTGTGTTCGAGTCGTAAAGGTACGAGTTCTCAATGCCCAGAGACTGCCCAACTGGAGCAGCCTGCTGTGGCGCGACGTCCTTCTTCTCTACTCGGGGTCCCTTCCAACTACGCATATCGGACTGGACCAGAGTAACTTTCCCGCCCCAGAGGTTCTGGTTGTGGCGCTGGAGGAGCACGAAGGCGTTGGGGTTCTTCTCAACCACCCACAAGTCGATGTCAACGCCCGTTTCGGCACTGGCTTTGAGTGCTCGGGTGACCAAAGGTCCTCGGCCGGCACCCACCACCGCCACAACCACTCGACCGTCTGGGTTGGAGGTGGGCTTCTTCTGCGTTGACCAGTCGCTCAAAGCCTTGGCAATGGCTCTTTCGTACCATTCGTACTTGATAGGGTCTTTCTCAAAGACTTCGTAGGTGATACTCTCCAGGTTGACGGTCAAGGGCTGCAGCGGAGCTTGTAGATAGTCTTGATAACCGATTCCAAACCTTTCGAGGGCGCTTCGTGGCGGCTGCCGATTCTGAAGATTCCGGATGTAGGACAAATGGGGGGTGGGATCATGGTGTTTCTTATTCGACACTGCGGCCTGGGCCAAGCTGGGGTAGTCAGAACCAGGCATGTGATCAGTAAACGTCTCGTCTGGTTCCGCCCCTGGGATGGGCCCGACATCGCAGAGGAGAATCCACGGGGCCGTTCGAAGACGCATGAACCGAGCGATCAGAGCTTGGTGCGCTTTCGACAGGACAGGGTAGCCCTTCTGGTTCTTGATAAAGGAGTTCGCATCAAGAGTAAGCATGTGGACTGGCTCGGAATGCCACCGAGACTGGACGGACATGGGCGGGAGATGCTTTGGCAGGGAAAGCGCTAACAATAGTGTCTTAGTAGCAATATATCGAGGCTGAGGAGATTCTCAAGAGCGCGTTGTAGAAGTAGACAACGAAGTGATCAAGAGGGAGGTCCTTACCTATGAAAAGTCTCGAATGGTATCTACAAGTTCTTCTAATCAGGTCCCAGGCATCCCATGTTCCAAAAGGATCCAATCTCGACGATGACCCTCCAGGAAATCCCTCAAGGAATTCAGCACGGGGTGTCAAGTCGCCTATCTCATCTACTTCCAGATCCGGGTTGTCAACCGTCCTGAGCCAAATGTGAAACTGGATGTAAGGTCCCAGGTTGATCGCATCCTGGATCGTTCGAGCATAGTACAGCAATCCTTCCGAGTGCATGTTGCCATGGTGCAATTTGGGCCCCGGAACCAAAAGGTATCCAATGCCGCAAAAAGCTGCGTAGGCGACTTCCAACATCAACACCTGGCGGGAGATGTCCGCAACCAACGGATCCGGAGAGCACAGGTCAATCCAAGAGCTAGTAGCTCCCACCAATTGAGACATCGCCTCATTCGGGGTCAAATGAGTATCCGACGGTCCCAGGGGCGGGATGACCAGAGGCTGTGTATTCTCGGTGTTCCCCAAGGTCCCATGCGCATCATGAGACACCGCCGACGTGTTGGACAGATGAGACGAGAGCAAGCCGAGAACCCGGGATTGGAAGTGGGAGGTAGTGATCGGGGTGGTAAGCATGTCATACTAGGCGAAGAGACGTTAGCACTTTGTAGGACTAGAAATCAGCCGCAAACTAATCCATACGTTACTTTCATGAGCTGCCTGCACTACCTCGGCAGTAATTGGTTCTGTGCGCTTGCTCTCATGCTGCCCAATGCAGAAACTGACACTCATGTCCTCAGGGTTGTAGTCCATCTTGTAAACACGAAAAGTGGTTTCTCGGTGTGAACAGTTATCCAAGCGAGACGAAACTGAGTAGTTGCCCTTCTATACAGTGAGCTTCCAAAAGGTGACCGCAAGAGCTATGTCAATACTAGATTTCAAACAAATAGGACACGCTCCGAGAACTCTGTAGATTAGAGGGCCTGGAGAGTGGGCTGTTGTTGACACGGAGGATCTGCGTGTAGAATTAGCTCCGGGTAGGCGATTGTAAACAGTAGAGTGATCAACACAATTACTGGCTCCCAGTCATCATCAGATCAAGAGCACCAGAGAACACAGAAGGGGCAGATTAATCCTCGGAGCAGGAGCTGTAGGACAAAGGAACGAGGACCCCCTCACGGCTTCACGGCGTCCCTTGCGCTTTTCCGTGGGGTTTTCCCCGGCAGAAACCCCGGGCGGTGAGGCGTCTGCGCAGCAACTGTGGCGATGGGCGGCCGACCTGCCGTATCGGGATCGGGCTTTTTTTTTTCTTCCTTCACCGTCGTCTGCGGAGAAACACCTTCGTCCCGAACAACCCTCCCAGCCTTTCCCTTCTCCCTGCTTTTCCCCTGGCAAACGTCATGGTTGACCGACGTTCAGATTCTGAGGACGGCTCGCGTTCTAAGCGTCAGAAAATGGACAAGACCGGCACGGATCCCAAAGACAATCCGTACCTGGCTCACATGTATGCGGACTCGTCCTCCAACGGTGGCTCTCACTCATGGACCGATGGCACTATAGACCAGGACTCCCCTTTCGCCAAGGTGAAGAGACATCAGACGACTGCTGCTCAGGCCAAGAAGATTGAGGATGGCGACATCAACCCTTTCAACAACCGGCCCTTCTCTAGCAAGTACATGTCGATCTTGGAGGCCCGTCGCGATCTCCCCGTCCATGCTCAGAGGTAGGTGTCGTGCACCCCCCTCCCCCTCACACTCCAGTCACTAATCTGGTCACCTTTGCAGAGATGAATTCCTGCAGCTCTATCAGCAATCCCAAATCCTGGTCTTCGTCGGTGAAACCGGTTCCGGAAAAACCACCCAGATTCCTCAGTTCGTCCTATTCGATGATTTGCCACAGTCGCAGCGCAAGATGGTTGCCTGTACCCAGCCTCGTCGTGTGGCTGCGATGTCCGTCGCCCAACGTGTGGCCACTGAGATGGATGTCAGCCTCGGTGAGGAAGTGGGTTACAGTATTCGTTTCGAAGATATGACCGGCCCCAAGACTGTCCTCAAGTATATGACCGACGGTATGCTTCTGCGCGAAGCCATGAACGATCACAACCTCAACCGATACAGCACGATCATTCTTGACGAAGCCCACGAAAGAACCATGGCGACGGATGTGCTGATGGGTCTTCTCAAGGAGGTCGTCCTGCGCCGACCGGACTTGAAGATCATTATTATGTCTGCTACTTTGGATGCCCAGAAGTTCCAGCGCTATTTCAACGATGCTCCTCTACTCGCAGTGCCCGGTCGTACTCATCCCGTCGAAATCTTCTACACCCCTGAACCCGAACAAGATTACGTCGAGGCCGCCATCCGAACAGTCCTCCAAATCCACGCCACCGAAGGAGATGGCGACATTCTCCTGTTCTTGACCGGTGAAGAAGAGATTGAAGATGCTGCGCGTAAGATTGCTCTGGAAGCGGACGAAATGATGAGAGAAGTCGATGCCGGACCTTTGAAGACCTACCCACTGTACGGTAGCTTGCCGCCGCACATGCAACAGCGCATCTTCGATCCGGCGCCAGGACCCCGTCGCCCCGGAGGCCGCCCCGGCCGGAAATGTATCATCTCGACAAACATTGCCGAAACCTCGCTGACCATCGATGGTATCGTGTATGTCGTTGACCCGGGTTTCTCCAAGCAGAAGATCTACAACCCCCGTATTCGTGTTGAGTCTCTTCTGGTTTCTCCCATCTCCAAGGCCTCTGCGCAGCAGCGAGCTGGTCGTGCCGGTCGTACGCGTCCCGGAAAGTGTTTCCGCCTGTACACCGAAGGCGCTTTCAAGAAGGAATTGATTGACCAGACTTATCCCGAAATCTTGCGCTCGAACCTTTCGTCTACCGTCCTGGAATTGAAGAAGCTCGGCATTGACGACTTGGTTCACTTCGATCTGATGGATCCTCCTGCTCCCGAAACGCTGATGCGAGCTTTGGAGGAACTGAACTACTTGGCGTGTCTTGATGACGACGGCAACCTGACCCAGTTAGGTCGCCTGGCGTCTGAGTTCCCTCTGGACCCTGCCCTTGCCGTCATGCTGATCAGCTCGCCCGAGTTCTACTGCTCTAACGAGATCCTCTCCATCACTGCCTTGCTTTCGGTCCCGCAGGTGTTCGTGAGACCTGCTTCTCAGCGCAAACGCGCAGACGAAATGAAGAATCTGTTCGCTCACCCCGACGGCGATCACCTTTCTCTCCTTAACGTCTACCACGCTTTCAAGAGCCCAGATGCGCAGGAAAACTTGAAACAGTGGTGCCATGACCACTTCCTCTCGTTGCGTTCCCTCCAGTCGGCAGACAATGTGCGCATGCAGCTCTTGCGGATCATGGAGCGCGAGGAACTGGAGATGGTCTCGACTCCTTTCGAGGACAAGAAATACTACGAGAACATCCGCCGGGCACTGTGTGCTGGATTCTTCATGCAGGTTGCCAAGAAGGAGGCCCAGGGCAAGAACATGTACACCACCGTCAAAGACAACCAGAACGTTCTCCTCCACCCCTCGACCGTTCTGGGCCACGAGGCCGAATGGGTTCTGTACAACGAATTCGTCCTCACTACCAAGAACTACATCAGAACCGTCACCGCCGTCAAGCCCGAATGGCTCATTGTAAGTCTTGACTTCTCCCTCCCAATTCTCCCATCGGCTTTAGAACATCCGACTAACCTATCTACCCTTCCTAGGACATTGCCCCTACTTATTACGATATCTCATCCTTTGCCAAGGGCGACATCCGCTCCTCGTTGCTTCGTGCCGCGGAGAGACTCACCCGAAAGGAGAAAATGCGTTCTGATTCCTCGAGGAGGCGATAGACTTTTATTCCCATGTTTTAATGAACACATAGATCTGTTTTTTCTTTTTTCTTCTGCTCTCAGATTACATCAGATTTTCTTTTCCAAAGTCGATATGAAATACCATGCTTGGAGTTTCTTTTTTTCCTTCCTTCTTTTTCTATAGATAGTATCATATATCAAATCGTGATCAGCTGGAGAATGATGTCATGCTATCTATACATCCTTATTTATAACTTATAGTAAGAAGGACTCGTAGAAAACGATAGTGCAAATGGGAGAGGTGAATATTGTCCAGCGCCAGAAAGCCTGGTGGTAGTACCAAATCCGATATCATTATAATGTACATGTACAATTCAGTCAGGAAGGTAGGTAGGTATATCAACAATGCAGAGAAACAACAACCAACAATCAACCAACAAGTAAATCTAAGTGTGTAAGAACTCCCAATGACGCCCGCCAAGGTCCCCTATTTATGACAAATACATTTTTAATCGCTCCTCTGTGGCTACAAGCACAGCACGAGTACAAGCACAAGTACGCGATAGACGCTGCGTAAACTCATGGTCTCCGGTATTGAATGGTGATGTGCGCGGGCGGCTCTGGAGGGCCGGTTTTGGTCGAAGAGAGCTGGGTCTTCAGTTTCCCGAGGTCGGTTTGGGGGGTTTGTTCCGGGGTAGGCGCTGGCTTGTTGGATTCGGTTCGCGTCAGTTCGAATACCATTCGTTTCAATTGGGAAACCTCCGCCTTGAGAGTTGAGATCTCCTCTTGGTGCGCTTGAGCAATCGTGTCCGAATATGAGGATAGGGGTATTCCGTCATCCGGGTTGGGTGGTGTTGAAGAGGCGTGGCTCCCTGGCTCTGCAGTCGACCTTGACTCTCTGTACTCGGTAGGGGCGCCAGAGACCACGGCTGAGTAAACTTGCTGGGAATAAGCGCTCATCAGTTTCTGCCACCGGCGTGCAGAGTCGGCTTCGGGAATAGGGAGGTCGTTCAGCGTGTCAGAGATGGTGTTGACGAAGGCGTAGGACTTTTCCCAGGTAGGCTTTTCCAGCATCTCTGTTGATGAAGATTCCCGCGCATCCTGCCACCGGCGGTATTCGGGATCTGCGTGGAATTTCAAGTCTGATTGCTTCTGGGCAAGCATCCAGTCGAATCCACTATTCACGGCACCGGAGATAAGAGCCTCAGAGATGTCAGATCTTTCGCATTTGTCGCAGAAGCGCACCATCAGTGCGATAAGCCGCTCGAGTCGAGCGACCGGGTGTTCGGTAGAAGATGCTATGAAGGCCAGTGCCCTTTTCATGGTGTGCAGGCCCTTTTCCCAATCCCCTCGAATAGTGTAGAATTTGACGTAGGCATTGAGAGTAGCGAAGCTGTCCATGTACCCAATGGATCTGGCATATTGGAGATAGGCATCGGCTCGGTCAGGCTGGTCGAACCGTAATGATGAGAGTATTAGTGTGGAAAAAACAACACTGTTGGCAGAATTGACGGGTGGAACCGTAATTTGAACGCCATTGACGACTACTAGTTTATAGTAACTCAGCCTTCTCATGTCGAGCGGGTAGCCATCTCCTCGAAGCATTTCCAGGAACAAATCGAACCCTCTCAGGTTTTTTGATTTCCACAAGTAGTTGATTATGGAGAGAATCAAAGTAGGGGTCATAGGAAACATGTTAGGCATTACTGCCTTCAGAACTAGGTCGCACAAGTCACTTTGGCGGGTCCTCGTGAACGCCATGAGCATATATTTCAATGATCGTATTCGATCCGGATCACGGACCTTGGTCAGGCTGTGCGCCAGCTTAATGAGAAGCTCATCAAGGGATATATCCCCGCACAGATAGTCCTCGATATCGAATCGAATTTGTCGGTCCAACTGACTGTTTTCAGCTGCCAAATCCGGGCCGGCCTCGGGACTGAGGTCTGGGATGATATCAAAGATGGCGGTTTTCTTTTTTGTCTTGAGGTTCAGCATCCTGTTTTTAAGGGTATTCAATTCGGCTAGAAGCTGCTGGGTGCGCAATCGAGGCTGTGAGCGGTCGATCTTGTATTGTGCTCGAAGACCCAAGTAATCGTGTGCAATTGTGGGGCGCAGCAGGAATCGGATTGCGAGCTGTCTCAAAGCAACAACTCGTATAGCCTTCATGCGGAGCACATCCTTTTGAAGCCAGCGTGGTATCGTATTGTGCTGATAAGAAGCACCGCGCTCGTCGTCCATCAATGGACGCTCACGGTCCGGGTCTGGACTCATCTCCCATCCCATGTCTTCCGAAAACAAATCTTCATCATTCGGGGTATCGTCATCGAGCTCATTCTGCACGGACTCTCGGAGCTTGTCGTCGATAAGAGTATCCGCGGACTCCTCTTCGATGGACCTTTCCCAGCTTTCTTCCACCATGTCCGGATAGCGGCTAGCATTCAATTCATGACTCTCGTCGGGATCCATTCCCAAATTCTCTAGGGAGGCTTGAGAGTGGTAGGAGCGAAGCGATGGTTGTCCCGGGCGACTTGGGAATATCCCCGCGGTCATCTGGAACGGACGGTACTGCCGGGGGTAAAACGTTCCGTTGAGGGGTTTGGATTTTTGCCGTGCTGCGAGAGCCTCCAGTAATCGCTTTTCCTCGTCGACCAGCTCGTTGACCTCCTCCTTAACCGCAGCTATTTTTTCCTTCCATTCCAGACGACGTTGGTCCTTGGCCTGGGCATCCGCCAAAGCGGCCGCGGCGAAGATGCTGGTGTACAGTGCCGTAACCGAGTTTCCGATCCGCAGTCGACGTTTGCTGGCGGCCGAAGCTGTCCGAGAGGCGAGCCCTCCCGAAGTCGTACTCAGACATGAGACGCATCGACAAGTCGACTGCGGCTGGGCGGCGCGGGACCAAAGGCGTAGCATTATCCTGACATTTGCCTTGCACAAAGCCCGAGGAGTAAACAAAGCGGATTTCGAACTCCAAGGACACCCCTTTACGGGTCAATGGCCTGTGCCAAGGGAGGTGGGCGAATGCTCAAGGTGACAGAGGACGGTGGGAGTGGATGAGATAATTATGGGATGCCTCTGCGTCGGCAAAAGTCGTAAGATCGGATCCCGCCGTGCAAACAGTGCAAACGCCGGCCCCGTGCGTTCGGCTTATCACCACGAAGTACTATCGAATACTGCCCCCATGCCGCAACTTGCTTAGTTCTTGCTGACTCTTGTTTACACGTTTTCTCTTTCTGTCCGCTAGATTTTGGTGTTCTTCTGGCCTAATTGATCTGATTTTTCCCTTCTCCTGAATCAACCATGCTTGCCCGCTCGGTCACCCTCATTGGCGCGTTGCTTGCCCTCGGAGGCAGCTTCGCAAATGCGCATGGAGATCACTCGAATGACCAGCCTCCTTCTTCGGACTGGGCGACGCGACACATGCAAGGTATGATACCTCTGAATATGTCCAAATATAAGCGGGAAAACTACATGGGCGCAAGACAATGCTAACCAGACCCAATCTTAAGAGGAGCACCACGTTGATAACTTCGATGCATCGTCCTTCTTCATACTCCACGATTATGACAGCTCTGGGGCTTGGACGGCGGAAGAGGTTCGCAAAACATACGGACTTGATGATGAATCGAACGCGGGTGTAAGCGAAGAGCGCAAACAGCAGGCCGTGCGGGAGGTGTTCGGTCTTTTCGATCCTACCAACACCGGCGTCATCACCTCAGACAACTGGATGCGCCTCATCTCGGAGGGCACTCGGTTGCCTGACTTTGGATTCGGGCCGGGCCATCACGGCGACATCGAGTACGAATACGAGATTCATCACTTTGAGAAGTACCACGGAGACGATGCGACGGTGGACGAACTCACGCACCCCGAGGATATTGAGCACTTCCGGCGCCATGATGAGGAAGACCTTGCCGCGGAGAAGCTTGAAAAGCTGGAGAGAATGGAGATCGTCGAGGCGAACATCCCTCAGAAATTCCTCAAATTGGCTTAGAATGGCGTTTTTGTTTTCTGTTGGTGTATATATGTTTTTGCTGACTTTCGTTGATCCTCCGTTCTTTGACCTTTTGTCCGATATGATGACACGTGTGATCTATGTACATTAGGAGCGTATTGATGCGATATGATCATGTTTCAAGATTTTGCCGTCGCCGAGAGCGTGTCCAAAGCGTATTGCCCTCATACTGATCTGTGCAGATTAGACTCGGAGGATGGCAATCGCATGTCGAAGACACAATGCATGACACCCGGCGCATAGGTCTTAACTTGTTCGACGTGCCGACATTCCACAGCTGTCTCGGCGCCATTGAGTACTTGCGCTCGCAATACCCCCAGCTCCTTGGCAATTTCTTCCCTTTTCTCTTCAATTTGATGGATATCCACATTCTCGTGCACATGGACCCAGCCACCTTTCTGCAAGTCGATCATCTTGCAAGCATTACCCCAAGCGGCAGAGGATGACGGAAGGAGACCGAGATTAACATGTCGAATGCTGCTCCAAGACTGCCGAACACTCAAGGCATCTCTGATTTCCCTCAGGATATCAGCTGCAAACTTGTTGTCACCATGAAAGATGACCACTTTGTCCGAGTCCCGAAGATTCCCAATCAGTTCGGGGATGGGTTCGCTCAAACTGCCATCATCATGGACTCGCACGACCTTGCATCCCCATCCATTCTCGACGCAGCCTCTTCGCAAACCCTCCACCGACCAACCATTGATCTCCCATCCCCACACCCGCTTGACTCCTCGTTTCAGATACGAGAAAACAAAGTAGCCGATGCCCGCATACATGTCCACCACACTTATATCTTCAGTTGCATCCTCTCTCAGCGAGACCGCATCGAGTCCCTCGAACATTGCCCCATGGCCCAAGATACGAGCTTTCTCAGTAATATTCCCGCGCGAGAACATAGTGTAGAGCGGGGCCCAGATCTGAACGATCCCATGGTTCTGTACGGTTCGTACCCAGAATGCGCGCCGCAGGTCGTCCTCCCCGGGCTGTCCGGTCTCGTCGTTCCCTGATAAAAGGGGCCCGAAGTCACCATACAGAGGGACCAGTCCCACGGGACTTCTCATCTTGTTCTCGTGCCCTTGCACGTCTGTCAATGCAATGGGCGCATTGATGGCAATATGTGTAACGCCAAAACGACTGAATGCCTTCGCTATAGATGCGTAGAGAAGCTGCCTCTCCTCGTGGCTGAGAGATTGGTAGAGTGCACTCCAAGCTGGAGGGGTGCTGAGCGCATTGACTGGCAAGAGCAGCATGGGCTCGTAGATCGTATACCGTTTAGGAAGCGTGGGCAACAATATCTCTGGGGATATGCTATAGTCTGAAAGTACAGAGGGGGATATATGTGTTGTCAGATAGTCATGGATTCCCTTTTGAAGTGGGTTCATGTTCTTCGGTGGCCGTTTGCCGGGATATCGCTCGCTTTTGGCATCTTTTGACGCCGGAGTCGAGCTGAGACGCTCTCTTGGGCTCTCTGTGGCCATTGTACCGATATCTATTGTATTATAAGGTTCGGTATCATGAGATGTATGGCTGCCCAGGAAACTGACGGTTCAGAGGCCGAATCGCATTCTTGTTTTTGTCCGAGGATAGTAGCGAAATATATGTTGGTACCAGCGCGAAAGGTTGGTGATATAAAACTGACTCTGGCCCGAGCACTTTATTTGATCATCAGTGTGCCATAATATTCCTCATCTTATGAGCTTTCCAGATATTGTGGCTTCTTGTTGATTATATCGAATTCTCGGCGCGGCGACACGCAATTATCCACTTCCCACCTTCCCCAAGGTGTCGTGTCATGTGACCCATACTGGGATTAGATGGACGAGGATAGTTGCAACCTAAAGGTGTGAAATTAAAGGCATATAGATTATCATAATATTATAATATCTTATAGAAATTATGAATGTGTGACATCAGAAGGACAATTATATCTATGATAGACAAAACATGGCACAGCCTCGTGAAAGGGTCAGATAATCCAAAACTGACCATGCAGACAACACACAAGGGCTCTTTTTTTCTCAGACCGAATGCTATGAGCCTACAAGAAGTATGGGAACGTGGTAGGAATCTAGTAGACTGGTGGATCATGAAATTGGAGAATAGGTGAGCTATTATCGTTTGAGATCTGGATAGAGGCGAGTGTCTCGAATAAAAATGTTAAAACAGCCGCCACCGAATGTAGTATGTCAGGGACGCCGGACAAGAAGAGGAAGAAAGAAAACCGTCGCTGGCAACAATGAATTTATATAATTATGGAGATAGATCATAACGAGCGTAAGCGCTAAATGAGCAGCAAGGAAATGCGGTCAATAATCTGTGACAGAATATCCAAGCCTGTCGTTGGAATCAAGCACCCTGTCATTCTCAGTTAGTATTTTGGAATGGCATCCGAACCGACAAGAAAACTCACGAGTATTGTTTTGTCAGAGTGCCTTCGCCTCCCTTGGAAAGATCAATGCTGAAAACATAGAAGTTGCCATCGCTAGTCACCACCATGACCTGGGGCATGTTGCTACTCATTGCAACAACGCTTCTGAGTGGACCGGCGTTTCCATTTGCTCCGGCCCCTTGGTTTGATTTGGGAAGCTTGATCCAGGCGAAATCCCGCGCGGGTTCCCACATTTCACTCACTCCTTTGGGGAGGTAGCCGCCCACCCTAGCAGCAAATGAACTGCCGACGTTTTGCGAAGTCCGACGAATCATTCCCATGAGAGTCCCGTTATGCTTCCTAGAGGGCAATTCCGAGGAGTCTCCATCTCCAGGTAGGTCGTCTGCATCTGGAGAATTCCCAAGCGAGCTTTGACTCAGAGTCCTTTCCCGACCCGTGGGGGAGGACGACGAAGGCGAGCCCTCCAAATTCTGGTTTTGGTGACTCAGTTTGAACAAATGTATCGTTTCTGTCGAAGAGGACACGCATAGGAGCGTAGATGTTGTGTTGAAAGACATGCTGTAAATCCGGGAAGGTATCGAGCCTCGTCGAAATTGATAGAGCTTGTGACCGTCAGGGACGGAGAACACCCGGATAATGGTTCCCTTGTCCGACGCCGTGGCGATAAGGGTGCCGTCACCATTGAGCGTGATGCAGGCGAGCGGTGACCGATGGGCTTCAATAACATTGATGGCTTCCAGCTTCACAGTATCAAAAATCATGACTTCGCCGCTTGTCGGAGAGACATGTGTCGTTCCAGGAGGGGCATGGGACGGAGGATTGAACGATGCGGTTGGCGCCTTTTGAGGCAGCGGATATGCGAGGTAGCAGTTGTCGGAGGACGGAGAAAGAGCGCAGATCGCTACTGGACGTTAGATTTCGTGGAAAACAACGCTATCTTCGGTATCAAAAGCTTACCGTTGGGATTTGGCGATGTTTCAATGGCATATAGCAGCTTCATAGTTTGGATATCATAGAGGTAGATCTGATCCTCCAAAACAATCACCAGCCGCTTGCGGTTCAGTTTGACTGCTAATACGGTGGTTGGGAACGTCAACTCGCATATCGTAGATTGGCGCTATATGAACCGAAGAAATAGACAATAGGTCAGCATGTACTGGGCGATAAAGCGCATCAAGCAACGTAGATCCCTCCGTTGCCATGTAGAAGTTATGCTTGTCACGGGAGGCTGCACAGGGATGTTGGACGAACCTTGGTATTAGTGATCTGAAGACGACGCGGCGACAATATGAGCGCAACAAGGGACGTCGAGAAAAGCATTTCTATTATTGCGATGTTCCCTTCCTTCGTTTCATAGCTTTTGGCGAACGGTTCCGTCGTAAAGACCCGAAAGCCTTTCGAGGTTGCTGAGAAAGGTCAGCCGGCGCACGCGGCTCAAACGAGAGGCCCAAGGGGAGTCCTTACCTACAGCCAAATAGCTGTAGTCCTGGTTGAAAGTGACGTAGTTCATTGCCATTTTGTCTGCAGCAGATCACTTGGATCTATGACGTCCAAATGGCCTTGTTCCTCCAAGCGCGTCTTGCAACCGTGAGATGCTCCGTGGTGGTCAGGTAGATTTAATCGAAGACGAGAGGGTACGATTTGGAGTTTCCGACGAAAGGGGGATCTCTCGACAAGTTTAACGAAGGGTATTGAAAATGAAAAGATACCTCGGGGAGACCCGAGTTAAATAAGCTAGCAGCGGAGGGGTCAAAGTGACCCTATCACAGGACCGTTTCGTCACCGAGGGTCCCTACCTTGCATGTCCCAGCGCCCAGAGAAATTAGCGATGACCCTGACGAACAGATATCACACGCAGCGCATGCGCATATGCGACGACGGGACGAAAGAGACGGAGACGAGTGGCTAAAGGATGCGGAGCATCTGGGGGATCGCTGAACCGCAGTTCGTTGCTCCTGCCGCGGTCTGCAGCAGACGCGACAAGCGAGACCGGGCGCTTGGGCCACACCTTGATTACTGATTCCTGATTAGCGGCCGGGAAAAAATTGCCTTATCGTCCAGCTCCAAATTCCCCCGCGGATGCCCCTCCGACACGCTGAACACACTGAACAGTGAACACTAACCAGCTGCGCCATGGTCACTGCGAAGAAACCAGCCATGGTTGGCGTCCCTTCCAAGGCGGAAAAGGAAGCGGACTTGGTGATGGGAGTAAGTTGTCAATGCTTTGGGATGATGCCTTTGCGCGTTTAGTTGCAGTACTAACGACGTGCCTGGCTTCTCTGTTGCCGACTCTGATAGACGAACAATAGCAGTATTGTATCTAAGCGAAGTGTCGAAATGTCCTACTATCCCAAGCCGCATTTTTTCCGGTATTTCGTTAAAAAGCCGCAGAGGCGCTCGCCTTTGATTAACCGTGGTTACTGGCTTCGTATGCACGCGATGGCAGAGACCGTGCGACAATTTATGAGAGAACCCTCGGATAGACCCAAATTCGTCTTGAACCTTGGATGTGGATTGTGAGTCGTAGTATGGAGATAAAACCATAACTGGACTGCCTGCTAAGTTGGACTACCGTAGTGATCCTCTGCCCTTTATGCTCCTGAGCGCCGAGAAGTCGTTGTGTAGAGATACAACATTCGTGGACATCGATTATGAGAAACTCATGATCAATAAGAAAACGGCCCTTCGACAAACAAGCGAGGTTACGGAGCTCCTCGAGGATGTAGAATTTCTTCCGGACGAAAGCGATTTGCAGATTCGCAGCAAACAGTACATCGCCATAGGCTGTGACTTGAAGAATCTAGCTAAACTGGACCATGTGCTTAAGACTCAAATTCTGCCATCCAAATGCTCAGTTCTTTTTCTCGCCGAGGTCTCTTTAACATATATGGATGTCGAGTCCGCGAATGCGGTGGTCAATTGGGCTTCGAAATTAAGCGATGGTTGGAATTTATCCCTTCCCAATTGATGCATGTTTATCTCAAGAGGAAATCACTAACCGATACGATGAAGACTCTCAGTTTTGCATTTTGGAGCAATTTTTCCCTGATGGACCAGACCATCCGTTCGCATCGACCATGATGAAGCATTTCAAGAAACTCGGGGCACCGCTTTACTCAATCAACGAGTACCCGTCATTAAATGAGCAAGAACAGCGTTTCAAGAACGCCGGTTGGCTCCAAGCACATGCGAGAACTCTTTGGGATTTGTGGTCAGACGACAAATTCGTTGATAGCTCCTTGCGGATGTCATTGGATGCAGTCGAGCCATTCGATGAGTGGGAAGAGTTTGCTTTATTCGCATCACACTATTTTCTTCTCATTGCTTCTACAAGACCGCGCGAGACGAATCAAAACTTGGGAGAGGAACCGGTGGCACAGGCCAGTCTGTCGAGCCAGTATAAGCTTCTTCCCAATTGTCCCGCTGGAAGTGGTCAACGGAGATTCGGGGCTTTGATACCGGATGAGGGCTCCTGTATTGGCCATCATTCCGGGTTGGGCCGTCAAACGCGACTTGCAACAACTGATTTATACACCAATTCGACGAAGGTTTCCAACCCCCAAGAGCCTTTCCCTCCTCGAGACGTCTCTGCAAGGATGTGCCACACTGCTACTGGTCTGAGCAATGGGGAATGCTTGATTGTTGGCGGTCGAACGTCACCCGCGAAGAGTCTCGAGGATTGTTGGTTAAGACAAGGAAACCAATGGCGCCAAATCCAACCCTTGCCAACTGGGCGGTTCAGACATAGTGCCGTCAAGGTCAGCTTGAATGCGGAGTGTGTTATCGTTTATGGTGGCAAGGCCAGCGACGGCAAAGTGTTAGGTGATTGGCTGCTTTGGAGCAATAATGGGGAAGGATGGAAGACAGTTGATTGCAATCAATCTTGCCTGAAGCCACGATTTGGAGCAAGTTTGGGAAGCATCGATAGCTCTTCAGGCGTTGTATTTGGCGGCATCGGACAAGATGGAACTGTGCTGGGAGACTTCTGGACTTGGAAGTTACATGAACGAAGCGACGGGTCCTTGTTTTTGGAGCTCAACGATCAGACGAAAAGCCTCCAAGAAGCCTCGCCTTTGTTCAAGTACATCCATCGATTTGGGGCCACTGTCAACACAATTTCAGGGGGCCTAATGATTGTCGGGGGTATAATTCCAGAGCAAACGGTTCCATTCGACAAGGAAATTATGCTTCTCGACCTAACTCAGGTCTCAAATTTCCTCAATAGTCGCCCATCCTGGAGCTCTAGTGCCTTGTCAGCAATAGGGCTTGGAGCCGATTTCGATGGACCACGACCTCTACTAACAGGTCATGTATCGTATGCCATTGATCCCAGTCAGGTTCTAATTCTAGGAGGCGGAGCAGTGTGCTTCTCTTTCGGAACATTTTGGACGGAAGGAACTTGGCTCTTGAAGGCCATAGATTCGAAAATCAAGAACGAATGGACGATGGTCCCCGAAATCATTCAACCGAATCAAACTGCGCCGATCTCTCAGCCTTCTGCCCCCCCAAGGGGCGATTACAAGCCGGAAGAAAATATTACGGCGATTCCTCGCGTTCGAGTGGAGAATTCCGCGCAGTTCAAGCAGATACTGGCTGATAGCAAACCCGTCATCATCGAAGGATCTGATATTGGGCCATGCACTGATCTTTGGACAAAAGAATACTTGGCGAATGCCATCGGCGAGGACCGTGAAGTAAGTCAATATCCATCTTGATACCTGGCGCCATGACTTGCGTGTTAAGAGCGATCCGTTAGGTGGTGGTCCATGAAGCCCAGTCCGAAAATATGAGCTTCCAAACCAAGAACTTTGCCTACACCACCAAGTCATTCGGCAAGTTTCTAGACGAGGTGCATGCCGGTGGTCGCCAATATCTTCGAAGCATCTCTGCTGAGCAACCAACCAAGCTCCCTGCGAACCTAGCTGCTGATTTCCCAAATTTGGAAAACGATTTCCACCTACCAGAGTCACTCGCCGTGGTCACTGAAAATGCCCACAGCTCTCCTTTGAGGATCTCGGGGCCCGTTATCCTGTGGCTCCATTATGATGTGAGTGCGATATAAATGGATACGACAACGCAACGTGGAAAGTACTGACACCAGGATAGGTGATGGCAAACGTGCTATGCCAAGTACGTGGTGAGAAGAGATTGATTCTTTTCCCACCACAGGATGTGCAGCATTTGTCAGTCCCAGCCGGTGCCTCAAGCTCAACCGTCAACATATTCCAAGGCTCGGACAACGGGGCCATCGCATCGATTCCACACACCTCGCCACGTGAGGCGAGACTGAATCGCGGTGACATCCTTTTCCTCCCCCCACTCTGGCTTCATACAGCATCACCGACCGGCCAAGTCAGCGTCGCGGTGAACGTTTTCTTCCGCAATCTCTCGAAAGGTTACGCTGCTGGCCGGGATGTCTACGGCAATCGCGATCTGCAAGCCTATGAGAAAGCCCGGGCTGACCTCCAAAAGATGGAAAAGTCATTCGAGGGACTTCCAACGGATATGGCTCGGTTCTACCTGCTCAGGCTCGCACAAGAGCTGAAAGAACTTGCCGAAAAATGACCGAATCCGAGTTGCTGCAGAATCGGTGCGAAGCGTGTGAAGTTTGCAAGAGTTTGTTGTCAGCCACCATTTTGATGAAGTATGCTTCCAGGTGGTGTATCATCCAATCATTTATTCGATGGTTGGCAGGTAGTCCGTTACCTGGGCAGAAAGTTGGGCTCGTTTGACCAGCGCACGAGACGATCATCCCGGGCTATGCAAATAGATTGCATGCATTGTGAAGCCCGACCACTTTAAAACTTACTCCTATGGATGATTGCAGGGTGTTCAGAGATCTGCAAGCAAAAAAGGGGCCAGCAAAACATTCCCACACACATAAGAAAAATACATACATTCAAGGAGAAAGATAGAGGAGCTGGTGGGACGAGCTGCCAATCCCCCGAGGACAACACAGTGTTGAACACGTTGAGCGGCAAACTGCTAGCCGAACTGATGACGGTCGAATATGAGTCCTGGTATGAGCCGCATGAGCTCTTGTTTTAGTCCTATGTTGTCAGCACGAAGTTGACGCTGTCGCCGAAATGAGTCTTTGTTTATTCCTCCTGCTATAGAGTACTGCTTAGATTAGACGCCACCGGAGTAACGGGTTATATACAAAATTGACTTTCACGGGAAAACGCTGTGACCGCCGATCCGGGGTTGGGACCAAGGGTGTAACCATTGTCATCATTGATTATCGATCCAAGGGGAAATGATCGTGCCCCAAACCCTATCGGCCTGGTAGACGTTTTTCAAAAAATCACCGCATACAACCGACGAGTGGTTTCAATGGCGGACCAAGCGTTGGATGCCAGAAGGCAGTAGAAACCTAAGGAACGTAGGCAAGATAGGTGATTGTTTATAGATGAAAGGCCGACACTATCAGTGGAAGTAGCGAGTCGCTAGTTATGCTAGTCATGCCGGTCGCTGTGCCTAGTACCTAATAGCTACCTGGGATTATTGCGGATGTGTGACTGACTACGGAAGGAAGAGAGGTGGGCCCGGGGGGCATCCATTCCCAAACTATTCCCCCCCCCAAAACCTGCTAGCGGCTCGGAAGTGCAATAATTCCACCGCATGTAATCGTCATTCCAAACACAACACCCCATTTCCGCGACAGTAGTGGCAGTTTCAAAGGGGCCAGCCGACGCATGACTCGAAGGAACCATGGAGCCGTGCCACCAACGGTTGCCATTAGAGATAGTGAAAAATGGGCGGACGAGGCAAAAAAGAGGGACGGGGAATTTCGCATTACCAATGGCAAGGCCGGGATGCCCCTACTGAGTTTGGCACCAGCGCTGCATATGCGGACGGGAGGGGAGGTCCGAGCGCTGATTCGCCCAGATAACCGGCTTGCGCTCGACGTCGGGTTTCCTCGCGCCCCCATTGGGCGTTGGCCCGGGAGTGTTGGCGTCAAGGACTCCAGGCTTCCCGGGGTTCGTCGAAGGGGAGGGCACCGATCGGGATTAGCGACTGGCACACAGCCTATCATCGGTTTCGGTGACATCGGGGATCTAGGCTGGAATGGACCGGGGTGGAGGGGTCATTGGCCGCAAACGGCATCAACCACAAGCAGGAAGGGACCTTATGTGGAGACGCTGCCCGAAATCAAGGATGGGAAGGGGGGGACGGGGTGTAACGGGAACAATGAAGAGGGCCAAAGGTACCTGGGAAAGGCACCACGGATTGTGCCACTGCCGAAGTCCCTTGAAACGAAGCTGTACTTAGAAGAGTCGAAGTAGGTAGCAAGTTATCTGCTGTAGCAACTCACAAGTCCCAAGTCAGCCAAGCACCAAAACGGAAAAAAGAAAGTAAAAAGAAAAGAGGAAATAAAAAAGAAAAAGAAAAAAGAAAGAAAAAAAAAAAAAAAACCAATCCAATCAAGGGATTTCTCACTATCAAATCCCAGCACGAGCCACAGCAAGCCCCGGCAGCCCACTTGGTGACCCAAGGCAGCTAGTCGGCTCGTTAGTTCGTGACTGACCTGCTTTACCCCTCCCCACCCCCGTACTTCGCTGCCCTCCCTCCAAACATCACCATCGGTCGTCTTGCTGCTTTTTACGAGGTCCGACAACTATACTTAGGCCTGCCCTATTATCTTCCCTCCTCCGCCGTCTTCTCTCATTGCCAGCTCACCATCCTTCGGCCCGCACTTTCGTTGCTGAGCAGTCTTAAGCCGCCGCGTCCCCTCCCTTATCGCTGTGGGGTTTATCTACGGTGGGTATACCGCAAGAGCTAAAACGGGTCTCCTACGTAATGACTCCTTTGTGATGGCCTCGCTGTTGTGATTTCCCAATTCACTGGCTCATCTTTCATTGCTATCCAGGTCGTTCGATGTTCAGCGTTGCCTCCTGCCGCGACTCGGGTATGCTCTCCCCCCTTGAGAGCCGGTAGAAACCTGCCGTGCTTCTTCCCCGGCACTCTTTCCGATGCTAATGAACCGCAATGAATAGGCATTGCGTGCGCATGTTGATACACTCACATTAGAAGAGACTCGAGACTTGGATAATGTGTGATTGATCAACATTCCCATTAGAATCGGTGTTCATAAACGTTTTGGGAATTTCGTTACATATTCGATACCTCAGACCATACCAATCATCATGGCGACCGTTGTGGTGCAGCAGCAAACGCTGCGGCATTCGACTCCTCCACCTACGGGAATTTCCCCGGCATTGAGCCTCAACCGGAACTCATCCCCAATCCCCAATAAACATTTGCCGGTGTGCCCGACTGGTCCATCACCTGTCACCTCCCAGACCTCGTCTCCTGCAGCTAGAACTGAGAATGGCGACCAAACATCCTCGCTGCTCTATCCGCCAGATGCCTTCATGCAAATCTCGGATTCTCCTCGGTTCTATGCCCTTGAGCCCCAGCCGCTGGCTGCTGCCCTTGAATATCAGGCGTCTCTGCCGTTGCCGGATCCCAGCCAAGTCTTCCCGTGGTTGCATGGACTTCACCCCGAGAACCATCTGCAGCTGGGGTTCTTCACCAACCGAAAGCGCTCTCTTCGACGCACCCCGAACTGCTGGCGTGGTATTACCATCGTGAAAGTTGGGGGCGATTTGAGTAGGGCCAGGCTCAAGGGGGCCGTATCTCCTGCAGAGGTTCTTGCGCCGTCGGGGTTCGACTTCATCCCCGTGGATCCCCGCGAGGGATTTTCAGTGCGAAACTTTCAGATTCAGACTGCGAAGCTGGCGCCATTGTCTGACATTGTTGTCTATGGCGACGAAGATGTCAGTTACAGACAGCTTCTAGATGCCGCCGAACAATTTGTATCCGCTCAGACCCGCTGGAGGGAACAAGCTGATCCAAATTATACATTGCCGGTGTATAATACTTTTGTTCTGTCCTGTTAGTCTCAGTACCTGTTTGAGGTTTACCGGGCGCATTTGCTAAATCATTCCTTAGGCCCGTTCTCAGAACTTGAGCAGTCGACGCCAAGCTTGGTCGCAGTCAATTCTCGAGGCCAGCTGACAGGGCAGGTCATGGATTTCTGTGAGTTATGACATGGTTGTTTGGACCAAGCGAACTGAATCTGACATATGATAGTTCAATGGGAACGACTGGAGATGTGTGAAATGTCGCGTGCTTCGGAGTTCTCCCCGAACGTTTGGCAAGGCCCGACTCCGGATTTTCTACTGAGACCTGGTTCTTGCGACCCTACACCTGGCGACAAGTTTGATCTGTTAATCGAGACGAGCGATCATGCGAGCATCCCGGGTCCCCGGTATCTAGCTCGGCTAAACAAGCAGCTTAACGAAGCCCCCCAGCGATTGGAATTTCCTTCCTCGGGATCAATCCTATTGCCAGCGGGAGAGAACAGGGAGGTGGATGACCTTGTGAGCACGATTCGATGGATTTACTATCTGGCAAATCCAGAAGGGCCCGCCCATCAAACAGATTCTGATGGGGACATTCATATGACCTCCCATCCAAAAGGATCACGCCGGGTTCTTATGCATTGCCCAGATGGTTATACTGAGAGCTCTTTACTAGTCATCGCATACCTAATGTTCGCAGAAGGCATACCAGCGCATGACGCTTGGCTTAGACTCCATCGCGATAAGAAGCGCAACTTCTTTGCTTATCCCTCCGATGTCACCTTCCTAACAAATGTGGAACCGAGGTTGCTGCGCGAAAGTCCTGCAACGCGATCCCACAACCTGAATATATCTCCTGCTCCCGCATGGTTTGACCACTGCGATGGTTCCCTCCCGAGTCGCATTTTGCCATACATGTACCTTGGAAACCTAGCCCATGCCAACAACCCCGAAATGCTTTGGCAACTAGGCATTCGACGCGTGCTAAGTATCGGTGAATCCGTTACTTGGGATGACCCAGATATTGCCAAAATCGGCGCAGAGAACATCATGCACATCACTCGGGTTCAAGACAATGGCATAGATCCGTTGACGCAGGAATTCGATCGGTGTCTTGATTTCATTCGTGAGTATTTCAGCATGGCATCTCTTTACATTTCTAGGGATGACAACTGACTTATCATGTTTTTAGGCAAAGGAAAGCACGACGGGGCAGCTACATTGGTGCACTGTCGTGTGGGAGTTTCGCGATCCGCTACTATTTGCATCGCTGAAGTTATGGCTTCCTTGGGTCTATCCTTCCCTAGAGCATAGTAAGTCATGAATCTGCTTCTCGGACGAGGTTGTGTGCTAATACCTTTCACCAGCTGCTTTGTTCGAGCAAGACGGCTCAATGTTATCATCCAGCCCCATTTGCGTTTTGTGTAAGTGATATTTGATCCCAGGATGACATCCCTTCTCTCCCCACATTTGACTGACATCATCAAGCTATGAGCTCCTTAAATGGGAAGAATTGCAGCTGCGCAAGAACAACAAACACGTGAAAAGAGAACTAGAATGGACCACTGTGGCCCGTGAGATTGCGCTCATGAACAAACCCTACTCAAGGTAGCTACACGCCAACAGCTCCTGAACATCTTTTGGCATATTCTCTCATTCATGGCTGCCAGCCAGGGGTGACTTGTTTTACATACAACATTCCACTATTTGACGCAACAGAACCAACAGAACATTTCTTAACGACAATAAATATGGATACCATGAGCAACGAACGGGTACGACCGGGATGGATAATGAGCACTTGTTTCTTTCTTTAATTTTCTTCTTCTTTTGGCGTTCGAAGAATTCGACTCATTTGATTCTCTGATTACGCAAGTTTGACGGATCCATCTTTCTCTTCTGATTTTGGGGCGGCGTTTTGTGGCATGATTTTGTACCGGGATTTTCGTATCTAGGCATCCATTTTTCTTCATCAACCGGACTGACTGGTCGTGGGACTCGACTCTTTATTTATGGCTGATGTGTAGTAGGGATATCTGTTGTATGCTGTATAATCTCATTGTGATTATGATTGAACAACTGTGCGGGTTATCTGCGAAACGCTAGGTGTTGACTTCCCCTTCAGCGCCGCCTTTCGCTCACTCTGTGCCAAGCTGGATCAGACTTGCGACGGCTATAAACCCCATGCCTTTGGCTACATTTCATGGCAGCATCTGTATGGCAAGTGTCTCTATCTTCCATTGTGAACAGGTGCAATTGCGTGATATTATTGCCCTCTTTGCCCCAAAGCAATTGGAGTTTTTGTGGAGTGATCCAAATCGTCCGCCGTGCCCATACGTAAGTTCCAAACATTATGAGACACTATTTCATATAAATTCAATACGCCCTAATATCAATCAATCGCAGAACCACAATTTGGCTGAACCCAACAATCAATCAGATCACATGAAACAAATATGACTGACAATCAACTCAGTCTTTCTTTGCCCGCCCATACCCACTCTCCTGTTCAGCACAAATAAAGCCCATAATCACCCACTCTACCCACAAGAGTCAGCATTTGCTATTACTCGTGAACATCATACCACTCACCCGAGAAAGAGATCCTGGCGTCCGAATTGGCGTCCGAGAACTTGAAAAAGTCCGCGACTTGCTTCTGATTCTCGTCCTGGCAGGCGTCGACAAATTCCTTTGCAGAAACATACCCTTTTTTTTTTTTTTTTGACAAAGGTTAGCCCCTATCTCCGTCTCATCCCTCCCATACAAATTGTAACCTACCATTCGAGTCCTTATCCTGCGTGCGTCCAAAATCACCCAGAATTAGCCACGCTTAGCTTGAACCGCATGCATGCATACACACTATGACAAGCTTGACCATACTTACAGCACTGAAGAAATAGAGCAGCCAATCCTGGATCGCGTCCAAGGAGTATACAGCATTCTACCCGGAATCCGTTAGCAAGAGCCGAGGCGCGGGTTGGGATAAATTTGGACTCCAGACATCGGGATTTTTCTTCTTCAGGACTTGTTCGAACAGCGGCCGCAGTGTCTTTTCGGCCAGCTTCTCTTTTTCGGAGATCGAGCGATCCAGCTCCAGCTCTTTGATCTGCGCCAGCGCATTGTTGTAGACTTGGATGGACACGGCCATAGTGGTTCTTGTTCTTGTGCTTTTTGGGGGGTTTTTTCTGGCGGTAGAGGGATGGCAAAATGGGGAATAGTGGGTGAGATTACTTTCCTAAGGACAGAATCAAGAGAGGTCAATGCTGGATAGATGGGCTTTTTATGTTGACTTGTCGGTGGCTTGTCCAGTATAAACTGAGACCCCGCATCCCCCATCATTTCACATGCCATGAGATACTCACTCGTTGACGTGGCATACAAGATTAATACCCATGTTCTGGGACGATCTAGACATGCTCGCACCACACCCGACATATGTACAATGGGTAGTGGTCAACCTGCTGTCTCGGGTTCATCACAAAAGTCTATGCCTCGATGAGAACCCTGATCTCGAGGTAATAAAGCTAGGAGAAGCAGGTTCGAGACGATGAATCCAGTGGTCCTGCTCGAGATGATTAGAAAAGTACTTGACATCACAGTGTCTACACATCATTCTGCGGGTGGAGGACGCCAGTATAAACGTTGATGTGCGCCAAGTTGGACCTAAAGCGGAAGGGGAAAGTCGTTCCCGCGATTTCCTCAGGAATCCAGTTCGGTGGTATTACACAGCTAGATAAATCTACTAGTTACTAAGAAAGCTTCGAAAAGCATCTTCGTAGATCCTACTTTTTCTGGCGAATGTAAATCATACACCCAACGTTCGACACTGCCCATCACTAAATAACCCTTTGCATAATGTCGATATTACAAGTAAAGAATCGATCTGCTAAAGTAAAGCTGTAATGAATGTTTAACATCGCTCGAACACCCGATATAAGCCCTTGAGATCTGCTACCTCGACAACGCCCCGAAGAAGTCGTGTCGTGGCAACAAGACGGGCCCGAAGCGCTGGAAATACTACATGCTCCAGCATGCGAGTGATTTGCTGTCGGCGCTGCGTGATAGCTTCGTCCTCGTGAGAGTTCTGCGGTCTCACGTTCTCATCAGTATTATCTGTTCTTGAAGCCTCCTGCTGCTGCGCCGGGGACGGAGGAGTAGGCAATTGCTCTGGCGTATAGAAAGCGGCGAGTTCACGGAGGAATGTGCGGAAGCATTCGCCCTCGTTTGACCAGTCGACGTAGGGGCCCAGGCGGAGGAGGAAGCGCGGTAGTTTGGCCAGTGAAGGGAGGTATCCTTTCAGTAAAAGAGGGATTGTGAGGAGGTCGCCTTGTTCTGAGATCTGGAGGGAGAAATACTCGTTGAGCATTTCTCGGCGCTCGATGAGCGTCTTTGCGACGATGTCCGGGGCGTTGATGAAGATCTCTTTGGCTTCTTGTTCACGTTCTCGAGTCGGTTTCTTTTTCTGACGGGCGGCTTCGGATTCGTGTTCCTCGCGTTCGTTGTCCGCGGCAATTCGTAGTAGATCAAGGAGTTTGGGTGCTGGGTCTAGCTTGATGACGCCGAAATTGCCGAAATCCGTAAGGCCGACTTGGTAGAAGAACTCGCTGCAGAACATCCCGTAGTCGACTAGGTAAAGCTTCACGCCGGATTGTATAGCGGCCATGCGGCGTCGTTCGTCGACTAGTCCGACATACGTATGGGAAGCGATCGTTTCGGTCAGGTTGTTGTGCATCGTATTACGGACGTTGGCCCGTAAGGTTTTAACGGTTGTTAATGCGATTCGAATTGGTTCCCGCCCCGTCTTTTCGTATTGCAGTCCTTCATCGAGGACGCTGGGAGAGGCATTTTCTGCATCTGTGGCTTGATGGACTGCTGGTGATAGCATGGATGTGATCTTCCGAACTTTAGAGTCTGTCCGAACAAGATTGTGCTCGTATGGCTTTTTTGTCGTCGAGGGTGTCTTAGGGACTGATGTGCCAGCTTCTGTAGACTCATCGTCTTGCCCTGGAGGATCGAGAGACCTGACTCCTGGGAGAAGTGTCTGTGTTAAGAAGGTACGGCTTGAGTCTACTTGAGCCAACTTTGACCTGATCTCATTGCATATGGATTCGATGATCTCGTCCTCGTTTAAGAAATTCACCTCCCGCTTTGTGGGATGTACGTTGACATCCACTCGCTGTGGTTCAATTTCTAGGTCAATGTAAACGAAAGGATGGCCTCCTTTTGGTAAAAAGCTGGCGTAGGTCTGTTCAACAGCTCGCTTTACAGCGGTAGATTCGACGGCCCGGTGGTTGATGAAGAGAAGGATAGTAGTTCGTTTGACGTGGTAATTTGCGTTGGTGACAAGGCCCGACGACTGGAATCCCAAGTTGTTGTCCTCAATCTTGAATTCGACAAGTTCGTTGGCGACTGCACTTCCGTGAATTTGGCGGATCCGGTCCGTGGTATTTGCAACAGCTGGTGTCGAAATGCTCACGCCCGAATCCCCATGCTTGCGACAAGAAAATGCGACGCCGGCGCAGTGGACTGCGTAGCGGCCGACAACATCAAGGATTTTCGCGTACTCTTCACTCGCTGATCGGAAGGCTCGGCGTCTTGTTGGAACGTTGTAGAACAGATCCTCGACCTATTGCGCCATTAGCTTTAGTTATTCAAGCCTTAAAACAATTTCTCTATACTCACGGTGATCTGAGTTCCGCCTCGTCCAGCTGTAGCTTTTGGAGCTTCGCTTTGCCCTGGTTTAGCAGGGACAAGATGTCCATCGCCATAATGTGCCCTCCATGCACAGCTTGAACCGGCGGTCTTAGTGGTCACGGTAAGGTGGGCAATATGGCTTATACTGGCCAGTGCCTCACCGCGAAACCCGTATGTACCAATGGATGAAAGGTCTTCAAACTGTTTTAACTTGGAGGTTGTGAATCTCTCACAGAGAATGGGGAGGTCCTCTCGCTGTATGCTGATATTAGTGACACCAACCAAAAATCTATTCCGGCGTGTCTCACATCTATGCCATGACCATTGTCGGTGATTTGAAGTAGTTTAAGTCCGCCGTCTTTTACCAAGATCTCGACAGAGGTAGAGCCAGCATCAACAGCATTCTCAATAAGCTCTTTCAAAGCATGCATAGGCGCCACAATAATCTCTCCGGCTGCGATTTTGTTCACAACATCTGGATCGAGCGCCTGTTGCTGATGTAAGCCAGGGATTCACGACAGATGCCAATCGCCAGTAGGAACAGACCTTGATTCGCTTGGGTTTTAATGAAACCTCGGTGTCTTCGGCTGGTCGTTTCGTGCCCCGGGGATTTGGACTATCCAGATCCATACTAGAATCCATGACAGAGGCAGACCATTAAAACTAAGATGATTGTGTTGTAACTGTTTTCTCTGCTTGAATTGCGTACTGATAAACTTTTTGGTTCCCCAACAGCAGCTTCTAGAGAAAAGAAAGCGAGACCTTTGGTGGATGGAGATGATTCAGATTCCCAAACCCCGATGTATAAATCAAACGAGAACGCAGCAAGACGCGGAACGTTGGAGGAAGCGGTGGAGCCCGTGACTGATTCGCGACGGACCGATAAGCCGGCGATAACGAGGCAGGCCAAGCTTAACTCCTTCGCCCAGCCACGCGCCGAACCTCATGCCATCTTCTCCCTCGCGCCTGCAAATGGCATTTCCATACTTCACAGCTCTCTTGGGCCTGATTTCCTAATGCTCAAACCATGCTGCCTTCCAAGAGGCAGCTTCTGGCCGATGAAGAGCTCGGGAAGAAGGACGACGATCATCGACCGCGAGCCAACCGCGACCAGGTCTGGTTATCGAAACAATGGAAGCCTCCTCGTCGGCGTCGGTTCCTCTGGGGATTCCTTGTTTTGTGTCTGATATATTTGTTTCTCAGAAACTTACCGGCCGATCTTGCTCCTGCAAACGCTCGATCCAACCCCTACCTCTCCCAAGAGCGACAGCAGTCACCAATCACAGCATCCTTTCCTCCGCAGGAACCTCCCCCGCGAGATGAATCTGCGGAAGCCAATAACGATTATTATTACGAGGGGAAAATTAGGTTGGTCTCTTTGGCAAAGACGTTACAACGTTTCCAGAATCCTCGGAGTCGTTATGGGAACGCAGCTAGCGGCGTTGTCATGTTTGGCGCCGCAAACCTCAAAGCTGTGTCGGATTTACTGCCTCTCGCTTGTCATATGACACGCCAACAACTGAATGAAGTTCATTTCGTGCTCATGGGAAGGGATGACATACCAGTTGAGACAATACAGCATCTAAATGGCATAACGGATGTGGACTGTCCGATCAATTGGCATGGTTTGTCCAGACTATCCGAATTGCTGCGGGACTGGAGCACTAATTATTGAGCATGTAGATGCTCGACCGGACTATGCACAGTGGTCTACTGATCCTCGGATGGAGGAAGCTGTCCTGCTTGCTCTTGGCTATTTGCAACTTTATCTTCGTCCGCAGGTTATGATAACACAAGGGATGACACTAGAGGACTCGTTTTTCTCTATAGGGGTTGAATTAGCGGCCCAAAGACTTGGATTACCTCATATCGTGCTTCCTGGTTATGCTCAGGACTTAATGTGGATGTCACTTCTGGACAGCAGTGCTCTTCAAGGTAATGATTCAATGGTTTGTGGAATTGCCGAGTGGACGTTTTGCTTACTACTCTACAGCCTGGAACGAGCTAAAGATCGAAATTTTAGTCCAGGCTCCTTCGGGATCTTCTGGGTCTATGATCAGGTTGCTTCGCTCTTTGGAAGAAGCCGACTACCTTGGATCAATACCGGGCTTGGTCATTGAACTTCCCCAACATGTAGACCCACATCTCCTTCGATACCTACGCGAAATGAAGGGGCCCTTCACGTCGAATGAACAAGTAACTCTTCGCCGTCACATACAGCCACATACTTTAAAGCCGGCAGAGGCCTCTTTGGAAACTGTAGAGGCTTTCTATCCTAGAGATTCAAACACGTCACATGTCCTCATGATTTCGCCCCAGACAGAGTTGTCGGCGTCTTTCTACCACTATCTGAAGTATACTATACTAAAATATAGATACTCACGTGGCACGGGACAGTCCTCTCAGGATCTGTTTGGGATTTCACTTGAGCTCCCCTCCTCGCTCCCTACAAATGAAGAACCCTTCAGCCCCCGGCAGACGGACATCACCTTCATTGCTGACAAGAATTACGGAGAGACACTGCCCTTGTTTCTCTGGCAAGCCCCAAACAGCAACGCGGCATTGTATTTCGGGGACAAGTGGATAGAGCTCCATTCTTTCCTTTCAAGTCGCCTGACCCTGCAGGAAAGTACAGCCCACGATACCGCAGAGGAAAAAGTAATCTCAAAGAAATACCCGGCTGTGATGGAACATCTTCTCGAGCTTATGCGCGGGCGTGGATATTACATGCTTTACCCAGCGTTCGAAGTCAAAGGACCTTCACTGGTTACGGTTCACCACGAATTGTACCACGCACCGGAAGAATTCAGGCCCGATGCCTCATCAAAGCTGCCTGATCGTGAAGAGATAGATGATTTGTCTCGGCCACCCAAAGCGTCCGCGGAGAAACCCGTGAGTCGAGCTTTCACATTAATGCCTTTGTTGGACCAGTTCTCAATGAGTCTGCCTGCGATCGATACAATGCCCTTGCTGTCGTACACTGGTCACGAAACATCTCGCGCGGACTGGAGCCAAAACACCAGGAACTATGTAGAAGAGTTCAGGATTCGTCATGGTGGTTGCTCAACCCAGGACCCTGCAGATGCAACCCCGATGTCGTTGTTTTGCATGAACGAGGAAGACTAAAGGGGACAGAAAGAGTGAAACCACGACATATACATCATATATTCCAAAGATTTTGGACATTGGGAACCTTGAGGATAGTGGTTCCATGCTTTTCTATAGTAATCTTTCCCTCGGATCCAGTGGAAGACGAGGAACGACTGGGACTGGAACGCGGACATCCAATATCTTCTCACGATCTTGTAGACTCCACAGTAATTTTAAAGCCATTCGACATATTCCAAGTAGAGGAAAAATCCGCAACATGGAAGCATAGAATGCATGAATAACAGCGTCATCGTCGCTGCCATTTCTTGGCACGACCCTGTTACATAAGCAGGCGGAAGCTCCACAGGGAGCGCAACAACGCCCGAGCGGCGACGGGCGAGAGCTCTCTGCTTCCATCAACAAGCTTATGATTCATTCCCTGCCCCATCACCTGGTGCACAGAGACTCATTCTAATCGCTTTCTCGCCATCTCGATACTCCGCCGCTCTCTTTCTTTTCCCCTTTCTACCCCGAGTTTCCGATCCCCCTCAAGGACCTACTCGCCAGATACCCGTCAGAAATGGCGAAAGAAGGCGAGCGGTCAGCTCCCGCCGACAAGGGCAAGGGCAAGGTTGATGATGTCAAGGAGTTGTCTGGAGGAAAGAAGCCTCAGAACGAAGAGAAGCCGCAAGCAGATGGAAAGAAGCAGGATGAGGAGCCCCAAGAAGGTGAGAGCGTGCCTTTCCGATTCCATGCCCACTCCGGGAATTCTGAGGTTTGCTGACGTGTGGAAATCTTCCAGAGGAGCTCAGTGAGGAGGACCAGCAGCTGAAAAATGAGCTTGAAATGCTCGTCGAAAGGCTAAAGGTACGATTTCGCCGCTTACAATTATGACATGACGATGGATCGATGACGTTGACCCTCCTCTCTATCTAGGAACCCGATACCTCACTGTACGGTGCCGCCTTGGACGCGATTAAGACTTTCATCAAGACATCGACTTCTTCTATGACCGCTGTTCCGAAGCCTCTCAAGTTTTTACGACCATACTATGATGACCTCACGGCGCTCTATGACAAGTGGCAGACCGACTCAGTCAAGGTGGGATTTTCTTTTCTCGCTTACAAATGAATCAGTAGATAGGCTAATCGTGCCATGATTTGAACCTTACAGGAGTCGTTGGCGGATATGCTGTCGGTTCTTGGAATGACTTACGGAGACGAAGAGAAACTCGAGACGCTCAAGTACCGTCTTCTGACGAAATCGGAAGATCTCGGCTCTTGGGGCCACGAATATATCCGTCATCTCGCTTTGGAAATCGGGCAGGAATACCAGAACCGGTTGAACGCCGAGAAGGATGTGCAGGACCTCATTGACCTCGCGCTGTCTCTTGTCCCATACTTCTTGAGCCACAATGCTGAAGCCGATGCTGTTGACCTTCTGAGTGAGCTGGAGATCATTGAGGAGATCACCGGCTTCCTGGACGAAAACACATACTCCCGCGTTTGCCTGTACATGGTCTCCATGGTCAATCTCCTGACGTATCCAGAGGACCAACAATTCCTTCGCACCGCGCACGAGATCTATGTCCGTTACAAAGAACTCACCAAGGCCATCGTCCTTGCCATTCGCCTGAACGACACCGATCTTATCAAGAGCGACCTCAACGCCACGTCGGACCGATCGCTTAAGAAGCAGATGGCTTTCCTGGTCGCTAGACAGCAAATATGGCTCGATATGCCGGAAGAGGAAGAGGACGAGTCCTTCATGGAGTGCCTGAACAACACCTCGATTCCGAACCACTTTAAGTCGCTTGGGAAGGAGCTTAACATTCTCGACCCGAAAATGCCCGAGGATATCTACAAGACACATCTGGAGAGTAGCCGCGGCGCCGGCCTTACAAATGTCGACTCTGCAAGACACAATCTCGCCAGCGCCTTCGTTAATGCTTTCGCCAACTCTGGTTTCGGTAACGATAAGATGATGCTCGTTGAAGGTGATAAGGGCCCCTGGGTCTGGAAGACAAAGGACGATGGAATGCTGTCCACGACGGCCTCGATGGGTATGCTCATGCACAGAGATCCCGAAGGTGGTCTGGATAAGATCGACAAGTATACCTATGCTTCGGAGGAGCAGATCAAGGCCGGTGCGCTCCTGGGTATCGGTATCATTAACTCCGGTGTTCGTCTGGATTCCGATCCAGCCCTGGCTATCTTGAGCGATCCCGAGAACCTCGAGGCCAAGAGCGTGCCTATGCGAGTCTCCTCCATTATGGGTCTTGGCCTGGCTTATGCTGGTTCGAATAAGGAGGAGCTCCTCGAGGTTCTGCTTCCCATCGTTGAGGATGTTTCGCTCGACATGCAGCTTTCTGCTATGGCAGCTGTCTCCTTGGGTCTTATCTTCGTGGGCTCCTCAAACCACCAGGTTAGCGAAGCCATCGCCACCACGTTGATGGACGAGGAACGACAGAAGCACCTCAAGGACAAGTGGACTCGCTTTATGGCCCTGGGTCTGGCGCTTCTGTACTTCGGCCGTCAAGAAGAAGTCGACGTCATCCTTGATATCCTGAAGGCTGTCGATCACCCCATGGCCAAGCCCACTTCAGTCCTAGCATCTGTTTGTGCGTGGGCGGGAACCGGCACAGTGTTGAAGCTGCAAGAGCTCCTTCACATCTGCAACGATATCATTGAAGAGAACGATGAGAAGAAGGGCGATGAGCTTGTCCAGTCGTACGCCGTATTGGGTCTGTCGCTGATTGCTATGGGAGAGGAAGTCGGCCAGGACATGATCCTCCGTCAATTCGGCCACCTGATGCACTACGGTGCGAGCAACATCCGGAAAGCGGTCCCCCTTGCCATGGGCCTGATCTCCCCCAGCAATCCTCAGATGAAGGTTTATGATACGCTATCCAGATACAGCCACGATAACGACAACGACGTGGCTATCAACGCGATCTTTGCGATGGGTCTGTGTGGTGCTGGTACTAACAATGCCCGTCTGGCACAGCTGCTCCGACAGCTGGCAAGCTACTACCATCGCGACCAGAACTCTTTGTTCATGGTCCGTATTGCCCAAGGTCTTCTGCACATGGGCAAGGGCACCATGACCTTGAACCCCTTCCACACAGACCGCCAGGTTCTGTCCCGCGTATCAGCCGCGGGTCTGCTCACCGTGCTGGTGTCTTTGATCGATGCCAAGCAGTTTATTCTTGCTGAGCATCACTACCTTCTTTACTTCCTCATCACTTCTATGTATCCGCGATTCCTCGTGACGCTCGACGAAGATCTGCAGCCCCTCACGGTGAATGTCCGTGTTGGACAGGCTGTTGATGTTGTTGGACAGGCCGGACGCCCCAAGACGATCACTGGCTGGCAAACGCAAAGTACCCCAGTCCTTCTGGCGTACGGCGAGAGGGCTGAGCTTGAGGACGAGCAGTATATCCCTCTCAGCAGCACATTGGAGGGCTTGGTTATCTTGCGCAAGGTAAGCTATTCGTTTCCGACTCAGTGACATGAACCAAAGGCTAACATGAATTTCTAGAACCCTGACTGGGAGGCTCCGGCCTAAATGTGATGATTTTTAGATCTAGTATTGGTTGATCGAACCGAGTGCAGGGCGGCTCAAATGGGTATAAGTAGATCTAATGTATTCCGATCGAGTCGAAAATAGCATGCGCAAACTATAGTATGATAAATTCAACAAATTACCTTATTATTGTCTGCTTTGGATCGATTTTGCTCCAGGACCTTGGGAGCTGTAGAGACGCCGGACGGCCGAATCAGGAAACTAGGGCATAGGGCACCGCCACCCGTATCTTTTTCCCGCATCGACTTGTTGCGCCTCGACTTTCAGGACCAGTTCCCTTCAACAAGCTGCTCTTTTTGTCATATCCGCAGTAAAAGAGCCCAGATCACCATGAAGCTCGACCCCAAAGCCATCCGATATCTCACTTCTGAGGATTTCCGCGTGCTTTCAGCCGTATGCCGCCCCGAACCCCGCCTTGATGCCTGGACTATTGCATACGGCCCGATGCTGACCCAAGAATTCTTCTGCAGGTGGAAACCGGAAGTCGGAATCACGAAGTCGTCCCGACTCCTTTGATCGCGCAAATCTCCGGCCTTCGGGGTGGGAGCGGAGTGCATCGAGCCATTTCGAACTTGGCCAAGACAAACCTGATTGCGAAAGTGAAAAATGCGAAATGTAAGCGCCGCAACATACTTGAGATACAAGCAGTATGCTAATGCTGGGGCTTTACGTCGGATTTAGATGATGGCTACCGACTCACCTACGGCGGTCTCGATTATCTCGCCCTCAATGCCCACCAAAAGAACAAATGCATCTACTCCGTCGGAAACCAAATCGGAGTCGGCAAGGAATCAGATATCGTCGTGGTCGCAAACAACCAGGGAACGCAGCGCATCTTGAAAATCCACCGGTTGGGTCGTATTTCTTTCCGATCAGTCAAGACGAACCGGGATTACTTGCGCAACCGAAGCACGGGATCGTGGATGTACATGTCGCGGCTGGCAGCGATGAAGGAATATGCGTTCATGAAGGCCCTCCGCGAGAACGGATTTTCTGTACCGGAGCCCATTGCGCAGAACCGTCACACGATCGTAATGGGCTTGATCGATGCTTTCCCCCTCCGTCAGATCGCCAAGGTCCCTCGGCCGGCGCAACTATACTCGGAGCTTATGGATATGATTTTGAAGCTGGCGCGCTACGGACTGATCCACGGTGATTTCAACGAGTTCAACCTTCTTATCAAGGAGGAAGAGGACCCCGAAGCAAAGCGAAAGGCCCCCGCAGATGCAGAGGATGACGAGAACATCAAGCTTACTCCGGTCTTGATCGATTTCCCGCAAATGGTGTCGGTAGACCATGTCAATGCGGAGATGTACTTTGATCGAGACGTGAACTGCGTCAAGCGATTTTTCAAGCGCAAGTTTCATTTCGTGAGCGACGAGCCAGGCCCCTTCTTCGCCGACGCCAAGAAACAACTACGACAGAATCCCGGGAAGCGATTGGACGTGGATGTTGAGGCGTCTGGATTTTCGAAGAAGATGGCTCGAGAGCTGGAGGCATACATGAAGGAAGTTGGTGCCGACGGTGATGGAGAGGGTAGCAAGGAAGAAGGAAAGGACAGTGAAGATGAGGAAGAAGAAGAGGATGACGTGCAATCAGGCTCCGAGGGCGAGGCTGCCGGTGACAGTAGCGAAACTGAGCAACCCAAGGAGTCTCAAGCAGACGAGGTCCATGACAGTGCGCAAAAGCTAGAAAAGTTGCAGGTTTCGGAGTCGTCTGCGCAGTAGGGGCACTGGGATGAAAAAAATTCGTTGAATGATAATGACATGATGAGCAATATAGACTTTTAATTTCTTTTTCTTGTCGTCTACTTCTTCTAACTATCATTATGACTATGTTTGAAAAGAAAAGAAGAAACCAAATAATCAAAATAAATCGCTTCTATTGGCGTACAAAGTCGATTGTAGTATGTCCTCAGGCCTAGAAACCAATACGGCACGTGGTGCGGCCACCCGCGCAATTTTGCTCAAAAGTTCCGCCGAGCATCCATCCGATATTCCCAAGCAATCCTCTTTTTCTACAACAAACCCACCCACACCCTTCCCAGGTCCCTTTTTCTTCGCTCCATCGATTCAATTCGCCATCCCGGTGGCACAGGAGCCAAGATGGTCCGAAAATTCTCCAAGTTCCCCAAGAAGCCCGCGGGCTGGCTGCCTCCTTCGGCGCCGCTGTCCATGCGGAAGCAAATCTACCTGTACGCTCACCCCCGTACAAACAGACGCAGGACCCTCTTCTCCTCCCCTGCCCTGTTTCAACATAATCGTGTACTAATCATCCCAGTCCCGACTTTACAATCGCCCTCATGCGCACGCCTTACCTCCCGCCCCGATATGCCTCCTTCTACGTGCCGCTGAACTTCAACAAGCTCGACATCCGCGACTACCTCCAGCGTCTGTATGGCGTCGACGTGCTCAGCGTGCGAAGCTTCGTCGAGCAGCAGAAGGTCACGCGTTTGAAACCCAAGGACAAGTTCGGCTACGGAAAGTGGAGGAGGCCCATGTCGAAGAAGAAGATGACCGTCGAGATGAAGCAGCCCTTCGTGTGGCCTGAGACTCCGAAGGATATGGCTCCGTATGTTCTCCCCCCCTTTTTTTCACCTTGTTTTATGTTATGGTTTGTTGGGTCCGTTTGAGACGAGGGCCGGCGGGTTGTGGTTTATCTGATTGCTGCATTGCGAATCTGTATGGGAAACTGAGACTAACGAATGCGCGACAACCTAAACAGATGGGAGAACGAACAATTCCACCGCGCGGCCAAATACCAGAAGCAGCTCTCGGACTCGCAACGACCAGAGGCCGGCACCAAGCCGGACAAGGACGCCCGCGAGGCCTACGAACAAGAAGCGAAGAAGCTGCTGGACGGCTCGAAATCCTGGAGGCCGACTTGGCGCGCCCTGGGCCTCAGCTACGACCGCCCCGCGTTCGGGGTACCGAAGAACAACTCGGGCCCTGCTTCGAGCAGCTCGTAAGCTGGTGGATTGAGGGTCGTTGGGATTGTTTGTCTCGGGTGGTTGGTTGGATAGATTAGAAAAGCGGATTGGATCTTTTCTCTGGGCTGGGGTGTTGAATCCTTGGTCTTTTCTTTCTTTTTTTCTTGTTATGTGCTAATTGTCGACAATGTATTATATTCCATGTCTTATATAAAGAAAGACTTATCGAGAATTCTGAATAACTAGATTCACCGTCTGTGTTGAATTCATTGAAGCAAAAGAGAAGAGAGCTATTTACAGCTATCGAGACTGATGCCAGGTACATGCAGTCGACCATTATATTCACGTACTGGAATGAACACCAGGCCAAATGGGTTCCATCAGACGCTATGCAAAACCCACGAACAAGAAACGAGTGCGCTGCGCTGAAAGAAAGACGAGAGTTTCGAACACGAAAAAGACAAAGGACACAGCAGAGACCAATTTAGGAAACACAGAAGAGCACTATGAAAAGAATGAGGGGAGATTACAGGCGGCTCTCAACGAAGTTTACGTGGTGTTGGCCGGGCCAGTGAGCATCGGGCCACACCTGTTGGATGGCCTCCCAAATGTGCCTGTCATCGGGTTAGTTTCGATCAACACGGGATCGAGATACGATAAAGACTTACTTGACGTAGATAATCTCAAGGCCATCACTGACTTCCTGCGGAACGTCCTTGACATCCTTGCGGTTCTGGTAGGGCAAGAGAACGGTCTTGACGCCTGCGCGCAGTGCCCCGATAAGCTTCTCCTTGATACCGCCGACAGGCATGACTCTTCCTCGAAGCGAGACCTCACCGGTCATTGCAAGCTGGGGAGGAACAGCCTTACCGGCGAACAACGAGATCAACCCGATGGTGTGTGCGAGTCCCGCAGACGGGCCGTCCTTCGGGATAGCTCCCGATGGGCAGTGGACATGCAGACTCCGGCTCTTCATGATGTCCTCGTTGGGATCGGGAGTCAGTCCGAGCTCATAGGAGTGTGCCTTGACCCATGTGAGAGCCACTTCCACACTCTCCTTCAGAACGTCGCCCAGCTTTCCGGTAAGTTGTACACGGCCGTTTCCTGGCATGTCCGCAACCTCGATGAACAAGATACTGCCTTGTCCTCCGGTGGAATAGGCGACGAGGCCGGTGACAACACCCGGGCGACCATGCTTCTCGGCGATCTCTTCATCAAATCTCTCGATTCCGAGGATCTCTTCCAGATCATCAAGAGTAACAACGGGGTTGTAGGTTTCAGTACGGCCCGCATCCCCTGCATCTGCGTACTGAACGGCCTTATGGCGGCAGATTGAGCCAAGCTCGCGTTCCAGGTTGCGCACTCCGGACTCGCGCGTGTAAGAAGTAATCGTTTTGTCGATAACATCATCGGAAAGGACCACCTGGCCGTCCGAGAGTCCGTTAGACCTCACCTGCTTAGGAATCAAATGTCTCTTAGAAATGTGTCGTTTCTCGACCGTAGTGTAGCCAGACAGCGTAATTGTCTCCATACGATCGAGCAAGGGAGCAGGAATAGTATCAAGCGAGTTGGCAGTGGCGATGAAGAGCACCTTGCTCAAATCGATAGGAATGTTGATATAATGGTCGGAGAAGGAATGGTTCTGTTCAGGGTCCAAGACCTCAAGCATAGCTGCAGATGGATCGCCTTGGAAGTTGGCACCACCGACTTTGTCGATTTCGTCAAGCAAGAACACCGGGTTTGCAACGCCCACTTTCTTCAAGCCGCCGACGATCAAGCCCGGCATGGCCGCAACGTAGGTCCTCCGATGACCTCTAATCTCAGCTTCATCACGAACACCACCCAGGGAGATTCTATGGAACTTGCGTCCAAGCGAAGTGGCCACGGACCTTGCGAGACTGGTCTTTCCAGTGCCAGGAGGACCAACAAGCAACAGGATCGGCGACTTGTCGGTCATACGCCTAGACTTCAAAAGATGCAGTTTCGCTTCAACGGCGACACGGTCTGCCTCTGAGAGGGTCGGGGGTGCCTTTTCGAGGTCTCCCCCGTCCGCCTCCTCAAGGTCCTTTGTCAGCGCAGCAATTTGCCGTTCGACATCCTGATTAGTTGACTGCTTGAGTCTCAACACAGCCAAGTACTCAAGGAGTCTCTTCTTAATCTTTTCCAGTCCGTAATGATCATCGTCCAGCTGCTGTCTGGCCCTCTTCAGAGTTTCGGGTCCAAGTTGGTCTTCGGTGACTTTGGTCCATGGAATGTCCGCAATGTTCTCCAGGTACGTCCGGCATACCCCGTATTCCGCGTTTGCTGGGTTCATCTTCCGAAGACGTCGTAGTTCTTTGTCCGCAATCTTCCGAGCTTCGGGGCTGAGCTCAGCCTCTTGCAGCTTCTGCTGGAGTTCATCAACTTCGTTCGTCTCTTTCTCATCACTGTCGCCGTTCCTTCCACTCGCCGCCGTTCCTGGAGGCGTCATGCCGGTAAGACCTGCCATGGCTCGCCTCGCCAGAAGCTCTCGGTCACGTGGATCGATCTGATTGATGTCGAATCCGGATTGAGGGAAGCTATTCGTCGAGAAGGTGGTTACTTTGACGGTGCTCTTGATGTTCTGGACTTGTCTGCCGAGCATTTCGACCACCCTTTCCAACCTGGTTCTCAAGTCCAACGACGAGAGAACCCGGAGCTTTTCTTCGAAGCTTGAGTCAGCAATATCGGCCATGAAATCCGCGAGTCTGCCGGCCTGGGAAAGGTCGGTTTTGGAAATAAACAGCTCGAATTTCCGGGCAATCAAAGGCGACAGGCGAGTTGATGGGGAAGGCAGTAGCGAGGAAAGGCGTAGCAAAGTAAGAAGTTCGCGCGAAAGCTGCCTTAACTGCTGGAACGATTCGGCGGTTTCTGCATCGTTTGTAATGGAATCTGTCACGATTGATGAGCAAAGCACTAGGGACATTGGATGGTGGCGGAATAAGCGAAAAGAAAGGCACGAACCCTTGTCATCATAGAGAATTGCCTCTGCTTCGAAAAAGGGTCTTTCCCGAGTGACCCGTCTTATAGTGAAGCGCTGGACTCCCTGGACCACTAGCGACGCCTCGGAATAGGCGCGGCGCTGGACGCCAACCACCTTTCCAACGGTACCGTATCGGAAGAGGTCTTCCTTTCTGGCCTGGCCAGCATCAACCATGTCATATTCCTCCTTCTTCTCATCATCCAAACTTCCGTCGTCGATGAGATGTTGGCCATCTTTGCTTAGGAACGGAGAGCCAAGAGGAACACATCCAAACGCGATGGTGTTTCCATCACGCTTTCCCGGTGGCGTCCGATCCAGGAGCGACGACAGAAGATTGGAAAGATCGGGGCGATTGGCGACAGGAATGCGCAGTGTAGCTCCCGGGAGCAGAACCGAGCCTTTGGGGAGCGGCACCAAGGATAGCTTGGTAGTCCTGGCGTTGTTGGAGCCCATCTCAGTCTACCACGCCTGTGCGAGAGATTGATAAAGGGCTGTAATAAAAAGGAAAGATGGTGTTTTGATCGATGCTGGGGGACGTGAGGGGGTGTAGAGGGGATCCACAGGGAAACAAAAGAGGGGGGAGGAGTCGAAGGTTATAAAGGCTGAGCAAAGGACGGGGGGAAGAAAAGGTTCCAGAACCCCATAGATGAGGCGACTCTGGGGAGGCGATCGCAGAGATAAGCGGTCTTCCGATGCCGAGGTTCGCCTACGTCAGTCCGGCGTCGGTCAGGCAGTGATGCCGCTGTCGAGTCGGCGTGACACGGCCTGTACTGAATCCTGCAGCAAGTGGATATTTCTCCGAGCAATTCAATTGCCCTAAAAGTAACAATAATACCAAAAGATTGAAGAAATCCGGGCCTCGCAGGGCCTCCGATGGAATCAGAGCAGCCGGCACAGGCCATCCCGTGATCGCCGTAGTCATCAATACCGGTAATTTACCGCCGTCGTATGACTCCGGCTGCGGAACTCTCTCGGCTTCATTGATTTGATTTTATCTCCGCTTGCGACTGCTGTCGGTCTTGGATTCCAGCAACTGTCCTTTCGCCGTTTATTCGCAATTCCTGTGCGATCCGATCTCTCTGAAACTCTTTCCCCTCTTTTCCCTCTGGTCCCTCTTGGCTCATCTTCCCCCTCATCCTCATCATGGCCTCTGCCCCGCCCGCCCCGCGGAAAACCTTCACCATCGGAACGCGCAAGTCGAAGCTTGCTCTGTCGCAGACCGACCTGGTCCAGAATGCACTGCAGGCAATCTGGCCAGACCACACGTTCAACATCCATTCGCAGGAGACGGCCGGAGACCAGAATACCACCATCGCCCTCCGCGATTTTACGACCAAGAACCTATGGACGCAAGAGCTGGAGGAGCTGCTGATCGCTGGAAAGGTGGACTTTATTGTTCACTCCTTGAAAGGTGTGTCTTGCAGATTGACAATGTTGGACAACCTGTACTGATTAGACTGGATGTCACTAGATGTGCCCACCCTCCTGCCCCCCACCTGCACCCTGGGCCCTACATTGAAGCGCGAGGATAGCAGAGATGTTCTAGTGATGAAGAAGGGCCTGCCGAACATGAGTCTGGCGGACATGCCCGCAGGGTCCGTGGTCGGAACTTCCTCGATTCGCCGCACCGCCCAGCTGGCTCGACGATACCCTCACCTGAAAATCATGGATGTCCGTGGCAACATCGGCACGCGGTTGGCTAAGCTGGATGCGGAGGATGGACCGTTCACGTGTATTATTCTGGCTGCCGCCGGTCTGCTCAGACTGGATCTACATGACCGCATTTCCCAATATCTTGATTCGAAGAACGGTGGAATGCTGTATGCCGTTGGACAGGGTGCCTTGGGTATTGAGATCCGGAAGGATGACCAGGTCATGCATGATATGTTGAAGCAAATCTGCGATATGGATGCCACATATGCTTGCTGGGCCGAGCGAAGCTTGCTGCGAACCCTTGAAGGTGGCTGCAGTGCTCCGCTGGGTGTTGAAACCGAGTGGATTCAGCTGCCCGACGGATCCAAGAAACTGAGAATGCGGTCTATAGTTGTCAGCGTGGACGGCAAGGAAGATGCGGAGGTTGAAATTGATGGCACCGTCGACTCGGCAGAGTCGGCAGAGGAGTTCGGTGTTTTAGTGGCCAAGGAGTTGGTGGCCAAGGGAGCAGGCAAGATCTTGGATGACATTCAACGAAACAAGCAGACGTCTGCTTAAGTTGTTTATACTACAGAACATATGATTTCCTCATCGACAACATCGAAGGAGGTGCTGGTCTTCTCCCCGATGTATGTGATCAGAGGGCCACGATTTAGATACATACCTCTACAAGGGGAAAAAAATGAACATACTGTTCGAGGTCATAGATGACTGTCTATCATCTATGCACTGGTTGAATTTTGCTCAGTCTATACACCGAGAAATCCTCCAATAGTAGGTTCGCTCCTTTAGTATTGAAAAAAAAATGCATGCGGTAAATATGTCTTCAAGTCCACAATAATCGTAAGAAAATCATCTCTTCCATCATAATCAGACATGAAACAGCACCGTGACTCTCGTTATGTATCATTAGCCTCTGTTCAAGGTATTTCCAGACCCTCTAGGATTCGCTTCCTTGTATTCGTCCCAGGCTCTTGCCTTCATCGTTTCTTCATCAGCCCTATCAAAATCATCCTCGTCAACTTCTGGCTGAATACCCGAGCTTTCTCCACCTTGAACAAAGTTGCCTCGCCTCTTCTCTTCGTCGAGATATTCATCAATCGTCATGGTGGGCAAGTTATGGCTCGGACGGAAAACCCCCTGCTGAAGCTGGGTCCGGCGATCGAGTAACGTGAATGGTTGCATTGGCTTTCCTTCCTTGCTCAAGATTGGTCCGAACCTGCCGCCTTGTAGAAGTTGAGATATCGGAGGGTCCAGTCTGTCCGAGTACGTCGAACGGCCTGCGGTATTCCGGCTTCTCGGGTCATCTCGCTGGGTTTGGTCGGGATTGGGTGCCATATTGCGCACACTCGATAGCATGGTAAGCTCCTGCGAGATAAGATCTAGTGATTGGAAGGTCTGATGGATATATAGGTGAATCTCCGCGAGGTAAAGCTGCCTAACGTCATCCTCGTCACTCTGAAGTTGACCTTGGTTATTCGATATGTACTTGAGACAACGTTAGTAAAGCTCAAGCTATTAAGAATACGTCCAGACCTACCTCGAGTCTTTGTTTCAGCTCTTTCTCCTCCTTGAACCGTGTGATCTTGACTTCTCTTCGGGTGGCAGCGTCATTGACGGGGGTCAAGGAGAACGTGGACGGGTTCTCGGTGTATCGTTCGTAAAGCTTTTTGTTGCTGTCGTTGAGCAGTTCGTAATCATCCAGGCGGGTAAGGTATCGCTCATATTGCTGCAGGGCACGTCGGAGACTTGCTTCGCGGTCGGAGCTGTAGGATCTTTGCACAAGGTCGGCCAGATGATAATCAACCGTCAGATACCTAAACCACGAGAATGGAATTAGCTCGGGTTCAAAATTTATGGGGTTTTGCAAGGCCGTATTCACTGTAGATCTCCGGTCGTAATGTCTTCCAGGGGTTCGTTTGAGCTGAACAGAGATAGCAAGCTAACGAGTCGGTGGCATTCCTCGAATTTGGCTATTGTCGCGCTGACATCATTGCGATACTGGTCTGTATTGGTGTCAGGACGGACCTCCAAGGCGGTCTTCTCCGCCTTGGCCTCATTGAAAAGAGATCGCAGATTCTGGGGTTGTTCCATTGCAGACATTGTGCTGATAATTCCTGGGATGGCTGCAAGGAACAGCTCCGTTGGAGAAATTCAGCGCAGAAATGTTGGATCCGCCCCGCACGCCCCGCCATCAGCGCTTCGGCAGTTGTCGAGACTCCATCGCGTATACTCCGTTTCTTCCCATCTTCATCTTCTCTCTTTGCAGCTCAGCTCTGGCAGGGATGGCACGGAGATCAAGGGCAAGGAAATAAACTTCAATACCTAGGTATCATTCGTACAAAATGAAACCAAATAAATGCCTTTGCGGTTATTGTCTCACAGCATATTTGTCCCCGCGTTTGCAGCAGCGTCCATCGTAAAAAGCAAGTAGTTGTGTCCTTGTCCTCCTCTACTTTCTCATTCACTTCTCATCCGAGTTCTATTCCCACGTTTCTACTTTTATTAGTCTTCTTCTTTTTTCATCTCACATGAACAACCAGATCTTAATCACATCATCTCATTCGATCGCAGAGAGTCATTTGTATTGCCTCAAGAATGGAGGCACCCGTGCCATCTCCTCGATCACAGGACCAGAAAGACCAGGCACTATTACACTCTGGAGATGCCTCCCTTATTTCCGACGGAGTTGCTGAGAAAGATGACAGCTCTTCAGATGAATCGCACGATGACAACAATGACGAAGGGTCCAGTCATAAACATATCACCCAACGCCGAAAGCATCAGAACGCAACATTTGAAGCATTGTAAGTCCTCTTCATATATGGAATGACCTGTTTTTGACAGTCATTTAGACTTTCCCAACGAGTCGACCTCGATTCGATCGAAGAAGCCCGACCCGCGATCCCGAATGTGCCAGACGCCGAGCTCTCCACGGCTCACTTGGTAGCAAAGCAAGATCTTGGAGCTGGTCTCTTAGACCCAAGAGAATACCAAGTGGAACTTTTCGAAAGGGCCAAGTCCCAGAATACAATCGCCGTTCTTGATACTGGTGTGTCTCTGCATGTCCTGGCTTTTTGCCGGCAAGACTGACTGATGGTAATCCAGGATCTGGAAAGACATTGATAGCCGTACTATTGCTGAAGCATATCATACACAATGAGTTGATTGACCGCGCGGCTGGCAAACCTCATCGTATATCGTTCTTCCTGGTATTCTTTTCTTTTTCTTGATCTGCGCGACATTCGAGCCGCGTGTATATTAACTCATCGATAGGTGGACAGTGTGACACTCGCATTTCAACAGGCCGCAGTTTTGCGCAATAACATAGATCAAGATATAGCCCACTTCTTTGGGGCCATGGGAGTTGATCTCTGGAGCAAGCAAACTTGGGATGAGCATTTTCAAAAGAACATGGTCATAGTCTGTACAGCAGAGATACTGAATCAGTGCTTGCTGAGCTCCTATATCAAGATGAACCAGATAAACCTGCTTATTTTCGATGAAGCTCATCATACAAAGAAGGATCACCCCTACGCGCGGTTCGTGTCTTTATTTGATGCATTTTGTCAAGTCTAATCTTTTCCAGAATCATACGGGAATCATACCTCAAAGCAGACCCTCTGCTACGTCCTAGGATCTTCGGAATGACCGCTTCACCTATAGATACCAAAGGAGACATCATAGATGCCGCGGTGTTTGTGCGCCTCCATGTTGGAGTGATATCGACTAACGTATTTCAGGTCCCTCGAGACTCTCCTGGACAGCAAGATTGCCACCACATCGAAACCAAATCTTTTACGGCAGTTTGTCTATCGACCGGTGGAAAAGACTTGGGCCTATGATAAGCTGGGAGCACCATTTGCAACCACGTTGTACAAAACCATGGAGGATCGCTTCGGCGACATTGCAGCTCTAGAATGGATATTTAGATTTGCTCGTCTGGCAAGTTCTGAGCTAGGGAAATGGTGCTCAGACCGAGCATGGTTGCATGCACTGGCCGATGATGTGCTACCGAAACTCGAGAGCACAGTTAGCAAGCCACTACAACCAGGTAGCTCGTCACAGGTCCCTGAAACTGCATATAAGGAAATCTCGCGGATCAAAGAGGCTAGTGAGATAGTGAAGAAACACACTTTTGGGAGCCCCAGTTTGCCAGGCGAATTGAGCCCAAAGGTGCAGCTCCTTCGCGATGAACTGAAAGCATGCTTCAGCCACTCGGCGGAAACAAAATGCATAGTATTCACAAAGAAGCGCTACACCGCCAGGATGTTGTTTGAGCTTTTCACAAAACTGGAAATCCCATTTATTCGACCGGGGGTCCTCATAGGGGTGAGGTCCGGTGATGTGGCAGGCATGAATGTGACTTTTCGGCAACAGTTCCTTGCGCTGGTCAAGTTCAGAAATGGAGAGATAAATTGCTTGGTAAGAGCCTTTGTTTTATCCTGGAAGATGTTCGCTGATGAGTAAGTTTGCTACTTCTGTGGCAGAGGAAGGCCTTGATATTCCGGACTGCAATTTGGTTGTCAGGTTAGCCCCTCTTGTGACGTTTGTTTCCGAGCAATTTACGCTAACTGGAAAGGTTCGATTTGTACAACACTCTCATTCAGTATGTGCAGAGTCGAGGTCGTGCACGCCATCGGAGTTCGACCGTAAGAAACTATACATGCCGAGTGGAGAACAAGTTCTGACCTACATGTCCACAGTACGCAGTCATGGTTGAAAGGATGAATAGCGCCCATGAAGAACTGCTGGAAGACACTCGAGCAGCTGAAGTCAGACTTTACACCCCTTTCAATCATCTTACAAAATCTAACGGCGTTATAGAAAATCATGCAAAACTTCTGCGAGACCCTCCCCGAGGACCGTATACTGCGTGGGACCGACTCCGACTTAGAGTCGATTCTTGAGAAAGCTGAGGGAAAGCGAACTTTTACAATCAAAGCAACAGGGGCAAAATTGACCTATCATTCGTCCATCGATATTCTAGCACGCTATGCTAGCTCTCTGGTACGTCAGGCGTTCCTTGGACTGCTAGTAGTCTACTGACACGGCTTTTTACGGTAGCAATATGAGAAAGATAGCCTCGCCCAAGCAATTTATGTCGTCCTTCCTGTGCACAATACATTTGTTTGCGAGGTCATTCTCCCCGAGAAATCTCCAATTCGAGGACTCACCGGTAGTCCTGAAATGAAAAAATCCACCGCAAAACAATCTGCAGCTTTTGATGCGTGCCTCATGCTTCGAAAACACAAACTTCTCGATGACTATTTCCATTCAATCTATCACAGACGCCTACCTGCCATGAGAAATGCGAAACTGGCCATTACGTCCAAGCGTACAAACCAGTATGCCATGTTGCCAAAACCTTCGCTTTGGAAGAAGCAACAAGGAACTATGCCATATCAGCTTTTTGCTACAATCATTACCTTGGCTCCCTCAAAGACTCTTAGCCGAGGCCATGGAGGTCTAGTATTCTTAACTCGCCAAAGAATGCCAAAGTTTCCTCCATTTTCTATCTTTCTAGACGACGACATCGAGACTACGCTTAATTGCGAGCCCCAACAAGAAGGTCTGACAGTATCTCTCGAAGATGTGGAGTTACTGACAACATTCACGCTTCGTGTTTTCCAAGACGTCTTTAACAAGGTGTATGCGCGAGAGGCCGAAAAACTCCCGTACTGGCTTGCTCCAGCAAAACTAGACGGTGCATCAGTGAGTGCCAGTGATCGGAATGCGGTTGACTGGGATATATTATCGTTCGTCAGTGAGAATGAGGAGATCTTGTTCCCTGACAATGCGGATCCAAAAGCTCTGCTGAATCGCTTCGTGTATGATAAATGGGACGGGCGATATCGGTATTTCAGCATAGCCATTGACGAGACGTTGTCTCCATCAAGTCCGCCACCATCATTCGTGCCCCATCGCAGACACATGAAAGATATCATGAACTATACATTAAGTCTTTCAAAGAATTCGCGAGCTTTGTTTCTTTCCAAATGCAAATGGGATCAGCCAGTCGTGCGAGCGGAGCTAGTGCGTCTACGGCGAAACCTTTTGGATAAAATGACGGAAAAGGAGAGGGATATCAAAACTCGATGTTACATTTGCATTGAACCACTGAGAATTTCCGCAGTGAGTCTACCTTGGTATTATTACTGTGCTCTCATATACATTTGTTAACAGGCTACCGATGATCTAGATTCCAGCGTCAACTGCAGCTTCCTGCCTTGCTTTTCCTGCGATTCTGAGCAGAATGGAAGCATGTTTGGTTGCGCTCGAAGCATGTGAGAAGCTAGAGCTGGCTGTAAATCCAGAGTATGCCCTGGAAGCGTTTACCAAGGACTCTGACAACACAGAAGAACACCGGGCCCTCCAAATTCATGTCCAAAGAGGCATGGGAAAAAATTACGAGCGCCTTGAGTTCCTAGGCGATTGCTTCCTTAAGATGGCTACATCCTTATCTCTTTTCATACAAAATCCTGATGACGATGAGTTCGATTATCATGTGAATCGCATGTGTCTTATCTGCAACAAAAACCTTTTTAACTCGGCGACGAAGAAGGAACTGTACCAGTACATCCGCAGCCGAGGGTTTTCAAGGTATTTAACTAAACATGATTAGGTGATTTAGACTAATATTTCTGTTTCGAGGCATACGTGGTATCCTGATGGTCTGAACCTTCTTCAGGGTAAGGATCATAGTAAGAAGGTTTCTTCCGAAGGCAAGCATGCACTTGGCGAGAAGACGATTGCAGATGTTTGCGAAGCAATTATCGGGGCTTCATTGCTCTCCGGTGGCGTTGAGCATCGATTTGATGTTGCTGTCAAAGCAGTGAGCGCATTGGTTGACAGCAAAAGTCACAGTCAGTCATGTTGGAGAGATTACAACGCCTCATATACGATTCCCAGATATCAAGCCCAACAGCCTGATGGGTTCGAAATTGACCTTAGCCAGAGGGTAGAGAAGAAACTGGGTTACAGCTTCAAATACCCACGACTTTTGCATTCGGCCTTTACTCATCCCTCATACCCTTCCGCGTGGGCTAAAGTACCGTGTTACCAGAGACTTGAATTTCTAGGCGACTCGCTCCTCGATATGGTGTGCGTGGAAGACATATTTCACCGATTTCCCGACCGAGATCCTCAATGGCTCACAGAACATAAAGTACGTTTGCTTGTCAGAAGATTCTAGATATAAAAATGCTGATCATAATTTTCTAGATGGCAATGGTGTCGAACAAGTTTCTTGGTGCTCTTGCGGTCAAGCTAGGGCTTCATACACATCTGAAACATTTCAGCAGCCCCTTACAGTCGCAAATTACACACTACGCGGAGGAGATACAAACTGCTGAAAATGAAAGCGAGGGAGCAGTAGATTATTGGATCGTCACCAAGGATCCACCCAAGGTATGAATCTATCCGCTGCCGTGCTGTTCCCTCTGCTAACGTAGCATGTTAGTGCCTTCCCGACATGGTTGAAGCATATCTTGGAGCTGTTTTTGTGGATTCAAATTTCACTTTCGAGGTGATAGAGGCGTTTTTCGAGCGTTTCATCAGGCCTTACTTCCAGGACATGGCAATCTATGACACTTTCGCCAACAAGCATCCTACGGTAAGATATCTTGGCAACCTTGAAACAGAAACCACATGCCTCGGTTGTTTTCTTATTTATTTCTTTTGTCTTTTTTTAATTATCATTACCAAGAAAACCCTTGCTTGTGGAAATAATGACTAGGGTTAGACGTTTCTGCATAACAGATTGACCAACGAATTCGGTTGTATCAACTATTGTCTTAAGGCAGGTGAGATACCCGCTGGAGATGGGGGCCCTGTCAGCGTTCTGGCTGCTGTGATCATACATAATACCGTGATTGCCGAGGGAACAGCCTCATCAGGCCGCTATGCGAAGGTTAAGGCGAGTGAAAAAGCACTGAGCGTCCTCGAAAATACTGGGGTCCATGAGTTTCGCGCGAAGTATCGTTGCGACTGCCGAGCAACTGATAGTAGCGGTCAGAGCGTGGACATCGGAACTGCCATATGATGGTTTTTATTGTATCTAGGCATTCGTGCTTCAGGAGATGTAAATCCAGACTGATTAAACCAGGTAGTACCACGGTTGAGCAATTACCATAAGTTCAGTCATGAATCTGTAAAGTGATGGCAAGTAGTATATATACAGCCAGCATGCGAGGTTAGTAGATGGCATTTTAGTATGACAGAATGGCGGGTAGTCGGTGCAGCCTTAATATGCTGTAGGACCAGCCACAATAGGAGCTTCAGTATATCATTAAGTATCCCATACTCACCGAGTACGCATACTGCCATACTCCGTGATGTCAGGAACCTGCACGGGAGCGACGCTGAGGGAGCCGTGGACCGCCTGGCCGTTGTCTGGCGCTAGTCCTGTTAGGGTATAGCGCATCTCCCCCTGAAGTAGACCGAGAGAAACGCGTCCCGCTGCATTGGACACCGATCTATCGACCTGGAGCAGGGTAAGAGTGCAACAAAGGGACATAGACCATGACTATCTGACCTCCGACCGGTCCTTTCATTTACTACTCCTTTTAATCTGCATATAGCTCCCACTTCTTCTCTTCTCTGTTTCTATTTCTTCCGCCCTCGTGGAGATCCCGACATCCGAGCGAACGTCGCGACCGGTGTGCTTGCTGTCAACATCGCAGCAGCCTTTCCTCCCCTCCTTCCTTCCCTCCATGATCAACATCGGCCGCCCTCATTAGATTATCGCAAAGATGGAGATCGCCTCTCATGGGGTCTCTAACGGCGTCGCAACGTCTACCCCGACATCCCTGGTAGATTCAAGCGCCGTCATACATTATTTGACCGAAGTCTTGCAAGTGACCTTGGGAGCTCTGAAAATTGAGCTGGAAGGCGCTGGTAGCTTGCTATCCAAGGAAAAATATGAAGAAACGGTGCAGAGATGTACGCGATTCGCATCGGAGTCTCAGGTGGCTCTCTATGTGCAGAAGGATATTGTCGGATCGGATGTGACCAACGGCGCAGATGATGGTGAAGGTAGGTTTATTCCGATGACTCCGTTCAACCGCTTAATGTACGAAGGGGTTAACCAGCTGTAGCATCGTCGACCCAGTATGTGTATAACATTTCCACCGAAATATCCTCGTCCTCTACCACGGTCGCATCCGTCGCCTTCATAAAACGTCCGGCCTCCATCGATCCTACGCTTCCGATCTCCTCCCAGATTCAGGTGATGAACCTTCCAGGTTTGGCATCACTCAACACCCAAGCCCCGCAAGGCGGATCTTTGTCTCCGTATGAGATTCTGCATTTGCTGGTCCACCATGCCCTCAGCCCGTACTTCGAAGCCAACGCCCGGAACCAGGATGCCATGGGTGGTTTGAAGCCGAGGACGGACACGGAGGTGAAAACCGGTGTTCCGGGGACGAAGAAGAAATTTGCGGAACTGGAGCTTGGCTTGTTGCATTTGCAGCAGAATGTCGAAATCCCAGCCTTGAACCTGCCGCTTCATGAGGTCGTTCAAGCCGCCCTCGCGGAGGCGGAAAGACGACGAACAAGACCTTCTGTGGAGCTGGTCGACCCGAAGGTACTCGAAAGTAGCACCTTTATCAACAGCATCCAGAACAATGTGAATGCCTGGATTCGATCCATTCAGACAATTACGAAGATGTCCCGTGATGCCGATAGCGGTTCGGCAGCGCAGGAAATCAATTTTTGGTTGTCGATGGAAACTGCTCTCGAGGGAATTGAAAATCAGTTGCGCGGAGATGGTGTTCAATTGACCATGGATATCCTACGCCATGCGAAGCGATATCAAGCGACTCTTAGTTTTGTGGCCGACACTGGTTTGCGAGAGGCAACAGACTTGGTTCAGAAGTACAACCAGCTCATGCGAGATTTCCCTCTAGACGAACTCTTGTCCGCCACTACTCTGCAAAAGGTGCAAGAATCTTTGAGTTTAATCTTCAATCACCTCAACAAGAAGTTGAAGATTTGTCCCTATCCGATCAAGCGAGCTCTTGCGCTTGTCGAAGCCATCTCGGGAGACCTCGACACTCAGATCCATACTCTCCTGCATGGTAGGACCATCTTGCATCTAGAATACCGCGAGTTTCGTTCCTTGATGAAGACTGCTGGCGCTATCTGGAGGACTTGGGATGAAAACCTCAAAGAGTTCACCAACGTTGCCCGAGATTCTACGAGACGTCGAAATGAAAAGTTCATCCCGATCAAGATCACCGCGCGTCACGAGAAGACCCAAGAGCGTTTGAAATATATCAATACTTTCCGCGTCAATCACGAGCAACTTCAAAGAACTATTGTCAACGTTCTTGGACCGAGCACTTCATCTTCAGCAGAAACTGCCGCCGGAGCTGGCTCCGATGGTGCTGTCGTCGTCGAGGAGATTGGGGACGTGGATGCTGTCGAGGAAGTTGCCGAGGCGTACGCTGCTTTGAAGAACGTTGATGTGCTTGATGTCTCTGAAGAGGGCACTGAGCAGTGGATCAAAGAAGAGATCGCGTACAATGAGCGTACTTCCCGCGTTGAGAACTCTATTATTGCGCGCCTCAGAGATCGTCTTGCGACTGCAAAGAATGCCAATGAAATGTTTCGCGTTTTCTCCAAATTCAATGCCCTCCTTGTGCGCCCCAAGGTCAGGGGTGCCATTGTGGAATATCAGACCCAACTCATTGAGAATGTCAAGCAAGATATCTCCGCTTTGCATGAACGATTCAAGCAACAATATGCGCATTCCGAGGCACACGCCATGGCACAACTTCGAGATCTTCCTCCAGTTTCTGGTGCCATCGTGTGGGCACGCCAGATCGAACGCCAGCTCGATGGGTACATGCGCAAAGTTGAAAATGTGCTGGGTGAAGATTGGCATCTCCATGCGGAAGGTGAAAAACTTGATAGCGAGGCGAAAATGTTTCGAAAGAAACTCGATACTCGCCCGGTTTTCGAGTCGTGGTTGCATGACGTACAGAGACGCCATATCACGATCTCTGGCCGACTGTTCAACGTCGTTCGCAATCGTGCTGCGGGCAATACCTTGGAGCTAACCGTCAATTTCGATGCCCAGGTTATTGCTTTGTTCAAAGAAGTGAGGAACCTGATCTGGCTTAATTTCCAGGTCCCTCACGCCGTCAGCAACATATCGAAAGAAGCCAAACGAGTTTACCCCTACGCCATCAGTCTCATGGAAAGTGTTCGCACATTGCTCCAAACGAACCGCTCAATTTTAGGCATGACCGATGTTGCGATTTTGCTGAACGGCTATGTGAATGATGCACAAGGCATGATTGTCAAGGGTGTTCCCCTCCGATGGGAATCTTTCGTTCATTCGTACGAACTTCATGTCAAGCAGTCGGCGTTGGCTAACGGTGCTATCGACTCGGCCATCCCGGGGCGAGGAGAAAGTAAACATGTACAGTTTGTCCGCGAATTCGCCGGGTCAGCGTCCGTTCTCCAGTCCAAGACGGCTGTTTTGACGGCGATCAACGAGAATATCCAAAAGGCAATCCATGAACTGAAAACATGCCCCTATGACTCTTCCGCTTTTAAACAACGTTTGGATGCAATTCAAGTTGCCGTCGATAAGCTCAATCTCGAGAACTATGTCAACCTCGGATATTGGGTTGCCAACCTTAACCAGAGGATCGAGTCTATCCTGAGCGACCGTCTCCATCGTGCAATTCGGGAATGGATCAATTCCTTCCAGGAGGCAAAAGACCAGATGTTGAATGGCAGACACCATCTTGCCACGAGTGAGACGGAGGGCCCGGCTTACAGTATCGAATTCTCGGAACTTGTTCATGAAATATCTATGCGCAATCAAGTTCTTCATCTTGACCCGCCTTTGCAATTTGCTCGTGCGAGCTGGTTTGCGCAGTTCGATAACTGGCTGGGTGTTGTTTGCAACCTGGAGAAAATCAAAGCCTCTCGTTACCAAATCTCAATTGATATTCAAAAGGTCCACCTGTCTGAAGCTTGCTTTGCAATTCTTCCGCAGCACTGCACGAATGAGCTGAGCCAGGTTTACAATGCCGTCGAGGCCAGGCTGAAGGAAGTATCGGAGTATGTTGATAAATGGTTGCAGTTTCAGTCATTGTGGGATCTACGATCTGAACAGGTTTATGACATCCTGGGTGACGATTTGTCTCAGTGGCTTCAACTGCTCCAAGAGATCCGGAAGAGCCGAGCTACGTTCGACACCTCGGAAGTTAGCCGCTCCTTCGGCAACATCAAAATCGACTACGAGCAGGTGCAGACCAGAGTCAATGCCAAATATGACCAATGGCAACACGAAATTCTTCTCAAGTTCGGCTCCAAACTTGGGGGCCGTATGAGGGAGGTTCACTCCGAAATTGCCTCAGCGCGGCGTGATCTGGAAGGACAGACTCTGGAAGCTGCCTCCACCGCCCATGCCGTTTCTTTTATCACGATTGTCCAGCAGTGCAAGCGGAAAGCCAAGGTTTGGGAGCCGGAAGTCGACCTTTTCCGCCAAGGCCAAGCTACACTTGCACGCCAGCGTTACCAATTCCCGAGTGACTGGCTCCATGTGGAGAATGTTGATGGCGAATGGGCAGCTCTGAATGAGCTGCTTGCCCGAAAGAGCAAGATTGTGCAGGACCAGACCGAGGGTTTGCGGGCCAAGATTGCTGCCGAAGACAAAGTCATCGGCGACAAGATTGCGGAAGTCATTGCCCAATGGAACGAAGAAAAACCCGTATCCGGAACTATTCCTCCCGACGAGGCGTCTCGTACTCTGAGCTCGTTCCAGTCACGCCTTGAATCTCTTCAATCTGAGTTTGAGATGGTCTCTAAAGCCAAGGAAGCTCTGGACCTCCCAGCAAGTGTAGAATCCTCTTTGCCGGCAATATTGGAGGAGGTGCAGGACTTCATGTCCGTGTGGGCTGCTCTGTCTACGATCTGGAAGAGCTTGAATGACCTCAGGGATACGTTGTGGACGAGTGTGCAACCCCGAAAACTTCGCCAGTCCATCGACGGCCTGATTAAAATGACCAAGGAAATGCCCAGCAGGATGCGCCAGTATGCTGCTTTCGAGCATATCCAAAACGTCCTGCGGAAGTTGCTCAAAGTAAACCCGTTGCTTTCTGACATGAAGTCCGAAGCTGTCCGAGAACGACATTGGCAGAAGATCTACAAATCGCTCAAACCAGGCCAAAGGTTTTCTCTCATCTCGCTTACCCTTGGAGATGTCTGGGATCTGCAGCTTGTCCCCAGTGAGCCTGTGATTCGCGGCATCATCGCCCAGGCGCAAGGTGAAATGGCACTGGAAGAATTCCTCAAATCAGTCCGCGAAACTTGGCAGAACTATTCTCTGGACCTTGTCAACTATCAAAACAAGTGTCGACTGATTCGCGGCTTTGACGATCTGTTTGCGAAATGTAGCGAGAACCTTAACTCCCTGCAAGCGATGAGGCATTCCCCTTACTATAAAGAGTTTGAAGAGGAGGCTTCATCTTGGGAAGACAAACTGAACCGAGTGCACGTTCTCTTTGACGTGTGGATTGACGTTCAAAGACAGTGGGTTTACTTGGAAGGCGTGTTTACCGGAAATGCCGATATCAAGCACCTACTTCCTCTTGAGTCAAGCCGCTTCCAGAACATCAACTCTGAGTTCTTTGCCGTGATGAAGAAGGTCTATAAATCTCCTTTTGTGCTCGACGTGCTCGCAATCAACGGTGTGCAAAAGTCCCTAGAGCGACTGGCCGAATTGTTGAACAAGATCCAGAAGGCACTGGGCGAGTATTTGGAGCGAGAGCGTATCTCCTTCCCTCGTTTCTACTTCGTTGGTGACGAAGATCTCCTTGAGATCATCGGTAACAGTAACGATATCTTCCGCGTGGCAAAGCACTTCAAGAAGATGTTTGCTGGTCTATCGGGTGTGTTGATGGATGAGGAGAATAACATCACCGGCTTTACTTCCAAGGAAGGCGAGGAGGTCCGGCTGAAAAAGGAAGTCAATCTCCTCAAGACTCCCCGAATCAACGACTGGCTCAGTGCCCTGGAGAGCAACATGAAATTGACTTTAGCCGAACTTGTTGCTGAGGCCGTTGAGCAATTCGAACCTCTCTACCATGCCTCCGAGATCGACAGCACTGCTTTCAATGACTTCCTTACCAAGTACCCGGCCCAGATTGTCGTGCTTGCCTGTCAGGTGGTCTGGACTAGCGCTGTGCAGAAGGCCCTAGAAAATGAGGGCTCGAATCTTCCCGCGTTGTTTGATGCCCAAGTGCGAGTTCTTGATTTGCTGGCCGCCACTGTCCTTGGCGAGCTGGACTCGATCACTCGAAAGAAGTGTGAACATATGATCACCGAATTTGTGCACCAGCGTGATGTTATTTCCAAGCTCATCACCTACAATGCCTCGACCCCTATGCACTACTTCTGGCTGCTGCAGATGCGCTACGTGTATCATCCCGAGGGCGACTTTATCCAGCGCCTCTATGTTCATATGGCTAACGCTAGACTGCACTACGGATTCGAGTATCTCGGAGTCCCCGAGCGCCTTGTTCGTACGCCACTGACTGATCGCTGTTTCTTAACACTCACGCAAGCCCTGTGTCAACGATTGGGTGGTTCGCCGTATGGTCCAGCTGGTACCGGAAAAACAGAATCAGTGAAGGCTTTGGGTCTGCAACTTGGTCGCTTTACGCTTGTTTTCTGCTGCGATGACACGTTCGATTATCAGGCCATGGGCCGAATCTTCCTGGGTATATGCCAAGTTGGAGCATGGGGTTGCTTTGATGAATTTAACCGTTTGGAGGAGAGAATTCTGTCCGCTGTCTCTCAGCAAATTCAAAACATCCAGATTGGATTGAAGAATGTCGAATCCGACGACAAGGCTCAGATCGAGCTTGTCGGAAGAAGACTGAGTGTTAATCCCAACACCGGTATCTTCATTACTATGAACCCTGGCTACGCAGGCCGTTCTAACTTGCCTGACAACCTGAAGAAGCTTTTCAGGAGCGTTGCGATGTCTAAGCCCGACAAGGAATTGATTGCGGAAGTTATGCTATTCTCGCAAGGTTTCAAGCAAGCCAAGCGTTTGTCCACGCAGACCGTGCCTTTCTTCGACCATTGCTCTTCAAAATTGACAAAACAGGCCCACTACGACTTCGGTCTACGTGCCTTGAAGAGTGTTTTGGTTAGCTCTGGAGGTCTCAAGCGTACCCGTATCGCAAACACTGAAGGTGAACTTGGTCCAGACGAAGTTGTCGAACCGCAGATCATCGTTCAAAGTCTCCGGGAGACGATCGCTCCTAAGTTAGTTCGGGAAGATGTTGATCAAATGCTTGAGATTCAGCAAGAAGTGTTCGCCGGCGTAGAGTATGTTCCAGCGAATTATGAGCAGCTTACGGCGGCCATCCGTGAGATTGCTCAGGAGCAGCATTATGTCGACAGCGAAATGTGGATTACCAAGGCCTTGCAACTTTTCCAAATCCAGACTATTCACCATGGTGTCATGATGGTCGGTAAGTCTGGAGCTGGTAAGTCGGCTGCTTGGAAAATCCTTCTTCAAGCTTTGCAGCGAATCGAGGGGGTTGAGGGTGTTTCCCACATTATCGACTCGAAGGTCATGTCCAAGGAGGCGCTTTATGGTAGCCTGGACAGTACTACAAGAGAATGGACAGACGGATTGTTTACCGGTATCTTGCGAAAGATTGTTGACAACCTTCGAGGTGAAGACACGAAGCGACACTGGATCGTGTTTGACGGCGATGTTGATCCGGAGTGGGTTGAAAACTTGAACAGTGTTCTTGATGACAACAAGCTCTTAACACTTCCCAATGGTGAGCGTTTGAACTTGCCGTCCAATGTTCGAATCATGTTCGAAGTGGAGAGTCTCAAGTATGCGACACTGGCAACGGTCAGTCGTTGCGGTATGGTGTGGTTCAACGATGACACCGTCACACCCTCTATGATGATTTCCAACTACGTTGAGTCGCTCAAGACACGCACATTTGAAGATTTGGATGACGACAGTGCCCCTGCCGGCCAAGCTGCTATCAAGACCCAAGATGCACAGGAAATGGTGTCCGGTATATTCAAGCACCTTCTTCAGACCGACGGGCTCATCCTTAAATCTCTTGAGGAGGCCAAGAAATACAACCACATCATGGAATTCACTGATATCCGTGCCCTCAACACTCTGTTCAGTTTACTGAACAAGACCTGCAGGAATGTCCTCGAGTACAACGTTCAGCACATTGACTTCCCACTGGACCCGGAACAAATCGAATCTTACATTTCCAAGAAGCTGCTCCTTGCTCTTGTCTGGTCCTTTACGGGTGACTGCCCCTTGGGAGATCGTCAAGCATTCGGCGGGTTTGTGTCTGCTCTAACGACGACCGATTTGCCGCCTGACGGTGTCTCGTCTCTCATCGATTACGATGTCACTCTACCCAGGGCAGACTGGACAAGCTGGCAGTCACAGGTTCCCTCCATTGAGATCAACACTCACTCTATCACACAGACTGATGTTGTGGTCCCCACAGTGGACACTGTTCGTCATGAAGATGTTTTGTATTCATGGCTGGCAGAACATAAGCCACTGCTGCTTTGCGGTCCTCCAGGTTCTGGTAAAACCATGACCTTGTTTGCTGCTCTTCGGAAGCTCCCGAACATGGAGGTTGTTGGTCTTAACTTCTCTAGTGCCACGACTCCTGACCTTCTGATCAAGACTTTTGAACAATACTGCGAGTACAAGAAGACACTGAACGGTGTTGTTATGTCTCCAAACCAAATCGGCCGTTGGCTGGTCATTTTCTGCGACGAAATCAACCTTCCCGCCCCTGACCGTTACGGAACTCAGCGCGCTATTGCTTTCTTGCGTCAACTTGTTGAGCAGAATGGTTTTTGGAGAACTTCCGACAAGACCTGGGTTACTTTGGATCGCATCCAGTTTGTCGGTGCCTGTAATCCTCCCACCGACGCTGGACGTACGCCCATGGCTGAGAGATTCCTGCGTCACTCTCCTTTGGTCATGGTTGACTATCCTGGAGAGCTCTCACTCACGCAGATCTACGGAACCTTCAACTCGGCTGTGCTCAAGATCCTTCCCTTGCTTCGGGGATACTCTGACGCCCTCACCAAGGCTATGGTGCAATTTTACTTGGAGTCTCAATCTAGATTTACCGCTAAGATTCAACCTCACTATGTGTACTCTCCTCGTGAATTGACCCGATGGGTGCGTGGTGTGTACGAAGCGATTAAACCTCTTGAGAGCCTCTCAGTCGAGGGTCTTGTCCGTATTTGGGCGCACGAGGCCTTGCGTCTCTTCCAGGATCGTCTTGTGGCAGAAGAAGAGAGGAACTGGACTGGCGATGCTGTTCGCCGCATCGCACTTGAGCACTTCCCGAATATGGACGCGGAAGAGGCTTTGAAGGGCCCGATTCTCTTCTCGAACTGGTTGTCTAAGAATTACGTGCCCGTGGAGCAAGAGCGACTGCGCGACTTTGTCAAGGCTCGTCTCAGGACCTTCTGTGAAGAAGAAGTCGACGTTCCTCTTGTTCTGTTCAACGATGTTCTGGAACATGCTCTTCGCATTGACCGAGTCTTCCGCCAGCCTCAGGGTCACCTCATTCTCATTGGAGTTAGTGGTAGTGGTAAGACCACGTTGTCTCGCTTCGTTGCCTGGATGAACGGATTGAAGGTCTTCCAGATCAAGGTGCATGGAAAATACTCATCGGAAGATTTCGATGATGATCTCAGAACTGTCCTCCGCCGAGCAGGCTGCAAGGGAGAGAAAATCTGCTTTATCATGGACGAATCCAACGTCCTTGATTCCGGTTTCCTCGAACGCATGAATACTCTCCTAGCAAACGCCGAAGTTCCTGGTTTGTTTGAGGGAGATGAGTTCTCCTCCTTGATGACCGCCTGTAAGGAGGGTGCACAGCGCCAAGGCCTTCTTCTCGATACGCAAGAAGAACTCTACAAGTGGTTCACGCAGCAGATTGTCAAGAACTTGCACGTCGTGTTCACTATGAATCCCCCCGAAGAAGGCCTGTCGTCGAAGGCTGCCACGAGTCCTGCGTTGTTCAACAGATGCGTTCTCAACTGGATGGGCGACTGGTCTGACCAGGCTCTCTTCCAGGTCGGTTCTGAATTGACACAATCGATTGACCTGGACAAAGCAAACTTTGTTGCCCCAGACAGCATCCCTGTGGCATACCGCGAGTTGAGTCTTCCGGCATCACACAGAGAGGCCGTGGTCAATGCGATGGTTTACATTCATTACTCTCTGCAAAGATTCAACGGGCGCCTCCAGAAACAGCAAGGCAAAACGACATTCCTTACACCCCGTCATTATCTTGACTTCGTTGCCCATTATGTGAAACTCTTCAACGAAAAGCGCGAGGATCTAGAAGAACAGCAAAGACACTTGAACGTGGGTCTTGAGAAGCTGAGGGATACTGTCGTTAAAGTTCGCGACCTGGGTGGTAGTCTTGACCAGAAGAAGCTGCAGCTCGAGAAGAAGGACAAAGAGGCGAACGAAAAGCTCAAGCGCATGGTTGCTGACCAACAAGAAGCCGAACAGCGTAAAGCGGTTTCTCTAGAAGTCTCGGCGGCACTCGAAAAACAGGAGAAGGAGGTCGCTGAACGAACGGAAGTTGTCCGTAACGACCTTGCCCGTGCTGAGCCTGCGGTTCTGGAAGCCCAGAAGAGTGTCAGCAATATTAAACGTCAGCATCTCACGGAAGTCCGATCCATGGGTAATCCTCCCGCCAGTGTTCGTTTGGCGCTGGAGGCCGTGTGTACGTTGCTGGGCCACAAGGTGGATAGCTGGAAAACCATCCAGGGTATCGTACGAAAGGATGATTTCATTGCCAGTATCGTCAATTACGACAACGAGAAGCAGATGACAAGAAACCATCGGAACAAGATGCAGAACGAATTCATCTCGAAGGAGGACTTCACCTATGAGCGAGTGAACAGAGCAAGCAAAGCCTGCGGTCCCTTAGTTCAATGGGTTGAAGCTCAGGTGAACTACTCGGCGATCCTGGACCGTGTTGGACCTCTGCGTGAAGAAGTTGACCTGCTGGAGGACCAAGCCAAGCAAACCAAGGCTGAAGGACAAGCCATCCTCAACACCATCCAGGATCTCGAGAGCAGCATTGCCACCTACAAGGAAGAATACGCTGCCCTCATCAGTGAAACTCAGGCGATCAAAACAGAAATGTCGCGGGTCCAATTCAAGGTTGACCGAAGTCTTCGTCTGCTTGACAGTCTGTCGTCTGAACGTACCAGATGGGAAGAGGGCAGCAAGTCCTTCGAGACTCAAATCAGCACCCTTGTTGGCGACGTTCTGATTGCTGCGGCGTTCCTCGCCTACGCCGGTCTTTATGACCAGCAGTTCCGTAAAGCCATGATTGACGACTGGGCCAATCATCTGGTGCAGTCCGGTATCACATTCAAGCCACATAACCCCATCACCGAGTACTTGTCCAATGCCGATGAACGCTTGACTTGGCAAGACCACTCGCTTCCAGTTGATGACCTATGCACGGAGAATGCTATCGTCCTCAAGAGATACAACAGATATCCGTTGATCATCGATCCTTCTGGTCGCGTAACAGAATTCCTGCAGAAGGAAAGCACAGACAGGAAGCTTACAGTCACCAGCTTCTTGGATGATTCTTTCGTCAAGCAACTGGAGAGTGCCCTACGATTCGGAAACCCGATTCTGATTCAAGACGCTGAGCATCTGGACCCCATTCTCAGCCACGTTCTCAACAAGGAGTACCAGAAGACCGGGGGACGTGTTCTCATTCAACTTGGCAAGCAAGAAATCGACTTCTCGCCATCATTCCGGCTGTTCTTGTCAACTCGGGATCCATCCGCAGCTTTCCCGCCGGACGTCTGCAGTAGAACAACCTTCGTCAACTTCACTGTTACTCAGAGCAGTTTGCAAACGCAGTCACTCAACGAGGTCTTGAAATTCGAGCGACCGGATGTTGACGCACGCCGCAACGATTTGGTCAAATTGCAGGGAGAATTCAAGGTTCATCTTCGTCAACTTGAAAAGAGGCTTCTCCAAGCCTTGAATGAGTCTCGTGGTAACATTCTCGATGACGATAACGTCATTGAGACTCTCGAGACACTGAAGAAGGAAGCCGCCGAAATCTCCAAGAAGATGGTCGAGACCGAGGGAGTTATGACAGAGGTGGAGAGCATCACCCTCAACTACAACATCATCGCCCGCTCCTGCAGTGCTGTATTTGCCGTGCTGGAACAGCTTCATCATATCAACCACTTCTACCAATTCTCCCTTCAGTACTTCGTCGATATCTTCAGCTCAGTTCTCTACCAAAACAAGCGTCTTGCCCAAGAGAAGGAGCACAACGCCCGAGTGCAGATCATTCTCCGTGATCTGTTTGTTACAACCTACCAGCGCACCTCGTTGGGCTTGGTCCAGAAGGACCGCATCACGTTCGCCATGCTCCTGGCGCAGGCCTCTCCTTTCCCTATGGACAAAGACATTCTCGATACAATCCTGGATGAGTCAACGGAGAGTGTGGACCTCTCGACATCGCTTGAACTGAAGGACCAAGTGATGAATAAGGTTTCCAATATGTCCATGTTCAAGTCTCATTTCTCTACCGTGACTCCAGAGCAATGGGAGCAATTCTTCACAGAAGAGCTGGCTGAAAACTCCGTCCCCACACTCTGGGAGGAAAACACAGCGCCACTCAACCGATTGCTCCGATCATTGCTGCTCGTGAAGCTATGCAGAATGGACAGGTTTGTGCCAACCGCAGAACGCTTCATCGAGGCCGTCTTTGGTCGTGAGTTGTTCGAAGGCAGCTCTGATCTGAAGGACATTGTTGACCAAGTCACGGCAACCACTCCTATCGCTCTTAGCTCCAGCCCTGGCTTCGATGCTAGTTACAAGGTGGATGCTCTCGTCGAGCGTGTGCAAGCCACGTGTTCCAACCTTGCCATGGGTTCCAACGAGGGTATCGAGACTGCCGACAAAGCCATCAGCAGCGCCGCGACTGCAGGCACCTGGGTCTTGGTCAAGAACGTGCATTTGGCACCATCCTGGCTGCAAAGTCTCGAGAAGAGACTCGAATCCCTCAAGCCACACGAGGACTTCCGTCTCTTCCTTGCCATGGAATCCAGTCCCAAGATTCCGGTCAATCTAATCCGTGCCTCTCGTGTACTCATGTACGAGCAACCCGCCGGTGTGCGCGCCAACATGAAGGACTCGCTGTCCTCGCTATCCACCCGCGCTGGCAAACCACCAGTAGAGAAGGCGCGCGTGTACCTGCTGCTCTGCTTCTTGCACGCCGTTCTCCAGGAGCGACTTCGTTATGCACCCAGTCTTGGCTGGAAGGGATTCTGGGAGTTCAACGATAGTGACGTAAGTTAACCACATCCGACCGGGTCATTTCACGACAAAAGCTAACATTGTAAATTTTTAGTACGAATGCTGTGCCTTCATCATTGATCATTGGGTCGATGTGGTCGCCCAAGGTCGGTCCAACGTGGCACCTCAGAAACTTCCATGGGACATGATCCGCACGCTCGTGACCGAGACATACGGCGGTAAAGTCGACGACTACGCCGACTTCAAGCAGCTCGAAAGCCTGGTCCATAGCTTCCTCACACCCGCGGCCTTCGAGGACGAATACAAGCTTGTCTCCGGCGTCGAAAATGATGAGTGCCTGACTCTGCCCGGACAGACCGGTATCCGCGATTTCGTCGAATGGGTCAACCGACTGCCTGAGAGAGAACCCCCGACGTACCTTGGTCTACCGGCCAACGCAGAGAAGCTGCTGCTTGTCGGACACGGAAAGAAAATGGTGTCGGATCTGGCCCGGGTCACGGAGCTGTTGGACGAGGGTGAACAGTTGATGATTGATGCTTAGATTTAGATGTTTGGTTTGGGGGCCTTAGCTGTGGGCTAGGACTTTTTACGTTCTCCTGTTCTTGGTGGTCTAGATATTCTATCCTCCCTTTTTTTGTACTGTTATTATCTTTTTGTCTGTTGAAATTTTTCTAGATCAGGATATACATGTGTATAGTGTATACTTTAGAAGCCGCAGGCGGGTTTGCTGTACTATCTTTGTATGAAAGAAATCAATGTTATTTGTCTGGGTTCTGTCCCTGCCTAAACTCCAAACGCTCATGACCTTGCTGGCCCATGTACAATTTCTTCCATGCTCCTTGCCTGAAATAGGTTCATACAACACAAAATGACAGCCTCAAGAGACACAAATTCTTGTAAAAACTCTCCTGCACTTGCTGAAGCAGATTGTCAAAGGCCTTGTGGTCGAACTCAAACTGCTGCTCTGGCATTATCATGTCGATACCCGTAAGACCATCGTTCACATCGCATTCACATCCAGAGAATCGAAAACAGGCACTCGGAATCCTAAATCCTTGCAAACACAATATCATCATGATCAGAGATGTCCGAAACCGTAAAGAGTGTGGCCCATCTAAACATGACCATATTAGCTATCATTTTCGTTGAAAGGCAGTGGAATCGCAGCGTAGGTGTTAAGCAAAGGACTCAAGACTGAGACAAGGGCTGGGGGACGTACTCTGTTCAGTGCATAAACAACCTGATATTACCGAGCGACCTTGATGTCAGTCATTGCGCTCTATTTACAAATATAGCCCTTTCTGCTCTGATGAACTCACGTCTTTAGTAGTCACGATCTAGAAATCATTAAAACATGAACAATTAGCCAATGGAAATACCCAGCTAAGAACAACAAGATCACTTAACTTGCCTTTCGAGGTCTCTTCACGGATTCGGACGACTCAACGACCAACACGACTTGCTTGAGGATCTAGAGTTCTTAGTACACTTGTACAGTACAAAAGGGATTCACGAGGTGACCTACATCATGTAGACGCTCGCGTATGGACAGCCGGACTTCGTTGTAGATTTCTTTTTTGATGCGGATGATGCCGCCTCGACGGGCTAGTCGACTGGGTCGGAGCGAGAAGCGGTGTTAGAGAGCAACGTGATGGATGGGGTCTCGGAGGTGGGGGTTGGTGGAGGTACCGGATGGCAGGGCGGGCTGAGATAGATAGTTAGAGCTGGATTTTGATGTTGAGTCAGGGGTTGGGGGACTTACTGATGCCCATGATGTTGTCTCGGAGTTTCCTGTGGATGTTAGTGGGAGTGGTTCGATACGGGTGTTCAGTGGCAGGGTTACTTCTGGCGGCGCCTTATGTTGTTGTAGTGAGGTCTGGCTTTGAAAGGGTCCATTTTGGAGAATCAGAGACGGCGAGGATGTATTCAGTTGAGGATTGTTGGAGTTTGTGGGATTTCATAGGATTGAGAAGCAAGGAAATGAGGAGTGGAAGAGTTGTATTGCATGGTCTGGTATGAGAGGTGGTCGGTGTTTAGGGGTAGAGTAGAGATGGTTGCTGGGTTGGGGTGAATGAGACCAGGTATAAGAAATAGCAAATGGCTGGTATTCAACATAAGGCAAAGTGATGGTTGCTGAAGTGAAGTGAATGGGGGTCTAAACACAAACGCAAGTGACCAGCCACAAAGGAACTATGAAAAGTAACCAAGACGAGATTTCTGGGTGAGAAAAGAAAAGCCAAAGTATGTGTGATATATTCAATAAGTGACATTATTTCTTATGTTTGTGAATTATTAATGATGAAGGTCCGCGTTGCATATGGATAAATGTGAGCCAAGGAAAATATATCGGTCATGAAAAAAACGCCATGGACAAGTCCCCGAGAATCGTGGTCTATGTACGTCGAATCATTCAGGAGATGAAGGTGGCCTCGCAGAACGTGGTTCCCTCCTCGGTGATCTCATTGTCGCCGATCTTCAGCTTGAGAGTGAGTTTCTCTTGCGGCGAATACTATGTCATCATTAGTATAGATGCTTTTATGAGGATGCGGTGAGCCTGAGCCTTACCTGGAAGATATACGGTCGCGTTCCAGCGACACTTCCTGCAATGGACTTGATGAAACCGGGAACCTCGGCCATCACGTCAATCCGATCCAGTCTCTTGCCGACCGGACCCTCCAGATGGGCGGCAACCTCCTTGCCGTCCTTGGACTTGCCATCCCACACCCATTTGATGGACTTGGGTTCGGGCCACTCGCTTTCGTGGTCCTGAGTGATCTCGGTGTGAGTAGCAGAGTTGTCGATGCCGGCGTAGACGACCTCTCCGTCCTTGACAATGGCACCAACATTGACCACGGTGGATCCGTACGATGGCGGCGTAGTGTATTCCATCATGACGGCGGTGTACGAAGGAGACTGGAAGTTAACAAAGTTCCATCGGGCAGCTGCTCCATGGTCAGCATCATCAGATGGCTTTTCGGGTAGCACGGCTGCTTACCAGCATGATGAGGCTTCATGCCCTGAAGACCTTGGATGAACATGCCGCGGCCCTTCATATCGTAGGTCTGTTCCTTGGTGGTAATGGTTCCCTCGACACCACAACGAGGCCAGAAAGCGTGGCGCATCGAGCCCCAAGGGTTCTCGGGGTCCGTGCCGAAGTAGGAAGTGCCGTCCTTGCCGATGACGAAGCCCGGAGTGTTGCGGGTGAAGGTGACGTTGACCAAGCAGTCTTCATTCACGGCGGATTTGAGGGTGTAGGCATCGCCCTCCTCGTTGAGAGTCAGGGTAATGTTGTCGGCCCAGAAGGCAAGCATGCTCTCGTCGAACATGAAGTTGTACAAGGGATCGGAGTACCAGCCGTGAGGGGCATCTCCCTTGAGATTAAAGATTTTGCAGTTGAATTGCGCGGTCGTGTGAATGCCCCTACAGTGAGCGATCCGTATTAGAGGGGACGAGGTTCCGAGATAATCACCAAGGGGAATCTGCAAGCGGAAGACACTCACACGATGTTGCTGTAAATAATCTGGACGAAGACCAGAGTACCGTTGTCGGCCATGATATAGAAGGTTTGAGTTTCGACATTGGTGTACTGGTAGGCCCGCCAGCGCAAATCATTCTTCGTCAGCTCGGTATAGGGGACCTCTTGCGCCTGTTTGGCGACAGACTGGATGGCCTCGGGGCCATAGATCGGTTCTTGCGTACCGGCGACGCTTGCGAGACTAGATACGGGAAAGCAATCAGCACACATGCATTTCTACGAAGGAAAGCCACGGAGTTTTCGGGAAGGACGTACGTCGACTTGAGCCAATTCATGACGGGCAAATATGAGGAGTTGTGGTGGGAGATGAAAACGGGAGAAAAGCGAAAGTAGACCAAGGGAAAGGAAATCGATAGCGCGTGGGGTCACGGGGAGATCTCTCGGAAGTACTGGGAGCACGAGAGAAGGAGAGAAGGGCCAAGACTAGGGGTTGGATAACCACGACCAAACCGCCACAAACACGTCGGTGCCGATCTCCAGATGAGGTCAGCAGTAGCGGTCGAGAGTCTAGCGAGAGAGCAGCAGCCACGAGATGAAGCCGGAGAAGCAGAGCAGCCAAAGGATTGAGGAATGACGTCCGGCTCGATTCGCTTGTCGAAACGGCAAGTAACTCCGGCTCCGCGCGCCTTGCCGCTTTGGGCTCGAGTCCCGTGTTCTTTCTTGGCCGCAAAACCCGCTCCGTCTGGCGCTTCTCCGTCTCTGCGTTTGCGTTGACTGCCATTGCCATCCCTACCCCTCATTCACCATGGCGAAAAAGGCGTTGGCCAAGGATCAAATTGTCAAGCTCATTGTGGGCGCCGGTCAGGCCAGCCCCAGTCCCCCGGTCGGTCCGGCACTGGGTAGTAAAGGTGTGAAGAGTATGGACTTTTGCAAGGTGAGTTGAACCAAACACAGCAATGCCTCTGGAGAATCTTTGGGGTCCGGAACAATATCTAATTATTCCTTCTTTTTGTTCTGAAAGGAGTTCAATGCTCGTACCGCACACATCAACCCCGGTGTTCCCGTCCCTGCGCGCGTCACCGTCCGACCCGATCGCTCTTTCACCTTCGACCTCCGCACGCCCACGACGACCTGGCTGTTGCTGCAATCTGCCAACGTGGAGCCTCGCAAGAACCGTGTCCGTGGTGCCATGAACCCCGGTCACGAGATCGTCGGCAAGATTTCCCTGAAGCATGTGTACGAGATTGCCACCATCAAGCAGAGCGAAACGCGATTGTCGGGATTGAGTCTGGAGGGACTATGCAAGAGCATTCTTGCCCAGGCCAAGTCCATCGGCATCCAGGTCGTGCCATAGAGCAGCAGCTGGAGGTGCCGAATTCGAGTGTAATATGTATATGAGTCCACGACTCTTGCACGGCTGCAGCGACTTACAGCCCTGGAGTCACGACACTGGCGTTTAGGATGGTTCTGTCATCAATTGTATTATAGGGAATTGCATCTGATATAGAAAGCGTTTACAAATACCCGCAGCTTCTGCTTGACGTGGATCATTGCTTTCTTGTCTACATATGGACCCGTTTCCTGATCTTGATGGGAGGCGAAACTGAGTCGCGATAGCCTGGTATTGTATGCTGCAATCCAAATTTTCCTCAAGTCAAGAGAATCGCAAGACAGCCGTTGTAGACTGGGATAATCGGACTGGTGCCATCCCGAACGATGAAGCTATCCAGCATTCACTTATGGAGCAGTGTAGATTAACTATTCATGCAAATGACAGTAATCATATATACTCAGACCCTAGATGTATTACCTCAATTACCCATTATGGGGCATTCAGGGTCTAGATTGATTAGTCACGAGGGAGAAAGGGGCCGTGATGGGGACGGGACTGAATATCATTCAGGGACCAAGGCAGGGGGGAAATGATGACGAGGCAGAAGCATAAACGGAAGGGGGGAGAACTAAAACTGGATCCAATATTGAATTGCTCGGGATCATCCACCCAAGACAAGGGGCATTTTCCAGGCAATGATCGCAGATCTGAGCCATTGCCGGGGACCATCAATGGCAGGAAAGCATGGATCTGTACTACGTTTTCTGGAGTGTATGCTTGGGAGGTGACTGTCCGGGCACTTTTGGACAGTTGCACCCATCTGCGACCCGAGGGCCCTGACTCCTTGTCGATGAACAGACCAGACCCATTTACTTGGCGAGTATGAGGGCTATGCATCTCCACGCAATCCTTCAATAATTGCAAGCTTGGCAGCAGGCGACGAAACTCAGCACTGTCTCACAGGAGCAGTCCCCACTCCATTCCCCTAGACCCGAGGGTTGAGTAGCGGCGGATGGGAAGACGACAGCTCGTCAAAGGGACCCTCAGCATCAACATCTGGCATTGTCCACAGGTTGTCCACCAGTTGAGCGTTGAAGGCATGGAGAAGGACTCCGCCGGAAGGGCTGCCATCCTCAATCGATGGCAGGTCCCGTGGAAGATCTCCCCGCTAGCCGCATGCGGTCTAGCGGCTCGATCACGGGCGGTTCCCAAAGCGGCAAGCCCTTCGGCCCACTTCCCTCCCCACCGCGAGAATGTCATGATGACATTGAGTTGGATTCTTCCGAGTTCACCATTCAGTCGTTTCTCTGTCAAGTAAGGTTGGCAGGGTTGGCGATGGCATTGACTTGGCGAGCAAGGTCCGGCCTTGGGTCATCGCGTCCAATTACGAACGAATCAGGCGGGTGGGCGCCGATGACCATCCCCTCTGCATCACGATGCATGCGCCAGAGAAAATCCAGAAGAATCTAGCGGCATTGCCTGGAGGGTCGCTCTCCAATCCTGTTCGCGGACAGATGGACTCGGGCGGCTAGACGGCCTCGGTAACCTTTTCCTTGCTGATAAACGCACTCGTGCTGAGCAGTTCCAGTCACGTCCTGACTCACTCTCCTGCTTTCCGTATGCGTGGAACATCCCCGTTCGAATGCGCCATGCATGGGCCGAAGAAGTGTCGCAGAAGTTACACTGCCGAGAACTCAGGTTTCCCGGCTGCCATCTCACATGGCCCGCGTCCCAATGCTTCCTCTGCGGCACCCAGTACTTTATTCTGGGAAGACAGGATGTCCTGCGCACCGGAAGGGAACGATGGAGACAACCGTAGGGACTTTCTCCGAGTGGTTCCGAGCACATCAATCAGCTCCAATCTCAGGCCTTCCCTCGAGCACAGGGAAGTTTAAATGGCGACGGAGATGGTAAAGAGAATGGACTATCGAAGGCAGCGGACATTCTTCCGAACGGGTCACAGGCTTAACCATTAATAATGATTAATGAATCAGTCAATAACCAACCCACTAAGCAGTAATAACTAATAATGGATTTTATCTTCCTGTCTTGGCCCGGCAACCTTCCCTTCTTGGATGAAAGAGAAGAAAGAACCAAAGGACTATCTGGAGTACTGTCCGCAGTAGAAGGCCAAACCATGCATGGTTTCATGGACATTCCCCCTAGAGTAGACCCTTTTTTTAATTTCATCAGACTCCATTCTCCATTCTCCATGTTATACACTCCCCGATATCTGCGACAGGAAGTCTAGCCCTATCAAAATGACGACGGTCCAGCCCAAGCCCACCGTGGAACCGCTGGAGTGACTAGTCTTAATCCTCCTCCGTGGCCGCCCGCTTCCTCCTCCAAACGATCCCGCCGCTCTTGCTTTCTCTTTCTCCCTCGCTCTCCTTCTCTCCTCTTTCTTTCTCTTGTTTTGTCGGCGGTCTTAGTCGAGTGGACCTTTCTCCCCTCTTCTTGTCTCTTGTCTCTTGGTTCGTTACCTTACCTGCATCGGCTTGGTTCCTCTTACCTACCCTGCTTCTTTCTTCCCCCCCTCTCCCCTCCCCCAGAGTCTTAATCTAATTCCTTTTTCTGTTCTGCTCTTCTTGTTCTCTTTCTTCCTTCCTTCCCCCCCGTATTGTTCCTTGTGCTTTTTCTTTGATCTCTTTTTGGATGGCCCCCAATCCCGACCGCCTCTTAACGTATTCCCTGCCGGCGGAAGCTCCGTGAGTAACGACGACCAACGTCCCTCCGTCTTGCATACCAAATTCCTCCGCGCATTTCCATCTCGTCCCACGGGGTTGTTTCCGGCTGCAGCTTCCAAGCAACAGCCACCTCGCAACGTCACCGACCTTCCAAAACTCAATCCTCGCCGACCATTTACCATCAGCACTGCGTCCGGAATCGAGTGATTTCTTTTTTCGTTTTTGCCTGATTCTGTGGTCGGTTTCACCAAGCAGGTTGTGGAGGGGTATGCGTCCCGCAACGTGCTTTTGATGAGTATGACGTCTGAAGCGACCGGTTCTGCCCATGCAAAGATGGATTCTGGTGTGCCACGCTTTCCCGCCCCAAAACGTACTCTTGCTCTAACGCAGTCCTCTCCCTCAGGATCTAACGTTACCTCCAACCCCGCCCAAATGCCTGTCCAGCCGGGCGCGGATTTCTCCGACCAGGACAACAAGTCCAAGACACAGCCAGGCCAGGTTCGGTTTTCGACGGTAACCGAAGAAATCGAGCCTTCGGATCCATCGGCCTCTGCCTTGCCCGCTGGGAATCAGCCGGCCGACAATCAGAAACAGCAGGATGAAGAATTACGGTCGCTAGCAGCGAGTCTGCAGCGGTCTCAACTGCAAGAATCGCGACTGGGGAAATTCTCATTTGACCCCGTTTCTTTGCCGTCCTCAAGAGTAAGTTTCTACTCGGTTATCTCTTACGAATCTCACTCGTTACGCCCCGCACTACTTGTCAGAGAATATGAAAACTAATTCCTTTTCCCCCCTTCCGATAGGTTGCATCCCGAGAATCGAGCGACCGCAGCGCGCGAGAACCCAATGGATCTGGTTTGCCGTCTCCCCATGCCTCCCCACCGGTGTCAACGATGCAGTCTCCGCCTCTTACCCCCGCGGCCACCCATTCTCGTGAATCCAAAACTAATGACACTGCTTCGACGTCGAATGCGACAGACCGAGGAACCGCCCCACACTCTGCAGCGATGACCCCGGAGACTTCCCCGCCTACGAGCGCGTCTACGAGAAGCAAGGCCCCTCAGAGCGCGCCGACGTCGCGGCCGGCATCTACCGAGCAATTGTCCAAGCAAGGCAATGTATCGCTAACGTCATCCCACCCTTTGAACTCGCCGAAGCATCGTGCGCAGTTTTTCATCGGCCCCGAGGGAGGCTCTCAGGAAGAAAGCCCCCCAACCACCCCGAAAGATTATGAAAACTTCACGCCCCCGGGCACCATCACGCCCGTCGGAGAGCCGAATGACCCCTATGCCCGCAGTAAACGACCACCGCAGCCCAAGAACCTCGGCCAACTTGATCAGCGATTTATCTTTGGAGGCCGTGATTTAAAACGAAGGGGACAAAACTCGTCAACATTTCCCCTCCCTCGCCCCGGAACGCCTCGGTCGGCCAGCGCCAGCGACCTCAAAGCCAGCGAGAAACGCAGTGGGTTCTTTGGCAGTAAGAAGGATGTGCGACAGCAGGAACCGGAAGGCAAGCCCCAGGGGCACATGGCGGAGTTGAAGCGGTTTTTCAAGATGGGCCACAAGCACAAACGAGCGGATTCTCCCTCGCTCCCCAAGAAATCGAGTCGCGGTTCTGGAAAGAACACCCCGTACCAGATGGCCCCGGACAACGTTCCCTTTGCTGATGATCATGGACTCAACTCCAAATACGGCAAACTCGGCAAGGTCCTTGGATCCGGGGCGGGAGGCTCTGTCCGGCTGCTCAAGCGGAACAGCGACGGCGTGACTTTCGCCGTGAAGCAGTTCAGAGAGCGCCACTCGTGGGAAACCTTGAAGGAATACTCGAAGAAGGTGACTGCGGAATTCTGCATTGGGTCGACTCTGCACCACGGCAACATTATCGAGACGCTCGACATCATTCAGGAAGGAAACCACTGGTATGAGGTCATGGAATACGCTCCGTTTGATCTGTTCGCCATTGTCATGACCGGGAAAATGGTGAAGGATGAGGTGGCATGCGCCTTCAAGCAGATCCTGAGCGGAGTGGCCTATCTACACGGCATGGGTCTGGCCCACCGCGACTTGAAGCTAGATAACGTGGTGGTCAACGAACACGGTATCATGAAGCTCATCGATTTTGGAAGCGCCGTTGTTTTCCGGTACCCCTTCGAGAACGATATCGTTTCTGCATCCGGTAAGTGAATTCATTCCTTCGGGTGAAGAGGAGAATTCGAGCTTACGCAAACTCTAGGTATCGTTGGTTCCGATCCATACCTCGCTCCCGAGGTATACGATGAGAAGAAATATGACCCTCGCCCCACGGATATTTGGTCCCTCGCTATCATTTTTTGCTGCATGACTCTGCGTCGATTCCCTTGGAAGCAACCTCGCGTTAGTGATAATTCCTACCGGCTCTTTGTGTCCACGCCTACCCCGGGCACTCCGGTCCCCGACGCGGATCCACGGCGCCATCGGATTTCACGATCGACTCCCGATCTTCCCTCGTCCGCTCACGACAACCAACCGTCTCAACCCCCTCAAAACAAAGACCCTGAAAAGAAGCCGGCAGCGCCTGAGCAACCGAACGGGCAGCAGGACTCGCCGAAAGAACCGGCGAAATCCGAATCCAGCAGCCACGAAGACAACAATCGCCCCGAAAGCCCTCAGGACGACAAGAGTACAAAGACCACTTCCAATCAGAAAAATGGCAACAATAAGCCGACGCGCACAACAAGCAAGGAGGCCCCCCCTCCTCTCCCCGGCTCGACCCAATCATCGGGCCAACGGCAGGAAGTGATCAAGGGCCCCTGGAGGCTTTTACGACTTCTGCCACGTGAGAGCCGGTATATCATTGGCCGCATGCTCAAGGTGAGCGTGAAAGATCGCGCCAGCCTTGATGATGTCTTGACCGACGAATGGGTTCGAAACATCAAGGCCTGCCAGCAAGAGGTATCGGGCGAGGTGATCAAAGCTCCCGGTCATACCCACATCCTCGAACCTCCTTCGTCAAGCGTCCCCGTGGCCAGCAAGGCCAAATAATTGGGCCAATCTTGGTCCTGTCTATAATGCTACGTGCGATGTCCAGACTCTGAGGTATTTGTATTGTCTTCTTCAACTCGTTTTTTTGAGTGTCTTGGGCTGTTAATATAATTTTTGCTTCTTCCTTTCTCTTTGATTCCCTTGGATGCAGAGCTCATCTTATTGAACTGGCTCGTTTTCCCGCATGATGAACATCCTACCTTCTTTTTTCCCGCTCGTTTCCCTATTTTCTTATCCCCCGTGAACCTCAACAGTTCCTCCGTTCGAAGACCTTTTTGCTTTGCTGCTTCCCTTCGTGTCTGCTACTTACCATTATAGTGCGGTGAAGACGGAACGACACTTGCTTCGCCCCTCCCTTCTCGCTTTGTTCCCCTTTGTTTCTAATACGGGCGTTGTGGTCACTATTTTATGGAAAGGGGCTGCTCCAACGAAACCACCCCTTTTGCTCGCGAATAGAGGGTTGGCAACTAGATTTCTATTGATTATCGGGCCCTCATATCTTCTTCCTTTATATTTTTTCTTTCTTTCTTTTTCTTTTTGTTGGTATTGCTGTGCCAAGGCCAACTTGTTCGGATTGGCCATTTTTCCGATTTGTGTCTTATTGTACTTGCCCTCAGTAGGTAGCCTAGTAGATATTATCAATCCATGGACAAACGATCAGGACTCGATTGGATTGTATGCCTGGTTTGTAGACTGACGTAAGGCGCCGATGCGGAGATAGCGGAGTTTGGGGGCAGCGATAATCGGAATTCGTCAAAAAAAGCTGCCGCGGGATCTCCGCGCTTTTGGCGGCCTCCGTCATTCCATTCCCATTCCCTCCTCCGACCTTCTTCTGCCCCCTCTAATTGCATATCAATCACGAGCTGGTCCTGCCCTGGTACATACATCCGTGCATCCAATCTTCCGAGAGACTGGCCACCTGCTGCGATGCTCCTTCGGTAGATACGTCATTGTCACAACTCCCTATAACCACGCCGACCCTCCCTACGATGGCCCAGCCCTCCGACTCGGAGCCATTGGTCTCCTTGTGGACCAGATCCCTACTTGTTAGCTTGAAACATGCCCCTGGATTCTACACAGCTATACATCCAGGACTCCCAAACTGACACTTTTGGCGCGCCTCATCTAGTCGGGCGCAGTAGCCGGTCTGACCGTCGACTGCTCCTTGTACCCCTTGGACACCATCAAAACACGCCTTCAAAAAGCCCGGCACCATGCCCCGACAGCTCCCGCTTCTAGCTTGTCGTTAAAGCAGACCATCCGCGGTATCTACGCCGGCCTTCCCTCCGTCCTCTTTGGCTCCGCCCCCTCCGCGGCCTCCTTCTTCATCACCTACGACGGCGTCAAACGCGCTCTCCTGACGACGTCGAACTCGGAGGCTCCGTCCCGGACGCATGTCCTCCTCACTCACTCGCTCGCCTCCTCGATGGGAGAAATCGCCGCGTGCGCCGTCCGCGTACCCACGGAGGTGGTGAAGCAGCGAGCGCAGGCCGGACTGTTCGGCGGCTCCAGCCTGCTCGCTCTGAAGGACATTCTCGCACTGCGCCATCCGGACCCAACCACCGGTGCCAAGCGCGGCTACGGGCAGGTTCTTCGGGAGCTGTACCGCGGCGCGGGGATCACCATCGCGCGAGAAATCCCCTTCACCGTCCTGCAGTTCACCATGTGGGAGTCGATGAAGGAGGCGTATGCCAAGCGCTCGCAGCAGCAGTCCGGTGCCGTGCCGTCTGGAAGCCAAGTCCCGGCCGCCACGAGCGCCATGTTCGGCAGCGTTGCCGGTGCCATCTCGGCGGGGCTCACGACGCCGCTGGACGTCATCAAGACGCGGGTCATGCTGGCTCGTCGGGGCGACGGCGCCGCGGGAGAGGAAGGGGCTCGCGTGCGCGTTAAGGATGTGGTGCAGGATATCTCCAAGGAAGGGCTTGGGGCCTTCTGGAGAGGCATCGGGCCGCGGGTGGCTTGGATTGGAATCGGCGGTGCCGTGTTCCTGGGCAGTTATCAATGGGCTTGGAATACCCTGGAGAGAAAGGATCGAGAGGAGCAGTAGAATGCTGTACCATAACTCGCTGGTTTGGGCATTATAGAGGTATATATAGGCTAGACAAATTATGTACATTATGCCATGAGCTTATCGTGACCCGTTCAATTTAGTTGGTATTCGACTACATAAGACAATTTCAATTCCATCTTTCAGTCCCTCCGACGCATCCATTGGAGCTCTCGCACCTGTTCCGGAGTCAACAACTGGTCCATCATCTCCGCCGTTAAGAAATCATGGTCTGCAAACTCGAAGCCTGGCACGACGGTTTGTTACGTGTGTGGGTCGTCAGTTTTACGTTCACTATACAACCATAGAATCAACAACGAAGGACAGCCAACACGAACCTCACTAATCAGCAATCCCGAAGTCTCATCGGAATCAGCATCCGGCAACAGATAGCTGGACTTGAATTTGCCGCCGTCCACAATCCACTGCAGTCGCTCTCCCTCCTCGATGCGATGACCCACCACGAACGACTCGACGGGCGCCTTCCCTCCGTTTCGAGCGGCCTGATCGGCGTGGATGATGACGTAGCGCCCCCGGCCGCGATGCAGTGTATGCACCGTGCGACTGGCATTGCGATGGAACACCCCCAGCGGAGACGACGGCGTCAGCATGTAGTATATGGTGGTGCTGGCTGCGCGGGTCGCATCGTCGCTCTCGACGGCGGGGTTCAGGGTTGCGTCGTGGCGATACGGATTGGGGATTCGTAGCACGCTGCGGTCTGTTTCTACGTAGAAGCCTCCTTCCGGGTGAAGTTGGAGGTTCAGCGTTTGGATGGTCTTTTGGATCCTGGGGGAGTCGGTGGCTTTGGAGTGCGTGGTTGGGGATGGGGTCGGGTAGTATGGTTTGATGTCGGTGATGGGGATGTCCATTTTGGATGGCGGTTGCTGCTTGGTTTGCTGTTTGAAGAGAGGCCCAAGGGGTTGTCTGTCTCTGTTGGAATGACTCGTTGGTGGCTCACGCAAGTACTGCTTACGACGGTCTTGTGAGGGTGAGATGGAAGGATGGAAGGATGGCAGCCTGGCGTGATGTCACCCTCCAGTCGGCTATTACTTTGGTCGGAGGAGCCATAATCTCAGTCCGGCGTCCGGGTTTCCAGAAGACATGGACGGTGGATCATCAGCCAGGGCGTCCCTGGTTCCTTCGGGGCATTGGGGAACCGGTCTTTGCTATACTTTCTGGCGCACACCCCGAAGTCTAACGGAACTATGGGTCGGTAGAGGGATCACACCGATGTACTCTGTGCAAGGTAGAATGGAGAGAAGATCACAATAAAAACATAAAACCAAAGAAGATCAAGAAGATCAAAAATCGCCGGGCAAAGAATCTGACAGAGGGTTCCCCAGAAGTTGTGCCTGGCGTGGCGTTGGCCAAGTCTCCGCACTTCGCATCGCTTGAATCCTCCTTTTACTCGCTCTTCTTCCCCTCCTCCTCTTTCTTCCTCTTCCACCCCTCGGCCTTGTTGCGTTCCTCCTTGCACAGCCTGTTGCTCGTTCTATTTTTTGCTCTCCACCGGTGGCTTTTGTATTTCTCTTCACTGCTCCACGGGAATCGCATCTGTCGGCCGTATATATAGTCGTGTGCTCTCGGTCTGGCCGGGGGATGTCTCCGTGAGCGATCGCCGCCCACTTGGTAGCCTCCGCATTTCACTTTCCTCGGGGTAACACCACGCGGCATGGCTCGAAAACCAAGTCACCAGAGGGTCACTTACGGTATGCTGTCCCCCTTTTTCTCGTGCTTGTCTTGCGTGTGAGCTCCGGTTTACAACTTGCGCCCCTCCTGGCGCGCACAGCTGCCTGGCCGCAGATCTTCGACTGACCGTCCATCTGCTTCTCTCTTCCAGTTCTCCCTCTGCCCGACGCCCCGGGCGGTCATCGACTAGGAGTGAATGGCCTGACCATTGATCCCGATAACTCCATTCTGTGAGCCTCCTCGTTCCCTTCCCTTTTTTTCCGTGTTAGTTGCCGGTCTGGAAACCATGCACACTTCCGCTGTAAGCGACGAGCGCAGCGCATTGCCGTTCCGATCCGCGTCGCCTCATTGCAGTTTCTGACCACCATCTACCCCCAACCCAGGTATTCCGCTGGTCGCGATGGCGTTGTCTGCTCGTGGGATCTCAACTTGCCTCTTGCGAACTCCTCGGCATCATCGTTCTCGAACGCGAAGCCTCCGCCGACGACGTTTCGGAATCAGGTTCAGGCCCACAGCCACTGGATCAACGACATCGTCCTGACCCAGAATAATTCCGCTCTGGTCTCTGCTTCGTCCGATACCACCGTGCGACTGTGGCGACCGCACTCCGACTCGACTGAGGTGCCGGATCCGATTGGGAAGCATGCGGATTACGTCAAGGCCTTGGCCACTCCGGGGAGCCATTCAAACTGGGTCGCATCGGGCGGTCTCGATCATAAGCTGAAACTATGGGATCTGAATGGTGGCGGCGAGATTCTCAATATCGATGTCTGCGGCGACGATCGTACGGCCAAGGGCTCGGTCTATGCCTTAGGAGCCGTGTCGTCTGTCCTCGCCAGTGGCGGGCCCGAGAGCGTGGTCAGAACCTGGGATCCGAAATCCGGAAAATTGATCACCAAGTTTGTCGGTCACACCGATAACATTCGCGACATCCTGATCAACCGGGATGGGGATACGGTCATGACGGCGTCGTCCGACCAAACGATCAAGATCTGGTCCCTCACGGCAGGAAGGTGCATGCACACCTTGACGATGCACAACGACAGTGTCTGGTCCTTATACTCCAATCATCCGCAGTTGTCGGTCTTCTACTCGAGTGACCGATCCGGCTTGGTCGCCAAAACTGACACCCGCCATTCCTCGGACATTGAGCAGGGAATCTCCATTGCGGCCTTGCAAGAACATGAAGGCGTGGTCAACGTCGCGGCCGCTGGCGACTACATCTGGACGGCGACCCCTAAGTCGAGCATCAACCGGTGGAACGATATTGACACCACGGCCGAGATTGACTCGCCGAGGGAGCGAGAGACTGCGCCTGCGAAAGACGAGAAAGAGTCTGCGGCAAGGGAACGGGTGAAGAAAATCCCGTACGAGTCGGTGTTGCAGCTGTCCAACACCTCAATGTTTCCCAAGTCTCGCGTTCCTGAGGGAGTGGTGCCTCGGTCAATGGCAAATGGGCAGCCGCCATCGCCCGGATCGGACATGGAAGATGAACTAGGACTTACACTCCCCGTGTACTCCTTGCCCGACGACACGATAGAGGGCCAGCATGGCTTAATCAAGCACTTCTTCCTAAATGACCGGAAACGAACATTAACCCAGGATTCCGCTGGGGAAGTTGTTCTGTGGGATCTTCTCAAGGTAATCCCCCGAAGTCTGTCATCATGCTGTTGCATCTCAGTCTAACCCTTTTCTCCAGTGCGTGCCGATCCAGTCCTTCGGCAAGCGTCACATGGATGATGTCGCATCTGAGATTAACACAACCGAGAGCATTGCTCACTGGTGCACAATCGACATCCGTACCGGACGACTTTCCGTGATATTGGAACCAGGCCGCTGCTTTGATGCGGAGGTATACGCAGATGAGGCAGATCTATCGGATTATTCTCATATCCGCGAGGATCAAAGAAGTATGTCTGCTTATCATTCCAATTCCTTTGATCGAATTTTGTGTTTAAGCTTTGCTAACCGCTACATAGTCAATCTGGGCAAGTGGATTCTCCGGTGGCTTTTTGCGCCTTTGGTAGAAGAGGAAATACAACGAGATTCTCAGTACCGCGCCACCGCGATGGCCAAGGCTGAAGAGTTGGCTAAACAGAATATGAACACCACAGCACCAATGGACATTCCGACCATAGATGGATCGAGAAACTTTGGCACATCTCTGGACCCTTCGATTTCCTCCCTGCGGCAAGGATACGACACTCTCGGTAGTCCCACGACACCCGGGTTTGGCATCGGGTTTGCCAATAGCCCTGGCTCATTTGCCGCGACACCGATGTTCAATCAGAGCAGCTCTCAGAACAATAGCAACCATTTCGGCACGTCTCCTTGCGAGCTTTCCGATTTTATGACGTCACAACACACCACAGACCCTACCAGAAGCTCAATGTCCGATAAGTCCAGTGACTATTTCTCCTCGCCCCGAATGCAAGGTCTGCCTCCCTTGGATACAGAGCGTGCACAGTTAGCAACTCCCGGAGAGCCGACACCGACGGCTCTTCCTCAGTCACCAGCGGAACCCGATAAGGAGGAGCGCAAGAGAGGTGGCTCACTGTTCGGCAAGAAGTTCCGCATGGATTTTCCCAAGAAACTTGGCCGGACTTCGTCGGAGGTCAAGCCGCAGATCCAGGAGGAGAAGGTAGAGGAGTCCGATAAGTCTTCTGTCAAGGAGGAGAAGGTGTTCGAAAACAACCTCAGTGGTTATATTGACCGTATCCGTCACGAATACGAAGAGTCGTTGTCGGCCAATTCTTCACAGGACTTGGCCTCAGCTTTCGCGCCAAGTCACGAGAGCGAAACGCCGGCACTGGCCATTCCTTCGCGCACGGCTGTATTCATCCAGGAGGAATCGGGTGATACAGCCGTAGCTTCTGATCTCTATCGCGGAAGTGTCGGTCGAATCAGTCAGGAGGTCGACAAGCTTGAGAAATCAATCCCGCTGTGGCTTGCCGACCTTCTACTCAAGGTCCGTATCCTCGTGTGTTTTACCAATATTCAGGTGTGTCTGACAGTTGCTACAGAACCAAGTGCCGTTCAAGGAGCCTATCAAGATTGCCTTCACTTTGAAGCCGTATGACGATTTGCTGCCGCCTGTGGTCAAGCCCGATGTGTATGTATAAGAGTGATTCTAATCCTTTTCGTCTCTGTGGACTGACAGCCCTGCTTTCTTACCAGGAACACCGCCAACGGCAATCCGACGAACAATTCGCGCCTCAACGCCAACCGTATGCTCCGGGCTAAGAAGATCCTGGCATACATCGCGGAACGAATCGACCCGCCCAACCCGGATGAGCCTGAGGATAATCCACTGAAACCGGAAGAGTACCTAGAACTGTACTGCCAAAAGACGGTAAGTGTCTATATATCTGCTTAACTGATGTCACCTGCTGACTAGCATCCAGCTTCTACCCCCGAACATGACTCTTGCGACCATGCGTGCCCACATCTGGCGATCATCGGGTGACATGATCCTTTACTACAAGGCCAACGGAAAGAAGGAAATCCGGAACCCTGAGACCGAAAGGGACAACGATCAAAGTCAACAGGCTCCTGAAACCGGTTTGAATCCACAACGGCTCGCTGAACCGGGCAGCTTGATCAACGGCGACGGCAAGACTGCTCCCTCGGGAAGTATCCATTCTCTAACCGCGTCAAGGTCTGCATCGGCCTCTATTAGTAACTCCTGAAAGAGTTTCCCAGGAGGATTCCATTCTTTGTGACATTATTTTTATTCCCTGTGGAGATATGGCCGGGGGCCAACTTGTGTGATATATTAGTCTAGTACAGTACATACATACATGTAACATTCTTAGCTTGCAATTTTATTGAATATATCTTAGCCTATTGTTCTTCTGCTGTGATTTTGGATTGTCAGATTATAACATTTGCCGTGGTTGAACTGCGGTCTCTATTTTCGTAGGTGAACTGGAATCATTGATGCCAAGACTTGCGCTCGAGATATAAAAATCACCGCCGACTCCGGCTGTCCCATTCCCTTTCCACTACCCTCTCGAACAACCATCCCACAACCCATGGCAGGATCATGTCTCCTGCGCTCTTCAAATTCAGGAGCCATATCCACCCCCAAGTTCCTTGAAAATTTCAAGCGAGTATGGCTCGAGTCGCGAGCTCCACGGGCAGAGCGGAGACGCGAGACTCGCCTGCCTCGCCGCATTGGTATGTGTCCCCTTCCCCTTTAACCATGACATTTTAATTCTAATCAACTTATAGGTCTGGCAGTAAGCGGAGGGGCCGATTCCATGGCTCTAGCATATCTGTGTCGACAATGGGAAAAGACCCATTCGCGCGATGATGTCGCCGTCACGGCCTTTGTAGTCGATCATAAAGCGCGAGCCGAAAGCACGCGGGAAGCCGCTACGGTGACTCGGTGGCTCACTGACCTGGGTACGCTCTATATATCTACCCCTGATTGGTCTGAGGCCATAACCGATGACTGACCGCAACTCAAGGCATCCATACCCAAATCCTAGAACTCTCATGGTCCCAGAGCACCCAGTCTCAGACTCCCTCTCAGGTATCTGCTTTCGAGACCCATGCTCGACGACTGCGGTTCCAAGCTCTCGGCACGGCATGTAGAGATCATCGCATTCAGGCCTTGCTGATGGGTCATCATCAAGATGATAATGTCGAGACCACGCTCTGGAGACTTTGTTCCGGAGCTAGGGGCGCAGGGCTTGCTGGGATTCCAGAGGTGAATCCCATCCCTGAATGCCATGGGCTTTTCGGAGTGGCGGAGAGTGGCTCGTCGGTTATCTTGCAGGGTGTATCCTCTGCATCTCGGCGGATCCCTATGTCTACAGGCGGGATCTTCATCTGCCGTCCGCTCCTTTCTTTTCCCAAGGCTAGGCTCCTAGCTACTTGCCATGACAATCACGTTCCATATGTTTCTGATCCGACAAACTTCGACCCGACTCTCACTCCTCGAAACGCTATCCGGAGCCTCCTTTCTTCGGATAGGCTCCCGCGAGCTCTTCAGACTCCGTCGGTTCTGTCTCTCGTGGAGAAGAGCCAAGACCTCGTAAGAGATACTACAGATCTTTCAAACGAGCTTCTCCAGAAGTGCAAGATACTAGATCTGAACCTCGCGACTGGGACGATGACGGTTCAATTCCCGTCCTCCTCAGCAGCTGCCATTCCGAATCTAGCTCCCAGCATAACCCATCAAATCCAAACCACCACCCTGCGACGCATCACAGATCTCATCGCCCCGTTCCCAGATAATCACTTCCCGCTGCGCAGCTTCGAGGACTTCACGTCGCGTGTCTTCCAAGACTCCGGCGCTACAAAAATTCAAGCGTTCACCCTTGGAGGCGTGATGTTTCAACCTGTTGATCAACATCCTACGCAGGAAGTATCAAGCACCAAGTTCCAAGATCCTCAGCACCCAAAACCCCTCGACACCTCCCCATCAAGTACTAATAATAACCATCCCCATACTCCTCCCCTTAATCCCTCGCCTAATACCACCAACAGCACCTGGTTTCTTTCCCGCCAACCCTTCAGAAAAAACTGCCTCCCTACTCTCAATCTCTCCATCCCCATTCCCACGCAGACTCACCCCGAGAAAAACACCTCCACAACAGAACCCCAAGACAATCACCTAAAGCTGAAACAAACCACCCCCTGGACCCTCTGGGACGATCGCTACTGGCTCCGCTTTTCAATCCTGCAGCCCGGAGCGACGCACCAGAACGCGCACCAGAACAATAACAAGAACGAGAACGAGAATGGAAATGAAAAAGCCGCCCTCCCGCTCGTCCTCCGACCCCTTCTTAAATCCGACATCCAACTCATCCGTCGGGTTCCTCAAATAGGATCATCATCATCATCATCCGATCCTCAGATCGCTGAAGAATCTACACCGCACAACCCGAAACCTACATCTAGATCTAAATCCAAACCCAACCCTCACGACCCGAAAAAGAACAAAAACAAACCACTCGACCAGTTCCTGAAACGACTAGCAAAGGAAGCACCGGGCCTGAGTCGATTTACTTTGCCGGTGGTGGTGATTCCGAAGGGAGAGAGCGGATTGGAGGAGGATTTGCCGGTGGGGTTGCCGACGATGGAGCAGTGGGTTCCGGGGGCGCAGGAGGTGATGAGGTCTCGATCTATTGCGGGGGGATGCTCGGTGGAGTGGGAGTGGATGTATAAGATGGTGGATACTGAGCCTCTGAGATTGATGGGTGGGTTGGAAAGAGACCCCTAAGCTAATTGCTAATTCTTATTATTTTACACACAAAGAAAATAATAAAAAGATAAAAGAAGTGAATGTGAATGTGATAAGAAGGAAAAGGAAATGCAAGAAAGAGGCACGCTATTCCAGTGCTAAGTGGATGCGATCAAAATCTGCCCAATTGAACCCCATTGAATGCATTCAAGAAAGCCAAAGGAAAAGAAAAAGGGGCTGCGCAGTATGTTGCAATGTGGTACAAGAAGGAATAAAAAAAGGGAAGGAAGGAATGGCCCTATCAACAGAAGTAAACCAGAAGGTGATGACACGAAAAGGACAGGCCGGAAATGGGCATTCTTCAGAAGGAATGGCTGCCATTCACCAGTGTTGCATAGACGCCAAAAGGGGAGGTCAAAGAACACCATCAAAAGAGGTCAGAAAAGAAATAAGTCAAGGAAAACAAAGGAAGGTCCTATCTTTCAGTGATATGCGTGTACTCATGTCCAGTTCAGAGATCCCCGGGGGAACGGAAGAGTCGAGATTCTATTCACTCGCCTTCAGCAGGGCTACCGCGGCTTGCTGGGCCCGTAAGCCGGCGACTTCTCGCTTGAGTCGGAAATTCTCCTTCTTCAATCTCCCGATATCGTCTAGTGCGGACGACAGTTGAGATTTGATTGCGTCTTCGGCATTGCCTGTCCGCACCTCTTTGGAGATCTTGCTCAGCTCCGAGTTGAACCGATCATACAGGGCCTCGTTCTCGGCGCTGGCTTCCCGATAGAGCTCGTCAAGCTTTTTGGCTCGCTTCTCGCTGACCACCAGGGATGACTCCAAGTCCTTCTCGATGGATGTCGTGCGTCCCTGGAGCTCTCCGGAGAGCGATTCGAATTTCCTCTCAAGATCCTGAACCCGTGATAGAAGGGCTGCGCTTGCATCTGGGAAAAGCGGATCCCCTAGTAATTTGTTGCTCTCCTCTGCCCGAGGTCCGAGCCTGAGCGCCCGTAGTTCATCGCCGATGAGGTCTAGTTCATCTTTCAACCCAAGCTGTGCGGTGGCCTGGCTCCTTTTTTCATTTTGCAGACGGTCTCGAAGCTGTTCGTGAACCAAGTTAGTATTGCACTTCATTCAATGAATTCACTGCGGGGGGGGGGGGGGGGGGGAAGGACACAGTACCTTTTGTGGACTTTGCATCCGCAGCTTTTGCGGTTTCTGGGGGGATGATGAACTTGAAGGACGCTTTGTATCAGACCCGTTAATCGGAACCGCACGCTCTTTCAAGCCGGGATGTCTCGAGGAAGGTATGCTGGTAGCTCGGGATCGTCTTTTGAGCTCCCCCGTCGGTGACACAGATGCGTCCCCCTTCTTCCTGGGAGAGCGTTCTGTCTGCGATAGCTTTGGGTCGATGTTTTCTTTTCGACTGGGGGTAACGGGGCGTGTGGGAGATCGCCGGCTCGGGGAGGTCAACCGGATCGGGGAGCTACTCTTTGCAGGAGACGTGCTCCGAACCGTGGATCCGGAACCATGGCTGGTTTGCGGACGATCTTGCTTTGAAGGGGTCATTGCTTCAGCTTGGGCAAGATTCGACGAGGACGCTGGAGTCGTCGGCCTCTGCGCTTGACCCGGGGACACACCGGAAGCATCACTTGAGGCCGTCCCCGGTCTCAAATCCGACAAAGAGCTCCGTCTCTTCCGGCGCACTTTCACTACCCCGTTTGTTGATATGCCTCGGATCGAGGACAGCGATGCGGTCTCTTCTTGGGAGCTACCTGGCCGTCGGATGTTTTCCTGGGAGATGGAGGCGCCCGTTCGATCGCGAGAGCCGGGGCGCAGCAAATGGGCTAAGCTGGTGTCTACATCGATTGATTTCGAACGCAGCAGAGAGTTCCTGGGAGTATTGGCCTCGGAGTCGTTGGCGTTTTTGCTTTTGCTGAGGGTCCGCAAGATCGACGAGACCTTGCTCTCTCCTTCCACCTTGGAATTTTCTCGATGTAGGCCAAAGCCAAATCGCTTGCGAAAGGAGGACGCGTTAGAGTTCATGGACCCGGCAGTTTGCGACACAGATAGTGTCTGATCGCAGCTCAAGGCCCCCTCCACCGAGGCACCTCCGGGGATAAATTCGTCGAAGAGGTTGTCGAAGTCATCAACTAATCGGTCCAGCAGAGAGATATGTTGCATCGGGTCCCCCTCAACCGTTAGGACTTCGGCAAAAGCTGCGGTCAAAGCCCCTCGGTCCCCGTCGTTGCCAGAGGCATCGAGTAGTTCGGCCAGTAATCGCACCAAGGAGGCTAATGCACGGCGGTTCTGCGGGCTCATATCTGCTAAAAACCTGCGAAAATTGTCGTCAAAATCCCGGGGGAACATGGTGTCGAAATGACTTTGAAGAAGCTTCATCGAGGATGGATCTAGAACGGGCCCCATCTGCTCCCGCCAGGCGTTTGCCATGAAGGTCTCGAAAGCCACGAAGAGCGTGTCAACGGGCACCTCGGCCGCCATCTGAATTTTGCCCGGGTCTTCCAGTAAGACATTGTAGAGCTCATTGACGGCGGAGCGGTCGACATTGTCCCTTGCCCGCAGCGTACGGCCAACGATGTTGCCACTGCGTGACTGCAACGCAAGAACATAAGCGGCGAATGCTTGTTCAAGCACGCTAAATGGGCTTTCCGACTCTTTCGAGGGCGATGCGCTAACCATGGAAATCTTGCTTGGGGTTTCCTCTTTCTTGTCCTCCTTTGTCGGAAAGACAGAGGGCAGGGTGTTGGAACGCGACATGTTACCACGGGGTGGCGGCATCTTGGGAAATTCGCCTAGCAGAGTCGCAGAGGTGGGTGTTTTGGAGCTCGACGTGTGCGTCTCTTTTGATTGATTCCCTCCGAGAAGGCTCGAAAGTAATTTGGACGGGGAAGGAGGTCGGAACCCACGGGGTGTCTTCAGCTGTGGCATGAGATAGCCGGCCAGATAGCGGAGGATCTCGAAGTTGGAGTGAACGATAGACTCAGTCATGGTCCGATTTTGAGGGCCATGCAAGGGCAAAAGCACGTTCAGGACTACAAAATGTCAGCACACATGCACATCGAGAGCTAGATTGGCTCTAGATACTTACGACGCTTGGAGAGAACGGGCACGAAACTATCCGCCGTGACGATATCTGAGGACGCGGTGCCAACTATGGTGTCTATGTCCACTCGAAATTGGTCTTCACCCGACACGGTTATTCCGACAATCACCTCTAGATCCGAAGAATCCAATATTGTCCTGCTCGTGGCTCGGGGGGTGTCAAACACAACACGGATTTTGGACATGCCGACCCTGTTCATCAGCGACCCCGGTCCGTCTTCCTTGCTCTCTTCCTCCTCAAACACGCACGCAAAGATGCCAAGATTTTCGACGGTACCTGTCGGGCTGCGCAGAGACCACTTGCCATTCTCTCTTTCCGCCTCGGTAAAGCGACCTGCAATCTTGGCCTTGACAATGTCTTCGATGACGCGAACGGCGCGGCCCTCGTGAGTCGAAGTCAGCTCTAACGCTAGAAGATCCACCGTCGTATTCTGGTTGGGCCTCGATTTGGCGGCCGTGGGAGCGAGAAACAGGATCCGCCCACAGCTAGATTGCGTACAACGTACGGTGTGAAGATCGTACACCTGCACGACTCGGATTTCATTGGGGGGCAGCGATGCCGGGGAGCCACTGGTGGCGGAAGCAGCGTTATCCAGCTCTGCCAGCAAGCCTCGCGCCATGATTTTGCTGCCCGCAGCCTTCGCCAGCAACACCAGGCAATTCTTGTAAACCAACATGATGCCAGGGTTGGGGTCCAACGACGGTGGATCCACATGGTAAGGGGGCGACAGCTCATTGAAATCCACCGCTGTGATCAATCGGCTAGAAGGCAGTATCGTGGACGGCCACCCGTCTACTAACTCCTTTAGTCGGCGAAAACTGAGGTCGTGGTTCGTTGACGACGAGTCATCCAGAGCACAAATCTCATTGATGACGTCCCGGGATTTCAAAAAAGGTCGGATGGCCGGATGGACCAACGGGAGGCTCTTCATCATGGTGTCAATCAAGAGACTGTACCGGGGCAGACGCTGCACGGGCTCCATCAGTAAGGACCGGAGCATCTGCTCTCCGGTGTCATGCACGCGCTTGGAGAAACTAGACTGCTTATCCTTCATGAAAGAATTCAGCACCTGCGTAAAGCTGTTATGAGCATTCATGTAATCGGCGTAGGGCTCCGAGAATCGAGGAAACCATTCGAGAAGCGCGTTGGCTAATACCACTGCACCAACCGGATCCTCTCTGTCGTCCCTTGACGGGGTGCGTTGCGACATGGACGAAGACAGTTCGGTGTCCCGTGTCATATCCTCGATCGCCTCCCTCTCTGTTTCCTCGAGGACCAGACGGATCACCTCCAGGAACCCCATGTTGACTTCGAGAATCGCGTTCAGACATGGGGGGAACAGCTTGGCCAGATCTGATTCGGTGGGGCTGGTGCTGGATGACCCTCTTCCTTGAGCCTTGATGCGGAATTCCTCCGCCACATTGCGCACCAGGGTAAATAGTTTGTTCACATATCTTTCCTCCGTATCCACAAACTCACACATCGTCAAGCGGAACGCCTGTTTCTGGCTCGTCGAGAAGACACGGGATCGATTGACCTTCGTGGGCTGGGACGGGGCTCGCTTCAGTCGCGATGTCGGCAAGAACACAGGTTTCCCCAGCGATTGAACGAGCAACGAATACTGGCCATACTGGGTGTCGGGAGGGTCCTCCATGTCCGCCAGATCATCCAGGTCGTCCTCCCCAGGTCGCTGCGGTGGTTGGATGATGCCCGGGGGAAACACGACATCGAGATCTACCCAGGGAACCTTGCGCTCCTGGAAGGCGCCACGGATGTCGCGCACGATGTCGGCCGTGTATTCCACCCTTGTCATGCGATTTGCCAGATCGGCGGCATGCATCTCGTCGAAGAGCTTAGGAATCTGACCCCCCGGCTTGCCGGAACGCGCGAAGGCCTGCAGACAGTCCTTTGCGGGGTCCGACAGGTCGGCGAAATATTTCAGCATTCCCACAGCCAGACCGCGACATACTTCATCGCCTTGTTTCTCGCGGGGGAGGTGGTTGACGGCGGCGTACAACGGGGCGGCGGGGGAGACGGTGATGCGCGGATAGCTCTGGAAGCCGGCGGGGGTCAAGACATGCGCCTGGATGCGCGAGCTACTGACGGTGGCATTTGCGGTCGCGACGGGACCGTAGAAAACGAAAACGGAGGACAGGTAGGGATCGGAGGCCTGGTAGAGAGCGAGCTGTTCCAACGGCAGGTCCGACGGGGCGCTTGTCACGGTCGCCATCGTGGCGGAAGCAGCGAGACTGGCGCGCAACCGGGGGGAAGTCAATGAAAATGGAAACCACGAAGCTAGTTGGATTAATACCGCTCCACAAGAGAAATGAAAACAAAGAAGATAAGGGAAACAGCAAAGAAAAAGAACCACGGTGGATTACACCAAAGAAAGCAAAGAACGACGAGCAAGCGAGAGGAAAGTTGCACACGCAAAGGCCACTGATACTCTAGAAAGAGACACGAGGGAACGACTGCGCCAAAGGCATAATACTCATCAGGAGCAGGGATCAGGAAAATGACCGAGGCTCAGAGGAAAATAAAAATAGCGAGAGACGGTCCTCATGCAGTCGACGGAGGAAGAACAGGATTCCCCTCCATGGGAAGAGTCCAGAGCGATGATGGCGGAGAGCGAGGAGCAGCCGAGCAGAGCGAGAGAGGGACGCGTTGAGGAACCCTTGGGGGGGGGAAACCCGGGAGGGCAAATCACTGGAGCATGGATGAGTTGTTCGGAGCCAGACGAAGGACAGCGCGAGTGGGGACGCAGGCGATGGTTGGGTATTGTTGTGGTGGTCGGGATGGTTGTTGTGGTGAAAGAAGGATGGGATGACTGCAGATGATTTGCATCCAGTCGAGGCGATTAGCCACAGGAAGTCCATGCAGGCCGACGAGGGGGCAACCAAGTGGGGGGATTCCTTTCGACGCCCGTCTATCTGCCTAGTCTAATTCTAATCATTCTACGGGGTGCCAATTCTAGTGATCATCATCATAGTTAATCCCCGAGTTACAGGCTCTGATGGACGGTACTTTCTCCCGATGTACCTGCCCGCGGCACGGTCGACGTACAGGTACTCCGGGCTCAAGTAGCTCTACTTCCATCACAACAATCCAACCGCCGGAACCATGGATGCAGTCTGGAGATCCCGAACCCGACCCAGACTGCCAGTTAGATTCTCGTTTGACCTCCCATCTACCAGACCGAAGGGTCCATGGAACAATGACCGATCCCAACGTGAGCCCCGAATGGTTGGGTGGTTGTTGACTTGATTGATCCCAGCCCGAAGTACGGAGTACATCTATCACCACGGGATCAGGTGACGTTGCTGCATCCCTGCCGGTTGGACCACTCATGCCTGTCTGTAGGAATAGAATCATAGAATCACAGAGCTTGGGAGCTGCTCATCTCTGCTTGGTGATTTCCATTGTTATTCTCTAAACGTGCGACCGCACGAGCCTGGCAATGGGCAAGTCACTGGCAGGTACCGGCGCCCGCCAAATGGCCGCGTGGAGGTACCGCCGCGGGACTTGGCGCCGCTGAGTCAGCCCCCGGACCAACTAGGCCGGATCGGGGCAGCAGAACAGCTGTTGTTCTCGCGCTTCTTCTTCCTTTCCTCTGCTTCGTTTCTCGCTCTCGCTCGTTGCTGCGCTTCGACTCTCCCCGTCGTCTTTACGTCAAGGGCCATGATCTGATCTGGCTCCGTTGTCGGGCTTTCTCTCTTTCCCCTCCCCCATCCCCTCCCCTGGTCTCTCGCTCTCATTCAATTCCTTCTCCCGTCATGTCGTCCGCCTCCCTTCCTATCGCCGTCGATCCCGTCGCTTTGGTGACTACAGAATGTATCACCGTCACGTCGGCTATGCGCAAGCATGCCCGCTGGGCTCACTCCTCCGTCTCTGCCATCCTGGGCGGAACCACCGTCTCCCGCGTCTACGATCGTGATACCTCCGCTCCTCCGAGTCCCCGCAATGGCTCGTCGACGTCTCGTTCCGCATCCCGAACCCCCGCCATCGACGACGATCATGCTCTGGCCAATCGATGGGGCCTGAGGGGGAAGAAAGGCAAGAGCATGCAGGACAACCCCCTCATCTCGGCCTTCACGCGACTACGGAGTGATCTGAAAGGCTGCAAAGACATCCGCACGTTCGATGCTCCCGCTCTCCTCCATCCGTTCCTCCAGGTCGTCCGCTCCTCGTCCACCTCCGCCGCCATCACCTCGCTGGCCTTGGTGGCCCTGACCAAAATCTTCTCATATAACATCATCGGCCGGGACTCCCCTCGACTGTCCATGGCCATGCAACTCCTTTCCGCCGCCATCACCCACTGCCGATTTGAAGCCAGTGACTCCGCCGCCGATGAAATCGTCCTGTTGAGGATTCTGAAGTTGATGGAAGGCGTCCTGTCTCGCCCGGAGGGGGATTTGCTTGGCGATGAGAGCGTGTGTGAAATGATGGAAACCGGGTTAAGCATGTGCTGTCAGGTCCGTCTGTCGGAAGTCCTGAGGAGGTCGGCCGAAATGGCCATGGTCAACATGTGCCAGGTGATTTTCATGCGCTTGTCCCACCTCGAGATTGCAGAGCCCTCCGAGGAGGTCCCCGCGCTTTCGATTGCAGGAGGCGATAAGCCGACCAATTTCAAGATGGACCCTTCGGTCGACGGAGACACCGTGACCTCGCAACATCCCTCCGCCATGGGGTCGGACACTGCCGTCCCGGAGCGAGACCGCGGTAGTAGGGAAGAGTCCCCGGAACAAACCCCCAACGGCAGTGCCGTCGCTGCTCCCCCCAATCCGCAGGACGACGCTGGGGACGACGCCGCGCCCTACTCTCTGGCTTCGATCCGGGAACTCTTTCGCGTGCTGATTGACCTTCTGGATCCACACAACCGGCAGCACACCGACCCAATGAGGGTTATGGCGTTGAGAATCATCGACGTGGCGCTAGAGGTTGCGGGGCCGGATATTGGCAGACACCCCAGCCTGGCTTCGTTGGCCCAAAACGACCTCTGCCGCCACCTGTTTCAATTGGTCCGATCGGAGAACATGTCTATCCTGACGGAATCACTGAGAGTCGCAGGCACTCTGCTGCTAACTTGTCGCTCCGCGCTCAAGCTCCAGCAGGAGCTGTACCTGTCGTATCTGGTCGCTTGCCTTCATCCGCGGGTAGAAATACCCAAGGAACCCGGTATCAACCCGGCCCTTTACGACGGGGTGCCACAGGCGCCCAAGTTAGTGAAGCCCCCTCCGTCCCAGTCCAATAGTGGCAGATCCACGCCCGTTCCCGTGAAAGATCGGCAGAAGTTGGGGCTGGAAGGAGGTTCCCGGAAACCGGAAACGCGAGAAGCCATGGTCGAAAGTATCGGCGTGCTGGCGCGGATTCCGAGTTTCATGGTAGAGCTGTTTATCAACTATGATTGCGATGTGGACCGTGCAGACCTATGTGAGGACTTGATCGGACTTCTCTCGCGCAGCGCCTTCCCTGATTCCGCCACCTGGAGTACGACCAACGTGCCTCCGCTATGCTTGGACGCTCTGCTTGGCTACATCCAGTTTGTGTACGATAGAATGGAAGACGAGCCTTTGCAGGCGGGCTTTCCTGCGCGGGAGGATTTGAAGAACCAGCGCAAAACCAAGAAACTCATTATCACCGGCGCACAAAAGTTCAACGAGGATCCGAAGGCCGGTATCGCCTACCTGGCCTCTCACGGTATCATCGAAAACCCCGACGATCCTGTTCTGGTTGCCAAATTCCTGAAAGGAACCACCCGGCTGTCCAAGAAAGTTCTGGGCGAGTTCATCTCCAAGCGATCCAACGAAGCGCTCCTGGACGCCTTCGTCGATCTTTTTGACTTTTCGGGGAAGACTGTGGTCGATGCTCTTCGCGATCTTCTCGGGGCCTTCCGGTTGCCTGGCGAGTCTCCGCTCATTGAGCGCATTGTCACGACGTTCACGGACAAATTCATCGAAAAGGCGCATCCTCCCGGCGTCGCTGACAAAGATTCTCTGTTCGTGCTAACATACGGCATTATCATGCTCAACACGGAGCTGTACAACCCTAATATCAAATCCCAGAACCGCATGTCCTGTAATGACTTCGCCCGAAACCTCCGGGGTGTAAACGCGGGACAGGATTTTGCGCCAGAGTTCCTACAGGAGATCTACGACTCTATTAAGCAGAACGAGATCATTCTGCCGGATGAGCACGACAACAAGCATGCTTTCGACTTCGCTTGGCGAGAGCTATTGTTGAAGTCCTCCTCGGCCGGCGAGCTGGTGGTGGGTGAGACTAACATCTACGATGCCGAGATGTTTGAAGCCACTTGGCGACCAGTGATCTCAACCCTCTCGTATGTCTTTATGTCCGCCTCGGATGATGCGGTTTACTCTCGGGTGGTCCAGGGATTCGACCAGTGCGCTCAAATCGCTGCCCGGTACAGGCTGACGGAAGCTTTTGACCGAATTCTCTTCTCCCTAGCTTCCATTAGCACACTTGCCACCGATACTCCTCCCAGCACTGCCCTCAACACGGAAGTGCAGGCTGGAAAGAAGAGCGTTATGGTCAGTGAGCTTGCCGTGAAATTCGGCAGGGATTTCAGAGCGCAACTGGCCACGGTGGTTCTCTTCCGAGTTTTGGCAGGCAACGAGTCTGCCGTTCAAAAGAGCTGGACACATATCATCCGCATCCTCAACAATCTCTTCATCAATTCCCTCACTCCTCCCTTTGATACCAGCTTGAACTCCGAGCTTGAGATACCCCCTATTCCGTTGCACTTGCCGTCGCAAGTTGTGGACCGTGATGGGCGTGGAAACGAGACGGGATTACTGTCTGCCTTCACGTCTTATCTATCCAGTTATGCGGCGGATGATCCTCCGGAGCCATCCGACGAGGAACTTGACAACACTTTGTGCACCGTGGACTGCGTTACCGCTTGTTCCATCAGCGATATCTTGACCAATATCAAGTAAGTTTATCGCTAACTACCCCCGTACCCATTCATCGGAACTCAAATAACATTGCTAGGTCCCTTCCCCTGGAATCCGTTTCGCTAGTGGTGGAATCGCTATTGGCCCAGTTGCCCGAAGAATCTGCGCCGGCAGTCATTGTCGTGAAGCCCGAGAGACCGTCTGCCTCGTCGAGGGCAAATGGTAAAACTGATGCAAGCCAGTCGAAGTACGATCCTGGCATGATGTATCTTTTGGAGCTGGCGACCATCATCACCCTTCGCGACGAGGAAACATTGAAGACCCTGGGCGAGCGGCTCTTGACTTCCCTGCAAGCGTTTATTCGGGATGCTCGAAACCTGCATTCGCTGGCCTTGTCGCGAATCGTTTATTATTTGCTGAACCTGCTGCGACTCAGCCATGTATGGATAACCATAATCCCCTCGGTCGTGATCCAAGCTTGCTGACTATCTGCTAGGATCATTCATTCATGCGAGTGCCTGTTGTTCTACACGGCATCTCTGGATTCGATCAAGATATATTGGAAAGCGTTGCCATCCCCACCGTCAAGGGACTCACCCGCTGCATCTCCCACGGGGGTCTTTTGCGCAATGAGATCACCATTTCCCCTGATTTCTGGTCAATCTTGCAAAGACTACACCAGCACAAGGAAGCCGGTCCGTTGGTGTTCGAACTCCTCCAGCACGTTATTGACTCTTCGCCGCCTATCATCACCGCCGACAATTACGAGTCAGCCGTTGCTCTGGCAAATGACTTCATCAGTGCCGGCAGTATCGGGTCCATTGACGAAAGGCAAAAGGACGCGGTCTCCCGGCGCTCTAAAGGTGTCAAGCAACCTAGATCAAGGTATGCTCCTCTGCATTCGAATTCGTCTAGTCTTATCATGATCAATTAACCAGAATTCGGAATAGTGAGAATGAAGTGGTTTCCCGAGCATTGAAGGCGATCAGTCTCGTCTATCAGCTCACCGGACGAGTGCCAACTTTGATCAAGCAGTCGCATCTTGAAGACAATGAAGGTTCGTGCAAGTTGCCTCGGCTCTCAAATACCGAATATCTAGCTGATGCTTCAACTTCAGCCTGGTCGGCCTATTGGTCTCCTATTTTCCTTTCATTGACTGCTCAATGCATCAATCCCTGCCGAGATATCCGGCACAATGCCATTTCAACCTTGCAGCGCTCGCTTCTCTCTGTCGAGATGAATTCCACCGACAGCAAGGAGTGGACTGCCATCTTCGATCAAGTGCTGTTCCCACTCGTGCTCCGACTACTGAAACCTGAAGTTTATCATTCGGATCCTGTCGGAATGAGTGAGACCCGCGTTCAGGCAGCAATTTTGGTCTGTAAGATCTTTCTGCGTTATCTTGATCAGCTTCCGAACCAAGACGCTATGCTGGAACTCTGGCTCAAGATTCTGGATATCCTGGATCGGATGATCAACAGTGGCCAAGGCGACAGTTTGGTATGTTGTACCCTTGATATCAATTTGCTTATCAGTCGGTCGAGTGCAAGGCTTTCCAATGCTAACTACTTCTGCAGGAGGAAGCAATCCCGGAGAGCCTCAAGAACATTCTACTGGTTATGGCCGACGGGGGATACTTGGTGCCGCCCACTCAAGACGCCACCAAAGAAGCGATCTGGACCGAAACCAAGAAGCGCCTGGACAGATTCCTGCCTGACTTATTCAAAGAGATCTTCCCCGACGTCTCAGCCGAAAAGTCGCCGGTTTCTGCCGTCGCGTCCCCCGCCCCATCATCAGCCACCGAGCCTTCCAACGACGAGAAACCCAAGCAAGACCAGACCCCTGCCGACCCTCCAGCCCCTGCTCCTGAAGCTGAAGCCGAAGCTGAAGCAGGAGACGAAAAGACTGGAGAGCAGCCAAGCGAATCCTGAAAACCAGAGTAACCCTCCTTCTAGACCATCTTCTCTTTTACATCTACCCGTCGGGCATTTATAGCGTTGGTAATCTGGTGTCTTTTGCAACCAATTATACATAACATGTAAATATAATGATGCTTTTGTTTCTTTCCATTGCTTGTTGCTTCTGTCGGATACAACTAGCGGATGTAGTCAATGTTTTTCTTTATCGCTCTGTTTACACATGTCTCAGTCAAGTTAGATTTCCGATTGGTCTGGTGCTAGCCACCCTTGTTCGTTCTTTCTCCTCACTTGTGGGCAGCATTGTTTACTACTTGTGATATACTGACATCAACCGTCCAACCCACCCACTATTCTTCAGCAAACATTTACATATTGTCGTGTAACCGTGGAGTGTAACAATACTACAATATCTATCCAACCATCATCGACTTCAACTTTAATTGTTCGCTTACGATAGGGCGCATAACTAATGCATAACAAACACCAACTGACTGACTGTAAATGTGACGTTCATTTATACAGAATGTGAATTGTCAGGTATCACAATAGATCACATCGCCAATCCGACTGGTTTGGATTGTAAAAAAAGAACCAGGTAGCAAACAGGACAGAAAAAAAAAAAAAAGAAAAGAAAAGAAAAGAAAAGAAAAGAAAAGAAAAGAAAAGAAAGGAAATGATAAAGCAAAGGTGGTACAGGAAAGACAACTATTCAATGCCAATGATGGGGTCTCAGAACAGGCGAGAGAGAGCCTAGATGGAATGGCATAAAACAAATTCACAAAACTGGCAGGTCAGATAGATCGATATGTGTTACAGAAGAATGAGAAGGAATAAGCGAAAGGAGTGTGACATTTCATGCGTTATTGGTGAGGTCCGATGCGACTAAGCCAAATAAGAGTGAGGATGGGAGAGGGAGGAGAGAACCAAAGCGGAGACGAGTCTCGATGGATGAGAGGAGGGAAGTAATGATAAGGCAAAGAGAAGAGAGAGAGTATAAAAGATAACTGCATTCCTCCTTTTCTGTCTTCTATTCGGCATCCATATCATCGTCGAGGTCAATGGCATCAGGGTTGACCGGAGCAGCCGGTTTTTCTTGACCAGCGGGAGGAGGCCGATTGCCACCTTCGGGCCCAGTACTGGCGGCGACGAAGCCCACGGGGGCACGGGCTTGTCGTTCCAGGGCTGCCATAGCGTCTGCACGCTCGGCCGCACCCTCGCCGCCATCCTGCCCTTCTTCGGTGGCTTGGTCGCCATCTTGCGGCTGTTGTTGGCCACGGGCGATCGCTTGCGAGGCGATGAAGTTGACATCCGTGCTGTTGTTCCAGAGTGGTTAGCTATCAACGTTGTGTTTGTCTTGGGGAAGGTAGAATCAACATACTTGTACTGTGCTTGAACGCTTCGCTTGATACGAAGCATCTCCTTGAAAGTGTCCTCGTTTCCGTGTTGCACTTCAAACGCTTCCCATTTCTGCCAGAAACCGGCGTTGGTGCGAGGATCGCAGAATTGGGAGGCGTGGCCGTAAATGGCACGGGCGCGGTCGATTTCGCCCAGTCTCCGTTCCATCTCAGCGAACTTGAGACACATCTCCTTGGCTTCCTGGTCGGGCAGAGCCGCAATAGCACGCTCGTAGATAGGTCTCGTGGAAGTCAATCCGAAGTTCGAGGCCGACTTCGTGATGTAGAACTCGAACATCTCGAATCGGTCTTCGTCGGACACCGCACGCGTGGCACGCTCGTAGATTCTCATGGCGTGTCGGGCCAATCCCCGTTCCTCTTCCAGGTTGCCGTACATCAGGTAAAGAGGCTTGGCGAACTTCGGGGGACATCCATCCAGGGCCTGTTCGAACAGATCCCTCAGTCTCTCGATTCCAATCTTGCGGTCGACTGCCTTGGTCAAATACAGGTTCCAGAGTTCGAACGCAACGGGGTAACTGAACAGGTCCAATCCTCGTTCGTAGACCTTGAAGGAATCTTCGAAATACTTGTTCTCCTCGAGAAGGTTGGCGTAGTTGACGACCGTCTGAGGGGTGGCGATGCGCAGCTCGAAGATCCTCTCATACACTTGCTTGGTCTCTTCCAGCGAAGCAACACTCTCCACAAGGTCGACATAGAAGCTCCATAGTTTCCAGCTCTTGTGAACTCGTTGCTGAGGCGATAGCGCTTCGTCAAAGTAGTCGACGGTGGATTTCTTCGGCGCTTGCGTTGCCTTCGCCATAACCTCGACGGCCTTGTCGAAGTTCTCGCCGCGAAGTTCCATTTCCGCCCACTCACACCACAACTCTGCAAGCTCGGCGACGGATTTGAAGGGCACCTTGACGGCCTTTTCAAAAATGATTCGGGCCGTATCTAGGTCGCTGCCAGACTCGTAAAACTTAGCGTAATTGACCCAGAGCTCGGAGAATTTGCCATGAGCCTTTTTGGGGTTAATGGCCGCAATGGCTGCCGTGTAGGTTTGGACGATCTCGTGTTTGTTATCGCCCCACAAAGCAACCCTCTTTTCCCATTCAATGACATTGTTGGGGTTCTGTCTCAGGAGCACGTCGTTAACAAGGAACGGCCGTCGGTCCATCAGTTGTTCGAATCGAAGCATCCGCAAATCGAGATCAAAATCCGCATCTTCGTCGGACTGACCGCTGTCAGCCCGAGTCGCTGCAGATTCCATTAGGCTCCCGATGATCGACTCTTCAAATTCAACATAAGAGTCGAATATCAACGTGAAATCCCGAACGGTCATAACGGTGACAATACCCTCTTCGAAGACATCTCTCGCTTTCTCGAAATTTCCCTTGGTGATCCAGTATGTCGCCAATCCAGCCCACAATTTACCGCGTTGGTCAGCAAACCGTTCGATTCCGCTGCGCAGAATGGCATCCACATCGATCCCAACGTGTAGACCGGTTTCGATCTGCTTAGCTTTCGACACCAACAGGTCTACCATCTCTGTCCACAACTGGAAATTGCTCTTTCCTTCCTTCGATTGGAATCGCGGGTTGTCCAGGATCTCCATATACCGCTTCACAGCTTCCGTGTACTGGCCCATCTCGACCAGTAACTCGATATATTCCTCGGCGTTTTCGGGATGGATTTGCATATAGCGAGACCAGATCTTCACGGCGGTTGGGCCGGAAGCAGACCGAGCGAATGGCTTGTAGAGTCTCCAAATGCGGTTGTGTTGGGTGATTGGGAGGGCGCGCAAAGCACGGTCGAAAGTCCGCCGGGTCTGCGTCACAAGTGGCTGCTGCAGCAAGAAAGAGAGATACATCTCCCATATCCGCGGCATCTTGTTGAGGAGGATTAGGGCGCGTTCGAAGAGCGCGTTGACTTTCGAAAATTCGGCCCGGTAGACAGTCGGGTTCCGGCTTCGCAGATGGTTCGTCCGGAATTCCAGATACTGCAAAGGTCAGCATATGAACGCGACGACAACAATCGACAAGGGAAAAATAAAGAAAATGAATAGAAAATACCATTTTCCATAATTTGTAAGACCTGGGGAGCTGCTTGCACGCGCGCTCCATTACCTAGATAGAAAATGCAAGATCAGTCAAACGTCCAAGTGAGACAATGCGCCTCGAGGATACTCACAAAAGCCTGCTCATAGAGCGTGCCATGTTGCCGCTTGTACTCGACATAAGCAAGCCATGGCTTGACGTTGCCCGGATCGCGAAGCAAATCTTGTTCATAAACCGTGTCCTGATCGGCCTGTAATCACATCACACCATTAGCCCGCGCCGCCTCGCAATGCAATTGCCTAACCACTTACGATCAGATAAAGATCCGGCCCAGAGGCCGTCGTTCGGTCCATCTGTGCGTGTTGCCGGTGGGATCTCGGGGGCAAGAGTGTCCCCGGCATTTCGCCACTCAGTCGAGCGGGATCAGCTCACACGGTGAACACGAAGTCGGATAGAGAGGGTGTACCGCATGAACGGGGGGAGCTGGAGGCCTTTCTTTTCGTTTCGCGCTGGGCGAGAAGAAGACCCGCCGAAGGACTCTGAGATGAAGTCGTGCCGCACGTGACGGGTTGTCAGGCGGACTGCGGGCCACCGCCTGCCCCGTGCGTCCGCCATCGTCGCGCCGCATCGTCATGTCCGCCCAGTCGCTTCGCTCTCCGTGGCCTCTACATCCCACTTGAGCGTCTCGTCTTCGTCTATCAGTCATGTCGGGTGCCGTGGTATGCTGGCCCTCTCTGCTGCATTTCTGCTGTCCCCTCAAGACCTGTACTAATCTCCGCGTGGTTGCTAAGGGCCGTGAGCCAGTCTTCCCGACTCGTCAGTCGCTGGGGTTGATGAAGGGTAAGCTGAAGGGCGCTGAAATCGGCCACAGCTTGTTGAAGAGAAAGAGTGAGGCATTGACAAAGTAAGTCTCCGACTACCCAAGCTACTGTATGAAAGATCGGTCTGCTAATCATGTGTTTACTACAGGCGATTCCGCGGTATGATACCTCCTGGATCGAACGTCCCCCCGCATTACCCCGACACTGACGTGGGAAGCTAGAGATCACTCGCCGTATTGATGAAGCCAAACAGAAGATGGGTCGGGTGATGCAGATTGCCGCCTTCTCCCTGGCGGAAGTGAGCTACGCTGTCGGAGGCGATATCGGATACCAGATTCAAGAGTCCGCGAAGCAGGCCCGATTCAGAGTCCGGACCAAGCAAGAGAACGTGTCCGGTGTCCTATTACCTCATTTCGAGAGCCACACGGAGGAATCCATCAACGACTTCGGTCTCACCGGTCTTGGAAAAGGAGGTCAGCAGGTGCAGCGATGTCGGGAGACCTATGCTAGGGCGGTGGAGACGTTGGTTGAGCTTGCGAGTCTACAGGTACGGAGGCTATTGTTCACAGTGCTATGTGCTATACACTTGGCTAATTGGTGTTGATTAGACCGCATTCGTCATTCTGGATGAGGTGATCAAGGTGGTTAACCGAAGAGGTAAGTACTCGGCCATGTCTATGAATTCTTGCTCATCTACTAACCTCAATCATAGTCAACGCCATGTAAGACATTCTTTCCGAGAGTCTAGTGCCCATCAGCTAACCCTATCTAGTGAGCATGTTATTATTCCCCGTACAGAAAACACCATCAAATGTGGGTATACCCCCGGCTACTTCATGCTCATTACCCGGTTAACGCATTTCCAGACATCAACTCCGAACTTGACGAACTCGACAGAGAAGAGTTCTATCGACTCAAGAAGGTTTCGGGCAAGAAACAGCGCGACAATGCTGCTGCGGACGCCGAGATCATGGCTGCCCGCGAGAGAGAAGCAGCGAAGCAGCTAACAGAGGGCAAACCTGAAAAGGACGAGACGCCCGACGCCCCGGACGTTCTTGGGGAGTCGGAAGACGCAGATGTCATTTTCTAACGGCTAATTTCCTTTCGTCGCACATTGTTATTTCCTATACCGTTTCATGTAACTAGTATACTCGTTTTCTAGCATGTAGCTGTCTTTTTTGCTTTTTGATATCATTCAGAAGCTATTTCTTTTCTTCAACTCTTCTCGCTCATACCAAATCCGAGCTAAGATACAAACAATAGGAAAGAGGCAGCGCGATTACACCCCCAATGACAAACAATTCGTACATTTCTCTGCAAATTCTAATCGAGATTCCAGAGAGCATGGAAAGAATAAACCCCACCCCAACGCCATAAAATAGGTAGTTCCTCGGGTCCTCCGCAACCCTCTCCAGACACTCCGCTACTGTCTCTGGTACGTCACGCGAATAGGCTTGCCATTCTCGCCCATAGGCATACCCGATGTGGCCTCCTTCGCGCTGATCGCGCCAGACTCGCTCTCGTACTCGACGAACGCAATCCCCTTGCGACCCGGCACCAGTCGGACTTCCTGGAATCCTTCGAACCGACCAAACACGGCCGTAAGGCTGTCCTGGTCCGCGGTGTCGGGCAGGTCCCGCAGGAACAGAATCTTGTTGGGAGGCAGGTACTCGTCGGGGATGACGGCCGTGGCGGCCCCGCTGGTGGGCTTGAGACCGGCTCCTTTGGCGGTTTTGGCGGGGCGCGTGGAATCGGGAGCGCCGGGGGGTCGTTTGAGTTTCTTTTGGGCCTCGAGAGCTTCGTGGGCTTGTTTGCGCTCTGGGGTGGGATCGCTGTTAGCAAATACGTTCACGCCGGTAGTTTGGGGGATGATCCCGAGGTTTCTGGGCTCGAGAGACCAGCAGAAACCCCGTAATTCATGAGAATGAGACGGAAAGAAAATGAAAGAAAAGAAAAGCGCACCCTTCTCAGCTAGCCGCCTCCTCTTGTGAACCTCAAGCTCCTCATTCCCGCCTTCCTGCAACACGGTGGCATCGCTCCTCGTCTTCGCATAGTCCAGAACCATAGGCTTGTCGAAGAGATCGAAGCCGTTGATTTCGTCAATAGCGCGGGTGGCGGATTCCACGTCGTCGAACACAATGAACGCCTGGCCCTTGGCCTTCAGGTTGGTCTTCGCGACGATCTCGATGATGTTGCCATATTCCGAGAAGATCTCGTCCAGAGCGACCTTCAGCTGGTCGACTTTGATTCTCTCTTCCAGGTTACGGACCTAGATATCGGCGGGTCATGGTTAGTGAGGACTCATGGCGCAGTCTGGGAGTAGGATCTTTCGCGGAGGTTGGCGGTGGAACGTACATAAACTCTGTCGGAAGAGGGCAGTTAGCTTGAGGGATACTGTGTAGAGAGAGAAGAGAGCGAGGAAGCTAGACTCACGTGTTATTGGGCGGGATAGCTCCCGTGGACGTTGATACGGCCGCCATGATTTGCGACTGTCGGGGTTGTGATCGATGAGCAAGTAACTATCTCGAAGGAGCTGCGGGACTTCAATGCGGATGCTGATGAGCTCCGGAGGAGTGCTTTAAGTTCATGATGTCAAATAGTAAGTCAGTTTACAAGCAACGAGCATCATTGGTCTAGTGGTAGAATTCGTCGTTGCCATCGACGAGGCCCGTGTTCGATTCACGGATGATGCATTCTTTTTTGCGTTTTTTTATGACCGTTTATCAAAGCGCCGGTAGTCAGTCAATCACCCCATCAATTATTGGTTTTTGTTCTTCTATTTCTTTTTCCCTTTTCATATTATAATCCGTTAAATTTGATGCTGTGTACCTTCCTATACACAGCATGACTGCTGGCAAACTGCGACAAATCGTAAGCCTCAAGGGAAGATTCAAGGAGATCCCTCCCCAATGAATAGCACCAAAGTTATATCTACAACCCCCATGTCTCCCGTATACCTCCTACAAGACCCTTCAGTTCTTTTGGCTGCCTCGTCCAATCTTCATCCTTGACCTTGTCGGACACGGTCTCCATGAACAAATATTCCGCGATGTTACTGCGAACCTATATAGAGTCAGTTGTGATCCTCATCCTTCTACAAAGTTGAAACATACTCTTGGAAAAGGATGCAACAGCATTCCCGTCATCTTCTTCAGAGCTTCAGTGCGCAACGACTCCAATCGAGACAGGCACGCATATACTCGGGTAGCTGCTTCTAGTCTTGCGATATTGGAGGTTTTGAAATGCGCCTTTTGGACAAGGACAAACAGTTTTCGGAAACTGCAGGTGTGTGTTAATGGCTGTTTGGTCATTAGTAAAGGGTAAAAATATGGAACTGACCTTGGCTCCGAATTGTCGGGAATTGCCAGGATGTATCCATCTAGCAGAAATGCGAGCAGCTCCATAGCTGGTATAGCATAGCGGTCATCTTGCAGGTTGTCATTCAGTACAACCAAAAGGTCTTTGATAGCGGAGACCACTGTGGCTTGCTGATTCCCGGCCTCCTGGCTGTTAATCCATTGAACCAAGGCTGAACGCGAAGAACGAATAACCCCCTCCGCTCCGGCGACGGCCGAAGTTGCGATGCCCTGGAAGATTGGGACACGCAGCCATTCGACTGCTTGCAGGTCGAGGAGCTGCAGGAAATAATCTGGCGAAGACACATGGCTGAAATGCTCGTATCGTCTATCTTGAGTCAGCATTGAAGTTTCATTATTTGGTTACACTGTATCGATCCGCACCTCTTCAGTTGTGGAAATTCAGTTGCTGACTCCCAGAAGCTCTGCAAGCATAGCCAGGCTTGAAGGCGGACTTTATCGAGCTTTTCAGCTGCCAATCGACAAAGGCACCCGACAATATTCTGAACATGCAACGCATGGGCTGTAGAATTCGAGTCCTTCTGAAGGATAATGCATGCCGACTGGATAGCCTCTAGCCGAATCTGAGATCCAATATCACCACGTCTATCAGTAGTATAGTCATTCAAAAAGCCAATTATGTGGTCAGAAACAGCATCCGTCCCGTCTATTTCATGGTCAGCTTCTTCCTTTCAACACAGTGGATTTGCATACCTAGATATGGGAGAACACCTGAAGTCAAACTCTTCACAGCCATTACTCGCTTCTCAATCAACTCATCTTTCTCGGTGCATCGCAGCAACTCCTCCACAATCGACTGCCTCAGTTCGCTCGCTTGGTCAAGGTGCGTGAAAATAGCACCCAGAACCGAGATTTGGCCGCGGCCAGTTGGGAGCTTCCGAGTGGCGCCAATGTGTGAGAACCAGCCGTGGATTACTTCATCCTGTCTTTTAGAAGCCAAAAGAGGGAATATACCAGATAGCGACGAAGAGGAAGTCTCAATAGCAATATCTTCGCCTCGGGAAACGCAGAGCAAAAGAGTCTCCAGGGCCTTATCGAGCAGATCAGTGGACGGCCGTGGAACATTTGGCACCGTCTCTTGCGACACTGAGCGAGAAAGAGCAGAAACCAAACATGACAACGCTTCGGCCGTCAATTCAGGACGTGAGATTTGAAGCGTCAGGTCCTTTTTAGTAGGGCCGACTGGGGAATTGAACATGTTCCAGAGCTCTTCCAGTTGAAGTACAACGTCTTCTGCCTCAGTGCTATCTTCAGAATCAATACGACAGGCATTGAAAGCGTCAACTGCCGCGGAAAGTGCTAGCAAGCACCCATGCCTCCCCTCGACATCACTGTGAGGAAGATTGTTAAGCTTGTTGATCAGTCGATGAAGCACGATTTTGATCGATTTGTAAGAGTTCTGTGTACTCAGATTTCCGATGGCTTTTGCTGCTTGCCTCCTAGACTCGGCATCTGGGGACCCAATGCCTCTCCAGTGCATCAGCGATTCAACGAGAGGGCTCCAATAATGAAGGCTCAGGTCTGCGGTAGCTTTTGCGACATCATTCATTGCCCTTGAGCGACGAGCCACGGCGTGGTAATCAACCACTTGGACCAGTGGTATTCCCTCGGAAATGGTATTAGGATGGCGTCCAATTAGCTCCTGCAAGGCAGCAGATGCACCTCTCCGAATATTTCCCGACGGATCCACACAGGCAGCACATACTAGCTCTATGGCCAGCATCTGCAGGACGTTTGTTTCATCCTGTGCTGTAGATGTGCTGATTGTCTGCGGTCTTAAATCCAGCAGTTCCTGGGTTGTATACTTTCGAGATATCGCCCATATGCCAAAGCAAGAGGCATCTCGTACGCCCGTACCCACGGAGCTTCCAGTGGATGATCTTTGCTCAAAGTCAAGCCCAGAAATGAGCGGCTGGAGTACTTCAGGCAGTTGATGGGTGGGCGGAGCGCGACGGAAGAGAAGATGTCCCAATGTAAGTATCAGTCCTTGCCATCGCTGAGCATCAACTGCACTGAGGTTTCGTTTCATCTTATTGGTCCCAAACATCCGTGCTTCTAACTGGGTCACTATCGTACCATCTGGCTTTTCATACAGGATATTCTCCTCCAGCGAACCGGTGACAGCCTCGATGACCTCAGTCGCCATTTCCGAGTCAAGCTTCAGCGTAATTATACTCAACGCCTTGCTTGCAGCAAACCTCACTGGTGTGTCTTTATCAGCCAAAGCCACCAGAAAATGATCGATCGCCTCTTCTAAGATTGAAGAGAACTGATCATCTGAGAGTGGATTGTCCGCTCTTTCGCTCAGGGACAAGGCCATCACCGTCACCGATCGGAGAATCTTTATGACAATCTTCCTTGCCAAGGCAGAAGACTTGATAGTCTCAGATACGTCTGACGTTCCCTGTGCAACGAGCAGGGTCTTCTGGAAGACCGGTACGATGAGCGGAGCAAAGTCCTCGACCTGGCCAGAGGCCCCGAGGCGCGCAAGAAAAGACAGCACTCCAATACATGTGTAGACAGTCGGAGGCTCCGGTCTATCCGCAGGCTCAACGATAGAAAATGCCCATTCGGTAAGATACGTCAGGAGCCCTAGGGATTGCATATCCCCGCGGAGCACCAGACGTGCGAGAAGCGCGGTAGCAGCCTCTCGCTCTTTCCCAGGAACGTTCACATAATTCAGCGACACCGAGAGAATAGACTTTGCAATAGCCGGTGTCTGCGGTGAGAGCGGTTTAAGCTGGTCCAAGTTATCATATGGAACCGGAAGGTCATCCGATGACATTGAGGACAGGTCAAAAGGGGCCAGCAGCAAATGGGAGAGCCAAATCAGCATTACATAACGCTCTTCCCAGATGAGTCTCTGCGAATTATCATCGAGAGAACTCTCCAGGTTCTCTTCTTGACGAATCGCGTCCCATTCAATGAACGCTCGCAGCAAAGGATCAAGATATTTTGGCTCATTGTTGAGGAATCGGCTGATCACTTTGACCCCGCGGACCTTACAGAATGTGTAAAGAAGCCGGCAAATCGCCCTTGGTAGAGGGTAAGCAGACTGCTGCTGCTGCGAGTTGGCTGGTTTCAAAGCATATTGATCGCGATGCTTGAGCAAATACGCTAAGAACGCATCAACCAAGGAGGGCAGTAGTGTTTGGAGGTGTGGATCCAATAACTGAGGCCATTCTTGAAAAGGCTCTAGCTGTAGCGAGCATCACTATTAGCAATTCAGGATCGGATCTGACATTGCAGTCGGCATTTACGTGATGGGAATGCGATTTTATCAACTTACAAGGCTAACGAGTCTCTCTGTCTTCGCGGCGTGCGTCCACCTTCGCGGGACTCGGACCTCCCCCTGTTCGGTAGCGCGGGTTTTCCAAAGCAGAGATGGCAATTTGTCTGAGAATTCCTTCACGAGATCACCAGATGCGCGCTGGAGCTTAACTTCCCGGTCATCTGCTGCATCCATGATGGGCCACTTGACCTCGACGGGATGACAGTCGTTTTTTATCCAATGGCGACTGGTTCAGATGGCGGGGATTCGGTCAACATGGACCCGGTCATGTGACCTGTATAGCTTCCTATGCATTTTGGGCAACGAACACAGGGAATTCTATATTAAGTTGGAATTTTGATAAATAAACATACTCCAGTATATCTTATTTGTCGGTAAATATATTAACTAAGATAATAACAATTTTTGTTGAGTATTTCAACCGTGAGAGTCAAAGAAACGGGTGAATATATATCGAGTTCACATATGTAGTATGTAAAGTACTGGATAAATAGAGGTTGCAAATCAGAATTATGAATTCAACCAATAGCGCAGCAACGCAATCAACGGTCTATATCCGGTCCTGTATCCAGCTTCTCTCCCTCCATAAGCTTTCTATACCCAGCCACTTCATCCTCTGCTAGTTGCATCATGGTCCTACGGATATGCATGACCGTGATTGCAATTGCAAGAGAGTTCCACACATCCTGACCTCTTTCTCCCAGATCAAACTGACACATAAAGGTGCTGTCCGAACTTTCGCTCGCGGTCGGGTCCGAATTACGAGTTAGGATGACAACAGTGGGACCAGAGACGATGAATCCGATAAGAATGGGATAATTTCGATGGGACAGCCAGCGAGAGGAACTATTGGCATCTGCGTTGGATACATTGCCATTTCCATCTGCTGGAGATGCACCCAGAGCATTCTGATATCGTCCGACAAGCTGACGCAGGCGTCGGTCGAGTCTCTTCAAGGTCTCCATGATGCCCTCTCGCTGAGCGTAAATAGCATGAAGAGGGATCGCATCCTTGGAAATACAGACTCTGGCATCGCGCATGGCCCATTTTATATAGCCTTTGATAGCATGCCTTATCAGGGGTTCGGGTTTCTTCCGCAAGATCTTGCAGTCCCTAACACGCCCTCCAAGGCTGAACAGGGTGCCCAGTGACTTGATTGCTAGGAGACGTATGAGCATGTTATTCCAAAGACAAGAAGAGGACTTAATCGACGACTTACCATAGAACTCAGAGGCAAATATCTGTAGCATAGGTTCGAAGCCTAGTGTCGGGTCGGGAAATAAGGAGACTGGGAGCGTTGGGAAGTCGAATTTCCAATGACTAGGGAGAACGGGCTCGAAGCCACGCATCGAAAGTCTAACGTAAAGATCATGCTCTGCTCCATTGAACATATTATCCGGCAGATTGATTGCGTCGGTCCAGCGTCTAGCCTTCTCCGTAGAGAAGTCAAAGACAACTTCTGATTTTTCATTCTGGGAAATGTGAATGGAATCGTCCGAGTCATTGTCTTCGTCGTCACTGTCGGGTACAAATGCGGGTTCATCGTCTTCGTGCGTTATACTCTTCCTTTTGAATTTTGATTTATCCCAGCCGACATGACCAATGCTGTTCTTGTGAGGAGATTCGAATTTGACGTGAGTGATCGAATTTAGACGGGGATAGTCTTCGTCCGCCATGCCTCTGACCCCCTGAGGCGTAAGTGAATTCTCTCTTTTCACAACGGTTGTCTTTTTCTTCAAAGATCCACCATTAATATTGCCCTTTGGTGTTCCATACTCCTCTCCATAGGAACTTGTTCTTCCCTTCTTCGCTGCCGGCTTAAATTCGGGAGTGACAGGCTCATCCCCCATGTCCTCTGAATCATCATCGTATGTCTTCGGTGCATAGGCTGAACCCTGGGCCTTTTTCTTGGGAGCTTTCCGCTTTTGTGCGCGAGGAGTCACTTCATTGAAGGTGCCGCTTCTATCCGGAGCATCAGCTGGGGGCGACTGCGTGGCCCTCTTCCTCTTGGGTATGCGGATGATTTCCTCGTCTGAATCACTGTCTCTGTCCTGGCGGATGGGAACTATTCTCTCACTCATTCTTCGATCGGTGTTGCTAGGATTAGGACGGTGACCGTTGGTATCGAGGAGGGGATAGGCATCAGCCAATCCATTTGACGTCCCCGAGAGAGGTTGGTGCATTTTTTTCAAATCACCGGAGGCGAGCTTTAAGGACGGGAAGCGGATGCGTTGTCTCGTGAGGTGCCGAAGTAGCGATGAATGACCGTAAGTGCTGAGGATGTCGAGTATTCAATCGAGAGAAGGAGACACGAAGAGTCGATCCGCTCGAGGCAAAAGTGGGCGATTGCTTGTAGTTGGCGATGAGTACAAAGAAAAGGCAAACTAGGGACCCCCTTTGTCTTTGATTTAGCATTCAAAATTCGTTCTTGGATGACAGACCGGACATTTCTTGTTGATTTCTCTGCCCTCATATTCAAGCACTGTTCGTTGTGAGCACACAGGGGAAGGACACAAAGGAAATGACAAAGATGGAGGCGGAGCAGGTGACAAGTGAATGACACCGAAAGCGAGTGAACCAAAGTCCGGCCTTCCCTGAGGAACAAAGGGGTTACGGAGTTACAGGCGTGTGCAGATGGCATGAGAAGCTGGGAGCAGAATTACATTCCGAAAATAGGAATTAATTAAACCGTCCAAGGCAATGAAACGAGCAGCGTAGAATGCTGGACACAACAGAAGAGAAAACGAACCGCCCCCAGAAACCAGCCCTATCCATTCCATTCCGCAGTCACAAAGACGGCAAAGCTCTCCAAACTCTCAAGGGTATGTGAAACAACATTTCCAGCGCAACCAGTGCTACATACAGCTGGCAACGATCAAAAGGACGGACGAACGCAAAATCCCGAAGTGCACAGCGAACAAATGTAAACATTAAACGCAGTCTAACACAGACTGTCCCCGCTAACAATATATTCGATCAAGCGAAGTCTGCAGTGTAAGAGAAGCCACGGAACTCTTCCTGCATGGCTTGGGAGAGGACTGAAAACGTAGGCATTAGCATGTGGATAGATCGTCTGAAAGTTTATCCATGTCTTACCTGACTGCACCGGTGTAAGAACCGGTGTGACACTGGTGAATTCCTGGTCGAAGTTGCTCGTATCGGTCGGACTGGCGATGGTAGGCATGAAGGGCGGGGGAACGCGCTTGTGGTAGATATCATCCCAGTTGATATTCCGGAAGAAGGCGTGGGACATGACCTCCTGGGCATCCGTTGGTCCCGAGCCCAGTCTTAGTTCGGGCTCGCGGGTGAGAAGCTTCTGAAGGATAGACACGGAGTCCCGAGGCATGTGGATGGGATAGAGCGGTTCATCAGCCAGAATGGCATCGTAGATCTCGTCTTCGTCTTCACCGCGGAAGGGAGACTGTTGGAGCAGCATCTGGTAGATGAGCACACCAAAGGCCCACCAATCAACCGCTCGGCCGTATTTCTTGTCCAAGAGAATCTTTGAGTGACATTAGCAACGTTGATTCATGACAGATAGATCATAAGTGATGGGGCCTACCTCGGGTGCCATGAACTCAGGGGTACCACAGAATGTGCTTGTGGTTGCCCCATACCACATGTTCTCCTTGCAAAGACCGTAATCAGCAATCTTGATATGACCGTCCAGGGTCAGAAGAATGTTATCAAGCTTCAAGTCACGGTAAATGACACCGTTCTCGTGGAAGTATTTAAGTGCCAGCAACACTTCCGCAGCGTAGAACCTGTGAAGCGCAAAGTTAATTTCTTTTCAGAACCAAATCTCAAACACAAAAAAGGACGCCTCCGGAAACATACTGTGCTCTTTTCAGGCCGAACTGGCCGCGCTGAATGTGCAGCATCAGATCACCACCACTGATGTACTCCATGACGAAGTAGACTCGAGTCTCGGTCTGGAAACAAGCATGCAGGTTGAGAAGGAAAGGATGACGCTCCTTGTTGGCGACCAAAAAGACGCGCTTCTCCGACTTGGTGCTCTCCACTTCGTCGTTCTCAATGATGAACTCCTTCTTCAACACCTTGATGGCATAAAGCTTCTTGGTGCTCTTGGTTTCCGCCAGCATGACCTTTCCGAAATTACCCTTACCCAGGACAGCCAGGAAATTGAAGTGGTCCAGCCCAATTCTGGTCTTCGGTACTTGGGGAGGCATGTCTTCCTTCATGGCCATCTGCTGTTGCTGCATGACTGGAATAGGCTGTTGCTGCTGAGGCATTCCATAAGGCGAGGCAGCCACCTGCTGTTGTTGCGGCTGCTGCTGCTGCTGCATCGCTTGAGGCGGCGGGATGCCCTGCTGGTAGGAAGCGTACGCCGCAGGGTCATAATGGGCATGCGGAGGCGGTTGGGGTTGCACAGGACGACCAGCATCGACTTTGAAATTAACCATTAGTTCTGTCTTTCCGGCGGCAAGAGCTTGAATAAAGTTATCGGGAGGAAACATACCTGGAGGCTGCGTAGGCGAACGCAGACCGGTTGCCACGGCGGCGGCGGCAGCAGCAGGGCTGTTGGCCGACGAGGTTCTCGGGGGCATCTGTTGACGCTGGGCGGCAGTTGGTGACTGCGGGGGCATATAAGAGTTAGTCGCAGCGCTAACAGCTTCGGCGGAGGGCTGTCTCTGAGGGGCCCCGTAAGGGCTCTCGACAGGTTTCTGTGGGTAGGCAAGAGCGGCATTGTCCGTCGAGGCCTGCGGCGGGCCTCCTGATCGAAGGGTGCGGCCACTAAGACCGGAACTAACAGAGGCGGATTTGTTGTGATTCTTGGCTCGAATCAAAGTCTCCAAGATCTGGTTGGCAGCTTCCATAGACATGCCACAGAAATCAGGTACCAGATGGGTACAATTGGCATGGCACGTAAGGCCACATTCTACAAGAAGAGTAGGGCGTGTCAGCGTGTCTGATAGGTCGGCCTGGCCGAAAGATCATACCTGAGCATCGTTTGGCACTTTTGCGCCCAAAGGGCAGCAAGTACCCGCAGTGACAACACCAGTTGGCGGAGATGTTGGAAAAGCCCTCGAAGCGATGTGGGATGCGGTGGTTGATTTTCTCCTCGTCGGGGTCCGTTTCGTAGTTGGCCTTGCTGATACATTTCGTGACAACCTTGGGGTAACACTTGCGGTGACAGGTGTACTTGCAATCAGCGCACTGCATACCGGCAGCGTACTTCAAGAAGTCGCCACAAAGCGCACAGCGCATGATGTTGTAGAACTGCTGCGTAACAAACTTGTGACCTTGCTTTTCGTGCACTTCCTCCTTCTTCTGGCGAACCGCACCTTGACGATTCAGACCAATGTCGAATGGCCGGCGATCCTTCAGCTGCTTGGCTACGGCGTTTGTCAGCGCCACTTGACTGCGTGGGATAGTGCGCATGCGAAAGGGACCTACCGAAACCCAGCGATAGCTGAATCCGCCCAACCGGCTCGAGCGCGAACCAAGCATCGACCATCACGGGGCCGCCACCAGGTGCGCCGGGAGGAGCACCTCCGTAGCCTTGGCCCGGGGCACCAGGGCCTGGAGCACCGGGTGAGCCCATCTGCCCGGCCGTGTCGGGCCGTCCAGGCGTGCTTCCATCCTCCATCTTATCGGCAGAAACCCAGCCGGATGTATTGAATTCGGTCTCGATCTTCTTACGACGCATCTCCTCGGCGATATCAGAAATGCGCACCCACAACATACCGATCGGAGTTGGTCTATCGCCCGATTTGTCGTATACGGTAAGCTCGATCTCGTTCGCCTTGTCGATATCGATGTTGAACATCTCATCTTGCCATCTGTCGGTTCGGGTAGCCTTCGTTCTGGCTTTAATGGCATCCTCAACCTTCATGATCACGAATGTCTCGGGGCCTCTGGAGAATCTGGAGCCGGCAGCATGGTCTACATCCTTCACAGCGAGGATGCGCATGGTCAAGGAACCGGTGAGGGGTTTGCGCAAGTTCGGCGTGCTTAAACTTTCATCTGATCGAAAAGAAACCGGACGAAGAAGCGTTAGCGGCTGGTATGACGGCGACTTTTGGAGCAAGCACGGGGGGAAGCCCTACCATCCGGAGTGTCTGAAGACTCGATGTCGACGTGAAGATCTTCATATCGCTTAAGGGCCTGCTTCAATAATTGGATCTTCTGATTACTCTCGATTCGCCGACCCTCGGCATCGGCGCGACTCTTCCTATCGCCCTCATCCTGATAGAGGCGAACCATCTTCTCAATACCCGCCTTGTACTGCTTCTCCACACTCAGCTTGAACTCGAGCTGGGACAGCATGAGCTGGATCTTGGGTCCAAGATATTGAGTGTCGTATTTAATCAGATCTTTGGGCGCCGCACACAGCATAGGTTAGACGACTGCACACTGAACCGCTCTGCCTTCAACGTTCGGGGATAAGTCTTACCAAGCTTCGTATAATTGGGACGGGCCTTGGGCACCGGAGCAAAGGGTCGAGGATCCTTGAAAGGAGCGCCGGCCGGCATGGAGCCGGGCCCGGGATAGGCGGCCGAAGACTCTCCATACTCTCCCTGCTCGTCACCGTAGCCCGTGTAGTCCTTGGGAGGAGGAGCCGGTCCATCTTCGGGACCCGGCGGGAGACGCTTCTCCGTAGGGGAGCCGCCGTCGTTCTCGATGCGGCGAATCTGCAGCTCCCTCATCTTCTCCTCCAGGTAGGCAATGTTCTTGCGGCCATCGCGAATGTTGGCGTCGACTCTTTGCTGCACGAGAGGGTTGTCGGTCGACTGTCGCATATTCGAGGCCGCAGTGATCAGGGCCTTTTCCCGCTCGATCTTGCGGTAGACCGAGGCGATGAGGTCGTCCCCGTCCATGATGAAGGGGGGCCCGGGGGGGTCGGGGTTGGGTTGGGTTTCAGCGGCGGCGGAACGAGGGAGGGGGAAGAGGGACGAGGGGGAACAATGCGAACCGCAAAATTCCCAAAAGCGAGCCCGAGCGAAGAGAACCCCAGAGGAAGCCAGAGAGCCAGCGGATAGAGACCGTGGGGGCAAAAGAAGGGAGGGGTGGTCGCGGGGCTCTTGTTGACAGGTGCAGGAAGAGAGGGGGAAATGATGGATCGATCGATCGCAACGGGAACTGTCAACGTTAATTAATTAAGGCCACTCGGGAAATGGTGAGACAAATCCCCGTCTCCCAGGTCAACACCCCGGCTGAAGAAATGGACGAACAGAAGAAAAAAATATGAAAAATAAAACACAACGATTTCAGAACGCACCACGAGCACAAGAATGGGATTTTAAATCCGTGCGTGCAAAAGGGCTGGTGGTGCTCTGTTGCGACCGCCCACAATCAATCCGTCTTCGCCTTCAGGCACGATGGACCGTGTGAACGCGATCAATAATTCCACCCAATTAATCTCCGGGTCTGCAGCGCCGGACAGTTTCAATCCTCGATGATCGCCCACGTTCGTTTATCGTCTATGGTCAAGAAAAGCACTTCGGATGGAAAGTCCGTCAAGCGAAGGGGAAAAAGCTGCCGAGCAAAAAGGAAAACAAAAGTCATTGGGGTTTGGAAATGCAGTTCTGGTCGTGGCGATACAAAGGCAAGGCGACTACGTCGACTCTCTCTGCGCCTGGAATCTGTACGGCGGAGTACCAGGATTTCCTGGAATTTGTGAATGATCTCTAGGGCTCTCTACTTCGTACCGCCTCTTTGTGTCTTTGCTCACATTTCTCCCATGGATTGCTCGCAGAATGGTGGTGTCGCTAGGAGTGCACGAGACCCTCTCTGCCTATGTTGACATTATCTGGTCCCTCGAGATCTTCCTTCCAATTCCCCTACCCATTTACTTCTCTCCTTCCTGACCAAGTAGGTTGTTCCTGAGACCACCCACCAAAACGAAGCATCCCACCCTTGCTGCGTTCCCATGGCTTTGCCGCGGCAATGAATGATAACGCGAGTCTCATGGGACCCAGCCCGATGTACATTCCTTGGAATTGAATGTGCTGGTCTCCTTGAGTCAGCCAGTTGAGTTGATGATGAAACAGCACGCAGGGGATACCCGCGAGACCCCCTTGCTGGAGTCGCGGAGGGGTCCGAAGTAATTAGGTCGCTCTCTGGTCTTCTCCAAGGTCATGTGGTGCATCTGCCATCTTGTCCAATTACTTGGTTGGAGCAAAAGCTTTCGCGACTCGTTTAGGGGAGATGTCTTTGTTTATCTCGTGTCCTGCGTGGAAATAGGGGACCATCTATCCCTGGTTTCTGAAATCGAAACCAAGGAAGTATGGCCTCTGGTGAGGTCCAGAACGAAAAGAACGAGTGAAGATGGAAAGCCAGGTAGATGCTCAGGTCAACAAGCGACCCATGAGCGTCACGGCGTGCAATTCCATACAAATTCTGAGCCAACAATTCGGCGAAGAGTACGACGCTCAGGCTGTTGCCCATCGTGCTGATGAACCCAACTCGACATTTGCATCTTTCGAGACAAGAGCTTGTTGGACACTGCCGTGGCGCAAGGGTGAACGGGGCTCAGCGGCAGACCCATGATGGCGACAGAGACGGCGTCTCCGATCACATTACGAATCAGCCAAGTAATAAGCTGAAATCCCGCATATCGTACCACCAGCAGGACTATACGCAGTAGAGAGCTTCTCTCTAGCTCTGCGGATGGGGTGTTAAGGAACGAACGAACCACCCAACGGTGATGCCAGCTACCAGTCTAAGTCCCGGCACTATGCTCCGAAGCCAAGGTTGAAACCAGATATAACCTAATCGATAAAGTACAAAAAACGAGGCTATCGCACTGCCCAAGATGCTAGAACAATTGCAGTCAGAAGTCTCAAAGTGCCGCCTGTCTCATTATCACCGTGAAGCCCACCACACCGGCGGCGTTATTTGCAAGATTGGCCCCGGAAACACTGTTCAGGGCGAGGTATAAGACCATCCCAAATCCTAGAAGAAAGGATCTAGCCACCGTCGCAGGGAATGTTGGCTTGCAGATGATGAGTGCATAGTTAGCGCCAAGTACCAGTATCTGGGCACATAGAGAAAGCGCAAGATCTGGAGCGCTCCAATTGGTCTCTAGAAACCGGATGCAGCGAGGATGGAACCATCGGCGTTCGCCACAAATACCCCGGAGACGACGGCATAGCCGATATTATCGTGCTTCTCCATGTGAGGAGTCAAATAAGCACTCAGCAGCCGCTAGTTAGTTCGTATTAGATAAGTCTATAGGAAGGAGTACGAGCAGTGCCTTTCTTATCTTTGTGCATTGCTGGCATGTTGCATGTAACACGAATGCTCGTAAGCATCGTAGTGTTCCCATGGCTCCGAGAGAAAAGAAAGTCAAGCCACAGAAGCTCGAGCGACAATCGACCCAATGGATCGAGGCTGCCCATCTGGGAAGGCGCCTCCAAGGTACCGGAAGGGGAAAAGTCCCTCCGCTCGGCGGCCCGCAAATTTATTTCAATTATTCGACACTCTCAAGCTTCCATTATTGACATTCTGCCCATTCGAAAATACTCGCTCAGCGACCCTCTTCCGACTGCGATTGATAATTAAATTCTCTCCGACACACCGCAATCCGCACTGCACCCTCCCTCCCAACGATCATGGCCCCACCTCGGCGAAAGATGCTGGCTACCGCGGAGGAGACCTTGACCCCGCCAGACGAGCTTCTCCCGGGACAACAGATCGCGCGAGCCATCAAAGCTGCGGGCAATAACCTCTATGCGGTGGAATTACCATCGAAGGAATCGATTCTCGTCGAACTACCCTCCCGCTTTCGTTCCACCATCTGGATTAAGCGGGGATCCTACGTGGTGATCGATACCAATTCTCTGGAGGGTCGAGACAACAAGCTCAGCGGCGAAATTATTAACATTGTTCGCGACGAAAAGGCCTGGCGCAAAGCTCCCTTCTGGTAAGATTGCACACTTCCTCCGATTTCGGACGCCTCCTGACCTCATCTTGCAGGCCTAAAGAATTCGTCCGGCAGCCGACTTGGATATCATCAGATGACGAGGACGATTCCAACGTGGGGAAGTTGCCCCCGTCAGATGACTCGGATGCATGATAAAGAGGCCCGACCAATGGCGGGAGGAAAAATTCACAACTGAGGAACATCATTTACTTCTATACAGGGAAATGACCCTCGTGTTAGTTCACATGTTCCTTCCTGCTTGCCCTTGGCTTCATGCTGCCGAATGCATTTGAGCGATTCACAAGTACGCCAAAGACCTGGACGGCGAGGGAAAAGACGACAACCAGAGAGCTTGAGTTTGTGCTGGGGAAGGTGTTCCAGGCCCATTCTTGAAGCGCCCATAGAGCGTATAAGAGAACCGGATGAACACCCGCCCGCCAAAGAAGGAAGGGCGTCGCCCAGCAAATATAGGCGAAGAATTGGTAATGAAGAGACCTCGCACACAGAAGACCAATGGCGAGGGAGGTTAACAACACGGTCGTCACAAACTGCTTGGAAAGCGGAGCTCCACGGTGACGTCCTTGGAGTAACGTTCGGAAGAAGTCAGGAAGGCTAGAGCCGGATGGTTTCAACCAGGCCGTAGCTGCAAACACGCCCAGCAACATCACGTGCAAGGCCAGCAATGCTAGGGAAAACCTTTTAGATAAGAATGCTTCTTCACCCACGAACCTCCAATTGACCGTCCATTTAAACATAAACTGTCTGGTCAGCTCAAAGGCCCGCGAAAGATACCCGACGGGGTTAGTCTGCAAGAAAGGTAGTGCAAGTATAATCTGTGCCTTCGTCAGTCGACCACATACATATGCTCTACGAGCCAAATTGCCGAGTGCATACCTGAACAAGCAAAGCCAGAACCCCAAGTCGGAGACTGGGCAGAATGGATAAGTTGAGCACCGTCAGCACCGCAATGGCAGGAGCAAGAAGCAGCAGGGTCATTTTGACGGCCACGCCCGTGGACCAAATGATCACCGCAGGCGCCCACTTTTTATTCTGGAACAACAGTATAGCCACCCACATAGCCAAGGTCGCGAGGCCATCGTTGAACAGACGCAGAACGAAGACGCTATGAAGCCGTTTGGACAAGATCAGCAGCGGAAACAGATACGGAGGAGCACCCGACTGCCTGTAGCATGTCATCACAACCACCAAGGTAGTGATGTAGAGGGCGGCGAAGAGGATCTGGCCGAAGAGAATGTCGCGACCTTCATCGGTCAGGTGGTAGAGTATCGTGTAGCTGTACACATGCGCGGCGGGGTAAACGAGAGGTCCGGTCGATCCTTTGATGAGGGTATAGTCGCGCTCGCCGGAGATGTATAGAGAGATTTGCTGCATGTATGTTGTCCAATCAATCTCGGTGTCTGGGGGAGCAGAGCTCAACGATTAGCGCATTGTTCGGGGCACGCGGCGAAGGGTTCGGAGGTATCGCGAACTCACATGGGATCTTCCAGATGATCAAGGCACAAAGGAGGACATCGCCGAGGACCAGGAGCGGCGCGATCCATTTTGTATGCCGCGGGTTAAAGAGAAGCTCGCGGACGCAATGCTTCAGGTCCATTGTGAGGGTTGGCAGCAGGAAGCTGTTGCTGTTGTGCTGGAGTTGCATGTGGCCTTCCCGTCGGAGAGCCAATGAGGACCGTCCCTTTGCGGCTTAGCGCACCGTGTCCGTCGGGATGGCCTGAGGTGTGGACAACGGACACATTGGCTCCCAGGTACCTTACTCCGTACTATTGTGAGATACGCATGGCAATCGATGGCGAGAAGGAACTCAATGGCTCCAATGTTCATTCAGTGTACATGCATAGCCCTAGAACTATCAATCGACGCTTCTAAAATACTATCTATCTGTACATGGGTATATGGCTGACGCGGGGATGGTACCTCGCGACACGGCAAGACTCGATGGCAGCTACCTTATCCAGCCGTAAACAAGCCTTAAAACATCCCTTTCAAACATTTTCTGAGAAATCCTCCCAATTGGTCCATGTCCGGCGCCTTGTGGCATGATTCTCCCTTCCTAAACGACCGATTATTGCCCCTCTCTCCCGGGGGCCTGATGCAACTGTGTATCCTTTTGAGATGGGAAACCGAGTAATTCACCGATCACACCACGGGGTTTGGGGACAGGGCACTCTCTGCCCGTCTTAGCCAACCGCTCTGCTTCTTCCTCGAGTTGTAGGAACGTGGAGACTTCGTCATCGGGGGTTTGTTGTGTGAAGGAGGGCGTGGTTTCATCTAGACCAGGAACATCCTTCCGTCTCCTCCGGCGAGCTCTCTGAATCGGTTGTCCATCTTCATTGACCATCATTTGGGAATCGGCCAGGGTGCGACGCGGGGCCGGACAAGGGAAAACATGCGGGATGCCGACGACGCAGAGGGAGGCTAGGAGAGTGGCGGCGAAGAGCGAGGTGGTCGACCGCGACCGAGGATGGAGATGTGGCGGCATATTGAACGATGGATGAGAGACAAGGGTGGATTCTTGCGGGGAGGTGGCCCGTCACGTCGACATGGGAGGTCTTCTTTTTGCTGCGGCAGGATTCATCAGCCAGGATCAGGCCACACGGTCAGCACCAGGACATACCTGTGGGAACAGCCCCGAGAGGGCAATTGGAGGGAATCAGAGCGACGAGGGCAAAGACAAGTCGAAGGAGGGCATGGCCTCAGCACAGACACCGCAAATGAAGGCGCGGGAGCGACGGAGGAGCGACGTTTCTCGCCAGAAGAATTCGGCCGGGACTTGGCGATCAGATCTAATCTTATCTGTGGGCGCCGTGATTGGGCGGCGGGGGCGCGCAGAGCCCGAGAGTTGACAGCGCGCAAGAAAAGACCTCGTCAGCTCTCCATCTCTCCTCCTGGCCCGGCCCGTGTTTTCGCTGTTGCTTCGCCGCTCTCGCTTTTTCTGTTTTCCTCGGGTGGCGCGCCAGATGAGAAAAATGCCTGTCCTTCTGCAGTTCACATAGTGGTTTTTCTGTTCATTCTTTCCTGGGTCCCCCCAGGCCTAATCGCGTCGACTTCCTCCCCCCCTCCCCTCCATCCTTTGGCCGCTGTCAGGACCCGCCGATCAGCATAGACGCAGTTGTCTTATTCCACTACTTCTTCCGTTCGCTAAATCAATATGAGCGACCTTGACCAGTAATTACTCTGACTCCGATCCCTCCTCTGTCGGTGAAAGAAAAACAAAGGGCGCCATCCACTGACTACTATCATCTTCTCCGCAGGGCGATCGCGCAGCTACGTGCCTGCCGCCTGATACCCGAGACACAAGTGCGAGAGCTCTGCTACAAGGCGCGAGAACTGTTGATAGAAGAGGGAAATGTTGTCAGTGTGGATGCCCCAGTCACCATTTGCGGAGACATCCACGGTCAGTTCCATGATCTGATGGAACTCTTCCGCGTCGGAGGAGATGTCCCCGACACCAACTACCTATTCATGGGCGACTTCGTCGATCGTGGCTTCTATTCCCTTGAATCCTTCCTCCTTCTCCTTTGCCTCAAAGTGCGCTACCCGGATCGCATCACCCTGATCCGTGGCAACCACGAATCCCGCCAGATCACAACCGTTTACGGCTTCTACGACGAGTGTATCCGCAAGTATGGCAGCGCCAATGTATGGCGCTATTGCTGTGAGGTGTTTGACTATCTGGCGCTCGGTGCCCTTGTCCTCGGAGCGAGCTCGGAACTGGAGCCCTCGGGCCCCATGGTAGACACGACTCAGTCGACCATGCCCATCGATGACGGGGAGCTCGAGACCGAGGTGTTGAACTCGAAGGGAGAGGTTACGATGAGCACCTACCGACAGAGACAGCGAGCTTCCTCCGACGCATCCACAGATTCCAGAAACATTTCGCCCCCAAGAGATATCTCGGCCGCCCCTGGCCAAGCGCCGCTCCGAGCCGGCGCCCCCGGCACAGGCGCCTCCGGGGATGGCGCCGGCAGTCTGTCCAACAAAACCGGTGCCGTCCTGTGTGTTCACGGCGGACTCTCGCCGCTCATCGACACGGTCGACAAGATCCGTCTGATCGACAGAAAGCAAGAGGTTCCCCACGAAGGCGCCATGTGCGACCTGTTATGGTCCGACCCCGACGAAATCGACGGCTGGGGACTGAGCCCGCGTGGAGCAGGATTCCTATTCGGCGGGGATATCGTAAAACAATTCAACTACAAGAATGACTTGTCACTGGTTGCGCGTGCCCATCAGCTCGTGATGGAGGGTTACAAGGAAATGTTCGACGGCGGGATCGTCACCGTCTGGTCCGCCCCGAACTATTGCTACCGCTGCGGAAACGTCGCCGCCATCCTGGAACTCGGCGAAGACACCAGCAGCGGCGGCACCGTCACCAGAAGCAACGGAGACTACGGCCGAAGCAACGGCGTCCTGCCGACCGAAAAACTCGGCATGAGAAGCCCCGGCAGAAGATACAGGGTCTTCGAGGCCGCCGCGCAGGACACCAGGGGCATGCCCGCGAAGAAACCTGTTGCTGATTATTTCCTGGTAAGAGCCCTCTTTTGCACAAAAAAATACACTTCCTCATAGGCTTCCCGCTAACCTCGCCTCCTCCCAGTGATACCATTAACGTCTCCTTTCACCTTTGTGTCATCTCTTCCTCTACCCTCCTTCTACTCTAATCTCTCTCGATCTTTTGGTCCCTATATAGGCCGTTGGCACCCCATGGACTTCTCTACTTCTATTTTCTTCAAGACCCAAGTGATGATCTAGATATGTGTTCGTGTATTTTCAAGTTGATAGTCGGAGTTTATTAGCTTCTGCGTTGTTCCGTCATTGAGCCTAATGCAGTGAATTATAACAGTCCTCAGAATTCGATTCTACTTTTATTGTATGTGTTGTTTGCGATCAGATGCTAGGGTTGAATGTGTTTACTCAAGAGTCAGTACTTGATCAAATGATGTAAAATCCGATTGATATCAGCTATAGAATCGCAATTCTTCTAGTTTAGTACAAGTAGATCAAAGAAATAAGTAAGTAACATCTACAACGAACGCGCCCCAACCTCCCGCCCGCCAGGAAATATACCAACCAACCCACCACGACATATACTGATTGCGCAAATATTTTGACAGAAGAAGGTAAGGTAAACCAGAAAGAGAACCTTGTACATACATAGATGGAATGATTCACGGAGGGTGGGTTTCTTGTTATTTTCTTTTCTTTTCTTTTTTCCAAACGCTCACAAGGTGGAAAGACAGAGTCGATGGGATGTGGTTAGAGACACCAAGATAATAAATAGATGAAGATGGGGGGGTAGAAGAGACCGGCCTGCCCGTGATTAAAATATCGTCTAATCCGTAACTTCAGAACATCATATCATAATACAGTAATTCCCTCGAGAACCACCCCGAGACTTATTGTTGGAAGTTGTTGGAGAATTCTATGTTGGTGAATCCGGGGACGGTGGGACCTGGGTCAGGCCGCACGACGCCAGAGGCCATTCCGGTGGAGAATCTGGCTGGGTGTGCTTGTGGTGGTGGCTGTGGTCGGGAGGTATGACTGTCAGGGTCTGACGGCTGTTGGGGATTAGGAACGTAGTTCTCAAAACGCGGATCGGATGTCGGGCCTGGGAATCCAGGGTTCCAGCTCTGGTTCCAGCTTCCCATCGCCAGATTCAGGGCGTGCGGGTCACGAGACCACCAGTCTTGACTCTCTTCCACGAGGTTTTCCGGGGTGTCAAAGCTCGTGACTGGGGATGAGTCTGCGGTGGCAGGGATGCTTTGCCCAGAACCCATGGCACTTATTTGTGGTTCGTTTGGGTTGAACCATGCGTCATGCTGGGCCAGCGGGACAGGCTGCAGCGGGCCATAAGCATGCGTAAGTGGCCTCAGATACGTTGGCTCCGGGAGTGATACATCTGTTCGAGCAATCTGCGCGCTGGCAGCCCGATGGGCGGTGCGCATAGCCGAGACAGTCTCCGACATCGACCCCCCGGCAGGGTATCGAGAACTTACAGCCCCCATCGAGGGTTGGGAGGCCGAGACCGAAAACCCGACGTGCTCATTCAGAGACGCAAGCCTCTCAGGCGATCCCAAGGGCTGCGTGGTGACTGCGGGCGGCGGAGCTATGGGCGAGGGTATGTCGGAATTAGTGGGAGATGATGCTTGGTCCCACGACCCCCAAGAGCCCCATTTTTCATGCGTCTGCTCGAATATTATCGTCGCCTCGCTCGGGAGACTTACCTGCCATTTGTTGGCAGATATGTCAAGGATTCGCAGTGTACGTCTGGCGCAAAGCCAGCTCTCGCCCATCTCCTCCAGGTGCCGGAGACCATGAACAAAATCTCTCTGGGCGTTCTTTTCGGGCAGGTTGAGTAAGTGAATCGTACAAGCCGTGTGTGCGATATAAACTGCAATATTGCAAATCTGCTTGAAGCCGTAGGTGCGTTTGTATAATCGAAGGAGCTTGGAGATTGCTGAGGCAGCTTGAGTGCATAGTTTGCGAGGTGAAGCGTATGCGGGGAGCGGGGAGTTGGCTCTGGTGTATTTGAGAAATGGTCGATATAGGTGTATAAAGAGCAGCTGGTAAAACATGCTAGATGACCGTTAATTCTCGACGTCTTGGGTTGGGTTCTGAACCTGTTCGATTGACTTACTGCATGAGAAGGGCTTGAGGGAGTTGCCCTTCCTTTGGTTCCAACTCCACGGGTAATTCTCGTTTCCAAGCAACCAGCTTCGTATGCATGTCGGAAAGCTTTTTCACCTCGGCCTGTTTGGAAAGAGGCCGCTCCCTGGGGGTCGGGTCGTAGAAGAACACAAGCACGTTGCCGCTTATTTCACAGAGTTTTGCGATTTGAAGCGCCACCGTCCTCGTTCGCGATGGCTGGGCAGTTTCACGGATTGCTCCAGTGTCAGTGTACGAGGACCAATGTCCAGCTTCCTCGTTGGGTAGAATATCCATCTTTGGAATGCTGACACTAGATGTTGGCAACTGCGGTTGGCGACCGAGGTAATTAGACCAGCACCTGTGAAGCAAGGTTAGACATCATTCAACAACTAGGAATGGCAGCGGTTACGAACTTGTCAAACAGGAAGCAGCCCCAAAAGGTGATTCGCCGCGCGTCGAGTTCCTCTTCGTCGAGGTTGCGTGCCCCAAAGGTGGTCGAGTCGAAATTCAAGCCTAGGTCCAACGCCATGCGAAAGCTCATTCCGCTGTAAACCCAACCCTTGCCTTCGCGCCCGCACCCAGCCTCCCGGACAGACATGAGGGCGAGCGCTTGAACGGTACAGAGCTTAGCGTTTACGTGCTCGTCATTCTCAAGGACCAGCCGTTTGGCTTCCTTGAAGAAATGGTCTCCCGCCGTCGCAGAGTTTCCAGGATCTTCTCGAGCCCCGTTCCAGGTGCTAAAATGACAGCCTAGAGCCAGCATCGTATTGACCAGTAAAGACGAGCAATATTGGCTGGAAACCCCGCGGATATAATCCCGATAGAAGAGGTCTTTGGACAGAGTGGTGAAAAAGGGATAGTGCCATGTAAAGTACATGGTCAAGAGGTGACTGATCAGCTGCTCGTCGTTAGTCACCCTAGTCCACTTGGTGACCGAACAATCCTGTGTCAGATCGAGCCCATGATCATCCATAGATGAGTTGAATTCATTAAGCTCGGAGCCAGGCGGTAAAAAGATTAGGTTTGAGGTGCCGCCGATAAGCTTGCGAGAGCCATCCAGCATCAGCTCACTCATCTTGCCGGAAAGCTCAGATTCGAACTGATCTGCCGGGGACGAGGTCTCATCCCCAGTAAGCACTGCGTCCCCTGTGGCCGCCATCGAATCCTTCTGCTCGCCTATGATCGACTGGGCAACATCCTCCAAGTTGTCGCATGATCGGATCTGTCGTACCAGCTCAAAAGCGTCATCCTCTTCGTAATTCAGCAAGGCCTGTATCAGGGTCAGAAGCGTTGTGTTTTTGGTTCTGAGCGTGTCGGTGTCCTTCTTATACACGCCCTTGCGGCGGTGATCGGAGTTGGGGTCGTAGACACCTAAAACTTATATTAACCAGGGCCGCATGTCAGTTGGGCCAGACAGAACATACATGTCGTATGGTACACGGAAGAACAGGCCGCACAGCTGGGGAGGTTGCCGTCGCACTAGATGTAGAAGTCAGCCAGAGATGCTCGGTCCGATTGAAGATGTCGAGGCGTGCTTACTTTGGACTTCCTCCTTCGACAAGCGATACACGCCGTGCTGACACAGCGTCTTTTCGACGCCGATGCCTCATTCGAGCTTGCCGCCTGGGTTCTCGCCGACGACTTGCCTCGAGAGGCTTTGTATGCAGGCCCCGAGTCCGCACCCGGGGCCTTCTGCGCCAATGTTTCCTCCATCACTGTCCAGTCCACCAAGAAACGATCGAGGCAAGTACGGAATTAGAAGGAAGCATGCTTATCGGGAAGCTCTCGGCGAATGGGGTGAGCGACAGCTCGCGGCGACTTCTTGCGATCAGGCGCGAGACGACGCATAAGCTACGACATCAAGTTCATACGTTCTGAGACGAAGGTCGGCGCATTAGTTACTTAGGCGCATGGCGGTTATGGGGGGGCATGACTGACACAGTTGCATGATGAGCATACATGGGCAGGCGGCGACAACGGAGCCAGCAATACTCAGGGCTTTGGCTGGCAACGAGCCCGATCCAGCGAATAGGACGTGAATCGAATAATCGAGGATAAAACCTGTTCCCCAGAACTTCGATGACCCGCTAAGTGGAGGCGGGGGGAGCCGCTGATGGTGATGGAGGAATGGCAAGGAACCGGTCAGGGCGGGCTAGCAGCGATAAGAGAGCGGACGATCGGATCGGTGATTGGACAATGGTGACGAGGCAATCTCAGGCAAGAGGCCCAGCAGGCAGTAGGCTTCGAAGATCTCCTGGAAGCACACCTCCGGGGGATATTTTGGTTGGAAGGCAAATCTCCCGCGGGCGACTCCAGCAGAAGTGCGGCTGACTAAGCGGCCACGGGGTTGGCATCGCATGACGCATCGACGGGAATACGAGCCATTCCTCTGGTTCTACTCTTCCTCTATCCAGAGTATCTGGGAATTCTGGATATTGGAGGGATCGGCTGGGCCAACGGAGTGACAGGTCGAATTGGATCGACGCACCCCGGACGTTCTTATCGGTCCAGTCATCACCTATCTATTGATATCATGTCGGCACTAGTGCTCCAGCCAAGTGCCAAGGACAGGCTCGAAGTCTACAGAGTGATAGAGGATTGTTATTGATCATTGGATCATCGGATCATTGATAGTAGACTTGGAAAAGGCGATTGAGAGGCCAACCTCGGCTCCCTGATTATTCATCGTGGCTCTGATTGTACAGACTCTGAGACTACAGAGTCAGGCGAGTGGATTGTTTGTTTGTCGACTCGTAAGTCTCGTATAGTCCGTACCGAAGGGAACCCTAACCCTACCTAGAGGGGCTGCAAAGAATGCCTCTGAATAATAGAATGCAAAAAAACCAAATAAAAATAACACCCCCTTACCGCTGGTCCCGACCCAAAAGAACAATAATGGGAATTATCAATAGCTCGGCCAAAGTCCATGCAGACGAGGCGATTAGTCACGGGTCCACCGGCGGCATCCAAAACAGCATTAGGTAACGGTTATCGAATGGAACATTCTTTAGTGGAGCCTTCTTCCGTGCACATTTCATTGATGGAGCACGGAGTCAATAATGGGATTGCCGAGATCCGTCTTTCATCTGTCGACATCCAAGGACAAGACACTCAGAATACGGGTACTTCAAATTCATACTTCATGCTAGAAATGAATCCTGGAAATTAAGGGGAAATGTCAAGTGGTAACTGTCATGTACGGAATCCTGCGCAGTATTACCGGTACGGTAAGGATGGACCCTGAGGCCTCACCGCCTCCCTCTCCCAGCCACGCCGCCGCGCCTCAGGGCCTCACCGCCCGGGGGTCCCACTCCGGCCGCCTCCACGGGTGCCGCGGTAAGATTACCAGCGGATCCCGACGTGACAGTCAAGCGGCAGAATCTGCTTATCGATTGTTCTCCCGTCGGTTTAGCCTTTCCCTCTTCCTCTCCCACCGACGCAGTCTTCCGTACTCTTGAGGTCATCCTTCGCCCCTCTGGCTGACTTTCACTATTCCTGGTTCTCCCTCTTCTTTTCTTCTGCTACTCTTCTCGTCTCTTTCCTCTCTGGCTATCCGATCCATTTCCTTTTCCTTCCTTTGTTCCCGGCCGTCTTTTACTGTATCCGCCGACTCGCGTGCCTGCATACGCATCCGGGCGGCTTCCCGCATTGGGTTCTCTTTGGGCTCCGCTGGTTTGGGATCAACTGCCAACACATACCACCTGCGCTGGACCGATCCGTTTGATTATTTATTCCGTCATCTTCCCGGGGGAAGCTTCCGTCGAGGACGCCCTCTCTCTCTTCGTTCCCTTGATTCATCCATGTATCTCGTCCAGACTCTCGATCAGAGTGCCTCGTCAGGCCTAGGCCGTCTTATCAGTGCTACTACTTCTACCACCACCACCACGCTCCGCTGCAACCCAGATTATGATCACATCTTGTAAAGATGATGGTTCCTAGAGCTTTTCTTTTCACGTCCGTGCCGTCGCAGAATCCTTCCTGGAAGCATGGCACGCGAAACCAACCCTCGTCCAAGTCCGCCGCAGACTTCGTGACCCTTCCAGATGTCGCTGGCCTCGATTTCCCCGACAAGGAAGCGTCTGAAGCGATGCATACCAGTCCAGTCGTCATCCCCCCAAAACGCACTTCTCGCACCTCTCCAGCATGTCCCGAGACGGGTAACAAAGCCCCGCGGACACCCCGAAACTCCAAGACCGCACGAAGACCGTCGTCGCTCGCTTCGATTCTAGAAGCCACGGCGATTCCGGTTCCGCGACGCAAGTGGTCGACCCGGGAATCTCGCAAATTGCCTCGAGGCGACCATGTGCAAGATTTTAGCCGATTGTTAATGGATGGGGTGGACTCGAAAAATGACCAGCTGATGGAGGGCAGTGGAAACACCGCGCTCGACCTTCTCCTCAGTCCCCCCGAAGAGAATGCGATTGGAAGTGACTGTGGGAGCGAGACGCCGTCGTTCTCTGGTCGCTCCATATCTCTCGAATCCACACCGTCGCTCGATCATGACATAGAGTCGCCGTCCAGTTACTCTCTGTCGCTGACGCCTTCTAGCCAGCGCAGTCCCTCGGAACGACGATATCGTCGCTTGTCGCAATGCGAGGATTGCGCATTCGACCATCCTTTACTAGACACCGATCCTTCCGATTATGAGGAGCCTATCATAGACCACAAGTTGACGACTACGAATCCGAACCCCCCAAAACCCCCGGCGCCCTCGTCCCGACCCTCTGCAAGCTTCGGGTCCACATTCAAATCTAACCTGACGGCTTCGCTGCGCGCCATAAAATCTGCAGCCCAAACAGTGTCAACGTTTGCGTCACCGTCGGTCCAACCCGACGACTTTCTGACACGATCCTTATTCACGATCACCCCGGAGATGACGGACGACCGTCGGCCTCCGCCGATGAAGGAGCCGCCGTCGCCGGCACTACGACGCTATCTCAACCCGATTACAGCCTCGCCTGCGGAGATGAACGCCTATCACGACCACCCGCATGAGTCGCTTGATCCCCGAAAATGCCCCGTCTCCGTTCAGATGCAAACGTACCATCGTTCCGGCCGGCGTGGCAGCCGGAAGAGTGGTTTCCATCTCATTGGCTCGGAGGGTCGCGACCGACAGTTCCATCCGTTTGACCCAGAGATCCCCCCGATGACACGTCAGCGCGAGCCCCGAGAGAACAGCGATTTTCTGCGCATGGTCGTACTCGAAATGAACATGCGACGCAGCGGCAAGCTACGGGATGACATCCCGACTCGGGCTCGAGTATGTCTTCCTCCTCGCAAGGGGAACCAGAACCGTTTCATGCCTTACGATGATTACGAAGAAGTAGAAGAGAACTCTATTCCGTCTCGATGGGTCGGGATTTCGGCCGCCTGAGCAATCCTTCTCGCTTCTTCTTTTTTTTTTTTTTTCTCTTTTTCTTTTTTCTCTTTTTTTGGTCCTTTTTCCTCATTGGGAATTCAATTTTCTTTAGTTCGCACAGCGCTTGGCGTGGCATGGTTTGGATTCCTTCTTTTCCTTTAATGGCTGCATTCCTCGGCCCCTTTTTTCCCCCTAACTTTCTCAGAATGTGTTTATTTTCTTTTCTCGATCTTCCTTTTTTATTCTGTACATATTTGTTCGTGCTTGATTCGACCGGCCCCCAGCATAGAAGAAACCCAGAGAGCGGGCGCAAGGCGTTATTTCCGGGGAAGTGCAACGGCACCTCCACGGGGCATTCCTCGTTGCTTCCTTACATCATCTATTTTACTAGCGGCCAGGAACACCGCTTCCTTCGCCCATACAATGAATTCCAATGCATTACACCGTCATGATTACCTTCTGTCTCTCCTATTACACCATCGTGCGTGGTCCGGTCGATCTGGGCCCGTCCATCTGTCTTCCGCCTGTCTTCTGCCTATCTATCTGTCCAGACGTCATCACGCGACCGCCCGCCTTACTCGCACAAGGCACCTAAACCTAGGTCAGGTCCTTACCGTCCTACCTCGCAGGTAAGGCGGACGCGACTATTGAGTCAGCCAAGGAGATTCTCTTGGCTTACCGCCTGGGCATTCTGTACGTCCAGTACTTCAGCCTATGTATGTACGGCGTCGGTATGTATCCCAGTACAGTGTAGGGGTCCCTGTACGCATGAGTACTCCGTATAAATGGATTCTGTATGTGCCTATACGTACTTGATTTTCCAGGACGACCGTAGACTTCCTCTTTGGGTCACCGCTCACTGAGCAGTTCTTGCCCTCCACAGACCGCCTTCCAGTCTGACAACGCTTCGTGGCGCGTGATCTGAGAATCTGTCTAGTCTTGAAGCGGTAATTGATTGACGACTTGTCGATATCGGTCGGAGATCGGCTCACCTCATCCTCATCCATACATTCAAGAGAGTACCAAACTTTCCAAGATTCTTCTCATTTCGAGCTTATTGATATTCGGTGGTTGAAAGATGGCACTACCACTACAGGAGCTGACCTCACCGCCGCAGGAAAAGGCATCGCCACTACAGGAAGTGATATCACCACCACAGAAAGAGACATCACCACCCCAGGAAGAGATATCATTACTGCCACGGGAGACATCACTACCGCAGGACGAGATATCACTACCTCATCGGGAAGAAACATCACTAACACAGCATCATGCGCCCATTATAAGCGTAGCTGCGAAAGCTCTGGCAAAGAAGGATATCCCCGTTGTGGAGTATGGGCAGCAGATACAGTGGCGCTACGGAGACCCTGTGGTCCTTCTGGTAGGCGTCAAAGAGCTTTTGTGGCACTGACTAGTCGACTCGTTGGGCATTTATAACGTCTTGAATTCCAGCGTGTGGAGTGGGCAGTCCCCGATGAACTGCTCTCGATCGCGTCAGAAACTCTATCGGACTTGGATTTCCCTCGTGTGCCCCCGTCCACAGAAGCCGTTGTTTACTTCTACGGAGAATGGGAGCGAGCTTGCATTATCCACCGGTTGGGCCAGGGATGTCCGGTATATCTCTACTCGCGGTCATTCATCGGCCTTGCGCTTCAGGACACCTGCCAAGTCACATCCACCTTTGACCGCACACTCAAGATCTTGACGCCCAAACCCCCCAAATATATGGTGTCGTTGCTTCGTCATCTCCTCAGCCACCCGCTTGATGTTTTCAGACTTCGAGTAAAAGATGATCTACTGTCTTTTATATGCTTTTACATTTTGCGTGAAAAGCCGCTGAATACGAAGGTTGAGGGATGGGACGACGAGAGCGAAGAAGATTACCAAAAGAGAGTCGGAGAAGCATTGAAGGAAATGGAAACTTGGGATTGGGGCGCTGGTAGAGAGGAATATCTCCGCATTTCTGAATCTGTTCTCCGAGACGCTCGGACTATTGACCAGTTAACTTGCTGATGTGAAAAGACCATGTCCGCATTTCTGAGCTTCGTCCACTCCCTCAATCTATGAGCAGCACCCCCTTCTTATTCCCATCAACTCGAGTTATCCCACGGAAGTCTGGAAGTCTGGAAGTCTGCGAAGCTCCAGAGATGTTCACCCGCCATGCACTCGGATGATCCGAGAGAATGAGGACTGGACTCATTTCTTCGGAACTGAACTGCCTCATGCGGCCAACCTAGTAGTAGCCTAAGAAATTTAGCAAGAAGAGCAGGCAGATCGTGACGCTATCATAGATAACAGACCAAGTCATCATGTTTACTATAGTCCACGAGTGAGCCGGTGGCGCGAGGTTGCTGTTGCTTACATCCATGACTCCACAGTAAACCCCATAAACAATAAGACGCCACGGAACTTGGCGCTTTGCAACCCCGCAGAGGATTGAAATGTCCGCGAAAACTACGCGAAATTGGCGCGAAATGCGGAAGCCCTCACACGCCGGGCCCCGCATCTGCACCTCTTCCAACTCGTTCATCTGTTGGATGGGCGATCAGTCCCCGGAGTGAAACCACTCAGGTATAAACAAGCGGTCTTCGGCCTCCCATGGACTTGGGGCGAACTCACCCGTTATCTTCGAGCTCTCCATGATGCTTGGTGTCCTGCTCGTCCCGTTCGCCTTGTTTAGTGTACTGTTTCTCGTTTTGAGAATTGGCAAAAGGGACACACGCCTTCCTCCAGGTCCGAGCACCAAGAATCGAAATGCCAAGACAGAGAATTGACGTTTACAGGACCTCCAACGTTGCCTGTTCTGGGCAATCTTCATCAGATCCCACGGAAAGGATCTTACCTGAAGTAGTTCCGGGTGTCCTACCCCCACACCAATACAGGCCCTGACCTTTCAGTCTAGATTTACCGAATGGGCCAAGCAGTATGGTGGTCTGTACTCGTTGAAATTGGGCACTGCCACCGCAGTAGTCATCACCGATCGCCGTATCATCAAAGAACTGGTCGACAAGAGAAGTGCAAAGTACAGCAACCGACCCGTCTCATATGTCTCGCACGATCTCATGACATCGGGAGACCACCTTCTGGTGATGCAGTACGGACAGCAATGGCGGTCCTTGCGCAAAATCATCCACCAACATTTCATGGAGACGATGGTCGAGAGACATCATCTTGAGGTCCAGAATGCCGAAGCAGTGCAGATGCTTCGTGATATGTGTGTGCGCCCGCATCAACACATGCGTCATCCTAAACGCTTCAGCAATAGCATCATTATGAGTCTGGGTATGGTGCTCCACAGAAGCTATTCCAAGGACCACGGTCTCTCACCGGGTCAACTAACGACTTTTCGCAGTATTTGGAATTCGGACACCCTCGGTGGATACCCCGCACATGACTCGTCTGTATGCTATGATGGTGAGAATGAACTGGTCGATCTGGTATTGCAAGGATTCACATCTAATCAAACTCTCTGTGATATAGGAGACCTGGTCGCAGTTGATGGAGCCCGGTGCTACTCCTCCGGTCGATATCTACCCACTGCTCCACTACATCCCGCAGAAACTGTTTGGCAACTGGCGCGCAAGATCGCAGGCCGTGGGTGCAGAGATGAACGACTTATACGCAGGCGTGCTGGACCGTGTTCGAGAGCGCCGCAAGTTGAAGGGAAGCCAAGGATCGCTCATGCATACTGTGCTAGATGAAGAGGAGAAGTTCAACCTCAACCGCCATCAACTCTATTTCCTAGGTGGCGTATTGATGGAAGGGGGCTCTGATACTACGAGCTCCCTTCTTCTGGCATTTATCCATGCTATGACCAAATGGGGTCATGTACTCCAGAAGGCGCAAAGGGAGATTGACAGTGTCATTGGCGACGATCGAACTCCGGTTTGGTCGGACTACGCACAGCTGCCGTACGTGGCGACGATCGTGAAAGAAGCCCAGAGGTGGCGGCCTGTCGGGCCTCTTGCCTTTCCCCACGCAGCTGCCGAAGGTAAGTTCTTGTTTTTGATAAGTAGAAGCACATAGAACTAACGAAACAAATTCCAAAGATGATTGGATCGACGGTTACTTGATCCCCAAAGATGCCACCGTCATTATCAACTCGTGGGGACTGCACCACGACGAAACTCGGTTTCCGAGCCCCGATATCTTCGATCCCGATCACTACAAGGGCCAGACGATGCTGGCCCCCGAGCTCGCAGCAGCAGCCGACTACGAAAGCCGTGATCACTACGGCTATGGGGCGGGACGTCGAATCTGCCCCGGTATTCACCTCGCGGAACGGAATCTTTTCCTGGCGATTGCCAAACTTATCTGGGCGTTTTCGATCGAACCCGACTTGGATGAACAGGGTCAACCGGCCAAGTATGACTTTAGCCCACACACGGGGTACAGCGAGGGCTTCTTGGTGTGTGTGAAGGACTTTCCTTGCGTGATCAAGCCGAGATCGGAGGCCCGGCAGACCACCATCATGAGGGAGCTGGAGGTGGCCCAGAGGGATGTTTTCTCGCGATTTGAGACCTAGTATGATTGCACATGTCCACTGCGTAAATAGGCGAACTTGCCCAATGATAAACGACATCTAAAGTCAGGGTAACGATATATAGTGTATAAGGGTATGTCATGTTCGACTCCATTTCGTAATGCTGATTGACCTCAACGTGGACACGATGGCAGGAATTAAGATTCAACACAGATATGGCCAATTGCCATACTGCCCCGACCTACAACTGACGACCCTTTCATGTACTTTTCTTTTCCAGTGCAAAGTGAAGATCAGAAGTTCCGACTGACCTGTTATAACGGACGGTTGTCGACACGGAGGGGATCTGTGCGTTTAGTGATCATCCTACAGTCCCAATAAATCGCAAGAACATGGATGGGCGAAATCTGCACGAGGTTTAACCGAGAGAATCGAATCCGAAGATCAGGACGGTCGCACTATCTTCGGCGTGATTCGGGTATCTATCTGTCGTTATAGAACTACACACTAGACATCTCCTTTTAAAGACGCGCCACTCATCTGAGATACCACGCTGTTGCGCATACCTACTCAGACAAACATGACGCCCTCCCTTACCAACGCCAACGGCTCAGCCGACTCGTGCCACGCAGTCGATACCGAGTTTCTCATCGTCGGCGCAGGCCCTGCTGGCGCGGCACTGGCTTGCTTTCTGGGGTCTCATGGTATGTGATGGACCTCAAATTCGTATGGGCCTGTCCACTGGTGCTGTACTTAGTTCTGAAAGACTGCAGGGCATCATCATCAGCAACGCGTCGGGAACAGCGGATACGCCTCGCGCGCACATAACTAATATGGCAGCATTGGGTCAGTAATCGGCCAACTTAGCACATATCACCTGGTCACCGACTCATGCAAACTGCGATCTTTAGAATGTCTACGCGATATTGGGCTATACGGCGAATTGGAAGGATTGGGATGCAAGGGGACAGACTATATGCAACACACCCGATGGTGTCATAGTATGGCTGGCGAGGAGTACGCGCGCATCTACTCCTGGGGAAACGATCCTCGACGAAAGGTGAGAGAGAGGGGGATCATGTCGCTTCTCTCTTCTTTCTTTCATCGCGTGAGGATGACTGACGGAGGATATAGGGAGACTATGAACTATCGAGCCCCTGTGATCCATTTGAACTGCCGCAAACCGTCTTGGAGCCGGTTCTGGTTCGGCACGCAGCGTTGAAGGGCTTCAAATGCCGCTTCGATTCCGCACTGGCTTCCTTCACGAACGACCCCGAAACCGGCCTGATCACCGCCAACATCAAAGACAAGCTGTCCCACCAGGGATACCGGATTCGAACGCGATATCTGTTTGGGGCGGACGGTGCCCGCAGCGAGGTGGTAAAGCAGCTGAATCTGCCGCTGACAGTCCAGCCGAGTCAAGGAGCGGCAATCAACATCCTCGTGAAGGCCGACCTCTCTCATCTGGTGAAGAACCGGACGGGCAATCTTCACTGGGTGATGCAGCCGGATCGGGAGCACCCAGGATTTGGCTGGATAGGGATTGTTCGCATGGTTAAGCCATGGAATGAGTGGATGTCCATTCTGTTCCCCGATCCCAACCGCTCTCGACCTGACGATAGGCCGTCTGAGAGTGACCTTCAGAGACGCGTTCGCGAGTTTATCGGCGACGAGACACCAGCAGAAATCCTGAATGTTTCAACAGATCGATCCCTGGAGAGCCTGTTTCCACAATCGACCTTGCTGGTCACGGCTCGTTTGTCCTGTTGAGTGGAATCGGTGGTGGGCTGTGGAAGAAGGCGGCGGGGGAGGTGAGCGTCTTGTTGAAGGTCCCGATCACGGTGCAGTCTATTGGATTTGGAGAAGACTGGGGGGGATGTTTACTTTGACTGGGAGACATTGCGAGGCGTGGAGGAATCGGGGGCCGTGTTGGTGCGGCCCGATCGCTTTGTCGCATGGAGGGCACCAGAGGTTCTCCGGAATGCTGAAGAATGCGGGTCGAAGCTTCGAACAGTTATGAGAAGCATCCTGGGCTTTGCTGCATAGCTCTCACAATGTTATATCTCTTCCGATCCTGGCCTAGCTTTGTACATGATATGCCGTTTAGCTGAAGACAGGCAAGGAATACGCTTTAGAATACCGGGGAAAAGATGGACTTCTTTATCAATTCTGCCAGGGAATGATCAATAATATAGCTTTGAGGATGGATGGCCCTGCCATTCTACCACTCGGCCAAAAGGGTAGCCATGAATCAGCTCCAAACATATTTACTCATAGTAAACTCTGTTGACCAATGTCCCAATGTTCTCAACCTCCACTCTCATATCATCGTCGTCCTGTAAAACAACCTTAGGTGTAAGCATAGCTCCAATTCCCGGGCCTGTTCCGGTCATGATCACCGTGCCCCGTTTGAGAGTGGTTCCCTGAGACAGGAACGAAATGGTTTTGGCAATCCCAAAGATCATTTCCCTGGAGGATGTATCTTAGCTACATACATCGATTGTGGAATTGACACGGGGTCAACAATGTAGAAGGGACTGTAAACTGACCTGGTGTTCGAGGCTTGCACCACATGGCCGTTGTGGATGGCTCTGATTCTGAGACTATGGGGATCGCCAATGGCAGATGGAGACACAAGAACCGGGTCTAATGGGCACGATCCATCAAGACCTGTCCAAGAGAATTCAAGAGTCAGCTCTGGGTCGACGAAAAGATGAAAGTGACATGCCCTTACCCTTTGAGAAACACCACTGGCTGTTCTTGAACTGCTGCGTTCGAGCACTAACATCGTGGCTACAGGTATACCCCAAGACATACGACATTGCCTCGGACTCCGGTATATCGCGGCCTGTCTTGGACAGGATAATGGACAGCTCCGCCTCGTAGTCGCTATGATCTGTCGGTTCGCGATTATCCCTATCGACTAGAGTCTGCAAGGCAGCCTATCATGTCACTTCCTCAACACCCGGACAGTCTGCCAAGAGGCCTAAGCCCAGCTCACGAGACTGGCGGCTATGGCGTTCAGACAGTTCAAAAAGGAGGAAGAATCCCGTTGTATTGTTTCCAAGACAAAGCGTTTCTCCATTCCAACGAGCCCGAAAGAACCGAGATTTTGAGCCGTACAAAATGAATCCACATCCGTTGCCCAAAATGTACTTCAAATGCCACGAGCAGCGGTGTCAGCAGCGCCGACTCGATGGTGGCACACGATGTCAGTATCACACATGCCAGGAAGCGGGATGCATCAGGCCTGTTAGGAGCGAGCGTCAGTTCTCTCCTGAAAGCACTAGGCTCTACTGTGCGGATCATGCCTGCACCAGGAGATGCCGAGTCAATTCAACGCTGCGGGCCTGTCCGAATCGTCGGCGATTCCAATCTACAGACTGTGAAGGCCATGCAGTCGGCTGCTTCGACTGCCGAGGTCGCGAAAGACATATGGTTGCCTGCGAGGGCAGGTATTACTGCGATCAATGTTGTAAGAGCATTTAATCCGGAATGGAGTTACTTGAGTACTGACTTGATTCGGTAGATCTCATCAAGTATGAACCGCCGCTGAGTTCGGGCGCTTCGGTCAGCAGCGGCATCACTTCCTCCTCCGTATATACCCGGTACAGCTGCTAGGCTTTGATATGCCTGGCTGGAGAAGATGACGGATTGTCGGGACACGAATAAACACGATGTTGTGACGAGCTTGGTAGATTTTATGGGGGTGAATATGGAGGCAATTAGGGTGTAACATATCAGGTGATCTTCCCACTCCTTGTGCAAACAGAAGTCACCGCGGAGGAGCAGGTCTTTATTAGATTAACTCGCCGCCCATTGTAGGAATGGTCTCTTCGCTGGGACTGAGGTGTTTGATAGAGGGGCAGGGTTCTTTTAGCGTGCACTGCTGTGGTGTTAGCTAAGCTGTGATGGGATCGAGTTTGATATAAAGAATCGCCGGGAAGTGATGGGAGTGAACGTGTTGATCAAAAATAATAATTTAAAACTAGCCCTTCTATTGATTGAGATTATTCTATTTATTATTGAGAGTGTACTTTTTAATAGTTAAACACGGATGAGAATCTTCTTGGCTGATTTAAATTCTATAGACCTATCAAAGATCACGACTGGACCTGATCTTGAAGTTGATCACTAACTCTATATATAGGGAGGCTGTATGGCCCAGTAAGCCCAAAGGCGACTAATTGTCCCTGTCGGGCGAACTTAGCGTCAGGGCAACACTGGGGTAAAGTCAAGTATGGGAAGTATGAAACGGTAAGAAAACCAGATGACGTATGCCATCCCTACTGGCGATAGGATAAGAACGGCAGAAAAAGATGGCCTCAGACAGGGTAAATCGATAGATAACACATACGCAGTAAAGCAGATGATCATCCAACCTGTCACCTCCTGTCTCGTGATTCACACCAGTCATCACACCCTACCTAGTCTCAAGGCTCTAGGCTCTAACACACCCGACTGGCCGGTGTCTGAGACAGGCCTTATCTCTGTCCAATGGAGGGGACGGTAGGTATTTCTAATCGAGGCGCTGGTTTGAGTTTAGTTTGATTTGAGGGATGATCCTGTCGCTTGCCGTGGTGGTTTTGGGTAGGGTTGCAGATGCTGATAAGAAGGTAGTGATTACTACGCAGTATTCCCTAGGGAGGTATTGGTGTGGGGTGTGGGGTTACAAGATTATATAGTAGTACTAAGGTAGGTTCCGGACTTATCGCTATCGGAGCTGAGAGGGGCGGATTAGGGTGGTGGTGGTCATGGGAGTTGACGTAGGTTTCCTTCCTGTTTCCTTTTTCTCCTCTGCTTTCTTCTTCTCTGTCGATCCTAGGAAGATGCTAATGCTAGGGTAGGGGGAACCCTGTAGATGCCGGGATTAGTGTTTCGCCGCGGTACGCAGTATATCTCACGCCAATCACTTACTTTCTTCGTCCAGGAGGGTGTGCTGCTCCCAACTTTCTTCGATCCATTTGACGCTGACGATATGGGGTAGTTTCTTGCGGTGCGTCGCGGACACTGATTCTCGAATCAGGCGGATTGCCGATGCCGGGGTCTCTGGGTCCACAATGATGTGAGTGATGGTCTGATCGCTGGAGGACTCTGCGACCCTCGCCCCTGCAAATCTGGCTGTGTTGGTTGCCAGCTGGAGGCGATATGAGTGACTGTCGTCATCTTGCTTGTGCGGATGGAAGTGGAACACCAGGCCTTTGAACAGCCAGCCCCAGGGCATCTCCCACCCCGAGTCTACATTATCCTGGATATCTTCGTGGAGCTTTCTCAATGCATTAGTGTCTGGAGGGAGGTCGAAGTCGTGGTCTTTGGTCATTTGGTCCAGGATCTAGAAGGGTTATTAGCACTGAACACGACTCTCGTACTGGTATTTACCTCGCTAAGTTCCTCGCGCGTAACGTCGCGGGCATAGCTATCGTTGAACTCATCGACGTTGCGGGAGACTTCTTCCTGCTTCTCGGGGGTAGCATGGAACATGTGTCTAGATATGATTTAGCAGACAGTCCGTCACGGCGAAGACAAACACAAACCGTGGCTCGAGCGGAAGAAGAAGGTCCGGAAGCCCTGCATCAACCACATTCTGGTGGACGCAATCCAAGATCCACGATGGACGGACGATGTTCGTATTCTTTTTCTGCACGGCAGCCACCTTGACCGTTCCTGCTTAAGTGTCAGCCGCTGTAAGGTTCAAATACACGATCGCCTCTTACTTCGATCTGCGATGCATATGGTATCTGGAGCAGCGTTGTCTTTCTGGAAGAAACTGGCCCCGTTGGCCTTGACGAGCTGCTCCAACTCCGATTTCGTTTTCTTGTCCCGGGAGTTGGAATCTGTCAAAACATCTGGTCCGGGTTAGTGAGATGCGACTGATAGAAGTATCCGAGACGCCACATACAAAAATTGAGTCCCTTGAAAACTTCCCCAGATGGCACAGCATATTTTACTTCTGCCTCCTCATCGTACCCGGCAATAGCAATAGGCTTTTTAGTAGTTGTTTTTGTCCGCTTCTTGCGGGAATTGTCCACATCAAACGCCTTCTCCTGGTGTTCCTGTTCAATGTTCGACTTGAGATCCAGGAATTCTTGCACCGAAAGGGCGCTCTTCCAGTTCTTGTCCATCCGCAGCTTCTTGAAACGTGGAAAACGCAGCGTCAGTCCAATTCGAAACTGATCACTGACGGACACCGAGGCCGCTTTGACACAGAGAACAACCGAGTCTTCTGGCTTAATCCACATATCAGGGCGCTCATGCTGAGTATCCCCTCCAGCTAGTTCGATGTAAGTCGTCGGTGGCTTTTTGGGATTCCAGTCCATCCATTTGCCATCCGTGTGATGCCGGATGTTCGCATAGTCGGCGGCGTTGAACCCTCCTCCGACTTTACAAAACGAGTAGCACTTCGTCGGGCTGGCGCTTTGCGACGAGCTGGCCCCGTCGGCTCGTAATCCACACAGGAAGCTCGAGAGAGCACCGCCCCGATGACCACTGCCGTAATATCCCCCGATGACAACAACATCCAGCGACTCTCCAAATTCGGTCATGTACTCTGGCTTCACTTTCATCCAGTCGTCATGTCTTTCATTCAGACGATAGGGCGAGCGGGGGTTCTTGAGCACCAGCCCCTCGGAGGCTTCTGCGACCACTTTCCTGAGCGCCGTTTCGACCTCGGCTTTGCCCGTGGCTTCCTCGTAGGGGTGGATCTCAAACCTGCGATGAACGGGTTTGATACACTTCTGCAGCGCATTGCGACGGTCGCGTAGTGTATACCGCGTAATGTCTCGTCCATTAAGATATAGAAGATCAAAGACGCGGAACAGCGGCCGGGCACCGTTCGAGAATGGATTCCTCTGTTCGGCCAACGCAGCTGTCTTGAGGGTACCGAACGGCGCCGGGGCATCTTGCTCAGGATCCCAGGTAATCATCTCACCGTCCAAGATCACACTCTTGACTCCGTCGGCAAACGCATCCTCCAGGTGTCTCGTCAGGGCCCCGTTGTCGTCGTATATACCGTTGCCATAGAGATATGTGTAGTCTTTCGCCTTTCTCGACCAGAAGCGAAATTTCCTTCCCCCCGGCACGGAGCTGTCAGAGTCCATATGCATTTGCATGCGCTCGCCATCGAGCTTCTCCTCGATCCAAAACACAGGATCTTCCTCGGTCGGCTTCATCCGACTGATCATCCGATCCAGCGAATGCATCTGAAATTGCGCCAGCTGCGGCTGGTAGCATTGCATCAGCGCAATCCCCTTATCTTCCGCATCCAACCGTATGTTCGGATCATGCAGTTCCCAGCACACCCGCCGAAGGCTGCTGGAGATGTTGTACAGAGTATCCGCATCGGGATGCCAGACATTGAACAGGGTCCGCTCCGTCGCGCCGACCTTCATCTGCCGCAGGATGATCCGGATCAACCACATGAGCTCCTCAGGGTTCATACGCCGATAGAACTCCGCCAGAATCGGCTGCTGGTCCTCCTCCCTGGACGCCGTCGAGAGCAGATCCAGCTTTTCATTCACCTCCTCGATCGTCATATCCCCGACCTCCGTGCGCATCGGCCGCTTGGAAAGCACATCGTAGCATCGGCCCGCGAAATCGCCCGCCATGCTAGACGCGGTCGCCTGCCCCGGTAGCTTCCAATTCAACAGATTGAACCCGTCCTCGGAATTCTTGTCGATCTTCATGATCTTCACCAGCATCTTCCCGATCACCTTCTCCTTGATCCCGTACATCGCGCGGTCGCGGTCCTTGTCCGGAAGTATCAGTCGGAAGGCGGGGTATATGTCATCGCCGACATCCTTGCGCCAGCGCGAGATGAAGCGCTCGATCACATCGCGTCGTCGTTCGAGGGGGTTCAGGTTCGCCGAGGAGTGGCCTGAGGGGCCGAGTTTTCGGCGCGGGCCCGCAGCTCCGGCGGGTTTCTTCTTGATCTCGCTGAGAGGGTTGAAGAGGGACTGGAAGAGCTCGTGGAATGGAAGCGTGGAGGAATGATTGCGCGGTCGGTTGGGGAACCTGGGATTGAAAGGTGCATGGTTAGTGAAGTTCAGCAGGGACACGGCCGGGCAATTGGATTACTTTTCATCCAGGTCAGACTCATCTTGCTCCGCGGGGGGCTTTGAACTGCCCGCGTGTTCCATTACGTCGTCCGAATCCATCCTGGAGGTTTCTCCTGGTAGAGGGTAATCGTGTGCTGAGAAGCGCGATCATATCTGAGGAATGGGGATATTTGTACCTGCGATGGATGGGACTAGGCTGCAGCAGGCACCGATAAGATAGCGGCCATGTGACATCACTCCGCCCGGCTGGAAATACTATGAGAGAATAATGAAGATTAGGGTTGTAATATAAGCAGAGAGTCTATTCATTAATTAATTTACGGCCTCGCTTGCGGTGCCATCACCTCGGCAAGTTTGGCTAATGTCACTATAAATGTCCTCGATATCCCCCACGAATTAATCCCCGCCAGAATCGTGCACCCAGCCCTCAGAATTCGCTCCGGACCATGAGGACTGCAAATATCCCCCACGCCAGTAATGTTTGCTCTCATGACCTGGCCCTCTCGTACAAACATTTGAACCAGTTCATCGTCGCAGGGGCGATCGAGGTGAACGAAACTGGGCTCCTGGGAAGGTCTGCGCATCGATCCGGCATAAGGACCAGTGGCTCCAGGCGACGCCTGGGGATGGCAGAGTCCGTAGGCCCAGAGAGTGAGGATCGCGAGGAAGGCGGCAACAGGCTCATGGAACGCATTGGTCGAGTATCTTTGGATATGCCATAGCGATGTGCCCGCGTGGATGATCGCAAGGCGAGCTTTGTATTGGTCGTGCTTGATCCATCGTTGTATGTAATGCCACTCGATGGCTTGTTGTCTCTCGCTCCATGCAATCTTTCCTGTCGCCAAGGAAGTGGCCAGGGATCGTATCTCATGGAAGGGAGCGAGGAGCACGATTCGGGCTTCATGAAGATGTAAGACGGTCGGGTGCTCAAGTCCTGCTGCCTTGGCAATAGTGCTGTTTGCCGTCCAATGGAGGATGTCTAGGCAGTCGCACGCACTGTTCCGCCATTTCGAATATGAAGGAATTCCTGGGAGCCACACGGAGCCCGTTGGGATGGCTGCTTCGCGGGACTGCTTCTTCGCGGTCGGATTCCAGAACGATAAGGGGCGACGAAAGTAGTCGCCAACCTCCCACATTCGATGATAGAGGGCGTGGACTAGGAGGATGTGACTGAAATCTGCCATACTGGGAACCAGTCTCTTTTCGATATACATGATTACCACGGCATCGTACAGAGAAAAGTTTCCTCGGCCTGGTGACCAAACAGTTAGCCAGATTCTGTGAGAACAGGCTAAAGCACATACCCAGAGCTTTATCATGAAGCTGTTTCCAGGCACCGGCTGACTTCGCTTGCCAGAGGTTTTCATGGGAGGGAAGTGGCGCGAGTCCATCGTCAAGAGACAGTAACGGTCGGGCGTCAAAATGGTAGGTAAGTGTACAATCCAGAAGCTTGCAGTATGTTAGGACCTTGCAGTGGTTGAGCAGGTATCGTAGATCGTCCTTACCCAGATCAAGTAGCCTGTCCGTCTTTTCAATTCATCTTCAACCCATAAAGTCCATTGTCGCTCCACTGGGTCTCCACTTGAGAAGAGCTCCGACTGAGTCGAACACAACAATCCCTCCTTAGTGGCAAGGTCAACTAGGCTTCCAAAACTGCTGAGGGCGTTTCGTCTGGTGCGTTCATTGTTGCCGTGAAGCAATCCGATGTGATTGAGTGTCGATGCTTGAATAAGCCAAAGGGGTATCTGATCGGCGCAGCTTTTCTCCTTCTGTTATATGCGATTATTAGTTATAAAGCGACTGCTGTTTGTCTCAATGCAGGTAGCATACCTCCACATTAATAGCCCGGCGGAGGAATTCATGAAAGGCTGCGCTAGACTCTCCTTGCCCAGTAAAGTCCGCAATATGGCATCCTATTGCCGACACTGCCAGAATCACTAGCCAATGGCACTTGTTTGGATCAAAAGTAGCAGGGTGAAGAATAGGATAGACTGGATGAAAAGAATTAAAGTAAAGGTGAATGAAGCTGGAGAGCGCATTCGAGGCAGGAAACCCCTGAGACCCAAATTTTGGGTACAGAATGTTCTCCGAGCAACAGAGCTCTGTAAAGGATTTGTGAATTGTATCGTACGTAGAGGCATCGATCTGAAAGTTGGCAACGTGTTCACCAGGAGGAATAATTTCTGTTTGTTCGATCGCAGGGAAAGAAAACTCCATTGCATCGTCAGTGTGTCGTAGTCGAGATATAATATCGGCAAGCTCCGCAGATTGTTCATGCCAGGAGTTCTGCCTCCGTCTGTACTTTGGAAGCCTAGCACCATCACTATCTATATAGTGATCTGCTGAGCGTTTCGTAGCATTAGACTCCAAGTTTGACGGTGTTGATGATATGGAAGCAGATAGTGAAGATGAATGGCTGACATCCTGTCTGAATTTCTCAGGGCCTGGCATGTCTGATCCCAAGGGCACATTTCCTGCTGGCGACTGGGAGACATTCTCAGGTAAAGTTGGACTATTACCCATGTTGATGACGGGAGGTAGCCATGGCGTTCGACCCCAAGGACTATCCAAAACAGCCGACTGGAATGAATGCGATGACAACCGAGATGCAACAGGCCTCTCATTGGCAGCATCTAGCAGTAGGTCGTTTGGTAGCCAATTTATGGTAGAGAACATTGATTGATCCAGGAAAGACGACGCAAGCCCCAGCGGCGCCTGCGAACCAGTCCCTCCTGTCGAGATATCCACATGAGGGGTGGAGCTTGTCCCTCCTGGCTGAAAACTGCTCATGTGAGTGCCGGGTGGTAGTCTGTGACCATCAGAAAGCGTACTCCTATCTTCTGATATGGGTAGTTGTGGATATGCGCGCTGGAGCTCTAGCCCGGGGTACGACTGCAAGGAAAACCGGCGGCTGTCAGCTGGTTCACTCGCCAGCCCCAAGCTTTCAGCTTGGGAGGGCCTCCGGGCATTCTGAAGGTCATCTTGCTGCATTCTTGAGAAATTATACGAGTTTCGTTCGGTCGTCACATTGGAAGACGTGTTTGGGCCGTTCATACTCGAAAGCTGAAGTTGGAATTGGCCAACCTGGTATTCAGGAGGCCGATATGACGGATTCGACTCAGTTCGGCTTCGAGATACATCTTCTTCCGTCATCGAAGACATAACGTTAGAAGCATGTATAGGCGAAATGTTGCCATTGTTCAGCATGCCATCAGAGGAAACATCCTTGCGCGCCTTTACCTTAGACCGCCGCTCCGTCGGGTATTGACAGTCGAGAGCCCGGTTTTCGCAACGGACACACGGAGTGCCCCCGCTGCACCGCACTCTTGCTACCGCGCATTTGAAACATGCTCGAAAGGTCTTGACTGTGATCCGATGCGTGCGGTCCTTTCCGCCCTCGGTTCCCAGAGTATGGTGACTCAGCTCGTGGCGATGAAGGGTGTCACTGACGAATCAAACGAACTGTCAGATCAACGTGTTAATTACCTCTTGCAGAAAGGAGTCATACGTTCGCGAGAAGTGTCGTCCGCATTGCGCGCATTCAAAGGGCTTCTCTTTCGTGTGACTACGGAAGTGTCGCTTCAGATGCTCCGGGCGCCGAAAGGTGCTCTGACAGATCGAGCACTTGGTTTGACCGCTGGTCACAGAACTAGGCTGCGCGTCGCGATCCTCGTCGGTAGGTCCCTCGTGGGTTGTCTCGTCGGCCTCAGGGAGGCTTGCAACTTCTGTATAAATATCGCGGTTAATTTGGAACCCGGCCCTTTTCCCGTTCCATGGCTCGCGTCAGCGCACCACACAGGCCTAGATTAAGCATACCTAAACCAGCATCGCTTTTGTCCGACAACATGGCGTCTCATGGACGATTGATTCCCAGGATGTTGGATAGAGGAAGTTGGCATGGCAGCGAAAGCTCGCATGAAGGAAAAGCAAAGAAAAGCAAAGAAAACTTTCTTTGGTAGGGCCCGAAAGCATATCACGATCGGATCTGCAGCCGTGTCATCATGGTCGACATCACCACACAGGATCCTTCAAACATTGCCAGCATTCGACGGATGCAAGCAGGAGCAGGAGGCGCAGCGGGGAGGCAACAGGGAAAATCGACAGTCACGCCAGACGGAGAAGTGGCTCGCTAGGCAAAGGAACGAACCGTCAGGGGAGCAAGAAGCGGGGGAAGCAGACGGTTCCCGGGGGCGCCACGAGGCTAGTCGGAGTAGTTGGAGGCCGTTGAGCGACCAGAGCCACGATGCCCCCGGGGAACCCTAAAAAAAGGACGATTCCCGGGGTCTGATTGGCCAATGCGCCGGGCAGGTTCCATGACGAAATGGCGGTCTTTCGGGTAATTTTAGATGCGTGGTTAGCGAGCTTTCGATATTAAGTCGCTGCAGCGTTGCCTGGTGATTGGGTCGGTTGCCCCGAGGTCAGATGCACGTAATCTATTCTTCTTCGACAAGATGCACCTGACTGCTGAGAATTTTTCGCCTTTTTTTTTTCTTGTTTTTTGTTGAAGAAACGTGAAGGATCTGAGGAGCAAAGTGCCGGAGGTGAAGAAAGACGGGGAGAAAGAGAGATCGGCTAAAAGGACGCTCCCGAGGAGGCCTAAGCTTTCAGGCAGCACTCTGCGGAGAACCCAGTTGGCAGTCCAGCGAAGGGGCGTCCGAATAAGCAAAACATAAGAAAAAGCAAAGAGACAAAAAACTGGTTAGACCGAGCTGCTCCTTTCTAATCCCTCCCGCCCAAAGCATTTGGAAATGTCTAACAGAACTGGCAGTTTCGACGAACCGGCAGGGATCGCATCCTGATCGACTGCAGGCCCATTCGATCGGCCAGCTGCATTTATTTGCCTCGGTTTCGCGCATCGTCGGACAGAAACGGGTATGTAGTTGCAGATTCTAACCCAAAATCTCCATTTTGAGTCCTACTGGGCGATATATATATTTCTCGTCTATCGCAGAGGTTGAACGATCGAACAAAGCCATTTAAACTATCAGGCCCTTCAAACCCTACCGACTAGTTGAAACGCCAGAAGGGCATTGTGGTGGCCTTAAAACTAAAAACCCATAGGGATCTATTGCCGGGTGTCTAGCACGAAGAACGGCATTGCTGTGTCTGTCGTTATGCCTAGCCCTGTCGTTTCAGACACCGAAGTAAATCTTTGAGTCTCTAAGGAAAGAGAGTTTGAACGCATGAAAAGAGAAAGAGATAGAGAGAAGAAAAGACAAACTTCTCGAGAATAAGAGACACTGTGAGATCCTTTTATCAGGTTAGAAACCCTGAAAGATGTCGCAGTCGCTGGTGAAGCCGATAAACTCTCGAGGATTCATCGTGCAGGCCACTATGTACGGATAGGGGGAAATCCATTCAGGGGCTCAACAGATGGGGTCGAAACCAGAATCATGGGTCAACTGCGACCTGACAATCAATTACTGCGTACACAATCCTGCTCGAGTCGTTAACACAACCCAATCTAAACCGAATGTCGCCAAACCAGAGGGGGCCAAATTGTGGAGTAAGGTAATGGTGAAGGAGAAGGCAGTGCCGGGATCTCGCCGAGTCTGAAATAAGAACACCAGTTCAGGCAGAATCTCGACAGGGGATCAATCTTATGTGAGACTTGTTGTTCGATTGAGAGTTCTATGAAGAAATGACAATATCCAAGACAAGAAGAAGTCAGAAAGTGACTTGGCGCCGGCTGCCAGGTACGGCGTTGCGGGCTGAGTCGTTGACCACTAAAGACCGCCAGGACCCGCCATGATGCATACACGAGTTGGGGCCTAACTGGATGTCGATACTGATCTACAGGGTCGGTCGCTGGGGTTGATGACTCTGGCGCCTGAACGGTCGTTCCTGGCAAGGCTGAAACTACTAAGCATAGCAGAAGATGTCGTTCCATATTTGTCTTGTTATCGAGCTGGAAAATCCTTCCACAAGGGTGGACCGTTGTCCTTCTTCAGTGGGGGCTCAAAGGAATCTAGATGCCGCTGTGCCTTTCCCGACCATCAGGAGATGAGCAGCCAAGAGATTTAGCTGCTGACTTTGGGGGCCTTTTCGAAATAAATCGTTTGAAGGAACGGGCATAGAGGGTGGCGCATGGCGTAGAGAATACAACTACTGCTTCTTAAGGGAGCCCCAAGCCCCATATTCTCTTGGGAAATCAGTCCTCAATAAACCCTAGCAATTGACCTAGTAACCGAGTCCTGAAGTTAGTAGTGTGGTCTTGAAAGACTTCTGCATTGCTTGCTACTTGCATCTGGACCACGATGCTTTCCATACTACCTCTTCTGCTTTTGGGCGGCCTCCTCCCCGGGGTCAACGGCCAGAACTCCGACAAGGAGGTGCTGGCGCACTTTGCAACCACGGGAAACTGCTTCATTTATGTTGACGGAGGAGACATTGAAAAGGGCTCCTCTTCATGCAAGACATACTGTCCTGAGCATGAGGGCAATGAGGGGATGGGTGTAAGTTTTACCCTACTCTCTATCATAGCGACTCGAGCGACACTATTATACCCAATACAATGGTGACTAACTGATCCGACCGCAGTGCCACACTCCCGTGCTCGACTTCGATTCGATAGACCAGTCGCTTATCAACAGGGACGACGACGGTAACCGGTGGCTTGCAGGAGACTGCGTTTGCGGAAACCCCCAGGACTATCTTCCTCTTATCGAGCCGGTGATTGAAGGGCTTTCGCGCTTGGACAACATTATCTGCGCTGTTTTCTTGTCGAGTCTCGAGACGGTCTTCGAAATTGGTATCAATGCTGTGCCTGGCGGCCAGGCCATCAATGGCGTCCGAAGGGCTGTCGAGGGCGCCAAAACATTTGTTGATAACTCATTGGACGCGGCTTCGTTCTTTGACAACTGGATCGGCGATGCCTGTGACGTTCCGGATTGGAACTTTGATATTATGGATGGGATCTTCGGCAAATTGAACGATGCCACGGATGACATGGGAACCAGCAAGGGATGCTTCCAGAAGAAGAAGAGTCTTTGCAAGGATAGACGCAGCAATCCCAAGAAGGACGATGACAAGAAGGATGACGACAAGAAGGCCGACGATAAGAAGGATGATGACAAGTGCAAGCGTGATGGTAAGTCCTGCTTCCAAAGACGAATATATACCGAGCAATCTGTTAACTCATACACCTTCCTACAGGCAAGGATTGCAAGAACAGCACCACGAAGAAGGATGACAGCACTACCACCAGTACTTCTACCACGAGCACGTCAACCACCACCAGCACCACCTCCAAGAAGACCCGTCGCCCCAAGACCAGAACTACGCCGTCTTTCCCAGCGGTTCCCACCTCTACACCGGCGATATTCAATCCCACGCCGGTTGCAGAGGCTATTCCTAGCTCGTCTGCTCCGGTCATTCCCTCTCCGTTCTAGTGTATAGTATATTTCATCATTTAATCATGTCATGTTCTGTATATATAGTTTAGTCTATAGATCTGAGATTCGGTTTTTGGGCGTGGAATCCTACGTTTATAATATCCTACTTACTATTTATAAATGAAGAGTGATCTAGCACCACAATTGAAAATCTTATGAAAGATACTGCATTGCTACTATCTTTTAATATGATTGTGATCGCTAGGGTTCCGAGTAGCGCTGGATGAATAAATGGATAATGCCGCATTTATGCATTCTTAGTCAGCGCAAATTATGCACACCCCTGGCGGTGTCGGAGTCAGGCTCAGGGTCTCCGAGCGAACTAGACTGACGCCTCGCGGATCCTCCTTTCTTCTGACCGGTCAGCGCTGAACACTCCCGACCGGATCTATTGCTCTAGTTGCTCCACTCTCTGACTACCATCTCCGATGTCCTGTCATGGCTTGACCTCCATCTTCTGCCTCAACACGCCCTTCCCTGGATGAATTCGACGAGCCACGTGGCTCGTCCTTACCTAATCGCCGACCCGGAATGGCAGGCTCAACATCCAACGGTCTAGACCCGCGCGCAGCTTCGCGGGTGTCGCGCAACGATGCTACTCATTCCCTGACTGCGCTCCAAGGTGCTCTCAGTGCGTTTCACGGGCCTCCCTCAAGAGGTGTTTCGCCCGCTGCTACTCATAGAACTGGCATGACCATGGATCACGAACCTGGCTCCGAGCCTCAGTCCGAGGCCGACACGCCTGAAGTTGGCTCGGTAAAGGACAAGATAGGGAGGTTCACGGCCCAGTCGCAGCCCCCCAAATTGCAGACGACGCCCGAGAGGACCCAGATCCATAAGCCAATTACGAAGCAACGGTCTATGCATCAGATCGCGGCCCAGCTTGCCGCCGAGAAGTCCTCGATGGCAAGCGCAAAGAGAGAGCCCTCCCCGGCGCCGAGTATGCATTCGCAAAGGGCACATAGGGCTCCAACTGTCCACCGCAACCAGAATCAACCTCTTGACTTGTTGACTGGGGATTCTATGGACGACATGACGACAAGCACCAGCTCTACCCCTAGTATCTCGGCAGATGAGCAAGGCCTCCCATCCAGGACCAGGTCTATTCAACGAAAGCCAGTGGGAGAGATGTCCCCTACGACGATTGAGCCTATGAAGACGGCTACAGCGAAGCCTCGTCCCGTTCCGCCGCTGCCACGGAAACCTCCAATGGCCACTGGTGGTCCAAATTCCACGGGACCCGCTGTTCCTATCCAAAACCAAACGCGAAGTCATGCGCAGCCTTTAAGTTCCAGTGCATCAGTTCGCTCCAAGGCTTCATCCACCTTTTCCGACGAGAAAGCACCCCCACTCCCGGCTCGACCAGGCACCTTCCCCAATCCGGGGCTGAGAGACCATCGAAAACTCCTAGATACCCCAACCCCTCCCAGACGACCAATCAGTCCAAGCATTACCTCGGTATCCGGTCGCTCACTCAACACCAGCAGCTCGAGTCTTCTCGACATGGACGAAGAGGCTCTTTCGGATGCCATCGTTGCGTCGTCCTTGGCATCCAGCAGGGCACCGCCGGCTAGGAAAGTCCCTCCCACTCCTCCACCGCAACGCCGGCCCAGATCCCGTTCAATCCTACGCCTGCAACACTCGGGCAAGAGCCAACATTCGATATCATCCAGTCCCCCGGGCACCATGCGACATACTCTCCGCGACCCGGTCAAATCCGACGACGAGGAGGGACATCACCAGCGCCACCGGAAACATCTCGTTCGAAAACACCCCCACAAGCACCACGAGGGGGATCGAAAACGGTGGCGCAGCGAAATCACGGAAAAGGAGCGGAAGCGGTACGAGGGGGTCTGGGCTGCCAATAAGGGGATGTATATTGTCCCCGCCCTACTCGATAACCCGTCAGCACAGCAAGATCAAGCGGCCAGTGGATATCCAGTGCAGGCTTCAGACATGGTTGTGAACGTCGTGGTTCAGGATATCTGGTCGCGCAGTCGCTTACCGACCAACATGTTGGAGCAGATCTGGGATCTCGTCGATGGGCAGAAGATAGGCATCTTGAAGCGGGAGGAGTTTGTCGTGGGAATGTGGTTGATTGACCAGCAGTTGAAGGGCCATAAGCTCCCTGCCAAGGTCCCCGACAGTGTTTGGTACAGCGTGAGGCGCGTGCCGGGCGTGACGCTGTCCCAGCAAAGCCTCATATAACGGTGGATCCTAATTGTCTCTCATCTTATAGCCCTACTGCAGAGCGGTAGCTAGGCCCTAGCAATAGTCGAAGTTTATTGAACTCAACGTAATGAAATCGGCGTGACTATCAGCTGTATATAGGATATAATGGTCCAAACATCGCCCCACTGCTCTCCACTGCTCCTTGCTCAGATGTTCCCCCTCGGCGATGTGAATGGCCTCAGGACTGCTATGGGTATAATCGCTCAACTGCCCCTGAATTGCATCCATTGACCGCCTTTTTCGTGTTCCTTGATTGTTTCTTCCCAGGTGCTGGCCGTCGCCGCGGTCTGACGCAAGATAATATAGAGATAAAGATTGGAGTGAAACCGAGCGCCGATCCGACTGCCATGTACGAAATGCCTTGACACCATGTACACAACGCAAGGCGCTTGATCAGGCGGATCAGCAGATAGACGACGGAGCTGTCTGTGGCTGAATCCGGAAGCGCAGCCCACTCACGACGCATTGATTAATTGCAGTCCCGCCCTGCCACAGCGTTGGCCCGAATAGGACTACGACTGCGAGGGATCACCCTTTGCATGCTCAGACAGAGAATGCGAATAATTAGCTCAACGACCGTCCAGGCACATGACCGTTATGTATCATATCGATCACCATGGGAGGCTTCCTAACGTCACACCTGCATGGCGCGCGCATTCAACCCTGCGGCTATCTATCTAGAAGGCCGATCGCACTGGCATTCTGACTGCTTGGTAGGTGAGGCAAGGAAGAGTTTCCACCCGGCGCAGTTCGGCGTTTTCGAAGACACCGTGGGGTTACTGGGCAGGTCTTAGTTTGTTCGGCGATCCTTCCCTGAGCCTTAGTTTAGGTAGACAGGCAAGCAAACTATGCAGTAAGCTATGCAGCAAATCGTGGAACTGGACCCCTGATTCAAGACCATGGCATTGTGCCGATCCTCGAGGGGGGGGGGGGGGGGGGGGGGAAATAAAAAGAAAAAAAAAAGAAAAGGAAAAGACAAAGGCTTTGAGCCTGATCTCAGCTGCATTCCAATAGGCTAGAGGCCTCGAAAAGAACTCTCTTGTCCTGTCAGTTCGTTCTCCCATCGCTCTGGCATGGCACCACAACGCACCGGACCAGAAGTCGACAATCCACAGTCGCAAGTAACCGCCAGGACCATGAATCGATTGACCGATCTGATCTGGATCGAACAAAGGCCCCACCTTGTTTCTTAGTATAGTTTCAGACCCAACGATGTCGACCATGGTTCATGCGCCGCAGCACCATACCCATGTCGCCAGTACTTTTGTAGGGGAGCTAAGATGGAACGGCGCATGTCTCGTCCTTCGTAGGTCGACCTACATATGCAAGTCTTGACCCCCTTACCCAAAGGATTCGGTTGCTTTTTTTTTTTTTTTTTTTTTTTTCTCCCTCGGCTCCCCACTCCGGGTGTTCCAGGATTTGGGATTCTGGAAATTGATCTCTCCGGATCTCGGAATTCGCGCCGTAGGATTGCATAGCGCTGGAAGATCGAGCCGGGCAACCTTTAATACGTCATGTCGTCATGTCGTCATGTCGCGCTCTGGACCTGTAGATAACTAGATATTGGGCTGGGAAGTGGAGTCGAGGGTCGGAATAGGGTACGAATGGGGACGAGGATCCAAGGGCTGACAGCGTCCGTGGTGACAGGCTGGACTGGCAATCAGGGACTCGCCCGAAGGAAAGAATGTGCTCACGGCGACTGCCGCATTCGCTGCCATCACGTGGGTCCACGTGACCGGATCCCGCAGAGGGCGGCCGAAACAGGCAGGAGCCTCGGGGCGGAACGAATCGACGCCAAAAAGCTAAGCACCGCGCAGCCTCTCGAGCGACGAGATGTCTGGCGCGTCGCCTGCACGGTGCAGGGCGCTGGCCTTGGTACGCTACCACCGACATATATGTATGCAGTCTATCCGCGTCCACTTGGGAGGGAATCGTGCAACGCTAGGCCGATCGTCCCGCCGGATCCTTGACTAATCATCGCGAATCCGGCGCCACATTGTGAAGCAAATCCCGGCCGCTGCCTCTCGGGATTTGCTTTTGATTGGCGATGGATGATTAAGCCCGCCGTCCTCCCCAGCTTTCCATCCTTTGGTATATCAGACCACTTCCTCGGCGTCTTGTCCTGTTCTCCGTCTCCGGTTAAAAAGAGGGGGAAGAAGAAAAAAAGAAAAAATCAAAAAAGAATTCCAAGAAAATCCAGACGAGCATTCAATCGCAGAAAAATTTTCATCAGGCTTGTTCCCCTCCCCCGGCACAATCGAACGAGAGACAGCGAGAGCTCCTCCGTCTTGAACTGGCGCTCTGTAGTAATGCGCCATTGGAGCGTCTAACCCGGTAGAGGAAGTCGACGGTAGCACGCTCGTTCCTGTTCGCAGACTGCGTTGTCCGACAAAGTAGCCCCCGACAACCGTTCGCCATGGTCCTGGGCAATTTCTCAAGCTCCTATGACAATGGAGTCACCACCACCACGACAGTTACACAGCCCAAGATGGCCAGGACGACTGTCGTGCGCAAGAAGTTCGCCAAACCGCCTGTCAAGGTAGCCTGTCTGTCCTGGTAAGTCGTTTTGCCATCCTCTCGGTCTGCTCTGTAAGGCTAACGGAGATCGATATTCGAACAGTCGCGCGTCGCGCACACGCTGTGATGGACAGGATCCATGCTCAAATGTAGGTCTCTTTTTTGTTTGCTTGGTTCTATCTAGTTTCCGCCCCCTTAAGCACCGTCCTTACTGAATTGGATTTCCCCGCTGGTCTGGCTTTCAATGGTCTGCCCATACCACGGCACTATCACTCGCCGTTGGTTCCTCTTCTCTCACCCTGTCTTTTCCCATCAATTCTACACCAGAATTATGTGCTGACGTATATGCTCCAATGTGTGAAGTGTCTTGGCAAGAAGAAGAAATGCTCTTACATGCCCAGCAAGCGCGGTGGTCCAAGGAAGAAGAAAAGGTCGTCCATCCCGACAGTCCAGCAGGATGACTTGTCGGACTCGAATATTCCACCCCCTTCGACCGGCTTTGACGATTGTACGTGAACACGATCATCAGCCCAGTTCAATCATGTCGCTAACTTGAGATACAAGCCCCGGGGATGTTCGGTCAGATCGATGTGCTTTCCATCCCGGGTGCAGGCCTGAGGAGTTTGGATTTCACTTCCGATGTCCACACCATGTTCGCCGATCTATTTGCTCCAAATGATGGACCCAGCTCTCATGCTCAGATGGAGCCGACTCCTTCGCCATCGAGTGTATCGTCGCCGTCCTTGGTCAGGGCATACGCTCATGAGCACGATATGTGAGTTTCGCTCGGGATCGCTCTACTCATCTTTCGCTTCGTCTAATAGCTGGCCAGACTTAATGCCTACTACTTCTTCATCCATCCATATTTCCCTCTTCTCCCCCCAAGAGTGTTGTCGCCATCCCCCGACGTTCCAATGGAGGGGGCTGGATCATACTCTGATTCCCCATCCGAAGAGCCTGTCTTGGTATACAAGCCACGCTCTCCTCTTAGTCTCGCACTATCCGCTATTCTGGCCCTTGTCCCGCATCCAAATGACATGGAGCCGTCGTCTCCGATTTCGGTCATCCGTCGCAGGGCCTACGCTCATACGTTTGCACAATTGGCCAATGCTAGTATCGAGGCCGATTGTGAGCTTCAAGCCTCATCTACGGACCCCTCGCAGGCTCTGTCGGGGGATCGGCCTGCAATCGACCGCGAGCCGTTCCATTCTCGAACGCCAGTGGAACTCGAGAGCGTCCTCGCCCTCTTGATCCTTTCCATCTACGAATATACCCAGCGAGGCAATCTTCTCAAAATGCGGTACCGTGCCGGCCAGGCATTAGCCATCGCATTGGATATGTCTCTTCACGCTTTGGGAGAGGAGCATGACGAATTTGCGGAAGCGCGGAGAAGAGCGTGGTGGATGACGGTATGGATATTCGCAGTCAATTTCATGGACGCGGTTGCTAATATTGGTCTTTTGCAGTATTATTGTGTTTTGCAAGGATCCATTGTCAGCACGACGGTAAGCTATCTCCCTCATCTCATTTTTGACTAGAGGTTCAGTGGCTAATACAGAATGCAACAGCCACTTTCGATCGTTGCTAACGACCCGCAATTCGTAACACCTTATCCGCGATTTTCTGCAGATCCAGATGTGCGTGTTCATACTCTTCCCACGCGGTTCCCTCCAAAAAAAATGACATATTAATGTTTCCACAGGGATGGTCCGTTCTGATGCAAGCTCAACAAGTCCTTGTCTCGGCGACCCAGTACATTATCGACTTGAACAAGTGTATCGCAACGAGAACAAACATGCACTACATATATGAACGCATGCGACAACTTGATGCTTGGGCTAGTTCTGCGCTGGCGCAGTCCAATTTGCTCCCCATCGTTCCCCAATCTGCAAACCGCGTTGGCGATATCGAGTACGCCACAGCTCAAAGCATTCGAGCAATCTCGCGCATCAAGATATCCAGGTGGGTGCTTCCCAGGCAGCCAAGTGGTTAAGCATATAGCTAACATTGGTCCAGTGCACAAATCAAAATCCATCGTTTTAGGGCATTCTCGGACATTCCAATCTTCATCAAGAAACACTGCGATCTCACTGCCGCCAACGCCAGCAGCACGGCCCCGGGGAATCAAACCAAGCAAGCGAAGGCTCTTAGCGGGATCAACACCATTCAGTGTTCATGTGGAGGGTTGGAACCACCCCAGCAGCCTTCGAGCGAGCTCACCCCCTCATCGATGTCCTCGGCATCATCGGATTACAACTCGATGTCGCAATACTCGTTCACGAACGGATTCCCGTACAGCAGTCAACACTCGGCAAAGATATGTCTTCGGGCAGCTCTTCTCATCTCGCACATGTTCCAAAGTCTCCCGCTGCCAGAACCGCTAGGCGAAGGAAGTAAAAGCCAGCAGGGCATGTCATTAATGCCGTCAACTGAACTACCGCGAACCATGCCATCGTTCGCCTGCTGCTTGATGCAGGGCAGCTATGCCATGTTGATGATCTTCTACAAAGCGCGAGTAGAGAAGCAAATGTCGCCAGAGTATGGGAACAAATCCCCAGACAATCCCTCTGATCGACTCATCGAAGAGATCCGCCAAGGACTAGAACGCATCATTGCCACCGTGTCCAATTACGCGATTGCTTTCGAGGCGCTGGATGGCATGAGAGGTGAGCACTATTTTTTCTTGATATCATTTCAACTCCGCTAATTCATGGATCTCAGATGAAATCGAAGGCGCATATCACACGGCGTTTCCGGCAACGTAGAGTTTCTTGATTCTTCCCTCTTTTCTTCCCCTCCCCACTTTCACTTCTCCTATTACTTTTTCTCTCCTCTTCTTCTTCCCCATTTTATATAATATAGTTTTTCATTTTCTTCTCCTGCCAAGGAAATACATCTTATATAGTATCGGTTTACAAATCAGGGCATCGGACAACGGGCAAATATAACGGATCGGATGGGACTGGACTGGAATGGACTGGGTTTTAACAATGGATAAAAAGGAAAACATACCCCCAAGGCAATACAATATACCTTTCGCTCGCTCACGCTGCTTTACTCTTTACTTTACTGGCTTACTTCATTTCTGGTGTCTCGAGTGGGTTAAATGGCAACTTGTTCTATTCTCTTCTAACGATCGCGCTCATGACTACTTCCTTCACATACCCTTCGTTTTTTTTCTCGATTGATTTCTACATTGGTTCTATCTGTCTGGTTGGTGGATGGGCGTTTTGTGTCTTTCGTTTCGTTTCTTTCGTTGTTTTTTCTTTTCTTTCTATGTACAATTATGTGGTTGAATCTATCTTGGAGTTTCTGCCGATAGAAATGCACCGATTGATCTATGATCTATGATCTATGGGCTTGTTTTTCTCGTGGTTTTTTTAGAACTACCATATCATGCTTGGGTCTGATCTTCGATACTTCAATAGGGCATGTTGTCCGTCTCCTCCGACAGTCTAGACAGGAGATATGATACAACCTAAATTAGACCGGATAAAAGCAAGGAGGGGAAGAATCACGATATTTCAAAAGAACCAAATTGATCTGTCTGTCTATTTCTTAATTCGTAAGGGGGAAATAGTAGCCTGTAGTTAGTACAGTATATGGACATGAAAGAAACAAGGCAACAGAAGTAAGCTAAGGCTAAATGGCGGGAATCGGGATGAGCTACGGCAAGAAGATCGATTGATCTAAAGTTTAGATCTGATTCCTTCCAAGCGGAACTTGACGTCTTTCAGGACCTTGCTGGTGGGTTTCCATTCGTCGAACTGGCGGAGGAGTTGCATGGTTTCGTCGTAGAGTTCGCGGCGCACGAACTCTTCCTCGAGTAGACCGCGCATGGCGAAGGGGAGGATGTACGGGTTTACTTGGGACGAGGGGTGGCTGCGGCGGATGTCTAGGGTTGAGCCTTGGACGTTGGAGGTTTCGAGGGCGAATTCGATGGCCAGTCTAGATTGGTGTTAAGGGGGTTGATGCGTTTTTGGGTTTATTTCAAGAGTTGGCTTACCGATAGACGGCCTCGTCGTCGTAAAGTCGAGAGTGGCCTTCGCCGCTATATAGGCTGCCGGCGAGTGGAGAGCTTAATTCGCGGATGAGGCCGTGGTCAGGGATGCCCAGATTCCGGAGTTTCAGAGCAAATCCGACCAGATGTGAAACGCTGTTGGTGTGGTTAGGCGGGTGGCTGTGTTGAGTTGGTGACGTGGGTTGGTTTATGGGGACTTACAAACTTGGTGCATGGACTCTGCCATCGACAAACACGGCCCGATAGATATATGGATGGGTAACTGGTGAGAACAAAGACGACTGAAAGAGAGCTAAGGTTAGTGCGTGTCTTCCCGGTTCTAACAGTAGGCCAGATCTTACCTCAAGGGAGACGAGCTGGTCGTCGATGCTACCGATGTATGATATCCGGACTCCGAAATCAAGAGAGGTTTTGAGGGCGGCCTCGTAGTCTTTGGAAACTTGGCTGTAAGGCAAGGCAAATTCGAACAGTTCTCCTGCAGACCCGCTTATCCACCGTGATCGATATTCGGAGAAGGGCCCCATGTTAACGCCGGCCATGGCACAGACACCCACCCGAGCAGCATTGATACATCCGAAAGAGATCAACTTGGCCACCAACATGAGTGTAACGGGAACCCCTTGACTGTGGCAGGCAAACAAGATGAAATCAGCGTTCCGGATTTCTTCCATCCAGTTCAGCAGTAACTTCCAGAGGAGGTCCACCCGCTCAAAGATGCGGCCTTCGCCCTCTAGGGCTATTTTTTCAATGTTGCATGTGTATCCGTGATCGTCGACCCATTTCTGGATAGCGTCGGCTGCCATGTTCGAGAACCTGATGGATGTTCCCGTTGGTTGACCAAGAACACTCCGAATCAACGGCATAGGGAAATATCCATGAATCCCGATGGCAAGCGCTCTCTTTATTGGGGGTGTATCCCGGGTCATGTAAACATGTTTATTATTCGACTCCCTGTTGTAACTCAGGAATCGACCGATCGTCTGGAAAAAACTCGGCCTTTCCTGCAAGGCGAACGTTTCTTTGAAGCGTGGAAGAACCTGGTTAGGCAGTATTTTCTGAAGCTGTTTAGACGCACCAGCTTCCGGAGCACTTGGCGTTAGGGCATTGAGTTTGGCCTCTGGCTCCGGCACGGCCGGGTCAGGTGCTGTAGAACTGCCTTTCGAGTGTTTGATTTTGACTGTCCCTTTCTTTGAAACCTCTGCTTTCTGCTCTGACTCTGACTCATTAATATCGGGCTTTGGAATGGATGAATCTTGTTTTGTCGCTTCCGCCGATTCGACTTCTTGGGAGTTTGGCTGTGTTGAATCCTGCGAAGCGTCTCGAAACCAAAACGACCATCCTGATGGCTTTACATTTTTAGCGGATGACTCGTTAGAGGGTGCATCAGCTGGCGGTTCCGATTCTCCCTGGTTGTCGGTATCATGATCCGTCGTAGATGTTGAATGGGTATGTGGAGGAGCAGTCTCATCCCCTGTAGGAGGTTCATCTGCGGCGGCTTCTACGCCTTTGGGTGGCGGGGGCACGCCGTACCACATCTGGAACCAGGACCGTTTTTGAGAAGTTCCTGTGATCTCAGAGGTTTCGGGAACGTCGTCTGGCTTTGTTGGCTCTTGGTCGGTGACCGTGGTGGTGTCCTCCTTTGAAGGTTGATTCTCAATGGAGGGAGCGGCCGGTGTCTCCGTCGTTGAACCCGCTGCAGTATCCTCCTCTGTTGTCGACGGTTTGTAAAACCATGAAAGCCAGCCACTTGGTTGTGCCTCCGACGAGGGTTGATTTGGTTCCACAGTATCAGGATTTGTGTTATTATCGTTGGAGACTTCGGGTGATGGATTCGATTGCTCTTTGTCGGCGTCCTCTCTCGTGTCTGTATCTTTATCGTTCACCGTCCCTTTGTTTGCCGTCTCAGATGTCGAGTCTGCCGCAGGGTCTGCCTGAGAGTCCACCGCTGGCGTGGAAGTAGAACCATCCGAGGCGATGTTGATTTTGGTTGTCGTGGCGTCGGCGGGGAGAGACCGGGTTGACGCGCCCGCTTTCCTCGTGAGCTGAAGAGAGGGATTGCGATGTTGTTTGATGGAATCGAGCTGGGAGGTCGATGAGGAAGTGATGTTCGACGCTACGTTCTGCGCAACCGAAATGCTCTCACGGGCAACCTCGGTTACCGGGGCCGCTTTGGATGATCTAGAAACGGCGGGCCAAACACCGGGGTACCAGTTCTATGGAAGCTCATTTATCAGTCATATACACGAACAGAAAGTCTAATGAACGGTGCATGAATGTGGTTCTCTATCTTTGTTGGACCCCGGTCTGAGTTACCCCGAAAGATGGGTACTTACAACGCCTCCTTGCTTTTGTAGACTAGAGCGTTCGCTGCCCGCGGGAGATAACGTAGCCCCATCGTTCGACATCTGGGGGTCCGCGCCGGACGGGCTGGGTTTTACTCTCTTTCGAGATCCCGAGGGCGCCATGGAAGAAGGAAAGAGAACATTACCAGCGACCAAGCAAGCAGAAAGGCAGGAGGGGGGGGCAGAATAGCCTGTAGGATGGGGGGGAGAGCCAAGTCAGCGTTGAACGCCACGGGAGTCGATCCGCTCAACGTTGATGTCACGTCACATGCCGCCTCCCTGCCTGACCGCCTGGTGCTGCCTGAGGCCGCAGGAAATGTGGCGGTGCCTCCCCGGCGGCGCACCGCCACGCCCCGGCCAGAAAGGGGAAATTTTTCTGCGGGCGGTGTGGATCCACTGCCGGCGATAACTTTTTTTTTCCTGCGCCTACCAACCATCACGGCTTCTCGATCCAGTCCATTCGTTTGAATCGTCGTCGCTTGATCTGGGTGTTTTGGGTCTCGATTGACCCTCTGCCATAACTGAAAATGGCGATCCAGAAGAAGGTGCGAACATTTACCCCTTTTGCCATTGTTTCTTGTTTTTATCGCTCCTTTGAAAATGTTCTCACTACTGACTCTATGTAGCATGGTAAAGGTCGTTTGGATAAGTGGTACCGCCTTGCCAAAGAGAAAGGATATCGAGCTCGAGCTGCGTTCAAGCTGGTCCAGCTGAACAAGAAATATGGATTTTTGGAAAAGAGTAGAGTCCTTCTGGATCTTTGCGCTGCGCCCGGTGTATGTTTTCCCTGTCTTCTACTAGGTTGGCTCTCCTAACAACAGTATTAGTCGTGGTGTCAAGTCGCTGCAGAATGCATGCCTGCGCAGAGTATCATCGTCGGTGTTGATCTCGCCCCAATCAAACCCATCCCTCGAGTGATCTCCTTCCAGAGCGACATCACAACGGAAAAGTGCCGCGCTACGATCAGATCGCACCTGAAACACTGGAAGGCGGATACGGTTCTCCACGACGGTGCGCCCAATGTCGGTACGGCTTGGGTTCAAGATGCGTTCTCTCAGGCGGAGCTGGTGCTGCAGTCTATGAAATTGGCTACGGAGTTCTTGGCCGAGGGTGGTACTTTCGTCACCAAGGTCTTCAGATCGAAAGACTACAATCCTCTGCTGTGGGTTTTCAAGCAGCTGTTCAGCTCAGTCGAGGCTACGAAACCCCCGTCTTCCCGAAACGTCTCCGCCGAAATTTTCGTCGTCTGCCGCGGCTTCAAGGCCCCGAAGCGTCTCGACCCCAAGTTCCTCGACCCGAAACATGTGTTCGCCGAATTGGCCGATCCCACTCCCAATAACGAGGCGAAGGTGTTCAACCCGGAAAAGAAGAAGCGCAAGAGAGAGGGTTACGAGGAGGGTGACTACACCCAGTACAAGGAAATCCCAGTTGCCGAATTCATCAACACCACGGACCCGATCGCGATCCTGGGAACATGCAACAAACTCAGTTTCTCAGAACCGCCGGGAGGCGACATTGCGCTGGCTACGATCAATCGACTCGAAGAAACGACGGACGAGATTCGGGTCTGCTGCGAGGATCTGAAGGTGTTGGGTAAAAAAGAGTTCCGCAACCTTCTCCGGTGGCGGTTGAAGGTTCGCGAGAAGTTCGGTCTCATTGTGCGGAAGGGTCAACACAAGAAAGAAGAGCCGCAAGAAGAAGTGGCCGAGATCGCCCCTATGGATGATGAGCTGGCGATTCAAGAAGATTTGCAACGACTTCGGGAGAAGGAGAGCACGAGAACCAAAAAGGAACGACGAAAGGAAAACGAGAAGAAGCGCAAGGAAATCCTCCGCATGCAGATGCATATGACGACTCCTATGGATATCGGTATGGAACAGCATGGTCCCTTTGGGGAGGATGCCACTTTTTCGCTTAGACGTGCCGAGAGAGAAGGCGTCTCAGACAAAATTGCCTCCGGTAGAGAGGCGCCAGTGGAGAGTGACAGTGAGGAATCCGAATCCGAGTCTGAGGATGACGAGAGCGACGAGGAGGGTGATCGATTGGAGAGAGAGCTTGACTCTCTTTACGAGCAATACCAAGGGCGCAAGGAGGATGCAGATTCGAAACTGAAAGCCAAGAAGGCCCGAAAGGACTACGAGGCCGACGAATGGGAAGGAATTTCGGATTCTGATAAGGAGGGAGACTCAGATGAGGAATCTGACTCTGAAACGCTTACCACGAAGCGGGAGGCCCCGAAGGGTGGAGCTCTCTCCAACAATGCTGCCATGTTCTTCGACCAAGACATTTTCCAAGGTCTGGAGGACTTGGAGGATGTTGAGGACGAGGACGAGGACGAGGACGAGGACGAGGACGACGGCAAGCAGAAGAGCAACGGCACTGTCTCGGAGAAAAAGAGCGCCAACGACAAGAAGGAGAAGGAGAAGACGAAGGAGAAGGCCAAGGCGAAGGCGCAAGAGACGGACGACTTTTCGGATGATGACGATGATGAGCCCGCGGACCTTGGAGAGGACCCAAGGAAGCAGAATGGCCAGCTCGGTAAGCTTTCACCCAAGCTCGCACTCATTTTCTCCCGACACTAATGATCCGTACACAGACATCGATATTATCACCGCGGAAGCTATGTCATTGGCCCAGCAGATGGCCACCGGCGAGAAGAAGTCCCAGGACGTGGTTGATGACGGTTACAACCGGCTTGCATTCCGGGATGTTGACGGTCTCCCTGACTGGTTCCTGGACGACGAGGGCCAGCACAGTAAGGCGAATCGGCCCATCAGCAAGGCAGCTGCCGCGGCTATCAAGGAGAAACTGCGCGCCATCAATGCCCGACCGATCAAGAAGGTGATGGAGGCCAAGGGACGAAAGAAGATGAGGGCCGCGACCAAGTTGGAGAAGCTGCGGAAGAAGTCTGCGCTGATTGCCGAGGACGAAGGAATGAGCGAACGGGACAAGTCGCAGACCATCGCCAGGATGATGAGCCGGGCCACCAAGAAGAAGCCCAAGCAACAGGTGAAGCTGGTTGTTGCCAAGGGAAACAACCGGGGTATCTCTGGTCGTCCCAAGGGCGTCAAGGGCAAGTACAAGATTGTGGATTCCCGGATGAAGAAGGATATTCGGGCTCAGAAGCGACTTGCGAAGAAGAAGAAATAAAGGAGGGCGTGTGGAAGGATGGATGTATAGGCTCTCGACGGTTGATACCCGGTGCATTCTCCCCAGTGTTTTATAATGGATATGTGTCTTTACCGCGGATAGATGTATATAGAAGTATACATGACGGTCTGTCAGTATTTGTGGTATAGATCCCCAGCATAAGGAGTCCACTGTAGTACCCTACCTATATCCATGGACAAGTATACAAACTCGGAGGGGCGCCAAGCCACATGGCGCTTCCGATCGCCGGCAGCGCCTGCCGCTGATTGGCCCCCTCGGACTCTCGTGTCCGCCGGTCTTTTTCAGCTTCTCTCGTTCGCTTCGGATTTCTTCTCTTTCGCCTCTCCGTACATTCATTACTCGGCCATTTTCACCGTTAGGTCCCCGTGCCGCCGGTTTTATATTTATTGTCTTTTAGTACATATGTCGCTTCGAGTTTTTTCAGCCTGCACGCCTTGTCCATAGATTTTGCCACGCGTCTCCGTCTCAGCCACATTATACTTCCCTCCCCCCGCCGCCATCTTGCGCCGCCCTGACTCTGCTCGATGGGGTTTTTTGACCATCTCCAGAAGGGAGGAGCCTTTTCCTTACAGCCGAAGAAGACCCAGATTCGCAAAGTCGTTCAGACGCGCCCTGCCCCTCCGTCGAGATCTTCCTCACTCACCCCGGCCACTTCGTCGCGAATCTCCCCGTCTAAAAAAGCCCGCAGTTCCGAGAGTCGGTCAGCATCGAGAGACCCCGACCATCTTACCTCCAAACGACGCCTAGGGACTCCGCGACAAAGCCGGAAGCGCCCAACTCCAGAGCAGCGACTGTCTAGCGATGAGGATGAGAGCGACACCGACGCCTCCTTCGAGGTACGCAAACGAGCCCGGACAGGCGATAGCGCGGAGCCAGACCTCGAGAGGCGCGTGCGCTCATTAAAGGCTTTTTCCGAGGACCACGTCAAACCGCTACCTATGGTCCACGCAGCGGATATCACCTCGATCCAGAAAGCGGGGAATTTCAAACCTGCATTTGGCGAGAAGGTTCAGTCTACGGAGATCGCACTGCAATATCCCAGTGCTTCTCCTAAAGAACGGTATGAGATCTTGAGCGACAACAGATACCTTGTGGTATACGCGGTTTTGCTGACGGATTTTCCCTTTCCCCCTTAGATTTAACCTCGTGGTACCTCGCGACAACGATGACTTCAAGCCCATCGACGATATATTCTCGGTTGTCGATACCGTGTCTCAGACCCACATCCCCGAAGATGAAGCCGACCAGTTCAACAATGAGTCGACGGGTATCAAGCGGAGGTTGCGACGGGCGCTGGCACAGGGTTCCGAAAAGGACTTTCGTCAAGTCGTGGCGGATTATAACAACGCGATAGACCGGCTGAGGCGCAGTGGGAGCATCGCGAAAAAGTTGGATTCGACCCATCGGTTGAATTTGCCTCTCGTGGAGCGGATACTCACCCAGATATATTCGCGCACTGTTTCACCCCGAGTCGAGTCCCTGCGTCAGTATGAGAACGGAACTGACAACGTCTACGGCGAACTGCTCCCTCGGTTTATCAGCACGATTTTCAAGGAAACGGGTCTAAAGTCTGGCCAGGTCTTTGTCGATCTGGGATCCGGCGTCGGCAACGTCGTCCTGCAGGCGGCTTTGGAAATCGGCTGCGAAAGCTGGGGCTGCGAAATGATGCAGAATGCGTGCGAGCTCGCCAACCTTCAGCAGGCCGAGTTCAAGGCCCGATGCAGACTATGGGGGATTGCCCCCGGCAAAACGCACCTGGTGTCCGGCGACTTCTTGCGAGAACAGAGTATCATCGACGTCCTGAAGCGGGCGGACGTGATTCTGATCAACAATCAAGCCTTTACGCCACAACTCAATAACGAGCTCATCAACCACTTCTTAGATATGAAAGAGGGATGTCAGATTGTGTCGCTCAAGTCATTCGTGCCGGCCGGTCATAAGATCCAGTCCCGGAACCTGAATTCCCCCATCAACCTCCTGAAAGTCAAACAGAGGAACTATTGGTCCAACAGCGTGAGTTGGACGGATGTTGGTGGAACCTATTTCATCGCGACCAAAGATAGCTCCAGACTGAAGGCTTTTGTGGAAGACCTAGGGTGATGCCTGCTCCATCCCGTCCTTCGCCGCTTACTCTCCTGTGCGAGCTTCGAAACCCTCTACCTCGATGACAGACCACGTGGCAATCATGGTTTTCTCTGTATTTATTAGATGATCCCCCTTTTCTCTTTATATTCTTACCTGGAAATATCCCCCTTGCCTAGAGAGGGGCCCTGTTTCTTGTACAAACTTTGCAGGCATTACTATATAACAGGCATGGTTGTTTCCCCTCCTTGTCTTTTTTACCGGTTTCTTCTTCGTTCATGTTTCTTTTTCTTGGGCTTGCCATCTAAATTTTGCGGTTCCTATCGCCAAGAAGGCAATGAAATCGGCATTGGCTGCGTTGTCATTCAGACACGATGTGAATAAATCATGGGTATCATACATATTGTGCATAGAGATAATGGAAATAGATGAGTCAACATCACTCCCAGGCTCGAAACAAGACCAGAAATTAAAAGATGTCTCCCGACTAGGAGAATTCTGGGCCCAAGGCTGAACCAGTAAGGGTTCAAGGCCGTCGAAACGAATTTCAAGAGTACCGGGAAGCGTCGTTCATGGCGTCTGCTTCCCTACCCATCCGAACCATCCAACGATCCACAAGCTCCTTGTTCTCTTGTTTCAGCTTGTCAGATTGCTCTTCGGCCATGTTCAGCTGAAGGGTAAGGGATGCCATTTCATCCTGGATGTCCTATAGAGGTAAAGCAAATCAGTGATATGCAGGACAGGCAGCAGACAGGGAAGAGACCGGACCTCAAGCAATTTTGCCTTGCCTTTCAGCTCCTCGTCACGATCCTTCAGGCGCATATGGAGATGAGTGACCTCATTTTCTAAATTCGCAATCCGCCGCGCATCTCGGGTGCCGTTCTTTTGCAGCTTCTCCAACTCGGCAACTGTACGGGTCAACCGGTCCTGTAGCTCCGAGCGAGATCGTTGCGCCTCTGACAGCTCGGCACGAGCCTCGGAGAGAAGGTCATGAGCAGACGTTTCCGGGGAATTCGACGGGCGTTTTCTGGGATCGAGCGCAGGCGAATGTGGTGCAGAGCCCGCGGCTTCGACCTTGCCTGATATCGTGGGGTTGGTTCCGGCGGTTGTGGATTGGGCGGTCCGATCAGCTAGTTGGGTATCTATCACGATGGGTTAGATATCAAGTTCGCCGGCAGCTTCATCCAGGTTCGGGCTTTCTCATAACGCACATGCATTGTAGATAGCAAGGTTGGCCTTCTCTCGGCGATCGCGAGCCGCCAAAGCGGCAAAGTACTCCTCTCTCCAGTGGGCCATTTGATAGTCGCGATAAGACCAGCGAGGTTACTCCGTATCGAGGACGATCGGGATTATGGGGCCATGACAGCCCGCGGAATCGAGGAATGAGTAGAAGCCCAGTAGAACAAGATCGACAGTGATGAACGCCTCTTGGCGCTAGGACGCACGTAAGAAGAAATGCTGGCCACGATGCGTCCCAGCCATCGCATGAATGATGAATCTCTGGTTAAATAAGAAGAGCGGGTCTTCCCACGCCATCGCTCACCGCCCGCCCCACCGCCTGCATCATCGAAAAGCAACGGTCTCCCGTTAGCTCCTCCTTCACCACTTCTACTTCATACCGCAAGACGTGCTCGCTTGTCTCTTCCACTCTCCGTCTCGCACTGGCTCTTGTGTACAGGCCACCTATCTCTCTTTCCCCTCAACTTCACTCGACCTTTGCGCAGCGTTTCCGATTACGCTGGAACCCGTCTTTTTGCTTATCTTTACTCAGCCACAGCTATGTCGGCACGGAAGAAGGTCCTATTGAAGGTACAGCCGCGCAGCACCCCTCCCATCTACCCTGTAGGGATGACAGTAATGCTAATTTTTATTTTTGATTCTCTAGGTGATTATCCTCGGTGATAGTGGCGTCGGTAAAACGAGTTTGATGAACCAATATGTCCGTAAACCTACACTAGTCAATCCTCGCCGTCTGCGCGGTCCTGGCTAATCAATTCGGAGTGGAATAGGTCAACAAGAAGTTCAGTGGAAGCTACAAGGCAACGATTGGCGCCGACTTCTTGACCAAAGAAGTCCTAGTGGATGACCGACTGGTTACGATGCAGGCATGTGCTCCCTCGCCTCGAACACCCCTGGGGATACAACTACAGACAGCCACTAACGTTGACGGGCAGATCTGGGATACTGCGGGCCAAGAACGGTTTCAGTCATTGGGAGTTGCATTCTATCGCGGAGCCGACTGCTGCGTCCTGGTATATGATGTCAACAACTCCAAGAGTTTCGAGGCCCTCGACAGCTGGCGGGACGAGTTTCTTATCCAGGCCAGCCCTCGGGATCCCGAGAACTTCCCATTCGTAAGACCTTCTTGCTCCTTGTTCTGCGGCGGATATTTTCATACCGACCCTCTGTTCGACGATTGCATTTGCTGACGGTCGCATAGGTGGTGATTGGCAACAAGATCGATGTCGAAGAGAACAAGCGCATGATCTCGTCGAAGCGCGCCATGACGTTCTGCCAATCCAAGGGCAACATCCCTTATTTCGAAACGAGTGCCAAGGAGGCCGTCAACGTGGAACAGGCATTCGAAGGTAAGCGCCTTGCTTCGGCCGGCTGATCTGTCTGGGGCGCATTGCTGACCCGTTCCCAGTCATCGCTCGGAGTGCTCTAGCCCAGGAAGAAGCCGAAGAATTCAGCGGTGAATTTAGCGACCCGATCAACATCCATCTCGACGGTGACCGGGATGGATGTGCCTGTTGATACCCCCGTGACGGTCGTGACTGCTTTTAAACGATTCATATTTCATGACAAGATCTGCCTGCTTTTCTGTTTGAGTTCCTGGTTTTGTAGAAGACCTTCCCCCATGCTGATCTGAGCCGCCTCAAGCTCTTCCTATATAACCCTGGGAGTTTTCTTGCGCATCCAAGTCTCTGCTCAAGTCTCTCGGTTGAGCTGCACGGGGTCTCTGTTTACAAGTCGGTGTTTTACTGTTCGAGTCTTTTTCATTATGTCTCCCACGTCAGCGTATTCATTCATTAGTATACTATCTAGGAGTCTGGAATAACCACTGCTTCACAACTGTCTTGCCAGGATTTTCCATAAACACCTTACTTCCAGGGATCCCCGTAGATCCCCGTAGATCACAGCAACCACCGAGAGAAAGTCACAGCGTGACAAGTGACAACACCTCGTGCGGATCGCGCCATCTCGTGCAGCTTGGCGGTGTGGAGGGTTACGGGCTGCTGACTGGCGCTCTCTTATCGCCGACGGTCCACTCCGCACTCCAACTATCCCTCCCTTGCATCCTGCATGACCGTCAACATCGCCCTTGACTAGTTGGCACCTTCGGAGTCGGCCGTTCGCTCCTCCCGTGCCTCATGATCGTTTATCAATCTCCAGCAACCTCGGGATCGCACGCCTCTCGTCTCTCTCGGTGACCGCGGAAGAAACAGAATCCTTCCCCGCGCCACCTCCAGGACCGGCACTTCTATCTATTTACTGGTCCCCGTCGCATCGCTCTCATCGCATTCACTTGCTCCGAAGGTGTTTACATTGATGGACACCAGTGCTGCCTCATGGACACCCTTCCCAAACGCAGTGGCCCGGCGCTGAACGGTGTCGCGCGACGATCCCTCGGCATCGGTCTACTTCTGATAGTAGTGTTTCTATGGACAGCGTCCAATTTCCTGGCTAGTGTACGTGTTTCGTCTTCGCGATGGTCCCCAGCATGAAAATGCCTTGTTTGCTAAACTGTGCGGTGTTCCCGGGGTGACTGACTGACGTATCACACTTGTGTCGCAGACCATCTTTGCCGACGACACATACTCCAAGCTGTTCTTTGTGACGTACATCAACACTTCGTTGTTTATTCTGCCCCTCTTTACGATCCTCCTTCGCCGGGTCTGGAATTTATGGCGTTCGGGAAAGACATCCCGCATAAACTCGTTTCGGAGTCTCCTGCGGCATCTGGATTCGCACGACCCTGATGCGGAGACGCAGAGTATCCTACACCATGACACGGGACGGGACAGCGAGGACGCACTCAGCGACCCCGAAGCGTGGAACGCAGCCCGGCTGGTGCCGGAGGGGAAGTATCAAGAAGACTCCAAGCTGGGCTTGAGGGCGACGGCGAAGCTGAGCTTTGAGTTCTGCATGCTATGGGTAAGAATCGCAGTCTCTTGCTCTTTATACATACAGACAGGCTAACACCACTTCAGTTCTTGGTGAGTTGCGCTCAAGGCTGCAAAACAACCCCAAAGCGGGTTCCCATTCTCGTTCGACTAATCCCGAACTGTGTAACTAGGCCAACTATTTCGCCATGGCCTGTCTCCAGTACACTACCGTGGGAAGTACCACCATTCTAACCTCGACGAGCGGTATGTCCTACACAAGATGACACCGCGGTGGCAGAAGCGCAGCCATTAATGCTTTCTCACAGGCGTATGGACCCTAATCTTCGGAGCTGTCATTGGCGTCGAGAAATTCACCGTCCGCAAACTCCTCGGCGTAGTCGCATCCTTGATCGGCATTATGCTTATATCCCGCGTCGACCTGTCCTCTTCTCCCGACATTCCGCCCGCCGACGACAGCAGCAGCGGTGGCGGCGGCAGCACCTTTCCCAACAAGACCCCAGCCGAGATCGCCCTGGGCGACGCCATGGCGGGCTTCAGCGCCGTCATGTACGGCGTGTACACCATCGTCCTGAAAAAGCAGGTCGGCGACGAATCGCGCGTCAACATGCAGCTGTTCTTCGGCCTCGTCGGCCTTTTCAACATGTTCCTGCTCTGGCCGGGCTTCATCATCCTGCACGTCACAGGGATCGAGACCTTCGCGATGCCCGACACCAGCCGCGTATGGACCATCATCTGGGTATGCATGCATTTCCCCCTTCCTCATCCCTCCACCCTCCATCTCTTTCCACTAACACATCCCTAATTACCAGACCAACTCCTTCGCCTCCCTCGCCTCCGACATCTGCTGGGCCTACGCCATGCTCCTGACCACGCCCCTCGTCGTGACCGTCGGCCTCAGCCTCACCATCCCGCTCTCCCTCGTCGGCCAGATCATTCTTCAAGGCCACTACGCCAGCGGCCTGTACTGGGTCGGGGCTGCCATCGTCTTCCTATCCTTCTTGATCGTGAACCACGAGAGTCAGGAGGGAGTGGCGCAGGAGGAGGAGCGTCCATCTGGTGCTGGTTATGATGCTATTCCTAGTGAGGATGGAGGGGGGAGGTAGGTGGTTCGTTGTAAGATCTGACGGCCGACGGGGTAAGGTATATAGAATCCCTGATATGTAGAAGGGCAGGGTGGTTGGGCGGGCTACCTAGCTAGATTACTTCAGAGGTTATCGCTACCTAGGAAGAACTACTAAGTAGGTGTTTAGAGCCTATGTGTTCCATTGCTAGGGGGTAGCGTTTCGGTAGTTTTATAGTTTTATATATCCGTCTGGTATCTTTACATGTAGAGAATAAAAGAAAGAACATTGACTCTACAGCTCAAGTTTAGGTATTAACATATCAAAAATTACAATTAAACGGTCTGATTCACAATATAACCTAGAAGTAGGTAGACATAGTAGGTAGTACATGATATTACATAAATGCATAGAATAAGTAGGTAGAAGGGGACATATTGATATTACACGTGGATCCGAAAATCAAAAGGACCAATGATTCACATAAGACAGAGGGAAGGCCTTGTCTGTCCATGTCTGACAAATTAGAGGATCGAATTAAAACATTAGAAAAGTCCAACATCATCAACGTTAGTCGCTGGCATGGGAGAAGATAGACAGAACGAAAAGAATACAGTTCAGAGCCGGGTGATTCGAATCGAAAGCTCCGGAATATGAAGTGTGGAGAAAGAAAGGGGAGAAGTCAATATCGTCAAGAATTGTGGGTATGTATATCATAAGCCAAAGAGAATAATGGGTCACAGAATGAGAAAGGAATAGTAGCTAAGAGAGCGATGGAATGATAGACGGTCAAGATGCCATGAAGGAAAAGGATCTTGAGAAGTATGTATAGTGGGAAGTATAAAAGAGAGGTCAAGAGAATGGGCAAGAAGGTTTATTGGTGGACTCTTGAGATGTGATGGTTGGTTGTACAAGGCGCTTCTTACGCGGCGACAGCGATGGGACCGGTAGCTGGCAGGGGCTCTCGCTTCTTGCGGGCCACAAGGATGCTCTTGAGACACCCGAGCCACTTTGCGAGGGATTCTTCGTCCGGAGTGCAGAGACGGAAGGACTTCTCTTCCGCGATGACCTGGAGGCAGTAGTGTTTGGAGCGGGACATGGGATCGACCTCGGCGGCGTCAATCACCTGCGACATTGGCAGGATCTTCACAGCCGAATATTCCTAGAAGCGACAAGTCAGTCACCTGGCTGATCTGAAACATCGAATGAAATGGCACATACCTGCTCGTCCTTATAGAAGCCAAGACTTTTCGGACGGAGAACAACCCACAGCCGTTTCCATTGGCGCACCGCGCCTTTGATTCTCAGGCACTGCAGGTAGCCATTGCAGATTACCCTCTCGGGGTCGCGCAGAATCCCCGCTTCGCTGTGTCGGCCCAGGTCATTCGACATGGGCGACTGGCCGGCAGGAGCAGAGGCAGACAGAGTCTGGACCTGAACCGGGGTTCGCGGTCTCGGGTTGATACTCGAATTGCTCGTCGGTCCGTCCGACCACTCGGAGTACGAGGTGATGTCGTTTCCGGGCTGGTCGAGGTGGTTGTCAAGGCGCTTAGATCGGTAGCTCGAAGAAAGCGCCCGTCCCAGTTCGGGGGAGCTTGCTCGGCCCATCATCTCAAGGTCCGAATGATCGGTGGTGTCGTCAACGCGCTGCCGAGGGACCGCCACGGCATTTCCTTGCTGCGACAAGGCCAGGAAAGCCTCGTCATCTTCGTCCGCGCGAGTTTCGGCGCGGATGCGCTGGATCCAAACGTCGGTCTCTTTATCGGACGAGGTCTGGAAGCGATAGTTCTTCGAAGGGGAGAAGATGCCGAAGACGTGCTGCCGGCTGGATCGGGCAGATCGGACGGGCGCGACCGCCGTCACCTCGGATAGGGTGATGGAGGCCCGGAGCCGAGTCGCTTCTTCGTCTTTGTATACGGACAGGAGGTTCGGGCGGAGAACGAGGTAGGCGGGTTTCCAAGAGGCTCTAAATGCCTGAGAGAAGGGGTTAGCCACGAGGAAGGCGCATTTCCATCGCGATCTGGGCGAACTCACATGCTTGTGCTTGACCCGGCGGTTCACTCGACCCGTCTTCAGCACGCGGTCAAACTCGAAGCTCCCATTTTCGTTGACGGGCGAGAAAGTATCTAGATTCACATGGCCGCTGCGATAGGTCGCGGGTGGAGCAGGGGGGAGGTGGGCGCTCTGTTGGACAGTGCCGTCGGGCAGTTGGATTGCCGGGGCTTTGGCGATCTCCGACATTGATGGGCACGAGGACGACAGCGGCTGGGCCATCGAGTCGCACAGCTTCTGTCGGGCTCGTAGAAGAGAGATGAATAGCGAACAATCAAGGCGAGAAAGACCTGCGCGATGCAGAAAATAGGCGTTGGTAGACTCCTGACCGCACCGCGCAAACACACATCGGGACAAGCTCAACGACCGGGCAGACGAGGACGAGGACGAGGACGACGATGAGAATGGACGTCAAGAAACACGCAACAGTAATCAGAAAGGCAGAAGGATTTCGGACGTGTATTTGGCTGACTGCTAGGTAACTACCTAGGGAGCTTGAAGCCGCGGTGGGAAGATGAAGTAAGAAAGGTGCCAAGGAGTGAACGAGGTATGACGGCGAGAGGGAAAAAAAAAAAAAGAATTGGGGAAGGAAGGAAGAAAAGGCCGAGAACGTGAAGCAGAACGGAGGCCGATCCACCGTCTCGACTCTTTTTTTATTTTGCTCCTGTCACAGAGACAAGTCGCCTGATCGGGACGATTGGTTTGAGATGATTTCAGAACGAGATGATTTCACCACTCGCGAGTGTCGCAGGAGTTCCCCCCTTCTTGTCTCTGCGCTTCCCCCTCTTCTCTCCTCGAATCCCCTTCTGGGAATCGGGTCATTTCCCACGGCGCATGGACGTTGTTTCAAGGAGATCATCCATCCCTTTTTATTTTAGTCTGGTTTCCTTTCCTGTCCCCCGAGAATGACGATCCCCTCCCAGGCGTTGCAGCCCTCTGTCGACGCCGTCCCAATTCCACGTGGGACGTTTGAAACTGGAATGCCAGGAGCAACGTGCAGAAACTGTCTTACAGCTGTTCACATGAGCTCTCTTCTCCAAGACTCTCACGAAAGGCTTGATCCAGGGTCTCGTCGCGGTTCTTCACGGCCGAGTCAACCGTCCCCACCGCCGGGGCCCAGGCTAGGGATGCTAAGGATACTAAACGGGGCTAAAGGATGCTAAGGACAATTGCTCTCGACTCGTCGCTCTCGCCCATCCCCGAAAATGGAAAATTTCAGCACTGACTTCGCCCTTTCTAGAAGGGCGGGCGACCGGTCCGCTCTCGTCTCCTATTTCGAAGGCCTTGGCTTCAGGCCTGTCATGAAGGTTGTAGGAGATCTCGGCAGATATAGATCCTCTTGGCCAGCCTTACTCGGTCATCGAGTCTTGCGTGAATGATTTTGAATCGAGCTTGGTCCGAAGTTGAATAGAGGGCATACTATGATACTACGTAGATTGACATCGACTCCAGTGTATCCCAGATCACCGGTGCGCGATGCTGGGAATAGCTTCAGCTTGGCAAAGCAAAACAACGGCCATGCCTGACATCGTCTGCCGGTGAATACGGAGGATTGTTGGAGCGGAGGGGAAGGTCTTTACCTAAGTCGACCCCTACATGCAGGTTTCGCGTACCTACATATTGGAGTCTTGGGACCCCTTCTGCATAAGCCTCGTTGTGCAGTCCATGGATCGGACTATTCGATAATAACAAAAAGCAAAAGGCCACCTCGACACATCCGCCGCGTCACGTGGGGAAGCACGTTATTGCCGCCTGATACCGTGTATTACACCGGAATCTAGTCGGGCCGACTGCTTGCCCCCGTTCTAGCGTATATTAACGTTACTCCAGAGTAAGATTACTGAGATTAGGTAACTGCCTACGTACGTTGTCTCAGATGTCTTGGAATACCTACAGTAGGGTAGGGTAAGGTAGGGTAGGTACTAGGTACTAGAAAGGTGTTCGAAGCTGTCAGGAGTGACTACCGATTGGTGATTCCCTTTGTTATCACGCATCACGTTGGCAGGCTGCATGGATTAACCATCCACACCCATGTCGCTACCGATCCATATCAGAGCCTGCCCACACTTTGCCATGACCCTTATCTTCCTTGGTAAACAAGAACCGACAACCGTTGGGGCCGACGTTGTTTGCTATTGGGAAGGGCTGTACTGGGCTGTATTGGGGTCTAGTAACCAATTTACCAGAAGGCGGTTGGGACGGTTAACAGCGCCCTACGGAGTACACAACTGGGCAGGGGAAAAAAAAAAATAAATCAAAAAAGCCGACCCGTAAATAGAAATACCCCATATCCTTTATTTATTTGATCTCTCTGCCCTTAACTGCTTGGAGGGATTGACCCGCAGATCATGAACCGAAAGACTTGCAGGGTCGAGCCGCGTCTTCGGCGGCCGGATAAATCGATGGCGTTGCTCGATTTGGCGCCTGAGGACGTGGCCTGCAGACGGTTCTACAGTAATTAATGAATCCAGAAGGGACCGACTCTGGGTGGAAGTAATCTCGCAGACTGTATGAGGTATTCTAGATTTTAGGGAATTACTATGGAAGATTGAAAATATTGAAATTATCTAGAACATCTAGAATATCTAGAACCATCCACCCCGTACTATAGTACTGTAGAGCCTGGCAATACCGGGCAATACCGTACCGGCGATAGATTACAGCCGTCTCTCCCGGACGGCCGTAACGATACCGTCCGCTTGCGCCTCCCTGGCCTTGGCGAGACTTCCACTCATCCCCATCCCAAAATCATCCCGTCGAGCCTTCATCTCCGTCGATTGCCTCCCGCAATTCTCGACTGCCAGTGCCGTGATTGATGATCTCGTCCCGTGCCCCCCGTGTTTACGGCCCCGTTGCTTTGGACCCGAGTCCCCTGCGTTGCTCTCAACGCTTCTTCAACTGATCTTCCCTCTCAACCCCGACTGAGAGCGAAGAAAAAAAAGATAAAAAAATACCGGTTGGAGAGAGACTGAGAGAAAGGAGGCTTTCCCTCCGGACACTCGTTTACTTTACTCGTCTTTAATTCTTCTCGTGTCTCGTCCTTCCCTGGACGGTCCTCTTCCATTTCTTCTTTTTCCCTTCCATTCTAATTGTCGATTATTCTTATCTCGGTTGCCCTTATTGGAAGCATCCCGTGGCTGGATTCAGGACGGCGATCTCGTTTTCCATCATTGCTCGCGTGCCCACACCGTTGACCCAGTTTTCCTTTAATTGTCCTCTCGACTTAATCGCGCCTTGACCGAGGCCCTCGCATCTTCTGGGAGCCTTCCCTCAGCGCGTCGGCCGCATCTTGACCCCGGTGTCCCACCCAATCCCCTTGGGACAACCACACCCTGGATACTCGCACAATGGGCTTGAAGCAGCGACTTTCGAAATGGCTACCCTCCTCGCCGAGCCTACCTCTAGATGACTCGTCGCGCGAAAAGGGTCGCAACGTCTCCAGATTCGCCTTTTTCAAGCGGAGGATACGGCTGAAGGGCAACTCGTCGATTTCGATACCCCTAGGATTCGTGCTCCTCTTCCCATGTCTCGTGATAGTTCTTGTCTTGCTTCTCTTCGTCCGGCACCCGGCGTCCCCTGGGGGAATCCTCATTCCTGCCGGCACGCCCCCATCGATAAGGTTGGTTGAGCCCCTGAATTCTAGACTTCATCGTCGTCCCTCGCTCTTCCTTTGCTGACCCAACCACCTCCCCACCACAGGAAAATCAGCGAAAAGTACGATAAGGTCTTCGCGACGGGATGCCGTCAAGTTGAGAAAGAGGTGGAAGGCAAGCGAGCCAACGCCGCATTCGTCGTTCTGGCTAGAAACAAGGAGATCGACGGCGTGGTCCAGTCGCTCAAATCCATCGAGAGGCATTTCAACCGATGGTTCCACTACCCTTACGTGTTCCTGAACGACGGTGATTTTGACGACGACTTCAAGAACGCCGTGAAGAACTATACCAGTGCTCCCGTGGAATTTGGAAAGATCGATGACAGCATGTGGGGGTATCCCAAGTGGGCCAACGAAGAGGTGGCCAAAGAAGGTATCAGAAAACAGGGTGACGCTGCCATCATGTACGGAGGAATGGAGAGCTACCACCACATGTGTCGATTCTATTCCGGGTGAGTATCACCGATCCGCTAAACACGCCCACGGCCGCTAATATTCCCCAACAGGCACTTCTACAAGCACCCCCTTCTGATGAAATACGAGTGGTACTGGCGTCTGGAGCCCGAGATCAAGTATTTCTGTGATATCACCTAGTAAGAACAAGCCCCTCCCTCTTCCTCTCGCCACCCAAACGGCGGTTTTGCTAACATTCCTCCCAGCGATCCCTTCGTTAAGATGGCCGAGGCCAATAAAACCTACGGGTTCACCATTGCCGTCAAAGAGCTCCGCGAGACCGTCCCCAACATCTTCCGATATGCGTCTGCTTATAAGCGAAAGAACAACCTGAAATCAAAGGGCCTGTGGGAGATGTTCCTCGAAAGGGACCCCGAGGAAGAGCCCAAGCCTGAGGAGGAGAAGCAAGACAAGCTCCCCGAGGAAATTTTGCAGAACGAACCCGGCGAGAACACCGTTCCCGACGTCGACCCGGAGGCCATGGAGGGCGAGAAATATAACATGTGTCATTTCTGGAGTAACTTTGAAATTGCACGCCTGGATTGGTTCCGCAGCAAGGAATATGAGGAATTCTTCGAGATGATGGACCGAAGTGGGGGATTCTGGACCGAACGAGTACGTGCCCGTTATTCCCACGCCTTTCATGGATCGATTTTGGCTAACAACTTCATCGTAGTGGGGTGATGCGCCGATTCACTCACTTGCCGCAGGTGCCCTCCTGTCGCCCTCCGATATCCACTACTTCCGTGACTTTGGCTACCGCCACACCACCATTCAACACTGTCCCGCCAACGCTCCTGCCCGTCAGCTGCCCCGAATTCCCTGGCTTGAAATGACCACGCAAGACGAGAAGGAGCGGTTCGAAGAGGACGAGTACTGGGCGAACGCCGACCCGGTGAAGGAGAACGGTGTCGGCTGCAGATGTAGATGCGATACGGATATTGTGGATGTCGAGGGCAAGCAAGGCAGCTGTCTCGCCGAGTGGGTGGAAGTTGCGGGAGGCTGGGCGTCGCCCTAGACCTGAGGCAACCTTTCTTGCTTGTTCGCTGTATAACTTTCGCCTCATTCACGTACCCATCTGTTCGACTATGAGCATTACTCGGGTCGCCCTTGGAGTTATTTGCTTGCGCCTGCATATTATGTTGGGCCGTGGGGTTCTGGACGGCGTTTTACGGATCTGACGGCTTATATCGAAGACGGTGTGACCATTCTCATAAATATTGACAAATTCATCTAGCGTGCTTTGTGTGTTTTATTTGGATTGTCGCGTTTCTCTCCAGAACATATCCATTATCTCGAAGGGGGGGAGGAAGAACCCATTGTTCGGCCATGAAGCGATTGCGAAGGAGTGCCAACCTGAGAGTCTCTGCGCACCATCCGGTCCTATATTCCCACCGATTGGGACCTTTCGGGAATACCGAATCAATCTTGTCTATCGCCATTTGCTGCGGACGAGTGTTTCTAGTCCACCGTGGATCCTCCCAACACCCCAGGGCGCCCAACCCTCTTCTATGGTCCCCGCCCCTTCGATTTTCAGAACATAGTCTGGTGATGATTTACGGTTTCTGTGATTCTCAAAGGCCATAATTTGGACCGAGGTGGATGGATTTACAGTGGCAGGATACACGACCTTGGTTCGCTTGGCCCGACGACAATTGTTACTATAATTCTTTCTGCCTCTGTTTTCTCCCCTGATTTCACCTTTTCCTCCCATCCTCGATCTTGCGCGAAATGTTTTTTGTCATAACTGTCTTGCTTGTCCTACTTCCACTTCTACCCCTCTTCTTTTTTTATTTCCCTTTATTATCCCTTAAATCATCATGTCATGAAATGTACATATCCATTCTCCTTTTTTGCAGTTCTCGTGAATCAGGGTCTTTTGTTTTTCCCCATACCCTATTCAACACATAACCCTATCAATTCCAAGCCACCGGTCCAGAAATGATTGTTTATAGAGTATGAAATAATTTGACTCTTGTGAAGAACTGTACGGTGGAGGGGCATCCGCCTTATCATCTTGTATGTTTATCCTCATCCAATGGACCCACGAGAGGGATGGGCTCTTCTGGAACGCTGCATGCGATCAACGGAAAGCCTCGCAAGGAGGTCTGCATCTTGCAGATATCTATAGAGGTGCGGGATGCATGGTAAGAGGCTCGTTGATTTTCTTCTCTTCCAAATGCACTGACGATGAGATGGGTGACGACAATGCCCGCCTGCTTAAGTAATATACAACACATTTAGAACCAGTTTGTATAATTGGTTCATACCGCTTAATACACAGACCAACCACCCCTGTGGATCTCTTTGAAACATTCCAAAGGGCATGGGGGGCAAGTGGCCGGGGTAGACCCTGGAGAGAGACGAGCAGATCATACATCCAAGACCGGGGAAGTATAGAAGACCCACCAGGATCTCCGGAGTCCCACTGCTGGTCTTGATGGCAGGAACTAAGCTTCGAGTCGACGAGTATCCCACGGCGGGATTTCGCTGCGCAGGTACTTCCAGATAACATCAGTGTAGTACTTCGCCGGATGACTCGTGCTCCGTCCGGTCGCGTCAGGTGCCCCGCGTTGCGCAGGCAGTGACGCTTCCCTGACCATCTTCTTCTTCCCTCCGTCTCGCTCCGTCTCTCCCTCTCTCCCCATCTCTTTTATCGCTCTGATCGACTCGGCTTATCCCTTGGCCTCTCTGGCATATCGATCTCTACCCCTCCTCCTTTCCCTGCATCAACCTTCCTTCCCTCCTTCCCCTCTGCACCGGGATTCCAACGACACTCCGTAACCCCCCACGGTGCTGGCGGTTGTCTCCATGGGAGCAGAAATATTCCTGACAGTTGTATTCGGTCATTGCCGATCCACCTGCACCTGACTTTTGACATTCTTCCGCCCGGCGCCGTTCTTCCTCTCCCCACACGCCGTCCGCCTCGTCATCGGGCACCCGCCTATTAGGCTGAGCTCATCGAAGGAAGCCTACCACCAGAGCGAAAGAACAGAACTATCCAGCTTCCTCTGCGCAGTTAACGTATCCTCCCGTTGATCCTCCGTTCTATTATATATTGATTTGATCGCTTTCTTCCCGATTCTCGGTCGAAGATCCGTTCGCTCGGCATCATCGGGCTGGATCTACATTCCCCTCATTTTGCGCTCCCATGACACTTACACTGCGTCAACATGGCTGACTCTCAAGAGCCTTCCTTCAGGCGCCCGGCTACTGCTTCCAACGCTTCCCATCTACGCTACCCTACTCTACCACCCCTGAGCGGTTCTGTCGAAGAGTGGCTTTCTCGCTCGCGGCCGATCGCCATGACGTCAACCCCTCCGCCAGAACAGCCTTCTAAATCGCTGAGCGAGAGTTGGGCAACTCTGAGTGCGTCCGATATCCACTCGGAGGACGGTGCTCGGTCTGAACTCACCGATGCTGGATCCTTGATCGATCAGCCCGGTCCCGACGACGTAGCCAGCCTCGATGAACGGTACAGCTGCAGCGAGACCGACGGAAACGACGAAGAACCATTCGACGGCGACGGCTATGACTCCAACAGTAACGTCTCCGACTCGCAGGAACTGCCCTCCCTCTTTTCCCAGCTTCGGGGCTCTATCGACGATAGCAATATCACGGCGAAGACCGCCTTTCGTCCACCAGTCGAGTCCATTGAATTCACTGAGCCCGAAGAATGGCCTGCCGCCGAACGGGTGGAACTGAAACAAAGGATCCGCACTTTGGAGGACTTTGAAGCTGCAGAGCTGCAGCGACAGCTCCCCTTCAGTTTTGAAGACTCAACTCTGATGGCCACCGCCCAGCAGACGATGACCAAGAGAAGCCTCGATACCGACAAACCATTCCGTGTGCTGTATGTCGGTAGTCCCGACTTTCGAAACATCATTCTGGACAAAATCGGTGACGTTCTCGTATCGAGTACTTGCAGCGGCTTTGAGAGCAGCTCCACAGAGTCTTCTAGATACCATGTTGTGCCGACGTCCTATGGCGTAGGAGCCGTCCCCAATTTTGCGGAGCTGCTTCCGATTCACGTCCAGCTTATCGTTGATGAGTGTCTCGAGGCTTCTTCGGACAGCCATGAAAGTTTCGGTGCAATCGTCTTGAACTTTAAGAACAGGCCGGCCAGCACGTCCACATGGACGGGGAGGGAGTATTCCATCTCGTCCCGCTCCGAATGGACACTACCCGATGTAGCCATTATCTTCGTGTCCAACGCAGACACCCCCGCGACTACGGAGGCACAGAGATTGGCTCGCATCGCCATGGAAAGACATGACATCCCAACTATGATCATTTCGGAGCGGCCACTCTGGAAAATGACCAAAGAGCCGATTCCACTGAACCACAATAGTCTTCACATGTGCCTGGAATCCCGCCACAAGCCAACCGGAAAGATGGCCGTGGTGAGACGGTACCCGATTGATCTGAAGACTTTTGAAAGCGTTACTCCTAGTCAACTGAACCGCAACCTGGCCTCCCTAGCGAGCAACAACCCTAAGCAAATCTGCAAAATCACAGCAAGGGAACCTCAACCGGCTCAGAGCACGTTGTTTCTCGAGTCCAAAAAGTACGCAATGCGCTTTTCTCCTCTTGCCTACTTGGGCGACAAGTATGGGTCGGCGCTGCCATTGTGTCTACTGGGTTTGACTTTCTTGTCTGCCATGATTATCGGCTTCTCTCCCTCCGCTATATCCAACAACCTTGAAAGATCTGGCTTGAGCACAGTTCCCCCCACTAGCGTTATGCCGGTAGATGATCAGAGACGAACATCGCTCTCGGTCTCGGTCATGTCTTCGACCTTTGGAATGGCTCAGATTTCAGGATCCCAGTCGCATGGACCAGGACGACTAGAAGACCTGCTTGGAGAGATGGGGCTCTCTTCGGAGCAGCGGGAGAGATCCGATGGCTTTGAAATCCAGGTAGTTGGCGACTGCCACTTGGTAATCAAGCCCCCGCGGAAGACCCCCACCAGCAAAAAGCAGCCTAAGTTCGGGGTGCAGGTCAGTCGGCGGGAAAAGATCCTGACTTACGAACTTTCCAAGTTATTCGAAGATGTATACAGCCTCAAGTTGGATCGGGGCGACGCATACGGGATAGTGAACGTCACCATAACCACTCAATCCAAAGCCCCTGTTAACGAGACGATAACGGTAGATCTGGGCACGCCATGGCTGAAGATTGCGAACTGGAAACGAGCCGCCCAGGTCATCACTTCGCAGCTGATGAGGGACTTTAGCACCGCGCATAACGGATTTTCCGAGGCATATGGCCGGCTCTTCACTGACTTGCAGGTACTGATGGGGGACGTGGTGAAAAGAGCCCATGTCTTGCGTCGAGAAGCTGATGAGTTGCGGCGTGACTCGTTGGGGCTTTCAATTGAAACTCGTGATGTGGTTCTGGGCCGGTCCAAGCAGTTGTCCGAGGCCATCAAACGCAACGCCGTTCAGCCCTTCCTGGCCGCATCGTCGGTATTGCAAGACCATACCAACAAGGTCAACCGAGAAGCTAAAGAGATCATGAGCGACACGTGGAAGAGGATCAGTACGCGCGCCCATGGCCTTGACACGGTGGCATGGAAGGATCATGTGCGAAATGCGAGGAAGTGCCAGGCTTTGGACAGAGCACAGAAGAAAGCAAAGGGTCTAATGCACTGGACCCATTTGCCAGCCCGCTGAGGTGCCTTTGGATCTCTGATAGTCATCCAGCTTTTTACGACTAACGCTGTTTTCTCCGGTCTTGAATTTTGCTGTCTCTTAGTCTAGTTTAGTTTATTTCATTTTATTCTACTTCCTTTCTCTCCTCTCTGGCCTGCTGGGTTGGGGTAGTTTATCTTCAGAGAAATGGTTAAACAGTAAAAAGAAAAGGAATAAGAAGAAAGAAAGGGAAATTGAAGAGATGAGTGGGAGACATGCTGGGGAAATCCCGGTGATGGATTCTTCTGCAGACTTTGGGTGGCAGCGGTGCCTCAGGCAAAGAACCTTCCCCCCACCTTCGTAGAACAAAAACATCCGCTCATATTTTCCCACTTCTCTTTCTAGACTCATCTTCCCCCCATCGATTATCCCACCCCTTTTCTTCGGGTATTCAGGTACACTCCCCCGGGTTCCCTCCTAAATCCCCTGGAATTTCCTTGGTCTCTTACAAATCGTCTTGTGATTTTTAGATCTCCATCGCATCTTATCACCATGTCCGACGTCGCTGAGCCCAAGCCTGACCCCGCCACCGGCGCTCCTGAGGCCGAAAAGCCCCAGGAGACCACCCCCGCCACTACCGAGGCCACCAAGACGGAGGAGGAGAAGCCTGCCACCGAGTCTGCTGTCGATGCAGCTAAGGAGGCCACCACCAAGACCACCGACAGCGTGTTCTCCATGTTCGGCGGCGGTCCCAAGAAGGAGAAGAAGGAGGAGCCCGAGGACGATAAGAACGAGCCCTCCGGCTCTTCCAAGGCCCAGAAGAAGGCTGAAGAGGATGTGAGTGCTGGATTTATTCTTTCTTCGTTGATTTTCTCACGTCTCTGGGTTTTGCGCCCTCTTTTCCTCGCGAGAAGTGAGACGTCTGAACACTTCTTGTTCTTCCTGCTCTTTTCCCCCATTTTCTTTTCTTTTCTTTTCTCTGCTTATTCTGCGGGCATTCTGGGGTCCAAGAAGTAGATGCAAATGCGTTATATCTATTCCTATTGAGCCTTTTACTAACGTGTTCATCTAATAGGACGAGGCCCCCGAGTCCCCTGAAGTTCACTTCGAGCCCGTCATCCGCTTGACCGAGAAGGTGGAAACCAAGACCAACGAAGAACTCGAGGAGCAGATGTTCAAGATGCGTGCTAAGCTCTTCCGATTCGACCGCGACGCCAAGGAGTGGAAGGAGCGTGGTACCGGAGATGTTAGACTGCTCAAGCACAAGGAGAACCAGAAGACTCGTCTGGTCATGCGCCGCGACAAGACCCTCAAGGTCTGCGCTAACCACTACAGTATGTCTTATCTTGAGCGCCCTTGTCCTCGGGGGCTTGTTCATAATATACCGGATGCTAACGAGATTCCAGTTGTTCCCGACATGGAGCTGAAGGCCAACGTTGGCAGTGACCGCAGCTGGGTTTGGAACGCCACTGCCGATGTCAGCGAGGGTGAGACGGAACCCCAGACCTTTGCCATCCGTTTCGCCAACAGCGAGAGTGAGTTATCACCTGCCCTAGAATGGCGCTCGAAGATCGCATGGCTAACTCGCGTTTAGACGCCAACCTGTTCAAGGAAGCTTTCGAGAAGGCCCAGCAGGAGAACGAAAAGATCCTTTCCCAGCAGTAAATTAGTGCGGTTGCGAAACAATAAGGATCATTCTCCGTTGGAGATCCCATATTTGGTCATCTTTCTGATTCCCTCGCGCTCCAGCGGTCTCTCTCATGACCGTTCACGAAGACTTTATCCCCCAATACACCATACCAGAATTCCCCTTTTTCTCGACACACATTGCCCCATCGAATCCTCCTTCTTTCTTAAACCCCCTTTACCCTGATTAATGAGACCGGCGTGACCCGGCTGTGAACCAGCCTGTGACGCGGGAGCGACGCCGATTTTCTCCCCTGTCGCATCGAGTGTCGTTCCAGGCGCCACCGGCCGTAGATAGATGTCCCGATCCCCAAATATACGTTTTGAAATGCATTATTACTGCCCTGATCTGATGTATTGAGACTTGAAACAATTTAAAATGATAGACTTGCTCTGGGTGTGTTTCTCTGCTGGCTGGTGTTTGTAGGAAGACGCAGCGAACGAGAGTAAAAGCAATCGGAGAACTCCGTGAACAAAATGCAGGAGTCGTGAAAACACTGGGAAATCCGGTGCTTTGGGAGTGGCGGGCAGGAAGCCTCCGGGTTTCGTGAAGTCGGATCGCTTCATCTGCCGCAGAATCCCATCTTCTCTTTCTCCCCCACTCCAGCTTCACTCTCCGCCCGTCACTTCTTTCTAGACACCCTGCAAACTCGCGCTCCCCACCAACATTTACTGCAGTTCTTGCTGGTTCTTCTTCATTTATTTCAGCTTATATACCATCCAAGGTAGCCCCCCCCCACTCGAGCTATTCTGATCGACCCGCCGACCAACATCTAATCTCGCTTTACCCAACGTCGCGTTAACCCAGAGCTTTCTAGTCTACTGTCAATTCCCCCTTATCACCTCACTTAACTCGTCACATTGGCCTAGTGTCTGTTTTCACAATGCCTGACGTAAGTTTTGTGTGCCTGCCCTGGTCTATTGTGCTTTCAACCCTGGCGCTCTGCTGCGTGACGCACGTCTTTCACCCCATGATTTCTCTGCTTTCGCATGTTACTAACGCGATTTCCTTGTTCTCGACATCCAGGTCAAAAGAAATATCAGACTGGTCACAGAACAGCATGTTGTGTATGTTTTGAAACGAGCTGCCCCTGCACACCTTCACGCGCCTTTGTCGACAGCCACCCACCTGCCTACCCTTTCTCCCTCCCTTCGCGACACGCCTTCGTTTTCTTGATGCGGTGGATGTCGCGTGGCATTCTATCGGCTGCGCTATAATAAAGCTTTCCATTTCGGTCGTGTCCACGATGGTTGGATACCGGGTTAGATTTTGCATTTGCTGACGCTTTGCGTCCACAGGAACAAAGACTCTGGCGTTGAAGGGTTCCCTCTTCGAGCGTGGTCGATTGAGATTTACCTGCTCAATGAACACGGTGAGCAGGTGCCTGCAACTGTCTTCGATAAGGTCGTGTATTCGTTGCATCCTAGTTTCGGTGATAGGTATAAGCAGAGTTCGTCTCCCGTCCCTTCCGTCTTTGTCGCTTTTGTTTTCATCTCCCAATTGCGTCCATTTGGCCCTAAGCATATGGGGTTTGCCATCAAACTTGTGAATTGAGGATGAGACGCAAACTACTCTGTGGACTAGGGACTCGTGCTAACGGATAATCCACAACAGCCTTCAAGAACCCTCCTTTCAGGATCGCGGAGGAAGGATGGGGTGAATTTGACATGCAGATCAGCTTGTTCGCTGACAAGGAACATTCCGTGACGCACGATCTCAACTTTGCCCAAACACGCTACGAGTCTAAGCATCCTATTGTGAGTCACCACTCGCCGATACCCCGTTGCTCATATGAACACCTGCTCATCGATTTGATTTTCATAGACGTTCAAAAACCCCAAGCCTGCCTTGCTGGCTGCTCTCCGTGAATCGGGGCCTGTACCGGGAGATGAAAACGGGGTGAAGGCGAAGCGTTCGGCGGGAGCCGATGAAGGGTCCAAGAAGAAGAAGCGGACGGAGAAGAACGTAAGATGCCCCGGATCTGACCGACACAGAAGCACTCCTAATGGTACCGTGCGATGCAGGTCGACATGGATAAGCTGGCCGACGGCCTCCAGAGACTCGGCGAGGACGACCTTCTCCAGGTGGTGCAGATGGTCCACGACAACAAAGCACCAGACTCATATACCAAGAATGACGTTGAGCGTAAGTCCGAAGCCATCCCTCTTTTCATTTGCAGTCCTAACTCATCGATCAGAGGGAGAATTCCACGTCGATCTCTACACCCTACCAGACGCCTTAATCAAAATGCTGTGGGAATTTACGCAAGAAAAGGGAGCTCTGTAAGCGCTGGAAAAGGGGGCCATAAAGCTTGGATATACTCTTGCATCGAACTCCTCTTGATCTATGTTCACGTCCTTTTTTTTTCCCTTATGAAAACGCCGTCTCCATAATACCTTTTTCTTTTCCTCTTCTTCCTCTCTTCCTGTTCTATTTCAAACTCAGACTCTATTCTATCTCCAACATCCTCTCGACCTTCTTCATCGTCATTAATGTTATCTTGTTCCATCCCTCTCCCTCTTCCATCTCTCTCTCTTGATTCCAACTCCCTCCTCGTTCTGTTCTGTTTTGATTCTCTCCACCTCTTTCTTAAGATGTATCCACCCGGATCATCCGGATCTGTGTCTCTACGGTAGTCTTCGGGGCTGTTTCTGTTCAAGTATTCGTACAGGTTCTTTTCTTTTCTGAAAGTCATGCATGCACCGCACTCTTTTTGTTTCTTTATTCTGCAGCTGGAGAAATTAGAAAAGATGTTTTTTTTTTTTTTATCGGCTCTTCGATCATTCGGTTATTGGAAGTTCCGCAAACCCAACTCAAGCCAAGCCAAGCTCAGATCGGATCGGACTGAGTATGTATGTTTAATGCTGGTACTGGGGATGTAGAAGTAGAAGGGGGAGGTGGAGATGGATGGATAGTTAGGGAATGGGTATGTGTATGGGTATGTGTATTACTTCGTGCGTATGTCCAGTCCTAGGTACAGGGTAATATCATGCTTGCTTGGGTTCTATCCTTGATTCTGTGGTGGTCGATTGTTGGTTTAGCTCAACGGGATTATTCGGTCGTGTCATTCTCAGTCGTGTCGTGTTATTTGGTTCAGAGTGCATTGGGCGCGGCTGAAAAGATCGGATGGCACGACAAGTTGCAAGAGTAGATTTCCTTACTTAGATGAATGATTCGAAGCATCCGGTGACTGATGATCTTGGTGAATCATGGGACGATATGGTTGAGGTAGAGATAAATGGTGATGGGATTATGTAGTTACAATCATTCATTCATTATTCATTCATTCATTCAGTGAGTCAGTCGATCAAGAAAGATATAGAAGCGAAAACCCTCATCCTGGCATTCTGAATTATTGATTTAGATATGGGATGAGATTATGAATAGGTGCAGCGGTGGGTTCGTATCATATTTATCAAAACTGAATTGCAGTACATACAATGAACGAGTTGGATATCTCAAGTTCAACCATCAAAAAAATTAGACATAAAGATCCCGATCAGTCAGGAGACGTTCACCAAGACAAGAAGAGCAGACAAGCACAAAAAAACAAAAGAAGGACTGATTGCCAACCCCCAACACCTGTATATCCATTCATATGCACCTAGTAGATCATTCAAAGAGAGACAGGCAGTAAAGTAAAAAAAATTTGACAAACGACAGATTGGGATCTTAAAAATTGTAGTAAGAAGATAAGACAGATCTCGAGCAGTCAATGCTGGAGATGAAACGAAGAGCAGCCCGAGCGCCCGCTGTGCTTCAATCGATGAAACATCCGGTTCCGGTGGGAGGAGTGGTATCGAGGAGTCTGGTAGAGGCTAGTGGATGAGGAATAGGTAGTTCACAAAACTCGATTCCTGCGGTTGGTTCCATGGTAAGCGTGTGAAACACCAAACAATAGCCAAAAGCTTGCGGACCCACAGATAACGGAAAGGGGTTAAAGTTAAAGGGCAGGGAAAGAAGGGTCAGAGGGTCAGAGAGGTGGGATGCTTACATTTTCAGTAGATCCTCCAGAGTGTCGGCGGTGCAGCTCTTTCCACGGGGGATCTGTTGAGGAATCTCCACAATGGTAGCGAAAACATCCCCCCCTTTGTAGGCCAACAGGGCAGGAGCCCGGATATGGTCCATCTCGGCGATTTCGTAATGCAGCTTGATGAAGTGAACGGAGGGTTGGCGGCGAGCAATCGATGCCAAGCAGTCTTCCACTTGAGCGCTGGTTTTGGACTGGAAGAAAAGTTAGCATGCGCAAAACCCCCTTTTCTCTTCCCGTATACCCGAAGACCGGGTAATGATGTCACGTACCTCGGGATCATAGACACACACGACCACTATCGTATCCGACGTCACCTTCTCAATGGCATCCAGATATCCAACCGCGTCGACTGTGTCCACCGAGCCGTACATTTTCCGGCGAGGACTCGCTCGCCGGTGAGGAACCTGGCGCAGCTCCGCCATGCGCGACTCGCGCCACCGGCGAAGGAACCGATCCTCATCTTCTTCGCTGCCAGAGCCATCCGGGGGTGTAGAGTTGTGTAGAAGGGTTGCGTCATCGGTCACAGCCTTGGAGGGGCGCGAGTCGCCGAACAAGGTGCGGCGGAAGGAACCCTTACGGGCACGTTCGAAGGCCTGGGCGTCGGCAATGACACCTTTCGGGCCGGTGTTGGCATCGTAGACCATGTTCGGGACATGGTAGGTACTTGTGCGAGACATGTTGGGATCGTGGTCTTCGTCGTCGGAGTACTGGGGTTGGTCGTTGGCGTCGTCGTCCGAGTCGGGAATGGAGTCACGGTCAGAGTTGTCACGGTCTTCAGGATGGGTGGAGTATCGCTCCCGGCTGTTATGGGCGAGGCGATTGAACTCGTCTTGTGCAGAGGACATGGTGAAAGAAAAGGAAACACGAGGGGGGAGGCGCGCGGGGGTAGGGCGAGCTTTTATAAAAGCCCAACGAAGACAATGAATTGATTAGTTGGTATAATTAGAATCGGGCTGATCTGCGTCAGGCAAAGGGTTTCCTCTTTTTTTTTTCTTGGTTCAATTTGCCAGCGAAGCAAGAGAGAAGGAAGAGAAAAAGAAAAAAAGAAAAAGAAAAAACCAGACTCGTATCAGAGATGACGACTCGCGGGGCCAAGTGGTTTCAGATGCTTTTTTAGTTTTCCCCTGAGAAGCGTCGATGGTGGACTCGAAGGCGAGAACTAATCCAGTGAAGGTGAGTGGTACGGAGACGATCGTCTTCCGGGGCTGAAAGTGGCGGGAGATGAAACAATCGACCCGGAGGGAGGACAAGGTGAAGCGAAAGCGAGGACGATCGAGGAGCCGGGAGGGAAGAAAAACCGTGGAAAGCGGACGGGGTCTCCGAGGGGCAGCAGAAGGATCATCATCCCTTCGACGGATCCTTCTCAAGTCGCCTTCCTCCCCCTTTTCGTCCTAAACGGAAGTTGTTTTAGAAAGTGGAGGCCGTCTCAGCCACTCCGAGTGGGGTGGAAGACACGAAGAATCTTCCATGGTCCTCCCTGGCAATCGGAGCCATCATAAAACAGGGCTGTTGGGCATTCTCGATGGAAGGCAAGACCTTCTGAAACCGCGAAGATCCACGGTTGAGAAGTGGATATCTCGGTCGTGGCGCCGAAGGAAAAGAAGTAGATGAAGAAGATGATGATGATGAAGAAGAACGCGGGCCAAAGCAACGACGTCAAACCACCAACCGACCGATGCGGATGCCACGTGCCAAAGACCCGGCACTTTTTCCTCTGCCGGTTCTTCTCGTTGCCTTGTAGCCTCGTCTCTTCGGTTTCCCTCGTCCAACGTTCTTGGCTAGTACGAATATGCAGCAGCTACGTCTCATCCTGCAGGCAGAGTCATCTCGTCACCTTCATCAATCATCCCTCGACAGATACCGCCAAAGATTGATCGATCGAGGTCGAGTCGTCTCTCCGCACGACCACAATAGACCTGTTTCATGCCATCTTCTTCGCCAATGGCATTGTGCGCCGGTTTGCCGATCCCCGAGTCCAATACGAGGAGTCAAAGATGACAGGTATGGTGTAATGTGTATAAGTGGAGATGTGAACTCCAATTCGCCCTCCCCGTTAGAGTTCGGACACTGTCCCATCCCAGATCCTTCACGGGATAAAAGAGTAGAAACGCAGAGAACGGTGGAGCACGCCGTCAAGGTCGGCGCATTCGATCCACCCGAATGGGCATGGAAGGATGCATCGATTGTTGGGGCTGATCCTCCGAGCCTGGCGGTCTATAAATAATCATTAGGCCGTCGGTCAGTTGGGCTGTCAACAAGTCAGCATGATCATGGATCGCTCTCACTCGACAATTCCTCGAGCTAAAGGAACGGACGTCGATTCCCCCACCCACATGTTGAGGCCAACTGCCGTGCAGCTCGTCGAAGGGGCCGTGTCATATCTGACTGACATCCTGGGGTGCCCGGTCATGCGAGCAATTCCTCACCGGTCGTTTCACCTATTTCTCACCCAGTCGGGCAGAAGTTGCCATATCCCGGGGGACAAGGGACTTGTAGACTACTGCAAGTTAGATTCAGTCACAGGATGCTTCGTGAAACTACTACTAATGACACATATATCACTTTCAAGACAAGTAAGTTGATTGATTAGTTGGGAAAGAAAAAGAAATCACAAATCGTCATGGCCTATCCGGAAACATTCCCTCCCTTCCCATCGGCAATAGAAATAAACAAAAGAGATCGAGAAAACAATTGGAAATCAATGCATCAAAAAAGGCTTTCAAAAACAAATCAATGATGATAATAGAAGGGAGATAGAAAAAAGAAAATGAATAAAAAAAGGATGAGAAAGAAAAAAACGCTCCATTTCTTGGAGGTGGGGGGAAATAAAATTAGGGAAGAGAAGAATTGACATGAAGGTAAAGGGGCAAGATGAGAAAATGGGACAACAAAAGAAAAGAAAATTGTATCTTGAAGCTCACAAAGATGGAGCATGAGATGCATCCAAATAACCACCTTGACTCCATGGCTGGTTCGACACTGCATCCATAACAACTTGCCACAGAATCACTGCGCTCAATCATTGAAGATCGTCGCTGTCTTGTCGTCTTAATCGCTTGATCCTTCTTTTGGGTTTTCTTTTCTTTTTTTCGTTTGGGTAAATATTCTGACTCTGCACATCCGCTCGGAGTTGTGATGGAGTCTGAAATCAGTGGTCGGGACTGATTTCAGCTCCGGGTTCATGATTCGGTAGTGAATGACTTCGCCCGCGGTTCCGAGATAGTACATATTATGGAAGATAAGGCGACCAACTGCTCCTCGGTAAATAAGATTATCGTACAATGGTGGACATTCGACATATTGGTGAAAGAAAATGGAAGAAACTCTCGATGAGGACATCGCAAAAGACAGGGACAGGGTATCTTTGCTTTTTTTTTTCGGGGTTTTCGCGGGTTTACCAGGCCCAGACCTTGAGCTGTATGACGGGTTATGGATTAGTAGGCTGCATGGCAATATTAAATGGTCGGGCATAGAACTCACCAGAGAATCCCAAGATCCGGTACACAGACTGATGCCATCATTGCTGACTCCCAAGCAGCTTACACGGTTCTCGTGGCCACTGAGGGCGCCGACCTTGTCGCCTCGGAGAACGTCCCATACCTGATATCACGTTAGCCGTTAGAACTGGGCATTGCGGGACTCGGGCCACAGGAAAGGCACATGAGAGAGGGACAAGACATACCTTGCACTCGAAGTCATCGTAACCCGCAAAGAGCAATCTTCCGGAAACCGAGAAGGCAACAGATGTGATACCGCACATTATTTGCTCGTTCTGAAAAAAAAAAAAAAGTCAGTTTCCGCTCCCACAAGCACAAGCGGTTCGTGGGCTTACCTGGTAGATGTTGAGCTCGCGGTCGGCGCGAATGTCGAACAGACGGCAGGAGGTGTCGTCGGAGCCCGTGCCAAAAGCATTTCCGTCGGGGAAGAATTGGATGGCGTTGATGTCTGACTCGTGGCCGGCGAACGTCTGGACGGCCTTTCCGGTACGGATATCCCACAATTTGGCGAACGCGTCGCAGGCGCCGGAGACGAAGATGTTTTGGTTGGTCGGGTTGATGCTGATGGACATGACGTCGCCCAGGTGATCCGCAAATTCAGTTACTTTCGAGCCCGATTCAATATCCCACAGCATACAGGTCATATCTCCCGACGAGGTAATGATGCGACGATCGTTGATAAAGCGACAGCACGATAGATAGCCGGAGTGGCCGGAAAGTTCGCGCGCGACCCGGGTGGGACCCTCGTTGGCGGAGACGTTGTAAATCGAACAGATGTTATCCAAACCACCACAAGCGACGAAGTTTCCACTGGGGGAGTAAGCACAGGTCATGACCCAGGACGACCGGAGCGGGATCGCATGGATTTTGTTGGTGGTGTAGGCGTCCCAGATGATGAGCTTTCCGTCTTGCGAGGCAGAGACGAGATGGCGACGGTCGGTTGCCCAGTGCATGGCGTAGATCTTGGCCAGATGTCCCTTGAGCGTGCGTCGGGGCTTCATTGCGATCCGAGGCAGGGTATCCGTTTGGCTCTGCGCGACCTGACGAACTGTTGGGGACGAGGGTTAGCCAGTGCGGACGGGTCAATGGGGCGACCCGCGAGGGCGCAATCGACGCCATCCACGGGCGTCGAGGATGTCCGCGGAAGGGGATAGGGGCTGCATACGAGTGGTATCGGCCAACTCATCCTTTCTGCGCTTGATCTTGTCCTTCAGACCTTCGGCCTCTCGCCTGGCCGCGGTGATCTTGGCCTGCATCTGCTCGCCGCTCATATCGGCTGCCATCTTAAGTCGAGCCCCTGGAGGAGGATTGTTGACAAATTGGGAGAACACGGACGGGGCCGTTTGAGAAGGGGGGGAGGAGGAGAGAGGGAGAGAGAAAGAGAGAGAGGAAGGGAGGAGGTTGGGAAGAAGATCGAGTCGGCGTCGTAATTATCCAGGGAACGAGGAAGGCCGGAAGAGGGGGGTGGACGCGGGAGGGCGGTGGGTGAGGAAGAAGGGAAGGGGAGAAGGGAAAGAGAGCGAGGGCGAAGAGAGAGGGAGAGAGAGAGAGAGAGAGGAAGAAGAACGAGGAGGGGGTTGATTGGGTGTGGAGCGAGCACGGCGGAAGCGACCGAGCGAGAGAAGAAAGTTTCGAGCCGGGGCAATCAAAGGTGGTTCGGGCGTTTAAGCAGAGCAGAGCAAAAGCAGCAGCAGACGCGGACGAAGCACCGACAGAGCAGAGCAGAGCAAAGCAAAGCAAGCAGAGCAGAGCAAGGCAAGGCAAGGCAAGGCAAGGCACAGGGGCGGCTGCAGAGAAGAGGAGAAACGACGGAAGAAACGAGAAAGGGGCAGCTTGACCCGGAAAAAGATTCGGAGCCCCAAAAACCAATTTAATTCCCGTCAAATAAAAGCGTCGGGACGGGCAGAATTTTGCTGCTGACAACAATGTCAATATAATTAATACCTGCCTCTTGGGGGGGTTTTATTTGTGTTATTTTAAATTTTCTGGATTTTCTTTGTGTTATTAACCTATTATTATTTAATCCCGACGACGACTGCGCCCGTACCGTAACCAATCCTTTCCTAGAGCGGAGGTTGGAGGTAACGTAGACCGGGAATAAGACGGCGGCGCCAATCGCTGGGATGATGATTGCCGACTTTCGCGTCCGTCAGACCCTCTCTTCGATTGCCAGAATTCACAGCAGAGGCTGTCGGGTTGGGGGTAGCATTCAGAGAGACAGGGTGTCTACAAGAATACCGAGCCTTGCAAGACAGAGGTATATCCGCACGAGTCTGTCCGCCGGTCCTCGTGGATCATCGGCTGGAAAGAATCAGCCATCTGCAGCCAGAGCCTCCTCCGGATGTAGCTGTCGCTGTCCATACGCAGTACGATGCACATACTCCGTCTACCTCCCGAGTACACCGGAAGTGCCTCAGATGGAGGGAGCATCTCCAGGGGGAACCTTAAGGGGGGAGCAGTGGGCCCTGGGCGGACGGGCGTTCCTCTGGTTGGCCGTCCGCAATCCGTGGGTGGGGAGGCGAGTGGGGGTTCAGCACCGACTAGGAAAGCGCTACTCTGAACGGAGCATCTCCAAGCTTAGACATGGTCCGTGACTGCATGGTAAAATACTCCCGACCGAACAGGAGTCCTGCGAAAATCCAGTCTTGGCGCCACGTTGGCTCGGAGCCTGGATGAGCAAGTATAAGTACGGAGTCATCCTAGAAAAGCTGACTGCCAGCCTGAGCTGCTGATCTAGGGCGGATGCATGTGTACGGCAGTTTGATGTCAATTGCATACTCCAGTCCCACCGAGGTCATGCAAATAAAGGAAGTTGGGGATCGACGACCGATTTCGAATACAACGAATGACTACTTACTATAAAGATTGCCTGCCCATGCTGGAGAATGGAAGGGGGTTCCGACCGGAGCCGGAGACCTTTGATCCGGGGTAGAGACCTTGGGGAAATCAATAATTACCTTCACTCGCAACCCCCGCCTACGAGGATCGGAAAACGACCAGATGCGACACTGATATATGAGAGTTCGTAACCTCGATTCGAAATGAACACCTGGAAGTCGCCAATAGTTGCACCAAATAACCTGAATTCAAATTAACATCCTTTCCAGCCGCGCCTCAAGATCTCCGACCCATCATCCTCTCCGGTCCTTCAGGCGTCGGCAAAGGGACACTTATTCAAAGGCTGTTTGATACATATCCCGGTACCTTTGGATTCACCGTATCCCATACGACGCGAAAACCGCGGCCGGGCGAAGTCGAGGGCGTCGCCTACTTCTTTGTCTCCCCCTCCGAGTTTTCCTCCCTCTGCTCTCAAGGTGCTCTCGTAGAGCACGCGTATTTCAGTGGCAACTACTATGGCACGAGCAAGCAGACCATTGACGATCAGACCAGCAAAGGCTTGGCTGTAGTGCTCGACATTGAGATGCAGGGCGTCCAGCAGATGAAGGCCAACCCCAGCATCGATGCGCGATATGTCGTTATTAAACCGCCAAGCTTCGAAGCTCTTGAGAAGCGTCTCAGGGCCCGCGGGACTGAGAATGAGGAGGACGTACAAAATAGGCTCACCCAGGCTCGAGTGGAACTTGATTACGCCGACTCTCCGGGCTCTTATGATAAGATCATTGTCAACGATGACATTGAAGCGGCGTATAAGGAGCTTGAGATGTTTGTGTTTGGACCGACGTAGCGAGATAACACTGCATTTCCTACTAGATCAGAATGATACGCATAAATGCTAGTCGTGACAGCTCCACTCGTAATCTTTGTCTGCGGTACGGTAACGCACCCCGTCGGGCCTCCCATAAGCACGGCCTCTCGGCGGCGGCGCACGAGCGAAGGGTTGCATATGCGGTCTCTTGGTACGTTATGCAGGTTAATAGGATAATTGTACGTAGTAGGTATCTCCTCCGTACTCTGTATGTCCATGCTCACTATTTTTGCAGCGGTTCATGCCTCGGCTTGTCCATGCGCTAGATTACAAGATATACTTCGCAGACTGAAATACTCGATTGCTCGATGGATGTCCACTTGCGCCGTCCCAGGGATTCGAAAGCCCATCCCTGTTGCCAAACTTAATTCCTGGAATCCGATAAGCTTTCTTCTACCAAGCAGCCGGGGAGGTGCAAAAACATCAGACTATCGACTCTGTAAGACTAGAGTACGAGCCAAAGCGGAGCAAAAGCTGCAGAAATTATGGAGAATTGTTCTGTAGCGCCCGGCTTCATTTGCTGCCGGCCATGTTTCAAGCCTTGAATCCGTTAACCTGTGCGACGGTCTGCTCCGTGGTCTACGGGGTATACTTTGCACAACATCTGGTCGATTCAAGGGCAAGTCCGCCAGGGTTTGCGTACCTCGAACTTTCGGCGGCGGATACGTTCTTTATTGGCCCTTGGCATGCGTTCATTTGTCATCTCGATCAGTCGGCAGATTCCCAGGCCAATGGCAACCCCTTGGACTTGTTGGTCAACGGCTAGTCCGATGCCTGCACCGCACAATGAATAATATCTGACTCTCCTTTCAGCCCGTGCATGGGATGATGATATGACGCAATCTTATGGCAGAAGAATCATAGTATTATTAATTCTACGGAGGCGACGCTATGCAGAGTCAGAGCTTCATCGTGTCCGACGCATGTCCATCATTGGATGCCTACTCTGGCTGTGAAGACGGATAGTCTCCGGCACCATCCTTCGTCTCTGTCCATCCCTGCGAGGCACTCTTGGTCTTGCTCATCGTTCTCCCCAGCCGACGATTAATTTGAGGCTTTGGGGCCAAATCGAGGCAGCCACCGTCCGTACGTCACTAGCAGTGCGGCCTGCACAGTCTCTCCGGCGCACTACTCCGTTCTCTGTAAGAAGGCAGTATTTCGCGACCACCTGGTAATCCCGCGGAGGCAGCATTGGGCCATGATTTGTGGATGGCGATGGTCAGGAAGCGGGTCTCCGTCTGGCGGGAAATTGCCCATCCATCGACTAGTAAGTACATGCAGCGGTAGTCTCTGGGTTTTTTCCCTTCTGGAGACATGCGACTCCACTGCTAAGATGATCGCTTCAAACGGTGCCTGACTAGCTTGGCGGAGGCTTTTCCCCCTCTCCTGCAAGTTGCAACCTGCAACAAGTTCTTCGGTCGGTCTTCACCCGGATTATTAATGACTGCTGTTGGTGTTGACTTACTCCGTACATTTCAGGGGTAGTGATCCAGTCGATAAAGACCCCTCAGGTTTATCGCGATGCGTTCTCTCGATCCTAACTCCTCCGTAGATCGTGAGGCAGGGCTGCGCAACTGGGAATCCTCGCAGGACGGAGGATGTTCGGTCGATCTAACGTCCTGCAGCCCCAACCCCTGATTCCAAGTCCCAACTGATTCAAAACGTGCTAACGGCTCGTGTCACCCAATTTTGCGGTTGCCAGTCGAGCTAACTCAACGGGTTGGACCTGCGAGCCATGCATTCAGGCCCAGGACCATTGTCAAGGTGAAACCTGCGCCTTGGAACAAGCGCCGCGACAGTCTAAACATAGACTCGAGACGTTCTAGAAAGTGGACGTACCACACTCGTTGGTCTACGGTGTAGGGTGTGCGCCCGTCGCGCGCGGTTCTTTGTTGTTGCGTGGTAGCGGTCCCCCGGCAGCGCGACGGCTCGGCGGTTCTGGTTCTAAATATAAAACCACACCCATGCAGAACCTAGAACTGGAGTCTTGGAACTAGGCAGGGCGTGCAGGGTTTCGGGGGTGGAAATAAACTACTCTGAGCCAGCGGAATCCGCCATGGACGATGCATGTACCCCAGACCATGCCCTACGGAGTACGTACCCGTCCATTCAAGCGATTGTAAACCCATCCGGGATCCAGGATGAGCGAGGCAGGCGGCTACGGAGGCATGGTCGGCAGGGTTCGCGCTTATGTGCGCGGTTTCTAATCATAGAACTACCTGACTCTGCCAGGACTCCCAGGGCTCCCAGGCCTGTCTGTGCGCCGGGATGGAGGGCACCGGCCTTGGTTCTGATGAATGGCGACTTGCCAGGGATCCTTGCCAGTTGAGCGGTTGGCTGAGGCTGGGTCTGATGACGGGATGATTGTGGCATATAATAGGAGTATTTATAACTTGCGGCGGATTCAAGCCATGGCGGGGTGTGGGCGACGGACGAATCAGCGCCGAAGTGGACTTCCATCTGATAATCGAGATAACCGGGATAGCCGTAATATTTCGATGTTCTCATTTACATTTGATATTCGATAGTATATACGATATACTCCATTTCGAGGGCTCCAAGAATGGGAAGGGACAGATTAGCATCAACATGGGGCGACCGCAAAAGGCTTCAGGACCGAAGACGGGGCCGAACTATTGCAATAATGAATGATTTCACGGGCAGGCCAGCGGTGGGTTCTGGCGTTGGTCTTTGCTCCCCGATCTACAGATGACTCCGCCCGTCTGGGAAACCGGAGGCCTCCTTTAATCAAAGCCATCAAGGTCCTGGGCAGGGAGTTCTCCTTTCCTTGGTCGCTGGGAGAGCAGGGGGGATGAGGTGACGGGGTGAATTCTTCATAAATCCGGAGTAGTCAGCAGTGCATGCAGAGGGCAGCGTTGGGATGAATGGAAGCGTCCGCGGTTGACATCATCGGAGGCTGAGGCAAATCCGATCTGAAGTATCATGAGGGATTTGATTTGGGAGATTTGGGATGATTTGATTCGATCCGAAAAAGAAAAAAGAAAAGAAAAATCAAATCAAAAAGGCGGTCATACCACAAGAAGGAGTCAGCAACCAGAATCTTCGGAGGCAACGCCAAAAGTGGCGGGAGGCAGAAAGGAGGTCGGCCAGAAGAACGCAGTGAGAATCAATAATCGGCGGGGAATCCATCGGATGATTACGATTAGGAGGGGGAGATTCCTCTTCCAGACATTAATATTATTATCTGGATGATACGAGTATTAATATCAATATCAATATTAATTACTGCGTACTATCATTCATCCCGACGGCGGGACATTCTTCAGCACCTGCAAGCAGAGCCTGAGGCGCCCGACACCTCCGCTTTCGCCCATCGACTTTCCTCTTTCCCTCATTTGCCCCCTCGGCCATTTCTCCCCCTCTCCGTTTCTTCTGTCCGGTCATTTGCCTTCTTTCTGGCGCCTTTGCCTGCCTTCGAATTGCCTGTCTTCCGTCTTAGGGGTTTTTTTTCGGGTGCTCTGCTTTTCTTCTTCCACCTCCGCCCTGACAAATCCCCCTCCGTCGACGCCGCCCTCTCATTCGTGAATCATCGTGGCCACCAGGCTCTGACGGACCGAGTGTCTTGGCTCGAGCAAACCTCCCTTCCACGCCTCGTCGGTTTGCATCCGTCTTCATCACTCCCCCGTCAACGACCGCTCGAGGATTCCTGTCCCCCCCCTTGATCACTGCGGCTTCTCCGTCTCGCTGCCCCATGATCTGCCAGTAAATAACACGGACCCCCTTTCACCACGCTCGTCCGTCTCGTCCTTTTGCCTCTTTGGCTCTCCCGGTCACGTTGCCGACAGGATTCGATTCTCGTTTTTAGGGGCTGAGCCCAATCAGTCATCCTCGGTCGAATCTTTTCCATCGCCCTGATCCCTCTCGCCGACCCTTCTGTCCTTTCGACTCCTCCCGAGTCCGACTCTCATCCTCTCGCCCATCATGCGGGAGGTCAACTTCAGTATTCCGAACGTCAACAAGGCTTCGGTCAATATCACGACCACCCTCTATGACCGCCGTGCCCTCGACTGCACATCGACTCTCCCGCTGATAAACTCGCTCAACCACCTCGCCTACCTCACCACCTCCTCCGCCCGTATCCGCGATATCCTCACCGTCGATGGCGGCATCGAGAGGCTCGTCTGCATCCTCAAGGAGGGCCGCAGCCGAGACCTGATGGAGATGTGGAAGTGGAGCCTCGCCTTCCAGTGCGTTGTCAACATCGGAGTGCGGGGCTCGGAGAGCGTTCGAACGAGAGTCGTCGAGGCCGACATGGTCCCCGTCATTGCGACCATTCTGGACAATTACATCAAAGTCGTCGACAAGGCGCGGGCACGGGCGGACACCGAAACGCAGCGGCACTCGTCAAGGCATCACGCCAAAGCCGTGCCCGGCTCCAGCGATGCCGCCACCAGTCGTCCGTCTTTCCTCGACCAGTCGTCGAACGCTGAACAGCGTGCCTCTCGCCGCCAGGCCCCTCCGCCCAACATCGAAATCCCCCCGTTCTTCCAAGAAAACCAAGCGACCGACTCCAATGCCATGGATGTTACGTCTTCGCCTCGCATGACCTCCCCGCCGGAAAGGAGTCGCCACGCACAGGAGGCCCCCAGCCAGAGGCCCAACGAGGCTCGTCATACGCACTCGGGCCACCGTCATCGGGCCATCCAGCCCCTTGCCACCATGGATACTGCCGATGGCTTCGGTCTGCGCCCGGTGCGTGACGCCGAAAGACTCCCCAGTATGCTCCCTAGTCTACACAATGGTCTCGCCTCGCAGCCCGATTCTCCCACCACCCCGAGCGGCCCGGCGCAGCCTCGCAGCGCTGCCCAAGCCCACGCTGCCCGACAACGGCCCGCCCTGCGACAGCAGATGTCGGCCTCGGGCGAATCGGACGACGGAAACGGAGAAGGCTCTACCATGGAGGATGATGCCGGGTCTGGCGAAACGACCGAGCCGATCGTCGGTCTGCAGAATCAGATGGAGATTGATGAAGTTGGCGACCGACAGGGTATGCTCGAAGGCGTTTCCAATGCCCACGACCTGACGGTAACCGATCCGTCGGAGGGAAACGAGGCCGAGACCTTCAACATCACCCACCGGTCTACCGTCGATGGCAGCATCATCAACAACGACACTACGCCGACGAACGGCGGGCTAGGCTTGTCTCCGACGCAAGCCGTCAACAACGCCAACTCTCCCACTCTTGTCCCTAGCCCCTACTCCCTTTACTGGCGCGACCGATCGACCACCCAGAATGTCGCCCAGAACGTGTTGACCACGATGCCCCGCGAGGAGGATGTCTTGATGTCCCTTCAACTCCTGGCATACGTGTCCAAGTACTGCAACCTTCGATCCTACTTCGAGCACTCTCACCTCGTCCCTAAACTCAAAATCGACCGTGACCTCCACATCCTCGAGGACGGGGCCTCGCCGATCGAGCCCGCCGAAGACGAGGACGAGTACCTTCTGCCGGACGACGTCAACATCTTCCCCCTCGTCGAGAAGTTCACGGTGCGGCATCACTCCAAGGACATGCAGTCCTGGGCCTGCGTGGTGATGCGCAACCTCTGCCGAAAGGACGAGTCTCGGGGTGGCATCCGGCAATGTGCGTACTACAAGTGCGGCAAGTGGGAAGAGTTCCAGCGTCAGTTCGCGAAATGCCGCCGTTGTCGCCGCACCAAGTACTGCAGCAAAGATTGCCAAAAGGCCGCGTGGGTGTACCACCGCCACTGGTGCCACACCACGCCATGATATGAACGTACGAAACTGTCTAATTCTTAATGCATACTGGCTTGCATAGCGTCATATCTGCCATGTGTTTCTATTTCGCTTCTTCGATTCCCACGGTTTTATATCTACCAGTGCATGGCATTTCAGAACCTGGCGGCGTTCCTATTCATCACAAAGATACCTTTTGTCGTCAACTTTTTTTTTTATCTTTGCTTTATTTTGGTTTTCGTATAGTGCAGTTTTCTTCATCCATCCTCGACTTTCACCATTTAGCACCTGTTTACTTGCACATCTAACATTTGATCATGGTTTGGTTTATTTTCTTAATTGTTTCATTAACGCGGGACCCAAAGCCTGTCTACTGCCTCGATGGATTACAGCCTTTGGTCATCATGAATATGCACACATTGCCAACTTACCATCTGCGATTTCGTTTCTTGCTTTTCGTTTTGTTTCCGCCGTCTCCATTCCGCCAGTATCCTATTGTCTTGACGCCGGATGATTCTCCTTTGTCAGCACCTGTCTAGCATATTCATCCACCCCACGGTCCCTCTGGAGCGATTTCATTTGGTCTTTCGTATCTCTTTTTTCGATATCCCGTCATTGGCAATTCTTGGTCTTGGCCTCTTATGTATGTGCCCGTGGATGGCAGATCTTATCTATGGAGTCATATGCTATCATGTGCATAGTATCTGTTTTATCTCTTCTATCTGTGACGAATTGAATAGTCAGGCCTTGGCCTGTTACGTTAACGGTTCACCTCATTTATGAATTTTATACCGTAAAACAAGCCCTAACAGACGTTTGTTACGACTCTTCTTTCTTGAAGCCGTACGTCGCCGCCAATCGCGACTCCAGATGCTCGAAGGCCGTCAGCGCGCGCTTCCCCGGCTCCAACTGGCCAGCGCCGCCGCCAAACCCGACCTTCTCGTCGTACGTCCCCGTCTCCTCGCACCGCTTGCGATACGTAGTCACCACCTGGCTCGGAACAGGCACCAACTCCGTATCGTTCAACGGATGGCAAAAGAAAACAATACTATATCGGTCCCGGGGATTCGGACTCCGCTGCTCCGCCAAGGGAAACACAACCCGATGCACCGTCGACTTGAGCAACCCATCCGTCCAATAACTCAGCAAGTCCCCGATATTCACCAGGATCGGCGGGAAGACAAACTCCTCCTCCTCCTCCTCCTCCTCCCCCTTCCCTTTCTCTGCCCCCTCCGTCGAGGCGGCGGAGAAAGGGGAGGAGAGGTCGTCGGCGGTACTCACCCCCGGCTGCACCGGCACCGGGGCCCACGTCTTCTCGGGCGTCAGAATCTCAAGACCCGGCTGGCCGGGCCGCTGGAAGAGAAGCGTGATACTTCCGTAGTCGGAGTGTGCTCCTGCGCGCACGTCCTGGTCGTGTTTGTATGATGACGTCGCGGGCGAGAATATCGACGGGTAGTACAGATAGCGCAGGATGCTGCCCGTCGAGCCGTGGGTGGGGTCATGGCGGGTTGTGAAGAAGTCGTTGGGGATCTAGATTCTCATTCCCTCGGTTAGGATGGGTTGGGTTGTCCGTATCTAGCTCTGGCGTGGTATTATCTAGGTGGGGTGGACGTACCTGCAGACCTAGGGCCAGGAGCTTGAGGATCCGATCGCATGTCTTGTGGCAGAGGGTCGCGAAGTGGTTGATTTCGGACTCGTGCGAGGCGAGGGATGGAGGGAGGGGTTGTTGGGCTTTGCCGTGGCGGAATTCGCCGAAGTTGAAGCCTCTATGACAGGATGGTTAATGGGTGGTGTGTTGGAAAGGGTCTGTTGTCGTACTCTTTGAAATCGCCCGTCTATGGACTGGTTAGTATACAACTCGACAGGGGAGTGGGGAGTATAGGTATGTACATACCCGCTGATGCTCCGGATCCAAAGTTTCCACATGCATACCGGACCAGCCGCGATTCTTATCAAATCAGTGATCATTCGTCCCCATCTATACACAGATCGGGTGGATTGATTGGGTGAACAAACATTCGGCTCAATGCGACAACTCGCCTTCTCGTCTACCGGCGACATGAAGAACTCTTTCGACTGCACCGAGATAATCAGCTTAGATCGCCAGGTCCGGTACAGAAACTCACCAAACCAAACGCCCTTTCCACATCCCCAGGCGTAAAATCCGTCCCCTGGCTGTTCACATACAAAAAGCCATACTTGGCCGCAGCGTCCAGCATCGCCTTTCCCACGGCGGGGTCGTCGGGGTTCGAGATGTCGATGATGGGGAGGTCGATGGGGGGGCCGGAGGTGGAGTCGTCCATGGTGGGTGAGTGTACTGTACCTATTCCGTAGATTCGTAAATTGTAGAAAGACAACGTGGAGAGAGAGGTATGGAGGAGTAGTTCTGACTTCTGGGAATCCTCGTTTAATATCGTCTGTCGGCAAACATTCCTTATCCTTATCAACGTGGAGAAGATCGGAGCCGAGCGAGCGATAGATGTCGCCGTCCAATGAAGGGGGAGGCTTTGACAAAATGGTTTCTCGTTATGGTTGTGGATCCACCGGTTCTGGAGACGATATTGCCGGATTTGTCGGGGGATGGACTTGATGTTCTGTAGACAGTAGAATATAGAAGGGGGAGGGTAGAGTACGGGGTAACTATGGGCAGTAGAAAGGCTACGGTTATATGTATCCTTCAGGTTATAAATTATGGTTTTCCGCCCTAAAAGCTCTGCTTTAGGTTCTTAAATCTATTACACCTATTTGATTTTAATTTACCCAGCGATAATGTATATTACTAATTTAATTATATAACTACCACTTAACATCAATATCTCAAGCTTAAAAAAGAACTTATTAGTTGTTACTATTCGAAATATTTTCTATTTGCAACTACCTTGAATTATTATAAACGTTTATATTATTATTATTATCATTATTCCGCTAATCCGCTGAAACAGGTGCTCCTACTTCGCCCAGCTGAGCCCAACAGGACAGAGTCCATACAATGGTTATCTCGCACCTTCTACGCGCCATGTGAGCCACAAGTGTCCCAGCACTGCCATGATTTTCAACCCTCAATTGCCTGCAGCGGCGGGTTAAAACACCAATCGAATGAAGAAGTTATAGCTGTTGCCCGGGCCAAGCGATACCAGTACGGGAATGGCCAAGCTGTTGAAAGTCTTACCAGTAAATTCAATATTGCATCCAATCTTCCTTCGAGTCATCGGAAGATTTGTGGTATTCATGCTCCACCAACCACTTCTCTGCGGGAGTTGGGGTGCCGTATTTCGCATAGAAGTCGGTCAAAGCACTGTTCAAGTCTGGTTCTTACTGTTAGTAGAAAATTGAAAGATCACCCAGTAGGCCATACCGTTCAATGACATAGGAAATGATGGCTGAAGCGAGAACCGACTACGGATATTCCGCTCGCGAAGGAGAATCAGAGTTCTCGGTATGGGCGTGTCTAGATATTTAGCTGGTTTGTTTAATCTGGAGGGCCATAAATCCGCACCTTTTGGGATACACAGAAGGTGAGGGTCCGCAGACGGCTGGCTATCCGCTAGGTTGTCGAGGTAATAGTCAAAGGACATTCGCGTCAGTTCTTGCATGAAGAATGTGTTAGGCATGAAGAGCGCTCCGTTCGAGACTAGGGATGATGTTAGTAGTATAATAGTGAAAGGTAAAGCTGACGTAACTCGACTCAGACACCTCAGGATAAATCAGTCCGTCTTGGGAGACATTGACGGCATCGTCAACTTCACTATCCCCCTGTTGCTGCTTTTTATCGTAGAGCTGGGACTCGCGCTTGAATTGAAGCCGATACAATGTCGCGGGAAACGTAGAATGGACTGAGACGAGGGAGAAGTTACAGCGATTCTTAAGGATGTTGTTGCCGCGAACCGCGGGACGGTGAATGATTCTCTTGAACATGTCGAAACCGTAGTATACTGCTCTGGTGTCCTCGAGTAGATGGTTTCCATGGAGCTGGTCACCATGAATCTAGGCGCTTGGTCGGTTGGGGGTTTATCCGAACCCGATGGCTGTAATGGCGCATGGATAAACTACATCCTCTTACTTCACATCCACCATGTCGAACTTTGTCAAGTCCTATACTACAATCCCGAAGGAGCTGTTCCGTATAAACAATGGCCCTGTTGTTCGCCTGCGTGCATACCCAGGCCCACGGAGGCCACCGGGCCTCTTTGATCTATTAACATACGCAGGAAAGGTCAAGCCAAAAGCGCTCAGCCCAACCACATATAAGGGTGGGAACATACATCAATAAGGCTTCAATATCGAAGGCTGATTTGCTTTACTCTTGTGCGGTGTTTTAGCGCCCAATGGAGCTTCGATGCGACCGAATACCCCCAAGACGCAAAGACTTGTCAGCACCCTTAGGGGCACGTCAGCTTGCATCTATTCCATTCCTGCAGGTTTGAGATCGCGGGCTTAATGTACCTGGCTAGGTTCTGAAAAGAAGTAGGGGTCCGTATTCCAGATGGGCTCATTCTCGTCCATGAGTTCAAAGATCATTATTCGCTGCAAGCAGGGGAAGAAACGACGGTAGATGGTGAGTCAGAAGCTCGATTGCATAGTTCGTTCGAATACTGACTGTCGAAGCCTTGAATGCTAGAATCACGGATTTCTTGCAGTCGAAAGGTCAATGTTTAACAAAGGAAGAATGGCTGTTGCAGTATCCGAAGCCAACAGAGACTGAGTGAACGGTTTCCATATGTACTGGGCAGGTGTACTGCATACCAAGTCAGTGGATGATTTGACGTACAGCGATAGGCATATACCTCGTTTCATGTCGGCAACATTCCTTATCAACGTGAAGGCAATAGATGTCACCGTCAAAGGATGGGATCGCCGTGGGATTTTTATTTTATGATAAATAGTTTAGTTTCTTGTTATGAATATGGATTCACCGGTTCTGGGGAAGATATTGCCGGATCTGTCGTGGATGGACTTGGTGATGTATGTGGATGTGTGTGTTGTAGGCTGGTGGGTGTGGCTGGTCTTGGGGTATTCTGGAATATTTAAAAGGTATGAGGTTTTAGATCTTATATTTATGCTTATTTGTTTACTATGTAGGTTTTGTGTTTTTGTTACTGGATTTCTGTTTCTGTTTCTTTTTCTTCTACAATATTTATGGTAGTATGTTTACCAGTATATGTTAGTAGCGGATGTAGTTATATATCACCACAGTTAATAGTAAATACTTCACAGATGAACTATAATGACCTTCACTAATACTCGTAATTAATTCCTTTCAATTCCGGCTCCAGTTCTAACATCAAACCAACTCAGAGGATAAACTCGAGGGGAAAGTCAGAAAGTGGGACAACAAACCGCTCTTCCGCCCGATTGGATTCTCCCCGTCATTCTTCACTTCTTCCCCTTCAGCTTCTCCTCATCCCACTTGGCTTCCTTCTTGCCAGCCTTTCCACCCCCTCCGCGACCTCACTTTCCTTCCTTCCTCTCCCTCTCTCCTTGACCTGATTTCCACTCCTCTCATCTACTTCTTCCTCCCCGCCATCGGGCTCATGCCTGACATTGACCTCCGCTTCTGTTTCCGTGACCTCACCTCAAGCTTCAACAATGCCGAGTAAGCTGCCTGACTACCCCCCGCTGGAATTTATTAACTCACCTGCGCTTCTCTCTACAGTCCGTCTCTTAGATGAATGGGCCGCCCCCCGCACCCAATCCCTCCCTATCTCGGCCCTCAAAGGCGCCGTCGTCGGTATCGATGCGTCGCACTACATCTCCCAGCACCTCCTCCAACCCTCCACCCGCGAGCCGCTTCTCGTCGCCCTGGGTGGCTTCCCGTTCGCCCTGAAGACCAATATTGAGCGAGAGCTCCAAACCTTGAAGGAATTGGGCGTCGGCTGTCTCTTCGTTTTCAATGGCCTGGGTTTCAGCACGAAAGACCAGCGGCCCGCCGTGCAGCCGGAATCCGTGCGGGCATTCGAACAAGCCTGGGACCTTTATGACCAACAGCAGGCCGATCAGGTCGTCGATGCTTTTAGTGGTGCCGGTAGGTTGCTGTGCGCTCAGCGCTTCGGTTGCTCGCACTTGTCAACATGCGCTGATACTTTTCGTCTGCAGGCACGCCTCGACCCGAAACTCTCTACCGCTTTCTGCAACGCATCCTTCGCGCACATGACATAGAGTATATGGTGGCTCCCTACAGTGCCGCGGCTCAGGTGAGATGGCATTTTTTAGGCCCTACTGTGGTGTCTTCTGACCGCGATCCTAGCTGTCCTACCTGATCAAAGGCTCGAATCCACTGGTCGACGCAGTCTGGGGACCATCGGAGGTGCTGCTTTTCGACGTCGACAAATTAATCATCCGAGTTGATATCGACCCGTCGCAGTTTGTCTGGCTGTCCAAACAGACCTGCCAGGATGACCTGGGCCGACTGAGCCAGGATCAGTTTGTCGACCTTGGCCTCCTCCTGGGATCTTCGTTCCTGCCAACATGCCCGCTCATCGAGAACTCGGCCTTCCCCGGCAAGAGTGTTACCATTCGCGATGCCCTACAGCTTTTCAACACGACGGGACGAAGTGCGCTGGCTCTCTGCACCAACTACGAGGAGGACCGCCGGATACAGGAGACCCATTACACGGAGCGTTACAAGCGCGCATACATGTCCATCAAGCACCATGTCATCATGGACGAGGAAGGCCGCGTTGGCCCGTTGGATGCGGACAACGCTCCCTCCGACGTGCATGAACTGACCAGCCTCCGGTTGCCGGAGGAGCTCTACTTCTACCTGTCTCGAGGCCTGCTGGGGACCGACGTGCCGAACTATCTCACATCTGGCGAGGTGCTGGTCTCGCAGCCTCTGGGTGTGGAGGACACTGATATCTACCGTCAGGTGTCGAGCCGGACGCTGACTCCGATCCGGACGCAATCAATCGGACTACTTTCGAACTCGCTCCATAGATTCTACCAGACCAAGGTGATCAGCGTGCGTCCCTGGTACGACGAAAAGGCCGACATCACGATCAACCTCAAGAGTCTCCCCTCGGTCAAGGATTCGATCCAATCGTGGAAAGTGCGCACCGATCAGCTTCCGGAGGGAGTCAAGAAACTCCAAGTTAGTGAGCCCTGTTATGTTCAACCGCCGTGACTAACCGAACAACTAGGAAACCTCGGGACCTTTCAGATTTGCAGTGCAAAGCTTGAAGGATTCGGATGTCGTATCTAAATCTTTGTCGTCCAAGGACGTTCCTGTACGTTCCACTCCCTTTTGAACCGGACATAGACAAGGTTCTAACGGCTACTAGGCACTGTCGTCGCAGGACGAGATTTTCAGCAACGTTTTCTGGCGGTTCCTGCAACTTCGCGGTTACATTGATCAAAGTACACATCAGCTCACCCCGTGGGGACTCTGCCTTGAGCAGGCGCTCTCCGTCCTCGACCCCGACGACTCGCTGGAAGAGGCCACCTTCCTTGCGATTGAGATGCTTCGACTTGGACTGGTCAATTCGAAGCAATGGTTCTCTCACGTGTCGGGAGGTCCCATGAGGGGAACCGGTAAGCATAGTCAACCAGTACTGGTGAAGAAGCCGCTCACTCAATGATTTCTAGACGAGGATAAGAATTTCAACATGCTGGTGTCCCGGATTGCGTGCATTGGCAAATTGCAGCACAAGAGCATCGGCTATTCCGGGCCCTTGAGCCGACAACTGCTCTGCTATCGCTCTCTGATCTCGGAGGTCCGCGCGGCGCTCCGGAGCCTGATCGAGGTCGTCCTGACCAGCCTGTTCCTCAGCGGGGATGCCGAGCGGGATCGCAAGGACTGGGGCGAAATGAGCCTGAGGTACGTGGAATATGCCGTGGGCATCTTCTCTTGCTGACGATGTAGACTTCCGTTCATCAACGACAACGACTGCGGTCTGGGCATTGCCGTCCGCACGTACCTGGATGACCTGCCTCTGCAGAACAACCCGACCTCGCTGGAGGCACGGGCCGAGGTCAAATCGAAGGGCAAGGATTGGTTCCAGCACAGCGACAGCTTCACCGGCAATCTGGACCGGGCGTTCAAGCTATGGGATGCGGTGAGTACAAGATTCGTTGATGATCGAACTCTAGCTGACAGGGTGCAGGTCTACAAGGGGACGCAGCATGCCGACAAGGAGTTTAAGGAGGGGGCGCAGTTTGAGAAGGCGAACCAGTGGCTGAGCGAGCGGCGATGAGCAGGACTGGGCTACAGCTACTTTAACTACAGTTAAACTACCATCAATGACTACAGTTACTGTAACCACAGGACCTGTGAATTAATTAATCTGGCATGGTCCCTCCCGTACGCCGTATCGTCATCCTACTTTCATCACTTGCTTCTTCGTGTTTCCAAATCTACATAGTGGTGTAGTAGTTGTAGAATGATAGGATGGTGGATACCAGCGACTGGTGACTGTTTTGCTAGGCATGACAACCATGAGAACAGCAGATGGATGGAAAACCGTGAATTCTTCTGTATACTATTCTCCCGACTTCCGAACAGGAGACTTGGAACTCACAATCTCTCTAGGGAATTTCTCCCTTCTCCAGAGGGGCTTTCCTTGCATGACCTGTTATCTGCAAATACCTGCTCCTATTGAGCCTTTGGGCCGAAGGGACATGGTTAAATGTGATTACAGAGGAGAGGTGCATATTTCTTAAATCTTACTCCCAGGTCAAGCAGTGAGCTATGTAGTCCTGAGATGTATCTGCCAAAGACGATCGACCAGCCATCGCACAGGGAACCTCAACGGAGAGATGCTCTCTGGCAGATAAAAATACCAGTCATCTTTATCTATTAAACTCAGAGTACATGTCAGGACAGTGCACTCATGGTAAAAGGGATAGAAACTACTATCCTCCCAGTCGATAATCCCAGTAAAAACGTATTTGCCGCCGGAGTTAGGATCCTATTTCACTATTATATTATTAGTTCTGACATCCCCATGCGTGAACACCGATCCGCGTGTCAATATCGAAGGGTTGAGTTCGAGAAAAAAATAAAGAAGCCTCACATAAGTAGTGCTGCTATAGTGACGAACGGAAAATTGTAGATTATGGAATTCTTCTGCCATTATGATACCTTTAAATAAGGCGCATTTATTAACGCGAAGCTCGTTAACTCTCTCTCCGCAGATCCCACCAAGCGCGCTACTGTTCTTTTATTGGATTATTCTTAGACGCAAGAAGATATTGTCCAACTGGCGTTAGATCGAGAGTTTATTTTTATATTATAGGCTAGACTATACTTCGGCTAAGGTGGTGCCAGAGATGTACGACATAAATATAATCCTTAAAGTAAGAATATCGGGCGCCTGATCCATCAGGTATTGCATGCTCGTGTACTCTATATAATCATTGATTTTAGTTATAACTTTCGCAACGATATTTTTATCACACTTAATTACTATATTTCGGATAGGGCTCTTTTAGAGCTTCTTTAAGGCCCAAAGCAGTCCTTTTAAAAATAAGATTGGGGAATTTTTAGCACTAGTCAGCTTACTGTTTAGCTCTGAGAATTGAGCCAGCAGAGCGGTTATCTTATTAGATAATAGATGGATTATTGTAGTATTCTCCGCAAGGTCGAGACGTGTTCTGAACTCCGGGGGCGAATTTCCGGGGGATTCCTCTTTTTTGTTGATTTTTAGTCCTTTAGCTATTTCGATTCTGCGAGAATAGTTCTTCAGGAATATTGATAGCAGATAGATTTCTGGTTCGCGTCTTAGTTTAGTATAAAGGCCCTCTATGACCCGAAAATTGATTGTCGCAGTATAAGATAGTCGACCATATTAAGCGTTACAATGCTTATGGATATAAAAGTCAGGGAATATAAATATTAGGTCTGCTGCAGGGTATTTCTCCAACACAGCCTAAACTTGAGTATGAGCTGTTTGTTCCATTGTGCGGCGTCCGTGTTGGGGAGAGATATTGGCGATGTCTGCTGTCCATGATGGTTGATGCTATAGTTGCAACCATTGACTGCGATGACTCAGCCGGGAGTTACCAAGTGTCCTCTTCCGCCCCACTTGGCCGGAGCTTCCATGCAATCATGAATCATTAATCATTCCAGACGCTGTAAATACTCCCTCTCTCCGCTGCACCCTCGACCCTCGACTTCCCCCCCATCTATCATCCATCCATTTCCTCACCATGGCTCGATTGAGTGTCCTGCTCGTGAGCTGCCTCGCCTTCCTGGTCGGCATCGTCGCGGCCGGCTCCGCGGTGGTGGATCTGATCCCCAAGAACTTCGACAACGTCGTGCTCAAGTCCGGCAAACCCGCTCTGGTTGAATTCTTCGCTCCCTGGTGTGGCCACTGCCGCAACCTGGCCCCCGTCTACGAGGAGCTGGCCCAGGCCTTCGCCCATGCCGAGGACAAGGTGACCGTCGCCAAGGTCGACGCCGACGAGAACCGCGACCTCGGCAAGCGCTTCGGCATCCAGGGTTTCCCCACGCTGAAATGGTTCGACGGCAAGAGTGACAAGCCCGTCGAGTACTCCGGCGGCCGCGACCTCGAGAGCCTGTCCGCCTGGATCACCGAGAAGACTGGCGTCAAGCCTCGCGGCCCCAAGAAGGAGCCCAGCAAGGTCGAGATGCTGACTGACGCCACCTTCAAGACCACCGTCGGTGGCGAGAAGGATGTTCTGGTTGCCTTCACGGCGCCTTGGTGCGGACGTGAGTTGCCCATACCCTTATAAACCCTCGTTTACCACCTCTCCGGACTGAAAGCTGACAATTTGTGAAGACTGCAAGAACCTCGCCCCTACCTGGGAAACCCTCGCCCACGACTTCGCCCTCGAGTCCAACGTCGTGATCGCCAAGGTCGACGCCGATTCCGAGAACGCCCGCGCCACGGCCAAGGAGCAGGGCGTCACCGGCTACCCGACCATCAAGTTCTTCCCCAAGGGCTCGACCGAGGGCGAGACCTACTCGGGCGCCCGCTCCGAGGTCGCCTTCCTCGAGTTCCTGAACTCCAAGACCGGCACCCACCGCGCCGTCGGCGGCGGCCTCGACGAGAAGGCCGGCACCATCCCCACCCTGGACTCGCTGGTCGCCAAGTACACGTCCTCCGAGAGCTTCGAGGACCTGGTCAAGGAGGTCAAGAAGGTGGCCAAGGACCTGCAGGACAAGTACGCGCAGTACTACGTCAAGGTTGCGGAGAAGCTGAGCCAGAACCACGAGTACGCCAGCAAGGAGTTTGCGCGCTTGAAGAAGGTCCTGGCCAAGGGTGGTTCGGCACCCGAGAAGATCGACGATCTCATCTCGCGCAGCAACGTGCTGCGTCGCTTCCTGGGTGAGAAGAAGGAGGAGACTAAGGACGAGTTGTAACTATTTTAAATGTCTTTGGTTTTGTCTGGATGATTAGGAACGGCATGATATAGCGTACTATTACTATTTACTTGTGGAATCTATGTATGACTATAAATGAATACTGACAGATCGATGAGTGTATTCTGAATCTTGGGTAGAGTTGATGGGCAAGATATTAGACATGACCGTTTTAATGAACACCTACAGTCTACGGAGTACATCTCGAGGTAATACGAGTATATGCCATAAGCCATATTAACCAACCACAGTGAGATAACTCGCGGAAACTTGCCCATCAACCCGTCAGCGCATGACGATTTGTAACAGATGCCATCATCAGCCAAGCCTGTGGCGCTCGTTTGGCTCCATGTTAACTAATTCTAGTTAGCCAGATCTGTCTCTTTCTCAACCCTAGTGTTAATTGGTGGAGGGCGTCTTTCTCCGTCGTCTGCGTGCTCGACAAGCAACTTTCTGCGAGGCTTGACCTTTTTAGATAGATGAGATTAGAAATTCTGTCGGTTCTTTTGCTTGACGTGGTGATGGTGATTGTGATGATGATTATGGAAGAATGGAGAAAGGAGAATGTCATTTGTAATGGATAAGTGAAGGTCTGGATGTGTATATATAGCTCTAGATATCTCCTCTCGTCGAGATAGAAACGGATTCAAGTCATTCAGCTCTCTACCCCCTTGTCTTCATCTTCATCTTCCACCTGAAATCCAAGACTCAACTATGCCTTCGTATCTCATCACCGGCGCATCCCGCGGACTCGGCGTATGCTTCCCCAGGCACGAAACCCTAGAGTGTCCTGACCTGACCTGAAATAGTTCGAATTCCTGCGCCAACTCTCCGCCGACCCTAATAATCTGGTCATCGGCCTTGTGCGCAACAAGCCTGCTACCGAAGAGAAGGTAGCGGCCGAATTCCCGGGACGGAACGTTCATCTCGTGCAGGGTGAATTGACGGATTACGAGGCTCTTAAGGTTGCTACCCTCTGTCGTTTATCTTCAGGATGAGAAGAAGAGTTATGCTGACTAGCGACTAGAATGCCGTCAGCGAGGTCGAGAAGATAACACCCAGCCTGGACCATCTCATCGCCAACGCAGCACACGTATCGTCCTGGTCAGCGTACGATGGGATCGGAGATCTGTACATCTTCCCTCCTAGTACTAACCCAACCCATCACTGCTGACAATCATACGCAACAGTGCAGCTAAATCCCCCCAAGAGCTCAACAACGACATCCTCGAATCCATCCGCGTCAACGTCCTCGGCAACATCTCCCTCTTCTCGCTCTTCCTGCCGCTGGTCCAGAACGGCACAGCCAAGAAGATAGTCACCATCACGACGGGGATGGCGGACCTCGAACTCATCTCGGCGTTCGATGTCGTTGCCGCAGCGCCGTATTCGATCAGCAAGGCGGCGATGAATGCGGCGTATGCGAAATTTAGTGCCCAGTATCGGAAAGACGGGGTCTTGTTTATGGGTGTGAGTCCGGGGTTGGTGGATACGGGGAATTATGAGGGTGGTCAGTTCATTTATCTCTTATTTACCTGCTTACTTGGGTGGAGGGCTAGGGTTATGGATTATGCTGATTGTGAAACGCAGCTACCCCCGAGCAACTAGCCGGGATGCAGGAGATGGTGAAGCAGTTCGCGACGTATGCGCCGGGCTTCAAGGGCCCGATTACTCCGGAAGAGTCGGTGGGATTTGTTCTCGAGACGATTCATAGGGCGGAGATCAGTAAGGGGTATGCTGGGGCGTTTGTTTCGCATTATGGGAATAAGCAGTGGCTTTGAATGTCGATGTGTCTGAGCTGTCTGGATGGATAGTAGACAATGCTATGTTATGCACAGCTGCGAGAGTTGAGTCGATATGACAGCTGTGGGATTAGTAGGTAGTCAGTTAGGAGCAACAATCAAAAACAGCCAGCCAGTCAGTCCACTTCTTTGGATCTCCTGAGTATTGTCTAGATCAATATATTCAAACACGAAATAAATCTTAGGGTATCTTCAAACAGCACGGCACCAAGGCCTAAATGCAAGCTCTAATCTCCTCTTCTTTCACTCACTCTGTCCAGTCCACGCATTATCTATTAGTTCTCCCCCCGACCCACCCTCCATCTGTATGTATGCAAGCCAACGCAACGCTAAAACCAGAGAGCAACCCGAGAATCCATCACTTCGAAGGACTACTCGGCCCCGCGTCCGAGGCACTATGCATCGAGGCCTCGAGCTCGTCTAATCTCCGGACCATTTCATCCACTGTCGCACAAACGCCGGTCAGCATGTCGACTGTCTATCTGGTCTTCCTTCTCGCGAGAAACCCGCAGCCAAAAGGAGGAAGGGAGGGAGAAGGAAGGAACGCACACTTCCCAAACATCTCCTGCGACACGTTGTCGAATTTATGCTGCAGCTGGTCCAGCAGGTCGTCGACTGCGGCGGTTAATTGGGTTTGCGCGGAGGGGTCCTATTCGATGTTAGCTGCCATTGGGGGTCTTTGTGCCGGGTGAGTGGACTGTGAATTGAGGTAGGACAGTGGAGCGGAGTATAGGATAGGACAGGGGTATAATATATGCTATGCTGGATGCGCGGGTTGCGAACCTGGTCACCGGCAGGAGAAGCGAGGGCCTCTGATGTGGAGGCTCGTTTGGATTGTTCGGCCATTGCGGAAGGGAATCGAAATTAAGGTAGTGGAGTCGAGTCTAGAAGAAGTGTAATATGTAATGTATAATTGACAGCCCACGCGCAGCGCCCAAGTAAAGATGAAGACAGACCAAATAAACCCCAGTATGCCGTCTGCAGGCGAAACATGGAAGACAGCTGATAAGCACCGGATCAACCATTTCCCCGACATTCCCTGCCACACTAGCCCCATCCAGCCTAGTGTTTTCTTATCACCAGCCTAACCGGATCCAGCCTAGTCGCATCTCAAAAAAATTCCCGTGCTTGTCGGAAGTCCGCAGCTGCGGCAGCTTTCTCTCTCTTTTCTTTTCTCTTTCCCAATTTTCTAATTTTTGACAATTAGACTTCAGAAGTTCACTTTCAAAATGCCCAAGCGCAGTAAATTGCTTCAGGCGCTGGATGACCACCGCGGTCGCGACTACGATGCTGAGAAGCAGAAGAAGCAGGTGAAGGCGGCGGCGAAGAAGAAGGCCGCGAAGGGTCTGAAGGTTGAGGTATGTTCTTTTGGGTTCTGTTCTTGGGGATGAAGGTTAGCGATTATAGATTAGACTGGTGCTGACAACTTGCAGGAACCTTCGAATTCGAAGTCCAAGAAGCAGGCCGCTGCTGAGAAGCCCGCCCCGGAGGAGGAGGATGAGTCCGACGAGGAAGAGGAAGAGGAGGAGGAGCAGGACGTGAGCGTGGTCGAGGACAAGGCTAGCGACAACGAGGAAGAAGACGAGGAGGAGGAAGACGAGGAAGACGAGGAAGAAGAAGAAGACATCCCACTCTCGGACCTCTCCGAAGACGAAAGAGAAGACGTCGTCCCGCACCAACGCCTCACGATCAACAACTCCGCCGCCATCAACACCTCCCTCAAGCGCATCTCCTTCATCACGCCGAAGACGCTGTTCTCCGAGCACAACTCGCTCGTCTCGCAAGAGCCCATCGAAGTCCCCGACCCCAACGACGACCTGAACCGCGAACTGGCCTTCTACAAGGTCTGCCAGGCCGCGGCCGCCTCGGCGCGCGGTCTGCTGAAGAAGGAGGGCATCCCCTTCACCCGCCCCGGCGACTACTTCGCCGAGATGGTCAAGACGGACGAGCACATGGGCCGGATCAAGAAGAAGCTGTTCGACGAGGCCGCGGCGAAGAAGGCGGCCGCGGATGCGCGCAAGCAGCGCGATCTCAAGAAGTTCGGCAAGCAGGTGCAGGTGGCCAAGTTGCAGCAGCGACAGAAGGAGAAGCGTGAGACTTTGGATAAGATCACTGCTTTGAAGAAGAGTACCCCTCCCTCCCTCCCCTGCCGTTCCTCTTCCATTTGGATTTATAAAAACTGCATGCTAATGAATCCCTTGTCCAGAGCGCAAGGATGACACCTCCGGTCCCACAGATGACACCAACAACCTCTTCGACGTCGCCATCGACGACAACAACCAGCCCGCCGGCCGCAAGCGCGGCCGCGACGAGACCAGCGGCCCCTCGATGAAGCGCCAGAAGAAGAACGAGAAGTTCGGCTTCGGCGGCAAGAAGCGCTTCGGCAAGAGCGGCGACGCCGCCTCCAGTGGCGACATGCGCGACTTCTCGGTGAAGAAGATGAAGGGCGGCGCGAAGAGACCGGGCAAGAGTAAGAGGGCGGCCGCGAAGGGTCGCGGTTGATTGATTCCACATGTACTTATTTATTTATTCTATTCTCGCGCTGTTTGTTTGGGTTTGGGAAATAAAAGCTGGTTGTTAGGCTTCTCTGATGGGAAGTGAATGCCTCTGTTTGATCATAGTCTTACGCCTGACCTGAACATTGGATCTACTGTAGACTTTCGGGTCTGGTGTTCCTGTATATGTTAGCCATGGATACGATCCCAGACCGAACTGGCTGAATAGCAATCCTCGATTCATCTAATAGGTATCATCCGAAAGTAAAGTAGCAAATTCGTATCACCCATGATCCCATAATCAACAACGCCTCATCTCAACTGACGCCTTTTGCGTAATCTGCATGCGCATTCGCTGTCTTCCCGTCCCGTGTTGTGTCAATTATGCATTATCCGCTGCGTAGGCTTAGGTCCTAGACTTGGATGCAACTCACTCGTACCCTAGTAATAATAGAAATCTGGTAGTTGATTGAACCAAGAGAGCAAGAGGGAGGAAGTGGGTGAAGGACCAGTGAGTTGCTCTCGGTCTGAGGAAGCCGTCGACTATTTATTACTTATGTCCCGATTCCATTGACTCCGTTGGTCTCGATCGGTTCGTCTGTTCCGCCGGTCACGTTGGGAAGTTGGCTCAACGTCCCCATGCCTTGGATGTGGCTGAGGAGATGGTCGACGCTGAAGCCGAAGTTGAGGCGTTGCTCGGAAAAGACGAGGTCGACCTTGGCCTTGGTGTCGTCGGCATGGGCGAGGGAATGGTCCTGGATCAATTCCTTGGCCCGTTTGGTGCTGCTTTTGTAGATGACTTTGTCGCAGCCGCGGATCTGGCACATCCATGTGTCGGATGGTGCGTCGTCCCCGGTGGGTTCCGCGTCGGATACGTCCTGGTCTGCGAGAGAGACGGAGGTGTTTCGGCTCTGGAGGGTTTCTTGTAAAGGGGTCTTGTGGATCGGGGTCGATCCCGAGTCGGAGAGGATGGAGCGAGTGCGGCGTTTGGCACGCGTGGACAACGGATCGCGGACCAGATCGTGGCCGCGAACTTTGCTCGGGGTCTCGAAATCATCCATCGTGTCCATGTTGGTATCGGACGCGTCTTCTTGATCGGTGGCGACGTTCCTCGTGCGCTTGCCGGTTTGCTTGGTAGCGACGGAGCTCTTGGGTCGCAGGACTGACTTCCGGACTCGACGTTTTCGCTGCTTGGGTTGCTCCTCCTCATTTTCATTCTCGTTTTCATTCTCGTTCTCATTCTCGTTCTCATCGTCACTGCCTTCTCCGGGAGATTCGACGTTCGTAGTCCGAGGCCGCAGCGGAGTGAGAGCCACGTGCTCCAGGCCATTCTTCTCGGACGCCGACTTCAGCTCCCGGTAGATGACCTTGCGAGACCAGTCAAAGTTCGACGTCTTGGCCTCATCCATCAGCTCGAGGATGATCCCGGCCCTGGAAGCGATCAGGTCTTGCGCATATTCGACACTGTCCAGCTCATACTGCCCGACCATAGTCGAAGCGACAAGATCGAGATTCAGCTGCCGCTTGGCCAGATGGCCTGCCTCTTTAAGATCCAGAACGACCTGATACACGGTATCTGCTTGGGCTTTGGGGACCACGGTGGGATCCAGCGAGTGGGTCTTTCCCGACTTCTTTCCCGACTTCTTGCCCTCGACGTCTTCCTCATTTTTGTCGGCCGGGTCTTCCTCTTCTTCCTGAGGTGGTTCCTGCTGGGCTTTGATCTGCTCATACGACTCCTAACTCGGACGTCAGAACTGACAGTCTGGATAAAGGAAGGGGACGAGGTACCGGGAACTTCTCGCAGAGATGCCCAAAAACACTAGTGCTGGTCCACTGGACTCCTTCTTCGCCCTTCAGCATCCGAGAAAGTAGAAAGGTATGGTGTTTGTAGAAAACTTCGGCTGAATCGTCGGCATCCTCACAGATCCCATGGGTATGATTCACGTACTAGTTCCCCCACTCCATGTATCAGCCACCAGCGCAGTCGCATCCATTGTCAAGCACACTCACCTCCTCCAGGAGATATTCGACGCTGGGGTTCCAGTTCTTTCCCTTGCGGCGCTTCGACTGATGCCTATCGGCCAGGAAGTAGAACAGATCGATGGCCTCGACCACGTCGTTGAACATGGGCCGGTAGCCCCTCGCGGGCGAGATGGAGAACCAGCCCGCCCGTCCGGCCACCCAGAATCCCACCTCGCCGTCATTGTGTTGGCCGTAGGCAAAGTGCGTCACGTTGTCGAGAACGATGCGCTTCGTCAGGTAGTCGGGGTCCAGAACTAGACCACCAGCAGCACATCAGTCAAGAGTGGAACCAGCAGACAGGCAGGTAGGCCCTCACGTACCTAGCTTTTCCTGCTCCTCCTCCACCTCCTCCAGGGTGCCTGTCACCTGGACCGGATTGTCTTCGGACGCCGCGAGCAGGTTGGCATAGCGCGATTTGCCGGGGACCAGGACTCTGACCTCGGCCAGGCTGAACTCTTCCCAGTCGTTCTCGTCCGTAACCGACGGGTTGCGGGCGGCCAGAACACTATCTTCTCGCGAGGTCATGTCGCCGGGGGCAGCATGGTGCCGTGGCCGACACACGAGAGGAGATCAGATGGGGAGCTCGCGAGGCGAAAGCAGAGCGAAATGCAGCGGGGATGGAGGGAAGAAGATGAAGGGAAGAATTCCAGACGACGTCGAGAGAGAGAGAGGAATAGACCCATTACGGGAGTCGTACGCCGCATCGGTAACTTACGCACTGTGCGGGGGTAATTTACGCCGCCGGGGCGTTCCCGCTTGTATGAATCTTACGGCTTCTTTGCGTCTTCTTTTCTTCTTTTCGTCTTCTGCTTTTCTTCCTGCAGCTTCACCATTGCCTTCGTTCTCGCTCGTCCTTCCAATTCCTCCTCTCCCTGTTAATCGCGACCGATGAAACTCCGGCGCGGCCTGAAACTCTTTCGCAACACCATGTCCGGAGAAAAGATCTACGAGGGTGTCTTCGGTATGCTACCCTGGGCTTCCTTAGCTTGACGGCGCAAACTAACCCCCTCCTACAGCGGTCCACAAGCCCCAAGGGGTCAGCTCCGCCGATGTCGTCCGCCACCTGCAGCGCAACTTCAACCGATCGAAACTATTCGAGCCCTGGCTCGAGACCGAGCGAGCCCGACGCGAACGCGAGAGCCAGTTCCAGCGCCGCCGCCGTCGCCAGCAGGCGCTGGACGTCAAGATCGGCCACGGCGGCACCCTCGACCCCATGGCGACGGGCGTGCTGGTGGCGGGAGTCGGCAAGGGGACGAAGTTCCTGAACAGCTTCCTGGGATGCACGAAGTCGTATGAGACGGTGGTGCTGTTCGGAGCTGAGACCGATACCTACGACCGGTTGGGGAAGATTGTGCGCCGCGGGCCCTACGAGCATATTACGCGCGAGGCGGTGGAGAAGGCGCTCGAGCAGTTCAGAGGCAAGATCATGCAGCGGCCGCCGATTTTCTCGGCGCTGAAGGTGAATGGCAAGCCGATGTATAAGTATGCGCGGGAGGGCAAGGAGATTCCGATTGAGATCCAGGACCGGCCGGTCGAGGTGACGGATATGCGCATGGTGGAGTGGTACGAGCCCGGCACGCATGAGTACCAGTGGCCCGAGGTGGAGGCGGAGGGCGAGGAGAAGGAGGTTGCCGAGAAGCTGCTGGCGCGGGACGCCACCGTGTCGGTGGTCTCGGAGGCAGAGGGCGCCGCATCGAATGAGCAGCCAGAGGCATCGTCGACGAAACGCAAGTCCCCGCCGCCCGCCGAAAGTGCCGAAGAAGGCGCCGCCGATGATGCAGCCACCCCGGCCGAAGCCCCCACGTCGAAGAAGCAGAAGGTCTCCGCTGAGGGTGATGAGGCTGCCGCCGAGCAGCCTGCCAGCCCGTCGCAAACGAATGAGAAACCCGCCCAACCGCAGCCGGCCGCCGTGAAGATCGTCATGACCGTCACCTCGGGCTTCTACGTTCGCACGTTTGCCCACGACCTGGGCAAGGCCGTCGGGAGCTGCGGTCTCATGAGCTCTCTGATCCGCACTCGCCAGGCCGACTTTGAGCTTGAACCTGAGAAGGTCCTGGAGTACCAGGACCTTGAGGCCGGTGAGGAAGTCTGGGGGCCCAAGGTGAAGGGCTTCCTTGACCAGTGGGAGAAGAAGAGGGCGGCCGAGGAGAGCGGCAACTGATCATCCTTTGTATAATAGATATACCCAGTCACTTGAAGTGGCTGAAAAGTTTAACATTATCTGGTACAATTTAATCTGCAAGACAAACTTGCAGTTGTGAAGAGCAAGGTGTGTTGCCGATTTACTATGTTGATCAGACTTACGTCGTGCCGGAATATGATATGGTATTCTTGCTCCATCTTGAAGGGTAGCATGCAGACCACTCCCCCCATATCCTTGAATCGACAACCGGTTGTGCTCGATATCCTCTGCATTTGGGAATCCGTAATCGAGATTGATGTCGACGCCACATGTCTCTGAGTCGAGTGCGTGCAAGTCGCCGTCTAAAAGTCCTGCAGTTCGTCTATACGATACAGTCGACCGCCACGCCTCGCGGTCCGCACAAAAGGGGCTCGTAGCGTCCGTACGAGCTCGTATAAGCGTCGGACATGGTGTCAGCTGGGCGGTATAGATGATAGCCATGCATGAGGATAAACATGGCGATAGGATAGTTCCATGCATCGGGGCTTGGGGCGTGGGATTCATTGACTCGTGCGACCTGCCGACCCGATGGCGATACAGAAGCACTCGTCAGCATATACACTGAATGAGTCTGCCTCATCAATACCAGCCCAAACAAGAGACCGGCCAGTTGCGTACTTCGTACTTTGACCACAGTCGGCCGATCGCTGCAGACGGACTTTCAATCTCAACTAGCAGTCAGCGGCCCTTCACCTCTAATCATTCTCCATCGATTACTCGAGCGAATCAGCTCGTCGCACCCCTCCACAGCCCACGCCCACTTGCGCAGGAAACCCGGCGTGACCTCCCAGCTCTCCATCCGATACGGTTCTCCCCAGACGATTAGGCCGTTGCGAGACGTGGTAACCTCGTCGTCCTCGCTTTCAGATATCACCAACTGACCAGTTCCATCCGGGGACGGGGACGGGGACGGTGGTGTTTGAACCATCCCCGAAGACCGATATTTCTTCCCATCGACAAGGTCCCCGACCAAATCGTTCACCATCTCAGAATGATCATAGCACAGATCCCACAGGACCAGGTTCTCTCGCATCCGCGGGAACGGAAGCACGCTGATCCATGTGGAATGCGTCAGGTTCATCTGCAACTCAGTCGGAGCAAGGCAGCCCGGTAGATCGGACGTCGCGGGGAATGTCACTGCGTAACTGGGGAAGTCGGCGGGGCTTAGGATCTTGGGGTGGTCGTCGTGGTCCGGGACTAGAGATATTGCTGTCTGCGATAGGATCTCTTTGTTTCGATAGAGGGCGCGGAAGACGTTGTAGTAGATTAGGTGGAGGAGGTGGTCGGCGGATGGGGAGCTTTTCCCGCTGATTGTAAGGTTGGCAGCGTGTTGGATTATGCTGGTGTTTACTTCTAGGTTTATGCTGTGTTTCTCGTCGGATGGGGGCTTTGAACTCCAGTAGGTCTTAACGGCTAGTAGGCGATGACCGCATGGTCTACTGGTCATATCTGGTGCGGTCTGTGCAGATCGAGGCGATTGATCCTCAAGTCGCCAGCGATGCACCCGATACGGCTGTCTCGGGCCCTTCGTGTTTCCACTCTGCTCGTTCCTGAGCCCTGACCACGGTGAGCTACTGAACTATGAATGACCATGTTGGGAGCACTTACGACGTGCCCTTTGGTTCAATCGATTCTGGAGCCTCTTGCGCTCCTTTCTCTCGGGGTCTAATATGTTCCGAGCCATTTCTTTCTCTTTAGACTATATCCAGAAACAAGGAAGAAGAAGAGGAAGAGGAAGACAGAACGGTTCAAGCATGTTGGGAGTAGAAACAGCCCCACGCTAGGCTGAATCGGGTAATCCTGGTCAGCCCTCGGCGCTAGACCGGATCTGGTAATAAGTGTCAGCCAGAAGTATGAGGTTTGGAGTATCGAGTCATGGCCTAGATGGAGGCATGGGAAGGTATAAAGAGGCGTGGATTTCCAGGAGTGCTGCTCCCAACAAGACTTCAGTTCATCTCTTCTCAACTTCATCTCTTCCTTTCTCTAAAACCAATCAAGTTACATACTCCCAATTAACCACAATGTCCACCACCACAACCCCCCCTCGCCCAACCGCCCTCTCAATCATCCAGTCGGAAAACATGGCCTCCCGTCTGACCGACAAAGTAGTCGTCATCACCGGGATCTCCTCCGGCATAGGCATCGAGATCGTGCGCGCCCTCGCAACCACAGACGCAACAATGTACCTTCTCGCGCGCGACACACTCAAAGCGCAGCACGCTCTCGGCGCCATCTTCAACCCCTCACGCATGCACCTCGTGCAGGTCGACCAGTCCTCGCTATCCAGCGTCCGCGCCGCAGGGTCCTACATCCTCTCGCGCACCCGCACCGTGAACATCCTGATCAATAACGCGGGCGTCATGGCTGTTCCGGAGCGGCGGGTCACGGAGGATGGAGTTGAGATGCAGTTCGGGGTGAATCATCTTTCGCACTTCTTGCTGTTTCAGGTGCTGAAGGATGCGATGCTCGCTGCTACGGAGCAGGGGGAGTTCTGTTCCCGGGTTGTGAATGTGTCGGCGTCGGGACATCGCATTCATGGGCTGAACGCCCCCGGGGAGTATGGTTTCGAGAAAGGCGGGTATGAGCCCTGGAAGGCGTATGCGCAGTCCAAGACGGCGAATATATACATGGCGAACGAGCTGGAGAGGCGGTATGGCGGGGTAGGGATCCATGCGACGAGTGTGCATCCCGGGCTGGTGGATACGCCGCTGGGACGGTATTTGCCGGCGGAGCATGTGGAGGCGATGTTGAGGAATGAGGCGGTGATGAGGGCGTTGAAGAGTCCGGAGGAGGGGGCGGCGACGACGGTGTGGGCGGCTGTGGGGAGGGAGTGGGAGGGGAGAGGAGGGAGGTATTTGGCGGATTGTAGGGAGGCGGAATGGGGACCGGATGACGGGGATCGCATGAGTTCGGCGTATACGGGGCATACGTATTGTCCAAGGGAGGAGGGGAGGCTGTGGAGGGATTCGTTGGAGATGGTGGGATTGGAGGATGTTGAATGATAGATTTAGTTTACGTTGTCTTGTCAGATTTGGAGATCAATGTGTTAGGTGCTATCCAGTAACTAGGGCAAAGTTCAGTACAGTTAAACAATAATTGATAGGTATATAAACAATAAATCTACAAACAATTTCACAACGAAAGTCATACATACAACCGAATATCCATGCAGGTACCTGCCCACGAGAAATCCATCAGGCTAATACTCCATGTGCGGAAACCCTGCCTCGTCAAACAAAGTGCCGCGTGCCTGCACCATGGCCGAAACCTCTAGAAGAAACTCGTACAAGATCACAACGTTGGTGAGCACGTGTCCGAGGGTAGACACCTGGGGCTCCTCGTCGGCGATTGCGCTCTCGTCCTTGTCTTCCTCTCCCTCCGCCTGCGTCTCCTCTTCTTGATCAGGTGCCTGCTCCTCTGGCGAGCTCGTCTTGTTTGGCTGGTCGAGATGGAAGGGCTGCGCGAGTCGTTTGCGGAGTTCCTCCGCCGCAGTCACCCGGGACGCCGAAGAGTCACGAGATGGCGGGGAGTGGTCGGAATAGCCTACTGGAGGAGCTCCCACCGTGGCGCGTCGTGGGGAAGATCCGACGCTGTGTTGGGCCAGAGGCCGCGATGATCTGCCACGAGGCGATCCGAGGTCATCTAATGGTGCACTTCGCACGGCTCGATCGGTCGGGGGCATAGAATGCCGCGGGGCCCCGCTGGAGGTTGTCGCCGGCTTGTCTCCATGGTGAAGCAGGTCTCGCCGGGCTGCGACGAGTATGTCAAAGTCCGGTATATCTTTGCGCCATTGATGAAGCTTCTTCACAAGGCCCTTCAACACGCCCGTCAGGGTTGGGGTGTCGGATTTGGACCATGCAGGCTCTTCGTAGGCCAATTGAATCTGGTCCAAAACATTCGTCTGTTCATTTTCCGTGTCCTGATGGCCATATTTGTATTTGGCAGGATCCACGAGCAGCCAGCCATCCAAGGAGAGGAGGTGCGAAGACGCAATACTCATGAGAACCTCCGTTAAAGCCAGATTGACGATGACACTGTTGGTGAAAAAGTTGTCCAGACAGTTCAACAGCTCCTCCACAATGGGGTCATCCTGTTTGATTTCGAAAGGAATGTCCTCCTCCGGGTCGTCATCCTCGGCTGGTGGGAGGCACAGGTGAGATTCCACGATCAAGGAGGCGTCCTTCAGATAGTTCTCGAAAGAGTCGTCCAACGTAGGCTCGTCGAGAATGGACGTCGCCATCCCTAAGAATTGTCGTAGTTCTGCGTTGAGGGCGCCAACCGTGCGCTGCTTGGCGGGCTGACCGGGAATAGTCCGGATAAGAGATCGAGCAAAGGTGTGATGTCTTTGGAGAACGACTGCCATTAATCGAAGTGTGGCCAGAACGGTTTGGCGGTTCGCAGATTGCATTCCAAGTAATGCCAAATCTCTCAGATTGAACAGGGATGGCGATGGTCGTGCCGCTTCCTCGGAGAAGGCAGCCAAGACGTCCAATGATTTCCGTCGACTGACGGACATATCCACGCCTTTACCCACCGGCGTCGACTCGAATCCCGTTGGGGAGGCCAGCAAGAAGTGAAGGATTCGATGCACCAGGTCATCCTGATCTATCGACTCTAGAATACGATACAAGTATGTAAGGACCGCAGCTGTGGAGCCTCCTTGGACGTCCGACGACTCCAGTAGAGATGGGTATCTGGAACAGTTAGTAAGATGTAGGGACTAGTCAATCTGATGCTTACAGAAGCTGTTCGAGGAACAAGACCTGGAAATGATCCAGCAGTGTACCATTGACCTCGGCAGACTTGCAATGATCGATAGTATCTTGCCAAAACAGGAGGTACGACATGAACGAGTCCATCGTCACACCCAGCGACGGCGGAAGGGCCGTGTATTGGTTTCCATGGTCTGACAACGCGATGATAGCCGGGACCTTTTCCTCCGGCGTTTCGGTGAAGGTCAAACTGCCAGGGTCAGACTCTTTGTTCTTATGTCCTGTTCGGTAGAAACTCACCTTCCCAGCTGACTATAAAGCGCACCCAGGCCCGTTGCCATCAACGTCGCCAGATCACTATCAATCAACCATCTTTCCAAGGCGTTGGATCGAGATGCCGTCTCGATGAGATACAGCAGCCCGGTGCGGGCAAAATCACCCGCCCGGCCAGCATGATGGACATATTCCACCAGGAGATAGAACAACGGGAAATCATCCTTTCTCGTCGCACCGGCAAACTCGGCCCCGCTTGAATTCTGCCGCTCGCCGTCTTCCTCCCCCCGCGGCGCGAACCAGGCCGGGAGGATGTCCGGCTGCAAGCGAATATTGTTGGCGACGCCGAATAGCAGCTCGACGAGCCTCCCCTCGACGTCCTCCGAGCTCTTGTCTGCGCGGCGAACGAGATCCACCAGGGCGCGTGCGAAAAGTCTGTTATCTACCACGCCGTCGACTTCGGAATCAATCAGGGTGTTGAAGAACACGGTTGCGGAACGCAGCATGGCATCATCGTAGGAAGACAGGGCGAGTTTGGTGACCGTCACGAAAATCTGGGAAGAGGAGGCGTAGGCGAGGCACGGATGGGGAGCAGGACCGCGGGATTCATCGCTGAGCACGGAGATCAGCCGGTCGACGGAGTTGCGCGCATGGGTTGTCGCAGACTGGTCGCCCGAGGGGGTGTTGGTTGAGCGCCATATTTGCTGGAAAATAGACCGGTTAGCGTCCCAGACACGGACTCATCGGCAGACATCTCACCTGTAGAGTATTGCACGTCCGCTTGAACGCCGCCAATCGCTCTGTAGGAGACGTCGCCCGAAAGCTTTTAGTAGACAACGAACGGGAGCCGCCAATTAGACGAGACCACTGCTGCGCGTTAGCTCTGAGTTCAGGGGTTCTGTGGGCGGCAATGGAAAGGGCCGCAGCAGGTCGACATACAAAGTCCATGATTCCGTGATAACAGCATGATACTACTCTGAAGAAAGAGACATGGTCGGCGGGCGTGGGGAGCAGATGACGGAGGCAGAGGAAGTGCTGCAAGGGCAACAGACCGCCCAAAGCGGACTAGCGCCGAGCCTGGCCGAGTCGGGACTAGCGGCCCGTGCCCCTGTCTGCCTGAGGCCGCCTCCCGTGCTCGTGCTCCGAGTCGCGCGTCTGCCGAGGCTTATCGACACTCGTACGGGGTCCTTTCGATGTCTACATTCCAGTGGGAGGATGGGTTTGAACAATCAAACTGTCGGAGACCCATAGGCCCCGAATCGAAATAGGAATACCAATAAAAACCAAATCACAAGAACTATGGTATGCACATCGCGAGATGCAAGCCCAACCGCGCCCACCACCACAACGCCAAGAGAGTATGCGCCCGCTCTCCATCCCGGTCTAAAAGATCGCCCATCAAAATCATTCACAAATAGAAGAGAGAAGAGAGAAAACGTGAAACGGAAGCAGAAGACAGAACGGAGGAAGTGTCGCGTCGCCGAGCCTAGTCGCTGTCGTCCTTCGGCTTGCGCCCGCCACGCTTTCGTTTGGGTTGCTCGTTCTGGTCGCTGCCGTCGTCGTCGTGCTTCCTCCCCGAGGGCTGGTCCGGCACCTTGGCGATGATGTCGGCCAGGAAATCCAGCACCTCGTCCTTGGCCACGGCTTGTTTGAGATGCGACGCGGTGACGCGTTTCGAATTGCGATCCTTGGCTTCCTTGGCGGCTTTTGTGACGAGGGAGATCATGAAGAGTTCGAGTGCTTTCGCTGTGGCAATCGTTTAGCAGACGTGAAGAAAATCGAGCCGGAAGACGCGTCGCGAAGAAAAACAAAACAACAAATCGATGGACCAAAGGGGATAGCACTTACAAACCGCAATTGGGGTCACTTGGGCCACCTTCCCGACATCCTCGTCCGCCTGCATGATGCGCTTGATTCGCGCGACGGGAAACTTCGTCTTCACCTCGACGTTGGTGATCGGGGCGGCCGGTTCGACGGGCGCGTCCGGCTCCACGGGCGCGTCAGGGAGTTCCGATACTTCAGGGACTTCAGGGACTTCGGGCACGTCGGGCTCGACAGGGGACGGCGGCTGAGGAGGCTCCTCCTCGGACAGCGCGGGCTCGACGTACCGGGACTCGGGCACGGGGGCGACCTCGGCGGCGCGCGCGATGCGGGAGGACCGACGAGCCATGCCGGCGGGATCTAGATTGGTCGGGGTGAACGGGGGGAAGACCTGGGGAGGGCTCCTGGCCAGCGGGGCGTGAGGCTGATGGTATTGCGGGGTGAAGAAGGGCGAGGCGTCGTAGGAGGCGCGATGAGCCAGCGGACTGGACAGCGGGTAGACGGGGTGCGTGACGGCGGGCTCGAGGGGGGATTGCAGGGAGGAAAAATCGGGAGATTGGGGTCGGTAAGAATTGTCTTGATCTGTCATTGCTAAGTGGGTTCTCAGCGAGGGCTCTCTGACCGGCGAGGATGCGCGCGTGCGCCAAAGCGGAAGTCGCTAGTGGAAGAAATATGGGGATTGGGGCGTACCTTGGTGTCCACCAGCACGAAGAGGTTTCAGATGGGATTGGAAGATTGATTCCGATTAGGATGGAGGGGAACTACTCCGGAGTAAAGGGGATACGGGGATCCGCGAGGATGTCGGGAGAAATCAATGCCAGGCGGGCGATTGAATGCCAGTCCAGCAGTCCAGGGACTAAATAATGGGAAGAAACCAGAAGAGTAAGAATGACAATAATAAATAAAATGGTCCGAGCTCAGTGCGTGCGCAGAATGGCAGGCCGTGGCCACAAAGCCAGAGATGAGAAGGACCGGCCGCCTTTTCTTCCGCAGAGCAGCGCGGCGCCCTTTTTAACCCCGTCGCCCGCGCTAAAATCTTTCTCTGGACAACTTCTGCAGTCTTTGTCTTGAACCATTGAATGCACTCACAGCAGTCTGATGCAGATGTCCTTTTTTATATTTTCATCTTTCATCTTTTCTATATCCACATTTTTCAATTTCTCTATTTTTCTAATTCTCCATCTCCATCTCTCTCTCTCTCTCTCTCTCTCTCTCTCTCTCTCTCTCCTGTATACTGATGAATTCATCGCCACCCCGTAGACTTTGGTTCGTCCAGCCTGCCGCTGATTGGATCCTTGCCTTCACTCCCGTCCAGGAGATGGTCGATGATGTAACGAAGATGCCGGTACCGCGTTTCTTTATGCGTTCGTATTCCTATGACCAACGACGCCAGATGATGATACGATGAGCTCCCGAGATGCTGCCAGGCAGACGGATGACGCGCCGAGACCCCGTGGTATCGCCGTCCCCGACTGTCATTTGCAGCAGCATCGCTGACGGTGAATAACTTGATCTAATCTGATGCGCGTCCTGGTCTTTAGTGTAAAGTTGTCTTTTACAATACCAGATCGTATACTAGGGAGAAGTAGAACTACCAGTAGTGAGCCTAGTACTGTATAGCCTACTAGTATAGTGTAGGCAACCGTCCTAGGCGCCATCTGATGACTCGTCTGACATGTCCACAACCACCGGTCGCGTGTGATCGACAGGTGCGGTCGGCCACACGTTCTGGTCGCGATTAGCTCGTAGGAATCCAGAACCGGTGGAAGCGTTCTACTCGATTTCAATGCCAACGCTCGACCAACGGCCTTGCAGCGAGACGCAGGAGCTGCCGCAGTCGGAGCCGACGTTGTTCCGTTCCGATCCGCCGGCGGCTTTTGCTCAGGCAAAACGTCGATTCACTTGCGACAAGACAAGCCTTCCGACATCTCGTTGCTCGCCGCCGTAGGCCATGGGTATTGCCTTTTGATTGATGGCCCCTCGAGTCATGTCGTCTGCCTTTGCCATCTTGGCCGCCTTTTCGCTGTCCTAAGCCTCGCTGGCTGATCTTTGCTTTGCAATTCTTTCCGCTGCTTTCTCGCCCCGATCCCGACGCTCCTCATGGCTGCGGCCGATCCGCCTTCGGGCTTGATGGAGATTGCTAGGTATAGTATTTCGCGGTGACGGGCTGCTGTGTCGAAGATCCGATGGCTAATTCTCTTTCCCTCCAGCTCCCTCACGCAGGAGGAAATCCCGTTCAAATTGCGATGCGCGATTTGTAACAAGCTCGCCGTGAATGCGTTTCGCTTGCCGTGCTGTGACCAGGCCATCTGCGAAGGCTGTATGTTTCCCATCCTGATTCGTCCTTGGATTGGGTCTAACGAAGAATGTAGGCCAAGCATCGCTTCCCGAAACATGCCCCGTCTGCGCGCATACGCCTCTTTCCTCCGACCTCTGCAAGCCGAACAAAGCCCTCCGCACCACCCTCAAGGCCTTCCTGCGCACCGAAGAAAAGAAGCGCGAGAAAGAGCGACAGTCCGCCACGCCGGCGGTCGCCAATGGCGCGACCCCTCTGGAAGGAACCCCCGCGCAGCCAGATGCGCCAGCCCCTCCCGATGGCTCCGAGGAGAATGCCCCCGAGGAGCAGCCCCAATCCTTGCCTGTGACCGACGGTCTTCCGGATCAGCCCCCCATCGAAGCTCATGCCGTGGAGAATCAACCCCATCATGCGGAGCCCGGACAAGAAGGCCCCGAGGAGACTCCAGCTCAGGTACGCTCACTTCCTGGCGTTGACCTGACCGATTTGGCTGACTCTGTGTGAACAGGGCGATCATCCCGAAGCGTTGCCTGCCGATACCGCTGACCAGGCTGATGATGCACCACAGGGCGAACCGGCCGAAGGTGAGGGAAATGCCGAGAACGCGGTCCAATCCGTGGAACAAGAAGTATCCCAGGATCAAGGACCGAACCCGATGGCCTCCAACGGTATGGGATTTAACATGGGTCCCGGAGCTTTCCCAAACATGGCTTGGAACAACAATGGAGGGTTCAACCCGATGTCCCAGCAGTTCATGGGCGGCGGCATGTTCAACTTCCCGAATCCAATGGGTTAGTACTTCTTTCTTCTACGCACAACCCAAGACGATCACTAACAACATCCGACAGGAATGCCTGGCATGGCGATGGACCCGATGGCCGCGAATCAGGGGATGATGGGAGGCTTCGGGATGAATATGAATGGCATGAACAATGGCATGAATATGGGCATGAGTTACGACGCGGGTCAAGGGATGTACGGGGGATGGGACGGCTCGCAGAACAATATGTGGAATGGAGGCCAAGATAAATTCAATCCAAATGCTTTCGCAAATGGTATGGGCTCGCAGTATGGGCCCCAACCTGGATTTGGCGGATATAATATGTCTCAACCCAACGGAGTTCATGCTCAAATGCAGCACCAGCAGTTCCCTAGCCAAGATTTCCAGTCCGGCTTCCAGGGCTCTGGTTTTGGCAGAGGTAATTTTCGAGGTCGCGGTCGGGGCTTCTTCGGTGGTCGTGGTCGAGGCGGTTTTCCCGGCTCCGTGCAGGCTAATTACCCTCCTAATGCTAACTACCCAGCTTATGCGAACCATAACTCCCCTAGTGTCCATGCCGACGCATCCCCGTCTCAGGACGGCGTATCTCCGGACATGTCGGGGGATGCTGCCATGGCGGACGCAAAGGAGGTTGACGGAGCGGACGAGAATCAGGGCAGTGAGGAAGCCCACCAGATCCCGTCCTCCACCGATGTCCCCAGTGGCGCCGACGGCAATGCGGAGGGTGTTCCAACCGACGTAGCCGGCGAGGCTACGGGAATGGAAGAGGACTCCTCTCAACTTCGTGGTATACCGACTATCGATAGCCTCGACGAGGCCAATGCGCAGGCGATGTCCGGCGGCCCCATGGGTATGAACGGTCCCATGGGCCCCGGCTTTGGACGAGGTGGCTACATGCGTGGATCTTTCCATGGCGGTGGTCGCGGTGGTTTTGGTGGTCCTTTTATGCCCCAGCCTAACATGCACCAAGTCCCTAGGGTCGTCCCCGGCGTTGAAGGTGCCCCTGCCGCGCCTCGAGCCATGCGCCAGGGGCTTCCTAACACCAGCGTCCTGCGCCAGCGAACTTTCCAAGGACCGGGGCGATCTCCTATCCCCAGGCCGGATGCGTCGCACAGGTAAGACCTTTTGCTCCAACACCTTCGTCCTAGTATTGACAATTCGTGACAGTGCTACACCCGCAGCGCAAGAAGACCAGCAGCAGCAGTTCGAGCCTAACTCGCGGTCCCAATCTCGCGCGAGATCTCCATCGAAACCCCGGGATCATTCCCGTTCCCCTGCCCGATCTCCCTCGCACCATGACCGCGCCTATCGTCAACGCTCTGCAAGTGGCGATAGAAACACCGATGACTCCGAGCGGAGACGCGAGCGACGCAGAAGGGAGGAGAGACATGAAGACCATGCCGCTCCCAGAGATGACCGGCGCACTCGGTCCCCTTCTGTCGAGTCTCGAAAATCGTCCTACCGTCGTGATCGAGCCCGAGACCGACGAAGCGATCGTCGGTCGCGCCGCTCGCAACGCCACAGTCGCAGCCCCAGTCGCAATGGTGACTCGCGTGACGCCGACCGTCTCTCATTAATCCCCGAAGAAAAAGGCACCAACTCGCGAAGCAGAACCCCGGCTGCCGGGGATGCCGTGGAGTCTTCGAGCCGACGGTCCGGACGGGATCGCCCCAGTCGTCGCGAAGAAGAGCGGGAGAGAGAAAAAGAAAGCAGACGTCGCGACCGCGATCGAAACCGCGATCGTGACCGTGAACGGGATCGAGACCGGGATCGGGACCGCGACAGGTACCGCGAACGAGAGCGAGACCGTGACCGAGAAAGGGACCGGGATCGCGACCACCGTCGGAGCCGCGATAAGGATCGTGAGCGCGACAGGAAGCGCTCTCGTCGCGATCGCACTGCCTCCCCGGCCGACAGCGAATACTCCTCGCGCCACCACTCCCGCCGCGTCAAGCGCAGCCGCGACGACGATCCTCGTCCTAGCGATCGCGAGCGCACCAAGGACAAACCCAAAACCACCGAAACCGAGAAAGATCCGCACACCCTCGAGCGAGAAGCCCGCAACCGAGAACGCCTGCTCAAGGAACAGCAGCGGCGCGAAGCCATGCACGCCGACGGCAGCGGAGGAGGCAGCAAATCCGGCCGCCGGCGCGACAGTCGCCAGGAGCGAGCCCTCCCCGGCGGTCGACGACTCAGCTACAAGTACGACGACGAGGAGAACGACGATGCGCGTGCGGCCCGTGTGGAAAACGAGCGCGAGGCCAGCCGTTGGGCATGAATGCCCCTTGTCTCTTTCTCTCCCTTCCTTCCTCCCTCCCCCTCCTTTTTCAAGCGTACCAAAACAGCATATAGAAAGACGACGCATATGTCTGGTCTGGCATGACGCACCTCTTCCTCCGTTTTGCATGAGGGAATGTCTTGGCCTGGAACAAATTGCCCGGGGTAGATTTCTGGGACCGACGGAACCATATACTACGCCCTTTACGTTCTCTGTAGATATCCGGTTTTGTGGGGGATGGATAGCTCTAGATAGGACAATTTACAGATTCTCAATCTTTGGTTTATGGTAAATTGTGGTTTGGTTCTATTAAATGGGTTGCTTTTACGTTTAGTTAACAGACCCTCTGGGCTTATTGTTGCGTCGTACGGTAGTCGGGGAGTAGGAAATGTATGTTCATGAAGGCCCGTCTGAGGCTAAACGGGTAGTTCACTTATTAACCATTAAAACCAACACCGAAAGGAATCGACACCCTGGGCACGTAGAAGAAACTCCACCCGATGTATTGGCCACTGGTTTTGTAAGATGAAGGGAAGAAATCCCTGGCAGGTTGTCTAAGATACTGCGTACTGCGGATGGCTGGATCCTGCGCCGAGCTCTCTGGATTTCCGAAACAGGCAATCTTCATCTTCTCGCGGCGGGACGTCGGCCAGGTGTTACAACAGGAACCATCCACTCTACAGCGGCTGCCTGAGAGCGTCACTAGACATGTCAAGTAAATAGGCGCTACTCGTGGTCTTTGCTTGAATGTCTCGCTAAGCGTGGATGGAATAATTGGTAACAGTGGTCTTGAAACAGCACATCAATGGATCAAGTCTCATTCGCTTGTTGATCGGAAAGTTGGCGTCTCGCCTTTTTGGAATACAGTCTGTGGCTTCGTCTGTCACCAGAGCCAATGGACTGGGGCTGGATTCGATGTCTTTTGCTCTTAGGGCTCGTTGTATCGTGCCGACTCCGGGGATCGATGCTTTCTGATCGCCGGCTGGGGTTTGTTGTGTATCATTGATAGGCGTGTCCATTTGAAGGGCCAATGGCAGCCTCACACTCGTTTCGATAAGCCTGGGCCTCTCCAGTGCCGAAGAGAAGAGTAGACAGTGCCTGTCCCGCAACGGATCGGTCAATGCCTGGTTTTGATCGACGCATGCGTGATTTTGACCAAATCGCGGGAATTCGTGGCCCACGGAATGGAGAGGAAGGTAGGCAGCGGGCTTCTGAATGGCTGGATGGCTTAGACAATGTTCCATACGGAAGGGAAAGGATCAGCTCGGTGGCTAGAAAGACTCCGGGCTCGCCGCCTGGCCACGATTCCATCAGGTCTGCATCATGTGCATACCGTAGATGGGTTTCTTCAAATGGAGACGCCAGAGATGGTCACCAGAGTAAGGCCGTGGATTGGCAGTCTATCGTAAGATAGATGGAAGCCGATATATTCATACATTAAATGGCTATGAGACAAGGAGCTGGTGTGTTGGTCTTGTGTGTATGACAAACGCTCGAACAGGGGTATATTGCCGCTTAGACACCTGGATCTTCCCCAAGTCAATTGCCAGAACCTCGACCTTCAGGATAACATGCCTGACTTCAACGGGTCACCATCATCTGAGTTGCAGACGGAGAGATAGTACACGTTCGTAGCTGTTGTTTACATAAAAGGACGACGCTCGGGAACCAAAGATGGCCACAGAAGCGACTACAGATGATTAAAATGACTCTGAAACAAACGGAAACAGAGGACAGACAGCAGACAAGGATTATACGATAATAATGTCAATAATTATGAAAAGGGAGCGCATCAGGGAGAGACAAACCCGTTTGCCCATCTTTACTGCTGCACCTCAGTAGCCCCTCCATCTTCTGTATCAAAACAATCCCGTCAACCAATTTGAAGTCACCCAGTGCATTTGCATCATCCGTCATCTGATTGTCTATCAAATACTACTCCAGCTCGTCTTATCATTCTGTACTTCGGCGATCTACTCCTAGCCCCATCTCCCTCTCCCTTTTCAAAGTTGACTTGCTGTATAATCCTTTCATATTCTCTGTACAAGATGAAAAAGGCAATCTGGAATGCGCAACAGCCCACCGAAACCAGCCAGTTGGTTGAATTCCTAGCAAATGGCAAGATAACTGACTGTGAACGAGAAAGCAAGGCACTGCAGGCGCTCAAATCGCAGATGGTCCGACTGTTCAAGGATGAACCGCAACAGGCCTACTGGGAAGACGCGTCAACCCTTTCCAAAGTCGTCACCGGGGCGGAATTCTGCGACATCGTTTTCGGGTTTTCGAATGCCATCGCAAAGGATAGCGCGAACGGATCGAGTGTGAAGTTGGGCTTGCTTAGGTGCTTTGCAAGTTGTCTTCGCCAGAAAAAGCATGAGATCTCGTATAACGGCGCGAAACTCGGAGTAGCCCTGGATGGCCTGAACAAGCATCTCACCGGAGCAGGTCGATGCGGCGACCTCGACACTGAATACCATCTAGTCAGCACGATTGGCATGCTGCTGGATGCAATGGTGGACATGGAGATCACCGAGATCGACAGAGAGTCGTTGCACGAGCCACTGAGGAAGAAACTTCATGGCTTGTCGGGCAGCAAGGAGCCACGCATAGCCCAGGCCGCGAGCTATGCCCTGCAGGCTCTGCGCAGGGTGCCCGATAATGAGGCCCCATGGGAAGCGTTCTTTAGACATAGTGGCACAGCCATCCAGGCTATAGCCACTATCGGCAGTGGTGTGGCCACATTGAACCCCCAGAAGTTCATTGAGGCTGGTCCTGACGTCCTGAAGTTGCTAGCCTTCTTCACTGACGTCGCAAAAGGCGGCATGGAGATCTGGGATACCCGAGAAGACCTCAAACAGATCATTGAGGCAATGGTTGATGTGTCGGCGCGACGAGGTTGGTACGATGCCCTTCGGCAGACTGTTTTGTTTATCCAGTCGGGAGCGTACAATGGGTTGAAGAAGGCCATGCCAGCACTGAACTGTTTGAACAAGGATATGTTTTGGTGTGGCCTGTATTCTCAGCTTGAAAGACAGTGGATCTCGGACGAGTCCTCAAGGGAGAGCATCGAGGAGTTCATTGAGTGGACTCTCGATCAACCATATTTGCACAAGATCCGGTCCAAGAAACAGCCTGTGAAAACCTGGATCGGATTGATTGCTGATTCGGTCGGTCGACCCCAATGGAAAGGGGTCGAGCCCACGAGAAGATGTTGCCTGCAATGCTTCTCTAGGTCGGACAAGAAGCCAGAGATCAAACTCAAGTCCATCCCCCAATCGAACGGTTCAGAAACGAATAGTGGTTCCAACCTGCTCAAAGAAGCCATGAGGCACTGCGCGGAAGCCCAGCTATTCTATGCAGATGCCACCGTTGCCCAATACTATATGAAGGAACAGCTGCTTGTCATCAAACGCCTGTCAGGAGATCCAGTGCCGATGGAGAGCTGTTATATCAACCTCTCACTGATTGAATGTCAGACGGAGAACGAAAAGCAGGGAGAAGAGTCTAGATTCTCACTGTCAACACGACTTCAAGCCGAAGGCCCAAACCTGGAGAAAGCAGTGCCTCTACAAGACCTGTTTAAGGAGAGAGCACTGCGAAGTGGTCGTTGCGAGAGACCTCGTCGTGTTCTGATCCGGGGTCGTGCCGGTGTGGGCAAAAGCACACTATGCAAAAAGATTACCCACGCGTTTCTCCACAACGATCTGTGGGCATCTTCCTACGATCGAATCATCTGGGTTCCGTTGCGAAAACTCAGAAACCATCTGACCTTCGAATGCTTTCTCGAGGGCGCTGTCTTCAAAAGTGCGCCGAGAAATGACAATGACGTTCTGTGTAGGGCATTGAGAGAAACCCTCGATGACCCTCAGAATACCCGAACCCTGTTTATATTCGATGGCCTGGATGAGATAATTGATGCCCAACCCAAACCGGATAGCAGCATGCTCATTGACGATCTGAAAGAAATTTTGAACCGGAAAGACGCCATTATTACGTCTCGACCACATGCCATATTTCCATCAAGACTTGATGCATACGACCTTGAGCTTGAGACGGTGGGATTCAGCGACGACCAGATATCCGATTATGTAGAGAGTTTCTTTTCCGATAGCGTCCAAAGATCGGAAGTAATGCGATTCATTGAATCACATTGGGAATTCAAGAGCCTACTACAAATCCCTATTCAACTGGATGCTTTCTGCTACACCTGGAACGAGTTTGCCATCCGAGAGAAGCCATTGACAACGATGACTGCTCTATACCAGGCCATCGAGATCAAGTTATGGCGCAAAGATATGGTTCGAATGAGCCGAACAGTCAATGGCGTGCTGTTGACCGAACACGAGGCTTCTAAAATTGGAGCTCTTGGACGGATCCACAAAGTGATGGGCAAGGAGATCGAATCCATTAGATCACTTGCATTCTTCGGGTTACACAACAACATCGCCGAATTCCGATGGGACGCTCGAGAGTCATTCGATTCACATAACGATGGATTCACTACGCTGGACGGGGTTTCCTTCATGCGCAGCTCGGACTCCGCCCTCGATCCCCGGGACCAAGACTACTACTTCATCCATCTATCCTTTCAAGAGTACTTCGCCGCGCATCATTTTGTGCATTGCTGGACCCTGGGCAAAAGCCTAGAGACCGTGGATCTGCAATCCGGGAAGGTGAACATCATCTCGCCGGCAGAATTCCTCAGCCAAGAAAAGTACAACGGACGCTACCACGTCATGTGGCGATTCGTTGCGGGAATTCTGGCCGGGGAGGGACAGGGACACCTGGTGAGGTTTTTGCAGCAGATCGCAGCAAAACCGCGCGATCTGCTGGGAAGTGCCCACTGCCGGATCCTCATGCATTGTTTCAACGAGATTAGTGGGGTCGACCCAGACGACGACTTGAGGCCACTCAGGGAAAACATGGAGGCCGAGCTATCGCAGATCTTCCTATTCGAAAGCAAAAAGTTACAGGGCCATGATGAATTAATCGGACATGAAATGGAGTTTCCTGAACACATCTTGTCGACCTTAATTGAACAAGGTGACCCATATCATCAGCACCGTGCTCTACGGACACTCTCACTGCGCTGTCACATATCCCCAGAGGTTTTAAACCAAGTGCTTTGCTTCGCCGACTCAAGAGAGCCTGGGCCGAAAGGGGACGCAGAGCAAATCGTTGTTAACAACCTGGGATTCTTTCCGGACGCCGTGGTTACCCGAATTCTTGGTTGCCCGAGATATATCCCCGGTTTCCAGTATCACCTGGCAACACATCGATCATTACCCGAGCAAACGTTGAGGGCAGCAATGTCCACATTCAAGAACAATAATCGAGCCGCGAGTACTCTGATTGGAAATCAACGTCGCCTCCCTCCCAGTATTGTTGACGACCTAGCTTCCTGTCTTACCCACAAGGATCCTAGTTATCGCCGACTGGCTATTGAATCATTGAAGGGAGAGTCCTTGTCCAACAAGGCCATCATCGGGGATATTGCAGCCAGAGTAGACGACCTGGATGATGATGTGAGAGTCGCAAGTTTGCGCACTCTTTCTCATCACTCCGATCTACCGCCCTCCATTTGTGATCTCATTGTGCCCAGAGCACTGATGAATTCCGTTCAGGATAAAGACGAGATGGCTTCAGCAATGGGTGTATTAGAAACCCAAGATATCCTGGCGCCTGAAGTGATTGAAAAAATGTGGCAAATGATTCATTGCGAAGAGAAGGAAATCTCGGAAAGGGCGATTAAAATCCTGCTGAAGAACGGCTCCATATCTCCAGACGCATGGATAAAAGAATTGAACAGATCCCAGTCCAAAGACGCCCTTGCAATTAACATAATCCGGGCTTTCTTCAGTCACAAGCTATCCCCACCCGAGGATATTCTGCATCGATGCGTTTCTATTGCGCAGTCTGTATCGTCAACTGCAAAGCTCGCAATTTCGGCTCTCGATAAATGCCAATCGCTGCCAGAGGATCTCTTGAATTCGTTGCTACACTGTACGGATTCTCCCCGATACCATCAGATCTTGCACGTCATTGGATCCCAAAAATCCTTGTCGGAAGATATTGTCAATCATATCGGCACCCGAATCAAAGATGAAAGGGATAAGCTCATGCGATGGCATCTGACAGGTGCTTTGGCCTCACAGCGGATGTTACCTGATGGAGTTCTCCAAATTATCGCCGATAACATTACGAAGAACGGTATTCTTGGGTTCGGGGCCAAAATACTGTACGAACAACAATGGCTAGCGCCTCACATGCTGGAGTCCGTGATGCCTTTTGTTCTTTCGCCGAGTTGGCCCGAGAGAGAGAACGCAATTCGGATATTGAAAAAACACGCGGACTTTAGAACACTTCTTCCACGCTTGGGGAAAGAATACTGGGTCGCTATCTTCCAATCGCTTGCACGCGAGCCCTTGGGCCAAGGCGATCCCTGGATTGTGAAGGGGGATTCCTTGCATGTTGTTTCGCGAAAACGGTCCTGGTCCGTCAAGATCGAGCAGCCCGAGCAACGTCAGAAATTGGAAGAGGCTCTTAAGGCTGTATATCAAGATATTCAAAATTCCTTGGGTCCTTCTTGGAATAGGCTTGGATTCGGGGCTGTGGAGTGGGAGAGCTTTCTTTGAATCTCAGTATTGCGGCTTTATTTAATTCTAAAGATTCGTCCCAATCTCCGTAAACACATTCTTAGCGTACAAGAAAAGAAGGCTCTCGTGCTTTCACCCGGATGAGAGTCAGACGGTGCTGATAAATGATTGAGGATAAGAATATAACTGTAGAGGACCATTGGTCTCACATGAACCGTGATAAAACCTTGAATGAAATCCCAGCTACCGCTCAAATGACACCAGCTTTGGCCACCCAGAAGATGTAAAGCTGATCAAAAACCAAGGCATCGTGACAATAACCGGCTTTCTACTACGGCCCATTCAGGTCTTGGATTTGATGACGCCTGTCAGCGTCAGTGCTCCCCGGGTCACCAGCTTGTTATGACGCTATAAATTCTAGAAGATAGGTAGGAGACTGGACATCGAAAAGAACTAATTAATCACATCACGCAGGCAGTAAATTACCAAATGCCAGAAATATGTGGACTCTCTGACTCTTCTATTGCAGTTCTTAATTCACGCCATATATCTTGATTGCTTTATATCATTACCCTTTCATGCCCCTGATTCATTGACAGAATAAACCAGGTATAAACATACCGGGATAGGTCCCGTAGAAACCATTCAAAGACAAACGTTCTCATAGCTGAGCACAAAGCCTCTTTGTATTAGTTAATAAGCTTAAGGATTGTTCCGACAAAGGAAGAGTAGATCTTTGTGTGCAAAATCCCACTTCATTGTTTAATATGCTAACTCCCTTACAGAATTGTGGATCTCTGACCTGGTATTTCCTACCGTGAAGATATAAATAGAGCCTTAAATACACTTCAAACGAGCATATCTATCCTCTGTTTATCTTTGCTGACCCATTACCGCGGAACCTACTACATCTGCTTTCGAACGCTACTACTCGCTCTTAAAGCTAAACAACCAAAATGAGCGAAAGAATTACTCTGCTGTGGCTGACTATTGAGGTGCATGTTCGTTGTCGCACCAAAATTCAACTGTATGACTATTTTCTGCAGGCTCTGGAACAGGATGAGTTCACAGTCACGGACGACCTATTTGAACTCACCGACCGAAATATTGTTGACGTTGCTCACGAGCATATCCTTGAAATCCTAGGGAGAGATGATATCCCCTTCGCCCAACAATGGGACACTATTCGACAGACGGCCAAAGATAAAGTCCAGCAGCTCAAGGAAATCGAAGAGCGTCGACTTGGGCCTCCGCCATACGAACCGTCTCAATCGCCGCCCCCATATCAACCGTCTCAATCGCCGCCCCCATATCAACCGTCTCAATCGCCTCCCCCATATCAACCATCTCAATCGCCTCCCCCATACCAACGTCGCACAGAAGGAGAGTGAATGATAGGTACCATGACACCCACTTGAATCGTTAATCGCCGATCAAGTCGGAGTTTTTGTAATGTGAATTGCTTGAAAGGTTGTGTTGATTTGTTTTCAGGATTGGCTGTATAAGTTCAAGATGCAATGTTGGAGTTGTAATCTTCATTTTCGTTAACTTATCAGTGGCATATGAAATAGAGTTGTTGAAACTACTGATTGTTCTAAACTCAAATTGATACATTGATTATGTTTTGATTGAAATTAAAATTTAAAACCTCCTTCAGGCGGACTTCGACTGGCGCTCAGTCCATCCCAATCTTAAATATAAGTAAAGCCTTTCTTAATACATACTCTTATGACCAGATTATATAATGTGGGATTACGCGGTGCAATGAGTAGTTGGTTTCAGGGATCAATTCAATTTATTCATGATCAACGAGGTGCATCTAAGGTCCATCTATATGAAAGAAATGGATGCATTTATACTGCACCACGTGGGATGGGACCCTCCGGTAGGCCTTCAGCAATTCCGTCTCGTAATACACGCTGATTAATATCTTCATAAAAACAACGGAGGCCTCGGAAGACATCAATACTGGAACCATCATCCTGATTTACCTGGCGGGTATTAATAGATAGATCTGTCACTTCTAGATGATATGATATGAAAAATCTCACTGACGTTCATTGATATGAACCCTTGATGTACGAATAATATCAGTTGAAATTAGCCGATGCGCAGTCCAAAGACAAGCTAGTATACATCGATGAGCCTTCACTTTAACACGCTGGGCTAAATTCTGCCAACACCCTATTTCCGATTGAGCCTGTTGACTTTCGTAGCATGATCGTAAATAAGCTTCTTCGCTTCCTCGCTAAAAAGAATAGTCAGCATTGATCCAGCGCAGAGCATCAGGGAACGAACTCATCAAGGAAGATCGTGAAGCCGTCGTCGTGATTCCGCCCATAAGAATACCCCGAGTATCCATACTGCCAGTACATATCCGACATCCTCTCCTCGACGCTAATGCGCTGCCATCCGCCCACAGCCTCCAGACGAGTGATATTCGAAACAGTCCCCAGATTCGACATGCGTGCTTCCGGCGTGAGCCATCCTACTCCCGCCGTTAGACCATTCCACGATCATCTCAGACGGAGCAGACAAACATACCGTACTCCTCATGCACCACCGGCTTCTTCGCCCGGCGCATCGACTTCGCATGGTCCCGAATCCACTGATCTGTCCACTTCACCGTCTTCGTCCACCAGTCCGGATAGGAGTGGAACGTGCCGAAGTCGATGTTCTTGAGGCGCAGCTCCGCGTCGAAGTCGCCCCCGTCGGACCCGTTATACGCCCAGTCGTCTGAGTCCCGGTTGAATCCTCCCTCTCCACCCCAGGTTACCAGGTGATACGGGTCCAGCTTCTTGATGTACGTGCTCATCTCGTCGATCCACCCCGTCAGCAGCTCCGGACTGCACTCGTCGCTTGCCGGCAGGTTGCGCACGCCGTCCGCGCCGCAGCGCGGCTCGTTCGCTAGCTCCCAGGCCATGATGACGTTGGAGTCTCTGTAACGCGTCACCATCTCTTTGACGTATCGCTTGTACGCGGCCTTGATCTGCGGCAGACGGTAGAACTAGAATCGAACAAACAGCCTGCGTCAGTTCACCACCAACAACCGGAAGAGAGTTCACTCACATCATCATGATACCTCCCGCCCAGATTCACCGTGTAAACATCCATCCCTCCGTAATCGGCCCAGTTGTTCGTCAGCGCCACAACCAACTTAATGCCCACTTTCTTCGCGGCATTGACCACCTTGTCGAACGGCTCCAGGTCGATCGTCGACGTGCCGTTCGCCCACCACTGGAACACGATCTCCGTGTCTCCGGCCCCTTCGCCGCCGTAGTCTGGTAGGCCTCCGGTGACGTGCGTGCGGTTCTTGTCGTTGAAGCCCCAGGTGCGGAAGGCCTTGAGTCCGGCGTCTTTAGCGGCTGCGAGGCCGACTTCGACATCGTTTTGGTTCTGTGCTGTTAGCGTCCCGGCTGGAAGCATATCGTGATCTGAGAACTGGAGAGAAAACGCACATTGTTAAAGGGGAAGTAATACGCATTGCTGCCGGCGAAGTAGAAGTCCTTGCCGTCTAGTTCGAACTTGGTTCCTGATGTTGTTACGAAGCCCGCGGGAGCTCTGGGACGGGCTGTCGCCCCTGTGGCCAGAAGGCCGAGGAAAAGGAATTTGGATAAGTCAAGAAGCATTGTGTTGCGGCACTGCCAATGTCTGTTTTACTTGAGCTGGTGGAGTTTATGGAATATTTATGTCGATCCGGAGCCTTCATTTCGCACGGAGAAATCCCCGCCTTGGCTGTTTGCTTCTCCGCACCGGATTTGGAGCAATTAATTTGGCAGACATATGGTTCGATGTCTGCAGGATGGAGAATAGATTGATTGTTTGGACAGTCTTGGTGCTAATTTCACAATGTATTCTTGACAAAGCCATTGACGCTATTGATGTGTGCCGAGCTGCAGTGTGCGATTAATACTTCCTCCTGAGACACGGCTGAGTAGTATATCGGATTCAAGTCCAAGCGGTCGCTTCACTGAAACTTAGTAGACACGTCTGATCCTTCGGACGAGAGGCAATAATCTGGTCATCAATCGACATGTCGCCCTTCATCTCCTCCGAGACCGTAGTGGTGAACTTGCTGTAGAGTTCACGTAGGAGGGTCTTCATTTCAACCACGGCGAGACTAGAGATCATTAGCACTACAGTCCACATCCAATAGAAAGTAGAAAAGGGAAAGAAAAACATACTTCCTACCAATACACCCTCTCCCACCGGCCGCAAACGCAAAGAACAGTCGGTTCCTCTCCAACTCCCCCTCCTGCTCCAGCCACCTCTCTGGCCAATATTCCTCCGCATGGGGAAACACGCCCTCATTAAGCCGATGCACGGAGTATGCTTGACAGCTGACAATCTCGCCTGCGGGAAGAGTATATCCTGCGATCGTTCGGCCGTTCAGCGGTACATATCGAGGAAGGCTCATAGGGATCGGAGCGAACAGTCTGAGTCCCTCTTTAATCACCGCGTCTAAGTACGGTAGCTCGTCAGTCTTCTTATCAAGGTTTTGACGAGCCTCGTGGCGGAGCTTCTCCTGGATACGTCGCGACCGAGGCAGCGACAACTCATGCATTAGGAAACACAGACTGTCGCCCGTGGTCTCAATACCCGCAGCCATATGGTCCATGCATTCGGCGGCCATCTGGACACGCTCCAGATCTGCGGATTTGCTCTGCAGCTTGGATAACAGGGAGGAGTCGTGCGGTTGGGAATTGAGAGTTCGATCGAGCACGAATTCTTGAGATAGGAGCATTTTGCGTGGTTGGTAGAAGGTCAGAATGGTGTTGAGCCAGGGCCAGTAGTGCTGGATGACTCGCTCTAGAAGGGTTTAGCCAGGGTGGGACTTTGGGAGTGTTAAGATCTTACGTTTTAGGCTGTCGTGGTGAGATAGTTCTTCCATTAGCACCACGTCTTTTTCATTCAGGGTTTGAGTTCCCCCGGGGTTGAAGAGGAAGTGCGATGCGCAGTCCAGTGCGTAGCAGTGCAATGTTCCCTGTATCGCGTCAGTCAACATATCTTCAAGGGCTATGGTGATGACGATACTCACATAGATATCGAGGTGGCCGCCAATTGACGCTCGGCATTTAGCCACGACCTGTGCTGCACGCTGTCGGATTCCATCCATCACGGGTGAGCTCACAATGTTGGTCATGGCGTAGCGGTCTGCAAAAAGCCTTCGGCGCTGGGAATGCTATACAGTTGTTAGCGAGCCGAGTAATCATTGGTCTGGACGGATGACCAACATCGTGTTTATTCAGAGTCGAGAACATTGTTCTATTGTCTGAGTTAGCTCTGCTATTTCCCTAGTTGAGATGTCATACCGATGATTATACTGCCTGAAAAGACCATAGAACTCCGTCTTATCATAGCCACTCCCCCCACTTTGGTAGATCTCCTTGACGCCGTCCAGGTTGGAAAAGGAGACTTCGTTTGGGGCCAGCCGAACCACCGTACCATAGGCCTTGTGTAGATTATGGATCCAGAGACGGCGATTACGAGTGAATTCATGGTACTTGAGCACCAGACTGGTGAGCTTGGTATACCATGGTCCAGGGACTGCGGTGCGATGGACCCGAAGAGTGCGGAAGAACAAAGAGAGGACGGCGAGCAGAGACAAGAGGTAGAGTGCCAGCATTATGGAATATGTAACTCATTAGAAGAAACTAACGACACTTCTCTGGGGAGAACCTGGTCTTTATATTGAGGAAACCTCGGATTCTTTGATTATCTCGAGCATCATGCACTAGTCCCGATCCGGTAAGTCGAGGAGATCGGCTTATCGTGCATCCTCCACCAGTCCAGCCTGCACTAGGAGCTGATTTACCGGCCATTGAGCTGCGGAGGATTACTTCCCCGGCATCTTCTCCAACCGCTTCTCCTCAAAATCTAACTGACGCTCTCTCATCACGGTCGCGTCATGAAAAAGATGTCAACAAGTCCAACAAAGACAAATCCACCGCCGTGGCCTCCGATCGTCCGTCTCTTGTCCCAATTAATCATCTTCAAAGAATGAACGGACTATCAAGTGTCGAAACAGACTCAACGAAAGGCGAATACTGTGGTCGAGCCCATTCTTGTCCGTTAACTGCCTACCATCAATTTCCACCAAATTCCAACTGACCTACTAGTGTGAGTAGTAGGCTACTACTCACCGGCTCTTGTTATATTATCCGGTATCCCATCACCCAAGATCCAGGCTGTTAAGCCACATTTCGCTACTATTACATCTATGAGCAGATTGTCTCAATGGCCTGTTGTTCTCGCTCTTAGACACTCGGTAATGGCCTTCACAGCTCTCATCGCTCGACTCTTGCATGGAATCTTGCCTAATTCGTGCTGGAAGCTATGATACTGGATTTCTTCGACCTGCTCTTCACTCCTGCGTCATGGTTTGGAGAGGAGACTGCGTTGCGTACCCAGTCTGCTTTATTCAACCCCTGTCACTGCGCGATGTACTCGGGAAAAGTCGATTCCTCCTGGTGCGTTCCCGTCAACGGCAACGGATTATTTTTCTCATGTCCGCCAGGCCCCATATTCCTGCCATTGGCCATGGGGAAGATGGCACGAGTTAATTCAAGCCCTGGTAGTGGTGACAGGCCTCGCAGTCCTGGGTTAATATCTATTGCAGACGTCTGGGAGAGGATAGGTTCCACCGGGATGTCTACACTGAATTTTAAACCGGAAATGAACCCATTCTTCACGCAATTGACTCTGCCGTGAATGTGATATTGCTAACGACCAGATACACTACTGGATGAGTCCATAGCACTATTGTGTGAAAAAGTTGATCGACGACTTGGCCATTCTCAGTCGCCACCCTTGAGCCCAACGGACCAGAATGAAAACTTTCCAGAGGATCTGCATGAAATACCCTCGAAGCTAGCCAATGTCTCGAGCACCTGGGCGACTGTCAACAGCCGGACCTATTCGCAACCGTCTCAATTCTGATTTTCACTTCCATCCGGATCCAGTCCAGCGGGAAACCCGCCGGCAATCATGAATCATGTCTCCACCGGACTCGTCTCGAGGTACCCACCGCGCACATCTTCAACTTTATACACCGATTCCAACTCATAACTTGACGTCATGCCCCGGTGATTACCAATCCTCTGCTGTTTTTGAGACCTCAAAAACGGGGACACCCCTGTACAGGCCAGACATTGAACCCTCTCTATTGGCCTTTTACAATCTCATACCCTGCACCGAAGCACCCGCAATGAAAGAAATCATTAACCTCGCCGGTCCAACGGTGAACCTCATCGACAGTTCCATCCCTGAGCCCAACGATGACCAAGTCCTGATTAAGGTCGTCGTCAGCGGCTCGAACCCGAAAGATTGGAAATGTCCGGATCTAGCGGAGATTCCTGATAGTTTTATTCTGAAGTTGTATCCTCATCTAAGCGAGGGGGTCAACCAAGGAGATGATATCGCCGGGGTGGTGGAGAAGGTTGGGAAGAATGTGTATGAGTTTAAGGTATTTCATTCTGCTCGCGTTCAGAAATCCCCTTGGTGGTGGAATCCGGATGCTAACGACATCTATAGCCTGGAGACCGCGTCGGGGCCTTTCACGAAATGATCGCCCCGGGGGGATCCTACGCTGAATACGCCCTTGCTTACGAGCATACGACGTTCCATCTTCCTGCGAAGACGTCGTTTGAAGGTGCGAAACCCTTCTCACCAAGTCAACTTCCCCAGACCAGAAGAACAGAAAGACTAACCCCCCACAGAAGCTGCAACCATTCCCCTCGCTGGCCTAACCGCCGTCATCGCACTGTACCACCACCTCGGCCTCCCGTTCCCGTGGAAGCCCGCGCAGAGCACCATCCCCTGCGTCGTGTACGGCGGCAGCACGGCCGTCGGCGCCTTCGCCATCAAACTCCTGCGCCGGAGTAACGTGCACCCGATCATTGCGGTAGCAGGCAAGGGAGCCCCGTACGTCGAGCAGCTGCTAGACCGCAGCAAGGGCGACACGATCATCGATTACCGCGGAGGATCTGAGCAAACGATCCAGGGCATTCGCGACGCCCTAGGCGGAAAGGAACTCCACCATGTCCTCGACACCGTCGTGAACGAACAGACGACGCAGATCCTGAAATCGGTCATCGCGGCTGGCGGGAACGTCAACGCCGTTCTTGCAGGAGACCGAGACGTCTCTCCCGGCGTGGCGACGAATACGGTCGTGTCAGGCGCGCATGAGGTCGGTGGGGACAATGACTGTCGCGAGCTTTGCTATTTGTTCTGTCGGTGGTTTTCGAGGGAGTTGCAGCACGGGTTGAAGGGGGAAAGAGATGCGTTTTCGGGTCATCCGTATGAGGTGAGGCCTGGGGGGTTGCAGGGGGTGAGAGATGCGCTGCAGGATTTGAAGGATAATAAGGCTTCGGCGGTTAAGTATGTGTTTCGCATTGCGGAGACACCGGGGTTGTAAGTTCGATTGGAAGGGGTGTTCTATGTAATTTTATATTGTAGATGGTGGTTAGAATCCATGTACAGTACGTGATTTAGTTCTTTTCCTCCCTGAAGGATCCATAGTCCGCACATCATCAGATATTATATTCTTGACGAATATCTAATCCTCCACCGCTACAGCTAAGCATGATAAATATAAAGCTACACCTCTCGCCGACCACTATGTTCCGCCACATCAACCACATACTTCTCAAACCCGCGACTCGACACCCTCCTCTCAAACAGAATATCCAGCTCCTCGAACGTCCGTCCCTTCGTCTCAGGGAGACAAAAGAAGCAATAAACCGTACACAGCAGACTCAGACCCGAGAACAAAAACCCAAGCTTTCCGCGCCAGTTGCCCTCGTCCTCGTTCATCGCGTAGGGGATAACCACCGAGAAGACCAGCGACATGATATGGCAGGTCACAGTGGCCAAGGCGATAGTCACGCTGCGCAGCTTCGCAGAGGAGACCTCAGCCAGCAGCACGAAGCAGAACGGACCGACGGTGAGGTCGTAGATGAAGTTGCAGACGAGGATGAGCGCGCACTGGGCCCAGACGGGGGCGGTGGTGCTTGTTCTGGGGGCGAGATCTAGGGCGCCGATGACGAAGAGGGCGATGGTCAGGCCGGCGCAGCCCCAGAGGTAAGCTGCTCGACGGCCGACGTACGAGAGCAGTGGCCAAGCGATGCAGGTGCCCAGGAAGCCGATGGCGGTTAGGCCGACGTTCATGGAGAAGGCGTTGGAGTTGTTCAGCCCGGCCATCTCGAAGAAGTAGACGGCGTAGTTGATGAAGAGGATGTTGCCTGTGAAGGCCTGCATGTCGTAGGCCATGACGCAGATGACTAGTCGACGGAGGTTAGGCCCCCGGAAGCAGGTCAGATAGCTCATGCGAAGGCTCAGCTTCTCTGTGCTCTGTTGGAAGACGTCTTCCAGCCGCAAGGTCTCCCGTATATGAGCCAGTTTGAGGCTCACGTCGACGCCAGGTGTGGCTAGTCGGCGTAAAGACTTCTCGGCGGCCTCGTAGCGGCCTTTCTTGCAGAGCCAGAACGGGGGATCCGGGCAGAAGTAGATGAATGCCAGGATCACGACGGGGAGGATCCACTGCGTGGCGATGGGGATACGGTACGCGAAGCTGTTGTCCAGACTATCTGTGCCTTTGAGAATCCCTGACGCGATGAGCTGCCCGACGACAAATCCCAAGTTGGTCATAGACGCAGCGAAACCACGCAGAGAGAGTGGCGTCACCTCGCCCACGTACGCGGAGGCGCAAATGGGATAGAAGGCGATGGTGATGCCGTTGAGGAGCTCACCGACAAACAGTTGAGGGGAGGAGCTACTGAAGAACTGGATGAAGAGAATCGCAATCGAGAGCGACGAGCAGATGGTCATCATCAGACGCGGCCCTAGACGGTCGTAGGCCCAGCCAGACAGTAGGGCGCCGACGATGCCTCCGAGGGGATTCGCATAATTGAAGGCCGATACCCAACGCGCTGGCACGACGTAGTTTCCTTTGTATTCATAGCCAAAAGTTCTTTTGAATGGCTCGAGACCGACTAAGGAGCCGACAATGCCGCCGTCCTGGAGTCTACATTAGATCTGGTGATGAGAGAAGAAGAAGATGTTTACCTACCATGCCTTTGAGAATAGTGGCCTTGAAATAGAGTCAGCACTCAAAACGATAGCACGAGTATAGCAGAGAAATACCAGGTTGATGAACATTGACCACACCACAGCCGGCCAGTACAGACCCATCGCATCCCAGAATCCAAGCGAATGCTCATACTCCGTGAACTGGAGACTCTTCTCCGCTTCTTCAGTGATCGACTCCGACGCGGATTTCGAGTGGACCGAAGTTCCATCCTTCTGGGCTCCTGATTCCATGGTGAGGGTTGCAATCAAGACGATATGACTTCAAACAACAATTCCCTCGGCCAGGGAGAGACTTAAATACCCAGGCATTTCCATGCCAGCACAAGACAAACCCCGAGATATTCGTGCCTAGATAGCCACCCCAGTCTAGCTGATAAGCTCATCCTGTCAGAACGAGGCGGTTTATCATCCTGGTCGTCGCGAAGGATCGCGCCTTTCCCTGACAGGCAAGTCGAACAGTCGTGCAGGCTAAAGGGTTAACGCCTTGGCTGTTTCCCCGCAGAATCCTGGTCAATAATGCCATTGACTATCGAAGGTAGATTGATGCATCCTCGTTCCTTTGAATGGAGGAAGGTCCAAACGAGAAGCCTCAGATATAAATACGCCATTCCAATACCCTTCCACCCCGCCAATATCACTCCAACAAGCCTCTATTACCATCCATCCACTATGCCTGAACCAACCACCCCAATCACCCTAATCGAGCTCACGCCCACCGAGCTCGAGTCCAAAAGCATCAATTCGCATAACCTACAGCACTCCCTCGAAGCGCTGCACCGCGATGGCGTCGTCGTTCTCACGAACGCCGTCGACCCAGCGCATCTCGACCGCCTCAACTCGCGCATGGTCCCCGAAGCAAAGCAGCTCTATGCGCAGGCCTCCACCCACCGCAACTTCGGCCCTGACACCGGCAACATCCAGCAGGAGCCTGTCTGCTCGCCCGAGTACATCTTCTCCGACGTCATCGCCAATCCCTTCGCCACGGCGGTGATCGAAAGCATGATCGGCCCGTCGCCGCACCTGCGCTTCTACAGCGCCAACACGGCCTTTAAAGCCACGGCTCGCCAGCCCGTTCACATCGATATCGACTTCGATATGCCGAGAATGCCCTTCGCTTTCTGCGTGAATACCAACCTCGTCGATACGGAGCCGCAGAACGGCGCCACTGAGATCTGGCCCGGGAGTCATATCGACACGGATCGCAGCGTGCTGGACCGGAACTTCTCGCATAAGCAGATCAAACAGGATCTACTAGATGCGAGACGTGCGGTTGCTCCGCCCGTGCAGCCGGCCCTGCCCAAGGGGTCGTTGATCATTCGTGATTTTCGGCTGTGGCATGCCGGCATGCCGAATTTGACGGACGAGCCGCGTGTGATGCTCGTGACGATCCAGTTCGCGAGGTGGTATCGCAGTGAGCAGCGATTCGTGCTGCCTAGGAGTCTAAAGGGGAAGATTGATTTTGGGAATGTGGTGCCGTGCGTGGAGTGGGTGGATGAGGAGTATGATTATTTGCAGGGGAGGCATGATCATGACTTTAGGTTGTTGGATTGATCGTGCACCTAGTTCAAGTATTATTTAGTATATGGATGCGCTGTAGATATACGCGAGAAGCAAATACAACTATCTAAAAGATTATAGGAAGTTCACCTCCCGCCCTCGTCCCCGTAGAATCACCTGAATGCAATCCACCTTCGCCATCCCATCCAGTCCCCCAACGCGTTGTTCCGCATCCTTCCGACGCCAAACCTCCTCCATATCCCCTTTTATGCGCCGCAAAGACGGAAACCGCCGAGAAGCATACATCTGCTCAAACCGATCTCGTGCTAGCTCCCTCTGCGACGGAAGAATAGCCTCACAGCCGGCCGTGAACAGCGGCCACCCATGCGCCGACACCAGCGGCGAGGTCGGAAGGGCCTGAGCCAGCGCCGACAGGCACTGCTCGACGTGCTCGAGGGTCGCGGGCGTCGGGGCCCCGGCGTCGAACCAGACGCGGTATAGATAGATGAATGCGGCGTGGCGGTATGCTTGGACCGTTGCCTCGGTGTCTCTTTCGCAGCTGGTCTTGGGGGTTTCGGACAGTGGGCCCAGTCCATGTAGGGATATCTCGATCGCCGCGGCTGTGACGTGGAAGGAACATACATCGAACCCGGGCTCTGTCTTAAGCTGCTGCAACTGACTGACGCGAGCAACGAGATGCAACACAGCAGTAATCCGCTGTAACCGCACTACATCCTCCACCGCGACAAACCCAACAGACTTCCCCAGTGGCGGAGCGCCCCGGGAAACAGACGACAGGATATCATGGTACGAGAAGAGACTCAGCAGGAACCGCTCCGCAGGCGTATACTGGATCTCTGCGCTGCCAAACCGTCGACCAATCATGGCGCTGGCACCCTGGAGATGGTTTACGCAGTGAGCTCCCTCGTCCTCGTCGAACAGTCGCGTGGCAACTAGCATCATCAGTACGGCGGCCAGCGTCGTCTGCGCTTGGCTCTGCACCGGATCGCAGACGAGTACTTGTAACCGTCGCAGAGCGCTCTGTTGGTGTCGGTATGCCTCTGTTTGCAGGGACGAGTCGTCCATCGAACGAGCCAGATGGTTTGCAGACATGCACAAGACGATTGACTGCAGGGCACTAGGCTCGAGGACCATGGCGCCCAGATGGACGACGAAGGGATTGCGTTCGCTCGGGGCGCCTGATGCAGATAAGAGGCCTGACAGGGTATTCGTCCAATAATGCAGTAGCCTCTTCTCGCTGCTCGCCAGTCCACTCGTGGACAGACCAGGAGACCACAACCCCAGCTCCAGTCCCGTGGCTTCATTAACTCCCCGATGCTGAACCATGGATGTCGATCCCTGAGTTCGAACCGGTCGCCAGCGACAGCGAACGCCGTAGCCCTGGCATCGGATCTCGAGGCGCAGACACCGGCCGCAGAACGGCTTCTGTTCGTCGCATTTATATCCGGCGTCGCGGCAGGTCCAGCATCCGGTTCTTGTTCGCTTCGTGCGCATTGCGGTATTCGGTCTCAGTTGGCGGGTCGAGACTGGAGTGAGGAGTCAGCGATAAGGCTGCAGCTGAGTGGGACGCGTCGATTGTCTGGGCTTGGGATCTTGCCTGATGAAGTTTAGTTTGGCGTGGCAAGCATTAGGGATTTGATCCTGATCCTTTCTTGGTCTGGGCTTGGGCTTGAGCTTGGGGTAGTCGCTGATAAGGCTTTTGTGGTCGATGCAGCAGGTAGATTTTGTTCCTCACAGCTTGTTGAGGCATTAACAGTTGTCTCCGTCTTTGGGGGCGTACTTTTGCATTTCTTGGTTTTATAGACAGGGATTCCACTGATAGCATGTCTTTCATTGGCGAATCCGGCGAAACAAGGTCTACGATGGAACATTTCCATCGCCCCAAACGAGGGTAGACTGTCCGTAGAAATCGAACATCGTGAAAAGAGGCATAATAGACTCCTCTGCGCTGATGTTAATTTGAACATAAACCTGAATGCACTATAATATATTGCCATTCCAAACCCTGTATACGCTACATGAATAGACCTAAAACATCACTCATTCTGCGGATGCGCCGAATGCACCGAAAACGCCCTTGTAGCCAAGATACTATTCAACGGCAGCTCATCCCCCGACTTAAACGCCAGATGCGTCGTCGATTCCCCCGGCCAGTACCGCCGTCCAGACCGCTGCTGCCTCGAGTCGAACCCGCTCTCGCCCGTCTGCCCATGGCTCTGTGACTGAGTGCCCTGCGACGTGTTGAAGCGATCTGAAACCAACTGCAGCAGCGGCCGTAGGGTTGGCAGGCAGGCTGAAATAATCCCCGATCCGACCTCGATCACGCACCATGCGTTGGTTTCGGAGAGGGTCCCTGTTCGAGTTAGTCATGCAATGGATACTGTAGTGTATGGGGGACAGGGGAAGACGTACAAGTCATATCGCTGGGTTGGAACTTGAACAGCGTGACGAATCGGTAGATACTCGCGAAGACGACGCTAAAGAATGAGCCCCGGTCAAGTTTTAGCAGGAAAAACACTTACAAGCTTCCCAGCAGAAAGATACCAATAACCGCAAGCCGATGCGTCAACGAAGCATGCAGCTTCCAGACCTGACGGGCCGGCAAACTCAGATTCGCGATATCAGTCATGATATTCGGCACGGCGTTCCCAATAAACGATCCCTTCAGGTTAATGCAATGGCCCGGGAGGGTGGGATTCCACGTCTTAGCGACGGGCGTGCACTGGAAGATCGAGACAAAATTGATCGAAATGACCCAGGAGATGGTGACGGCGGCCAGGATCAGGGTCGCGACGCGCGTGACCCGGTCGATGAAGATGCGGCGGTACATGGCCAGGATGGATAGCTTGATGATCCCGACGGTCGTGCAGTAGACACACTCCATGCTGATCAGGAGCTGCGGGTTCATGAGCATTCGTGCATCCTGCAGAGGAGCGGACGTACCTTGCTGACGGTCTCGAGATGCTGCGGTGGGAGCTCGGACTTGTGGACACCCAGGCCATGTGCGACCACTGTTCAGGATCAGTTGTTGGTCTGGTCTGGCAAGATGTCGAAGGGTCAAAACATACTGGCTAGGTTAATGCCTAGGACCGCGAAGGTGAAAATCTGACCTAGTCAGCGACTAGAGGCTCATCAAGGGTATAGAAACACCATACCAGAGCCAAGACGAGCATATAATCGTCTATCCCATACGGAGTCCCCCGGACATACCGCGCCACGAAGCGCAGAATCACAAATGCCACCGCCAGCACCGTGATGGTGATCGTTGCACCGCGATTCTCCGACTGCTGGCTGGCAGGCATCTCGGCCGACAACTGACGTGCGATTAAGCAATTCACCGAACGCTGCCTATACAAGGATCACGCTCCCTTGCTAAGAAAGGGGCCTAGGGCATGGCTGAATCCCGACACGGTGTATGCAGTCGACGAGGATGATACAAATTCGACCGTGGGGGCGAGGACGACCTTGGGGTCAAAACCCGATCTGAGAGTTCGGTCCCAATCGTAGTTTGGTTCGGCTGCGTGCTGCAATTTACTTTTTTTTTCTGGTCCTGTTGGCTGGCTGGCTAGTCCTTGGGCCGTGCAATTTCCGCAGCACGGAGTAGAGTGCAGTCGGCCAGGACTATCGAGCGCTGGCCAATAGAACGGTGTAGGCCGCGCATGAATCGCGATCTAGTGGGAAACTGTCGAACTAGTTCAGCGAAATAGATTGATCGCGTGGTTTCCAACGAGTGAGAGATCCACCAAACGCCGAGGAGAGACAGACGACGACGGCCCGGTGTCTGGGGAGCCGAAACATCCGCAGACTTCCGAGCATTTTTTCTGACCAAAACCCGGCCGACAGGTGAATTGGTGACTTGTGTCAAGAACAACTTAATCGGCACTGTGTGGGTGCGTTCCAAGGAACCGAGAACTGCAAATGCACCGGACCTGCGCTTGCCAGCCCGCGTGGTGGACCCACGGTGGAGATCGCTCGCCCGTGATAACTTGATAAGAGAGCATTTCCCCCAGCGATCGTCCCATTCTCAACTCCGTACTCCGTATTCGTGCGCACTCCTGCGGACTCGGACCATGAACTCGACCGTCGTTCTCGTGCCGGGCGCCTGGCACCTGCCCACGTGTTTCGACCAGCTGCGCCAGGAACTGCACGCCTTGGATATAGAGTCTGTGGCCGTCGCCAATCCTTCCGTGGAGAACTGCCAGCCGCCGAAGAACCTGACGCACGACGTGGCCAATTTGCACGCCGTTCTGGCCCGCCTGGCCGACGAGGGAAAGACGATCACGCTCGTCGCTCATTCCTACGGCGGCGTCGTAGCCTCGGGCGCAGCCCAGGGGCTGGGTCTCGCCCAGCGACAGGCCGCCTCGCAGAAGGGCGGAATCGCAAGAGTGATTTATCTTGGTGCCTTCGCGGTGCCGGCAGGAGTATCGGTACTCCAAGCAGTCGGAGGCACGGCTCCTCCCTGGTGGGAGTACAAGGTTCGTTGACCTAAACCATAGCTGTCGGGATGCTGGAGACAAAGTTTCTCTAACGCCAAAATCAGGATGACCAAGTCGTAGTGAGCGATCTGCATGCGTCCAACCCAGCGCACATCTTTTACAATGATGTTCCGGTGGAGATTCAGAACCATTGGATCTCCCAGTTGCAGCCGCACACGGCCGCTTCTTTCCAGATTCCCAACACCTACGAGCCGTGGAATGATATCCCGTGCACTTACGTGTTTACCGAGCAAGACAATGCCATCCCATTGTTTGCCCAGAAGGCTATGGCGGGTGGCATGGGAGACATATCGACTGTCAGCTTAGATGCGTCTCATTCGCCGTTTCTGAGCATGCCTAAGAGAGTGGCAGAAGTGATCCGGGATGCGAGTCAATAAGGTACGAAAACAGGAATGATAGGGATGTGAAAGAGACAGAGAGAGAGGAAATCCAGAGTTAGGGCTGGCCTGTCACGGGACTTTCCGGGATGCACAGAATCGACGCCTTTGGATCGGACTCTCATGTCCCGCTCAATTAGCAGTTTGTCTTGTCTCTGAAGTTGCCTGATCTGTTTAGAAGCCGCATCTGGGCGCATCTCTGGATGACTACAGCATCTGTCTGACAAATTTCAGCCGGTCTGAAAACTACCTTACAATCTTACAAATCTACTGGGACTTTGTGATTATCTTAAAGCAATATCATTGAAACTATTGCGCAAAATTGCGCTCTCAAGCCCCGCATATCGCGAAAGCTGATCGAAAATCTAGCTTGGAATGACAGTGAGCGACTCTCTGCGTCACGGACAAGAAACTCGAGCTACTAGAACTTGTTCATAGTAGTCGCATTCTCGTCACGCATTGCCTGCCGAGCGGCCTCTTCTTCCTCCCATATAGCGCTGTTCAAACAGTTGGTGACAATCCGACGGGCTTCCGCGAAGGCGGCGCGCCGCAGCTCCGGATTGTCGATATCAGCGTCGGCAGGAGCCTTACACTCCAGCACGACACACAACGAGTTGTCCTCTTCGACCGATGCGAAACTAGGCACGATTCTAGCCGTTCGACCGTTGGCCTGTCCTTGCGGATGCTCGTCGGTCGGGATGGTCAAGAGCGATTGCTGCCACATGTCGACTTTGCGTTCCCATCGGGCGCCGTGGGGGCAGAGGACAGTGATGCGCCTGAGTTTAGACCTTTTGAAGATATTCGATGGAAAACATGAAACCATGGTGGCGGAAACTGGGGGTAATGAAGGGTTACTTGACCCAAGTTCGATTCAAGTGAAGTTAAGAAAGATGACTCGACGTATGTTTGGATCAGGTGCAGTGTGTGGTGATGGTGATGATGATCAGATCCTAGGAGACTACGACGTATTTATATCTGCTCGCTGCAGTCCTTGTTCCGGAGATTCCCTCTTTTGTTGGAATCCACATTCGGAGTTTACCACGCATGTCAATCAACCGCCAGGCTAATTCTGTCTATCACAGCGAGAAACGCCTGCTACTATGTACCGTGAAGCTCCAAGAAGTTGCCCGGAGAAAGGATACATCGGGTTAGCTACTGCTAAGTATTACATCTTACGGGATGATTTTTATAGACTGTCCAAGAGGATTCTACCGACCACTGCGATCCTTGATCCAGGGATTTCCTTTTGTTGGCATCCACCTTCGGAGTTTACCACGAGAATGTCAACCAACTGTCAGGCTTGTTCTGCTACGCTACCACGAAAGGCAGCACATCCATGTACCCTGGGGCTCCAAGAAGCTGCGTGTAGAAAGGATACACCCGATTGACTACTACTAAGTATTACATCTTACAGCATGGTCTTCATAGACTGTCTAAGAGGATTCTACTGATCGGCTAAGTAATTGTTGAAAAAGCAAAAAAAATTGGATTTTATATTGAATATCGTATCTCGAATTTGTGCTCTTAATTCCGCAAACAAATCAAATATTGAGCGGGTTGTAATCAGGGATTCTATCCAGCAGGAGCCTGGGAGGAGGTGACCGGCGTGACCGATATCCCTCCGAAGATGTACTAGACGATTCATATGGCGGAGGCGGTTGAGACTGTTCGTATGGCGGGGGCTGCTCAGGAGGTTCGTATGGCGGAGGACATTTAGGACGCCACCCCCCTCGAGACAGTCGAGATAGAAGAAGCTCCTGAGGTGCTTTGCATCCGGGACAGATACACTGTCCGATATCGCCAGATGCCGGGTCAATCGCATGCTCTGCTCGCGCCATGCGCCGGCGGGTCTGCTTTAGGGCTGCCTCTCGCAAGTGTTCATGTTGCTGGGAGATTGGAATATTTCGCTGCAGCTTGACTTCAACTCTATAATCCATCGAAAGCGTGCGAATATCCCCGCTTGTTTGGACCTCAAACATATTGCTTTCTAGGGCCGCCAGAATAGGAGGCTTGCTCACGAAGCAGTCACTACACAGGCAATCAGCACGGACAACCACCCACACCCAGTCTATTCCCAATAACCTCAGGTCAAACCTTTCAGCCATCATGTGAAGGTATATATATTAGATTCCGAGATAGTGGGCCAATGTGAGTGAATGGGTGATAAATATGCTGGTTATATCTGTCTATCAAGTTCTATTTATACGTACACAATAGGAAGTCCTAAATCGGAGGTTAACGGTTTACCTATGAAGGGATTTGAACCAAGGCTTGGTGACCAATACAAAGGCGCTTTGTCCTGGGTTAGGATTGCATTTATGTCTTTGAATGGTTTCTATGGGAACCATACCGGTATAGTAACAGCTGGCTGGTTCTTTGAATGAATCAAGAACAGAAAAAGGCTAAGACATCAAGATATTATAGTATATGTTATGGGTTTATAGCTTAAATAAATAGTTCAAACGTCAAGGGGTTTGATCAGTCACTAAATTAGTATGTTATGAAGTTGATAAGGAAAGGGGTGATGTGACAGTTCCAAGAATAGCAATAAATCATCCTGTTATAGTTAATATCTTTTTTAATTATTTATTTGAGTTTGAACTGTAAGTATTTTACTGCGTTCTGGGTGGTTCTTTGTATGAACAAAGAGTGTATATGAGGAAAGCATCCGGACAGTTCACATATCATTGGCATTCAATATTTTGTTGCCCTTTATGATAATACTGGCTTAGCAGAAATTCATCCGATGCCTAGTCTCTATACCTCTCTGCTAGAGTATAATAGTAGGGTTCCCTTTTAAGCTGTTCTTAGTTTAATGTACACTACGACAGTATGAAGATAGCATAAATCGCATATTCGCATATCCGCGGAACTATCATTTTATATGAAGCAGACGAGGCTATCTTGCATCGGGCGTGGACCATCGTGAAATGAGCCATCTGAAATTGACAGTATAATATCATGAGTCGTCAAGTTGTACAAATATCTTTAAGACTAGTGTTTTTATAATCATCAAATGGCTGCGAGGATTAGAAGTCTCACATATTGGCCCGCAAGCAACCACAAGCTGAAGCCTCCCTATGCAGCGACTATTAGAATAAGAGAGGCGCATACGGCCATCGACGCCAATTTCAAGAACTCATCAGCCCTAATCCCCGATGCACCAGACACATTCCCTTGACCATCGCCGGGGGTTCCATCAGCGCCGGCAACTCCACCGCCGGAGGTTTCTTCGTCGTCGTCGGAATCCGAACCACTCGTAACGGTTATTGTAGCAGTCGCGTCAGAGAGGGAGGTTGTAGTCGATGTCGACGTCGACGTGACAGTGCAGTATCCATCAGCGCCGCATCGCTCGCTCGAGTCACAGCATCCATGCTCGCAACAGGTTTCCCCCTTGCGACAGGCGCCCGACGAGCAGCATTTCTCGGTAGATGGCCTATAGCAGCTGCGCGATGACCGACAGCATGAATTCCCCTTGGGACACGACCACGAGAAGTCGCCGTCTGTGCAGCAGACCGACAAGATCGGGTCGTAGCATTTATACGAACCACACTTTCGTTTATACCCGTCGCAACATCCCCCGTCGACGCAGGTGTCTCCCAAGGGGCACGTCTTTCCATTGCCGCAGCACTCATCCTCTTCCGGGTCATAGCACGAGTCCGAGCCGCAGCTTTTCCTGCCCTTCTTGCAGCACCCGCCGGAGGGGACGCACTCGTACCCCAGATCGCATCGAGTTCCGCGAGCCTCGCAACATGTTTCGACGTCGGGATTGTAGCATGAGTCGGCGCCGCATCCTATCTCGGGCTTGTCGCAGCATCCGCCCCTGACGCAGTTCTGGTAAGACTTGCAACATTTACCGTCCGAGCATTCATCTGCATTTTCTGTAAGTTGGGGTCGTGTTCGGTTGTAGGGCCTCTTACGTCCTGTCCCGCAGGTGGACTGTCGCGGGAAAAGATCTAGGCCAGAGAGTGACTCGAAACCGGTGAAGCTGGCGTTTACGAGGCGCCCTGCTCCGAACTCGCCTTTGGCTTGAAGTGCGGACTTGACGTCGCTCAGCTCTTCGGATGCAAGCCTGGGGCTCCCGGCGAGTCCTACGCTAGAGAGAGCCAAGAGGCTGAAGATCGGGTGTCGCATACTTGCTGCGTAGTGTCAAGGAAATGATGCGCTGGTTGGCAGACGCAGCGAGACAATCTCTCCTTAAGAAGGCTCGGTGACCAGGCTGGCGGCCCAAGCAGTGAACTCGTATTCTGCGGCTCGTGATAGCCTAGTCAATCCGCTAACAGATAGTTGTTGGAAAACATCAAGGGACAGGCCGTATACCTCGCGAGCTAGACTTTGTTCGTCCGATGGTCACTCTTGGCGATGGTATTCTCGCGATCCTATCCGAAACGAGGCTCGCGTTGAGGTTACAGTGGTATTCGAAGTAAATCTCGCGGCCCAACATGACTTGAACAAGTCCGCGGCCTCGCGACTTGGCAAACAGCGCAGCTTTTCAGTCATTTACCTTGCCCGGAGACTTTGCGGTACAGATAAATAGGCTCTGCCTGACCTTCTTCTCGAAAAGATGTCGATATGATGGCGATGACCACGGGTTTTCTGGCCGGACATCGGCTCACATCGCGCAGCCAGTCTCGCGAGACCCTCAATCTGAATTAAATATGATACCCATGCAGATTTGCTCATTCAGGAAATGTCTCTGCAGACATTGCCTCCTGCAAGTATGACGCTCGACTCGTCGGTAGACATTATTCGCCGTGTCAGCGACTGGCAAAACAGCTCGGATTTCGGAAAGATAAATCCACGAAATATTGCAGAGAATGGTAGGGGAGAGGGATATATGGTGCATTAAAGAGTCTCCAGGCTCAAAGATTATTCAGAGATCAACCGAGGAAAATTCCGACGAGCGATCCTACGATTCATGCCGGAGCAACTGTACCGCGAGCTTCGTATTCGGGGACCAGCAGGCCAATGGCATCGTTCGTTAAGCGATTGCCAAGCCGGTGATTTTATTGCTGGCTCATGTTTTCTTTTTGGCGCCATGATGTTCCGCTGTGAGCAGCACCCTACAGGAGCTGTCTTGCAGATAAGACCGGGGCGGGTCCATTCACCACGTGCGACGGACAGAGTCGGTCTTTGGAGATCAGAAACAGCTACTACCTTAATCTGGACACTGGCTGAAGAATGCAGATTGGCCAAAGCTATCCGCCACGTTCCGAATGGAGTAAAACTTGCCGGCCATGAGCCATGCTTGTGACAAAAGATAAAGAAATCAGCCTTGTGAATTAGGAACTGACCGTGGCTTCGACGCCACCAGACATCATCCCCTATCACCAGAGGTTTCAAGGCAGATTTCAGGATTGCAGAGGGCTGAGCTGCATTAGCCCGCTGTACTAGGTCAGGCGTGATTGCCCGTTGACAGTCGAAGATTGACTGCTACCTGGACATTAGCTATGGATAGAAGCGCAGAGCTATATAAGATGCACGAATCCCCGTTCAGTCCTGGGGCAGAAAGTCTGTATCGTTGGATACCTGCTAGGCCCCGTTAAAAACCGCCAGGATGGCAGATGAAACCGATTTCAAGAGCGATTTGTACAAAGTCTCTGTCTCTCCGTTTGTCCTAGAGCGAAATGGACAGTATGACAACGCCATCACAGCATACCGCAATGCGACCGAGATATTGGATGTGCTGGTAAAGAAATTGAAGAAGTCGACGGCCCCAAAGATCAATCGAAAGATGTTTGAGCGACAAATCAAAGTGCATAGTGAGCGACTGGTATACCTCGAGGGGTTGAAAGCCAAAGGAAGCTTCGACAGCATCGTATTGCCTCCCACCGTCCTGGACGCAGTGGCGGAATTAGAAGCAACGGAAGGACCGAGAACATTAACGCAGGTCAGTGTACCCTTTGACGAGACATGTGTCAGCTGACAAGTACAGGATCGCAAAGACCTCAATGAGTACTCCCAGGGCCTTCGAAAAGAGAAACTCGAGTCCAGCCCGGCTCCGGCGCATCTTCAGGCGCTGCTGAACCCGAATTCCGAGCAAATCCCCTTCTTCAGTCCGACGCTTGATCCCTCAATGCCGCCGATCACCTACCGGATCACACACTCCTCTGAGCTGGTTGCCCTCGGGATGCGATCACATTGGTATTTCGTCAAGGATGCCAGCAACACTCACGTTCTCTACGGGCTCCAGTTCGTCTGGAGTGATAGCGTGCCTATCGTCAACGCGGTGCTTCGTCGAGCCGGCGAGTTCCTACCGGGTATGGGCGCCGTCGGAGTGCGTCTTCGGAAAACGCCCGGCGGCAGCTTTCGCGTCGAAACTACGACCCTGCCGGACATTGGGGCCGTCATGGAGACCCCCGACGGCGCGAAGCATCGGAAGGATTGGTCCCCGCGGCGATTCACGTATGGCGGTAGGAACTTCGTATGGAAGAGCGGAGAGAAGCGCATGTTCAACGCGTTTTCCTGGGAAACGCTCTACGAGACCAAGCGAGTGTGGGCCAAAGAAGGCAGTCAGACCGGGAAGATGGAGGACGAGACGGTTGGGCCGCGACTCTGCTGGGGTGAGAAGAAAGGAGGTAGCGGCGCGGACCACACCATCTATATGGCCCACGGGCTGGACATATATTTCCGAGAGCATTTGCTGGCCGTGCAGTTGGCAAGACTGGCGCGGACGAGTTATCCCCCGGCCAAAGACACATCGGGCGTCGAGGCGGTTGGGGCGGGTTTCGCACTGGTCGGGTTTCTGGAAGCTATCTCTTAACTCAAGCAGAGATATCCCTGCCAAAATGCCAGTTCATACGACAGAATTGCGCTTGCTAGGCAAAGAGTCGTAGCTGAAAATCACCGGCCAGCCCCGTGCACGCGGCATGCCAATAGACTTTGGCCGCCATGAATCCAAGGCAAGGCTCGGAACTAGAACGGGGCCTTCATGATGAGGTCAAATCATACTGCGAAGACAGGTCAGAGTGCCCTGAATTCCCAAAGGGACAGACGCGACCAGACGCCATTCAATTGTCTGCACACCCCGTGTGCTATGTCATGCTAATCATCGGTTAAGCATCTGAGACTCGAAACCCGTGGAGTCAGAGGTTGGTTAGGCAGTCCAGCGCCCGTTTCTGGGTATTCGCAGGACCGGACAAGCTGTCCAGTTGATTGAGATGAATGAAAAAGACAAATGATCAGGACGTGGATGAAGCATATAGCTAAAGGCGCCAATTGGGCAGGCGGTCAGCGAATGATCTTGTCCGGATGCGGCCTAGCGCGGGTATTAGCCGGGTATAGACGGGTATTGCCGGGCAGTCCCGGGTCTTTCTGCGGAATCAACTATGCTTATTTGTATAGGTGTATACCGTGTCACTTTATTTAGGGCATAGACTCTATTCACTTTAACCAGGGAGGTTTTGTTACAGATAGTAACTGATAAGTCTTCTCAGTAACTACTACATGGCTCACACTATATATTTTGTTCATTGGTGAAGTACCCATGTCTTATTGATTTATTTTGTCTATACCTTCAGCGAGGGTTAAGTATCAATGGATATTACCCCTGTTGCTGAAAATATTCATGGACCCGACAAGAGACTTATCACTCACCCAGTAGCTGAAAAACATAATCTCTCTATCCCGACCGCTGCTCATTTTCTTCAACTCGTCGTTGGGTTCCATCATCCTTCTCAATACCATCCAGAACATTTTCCATGCCAGTGGGCACGATGACACTCTCCTCAACAAAATAGTTTGTCTGGCGCACATAAACTATGATGACGTAGTACAAGCTGCAGATACCGACACAATACAGAACCAGCTGCATAATAACCTGATTTCGGAATGACATTCCTTGCGAGTCAACCGTGAAAGAGACACACATACCCAGGCTAACAGTCCCTTTAGACGCGCCAGAATAGCGAGCACAGAGAGCAGGGTCGTTCGTCAGTGCGGCAAGGGTCCATTGAACGCCGATCTGGAAGCAGGCGTAGACAATGCCGAAGAGGATATACAACGCCATAGCTGCAGCCGAGCTGCTGTCAGTCCAGTCGACGGCAGAGGGCCTTTCGCGATCTACTTGGTTCCGTATCACCCAGGGGAGAAGGCCACAGGTCGCGCCCATTGTAATCAGGGATGTGAAGGTAGTGCCCATTACACCGCGTAGCCTTCGGGATTTAACGTGCTTGTTATCGAGTATATATGCTAGTATGAGCGGGGTTGGTATCATGACTGCTTGAAACAGAAGATTATTGAGGGAACGCGTTCGGAGATTGAAGTAGTAAGCTAAGTAGGCTCAAGATTAGCTGGAGTTGACCAAGAAGATACCAGTGTAGGTATATACCGTTCACACTGCTGACCATTGCTAGACACATTTCTGCCACAAACATAGCCGGGAGCATAATTATAATCTTCGGGTCAGTCATCACGGACAGGACACCTAGGATCTCTCTCTTGACCGTTGGTTTTTCGAATGTGGCAATATGCCGGCCATCATCTCGAACCACGTCCTCGGGGTCAACGATAAAAATGGCTGCTCCGACGATTGCACTTCAATGCCATGTCAGTAGCTGATCAAACGAAGCGCTTGGGCCGGAATATCTTACACTGCCATCACTAATATAAACGCAATGTATACGGCGCTGGATACTCCGGATTCTTGGCCCCCGTTCATAGTAACGCCGAATGCGACGAGTGCACCAACAGTGCTACCGCTGGATTGAAGAATGCATTGCAAGGTAATATACTAAAGATGCATCGGGTCAAAGGAATGCCGAAACAACGGACGAGGTTGGGACATACCGTAGCCTTGTCTTTCTCCTCTGGATAAGCAAATTGTATACAGCCGGATGTTGTCCACAAAAGACCGGCACATATACCAAGAAGCGCCGCAGCTAAGATTGTGTCAGTATGAACGGCCTAGATCAGTCTAAAAGATAATGGACCTAAAAGAGGAAAGACTTGTCCACCCGCTCGGTCATAGTACCACAGTGACCCAACATAAACAGGATACCCAATTGCTCCTATGACTCTGTGCACTGACATGTTAGAAGATCATGATCTTGAAAGCCAGGCAAGGGAAGCTGCTCACGCAGTCCATTTCGGCTTTAGGTGGTTCAAAACAGGCCCAGCGCACCATCCGGCAACCGTAAAGACCCCATAGAGAATACTTCAAGTCCACAGTTAGCAAAGATAGCAACCGGTCCGCATTTCCAACGAACCTATTGGCCAAAGCAGTGGTCTCCTGTGAGCTTGCCTGCCCCCCGCCAGCCCCGAGGCCAGTTAGGGCGATATAGATACCAGGGAGGCAAAATAGAACGCTTCACAAAATCAGTAGGAACCCCCAACGAGAGCATTAATGAAGCCGTACCATCCCATAACAATATTCTGGACGAAGGGGGAATAGAGGCGTAGCTTGCCAGGTGCATTAAGAAATTTGGGCGGCATAGTGCTGTCGTAACAAGGCAAGAATGAATGCCAGTTCCTATCGAATTATATAGAGATTTATACAGACATAAGGTCAAACATTGCGGGGAAGGGAGAACCAGGGAGGTATATCTTGCGCCTGAACAGATAGGAGGATTGCCACCGCCATCCCGAAGAAGTGTTGGTTCATGCAAGTTGCTCCTAGTTTGCGAATGGAATGCAGGAGGCTTTTCTATGGAATGTGGGGATCTTTCCAAAGGGGATCTTTCCAGACCGATCGAAGAACGCTATCCTGCCGTTCTTCTGCGGAATTTCACAATTCCTGTGCGTTACGAGGTATTTAGTCGGAGAGTCGTCACGTCCCTAGGTGGGTATCCTCCAGCCCTGTATCAATAGCTGGAATTGAGGGATTAATCTGACGCGACCGCCCTCGTGCACATGGTAACAACGCAGCAATTGAGCGCCTAAAGATCCATGACTGTGGATGTGACAAGACCTGCACGCTGCTTTTCCATCAGCAAAAGCAAAACTCCAGCAGATTGCCATCTAGAGGTTTCTGTCTGGGGAATATGACGTCCATCAATGCACTTGTTTCGGAGGATTGCTCGCGGCGTATGGAAGGCTTAGGCTAAAGAGATTAGCACAAGATATTATTACCTGGCTTCGTATAAGATCTGATACGATGTTGAGTGTGTTGCTTTTCCTCTGCTCCAGGCTTCACTGTCGACTGGAGAGGACGATTCGATCGATGTTGGAGCCTCAGGCAGCCGCTCCGTTGGGTATGGTCCCCAATTTGGTTTAGCGTACCACGTGATCCAACAGCACGCACGTGACTACTCCGTGTTTCTCCGGGCTTCTCCGACGTCTCGTTTTGGTCGCTCCGAGTCCTTCCGGAAGTGCAATGAGTATTCCGTGAACGTCGCAGGGTTACTTCAGATCGTTATCTTCCCTAGACGGCGAGAAACATGGCTTTCGTCAGTCTACACCATGTAACTAACCCACATCTGAGATGATCACTTAATCATGAATGAGATTTGCACGATGGCATGACTTGGGTCCCCGAATCGATCATAGACTTGCTGCATCCTACAACCAAGGGACACTCTTAAGGAGAGAGGGTCATTGCTCTGAGCCACATCAGACGTCAGCTCACTGTCCTCTAAATCAAGGACCATGGTGGTGGCTGAGGAACAGAGCCCTCTGCTCCGCCGCCCCCCTGCTGACAACCATAGCCATGGCCGGGATATCCATTCCGAGCGCGCTCCCCACGGAAAGCAGGTGTCATGGATCTCGGCATACATGTTGATGATGTCTTGCATGGTCGGTGCGGGCGTCTTTGCGGCGCCCGGCGTCGTGGCTCGCACCGCAGGAAGCCCCGGTATGGCTCTCTTGGTCTGGATCCTAGGAGCTTGCATCACTGCATGCCAGACAGCTATCATGCTGGAGTTTGGGTGCATGCTGCCGCGCAGTGGAGGGGAGAAGAATTACCTGGAATTTATTTACCGACGCCCTCGCTGGCTGATGTCGACCATCGTCACTGCCCGCGCCGTTCTGAGGATGACCACCGCCAACAACAGCATCATGTTTGGCGAATATGTCATGCACGGCCTGTCGCCACATCCCTCGGACAGCGCTCGCAAGACCGCCACCCTGTCTTTGCTTCTGGTGTCTGCCATCCTGCATGGCCTCTTTCTCCGTCCAGGTCTCCATGTCCAGAACGCCCTAGGATGGTGTAAGATCGCGACTTTGCTCTTTATGTTCTTGACGGCCGTCGGAACGGTTCTGTGGCGGTCGCCATCCATGCCAGCCTCCTCCACGGATATCTGGGAAGGCTTTTCGTGGGGATGGGAAACGGTATCTCTGGCGCTGTTCAAGGTGCAGTACGCGTATGCCGGCGTCGAAAACGCCAACAACGTCCTAGACGAGGTGCCCGACCCGATCCGAATGTTGAAGCGCGTCATGCCGCTCGCGATCCTCAGCGCCTGCCTTCTCTATATCCTCCTGAATGTGGCGTTTTTCCTGGTGCTCCCGCTGGACGAGATGCGGGACAGTGGCGAGATGGCGGCCGCCGTCTTCTTCGACCGCCTCTTCGGGGAGCACGTGGGTCGAATTCTGATCTCGTTTCTGATCGCCATCTCTGTGGCGGGAAACGTCATGGTTGGGATCTTCAGTGTAGTACGTGAAACCCTCATTCCTCTGGAATCTCCTAACGAACCCTGAGCAATCCAGTCCCGCCTGAACCAAGAGATCGCCCGCCAGGGCTTCCTGCCGCGCTGGCTCGCCTCTTCCAGACCACGCAACGCTCCCCTGGGCGGCGTCCTCGCCGTTTTCGTCCCCTCCGCCCTCATGGTCCTCCTCCTGCCCTCCAAGGACGCCTACTCGTTCATCCTCAGCGCCGAGGGCTACACCCACCAGTGGGTGGACATCGCCCTGGCCGGGGGTCTGCTATGGCTGCGCCGAAGCCGACCCGACATGCCTCGGCCATTCCGTGCCTGGCTTCCACTCGTCTAGCTGCGACTAGGTATATGCGTGACTATGGCGATGGCTCCGTTCGTTCCTGCAAATGCGCCTGCGCCAGCAGAGCATGGCACGTACGCGCTGGTTGGGCTGGCTATGTATGCACCCTCTTTTTACATCCATTCCCGGTACCCTGTCACTGGTCCGCTGACAATCCTCTAGCATCGGAGCCGCGACTTTATACTGGTTTACCTGGGCCAAGGTGCTTCCCTATCTGGGCGGCCATCGATTGCGCGAGCGGGATGGTGTTTTTTCAGATGGCACCTCTTACAAGGAGATTGTCCGGGTGAGTGGTCGCGATCGTGGCATGAACTGAAATTGGTACTGGTAATTGGGGGATATTTGGGTTGTGGATGGGTACAGTTTGTGTTCAATCTATATACGGGTTCTATCTACAAGAAGACCCCCCAATAAATGGCGCTTCTTGAAGTAAGGGCAACTTAATATAATACTCATCGCATTGAAATCGATATAGAGCAGCAATTGACATCTCCGGGGTTCAAAGCATGGAATGGTCGAACTGGTCTTAAAGACCTAAACGATGCCCCAGCTTACCGAAGACTAAAATAAGATGTCCATTAAGTCATAAACTGACTATCTTAGGGATGGTAAAGATGCTTGTAGACTGGATATCTAGACACCGGACGCAAATTCCGTCCGGAAACCAAGACCGACTTTCTATCCAGCGCAATTCATCCTAAATCTAAAGCATAATAAACTCCTCCCAGATACCGACGCCCTCGTATTGAGTCTCATCAACAATGCCTCCCGACATGCTTCCAAGCCAGCGACGATACGTCTTTCCCGGGACAATCGTGGCACGGTTCTTCACTGTCACGCGCAGAGGACCGTCTTCCAGCTCCATGGCCACAGTAAATCCGTCGGTGGAAGAACCATCGCTCGCCGAAGGAGAGACTACCATCGGCCCAAACGGCTGAACTTGAACGTCCTCAGTATCGCAAGAGTTCTCCACCACTTCCCCGTCTCTAGCCACATACCCACTGACATATTTGCGACCACTCGGATGCAGCACGTCAAACCACACCAAGGAATAGGGACCCAGACGACCATGACCCCAGTACCAAGTTACGACATGATCGCTAAACAGCTGGTCACCCCAGTTCTTATCATGATAGCCGACTCCGGTGAACTGAATATCCTCGCCTTTGATCGTAAATGAGGCCACGGCATCCGCATCCGGCATGGCATTCGCCCATCCGACATGGGGAGAGACAAGGAGGTTTTGGCCGGGCTCGTTTGGACCGCAGGGATAATGTGCCGGGGCATTCTGGAACAATGGTCAGACTCCTAGGATTTGCGTCATGTTGTTTCACCTACCAAAGACAACGAAAGAGTTCCATTCAGTCCAAGTGCCGGAGAATTAACATGGACCGTATAGCTGCTCAGGTCTGCAGAGCCGAAGAAACTGAACCCCGTGCTCTCCCAAACACCAGAGGCTCCCTGGCCGTCCGTCGAGATGATGACCTCCCCATTGCGACCGGGCAGATTTGCAATGGGATAGTACTGCGAGGTTCCATTGTCGCTCGTAATGAACAAGTTGACCGATGCCGTAGAACCGTCCAGCACGTAAGGAAATCTTCCTGGGGTCGCACGATAGAGAACCAGGACGACCGACGCATTGGTGGTCGTAGACACGGCGTCAAAGTACCACCAGTCATAGGTTGAGCCATTCAAAGCGTCTACCTTGGGAGCGTCGAAGACATCGTCCGAGATGTATTGAATGGGCACTTCACCACCGACCACTTCATTAGAGAAGTTGTAGAACCTGGCCTGCGCCGCGCTCAGTAGCACCGCGGTGACAATCGCGTGAATGAATTGCATCTTGTCGGTTGATGTCTGCGAGGGAAAAAGAGGATGGTCGAGTTCTTTGAGGCGAGAAGGCCTCAATCGACGCTTACTCTGCCCTAACTGACCCCTGTATAACTCCTTTCACTGTCGGGACATCGTGGCTGCGCCAGGACGGGAAGATCCAAGATGCAGGCTCCAATGAAGGGGAGATTTCGTACTAAGGCGCGAAAGAACCTACGAACAGCAACAGTTTCTTTGTTGGAAAGAGCAACCAAGTCGGCTCTGAGCGCGTCGAACCCCAAAAACGGAGACCAAAACCGTGGACACCGACAGGGGTTCTTTGTCTTGACGGGATATTTCTCAGCCTCGTTGTTTCCTACCCCTGTTACCGTCCCTTTTATTATATTTCTTCCAATTTTAACTCCTGGTCGGTTGTGCGAAATGCCGCGCGCCTTTGTTAAGACATTTGGAACGCTTGGGACAGTCTTGTTGATATCCGGCAATGATGATTGAAGGTCGATAAGTATGGGTTTACCCCGAAAGGTTGCATTATATATAGTTATCATTATAGAAAGACTACTCTAGAGATCGACCTTGTCACTATCGGATCGCATTATTATATGAGCATCAGGATTCTCGCCTGTTGCATCGCAGATCATTGCTGGTGGAACAGTTGGCCATGACCGGTGGCTGTGTCCATACCATTCTTATTTGTGCTTGTTTCGCTTTCCCTGCGCCGTGTTGTTGAGGTACACCTCGATCTGAAAAAATAAATAAATTAGCATCAAGTTGCACAAATGAGGATCGGCAAACTCACCGTGTTGGTCATCTTGTGTTCAACATCCTTGCAGCAAAGACAGGCGATGAGGCCAACAATACCAAATGCCATGGAGACCATTGCCACAACGCTAGATTGAAGTCAGCAGCTAATTTCCTGGGCGTTACATGATGACGCAAGATGGACACTCACAAAACTGCCTTGCAGGTGGCATGCTTGTTGGCGTCGACAGCGGCCGCTGCCACCGTCGCACCGAAGGATTCGGCCAATGTAGTCGGTGCGGACGACATGGCCGTCAGCAAGTCGGGGACCTTCGACTCGTCCAGGCCTGCAGCAGTGACGGCGGCCGGCACCAGCTTCTGCGTCCACTTGGACAGGCTGTTAGTGTAGACGGTGTTGTAGACTGTGGTGGCCACTGTTTGTCGGGTTAGCAAGCCTGACCCAAGTCTATCTATACGGAAACAAAGACTTACCTGCTCCAGCAGCAAAGCGAATAGCACCTGAGATACCGCCGCTGACGCCCAGGTTCTTCTGCTCTACACCCATCTGGGTGATCGCAATACTCAGATACAGCCCCCAACCGAATCCAGCCTGAGACAGGAACATGAACGCGATCATAGTTCCCTTGTTATCGGGGGTTGCCATTCCCAAGAGGGAGCCAAACAGGACCATGATGAAGACAGATCCGGTCAGCTGCCACTGCCAGTTGCGAAGCTTCCTACCCAGGACGGAGAGAAGGAAAGCACCAAAAGCAATCGCCAATCCTTGGGGCAGAGTCAACACAATCGCGTACCGCCAGTCCAGGCCCCCGTTGGTGTATAGCACCGTCGTCATCTGCGGCCAGAGAATGCTCGACGAGTAGTAGAACATGTTGACCACGCCCAGGGCCACGGCAGGGGCCGTGAAGTCTCGACCGAAGGAGCTGGTGAAGACGTACGTCGGCGTCAAGGGGAATTTGAGGTTGGCGAAGGTCTCCCAAAGTGCGAAGGCAATCAAGACCACAAAGCCAACGACCAGGCAAGCAACGACATGTGCGTTGTTGGAGTCATAGACACCAGCCCAAACGATTCCAAGCAGCAGAGGGACAATTCCGCCGATGAACAGCACACCACCTACCATCATTGATTAGCAGTGATGATGGACTGGTGGCAGATGATTGACAAACCGATATAATCAAGCGACTTGAACGCTTCGCTGTACGAGACCCCGATGCTGTTCGCGATCAGTTAGAAGAGGTGCACATAATGGTTAGGATTATCCAGGAAACATACGGATGTGCCGGCGGGAAGTACAACAACAGCAATCCCACGAAGGAAAGCCCTTGGAAGATGGCAACAGCCCAGAAATTCCAGACCCATGTGCCGAACTCGTACCCAAATCGCGCCGTCACAGGCGCCAAAATCACCGCGATGTACACGGTGAAATCGGCGATAACGACTCCGATATGCCGCCATTTGTTCGGAAGAAGCTCGGGCAAGGCGAATGCGGCCATCTAGGGTGCACGGTGCGTCAGCGTATCTGTTCGTGGTATTCGAGTGGAGAGCACGTACCTGGCAATTAGCTGCGCCGAATCCTGAGACGGCAAACCCGGCGATGACCTGGTTGGAGTTCTTCGCGGACGCGACAATGATATGACCGACAGTGCAAACCTGAGATGTTAGCGATAGGTCACCAATCAATTTGTTGGTCTCTTACCAAGTTTCCTCCGACAAGGAACCATCGTCGGCCAAGCAAGTCAGAGTTGGAGCCACTGCGAGAGGTTAGCTTCAAGGTGTATTACAACAGGCGAGTCGGACTGACAAGATCATAAAGGAACAGGTGATGGCAATTGTCCAGGCCTACTCCAAATACACCCGACGTGGTCAGTAGAAGTCCTCTGCGTCCAGATAGAAACTAAGACCTACAGGAATGTACCACATGTACCCCGAAGGGTCTCCAAGATCAGCAGAAACCGACGTTCCAATCGCCGACATCACCGGGACCGGCCAGAACGACAGACCATATCCGCAGGAGAGAATCTATAATGGCAGGTTAGACTGGGAGTGAACTAGCAGGCTCACAAGACGAAGAGCATACACAAGAAACGATCCACGTCTTAAGCGTCACGACGGGCTCAGCATCTTCTTGTCCCTCGCTAGCAATGCTTGTCTCGACAGTCGACTCTGACTGCGGCAGAGCATCCTGAGCTGGAAGACCGCCGCCCTTCTCCGTTTCGACAGCCATTTTCCGCTCGAAACACACTGGAGTGTATTGTAGTCGAGAAAGACTTGACCTTGATGTCCGTCGTAGAAAAGGAAGAATATGAACAGGGATGATCGGGCCAGAGGATTTCCCTAGTCTTAACAATCCATCCACTAGCCGACGTCGACCGGCTGATGCGCTACACACCGTCGGCAGGTCAGTACCATTTTCGCATAAACGCGCCCGGCAATGCTGAAAAATCAAGCCATACACCAAGGGGATTGACCTGGGCTAGTGCCATCAAAGGAAGCTGTCCAAGAAACTAAGACCTGGTGGCGTCTGGCATGGGTCCCCACTGCGGAACGCCATGGCAGGATCAATCGTCCGTTGAATCAGGCCTTGCGTTCGTACGGACAAATGCAGACCCCGGCTTATTTGGACCTGCATGCCGGTGGAGGCCGGTCAATGTGCCCTCCATTTCCTAGTCATTATTCTCCCTGCTCCTCCCCGGTTTTACGTATCCTGAATCGTACTCCCTACGTTATACACTACCCGGCAATATGATATCCAAGTCAGAGCAGGACACCCGCGTGGTCATCGTGATAGGCGCCACGGTAAGATCACTCTCTTGCGATCGGCCGCATTGCTGCTGACCAGATTGTGGTGGTAGTCGGGCATTGGCGTCGACCTGGCCAAAGACCTCCATACACGCGGATGGACGGTAGCCTGCGTTGGACGCCGAGAAGATGCCGGTCAGGAACTGGCGACGAGCCTTGGGAAGAGGGCGCACTTCTTCCGGGCAGACATGAGCAACTACCAGAGTCTGGCCGCCATGTATCAGCAGGTGTTCCAACTCTACGAAAGGCTCGACGCTGTCTGCGTCAATGCGGGCGTCGTCGACTCCTCCTCGATCTACCAGTTGACTCGTCGCGGCGCAGGAGTCGACGAGATCCCCCCGGAGCCAGACCTTTCGTGCACAGACATCAACTACAAGGGTGTCATCTATGCGACCGTGCTAGCGACGCATTTCATGCGCCATAACCAGCCTCAGCCCGGCGGTAAGATCGTGGTGACTGGCAGCATTGGCGGTATTTTCCCACACCGATCCTACCCAGAGTACTGTGGTACGAAGGCAGCCGTGGACCAGTTTGTTCGCGGTGCTGCACCGCTGTTGAAAGCTAAGGATAACATCTACATCAACTGCGTCCTGCCAGGAATCGTCGCCACGCCGATTGTGCCCCCTGAAATGATCGAGGCTGTCTCCGCGGAATGGTAAGTGACCCCCGACCGACTGCCCTTGGACTGCCAGGCCATGCTAATTTCGAGGACCCTTGTAGTTTGACGCCCGTTCAGACAATCCTGGACGCATATCAGGTCTTTTTAGAGGACAACACCGGCATGGCGGGCGAACTGCTGGAATGCTCGGCAGACAAGAAGATCTTCTACCAGCTGCCAGCCCTTGGTAATGGACATGTCACCAAGCGAGCAGTCACCGTGTGGGAGCCCCTGTTCCGACTGATGCACGGCGAGGATTCCCAGCTGCCGGATGCCATTGCGTGAGAGAAAAGAGAAGGCAGGATAGTCAGTTTAGTAGCACCAATAATGTACCCCTTTTATGAGCTCCACGCGAAGGCCTTTTCCGCACATCAATCCTTCGCAACCTTAGCAAATTAAGTCTGACAAATTGTGGCACCAGCAGAGAAAAACCGTTGGTCGGGATCGGCATGCGCGGGACTTCTCTGACAGCTTCTGCAATGTAGCCGTGTGGAAGGTGGATTCGAGCGAGAAAGGCAACCTCGGCGACGGAGGAATGCCCTAAATGCTAGCGACAGCACTCCAGGCCCATCTTGACCTCTAGGAAATGGTACGATTCCTTCCGATACTAGTCAGTGGGGATGAAAGGAGGGTCTCTGTCCAGTTCACAGACTTGGCGCTCCACTGCGGTTCAGCTAACGGCGCCACGCGCAGCGTCAGAACCTAAAACGAGAGAATAAGAATAAGGATTCTCAATTGTCATGTTGATGGCTGCTAATTGCTTGGCTCGCTGACCCGGCTTGGGCCGTTGCGATCCACCGCAAAGCGCTTTTCTCGCTTCTCATTCCTCCGTCGCGCGGTAGGGGCATGTCAAGCGTCCGACTGACACTAACGCGGTCTTGAGACCGCTGATCTTGGTGCTTGCCTTGCCAGTGTCGTTGATCCTTGCGCTACTGGTCTTCTTGTGCATTAGCTGCTTCTTCGCTCATTTCTCGCACCCAAATCCCGGGCAAACTCCGAAACAGCCAAGGCAGACTCGGCACGGGTTGAGTCAGGATCACCACCACGCTCGCTGGTCTCTTGCCTATCTCGGACGGGGTACTTTAATCCTCGTCTTTAGTGTTCGTGTTTGTGGGCATGGATTGATCCTGCGTCCCGGTGATGGGGTGGTCTGTCGACTGCAGTCCATATGCATCGACCGATGTCCGATAGTCGAGTCGACTGCTAGAGCGTCGAGGAACGAGCCCACGGATCCTGCTGCCCGGTCTAATAGTTCATGCACCTCATGATGCTTTGATTCTTGGTATCTAATAGTTATCAATCATAATGAGCAGCGGAAGTCCTCCGTCGTCAATGTGGGCATCGCCATTCAGCAATGGCCATGGCCATCCCTCCCAGTCTCTAACCACTCAGGACTCCCCCCACCTGGTTCTCCAGCTCAGTGGCACCCATGACCTCCTTCATCTCACTGTCGCAGAACTCGGGCTGCTCACGGAAGTAGTAATTCGAGCCGGAGAGCTCCACCGCACGACCAACTGCGCCCTGGACGCGAGTCCCGGCGGCATCGACCATCTCCCCGCCATCGATCAACAGCGTCACTATCTCAGCTATCCTCTCCACGGGGATGAATCGGTCAGCCGGGAAGTTGGACCACCCTTGCGCATCAACCAGGTTCGTCTTCACGATTCCCGGACAGATCGCATTCACGCGGATGCCGTCCTGCGCGAACGGGCGGGCCACCGATCGCATGAAGCCAAGGACTCCGTCTGTTGACACATAAGTATCCGCTCACATGCTAGTCAAGGACGGGTCGAGGAGCCGCGGGCTCCGGAATCAGAAGTACGTACGTTTAGATGCCGTGTAGATGGGCGAGTAGTGTGAGGGATAGAGCCCGCCACAACTGGAGGTCATGACCAGGGAGGTCCCCTTGCCTCCATGAGGGGAGAGACGGAAATAATGGGCGGCAAGCACAGTTGTGTAGATCACTCCGTTCAGATTGACCTGGATAGTCCGCAGATCTGGCTCCGCGACGCCCGATGGTCCCGTAGAGGTCTCGTAGAAGTTGGTCCGCTCGATGACGCCCGCGTTCGCGAACACAAAGTCCAGCCGGTTGCCGCTGCTCGAGAAGATGCTGTCAAACGTCCGAGCGAGGCTGCCGTAGTTGCTCGTGTCGGCCTGATGGAAGGTCGTGTTGGCCAGTCCTTTGGCTACCTCGGCCCCCCGTTCCTCGCTGATGTCGAGAAGATGCACTCTCCAATCGCCCCGTTCGGCCAGGGCACTGGCAACTGCCAGGCCCATGCCACTTGCTATTCATGTCGCTTGATGTTAGCTCATTCCTTTGTGTACCCATGATCACTAATCGGAAAATTGGCTGGTTGGGAGAAAGGGGGAGGGGGGAAGACTTACCTCCACCGGTGATGACAGCGACTTGCATCCTGGAATGGTTTGTGAGAGATCAATTGATACTCATCCAGCAGGGATTGAGACAGGTCAATTGGAGTCGCGGACGTTAAATCTTACGATGCACGATGCATACCTGACGCAGTCTCGGGCATGCTTCTCGTCCCATCCCTGCCTGGCACTTGCTCCGTAATTCTAGGCAGTGGAGCCCTCAGGCTTAGTCTAGTGTCATTCCAGCCTAGACAAATCCTCCGTCCACATGGATTCATCAGGACTCCATGACAGAATGGTTCCCGATAGCGAACCCCTGGTCCTGCTGTGAGCCGTCGAGCCGACCTGCGTGAGTCCGCTGAAACGCTCCTGGACTGGCAGGATTCGACAGGCGCAATTGACCAACAACCAGCTGGTTCCACCGACTATGCAGTATGCAGGACCTTTTGCTCGTCGTCAGACACTAGCACCAACGTCCTGCTCCACCCTCTTCATCTTCTAAAGGGATCATGAAATGAAGCGGATGCCAGCCGCCCGCTAGGATGCCGAAATAACCTAGAACAAATGAAAATTCAAAAATATCACAGAAAAAAGGTTTCGACCAGGATTAGCAGGGCCCCGGGTCGACGCCTCCCTGAGAGATCTGCACGGGCCGTCATGGAATCGGGATATGTGCTTGTTGGTTGACAGTCGTCTTAACTTCCCTCGTCCTGATCCTTTCAACGGGTTGGAAACCCTAATCCTGCATGTTTCGCTCGTATTTAGAAAGCCGACACACCACCCTGGTCTTCTAGAAGAGCCGTCTGGTCGAATTGAATCCTGAGACGAACCCTACCCTTGCGAAGACTCTGACGGCCTGCAGGAACGCCTGGGAAAGGGGTTTGGGAATTGGTCCCTGGGCTTTTTGTTTTTGTTCTGGGGTTAGACACTTGGGTTCTTCGCTTTTTCACCATGGCTGCCGACAGTTTGACGATTGAAACCTTTACCGAGTATGCATTGGGCATGTGCTTTCTTCTGCTGCGACTCTATGCTCGCGTTAAGTATGTCGGCTTTCGATCCTTGGGGCTGAGCGACGTCCTTGCGATCTTGGCAATGGTATGGCTTATCTCCAGGCGTACTAGATGGTTGGATTGCTGATGTTTTCTGTATAGATCTTCTGGACGATGCAAACCGCAATCATCCACCTCCTCAGTATGAGACAACATCATCCTATCTGGCAAGAGACCGCTGACGAAATCTAGATATTTTTGGAAACAATATCGGCCTCACCCAGGAGACCGCCATGCAGGTCCCTGAGTCCAAGGTGCCTGACATGATCCTCGGGTCCAAGCTTGCGTTCATGAACTGGATGTGGTATCTGTCTTACATCTGGTGCCTCAAGGGTGTGCTTTTATGCCTTTACCATAAAATGACGTATGGCTGCCATTCACCTGCCCATAATTAGCTCCAAGTCCAGGATCCGCTAACTTATATTATCCGTGCAGCGATGGGACCTCGTGGCATCGTCTAGTCCACGCCGCTTCGATCTTCTGCGTTATCACCTGGCTGGCATGCATGTTGACGCATATCTGTGTCTGCACGCCCATCCCCCGGAACTGGCAGATTAAGCCCTACCCCGGAGGTAAGATCATACATCCCACAGGTACAGACACTTTACTCACATACATAGACAACTGCACGCTCCGCAAGCCCAACTACGTCGTCATCGCCGTCATGAACGTTGCGTAAGCTCTCCCTCTCCCCTATTCCTCACCTTAAGACACTAACTCGTCACAGATCCGACCTCGTCTGCCTCATCATCCCCATCCCCGTCCTCGCCAAACTGCAGATCCCCATCGGCCGCAAACTCGTCCTCGTCGTCCTCTTCTCCTCCGGCCTCTTCATCATGATCTGCACCATCCTGCGAGCCTACTACTCTCTCAAAAGTATCTCCACCCTCTCCATCGCCCTCGGCTGGGCCGACCGCGAATGCTTCGTCGCCGCCATCGTCGCCTCCCTGCCCGGCATCAAACCTCTATTCCGCAACACCGGCTGGTTCGGGTCCACAAACCGCGGCAAGTCAGGCAAGCCGACGGGTGCGTATGCGTCGTTCGGATCGAAGTTTCCCGGCACGAACAAGACGTATGTGTCGTCGTTCGGGAAGGATACCGATCGCTTTGAGTTGATCGAGAGGCAGGAGAAGAGCCTTGCGACGAGGGGGTCCAGTCTTGGAGAGAGCGTCGAGCAGATCCTTCCTCCTGGGGAAGTCCAGGATACGAATCGCATTACTGTTACCAGGGAGTATATTCTTGAAGAGGATCGCGCGAGTCCGACGCCTGGTCATCGCTAGATTTCTGGGAGAGGGTCTCTGGGTTTACAAGCGGGCGCTTATCAGTGGCTGCTGCTTAATGCAATGTTTAATACGGCTCGATGTCGTGGGGGTTATGGCTGTTCCTGTTTCCTTTGTTCTTTCTTTCGTCTATAAATATGATACCAATGAAGTGAAAAGTTTCTTTCCAGCCCTTGTGTTCTTTAGGTTCATAAGCGACACAGTCATAACCACTTGAAGCTGTTCCTCATGTGTGACAGTTTCCAACCAGCAAATCACTCCCCCTTCGCCTTTCGAGCCTTGTACGCCCTGAAGTACAGGAAGGGGTAGACCGTCTCCGGCAACAGAGTCAGCACAATGATCCCCACGCTCCATGGTGACGCCACATATCCCCAGTTCTGCGGGACGTTCAGATATCGCCAGATAAAGACGCCATACGCGGTGAAACATCCCAGATACCGAGTGATCCTAGGTCGCATCCATCAGTTCACAGAATCAGTCTACCAGACCGGCCGAGCACTTACCACATCTCTAGCGAATGCCCCCGGGTATCCTGATTCTTCCACAGCGAATACACACACGTCCACCCGATCGGAAACTGCAACAGAATCCCCGTCCAGTACGCCGTGACCTGCTCGCGTTCATCCGGATACAGAGTCGCCAGCCCCTTCAGCCCCAGGATGGCAGCGACGCAGCCGCCGATCATGTTGCGCGTCAGCGGCCACCGCTGCTGGGGCGCGTGGGCATGGCGGATGGCGATACTGGCGAAGACGACGTCCATCTCAAACCAGATCAGGAAGGCTAGCTTCTCGAACCATGTCGATGTCGTTGTGAATGCGTAGAAGACCTCGTATGCCATTGTCAGGCACCTGGTTTTCTCGTCAGCATCATGGCTCCGGACCGCACCGGACGCGACTCAACTCAACTCACAGGAACTGGATCCCGCCCATGCTGGAGCCCGGATACGTTTTGTCGCGATACGTTCGGATCATGCAGAAGAAGTAGCACAGGGCGTACAAGACCCCGCAGGAGATGATCAGGCCATCTTGTACGAAGAGGTAGCTTTCGGGGGGGTTGAGGCGCAAGTCGGCCGGTTGGATGATGAGATGGGGGACGCTATGCGCCAGCTCGAATGTCGACATGGCGATGGGAGAGTTGCAGCCAGATGGTGTTCTAGGTTGATGTTTTTTTGCGCAAAGCAACCGAGGGAGAAGAGATGGCGGGATTCGGTGTTCGGCTGGTCGCGGAGATTCCCACGATGACATCACTTGCGTTCTTGCTGTTCTTGGGGGCGACGTCTCATGACTTCTCATTTGCTGTTCGTCTGCATGGATGCCTGGTCGCCAAGCTGCTGCTGTGGCTGTACGCTGTTGGTTTGTCGCCGGAGAAATTGTCCGGTCGCCCAGTGTACTGTGTTGATCTCCTGGCAGGCTCTATGGGAGGGGTCTATTGATTGAAATTACATACTTCTATCTACCTACTTCGATCACGAAGACCTATACTGCACCATCCTGAGGCCGTGGATGTTTGGCCGACTGCGCCCGTTTCAAGCCCTCCAGCTTGTCCAGCTTCGATCGCGTCTTGATAATCTCATGGTCCAATTCATCCATCGAGGCCAGCTGGTATCGTAAGCGTAGGATTCCCGCCGAGATCAGAACGAGCCCCAGAGCCACGAGAGGGGACCATTGGCCAACCTGCTGGACGTTTTCTTGCGGTGGTCCGTCGTTGCGAATGTACCATTCGATCCAGACGACAAATGCGATTGCTGTGAAAGGGCTGGCCACGACGCTCAACCCGAAAGCGATCAGGTAGACGACATCGATGACTGGGAAAATCCAATGTCGTAGAAACTGCGGGCTGAATAGTCGCCAGACGTGTCGGATTTTGGCAAGACGAGATCGGGTGCCCGACCGTGACAGCACTCGTCGGACTTCGATCAGCGATTGTCGAAGGTCTTCCTTAATACCAGAATATATGGATTTACGCTCCGTCCAGATGACGGACGCGTGAAGCGAGGGAATCCGCGACGGGTAGGCGAGAACTTGGAACGTCATGAGAGCAAAGTTGAGGCCCACCGAGATGGCGATCAATGCATAGATATAGCTTTTCGAATAAATGACTTTACTCCAGAGACCGCGCTGCGACGTGTCACTGAGCCCATCCACAGCCACGCTGGCCTCGAGAGAGGTCGCTTGTCGCAGAATTTGGCTGGTGTTAAAGCACGGGTAAAAGCAGACACTCTCCAGCTCCTGCAGACGTGAATCGTTCCCGAAGAGGCCCCAGACGGTGTCGTTCCACGTCGACGTCCATAGCTTGGGCTGCCATCCATCGCTGGAGATCTTGTCGGCCGGCGGAAACAATGGATTGCAGAACATGTACTGCGTTGGCGTTCTCTCTAAGACTGGCCAGTAGACCAGAGCGCAGATGGTGCCCGCCAACATCATCAGATTCCACAGGAAGATCACTGCGTACTTGGAGCGCTTGTACTGCAGACTGCGAGACCAACACTGCATAGGCAGGAAGACCAGATACCCTGTAACCACGATGGCCAGGACCGCGTCGCCATCTAGATCCTGGGCGAACGGGCGCAAGGGTATCTGTGTCTCGTCCGTTACTATGGATGGAAAATCATCGGTTAGATCCGTATTATTCGGCACACGGGGGACTGAGACCGTCGTTGCGCCGGGGATCCGATGACGACTCGCCACCAAGATGAATGCCTGAATGGCTGCCGTTCCAGCATAAGTCGCTGCAGTCCCTAGAAAGACGTCCGCTAGCCATCCCCGCCATCGCGTCGCGCAGGAGACGAACAGCAGGGCATAGTACAGGTATCGGGGACAACTGTTGTACACGGTGCTGATGGGATAGGTGCAGAGCGTTTCCTGCGCCACAAACAAGGGCAGGCTATCGTTGGCGGCCATCGACAGCCTCGCGCGACCAGGATTAGCGCGCCAGCAAGAGGGATCTTCGTCAGCTCATCAGGCGGAAGATTGACTCTGCGGGCTTTGTGCCTATCCTCGATCGGTTGCTGACGTTATAGACTCCAGGCAGCAGAGTTGCCACGCTCGATTGAACGAAGCGAGTGGGGAATACGATCGGACGTTCCATGGTAAACATGAGGCTGGTCTTTCAGGATCTGAGGGTGTCTGAGCAGGATCCCCGCAAGTCAGCTTTGTTGAGTGTTGAATTGAAGGAATTTGCTGACGGACTCACAAAGGAAGCCGGCCATGACGTCAATGTACGCTATCATGTGACATTCTATGCGTGTTGTGTATCCGTCTATTAGTCATCTATGCATCATCTGGAGTTATGCTTCCCTCGTCGATCGTCCAGAAGGAACTCTCTCATCCCCAATGATTCTGGCCTTCTTTCATCTCTTGTCACTGCGCATCTAAAAGACTTGATCTTATCGAAATTCTTCTAAATCTCAAGGTGTTCCCTACATCACTTTTCAACTTTTGGCTTTAGCGCCTTGGAGTGAATTATCTATTTGGAATGAAGACGTCTGAGAATGAAATGGCTGCATCTAATCAACTTTACAATGGCTGCACCGATGGTCGCTTTTCAATGGTCACCCACAGGTCTCGCCAGAATCCCACTCCGCCTTTAATCAAGAATTTGGGCACGGGCTTATCACTAACTACGTTGGGCTTGTAGTGCCGGAAGAACTGCAAGGAATGCGGCGTCAGCTCAACATGTCAGACAAAGGAAATTTATTCACAACATACCTGCAAGGGCCCCTTGAACAATTCCATCATCGCGATATCCCGGCCTAAGCAGACCCGGGTTCCATAACCAAACGTCAAGATGTACTTGTTGAAGAGCTTCGTACGCTCGGCATCCAGCCATCGCTCTGGCCGGAATTCGTCCGCATCCTCGCCAAAAACGGCCTGATCGCGTTGTATGATCCAGGGGTTACCCGAAATCTCGGTCCCTGCCGGCGCGAATCGACCGAACAGATCCATACCGGGCTCCGTCACGAATCGCGGAAAGATGTTGGGCGCGGGCGGGTTCAGGCGCAAGGTCTCGCGCACGCACGCCACGTAGTAGGGAAGATGCTCGAGAACCTCGTCATATTGCGGGACCGGGTCGCTGAGAAGGCCCTTGCGCGCCACCTCGTCGATTTCGGCCATCATGCGATCGTAGATCCCCGGGTTGGCGAGCAGATACTGAACAAGGGCCTGGATGACGGTGCCCGTGGTGTCGGCACCGGCGAGCAACACCAGCAGAACTTCGGCCTTGAGATACTCCAAGTCCAACGGCTGCCCGTCTTCAGTGCGAGCCTCGACGAAAGTCTGCAGCAGATCCACTCGTCCGATATCCTTGCCCTGCTCGATGTCCTGGAGGCGTTGACTGATCAGCTTGTCGCGAAAGCGCATCAGAACGCCGATGCCCGAGTCATCCTGCGGAGTTGCCACGATGTATTTCTTCAAGAAGGTCGTCTTGATCCAGGTAGTGAAGGGGTGCAGACGGGCCAGGAAGCCGAATGCGGGCAAGCCATCATGGAATCCTTGGATGAGGCCTCCGACGTCTTCGCCTTTTTCGATGAAGCCGAAGGGAGCGCCGAAGCCCATTTCGCTGATGACGTCGTAGGCGAAGTATCTTATCGCGCCATCGGTTAGTTCACGTCGAAAAATTCCTGCCATTGTACTTACACGGCCCACCATGAGAAATCAAAGCTATTTCCCGTCTTGACAAAATTTTCGTTCATCTTCTGAAGCCAGTCTCGGATGCGCATGTCAACCAACGGCTCCATCTTCTTCACGTTGCTGAAACTATACTGCGCAGTGTCAATCGGCGCGCTCGAACACGGTGATCACAATTACCTACCGGCCCCGCGATATGCTTGCGAAACGCAGCATGGGTCTTGTGGGATCGCATGTTAAACAGCGACTCGGTTTCACCAAATGTCCCCGTGATATAATGTGCAGTCTTGTCGGCATTGCGGTGGTAAATTTCGGGCAGCTTCTTGGGGTCGCTGACTAGGAGGAGAGTGGGCGTGATTCGAACGACCGGGCCTGCGACGAACTGTCAGTTTTGGAGCTGAACCTGAATTGCCGAAGACACGCACCGTATTTCTTCGTCAACGCAGAGACGATCGGCAGTTCCGTTTCATTCAAGTTGTGCCAAGTGATCCAAAGTCGAGTGACGGTACCCCAGAAAGGTCCTGGGAAGACCGAGAGCGGGTGGAAGAATCGGTAATAGACAATCTGATAGAGGAAGCGCAGCGCGACGTAGGCCAGCGTGCCTAGGGCGAAATTGAGCAGAGTCGCCCGGCTCCAAATATCATCCACGAAGCCCATGGTTTCGCACGGCGAGTTGAAAGATGGCGTTGGTCCGCAACAAAGCCCGGACGAGCTCCAGTATTAAATTCATTTCCTCGCGCAACACTGCAGTCGCAATAATCTTCCGTCTCTGCAAGGGCCCCTCTCTGGCACTAATTATTGACAAAAAGTGGTCCAGCGAATGGCATGACAAGGGAAATAATCGCCGCACGGGCAATTCTTCTCCCCAATTTCCTCGTCTTCAACAGGGCAACGATAATCGTGGAAACCAGTTAGCATGGACGCGAGGGGGGCGACCGCCCTGGAGACGTTGAGCACGCTCCTATCATCTGGCAGCCAGATGCTGTCACTCGCTAAATGACAGCTAGCCTGACACTAGCAGGAGAATGGAGGGCAGGCCTTGCCTCTGTTTGGCAGATTGACTGTGGGCCGAGACGCCGTTGTTGCGGACGATCCACCAGAAGCTGTGACGGAGCCAGAAGGTTGGCCGGATCACAGGCCGAGACAGAAGCTGCTTGCTCATCCCTTCTCGAGTCGCAGAGCGATCGCGTCAAGACCGAGAGTCAAGTTGTGGAAATGAGACCTGCCACAGTCGCTACTGGTTGCTGGATCCATAGACTCCTGACAGGGGATGACCATCACTCCCTAAAAAAAGGCACTCGCTTCGGTGCGCAGTTTCCATTCACCTCGGGTCATGACTCGGCTCTCGCGCATCGGTGTTTGGAGTTGGTACTTTTGGAATTCTGGCCGGACGATCAGCGGAGTCGAAGCCGCCCGCGATCGTCGGTGTCATCACGTTGGCTTTTGGGACTTTTTGTGAGGGGTTGGTTACCTTGGGAGGCAAAAGGCATTCTCAGTGCATTAGAATCATGTAGGATCCAAAGACACAGAGCTGAGTGAGCAAATCCCGCCGCATGAGATTTGAATTTTCTCGCAGAAGATCACCCAAACTAGGTGGCGGGCGCATATGATTTTATATTCCTTCGCCAAATCTCTGCTGGGACCGCCAGAGCAACCCCAACCTGCTCGCCAGCTTTCTGAAACGGTGGATGGGGATTTTCATGTTTTCCAATGCAACTAACAGCCGTCATGGGTCTGCTAGCAAACCTTTTTTTACCTTCAAGTTTGACTACCACCATGGTTCCGACGACTGGATAACCTGGCGGGCAGACAAGCCCGACGACGAAGGTTTCCCTGAGGGCGAGATCTAACTTTAGAAAACACCATCTCTGGACGACTCCATCGGCCGCGATGCATCTTGACGATCGCGATAAGTGGAATCCGGGCGCGATGGGGTGTCCTCGATTTCCTCAGGGGGTTGTGCTCTCCTGAACAGGCCGCAAGTTGCTCATTCCACGTTCTGGGGAACCACTTCCAATGACAAATTCTGACACGGTCGCTTATAAATTCCTGTAACTTAACCCCGAGTTGAGATATGGGCAAGAAAGCAGGAAGGGGGCAAAAAAAAAAAGAAAAAAAAAATCTCCTGCCCAGAATGTCAGGAAAAACAATCCGAGGAAACGTCACGGTCCCGAGGAAGGATCAACAAGCTGACCGACATGTGAGTCCATTCTTTCGTCTCCATTTGGGCCGGACCTGCCCCGGTGCCAACATACTCCGGTATTCACGACGACGGTCTAGAAGTGCTGGGCCCAAAGGCCCTATAAGCGGTTCTTCATCATTAGAGCCAATTCCCCGCGCCGCAGGCCTGAAACATCCTTGACTGCTTACGGAAGGGATTGCTCTTCATGCAGTTCGCCACTCTGTCGTGAAGGTATCGCCGGATTACCCCGTAGAACAACTCAAATTCCATGGAAGACAGCCTAGTCGCTGTTTGCCTCACTGATCTATCGCATCGATCTCGCGCCGTTTCTCCTTGTCGCCGAGAAAAACCAGGGGAGAAAGTTGATATGTCATATTTCCAGTGCCCGGATGGGATGTGGTGGAGATTGCCATGGGCATCGTCAATCATCGCACTAGCCTTGGCTCAGTGTATCACATTTGCCTCTCAGTCTAGTCCGCCTACCGCGATCTACTAGCGACTGGATAGAAATAGTCGGAAGCCCACTCATTGGGGAAACAGGTTTGTTCATCCTGGTCCCCCACCCAATCCCGGGAACTGGATATATGTCCTTAGGGGGTTAGATCTATCTAAACATTCGGGTGCCGCAAGTCCATGATGCATGGACATCCACATTGGCATATATAGGCCGTGTGCATCAAGTGGGCTCTAGTTTTCGTGTGTCGTTCTCTTTGAATCTGTGGTGCAGCTGCTTGTCCCGCCGAATCAGCTTCGTGGAATGGGGAGAATTTTAATCAATTAGGAGACGACTCCCAGGCCCTTTTCCCTTGAAGGCCTTATTTCTTCCTACAGAACTCAGTCCCGGACTGCGGAGCAGTGGCAATGGCATCGGATTCGCAAGGGCCGGTCGTGGCCGGCATTGCCGTTGGATTTCTGGCGTTGACCGTCATCGTGTTGTCGCTACGGCTGTTTTCTCGCATTGTTGTTTTGGGGAAGATGGGAATCGACGATTGTAAGTGGCCACTTCAATGATGTATCCTAAAAAGCATGCTAACCCATGGGTATTAGACCTAATTATTTTTGCATGTGTAAGGCCGACTGATGTGCGATATTTGAACAACGAGCGACTGACATTTCTCAGCTCTTCGCGTGGGCATTCTCAGCAGTTACCGTTGTCGGTAAGTCTCCAGATCACAATAAATGTTGTACTCATGATGAGCTGATAAAATGTAGCGGTGAAGTATGGGCTGGGAGCCCACCTTAAAGATGTTGACCCCAGTCTCCTCGAGACTTATGCTTTTGTATGCCTTTCCTGCACAGTTCCCGGGCTTACATTCTAATCGAATTCAGGTCGTTTGGCTGAGTTCGATGTTTTATTTGACGACGCTGGGATTTATCAAGTCCTCGGTTTGCCTGTTTTACACCCGCTTGGGCGATCGATATCTTACGCGACTATCCTTGGTGATGCTGGTGGTGGTGGTCGCGCAGGCGATTGCCTTGGTCTTGACGGCTGCATTTCAATGCAATCCCATTCCTAAGGCGTGGAACACGGCATTGCCAGGAAAATGCGTCGAAATCAACGTTTTCTATCTGGCCAACGCGGCGCTCAACATTTTCACCGACCTCCTAACCTACACTTTACCAGCGCGAGTCATTTTCCGACTGCAGATGCCGATGAAACAGAAGATTGCATTGGCATTCATTCTGTGCCTGGGACTATTGTATGTGTTCCACCTTCTCGTGTCGTACCAGAGTCTAACAGAACGCGCCCAAAGTGCCTGCGTTTCCTCTATCATCCGTATCACCTATATTCCGGCCATGCTCACATCCCCCGACACCACCTACGCCATTAGCGGTGCCATGTATTGGTCCGTGATCGAAATCAACGTCGGCATTTTCGCGTCGTCCATTCCATCCTTCAAAGCCATTGCATCGCGCTTCCTTCCCCGACTCATTGGCGAATACTCCCGCGGCAGCAGCAAAGGACACTACTGGTCAGGGGCGAAGAAGTACGGATCGGGCTTCTCCAAAGTGCGCAACCAAAGGATTGAGCTCGACACTCTTCACGGCAAGCACTCCGACGGAGACAATATGATGGGCGCGGAAATTCGCGGGCCGTTCGGCAGCAGGTCCAGTCAAGACCGCATTATCATTCCGGAGGGCCGGATTTACACACAGACCGACATTGAGACGAGCGTGGAAGAATGCCCGCCGGCCGGTACGCCTCCTTCGGCACATGAGCAACGCTTCTAGGCTCCTGCAGTTGGGTCTGAATCGACTACCGCTATGTTCGGATAGGTAACATCTCCTGTATAATTTGTTTGAGAATAGACTACAATAGAAATTCGAATGTCCGACCGTCCTTCTGGCATTGTTGATGGAGCGGGTTCCAATTGTCCGTCTCAATCTGTGAACATTTCTGACTCACTAATAGCAAGGCACATATTCTTTTATAATGCCTGGGCTCTTTGGTCAGCTGTCCCTCGTTAATCGATTCTGTCGAGCACCGTTAAGATCTCAAGTCGACGGGCCTCCGACCTCGGATAGAACTACGTCAAGCCCAAACGGTGCGGGCTAAACTGCGTTGAGAATTCTCCACGAACCCCCTTGACGCACTCCGGACGTTTGTCGGACTTTTATTTGGATTTTCCTTCGTCTCATTTCATATTTTGAAATCGGATATGGTTGCTCCATCCGGGTACTTTGGTGGTTATCTCCGAGGGTCCACCAACCACCTCGGACGAGATTCCCCAATGCATGGATTTCCACTCATTGCAGACGGGCTCTACCGTGCTCCAACGAGCTCTAGCAGACCGTCCCATGTCTCTAGGGACTTTGAAATTCCTCTTCTCTTCAAGAATAAGTGGGAGGGGCTCTTTGTGCGATCGAACTGAGTTATGGCGCCTTCAGTATCCTGCAGGACGACTCCCCGCAAGTTTAACGACCATAAGGTTATCAGTCCTTTGGATCGGTTGCTCAAATCAAGCTGGATTGACCACGATCGTTATCCACCTGGTGACGCGGATCTCTGCCCGGGAAACTGAACTGCCTAGACAATTCAAGGCACTGCCTGTTCCATGCTGGGACCGGCACTCTATTCGCAACAGTCCCCGGTCCCGTCGCAGCTTGTCGGCTATAATCTTTTCCTGCTCATGGTTCGACTGAAACATTTTTTCATGTAACATCGCAGATGCTAATGTGAAACTATCGCAATGGCCCCCAGCGATGCAATTGGTTCACGACATCCAGACTACTGCAACTGAACGTCCCTTGATACTCTCCCCATCCACAATGCTGCCTAAATGGGGACCTACACCGTCACCAAGGCAAATTAAATGAGTGACTACTGTTATCTGATGAAGGATCGGCGCCGCGGTCCACCATAACCGGTGGAAGATGGACGACCCACTGCTCATATCGCCAGTTCCCCTGAGGCCCCGTCAGGAACCGGATGTTCATGCAAAACTGTAACGCAATGCCGCAAAGTGGAAACGGCAACTGCGTGTACATAGTGTGCGCCCTCTGAGCTGGTGTTAAATAGCGGCCGAGTCCCTTATCTCGACCTTTCTGTAGTCTAGCCTACTACGCTCGCTTTGCACTTGCTAATATCTCCTCGTTCACGCTTTTCAATTCGACCATGAAGCCGGCCGTCGGAGTTCTGGCCAGTGCTGCCGGGCTCAAGTTGGCCCAGGCAGCCAGTCTGGCTGACGTCTGTACTCCAGCTCACGTCAAAAGCGTTCTCCCAGCTAGCGACAGCATCAGTGGTTTGAAGATCGATTCGTCCTCTATTACCGCCAACGCCGTCTATAATGCCTCTACCTCGGGCGGAACCAACTTTCCCGCAGCGACCTACGACTATTGCAACGTGACCCTCGCCTACTCTCACCCCGGCCGTGACGATCAAGTGCTGCTGGGAATCTGGATGCCCGCGCCCGAGAAGTTCCAGAACCGCTGGCTGTCGACCGGTGGCGGTGGTTACGCTATAAACTCTGGAGATAGCTCTCTCCCCGGCGGTGTGCAGTACGGAGCTGCCTCTGGATACACGGACGGAGGGTTCGGGAGCTTCAACACCCAGGTGGACGCGGTCATCCTTCATGCTAACGGCACGCTCAACTACGAGGCCTTGTATATGTTCGGATACCAGGCTCACCATGAGTTGAGTATTGTCGGCAAGGCTCTGACCAAGAGCTTCTACGACACCAGCGACTCCAAGCTGTACGCATACTATCAGGGATGCTCGGAAGGCGGTCGTGAGGGATGGAGCCAGGTCCAGCGATTCCCCGACGAGTGGGATGGCGCCGTCATCGGTGCGCCGGCCTTCCGCTACGGCCAGCAGCAGGTGAACCACCTCTATCCCGGCGTGGTCGAGCACACCATGGGATACTACCCGCCTCCTTGCGAGCTGGAGAAGATTGTGAACATGACCATTGCTGCCTGCGACAAGCTGGATGGCCGTGCGGACGGCGTTGTTGCCCGTACCGATCTTTGCAAGTTGCACTTCAACGTCAATTCGACCATCGGCGCTCCCTACTCCTGCGCTGCCTCGTCCAGCCGCCACATCTTGAAGCGTGTCTTCATGGACAGCACCACCCCGGCTCAAAATGGCACCGTATCTGCCCAAGGAGCCGCTGCGGCCAGCAAGATGCTCGAAGGTCTGCACACCCTCGACGGCCGCCAGGCCTACATCTGGTATCAGCCGTCGGCCACTTTCGACGACGCCCAGACACAATACAACTCGGAGACTAAGAAGTTCGAACTGTCGATCACCTCGCTGGGCGGCGAATGGGTGACTCGCTTCCTGCAGCTTCAGGACCTCGACAACCTGTCGTCGCTGGACAACGTCACTTACGACACCCTGAAAGACTGGATGGAGCTGGGCTGGAAGCGCTACGAGGATGTGCTCCAGACCACCTGGCCCGATCTCACGCCCTTCCAGAAGGCCGGCGGCAAAGTGCTGCATTACCACGGCGAGTCGGACAACAGCATTCCCGCCGGCTCCTCCGTGCACTACCACGAGTCTGTGCGCAAGATCATGTACCCGGGCCAGTCGTTCGAGGAGAGCAGTAAGGCGCTGAATGAATGGAACCGCCTGTTCTTGATTCCCGGCGCCGCACACTGCAGCCCTAGTACGAACCAGCCTAACGGGCCTTTCCCGCAAACTACTCTCGAGACCCTCATCGATTGGGTTGAGAACGGAGCGACGCCCGACCGACTGAATGCGACCGTGCAGTCCGGTGACCACGAAGGCGAGAAGCAGGAGCTCTGTGCCTGGCCGCTGCGTCCGTTGTGGAAGAATAACGGCACATCGATGGACTGTGTGCATGATCAGAAGTCTTTGGATACTTGGGATTACAAGTTTGATGCGTACCGCGTGCCTCTGTACTGAGCATGAGTCAACAGGTCTGAACGGCTTGCACTCATCCGCGATTTTGATATCGATTCTCTGTATCAGCAATAGCTTTTTAGTCCTGTTCTTCAACCAGAAATACACTCTTTTCATCTTGACGGGCTAGTCATGTGCCCTGGCAACCCTAGATTGTCTCCTTCAAAATAGCATCATCACGACCCAACAAGATGATCAACGCTCAGCTTCCCCGCGACGATCCTCAGCTCCTCATCTGTCGGGGACGATTCCCCCGAGCCAACTCCACTGCCTTGCCTCCGCAACGGGACAGAATGAGGGGATCGAAGGTAAACGCTTCCCCAGCTTCATCCCTGCTCGGACTTCCTCCGACCGCCGCTGCCGGCTCGTATAAAGAGACTCGTCCAGGCCGAAGTCCCCGTCTGCAGCCAGCGGTGTCAGAAATGTCCAAACCAGCCGAAGAATTCGTGGAGTACCAGTCCAGTCCGGACAAGCTGGACGCACTCGGCCAGGATGCTTTGTACCAGGCGTATGCGTCCAAGAGCGCCGAGTGGCATAAGCGCATGACAAGACAGTTGCTGCGCAAGGTGGATTTGCATCTCCTGCCGTTTTTGATCTTGATGTATCTGCTTAATTTTCTGGATCGGAAGTAAGTGCTCTGTGTGGTTGGTGAGGAGAGCGGTGCTGATGATTGTAGTAATTTGTCGCAGGCTCGTCTCGGTACGCTGGAAGAAGACTTGGGTATGAAGGGCACCGACTATAACCTCGCCACGAGCATCTTGTTCGTCGGATACCTTTTGATGCAGTTGCCTTCGAACCTGCTGCTGACTCGCGTGCGACCGTCGTTGTTCCTGGGTATTGCGATGGGGATCTGGGGTGCTATATCGGCTTGTCAGGCGGCGACACAATCTTTTGCCGGGCTGGTAGTCTCGCGGTTCTTTCTCGGCTTCGTCGAGGCTCCTTTCTTTCCTGGGGCTGTTATGTTGATGTGAGTCCCTTGTTAGATTAATGGAGATAAGGATACTGACGAGACTAGGTCGAGTTGGTATACTAGGCAAGAGGTAGTTCGCTCTCGTCACCGAGTTTTCAGGCGTACTAACTGGAATAGTTGAGTCATCGTATCGCCTGGTTCTACGCCGGCAGCTCGCTCGCCAACGCCTTCGGTGGTTTGATCGGAGCAGGTGTGCTCGGCAACTTGCACGATGCGCATGGCATCGCCGGATGGCGCTGGCTCTTCATCATCGAAGGATGCATCACGGTCGGGATTTCGATTTTTGCAGCGTACGCACTCTCCTTCCTTTCCCCTGGCCTCGCTAATTAATACATCAGGTTCATGCTACCCAACTACCCGGCCACCACCTCGTGGCTCAATGCCAGCGAACAGTCCTACGCTCAGTGGCGTCTGATTGCCGACGCCGGCGAGGCCGATGACACGAACACCGGGTCGTTCAAGGAAGCTGTGTATCTGGTCTTCGCGGATAAGCGTATTTACCTATTCATCCTGCTGCAACACACCTCGCTACTGTCGCAGAACTTCCAGTATTTCTTCCCGACGATCGTGCAGACACTCGGGTACAACAATATCATCACGTTGCTCATCACAGCCCCCGTATGGATCGCTACATTCCTGATCTCACTCGTCGTCACCTGGACTTCGGGTCGCTATAACGATCGTGGAATCCACATCATCGTACTGATGATGGTCAGCGTGATCGGGTGTATCATTTGCACGGCGACTACGAACATCGGTGCTAAGTTCTTTGGCATGTTTTTGTACGTCGGCATTTCCTACCATTATCCTGTTCCTGTGGATGAACTAACTCAGATAGAATGCCAATGGGCGCCGTCTCAGCCTACCAGATCATCATCGCCTGGGTCGCCAACTCCTTCCCCCGTCCCTTGGTCAAGCGTTCTGCTGCCATCGCCATCGCCAATATGATCGGTAATACGGCGTCCATCTATGGAAGTTACATGTGGCCCTCCTCGTCTGGACCACGGTACATTCCTGGTGGAAGTGCTACGGCCGGTGTAGCTTTGGTAGTGGCTGTGTTAGCGTTCGTTATTCGGATGGTGCATGCGCGTATGAATCTCAAGTTGGATGACGAGGAGGGTCCTGAGGTTGAGGGCGGCGATGGAGAGAGACCGGTGAGGTTTAGGTTTATTCTTTGATATAGATGAACGTCTCGGGGTAGCAAGTCATGAATCATGAGTCATGTTCTCTATAAGATAGGCCATGTCCCCAACCAGTAGACCACCCGCCACCGATGTCAAGATCCATTTCTACGGTGAAACCCTCACTCTTCTCCTAACGAGCTCAACCCACTCCAAACTACTCACGGAAAATCCGACCCGTGAGTAAAGTTCTCCCTAAGCAGCCACCCCAACTGCTTCGCCTCCCCCGGATCAAGCATACCCTCCAACTCCCGCCGCGTTAAAAACTCATGATCCCGATACTCAAACCCCGGCATCACAGTCTCGCTCACGAGCAACCCACCACTCTTCTCACCCTCATCGCCATCTCCATCTGGCACCAAAAGGCTAGCTTTATAACACCCCCCTTCAACAACCCATTGCAACCTCTCCCCCTTCGCCACGTCCTGTCCCACTATAAACGACTCAATTTCGATCCTAGACGATTCCTTCCCTATCCGAGCCCCATTCTTCAAGATCATGCAGACCCCGCGTCCGCGATGCAGCGTATGCACGACCCTGCCTCTGGTGCGGTGGAACGCCTCGATGGGGCTTTTTGGCGTGAGGAGGTAGAGGCAGGTGGTGCTTAGGGCTCGATGGTCTTCCCCAGGTCTAGCTCTGGGGTCTGGCGGATGAGGATGGGTTGGTTCGTGCTCGTGGGCTGGACAGACGATTTGGTCTCTCGCTCGGTCTGTTTCGCGGAAGTAGCCGCCTTCGATGTGGGGAGATAGGTTTAGGTGATGGATGAGGTGTTGGAGGTTCGGTGGTTCGGTGGTTGGGTTTGCGAATGCGGTGAAGGGGATTGGGAATTGGGGGGTTATTGAGGATAAGGGGAATTCCATTCTGGGTCTATTCTGGCGAGAATATTCGAAGTGATTGTGATAGACGGAAATGAAGACATGGTGGGCGGAACACACTATATAGTTTGAATCGGGAGAACTGAGTCCTAAAGAGGCAATAGCACGTATAAATATCTTGATTTCTACGACTCGGTCCTGGCTCGGGTGGAACTGGGACCCAACATCTCGCCCAATTGCAACTTGAAATTGGACGCTGCTACTATGGCTAGGTAGTACGAGTTGGAAGATTTTCTATTGTGTTTAGGGCTGGTCATGTATGACTCTAAAGAAATCGTCAAAGTGTTTGACAGATCCCAATGACGTCATACCGAGGCTAGAAATTCTTCGAGTCTTTACAACATAGAGAATAGAATGTGGTTAAAAAGGGTAGATGGTAGTTGCTGCTAGATAAATAGAAGAAAATATAGAGACTCATTAGCTATGCAGTAGCGATGAGTAGCCCAAGCAGACACGGTATTTATCTTTGGGTGGTTTTACAAGAGATCGTAAAAGAAGGCTTTTTTGCTTTTCTTCTCTTTTGTCTGTGAATTATCAACTCATAAGGTATTTTGACCAAATTCAAAATTCACGAGTGAGCCTAAGCAGCATACTCTGGTCATCTCCGTTGCATCAATGTCGAATTACATATTCGAAAAGGGAAGTCAGTGGAACTTGAGAATTGAGAGATACAAATGCCGACATATATATCATCTGCAAGAACAAAGATAGATCCCGTTGCGTATCACCATACAGAACAACATCTCTTTCAGAAGTGAATACAACTTCTTAAATCAACAATTAAAACATAGACTCTTCTAAGATGAATGCGACCGCCGATGACGGACATCTTATCAGATGAGATAATCAGATAAGACACCCGCGCTCGCCTGGCCAGCCAATCACCACCCGCCAGACCAGCGCCTCCCCCTTGATGGCGCGCGCGGGCAAATGGGAAGCAGGCAACAAGCCCCCAAAGCCACCGGGCTCCACTGGACAGGTCAGACGGCCGTGGAACGTACCATCATAGGCTGCAACAGGCCACAATGTCTTGTGCCCCGGCACACATCCGAGAAACTCGTGTCATGTCATCCCATCCTCCCTCGCGACAACTTCCGCTGATCCAACTACTCCCTCGCCATCGGGGCATGAATTAAAGCGCTGGACGCTGGCTATCAACCCCTTTTTTTGTCTGAGAGAGATATTCTGTCATGAGTATGAGTGTCTTGCTTAGGCCCCTGCGTCGCAGGTCCCGGCAGGCGTGGAACGGGATCGTCCGGACTGTGCGTGACTACGCCGCCGGGATAGACCCACGCGATGATTATGAGCCGATTGTAGGGTCGCTGCCGGATGAGGAGACGGAAAGACGCGCTCATGGAGTCGCTGAGATCGAGGCGTTGGCTACGGTGTGGTCGACGAGGACCCTGCACACGGGATATGCTCTGTATGTAACTACTCTCGCATGTTAGTGGGACAAGTGCTAATCGGCTCAGGGTGTTTCTGATCTTCTTCGTCAACTCGTTTCAGCAGGAGACTACTGGGAGTTTGTCGCCATACGCCTTTTCCGCTTTCACGGATCACTCCCTCATCTCGACCACGAATGTTCTGACCAGTATTGTTGGCGGGGTCGCGCGGCTGCCTATCGCCATGATGATTGATATTTGGGGACGGCCGGAGGGGTTTGGGATAACGGTGGTTTTGTGCACGATTGGTAGGTTCCCGCATTTTTTCTTTGATGCTCCGCTGACCCGACGCAGGACTAATGCTCATGGCGGTCTGTCGGAATATCGAGACCTACGTCGCTGCTCAGGTATGCGTCACGCCCCCTTGTTAAGCTCCATCTAACCAAGTCTAGATCATTTACTGGCTCGGCTACAACGGCATGGACTACGTCCTCCATGTGTTCCTATCTGATACCACCGACCTCGTCAACCGAGCTTTCGTCTACGGGGTTGCCGGAACCCCTTACATCGTCACGACATTCCTCGGCCCCGCCGCTGCCCAGCAATTCTACACCCAAGGAGCTTTATGGTGGGGCTTCGGTGTCTTCGCTATAGTGACCCCCATCGTGACTGCTCCTCTTTTGGCGCTTCTTTGCAGTGCACGGCGCAAGGCACGCACGGCTGGGTTGATCCACAGGGAGGAGAGCGGGCGCACTTGGATGCAGTCTGTTCAGCATTATTTTACGCAGTTTGATAGTGAGTGTTTCTTTCCCAGGTTATAACGAGCAACGATGGGCTGACATGTGCAGCAATTGGGTTGGTCTTGATTACGGCGGCCTTTGTGCTGATTCTTTTGCCCTTGACACTTGCTTCGTCTCAGGATAGCATGTGGAGCTCGTCGTTGGCCGATCGATGGAAGTCGCCCGATGTCATTGCGATGCTGTTCCTCGGGTGCGCCTGTGTCGTTGGCTTTGTGTACTGGGAGCGTTTCGGGGCCACGGTCTGTTTTGTGCCTTTCAGTCGTCTGAAGGACAGAACTCTGCTGGGTGCTTGTATCCTCTCCGCCACGATGTTTGCCAGCTTTTAGTAAGTCCGGCCTGTGTCTGGCTATTTGGTAGTTTTGTACGCTGACCGAGCCAGCTCGTGGGATCTATACCTCTCATCCTATCTCCAAGTGGTATTCAACACCAGCATCAGAGACACAGGGTATATCTACAACATCTACACAATCGGGACCTGTTTATGGTCCGTCCCCTTAGGATTGTAAGTCCACCACCCCATCCCAACCACACCATCCTAACAAACCCAGATTCATCCGCCGCGTCGGCCGCCTCAAATGGATCGCCCTCGCCGCCATGCCTCTCACTTTCCTGGGCACCGGCCTCATGCTGCATTTCCGCTCGCCAGACAGCCGCGTCAGCTCCGTCATCATGTGCGAGGTCTTCAAGGCCATCTCCGGCGGCACACTCGTCATCTGCCAGCAGATGGCCGCCATGGCGACCGGCGGGCACGAGACCATCGCCGTCTCGTTTGCCTTGGTCGGGCTCTTCTCGAAGATCGGCTCCGGCGTCGGCTCGGCCATCTCGGGCGCTATCTGGACCAGCACCGTCCCTCGGTATCTGCGAGATGCGCTGCCGGCGGACAAGAAGCATAAGGCGGCGGAGTTGTATGGGTCGATTGCCACGGTGTTGGCGTATCCGATTGGAACGCCCGAGCGGGATGCCACAATCTATGCGTATGGGGTGGCGCAGAAGAGGATGCTGATTGCGGGGATTTCCATCCTGCCAGTCGCGGTGTTTGCGATTCTGATGTGGGAGGATATTCGGTTGAAGAAGACTAGGCAGGTTAGGGGAAATGTCTTCTAGGTTGATTTAGATTTAGAGCGGTTGTTACCATGGTGCTCTTTCCAGTGCCCATTTGAAGAAGTTGAATTATGATACCCAGAAGGCGAGCAGGAGTACCAAATTACGTTATTTCTGTATATTCAATACCATCTACCTTGTCAGCACTGTCATCCCCCTTCAACTCCGTTAATTCCTCCCCTGCACCCGGAAGACCAAGATGTACAGCAACCTGCTGCACCAGCGCCGGCAGCGTTTGATCCAACTTATCCATCAGCAAAGGGAGAAACCTCGCCCGTCCACCAGGTAATCGCTCTACCAACGAACCCAAATGTTTCAAATAATCCTGGGGCCCTATTTCAAAGCCCGAGGAGCGCAGGCCCGCGGACGAAAGACACGCCATGACATCTACAAGGGTGCACGCGACCTCGAAGACTTTCTCGATCTACATCGCTTGGTGTTAGTACCCCTGTCATACATAAGAAATGGAAGGAGAAGACGGATCCTTACCAACCCAATCCCATGCGTCTCCATACTCTCTCGCGACAGCTTCCACGTCGCCAGCGCCAGATCCCGCGCGATCTGCAACGGATACCGAAAGTCGAGGCTTGGGTGCGTCGGTGAGCTGGACAGGTATCCTGCCGTCGTCGCCATTTGCCACACGACCGTGCGCAGCCATTGTTGGGATACGCGCAGATCGGCCAGTACGATGTCAGGGAGGTCGGAGTCGGCGGGCACGGCGCGCTGGAGGTGCTCTTCGATGCTGACGAGTGCGTCTCGCGATAGGACGGGCCCGACGCCGTTCCAGCTGCTGAGGAAGGATGGGTCGAATGGTCGGTAGAGGTCGACGAGGCAGGAGAAGCCGCGGGTGAAGGGGTCGAAGGAGGGAGGGAGGATTGGGCTGCTGGCGGTGATTTGCAGCGTGATGGGTCGACGGCGTCGGAGGGCGTGGGCTCTGTGTCGAGTCAGATATGGGCCAGGAGAGGAGGAATAGAACTACCGTTCGGATATTAGGAGAAGCCAGAAGAGCTGGTTCGAGAATGACGACAGGTCATCGCTGCCGACGTCTGGTGAATCCATCACGTCGGCTGTGTAGAGTGTTGTCGCTTCACGGAGGAAATAATAGGCATGTCGCTGGTGTCCCAGCCCAATGTGGCATCCATACAGCAGGAAGGAAACGGCGATAGCCTGTCGGATTGGGATGGCAAAGAGATCTAAATGGCGACGAGCGACCGTTGCTTCGTCCAGTAGGGTGGAGGCCAGATCTGAAGAACAGGTCTGGGTGGAGCGATAGCCCGTCTGGATCAAGACGAATGCACAAAAGGCTACTACCAGGCAGTATGAAGACCCAGATTTGTCCATTCGATTCACCTGTTGCTGGAACGCGTCGGGATGCAAGATGGGCACGGTGCCCAGCATGCGCGCGAAGAAATAGTCGGCGCAATGTCGGACGAAGCTTGGATCCACCAACCCGGGAGTCTTTGTCCATTCTCCTGCACTGGCCGGACGTGGGCTCTGGGGAGAGAAGGAAGGCGAGCCCTCTTCGACTCTCTGTAACTCGGTCAACACGTTGGCTGACGCGCCTTGGCGACCTTTCTTCCGCTGGATCCCGGACGAGCGACAGGCCAGCCCGACCGATCGACATGGACTACAGGGCCGCTGGGTGCTGCATTTGACCTTGCGCCGACGACACGCATCGCATGCGGGCTGGAGCGGTCGAGGCATGTCGACACTACCGTCTAGCACCTTATGAATGTCGACGGGAGAGAAGAGAGACGTTGATTTCCCCAAAGCGGGGGGTGTGACTGGGGAAACCCTAACTAACTCCGGGGTTCTTTGGCGCATCAAGGAACCAGGGAACCCACAATCTAGCGATCTGGACTAGCAAGACTAGCATACATTACTCCGTAGTTCCCGCTCCCCTCCGATCTGAATCACTGCACCAAAACGGCCCCCACAAAAGCCAGCCACGCGGGCGCATCAGCCAGCAACATGCGAATGCGATGGTACCCCAACCACGCCTCCATCTCTTGCGTCGGTTCGCGCTCGCCCTCCAGATCCTCCACGATGCGCTGGATGCGAGGAGCCACCCACGGCACGAACACGAGGTGAGAGATAGCCGAGAAGAGTCCCGCCCAGTAGAAGGTTATGCGAGACAGGGGCCACGGGCGCGGTCGCGGTCCGCTCGTTAGGAGATTCGCCGCCGCCGAGCCGATGCTCGTCAGGTTCAACACCAGCACGAGCGACACGGTGCGCGGGAATACGTAGGAATACCACCGGGGGAGCAGCGAGTCGCCCTTCTTGCGCATGTCGGGCTGCGTCCAGGCGCTGTTGTGCGTGAGTTCGCCTGTCGCACAGACTAGCGTGCCGGTGCTGCTGGCGAGAGGGATGACGCGCAGCAGAGCCAGGGGGTCGAAGATGAGTCCGGAGGCCATTGCAATTGATTATATGTGCTATTTGGAGAAAAGTGTAGATTTTGGTTTGGATGTAGAACAAACAGGGGCTACGCATTCTTAAATTCGGAGCCCCTACGCACCCCTAAGCGTCGAACGATCCTCGCATTAGTGCTGACGCAGTGGAACTCCACTCTATCGAGGCTGTGCCAGTTACAGATCCCGTCTGCCTCACGTTTGACCCTTGCCGTGATCCTCTCGCACCTCCACCTCCATCCCCTCGTACGGATCCACCGTCGTCTCAGCAAACTTGCGCGCCGACACCCGCTGTGTAAACAAGACGTCGAGCTCCTCGTAAGTGCGCCCCTTAGGCTCGGGGACGCGAAAGAACGACCAACACAGACAGACGGCGCAGGTGCCTGCCCAGAAATAGGCGCATCGAGCGCCCCAGTCCCAGGCAGTCGTGTTGAGCTGGTAGTTCGTCAACACGTTCACTACGATGTTGCTGACGTTGTATCCCACGCGCGCCAGAACGATGGTTTTCGCCTTGAGTCGCGTCGAGGATAGTTCGGATACTAAGGAATAGGTCACCGGTCCGATGGTCAGGTCGTAGCAGACCGTGAAGACGATTAGCATCGCTCCGACGGCCCATTTCGCTGCGCTGTTGGCCTCCGGTGCAAATGATAAGCTTCCAGTGATGAGTAAGAGTATCGCGAGGCCGGACAGTCCGGCTAGATGGAGAGTGCGTCTGCCAGCGACGGACATCAGAAACCATGAGCCTAATGTACCGAGCACGCCGAGGCCGTATTGTGCCAGCGATAAGTTGAATGAATGCACGGGCGGCAGTCCGGCCTGCACGCAGAAATAGGCAAAGTATCCCATCAGGTTCTGCCCGCAGAGGGTCTGCACCAGCCACACGCCGCAGACGACCTCGGTGCGTCGCAGGTTCACCCCGCGAAAGCAGTCGGTATACCGGGTGCCTTCGGTCACGCTTTTCTCCAGCTCGTTGGTATGTTGGATCATGGCGATGGTGGCGTCGACGTCGAAGGACGGATCATTGCGGGAGGTCAAGCGTCGCAGGGCCTTCTTGGCCCCGTCAATCTGACCGCGTCGAACATGCCACCAGGGAGACTCGGGGGCGAACAAGCAGCCGAGAAGAATCGGCAACGGCCAGGCCCACTGCACGGCGAAGGGGATGCGGTATGCCCACTCGTCCAGCCGTTGCATAGATCCTCGATTAACTCCCACGGCGACGAATTGTCCGATGACCCAGCACATGTTGATGAAGGTCGTCAGGTAGGGACGCAAGATGACCGGACATACTTCCGATGCATAAGCCGCCGGTAGTGTTTGGAATATGCCCCAAGGTATACCGGCGAGGATCTCGGCGGCCAGCAGCATTTGGATGTTTGCTGCGAAGAAGAAGATGAAGATGACGCCGTTCATGGCCATCAGAGCGGATACCATCGTCCATCGGTATCCCAGTCGCTCCGAGACGAGACCGTTGATCAGCAAACCGATCACTTCGCCGACACGAGCCCCGTTGGAGAGAGCTGATTGCCAGGAAGCTGGTACGGTCCATGAACCGTCGGGAGCAAGATTGCCGAACTTTTGATTGAATGCTGGCGAGGCGTACATCGATCCGAGTAGAGCCAGGTCGTAGCCTTCCATGATCAAAGTGGACGACAGAAGTACCGACCAGCCGACGGCCTTGGGGTATAGACGAATGGCCTGCCATAAAGTCATGGATTGTTCCTGGTGGGCGGCCTGTTTGCCGTGCACCAGCGAGGGTTTGTGCGCGCCATTGTGAGCTGTTTCTGAAGCCATTGCGACGGGATCAGGAGGTCTGGCATGCAATGTGGATGGCACAATGTGAATGCGGAAGACCAGGGAGGAGGAGCCGATATTTATTCCTGCCAAACAACCCGTGTCGAAAATCTCTCCCCGCGAATTTGCAACGCGGAGATCCGGGGATGGCCAACTCCAATCGGATTGTTGACGGCGGCTTGTCGGAGGCAAGACGGAGGCAAGACGGCGTCTATCCGGACTCTGCGGGGGATCGGCATCGCCTGACATTCCATGGATTTAAAATGCCAGAACATTCAATTTGCTCTGGTATTCTTTATTATCTCTTTTCGACATATCCTGGTCAATAATCATGGGGTCCTACGCAGAGTCGGTCCCAACCGGGCGCAACAACTGGTGGAAAGAAGCCACAGTCTATCAAGTAAATATTGGACCCGGTGACTTCAATGAATCCACTAATATTTTCAGGTATATCCCGCCTCGTTCAAAGACTCCAATGGCGATGGCTGGGGTGATATTCCCGGAGTAATCGAGAAAATTCCCTACCTCCATGCTCTCGGGGTCGACGTCGTCTGGCTGTCTCCCATGTACGACTCGCCCATGCACGATATGGGCTACGATGTCTCTGATTATGAGAAGGTATTGCCTGCGTATGGAACCGTGGAAGACGTGGAGAAGCTAGTCCAGGCTTGCCATGAGCGCGGCATGAAACTCCTTCTAGACCTCGTCATCAACCACACCAGCGATCAGCACCAGTGGTTCCAAGAGAGCCGCGGCAGCAAGGACAACGAGAAGCGCGACTGGTATTTCTGGCGACCTCCGAGATACGACGCGAATGGCAATCGTCAGCCTCCCTCGAACTACCGCGGATACTTCGCTGGGAGTACATGTTCGTAGACACTCTCTACCTGAAGTCGATATCGCTGACACCTCCAGGGACCTGGGACGAGCACACGCAGGAGTACTATCTGCATCTGTACGCGAAGGAACAACCAGATCTGAACTGGGACAACGAAGCCACTCGAAAAGCCATCTACCAGAGCGCGATCCGCTTCTGGCTCGACAAAGGCATCGACGGCTTTCGCGTCGACACGGTCAACAAGTACAGCAAACACACCGACTTCCCGGATGCACCCATCACCGATCCAAACAGCGACATTCAGCCCGCTATCCAGATGTGGTGCAATGGGCCTCGCATCCACGAGTTCGTCCGCGAGATGCACGGCGACGTGCTGCAGCCCTACGGCGACGTGGTGACTATCGGGGAGCTGGCCAACACGCCGGACCCTCGCGACGTGCTGCGCTATGTCGGTGCCTCGGAGCGAGAGCTCAGCATGGTCTTTCACCTGGACATCGGGCACATCGGCATGGGAGACAGCCTGGAGGACAAGTACATCTTTCACCCCTGGAAACTAACCCAGATGAAGATCATCGTGTCCAAATGGCAATCGTTCATCGAAGGTACCGATGGCTGGACGACCGCTTTCTGCGAGAACCATGACAACGGGCGCTCCGTATCGCGGTTTGGTAGCGATGCGCCGGAGCACCGGGCTCGCTCGGCGATGATGCTGGCGATCTTGATGGTCGCTATGACCGGCACGCTGTTCCTGTACCAAGGCCAAGAGATCGGTATGACCAATGCTCCCCGCGACTGGTCTGTGGAGGAATACAAAGACATCGAGGGGAGGGGATATTATCGGGAGGCCGAGGGAGATCCCGCGCGCCAGAAGCAGATCATGGACGGACTGCGCATTCTTGCCCGGGATCATGCCCGTCTGCCCATGCAGTGGGATGCTTCGTCTCATGCAGGGTTTACAACAGGGAAGCCGTGGATGCGGGTGCACGATCTGTATCCCGAGATTAATGTGCTTCGTCAGGAGAGCGATCCTGGCAGTGTACTTTCATTCTGGAAGAATGTGCTGCGACTGCGCAAGGAGCACCGGGATCTTTTCATTCATGGAGCTTTTGAGCTGTTGGACTTTGAGAATCAAGAGACATTCTGTTTTGTCAAGTCGAGGGGCGAGAAGAAAGCCCTCGTGGTGTTGAACTTTACTGATTCAAATCAACCATTGACGGTCTCGACGGTGGGAATGGAGTTGCTGGTGAGCAACTATACAGATTTAGCCGTGTCGGAGACGCTGCAACCGTGGGAGGGCAGGATCTATATCATTTCTTGAAGGATCACGAAGGATATTAGCGTATGAATCAATTCTATGATGCAATTTAAATCTCGCAGAATGATACCGTTTTCGAATCGACTTCTCGATCATCAATACGAGTTCATTAAATTTGGCGATGCAACGTAAGTTTCCAGGAGCAGATCTGCCCCCACGGCTATTTTTATCTGCATTAATCAAGGGGTGAGGTGTGCCTGAAGCCCGAGGCTATCTACAGTTCGGCTTCATATCTTGAGGATTCAGTGCCTGGTCTGTTATCTTTTTTTTAGCTTGGTTCAGGTCTTTAAGTGATCCCCATAAATAGACACCCCATACAATATACCGTCTGCAGCATGACTTTCTCAAAGCTTTAGACAATGCTTCGACCAGCCTTACATCTCGCTTATTCCACACCTCGTGTTCACTGACTTGGCAACGCTTTAGATTGGCTGGTCCTCACGAGAGTCTCTGTTAGTCCAGGAACGGGGCGATCCTTACGCTTTGGGGCATTGATCATCTGTCTTTCGCACCAATAACCTCTTTCTGCGAGAAGGATGGGTGAAAAGAAGGAGAGGTTCAGCCGAGGATCGTGTCTACCGCGGTCCTGCACTGCAAAACATACATCGAACCGAACCGCTTCGTATTCAGGACACTTCCTGACTCGCTTTAGCCCGTCTCACGCAAAGTGAGGATCAACGCAATGCAGCCGGGGGGGCAGTAGTCCTCCTGAAAGCCGTCAGCATCTTTCCCGGGGACATCTTATATAAAGCACACTCTTTCCCCCAGATACACCCCTCCCCCCAATCATATCAAATCACCCCGACATCCACCATGAAATTCAGCGCTCTCACCGTCGCTGCGACACTCTCCGGTCTGGCGCAAGCCAGTTCCAGCCCCAAGCTCGTCACTCGCGCCGACACAGTGCAGGGCTTCGACATCTCGAACCACCAAAGCTCCGTCGACTTCGCGGCCGCATACAAAGACGGCGCTCGCTTCGTGTACATCAAGGTAGATACCTCACACACTCCCACTGAGCATATCCCATCTAACAGCTCCCAGTCCAGCGAAGGCACCGGCTTCAAAGACCCGCTTTTCAGCTCCCACTACCAAGGCGCCTCCGACGCAAACCTCCTCCGCGGCGGCTACCACTTCGCCCTACCCAACAAGTCCTCGGCGTCCGCGCAAGTCAAGTACTTCATCGCCAACGGCGGCGGCTGGTCGAAGGATAATATCACGCTGCCGGGCATGCTCGATATCGAATATAACCCGTACGGCGCGACCTGCTACGGGCTGACGCACTCGGCGATGGTGGCGTGGGTGAAGGAGTTCGTGGAGACGTACCGCGACGAAGTCGGTGTTTATCCCTTGCTGTATACGAACTTGGACTGGTGGACGCAGTGCACTGGTAATGCCGGTGGGTTTGGTGATAAAACGCCGCTGGTTCTCGCGGCGTATAGTAGCTCGGCGCCATCGAGTGTGCCAGGTGACTGGCCTACTTATACTATTTGGCAGAATTCGGATAGTTATAAGTATGGTGGGGATTCGGATCTCTTTAATGGGTCGGAAGAGCAGCTGTTGAAGATTGCGAGGGCGGATTAGAGGTATTTGTGGTATTCTGGGGGGGGGTCGTTGGGTGAAGATGGTCTAGATGCGATGATGTCAGTACTTGCTTATGATCGATTACAAACATCCTAACTTGCGAAGCCTTGAGATTGTTCAGCCTATCGTCCGATTATTCCCTGTAGAGATGGACCGGATTCTTCCACCAACAAAAAAGTGAAGAAAAGGAAGGGCAAATAGACGGGGAATCCCATCATCCCGGTCAAGAGGGACGCAAGGGACAGAGGCTATGGTGTAACCGTGATTTATCTTCACTGTTGCACCGCTGGTCCGAGAAATAATCGGTGGGGCCAATTCGATTTCTTTCATTTATTCCAGTCGCACAGTCACAGCAGGCAGAAACCCCTGAGCAGATGGGTTTCTGATCAGGACAACCGACCAGACCTATCAGACAGAGCGATAAATCCTCGCGTCCTGCAGGAACGACAAGGGAGACTCGGTGAGGCTAATGATGTCATACTCTTCTCTTCATGGTATTGTTGAATATTGTATCTATTTAGTTTCTTGTCGGATATTGGCTATATGTCTGAACATTAAACTAGCGAGCAGAAATTTCCCTTCATCCCTGTCGATTCTCATTTCATCTCTCTTTGTCTCGATCATAAACGTATTTCCAACGCATCTAGACTAAATCACCCCTCGCCAAGATCGGCCGATGCGGAGATTTCACTCCTTTCATGCAGGAGTCAGGGAGGGATGACCTGTCACTCGCACATCTGCCCTGATCCCTGAAGCCTGGCCATGACCTGTTTTGCCCCGAGTAGGAGCGGTCAGCCGAGATCGTCCAGCCTTCAACCTTGAGGCTGTCCCCGTTGGGCTCGACTTGGCATGGCGTGATAACCTTCGACTGGACGCTGGCATAGGCCTGGGATTGGCACTGGGGCTGTGATCCCGTTTGCCATGGGCCAAGAGAGCCAGCTGTGGCTGATGATTTGGCTGGTGATTAACTTGCTTGGGTTTAGGCAGCGGTTTAGATTCATCACCCGATCAGGCTGGGATGTAACTATCGAGAGGGGTTTGGGAGATTAATTTAGCATTAGTAATTTCCAGTGGGCGAGATTCGAACGATGAGCCACAGCCATGTGAAGAGGTCTGCAGATTCGAGTCTTCTGGTATTCTATCATTTCTGTCTTCTGTTGGAATATGGTTGATCGTCTGTTCTTCTGCGTTGTTATTCTGTCGAAAGAGATAAGGCATCCAGGCATCCAGGCACGGTCGCGATGAGTCAGCGGCACCTGAGCAGCTGCCTCTTTGGGAAAGCGAGCCCTAATTCGCGACTTTCCAGCGTCAAGGAGTCGAGATGCGCCAGGAATGATTCCATCGCACTTGCCGCGCTTTGCTCGTTGTTCAGCACAAAGTAGTCCCTCTAATCCTATAAGAACAGCCGGCGGATGACCTCATGCTCCACGATCTGAGGATCAAGGGATGCGGATCGCTCCACCAACTAGCACCGCCAAGATAAGCCCAACAGTCACCATCTGCTTTGCTGCCGTCCGTTGCGGGGTTGGTCGTCCTCAAGTCCAGCTGCAAGGCAATGCCAAGTGCCATGGCAGTGAATGATACTGTGCGGGGATTTATCGTCTTCACCCCGGTGGGACTACAATTGGATGCCGCTCTCCCTGCATGCCGAGCCGCTCACGATGGGTCTGGAAGATAAATAGAGCGCGTCCTGCCCGATGCCCTGCGGATCCCTCTCGCTGGTTCTGGTGTGAGGTAGTGTCCGTTGGAGAAGCTCGGCAATCACTCGCTGGCGCAATCTTTAATCATGCATTGGTTTGCTACCTCTTTGTTTTCTTTGGGCTTGGCCGTTTGTGCGTCGGCTCAGAATTCCACCACCGTGCCTTATGAACTAAAAACGCCTCCTCTCGATACTCCCTGGACGGAGAAAGTTGGCACCGAACCCTGGCCAGAGTATCCACGCCCGCAGTTGCAACGACCCAAATGGCAGAATCTGAATGGTCTGTGGCAGTATCGGAGAGCTGAGAATGTGGATGCTGTCGACAGCCCTCCTTTTGGGCAGGCCCTCTCTAATGAGGTCCTGATTCCTTCCTGCTTGGAGAGTGCTCTTTCTGGTCAGTCTCCCTCATTGCCTTGTCGCCTGAACCTGAGGCTAACTCCGCGCAGGCATCCAAGGTAAAGATACCTTCTACTCCTGGTTCACCAGGAAGTTCACCGTGCCCGAGTCCTGGAGCAACGAGCATGTGCTGCTACATTTTGGTGCCGTTGATTACGAAGCTACCGTCTTCGTCAATGGCAAGCAGGCGGGTTTCCATCGTGGTGGATACTTCCATTTCTCCGTCGACATCACTGCCCAGGTCAAGTTTGACGGTGAGAATGAACTGTAGGTTGAATCCTAGCTTGAGCATCTTAGAGACGTCAGACATGGACTTACCGTCACAGCTTGGTATTTGTGCACGATCCCACCGACCAGGCAGGCCACGTCATCCCTATGGGCAAACAGACCCTCAACCCCTCGCACATCTTCTACACCCCTTGCAGCGGGATCTGGCAGAGTGTTTGGATTGAGCCCGCGCCGGCAAATCACATTGTTCGGCTGGATCTGGAGGCGAATATGGACGGTCAAGGTGATATCTCACATCAATGCAAGCATGTACACAATCATGCTAACATATTCGCTAGTCAACGTCACCGTACACAGTGCCACCGGCAACGGCACCGCCGTTAAGATCGCCGTGCATGAGGATGACGGTGACCTGACCTTCCACGACGGCACCTCCGACAAACCGTTCCAATTCGAGGTGGGCGAGGTCGACCTGTGGAGTCCGGACTCGCCGACTTTGTATAACGTCACCGTGCGCATGGGCAACGACGAGATCACCAGCTACACGGGCTTCCGTACTATCTCCAAGGGTAAGGTCGATGGTGTCTGGCGGCCGCTTCTGAACGGTGAGTTCACGTTCATGTTCGGCACTCTCGACCAGGGATACTGGCCGGACGGACTGTACACTCCTCCGACCCGGGAGGCGATGGTATACGATTTGAAGGTGTTGAAAGACCTCGGCTTCAATATGCTGCGGAAGCACGTGAGTTGCCCCGGTGACGTGAAATAGCCTTTAATCTAACAAAGACAGATCAAAATTGAGTCCGACCTGTTCTACCGGGCGTGTGATGAGATTGGTATCCTGGTGATCCAGGACATGCCCTCTCCCCGTCCTCTGCAGTCGAGCACCGACGCCGCCTGCCAGAGCGTCACTATTCTTCCTTACGGGGCAGCTCAGCAGGAATTTGCCCGGCAGTTAGACCTGATGGTGAACCAATTCAAGAGCCATCCTAGCATTGTCACATGGGTGAGTCGAGCGTCCAGCGTGATCGAGCACTTCTGACACAGCATAGGTCATTTACAACGAGGGTTGGGGACAGCTCATCGAGGGATACCCTGAGTTTGCCCTCACCGAGCGAGTCAAGCAGTTGGATCCAAGCCGCCTCGTCATTGCCACCTCGGGCTGGATTGATCACGGTGCTGGCGATTTCAGCGTACGTATCCATTTATTTGCCCAGAGCCAGAAAGTTACTCACCGACCCAGGACAACCATCACTATGCCAACCCTCAATGCGGAACCCCCTTCTATTCCCTGCAGTCTCCCCCTTATGATCCCAGTCGTATCGCCATCCAGGGAGAGTTCGGCGGTATCGGTCATAACGTTTCTATTGAGAAGTGAGTCATCTTTCTCAGCCAATGCAAGGCGGGGACTAACTAAACTCTGTAGCCTTTGGAACAACCAAAAAGCGATCAATGCCATCAATGAGACGTACGAGATTGACGAGACGATCGACGCGTGGAACTACCGCAGCCACATTCTGCTATCCGAATTGCAGGATCAAGTTCGCCGATTCGACTGCAGTGGGGGCGTGTGGACGCAGACCACCGACGTCGAGGGCGAAGTCAACGGCCTGATGACCTACGACCGCCGCCTCAAGCGTGTAGACGAGGAACAGTGGAAGGACGACATTCAAGGGCTCTATGATGCCGCTGAGAACCGGAGAAACGCATCCATGACTGCGTAGATGAGATGTCTGCTGTGAGGACACGCTGTTATCCTTATAACAATGATGGGTACATATTAGTTAATGATACCATTTCTAAGTTCATCAGTCATCAGTAGTAGAGAACGGGCGTTAAAACGGAAGTGGTGAATGAATTGCCTGGCTCACTGACGATTGAAATGATATATCACATTCCACCATTAGACCTTCTCCTTGGAATAAAGGATATGCTACCTTCTCCAGTCCTTCATTTGTCAAGTGATAATCGTTATGCTATAGTGAAGTGAGAATAGGCTCACTGCTGAAATACGGGCGCCACGGTTCTGACCACAGCCCAAACCCTACGATTCAGGACTATCCACGCCACGGCGTTTCTGCCTAGTCTGAAGCTAAGATCTCAACTATTGCTGTTCTTTCATCGTCGAACCTACGATAAATGATTAATATTTATTTTTCATCGGTAGTACAGCGGTTTTCTCCCCTCACTCAGGGGTTCCTCCCCTCTCCTCCCCTCGCTAGACGATATATATATACGAGGCAGCATGACAGTCTGGGAGGTAAATTGCTAGTACCACGGACGAGTCCTTGATTGCAATGCCATTGCTTACCTCTCATTGCGATCGTTAGTGGGAATATTGAATGATGTGGCGAAGCGCTCGACTCCATTAGCGTAGGGAGTTCGTGCCCTTACCTGTGGTGATTGATCAGGTGTGCAGTCAGGCTATAATGACGCTGAGAGGCAGAGGGGCAAAATACAGTGGCAACGATGTCACAGACATTCTAGGGTCGACGCGCTCGATGTCCTCACTCAGAACAACGGAGTCTGACTGCCGGTGTGTCTTTTCTGGTATCCGACGCAACTGCCTCGGACCCTTTCGTTATCTCCGCGTTATTCAGGTCAAACCGGTTCGGCGCCATTGGACTCGGCGTTAAAATATCTTGCCGAACACGGAGAGCTCGTCCGAGCACCTGGGAGGATGCCGCAGTCTTCACGTCGTTTCTTAGGGTCACTTCCCGCAGTGGATATCATTTCTCGGGCAACCTCCGAGCATGTTGATTTGTGGGGAATCACATCCTGCTGTATCTGCAGGCGTCATCGAATTGTCTTCTGATGTCTCATTGTCCCGGGCCATGTTCACAACCCATGTTAATCACCTAGGGTCTGTATGGTCTGCCTCGGAATCTCGTCCCCCGTGCCGCCCGCAGGAAAATACCTCATGGTCAGGGATATTCACTCAGCTTTTCCGACCCCTCTGGACCGTTAGTTTAATATAATTGATGAAACGTTGCCATTCAGCCCTTTTTGTGCGGGTCTCCGGACTGATCATCCATCTTATCTGATCAACTAGCTCGCAGCTAGTGCCTTAGGGCTAGGGACTTGTTGCTATTTGGGCCTATCGCCGAGCGACTTGACACGTACGAGCCGGTAGCTTGTCCAGGGATGGAAGAGATGGCAGTTCTTTGGTCGAGCTAGGTGCGTTTTGGCCTCGGGCTATTTTCGGATAGGAGAGACGTTCCTTACCTTGAACACTATAAAAGCGCCAGTGGTGACGGTCTGTTGTCACCATCTTCATCTTTATCATCCTTCATTTTCTCACTCGCATTCGTTGCAATAAACCGTCAATATGCGTCTCTCCATCACCAGCATTGTTCTCTCCCTCTGCGTACTTCCGAGCATTGCCAGCCCAATGCCAGCGCCCGCTGAGAACGTATGAATTTACCTGAATCACAATTATTAAGTCACAGACTAACCCCAATGATGCTTCATAGTCCGCCTTGATGAGCAAGCGCTGCTGTATCCTTTGCGATAATCCCTATGCTCGCTGCGGCTCCAACGACAAGCGAGAGGCTTTTGAGACCGAGGAAGGCGCTATATCTGGTCTTGGAAAACGCTGCTCGATTAACAGCATGAACCCCGCCTTTCGGTGTGGATCTGCCCCTTCGGAGTGAGTCAGAGATGAGGCTGGTTATGGTGTAGGGGGTGTGAGATAGGCTATCGATGTACTCAGAGTATGTTTTCGTTGTTGTTCAAAACCATCCTGAGGGTCTTGCTATGAAACTGACCCATCAGTGAACCTTCAGATATTTGTTGAGGTATTTGCAAGGCGTAAATAGTCCTTGAATCAGCCTCAATGCACAGTCCAAGCATGATATGAGTCCGCACTGGGATGACTTGGAGCGTCTTATAGCAAGGCATTCGAATTGATATACCACAATCAATGATATCCTTTATACTGAAATCTCCTCGGTTAATATCACGGCATTGCCAAGATCTTAAGAGATTTAATTCGGGGCAGAATGGGCCGAAATGCGATCGTAGACCCCCGTGTCCTTGTAAGAGAATTGCGATCGCCAAAGCACCCAAGGGCCTTCTTGTACTCGATATCCATCCGATCTCACGTCATATACTCCTTGCATCAGGAGCAGCAGCGAAGGTTTCACAAACTCTGTATGAACGAGTCATTTTGGCCTCGATGCTGAGAGGCAGGCCACCCTGGTGCCATTTGAAATGCTTCGGGGAACATGCTGGCCTGAGCAAGGTAGGAAGACAAGATCTCCCGTTATGATCAACTGGTTCAGGGACATGGTTATTTGAATGGCAAGTCGGATGCCAGGATCGATTCCTTGACTGCAAGCCAAGGAGCAGTTCACGTTATTTGTCGGACAACGCAATTGTACGTTCCCTGTGCGTGGGAATCGGGCATAATTTCTTCCTTCCGATCAATTCGTTCTAGTTGCCAATGCTCTAACCGCCCCCAAGAAGACCGGCGACAATCTGAATAATCTACTAACGCGAGTGGCTTGCGCCACTTACTCAAGCCCAGGGAAAATTCAGGGATGCTGGAACGATCGGAAGATAGTTCAGATACGTCTGACTCTGTGTCAGCCCATGGATGAAGGGCCATAACCCCGTTCCCTGGATCAATCCGTGCGACGGATGCGACACCCCAAACCACGCGATGCAACTTCACCCAGCCGTAACCGTTCGCGGGAAGGATCATCGACGCCGAGCCCTAAATCCCCGCATGAATGGCCAACAAGTCCGGAGTGCAGCCCGGGGGTGGAGAGGCCCATGCGGAGTGTCGTCGAATGAGTCTCTCGAGTCAGTCCTCGCCGCTCCCCAGATTGGTGGAATCATGTCGGCCTGGCTCCCAATCCGACAACTAACTTCCTGGCGTTGGTCAAGCACCGGTGGCTGTCGCCATGAGGTGGGAGGCGTCTATAGGTTCGCGGAGACATCGACCCGAGAAGGAATGCCCAGGATGGGGATCCATCTGGGTTCTATGCAACGCGTCAGGAGAGGCAAAGATGGTCTCGTCGAGTCACGATGTGAGCTGATGGTCCGAGACAGAGGGGAAGGCTACCGCATGGCCCTCCCCCAGATCCAGCCAACACGTATATAACCCGATCTCCCAGCTTTTCCCCACCTCGTGTCTCTTGTCCTCCGTGTCCTTTTCTTTTTTTTTTCTTTTCCCTTTCTTTTGGGGTGTGCTGCCACACACAGTCTCGCCCAGCCATGCTTATTGGCAACATCTACGTGATCGCCGGCGTCGCCGTGGTCGGCGGCGCCCTCTTCGGCTTCGATATCTCGTCCATGTCGGCTCAGTTGAACGAGAACTCGTACAAATGTTACTTCAACCAGGGTCCCGAGGGACCTCCTTTTAACGACAGTGACAACTGCTCTGGTCCAGAGTCCCTGGCCCAGGGAGGAATCACAGCCGCCATGGCCGCGGGCTCTTGGCTCGGTGCTCTCATCTCCGGTTTCTTGTCCGATCGCATTGGTCGCAAGTCCTCCATCATGGTCGGTTGCGTCGTCTGGTTAGCATATTTCCATCGGTCCCTTTTTGTAGTCGCACTGACAGAACCAGGATCATTGGTTCAGCCATCATGTCCGCGTCGCAGAATATCGGCATGTTAGTCGCAGCCCGTGTCATCAATGGTTTCGCGGTCGGTATCGAGTCTGCCCAGGTGCCTGTCTACATCAGTGAAATGGCGCCGCCTTCCAAGCGAGGGCGACTCGTGGGTATCCAGCAGTAAGTCTTCTTCAATTGCCGTCATGGCCGATGGTCATCTCCTGTCTCCCCTCTCGGGCTTTGGCAGCTCCTGTTCGATGGAATCATATCTGACCTCTGAAATCCTGTCCGGAATCTCACAGGTGGGCAATCACGTGGGGTATCCTTATAATGTTCTAGTAAGTCTCATCTTGAACAATAATGCTGAAACAAGCTGACCCAACTGTGCAGCATCTCCTACGGCTGCTCGTATATCGGGGGGCGCTCCGCCTCGACTTACAACCCTGCCGCTTGGCGGATCCCTTGGGCGCTCCAGATGGTTCCGGCTATCTTCCTGTTCTGCGGTATGCTCTTCCTGCCGGAGTCCCCTCGATGGCTGGCGCGCAAGGACCGCTGGGAAGAATGCCATCAGGTGTTGGCCCTGGTGCACGCTAAGGGCGATATGCACCATCCGTTCATTGCGCTTGAATTGGAGGATATTCGACGAATGTGTGAGCTGGAAAGTCGATTCAAGAACGTCACCTACTTCGATCTCTTCAAACCGGACATGGTCAACCGCACCATCATCGGCCTGTTCACGCAGATCTGGTCTCAGCTGACTGGAATGAACGTCATGAGTAGGTCCCTTCGCTCTTTTTTATGTTCACTTTTCTTCCATTCGATGCTAACGAAGCCGGTGAAGTGTATTACATCACGTACGTGTTCGCGATGGCCGGTTACTCCGGCGACGCCAATCTTCTCGCCTCCTCAATCCAATACATTATCAACGTGTTTATGACTTTGCCGGCGCTGATCTGGATCGACAAATGGGGCCGACGTCCGACGCTGCTCGTTGGTTCCGTTCTCATGGCGACCTGGATGTTTGCCAACGCGGGGATCATGGGCGCTCACGGCGAGGTCGTAGAGGGCGGCATCGATGGCGTTGCCCAGCAATCCATGCGCCTCTCCGGCGGTGCAGCCAAGGGCCTCATCGCTTGCACCTACCTTTTCGTCGCCTCTTATGCCCCGACCTGGGGCCCTGCCTCGTGGGTATACCCTCCTGAGTTATTCCCGCTGCGTCTGCGAGGAAAAGGCGTGGCGCTGGCGACGTCAGGCAATTGGGCCTTCAACACCGCGCTGGGGCTGTTTACCCCGCCAGCGTTTGCCAACATCCGGTGGCAGACATATATTATCTTCGGAGTGTTTAACGCCGCCATGTTTATTCACGTGTTCTTCCTTTTCCCGGAGACAGCGGGTAAGACGCTAGAAGAGACGGAGGCGATGTTTGAGGATCCGAACGGCATCCCGTATATCGGCACGCCGGCGTGGAAGACCCGCATCACCACACATCGCGTACAGCAGCTGGAGAGGGGCGAAATGGACGCAAAGGGACAGCCACAGGTGGAGACTTCGCCGCCTGCGACGGCCAGGGCGACCGAGCAGGAGGTGGTTCACGACGACAAGGCTGTCTAGTAGATTGTGGATGGTAGAGTACGATCATGTCGATGCCAAGTGGAGGAAGTAATTTATATTCATTCGACGTTGAAGAGAATAGGAAGGACGCAGTTGATGAAAGCATCAAGCTAAATGGAAAGGGGATAGTTGTTGTGCAGTTCATCGTTGGAATTCAATCGCATCTTCATTTGCTTGACTGCAGTAGACGAGAAGAGTAGAAAGTAGAAAAGCAAAGCATCCAAACAAGTAAACAGACCGCTGTTGTCACCGCCTACAATCCTCCCGTGACTCTGCCGGCAAATCAAAGTCACCTGATTCAGTATTGTGCTGACTCATCATAGACCCCTCCCTTTCTCTCTTTGGACATTTTCTCTTCTTCTCTTCCTCCCTGTCATCGGCTCAAGACAGTCACGACGCTGGGCTTGTCCTTGCCCAATCTCTGGCTAACTATAAACTCGGCCTGCGCTCGAACGGTGTCCAACACTGCCATGTCCTCCCGAGTGATCCTCCATCCTTGCGCCTGAGCCTCGCTCAGGAACTGCATCAGCATGATACTATCAGCAAAGGTCTCGATTGGAGCTTCGGGGTCGATGTCTTCTTCTGCTAGACCTGTCACGGCCGCCCAAGAACCCATGATGCCCTTCGTCAAGTCGCTTGAGAGACGCGCCTTCTTCAGGGTCGCTAAATGTCGCACATGCTCCAACACTAGTTCCTTGAGCACTTTGCGTTGGATCTTACCTGTCGCCGTCGCTGGGAAGTGTTCCTGTTCTAGGTCGGCTCGTAGGTCCAAAATCATGGTGGGAGAGAAAGCACGACCAAGCCGATTCGCGACGACGGCTTGCAGTCTTTTCACCGGCACGATTCCCGGCTTCCTCTGACGCACGATGGCCACGGGCACTTCGCCGGCCACGGGGTCTGGAACCCCAACAACCGCGGCATCCTCGATTTCCGCGATCTTTACCAAGCACTCTTCAATGGCCAAGGGTGAGATGTTCTCACCTCCCCGGATTATGATGTCGTCATATCTCCCCAAAACGTAGACGTGGCCTTCGCTGTCAACATATCCTTGATCTCCCATCGCCTTCCATCTCACTCCGTTCTCCTCATAAAACTCCAGGTTCTCGTTATCTCCCACGCCAAGGTATCCTTGAATTACTCCGAGCCCTCCCTGATGTATCTCCCCAACTTGTCCGCGGGGCAGGGGCGTTCGTGATCCAAGCTGACATACGCGCACATTGGCTTGTTCTGTTTCTACCTTGGCGACCGGGACGCCAGCCTCGGTTCTCTTCTCACGCTCTTCGTCAATTCGGTGCATCGGGGTCACCACGGCTTCAGTTGCGCCGTAGCCAGCAAAGATCATTTCCGGCTGCAACAGCTTGGCAACCGCCAAAGTCTCCGACGTAACGACCGCGCCCCCAGTGAGAATCGCGAACGGCCGAGTATCTTGGCTCTCTTCAGCAGTCGAGAGTTGCAATCTCAATGCTTGTAACATCGACGGGACGCAGGGAAGGTAAACCTTTCGATTCGATGACATTGCCTCTAAGGTTGCCCGAGGATCGAAAGAACGGCTAGGGACGATCAGCCTGCCCCCGGCCAACCAAAATGCCAGGTTGAGGAAGATGCCGTAGATGTGAAAATTGGGGAGCTGCTGACACAGCGAGGATTCGGTGTCAAGTTGCAAGGGTTGGCAAACTTGCGATGCGCTGCGAAGAGTGATGGATGTGTGGGGACACAGTTTCGGCAATGCTGTGGTGCCGCTGGTGGCCAAAATCAGAATGGCATCGCTCGGCTCCAAGTGAGTTTCTTCAATGCTCTTATCGAAGGATTTCGTCTCCACTCCCACCATTATACTTTCCAATGCCCTCCAGCCATCTGGGAGTCGTTCATACTCCGCGGACGAGACCAGATACGCAGACAGCGGCAGTGGTTTTCCCTCTCTGGTCAAAGTCTTGTCGACCTGTCTAGCCATCTCGGAGGTCGACACGAATATAGCAGCGGCATCGATGCTTCGAATGATGTGTGCAGCAACGGTGGGCTGACCGAGAACCCTCGGGTCAAGCGGCACAAACTGGCAACCCATGCGCACACTGGTCCAGAAAAGGAGCGCCCACTCGGCCTGGTTATATAGGAGGGCAGCGATGCGACTGCCGCGTCGGATTCCGTCGGCTCGCAAGCGGGAAGCAAGCCGGGTGCTGCCATTTCGAAGGTCTGAGAAAGTCCAACTCAAGGACTGTGGGCTAGTCGCGGTGTTTTTGTCACCGATACCAAGATGGTCCGTTTGGCTGGGGGACTGCACCGCAACGCGACTCGGGTCCTTGGCCACGACTGCGTCGAGAAGGCCGGCAAGAGTCCTCGGCTCAAAGGTATCGCTAGTCATTATGAGCGCGGGGATCAGGAAACCAGCACAGCTATCACCTCTTCGAACTCGGAAGGGAATGAGGGGATCAAGACACTTTTCCGGGAGGGTTCTACCCACCGTTGAGACGGCATGGTCTCCTTTGTTTGACACATCGTCTTGGCACGCAACCTCCCAGGCCCAGGAACTTCCTTGATCGCAATATTTCCCGTCCACAAGGGTCTGGCATCGGCTAATTCACATGTGCTTCCCTGATCTTTACATGGTCCGACTAGAAAGGGCCTGGGGGGGAGATCAGGTAGCAGGCCTGATCAGCTGAGGTGAGCTACTAGTCGTATCGTAAATGCGGCCTTCGAGGCTATCCTTCGTATGTTCGGGGGCTTCTATCTATAGACATTGGTGTTCTAGGCTGGTCGGAAAACACGAACACCATCTTGTAGAGGGCGTAACTCCTCTTTTAGGCAGCCGGGGACAGCCTCGACCGTGTAGTTAATATAAACCGGTTCATTCATGACGTTCTGTATACAACCTGGTGGAGAGGGGTAAGCCGTCACGCCAATCATGTCCGGGCATTGCAGTTCTCTTGATTGGTCCGCTCGCGAACCCCGCGACCGGTACAGACACTAAATATGAGAATCATTTGGCTACGTATCTTAGCGACTAGTTCCCAAGGAGCAAAGGCAGCCGAGGTTGACAAATTCATGCGTGATAACACTGTAGTTATATAAATTCGGGCGGCCACTAGCATCGGGACGGATGACTGTGGACTTGGGAACTGCCGAATATCAAGAATTCGGAAGATCCTCCGGGTCTTGACCGAGCATTGCACGATAAGTTATACCTACGATCTGGTTCCATCCGATCAGGTCGACAGGGCCGACAGGGTCCGTCACGTGGCCCACGCTAAAGCAGGGCAACGGAGTCTCGACGGCTCTGCGTCCCACCGTCAACCGTGGAAGAGACATCGTTATTTTCACTCCCCCACGGCGTCCTGTGGATGGACTCTGCAAGAGAGTTCTGCAGCCCCACCGTGCCTGAACAAGATTTCTTGACCGAGACCAGCCAGCCATGGACAGCCATGGAACGGTAGACTGAGGGGGAAGAATAAATAAAATAAAGAAAAGAAAACAGGCCACCCACCACGCAACAATACTCCGTACTCATCGTAAAGCCGACCCGTAAAGGGCCCAACGGCAAAGACCCTCGCGTTCTGGAATCCGCCCATTATTCCGCTACAGAGAACCGCTAACCCGATCGAGCCACACCACCCAGACAGTCTGACACGGCGCTAACCCAACCGGGCAGCCCAGACGTCCTTCAAACGGCATGGTGCCGTGGCTGCTAGCCAATGATCGGGCGGCATTGGGGCGTGGATCAGGGTCCAGGGGCCCTGATTGGCAACCCCTCGGTGCGGCGGTGCCGGTGGCAGCCAATCAACCCGCGACCGCTGGTCGACACCTGCGCCCCGAAGGGGAAAGGACAGCCCGTCCGGGAAGGCGCGACGGCGATCCTGGCGGTGCGTCGTCACCCCGTCACTCTCGCTCTTCCCTGATTCTGCGGCTTTTCGCTCCTTTGCGTCTCTCTCGTCTCATCGGTTGCTTTGGTGTCCGCGGCTGGTCCTTGCGCTTTCTGCTTTCTTTTCTTTTCCTCCATCCCCCTCGATGGCTTCCGTCCGTCATGCTCCGGCTGTTTCTTCTTTCTAATTCGTCCCGGTCCATGACCATGTTCCCTGGCGTCCTTCTCACCCGCCGTCCTGATTGTTGCCGCCGTGGGTGATGCCGTCCGATTTGGCCCGCCATCACCGCCATCCGTCCCCGGGGCTCGCCCCTCAAGCATGTCCGGACATCCGTTGAAGAAGCTGCGCGAGCTCTGGCGGCCAGTCATCGGTAAGATCGGTTCTTCCTCTCCCCTCCAGGTCCCGTCCTCCTCCACGACCCATCCGATCGGAGCTATGCTGACGCCCTGAATTGGCCCTCCGTATAGAACGTCTCCCGTCGAACCGATCCGATGCTTCCTATCCGCCGCAAAATGGGCCGGTCAAGGAAGGATGGCGCCCGTTCGCCTTGCGTCCCCTGTACCTCACTCTGATTGCCGCCGCAATGCTCCTCATGTTCGTCACCATCGAGACCCTCCGTCGATATACCGACCAATACGGAGGCCTCGTCTTGATGCAAGCCACCGACGAGGTCTCCAGCGTCCAGTCCTTCGCCTATAACTACGTTCCCATCATAGTGGCTCTGATCTTGGTGATCCTATGGTCCTTCATCGACTTCGACGTCCTCCGTCTCGAGCCGTACTTCCAACTCTCCCGACCGGAAGGCGCCCCCGCCTCCGTGCTGTTCATCAACTATAATTTTGGACAGACCGTCATCACGCCCCTTACCTCGGCCAAGCGCGGCCATTGGATCGTCCTGCTCGTCTCCTTCCTGAGCTTGTTCATCCGCATGATCCTGCCTGCCCTGCAGAGTACCCTGCTCGAATTGCGCGAGGTGACCGTCATCACCGACCAGGAAATGAAAACGTGGCCGACGCTCGTGGACCTGGACACCCAGGGCCGCTGGATCTCAAGTCAGGAAGACACTGGGTTTGACACCGAATCCGACTTTGGCTCGGATGATAGCAGCACCGTGCGGCGGGGTCGATCGTCCCATTACGCCGTCGCGCCCGTGGAGATCCCCCGCGAAGATCGCCGCGAGACCACCGTCTGGACGGTCAACCAGACCGTGTACTGGGTGCAGTCCGCCTGCCACGACGTCTTCACCAACGACAGCCTGACGGTCGCCATCAACAAAACAGATCCGGAACTCCCGCGCCTCGAGTGGAGCGTGACCGGCGTTCAGCTCGAACACCTCGATGCCGCCCCGCGGGACTGCACGTTGGATTTCAGCTACGACAGCATCTTCTTTCCGGCCACCGATTTTTTGCAGGTTCGCTACTGGGAACCCGTGCAGTCGAACCGCACCCTGAAGTCGGAGGATGGGCGGAGAGCCTTCACGGCCCGCGGCTGCAATCCGTTCGATCTGTACGGCGTGCTGATCTCCGTCAACGCTACCGAGGGCGAAGCCGATGCCCTCACCCAGCTAGGTCCGCAGTATACCTCCTCCGCCACCATGTTTGCCTGCAACGTGGATTACCGTCGAGCCGAGGCCGCCGTATCCATGCACGCCAATAGCTCCATCACCGGTATCCAGCTCTACAACGAGACCATCCGGTCGCTGAATGACACCGAATTCAACCTGGAGGAGTTCCGGGGTCTTCTGGCCCACCGTGCGCCCTATACGAGCGACATCGTCTTCATGCAGTACAATCGGACCATGGGCGACCGAACGATCACGGAGCTTCCCGTCGTCAGTCAGGACATGGGGGATATCGACCCAGTGCTCGTGCTCGACACGTCCACCGTGATGGGTCAAGATGAGTTTCAAGACAAAGTAACGCGGGGGGCTCGACAGACGTTCATCCTGACGATGAGCCGTCTTTTCAACCCCGACGTGCCTCCCACGGTGATGCCGGCCTTGCGACTGACGAAGCAGGTGGCCATCGCTGTGGTCGACTTTGCCGCCATGGGATCCGAGGTCATCCTGGCCCTGGGCGTGCTCATGACGCTGACCATGGTCTACTTCTACCGCACCCGCGACAACATCATGCAAGGCGATCCGGGGTCCATCGGTGCTATGTGCAGCATGGTCACCGACGTCCTCAGCCCGACCAACGTCCTCGCCGATCCCGCATCCGACTTTCACCAATTCTCGACGCGACAGCTGCGCATGCACCTGCGCAATTATCGACTCTACTGGCACGACGGGCCGACCGGACGACGGGTAGACCTTGTGACCACTGATGGTAAGTCTTATGAATCCCCGGAAAATGTTCTTCTCTTCCTAACGCACAACAGGCTCCCCGGTCAGCTTTGGCGATCAGATCCGGACCCGCTTCGACCCTCGACCGCACTTCCTTGTCATCCCCATCTTTATTGTCGAGTTTCTCCTCCTGGCCGCCATCATTGCCGTCATGTCACTCATCATCGCGTCACTGGCCCACGAGGGCAGCTTCCAGCATCTCACCCAGTCGGACTCCAGCTTCTTCCAGGTCGTACTGTCATTCTTGCCGTCCGTGGTGGCGTCGGCGGTCGGGGCCCTCTGCAATTCCATCCACCGCAACATCAGCATCCTAGAGCCGTGGGTGCACCTGCAACGCGGCAAGGCCAAGGCGAACTCATCCCTGTCGATGAACTACGCGGCGCAGAACCCGTGGGCCGTGCTCGTCAAAACGGTGCGAGACCGCAACCTCCTGCTGGGTCTCGTTTCACTGGCCTGTGCTGCCAACACGATTCTTACGGTAGTGGCCGGTGGGCTCTTTGAACAGCAATTGACGACCTCCTACTTACCCACTAGTAACCTGCGCACCAACTACAGTCAATCCGTCTTTCACCAAACCGATTTCGCCGCCGACTTCACTGAATACGATCTGATCCAGACCAGTATCACCAGCGGCGTGCCGATGCTGCCATGGACGGTCGCCAACTACTCATTTGTCCCCCTTAAGATCAGCAACCCCGACTCCGATGCCATGTACGAGGCGAGGACCCTAGGCATCGGCGCGGAGCTAGAATGCCGACAGCTGTCCGTGACCCACGACCTGGTGACCGACCCGACGACAGGGTCCCGTGCCTGGCAGTACCAGCCGTTCCGCAATGCCAGCCGGCAATGCGTGGCCGGCATGGACCCGCTCACCCGGAATAACAAGGACGTGGCACTATCCATCCACTTCCTCTCCCCGATTCCCGAAGACGACCGCGACCAGGACGAGTGCCAGACGACGACAACCGTGATCGTCGGACGGTGGAATTACACGGCCCACGCGCCGCCGACCGACTCGAACACGATCGCGCTGCAGTGCGAGCCGCGCGTGCGCATGAAAAAGTTCGATCTGACCTTCGATCAGAAGGGCCAGATCCAGGACCACGAACCGGTCAACGACAGCGTCATCACGGACGGGTCCATGTTTGACAACGCCACCGTCAGCCTGGGCCAGTTCAACAAGGTGTTTGCGGCGATCCCGCAGAGCTTCGTGGGAGAGGACCCGGACGCGCACGAGGGGTTCGTCTCGTCCTACGATTGGGCCGGGTTTCTGGTGGCCCGGTTGTACAAGCAGCAGGAATCGGCTCTGACGCCCCTGGTAGCCGAGGATCTGACCCGCATGTCACAGACGGTCTACCAATGGGTCTACAGCACGTACTTCTCGCTCTGGCGCCGGAACTACCTGCAGCCGCTGGCCAACCCCCCGGTGGCGGACAACGCCACGGTGATCTACAACACCTGGGCCATGGTGCCGTCGGTGCCGTCGCTGGCGATCGCGCTGTTGATCATCGCGCTGGACACGCTGGTCGTGCTGGTGGTGTTTGGCACGCGCCGGGGCCGGTTCCAGGGGCCGCGCATCCCGCGGTCGATCGGGGCGGTGATCCCGTGGCTGGCCAACAGCCGCATGCGTGATGACCTGCGTGGCACCAACAGCTGGTCCAGCCAGCGGCGGCGGGAGTATCTCAACGGGTTGGACAAGCGGTACGGGTTCCGAATGTTCCTAGGCGAGGACGGGCGCTGGCGTTACGCCGTGGACGAGGAACCCAGTCCCGAGAAGCCCCCGGCCCAGCACGAAGAGGCCTCCGACGCCGGGAAAACAGGACCCCCCGTGGAACTCCGCGAGCTGGACGAGTTGGACGAGACGGGGCGACGCCTTTCATGATTTGACGAGAGATGACACTTTGTATTATAGAGTTCGCATTGGGAAAGGGGGTTTTTTGAATGTATTGTACATAGATCTTTGGGAACTGGCAGGAAAATAGGACGGCGTGAATGGATTTGGATCAACTATCCAGCTTTATTTCCTCCCCTCTTCACCAGTCACACAACACTAAACACTACCTACTGGCACTAATTACACCCTTCCGCACTCGCTGGGCTATCATCACCGTCTACAGACGACGTCTGCTGCGCTCCGACCGCTTGGAGGCGCTCTCGGTGAAAGGCTCCAGCGATCCGTTAGGCTTCTTGGGAGCAGGCGTCAAGTCCTTGCCCTTGTTGGGAGGGCCGTGGAAGTCGCCGCCGTTGCAAGCGTCGTCGAGGGCGTTGCACTTGTCCTCCCAGATTTGACAGGAGGCGCCGCCGGTGGGCAGCGTCGTCTCCCAGCAGACCTTGCTCTGGTCCCAGCACTTGGCCGAGGACTATGCATCGTCAGTCATATACCCAGCACACAATCATTCAGAGGGGGGTAAGGGGCAGAGGCACTCACCTCCCAGCAGCCATCCTCATTGTCATAAGCCGGCACCTCGTAGGCGCACCAGTCGTCGCGCACCAGAATGCATCCCTCCGGCTTCAGGCCCTTGTCCTGCGTCATCTTCGAGCTCTCCTGACGCTTTCCCTTGCCGCCAGCCCCCTGCCAGACCTCCGGGCCCACACGCGGATACGGCAACTTCATCGGCGACTCGTAGATGTTGAACGTCAACGCCTCGTCGTTGAGATCATACGTGCCCTCACCCAATCTCACCCCCTCGGGCACCACACCCGCCTCATCCCCCTTCAGGAACACCTGCGCACACCCGGTGTAGAACTGCGGATCGGCAGGACTCTCCTGCGACGCATGCAGGGCCAACAGCTCCGGACGAACGAGGTAATACCCACCCTTCAGACCCGCGGGGATATGCGCCGACAGAAGCCCGTTGTTGTCGATCAGCTTCTCCGTGCACCACTTGCCCGCGCTCTCGTCGTACCCCATCTCCCAGATCTTGAACCACCCGTCGCCCGCGGCGTTGTTGTCCGCGCTGGCGTCGTCCACGTGTTTCATGTACACGGCGCAGGGCCCCTTGTGGCTGGGGTCGATGGACCCCGGCTGCGACCCGTCGGTCCATTCGCGGAATTCGAAGGTCAGGAGAGAGGTCGCCTCCACGGGGCAGATTCGTTTGGCGCCTTTTTCGCCGTGGATTCCTGTTCGGTATTAGTTTTGTCTGGTTGAGTGAGAGGGGGGGCGTGGGAAATGTGAGGAGGGGGGCATACCGCAGGCAATGTCCTTGCTGCTCAGCGGCTCGATCGGATAGGTGGCGGTCTCTGCGTCCGGGTTCATGCGCACGCAGACGCCGTCGCCCTGGTCGATGCCGTCGACGTACAGGTTGGTGAAGGTGGTGTGGCTGGCCACTAGGGGGGCCAGGGCCAGCAAGTGAGAGAGTTGAAGATGCATGATGGCAATCAGGTAATGCAATCAGCAACAAGAATCAGAATCAATCAGAATCAAGAATGTCAAAAAAGGAGTGGAATCCGCGCAGCAGATATAAGACAGAATAGCAAATAAAAAAAAAAAAAAGAACGACTGGTCTGCCTGCAACACAGAACGAAAGAGATCCAAAGGAAGGTGTGTAACTCTCTATCCAAACTCGCCAAACCACCGGGACACAGTCCACGCTATATATACGGCGGCCCCCATCAGGTTCTTGACCGGTCATCAGCATCAGCGCCTAGAAAAAGGGTCCGCCCTGTCCATTCCGGACCCATGGGGGCCTGGTTTACGATCCGTCGAGCTTGGCTCATCGCGCGGTGACGAGATGGGCGCCAATCGCATGGGAAGACCCTTTGTCAATCGGCCCGGAGGAGGTGAGATCGCGTTTCAGGTAAAATGCCCTCTCGGGTCTGGGGTTACCTCTGCAGGAATGGTAGCTGGGAGATTGTCCGAATTCTCCGTGGGACTGCAGGATGTAAGCGCCCTTGTCCATCCGGTGGCGCTCGTGGCGTCTGGCTCGTAGAATTAAAGGGCCGGGCAGCTCAGCATTCCAGGGCTGGGCGAATGTTGGTTTGTCAGGACTGGACGCCACCGGGGGGGAAGTATCCGTCTGGTGTGGATAATGTTGGTTTGTTTTTTCTTTCACTTGAGTCGGTCAGCATCCAGTGGATAATGGTCTTTAATGAGATGGTCCACGGCAGGACAGGAAGTGGCATTCTGGCGGTGTTTGTGTGACTTTGCGACGGGCCTGTCATTTCGACGTTCTTTGATGAGTCTCGTCCTAGTCTCCGAGCTAGTCTAGTGGCCCCATGCCCGAGATCTGCTCTATCGGCCTTTGTAATCTAATTCGGGGCCCTGTCGTGACTAGCAGCAGTTCCTGGGAGCAGCACTTAAAGTAGATTAAACTCAAGTAACCTTCCAACGGCCCCCGGCGATTTCCAACCGTGCCATTCCAACCCTCTCTGTCTCTCTGTCCCGTACAGAGTACAAAGCAAAGTAGTGAGTTGACTCGTAGAGTGGCAAGCTGCATGAGACAACTCGGATGCAGCGGCCCACTTGGCGCCGACGAATGGCGGCCAGACCAGAGTCAGAGTCAGAAGCAGTCGCGCATTCTGACCGGTGATTGAATCCAGCATTGGGAGATTGGCATGCTCGCGCACCGTGGATGCCTTCGAACTAACCAACTAGTTGGAATTACCTAGCCGTACGACGACGGCACCTGTCTCAGGCAGGAGGCAGTGAGAACCAACAACCAAGACGGGAGCGATCCGTCATGAAAGAACTCATCACCCGTTGGCTTTGGAGGCTGTCGCTCCAAATCTCCCTCTCGAGGGGACAAAGAGGCGACGGCATGCGATGCAACGGCCAAGCGGGTAGAGGCCCCCTTGCGTCTGCCTATCGGATCTCCCGCTTTTCGAGAAGAGTGCCCAATGGTGTACGATGCAAGGAGGGGCGAGGAGAGGGGTTGGGGTGCATTCTGCGGGCAGGTGGTTTGCCATCCACATGTCGAGACTGCAGGTGGTTAGGCGAGGTAGTAGATGAGGTAGTAGATGAGGTAGTAGATGAGCTAGTAGAGATGAGGTCGAAGAGCGGAGAATCCACCGCCAAACACTGCAAACGGGTCACCTCTTGCAAGTGTTGGGATCGATCGTAAGATGGAATCGACATCATAGATTAACGGAGGATCGCAAACGTGGATACCCGAGTCTAGACCGTCGTGTTCGACGATTCCTCCCGTGCATCGACTGATTATTATTAATTTCAACACCGCCCATCTTAATATTGTTATTATTATTATTGACGACAACTAAAACTAAGTTCAATGCAAGGAGAAAGAAGTTCTGCCGACCGCCGCCGTCTTCGGGATTTCCGTCTGCGGCCATCAGGGGATAAGCGTTTTTCCGCTCGCCGAAAACAGCTGCCCCGATCTGCCCTAACCCTGTTCGATATGCCCTGCCCTAGCCCTTGCCCTAGGGTGGGTCAACCGCTTGAAAACGGCAAGTGGATCCGCGGAAAGCTCTTTCCGAGAGAAGAAGGCGGTGCGGGCTGCCGTCCCGTGCATCCCCGCAAATCTTCTCCAGATTTGTTGCCCTACAGTGATTGCATGATACTGCGTAAAGTACGCTGTATACCTAGGTAGTCTTGAAGACCTTTTTGTTTTTTTCTTGAAGCTCTACCATGATCATTGTTCATGATCATTCTTATGGTTTATCTTCCCTCTGAATCCTGGTATGGAGTGTAGGAATATTGGCACTGCAGGCCAACACCAATACTACATATATTTCACGAAGCTGTGCTGCATGCGGAGCTTGGCCAACTTAAAGTTCAGATGTAAAGGCGTAGTAGCATTGAAAACAGAGATCTCCGGAAGATGAAGCAGAAACTTTAAAGAAAGAAGCGACAAGACAGATAGTTCAGACAACGCTGGTTGCGTACGGATCAGGCATATGACACCTACGAAGTATGCACCTTCCACTGCAGAACGCATGAACGGTCTAGAAGCATACGGAAGTCTATCTACATCAAGGATCGTCGTTCAACGGTTCGACATCGGATCTAGAGCAATCTATGGGCATCAGGAACTCTATACTGAACGGGATCTGCACTGCTGAAGCATGTCCGTCTGCCCTGGAGGGAAGATCTGGTGTTGATGCACCGATCAGGATTAGTGGACGTCAGTCAAACCTTGCGCAGCGACCTTTTACTCCGGGGACGGAGTGCATATCGGGCAATAGTCGATAGAGTTGAGACCGACGACCACTCTCAGATGCAGGCATCATTCCCGTCAATCCATGCCCGACTGCGCTGTCGTCTCCACGGTCCCGTCCCGAGTATACTCCGTAGCATGCTCCCGCTCATCTGCCGATAGACAACGGAGAACGTCCGGCTGCCCGGTCGTCTTGGCCTTGATGTTCTCCAGTAAGTACTCCGTAGACATCTCAGAGTGGTACCGCCGAGCTCGCGTCGCTCGACGGTCCGGGTGAACGAACGGCCCTGCCAGCCATGACGAAGTACCGGGGGTTGCCAAGCACGCGGCCCATGGCCGACGATCTCGGGGGGTCGGGTGGCATCGGAGCAGTAGGCGACGGGGCACCCGACGCCGTTGCGACGGCGTAGCAAGCCGTCTATTCTCCCTTGCATGGCGGCGATCGCATGCTCCGGCGTTCGTACGGACTACGGACAGGCCGCAGGTCGGTGGACACTGAGGGGGCAACACCACGTGGAGGAGGGTGTCCGACGGGAGGTGACATGCTGCGGTGCGGCGGTTCAGGCGCTCAGTCGAGAAGATCCTCGACGACGTCGTTCTCTCGACACATGGGATGGGGATGTCGGAGAGGGGACGGTGAGGGCAGACGATCCATTTTTAATGGCGCGCACGGATGCGCTGATTGGGGGGCCAGCACGTCGGCGGCGCTGCTTAGGATCCTTAGCGTGGGCCAACCCCACGAATCATCTTGGCCTACGTACGGGGGGAGTTTGATTAAACGCACCAAGCCGTGAGATTCGGCAGACATGCTTTGTTGAGAGAGCGAGGAAAAGCAAGAATTGGGGGTGAAGGGCGGCGAACGAACCTCTTTTCCCGGAAATGATGGAAATGTCTCGCGTGCAAGGCTCCGGAGATTTGGCGACCCCATAGTGCGGAGGGCCAAAGTCCATGGTTGAGTCCTTGTCCGTAGGAACGGAGGAGAGTTCCGTACTGTCGACAGTAAACACCGTACGCAGTAGACTAGGCACTCACTCCGTAACTGCTGCTCTCCGTTGAGCCGCGGGAACGGAGACCGCACGTGATCGCCCCGAAAGGCAGGTGGCGCCCCCGCAGGTGTCGACGCTAAACCGCACACGGCAGTCGAGGACGGGCCGTCGACTCGGCCGCACGTGGACCGCGCAGCCCTCAGACTTTTCCAGGGCCTTTCATTCCTGTCGGCCTTTTGTCTCGGACCATCCTGGGCTGACTGCATCGTGCGTCGCAACGCCCCCCCCGACTCCATGTCAACTTGTCAACGTCAGACCCCCCGGATCAGACACGATCAGGCGAGATCAGACTCGGTTTCTCCGCACGGGGAACGGAGTCAGGTGCACTGTCTTGTTCGCCGGGTAGTCTGACCGAGCCCGGCCGGCGTTTCCCCGGGCCTCTTTCCCTACGACGGGGCCCTGATCCCGGTAGATGGCCTCATCGGCGGAGTAAGAATTAATAAGGGTTTTTTCATCTCGGTTGGGGCGTTCCAGTGGTCCAATCGCCACTCGTTACCACCAACAGCGCGGATGGAACGACGCTGATTGGCGGCGACGGGGGCATCCAAGAGGCCCAAGAAAAACCTTCCGTCAGGAGCTAACCGGGATGAGACGATAGCCCCGTGTCGGTGCAGCAGGTGCTCGAGGGTTAATTGTGGTCGGCAGGCTAGGCTGGGGCCAAAGCTGGACAAGATCCGACCAAGCGGCTTGGCTGGGACCGCCGTCGATGTCATGAGTTGGGGCAGAGCAGAGTTACAGAGTGTTATTGGGACGCCTCAATGCTTGGTGGCTGCTCAGGAGGGTACAGAGTACGCAGTAGTACTCCGAAAGTCAAGTCAACAGAACGGAGGGCTCTTGGCACTCGATCCCGCCCCCCCGCGCCAGATCCACCGTCGGCAGACTTGCCCCCGCGGCGCAGGCGTTTTCGCGTGCACCGGGCTTGGCGCTAGCGTCGTGGCCCCGGATGCGGCAAACATCCCGAGGCTGCATGCGACGGCGCCGCGAGGAAGTCTGCCGATTGACGTCACGCCAAGCGCTGTTTTCTCACGGGCGACCCGGGGTTGCGGAGATTTCGCCCAATCACAGCGCCGGCTTGCCGGTGCCTGTGGGTGCCTGGGGTTCCTGGGGTTTGCCGTTTTGAGAAAACGAGAATATCGAAATGAATTTCCAGGACCAAAATGAAAAATAATAAAAAAAAAAAAAAAAAAAAAGGTTAAAATTTCCCCGAAGGCAAGTCGCCCGTCCGTCGACCCTCAAACAACTTATATAAGACCCTCTCCCCCGTCGTCTCCATTTCGACGTTCTTACTTCCTGTCTCTCCGTTCCCCGTCGCGGTTCTCTTTTTGATCCTTCTTGGTCCTCATATCCACCTTTCAGGCAATATGTGGACTACCACCTCCGGCTTCAAGGGGCGGTCGCTCCGCGTCGCCATCACCCTCACCGCCGTCATGGGTTTCTCCCTCTTCGGCTACAACCAGGGTATGATGTCCGGTCTGATCGCCGGTACCGAGTTCGTCAAGACCTTCAAAACCCTGCAGATGCCCGAGAATGCCGACGCTGCCACCGACCGACACATCAACGTGCTGCGTGGTGCCGTCACCGCCTGTTACGAGATCGGCTGTTTCTTTGGCGCCCTCTTCTCCATGTTCTTCGGTGACCGCCTGGGTCGTACGCGCCTGATCGTCATGGGTGCCTTCACCCTGATCGTCGGCGCCGTCATCTCCACGGCCGCCTTTGGCGACCAGTGGGGTCTCGGTCAGTTCGTCATCGGTCGTGTCGTCTCCGGCGTCGGCAACGGCCTGAACACCGCGACCATCCCCGTCTGGCAGTCCGAGTGCTCCAGCTCGCACAACCGTGGTTTCCTCGTCTGCTTCGAGGGTGCCGTCATCGCCGTCGGCACCTTCGTCGCCTACTGGGTCGTCTTCGGTCTCTCCTACGTCGACTCCGACGTGCAGTGGCGATTCCCCGTCGCCCTGCAGGTCCTGTTCGCCCTGCTCGTCATGCTCGGCGCCTTCATGTTCCCCGAATCCCCTCGCTGGATGGTCATGAGAGGCTACGACAAGGAGGCCTGCGAGGTCATTGCCCGCCTCAAGAACTCCTCGCCCGACTCCGACGACGTCCTGACCGACTTCAACTTCATGAAGGCCGATGTCGAGGCCTCCCAGGCCTCCCAGACCGGCTGGAAGGCCCTCTTCACCTTCGGCGGCAAGACCCAAGAATTCCAGCGCATGATGATCGGTTGCTCCGGCCAGTTCTTCCAGCAGTTCACCGGTTGCAATGCTGCCATCTACTACTCCACCCTGCTCTTCGAGGACAACCTGGGTCTGGAGCACCGTCTGGCCCTGATCATGGGTGGTGTCTTCGCCACCGTCTACGCCATCGCCACCATCCCGTCCTTCTTCATGATTGAGCGCGTCGGTCGTCGTAACCTCTACCTGATCGGCTACGTCGGCCAGGGTCTCAGTTTCGTCATCACCTTCGCCTGCTTGATCAAGGAGACCGAGGAGAACTCCAAGGGTGCCATCGTCGGTATCTTCCTGTTCATCGTCTTCTTCGCCTTCACCTTGCTGCCTCTGCCCTGGATCTACCCTCCCGAGATCAACCCCCTGCGTACCCGTACCGCCGGTGCCGCCGCCTCGACCTGCACCAACTGGATCTGCAACTTCGCCGTCGTCATGTTCACCCCCATCTTCGCCGCCACCAGTCCCTGGGGTGTCTACCTCTTCTTCGCCCTCATCAACTTCAGCGCCGTCCCCATCGCCTGGTACTTCTACGTCGAGACCGCCGGTCGTGAGCTCGAGGAGATCGATATCATCTACGCCCGTGCCCACGTCGAGGGCAAGCGCCCCCACACCGTCTCCAAGAACATGCCCAAGCTCTCCTTCGAGGAGATCGCCCAGCAGTCCCGCGAGCTCGGCCTCGACCACTCCGACCACCACCAGGTCCACGAGAAGAACGAGCTCGGCCTCAGCAGCGGCAGCGGCAGCGGCCAGGACCTCCAGGAGGTCCAGGAGAAGAACTAGCTGCGTCCTCGGACGTGAGCTGTGGAGATCTTGGATATAATTTCTTCTCTACGAAGTTTGAAATTGTGTGTAGAAGATCGCTTTTACCAATTTTTTTTTTTTTTTTCTTTTTTGTGAAAACGGTGCGGCTACTACCGTCATACCCCTTTTGCTTTTGGCCCACCGCTGCTTTGTTAGTAGATAGATATAACTTATGTTGATTATAGAAAGTGGCTATTCTACTTGTCTTATATCTATGTTAATTTTATTGTGACAATCTATACCCTCATGAACCTAACTCCCTCCATTTCTCTACATTAAGTTTTAAAATTTCCAGCGTCGCAAAATCCAGCTGGCTAGCTGCCTTGGCGACCTGCAGAGTTTTCATCCACTCGCCTTAAAAACCATGCCGTTAATTCTTATTATGTCAATCTCCGTCTCCACCCGATCCCGACCCCGATCTTAGCCGCAGAATGCGCCCACTCCCTTACTCGACGTCCGTCCCTCGGGACGGTCTTGCCATGTTGGCGACCCTGCAAGGGGGTTGATATATTGCTCGCTAATGCAGATTTGCAGATTGATCGGACGAACGTACTCCGGTTCTGCCTCAGGCAGAAGTCTGCGTCTGGCTGTTTTGGGATGGGTCATTAAGGGAGGATGTACGGAGGAAGGTAAAGAGAGATTGCGCAGATTGGATGCTGGATGGGAAATTGAGGATGTACTCTGTACGGAGTACGAGGGCAGGGGTAAGGCGTTTGGTTTGATTATTCTTTGGATAGGTATGATATTGAAGGTTTTTTTCCTAAAAGGGAAAGAAAATAAATAAACACATGATTGGTTGATTCGGATAGGGAGTGGAATTAGGGGTTTGGGACCTCATAATGTACTTTTTTCCTTCTTTTCTGTTCTTTGTTACTATTATTCTGAATATTTAGTGCATAATATTTATGGTAGAAATTGAATCGGATATTCGATTTAATCGGGCTACATGGACACACATTGGATTATAGCGTCGTGATAGTATACCAATAGACGATGTTCTACGTTCCTAAATTTGTACATTCGACTATTAAATATGAGTGCTTTGGGGGTTCAGCGATGATAACAAGGAGGGTCTCGGCTCTAAAACCTTTTCAAAAGGTCTCGAAAGTGAGGAATTTGATCGTACAGAAGATTAAGGTAGGATTAGGATCCGATCCTTGCTTGATGCGCTAAAGGGGGTATTAAGATAGACTGCAATTTACTGCGTGTTTATCACAATTTCGGAAATTATTATGGTGGTATGGACGTTATTTGGCTTTATTATCTGCTTTGTCTGTGTATACTACGCTTGCAGCGACCCAATGATCGCTGGCTACCTGAAAGAGCCCTGATAGGGAGCTGACATTGGGTGTAATGCAACTCTCTCTCTCCCTGAGAAGGGACATTGATGTAAGAAATTTATAGCATATAGGTCCGTTGGATATGCGGCAGACATGTAGTAGCTCCTGATTTAGCTGTCTGCTTTTTGATTATTTATTGCTTTTTAGGTTTGGCAGGTAGGTATGAGATTTTTCTTATTCAGCAAAGCGTCTGTATAGTCTCACGGTTTAATAAATGAGATTCATTCGGTTGATATCATTCTGACTGGTTTGATTGATTAGTTTACTGACCAGCTATTTTGCCATTATGACACCCAGCCTTGTTCTTCCATGATGGTAACTATCCCGAGTGCTTCATTTTCATCCTGACTGAATTACGGACGCCTTTAAGAGCCACGAGATTCTAAAAAAAAGAATCATTGTCCACGTGATCAAACGATTAACAAAAGATTCAGTACTTTAAAATTAGATGGCTCCGCAAAGCAAGTCTTTCTGTCGATCTGTTATATAATTGTAGCGTAGAGTTCCGAACTGGTGAAAATTTCGAACACTTACGTACTGTTAAAACTCTACAGTCTCTTATACGAAGAATGTATATAGTTCTAATGTGCTACTGGTTGCTTCCATGTTGTTAATAATACCACCGTTGCTTTTCTTTTTGCTAAATGAACGTCTGGCGTCATTATCAGCCCTAATATTGCTATTGTTAATATCTCTATTGTTGTGCTCTAGTACCCTAAAGCCACCATGCTTTATGGCAACAATTTGAATATTCTAATTGATTTGCCTACCCCAATGCTGCAGCCGAACCAATATGGAGAATACAGAGTAACAGGAGGGATCTAGTAAGGCTAAAACTAAAAGACTTTCAAAATTTGATATTGCTCATGCTCTTCACACAGACTTTACTTTACGTTTAAAATTGGGTTCCCTCGCTTTCATTGTTGCTTTCTTTCGTCTCACTTAGCAAAAGCTTGAATTTCTTATCAACTACGGTGAACCTCACGACAAGACTGTTATGGTCAATAACTAGGGGATGATAGAGCTACGTCCTATGACGATCAATGTTTGAACCGAGATGTATGAAGAGCTGCGGGATGCAGCCGGCAATTATCGCTGCTCATGAGGCGGCTAGTTTCACATATAGCTCCTATGTTACAGCACTGGAGTCTAGAGTAGTGGCCATGGCCCTGGGGACATTGATGACGCCGATGAAATCGGACCGGAGTATGCCTTTTGGCCTGTGAGAGTGATCAAGGTCTGGACTAGCCATTTCCACCGGTTGTTTAAGCCCTCAAGAACCTAAATGCCGGAATGTTAATCCACAATGTTCTCGATTCTGGTCGTGTTAGAACATAGGCCCGAATGATGAACTCTGATTAATATCTCGCCCACCACCCTGGACCTTTTCCACGGATAAATGTTCCTGATGTTCTCAATTCTGGTTATATTATATATGCTGTTGTGGTTGAATTCTCTTTTGTTAAGAACATAGGCCCGAATGATGAACTCTGATTAATATCTTGCCCACCACCCTGGGCCTTTTCCACGGATAAATGTTCCTGAGGTTCTAGCTTGGAAAAGGTAGATTGCTGGCGTATCCCGCAATAGTCAGAGGGCGGGAGCGAAGGTTTCGCGAGAAACGAAGTTTATGATCGCATGGAACTAAAGACCGTCAGCCTTACATCATAGTTACTTCACAACATCCCACTCGCCATAGGATGGAAGAACCGATAAAATGCTCATAGCGCCCATTCTTGTGGAAAGAAGATACCCATCACAAATGATTCGTTATTCTTCAGAGTTAATCAAGTGACAGTGAGTTCTTCTAGATATTTCTTGTTTTGCATTCTGGTGCAACATTTCTCTGACCTAGACGGCTTGCTAGTACTATATTCGACGTTGATAATCAGCGGAGAAATCCGTGAGCATGAAGATATCGTGGCCACTTGTTGGTCTGGGCATGAGCCTGACCAACGAGGTTTCGGCTGGACCAACTGGATACGGTATCTGTCAAGCAGGCTGTTCTGGAGTCGCTATGGCTTGTTATGCAGCGGCAGGTTGTACATGGGGAGCAACATTAGGAGCAACTGCGCCCCCTGCCATTGTTGCCTGCAACGCAGCTTTTGGGGCGTGTCAGGCAAAATGTGCCCTGGTCCTGCTGGCACCAACGCCTTAACCAGCCTTCTCCATCACACTCGTGGAAAGTGACAAGAATGAATTTTCTTGCAGCAGAATATGTGGAATGGTGGATAGGACGGAATGATGATTGGATTCCAGACTCGGGTCTCACGGGCCATCTCGTCTCAGATAAGATTATCCGCTGGTGCCCGAAAAACGGTTGAGACGTCGGAGTTGGATCTGGATGGGGCTTTTGTTTCGGGTTCAACGGTTCGAGAAGAATTCTATGATCTTTCTGAGTCATGTCAGTTGCATCATAGCACCTCGGAGATTATCATTCGGCATTTGTAAAACCCCTCGGCTGGGGATCGTGCAGGCTAGGGGCGATCGTTTTGTTGTTGGAGAGAGGAGATTAATTGGAATTGTCTGAATGTCTTCAAATGAGCTGTTGGCTAAATCCCAGTAGGCAGAGTGTTAACAAAGAAGATGCTTGACACAGCCTGGACTCTTGTAGTCAGGGCTTTCGAAGGCACATGACCGACGACGTCTCCTATCCCTGTCGACAACACCTCGAGACTTTCGTTCTCTGCCACTGTACACGATCAACCCTTATTCCATGGTCGTACTCATACTGGGTTTCCTTTTCTTTTACCTTTAATTTCGGCTTCGGCGATTTCACTTTTGCTTTTCAGACCGAACGTGCGCATTGACCTGAATGTATGGCATATATCATCCAGCTCTACCGTGTGACAAGGTCTAGACCATAGTCTTATGAGCACAATGAGATAGATGATTGACGCTGTTTTCACTTTGAGCCAATGACAAGATCAAAAACTGGAAAGTCGCGTGGTGGAGTGTCTCGTCGGGCAAGATGGGCAAGTAGGCTTCTTGACACTTGACCGAAAAACAGTCCTAGCTCATTACTGACAGGAGAGGAGATCCATTTGGTGTCAAATAGTACGGTAGTTGATCATCCACAGGGGAAACCGAAGCTGTATCCACCGCCTGTCCGAAATATTGAAGCCTTGCCCCTTCATTTCGAACGGACAAAGAACACCGCGCTGGGCGACAGACGGCCGAAGCCAAATGGGACCGATCACAGCCACCTTGAGTCAGGCCCTCATACGGAGTAGTACTCCGTAGTATGATATCACTGGAGTCCAGAAGCATCGAAAATGCCTCATGGCAAATGGACCTGTCCTCGGCCAATTGCAGGGCCAGTTTGAGCAGGTAGTCCGCACAAACAGACCGGGGTCAAAAGTACCTACTTGCTGCACCCATGGAACGATATTCTTTTTCTAGCTAGAGCACCTCACAGCATTAGCATGAAAGTCCAGGAACACGAAGTCCAAGCCCCCGAGAGAGCAATCGGGAGGATTTCGGGGAAACCGATCGACAGGGACCGGTACCCCATCGGGTTTAGACGACGCATTTTTGGGCAAACCATCAAATTAATTTCTGCGCCGATTTCCATCCACGAACTGGCACTAACATGCATCCTTCGCTGCTTGCAGTAAAGTCGCTGGTCTAGTTCCCTGGTTTCCGCCCGGACTGCCAGCCCTACCTTGTCTACTTGAAACCTGAAACTACTATTTTGATCCAGGCACAGGCCAGGATCGACGGATCACATTCTCGCCCTCCTAACGGGCACCGGTCTCACGCTGAGACAGTGACGGAATTTGCGTCTCGAGATGGATTCCGGCTTTTCCTTGTCCGACTGGTGGGTTGAGCGTGAGGATGTGAATGCAATTGTGGTGCACATGGTCTTCTGGATGTGGTGTTGATCGTGAACAACACTGTCCATACTATGGTTCTCGGACGGCCAGTTGATATGATCGATCTGTTCCAGAGATGGCGCACTCTTGAGAAGAACTAGCAGAGCCCCTGCAGGAATGCTCTCACAACAAGCCATCCCATGTTCCAAGTATACAAGCCCTCGCGAACTGCCGATATCACCACCGCAAACGACCTCGGCGTCGGGCAAGCAGTGAAACGACTCCACTGTTTCATCCAGCATCCCGATCCCCGACGGCCCTTGACTAGTCCATCTCTAAGAAAAAACCTTATCCGGATCTGATTTTGAGTCGGCGAGTTCAAAGTATAAAGCCCCCCGGGTCTGAACTCTCAATGTCTCTCAACCAGCTTCGCTCGTTCCATTCATCCATCCGTACCATCTGTCCATAGAGCTGTGCTCTAGTCTTTCGTTTATTCTTTTCTCTTCCCCTCACTTTCTTTTGATATAAAACCCTCAAATCCATACAGATTTACCTGTCTCCGAAAATGAAGGCCGCTATCGCTCTCAGTCTCATCACCGCCGCTCTGGCAGCGCCCACCAAGACCGTTGAATCGCGTCAACTCCCCGGCCTGGGAGGTTCCAGCTCGTCCAGCAGCGGCGGCCTGAGTGGCCTCTCCTCTCTCATTCCCTCCGGCCTCGCCGGCGGCGGCAGCAGCGGTAGCAGCAGCGGAGGCCTGCCTGATCTCAGCAAGCTCCTCGGCGGCGGTAGCAGCAGTGGCAGCAGCAGCGGAGGCCTGCCGGACCTCAGCAGCCTGCTGGGCGGCGGCTCGAGCTCGTCGGATTCCTCGGACTCGTCGGACTCCTCGTCGAGCTCTGGCTCTGACTCCAGCTCTGACTCGAGCTCGGGCTCCGACTCCAGCTCCAGCTCCAGCGGAGGTCTCCCTGACATTGGCAGCCTGCTGGGCGGCGGAAGTGGAGGTTCGTCGCTCTTCTCTCGTTCCGACGATGAGATAGTCGAGACGACTAAACGCGCAGGATTAGGCTCGATGACCGAGAACGACGTCGCCCAAAACAAGGGCTGCAAGGAGCTCACCTTCATCTTTGCCCGCGGCACCACCGAGATGGGCAACATGGGCTCCGTCGTCGGCCCCCCCGTCGCTAAGAACCTGAACTCCCTGACCGGCAACCAGTGCGCCGTCCAGGGTGTTGACTACCCTGCTGATGCTGCGGTTTGTTCCCCCCTTCCCCCTTTCTTCCTTTCCCCCGGGTCCATGGATATGCCCATACTAACGCGAGCGAATACAGGGTAACGCGATGATGGGCGCCTCCGGCGGTCCCAAGATGGCCGAGATGGTGCAGAAGGCGCTCAAGCAGTGCCCGAAGACGAAGGTGGTGCTGGGCGGATACTCACAGGGTTCGATGGTGGTTCACAACGCGGCCAGCAAGCTCTCCGAGGGCCAGATCGCCGCCGCCGTGCTCTTCGGCGACCCCTTCAAGATGCAGGCTGTCGGCAAGCTCGACAAGTCCAAGACCAAGGAGTTCTGTGCCTCGGGTGACCCTGTCTGCGAGAACGGGTTCAACGTCATGGCGCACTTGTCGTACGGTGGTCAGGCGAAGGAGGCGGCTCAGTTCTTGGTCCAGGCTGCGGGTGTTGGTTCTTCTTAAACCTTTTTTCCTTCTCTTTCTTGATCTTGTGGAGTTGAGGAGGGGGGCTTGGTTGCTCTCTTGGTCTTGGCTCTGGATATGTGGGAAGTCAGTCGTTCATTTGGCATGATTTGGATGGATACGGACATGGATAACCTATGGATGGATGGAATATCTGGACAAGATAGCGCTGGACGCGAACCAACCATCTGGCAATTACGAATGAAACAAACTCATTAAAAAATTGTCTATATCTATGTAAATTGAATTATCTGGGTCGGCTTTCTTGCCAAATCACTGATTTAGAAAACCTTGAACCCACCGGGCATCAACCGCTGGAACACACCCTCGGGGTCATACTTCTTCGCGATGTCCTGCAACTTGGCATGGTTCTCCTCGCCATACCCTTCGAAGATCTTCTGGAATCCGGCCGAGTCACCCATGTAGTTGAAGGGATCGTACAGGCCGGCCTTCATCGTCGCGTTGTTGATCGCGTACGTCGTCTCCTGCACCCACTGGGCCACGATGTCGTCGTACGCTGAGCCAATCCACTCGACGACTTCTGCGTAGCAGAGGTAGATCTTCGAGGGATCCAGACCGAGGGCGTTTCCACCGCGGGACTCAGATGCGCGCATCCAGTCGGCGCCGATGGGCTGCCAGTCCAGCTGTATGGTGGAGATGTTGGCCATGGGGACCTGGTCCAGGAGCTTGGGTAGCTCGTTGAAGAAGGTGGTATTGATTATGGTGATACCTTCGAGCAGGGTCTTGTAGTTGGTGCCGGTGACAGTGCCGGCGACGAAGACGTCACTGTTATTGATTAGTACTTGTTACATTGTGGGTTGATGAGGGGGAGTGGGGGTAGGAGAAGGTACTTGATATGAGGCACCACCATTTCGCCCGTCTCGGCGGCAAACTCGCCCAAAGTCTTGAAGCCAACTGTGCTGCTGATCGACGGGATGTCCGTGAAGGGCTTGAAAATATCCGGGTAGCTGACCTCCTCGCTGTCGTAGAACAGAATCACCGAGGCCATCAGCGTCTCGCCCTGCACGAGCGCGGGTACGATGTGCGTCTTGGGGTCGGAGATGTTGGCGGCGTAGATAGCAGCGGCCTAGCGAATGAGTTAATCTCGTCATTTCCAAGGTACGGGGGAAGTAAGACGTACAGCCAAAAACTGATCCACATACTTCGCCTCGACGGTATGCGCACCCGCCCACACCTTGGGCGACCTGATCGTCTCCATATCAAATCTCGTCACGATGCCGAAGTTGCTGCTACCGCCCTTCAGCGCCCAGAATAGGTCTGGGTTCGACGTCTTGTTCGCCTGCACGACGTCGCCATCCGCCAGGACCACCTCGTAGTTGACCACGGTGTCACACCCGAAGCCAACCTGGTTGCCGTAGAAGTTGACGCCGCCGGCGAGGATCAGGCCGGGGACGCCGACGGGGCCGAGGCGACCTCCTGCGGCGGCGAGGCCGAATTTACCTAGGTAGGCGTAGACATCGGACCAACTGGTCGAATAAGTAAATTGCTGTTGATGTTTTCCAGGAGAAAAGAACGTACCGATAAGCCGGGCCCACAGACAAGATGGATTGATCCTCGGAGAGCTGCATGGTGGTCAGGTTCGACATGACGATCAGCACACCCTCGTCGATATTGTTCGATCCCTGAATCCCCATGTGGCCGCCGCCGCGCACGGCGAACTCAGCGTCGGTGTCTACCAGCGCCTGCAGACCCTGTGACAGCTGGTCGCTGGATTGCGGACGGAAGACGCATCCTGGCGAGAGGATCTCCGTGTTGGACCAGAACTCCTGCGACTCGTACCGGTAGACCGAGGAATCGCGCGGGAAGACGGCATCGGAGAGGGAGGACGAGAGGGCCTGGCAGCCGGGCGAGAGTGACGTGTCGGCCAGCGAGAAGGGCGTCATGCCCAGAGGGAGAACGGTGGATGCGAGACGCATGTTGATATCTGCTCTGTTGTGTAGGACTGCCGCAAACACGCAATCACTCGGTCACCAACAGCTGGAAGAGAAGAAGAGAAAAGCCCCCGGCAAGGAAGGAAAGAAAAGAGAAAGCCGTGACAGACGGACCATCCCGTGGTGGATCCCTCGAGTCAAGAATGTTTCGGTCTGGAATGGGCATTATTCAAGCTGTGAGTGGCATCTTGACCCGGAGTGACTCCATTCTTGTGTCCTAGTCCGGGGCCGGCTCGTCGGCGGTTCTTTGGTGGGAAAAATGGAAAGGAAACGGAAATTGTCATGAATGGTTCGTCCGAATCCCGGCGGTTTGGCTGATCTTGATTTTTCCTGCATCTCATGCAGGTTTGCGCAACACGCTATCGTTGGCGCGGGTGGACTCGGTGAAGCGAGACTAGTCAGGTCCACCTCAATTTGACGATCTCTGGCCATTTTATTTGCATTTTGTTTACTGTGGGTTAGTACTCCGTGTCCGTAGGCTATCGCGGCTGAATTAAGGCTATTATTATTATGATCATAGGAGATCAACCCATTATTGTACAGTGACCGTAGACATCGTCAGTCGTCTCAAATTTACATGCGTTTAACGTCTCCCGGAGTTCTCAATGTCAAACTCCACAGTGCGCAGGATTCCGTCTTCTTTGGGACCGGGAGACGGCGACAGAATGTACTCCTCGCTATCGTTATGAGCGTGGGCGGTTGTCGAATACTGGTGATCTCGCGGGGTCGCAAAGTCCGGCTGCGAGCGAGGAATGGATCCCAGAGGGTGCGCGTACTTTTTCGAGCGTGACGTATTCTCGGCGCTGGATAGGCCTAATAATCGGGGGAAATACCGGCGAACGAATGGACGCATGGCTGTCACGCAACCCCCCGTGATGCCGAGGTTTAGCTCGATCGTGCACCACATTAGGGCGTCGGTGGTGGCCCCTAAATACGGACATTAGCTTTTACGATGGCTTTTGGACAGCGTGAACTTACAGGTCAGATCCGGGCTTTTGAGCAAGTCGTAGAGAGTCGCTAGACGGACACAGCTAACAATTCCCACACTGTAACCGTTAGCAAGCCATTTCCGTCTGAAATTCTGGGTTCACTTACAAGCATCCCGTTGCCAGGATCAAAGCAACGGCGATTTTCTGGCGCAACGGCATCTGCAATCGACGGAGCCAGGGACTAGTAACGTTAGAGCCTGTTGGTATCGTGGTAGAGGGCAAATACATTGGAACCAGAACAGTCGCAAAATCTGTGAAGATTCCCAACCCGGCATTGGCAAAGTAGAATACCGGGCGGTTCATGCAGGTGCCTTTCGTTATTGTCATGTCCCAGGTCTTCGCAATGGGAGTGCAGCCCAGGAAATTGGCGAAAACGCTCGCCACGTTGTATAGAACCGCAATGGCTGCAATGGCCCAGACGCAGATATGGAACGTTCGAGTTGGGAAGATGCGAACGTAGAAAATTAGGACGGAGACTTTGGTAAATCCGGTGGCAGCGCAGTAGAAGATGGCCGAGATCATGTTCAACTGTCCTCGAAAATTGCATTAGCTCTAGTCTGACTCCCTTCGAATTGCTGGGGGCACGTAGTCTCACCTTCAGGAACCATGGAGAATAATCCGTCGCGTGCACATCCCACATATGTCTTCCCAGGCCTCGATTGAGCACTGGCGCGATGTTAGTCTTGTTTTGATATCCTCTGCCGATTTATCCTTACTTTCAAGTGTCACCCCTGTCAGCACACATGACAGAATCTGTAAACGTTAGACATTCGATCTGCCAACTCGTTGAATCGGCGTACCCAGGCAAAAATCATCAAATCTACTTCAGTCAGCCACGTTTCGCATGTCCTCGGCAGAATACCTACAATCATCCGACCGGAAACTACGCACGATGAAAAGGCGAGTCCATGTCCGCACCAGCAATGCGATGGCAGAAAGCGGCAGAAATACACAGTTGACCACCAGGAATTTCGTGCCGATGTATTCAGGGTTGATGAAATTTGACGACTGCCCCGGTGGCGGCGGCATCGCCGGGGTTATCGAGCCGAATTCCACCATGATGTCGACATGAGGCAAGCTTTGGGAAAATGTCACCCAAGTGTCGAGGTAGAGGGGGCTGTCAAATAACTTTAAGGGCCACAAGGAAATGGGTAAAATATGGCGGACCCAGTCGCAACACTAGTCGATGAGAGTGGCTTGGACAGCCTTGAATCAACCGGAAAGCGATCCCCAAAGCATGTGGACTCAGCCGGCGTTTGAAGTGGCAGAAATCCTGGATAAGTTATGATGGAAACTCAAGATCCGGGGAGGTTTATTTATCATCCGTAAAACCTTCTCGGCTCTGATCCGATAGTTTATCGATTCCTAAAAAAGAGAATATCTAGGTAGCTGACCCCTGAGAATCAGTTGAATGGATGTTGCGCCCATTGTATCAGTTCCCCCTTCAGGTAAGAGGATGTCATCTCGTTCAATTCCCTCTAATTCTCGTATCCATCGCTTCTTCGCCACGGCCGGTTACCTATTATGTTGAGCAGGCCCTTGAAATCTCAAGCTTCGACACGATGTGGGGAAGACTCGCAATATAACCCCTCTCGTAGCCTAGGCTAGATGGCCTGGCATCTGCCACGCAGAGACATTGATTTGTATTTCCCGGTCCTAGTCCGTCATCATTGCTCGGGTGAATGCACCTCATCCACCTATGGGGTAAGGATATGCTCGGTGAAAACTTTTTCGTTGCCATTTTCCGTGGCATTAAACTTTGATCTGATGAGAAAAGCTGGACAAGGCCACCAAAGCCGAACCAAATAATGCAAATTCGTGGGTCGGGGAACACTTGCCGATGCCGAACTCTGCTATAATACGTACTCCGATATAGTAGGAGCATTGGTATCATTCTAACGAACCTCGACCAAAGCAATCCCTCCGCCTATTTTTTAAAACCACCCTGCAAGCCATACTCCGACATAGGGCCGAATACAATATTCTCGCGACATTGTCAACGCTAGAATGCACGCGATCGCAGATCCATCGATGATCTCATCGGAAAGGATCAGAAAGGCACGCCGCGGAGGTCCGAGCAGATGAGAGATGCCTGGCCCTGCGGCTAGCATGCTTCCAGGCCGCCGACACTGGAACCATTGGAGGGACGGATCATGGGACCATTATTAATGAGCCATGCCATCGGGTCAAATCCGCAAGTGTCCTGCCTGTCTGGGTATTTGACCCGTCCTCTGTGAACTCAGAAGTTTGGCGCGGTGTGGTTTCTGGAGACACTAGTGAGCGCTAGAGCGATCAGAGTGGGATCGCCGACGGTGCACAGGGCCTCGGAGTTCTCTCGGTTCTGGAGTGCATGAAGGTGAATAGGAAAAACAGTAGAGAAGCGTCGCGTGGGCAAAGGAAGATATTCAATACCTTCCAAGGGCTCGATATTTTCAAGGTCGGACGTTGTGTTGGATTGCGCCGACAGATGCTCGCCTCGCAACATGACAGAGAAACCGCAATCTAATTAACTTTCGACGATGGCGAATCGGCGCAGTAGTTGAAACCGCGAGCTGCAAAAAATTGGGGAAACCCAAGAATGAGATTGACGACCCACTTGGCGACTGTTCGTTCCGTGGAACCGCGAGGCGACAAGCGAAGTACTTACGGAGTACTCCGTACTCCGTATGCGTTCAAGATAGACTAATACGGAGTAGTTATCGACATGTAATTATTAGCAATGGAGACTAAACTCACTGACCAGGTTTTGATGTCAAATGGACAGTTTCACATTCAGGGCAAATTGAGCCGGTCGCATGGGATACGATACGCCGGCATTTGTTTGGATGGGATTTGATCTCGAGGACGAGTAAGCACCTGAATTTCCAAAGAGCTTTCTAGTCTTTCTAGTAACCAGCTCCATGTCGATGGCAGGTTGTGAGAGATGAAAGGAGGACAGGGAGAAGAGGAAGAAGAGGGAGAAGACGGAAAGATATGCCTCAGGCCAGCAGCACATGACCACCGCTGTCTTGTCTTTCTCCTCCCTCTTTCTTCCTCGTCTCATTCTCGACCACTCTTCATTTTCTTGACAAGGGCAAGTTCGGGAAACAGCCAAGATGAATGAATGGCAGGCTGGACTTGGCGAGAGAAGGATTCAGGTGACCTACCCCTCATTAGCACCGCCTGCTTTGGTTGAGATTGTGGCTTCTCGTCTCATCTGTCGCGCTCTACCACACCAATATGGTTTCATACAGACTGAATGGGCAAGTCATATCACTCGAGCTGCCTGATGCAACCAAGAAAGAGATGGACTTTTCGCGCACCTCCTTCTTTGCTGCCGACCCAGGCCGACAACTGCCAGCACCATCTGAAATACTAGCCCTATCAAGCGATGCGCATCAAATAGCTCAGCCAAAGCCGGTGATAATTGAAGACCTTAATCTGGTTGTCAAGTTCGGACCCTATGTAACCGCTGCCGAAGCCTTGAATCCCTGGATGATCCGACATGTATTCCATGAGAAAGTCCCGGTGCCCGAGGTCTTTGGTTGGCGAGTCGATGGTCAAGGCTTCGGATTTATATACATGGAGCTGATACGCGGACTGACGGTCTCCGATTGCTACAGCACTCTGACTGATGCCGAAAAACAAGCAATCGCTGATCAACTGCGCGAGATACTGGATACTTTGCGCCAGCTCAGGCAAGACCCTGCGGACCAGTTTGTTGGTAGGGCGAAATCCGGCAAGGCCTCCACCGGAGACTCACTCTGTTTACAGGATCAATCACACGACAACATCTTTTTGATTATGTATTGCAATGTCAGCCGAGGAGTGGTCCTTTCTTGAGTGTCGAGGCATTCAATGACTGGTTCGCTTTACTACATCAATTGCGTTTCGAGCACAGATACGAGGATCCAAATCGGTGCCTGCTGCCAGACGCCGGAGATATAACTTTTACTCACGCGGACCTGAACAGGGGAAACATAATTCTTTCCTCTCGCAGCCCGCTTCGAATCACCCTTGTTGACTGTGGCAGCAGTCGGGGTGGTACCCGGACTATTGGGAATACTGTAAAACTTTGTACAGTCTCTCATACAAAGATGAATGGCGCATTAACTTTGTTGATTGCTTTCTTAACCCAGAGCCTGATGTTTTCCTGACGTTTTCTGAATACACCCTCGCTATGGGTGCTGTCTGATTCTCGAACCGAGAACTACGCAAGCATGCCGTCGCGCGCGCACAAAGGCATGGCTGACGCCTCTTGGTCCCAGTTCTGCCCAGCAGGACTAGCTCTCGTACAGAGGGGAAGCATCTATTGACAAACTAGTATGGTTATGATCTTGTCTAAACATTTGGCTTGAGACCAAGAATTTCAAACCCTGATTCTGAGAATCGATCGAGAATTGGCGCTCGAAAGGCCACCGCTTGGCACCACGGGATGGGAGCAACTGCATCTTTAGATTCCTTTACTTACTTTAATACGATTCATTACCTTGTGCTTGACGCGAGATACCTCCGTGAAGAGATTCAGGAAGGAAAGGCATTCTGAAACAGCAGCGCTAAAACAGCTCGGATCACATTACTATAATTACCTCAAAGAGATGAAAGACTCATGTCATAAGGGTCATCAACACGCTCTATGTATCATCCTGTTCCCGGAACCGCTTCATCGGCCCATATCCCGACGTGGCCTTCCGCAATCTCACTCCCCAGAAGAACAATGGGATGGAGAGCAGCATACTCGCCACCTGAATGGCAGTCATCTCGCCAAAAACGGCCGCCGGGCCTTGTCGACTAATCCAGTCGGCAGCATACAGCGACAGCAGCATTCCAATTGTGTTGCGGATGACGAAGATAATGACCAGCGCTTCGCCAGTTACCTATGTGACCAGTTAGATGGTTACGCAATTTCGCTTCCACGGAGCACCTACCGGTTTATAACAGTCTAATGAGTATGTCACCGCAACATTCGAAATAGCAGCCACCCCGAAGGCCTGCATGGCATATCCAACGGCAGATCCCATCCAATGGACCTCGTTGGCGATGCAGAGCCCGAAAATAAGGATTCCGGCCGGTCCGATCGTGCCAGGGATAATGATGGCCGGCAGGCGATACTCCGGGAGACGCTGGCCGTTGTGGCGTTTCGTGTACCGGGTGGAGATGATATCGATCAGTCGACCACCCAGGTAGAATGCCAGAACGGCACCTATAAACCCGGAAAGTGAGAGGAGACCCAGACTGCCGGCAGGCCAGTTGTACGGAGATGCCGTGAACGTGCGCGACGCGGTCAACTGGACGACGATATTCCTAAATTCACATCAGATCAACTGAACGAAGCATCGGCCCAAGAAAGACCTTACCAGCCCGTGCAGATGCCGATGGAGATAGCCGCCCATATAAGCTGTGGATAGGCCGCGCTACAGATGATATCCAGTAGCGTGCGACCGAAGGAGGCCTCGGGGTTATACCCTCGCGTCGCCGACATCCACTGCCACCAGGTCCGTTTGGGACCCGAGGCTTGCCGTTGGTAATATGAGGTTTCTCGGACCATGAAAATGGCCATGATAAAGACGACGCCCACGGCAACCGCGATCAAATAGCACATCCAGCGCCAGTTCTCCTCCTGCACGAGGTACGCATTGATCAACGGCCCGACGAACAGACCCCCCGTCATGGCCAGATGGAAGATCATCAGGTAGTGGCCTCGCTCGTGCGGTGCCACCATATCCGAGACGACGGCAGGCACCGTGGCGTCTGCGGCGGAGGCGACGAAGCCCGACAGAATGCGCGAGGCGAGTAGTTCGCCATAGCTGGACGCTCGACTGGACCAGACATTCATCATGCTCAGACTGAGCATGGAGATGAGGTAGACTGGTCGTTTGCCTACCACTCGCATCAGTGGCACCCAGAAGACGTTGCCTAGGCCGAACAGAAAGACGTTGAAACAGACGAGCTCGCCGGCCTGAGTCTGCGAGACTCGGAACTCCTTGACCACGGCCTGCGTGGCGACGGTGAAGTTGCTGGAATTGACATTGGCGAGGAAGGTGAAACAGCAGATGGTCAGGTAGGTAGTCAGTCGCCCGGTCGTTGTCCAGTTCTGGATATCGTCAGTTTGGAGAACAGTGCGTTGAGCTGGTAGTAGTAGCAGGCTGAGAACCCTACCTGGGGGTCATTTGGATCGATCTCTCGATACTCCTTTCCCTCCAGGGGAATATCTCCCATTTCCTCCGCCGCCCGATCGATGTGGGTTGAAGAGGCCTTGGGGTCTTCCATGATGTGGTGGAGGAGGACGGAGCGAGCGAGCCAAACGCCACGTACTTAAATTAGGCCCCGTCGATCTTCCCCACAGGGTAATCGTGAGGCCAATCGCAAGAATGAGGAGAGCTGGAAGTCCCGGTGGCTGTTGTCGGATATCCCGGGGCAAAAGCAGCAAACCGATTGGCGAAAGATTGCAGGATCGCCTGCCGATGCCGTCGTCTCCTCAATCCTTCTGGTCGTCGTTCTTCACTCCCCCATGTTTTTGCGGTTTCCCCGGAATTCGGTTGGGATGAGATCCCCACGCCGACGGATGTCCCACACTTCGTAAGTCTTTCTGTTGAGTTGAATGGGTCAATTACTCAGCTAGATCTGGCTCGTTATCGGATGTGGCCGAGATTGAGCATGGTCATACTGTCCTTCGAGAGCCCAGAAATACACGGTTCATTGACATTATGCTAGTAGTACACGATATGATATGAGATACCCAAACACCCAGATTATACACTCACTTCAGACTTCTTCACTGTCCCCGAGATGAGATTCTCGGCTCGTTTCCCCTTCTGCTGCCTCTCGTCCGCTCTTTGCGGTATTTTCCTCACTTCTTGCTGCTTGTTGCCCGCTTGCTGCTGCTTCTTATCCGCTTTTTGCTGTCCCACACGCTCTAGCTGGCCAGCCCCATTCGCGTCTGCCTCGTTGTCGGGCTTCTGGATCCGAATGAAATACTGGCACAGACCCTTCTCCTTGCCTTTATGTGCCTCATGTTCCACGCGCTGCCATTCGCTAATGTCCAATTTCTTGCCGACTCCCAGGTTGTAGGGCCGATACCCCGGGTCGTCTCTCATGCGGTCGTGAACGCTGAAGTGGATCTTCGCATTACGAGGCAACGGACGAGGCAGACCTCGTGCATGCCATCGACTATCCTTCACGGATCCATCGGGCGCGACTTTAGGTCTCTTGAAGGGGACACACTCGAGCACGCGCCAGAACATCGTTTCCACCATCTTCCCGGGGTCCGAGTAATTTAGCGAGTCGTGAAGTTCCGCAGTCGTCGCTGCCCATAAAACGTCGTCGTCGTACTCTCTCTTCACCGGGTCAAAGCACCCCAGTCGCTTCAACTGGTGCTCTCGGAACGTGAGGCCCGCCTCCGCCGCCTCCTGCACCATCCACATGAGTGGGATCTGACTGACGCGCCAGCGCCCTCCCGACCATCCGCCTCCGACGTCACTGTGGTCGCCGGCGAAATATACTTCCTCGAAGTCCGGATTCAGCTTCACGGGTGCCTGACTCTCGCGATCAGACGCCGATTCGTTCCCTGTCGCCCAGGTGCTCACGCGAGGCATCCTCATCTCGCCAGGCTGCCCGCGGACTTCCTGGAAGAGCACGGGCTGGAACTTGATGCGACGCTCGTCAATGCTGACGGCGTGCCGCATCGTTTTCGGATTTGGCTGAATCGGGTTTGACTTGTCGAAGTCCCAGTCCATTCCGTCGACGCTGCTGACGGTGTCAAAGAGGCCGAGGAAATCCACCCATCCGATTCTTCGGCAGAGCGTCTCGCGACACTTGCGCAGAAAAATTCCGGCTCTCTTTCGGTCCCGTCCGGGTGGGGCAAACTTCCAGTTAACGAAGGCTTCCCAGACGAAAGGGATCATTTCTTCGTTGTCGGCGGATATGAGGCCTACAAAGTCAAGCATTTCGTTGAGGAATCGGGCGGTATATGCTCCGCGAGAGAAGCCGAAGAGATAGACTTTCGAACCGGGCTTCCACCGGCGCGCGAGGAATTTATAACCGCGGATAACATGCTTATTGAAAGAGCCGGCGTGCGCTTCGTCATGGAGCTTGTGCAAGGGAGACTTTTTGATGGCGGCAGTGAACCACGAGCCAGGGCTTATATCTTGCCCAATGCCCGCTGGAAGACTGTTAGCTCTTGGCGATCGGGAAAGTCAGTGGAGTGTGCTTACGTTGATAGTAACAATCTAGAGAGATGGCATCAGCATGGTCCCTAACTCAAGTGCAAATTGGTTCACCGGAGCTCAAACCTACATCGATTTTCCTTACTTCGATCCAGCATGCTAAATATCTTCATGATGTTGCTCTCCGAGTCATCCTCCCGGAAATTGTTGCCCGTTCCATCGAAGCAGAGGACGAGTTCTCGGGGCGGCGAGCCTTCACGGTCATCTTTTTCCGACATGTTGACTGATGTTTCTGCTCTGGTAAACAGCAGGGTGGACGGAGGGGTCGGTCTAGCACTGGGCTGGTCTTAAGATATCCGGGTGGAGGCTCTGTGGAAGGCAGAACCAGTCATCCGGCTCTAGGTTCGTCTCCCATGCATGGCAAGGCTTAGTGCAGTGTTGATCCTCGCATCGACGCCCAATAGCCCGGCAGTAGTGTCTTGATCAGGCGTCCACACCGCATCTGCCACGACCGCTGGATCTGGGGCTCCTGGGGCTTGTTTTGCCCCTCCCCTTGTTCGTCCATGGCAAATGGCCTATGAGGATGTAAGTCTCAGCGTGGCGTTGCTGTTGGAAGGAGTTTGTGGAAGTGCCTTGGAGGCAAAGTCGCTGATGGTCAGAGAAGAGATGGGCGCCTGTGGGATCGTCGGCCAGCAATCCGGTTGCACAATTCAATCTGCAAATGGCTCGTCTTAGCTGCATATAGTTTGCCTATTTTAGGCTGGTAGATCAGATACGTCATTCAGGGTCCAGCAACAGCTTTCCAGCTTCAAGAATCAAGTTGGCCGGGGGCATAGACTCTGCGCCACCTGCGCCGCGGCAATCATGATCCAGGAATAAGCAACCTGCTGGCAGCCTCGCCCATGGTCTGCATCGAGGGCTGCGCTCGATGGGATCATCGCCACGGCTCAAGTTGAATGTGACATGTCATCACAGCCATCGGCGCTTTTATCTTGTTGTGCTTACGCGTGGGAAACACTATCCTCTGAGTAAGACCAACACGAGTAGTTACAGCCTTCTCATGAGCTGACGCAATGATCCGTCTTCTGCTTTTTGGCCAGATATGGAAAATGACCAGGGAATATGTCGTTGTAACACCAAGACAGTCTGGCTATATTTACATCCAACCACTCCGTACTGTCCAATGACCAGCCCCCAGCCGATTGCATGTAAACTCAGGTGACAGCTCAGCCCTAACCGGGCAGTCCGTCTCACCTGTACAGAGTGCGCAGCTGCATATCCAACATCCATTCTGTGATCCAAATCCAATCACCTCACTCCCTCACAGACCAAGAACGGAAACACCATGATCCTCCCCTCCTCCTCGCTCTCCCACCCCGTCACCTTCTTCTCCAACCCCCATCCAACCTGCACCTTCACATCCCGAAAGCCAACCTCCCTCATCAACCCCTCCATCCACTCCCTCTGGATCCCATGCCTCTCCACCCCCTCCAGCTTCGCCCTCGGATGGAACTTAATCGCCTCGGGTCCAAAATCCTCGTAATCCGTCAACGCCACCCGACCCCCGGGCTTCAAACACCCGAACACCGTCCCCACAAACGCCCTCAGATCCGGAACATGGTGCATCACGAGATGCGACAACACGAGATCAAACTTCTGCCTCGGGCCCGAGGGATCACGCCGATCCATCGCAGGGAGGACCTCATCCTCTGGATCGACGAGCAACTTACAAAGCGGGATCACGTTCGCGGCCGCCGGGCTCTGCGCGATCTTCGCCTCCAGCATCGCTATCATGCCTGGCGCTGTATCGATCGCCACGATGGAGTCGACTAGCGGCGCCACGCGCGTCGTTAGGAGGCCCGTTCCGCAGCCGATTTCGAGGACGGAGACTCCGGTGTTGGTGTTGCTTTCTGTTGATCGGTGACGTATGATAGGTTCTAGGGCTGCGAATGCTAGGCGTGTGGCTTCTTGGACGGATGGGTTGGTGTCCCAGGTTGTGGCTTCTTCGTTGAAGCGGGCGGTGCTGGTGGGGTTGGGTTCGGTCATTGTGTTTGTGTAGTGTATTGTGTAGGTCTGTGTATGGAGTATGGGAATAGTATCCCTGGCGAATGCTAGGTGGAGTGATTGGGTCAATGTCAATTGATTGAAAAAGGTCGTACTGGGTGCAGCATGATTGGGGTCGGCAGGATCCGATCCGTCGGCATTCGGCTACCGATGCGGGGAACCTCGTTTGGTCAATGGATTTATTGGATTGGCTTTCATTGATTATCTATTGTCTTTTGGGCATGCATAATGGATGGATCGTATTCTGGTCAATCAAGGGTTGCAATCTGTCGAGCATCTTGCTGTTTGCTTACCCCTCTATGTATGCGCGCTTAGGAAAACCTCTTTCTCCCCGTTTCAATCATTTCAACAACGTAGCTGGATCGAAGTTGAATTGAATTACTGATCATTATACTAAGTAGTCTTTGCCAATCAGTTTGTCTACAGTTTCAGCAACAGTCGTGTTTTGCATGTAGTACATTAACCTGCGGAAATATATCTCAGTGTCTTACCATGGGGTAATACTAATGCCATCCCACTCTACTCCAAAATGACTCCAACACAACACTCCACCGACTGACTCCCTAGAGATGAGTCTACCAATCAATGCTCGCAGAATAGTGATTGTCTGTCAGGCAGGGATTTCTTAACCCAACAGGGCAATTAGTAATGCCCCCGATACGGTTGCAAAAGCACCGGCCGTGATTGGCCAATCCAGCCGCCCGGGACGGCATGAGTCAGCGCCGCTTATCAATCTCTGCCGGTCGCCGATATCGCGGCTTGGAGGGGTAGCCGTGGATTGTATAGAGAGTAGGGAGTGTTTTGGGAAGATCAGGGACAATAACTACTCCGTACTGCAGAAATATGGTAATCATAGTATTAGCGAATCTCACGGATTCAAGAAATATCACACTTTTAAATATCCCCCGGGAAATAGGTATTCAAATCATCCATCTAGTAAAGATAACGCAGTCCAAATCACAACGCCTTGCAAAGAACCGTAAGCCATTAATCTCGCATTCACAACTGGATCGTGTCGTTCATAATCTTGACCTCCTCGCCCGGCTTGAACGGAGGCAGCCCGATGTACGGGCAGGTTGAGCATCGGAAGGCATCGCCCAGCGAGCAGCTGTTGCACGAGCTCGTCTTACCCTGCACCGTGAAGTCCATTTCGTCATTCAGGTCGTCGGCCTGCAACTTGAGAACGTTCAGGTCCTTGGTCGCCTGCTCCTGACGGTCTTGGTCCTCCTTATCCAGTTTCTCGGCAAGTCCGCACGTGCAGTCCTTGCAGGGGCGTCGGCGCTTCTTGGCCTTTTCGGGCTCGCAGTTGGATGCTGTATACCGTTAGCAAGGAATCATATCAACCACAAGACGGATACATACGAGTCTGCAGCGGTCGCTTCATATCATCCTCCGACAGCAAGTCATCCTCGTCAATCAACTCGTCGCCGTCGACGAACCCAACCCCGTTCGTTCCGTTCGTCGCACCCACGCCATTGCTGTGCACGCCATTCGAGAATCCGTTCGACACCCCATTCGTCGCCGGGGCAGGTTCCTTCTTGGGCTTCTTCTTCCCGCTGCCCAACTTCAACGGCACCGCGACCGACTGGAAGACCTGTTTCTCAAACACCCCGTCCTTCTCAACCAACCCGGCCAGAATGGCCTCGAGCCCCTCATTCGCGCCGAGCGAACCCTCCTGCAGCTGCAGTTTACCACCGGCCTTCATCGCCGGCACCAGAGCGGTATAGACATCGCGATTGAGTAGTCGAAGCGCCTCGTCGCGCCGGGCACCGTTGGTATCCGTAAGAACCAGCACCAGATCGTAGGTATCGGCAGGGAGGGGCACAAAACCGGCAGACAGGCGGTCCAGCATCTGCAGGTCGGTCGTGGAGCGATCGAAGGTGGTGAACAGGTCTCGGAGTTTTTCTTCGTGGGCGGCAATCGAGGGGGGCGCAAGGAGGAGGCTGCGTGTTTGAGTCTGAGTGACGTTGGGCTTGGTGGGCGCCGGGGTGGCGTTAAAGTCGTCGGCCATGTCGAGGGTGACGGCCATTTTGACGGTTAAAAAGAATCTATTTCTATGGGGAGAAAGATGGAGGAAGACGTGAGTGGTGACGGGACCGGAAAGGAGAGAGGAGAAGGAGAAAGAGGAGATGACGAAGTGGAAAGAAAGAGAAGGAAAAGAAGGAGGGGAGAAAATCAATGATGCTGATTAACAGTGGCGTAACCGTTCGTGCCTAATTCTTCAGGCCGGTTTGCCCCCCGGTGGAGTGGATGCCTGAGGATCTCCGCGGACCCGTCGGATTGCGTTACCTAATCGGGCACAGCGATAAGGGCGGCGCCTGAGGCAGCCATCTGCCTGTTCCGAGTGCGGAAAGAAAGAAGAGAGCCCTAACTCTAGACGGCGTAGTATACGACCGAGTGGGTTTGAGAGAGGCATAGACGTCTTCACAATAGAAAACTGGGGTGATTTATGTTATGGAGCCTGGCTTGACAGAATAACCTGATATGGATTTATGGAAATGGCAATCGATCAAAGAATCCCAAGATTCACGCCTCTCAGAGACTTCGTAGTGTGATAACATTGATAGAATGTCTCTATAAACAATTGGTAAGTTTTTCAGTATTTGCTTCCAGATGTTTCTGGTCTTGAGAGGCAGGCTCTGGGGCAGGACTGTATCCCATAGATACATGCCCAAATGACCAAATTTGATAATGTGATCACAAACAGATCGATGGAATCCGCCCCTACGGGGGGAATGAAAGCGCCACATGATCGTAACGTGGAGAATCGCTAATAAATCTACTGTCAGTGACAACAGAGACCTATCCCTCTTGGTCACGAGCGGACTTATTATGAGAGGACAATATTGGCAAGGGAATGGACGTCATCAAATAGGATTGTCGGAGAGTCGTCGAATGGACGGCTCATAAATCCGAGGAAGAATTCGTACGCTGTGAATAGCCTTTGGTCCGTAGAAATGCAAGAGGCGAGGAGAACAAGCCAGATCTCAACCAGGGTCACCTACATAGCTACTCCGTAACATCTCACGAGTAACTCGTCAAGTGACCCATCAGACCGGAGACTGCTAGGGGAAAATGGGCCAACTGATTGAGGAGAATGTCACGCACGGTGCAGAATGTTGGACACCTTGCCGAAGACTGCATATCGAGCAGCCCAAGGGGCGTGGGTAGCCGTAGTTCAACGGCCTGAACGCGGGCAAAACGGCCAGCAGTAAGGAAATCAGTAGGGCATCATTGCTTGGCCATGAGGTTCTTTTACAACAGGGAAGGCTGGGCGAGACAATGGGGATGTAGACCTACCAAGGCTTGATCTGGCCAGCAGAGATTATTGTGTTCGAATGGCGAAAATCATTCCGATAAATGGAAGCGCCAGCAATACACTACATCGTATCCGAGTACAATGACCACACATGGCTATTGAAGAGTGACATGCAAGGGATGTCAAAGGAATGAAGGCTGAGCACGAACCAAACCCGGTCATCCAGATCAGCCACGTAGGAATCCACAGCAAGTGAGGTGTTGTATGCAGGTGATATGTCCGAATTCCAGACTAGTAGCTGGAAGCCAATAGCTCAACGATATGCAAGCCATCGCTGATCACTTTACAGCAACCGACTGCTGGGGGGCTCCGGAATGTTGCACTGATAATGCTCAGGCCCTGTTCCCAATGTAACCCCTATGTCTACACTACACGTGAATTTGACCTAGTATGGGGAAATAGAGCTGGCCAGCCCCTAAGAAGGCTGCTCACATTCCAAGCAAACAACAACTATTGGCCATATGGCAAATGCAAATGCCATTGGAGTGCGATGCCCCAACCCGACCAGTCACATTTGTTGTCAGCGTCGTATTGGAAGCATATATCGGTGTGAAGGTGAATGGGTGATGCAGGATGGCAGCCTTGCATGATGTTTGGGCGTCGATTCCAATATTCCTGATGCCGCAACGTAGACCGACTTTCTTTAGCAGAGGGAATGCTGAAGGGAAATCGTATAGATATGAGCTTCTTCTGCCCGTCAGTGATCGTTATAGCTTTCTGCAGATACCCAGGTTCCTGTATCCCGAGGCCTAGCAAAAATGGTCAACCTCACCACTCTCAAGCTCCCCAATGAGGTCATGTTCAAGCGCCTGGTGTGGCTGCTCGAAAATGATCCAGAACCAGTGATCTTCGACCCTCGGGATGGAGTCCAGGCGGGTTATCCTCAATTGTTGGCGGATATTCGGGAGACTCGCAAGGCCATCTACCAGAGTCTCCCAGAGGGTCTTTTTGACGACCAGGGGAGAATCAGTAAGGACAAGCCATGCGTTGGCGTTCTGACCCCGACGAGCTACGACTTTGTCGTCGCCTCATTAGCCATCTTGGCAGTGGGAGGTGCTATCGTGCCTCTTGGTGAGTTCTGTCCAATAGCAACGAGTGACAGCAAGGCGATTGAGGCAGCGTTAACCACCATGCTACAGGGCTGAGGCTGCTGCCCCAGGAGGCGGGCGAGCTGCTCCAAAGATGCTCTGCATCGGGTATTTTGACCAGCTCAAAGTACGAGGAGTTAGCGCAGGGATTCCAAGAACATGGAAGCCCCAAGGGCCAGACTCTCCCCATTATGCCCATTTCGATCCATCACGGCTTGCACTCGCGGAGCAAGGACTTGAATATCCGGGCTGAAATTGATCCGGAAATGACCATCCCCGAAGACACATACAGTGCCATTCTCTTCACATCCGGCACGAGCGGCCCACCAAAGGGCGTGGTGCACGTGCGAAGACTCTTCAATAACAATCCGCTGCTGCAGACGGAGCCAATCACATCCCTCTGCTATCAGCCGCCACATTGGATCAGTGGCTTTCTTCTGTTGCTCAGTCGTCCACTGGCCGGACACCGCCTGGTGATGAGCAGCGGTGGATGCGCAGAGCTGTGGGAAGCGCTGCGTCAAGGCGGGATCCACGGGTTTTGGGCAGTCCCCACGACCTGGGAAAAGATGAAGACTCATTATGAAGAGGTCTTAAAATTTCTCCCGCCCGAAGAGACAGAGGAATATCTCCGAGGTATGCAAGAAGTCAACACATTCCGAGTCACAGGGGCTTTTGCCACGGAGCAAGTGCGAAAGTTCTGGCGTGATGTCTTTGGAAGACCGTTGGAATGTGGATTCTCGAGCACTGAGCTGGCCGGCCATGGTTGTACATATTTGCCAGGCCCTGATGAAGAACTTGGGATCGAGGTAAGGAGACAGACTCCGTCGGATACAGAGCGTACTAATTGTGCATAGCGTTGTATTGGGGAGTCGCAGCCGAACGTATCAATCAAGCTCACCGAAGGCGACTCGGGCGAGCTCCTCGTGAAAGCAAAGGGAATATTCTCCCAGTAGGTGTTGCGCCCAGTGTTGACGATTCATCTGGCTGACCATATCAGCTACCTGGACAACCCTGAAGCCACAGAGGCAGCCTTTGACGAGGAAGGCTACTTCCGAACGGGGGATTCTGCGCGTCTTGTCGGGTCCAACGTCGTCCTTGATGGCCGCTTCAAAACAGATTGTAAGCCTGCCTGTATCCTTTGATCCCTCTTCTACGCAGCAGTATCTCACCGTCCCAGATATTCGTACCAAGGGACACCGGATCACCATCTTCGAAGTGGAGTCCGAGATCATGAAGCTTCCCTATGTTTCGGAGGGATACATCTTGGGAGCTCCTGACCGCGATGGAGATCGTCTCGCAGCTTTGATCCGCTTCGACCCCACTGCGCTTAAGACCGGCAGTGTCCCTGATCTGCGACAGTTGCGTGTTGACCTGCACAAGAACCTTTACGCCTTCCAGTTGCCGGTTGCTCTACGGCATTTGCGCGACGGAGAGGACGTTCCTCGCACAGACACCGGAAAACTGGTTCGCCGGCATACCGTCCAGCAGTATTTCGCTCCCAATGAGGACTTCACGTATGGCAGTGACGTGGAGGTGTGCGAATGGAACGAACCGGTGGCAGACGGAGTCAAGGCATGGGACTGGGGAGGAACACCGTACTAATTGACTGATGAAAAAGTGATGTATGTGGGTCTTATAGGAATAATATTGATAATTTTCGCGGGAATCGTGTGTAGAATCTGGCTTGTTTGTGGCAGGTCTCGAGTAGTGAGTAGAGCGAGGGAGAGGAGAGAAGAGAGAGAGCGAGAGACAAAGACAACAAACGCCGAAGTCTTGGCGCGGAGCTTCTCCGCCTTTCGTCATTTGCTCGTCTCTCCCTGTCCAACTTCCTCCCTCTTCATCTCCCTCAGTCATCCACAATGGGCCTCATCAAGCGTGTCTTCAAGCTCACCACCTACGGGGGTGCTGCCTCGGTCGGTGCCTTCTTCTGGGGCACCCGCAAGTCCACCTTCGTGCCGATGACACCCTCCGACCCTCTATTCAGCTCCGCATTCCATCGCGCTCAGAACCCCGAGGGAAACCCTCAGACCTACGACCTGTGCATTCGGCGAGTGCCGCTTTCCGAGATCAATCCCACCCTGCTAGAGAAGAAGGGCAAATTGACCGAAGCTTTCTGTGCTGGAATCTGGAGTGGCTGGGGTATTTAACTTGCTCTCCCCGATCCCGACCGTGGTGCTCGGTACTATGCACGTCACGCAGAAGCAGTCATTAACCGCGCACGGAATCTACATAGGATACGCATACCAGCGCTCTCATCACGAACGCAACGCTCCCCCCGAAGAGACGAAGGATCACCTCTGGACGCCCGAGCAATTGCGTTCCTCGACCTATGACGTCGGCACCCTGATCACTGACCACTTCGAGGTTCTAGAGAAAACCCCCGAGCGGATCATCGTGCGATGCGGTGATACGCCACGCACCAAGGGCGTGCGCCCGTCTGACGGTCTTTTTGAAATGTCGGCCGTTGTGAAGCCCGACGAGGGAGTCGCTGAGTTTGGTCTCAAGAGCTTGTTTTTCCAAGGTCTGGGCAAGGCCGAGGGCGCGCCTATGCCGCCGCACATTGTGTGGCTGCATAAGCAGTATACCAAGCTGTGGATGGAGACGGCGTTGCCCAACGTTCGCCGGTGATTGATGAGCTTGGACACAATCTGGAACGGACGTAGAGGCGGAAATCCACCGGTCGGCAAATTGTCTGTACATACGAAGCTATACGAATTGGATAATCACGGACAGCCGTATATTCTGCCATGGGTGCTGTTGCTTTATCAGAAACAATCGTCATTTACGCTTTGCGAGCGTTTCAACTTTGCTGGATCTTCAAGGGTATATCTACATTGGCCATGTCGGAGTCATGGAGTCGGCTTGGATTTTCTGTTCACCGGGCCCAGAAAGTAAGTATAGTTCAGCTTGACTATAAGCATTGACTGACTCAAAGAGATCGTGCCATTGTGAATAAAACAACGTGAATGGAAAATGAAGTATGCAGCACTTTCACACAACTCAGCATCCCTTCTTCAGTCCGACTCTCATTTGCCCTCTGCCCGCTCTATTCGCCCGATAATAGTACGGGACAAAGACCAGATCCTGGCGCGGTCCTTGACTACCACTTTCTGTGGCAGGGGTAGGCATTGCAGCACAGTGGTCCCAAGGATCAAGGGAGACAAAAGAACCTGCAGCAATCGCTCTAATGGCAATGTATTCGTCGCCAACTTCAAGGTCGACCTTTCGCTCCTCAACAAGCTTGCTACCCGTATGCATGGCCGTGGATTTGAAGTGATCCTTTACCCAGGGGTTGTCTACATCTTCGACACAATAGACCAGTGGACCGCGGGCAACTGCGACTGTGTTTTGATTGGTGAAGGGATGGGGCGACAGAAGACGAGGGATGAAGCCATGGATATTCACAGTAAAGTGTTTGGACTGGGACAACCAGTTGTTTGGGAGGGTAATGTATCCCTTTTCAACAATAGGGCTCTCCAAATTTGGTTCAAACTAACACTGCCGTTAATACCATTCAACGAGGCGAGAGTAAATATAGACCCCTACCGTGTATCCCTCAGCCCAGTGCGGAATACGCAGGCGGAGGGTGAGATCCACATGCTCCGGCTTGTCAACGGTGAATTTGACAAGGCCATCAAGGGGCCATTTAGTACTCTGGCGAATTCTGAGAGAGCTGTCACCCTCCGATAGATTCAGCTCTGCGTTAGTGTACAGATGAACATCAACGGTGACGTTATGACCTGCCACATGGTGATTCCAGAGATACCCACCCAGCATCCCAAATGTTCGGGTCATATTCGGGGGGCAACAGGCACAGTCAAACCATTCCTCTCTTTTGGACGGAGATACATCTGAGCTGGCAAGTTGATTCACGTAGGTGAACCTCTTACCGTCATAACTCATCGCCGTGAGAACAGCATTATAGAGACACAGCTCCATGATGTCGCTGTATCGATGATTCAGGTCTACCTCCAGAAGGCGCTGAGCGAGCATCATTACACCGATCGCAGCGCATGTCTCGGCATAACATCCTCCTTCATCTGTACTCTGAGGCAGGAAGTAGTCTATCCCAAACCCTTCCCACTGGGCGATTGCCCCTATCCCGCCCGTGAGATACATCTTCTTGCCTACCATGTTATCCCAAAGCTTGACGGTGCGGGCTAGATAGCCATCGTCACGAAATTTGGGACTTGTGCGCGACAGGTCGGCAACGGCAGTTAGGAGATACATCGCGCGGACACTGTGTCCTTCCACCGTATCCTGCTTCAGTATTGGCAGATGGGCCTGGTTGTAGAAGGAGCTATCCGGGTGAGGCATATGAGCTGGTCGCTGGAACGGAGGTTCGCCTCGGCGCTCAGCCTCGACTTGGTAGAATGGCCGTCCTTCACATCCCGTCGGATTTCCACGCTCGCGGAGAAAGAATTCCGCCAATTCGAGTGATTTGCCATCATGCGTTAGCGCGAAAAGGCGAAGAAGTGCGAGTTCGATCTCAGGGTGCCCTGGATATCCGGGAATATTGCCTGTCTCTGATCCAAAGCGCGAATGAATGAGGTGAACATAATGGATGATCGGGCCAAGAAGGCGGTTGTCTTTATAAAGTTGTTGGTGAATCAGCGCAGCTTCGATCAGGTGTCCGGCATTATATCTATTCTGGATTAGCCAAACGCTGATCAGTTCCTGAGAGTTCGAGGAGACCCTACAACTCGTGCATATCGCGCAGATTCGTCCATCTTTTCTCGGGCTCAATAACACTGAAATGGATATTTAAATACCCGTCCTCGTGCTGCGCAGCGCGTATCATATCGACGAGCTCCTTGACAGCCTGATCGATCGTCTCGTCCTGCTCCTCCATAAGGAAATAGCAGGCACTCTCGATCCACTTGGCAACATCGGAGTCCCAGAACAGATGCCTGGGCACTGGCCATGCCATGCCGATGGGCTCACTGTAAATAGGATGCCAGTTCAGACGGAATGCATCGTACCGTCCTGTGTGTTTCAACACCTGCAACTGATAAATCAACGTGGTCTTCCTGACAATGTCGCGCCTTCTGCCCCAGAATGATCCCGGAGGGAACGAGGTGAAGATGAAGTCTGTCTGAGGATATCCCATTTTCGAAATGGATTGATGCCTTCGACAAAGAAGGAAGAATTACTCTGATCCCTCAACAGACTTAAACGAGCCACTGTTACTTATAAGCTGCCGGATAGCCGGCACCCGACTGATGAAGGCATCCCCGCCGGACATCCCGCCGTAGGGCAGGCAAAGACCCGGTGGATCGAAGCTCCGATGCGGGGTGACAGGGATGCGAAGACCAGAGCGTTACGATGTGGCTTACGCCAGGGAATCCTTTGTCTTTCACTGTCCATCACCATCACCGCTTCAGAAGCTAGGAACATGTTACCACTGAAGGGGACGGCCATAACACAGTACCAGAAAAGGCACTTTATGAGCGACTACAGCAATATACTGGTATTCGTACGCCGATATATATTCTTCCCTCCAAGGAGTTGCAGACTCGTGAAGAACTCAAAAGTTCTAGCATTTACAGGAAATACATGTTATCCGTCTGACTCGTTCCCAAGCGTCCCGAGCAGCCTAACACACCCCGTAACATCCAAGGGCTCAGATTGGGTCACGAGTGGCATGATGCTTTTTAAGATTTCGGAGCTCCATATTCATCTGACGGAATCCCGGTCCCCACCGGGGCTCTAGACGCAGATCCGGGGTAGCTATCCCGGTGGGGGCATCTTACGCAGTGTTGCGTAAAGCTATTTAAAGTGCTCCCACTCCTATGGGAGCTGTCTCTGAATCAGGGATCGCTAGCCTGGTCTTCTTTGAAAACAAAGACTTGAAACCTACATTTATTCAACATGGGACCCGAGAGAGTCGTCCCAACCAAACACGAGCTTGATGGGTTTGAACTCACCAACGCTGACACAGAGGATCTCATTTCCCGTGCCCAAGAGAGTGATGCGACAGACCGTCAGTTGACTGTTCTTCAGGCATTGAAGAAGTACAAAAAGGCCGTCTTCTGGGCCATGTTGCTGTCTACTAGTTTGATCATGGAGGGATATGACCTCGTTATTGTTTGTATACCTTGAGATTGTTCATCCTCTGCTATTTGCATAAAAGAACAAGCCGATAACACTCATCAGATTACCTCGTTCTACGGCCAAACGCAGTTCAAGAACCGATTTGGCGAAATCGACTCTTCAGGACAGAAGGCCATCTCTGCAGCATGGCAGTCTGGTCTCTCCAACTCAGCCCAAGTAGGTCAGTTAGCTGGACTCTTGATCAATGCCTACGCACAGGACCGATATGGTTGTCGACCGACGATGATGTTTTTCATGGCGTACTTGGCCGTCATGATTTTCATCCCGTTTTTTGCCCCATCCTTATCCATCTTGGCCTGGAGCGAGGCTATGTGTGGTATATCCTGGGGCGTATTTCAAGTATGTACTTGTCTGCCCTTTCAACATGCTTCTGCATATCTAAGAACAACACACCACTCTGTAGACCCTTTCAACAACTTACGCCTCCGAAGTCGTTCCCACCATCCTCCGCCCTTACGTGACGGCCTACGTCTGCATGTGCTGGGGTGCCGGTATTCTACTTTCATCTGGGGTGGTCCGCGCCGTCGCTGGAATTCATGGCGATTTAGGCTGGAGACTCCCATTTGCACTGCAATGGGTCTGGCCAATTCCTCTGATCACCGTCGCTTACTGGGCCCCCGAATCGCCATGGAACTCCGTTCGCCGGGATGACATCGACCAGGCGAGAAGAAGCCTCATGCGATTGCACCCCGAGACGCCAAACAAGGAGCATGAAGTGGATGCCACACTCGCGTATATTCGGTACACTACGCAGCTGGAGAAGTCAGAGACTGCTGATGCTAGTTTCCTCGAGTGTTTCCGGGGAACGAATTTGAGGCGGACGGAAATTGTAGCCTCTCCAATTTCTTTTCCGATCTACCTGAAGCTCAAAGGAGTTCTAACGAAATTGACATAATAGAACTGTGTCGTCTGGGCTGCTCAAATCCTCTGCGGCAACGCTATTCTCGGCTACTCGGTCGTTTTCCTACAAGCTGCCGGATTCAGCGAGCTCCAAGCCTTCGACTTGAACATCTCTCTGTCGGCCTGCTACATCGTTGGCGGGGTTATCTGCTGGTTCCTCTTTCCCCATCTAGGCCGGGTGACCATCTACATGGGCGGCTTAACGTTCATGTTCATCTGCCTCGTGGCGATCGGCGGACTCGGCTGGGCAGAGGGAACAAACGCGCACCTGGCGATCGGCATATTGCTCGTCGTCTCGACTCTTTGTAATATGATCACCGTTGGCCCGGCTTGCTATCCTATCGTTGCGGAGACCCCGTCTGGAAGGCTCAGGTACAAGACCATTGCGATCGGCCGGTTTGTATACAATGTCACCGGAATCTTTCATAACTCGGTGACGCCACGGATGCTCTCTGCGTCTGGTATGTTTATTTATTTCATCCTTAGCGAAAGCAGCATATGCTCACGCCGGGCAAGACTAATACCTGATAGCATGGAACTGGGGCGCCAAAGCAGCGCTGTTCTACGCGGGAACCAACCTTCTCTGCAACGTATGGTGCTGGTTCCGGCTCCCTGAGACAAATGACAGGACATTTGGGGAGATTGACCTCCTATTTGATCATCGTATTCCAGCGAGGAAGTTCAAGCACACAACAGTTGACCGTAAGTTGGTCTCAACACCTGTCACCGACTTCGAGACACGACCTATCGGAACGAGAATGGAAAAATCTAACAGAATATTAGAATTCGCGCAGAGCGGCTCTCTCTCGAAACCAAAGGACTCGCGGATTGAACATGTGGAGAATATTGCATAGCACGCCCCATGCTCTTGTCAGGATTAGGGTATCTACTGGGCCATGATAGGACCTCCTATGGCAGTGCTTGTGTCACCTTCTCGTAAAGAAATAAAATGAGTTAAATGAGTTTGAAACGCATGTGTTACCGCAACGGTTGGAACCCGTTCAATCACCTGCATGCTACACCAAACTAATAAACTCACTTTTTTCGAGTCCACGCACAGGACAACCCAGGAAACTCTGTACACCAGACCGCTAGATAGCCAAAAGCCGTTGAGTCAAAGCGGGGCTCTTTAACTTCGATAGAACCGACCTTCTCATCCCTAAAGTAACCTCATTCTGGAGACTCGAGCCCTCGACAATCCTGCACTTGGCATTTGTCCATACTCAATAGTCATTCTAGCATAGCCCGAGTCCCGTGCCTATTCAAGGCAACGAAACGAAAATCAATCCAGAGAGTATCCAAGCCATATAAAAGGAGAAAAGAGTTTGAAACAAAAATAGCCGCGCAACCCACTCCGTCCTCCGTCCTCCGTCCTTCTCCGAGTCCGAACATGGATTCCACCACGACGGTAGGACGGGCCCATGGCACCCCCGAACCTAAATGAAATTAACAGGTGCAATTTGAATTTACGTAAAAATAGAACGCGAGGGGTCTGTCCCGTCCCCCTATCTTGAACATTTAGCAAAAGCAATGGTATACTACGTACGCACGGAGCACCAAAGGTAGCCAAGCCAAGGCACCGAGATGATAAACTCCGGAAAACCAGAGGATCTAGCGGTGAAACCGATTCATCTAGTTTCAGGACGTCAAATGTGACAGGGACGTTACCCCGTGCAGGGGCATTGCATTCATCTCGCATTTATGGGGATAGAGCTGCGAGATGGATATGATGGATCCGGTGCTTGGGGTCCGTGGGTACATGCAAGGGGCTGGATTAACGGCTTCATAGAAGATCTGGGTGTAGAGTGATGACGAATTTCTGCGGGTTACCACACAGATACTTTTGTAAAGAGGATTTGAAGATGAAGTCAATTCGAAAGAATCATAATACATTGCGAAAAGCACAGCCAACCACCCATCCGGTCCGGATCCACGTTTCAGTTACTCGATAGGAAATAATAAAACAGACAAAGTATAAAAAAAGGAGAGAAGGCAAGACATCTACTCCGCTATTGAACGCCGCGGCACCGCCTCAATCACCGACTCCATGCCCGGGCTCTTGCTCCAAATCCCCCTGATTTCCAATCCCGCTTCGTGCAGCAGCTCCCGCCACTGTCGTTCCGACCGCTCAATCCCCGACCCGATGCTCATCATCTGGATGTCCAGCGACGCCTGCAAGAGCGGTGTGTCGGTGTCGGGGAGCACGAAGTCCACGATGATGATGCGCGAGTACTCCTCGTCCATGGCGGAGACGGTGTTGAGTAAGATCTTCTGGCAGATGTAGTCCGGCCAGTCGTGGAAGATGGCCCGGAAGTAGTATGCTCGAGCACCTGCGCCCAGTTAGCCTGTAATCCGATCACGGTAAAGGAGCGATCGGAACCTACCCTTGATCGGCTGAGGATCTAAGAAGCTGTAGGCCATCGGCTCGATGCCCTGCCCGACGGGCGCCGACACCACCTTGGGGAGATCCTGGACGACCAGCCGGCCCGGAATGTCGGGACGTTTCTCGCGGAGTCGCATCAGGTCGTGGCCTTGATTTCCCCCAATGTCGACTACGAAGACTGCGTCATCGTGGTTAATCGCCTGATCTGCCAGGCGCTCAATGGGGTACACATCGAACCAAGACGGCCGCCCGTGGCGCCGGCTCGCCATGTACGAGTTGAAGAGGGCCTGGTGCTCCTTGCGTTGCGCTAGCCATTCGAATTGGCTCTGTCCGACAGCCCATCGCATGGGGGAGCGCGAGTACTCCTTCGGCGTCGTGTAGTTGTGCTCCCGGAAATACTGGGGGAGCTTGCTCAACGTCGGCATGGTCAAATCGTATCTGCGTGCTGGTCAATAACCAGAAGACAAAGTTCCAATAGGCCAAACCATACATGCAGGGCACGCCATCCCGTCCAATTGGCTCGGTCATGGCTCTCGTCTTGTCGGTGGCCATGTAGACCTCGGGCTCGTAGCTGGCACACAGGCCCAGGGCCGTCATGACGCGCATCAAGCGCACTTCAAGACCGGTTATTATCAGCCCCCCTTGCAGAAGTCCGGAGAGCTCAACTTACCGACGAGGGCCTTCTCAGCGCCCGAATGAGCTGCCAAGTCCTTCGCCGACCGCCCGTCGGGGTTTTCTACTAGCAACTGGAAGAGGCCTAGGTCGATGACGGTGCGAAGGGCTGCATTTTGAGGAGGCTGCATCCCAATCAGCGACATGAACCCTGCACAGAGGAGCATCTGGACTCACCTGGTAGATCATGCGCAATGCAGTCTCCGTGGGAGTCTCGACGGCCAGTTTCAATTGATCCACAAGGCCAAGCAGGCGGAAATGCGACTGTGCCGAACTTGCATCTGGCGACGATGCAAGCTGCTTGATGTCCTCCACTAGGGAAAGGGCGTCGAGAGGTTTGCATGCAGCGTCCATAATTACAACAACAAGTGATGTACACGAAGCAAGAAAGGGCGAGGGAAACGAATGAAGAGGGCGGGCAATACGAGGCACCCGAGGGGCGGTCAAAGGTCTTATAGTAAAACGTCCGAAGCGTGATCGATGCAATAGAATCAAGGGATGCGACACAATAATTGGCAGAAAAGAAGGAAAATCTCCGGAGTGTTGGACAGAAACTGTGCAAGAAACGAACTTTTTGTCTGAAAACGGCAGACGGCGGACCCTTGCATCAGTTTATCTTCGATCTTCAGTCCTTGAATGGAGAGTCGAGCGTCAGCAGGATTCACCACTAAACAATCGTCGATAGATGGACTACACACCCTCATGCCGTCTGCTTCAGCTCACGTCTGCGCGTTAACTAATCGGAAACAAGGAGGGCCGCCGAGGGATCACCGTGAATAATTGTGGCGTCAGACCCGGTGGAACCTCAATTTCGTCTCCGATGGTCTAGAAGGCTCGCAGAATGAATATTCGCAAACTGTTGATATTCTGCAGCAAACACGACTGGGCCGCCCAATTTGCCCCAACCATCTGCTGCTGCCCGAAGCCGCTCGCTCCCAGGGGCCTGGGATATCGTCATCTTGACCAAACGTCGGCGCCACCGCCGCACAAGACGGATTCGAATTTCTACAGGACTTCCTCTGCTTGGTCGGTCGGCTTGGTCCAAGCTCGTCCATCGGTGGATGGCCTAGCTGCTGCTCCGTACTTTTGAGGGCGACTAGTGATCCGGCGATCCTCGTCCGCTCGCCGGCTACCAGGACGACGAGTTGCGAGGATTCTTCATGTGGATTTTAGATAGCGTCATCTGGATAGCTCTATTCAGCAGGATGCCCGACTCCCGCTACAGCGTAGTAATGGCTACTGGAGGGGTTTCGCACCTATGAGAGCAAAGGTGGAGGCGGGTTCTGCACATCTTACCCTCGGTCGTTCGTCTATCGTTGCATTTCCAGGTTGCTGGACTCCAGGACTACCGTCATGCATTGGTCCCCTCGCACGTCCAACGTCAGAGCAGAGGCCAGTGTGCAATCCACGAGGGTCTCCGAGAGGGGTTCTCCATAAGCTAAGCAGCTGACAGGATTCCTGCGACGACGGGCTAAACCGTGCAATTGACTTCGATAACCTCAGGAAAGTCCTGTCCGTGAAAAGCTTCCAATTCACCGCTTCCAACGCAATGAGATCCAGAGCGACCGATCAATTCGACCACATGCCCTATTGGTATCAGACCCAAACACCGGATGTTTGTGCGGTAAAATCCAAAGAGGAGAGCAAAAGTTCCCGTCGCGAGTCGGACCAAAGCCCGGGTTCGGGGGCCCCTGATTCGTGACAATGGCAGGGCGTTTTGAGTTTCCACCGAGGCGGCGATAGTGGACCTATCCTCATTCCTGTCGGAAACCCGGAGATCAGATCCGCAGGTACCTACGGGACTAGCTGAGTTGGTATAGAAGCACGAGCCTGGGACTTTTTTGGGGGTGGACAGGTCATTCTTGAGACGGATCTAGAAGATGCTCCGACAGTTGACGGCCGGGATGATGCGCCAGAGAAGAGCGCAATATTGGTGTTTTCTTTTTACACAACTTGGCGTTGTGCTCCATAACTGGACCTTTTGGCGTGGGACCTTCGACGGAGATTTGTGGGAGAATCGGTGAGCGGCTGACCAAAGGCCCCGAAAAAGCAATATACAAGCCATGTGGATACAGGTAGGATTATTGCTGTAACCTCGCAGCCCACGGTCGCACACTGCCTGGTGAAAATTTTCATATCCTTGTCCCATCCCGTGTCTTGACCTTTTCGCACGCTCCAAGGCATGAGATAAGCCGGCACATGCGACCTGAATATGCGTGCAGAGCATGGCATACGTAAATGCGGATGGACGCCAGCAGCGTCTGTTCTGGGAAGTCGGCAGATCCAGAAATTGTAAGCGTGGTTGGACAGGTCATATATGACCGTCGAACCTATCAAACATATCAGCGACGCCCTTGGCGCGTCGGATCGACCGTGTGGCGTTCCGACAGAAGGATTGTGACCAAATGAATCGATCGATGTCTCCGACAGGGGTAACGGATCCTGGTCATTGTTTATTGACTCCGAGAGGGCCATGACCCACCGGTGGAGAAAGCCTAGGTCGAATTAGCCCACAGAATTATATTGCCTCCTCCCGGGCGAAAACCGAGAGGCGGCAAAAAAGAAAACAAGTTCGCAGACCAACCAAAGGAAAGAAAGAAAAAAAGCGATTTGTCGAGACATGCAGACAGAATATGCGGATCGCGATGCTTGCGGACGGTGTTCATGCCAGCTAGCGACAGAATTTAGCCACGCAGGGTTCGTCAAAACCAGATACGCTCCCAGTGACTATTGACCAGGGGCCACATTCTCTTCTCGGAAAAGTGGTGCCGTGCATATTCATGATCTCATCCCTGCCATTCCGCAATGAAACAGGCCCGAATTATGGCCGCATCCCTCATCAAGGCGCAATACCCTACGTCTCCGATGTCCGATGTCCGATGTCCACAAGCAGTCACAACGGAAGAGACTTCGAGGTTTGGAATAAATATAGCCTCGGAAGAAGGTTGAATACGAAATGTGAGGCCTCATCTGCCCCTGCACGCTGACACAAAGTACATTGTTCGTGCGCGATGGTGGTGGGCCCGTGGATGTTTTCGGGTATTTCCACCCTTTTGTCCATTTGATCCGAGATCGAGCCTTCTATACCGGCCAACAGGAATCCCGAGATATGAGTGACAGGGGTGGTTGAGGAAAGTACGAGGGCGGAAAAGAGGCACCTATGGAAGGATGATGCTCCGACATTCTTCGATCGTCGATCGATCGAGTTCTCTTGAATGTATTGTTTGGGTCATCGCGATCGGACTAGCCGGGGCCATGAACCCGGTTCTTGGGGCCGTATCCCTGGTTGCTTGGGACATTTAACCTAGGTTTGTGGTGGCGGTCGAATGGCGACTGGCTCAATGCAACCACCCCTATGGGACTGTGATCCTGGCGCCAACTCGTGCAGGCGCTGCAGCGTGACCTGACAAATTCTGTAGCTCGTCGGCCATTAGCCCATCAAGATTGAGTAAGATGGACGGGCCCGCAGGAACGCTGGAGCTGTCGATCCCTCGCCCTAAGCCCATCCCGCCCGACCAACGACAGCCCCAGATCGCCTGGCCACTTGGCGCACAGCTCCATAGGATTGTAGACACTATGGCTGCTAGCATAGCCATCGGTACCCATTGACGCCATACACCATGCACCAATTGCCGTGCTTGCAGGAGTTCGGTCTGCCCCATTTGCACATGCTGGGACCTTTGGGACCAGTCAAGAACGTCATATGGGCGACCCGTCTGGGCCGCTAAAGTTTTTAGATACACCGCTTCAGCTGAGTGCCACTTTGTAATCAAAGTCTGAGATTTGGAGACCTTGAAACGACAAGGAAGACCACCCGGTTGCTAAATGCGGAATCAAGCAGCCATCCGAACGCAGAGCTGACGAAAAGTGGGCGGCCCCTATAGCTGCCCGTTCCCACATGTGACTCCAGAGTGCTCGTCTTAAATACGAGGCCAATATCTCCCGGATTTGGCCCCAGTCCATTCGTTTCTGGTGTAGGTTAACCACTCTTTCATCATGGGGATCCGGCAGTATGAGTTGGACGATGCCCCCAAGGCTAGTGCCTCGGATCAGGTCGTGGCACGATTTGGCCGTCTTCACATTCTTGATGACCTCATTCGATTGCGGGCAGAGGATATTGTTCAGCATCCGATCCTCGCTTACCCCAAACCCTCCAATGATGACCGCGCCTCGTATGAGTACTTCACGGGGCAAGACCTGGATTGCATGATTGACCAGGCATTATGCACGCTGATGGACTGCGGATTCAAACCGGTACGTAGCTTCTTTCCCTTCTTGACCCCTCTATGGGTACTAACGGTATAGTAGCCCCGCGGTGGCCAGGCGGTCGTTGCCCTGTTCACCCTGTCCGATATGAACATGGTTGTCACATTTTTTGCGCTCAGCCGATTAGGATACACAGTGATGATGCTTTCGCCTCGTCTCTCCGCAGCGGCCTGTGTATCACTCCTCGACGTGGTTGGCTGCGACAACATTCTTTATGGCCAAACACCTAGCATCCGCGCTACCATGGGCGATATACTTCGCCTCAAGCTGGTGGCATGCCGTCCGCTGATCCAGAGACCTTCACTCCAGGACACGCCAGACTCTACTGTCATGGTGCTCCATCGCAGCCGGAACCCTGAAATCCAGAAGAACAAGACTGCCTTGATTCTGCATTCGTCTGGTTCGACCGGCACACCAAAACCTCTTTTCCTCAGTCACAAGGCCTTGATGACTCACCCAACACGAGGCCCCGGACTCACCTCCTTCAACTCTCTTCCCTGGTACCACCTTCACGGGTTGTCAACGGCACTTCAGGCAATGTATATGAAGAAGACCGCTTACATGTGGGACGCCTCTCTGCCACTGACTGCCACCTCGGTGGTCAACGCCCTGGAGGCTGCCCGACCCGAATCAGTTCAAGGTGTACCTTACATGCTCCAGCTCCTTGTAGATAGCCCAAGAGGGTTGGACGCACTGAGGGAGTGCAAGCTTGTCACATACGGCGGTGCGCCCTGTCCTGATGAGTTGGGCGACAGGATGGTGCAGGAGAAGGTCAAATTCGGAGGATCATTTGGTTTGTAAGTTGTCTTTTGCATCTTTGATTAATCCGTCATTTCCTGACCAGTCCATAGAACCGAAGCTGGCTTGGTAGCGGAATCGATCTCTCGCCCTCCCGGTGACCCCTATTGGAACTATATGAAGTTCTTTGAAAATATCCGACCGTACATCTGGATGAAGCCCATCAGCGATACTCTTTACGAGTGCGTTTATCTTGCTGGGCATCCTGCCTTGACCACATCAAATTCGAATGAGCCTGTCGGTTCATATCATTCCAAGGATGTCTTCACGCCACACCCTCACATTCCAGAGCGATGGAAGTATGTCACTCGCTTGGATGATCGCATAACGCTTGTGAACGGCGAGAAGGTGCTCCCATTGCCTATCGAAGGCTCCATCAAACAAAGCCCGCTCATTCAAGAAGCTGTCGTCGTGGGTGTAAGTCGAAGTGTACCAGGCCTCCTGGTCTTCCGGTCAGAGGGGGCGAAATCCTTCTCCGATCAGGAGTACATGGACCTCATCTGGCCTGCTATCGAGGACGCAAACTCCAGAGCAGAGCAATTCTCACAGATCTCTCGGGACATGGTTCTCACACTGCCGGCTGACTCCGTCTGCCCTCGTACCGACAAAGGCTCCATGATCCGAGCCCAGGTTTATGCCAGGTACGCTGACACAATCGATGCTCTGTACACGAAGCAGGAGCATGCTGCCGACGGCACACTAGAACTCGATATTAGCGGCACAGAAGAGCATCTGATGGGACTTTGCCGTGATGAGCTGGGGTTCAACGTCTCCGGTATTGACTCGGAATTCTTCGCGGAGGGACTGGACAGTTTGAAAGCAATCCACTTGCGCCGGCTCATACTCAGGGATTTCCGAATTGAAGATAGCAAGAACGTTGGTCAGAATATTGTCTTCGAGACTGGGACGGTGTCCAGGCTGGCGCAACACATCTGCGCTATTCAATCCGGCCAGGAGACGAAAACTACCGATGACGTCTCGTTGATGCCTGGGTTGACTGAGAAGTACTCCTCTTTCAGCAGCCACAGCCCGAAGTCCCAAACAACACCAACCAGCAGAAGTGTCGTATGTTCAGATGATCCCCATTAATTTTGTTGATACTAACCGTATCTAGATCTTGACCGGCGCAACTGGCTCAATGGGAGCCCATACGCTCTATAGGCTTTTGAACGATGATTCCGTCTCGACAGTATACTGTCTGACACGAAGGACCAATGCTAAAGAGGCGATTCTGGATACATTAGAACAAAAGAACCTCGTCGTTCCAAGCTACCGTACTCACAAGATCGTCGCTCTCAATAGTGCTCTAGATGAACCAGACTTTGGTGTCGGCCAGAGCATGATCGATGAAATGAAAAAGTCCGTGTCTTTGATCATCCATACGGCATGGCCAGTCAACTTCAACCTGCCCTTGTTGAGCTTTGAGCCACATATCAAGGGCCTGTACAATCTGATTAATTTCTCACTCGCGGTGAACCTCCCGGCACCGGCTGTTCTTCTGTTCTGTTCCTCAATTTCCACGGCGCTGGGATCGAAGTCATCTGAAGTCCACGAGACCCCCATTGAGGATTTGAACAGTGCCCTGGAAATGGGCTACGGTCGGTCGAAACTGATCGGTGAAAGAATTGTGAGCAACGCACGAAAGTCAGGCGCCAGAACATTCTCTCTCCGAATCGGTCAAATATCCGGACACTCGAAGAAGGGTCTCTGGAACGACTCCGAAGCGCTTCCGTTGATGGTTCGATCGGCGCTGACCTTGAAGGCCCTGCCTGAGATCGACACCACATGCTCCTGGCTCCCTGTCGACAAGCTCGTCTGCTCCATGCTCGAAATCGCCAAGGCGTGCTCTCATAAATTGCCAGAGGACCAGCAGACTGATGAGGACGATACCATTTACAATTTGTCAAACTCCCGCACTTTCACTTGGTCCTCGCTGCTGGATACCCTGCGACAAAACGGGTTCAAATTCGATACCGTGCCATTCGATCGCTGGCTGGAGCTCTTGCGGGAGAGTGAAGAACGAGGAGAAGAGCTGGTGAACCCCGCGGTCAAGCTGACAGATCACTATGAGGCAATGTACGGCGAAGGGTCCTCGACGCCGCCGACATTCACCACGGAGAAGGCCGAGCAGGACAGTATGACGCTGAGGAATGGTCGTCTGCGTATCATTCAAGACGGAATCCTGGGTCGATATGCACGAGATTGGCTGAATCGCTGGCAGACAACTTGAGGGGGGTTGATGAGCTCTATTCATGTCCATATTACGATATCCTGTCTATAGTTGTTCGCGTTTGACATTGCACATACCTTGCTTAGAATTCTGGTGAATAATTTGATTCATTGTTGAGCCTTGTGGAACTTGATAGAAGATGAAAGGTAGCCGATGAAACACAGTGCATAAAGGAGTCTGGAGTGAATGTAGAAAGAAGAATGAAAGATGGAAACAAAGAATGTTCGACGCGTGGCCGAAGCAGGTGACGGATCACATGACTAACATGGCTACTGATCGAGCGTTGCAAGAAGCATCCGAACTGTCATGGAATCTTCATTTGTAATAGTTCTGCATATTCTAAATTACGTGCAAATAAAAGGGCCAACAGTGGCAAGAAAGAAAGTTCCCAACGTCTTGCAAATATGACCCTGTACGGTCAGAACGAGTGGACAACGAATGGGTATGATATTGGAAGCAGAGGCAGACTATTATACAGAAACAAGATTAGAGGGGTATTTTCACGACCTCTTGCGGGATATAATGGCTGAAAAGGGATATCAGAAAGAAACCGAAAGAAAATCGCGAAATGGCGTTCATGCCAAGAAAGCAAGGGCGAGGGCGCCGAGGAGGCCTGTCGTGCTCAAGGAGAGCTTGCTAGCAGCGCCAGTGAAGAGAGGGCTGATAGGGCTGGTGGCGCTCGGGATGGGAGAGACCGAGGATGCAGAGAATCCGGAGTTGACCGAGCTGCCCGAGTTGCTCGAGACGCCAGAGCCAGAGCCAGACTCCGAGCCAGATCCAGATCCGGCACCGGGAGACCCGCCAGGTGCAGAGCCTTCCTCGTCAGCCGGGGTTTCATCGGCGGGAGGTGCGGAAGTAGGAGCGGGAGCGGGAGCAGGGACAACGCCCGACGAGGAGACGGTAATGCTCTGCGGGGGCGAAGGCGGGTTGCTAGGGTGGGAGTCTTCGACCGGTGCGACGCTCGAGGGGCCCGAAGCCTGAGCGCCGGGAGCAGTGGCCGCAGAGGGCACGTTGTCCTGAGACTGAGAGTCGGCGGGAGTGTCCGGGACCTGAGAAGGAACGACGCCGGAGGTACCCTGGGGAGCGGGCTGGGACACAGGAGCGGTCGGGGCGACGGACGAGGCACCATTTTCAGCGGCAACGCTCGACTGGCCAGCGGGGATGCCGGTGGCGAGGGAAGTTCCCTGGGTGAGAGCGCAGACTGTGGTGGTCTCGGTGACGTAAATCGTGCTTCTCGAGGACTCGGAGCCCTCAGAGCTGCCAGTGTTGCCAGGGCTTCCCGAGCTACCGGAGCTGGAGCCTTCAGAGCTTTCGGAGCTGTCAGAGCTGCCAGAGCTACCCGAGTTGTCGGAAGCCTCAGAGCCCTCGGAGCTGTGAGAGCTACCAGAGTTGTCGGACTCGTCAGAGCTGTCAGAGTTGCCGGAGCTGCCGGAGTTCTCAGAGCTCCCACTGTTGCCCGAGCTGCTCGAGCCGCTAGCGGCAGCAGAAGCGGCGGCACCGCTAGCCTTGGTGGTTGCGGCAGCAGCAGACGTAACTTCGGCAGCAGGGGGGTTCGAGGCAGTGTGGGCGACGGCGGTTTCGGACTTGGAGCTGGCAGCCTTGGTAGTGGCAGCCGCCTTCTGAGTAGTAGAGGTGGAAGCGGCCTGCGACACGGCGTGAGTGGCACTCTCGATCTGAGAGGCCGCGGAGGAAGAGGTCTCGGCGGGAGTGTTGGAGCTGGTGCCGATCTGGTACAGCTTGATGGAGTTGATCTCCCAGTACGCCTCCTTGAAAGCCTCGGGGTTCTCGGCGACGTAGCTGACACAGCTCTGGATAGGGTTGCTGGGGTCCTTCACCGGGCAACCAGAGTCGCCGAATACACCACCGGCCCAGTCACCACAGAAGGTGGTGTCGAGGATGAACTTCTGGGACTTGAAGCGCTCGTGGAAGTCGCAAGTGCCCTGCAGATGGGCCATCGGAGTGCCGAAGGCGGACGAGTCGGGCTTGCCGTTGGTGATAGACTCGGGGACCTTGCCGCGAGCAAAGTACCAGATCTTCAGGAAATCAGCAGTCCACTCCATCGCATACACACCACCACCGTTCTTGTTGAAGGGGTCTCCGGAGGAGCCCTGGTTACCCTTGACCACACAGCCGATGGTACCCGAGGCATCTCCGCACTCGCTGGAAGTCATGTCGCCCAGCATTTCGTGGTCGCCGCCGACGTCGCAGGAGCCGCTAGTGTGCAAGACAATCTCATTGGCCTCGTGCTTGTTGACACCCTCGATGATGTCGATTTCGCCGTCATGGGGCCAGTCGGGGCCGACGGACCAGAAAGCGGGCCACGTTCCGCAGATGCTGCCGGGCATGTGTTGCAGGTCGATGACGTACAAGCCCTCATCGTAGTACTTCTTGCTCTCGATACGAACGGAGTCACGACCAGGTCCCTCGGGGCTCAGAGTCGTCTTGTGATCCACACCCATATAGAAGCTGCCGCTGGAGGTGATGTCGATCAGGCCGCTGCTCTCAGCGTAGCTCTGGTTGGCGTAGGTAACGAAGCCATTGGTCGGGTCGGCGCCGCTGAAGAAGTCGAAGTAGTCCAGAAATTTCTCGCCTTGCCAGGATTCGTGCAGTTGGTAGCTACCGGAGCTACCAGTCGAGCCTTTGGCAACAGTAGGCGCAATCAGGGAGGTAGCCGCGAGCGACCCCACGCTCCAGAGTAGAGATCGAGAAGACATCGTAGCTGGAACGCAGTTCAAAAGAAATCAAATTATCAGAAAAGCAAAGGAGCGGAAGTAAGCAAAGCTATAGACAGATCAACACAGGTGCAGATCAAGATCCGGGACCTGTCAAGAAGATCAAAGAAATCGGCCTGGTTACGATGTAGGCCCAAAGGAATGAACGACAACCGTCTAGGCTGTGGCAACGAAAGTAAGATAGAGAAGGAAAGTGTCAAGAATGCAGATTTCAATCTGCGAGTGGGCAAATGACGCGAGAAAGAATGTAAAAAGAAGGATGGGGAAGGAAAGAAAGAAAAAATGAGAGAGGGCGAAACAAAAAAAATTCACAGGAAAGTATGGAGGACAAGCATGACAAAGATTGGGGATGGTCGGTATAATAAACGAGGGGAGGTCTGGCCCGCCACGCCGGGAATTCTTGAGTTGTAGCGCTGCAGGCCATTCCCTTAGGGCCGTAGTGAAGTAGCTGTGAATAAGGGAAATGGCCTATTATTGTCCAAGGATCCATCGAGCCGGCACAGTTGGATCCACGATTGGAGGGTCGGCGCTTGGTACCTGGACGGACCAACCGAGATGCAACGAATCAGGACCGGCGTTCAGAGCGCCATGGTGACGAGCCCGGACTACCAAATGCCTCCCATGAGTCCATTCCTCTTTGCCCAGGTATGCCGAGTGGGCCGGCGTCCAGCAGCTTGCATGCTCGGCAGGCGGTCGGCGCACCTGAAACGCGACGAGCCTGCCCAAAGGCGCACATGAAACAGGAGAACGTCCATCTTCCGGGCTAAGAGAGAGGCGAGTGTTTACGGGATTGGGTGGGAGTGAGACAGTTCATCCACCCCCCTTGACCAGTCGAGTATGCAAGAGACAAAGAAAACCTTGATCGATCCATTCATCACGAACCGTCGTCGTTGTGCTGAGTCTGACCCCCTCATTATCGTCCCCTCACCCGACAATTATGCATGATTACGGTCGCAAGTTGTCCGTGCCTCTCACTGCCACCCCCGGCAACTGTCACATTCTCGACCGGGGAGATAATCGTCAGCCACCGTAAAGGGGGATCATGCAGTGAGCGGAAAGCTTCGGGGCCAGATAGCTGGTGCGGACGGCCAATCCGATCGCAGGCCGTGGGAAAACACAGGGGACAGGTGGACGGCGCCAGGAATTGGATTTTGGACGGAGTCTTTGGACCAGAGTGGACTCGTCTAGACGCTGGGAGTGGAGAACAACGGCGAGACCGTCGTTTCTTGGTGGGTGGAGACTGGAGAGATGGGCGACTGAATCGGAGGATTGGAATGGGAGATTCTGGGACGTGGTAACGGGACGATCACCACCGTGAACAAGAAAAAATACAAAAGGGCCGCATCGAAGGAGTAATGATCAGAGTGATCGAGACGGGGTCTGCGAATCCTGCAGTTGGCCAAGATGCAGCCGAGAGAACGAAGAGGATGAAGAAGAAGAAGAAGCAGCGAGAGGAAGGGAAATCCGCCCGCGCCCAATAGGGTCTAGTGTCACAGCCACCTCGGGTGCTGAATCAGCAGACGCCACACTGGTCTGCGTGGCGCAGTCACCCTTCCTCTCCTTTCTTTTTCTCTGGTCCTCTTCCTCTTTGTTCGTGTCGGTCAGATGGCTGCAACACTGTGACATCCTACGGGGCGGAGACCCTCCTTGGTATCTTCGTGTTTTCCTCTCGGGTTACACTGGCCCAATCCTTCATCCCTCCTCCCTATTCAGGAGTCATCATCGAAAAAAGCAGTCTGGACGGCCCGGCCTGGTGCCATGGGTCGGTTCCGCCCTGAACCAATTTAATGCCCCAAATATATCACTCGTTATGGTATGGTGCCGGTGGATCACCCTTATTGGAGCATGTGCATTGTGCCATTTATACACAGGATCCTGGAAATGGGGCACGAGTCATCCTCGCGCCGTTTCTATTTTGGACGGCCGACTATTCATTCTCCCGCGAATTGCATTCGCCTCCCTCTTTAGGAAAAGACGCCGCTAAAAGAGACTTGTTATATTAATCCGAATGACTATCTCCGGCTAGAGACTCAGGGGCACCTTGCTGTCATTTCCTCCTAGCCGGCACATCGATGAGCTTGTGAGAAATGAGAATGTCCATTTCTCCGGGACCTGACCTCGACGGCTGCCCATGTGGCGGTACGGAGTAGTTCCACATCTGCCGAAGTGTTTCCATCACTAACTCCTTCACCAATCCATCTTGATACTTGACACCTTGGCTGCTGCGAGACATTCCCATTCTAAGTTCACGACCATCACAGTGACTGACCCTGAGCAAAGTAGCTATCCCGGAGGGAGCCCCGAGCATTGGGTACTCCCCCTTTCCAGCAAATCCACTCCGCTATCTGGATCCTTGTCCGTCCAAGCATTTCAGGCAGATGTTTATGGTTGACACAATCTTTGGGCAAGGGACCAATTCTCGGTCGACTTTAGACTTTCACCAGAGTGCCGGTCGCAATATCCTGGGTGGCATTTGAAGATAAGCGTGTGAATATGGTGCCGGCCAACAACCGCGTAGAATTCTAGATTGCTCTATCAACTTGACTGAAGAACACAACTTTCAGTTCTCTGAATCTTTGAGTTGCTTGATAACATTTGCGGGATTTCCGAGAGCTGGCCATTGCCAATCAGTTGGTCTTGCCCATCATGAGGGAGAGCGCTCGAGCTCATGTCGATCCACAGTCCACCGTCTATCCGGATTTTCCGATCTCCTTCCCTGATCAAAATGAACATCGCAAGAACACGGTGCACATCGTGTCGTCACTTGGACCAATGCACTCACCAATCTCAGCCCTAACCTAATGCCCACTAATTCATCCCATGCGCTTGGAGTGACGTTTCCCACGAACGTGTCATGATGTTCCCAGTGTACTTGATGACTCTACACACAGATTATCTTGCAGGCTCTACAGCGTTAGCAAATGTGGTGAATACTCCATCCTCCATGAAATCGAAGCCCAAGGCTCTACAACTCCGCTCCACTGCAAACTCAACTCCCACATCCTGTCCTCCTTCTCCGGATTAAACCATGAGCAGCATACCCGTCATCTAGGGCTGAGTATCGACCGTCCGCTTTCGAAACCTCCGTCAACTTACACCCGGCCAGATATTTCTCGCCCTGTCCTTCCAACACTACACCGACCGCAGTCCATACGGTGGTGGCTGCTCCTTATGCGGGGGTTTTTATCTGCCTCGCCACCCCGGGATCCTGCTTTCGTTCCTCAATGCTGAATTCGCCGACATATTGCTGAAGACCAGACCATGTGCCTGTGATGGAGCGAAAGCGCATACACCCCCTTTGGTCCATAGACGCGGTCAATGTAATGTAATTGGATGTTCAGATCATGGCTGTATTGGACTGACCGTAGGACAGATATGGATCGTATGGTCGATTCTCGTAGTTGATGTCCAAATCAATAGACGAGCATCGATGAGAGGCGGACGATATTTGGACGATTCTCAAGTTGGAGTCGCCCGAGCTGCTTGCCATCACGGTCGGCAAAAGCATAGCAGACAATGTGAAGTATGCAAGCTGATTCACCGCAAACTGCCGCTGGACTCCATCCGCTGTCGTTGTGTATGGCGTTGCCATGATTCCTGGGCCTGGCTGTCAATTTTAGTTCGTGACATAAATGTAGATCTGGACAGGCATTGTTGATTTAGATGTTCAATCGCGAACTTCGCTTCAGGAACTCCCGAGCTTCAGGTTCGACCGACGCGATAGAATCCATGTCAAAAATAAGGAGATGAATACCCCCTGGGCTGTCCTGTTCTCACGGATATACTTCACAGCGGACTTCCCTCGGGGATCACGGGCGGCAATGAAAACATGGGCGCTAGTCGCATACAAGGCCAGGGCGGCTTCCAGGCCAATCCCTGATGTTGCACCGGTCACTAGAGCTAATTTATCATTCCACTGGTCAATGCGACCGTTATATTGCGCGAGCTGAAGGGTCGTGCTGGCGTTACGCCCTCGAGCGGACACGAGCGGACACGAGCGGACACGAGCGGACAGAAGCGGACCTCCAGAGCGGCCTCGTCCGCTGCGGACTTGTGGGGGCGGCGTCATTTTAGCCCATGCACTCATCATGATTCATTCATTCCTTCCGTCGGCGTGTGGATGCTTGATTTGCAATCTTCTTGCGTGATGCGAATTGGGAATGATTTGTCTGACAAACCATTGATTCTTGCTTAGAAATTCAGAGTAGCGAAAATGAATATATAAAAGCCGCCATGCCGACCGGCAACAGCAGATATATCTCAACATAACTCCCTCAACACGACCAACCTCACTCCCACCTACGAGTACACAATGTCTTCCAAACTCATCGTTGTCCTCGGGGCCACCGGCAACCAAGGCGGATCGGTCATCAAGACCTTTCTCGACGACCCGGCCTGGCGTATTCGTGCCCTAACCCGGAACGCATCCTCTGCCAGCGCGCAGCGCCTTCAACAGTCCGGAGTCGAGGTGGTGCAGGCCGACCTAGACGATCCTGCGTCCCTCGAGGCAGCCTTTCAAGACGCAAATACCATCTTCGCCGTCACCGACTTCTGGAACAGCTTTGCCAGCCCCGAAAACAGGAGCAAGAAGCGCCCCGACCAGCCCATGAACGAGTGGACCTATCACTACGAGAAGCAGCAGGGCATGAATGTGTTCGACGCCGCAGCTAAGGTGCCCACGCTTGACCGGTTGATCTTCTCCAGCCTGTCCGATGTCTCGAAGCGGTCGAATGGGAAGTACAAGAACGTGATGCATTTTGATTCCAAGGCCCATGCCGCGGAGTACGGGAGGAAGACGCACCCCGAACTGTGGAAGAAGACTAGCTTGATTCAGATTGGCTGGTATATCTCCAACTTTCTGTCGCACCCGTTGCTGCAACCCCGAAAGGTAAGTTCGCTGTCCATCCTGCTAGATGCCCAATGGCTTATGTTTGTGCTAGACCGCAGAAGGAACGTACCAATTCATCAGTGGTGTACGTGGAGACGTGCATCTTCCAGTCATTGCCGCCGAAGAAGATGCCGGACCGGCGACTAGAGCGCTGGCTCTGAGCCCCCCCGGAAAGAACTTGATTGCGTATCGCGAGTGGATGACATTGAACGAATTATCTGCGATCTGGGGTCGCGTGTTGGGGGTTTCTGCTGAGGTGGTGACACTTCCAGAGGGTGAATCTATTCCTGGGGTACCGGATGAGTTGAAAGATGAGCTTCTTGATAACTGGGCTTATTTCAATGAGTTTGGTTATGAGGGACGTGGCGATCCGACAGTCATTCATCCAAGACAGGTATGTGATTCGCACATGGTCGTGAACGTCGCTAATTCGTACAGCTTGAGGTTTCTCTGAATCTGCCGACCGTAGAGGAATGGATCCGGAAGCAGGATTGGTCTGCCGTTTTGTAGATATTGCTGCAGGACAGGTGCGACCTGCAAACGCGGTGGTTTGTTGGTGGCTGGCACAGGATATTTCAGAAGCTTCGTTGTGTATCGTACATCGTACATAGTATAGAATTGAGGACTTTAGCTTGGAGACCAATTCGATCTTGTAGAGGATGTGAAGTGTGAGAGTGCTTGATTTCAAAAATGAAAAGCCAGGGGATCAATGCAGAATGCAGGTTGACTGACCGCCATTCGGACACAAGAAATGGAAGCCTGGAGCTTCCTTTCGTTGCCTACAGCCTGAATCAGAGCTCCCTATTTAACAAGAACATTCCTTAGTTTCCTCTGTTTTCAATGTATCTCCACCCAACCGACGCCAATACATCGTCATGTATCGAACACCATATCCAACATCCTCTATCGACCTCCCTAAACCGCCTATACCCTACATCCCAGGCTGGAAGTTTCCCGTCCAGTCGCATATACCACCGGCCCCGACTCTGGTCACTTATGAGTGGTACTTAAGCAGCAAAGCCGAGCGAGTCGAGAGGAACCAGCTCAGTCCTCTGGAGCGATGTGTACGCAACCCTCCATTAGAAGGACCGGAGCCGCGTGAGCCACCCCATACCTTTGAGTTGAGGATCGTTCACCCGATTAGAATCGGAGATGGGCACAATTCTCAAGTCTTCGTCGTGAAAGCCGGTGGAACCCATCCTTTGCCCGAAGACAGAACACTGGTGGCCAAGGTGTACGACCCTCTTTATCATGACGATGAGAGTGGATTTCATAGCCCATTTAAATGCATGAATCAGCACTATACCCACGAAGCCCGCGCCTACGAGATGATGTCTGAATTCCAGGGCCATCTGGTGCCCAGGTACTACGGGTCCTATACAACCGAGATCCCTGCCGGCAACTCCAGAGTGCGCACTGTCCGCTTGATCCTGATCGAATATGTCGAGGGGATTTCATTGCTCCAGGTGCACCCCAACAGCTTCTCCCAAGAGATACGCCAGCAGATCATTAAGAGCGTGATCGACTTTGACACCACGGTGATGCACCGCCAAAACATCGTCGTGCGGGATTTGAGCCCTCGCAATCTGATGATCTTGGAAACCACAGCACTCGACCCGAAAAAACACCTCGTTTTTGTTGATCTTGCGGGCGCCTTGTTTAATCGCAGACCGGATTGGCCTGGTCTTCCCAAGTGCAAATTCCTCGATCAATACATTTCACCGCTGCTGCGGTGGAGACGTTCAGAGCCCTTGGAGTTTGGGGACTGGGTTGATTGGGACTGGAAGCCCTGGATTGAGCAAGAGTATGCTCATACAGCTGACACCATCACTCAAGAGATGCGGGATGTGTACCGTGACTGAAGTTGGCACATAGTATAGGAATGGTGAACTCAGGTCGAAGGAGAGTTCAAGGGAGCATATTTTATTGAAAAAAGCCTTTGCGACTGTCAGTCTTGGGCTGTGTGGCTGGGTTGCCGTTTATCCATTTCATGGCCCAGAGTAGCTTCTAGCACGAGCTGCGTCTTCAAAGGGAGTAGAAACAACCAACTAGCCACCTGTGTAGCAAGGAGTTTGTTGATCCTCCGTTAATGCTTGGATTTGGTATCCCGACTGCCCTACGCAGAAGGTGTGGAGGATTGCATTCGCTCCATGTACTCTGTTGTTGTCACTTGATCCGACACCTTCACCTTACACTTTCCCCAATCCCTCCACCCTTGCTTCATCCTTTGTTTTACACACTCCTCAGCTGCCGATTTCTCCTACAACCGGGACTAGATCCATTCTATTTCTTCTACTGTCGGTTCCATCCAATCACGTCCCCCATCGTCATCATATCATCAAGGGTCGTACAAAGACATGGCTGACAGCATGCTACCTAAGTAAGTGAGACCCTAGTTCCTCACGCGCTCTACTAACTGCCACCAGGCCATTTTCGCAGCGCATGAAGGATTGGGCAAACAATGTCACACCAGGCTCACCGCAGGACAATAGACTGGCCAAAAGACCTTCCCGAAAGCGTTCTTACAACGAGTTCGCCGCCTCCGAGCAGGCGAGTGAGGTTTCGATGGATAGCGGGGCGACAAATAGAGGTCTCAGCACCTCCCAACGACTGAAAATCCTCCTCGAGGCAAACCTCTTCAGGCTGAGAACGTATGGGATCTACGATATGTGGCATATAGACAAAAAGCCCATGTCAGCTATGACGGAGCTGGAGAACGCGCTGTTGCTCACCAATCAAAAGGCACAGGAGGAAGTTAGAAAGAATCAGCGGTCAACGACTAACAGGGCCGCGCAATTCATGACGCAGTGGACGGCTGTTGCCCGGCATATGGCGACGGTGCGAGAAATGATGTCGGGCCAAGGGTCCATAATGCCGCAACTAGAGGAGGTGAACGTTCACCTGAGAAGGGCAACACACTGGGGCGTGGAAATCGCGTTTGTCTCGTACGGTCTACCCCTAACCCGCTCCTCCGCTGATACGTCGGGGGTACCGAGCTAACCCTTGGTCCTAGGGAAAATCCCGTGTCTGATAGGAAAGCCTTACGTGTTACGGAGGGGCAGCCTTTCAACCTGTCTCCGGAAGCGACCATGTGGATCGGTGGACTGAATCGGATCATGCGCCTGGAGACCTGGCCTGGCTTTACATACTACAACCTGAGCCCATTTGTGGGGATGTATCAGCTTACCAAGGTCTTTGAGGCCATTGCTACGCACGCTGAAACTGTCTGGTGGCCGTGGGTCGATAGGCTGATGAGGAAACTGGAGAAATAAGGCGAGATGACCGGGGTTTAAGTTCAGTCCGTCGGTCTTACATTGGTACCGCAGATATCATATCCTGTAGTCGCTGTTATGACGACCAGAACTGGTCAAAGCCAGGCAATCACCCTGCCAGTTTTGGCTGCCTGAGCTGAAATTCCACTGGATCACATTCTGAAAGCAAGCAAGCCTTTTTGACCAAATTTACAGACCTTCTCCAATTGATATCAACGCATGCAATAATTTCCACAGAACGCGATTAATGATTGATCGAATAAACAAGTAAACCAGCAATACCTGGAGCCTCAGGCATCACATCCGTTGCTCGGTTGCCTGCGGCTTAATTCGGTTTAGTGCACCTCAGAGGCGCTGTCAATTGACGGCTCAACTCTGTAGAACTGCAACCACCTCAAGCAATAAAAGCAATTCATCTCGTTCATTCTTGACTCGCCATTAAGCTAATCGAAACCATATCCGAGAAACAGCAGAGTCGGTCTGAATATCGGCAAGAAACACTCAATGAACAGACTCCCAGTCCCACCTTTTCGACAGAATTCGTCGCATCGCCTCGTTATGCCAGCCTTGACGCGCTAGATAGGTGCAAATGGCAGGACCTTCGACGAGGGTGCGGTACCGCACCCACCAGATTAGTTTACCTGCACGTTCATACCACAGGGCCAGGAGTACCAAGGCCACGGGGTCCCTTGCGCGCAGCAACTTGACAAAACAGGGCTGCATCCGGGATATAAAGACGAGGGCATGAGATCGGGACACGATGGTCTCGACGGATTCAGGATACAGCCCTTGAAGGAACTTGAAGGCTTCGCGATAGGGGTTTGTATCGACGTGCGGATGCAGCGACGACGGCCCAAGGCCACACAGCTGGTAGACGTCCGACAGAACTTCGTTATCAGGCAGCATGGACAGCTGGCGTGGGTCGCAGAAATAGCGACTGCCATCCCATCCATTCAGCCGAGGGGAGTACATGATGATATACTCATCGGACATGTCGTGAAAGAGGCTGTCGGATCGCATGGGATTGGTGAGATTCCAAAGCGCCATTTTGGTCTGACTCAGACAAAGCCAGGTCAGATCTGCCTCCTTCAGCGGCCAGCAATCCTCGACGGTCATGGCGGGGACTGAAGTGAAGGCCAAGATTCCCAGGAACGTGGCAGTGGCCCAGACTGTATCCCGGTCGTCGGCTTGGATGGGACTCGACAGTTGTCGGATGAATAGCGAGCTGCCAAGCGAGGCATGGTACAATTCACGAGTGCCCGGGGTAGTTGGAGCTCGCCGTTGCAAATATCTGTCATGGACTTCGGTAAACGCCAAGATGGCATGCATGAGGGATGGGCTCTATAGTGCTGCTGTTTAGCGTGGCTTCTCCGTCAATTGCTTGCTTGCCACTTACTCCCATGGCCCGTTGCACTAGCGGCTTTGAAGAGACGTTGATAGCAGTCTCGATTGTGCGACATTCAAATCGCATCAGTCTCGCCAGACCCTCAGCGTCCAACTCCATTGACGAGCTACCATCCGTCGCCACTAGGGCCGGCATCTTGAGTTCCTGACTTAGCTGCAAGTCTAATGACGGACCGGCGTAGTCGCAAAGTACTCCGTACGAGCGGCATTTGGCACATCTGGGCTTTGTTTCGTCACACTACCAACCGAAATGGTCAGGTCTAGATGAGCGGAAACAGAAACGAGTGCGACATTACTTTCACTCGCCGGAGCTTGCAATTCCGGCATCCGTGTCGGGACTTGTTGTGGGTGCGACGCTGTCGCCTCCAGGAGGCGCCATTCGATCCCTGCAACTCCATATTCGTTGGAGGTCCAGCGTACCATGTTAAGAGGATGCTGACCGGGTGACATCGACGTGAATATGCATTGACTGCATCCGAAGGCCCAACCCATGCTCCGGCGACGCTAAACCCGGCGTCGTATTCGGAGCCGTGTGTCAAGCGCGCCACCGGCGTAGATCTATCGTCACCACATCTGAACTCAATCAATAGGTGGCACCATGGTCACACTAAGTCAATTGTGATAAAGTGATCGGTGATCTCCAGCTCCCTTGTCGTCTCATGCCGATATCGTGCGCAAACCAATCTCCCTTGCCCAGTTTGCTCCGTCACCGCCAGGACGACATCGCAGAATCGAGCCGTCTCCACCACGTCCTCACATCCTATCTCAGTCGCAGCCGCCGCCCCCATAGCAGACCTCACTGCCTCTTCCTCCAGCCCGCTGACCCCTTGGACAAATTGAGCCATGAGGGCTGGCTCCCACATGCCCTCTTGGCAGGGATACTGGTACAAAAGCGAGATGGCTTCCTGTCGGATATCAGACTGGCGACACTTTAAGGCCGTGAGATAGAGTGCCGGGATCAAGCCAGGCTCGAGCATAAAGGTGGAGCCGGAAGGCTTTGGCGAGTTGGCAGGTGAACGAGCTGTGTCACCGATGAACCTGCGGCAGAGATCGACGATTCGTTGGAATGTGGGATTAAACTGATCGCAGGAGGCCTCCCGATCATTGTGGCAGGTGGCGAGTTGAAGGAATGCGGCATGGCATTGGAGCTCGAGCAAAACATGAGACGGGGGACCTGGGGATCCTTCTCGTATCGGGGTTGCTAGATTGAGTTGGTGGAAAATGGCCAACCAGTGGAGCAAATCGGTTTCAACTTTCTTTAAATTCGCAAACAAGGACGGGTCTCGAAACGGCTTGAGCTTCCTGATACCGGCAAACTCTACGCAGCACTGTAGGGCTGCATCTGGCTGGCGTTGTTGACACGATTCCCGACTGAGGTCCAGCAATCTCCCGCGAATGTGGTGTGCGGCGCTCTTGAGACGGTCTAGAAGGTGTCGGGCTTCTTGGGCGTCTCGAAAGGTGACCGGTAACAGAGCTTCCGGTCCAATGCCGTCCTGAGCGGACACTATCTGGAACACCGGGGCTTGCTGGCCAAAAGACGTTGAATCAATGTCTAGTCGCGCAAAGATCTCGGTCAGGTGCTCCACCCCGGTTGGCTGTTCTCGAGTGACGAGGAGGCATTGATGCTCACTGTCACTGACTCGACGAACCTGGCCGGGGATGCCTGTCAAAACGCGGAGGCCGTTTTGCAGATGCACCAACGCCCCAAGTCGGTTCCGCTGGAGCATCTCCAAATAGATAAACAGAAGGCATACAACAAGCGCGATTTCTGGGTTTTGCCGATGACTCGCAGAGTGTTCTAGTCGCCCTCGGAGATGACGGATTGCTTTTATGTACTGCGCAAGACCGAGAGTATGGTGTGACTCCATCTGCCCCTGCAGTCGCAGCGACGGGCTTTGACCGCGCGTGCTGCGGTGCATGGCTCCCACGCCGATGGCCGCATGCAGCACCGCGGCTTCTTGATGGGCTAGTTGTAGCACAAGCTGCTGCCAGAAGGCCGACACGGATGACCCCCCTGCTTCGCGGCTCGTGTACTCACAGAAAAAGACAAATCCCTGCTCTTCGGCCGGGGTGAGACGCGGAGAACACACTAACGCCGTCGACGGGGTTGTTATTGGGGACGAAGATATCCTGGGCAGCAACACACGCTTGTGATCGAGCTGAACAGCGCACACGTCATATCCGTCGCATTTCCTTCCCGTGGACAAACATCGCGTGCAGACAGGTCGTGTCTCATCACACTTTACGCGGCGGATCCTGGAGATAGTCAGCAAGCTGGTCCGGCTGCGAATTACATGACGATGTACGTGCCGACACGTCTTGCAGCCAGTCCGAGAACGGGCGCGGCTCCTGGCCATCTTTCCGGGGTGTACTGTATGATAGATGGCAGTGCAGGACGAGGAGAAGGGAATGCCTGACGGATTAATGGCGAGAGCCACTGGGAAACGGACGTCATTCTCACTACCTGCCGCTACCCCGGAGGAAGTGCGTTAGTGCCATGGTGCCTTGGCATCGGGGGCTGAGGCCAGAATCGCGCCAGTCGATTGGCCGAACAGCGAGCAGGCCAATAACAAGACGCAGAGAGATATGGTGTGCTGGCTAGGTTGATCGATGGTGTTGATATACTCCATAGCAGGGGAAGGGTCCGTCTGTTCGGATGGACAAAATCCTCCTCGCTTCCCAGCCAATAACTAGATCCTGGGACAGGAGCGAGAGATAATGAATCGCCTGACCACAGACAGGTCTCAGATATAAAATTGCAGTCAATTGCCCGGACGATGTCGTTCTGCATTCATCCTATTCTCCCCAAGTACCTGCGATAAACTGCTCACACCAGCCAACATGCCTGTCCCTATTCAGATGATTCATATCCACTATCGTGGCAAATTTCTCGACCTCCTCGATTCGGACAACCACACGCCCCTCTACCGAGTCAAAGTCGGGACGCACTCGCCGCAAATGCAAATGTTCGGTGTCGACCACACGTGCACGTCATCCAACGTTCTGAACTCAGATGCCCTCCCTGTCTGCACGGCCGCCTTCAAGGCCGTCAGCCTGCAGGTCAAACTCAAAGTCCACGGGCAGGAGGTCAAGCTGGAGCGAGAAAGTCTCCTCACGAGGACCTACAACTTCTATAGCTCCGTTGCCGGCGCGCAGCTGTCGTGGCAGAGTGATGGAGCGCTGACCGGTGACTACCAGCTGATCGCCCCTCACGGGGGTGTGGTTGCGCGCTTCCGAAACCGATTGTTTTCCAACCGGGAGGTGGGCACGTTTGAGCTCGTGGGAGACCTGGAGGATGGACTTCGCGACGAGGTGGTCATTAGCGGGTTGGCGATGCTGGCGATGGTGCAGAGTCTGAATCTGGCGGGCATGGTCTTGGTGGGAGGAGGTGTAAACTGATTTGGTCGGATTGAACGTTCATGTGGTCCCTAGATCTAGGACAACTCTCGGTTGAGATGATGGAAAGCAATAAATGTCATTTTGAGACTCTTCGAACAGCGTTAACTTGGTCACCTCTTCAGTCTCACTGGCGACGCTATATCGCATTGTCAACTTACCCTCCTCTTCTCGTACGCTACTCGACCAAAAGTGTATCCTGTCTATTTGGACCACACCAGGGTGTTGTTCATCAATGATCTACAGACATGACCCAGCCTCTTCTCGAAACTCCACATGAAAATGGCTAAGAAAATGCTATGCATTGCTCGCTAAACACAAAACTCATCACAAACATCTACTCATAAAAGCTAAACAGAATTGGAGTTATCAGCACACGACCAGACCGACGACCCACCAGCCGCATTGTAACTATTGATAATAGTCACAACGGACGCATAGGTGCCGCACACCGTGAAGAACGAGCCCAGCATGACGATAAACACGCTCCAGCATACCAGCAGCATCAGTTTCGGGGTCTTCTCGGCTCGGAATTTCCCCCAGTTGTCGTACAGCCACATGCATCCCATCGGCTGGAAGGCCATCAGGGTTCCGAGCAGTGCGCCGACGAGGGAGACGAGGTCGTCGAAGACCGGGATGGCGCTGGCGATGATGTATGCGATGACGGCGATGCCGAATGTACAGGACAGCCAGGTGCCCCAGTGGGTTATCGTGTTGGCTGTGAGGTGTCGCGAGCCACGGAGGATGGTCACGAAGATGTATTTACCAGGCAGCTGGCGGATGTCAGTACAGATACTCCTGTTGGGTATACAGGGAAGGGGGAAACCGACATGAATAACCAGCATGGTGGTTACCAGCAGCCCGGGCAATGCAAAGCCATAGCAGACCTTCTTCATCAGCACTCCGGCCGAACCCAGGGCAGGCGAGGCGATGTACGAGCCGCAGTAGCAGTACACGACGCAGCCGATGGCGATGTACACGGAGACGACAGTTCCCTGGCAGATCAACAGGGAGCGCGTGTAGTAGCGCGGATCTCGCATCTCGGAAATAATAGGGAAGAAGGCCGGGGTGCCGGCGAAAGCGAAAACCAGGCGCGACACGGCGGACATGGTTTCTACGAAGTTGCTATCGCCAATGATCTTATAGTCCGGGATCCAGACGCCTTCCTGGGGCGCAGCGGCAGGCCGATCCTGAACGCCCACGGCGATGGTGAGGATGATGACTACGGAAGGAGGTTAAGAGAGTTCGGTCGGAGCGTCGGAGAACATGCAAAGGTCACCTACTGGACGTCAGAATGCAGATGAGCCCGATCCAGGCCAGCCACGACAGGCGGCCCAGCGTTCGGATACTCCCAAAGCCAAATCCCACGACGGCGGCGATGGCCGTGAATATCGCCGTGCAGGCGCCGTGGGCGGAGACGGCGTTCAGTCCGATCGACGTGCTGAGGATTCCTGATGCCGCCACAAAGGTCCAATCTAAAGGTATGCAGAACGCGTTAGCATGTTTCTTGCCAGCAGGGAGTCTGGGAGCCTACACAAGCAAAAGGCAACGCCAAAGGCCACCCGGCCAATCTGGCCAAACATCAGCCCACCGGCGTCGTCAATTCCATAGACCTCGCGGTGCCGAAGCTTGAAGACGCCGATGATATAGTCCGACCAGGTGGTGGTGATGGCAATACCACACAGCGTGATGATCCCAGGCACGATGCCCAACGCGTCGAAGGCACTAGGGATAGAGAGCACACCCAGTCCGATCTGGGTTTTCATCATGAGGGCCACCGTGCCCAACCATCCGACCTAGAGGAGGCAAGGAATCAGATATCGGCGTGGATCTGCGAAAATGCAGCCTGCAGGACAACGTACATCGCGGAAATTAGGCCCGTCCTCCGTGATCTCTCCGAAGACGGCATCGTGAGCATAGGTGGGATCCTCCTGGATTTCACCGTGCATCGGCAAGGGGTAGGGGGGGGACTCTTCGTCGGGCTTCGTCTTGTTCATGATGGGCATGCACGGACAAGGGACAACACTGGACCTGGATTAGGCCGAATTGGGGAGGGTGGGGAGTTATAAGGACCGCCCTTTCCGGCCCGTGTGTCCTCGATGAGATAGAGGACTGGTGTGCATCTTGAATTGCTGCTGCCCGGAAGACTGCGGCTGTGATTTGTTCGCACGGCGGATTTCCGTGTGTCAGTTATCGGACTTGCCCCTATCTCCACAGCCAGGCAGCGGGGTTAGCAGAGCAGAGTGGAAACCGGGGTAACGCTAGAGCTCGTCTGTATGCATCATGGCATCACTCGGGAGGCCTCCCGGTGGTGATAAAATGTCTGCGCGGTGATCGGCTCGGGAAGCCATCCGCGTCTGTCTCTCGCGATGCGGGGGAAACGTCATGTCTGGCCTGTTCGGAGGGGCTGGGCATGAAGGGAACGCCTCATTGGCTTTTGAAATCCTCCATGGCTCGTAGAACATGCTTTCTGGTAACTGCTAGAGGGTTTGGGGTGGTTCGAAGTGCGGTCATATATGGGGTCTCTGGAGTATGGACGAAGATCTGCCGGCAGCCCTTCCGGTCTCCCCAGATCTGGGGTTAACATCCACAAGATTGTGATTCACAGATAGAGAATTATTGACCGGGTAAGTCGGCTTCCGCTCTGGAAGTCGGAAAAACCGTCTTTCACCCTCTGACAGGATGGAGCCTGCAGAAGCATCGGGCACGCCTCCTATCACGGACCCACCTTCCAATGCAGCACAGCAGAATCGCTTATCTACTACGCTCATTTTCTGTCATGGCAGACTTTTCCAGATTTATTGAATTCTGCTATCAGCTTACTATCCATCATTACTCTCCCCACCCTCAAACCCGTCATGTCGCTCCAGGGTAAGAATGCAATCGTAACCGGAGGCTCCCGCGGAATCGGCAAAGGCATTGTTCTCGAGCTGGCCAGCCGCGGTGCCAACGTCCTCCTCACCTACCAAAGCTCTCGCAGCCAGGCCGACGAGGTTGTGGAACGGGCACGACAGTCCGGGGTCGACGCTTTTGCCGTGGTGGCCAGTGGGGGCGATCTATCAGCGCCAACGACGGTGGTGGACGCCGCGGTGGCGCGATGGGGGCAGGTCGATATCATCGTCAACAACGCCGGCACGCGCGAGGACTACGACTTCGAGGCCATGACGTCGGATGCCTGGGAGCGCCAGTTTAACGCCAACGTGCGCTTTCCGACCTTCCTGATCCAGGCGGCCACTCGTCACTTTGGGCCGGCGCCGCGCATCGTCAACTTCTCCAGCAGCTACGCGCATGACGGCCATGCCGGCTGTCTGGCCTACGTGGGATGCAAAGGCGCCATCGAGAGCCTGACGCGCTCGCTGGCACGGGAATTGGGACATAAATATAACGCCACCGTCAACTGCGTGTGCCCGGGTCCTGTGGCCACGGAGCTCTGGCAGCAGAGTCTTCAGGACCCCGAGACGGCCAAGGAGTGGGATTCGATCATTAAAACGACCCCGGCAGCGCCACGAGTGGCCGAGGTGGACGATATCGCGCAGATCGTGGGTTTTCTGTCGGAGGAGAGAAGTCGATGGATCACAGGGATGGTGGTGAACGCCAATGGTGGACTGATGTTCAACTGAGGAGCTTTTAGGGCACGGATTAGGCCAGTGCTATATAGACGCATGTTTACATCAACCAACTCGGAGTCAAATTCAAAACTTCCCGCGGAAAAAGGCGGCTTCATTTCTATGTATGCTCAACTGCCTCCGATACATGCCACTGATCTCCCACCCGGAATCCTCGAGGGAAAGGATCTGTCGGATCCAACACCATCTGCTTGAACCCCGTAATCCAGGCGCTTCCCTTCACCGTCGGAAGCACCGCATCGTAGCCCCCCACGCGCGTCGTGCCTCGAATATGACATTCAAACGAGCTGTCGATGATGCTGCGGTGATCGAACTTCTCCCCCACGGCCAGCTGGCCTCGCGCATGCATAACCGCCATCCTGGCCGAGCTGCCCGTGCCGCAGGGACAGCGATCGAAGCGTCCTGGAGAAACAACCACCGTATTCACCGCCACCTTCTTTCCCGCGGAATCCTCCTGCAGCGGGTCGGTAAACTCCAGGATGCTGACGCCGCGGATTTGCGGGTTTTCCGGGTGCACGGGGGTGAACGCGCGTTGGACGGCCTGCTTGATCCTCTCGCCCACCTCGATGAGCCTGGGTCCGTCTTGATTGCGGATGCGCAGGCCGACGGACGCTGCGTCGACGATGGCATAAATCATGCCACCCCAGGCGATGTCGACCGAGACCGTCCCCAGCCCCGGGACCTCCACGCGATAGTCCAGGGCGAAGACAAACGACGGCACGTTATCGAACGCCACCGCTTTACACTTGCCATTCTCGCAGTCCGCGGTGACGGAGACCGGCCCGGCAGCCGTGTCCAGCAGGATAGTCGTCGTCGGCTCGCTCATCTTCACCATGCCCGTCTCCAGCAGGACGGTGGCCGTACAGATGGTGTTCCCGCCGGACATGGGCGGATATTCCTCACTTTCCATGATGAGGAAGCCGGCGTCGGCAAGGGGATCGCAGGGCGGCAGCACGAGATTCATACACATGGCTGGGCGGCCTCGCGGCTCGTTCAGCATCTGCTGGCGAATGTGGTCGGCGTGATCCCGGAAGTAAACCAGTTTGTCGTACATGGTGGAGCAGCCGGGGGGGTTCAGCACGCCGCCGACGATGACATCGCCTACTTCGCCGGCGCAGTGGCAGCCCACCACGTTGATCATTTGGTTGAAGTGCATGTTGGTATAGATGGAATGATGAACTGACTATCCTGAGGTCCTGATAGGGCTTGTCCGTGGTCTATATCGTCAGCGTCCAGGAGGTCTACATCCGCTGGGAACAGATATAGGCCTTCAGGACCCATATACTGCGGCTCGGATATCCGTAGGCCTGCAGGTGGAATGGCAGTTCATCGGCAACGTTGCCGGTCTGGTCGACGATAGTGCGGCCCCTGAACCGTAGGGGCATCCAGCTGGCCTCTGGTCCATGACCCCCCTGCATAAAGCAATTCATTGTTCTCCCAGGAATAACAACAGTTCCATCACTGGCTGGCGACTGCAAGACGACTGGCTAGTGGTTGCAGCCATCTGGTTCATCGCATTTCGCGTCCGAACCGACCGAAAGTCATTAGTCACTCTCGTTCAGCGGGGATATTCTTTTTTTTTTTTTTTTTTTTTTTTCTGTCCTATTCTTTTATTTTTAGCAGGAATGGAGAAGGAATAGATGACAGGAAAAAAGAAAGAATCATTCCGTGGTTGAACTGATGCACTCACGGCCCCGACTAACTCTGTCCACTCTCGGCAGCCATCGCTAAACGGACATTTGGCTTCATTCCAAGCCATTCCTGAATGATAGGATCTGTTCTATTCGGCATCGCTAGAGCAAGTATTAGTGGAACTCTATGCTAAAAGCCAAAGATATCACGTGTCCATTGACACGGCTTTTTGGAGCTTGGGTGTTGCCTGCGCAGAAGAGCGTCCGTTCACGTATAACAACCATGGCCACTGGCAAAGACCATCTCAGAAAAAGATCAACGGATCTCAAGCAATATCCGGGTGTTTTCATGTGACAAAAGCCATCATCTCCCCGGACTGCAACTAAACAGGACAGCTGTCCGAACTCCTGTTCAGCCGGGCGATTTGCCTCGCCCTTTCCGACATGGCCATTGCATTCATTGCCTGTCAGCCTGGTACGATGCATATCGCATTATTGCCGACCGATCGTTAATTCAGCCGCGGATTGACGTCCTCGTGCAAGTTTCGAGCCGGTGGAGCAGGACAGACAACTTCCTCGTCGCCGATCGACCCACGGCGGGTGGCGTGGGGGCAGGAAATTCTTGACCACTTTATATCGGGTCTCAGGGCCATTATTGCCAGGTGGACTTAACTCTGGGGCACCGGCAGAAGCTTAGGTCCCTACGGTCTCTCGGTATCCCTGCTCTCTGCCCCTGCATCGCCGCTCTTCCCACCAGGGAGGGGGCCGTCTTCCACCAGGGGGGGCCCGAGGCCACTGCTTGGGGGCCAGCTGTGAGACCACATGGGAGGTGCATGCGAGCTGCGTTGCTTTTGCTTGATAAGCCTGTTTATCCCCGTCGCATACGTCGCCCGTGCATCCTCGAGGGACGGCATCCAGACTGCATTCCTCTGTCAACCATGGGCCTTCATGTGCCTCCCGGCACGCCCGACCGAGGGCCTGGTCTTGAGACCTTGCTCATTATTCTGATCGTGCTCACTACGCTGATGACGCTGGTTCGCATCGTGTCCAAGTTTGTAACGCGGCAGGACTGGTGGTGGGACGACCTCTTCGCCCTCCTCGCGCTGGTGTGTATTGCCCATTGCTCAGAGGATAGCGATCGAATCCAGCTAACCTCAATTCTCGTCCAGCCGGTTCAGCTGACCATGCTGGCGCTTCTCCTCGCCTGGAGAAACATCGGATTGGGACTTCCCATGGAGGTGGTGGCCGCCATCAATCCCGCCCATCTCGTGCAAGGGGGGAAATACTTCTACGTGGCCGTCTTCTTCTTCGACGCCTCCATCAGCTTCCCCAAGATGTCCGCCATCTTCTTCTACGCGCGCGTCTTCCGCTCGAACGACCGCGCCCTCCGCATCCATCTCTGGGTCGCCGGCAGCCTGGTCACCGGCTGGTTCGTCTCGTCATACCTCACCACCATCTTCCAGTGCACGCCCATCCCCAAGGCCTGGAACACCACCCTGCCGGGCAAGTGCATCGACCAGTACCAGTGGTACCTGGGCACCGCCGTGCTGTCGTGTCTGACGGACTTCTACATCCTGCTGCTGCCCATCCGCCGCATCTGGGCCCTGCAGATGAGCCGGCGCCGGCGCGCCTACCTCCTGGCCGCCTTCTTCCTCACCTACTCGGTCATCCTGTTGTCCTGCGGGCGCCTGGCCGCCACCGTGCAGGTGGTGCCGAAGCTGAACACCAACATCACCTGGGAGATGCCCATCTACATGTACTGGGCCGGCCTGGAAGCCTCCATCTCCATCGTCTGCGTCAACGTGCCGCCCGCCACGGCGCTGGCCAAACGCCTGCTGGGCGCCGCCTGGCCGCTGGGCAGCACCGGCCAATCCAAGTCCAGGTCCGGCACGTTCGGCCACGGCAGCGCCTTCTCCAAGGGTGGCGCCGCCGTCTCCAGCGCGCCGACAGGCCGCGATAGTCTCGACGAGTTGGTGCCAGCCGCCGGGGTCGCGAATAGCCCGGAAGCCTCGCGCGACCGCTTGGGCATTCCCCTCAGCAGCATCCGGGTCCAGACGGACATTCGCGTGGACTCGCCGGCCTGATTAGGCGAGGGTGGGTCGGCGTTGCGCATGGGTCTTTTTGTGGCGTCAGATGCGTCCGGAGTATATAGAGAGTCGCATTGGGGGCCGGAAATACGGCGGGCCTCCGGTCTAGTGTGAATCTCGGCGTACGAATCATAGAATGTTAGCTTGGGTTCTTTCGTGGCGCTTTAGTTGATTGGTGCTAATTCTATCGACGGCGTCGGGTCCGTTTGATGATCCCTGATCGACGTCAAACCGCCTACGTCTCACTACTCCTTCGTATACTCCGTATGGTTGGGGGTCGTCCGTAGGCTCCACTGCAGCCCCACACAGCAGCAGACATGCAGCGGGGAAATGATGATGGGCGGTGGTGTCGAGCGCTGTCTGACCCCTTGAACCATGTCCATGTCTGCCCCTATCGACTTTCCCTCTTGACCAGACAGAGGACTCTTGCCGAGGCTCTACGGGTCCCTCGGACCGGAGGAGGAGGGTTCGAAATTCAGTAGAATCATAGCATCGCATTCGGTCTTCAAACTAACCCCCCTCATGCCACCAGTTCCTCCAGCAGAATCCTCTGCATCTCGTCAAGATACCTCTCGATCTGAGACCGATCCTCGTACGCATCATTGAAACTATACACCAGCCGCAGCTGGTCCCGGAAGGTGTAGAACAGGATCATGCTCATGCCCAGAATGATATCGACTCCCACCCGGAGGTCCTGCACCGTGGCGACCTCCCCGTAGCTCTGCTGCAGGTGGCGCTCCGCCACGCCCAAACTACTGACCAGCGCATCGCGAGACACCGGCTTGGTCAAAAACTCGGGGGTCTGCACGATCTCCTGCAGCGTGCGCGTCAGGGAGCCGCTGGCTTCGCGGTCGTCGGTTTCCTTGTATCCCGACTTGTAGAAACTATCCAGCGTCTGCGCCAGCTCCTCGAACTCCGTCGGTTTCTCCAGCAGCACCGGTAGAATGGAGTAGTACATCGCCGCGGCATACTGGCTCGTTCCGTAGGGCTCGCGCAGGAACGGCCGGAAGTTGAACTGCGACACGGTCACGTACCGCGACGAGCCCTCCGGGTCGGCGTATTTGGCGATGGCTCGCACGTACGCCGCATGCAGCGCGGCCGTGACGCTGAGGCCTTTCTGCTTGCACGCCTGCACCACCGCGGCGCTGGTGCGCGCCGGAAACACCCGTTCGGCGAACTGCGCCGCCCCCGCGGGAACCTTGCCCACCTGCGACACGGGGCCTAGACCCGGCAGCCCGTCGATGAACTCGGTGGCCAGCGCGCGCCCCTTCTCGGCGATCGCTTGGCGCGGTAGCTCCGGGTCGCCCAGGGCCTCTTCCAGGGGGGGTGGCAGTCGCGCCGGCTCGTCGCCGAAGGACACGGTCCGGGGCGATGCCAGCGCGCTGAGGTAGCTGTGGCAGAGGAGGAGCATACCCACGCCGTCGAGGGTGTGGTGGTGGGCGCGCAGCACGAGCTCGGAGGACCGCGGCACGTAGTACAGCGTCGCCGAGCGGATGGGACCGACGCCGCGGTAGAGCTCGTCGGCGTCGGCGGCGGACGACACGATGAAGGTCTCGGCCAGCCAGGCCTGCAGGGCGGTCTCGTCGGGCACCTCGTAGACCTTGTTCATGCCTTCGACGCGCGTGGCGATTTGCGGTTGCTCGTGACGCAGCTGCGTCCAGGCCTGTCGGAGAGAGGCCTCGGCATCCGACAGCTTCAGATCAACCTTCAGGCGGGAGGAGATGATGTAGTGCTCGCGGCCCTGGCAGAGGGAGGCAGAGAGCCCGCCAGAGAGTACGAAGTAGCCCTCCATGCCGTTGCTGGGACGCTCCCAGCGATTCTCGGCGACCTGTAACCAGCCCATCGTGGTGTCGATGCGTACAATCGAATTGCCGGGGCTCGGGAAACAACGATTCCAGGAAGAGTCTCAGTCTCTGACGGGGATCTGAGGGTGGATGGAATCAATGGCTTCCGGTGCCATGCGTTCGGTCAGGGCCATTTGTATACTCCATGGCACAGCCCCCACGACTCGCTGTGTCCGTGGATGGGCAAATCTCCAGGGGTCTCGATGCAATCGTCCGAGAACAGGCCATCGACGGTGGGGGCCAAATGGCTGCCCCTGTCGATTGTAGTCCGGAGTATTGCGTAGTCGCAGTCGTACAGACACAGAAAGTCAGAAACTCCGGCGTCAGCACTAACGGATTAGCGCCTGAGGCCGGCGGCATGACTCAGCGGCTCCTCGTTCTCTCTCTCTCTCTCTCTCTCTCTCTCTCTCTCTCTCTCTCCCTCTCTCTTCTTCTGTCTCTCGATTTCTTCTCTCTCCCGTCTTTCATCCAACATCCAACCAACCAACTCCACCTATCATCGATTCGCTCGACTTTCTCATCCCCACCGCAATTGGCCCCGTCAGCCACCATCGTCTCCACCAGGTCGAGATCCATCCGGGGCCAAAGCCTTGCCAAGAACTGCACCGTGCTCGACCAGGGCCCCGCTGCCAGATGGTCCGTCGCGTCGATCGAGGTCGACGAACTGCACTGCCGAGAGTCGCAGGAGAACGGATGACCCTGCTCCTCCAACGGCCCCTTCGCTGGCTTGGTTGGCTCGCCTCGAGATGGGCAGTGGCCGTGTAGTCCGCAGGGTGTCGCCCGTCGAGGGCACGGCAATCCCAACATGCCCATCTTCGTCGGGGCTTCCATCGGCTATTTAATGCTGCCTCGGCGCCTGCTCCTCTCTAAGCTTCCTCGACATCCTTCGGGCACCAGGTACAGACAACCTAAATTCCTTCGCTCATCAGATCTCCGGGTCACATGACGAACGATCCGCAATGCCTTTCTTGCAGCACGAATTGCCCCCGGGGCAGCGCCTGAGCACGCCGGCCACGGCCACGGGCCCGGAAATTGCCATTGTCGGCATGGGTGAGTGTTCATCCCGAGGACCTGCAGCCGCTGCGTCTGTTGGAATCCACTCCGCTGACCCGTTCCAGGCTGTCGGCTGCCCGGCGACATTGCCGCTCCGTCGCAGCTCTGGGACTTCCTGGCCGCCGAACGCTCGGCCGGTGGGAAGATGCCTGCCTCGCGCTTCAACATTGATGGCTATCACGGCGACCCGGACGAGCCCGCCACGACCCGCGCCCTGGGTGGATATTTCCTGCAGGAGGACGTGCGTCTGTTCGACAACCAGTTCTTTGGAATCAACAACCGTGAGGCCGCGGACATGGATCCACAGCAACGAAAGTTGCTCGAGGTGGTATTCGAGAGCCTCGAGAGTGCCGGCGTGCCGCTGGAGGAGGTCTCCGGCGCCAATGTGGGATGCTACGGTGTGTGCACGCTACTCGTATCCACCCCCTCACGCACTCGAAACGGAACTAATAGTACTAGTCGCTTCGTTTGTGGCGGACTTCATTGCCCTGCAGTCCAAAGACCCCGAGAGCTTGACGCGCTACAGCCAGGCGGGGATGGGCACCACCCTCCTGGCCAACCGCATCAGCCACGTCTTCAATCTCAAGGGCCCCAGTTGCGTCGTCGACACCGCTTGCTCCTCGTCCTTCTATGCGCTGCATATGGCATGCGCCGCCCTCCAACAGGGCGAGTGTGATGCCGCTGTCGTGGCCGGCGTGAATTTGATCATGTCGCCCGAAATGCACGTTTCTATCTCCCAGGCCGGGGTAATTTCACCCTCGTCCACTTGCCACACGTTCGATGCCTCTGCCGACGGGTAAGTCCTGTGGTCCCTTCTCTCCTCGCGCGTGGCTTTTATGTCCTTAATGCTTATCATCCCCAACGCGTAGGTATGGCCGAGCGGACGGTGTCAATTCCGTATACATCAAACGGCTGAGCGATGCGATGCGCGACGGCGATCCCATTCGTTGCATCATTCGCGGCACGGCCGTCAACAGCAATGGTCGCACCCCCGGCGTGACGCAACCAAGCATCGATGGTCAGGAGGCCGTCGCGCGCAAGGCCTACGCGCGGGCTGGTCTGCAGCCGGCTGACACGGCTTACGTCGAGACGCACGGCACGGGAACGGCCGTCGGCGATCCTATGGAGATTGAGGCGCTGTCGCGCGTTTTTCGGCGTGCGGACCGCGTGGAGCCAATCCTAGTGGGCGGCGTCAAGCCGAACCTGGGCCACGGCGAAGCGTCTAGCGGATTGACTAGTGTCATCAAGACTGTGCTGGCCCTGGAACACGGCGAGATTCCGGCCACGATCGGTCTGAGTCAGATGAACCCCAAGATCCGGCCCGGTGACTGGGGAGTCCAAGTCGTGACGCAAGCCTCTCCGTTTCCCACGCTGCGCGCAGGTTCGCCACGGCGCATTAGCATCAATTCCTTTGGCTACGGGGGCGCGAATGCCCACGGTATATTCGAGGAGGCAGGCCGGTGTGGAGCATCCCTTGCGCTCGGCACCGGGTCAGATCAAGCGCTACCCTCGTCCACACAACCCTCGCTGCCGTACCTTTTACCATTCTCGGCCAACAAGCCTGCTGGACTCGAGAGCAGAGTTCGTCACCTGCGACAGTTGAATCTATCGGCCATTTCCTTACCCGACCTGGCATACACTCTTGGCGAACGTCGGTCCCATCTCTCGCACCGGGGGTATATCATAGCACGCAGAGATGCTCTGGAGCAGGATCTCACGCTGGAGAATCTGGTCGCCCCTGTGATCGAGGGAGGGCACGCGGGCCCATTTGCCTTCGCGTTCACCGGGCAGGGGGCGCAGTGGCAAGGCATGGCCCGCGAGCTTCTTCAATTTCCCGTCTTCGCCGATTCCATCCGCCGCCTGGACGGGGATCTGAAACGTTTGCCGTATGCCGCGCCGACGTGGTGCATCGCGGATGTTCTTCAGGACACGCAGGCGGACTGTCCGGTCAATCAGGCGGCCTACGCACAACCACTCACCACGGCCGTGCAAATCGGACTCGTCGACCTGCTGCGCACCTGGTCCATCTCTCCTCTCGGCGTTATTGGCCATTCCTCGGGGGAGATTGCCGCCGCCTATGCTGCGGGGCTGTTGACGGCTCGCGAGGCTATCACAGTTGCTTACTACCGCGGTTACGCCGTGTCCCAGCCCTCGTCGACCGGTGCTATGGCGGCAGTGGGCCTTGATGCCGACGCCACGAACGAGTGGGTTGCACGAGTAGCAGCCCATGACTCGGTCCGAGTGGCCTGCATCAACTCGCCGCAGAGCACAACGGTCAGTGGAGACGCGGATGGCGTCGACCGTCTAGTCCAAGCTCTGCAGGCCGAGGGTATCTTTGTGCGCAAGCTGAAAACTGACGGCAAAGCCTACCACTCACATCACATGGCGCGGGTGGGTGTCATGTATGAATCCCTTTTACACGACATGTCTACCTTTGGCGATGACTGGACCCCATCCTCCGAAGTAATTCATATGCACTCCACTGTTGATGACCGATTGGTCCATGCGAAGCAGGTTCGGAACCCGACGTATTGGCGGCGCAACCTGGAGTCCCCCGTCCAGTTCCGGAGCGGGCTCGGTGATCTCTCTCGTCGGATAGAAGACGCCAATTGGGTAGAGATTGGTCCTCATGCGGCGCTCAAGATGCCAATTCTTCAGACTCTCGGCCGGACAGTTTCCTATGAGTCTGCTCTCATGCGTGGTCAAGACGCCGCCTCCTCACTGCTGAGCTTTGCTGGCCGTCTGTTTGTGCACGGCATTCCCGTCGACTTTGCTCAAATACGCCGCAGCTACCCGCTCGAGTCCACAAATCCCAAGATGGTTCGCGATCTGCCTCCCTATCCCTGGCACTACGACGAGCCTCTGTGGAACGAGTCGCGCGTTAGTCGCGAGGGCCGCCAGCGCAAGCACGCGCGTCATGAACTCCTGGGGAGTGCGATTCCCGGGGGCAGCTTGACCACCTTCGGCTGGCGCAATTTGCTGCGTCTCGACAATGTCCCCTGGTTGCGTGACCACCAACTTGGCGACGAGCCGGTCTTCCCCGCGGCCGGGTATATAGCAATGGCCGTGGAAGCGTTGGCCCAAACTGCGTTACCAGGAAACCTGGACCTCGCGGATTTCTCTGTCGTACTGCGTCATGTCGACCTCCTACAGGCCCTCCCTCTACACGAGCAAGAACCTGTCGAGCTGTATACGGAACTCCGGGCCCAGGCGATCTCGAACGTCCGCGACTCGCGCGACTGGTGGGAGTTCCGGATTGCCTCGATTGCCGATGGGCTGTCGACCGTGCGCGCGAAGGGCACTATCAAGATTGCCGTGCCGACCGAGTCGTTGGGCATGCCTCTTCCATCATCCTCATGCCAGCTGGCAGCGCAGTCGAGCCGCCTCTGGTACGAACGAATCTCCAAGGCCGGGTTCGGCTACGGTCCGGCATTTCAACAGATGATGCGACTCTTCACGGCTGATCCGAAGGGGACGCGGTACACCGAGGCCCACACGCCGTCGCTCTCCCCCGTCTTGGAAGGCTCCCAATCTGCACCGCGATATCTTCTTCATCCAACGTTACTGGATAACCTTCTGCAGACTGGCCTTGTAGCGTGTACCGCGGGACATCTACCGGCGATGGTGGCTCGCGTGCCGACCAGATTAGAGGAGGTCTGGGTGCGGCGACCAATGCATCCTCAAGATGCCGGCATCATTCGCTGCACCTCCGACGTGACAGGTTTCACCACGAACAAGCTCAATGCCGCTCTCTGGGATGCCCGGCAGCAGCCGGTGGCGCACATGGCCGGCGTGGATATCATCGCCTACACTGGCCATGAGAAGATGGAGGTACGCCATCCGCTTTACCGCATGAGTTGGAAGCCCGATATTGAGCAGATCCAGAGCAGCACTGGACTGTCGTGGGCGGTGGGTTATGTCCAGTCCATCTCGGACCTGGGAATGCTGGGGCCCTATGCTGACATCCTGTCTGCTCTTGATCTGGCTGTCCACAAAAGCCCCGACGCCCCGATTTTATGCATGTCAACGGATATCGCCATGATTGCCCTGGCCTTCCTTGAAGTCCTCGAGGCATCAACGGCCCATCGACGGTTCCACTCGTTTTTCTTGGGTCGTTTCGCCACCGATGGCGCCCTCGAGGTCACCGAGATTACCAAATACACCGCTCCCCTGGGGCTCAAGTCTGCAACCTATCGCCAGGCAGATCCAGATGATGACTACAAAATCATCATTCTAGGCGAAGACATGACTCCTTGTAACAAATTGTCTTCATACACTGACAGTGGCTCCCTTTTCCTCGGACCTGCGGAAACAAACCAAGATCGCCTTCCTTCCAGTCTTGACAACTTCGCTGTTGCGCACGCCCAGTCACATCCCCACAGGAATGGCGTGTTTCTGTTGCGACCTTCCATGTCCAAACCTAGCTCTAGATCAGCATTCGAACAGATCATTCTTGTGGTTCGGACCGAGGGTGATTCGGCGGACGAGCGTCTAAGGGGTTTCCTAGCCGCGGATCTAGGAGTAAAGGTTGACCTCATATCCCTGGCCAACATGGCACGCCTTTCCCCCATTTCACCTAGCACACTGGTAGTGTCGACCGCCGAGTTAGATCAGCCCGTCATGACCGAGGTCACCTCCGATTGTTATAACGCTGTGAAGCAGCTCGTAATGCATGCACCGCGCATTGTTTGGATCACCGGCTCTGGCGCCCAGCAAGACTGCAACCCAACCATGTCCCTATTCCCAGGTCTTGCGCGTGCCGTCATGATCGAGCAGCCCTCAACTAAGATCTTCTCCCTGGAGCTTGCACCGAACACCGACAGGGAGGTGATCTCGCTCCATGTGGCCCATATCGCTGCACAGTCGACGCACCGCATCGTGGAGCACGAGTTCCTTCAGAGCGGCCCCGGTCTCCTTATTAGTCGCGCAATCCCCGATGACCGGATGAACCAACATTTTCGTATACGCCAGGAAGAGACTGCGATCTCAACCCCGCTGGCTACCGCCGGCGCTGCATCGCTTTCCGTGCAGAAACCAGGCCAACTAAGTACCGTTCGTTTTGTGCCAACGGCGGAATCCAACCGGGGCATCTTGGCAGATGACGAGGTTCGAGTCAAGGTCTCGTTTATTGGGTTGAACGCCAAGGATGTCTATGCCATGGCAGGCCGGGTCCAAACCCCAGATGCCTGCTGCAGCGCCGAGTTCACCGGCCAAGTTGTGGGAGTAGGAACTGCCGTGCGCGAGCTGGCCGTCGGAGATACAGTAGCGGCCATGTATCCCGGTCACTTCGGCACCTACGAGACCGTTCCGGCCCGCTGCTGCGTGAAGCTCGAGACCACCGACGATCCACGCGTGATGGCCTCCGTTTTTGTTGTCTTCGTCACAGCCTTGTACGCGTTCGAGAACCGCGCCCATCTCCAGCCCGGCGAGTCGGTGTTAATCCACTCGGCGGCGGGCGGCGTGGGCATTGCGGCGATCCAGCTGGCGCAGATGATGGGTGCCGAGATCTTTGCCACCGTGGGCACCGACGAGAAAAAACAGTACCTAGTGAAGACGTTCGGCCTTCGGGCGGATCACATCTTCAGCTCCCGCGACACCAGCTTTGCGGAGGGTATTCGGTCAGTTACAGGGGGCCGCGGCGTCGACGTGGTTCTCAACTCGCTTGTGGGTGAGCTGCTCCATGCTAGCTGGGGGTGCCTGGCCGAGTTCGGGCGTTTCGTGGAGATCGGCAAGCGTGATATTCATGACTATGGCAAACTGTCTATGGACTCCTTCGCCCACGCAACCACCTTCACTGCCTTTGACCTGAGTCGGTTGATCCTGTCACAATCCCCGGCGCAGCACCGCCAGTACCACAGCATGCTGTTGCGCATCGTGGCTCTCTTGCGCAGCGGCACGATTCAGCCAATTTTGCCGCTCACCACCTTCAATGCTGCGGAGCTACCGACGGCCTTGAACTACTTTAACAGCACCAAACGTATGGGTAAGATCGTTATCTCGTTCGAGGACCCAACGCAAATGGTGCCTGTCGTGCCGGAACGGTTCCAGACCCGACTACATGGGCACAAGAGCTACCTCATGGTCGGCTGCTTGGGAGGGCTCGGGCGCAGCCTTTCTAAGTGGATGATGCATCGTGGAGCGCGTCAGTTCGTTTTCATCGGTCGCTCGGGGGTGCAACGGCCGGCAGCACGTCACCTCGTCGAGGAGCTCGAACGCGACGGCGCCCGATGCATCGTCGTGACGGGCGACGTTGTCCACGCCGAGGACGTCGAACGAGCTGTCGCCGCTGCTCCCGCACCGTTAGGAGGCGTCGTTCAGGCGGCCATGGGACTGAACGAGGCGATTTTCGCCGACATGCCGCACGAGTTCTGGCGTAACGGTACGCAGGCCAAAGTGCAGGGTACTTGGAATCTACATGATGCGCTCTCGCGCCTCGATCGGGAGAAACAGCTGGATTTCTTCCTGCTCACTAGCTCCATCAATGGCAAGGTTGGCACCGCCACAGAGGGTAACTACTGTGCTGCCAACAATTTCTTGGATGTCTTTGCACGTTATCGTCGCAGCTTAGGTCGCACGGCCGTTTCGCTGGGTCTGGGCATGATCTCCGAGGTGGGATACCTACACGAGAATCCACACATCGAGGACCTCTTGCTCCGCAAGGGGGTTCGCCCCATCACCGAGGACGAGCTGCTGCAGATCGTTGACCTGGGCCTTTCGCAACCATCCACCTCGGCCCACGCAGATGACTGGATCGCGCAGTCGCACATCTTGACGGGCCTGGAGCTAACGGGACTGCAGCGCCAACACCAGCATGGATATGGCGGTTATTGGCAGTTCCTTGAAGAAGCGCGCTTCGGCGTCCTCACCGGGGCACTCAAGCGAAGCTCTGGCGTCGCGGCCGAGAGTGGCAATGGCAGACAAGCCTCGCCCATTACGGCTGCGTTAGCCGCTGGCGATGAAGACCAGCTAATCGACGCGGCGCAAACGGTCATCGCCCAGAAGATGTCGAGCTTAATTCTCCTCCCGCTAGATAAACTAAACGTCCAGACCGCTGTGGCCGACTTCGGTATGGACAGCATGCTGGCTGCTGAGTTGCGGCAGTTTGTCTTCGCTGCTACCGGCGCAGATGTCCCGTTCCTGGCCCTCATGGATAAAAAGACGAGCATCTCAAGCCTGGCACGCACGGTGGCACGTCAATTATTGCATCACGATGAAAGCCAGCCTACTGCGAAGGGGAATTGAAGGACAATGTTGTTTCATCCATGTCACATAGGCGTTCCGGTTGTTACTAGAGAATAATATTACTTGTCAATTGTCTAAGCCCTAACGTTTGCCTTTTATTTATGCTCTCTGCCTCGGCCTCTCTCTTCATTCATAGCCATTGGCCCCTGCGTTTATCTCCCTCGCCATGCTCCGTAATTCACCAAACAGCCGACTAGATATGGGTTGAGAGCCTTGCCCATCCTTCTCTGAATTGTTTAGAATGCATCCATGGGTATTATCAATTGAAGATAAAGCGCCTTTGTTGGTATGAGTTTCAACCCATGGATCATTCCTATAAAATAACACATCAATGTAAACACAATATCCCTTCACCGGCAGGTGCATCATAATACAGGTAAACTCCGTCAATGAACAGTCACTATCTTATATGATAATCTCTACTCCAACATATATATATCTCTTGAATCTAAAATACCATGGATCTCAACCACCGACCCATCCTTCTACTCCTATCACCCCTTGACCCCAACCTCTCACAATGAACCGAACCTTCATCCCCGTCTGGGTCATCGTCCACGTCGAGCACAAATGGACCTCCAGGCTCAACATGTACGTGCACATCCTGCGCGCCCTAGCCGATGACAACTTCAGCATCGTGACGCACCATTACAGTCTCGGCCCGGAATTGGTCAACGGCGGGTATGTCATCCCCGTGCAGGCCCAGGGCCATATTCCTGTTTATGACCAGCGGCCGCTGATTCGGAGGATGGCCGAGACTTGGGTTCATGAGCTTTATCAGCATGCGAGAGAGGAGGAGCAAAGAGATTCGAATTCCCTGCCGGTTGAGCAGTCTCGGTCGTCTGAGACGGCTCAGACGGGGCAGGGCGCTCAGGTCGCTCAGCCCTCGCAGACATATCGGCCATATCGACCACCTCAGCCCGCTCAGCCTTCTCATGCACCACCGGGTGGGTATCGGCCATACCGTCCACCTGCCAGCTAGAGGTAGTCACCATGGCACAGTTGAAGTGAAATGCCTGATGTGTGTTGCTTTGCTTTCTGGGTGGCTGTATTAACCTTGGCCTTGTTGGTTTTGTTTCGAGGACTTTGTGGCATGAAAAAGTTGAATCTGAGTTCAGAAAGGAAAGGGAGAGAATAGGGGTGTTGGGGGGAAGAGACAAAAAAAAAGCAAAAGAAAATAAAAAAATTGAAAATTTTGATGAAGAAATTTCGTGAATGTAGACAAATAATCTAAAAAAGAAAAAAAAAGAAAGAAAAATTGAAACTTGTGATGAAGAATTTCCGTCGATGTAACCAAGTTATGTGAACAAAACAAACAGTAAATAGCACTTGAGTAGGTAGTCTATGGGTGTTGGAGCAAATCCTGACGGAAAGGAAGAAAGCAATGATGTAGAAAATATAGTAACAAATGCTGAAGAAATCTCTTAAGTAGACTCCCTTACCCAGTCCTTCCATTCTCCCACTAGAAGGGAGTGAGCTTTATCAACATGCTCCTTAATTTTGTCCTTTCTGTTAAAGAGCCTGGAGCAACCAGGGAATCCGCATCGATAGGACGGGGCGAGGTGCAGGGACTTGATGTGTCGCCAAAGGTCGGCGTCGCGCTTGAATCCTTTCTCGTAAGTGCAGCCCTTCCATTCACATTGCAGATGTGATTTTCTGTGTCTGCAGTTAGCCTATGTATTTCATAACGATGTGTGCAGATGCATCTTACTCGTTCCTGTTCGGTTGCCGGTCTTGGCTCGGCCTGATGACATCGGCTGGGTAAATCTTGGCAAGGCCATGATTGATCGGGGTGGGCAACTGAGCGAGATCTCCTCGAGGGTATTCGACGTTCATGCCGTTAAGTTGAACCGGGAGGCTTCTGGTGGGCATTCTGGTAGTGTACGCAAAAACGTCCATCGCTGGAGTGTTTGGTTGTATGCCGTGGGGAAGGGGGCGAACGGTACCCTCCGTGCCGTGCATCTGGACTGAAACGAGTCCTGCATCTGCAGAAGAAGATGCAGGCACATGGCCTGTTGGCAGAAAGGTTGACACATACAGTTCGGGTTGGAACTGGTGGCCATCGTACTCGGGAAGCAGCTCAGACTCGTCTCCTGCTGCAACGGACAGAGGGAAAGGGGATTCCGTAAAAAGGTCCCCGTGGGAAGTCTCAAAAGTACCTCCCCAGGCGGTAAGTTGGTCCGACATCATATACAGGGCAAATCCCTGCTTGGGTATCGATGTAACAGAAGACAGGTGATAAGAATTTTCTTGATCAGATTGAACGAAGTGCGCAACATAACGAAGGACGCGGGAGATGTGAGCGCTCTATATATACTGTCTTCACGCCGTCTTTATACCGTCTTCATACCGTCATCATACCGTCTTGATGCCTCGTGGATGGTGACAGCGGGCGTCGAGGGCGATGAAAGCAACACACAAGAGGACTTGACAAAGTCCTTTAAAAAAAGTACTTACGAAAGTACCGCATCACAAAGGACAAAAGCGACATGTGTAGAGCGTGAAATGGGCAGAAAAAGCCCATTAGGCAAGGCTGTGGAATGCTCAGCGCTAAGTCGATCATCAGAGGTACGGTACTTTTGTAAGGGCGCCCTTCGGATGCATCCCGATACATCCACGAGGAGATGACATGCACGTCGGGCCGCCCAACGTACGAAGAATCGATTGATCGATCAAGGGACAAGCGAACAGACCGCCAGGTTCAACGCCCGGGCTTTTCGGGCGGAAAGGGAGGTTGTGGCCCCGGTGTTTCTTGATTCGTAGGGACCTATCGATAGCCCTAGAGATACCTTGGTCGGTACGTCAGTAAGATGAATCTGCAGGTCCAATGCAATTTGGGTGAACTGCTAGGCTCCTGTTCCGACTCCCCGGCCTGCAGCTACTTAAGTCCAGGGGATGTGAATGAGCAGATCATCGGTGAGCTCGAAGGACAAGACTGCAACGATGGGTCTAGGTCCTGGTAGCTGGGAACGGTGGGGCACGTCTGACAGGAGTTGTTAGACAGCGACAAATGTACGAAACTGAACGATATGTGAAGCATCAGTTTCCACGGAATGGCTGCGCAGACTCATCTATCCAAGTCAATTCAATGTTTTGAGGCGATATTATCTGGTTGCTGTTGCCCGTGTTTCTTTTCGGTCTTGGTTGGTGAGAAGCCTCAGGATGTGGGCGAAATATTGACGAGGCCTTCATATATACTGGAACCAAAGGACCATTATCTGAACCGCCAATTCCGGAGCAGTAAAAACAAGCAAAATTGGTATTTCCATTGACATTGCAATCATGCTGCCAGCCATAAACCAAACACATATACCACAGAAATCAACGGCTATGAACAAAGGGAGTGAGGGCTCGGTTCTTTTCAAACATGACAAGAACAAAAACCAAAAAGTACAATACAATTATCTAGGTACAAAATCTAATGGTAGGAATCGGCTAGCTCAGCTTGGCCTTCAGAGATTCAATCTCTGCAGTAAGAGTCTGCATCTGCTGTGCCTGGGTGGCAATGGTCTTGGTCTGCTCGGCAATCAGATCCTTGATGCTGCCAATCTCGCGCTGCACGGCGTCGGCGGCCACGGCGGCGGTGGTCGTGAGGCTAGACGCCGCGGACCCGGTGGGGGTCGAGACGGTCGGCGTGTTAGCCGCAGAGCGCTCGTTCGTCGGGGTCGAGACCTGGGATGGGTTAGATGACCATAAGGAAAGGTAAAGGTGTGGTGAAGCTTACCTTAGGGGGAGTAGGCGTCGACTTGACCTCCTCCTTCTGGCCCCAAGGGCTGGCCTTCACGGTGGGCGAGGCGTTGTCCGGAGTACGCGTGGGACGCTCGACGGGCTTGGGCACCTCGTCGAAGCTCGAATCCTCGACCGGGGCGGGTTCGTCCTCTTCCTGGTCGGCAAACTTGTTGACCATGGCGGCCATCGAGGCGCCTTGCTCCTTCATAGACGGCGCGGGCTTAACAACCGGAGTAGGCTCGGGAATCGGTTCGGGAGCCTTCTTGACGGGCGACTCGGCGGGCTTCGGTTGAGGCTCGGGCTGAGCTTCGGGGGCACCCATGGTGGCCGTAGGCTTGTCCTGCACGCCGGTGACTTCCTTCAGGCCCTCGCCCTCGTAGAGGCTGGCCATGGAGATCTTCGGGGGAATAGCCTCCTTGCCCGAAACCCATTCGCCCGGTCCCATGGCGGGCGTGACACCGATCGTCGGGGGGTAGATGTCGTCCTGGAAAGCCTCGGCGCGGCGGGGAACGATAAACGAGATGGGTTCGATGTACGAGTCGTTGACGGTCTTGAAGGCACGGGTGACTTCATTTTCGTGGGCGTTGACACCGCGCTTGGGCATGAAGGCGATACCACGCTGGGGATCGGCGGACTTGTATTCAGCGAGGTACTCAAACTTGTCATTTTCGAGTTCGAAGTAGCGGATGTTGCCGTCACTGGACATAGGTTGTTAGTTTCACATCGCACGAACAATATGGTGTGACTTACCCTCGGCCAGCCAGGTACAGACATTGCGTGCCATCATCCCAGAATGGCATGCAGACACCGGAAATGGAGTCGAGGGTCTTGAATCCGTTGATGGGCTCCCGAGGCGCCCGGATATCCCACAGCGCCAGCTGACGGTCACTCATCTTGGAGAAACCGGTGGTCGCGATGCGGTCGCGTTCTCCCAGCCAGACCGAACGACTGTTCTTGGCGCCCGCGTGGCCCTGGGTTTCGTGCGCCGGACGCTCCTGACGCACATCCCAAATGCGCAGCTTCTTGTCTCGCGAGGTGGTGACCAGGAGCGATCCGTTGGCGCTCCAGGATTGCGACTGCACGATGTCGCCGAGGTTGAGGGTGAATTTGGGGGCACCGGCTTCGATATCCCAGACCTTCACGGTGAAGTCACCGGAGGCAGTGGCGAGGATGTTTTCCGCGGCGGGGTTGAAGAGGACGTGTCCGACTTTCCTGCGAAAATATAAGAACGCGTTAGGGCGACAAAACCGAGAAGTACGACTCTGGAGACCTACTTCGGATGTCCATTCAATTTTCCAACCGGCGCGATGTCCTGCACGTCTTCCGGGTCCACATCCGGGCGAAGGGTGAAGTTCTCTGGTACTCGCCAGAGCAAGACCTGGGAGCGTGTTAGTCAATGCACAGGCAGCTGTTCCGGGTCGGTTTTCGTACTCGGCCATCGTCGGAGCCGGAGGCAATCAAGTCATCGTTGAAAGGGTTCCTGTATAGTAGATTGTTGGCGCTTTCGCCCACCGGCAGTCGATGCATTCTCCGATCACTCACCAGTCGGTGTCCAGCACAACGGCGGTATGGCCTCGGAACAAAGGGATTCTCTCCGGCAATTTGCCGCGTTCCTCCAGGGGGATGACCGCAAAGGCACCTCCACCGCCGGCCTCCCAGTTGACGGACAGATAACGGGGGTTGGCCTAGAAAAGGGAGAGGTCAGACGTCTGCGGAAGAGCCGTCGGCATCGGCTCAGGGGCGGGCGGGTCGTCGCGGACGCAAGGGGACGGCGAACCTTGACCAGATTGGTGTCCCAGGCATTTCTCGAGACACGCAGGTTATCGTAGCATTGATCCTATCGCTATGGTGAGCCATTGAGGGGGGCGAACGAGGCCGAGATGCGAACCTTTCTCGTGGGCCGCCCGAAGACGTGTCCTGATACCTGTCAGATTGCGGGCAGCTCAAAATTAGGGAGGGGAGAAGGAATGATAGGCGGGCTCACGGTACTTGGAGGAACGGACGAATCGACCAGACATAGTGCTGGTATTTTTAGCGAGGAAAAATCAAAGATGAAGGGCCAAAAGACAAGCAGCAAGCAGGGAACGACACAGAGGAGGGAGGGAGACAAAGGACGAAGTAGGTAAGGTAAGGTAAGTGAAGGCAGGCTTAATTTAGTCGCGAGTGGAAGACCCGCAAGCGGACTAACGATGGAGAAGCCAGTCGGGCTGCAGGCAATCAGGAGGGACCCGCTCAGGGGATGGCAGGAGATTGACAAGGATGATACTGACCACCGGGAGGTAATTGAGAGGAAGGGATTCTGGCAACACATTCAACCTTTCAACGTTCAACCATTCAATCAAACCAGACAAACCCGCAACCTGAGGCTAATATCCCGTGACCCCGGCGTATCACGTATTGAAAGCAAAACGGCGATACCGCTAGTCCAGACAGGGCCTAGCGTCGTCCGCCCGCATGGCTGAGTCAGCGTCGTTTGTTTACCGCCCGCCGTCACTGCAGAAACGGAATCCTTCACTCACTTCCAAGTTGTCCAGACGCTCTCCTGCACGACTTCTCGTTGGCTCATTCCCCTCGTCTGTCTGTTTACTCGGCCATGCGGGCTGCCCTCTGACAGGTTGCAGTCGTCTCCTTCTTCAATCCCATTGTCCGCTTTTGCTTCTTCCTCTCACACCCACCATCCTGCCATACGTGCTTTGTTTACTGTCCTCAGGAGTGGCTTCATGAGTTGCAGTCACCAACTCCGACTCCCCTGCTTTCTCTGCTGTAAATAGCTAGCCGACCTTGTATCTATCACCGCCATGGAGAACGATTATTCGGTATGTGTGCTGCAATGGCGCATCGTCCGCATCGTCGCTGACCGACTCGACAGACTTTTTCAAGGACTGCAGGCCGGACACGCATTCCTGCGGGCCTCAAGGAGATGAGCGGTGCTGGGACCAATTCACGTTCGGGACTGCTTCCTCCTGGCTCCATTGCCAATAAGACGTCGGCCGTTCCACGTATGACGAAGAGACAGAGAACAAGGTCAAACGAGCGCAGTGAGCTAACAAATTCAGAACCCACTCGCGCGAGGAGCACCACGCAAGGTGCCGAATCCAGTCGATCCGGGGTGACCGCATCGACAACAACACGTTCCGCCTCGGTCATGGGCAAACCGCACGCCAGAGCAAATTCCTACGCCTCCAACACCTTGGGTAGATCGGCTTCCACCACCTCCCGAACGACGAGGAGCGCATATTCGTCCACGGTCGGTCCCAATGTGCGACAAACCCCCGGCGCATCCCGCCCTCACACGTCCATGGCCACGACCCGAAAGCAGAATGGCAACGCGCTGCCTCGACCCGCGACCTCGTTGGATACCCATACCGAAGAAGACTCGAGGATTTTAGGCAAAAGAAAGGGTAGGCCAGATTCCCGCTTTGTGTTCCCCCCTTTTCCAGCCCTTTCACGGCCCTGGTCCCCTTTCACTGCGCATGGAAATGAATCACCCGTCAGGCCCACGGTTTGCTCTCCCCTCTCGGAGTTGAGGGGGACATCCATTCGGCCTGGTAACTGTGATGCTTCACTGTCCTCTGCGATGGCTCGATTAGCTCTAGACCCTCCTTGCCACGCGCCAGGTCCCAAGTTTCTTGCTAGAGATGAGCCCTCTAAGTTTTCCACTGCCTCCCCTTGCCCATCTACCCCCGTCAATCCCTTGTCCAGCAAATCATCCCTCCTGCCACCAAGTTCCTGCAAGAGGAAAAGGCCCCCTATTCCGCAATTTCTTACCAAAGATTCAACGATCACGTCATTTAACTCTCGTACAGGTGCCGATTGGGACCACGACTCGCGCGAGAAGACGATGGAGGAATTCTACAACGTGTTCATGTCGCGCATGAATCAGACAGGGCAGGAAAGCTTTGCCTACAAGGAAACTGTTGAGCTGTACAAATCGAGAGGTTAGTCTTTGGCGAATTGCCATCGAAGACGGTACAACTGACAATACCCGACCTGCAGTCAACGAGTTGGAGGAATCCCGCAAGGAACTCACGGAATCGAAAATCGCGCTGCGCGTCGAACTTGAATCGCTCAAGAGCCAACTAGGGACGGCCGATGGTGCCCTGCGAGATGCCCAGAGAGACTATGAGATCACGGTGGATGAGATGGATAACCGCCGACGGGCTGAGGTCGAAGCTGTGAAACAGGACAACAAGCGGGAAATGGACGCCTTGGTTGCCCAACATCTCAACGAAATGCAGGACTTGCAGCGACGGTTTGAGCGCGAATTGGATGAAGAAAGGTCCGCGCGCATGCGGGAAATCAGCCAGCTCAATTCGCAGACGGCCATGGACACCCAACGGAGCCAAATCGAATTGGAACGCAAAGAACGGGAAGTGGCGGCACTGCACGGCGACATTCAAAACATGCGACAAGAATTGGACCGGGAACGAAAGAGCACCCAAGATCTCCGCCATAATCTGGACACGGCCAGCACCAATGGCGTTACGATGGAATCGTCCATCCGCGCCCTCAAGGCACGAATTGAGTTCCTGGAAGGCGGTCGCGAGGAACAATCCCAAGCATTCGAACGACTGAACCAGCAGATGATGGATGCCCTCGACGAAACCAACGCCACCAAAGACAAGCTACGAAAGGAAGAGACGCTGCGCCGCAAGCTACACAACCAGGTCCAAGAGCTCAAGGGCAATATTAGAGTGTTCTGCCGTGTTCGTCCATCCTTGAACGACGAACGCGTGACGGACGTTGCGCAGATCCAATATCCCGACGAGTCGGAGGACAGCAAGGAGATCTGTGTCATGGGCCCGGAAGAGAAGAGCAGTCTCGGCACCGTGTCACGCAAGAACAACAATTTCGCGTTCGATCGAGTCTTTGGGCCCTCCGCCCAAAACGGAGAAGTTTTCGACGAGATCAGTCAACTTGTCCAGAGTGCGCTTGACGGATACAACGTTTGCATCTTCTGCTATGGCCAAACCGGCAGTGGAAAGACCCATACCATGTCTTCACTGGATGGCATGATTCCTCGCGCCGTCCACCAAATCTACGAGACCGCCACGAGCTTGGAAGAGAAGGGCTGGCGGTACACCATGGAGGGCAATTTTGTCGAAGTCTACAATGAGAACCTCAACGACTTGCTGGGCAAGGCGGAAGAGCTGGACAAGAAGAAGCATGAGATTCGACACGATATGCAGCGGGGCAAGACGATGATCACCGATATTACGACGGTACGACTGGACTCCCCAGAGATGGTCGAGTCCATCTTGAAACGAGCTGCCTCCAACCGTTCTGTGGCCGCCACCAAGGCCAACGAGAGATCGTCTCGATCGCATTCCGTGTTCATTCTCAAGCTCATCGGCGAGAACCACATCACCGGCGAGCGCAGCGAGGGCACGCTGAACCTGGTGGATTTGGCCGGTAGCGAACGACTCAGTCAGAGTGGAGCTACCGGGGAGAGACTGCGCGAGACGCAGAACATCAACCGCAGTTTGAGCTGCCTGGGTGATGTGATTGCGGCCCTGGGACAGGGCAAGGAGGGCGGGCACATCCCGTATCGCAACAGCAAGGTTCGTCTATTGTTCTCATTCTCTGCATACCTCTTGCTAACTTCAACACCAGCTTACATACCTTCTCCAATTCTCCCTGGGAGGCAACTCCAAAACCCTGATGTTCGTGATGGTCAGTCCTCTACATGCGCATCTATCGGAGTCCTTGACCAGTCTCAAGTTCGCCACGAAGGTGCACAACACCCACATCGGGACAGCCAAGCGGCAGGCGCGCGTTCGTGATTCTTAAGATACCTTTCTGGATGTTTCTGGATGTTTTGTGAACAGGCCTTAACGATTCAGGCCTTGGATTAGCCGGTGTTTGGTGTTTTCAATTTTGTTTTCTAAGATAATACCTTTGTTTGTGTTTCGTTAATTTAATTCTTGTCCTCATTGTCATGTCATATGTAGATGAGTCGACCAATTACTCGACCACGGCATTATATGTCCAGAGTCTAAATTGTAGGCATCAACTACCCCTTATGAACTCTACCAATTCCTTTATTGTCCTCTCCTTCGCCTCAATCCACGGGAAATGCCCACATTCTTCACAAATAACCAGCCTCGCCCCGGGAATCCTCTCTCTCAACCGCTTCGCGCTAGACACCCTACATATCCAATCCTCGCGGCCAACAATGATCAGTGTCTTTGCCTTCACATCGCCCAGCCTCGCAACCATCTCTCCGGACTCTTCATACTCCCGGTCACTTCCGTACACTCCCAGATAGCACCACAACAGCATCACGCGATCCCCGATGGCAGAGCGCAGCTCGGGGACATACCGTGTAGGGTTCGAGAAATACAACGCCCACGTGGCATTCACAGAACTGGTAAACGCCTCGTCAGACGACTTGTTCAGACCGCCAGCGCTGCCCAAGACCCGGGCGTAGCGCGGATCAGCGCGTAGCTTTTCGAAGATGTCTTCGTCTGTGTCTGTCTCTGCCTCTTCATTCCCATCCCCATTCCCATGCACCCTATCCCTCTTCCCCCGACTCTTCTCTTCTCTCTGCACGCTCTTAACCCCAAGAACCTGTGAATCCACTAATACCAACCTATCCACCCTCTCGGGATACAACTCCGCATACGCCAACGCAATCGCCCCGCCATTCGAATGGCCCAGGAGCGTGGGAATCTTCACCAGCCCCAAGTGACGCCTCAAATCATCTAGATCCGTCGCCAGCTCGAAACTAGACATTTGTGTTGGGCTCGCTGGTCGCGAGCTGTTGTCTGTTCCGCGCGGGTGGAAGAATAAGAGCGTATATGAGACCCCTGGTGAGGGTGAGGATGGAGAACTGTCCAGGAGAGAGGAAAGGCCGGTATGGAGATATCCTGAGCCGAGGCCCCAGGCTGGGGGTTGGATTATTAGGAGTTCTTGGGGAGCGTTAGGGTGAAGGTTACACGTGGTGTGGACGATGTATTCGAAGGTGAGGTTTTTGGTGGCGGAGTGGAAAGTGTGAGGGCCTGGTGATAGGAGTTCCCGGGGTGGCATTTTGAATGGTGTTTTTGGCGAGACTTCCTGGATGTGTGGTTCTTAAATTGAAGCGTGGTATGCTTGTTGGGTGAAGATGGTTGGATATATATTTTCTGAGATGATGTCATGGCAAAGCACGGGCGAGAACGTTGCCGGCAAACTGGGATGGTGATACGTCCAGTTTCAAATAACGTACATAAATCAACATCATAAGTAAAGATAGATATTTTTTAAGATATAGCTGCATTCACGCGCTCTTCAAATCGTATGCTGGTTGTACGGCTTAACTAAGAAAAATAGTCTGAACCGGGATATCATATTGATACAATCGTTCTATTGAATTATTCAAACATCTTTTAATGCTTCACACCTTTTCAAACAGCCCCATGTTCTGCCTCTACGCCGTCTTTCCAACCTCATTCTTAACCCAAGCCTCCAGACCACCGGCCGCAATGATCTCCTGCACATTGGCCGGCAGCTCGCCGACTTGCTCCGTCCAGCTTTCGCCGTTCTCGCCCTCCTTGACCTCGACGACGCTGCGCTTCACGTCCCACGTCAACGTCCAGCCCGTGCGACGGGTGAGCTTACGCTGCGAGGCGTCCGCAGGCTGAGCGAACTGCGCGCGCAGACGCTCGATCAGACGCGGCACCTCCAGCCCCATCAGCGCGTTGTTGATGCTGTTTCGGGCGAAAATGTTTCCGAAGCTTCCGGACACGACCAGCGGGATCTGCTTGGCCAGGATGGCGGTGGCCGCCTGCTCGCGGGAGGAGCCGCAGCCGAAGTTGAAGCCGGCGACGAGGATGTCGCTGGGCTTGGCGGTGTTCTTGAATTCGGGGTCGTAGTTCATCATGCAGGCCTGAGCCATGTCCTCCTTGGACACGTTGTCCTGGTATGTCAGCTTTCCGGGGTAGATGTTGTCGGTGTCGAGGTTGTCGGCGTCGCAGAAGACAATCTCGCCGGTGACCTTCTCCGGGAAGCCGGGCAGGATCTCCGTGGCTGACTTGGTGGCGTCGCTGGCACCGCCGGCGGACTCGACCCGGTCGATCAGGGATTCCATCTGCTCCAAGAAGTTGGTGAGCTCGTTCTCGGTGGTGGCGGGCATGCCGCTGCCGAATCCGTGGTCCACGCCGGTCCAGTCCTCCGGCACCTGGTAGGCGCCGGGGCCGTCGATGATGCCGCTGAGAGCGCTGGCCGCCACGACCTCGGGACTCGCCAGGTAGGCGAGCGCGTCCCGCGAGCCCATGCGGCCCTTGAAGTTACGGTTGCTGGCACTGATGCCGACCTCGCCGGGCTCCAGCAGTCCGGTGCCGAGACCGATGCAGGGTCCGCATCCGGCGGGCAGCGGCTGCGCACCGGCATCGAGCAGAGTCTGCCAGTCGCCGGCGTGCTCGGCCGATTCCTGTTCGGGCGCGGACGCGGCGGCGATGTAGAACTTGACGCCGTCGGCGATCTTGGGGGTCACGCCGGGGTTCAACTTGGCGGCATCCTTGAAGACCTTAGCGGCGGCGGCGATGTCGGACGCACGCGAGTTGGTGCAAGAGACGACGTAGGCCCGGTTGATCTTGATCTGCTGCTGGACGAGCTCGTTGAGCGGCGTTGCCACCTTGACGGAATTGGGGCCGGAGACGTGGGGCGAGAGGGTGGACAGGTTGAGGTAGAGCTGCTTCGCGTACTGAGCGTCAGGGTCCGCCGTCAAGGGGTTGGCGAACAGCTCCTCCACCTTCTCGTGGGTGATACGATCGCGGGTGTTGCGGTCCTCGAGCATGGCGGCCTCCGTGGCCTTGTACCGCAGCCAGCGCTTCAGGGTCTCGTCGATGGGGAACAGACCGGTGAGCGCTCCCCACTCGGTCGTCATGTTGGCGATGGTCAGTCGGCTGTCGACGGGCAGACTGGCCATGGTCTCCGGCGAGCCGGTAAACTCGATCGCATGGTTGAGGACGTCGCTGTTGAACAGACCGCACAACGCGACAATCACGTCCTTACCTGTCACGCCCACGGGCAGCTTCCCCGTGAATGTCACCTTTGCGACAGGCGGGATCTGCCACCACGTTCGCGACGTGGCCCAGATACTGGCCGCATCCGTGCGCACCACGGCGGTTCCCAGACACCCAATTCCACCGTAGTGGTTGCTGTGACTATCCGAGGCCACCGCCATGCTTCCCGGCCAGGCATACAGCTCTTCCACCATCACTTGATGTCCAATACCCCGGCCGGCAGGATAAAAGTCAATCCCGTGCTTCTTGGCGAAGTTCTCGATCTGCTGGTACTTCTGGAGATTCGAGGGGCTGGTGTTCTGGACGTCGTGGTCCAGGGTCATGACGATCTGCTTGGGGTTGTGGACCTGCGTGGCTCCCATGGACATGAACTTGAGCGCGACGGGCCACGAGTTGTCATGGGTCATGCAGTACTGGGGGGCGAGACTGATGTAGTCGCCGCTACGGACGTATTTGCCCTCGGGGAGACCGACGGCGTAGCGCTGCACGATCTTCTCCGTCAAGGTCTGGGGCGGCCGATCTTCCGAGGGAGGAATTGGCGCGGCATTTTCGTGCTGCGCCTGAGGGAAGGCGGTCGTGCTCAACGAGCGAGAGGGAAAGGAGGTCGAGGCGACGGATCGCAGCAGGTGGTGAACTCTCCTACTAGGGAGACTGACCGAGGGAATCCATCGAGGCGTGACCTGGAGAGAGTCAGTCAAACCGGCCGCACAATCGGCCAGGGGGGCATTGCTCACCGGTCTGCGCACAATAGTGCAGGGGGGCCGAGCCAGGCCCCTCAATGGTATCGAACGGGGAAGCATTGTTGAGGTTCTGAACAACAAACTTTTCCTGTCTTCCTCGTCCGCAAGAGTCATCGCCGCGCCCGCACGTGATCCGGGGCTCCTATGTCGGACCCGCGCAGCCGCGGAATATCCTTCCTCCGCCCCGGCAGCCCCCCAATTGGTAATTTAGCCGCCCCCATTGGCCGCTCGGCTCTTCCGCCGGGCCGCGGTTCGCTGCCCTTCTGATTGGCCCGATGTGTCCGGGGTAAACAAACGGATATATTGACTTTTGGTTGCAATCCTAGTTGAGAGGATGATATATCAAAGCATACAACATGAACCCCGAAATTTCCAGGACAGTAAACTGAGCTTGCGCAGCCGAGCAGGTATGGGAATGACGCAAGTCAACCCCAATCAACATGGCTAACCCGCTTAATCCTGCTTCAAGCCAACCTTGCCAGCCTTGCGCATTCCAAAGAATCCCACCACCGTGCAGCACAGCATCAAGGCAAACATGGCCCAGAAACTGGCCCGATATCCGTCCATCAGAGCCGGTTTCTCTTCCTTCTCCGATTGATCGGTGATGACGGTGGAAATAACCTGCAAAACCGCCAGTCCAAGCGCGCTGCCGAACTGCGCGGACGTGTTGAATACCGCTCCTGCTAGAGCCTGAGTGTCGTCCGGAAAGACATCCGTGATGACGATGAGCCCGACGGTGAAGAGGGCGTCGAAACTGACCGGCTGTAGGAGCTGAGCAACGAATGCATTTCCCCAGTATGGCCAGGAGGGTTGGATCACGGCCATAAGTAGGGGCGATCCGGCGCACAGGAGAGAGGGGATGGTGACGATCCAGAAAGCGGAGACCTTGTGTACGAACAGTCCGATGACGATGTTCATGAGAACGCCGACGACGAGACTTGGCAGAATCCGGAGGGAGGCCTGCAATGCAGGGAGATCTTGGACTTCCTGGAAGCTTGGAGAAGTCAGCGAGAGAAAAGGATACGATAGTAAGGGGACGACTACATACAACAAGGCGGCAAACAGCTCCATAGAGTTGAGCACGGCACTTGACATGGCCACGATGGCGCATATCGTCGAAAAGGACGTGTTCGCCCACATCGAATTGGGAATCAATGCTGGCTTGTTTCGTTTGGTCTGGCGATGGACCCAGGCGACGAAGGACGGAAGTGCGGCCGCAGCAAGGCACAGAATGACAATGCTCTCGGCAGATTTGATCCGCGAGGGATTCGCGCTCAGAATGCTGCTTCTGATCAGCGTAGCTCATTGGTGTGCGAGGGTTCGTACTCACGCGAGAAGATAACAGAGCAGTGCCATGAACGCCGAGGCGAGTCCGGCTCCTACCCAGTCAACCTTGGCTTTGATATTATGAGCCAGGTCTGCATGTCGGTGGGTTTGACTCTTCGGCACTGCCCACAGGCCGATGATCGCGAAGAGAAGCGTGATGCCGCCAGCAATGTACCATCCCGAACGCCAGCCGATCGTATCAATCAGAATGCCACCGATGACCAAGCCAATCGAAAAGCCAAGCGGCTGGCTCAGACCGACGCACGAGAAAGCAAAGTTCCGGCCTCGGCCCTGCGGCAGGATCTGCGTGATGATGGACACGGAGGACGCCAGATGGAAGGCCAGTCCGATTCCCTGGAGTGCTCGCAGGGCGACCAACTGCTCTCCGGTGCGAGCCAGCCCTTGGCCGATCATCAATCCACCGCTAGCAAACGCTCCCACCAACTCGACCCATCGCGGACCAATGGCATCGGCGATGGATCCGGCGAGTAGCAGCGACGACGCAGTGGCAAGACTACTGACCGAGGAGGGCCAGAATGACAACGAGGGAGGCAACTGGAGATCCTTGGTGATGGTAGGCAGACCAACCACTACGAGACCGTTGATCACGCTGGCCGTGAGGGTGATGGCAAAGACCTGCGTGACCACCAGGATCCGTCGAAGGTGGATTTTGCGAGTCGGCGCCCGGCTGGCGTCATTCAAGGGATGATGAGCGTAGTCGGGACTTTCAAGGGTGAACGCATTGATTTGCGTGCCGGTGTTGGTCGTGGTGACCGTCGTCGTCGACATCTCTGTAATTGGGCGCGATGCTTCCCCGATCGCTCAGAATCGAGGGCATCCACTTCTTTTCGACCTTTTTTGACGGGCGTCGATGGAAATTGCGCCCTGCGCTTGACCGGGTCGTTGTGGGGGGACCCACCCCGGGGAAGCGATTCCCGAGTTTCTATAGAGTAATGCGAGGGACTGTATGGATGGACCGATCTGCCACGAGATAAGTTGCATTTCTAGAAACATTTCCATGTTCTAGCTAGTGTCATATGGCCAAAGAACTAACTCGAAACCAAACAATCTCGCATATCTGGAGGGAGTCTTCTATCCAGCAGCATCAACTATCCTTATGAGAACAAATCCAGCACAGTCACGCATCTAAGCAGCGCACGGAAACAATAGCTCGCTGAAGAGGACTCCTGGGGAAGATCAACACTCGAAGCAGAGCATGTTCTTCTAGTTGCGGAAAATGAACGATCGTAATGAAGAAGAATGGCACGCCTAAGCCGTACATGCCGTGTGATACCTCGGTTCCATTCTATCAAACCGGGGGCAAGGTCGACATATAAAATAGGGTTATAGTCAGAATGTTACAAGCGTATGTCAGGATTTTAGAAGTATTCTACAGTTACAGATTGCTGGTAAGGAATTATTGAATATTGCGCCGGCATTGAAGGAGGACAAAGAACTTCGGCAGCAAGCCGATGAGTACAGACCAACGCGTCTATTCTCCCTCCATGCAGAGTCCATCCAGGACCATTCAATCAAATAATAGCCTGTTCCCAAAAGCCAGATCCTTCGAAAATATCTCCATCCTCGAAGCCCCCGGTGGCATGACCGATCCACCGCCTAGTAACCGGGTCAGGAATCACAAGGAACAACACATCGTTGGTAACATTGACGGTAAATTGGCCTTCACCGGGGACATAAGCGGAAACTATAAAACCAGCGGGCAAACTGAAATCATCTGGTGGAAGATAAACCCCGTCTTTATCGAACGGCTGAACTCTAAGCGTGTTGTTGGCACAGTTCGCGGTCAAGACCTCTCCGTCGCGTGCCAGGTAGCTGCTATAGTACTTGCCTCCGAACTTGGAGACCAGCTCGTACCAGACCAAGCTGTATCCACCAATTCGGACATGGCCCCAGTACCAGGGGCCTAAAATCGCGGGGAGTGGGAGATCCGCCCAGATCTAAACCATCAGACTAGCCTCTAGCCCATATTTGAGAGCCGTTGAGAAAAGGGCTTACCTTGTCTTGATATCCGATGCCCGAGAAGCGTATGTGCTCAATAGCAACTTCGAATTCTACCGTCGCTGTGAGATCAGGTCCCTGGTTAGTCCACCAGAGGTGCGGTACAAGCTCGTATGTGCCGCCCTTCTCGTAAAGGCCCCAGGGTAGGTGAGGCGGCGCAGCCTAGAGGTCTGCCATAAGTACGAAGATCTTCAACTCAAGATTTGAAAGTATCACCTGCTCCCATTTTATTCGGCCTTTCAGTTCCGCCCCTGGCATGTCAATATCCATAGATCCCCGATTGAAACTGACATCGCTTCTCCACGATACGTAGTCCGTGTCGTCACCGAACCGTCCCGCACTGATGTCTCGGCTCTCACTCACAGCCCCTCTGCGAGGGTGAAATTCCTTTAGGAAATGCGTTTTGTTTGGCAGCATTATATCAACGACAGAGCTTAAGATTGCATCAATTGGATAGGATGGTATAGATGGATTTGTAGGCGTCACGTTGAAAGCCATATGGGCGGCAGTTGTCAGGTCTTCCGAGATGAAGTCAAAGTACCAGATCTCAAAATCCCCAGTGGTGTTGATAGGCCGTCCATCGGTCGACGAGAAATGACGTGTTGTTAGGTTTTTTGCTGGGTTGAAGGGTGCATGGGCATTGGAGCGACGGGGGAGATGGAATGCTGATCCCAGTTTAGGGAAGAGCATCGCGATCAAGATAGGGCTGAGAAGGTTCCGGGCGTTCATATCGCGCAGGTTAACACAGGGGGGCGCTTTCACAGCTGAACTAGAAAGCCTCGGTCTCCCAGGAAATATTTTCCTTGGTTTTAATATCCATCAGCAGAGTTCCCTGCGCTGCCTGTGCAACGCTGACAGTTCGATCCATGCCGGTTGACACAGCACTTTGTGCAACCCCCGGTCGTATCTCATCCGTATACTTATCAGCTCTGTTACCGATGCGCCTTTGCCGCGAGAGCCCTGGATTGGCGGGTAGCAGATGCTATATAGTTCTGCGTAACGCCGTTTCAACTGACTAGAGGAATATTAGTGGGACTAGTGATGTTAAATCAGGGCGCCTAGTGGCGGTGGCACTCCTGGATGTTAACAGCTCCCACGAAGAACCCGACATATCGCCTTCCAGCTTTCGTATTCATTTAGCTTCATCTATGCTAGATGCTGGGATATTGTAGTGCAGCGATTCCCAGAAGGTCTCTCTGAAAATTCTAGGCTTTCTGCGGTATTTGCTAATTGGATAGATTGCTCCGAGCCGGACTGGCACCAATATTGTCCGGTAGGTCACGACTTGAATTAAAGTCGGGCAAATACATTTGAAAGAGATATGGTCGAGCCTTCACAGCCCAAAGGCGTGGTACAAGTATTAAATTCGTCTGACACGAAAAACTTTTATACAGCTCGTGTGCATCCAGAGCCCCGCAATAATCAGCACAGAGCCGGATGTATTCTTTTGCCTCCCAGTTGGAATCGTGCAATTCATTGTTGCGCTTCCTTCCGCCGGTGTCAAAATTCCCACACCTCGCGAGGCTAGCGAACCACCTGCTTGAGTACTCGCCTCCTCTGTGTTTTGACATCCGTTACAGAAGCGTGTCTTGAGCTTTCTTCCTGAAGAAGGTTCCCGTGAACTGATGATGTCCAGCCCGCCAATCATCGTTTCCTGACGTTTCTTCCACTGTGTGATGAAGCAGAGCATTTTGGTACTAGAGTCTCCTGGCCCCCTCCTTTTCCTTCTCAAGCGGCTTTAACCTCCGTCGGTGGGACTCAATCTGAAAGACGTCAAGTCGAACAGCTGCATGACATATACATCCGCACCCATGAATGGAGTCAAAAGGATAACTCTCTCGAAGGGCGAGTCCAGCTGCCCGCGTCTCGCGTGCCAAATATCTGGGCTAGGGAGAGTATAACACGAACGAAAATCATGAATTGTCAATGGATCTCGAAAACACACTCTACGGTCCTGGACCCCGGGGATGGAATAGTGACAGTGTTCTTGTCGTGCCAAACAGCACCCACAAACACAAGACATTATGTTGGAAGGGTCATTCAGATATCAATATACACCACCGCCAAAGCAGTATCGTACCGTGGATCAACACCCTTCTCACTCGATGACAGATATTCTGAGATTCGATGGAAGTCGTCTAGAGGGTCTGGTAAGCAACCCTGATCCATGAGCTTATGTTCAATTCCTGAGGTAAATCCGCGATTATCAGATGCATCCAATGGTCGCATTTTATCTGGGCATTTCTTTGGCTTCAGTCCCCGTACGCTTTGAGGGGACTTGATAGGGAATGTTACGGGAACTGAGAGGCAAGAAACACTGCGGTTCAAAATTACTCAAACTCTCCAAGCGTTCGAACTACTCTCTGATAGTAATGACATGTCGTCGTTGAAGGTGTATTGTTGTCTTTCTTTCCCTCCTATCGTCCTGTTTTCATTTTCTGCTCTTATCCCAAATGACTTGCGAGACAGAATCCCCGGATGACCCTTTACCTTTCATTAGTTGGCAGCAAACAGCATTGAATCTAGGTATATTCACACGACTTGACTGAAATTTACACTCCGAAAAATGGTAAGCATCACAACGCCCACCAAATGCGAACCAAGCTCTTAACCCTCATTAGGCATCGTATGCGTAGAAGAGGCCACTCGGCATTAAGTACCAACTATATAAACATTTCCGTTCTATGAATCTACACTATTCCGCCATCAAGAAGGCAACTCAGTAAGCTGCTGCTTCTGGTTCCCACTTGTCTCTAGCTCTCTGGGTATGTACTGATGACCGTGAGCTGGCTGTACGGGCTGCACATACGGCTGGTAGGGCATAGCTGAGGCCGCCCTCGCCGCATCTGCGGCTTTCTTTCGTCGATACCAGAACCATCCCATGGCGGCTATTATGATCACGCCGGCGGCGGCTCCGACCCCTATCCCTGCCGATGCGCCTGCGCTGAGGGAAGATGACGAGGTATCAGGTTCGGAGGATGCGGTCGACGAGGATGTCGCAGACGAGGTGGAGGATGTGTGGGTAGTGGTCGCAGTGGCGAGGTCCCCGGTTGTTGCCGTCTAGTTGATGTGCCAGATCGTATAAGCACTCGGGATATCAATGTAGATCAGGACTCGTAAAGGGTAACGTACCGGCGTCACGAATAATACTCCTAGCGCATACAGATGAAGGCCCGGCTTCTGCGTCACCATGTCAACGTTTATCGTGTTCGATACGAAATCTGTCAACGTCGCCGGCACCGTTCGCGTCTTGGTGTATTGTAATCTGCAGGGGAAGTAGGAGCCATGCGCTTTTTGAGTCTCTGATACTGCGCACGTGAAGCGGTGATTACTAGAACCGGTCGATTGGAGAGGGTTAGCGATATCTCAGGGCACGATTTGAAGTTGTTCGGAGGAATGGAGACCTACTCCGGACAACACGTCACTGTCTCTCGTTCGTCACTGCCCTCGCATGAAGCACTCGTGTAGCTTGGTGGACAGTTCGTCCCGACATACACGTCCGACGCAGCCCAGGTCGGCGGAAAGCAATCGGTCGTCTGCGAGGGCCCACCCAGCACGGTGCGGTTGTCATTCTTGTGATCGGGCCAGAACCATAGCCAGTAGTCCTCCTTGCGCAGGCAGCCCGCCTTGGACGGAGACCAGTCCGGAGGGATAGAGTATTGAGGGGCTTCGGTGGTCATTTTGTGGTATGGACGCCGGCGACGAGCGCGGATCAATAGGGTTCGGAGAAAGGGGCGGAGAAGAGTTGAATGAGAAAACCTCAGAAGTGCTAATGATTGCCGGCAACATTCTTCCAGCCGCACGTTGAGGGGATGGGGCCCTTTGCTTTTAGCCCCCACAGGGCTCGTGTCGTCAGGATGGTTGGGTTAGGCGGTTTAAGGGAAGCCCAAGAGTCTTGGGCGACGCCTTGCATGACTAGCTGCTTGGCAATTGCCGATGGTTTAGGACTACACGGGATATGTTTGAAGAACAGTGATGGGAATTGGATAGCGGGATATCATCAAGATTGTTCACCTTGAGCCAACTCTGGCCGAGATGAAGAATATGCAATAATTATGTATAGGGAGACATGCCGAAAGACGATTCTGCTAGGAGTCCGCATACTTACGCTGACAGAGACATGGAGTCAGACTTTAAAGCCCCCAACAATCAGTCTCACAGGTTTACTGCGAAGCCTGCCATGCCTTGACGAAGACTGCAACGTTCAACAGGAACTCGACGCGCTTTGGTTCCCAGCCCAACACAATCCTGGCATGAGAAGCATTCGTGTTGCAGATTAAACTGAGAGCCTCCAAAAAGGGGTTGCCGTGAGTGCCGGTATACTCCAGCGGCGCCTTCACTTCCAGCACTGCCTTCGCAGCTTCCATGATCTCGACCACGGAAAGGGTCTCGGTAACAAGGTCAAACACGGGCCATGATCCCAACCGGCCGTCGAGACGGTCGATGATTGAGCGAATGGCAGCCGCCGCATCGTCGACATGAACAATACCGGTTCGCGCAGCCCTATCAGCGGGCACCTGGACTGTGGCGGTGTTGTCCGTTTGGCGAGCTTCCAACAGAACACGCCACCAAGTATCGAACACCCACGAGCTGCGGCCGTACAGAGCACCGGGTCTGGCAATCGCCACGTCCAACGTATCGCGGGCGGCAAGAATGGCTTGTTCGTGAGCCGGTCGCCACGCCACCGCCGTCGCAGGCTTGCCGGCGGATAACTTGCTGCCGACCGGAGCAAGGTCGCTGACACGGGTGGCAGGAGACCCGTGGACCCAAGTTCCAGAAATGTAGACGAAGCCGAGTTTGGGAGAGATGATATTTTCCTTTGCGAGAGCCTCCTGCCGAGCTTTGGATGCGTTTACAACTCCGGCCAGTATCTGGCCCGACTGCTCGTAGGCGGACGACGCATCTACCACGATGTCGATCGAGTTTGTAGCGATGAATTCGGATAGAGCCTCAGAGTTTGTGATGTCCTGTTCGACTGGGGAGACTTCGTTCACCAGCAGTGTCTTCGCCTTTTCGGGGCTCCTTGCAGTGCCCCAGACTGTATAGGCACCTGTCTGCAGCAATGACTTGGCGAGAGAAAGGCCAAGATAGCCGGTTGCGCCGACGATGAGAACGTTCGGCATTTTCTATGCGATGTGTGAGCTTGAGGGATTCAAGAGGTAGCCAGAGAAGCTTCTGTCCAGAGGGCTGAGATGGTTGTTCATTATGCCCTGGATCTTGAGGCGTTCGGCCATCTTATACTCTTGCATGTTCCATCGTGTACACACCGGAGCCGGGTTGATCCCCGTTCGCGAGGATTCGTAACCGACGGTTTTGATCCAAGGCCATTTGTCTCTGGACTGCGATGACTGTCGGTGACCGATGAAAGACAAGAAGAGACTCCCATCCCCTCCAAAATCCAACGTTAAATCCGCTGCTGAGGTAAGCACGACAGGGGCAGGTGACCAATCATGTGCCGCACGGGATCTCCAGCCTTGGCGTCCGTGTCTTTTCTGTCGATCTCCGGCCGTAAATCCGCGTGGACGAAGTACTGTGTAGGACTGTGGTTCCTCTACCGGGCTCGAGCAATTCGTTTGTAAGATTCCATTGGTCGCCGATCCAGTCGATACTCCCTATGATGTCTATACAGGAACTCAGCTAAAGATCCCCGAAATATCGATCCGCCAACATCCCCAACTGCGTCGACTTTTCCCGTATGGTCTCGACATCCAGGATCCCATCCTCACAGACAAAGGCATCAACCAGACTGGATGGCACCCATTCGAAGTACACGTTCTTTACCTCGACGACATTGCGGTCCATCCCGTCTTGAAGAATCTTCATGCCCTTGATGCCGTCGTTTTTCCAAGTATGAACCACCTCTCTCGGTCCGTTGTCTTCGTGTGTATCGTCATCGATTAGACCGCATGTCCCGTTGATCTTCTCGAGGCCGCTGAGCACGACCACTTGAGCCTTTGAGGTGATGTGCTTCACGCTGAGGACGACGGGCAAAGAGCCGGTTTTGTTGCTGACGCCTTTACGTGCGGAGATCCGGTCGGCGCCGAGGAGAAGGATCTCCGCATCTTGTGCAGCCAGAGCGGCCGATGCGTCGGTGTAGACTTTGATGTTGAGTTGTTTGTCAGTACCTTCGAATTGGGACTTGAATTGACAGAGGACCGAGGAGGCAATGCTGGCGCCTTCGAAGAGCGGTCGGGACTCCAGGACCCGGAGCTCAAGGGTGTGAACATCAAGCGCTGCGAAGGCATTCAGAATACTGTCTCGAATCGTCGAGCTAGCCGACATGGTGAGAATAGTGATCTGCTCTCTCTTCCCGTCAGCCAGAAACTTCGACCTCAGGTACTCCGTGAAAGACTCCATGATTCGTCCCGTATTCGCGGTACGTCTCGTCACCTGGAAGTCCATCATCGCGAGGATCCGATCCCACTTCAGCTCCTGATCCGTTTTCTGACTCACGACGTCCTCCATCTCGGTCAGCACCGATAAGACGGCGTTCAGGATCGCCGCAGCCATACTCTCGCGCCCATTTTTGACCAAGTGCCAGGCGACCATCCGCACCGAGCTCCACCAGCTCTCGTCGAGTCCGTTGCGCGTGTGCATGATAAAATCGCGGAACACGGCCAATGCGATAGCTGTCAGCTCGTTCGCGCCGCTTTCGTGGTCCGATCGCAGTCGTTCCAGGCCGGTCGCCAGGGCCTTCCCGGCTCGCGGGTTGAGCGAGCCTTCGAACCAGACTCGATGGAGGGATTCCATGAGTCGGGGGACTCCTCCGAAGCTTTCATCGTCCGACACCGCTCGCGGGTCGTGCCATTCCCATCCCTCGTGCTCCCAGTCAATCTTAATGGCGCTTTCGGCATCGGCGAGTCGGAAAGCGAACGGGTGGATCGTCCATTCTCGGTTGACGGACGGATCGCTGAAGGTAAACGGTTTACCGGTTCGCCAGAGGGATAGAGACGACGGGGTCAGGGTCGTTTCTTCTTGGAGCTCGCGCCAGGCGGCTGTGAGGGGATCCTTGTCTTTGCGACTGATGGTGCCGGAGATGGGAGCTAGATGGTGTCTTGATGAAGTGTTAATTCAGTGGCCTGGGGACTATGGGGGGCTGAAAGGGAATGGCCTACTTGTAGGTGTTTACCTTGTCGCTGCGACGAAAGAGTGCAACGACAGGCTCGTTCGGTTGACTTGGTGGGAAATGGAAGATGAACGAAGATACGACATCCCTATGCTCAAGCGTTGATGGACTATTCGTTGCCATTATAGTGTGAAACAAGCGATATAATCACGATATCGAATACTAGGCAGTTCGTTGTGCGTAGATGCGAGAAACTCAAGAGTCCAGGCTATCAACAAACCCTCAGAAATCCATAACTCTAATAGACTCACGGAGCAGAAGAGGGGAAGCTCCGCTCGGGGACGATCAGGTCATCCAACGACGGCCCGCCATTGGCAATTTGCCTTCGTGGCGTTTCTTCACGCAGAGAACAGTCTGGTTTCAGGCGAAGTCGGTGGGACGAGATCCGCGGGATTTGAACGGCCACAACGCCATGACGTCAGGCTCGCATCAGTCCACGACATCCTGATATCAACGCCTTGCGACCGGCCATTATTTACGACTGGTTCGATAACTTGTCGCTGAAGGTGATGATCTGGGTCATTGAATTCTACCACCATGCCAACCTATACGGGTTCGTGCTACTGTCGGGCAATCGAGTATGAGTTGGAGTTGTCCTCGCCGGATGACGCACGCACGTCGCTCTGCCATTGTCGCAATTGCAAGGTAAGCTTGTCGCTATTACCAGCAAGACAGATACCCTAAGATGACCGTGATTCAGAAAGCCTTCGGAACCAATTACGGTCTCACAGCGAAGATCCCTAAAGACGCCATCCGCATCGTCCGCGGGACGCCCAAAGAACATGCGGCAGACAACGGGTCCGGGGTCGTGATTCACCGGGAGTTTTGTGCAGAGTGTGGCAGTTTCATTCTGGAATATGGGGTAGGCTGGGTCACTGCCATGGATGACAACAATGGTGTTTAATTCGCGTGTCCAGGATGCCGTCAAGGAGCAGTCCCGCTACCTCTGCGTTGGATCCTTGGACGACCCGGAGGCTTTGCCCCCAAAGGGGGAGTTCTTCTGCAGCTCGAGGGCCAGCTGGATGCCTGTGGTTCCTGGTAAGTTGCTGGTTGTTGGGGTGGCGATGGTTAATTCTTCCCCAGGGGTTTTTCACAAGCAGCAGGTGAAAACATAGTCAATCAGGTGTCTGTGATTCGTGTCCTGGTCAGTATACCCAGCTTGGCGACTTTGCGACCGAGGAAGAGTCCCACTCACTATGTGTAGGATGGCTGCGACCGAGCGGCGGGCTCATGCATGCTTCCTTATCGATACAAGATAGTCAGACCACATCTAGAAATGGCTTGTGGATAGTTGAGTCACAGTTCTGCCTGTCGTCAAGGCTTCTAACCGACAATTTACCCAACATGGAGAGAGCCATGTAATAAGTGGAAGCGATTGGGACATTTACAAAAGAGCAACGCAGTCGCCACCAAAATCAAACACCCCGTGATTAGTCGCTTCTAAGCTAGCAAAGAAGAAATATGTGCAGGTAGAAAATGACGAGGAGAAAAGCCACCAGCGGCCGTTCATGACGCCATCCGGGGAGGGCCCTGGCATAGCGCGACGATACCCGAGCTCAATCGCGATCATCGCGATTCGATCATCTACTCATCCGCTCGCCCCGACCGACGCTCTCGGTCGCGTCGGATGCGACGATGCAGGTTGCTTGGGCCGCCGGATGGTCTTCGGCAAGGGGGCCACGTAGAAGCACAGGATTTGCTGGTCGAGACAGTGGGCGCATCGCGGTCGCTGGCGATCGCATGTCACTCCCCACGCTTGGCAGGCCTTGCAGGGATAATTCTCCCGCTCGGCGATTTGTTCCTGCGGGGGTTCATCGTTGGGGATGTAACGCGGCGTCGTGTCGCCAGCGGGCTTGCCAGGCGCCAGACTGTAGTTTGGGTCATTTCCCCGTCGAGCAGCATTCTGGACGGTGGACTGCGATTCGGAGGGCACGGCGGTCCAGCTGGACCAGAGCCACTGCGAAAAGCGCCGGAAGACGCAGGTGCTCTCGAGCGATCGGCTGCGGAGGATGTTGCAGGATCCGCGCGATTCCGCGGTCTGCATCGGATGGTCGGTCATGACAAGCAGGTCGGAGAGGATGGTGATATGGACTTGGTATTGTTTTCTTGTCCTTTAACTAGAGGCAGCCGTTAGCTTCCAGGATTAGCGGCGGTGACGTCGGGGGTCTCCGGGGTCCTCACCAGTGGCCAACTAGACTTGACCCAAGGCTGTAGACTCGAACAGTGAATCAGGATGGTTCTGAAGGTAGGTGTATGGGAAAGGGAGAGGCGCGATAAAACCAAAAGGAAAACAAACGTGCGGCAAGAAGGAACCAGCCCGTTGTAATATGGACGCATCACCCAACACGACCCAAGCTCGTGTCGATCAAGGCCCCGGAACGCGTCCAGAGGAATCGGTCGGAGAAGACAAACGCCAGAGGAACAAAGGGATCCCAAGGAAAAGAGAGAAAAGGTGGATTCCCCGCAGCCGCTGGAATGCGCGTGCCAGCGCATCTCAGGCACCCAGTCTGGACTGGCTCCGGCCGGATGAGATCGCCATTACATCAGACAGAAACAGGGAATCCTCATGCTATGCGCCCATCCTCAAAGTGAGGGGGCTGAAGCCCCAGGAGCAGAGATCGCATCAATCGTCTGCGCCAAATGGGCTTGGGCCTCGGGTCTTGCATTGTCCCACCAATTAACCTACTTCGCTCGTGAGAACTGTACCTACAGGCCACTTTGTAAGGCGACTGGAGTATCAGCTCATTGCCAACCACCGGTGTAACTTCTTCTCCTTTTTGTGAGCTGGCACACCGGCGGAGTTTACCTCCACATTCCACCTGTCAGGGGCCCTGACAACTCTCCAGACTGGAGCGGATAGACCCATAGGACCAAAGCATGAATCTCTGTCAATCCAGGTCGAGTCTCAAAATTGCAGGTTGTTCAAAGAGAGTTCTGTTCCATTCAAGGTTCGCCTCGAACGCCGCGAGGTAACACACGCATCCATTCATTATTGAGAGACGAACCATCCCAGGTCGTACACCGACTATCGTGCTCCAATAGAATTACCCCAAAATTTCAATCCCCTCCGGACTGCTGTCGGATCGTGGACAACTGCTCTTTCTAGGACGACGGCAGGTTGAGGTTTCATCTGATTCCTTGACTCGGTTGGCTTATCCTAGGAAGGCTGGTCATATGACTGGCCTGAAGTGCTTGGGTTATTGGTCAAATATGAGTCAGTAAGCCAACTTGTGATGTTTTATCTTCATGGGGTGGAATCGTGTAGCCAAAATATATATCCGTCGGGAGTAGGAAAATGTCTACATCGAGGTATTCTTGGTCTAACCTGGTTGAAACAATTTGTACAACGGCAAAACCAGAAGATTTCTTGGTTTTCCATTCGACCTTGATCCCAGTGTTGGTATCTGTTGTTTTTGTGCTTTTGGCCATCAACCGCAAGTTGTTGATCCCCGCTGGGTGGACCCGACAAGCTCCACCCGGTCTTGATATCACGACGATCAACTGTCTTTGCTCTTGGAGAGACGTCGGGTGTTCGCCATGGACAATAAATCCCCAACGCGGAGAATCCCCTCCGACCCTGGTGAACGGTCGATTTGGGAGCTCGACCGCCAATGTGCGCATCTGTAGGCTTCTAAAGCGGGCGTGGAGCGTGCGAGAGTCGGCAGGCCCTGGGGGCCAAAAGGATGTTTAGTCCAGATCATCCCATTGACCCACCGCGCAGATTCTGATTCCAAATCCAGGGATCTGCAGGATGCCGCGGATTCTTGCGAAATCTTTTGCCTATGAACGCCGCACGTGGTCCGTGGTGCAGCAGTAAGAAAGGCTTAGCTGTCGAGCGTTGGAAGGAGTTACTGCGTAGATCCCTATACTTTGATGACTTCAAACTGATGCCGAGGGATTATGGTTAGCGGACAATGCAAATCAAATCCATATTCCGTAGCCTGGATCCAAAATTGAGAGCTGTCAAGGTGGATCATGTGGATGGTTTCACCGGGCAAGGAGCATCTCGCAGTCCACTCCGCGGACTCCCTGCGAAGGAGACATTCGTCACTCCGGACTGTCCCTCGACTCCTACTCCGTCCGTCTTTGCTAATGTTCTGGTTCCGATGATCCAGGACCATAATCGGCAATTAGGCCAGGGCTGATCGGCGGAATATGCTTCCGTCTTCGTGTGATTCTGGACGGTTCAACGAGGATGCTCGACAAACTCGGCTGACGAGATCCACGCAAGCACCAGCTCGACAGCACGAACTATTGGCGGATGGCAAATTAGGTCTTTAAGGCATTCCGCGGACGTTTCGGCGGTGGCACCAGGCCGAGTTGCAGGGCCAATTGACATTTTCGACGGAGAAAGCCTCATATACTCAGGGGGCAGCGATCCTCGCCGGGGTCCATCGGGGTAAAATCACGCCCCCTTCCCCATCGACCGTCAACACTAAAAAACCAAGATCGCGCCCGCATCTTTATTTTTATTTCGGTTCTCTTCCCTTCCGATTCTTGGCTGTTGGCATAGTGGTCGCTCCTATTAATTGCTTATTTTCTTTTTATCGCCCGTTCTAATTTTAATCGTAATCATGTCGGACAAAGCGTGCTATGCCATGCATGCGGGCTCCATCGACAAAGTCAAAGTCGACGTGCCGTGTGGAGTGACGAACTCAACAAACGAACATGTCAATTGCTGCGTGCAGGGCGATTACTGCCTGAGCAACTCGATTTGTGTCCATGTCAGCGACAACGGGAACAAGGGGTATTACAATGCCGACTGCACGGACGAAACACTCCAGGATCCGGCATGTGGCACGCGATGCGGTAAGGCACTCTGGAATGCGCCCATTTCCCGCGGATGACAGCGCACTAACTGGCACTGGTACCTGTGCAGGCGGCCGACCACTATCAGATCTAATATGGAACTCGAATACCGGACACTGGGCTTGTTGCGGGTACAACAGCACGACGAAATCCCCCGATTGCTCGGATCCCAGCGGCGAGATATACCCGGGCCCGGCGCCTGATCAGCTGGCGACGATACAATACCTTCCCATCCACGGATCCCCGACATATGCGACGGGGGCCTCGACGGCATCGGCCACGGGGACGGGGACCTCAACGGCCATGGCAACTACAAATTCCCCCGCCGCATCGTCATCGGGACTGGGAGCCGGCGCAGCCGCGGGTATCGGCATCGGGGTTGGAGCTGGCGTTGTCATAATAGCTGCGGTCATCGCGTTGTGGTTCCTGAGGAAACGGAAACCCGCGCAATCCCAATTGATCCCGACGCCGTTTGGATACAATGGAATTCCGTCGCCCGCGGTCCAGCCGAACAATATGCAACCGGCATGGACTTATCCGCCACCGGAACAATACCAAATCCAGGAGTTGGGGAAGACAGAACCCGGGCCAAGGGAGTTGGATTCACGAGCTAAATAACATGCTCCGTTGAAGAAGGCACGCGGACGACGGGATGGTTGTTGACCAACCGAGCCGGAATCTGTGTGGTGTCATGAGGGTTCTGGAATTCTCCGAGGAAAGACGGACCATGGTTGGATTTGTATTATAAGAAAGATACCATTTTGTATATAAGAACTGCATATGATCAGAACCTCAAGCCATCGGGATATGAAGGAAATTCGTGATACATGGCCTTGAAAGTAGCCTTCTGTAAATTGGGTTCGGTGATATGATTCATACACCTGCATTCTTATTCCTTCCAGGCGTCGCGCATGAAGTCTCTCAGTTTCTTCGTGGAAATATCCGGGAATCGATCATTCAACCGGCCGATCTTGGGTAGATCAAACACCCCAGCGATCGTCAGACGGCTGACCAACACGGTCATCTCGTAGACTTCGTCTTCCGAGTACGGACATCCTGGCGGCATCTTGGGAACGGTGACTTTCCCTTCCTTGACCCTCTCGTGGCTGTCATACACCACCTTGAAATGCTTTCCTGTGGAGTGTCAGTACAAAGCTCACAGTTAAGGGTAATGTGGTCATCTCAGACCTTGGAGCTCCTGTCCTAATTGAATAATTTCATTATACGTGTACTCATCACCGACGACGACGCTGAATTCAGGCCAGTCCTTCACGTCAAGAAGTCGTGCTACGAAAGTTGCCATGTCTTCACTGTAAGTCATGCAGATCCTATCGTTCCCGTCGCCGGGGATAGCAGCCTCGCAATTGGCGATGTCTGTGCCGAAGGCTGAGGGCTGAAGATTGGTCTGGATGACTTTCTCGGGATTCATTCCCCAGTAGTCCATGAAGAAGCCGGGGATTACCCGAGTGTACTGCAGATTAGTCTTCTGTAGCAGTTGGACGGCGTCTATGAAATGTTGGATGCTCGGGTCGATGGGGAGGAGGCTGTGATCATTAGCAGAAGGATTGACATTGAAAGGGAAGCATACTCATGGGTCTGAATGAAAGAGTACTCGCTCGGGATAAATCGCGTCGTGACGTTGGATTTGTCGGCAGCTTGGATTAGATTCAGCTGCGACTGGCTGGTTTCACCGTCATATATGGAAATGGCGGAGATGACAGTGTGCACGTCATGATCTTCCAGGGTTTTGCTCAATGACGAGATGTCATTATATTCCACTTGCACCTTTTTTCTGTCCTCGGGACTGTTGGTGTCCGATGGAGGCTCTGGTTTCTGGGGTACGTTAGCCGTACTCGGTGCATTCGAGATGAATATGATGGCAACACACGCTACGAGTTAAAATGATGACTTTCCCACTTAACTTGCTGACGATGGTCTTGCCGACACCACCGGTGCCTCCAGCTACTGCAATTGCCATTGTTTCGCAGAACGGAGAATACGCACACTGGAATGACGCTATGCATGAACTGTCCCACCTGCCGTAGACGGTTTGGCCCCAGGCACCAAGCCCGGTGGATGGTTGTTCCGGGGACCGAGCTGCCCGGCAGTATCGGGCGGTGGATGGCCCTGACCGCCCGAGCCGAACGGACTCCTTCGACCTGCGATCGCGGGAATTGCAAGAAACGCATTCTTTGATGAGTAATTCGACTCTCACAGTCCACCAAAAGCCGATATTCAAATTTTGAAAGGGAAGTGACATTGCCACGATAAATGTGCGTATCACTCTAGGCTATCTAGGATTAAAACATCATTCTGCCTCTGCCAGACGCCTGTATTCCCCCGAGCCCATACAATTTCTGTTATCATCCGGTCCAACCAGACCCATCTGGTCATGTGAAATCTGTGGTAGTTTAGAGTTTTGGTCAGCTGACCCCTCCGGTCACGGGACTCGGCACCCCCACTCCCGCGTCGGCCTCCCTCACGGCTTCTTTCATTCCCTGCGCGTCGCGTCCGCCCACATCGCCCCCGGCCAGACTTCTCCCAAGCATGCGCCCTACCACCACCATGCGCATGGCAGCCTCCGCACTCTCCGCCAGCAGTCGCTCAGTTTCCACGATCGCCTCGTCGAGCGTAGACGGTCGCTGCAGAATGGACGCGTATGCATTGATTCCAACTTCATAGTTGACTCGGGCGTCGTTCCCAATCGAACCCGCAAGCACAATCACGGGCCTGCCATGCTGTTTGGCACGCATGGCCACTTCGGCTGGGATTTTGCCTCTGGGGGTTTGGTCATCAATTCCGCCCTCCGCCGTGAATACTAAATCGCATTTGTCGAACAGATCGGCGATGTTGAAATATTGCATGATGGCTTCGTATCGTGGCCGCAGCGTCGCACCCAAGAGCATGAAGGCTGCCCCTAGCCCGCCGGATGCACCACTCCCAGGTGCATTTGATACTTCGACCCCGATGGATTGCTTGGCCACGAGGGCAAAAGTGTCCAACGATGCCGCTAACAATTCGGTCTGTTCTGGAGTGGCTCCCTTTTGAGGTCCGTATACGCGTGCCACGCCCAATGGTCCGCACAGGACATTTTTCCAGTTGCAGGCCACCTCGATGTCGACGGCCTGCAAGCCGGGATGCAACCCGCCAGCGTCGATCTTGGCAAGCGAGAGGAGAGATTGCCCACCGCTCGCTATGGGCAATTCTTTACCATCTCTATCGAGGAACCGTGCCCCCAGAGCTTGAAGCATGCCGACGCCTCCATCACTAACTCCAGAGTCACCGCACCCCACTATGATGCGCTCCACGCCGTCATCTAATGCCGCCGCTATCAGTTGTCCCACACCAAAGCTGGTCGTGACGCAGGGATTGCGACAGTCAAAAGGTACAAGGCTAAGTCCGGCAGCGGCAGCGATCTCAACCACTGCAGTCTTGAGGCCTTTGCCTCCTAGGACCCCGTAGAAAGACGGGATCGGTGTTCTGGCAGGACCCAGAATCTGGAGTGGGCAGATATGTCCTTCCGTTGCGGTAACAAGGGCATAGGCGAATCCCTCCCCGCCATCCGCCATAGGTACCTTCCGCACTGAGGTTGTGGGCATGGCACGCAAAATGCCATCCTGGATGCAGTCTGCGGCAGTATGCGGACTAATGCTACCTCTGAAGCCGGAAGGACAAACGAGTATTCTCATTGCGATAAACTTTGAATGACTCGGTGGATAATAGCAGTAAGAATAATCGAATTCGAGTGTCCAGTTTTGTTGAAAAGCACAGAAAGGCTAAACCAATAAACGTACGACCAGTAGATGATGAACAGAAAGTTGACATCCACGGGAGAGTGACGGTTTATATCACAGGCGACTCTTCCATAACGTGAATTCGCCAGTGTGCCTATAATACCTTCTCAATGACGTATATTCCAAAATGGGTAGCTTCAATAGACCTTACGAACACCAGGTTTGCTTCATCGGATTTCTCCCATGACGGCTCCCGGGGTACAATGAGGTCGCAGAAAGCACACTATACTGGTTGCATGATTAACCCTGAGAACTAGAGCACGGTTCTAAATTTAACTACGTGACTGCCTGATCTTTGATCGCGATCAGCCCATAGGGTTTTTCGGCTTGACCTTTGTCAAGACGTGGAGAACAGCGGTAGAATGTGCTAGATCCCTCGAATAGGTCGAGTAAGGCGGCACGCGAGTGAATTCTCTCGGGGATAACGTCACAGGGCTGGCTATCATCAGTTGCTGCCTGGGCTTGGCCGGCTAAGTCGAAATGATTGACAAGAGGAAGGGAAGTCTGCGAATCCGGAATATGCTAGGCGTTCGAATTTTAGGCAATTGGTTTTACGACATAAGCCCTGTAGGGCTCTGAAAAGGATAAAAATCCCCTGCTGAGACTTAAGATTTTGACGAGAAAATTTGATACGCGTGCTAGTTTCTCATGTTTAGTCGAAATTACATTTGCTATGGCTCCCATTTTTGAGCAGGACAACAAGCAAACCACATCTTTCTCGCCTAGAAGCAATGAGGGTGATATGGCCTCGAAATCGCCAAGTGACCCCAATCTTGTAAGAACTCAAATCATCCCACTGGGACTAGAGCTTACCTGGGCCAGGTTACCTGGAACGGTCCAGATGACCCCGATAATCCGCTGAATTGGAGTCGGGCCAACAAATGGACGGCGACTATCCTCGTCTCGTGTTTTACCTTCATCTCGCCAGTGTCTTCTACAATGGTGGCACCGGCACTCTCAACGATGGCAACCGAGTTCCATATCGGTTCCGGCATTGAGCAAAACCTACTCATGTCTATCTTTCTCCTTGCCTATGCTCTGGGTCCATTTATCATCGCACCCTTGTCTGAGATGTACGGGCGTGTGGTGGTATTACAGTCAGCGAATATGTTCTACCTTGTGTTCAACACCGTGTGTGGTTTTGCAACTTCCCGTGAGCAAATGCTTGCTTTTCGATTCTTGAGTGGATTCGGTGGCAGTGCACCGCAAGCGGTAGGGATACTTTGTCAACACGAGGTCATGTATTTACTGACTATCCCAGATCGGCGGGGGTGTCTTGAGCGATTGCTGGCACAAAGAGGAGCGGGGGGCAGCAACGGCACTTTACAGCGTGATGCCATTTTTAGGACCGGCAATCGGCCCAATCGGTATGTTGATCTAGAAATATCCCTGCGCCATGTCCGACGAGAACGGTAATGATCTGATTCCTCCCGTCCAGCGGGTGGCTACCTCACCCAATATCTATCATGGCGATGGATCTTCTGGATCGTCTCCATGGCAGATGCCACGATTCAGGTCCTCGCATTTCTTCTTCTGAGCGAGACCTATGCGCCTCGGATTCTGGCGATCCGAAAAGAGAGGCTGCAGCGCAGAACTGGCAATAGAAACCTGCATACGGAGTATGACAGCCCGGACCGCAGTTTTGGGCAGGTTCTGCGCAAGAATCTGGTCAGGCCGTTTATCATGCTTTTTACCCAGCCGGCTATCCAGGCTCTTGCCCTTTATCGGGGGTATCAGTACGGCCTGATGTACCTTGTGTAGGTGTTTACAGTTCTGCGTGTGGATCGCATATAGTCCTTACTGATCGGTTGCAGCCTTGCGTCTTTCCCGATGGTTTGGGAGGAAACGTATGAAGAGTCGAAAGGGACAGCGAGTTTGAACTATCTGTCTCTTGGTGTGGGATTTATCATTGGATTGCAGTTTTGCGGTCGGGTGCTTGACCGGGTACTGTTCCTTTTCCACCTTACTTGAATTTACAATCTAACAATAATCACCAGGTATACCTCCGTCTCAAGAAGCACTACAACCACGACGGTCGCCCCGAATTCCGCATCCCGCTGATGCTCCCTGGCGGACTCCTCGTCCCTATCGGCCTGTTCATCTACGGCTGGACTGCTGAATCCAGGACCCATTGGATAGTCCCTAACATTGGCGGAGCGATATTCGCCATCGGGCTTATCATCTCCTTCCAATGTGCGCAGACTTACGTGGTGGATGCCTACTCGAGGTACGCTGCCAGTGCGACCGGTGTGGCGGCATTTGTGCGCACGTTAGCGGGGTTTGCCTTTCCTTTGTTTGCGGACAGTCTGTATAGAAGGCTTGGTCTTGGGTGGGGGAATAGTTTGCTTGGGTTTGTGAGCCTGGGGTTGGGGATCGTTTCGCCCATCTTGCTGTGGTTTTATGGGGAGTGGTTGAGGGAGAAGAGTCCTTACTGCGCTGGATAAATCGGTTATCCTGGAAGGACACATGCAAGACAACGTGGGTGCCTCTTGTGTTTGAGTCTGAATAGCCCCTTGGTTTAGAACTAGCATGTCCTACCATATGGGTTCTTCTTTGTCATATAACTGACTAGATCTCTTTTCGACCGTGAAGCAATAATGATCTCATACTCCTGTTCTCCACTCAATTTCGCCAATTATAATCAATCAAACACCGTACGCAGGACCATGGTCTATCGGAAATATATTTAGAATCCGACTCCTGCACGCTATCCCTACAGGGTTCAGCAACGGGATGAAATTTAGTCGCATTGGCACGGCCGGGGCGAACAAATCAGGTATCAGAATATGCCGTGGCAGCCAGGCATCAGGATAATCAACTGCGAGGACGGGTGAGCCACTTGGACTGTCAATCGATATTTGGCTTCTATTCTTGGACGTCCTCGGGTCGGACTTGGCTGGTTTAGTTGATATGCCGATATCTTCGTCACATTAGGGTAGGTATGTCCACAATTGCTAAGATAGAACGTAAGTTGTCTACTGTACAACATACGAATAACATTCATGAAACAGACCGAATAAAGAGGCATGTTAAATAAAAAGTAGTCTCGTGCTCGTATAACCTTTTCCCGGTGTCTTTTACGGAGAATCCATAATGTCGGGCACAATAGGCCCTAGAGCCCTCTTAAAAACCGACCGAGAAGGAATGGCTTCTCTCTGCCTTGATCTACCGAATTTCTCTGCCGTAAGGCATATCCGAAATTCAAGTCCATGTAATATTTTGACTGAAGGCCAGAAAGAAACGAATCGGCTGTTAGACTCCGGGTTCCCGGGGGTATTTCGAGATATTGCTTTCCAGAGCCTCGCGTTCGGACGCCAATGTACAACCTAGGCGTTATGTTTCTGTTGCCTACTGCTTGCAATTACAAAAGCCTGAAAACTCGAAATGCTTCGGGCTTTGAGAATGTAGGGATCAAGGCGATTCCATCACAGCTTGGGCATAAATTACTGGGCCTTGAGTTGAAGATGGATGACCTCAATAGCAGGGATATCGTGAGCTTTCAATCAATTTAGGTGAATAGGAGATATGCAATCATAGCTACCCCACCTTTGCATTTACATCACAGCATAGGAAAAACCTCTAAAGGGAATAAAAACCTATACCAAGGCGATAGAGAGCCTATGATCGATATCTCTGGCAAAGACAGAAGGACAAGAAGAAGGATAGAGAGAAACAAAAGAAAAGGGAAAAGATCAACAAGAACGAAAAAGAGCAGCGGAAGAATTAACCAACAACAACAACTGCTAATACACCAGGATGAAGCATCGGAAAAACATCACCTATTCCAAACAAGTCCCGGGCTAGGAGGAAAGACAGAAGATCTACGAGTCACTTGCCATCGCCCGTTCTCGGAAGTCCGTAAACACCGTTTCGTTGATATTCACTGCAAACACCTCCCCATGTGCGCAATGGCTGGCACTGGTACCCGCGCCTTGCTTGCAGTAAAAGTACCGAGGCTCGTTAGACTCGAACGTGTAATCAAAAGGGTGCTGGTTGGGTAGGTTGTCCGGGTTTGCATTATTGAAGTCAGTGTCAATCAGGGCACCCGGCTTCTTCTGGCAAGGGTTGTCGAAGGTGGACTCGGTCAGGGTATGGTTGACCGCGAGGAAGTCAAAGTGCACACGACTACCTCGATCAACTTGCAACGTGGGAGGGTTGAAGCCACCTGTATTGCTTGGGCCTCCGACGATGACAGTTTGGATTGGATCTTTGGGGCCGGCAGCCACGACAGGACTGGGCATGGCTGAAGACGAAACGAAAAGAGCGAATGTGACAAGAAGGAAGAATTCCATCTTGGACAAGAAAGTTGATTGTATGGTTGTTATGAAGTGCAATGGTAGGATGTGGGCTGGTTGAAGACGATCTAAAATCAATAATCGGGGTCGAGTGTCACGCTTTTATACCATCTACGGCATTCTACATTCCGGAAGATTAATGCCTCAAGCAGAAGTTGTCGTCGCATTAGTTGCCTATCACGATTCTATATGGAGGTCTCGTGAAGCACTGTGACACAGGGCTCTAAGGCCTCCCTTGAATAGGCACCATGCCAGACATTATATTACGAGTCATCTCTCACAGCCAGCTGAATTGTCGCATATAGGCCTCTGATAAAGATTCACATATTGCCTGCCATCAGTCGTTCATGGTGGACGTTCCATGGATAAAAGGCCTCATCTCATGTAATACCTCCAAGATGCCTAAGATCCAAGTCTTCTATTCGCTGTCGCCGCTGTAAGCTTCCGAGGGCACTAAGGTGGACGCGAAAGGAATTCGCACTGTCATCGTAGGTGTTCGGCTTCGCCGGTAGAGGATGCTACCTGTGTAGTAGGAAGATGTAATGGTTACAATTCTGTAACAAAGATGCCTCTGTTGTTCGTAGTTGGGTTAAATCATAAATCTTATCGTGCAGCAAGGGTCATGATGCACCAATAACGTGGCCTGCATCTGTACACGAGATCTCTTCACCGTGTGTAACATGCCCCTGGGATCTTATATAATAGAATTATCATTGACGAGAACATGGTCAGCTGGTCAGTGAAATAAACCCCCATCATCGACGATCTCATTGGCCAACACGATCTTTCCTTCGTATGGATGAGATTTCTCCTTGGGTGGAGCTAATAGTCACACAGCAGTCCTGATATTGACTCATTAGATCTCGTATCCTGAATGCAAAGCCAAGTCACCAGCAGCCAGGGAAGTGGGTTACTCGTGAGCCATCCTGTCCTATGCTCAGCAAGGGCAAGAAGAGGGCACAATATGGTAGACTGTCATGGAGTCAAGGGAGATTCCCTGCATTCTGAGTCGAGTCTCGTCATCGCTGCTGTTACGTGGCTTGAGCATGGATATTGAAGGGGCAAATTGAAATTGAGAAGTAAGGGGTAGATTTTATAACCGAGTCACCGATATGGATCAGCGGGAGAGATCGGCTTCGTATAAGCTGCGAAGGCTTAATTATTATTCATGGAATGTGGCTCTGCCAATGAGACAGCTACTACTAAGGTAGTAGTAACTTTCACTCATGGTCGAAATGGGTCTTGTGAAATCAGCGAGGGCTATACTAATGGAAGGATATTTTGTTGGTGTTTCGGCCTAAATTGTGACGCTTCTATTTTAACACCTCCACCAAGGAATAATTTCTCTTTTCTACCATCTTATTCCAGGTGGAATTTGGACCAAAAGCGACCGGGAGAGAAAAAGCACAGGGAAGAAAGGGAAAGAAAAAAAACAAAAAAAAAAGAGAGAGAAGAAAAAAGAGTGCTTCGGGTGCGAATGGGGCGCCGTAGTTCGTGCCCGCGAGGAAAAAAGGGCGATCGGATGATATCACCAATTCTGCCTCAACATCCCCCCCGGACATATAAAAGATGATCCTTTTCCCGCGCTTCCATCTTTTTGAAATTGGCGACCAGCCATGGTGCCCTGCATGGCTCATTGCCTACATCCAGTCCTACCTGACACGCGTATGGAACTTGCACATCCCGCCATTCAGCAAGACCTCTCCCGCAGGAGTTGCTGCAGATATCATCATTGAAAATCTTCCGGATCCGTCCTCCTTCACATTCGTGGATCTCTGCTCTGGAGCAGGGGGACCATCTTCGACAATTGAGTCTATCTTACACGCTCAGTCCAAGGTCCAAGGAAAGCGCTCCCCTCGCTTTATTCTGACCGATCTCCATCCACACTTGACGGAATGGACAGCCGTTGCAAAGCGCCAAGAGAACGTGGACTACGTGTCGGAGTCTGTTGATGCGACAAAATGCAGAAGAATAGACCCTGGGAATAGAAAGGAATGTCGAATGTTTAATTTGTGCTTTCATCATTTCGACGATGAGCCTGCGAAGGCCGTGCTGCGTAGCGCGGTTGAGTCGGGGGATTCGTTCATGTATGTCTAAACCACCGCCACAGAGACTCCTATACTGATAATTGCAGAATCTTTGAGCTTGCGCAGCGGAATTTCACCTCCCTGCTGAACATCCCGGTCATGATCCTTTTCCCTTTCTTCCATACCATAACACGCTATTGGAAGTCTCCCTTGCATCTGTACTTTACTTATCTTGTTCCTCTACTATCGTTTGCTGTCTCGTTTGATGGCCTGATTTCTACGATGAGGTGTCGAACTCCTGAGGAGATTCAAACACTTCTACACCAGCCTGACCTAGATATCAGCGGGTGGGAGTTCAAGTCGGGGAGCAGGATGGTTTTCTGGCCTTTTGTGAATATTTATTGGTACGTCGGGGTTAAACGGTAGACTTGACTGGGGTATGTATCAATATTTGGCTAGTCTTCATGACTGTGTAGATTAATTTCTCCTAAAAGCTTTTGCAGTCCTCTCTCCGCTTCCCGCAAAACGTCAGTCCCGAGCATCTGTCTATATCGATATGACATGATGTAACTCCAATCTGTCTCCCTTGTCAGCCCAGATAAGCCCATTACCTTGTCTCTGAGCCATTGCACTATGCCGTCCTCCAGATGGAATATTGATCTGTTTCTCACTGCGCCGTTCACATTACGAGATGTGTATGGCTTTCGGATTTCTTCATATAGCTTAAGAACGTCGGGAATATCCGGAGTTCTGGTTCCTGCTGTTAGACTTCCTCTGCGGGACGCAACCGCACCTAGCAGCATTCCAAGTACGGCACCGTCTTCTACCGCCATAGCAGCTCCCTGGGCTTGGTACGGAAGGGTTGGATGACAGGCGTCGCCTAGGAGTGTGGTGTGGCCCTTTTATATCTGTTAATACGGGTGAAAATGGACTGGAAAAGTACCATTCATACGAACCTTTGACCATATGCTTAGTTCTGGGAGATGACACAGTTTCCATTTCAAGATCGACGGAACACAAGAAATCAGTCTTTGTAGACTAATAATTAAATTAATTCTCAGGCCGATATAGGTAGAGGACTCGGGAAAATTACGTCTCGTCCCAATCTCTATATCCGTAGCGAACCTCATCTAGATCGCCCTGCTGGGTACGCACCCCAGCCGGTAGATCGTCCGGCTGCAACAGAACAAGGTTGAACTCCGTCGCCCCTCGGATAGGGTAAAATACTGCATGATTCTTTGGTCCAAACCAGGCTGTCACTGCAGTTTTGGCACACAGTTCATTGATTTGTGGATCGACGAGGGCTTCCAGCTGAGCTCGGGAAAAAGTGGCTCGATATGCGAGATCTCCTGTGTCGATGGGAAGACAGGGTCGACTGAGGATTGCACTTCGTACTGATGACCAGAGGCCTTGAAAATGTCAGAACAAGAAAGGTGACGGGCACAAGCAATGAGATGTCGAACCGTCAGCCCCTATTACAACATCACTAAATAATTTTTCTCCTCCAGCTAGGACCACATGCGGACTCTCTAGTATCACGTCCTCAACCGCTGCATTCAAGCGAAGATCAACGCCGAGTGATCTTGCCTTATCTAGAATAATCATTTGGTAGTCCGCTCGGTGAATCATACTTGTAGAAACGTTAAAATCAAGAACCAGAACGGGGAAAAGGGGTCGTACATCCACGGCGCTCCGTATTCCCGAGTGACCGTTTCTCCACAGGGCATAGACGTGATTACACTTCCGTCTTTGTACCGTCGGATATCCATCGATTCTATAATGGCGCCTTTTTCCAGGACCCGCGGCAAAAGGCCCAGCTCTTTCATAATTCGAGAACCGTTGGGTGGGATTTGAATGCCCGCACCGACCTATCCATCCGTTACTCCCTCATCCATGGATTTGCTTGATTCATCGAGACCATAAAGACCAAATTAGCATACCGGTGATATTTCCACACTTCGCTCCAGAACGACAACTTCGATGTTTTCTCGGCGGCACGCGATGGCACACACCAGACCACCTAGGCCGGCACCGACGATAATGACTTTCATGGCCAATACTGTATAAAGTTGGCACTCATACAGCAGGGTGATTATCCAAGGGCATGGCTACAAAGACGCGTCATGGTGAGAAATGCAAAAGAACAGGAGGTGAAAACACGAGATTCCCCATGCAGGCTTAGTCATTCCCACGTGGCCTGATCCTGTGGATTGCCACACACACCGACAACGTACGATCATTTGTGGATGAGTAGTATATTCATTTCTTTCAAGCCATTCATTTTGGTTGTTCAAGATAAGTGCTTGTTTATAATTGCTTTTCTGTGCGCGGCTTCGCCATGAGCGAAATCGCGGAATGGTAATGCAAGTAAGTGCACTGCGAAGGTCCAAATGAGCGCAGTAGAGATGTACTTGCATCCAAGGGCCAAACAAAAATGCCCTGCTCGAATCTGCAGATATATTTGTCACTCTGTAGTAGATCCTGAGACAATGAGGGTTGTTTTCCGCATGTTCAATAGTAAGAGATGTACTGATTGAATCTCGTTGGAGTCTTTGTAGATTGGAAGTGGGAAGGCTTCATGGCCAGGAATTGAAAGCGGTGCTTGATAGCCAAAAGGCAAATGATTCCGAGATGACTGATGTGGTAGGCCCTGCAGACCGGTCATTGTTTGCCAGGAAATGAAGAGTGGGCTATAGAGAAATGGCTTGGCTTCATTTACTCACATTATCATGTTGTATTGAACTTTAGTGATTATTTCAAGTCACAATCGATGAGCTTCATATCCGTAGAGCAAGTTCCTCTACCCAACCGATTACATGCATCAGCCACGCATTAATCTTCATAAATCATAAACTGAGTCATGAACTCATTAGGGCCCATTCTTGTCGGGGTCAGAAACGGTCGGCAATTCCAGGTCAAGATCAGTAGACAGAAAGCCTAGGTTTTGGGCAAACGTTGTGGCATCGTCGTTGTCTCTGGCAGCATGTCAGTACGTGCTACTGAAAGGCAAAGAACCATATCATGAAGTAATTACCTTCGGGAAGGTATGAACGACAACATCTCGTCAAAAATGTCGTCAAATTGGTCAGAATCATTGAGCATCGCCTGGGAATATGCGGATGAGTTTAAGCCATTGTGCTGTCGGACCTCAGGCTGTTGAGTCAATATTTCAGTTGACATCGGTGAAAGAAGCATGTTGGACTCGCTTTCTGACCAGATAACCTCAGTTGACTTGCCAAATTGCGGATTCGTTTCGATATTAGGTTGGGACGGAGTGATCATCTCTGTCATAGGCTTGTCTAATTGAACTTTTTGGGGGTTCCCTGATGTCGCATTCTTGACGGTGCAATTCAAAGCTTCTAGGTTTCTTTTTAGTTGTACGTAGTCTGCTGAATCTCCGGGCTCCATTGTCTGTTGGGATATTTTCTGCAGGGTGCGCTCAGCCTGCAGCCCGAAGATGAGCAGTAAAGGGTTGTAGGGTAATATATGTGTTAATTGAAGATAACGAGCACCTATTTGGGAGATGGAGCGGACAGCCTGCTGAACCAATGGAATCCATTGTCGCTCAATATGTCGCATCTGTCGAAAAAGTATGAGAAATGTAAAGTTCCACGTAAGATGAAGAACTAAGATGGGGGGTGTACTGCGGTCATTTAACTGGTGCTGCCTTTTAACATTGGAGTACCAAATCTGCAAATCAGATGCGTGGTGACTGAGCACTTGAAGTTCCATTGGACTCTCCAAGATCATACTCAGTTTCTCTATGAGAAGTCTTATCATGTTGAAGCTGCTCAGCACGCGTAGAGGATGACGATTAGTGCGTGCAGCAGTTAATTCATCGTGCACCGGAGATGTCCACGGCTCCCACTCTTCCAGGGCATTCTCATCCACTTTAGGTAAGCCCCTAGAAGCCATGCGAGAGAGTAGAGGGACTTTCCCTTGTAGTGCAGAGATGATTGTATCAAGAACTAAGCAGCCTTGAAAGACATGTGGACGTCTATCATGTTTTGAAGACTCCTGTTCGACTGTTCCCATCAGCATGCGATAGGCTTGAGCTGCTAAGATCCCGGCAGAAGTAAATGCGGCTCGTTGGATTTCACATAGTGCCATGATCAGGGTTGCCTGGATGTGCCCAATGCCAAAGGATCGGTGAGTTGTCATTAAGCGCTCCCAGAGATGTGACTGGATTTGCCATGAGCTAGGACATCGTGAGACGATAGACACATCTGTTTCAGCTTGCGAGCTGAAGGTAATCATAGACCAAACACAGAGCCGATGTCCCTCGTCTAGAGAATTATCAGGGTGGACCGTGTCTTTTTCGTTGTCTTCGTATAGAGTGCGGAGGATGTCCCGACGTTCGACAATTGGGAACCAACATTGCGTGGCCTGGAAATAGCGGTCCACCAAGTCAGACACCCCATCTGGAAAGCCTTCAAGAAAATTCCAATTTTGGGGAGGTGGATTGTTAACCCCGACGGTCTCACTTTGCGCTGGTGGCTCAATTGTGGTGTCCTGCCTGGCCACCGGCTCCTCTTCTTCGTGGGATACCGATAGAGGGGGGAGACTAGATATCTGCTGCAGCTCTCCCTGATCAGATTCCGTGTCATTCGAGTTCAGCAAATGGTCCAAGTCCTTTGCTAGATCAGATCTACGCCATAGATCTGTTGTGTGATCTAGAAATTCGCCTTCGACAAAGCTGCAGCCGAGGTACTGATTGCGCAGGCGAGAACGAACCGACATTTCGCTTTGCGGCACATCTTGAATCATCAATCCCAGGAGGCTTTCCAATCCTCTGACGTATCCGGTCTGGAGTCCTCGCTTCTTCGCATTGCCATAGGCACACGGCTTGTCGAACAGCCTGCAGACGGAGCACACCGGCTGGGCCCCGTCGCACTTCGACTTGCGTTTACGGCAGTAGTCGCAAGCCTGGCTAATTCGTTGCCGTTTGGAGCGTCGTTCTGAGTCAGACATGAGAGATCAATCGGACATCTCATCCGATGGTTGGATTGTCGAGTCCACGGCATCTCCTGTGCGACCGGACACGCCTGCACGTGACCGCCTGAGGACTTTGCCGACCGTCGGAAGCCTTCCGACAGCCCTTTTTGCGTTGCCGATGGGATCGACAAGTCTTGCTTGCTTATGCTATGGTTTGCGCTCAAAAGTCACCGCTCGGCAGATGCCCCGATGGACCCCGAACTCGCCTTTAATCCTTCAGAAGAACCCCGTCCAGCAGTATGGCCTCTAAGTCGCAGGAGCCTGTGAAAAGCTCCGGAATGAGGGAGGCATCAACCAGCCCGGGCATTCCTACCGAGGAGTCCTGGTTGCAAGAAGTCCTCTCTCGGCGTGTTTACCATGGAAATGAAAGTATCATACTGGTTGGATTCTTCGGTGTTGGGAAACGAACCCTTGGCCTCATTGCTTCGGCAGCACTACGCCGTGAATTAGTCGACTTCGATGTCCTCTTTGAGCAGAAAACGGGTCTCGCGGCTCCAGAATATATCGCAGCCCACGGCACGCAGTCATATCGAGAACTCGAATACAAAATTACCATCGATACCCTCGAGCAGAAACGTTGCGACTGCGTCCTGGTGGGCTTTTTCAGGTTGGCTCGTAGCCGGGAGCATAAGTTGCTGAAAGAGCTGTCCAGGACCAATCCTGTCATCCACATCAAACGTGATCGTGCTGCCCTCTTGACTTCATGGGGGAATGAGGACGTGAAGTTCAATAAAGCTTATGATCTTAGCAATACACTCTACAGCAAGTGCACCAATTTTGACTTTTTCAACATAACGCAACCCGATCAAACCGGTTCCAAGGCGCCTCTGAAGTTGAAGCAAACGGAAAGAGACTTCGTGCGTTTCCTGAAAGCTGTCCTTGGCTCTTCCACGTCGCTCTTGCACTCAAGCGCTCCCCTTTCTCCCTCATACACACATTGCCTAGAAGTTCGGCTCAGCTGGCTGGAGGATTCCCAATCAGATCTTACTCAACTTGACTCGGGTGCGGATGCAGTCAGTTTGGTTGTTGATACCGATACAGGCGACCTTGAATTGCTCTCTTGTCGCATATGCAAGCAACTATGCTTCTTGCGAAGACTGACGAGAGCACCCATTATATTTGATATCCATAATGTTGCGACACCTCTCACCAGAAGTTACTGGGAGCTACTTGATATCGGCCTTCGTCAAGCACCTGATATAGTCACCGTGAGCTTAGATTATCCGGAGGAAATGATTGACCTTTTAAGAGCTGCAACCGTCCACACAAAAATTATCGGCTCGTCAAATGTTGCTACCTCGTGGTCACAAATCGACACATCAAACATGCAGACGCTATATCGACAAGCGGAAATAATCAAGTGCGATGCCATTCGAATTTCGTCTACTTTGACATCTACGGTGGAAGATTTCGAGTGCACACGATTCGCACACGCCACGAACAGATCATCCAAAATACCTTTGATCTGCTATGATAAGTTGAGGAAAACTTCCGTGTGCTTCAACCCTATCTTATCTCCAGTCACCATTTCCTCCCCATCTACCCCGGGCCTGACATTGCGGCAGGCGACAAAAGCTCTTTATTCGAGTTTTGTTCTTCCTCCTAAGCAGTTCACAATAGTTGGAAAAAGTGTCTCCTATAGCTTATCGCCGGCGATGCACAACGCGGCATACGAAGCGACCGGAATGCCCCATCTCTATGATTCCAGACTAATACCATCGATTTCTTCAATTCAGCAACTGTTGGATGAAGAAGACCGGGCTGGAATCGGAGTTTCACTTCCCTACAAGATGGAAATCATGCCATTACTTGATTCAACATCGCTTGATGCGCGCCACATTGGAGCGGTGAATACTGTTGTCATTGACAGAGAACTCAATGGAGAGTACCCTAGGGCCATTTTGAAGGGATATAACACAGACTATATCGGTGTCCGGAATTGCGTTGAAAGAAACCTGTCTCCCGCAAACTCAGCCACACCGGAATCTAGCGCTCTCATTATCGGAGCTGGTGGAATGGCTCGTGCTGCGGTCTATGCATGTCGTAAAGCAGGATTTCAAAATATCTGCATTTATAATCGAACAGTTCGGCACGCACATGACCTCGCAGCACATTACGACACATTCTCCGCGTCGGTGCCAGAAACCTCATTATCGTTGGTCATTCTAGAGTCATTAGAGAGCCCTTGGCCAGAACATCTCAACCAGCCAACCGTGGTTGTCTCCTGCATACCTGCAGATGGGATAACCCCAAACGAACCCATATCCTTTTCCATCCCGCATCAGTGGCTACGCAGTCGAACTGGTGGCGTTTTCATAGAGGTATCTCCCATTTTCAACCAAGCGACTGTTTCACTAGACGATCCTTGGATATAAATTGACAGTTCTAATCTAACCATCCTTACAGCTGGCCTATAAGCCTTTGAAGACCCCGTTTATGGAGCAGGTGCTACCAATGTCGTCGCGTGGCTGGATCGTTGTGGACGGCTTGGAAGTTCTTGTCGAGCAAGGTGTGGCTCAGTTTGAGATCTTCACGAAGCGACCTGCCCCGATACATGTCATGCGAGCGGCGGTACGAAAGAAATACTCAAAGACTGAGGCGGATGATATGGGTGATTTCAGCTTTTAACCCCCAGTTACTTCAGGTGGCGTAGCTTTTACCACTAAAGATTATACACTGCCCAGTCCATACGTACAATAGTCAAGTAGAACAGCTATCTCTTCACCGGCGCCGGGGAAGAACCCAGGTCAGCGTTATCCGGGGTCTGCAGAGGCCACCTTCGTCAATGGTCCATTGCGTGGGCGACATTTGGCTTAGAAATGGAATCAACACTAGAAATGACAGCAAGACAGAGAAAAAGTAGGAAGGACGCCCCTGGCCCCCCTGCCCCCACCGGTGACAGCAGCCACCAAACCATCGATGTGAATTTGACTGACCTCAGACAAGGTCAAAAGTGAATGACAACGGGATAGAACGGCTAGACACGGCATACCTACTATCTCAGCAACAACCGCCGTACTTCATATACAGCCGCAATATACTGCCTTTGCCCACACCATCAGCCTTGTGGCTTTGCTGACTTGCCTCTAGAGATAACGAACTTATCCCAGGGAAGATTAGCATACAACAAGTGCTTACTGTTTGACCCACGCTCCTGCAACCCACGGCACGATCCGCCCTATCAGCGACCTCACTAGTGCTTAGATGCATCTACAGTTCGTATTGAGTGTGGAGGGAAGTCAAAGCAACACATGGTTAAACCAGGCATATTACATCCGGGCTCCAATGATCCCTGGACACGAACCAACACATCAAAAAACCCGGCCCACACCGACGGCGTTAGGATTACATTCGGCAAGCACACCCGCATATGAATCTATACAAAATTTGTGCCGTGCTCGTGTCCCCGCAGGGAAAGATTGTCCGTACTCGTGGACTGTCGAGCACTGCCGTCAACAATGCCAGGGGATTTCTGTAAGGTGATTGAATCAGCATGCGTGTGCTGTGGAAGGCCAGACAGGGCAGACAGGCGCAGAACGTCTGGAATCCCGGCTCCAAGATGGACCAATTGGCCGTAGCGGCGCCGACTGTAAGATTGGCATGACACTTTAGCTTACAGGTGCTGTGATCGAGAGAGGCTTGGGGATAATGTACTTACAGGTGATATCAGTTTGGTTCTTATTCTGAACAAGAACCGCGAGGCGAACTGCAGCGAAAATGATAGATCTGCAAATGAAAAAGAACACAGTGAGAGCCTCGTCAGTTGGATTCAGCCAGACTGGCCTATATGAGGGAAGCAGCTGAAAACTCACAGGCCTCCGAGACTAAATATACCGGCAACAGCAATGCGACGCGATCGGGATATGTTCAGGTCCATGACAGCGGAAATCGGAAGACAGAGCACGGCGATGTCCAGGAAGATGTTGGTCGCTTGCATCCCAATAAAAATGTCCAGGTGAGGAATGCATTTGCCGGGCACGGTCGGGTCCCATGCCTTCCTCACGGGCATACATTGAAAGATAGAGAACAGAGTGATGAGGAGAAACCAGATGGTGGAGAGCACGCTGAGCACAATCAGCAGGATCTTAATGGTTCGCGTCGGGAACATGCGGCGATAGAACAGTAGGACTGAGACCTTCACGGCGGTGATTGCGCACCCGTAAAGCAGAAAGGTGGCCCATGCAATCTGCGACACATGTTAGAGCCATGTCAGTCTCAACAGCGGAGCTCAGTACCCGGAAGAAGGTGAAAATATCGTTGCGATCCACGGTATGGACATGGCGGCCAAAGCCATACCGAATGCCCGCCAGATAGCACGCTGAATCGGCAAGAATGAACACCTAGAACATGTCACCGATCAATGTCCTGCTCGAGAGTGTTCATATCAATAGAACGCACCACAGCTACTGCAATCCAGCAATCATCAGCCTTCCACTTCTGTCGGTTCATCTTTCTAGCCGTAAACCGGCCCGTCATGGACGCGATGGCCAGCACGCTGGCGAACACTGACACGGCGATAATCTTCGAAATATTGGCATCAACTCCGGCATTAGGGTCTTTACCGGTCTGGTGCTCCATGCTTAATGGTAGTGGGAGGATCAAGGTGAAGATGGCGACGGTTGTTCAGCAGCGATATGGCTTCTGCCAGTCCATTTATGTTGCCCTAGATCCTTTTGATGTCGTCCCTTTCGTATACGCCACCAGGCCTCCGCCCCTACGAATATATTAAAATCCTGGGGCTATCACTGTGGCCATCCCCTTCAGTTAACATGGCTAAACGTACGTCATATATTTCTAGGTCATCTGCCGTACAGTGACAATGGATGCGGCTTTGGACCTGCAGATACGATGTACCCCTGCGCTTTCTCGCGGTAAATGCCCACTTTCATCCATCCGGAATAGATTGCCCAGCCTAATAGCCAGCAGGTAAGATCGGGGGGAATACGAACGCATCGATCAATCCAAATATATCTCTTTGCGTATATTCATCTCCCCTCCAGTTCATAACCATGTTTTCTCTTTCCACCCTGGCCCCTAGAGAGCCTCGCCGTGCAAGTCAATAGACAAAAAGCCAAGCCTCCGCATTACCCTTGTCCTGCTTCCTGGGGACACTGTTCCACTGCAGCCTGTATGCCCCTTCTGCTGACAGGAGGATGACGTATGCAGGTCTAACTTCACCCGCCTCCGTGCCTGAGTCTTAGATAAAACCCTTTTCCTGGACTGGATTAGGCCAATATCATATTACTAAATCAGTGGATTATAATCTATGCGAATATTTCCTAAAGAATCTACGCTGTTGTAGAAAGGCAAGTATACTATAGACTAACTTATCTACATCTGGAGTCTAACGCAAGGACTGTGGCCATATTCGGCCCGGCCTCTCCGAGGATATAAACATAACCGACGGAATGAATAACACAAACCCACCCCGTCACCCGACAATGTATATAGAGCCAAGAGTCACCGTATACCCAAACTTGCGCTATAATGTGTCTTTCCTTCAGCATTGCCTAACAGCTACCTACAGTCTCATATAGAGATTGACCTCGAATCTCAACTCAACAAATCGAACTACTCATTGAACCATTCGATCCTACTCCAATGCATTATCATATATTTGGCCAGAATATTTCCCTCAGCAAATCACCCGTTATACACAACGCCGCATTCGCAGCACATCGCCTTCCGCATAGCTATGATATCCGAGACTGCGATGGCCTGGGCGAAATCGAACATCTGATCAAAGACAACGACTTCGGAGGTGCCAGTGTCACGATGCCGCACAAACTGAGCGTGGATCGCTACTGCGATCAGATCTCTGACGCCGCGGCCGCAATCGGCGCAATAAACACTCTGATTGCCCGCCAGAACGTGAACACAGGACAGCAATGCATATACGGTGATAATACCGACTGGTCTGGTCTGTTCAATATTGTGTCGAAGGACCAGCATTTGAGATCGGTGGACAGGCCCGTGGGACTGATCATTGGGGCTGGCGGCGCGGCCAGAGCAGGTATTTACGCTCTGGTCCAGGCAGGGATTCAGAAGATTTGGGTGTTGAATCGAACATTCGACAAAGCTCAAAAAGTGGCAGACGATTTCCAAAAGATTGCCAATGTTACTGCCGTTGCCAGTTCTGTTGAGATTTTGGAATCACCTGATGTCATTATTGGGACCATACCAGGGGAAGCCATGCCAGTTCATGCGTTTGTAGATCTATTCCAAAAGGAAAGAGGTCTATGCATCGAAATGTCTTATAAGCCACCCGTCACAAATTTTCTTTCGGCTGCCAGCACACATCCGGGGTGGGACAAAGCTGATGGACTGGAGGTGCTTTTGCAGCAGGCGTTCGATCAGTCGAGGTTATGGACCGGGAAAGAAGCACCGGAGGAAGTTATGAGAAAGGCCATGGATGATTCCTTTCCCGATTTTGGCAAGACGTCAAAGGATGGATATGGAACCGTTGGCAAGGTTCGCATCTAGTTTAAGACCGACTCTTTAGAATATAGATTTTGCAACGGGTAATTTTTCCATCCCCCAAATCTTCCTTGTTATATGCAATTGAATGTAGGGAGGAACCAAATGAATTGTCTTCAAAAATTGAGTCTAGAGATGCAGCTCCTCTCTCAACTTCCTCCAAGCCGCAATCCCCCGTTGAGCATGAGATTCTGGCACAGAAGGGTCAGGATCCGACATACTCCTTGAGAACAACTCCATGGACACCCATCCTTCGAATCCAAGGTCTTTCAAAATTGCACGAGCCACCTGAACAGCTGGAAGATAGCCACCCCTGTCCTGCTCATATAGGAACAACCTCGCATTCCGACTCCACGACATACGCGCTGGCTGTTCTTCCGCATAGAACGGGTGCCCTTCAACCAGCGGCGATTGCATCCTCTCGGCGTCCACGACCTGGACGTAAAATACCTTTTTGACGTCCACCGTATCAACTAGTCGTTTCATTGACGCCTCCAAATCGCCATCTGCGTTCGGCGTCTTCCCGGTGCTGCTGGCCGGATCAGCCCAGACTCTGCCGGCAATATTGAACGTATCCAGGCAGCAGCCGAAATTCGGACGATCGACCCGTCTGACAACTTCCCACATTGCATCCCAGCTGTCGATATATGTTCCCCATGCGAGATTCTCGTAGGCAAACCGGACTGGCGGGTTCTCCTTGAGACCTAGATCCGCGACCTCGATCATGTCCTGCACAATGACGTTCACGTCATCGCTGATTTCCGAAGGGGGGAGAAAGTTGGTTGGGATCTGGATGAGATTGGTTTGTAGAACTTTGACAATTTGAAACCAGAGTTTGAGCTTTTCGATCTTTCCGGCGTGGTCCTGTCGGCTTTTTAGACCCTCGTAGAAAAGGAACGGTTGGAGTCCGATGATGACCAGGCCGTGGGCGTCGCAAAGTTCCCTCGCCTCTTTGGCGGCGGCCAGGAGCGTTGTAGAATTGACCTCTCCATGGCTTTTTGCCGCGTATTCCAAGTCTTCGTAGAAAATCTCCAGTCCCTCGAAGCCGGCTTGTGCTGCTTGTGCTAATTTCTCGGGGAGCGCGTGGACCCAGGCGCGCCCGAGGGACATTGACGCAATTGCTGGACGGCAGAGCATTTTGGTTCAATAAACAGCGTAGGTTAATTACACTTCGTCGAGCATTTTAGACAGGCTTTCTTTCTATAATTATCCAGGGATAGAATAGGGTCGGATGTTGGGTCCGCGGAGCAATTCTTGTCCGATAGACTGACTGACATCACTAATCAGGGCTTGCCACTTCGACGTCACCAATTTCAGTCCACCGTCCAGGTATGATATCCAACAAATCTAAAAGTTGATTGCCGGGCTCTCTTCTGCTCTTTTCTGCAAAACCCTCCACGCCTCTTCCCGGGGAATCCGGGCGCCCTCGTTCTCTCCACACCACAGCCGGTACTGCTCGTCGATCTGATGTGCAATGATCCCCGTTCCTTCCACCGTTTTCCAGCCGTATTTCTCTCCTAATTTCAAAGTCCGTGTTCGTCGCGGCTTGAAACACATGTCCAGGAGAACTCCCCTTTCTGTGGCAGCCGATAAAATCTCAGTCAGGATGTTGCGAGCCTCAATCTCCGTGCTAGATTGGGGTTCGAAATCAGGGACCGTCCCGACAATGTAGAATGGCTTCGCGCCGAGAGCCTTGGTCTGCTGAACGGACTGGAGATGAATAATATGTAAATCTGCTCCATAGAGCTCGGTATCTCGTAACAGCGTAGCAACCTCTTCCTCCTCCCGATTGACGACGTATATCGGGTTACATCCGAGCTGGTCGTAAAGCGCATACACCGCTGCCCGGGATGCGCCCCCAGCACCGATGATCATCGCTGGCTTACCCGTTCCTTCTTCGGAGGACAAGGTTAAGCAGGCTTCGATGCCACGCCAGTCGGTATTTGCACCCCTGAGACTACCATCCATCGCTCTGTAGACGTTGTTGCATGCCCCGATTTTCAGGCACTGCTCGTCCACCCCGTCTAGGTGGTTCATGATGCTCGTCTTGTAGGGCATAGTGACGACACCTCCGGCAAAGGTAGGCTGACGGAATAGTTTCATTGCATCCTCGATAGTCGCGCATTCTTTGGCTATGAACCGCCAGTTGTGGCCCAGCGACTGGGCAATGAATTCGTGCATTGGCGGGGCGATGGAGTGCGTTACCCCAATCCCCACGAGGTATGCGAATGCGCGTTGGTCGGTCGTCGTCATATTGATTCAAATTGATTGGAACTTAGCGAAACGATGATTTGTTTTCATATACTTTACTTGGTGTTATATGAGTATTTCTCCTCTATAAATGTAGACCCGGCTGTCTTTCCGATCGGCTGTATTCTTAGCCGATCCCATGGGCACGCATTCCGATGATATGGAATTCCCTCGACCAGACCTACTAGATGGTTTATATGGCGGATTTCCTTCCCAAATCTAGCTTTACCCTTTGGCATTCCATGATAATAGTATTTCCAGCAGTCATTATTTCCTGTTGAACACTGCAACTAGATAACCTCGTCTCACCACAATGGTCGATTTACACTCCCTGCCAGCCGGCTCAAGACCCGAAAACGCAATCCGCAACAATGGACCCCATGACCTCGTCTTAGAGCGGTATAAACTTCGTGAACTCGCCGAAGGATGGCCTGCATATCGGTTTGTCGACACACATCATCAGAAATATACCCCACAATAACCAGATCCAGTGATGCCTGCGAATGGGAGAATCTCCGTTCGATCTTCCACCCTGACGCATACATCTACACGACTTGGACGGGCCGCACATTCTACCAGGACTTCATCGCTTCCTCGCAGAAGGGAATGGACAACGGTGCTTTTATCATGCATCGTGTACATGGCTCTACGACGGATATCACGCCCGACGGGACCCGCGCTGTCACGAAGATGAAGGCTACGATTACGCAGCGGTTCGTCATCGAGGGATGCGAGGTCGATGCGGAGGCGGACTGTCGGTTTTGCTTTTTTTGGGAGAAGATGTCTGAGTCGGGAGAATGGAGGGCCAGGTTTGTGAGGCACTGGTATGAGAAGGATAAGTTGATTCCAGCGAATCCGGGGAAGGTTCCTGTGCTGGACGAGGAGCTGTTAGAACAGTACCCAAGTGGGTATCGGTATCTTGCGTACTGTCAGGAGAAGACGATGGGGGTAAAGGTATTGTTGGATATGCCGGGGCCTCGGAGGGATGGTGACAGCATTAATGGGCAGAAGCATGACATGTTGTATTGGCAGTGCAAGAAGTGGTTGGATGGGGAGGTTGTGGAGATTTGAGTATAGCAGTTATGAGTAGAAGTGATGTACGGAGTACAGGAAAGAGAAAAATGTCAGCAAGTAGAAACATTGGCTAGATCCCAAATTCATCGCGATAGTGCAATTGCGGCGGCTTCCACCTCCCATCCTTTGCAAGAAAACAGTCCAGGAAAATAAGAGCCCAGAAGTTGAGGCGCGAGAGCCGTAGCTCGCCGAACTTATTGGGAGTACCTAGGCGATGTCGCCTGTCAAATGGCCCATTTCGCAGATCTTCCGTTTGAAATTCACCAAAGGGTGTATGAGCTGCGACCGGGTGATACTTGTGAGAGTATTGATGAAATGCATGAGGAGGTGTTGAAAGGGAAGAGCCTCGCAAAATACAACCCACGGCTGCAGCACGGCTGAAATTGAGAAAATCTCCATGTCAACACAGACACATCCCGCAAGGTCTACTATCTGGGGTACCAGGGCGGGTTTTCGGGACTACCGACAATGTGTCGAATCCGGTGTCTCTTGGCCAGATGGGCCGTGATTCTGTTCAGCTGGGGGGCTCTACGTCCAGGCAGAGTCGATTGATCGCTCATGAGTGAGACTTGTAATTGGGATATTTCCATGGAGGTAGATCCCTTGAATGCCGTCTTATACGAGAGTGTTACAGCGAATAATTGAATAAATTGATCGAGAAGACTTTCAGACTGAGGATTGAAATAGCCCAAAAAGGTTCTGTGTTCATAAAAACAGCCTATCGTCTAAATACCTGGTATTTGCCGACAGATCAATCGCTCGAATACAAATACAACATGCTGAAGAAGTCAAAAAAGGTACGAAAAGGGAAAAACAAAAATAGGGATATCCGTCGAATGGCGTCGACAACCATAGCCACATGACCTTAGCGAGATTTCTAAGGTCCAGTCCAAAATGCACCTGCATCCCTGGAATGTGGCAAGTTCATGCGTCCTACATCCGACACAGCCCGGCATTCTATCCAGTAAGCTGTCCTGGTGAGGGAGGGAAGTGTGCAATCCTCACACTTGTTGGCCATGGTAGAAAAGCCGGCTGCGAGGGGACTGCAAGGAGCCATAGTTTGGGCTATGTGCGTCTCGAGGGGGTAAAGTTCATTATGGCGATTCATAACTTCATAGGGAGATAGGTTCCCTCTCAAGACTCTCGAGGAATTCTTTCACCGCGCACCACGGCTGCTGCAGGGGGTTCCGGCATGGTGGATGCCTCGGCCTCGCCGTCTCTGTTTGACTCTGAGCTCACTCTGAGACCGGCATAGACAGTCTTGCACAGAGGACAGCAGGCTTGTCGCTTGGTCAGCCACATATCGATACAGGCAGGGTGGAAGATATGGCCACAGCTCAAAGGCCGGACCTCGTCGTTTGCGTCGAATTGGTCCACGCAGATGGCACACACGGAATATGAGTCGCTGTCCGGCGAAGGAGGTTCATTCTGGTGGGCGTCGTTTATCGTTGTTTGTTTGTTTGGGGGTTCTGGTTCGTCATTGTCGCGAGACGTGGTTCGCTCTAATTGTGCAGACGCTCGAGGAGCGCTCGCTTGGCTCGGAGTCTCGTGGGCGCTCTTCCAGGCACTATAGCCCACGGTGGGGAATCGACGATCCACATCTTCACTGCTCATCACCGGTCGGACTTTCTTGGGTCGCACGGCTTCAATGTCGGGTCGGCGAAATTGGGGGTAGAATTCCTCGAGTCCTGAACGACGGTGTCGGCGCCATAAACGTGTGCTGCGAACCAAGACCGTTAACCCGACTATTAGCACGCGACCACAAGAACTGGAGGTGAATCTGGGGAGGAGTTCTCGTACGCCCAAATAATCATCACGACCAGAGGCACCTGAATCAAGAAAAACAACGCCCACAGAGCCGGGTTCGCCATGGCTGCAATAGTCGGAAACCTGATCTTCTCGAAGCCGTCGAAGCATCGGGCGGCATTTCTCTTAAATAGTCGAGGAAGGCGAATCTCAGGCAGACGTGCAGTCGTAAATCCGGGGAGCTTGACCGTCGTCAGATTCACCGGCCCCGCACGCCGTGATAAACAAAAGGAGGCTGCATTCCGTGGCTCATGAGGTCATGGCGCATTTTAGTCCCGGTCGATTGCTCCAACCCCGTCGTCGCGTTGCCGTTGGATCCTCCCGAGCCAAGACGCTGAGCCACCTCACCTGTCAGCCAGAGTAATCGGGTTCGAGGGCTCCTGGACAGGGTCGACTGGTCGATATTTGGAATTTCCTGGCCCGGGAAAGCTTAACGTGCCACATGGGAGGCGTGTCGCAGCCTGGATCAGGCCGGTCTCTTGCTTACGGCGTTGATGCTGCGCCTTGGATAGGATTATGGGTCGATATGACACGACGATGGGGTAGAAACTGTCATCCAAGATTGGTTGCGTATTAGATAACGCGTCTGGTCCCAAAAATGCCCCTACAATTAATATGAATAGTGTATCTACTACTCCTTGTGACCTCCCAAAACCTCCCCGGCAGGTACCCTTTTTGGCCTTCATTATTCGAACTGTCTATCATCATCTGCATCAATTCGAAGTTCTGATGGTTACTCTCGGATGCCTTGCTGATCATCATATCCTTTGCTCATTCCCAGCCATGATATTGCGTTTCACATCAGTTTAAATGTATCCAACCTTAAGGAAAGTCTGGAACTCCCCATCCTTCAGCTCCTTGTCCTCTCCCAACCACCTGAGCAACCAGTAGGGAACCTTGAAGTGCGAGTCCGCCGGATAGCGCTTAATGGCCCACGAAGTGACATTCTCGGCGCCCACGAAGAGGCCGTCCTGCTGCTTTCCATCCACCACGTGGTGGTAGAAGTCCACCTTGATGCTCTCCTGGGCAGACAGTCCCCAGTCGAACATTCCAGTCGAGGAGCTGATGTTCGCCGTCTGGAACTCGCAGCCGTTGTCGCCGCTCACGCATGCGTCGATCACGGAGGGCGAGGCGTCGTCGCATAGAAGGGGGGTGATCGCTTGATCGCCGACGTATCCGATTCCCATCTATTACGGATCATGTCAGTTTGGCGAGGAAGATAGGAATTGGACTGGAAACGTACATGTCCTTTGTTGTCACCGGTGCCAACAGTCGTGTCGCGGAAGCCCTCAATGTTGCATGCTTTGTCGGTCGCGGTGGTATTCACGCATCCGTCGACGGTGAACATGAAGTATCCCGTGGTGCCGGTGTAGGGATAGTAGGAGTTGATGTTGTAGCATCCACCCTTGGCGACGACGGGCTGCACAGACGAGGCATAGGCAGCCCCGAGAACGGAGAAAGTCGTGAGAATGGCAGGGATCATTTTGACGGCCGGTATGCTTGGACGCTTGAATGATGAATGCAGTCATAAGCGTGGCTGTACCACTGAACTTATATTTCTTTCTCACGCGCACCTAGCTCAAATCCGAACTTTTCGATTCCAAATGTTTGCCCCTGGAACTCTTACCCACTCGGGCAAGCTTGACGCCGAACCAAACCTCATATGCCGCTAGCCCGTGGGGGCGACGCTCTAAATCTTCGGCTAGAGCGTGCCTAGTGCCTGTAAAGCGTGAGGGAGATCAGCAGGTTAATGGGGACTCCCGGGGATCGCCGAGCGAAGAAAGGTTTTTTCACTCTTAGGGAATGAGGTTGTTCAACAAAGTCAAAGCAACTTCGATTGATTAGGTCCACATCAGGACGAAGCAAAGATTTTTTCCGGCCCAGTCCACCCAGCAGATTCAATGCTCCCCGTAAGATTAGGGTTGCATCCGCCCCAGGCTTGTTAGTGCAGCCTTTGGTGCTCGTTCATTTTTGAGTCATCGGGAAGAAATCTATGCAGTTTCTGGAGCGACGAGGCTGGATTCTCGATTGCTACCCCGCAAAGCACTGCAGAATTCTCAGTAGTGCTTATTTGATTCGAGGAGCGGATTCTTGGTGCCGGGGATTCCGCGCGCTACAATATGCTACCTCGTATATCGCAACTGTTGCCCAATTAGGGCCCTTGTGTGTGGGCATCGGTATACCAGTTGATGCACCATTCAATATAGACATCGAATATGTATCATCGCTCTACTGACCGTTCGCTACTTCAACAGATTACTCCTCTGTGTCACACTAGAGCCAGCACTTGAGCAGAAGAATGAGATCTAATGTATCAAAATTCAGTTCCGTCTGTAGGTAGTAAACACTCTTACATACAAGCTTTTTTCCCAGGCTCAGGTACGGTTGTGCTCAATGCTGTTGCAGGATCCTCTCACTTCTCATCCTACCCCATCTCGTCCATCTCGTTGGGTACGCCACTGTCAAAGGCTATATAGAGACTTCGAATACCCTATCATCTCGAATGCAAACCCCTTGCCTCCTGCAACACACTCACCGACCAGGAACCTCGAATGTATCCGCAAATGGATCCCAATCCGGATCAGTATGCCTCTCATACTCCATCAGATTGGCGATTGTCGTGGCAGTTTCCTCGCCATATGCCCAGTCAAGAAAAGCAAAGGTGGCATCAACTCCAGCAGAAATCCCCGACGACGTCCAAACATTGCCGTCGACTGTCCAGCGCGCGCGTGGCTGCCAATCCACCTTCGGGCCGAGCGCCACCGTGCTGTTCCACGAAGCCTTGTTCGTCGTGGCGCGCTTCCCATCCAGAACCCCGGACTGTGCTGCCAATCGAGACCCGGTGCAGATGGTGATCAAGTACTTCACTTTTGGATACGTCTCTGCGATGAAGTCGATCGTGCGGTTCATATTCGGGGATCGGGTTCCTAGACCACCGGGGACAAAGAGGACGTCCATCTCGGGCGCATTGTCGAGAGTATGCGTTGGGACGATCCCCGGAAAGCCGGTGGAGTTGTGTGCGTTCATGTTGCTAGATCCTGGCTTTGTTGTCACTGTGTCGAGTGTTTCGGAGAGCAGGATCAGGTCCACCTTATGGTATGATGTGAGACGCTGGAGGGTCTCTAGGGGACCGAATACGTCCAAAAGCTCGAATGCCGGGAAAAGCAGCATTCCGTACTTCTGGGGAGGAGTTTTTGGGGGCTCCGGTAGCGGAGTTGGGGTTGTAGTCGCCGGTGAGTCTAGCGCCATCAATCAGTACACATCGCTCTGACAAGTAGGAAGAAGCCCTAACGCGATCCAAGGCCCATGGCGATGGAGGACAGGCAAAGCCCTAGGAGACTAGCTCGGAGATGAGCAAAGTTGGGGAGCATTGTCGTTCCTTCTGATGAGCTGAATGGAAACCAAAGCATAGAGAGTCATCCCTTCACGGGCATCGTCTCCATCTTTATACCCGTGAATAAAAGCCCCCAGGCACCGCCTCGATATCGGATCCCACACAAGTAACCCTGTCGATCGGCTTACCTCTGCCTTCTACAGTGTAGGACTGCAGTCGGAGATAACTCAGCTGTCCTGCCAAGAACTCCGAGGACGCCAGGATTCTCCGGTCAGGGATGATGATGCAACGGGCTAAATTATATTGCCTTTTGAGCTGATTTGCGAGAGTTTCAAGTTGTCTCTAATCGTGATTGCCCTTCCTTCGACTTTGTGGGTCCAATTTAGGCAAAACTGACATTCTCAATTCTTGATGTTGGATGAAATATATTTTCCCCGGAGAATCAACTGCAGAAGGTTTCGAGGCTGAACATGAACCCATTCTTGCCTCGCTACCGTAGAAATACCACACAAAGACACTCGGGCTCCCAATACAGCTTGACTTTGCTTGTATTATTGGTTTTCGAAATAGGTAACGTCGTCTGGAGGCCTGAGGCAGTCCAGCAGTCGGACATCAAAGCCAAGGCAGCGAGGCAGAAAATGGCCTGGTCGGGTTTAGCGCCGCCCGTTCGTGAGGCCACCCACGACAGCCTTGGCTCTTTCCTGTGCCTCGATCCCTCATTTCCATGTTGCCTATCTCTCTGAATGGCAGGGAGATGGACAGAGTACGCATGACGGTTTCACCATTTCTCAATGATTCCCTTCATGTCGCTTACCCTCTCCTGGATTTAGTCAGCTACCGATAAAACCCTCGGGCCGCCGGAAGGAATGTCATTCCAGCCCCTCTCAACCATCACGAGCCCATGCTTTTCATCTTTCTGACGGACCTGACGGGAGAACAGTGTTATAACCTAAGATGGCCGGTCCACAGTCTTCGCGTGTTGGAACGGTCCGTCGCGCCAAGGTACGTGCAGAAAAGGTCTGCCATCACGATATCGCTGATGCCCGTAGGCTTGCAATACATGCCGACGAAAGAAAACCAAATGTGACGGCAAACGGCCGATTTGTTCGTCATGCCACGCCTTTAATTTCTCATGCACTTTTCAGGATACCTTGAAGGAACCGAATCGGTCGAGCCGGTAATTGTCTGAGGCCCGCTTCTGCTCGGTGGCGCTAACGTGTCGCTAGTGCTTACGTTGCGGATTTAGAGCGACGCGTCCAGAGTATGGAGGAGCAATTGCAGCATCAGAGTCCATCAAGAACGCTGCATGAAAACCCAGTCAATCTGGATGACCAGTCGACCCCAGACCCAGGTTCTCCGACCCTGAGAGATGGATCTGAGATTGATTCGATCCGGGCAGGTAATCATACTTCTCGCGAGAGACGCCCTGACGACGCCGGCGACGAAGATGGCAGTACGGACTACGACAGTGGAATTGATCAAACATCCTACGTCATTAACGGTAGGGATGGCCGAATGCGATTTTTTGGTGAGCACGATCCCAGCCCCTCCCATATTCGATCGAATTTAAACGAAATTAACTCCGATAAAGGAGCCTCTTCAGGGCTCTCAGCGGCCGCGGCCCATGCGACAAGCCGGGCAACCGGACCGGGGGTGACAGCATGGCGCCCTGCCGTCAGAAAAGGCGCAACGCAATGGCAGTTGACTAGCTGGTTTCCTCGCGTTTTACAAGATGACTTCGAAAAACGTGCGTTTCAGCCACTCCCCAGCAAAAACATCACTACGCGGCTAGTGGATGAGTATTTCGCAGATCTCAACCAAGCCATCCCGTTATTTAACAAAGCATCGTTTATGATGTTATTGGAGAGGCAGTTTTCATGGAGTCCGGACGAAAGTCCTTCATGGTGGGCCTCACTGAATGTTGTCCTGGCATTCGCATACCGACAAAGAGCACAAACAACGGATGAAAGCGGCGAGAGCTGGCAGCTGTCTCTAGGGCACATAAAAAACGCGATGAATGTGGTAGTAGAGTTTTTCATGCGTGCTGCAGACCTTCTTACTGTACAGGCGATGCTAGGATTGGCAATCTATTTTCAAGGAACACCAAATCCTCAGTCCTTGTTCATGTTCGCGTCGGCAGCAATGCGTCTATCACAATCAATTGGTTTGCATCGGGGTTTCACCTTTGGACTGACTACACCTGAAGTCGAGGAAAGGAGACGGGCATTCTGGGTTGCCTTCGTTCTAGACGCAGATATCTCCCTCCGAGTCGGTCGTCCGCCGGTCCAAGACGAGCATGATTACGACACGCCGCTGCCGGCCGAGAGTCCTGTTGATGGTAAAGGAATCTTGACACTGGAGGAGGCTGAAATTAACTTCTTTCGTCTGCTATCGCAGCTTTCTTTAATACAGCGGCGCATGTATCAACACCTCTACGCCGCGTCGGTCCAACAGCAGCCAAGAGCGAGCCTCCTGAAAGAAGTAAAGGGATGTGAAGATGCCCTGGTGGAGTGGAAGCAGTCTCTTCCCATAACCTTTGAGTCCTATTCAACCTCCTCTCAAATCTCGGCCTCTCAGCATATTCTGCGCCTCAAGTTTGCCTATTACTGCTGCTATGCGAATCTATACCGAGTGTGCTTGCTTGCGGGACAGAGCCGGTCACGACTCCGGAAAAAAGGCCAATGATAGAGACGGAGATTGCACAAACTGTTGTCGCGTCGCTTGATTCGGCACGTTCAGCGGTTAAGCTAATCAAGCAGGCCAGAGTCTTCGAGTCTTCATACCAATGGTGCGTTATGGTAGTCTTGTGACAAGCGGGGGGTAAGCCAGTTGACACCATGTAGGAACGTCCTTTACTTTCCAGCTGCAGCTTCAGGAACGTTAGCACTTGGGATATTCATGACGCCGGGCCATGAAACAGCTAGCCATGATCTTTCGCTGATTTGCGAGACAATAGACTATCTCTCTGAGATCTCCACCCAGGAGCCTGGGACTTATGTTGATCATGTCCTCAGCGTATGCGCTGAGTTTAAAGCTGCTAGCAAAAGAGCACTCGAGCATCGACCAAGGAGCACGCATCAGCGACTAGGAAATGCACATCCGATGGATGCTGAAAAAGTGTCGAATGTATCCATGTCTCGAGCTTTTATGAATGAGGAAGGCATGGATGCTGCTCCATCTACAGAGCCAATCACTTCTTCAGAGAGTCTGAACAGCGGCACAACTCACATGGAGCCATTGAATAGCGACCTTGCACTTTTTGACGTGGCATCTGATCCAGTGATGAACTGGCAATGGTCGATTCCTCCATTTTGGAATTGGCAAGACATGATGAGTGGAGCACCAGGTCCCGGAATGGGAAACGAGAATTCACCAGATTTCCACGACCAATCATTGGGTGTCTAGAGTTCTATCCTTTGTGTACAGATATGTTATATTTACAAATGCTGACCCACAACATTTGGCCATCACTGGCCGCTCAACAATCGCGCCCCGTTAATCAATGCCAGCTTATGTTCCGGTCGTGGTAGCAGTTGGGTACAGCTGGAGTGGTCCATGTAGGTGTCGCTTTGGCATCACCAAGTTTGACAACGGGCCTCAGAAGAGTCTGACGCCCCCAAGGTGTCTTTTCAAAAGTCATCATTAGTGGGGAGTCATCGTCCAGACAACCCGGGAGTCCTTTCTTCCACCCATCGATGACCTGGATCATGATCTCGGAAACGAATTGATCCGGCTTAATCGGGAGAAAACCGAATTTCTCGTTCGTTTGCTGGACAACATCTAGAGGATAAAGACCAACTTCCTTCTCCAGTGCAATCAAATCCGCAGCAACTAGGGAGCTAGTAGCATGATACGATCCGCCGTTAACTGCACGCTCCTTAACTGCCAGCATGGCGGCAAGAGCACCCACGAGACCGGTGGTCATATCAGAGATTGGAAGCGGTGGCAGCACACACTCATTGTTTGCACAGCCTTGCGACCTTCCCATAATGTAAGAACTGCCCGACGCAGCATCGCCGATCTGCTGCCAACCAGGGCGCTCGGCAAACGGACCGTCCGGGCCATACGCGTTTTCATCCACGTAAATGATGCCTTTGTTTCTCTTCGCTGCAAGCTTCAGCATACTAAGAAGCCCGAGGCCCTTTCTCTCGAGCGAGCCATAGCGGAAACCCTGAACAAAAATATCCACATCAGCCAGGAGCTCATGGAGGCGATCCATATCTTCCTGCTTTCCGATGTCTAAATCGATTGTTCGTTTACCGGCATTTAGAACCAGCTGCAAGACCTGAGATGGGGTTAGCCTTGGCTACGAATACTGAAACTGAACACAAACTTACATTAAGATCTGCTAGTCTGCTGCAGTTTACCCTGATGACATCGGCGCCAAAAGAAGCAAGAGTTGTGCCAATCGTCGGTCCTGCAATGATGCGGACCATCTCCAGAGCTTTAATGCCAGCCAGTGGTCTCCGATCGTCAACGACCCTCGGCAACTCGACTGCTGGCGTAGGACAAGCGTACGACTCCTGAGTCAAATTCACCAGGGGATGCTTTCCCAACTGCCTCCCAAACTCGGTCTTCCTCCACGCATCCGGCGTATAGCAGATACTTCCACAGAGACCGTGTCGTACGTTGTGCATCTCAAGCTCGTCAGGACTCCACCCACGCACATGCTTCTGGATATAGTCATAGTATTCTCTCGGCGTATCAAAGGTGACTGAACTGTCGATTCCCATAGACTCGAGCGTCTGCTTGGCATCTAATGACCCGTGAAGCTGGTACCACACCTTCGGATCCTTAGTCTGATAGATTGCTGTCGTTCGTCCCGCGATACCCTTTCCAAAGCCTTGTTCAAAGTCACGATCGAAAAGAGAGCTCATTTGTCCGGACCGTGCACGAGTGGAGATATCGGACCCGTTGATAGATGTGGCGAATGTCGCTCCGAGCCAAATCCCGGCGTGGTCGGTGTTAACGGTCACATTGCTCTCATTCAGCGGCTTTCCGTCGCGCAGCTCAAGCAATTCGTTGGCGACGATACCACACATCGCATGCAATGCAGCAGCCACAACGGGGGCTTTGATCGGTCCGGGGATCATCGGTTCCGGGTGTCCCTCGAAGTTAACCGTGTTCCATGCCGACTTGGCTTGGGTGAAGAAGGGTGTCTGGGCTGCGAGATATTCGAAGACTCGGTGCGCATCTTGAGGGACGGGGAGAACAATTTTGTCGATGAAAGTACCGGGGCCGTAGACGTCGGTGCCATCCATGGTTTCGTGGGAGGGAGCCATAGTTCCTATTTCGTTTCGTGAGGGTAGGGTGTGTTAGACAACCAACTGCCCTGACTGAGGTGGTGGTCTAATTTATTTACCACAGGATTTTACACAATAGCCAGGATTTCAAACAGGCTGAATAGATTTGAAAAGAAACGCAAAGGAGCGATGGGGCACAATGCCCAAGTTCTGAAACTCCACGGCGCCGTGGAACTTTCGTCCCCGAGGCCCACGGGAAAACCGGCCCACGGCAACAATCGCGGATCATCACCACAACAGTGGACCCAGTGAAGTGAGAATTTTAGTGGGTGTAGATCCTCCACGGCCATTGGAGGAATGTGGGGTATCTTCTGAGCTGTTTATAATGTCCTAGGTCCTGCGCTATATCTCATCCAGTCTGCATTACCCAACGATAGGTCTACATTTCGGACGACGAGAACAAGATGGCGTATGCTATACTCAAACGCCCGGTGAGAGTAGCCAATTGCTCGGGATACCATGGTGAGTTAATTGTCATATTGTTCAAACCCATTTGCTAACGAGTGAATTGGATAGGCGACCCGGCGTATGAAATGTATCGACAGGCGACTTTGGGAGATGTGGACTTCATCACTGGGGATTATCTGGCTGGTACCTTCATCCCTCATTCCTTTTAATCTATCTGCCTCGCATATTAATTCAGATAGAGGTGAACATGGCAAACAATGCACAAGCCTGGAGGGCTGGGAAACATCCCGGTTATGAAGAGACTGCGTGGGATGGTCTTCAGCAGACGATCGACGTGATTGCAGCAAAAGGCATCAAGGTTGTGATCAACGGAGGCGCCCTAGACCCGAAGGCTTTGGCTCTGAGGGTGCAAAATCTGGTCTGTTGTTTCTCTAGAAACTAACTAGTCAATTCTTAACGCTGTTGCAGGTCTCGGAAAAGCAATTAAGCCTCCGCGTGGCATACCTTGCAGGCGATGACCTGTATGACCGTGTCGGACCAAACATGCCTACGACGAAGGATGGTCTCCTCCATCTTGATTCTGGGAATCCCTCCGTGGTCCCACAAGACCTGACATTCGCATTTCTACACAACTCCGAGTCAACTCCCGTCCCTATGGTATCCGCACACGCATACCTCGGAGCCCGTGGAATCGTGGACGGTCTCCAGCGTGGCGCCGATATCATCGTTTGCGGGCGTGTTGCTGACGCCAGTCCGGTCATTGCTGCTGCTTGGTTCTGGTACGATTGGACAGAAACAGACTATAACCGGCTCGCGGGCGCCCTGATAGCGGGACATCTTATCGAGTGCTCAGCGTATGTGACTGGGGGCAATTTTGCAGGTTTCGATCAGTGCCCCCTGGATGACCTTATAGCTCCTGGATTCCCGATAGCGGAGATTGAAGCGGACGGGTCTTGCATTATCACAAAGCATCCGGGGACGCAGGGGATGGTGAATTCCGATACCGTCCGGTGTCAGCTCCTGTATGAGCTACAGGGGAATGTCTATTTGAATAGCGATGTAAGTGCACATATTGGAGATATAGTGGTTGAGGAGGTAGGTACAGATCGGTACGTTTGACCATCGGATGCGATTGTTGGAACGTTGACTGACGATACCAGGGTGCGTGTATCTGGCATCACCGGCTCTCCTCCACCTCCTACTACGAAGCTCGCGGTTTTCTATCATGGGGGATATGAAGCCGAGTTGCTGCTCAATGCCACTGGCTATGCTACTTCCAAGAAGTGGGATCTGCTGGAGCGGCAGATCCGTCATTTCATACCGCAGGATGTACAAAAGGAGCTTGAAACGCTTGAATTTCAGAGGTTTTGCGTTCCTATCCGTAAGCGTTGCAATGGGTCATTGTGCTAATCGGAAACTGTTAGAATTGGTGTCCCAGCAGAGAACCCCATCTCTCAAACGCAAAGCACCACCTATCTGCGAATCTTCATGGCCTCTCGCTTAGAAGGCGCCATAGCTGCAGTATCCAAGGCCATGAAAGACATTTCCTTAAAGCACTTTTCCGGTATCAACAGCACCTGCTCCCCAATTACCGATGCATGGACATGCCTCCGCTAATGAGACCAGGTTTTCACGCTACTCTGGACACTCGTACCGCAGTCCCACGCTCATTCCTGGCATACTACCCTGCTCTTATCAAGCAATGTGATATGACCGAGTCGATTAATTTCGTTGAGCTCGACAAAATAACGTCGTTTGACACCGGTCATCCTCCGCACTATGAGCATCTTCCTCAAAGAGAAAGCTACGACCCCGAACCCTCCGAACCAGTCACCGGATCTACCAAATCCCTTCCCCTTGGCGACATCACTCTTGCACGCTCAGGCGACAAAGGCGGCAACCTCAATTTCGGCATCTTCCCTAAGGACCAAAAGCACTGGTCATGGTTACGCTCGTACATGACTACTGATAGGATGAAAGGCCTTCTTGGTCACGATTGGCGAGACGAGTTTTATATCGAGCGTGTTGAGTTCTCACGGATATGTGCCGTGCACTTTGTGATCTATAGGATACTGGGAAGGGGAGTTAGTAGTTCCAGTCGGTTGGATGGGTTTGGAAAGGGATTTGCGGATTATATTCGGGATAAAGCCGTCCAGGTTCCTGTTGGTTTGCTGTAGAGAGATTGTTGTAATTTGAACTCTTTATTTTATTGATATCAAACAGTGACATTCAATAGTGGCAAGTATCAGGTAAAAATTGGAAAACGTAATATAGACACCTACACATACATTTCGGCTCTTCGGTGACAATGAGTGAGAGCCAGGATGGACGGGCAAAAAAAAAGAAATATAAAAAAAGAAAAGAAAAGAAAAAGAAAGCACAAAATCGCAAGACCACAATATACATAAAAGGAGGCATAGGAAATTATTCAGCTACGACCAAGACACAAACGGCGCTTGGACACATCCTTTGTTGTCAGATATACACTCAGGCAACTCAAGAAGGGCTACCATCCCAGCGGTATTAATGCACTGTTTTGCAGGGCTCTTCACCTCATAAGGGAAGGTACCACACCCGAGATCAACGGACCCCTTGCGTGCATTGATATTCTGATGTCCTGCAGTTTGTTCGCCTAGTCAGGTTGAAAACCAGTTAGTATATAGATCTTAGGGAAACCATAATCTCAAATCGCAAAGCCACAAGGACTATTGCTGAGGAGCCTATATGTTTCAGAGCAGAAAAGGGAGCAAATCCAGGCCTTTTGACATCCTTGGAAGCCCAGGGCTTCGCGATATTTGTCATAATTATTGGGGTTTGCCGGCTATGTCCGCCATTCATATCGACAAGCTAGGCCGGGTTGCTAAATGCGTCCATTTGGGAGCAGAAAGACTCATGAATGCCCTGGAAAGCAGTAGCGGGTAGCTCTTAGATACGAGGGCTTTCAGAGGCTATGGTTGAGGCTAAGCGGGAACTGCGCGGCTCCCGGGACAGGAATTCGAGCGAAGAGGGACCTGGAGGTTCTTCGTTGCGGCCGAGAACCAATGCTAGGAGTGTCACCAAATCACGCAAAGAAAAAGGAAAAAGCAAATTCCAGAAACTCGCATTAGATTTGTTCTTCTCTATTCGGCCAAGGAACATAGTTTCAGTCTACACAGCCAACAGAGAGATAATTTCTTTATCGCCTCTTTCTTCCGCCAATTGCGCCGCGGTCTGACCATAGTATTCCATCGACGGATCCGCTCCATACTCCAGCAAACAAGGGATGACTTCTTTTCTGCCCAGATCAGCGGCAAGGTAGAGCGGGGGACCTCTAGAAGTTGATCCATTGGGGTCTACCCCGTGCTCGAGGAGAAACCTTGCCGCGCCAAGTGCTCCTTCTTTCCGTTTTATTGCACTGAACATAAGATCTGTGTTAGCAGGAAACCTCGCTCCGTATCAGACAAGCAGCTCCATAGCCTCCACAGGCCCATGGCCAATAGCTGTTGACAAGGGCATAAAGCCTCGCCTTCCTAAGATTTGGGCCGGCGCCATGCTCCAAGAGGAGGCGCGTGCATTCTTTGCTCCGGACCACTAGCCTGTATCGACTGTCAGAGTCGAGTGCCTTTTGCTTAAGAATGATTCATAGTACCTCAGGGCGGGGCTGTTCGAGCCGACTGAATTGACATCCTAGCCACGGTCAAGTAGGTGCTGCAGGATTGGCACACTGAGGGAGTAGGTAGCACCGTGAACCGCGAATTCAGTGATTTCGGCGCCGTGATCAAGCAGCTGCTTCGCAATCTCGAGGTGATTAGAGTACGTAGCTGCGCCGAGGGCCTTGTTCAAATCCGCCTGGGCGAGGCCATTGCGTGACTCCAGAATCTCCCGCACTTGATCCGGGTTACCATCGATGCAGGCTTGTCTCAAGTTTTTTTCAGAGCCCATGTTCTAAGCTGTGGCTATTACTCCGTATTTATGGGCAGCGGCATACTTTGGAAAGGATATCAAGGAGCAGTTGTGGTGATGGACAGGAAGAAAGATGTGGTCTGAAGCGGAGATGCTGAGACCAAGAAGGGACCTCTTGGCACAGGGCAATGCAAGAAAGTCTTGTGTTTAAGGGTTATATTCGTAGGTTAATAGTTGCTCGAATAGTCGTGTTGGCCCAAAAATGAGTCATATTCCCTTTCAAGGTATTGTCTTTGGATGGTGTTGATGAATTCTATTGCCAATCAGCCAAGATAGTGGCTGCGAGCGCCAAGTGGTGAATACGACAACAGAGATGGGATATGAACCTATTCGACTAGTCAAATGCTATCATGACAAATGTTTGATTTGAAATCCAATTTTGAGTCACATATGCCAGACATGGCTCACTTGTTCAAGAGACTCAACGTGTATAAAATGTTTGATCTGCTCTGAGCTGAACCTTCCTGGCAAGCTCAACCACTCGGTCATTATCAAATCGACAAAACCAATAAAACCACCAAACACAATGTCTCGTTCTATCAGCATCCTCGGTCTTGGGGCAATGGGAACAGCCCTTGCCTCCCAGTTCCTCGCTCAAAACTACAAGACAATAGTCTGGAACCGTTCGCCTGCCAAGGCAGTTTGTCTCGCCGAACAGGGCGCCCGGGCAGCATCCACCGTCCTCGAGGCGCTCGCTGCCAGCGACATGATCATCATATGTCTTCTGGACAATAAAGCTGTCGAGGAAACACTCACTCCGTCGTTCGCTTCATTGTCGGGTAAAACGGGTAAAACCATCATCATTAACCTGACGAACGGCACGCCAAACCAAGCCCGCAAACTGTCCACCCTGATCACCGACCAGGGCGCGCAGTATATCCATGGCGGTATCATGGCCGTGCCCGTCATGGTCGGTACTCCGCATGCCATTCTGCTCTACAGCGGAGCGTCAGAGGAGATTTTCCGGCCCCTCGAGAGCGATCTGTCGCATCTCGGAGTCGTCAAGTACTTTGGTCCAGACGCAGGGTCAGCATCGCTCCATGACCTAGCCCTGCTATCGGGCATGTACGGCTTATTCTCCGGGTTCTTTCATGCAACAGCGCTCGCCAAATCTCAAGGCACTGCTGCGACGGACTTCATGTCTATTCTCACCCCGTGGCTGACCGCCATGACACAGTATCTTGGGGTCCTTGCCAAGCAGATTGACGACGAGGACTTTGCAACAAGGGGTTCAAATCTGGAAATGCAACTGGCTGCGGTACCGAATATTTTGACGGCGGGAGATGATCAAGGCGTTTCGTCGGCAATGATTCTTCCTATCGTTCAGTTGTTGGAAAAGGCTGTGCGTGATGGATATGGAGGGGATGATCTTTCTCGTCTGATTGAATATTTCAAGCTAGAGTAGGTACCTAGGTAGAGCATTTGAATGATCAATTACGGTGACGACGCGTCATTCGAGTATATCAGTACGTGTCTGTTTCCTACCCGAGATTTACTTCTGCGGTGTTCTGCAAGCCACTGTAATAATTGGAAGCGTATTGCTAATAAAGAAAATGGTCCTCTGCCTTCACATGTCACATGTTGTACGACTGAAGGAAATGATAGCACCTGTCCCCGAGAATGCGTTAGCAATGAACCATGGTCCCTTTGCTCCTCGGTCACTACGTACGAATTGTATCGCAATGCCTATGACATTAAGTGTCCTGCCATTTTCATATGATTGAACGGGTCATCCTCTTCACTCCCCCATCTCAGGGCTGGCTACATATCCCAACTGCATGTACAGCAGACCATGACAGACCGTTCCATGGTTGCGGCCTGGAATTACTGGCTCTGGTTGGGACAGTGACACTGCCCTGAGGAATACGAGGAGCGGGTGACCGCCTTATTGGGTTTGTTCCAGCAAACCAAGAATAGAAAATGTCATGGTTTTCGGAGTTACGTACGCAAAAAGACCGACCAGGCAGACGGGCCCGGTGGAGAAGGAGTCTCAACGTTTTATATATAGTTCCTCCGCATTCCGCAGGACGTGTCCTTGCACAAGCAGTGAGGATAAATTATGGATAATTCTGGACTATGCAGGATCCGACGCGCAATGGTTCCAGGGTATTTATGTAGGTCTCGAATGGGTCCACATGGAAATAGAGACAGCGTGAAAGCATACAGTCATGTCATCGGTCATCGGGCAAAAGGGGGGTCCCTGATCAGTAATCCGAAATAAAAAATTCGACCCGGAATTAATGATTAGTGATCGTGCCGTGCCGAGGCTGTTCTGAAGTGGTCTAGCGGCGGTGTTATGCATGCATATCTGCTGGATAGATGACTAAGGCGACATAAGATAAGGTTGGCGCGGCCGGGGATAGCCCGAAGCGTTAACGCCGGCCGTTGTGGCGTGAATCCATTATTCTGCGGCGTTGAGCTGCTCTTCCCAGCTTTTCGTTCGTATCCCACTACATCTATCTGTCCTTCTTGCTATGCTCGACCTTCGCATCTCTTGATCCTCGCTCACATGAATCCAAATACCTCCCTCGTCGCTATGGATGGCCCCATGTCGCTGCAGCAGTACGACGGGGCCGACCCCGATGGCCCACTGCTGCCCTGGGATGAGGTTTACCAGAAGCTGCTGCTGTCTCCGCGCAATCGTCCGTCGATTGTGGATGGTCCGCTCAATACCACTAATTTGAATTCGTTGCTATCGGCCTCTTCCTATCCCGTTCCTGAATCCTTCTACCCGCCGGGACAGCGCGTCCCCGATCCGTATGCGCAAGTCCCGTTATACGGCGGCTACAACCTCGACGGCCCGCCTCGACAAGCAGCCCTTGCTCGCGATATCCCCAGGATCAAACGCATTCCTTCCGATCCGACGCCTCCTCCGGAACCGACCGAACCGCCAAAGAAGCCCAAACGCCAGCGTACCAATGCCACTGCGACCGAGGCCTCGGCGCGAAAACGCGGTCGACCGCGCAAGAACTTGGAGGGCCAGTTGGGCGAGGACCCAGAAGAGGTGTGTTGGTTTGCATTCTCTGGATTTGCCTCTTCATCTACTGACGGGGGACCAGCGACGTCGCATGCAAATTCGTCTAGCCCAGCGCGCCTACAGATCCCGCAAAGAAGCCAACATTTCCTCCCTCAAAGGTCGCATCGCGCAGTTGGAATCGGCCGTGGAGAAAATGAGCACCACGGTGATCTCATTCAGTGACAAGCTCGTTCAGTCCGGGGTGCTGGCTTCGCATGCCGATCTGACCGGTCATTTGCGTGAGACGGTTCAGACTTGTCTGGATTTGGCCAAGGAGACGAGCGAGGAGCAGGATCTTTCCGAACTATCGCCGGACAGCGGAAAATCTCAATCTTCACCGGACAAGGCCAATGGCCCATCGGTGCCCCCGGAACTCGTGTCGAATCCCATATCTCCCGCCATCTCGGAGGTGAAGGATTATGTGTGCTCGCCGCATTCCAGCTCCGATCGTTCGTCGCCGTCGGAGAACATCGTCGTATCTCATATGGAACTGTCCGCTTTCATGGAACGTTTGCACATGGCATGTCTGTATCAGGCTTATCTTGTACTCGCGAACCCCTCGGTTTCCATGGATCGCCTGAAACGGCCATTCCGATTGCTGTTCACTGTCATCGACCGAACACGCATGGTGGCATTCTTCCAGGCCGCGCTGCATGCCAAGGTAGGCCAGAGTCGATTGGACGAGTGGAGAGAAGTTCCATTCTTCTACCTCGGCGGTGCAGGATCGCACTACCCTCGATCCCCTTCCAGGGATACGTCTCTAGAGCTGCATCCACTTCGCTATAACCGGTGGGAGACCGTCCAGAATCCTCTGTCTCGCGTCTCGCCAGAGTTCCAAGACGAGCTAGACGGGGAATGGTTCGATATTCAGGACCTCGAGGGGTTTCTCCGCGAAAAGAATGTACATTTTTTTGTCTCCCAGCCGGAATCCAAGCCATCTCCCCTGTCCATTAATGTCGGACGTTTCATACCTGGTGAGCTCCCTTCGTCCCTCTCTGCCATCCAGGCTAATAATATGAGTAGCTTTAATTACCAAGGCGCTTTGCCTGGGACGCACGCCGGGATTCCGACGTCATGACGTCGAAAAGGCTCTGCGGGCGGCCATATGGGCTTGATGCCTCAGAACATGCATGATTAATGATTTTACGACTCTTTTCGCAAGGGCTGGCCTGTTGACATTTATAATTTGGTTATATAATGGCGCATCTCTTGCTAGCTGATACTCCGCAGCCACAAATTGGAAATAATTCTCCGTTCTGCTAGCTCACTCCAACCCTAGATCCTGGACTGCTTCGCCGCCTGCATGGCACCCATGGCACCTATCACCAACGCCCCGGTGTTGAACCGATCCGGATACAGTTTCGTCATAGCCGCCACGATCTCCCGTGCCGACTTCGGCTTGCTCTCCACGACTCGTGCGAAATCCTCAATATACTCCTTTGTGTTTCCCAAGTGCCACCGTCCCATGATCTCCCCTTCCTGACAATGCCCCGGAACGACGTACAGCGGGTCCAGAGCTTCAATCTTCTCTACTGCCCGTATCCATTCCTCCCGCTTAGCAGCTGTACTTGCCTCTCCCAGCATCTGATGGACCTGTCCGTACACCACGTCTCCGCACACCGCCAGTCGGAGATCCGGCACCCAGAGCACCGTCGAATCGTAGGTATCCGAGTGACCCACTTCAATGGCCTGGAAGCACCACTGTCCTTGCAGCTTGAATTCGTTACCGGATGGAATCGGATCCGCGGAAATGAACGGTTGTGCGATTTCTCCCGGGAATCTTGATTCCCATTGGCTCTGGTAGTTTCTGTCTTCGATCTGCTGCTCCATGTGTTTTATTGTCCCTGGTGTAGCGAGCACCCTGGCGTCGGGGTACTTGGCCTTGAGAAGCGGTAATCCGAAGAAGTGGTCCCCGTGTCCGTGGGTGATATAGACGTATGAGATCTGTCGGCCGGGGGCGATACGTTCGATCCATGAGATTAGACTTCGAGTCTGCTTGATGGTGATGGGCGTGTCGATGAGAACGGCGTGTGTCGCTGAGTAGACGAGCGTGCAGGAAATCGGAGACCACAAACCCGCTGGTTTATTGTCGTTGGGCTTGGCCGGGTTTCTGAAAGGAGTAGGAGGGGCAATGTATACTGCTGAACGGAGAGTCATGGTGGTGATTTATGTAGTATCAGATCCAGGTGAGATCAGCTTGAAATCCGGGGCTCTGGGCAGGTATTTATCCCAGAGAAGTTACGGAGAAGCATACACCCCTGCATCCTATAGTCCCCCTTCGACTTAAACTCCGAGGCAATCGATCAGTAATCATTATGTTGGCCATTACGGCTGGCAGATTAAGCTCGTGGGTCTTCCCCAGGCAATGACCTCATGGCTACAGGCCGGGCCTTTTTGATTAGATTTTTTGATTAATGAACATTTCTCTTGGCAGAGAAATTTGGTTATATTCGCAATCTCTTAGGGAACTTGCCTGTCCAGCACTTTCGATCCTAATGTCAGCACTTCTCTCTCCCTTCAGCCGCACCGTGTGAGTATTTAATCGACCAGATTCTCATTTCACTTCCACAAATATTTCAAACTTCACAACGCATTCTCCAACCAATTGATCAGCATGTCCCTCGTCCTCATCACCGGAGCTACCGGCTTCATCGGCTCTCAAGTTGCTCTGCACATTTTGAATGCCGGATACCGAGTGCGTCTCGCCATTCGCCGGCCCGAACAAGGCAATAAATTGCGCCGTGTTCTGGTCCACGAAGATCAGATTGAGTTTTCGATTGTTCCGGACATTACTATCGCCGGGGCATTTGATGCCTCCCTGCAAGATGTGCAGTACATTATTCACATTGCATCCCCGCTAGCCAGTGGCGGCGGCGCGGATCTCCTGACGCCTGCAGTTCGCGGAACGGTGTCAATTCTCGAATCAGCGACGAAGGCTCACTCAGTCAAGAAAGTGGTTATCACCGCGAGCGTGCTGTCGCTAGTCTCACTCGGAGAAGTCGCCAATTTAGATGTCGTTCGTGGTTCGTTCTCCCATCCATTCCAACAGAAAAAGCCATACTAACTTTACCATACCCACAGAAACTAGCACCGTCGACTACAACATCGACGTCTCAAAAGTGACCTCCCTGGATCCGATGGGTCAGTACCACGCTAGCAAACTGGCGTCGTACAAAGCAACTATCGACTTCGTGCAGACCCACCAACCGCCCTTCGACGTCGTCACCCTGCACCCCGTCTTCGTCTTTGGCCGTAGTCTGGTTCAAGAAACTGCAGCCGAGCTGGGCGGTACAAACGGTATGCTCTTCCAGACGTTGGTGGCCGAGAAGCCGCTCATGAGCCAGTATCTGGGAGTTCATGTGCTAGATGTAGCGGATGCGCATGTCAGAGTGCTGGGTGATGATGTCAAAGGGTTTGAGTCGTTTTTGTTGTCATCGGATGGGAGAAACTGGGCCGAGGTACAGGGGTTTGTGAGAAGGGAGTTTCCCAAATTTCCACTGGGGTGGTCTGGTGTGGAAGAAAAGAAGAGGCGGTATTCTGTCGATGCTGCGAAGGCGAGGAGAGAATTGGGGATTAATTTCCTCGGCATGGAGAGGCAAGTGGGTGATTTGCTGAAGCAGCAGATGGAGCTGCGAGAGGGGATTCAATCGGCATCGGACGGTGGTGGAAGCCGTGCTGGAACGCTCTCATATGCATGATATGTTTTGGATCATCGGCTGGGTCCTGGGCTTGACATATCCTGTTCGCGGACCGTGAACGGGGCTAGAGAATTGGCCGATACCAAATTCTCTCATGCCATGTTAACCTTCAAGTCTCCAGATTCCGCATAATACTTTCTTTCAGTCTCCCATAGAAAACAAACAATAATTATCGATGGCCGAACACCATCTGGCCGACTACTAATCGAATCCAAACCGAATTGACTAATCAGCCTCAACCTCGGCTAAACGTCGTCATCGCCAACCACCCCAACTCCATAAATAAACCACACCTCATCCCTTCGTCATCTTCCATCCATCCAAGTCATCTCAGCCCTCACTCTCAAAACCATGGCCCACAATCCACGCCACAATCCCGTGCTCGCCGTCGTCGGCGTCGGCCCTGGCATCGGAGAGTCCGTATCGCGGCACTTCGCCTCGAAAGGCTTCAGCGTAGCCCTAATCGCGCGGACGGAGAGCAAACTGCGCTCGATCCAGGAGTCTATTCGTGCACAGCACGGAATTCACAGCGCAAAATTCTACGTCACTGACGTGCGCTCCGAATCATCTGTCATCGCCACGTTCAGCGCCATAAAATCCGATCTCGGCGCCGTCAAGGTCCTGGTATACAACGCTGGCTCGAGGCGTCTTCGGCCGCGAACGCTGATCGAAACCCCAACCACCGAGTTCGAAGACTTCGTCAAAATCAACATGCTCGGCGCCTACTACGCCTCGAAGGCTGTTCTTCCCGACATGTTAGAGGGCGCATCGGGTACGATTATCTTCACGGGCGCGACGGCTTCGATCCGTGGGAGTCCCGGGCTAGGGGGGTTCTCACCGGGAAAGTTTGGGCTGCGGGCGTTGGCGCAGATTATTGCGAGGGAGTTTCAGGCGAAGGGAATCCACGCGGTGCATGTGCTGGTTGATGGGCCGGTGGAGAGCGATATTATCGGGTCGGTGGTGACGAAGAGGTGGGAGAGAGACGGGGAGGGGGAGAAAGTGCAGGAAAAGGACCGGTATCTGATGCAGCCGGCTGATCTGGCGGCGTTGTATTGGTATCTGCATGAACAGCCCAGGAGCACCTGGACGCAGGAGTTGGATGTGAGGGCGCAGAGGGAGGGGATATTTTCGAAGCTGTAAGTGGATGTCAGGAATCGGAATATAGTGCTTTTCTTTCCGATATAATATGTCCCCCAAACAGAGTGAATTGATATTTTCATCTTCGGTAGAACTGATAGTCACATTTCCGCATTGTGATTAGTGAACACTGATATTCTCATCCACGTGGAGAACCGAGGACCCCGGACTTCCCCCAGATATAAATCCCCATTCATCCACTGGCTCAGTCCACCAGACTACACAACTATATTTCACCATAAACAACCGAAATGATCCCAAACCCGCCCACCGTTCCCATCCCCTCGTCCTACGAGTCCCTCCCTCTCACCCATGTCAAAGTCTCCCATCACCCTGCCGGCAGCCCCGAGGCTACGCCCGTAGTCGTCGTGACGCTGAATCGACCCGATAAACACAATGCTTTCACCATCGAAATGATGGATGACTTCGAGAAGATCTATCCCATGTTTGACATCGATGAGCGCGTAAAAGTGGTGGTGCTCACCGGTGCAGGCAAGATCTTCTGCGCGGGTGCGGACCTCGAACGCGGGTTCAAGGGAGAGAAGGAGAGGACGATGGATCATCGTGATGCGTTAGTTTCTTGCTTCCATGTTCCCTCATATCAGTCAGAAGATCGGTGACTCATACTCTCCAGAGGAGGCCGTCTTGCCCTCGCCATCCATCGGTGCCGAAAGCCCACCATCGCAGCCATGCAAGGATCTGCGGTGGGATTAGGCATGACTATGACTCTTCCAGCGGCGATCCGGATTGCCTGCGACAAGGCGAAATACGGGTTTGTGTTCCCGAGGCGTGGTCTCACGATGGAGTCGAGCTCCTCGTTCTTCCTGCCCCGGTTGATCGGGTACTCGCACGCGATGTACCTGTTGACCACGGGCGGAGTCTTTCCTCCCGCGTCTCCGCATTTCGGGTCGTTGTTTGCAGAGACATACCCTGATTCTGCACAAGTGGTGTCGCGGGCATTGGAGCTAGCAACTGAGATAGCTGAGAATGTCAGTCCGATGGCATCATATCTCAGTCGGCAGCTTATGTGGAGGGGTCCTGCGACCGCCGAGGAGTCGCATTTGGTTGATTCGGCGGTGCTATATCATATGTTTAGTGGACGGTTTGCCTCTCCCTGTGATCGCTGGGTTGTAGATATGGAGATCAAAAGTATGAAGCTAACCTTCGCAGGGACCAACAAGAGGGCGTTCAGGCGTTCTTCGAGAAGCGCAGGCCCCATTTCAAGGCCACGCTCGAGGACGATGCGCCGCCGAATTTCCCGTGGTGGACGGAGGTGGATACAGGACGACGGGCGAAGGGACAGTCGAAACTGTGATGGACTTCGTCTGAAACTGGATGTCACACTTTGTCGCGAGAAACTGCACATGAGTGGCTATTGTTTGGTGTCTGAGTAAATAAATCCGATCGTGTTTTCCATCAGCACGGCCTTTTTCCACAAATTCGCCAGCACATCACTCATTCATATCGCCACACCATTCATAACACTTCCGTAGATTATGCACCGGTCCCCCAACCGAACACTCCTGATAACACCATAAGCATCGCAAATATCCTGATTGTCGATCCGTTGATCTATTCGGCCTCCAATCACCGGCGCCCAATCGACCCACGGGTTTACCGCATCGGGCAACCCGGCCTGCAGCATGATGTCAAGCTCGACTATCGGACGATTTAACGCAGAAGCAGCGAGTCTCCACCGGGTGAGCCCGCGGTTCCTACTTGCTGAGATTGCTAGTTTGACCCTTGGAAGTTCACGCGATGAGGCGGGGTTAGTTGATCTTTGGGTGTGTTGGTCTTTTAATCGCTCTGTTTCTCACGGCTGAAAAGTGGGATCTTTCTCTCTAATGTCGACATAACCAGGGGTTTGAATATTCTCGAGAAGCGCAACATAAAGCAAGTATTTATATGATGGCAGACGAAGATGCAGGTCGTCCAAGGGCTAGGGTAAGTCACTCGTACGCCTGTTCTCAGGGGCCTTGTGCATACTGAATGATTGTCATAGTCCGCCGCCGCCAGAGAAACCCCAGTCTCTCCGCCTGGTGATCGACTTATCTCTCCCACAGGAAGAGGCTCAGCATGGGATGAGTCTCGGTCAAGACGCCGAAGTGGAAGTGGAGTCCCTAGTATAGGTAGCCGAGTCTCTCTAGCGGACCGACTGCAACCATTCACCCTGGCCGGAACGGAAGAGACGCCACAGATGCGCCACGCCCACGAGCCGTTTGTCCAGCCTGGGTATGCAGAATTGAATCCTGAGTATGACCAAGGAGTCAACGCCAAACCGGTGTGGAGTCTAGCAAAGCCGTTACCGCGCGTCGTGAGACCTGGCATGGTGCCCACGATGGACGAGCTTCGTCAGGCCCATCGTCAGGCTCCGTGGCCGGCTGCTCGCTCGCATCGAGCCGGTCTCGACGTTGATCCCGATGAATTGACCAAGGGCCGCATTCTGCCCACGTCGAACCCGCTGAAAATCGCGGCCCAGGTCGAGGATGCGCGCCTCCAGCGCGAGGCTAACTTGGCCAACAAGATCCTGCGCGGTGATACGGCGTCGCTGTCATCGTCCTCTCGGCGTTTCAGGCGTGCGTCAACCTGGGCTTTGCCTCCAGAACGCCTCGCCACAGTGCCAGAAGGGGACACGCCGCCCGAGGAAGGGGTTGATCGACCTTCTGAAGGGCTCCAGGAGACTGATCCCCTCCTGGTGGACGAACCGGACGAGTTAGACTTCACGACACTGGAGAAGTCCGGCGACTTACAACCTTTGATAGAAGAGCTGGTCGACGAGGAAGTGCACAACCATCACACCACCTGGTCCGTTGTCCGTACTCACTATCGCGAAGCGTTGGCTGAGGGACTCTCAGTCTACGTCCAGCTCACGCTAGGCTTTGGCGCCGATCTCGCTGTCACCCTGGCCAATGCAGGCAACCCCAACACCACCGCGTGGGCTTGGGGTTTCGCCACCATGCTGGCGATCTACATCTCGGGTGGTGTGTCTGGAGCTCATCTCAACCCGGTTATCACCCTCGTACTGTGGTTCTACCGCGGCTTTCCCACGCGCAAGATCCCCGGCTACTTCGCGGCTCAGTTCTTGGGGGCCCTCTTTGCAGCCATGACTGCATATTCTCTGTACTATCCGTCCATCCAACTATACCTCGACACGAGCGCCGACGGAGGCATCCTGAACAGTTTCGTCACAGGCCCCCGAGCCCCATGGATCGGAGCCCCGACTGCCTTCTTCACTGAATTTGTGGGCACAGCATTCCTAACGATCGCAGTGCTCGCTCTCGGCGACGACCAGAATGCCCCGCCTGGTGCCGGAATGAATGCGCTCATTCTGGGTCTGGTCATCACCCTTCTGAGCATTACGTTTGCTGACCAGACTGGTGCCGCCTTCAATCCCAGTCGGGACCTGGGTCCACGTCTCGTTTTGCTAGGACTAGGATATGGGGCGGAGTTGTTTACTGACCCGTACTGGCTGTATGGGCCGTGGCTGGGAGCACTGTCTGGGGCGGCTACCGGTGCTTTTCTTTACGATTTGCTGGTGTTCACCGGTGGAGAATCGCCCGTCAACTACCCGATAGAGCGAGCGCAGAGAGCACTACGCAAAACCGCACTGTCAGGGCGCAGGGACCGTGGCCGTAGGTCAAGTGTTCCAGAGGAGGCGCTATAGCCCGGAGTTGAAAATATCGGCTTTCCTGTTGAATGGTAGGCCTTAGTGTGCTTTTCTTATTTCTGTCACTTACTTGTGATGAATAAGGTCTTGGGATAACATCCCGGAAGCTTTCTATTCCCCAGCGCCTTCCCGGGTATTATCCTACAATTTGGCAAATGTTGGTTGGGAATGAGCTTCATGGATTTAAACTTGGATGAGTCTTCAATGTAATGTATCATCAGTGATCAATTGATGGTATAGTCCGCGATATAGTAAGGAAATGAATGAAGTTTTTCATAGGTCAGGTATCGATGAGTCAGTCGACTCAGGACATCTCTTCCTCCTGGAGCAGCTTGAGGTAGTCATCTACAAATAATTAGCCTCACGTGAGTTACTCGTCAAGCACGTTGCAACTTACCCACAACTTTCCAACGTGGTTGCAGTGCCATCAAACCCTGCAGGATAACACCCAGTCGGGTCTTTTGTTCAGGATCCTGAAACTCTCGCACAACCCACGCGCATTGTGATGCGGCTAGGTATAGGAAATGGCAGACAAGCGGGCTCGTGGAAGCTATTTCTCTATCATCAAGCGATGATATGTACTCTCCTAAGACGCAGCTACAGTTAATCATTTCCTCGATGCTGTTGAGCGAGGCCTCTTGCATTGCAGTCTCCTCTGGAAGACGCGGTCCGTTGTCCGTAGGGTAGTATTCATTGCAGCCATACATGTTAGCTAATATAAGGCGGGCGGAGCCACATAATGCGATGGCTGTAAGACGGCTTTCACTGATGTTTGTGTCGCTCCGTGTAAACTCTCGATATGTGTGTGTAGTTAGATCGGTGATAATGTGATGTAGTTGTTGGCCCTCCATCAGTTGGGACCGGTGGTCTGCTCCCGCCTTGGTTCGGTTCCGGTGCTCGAGCAGTCGGCCTGTGGTGTGGGCTGCTTGGCAGATATTGGCGTATAACCCAATGTTTGATTCTTCGGAGAGGGATGCGACGAGTAAAGGCTCGTTGATTCCAATCTGACCGTGCTTCCATCGATCTTCGGTGCATGGTAGGAGGTCGCCGTTGTTTGGGTTTGGTGCGGCGAGCGGGATGTTCTGAATACCCAAGTTGACATATCTGTATCGCTTAGATCGGCATTGAGTGGGCTCACACATAAATGGGATACCTACCGATCCAAGATGACTACCGCCCACCATGCGCGGCGCTCCTCCTCTCGCAGCGTCCAGGTGTTGGGTGACTTGAAAAACTGGGGGGCGTTTTTCCTATCGTGGAAACCCAGTATCAGGCCTAACCTGGCAGCACGACCGATACTCGTGAATGCTGGCGGGTATATCCCATGGCCTGCTTCATATATGGAGATGAGAATAGTGGACTGTAGCAGCTCAAGGCATATCATTCCAAATCTCTCCAGGGTCCCAGACAGTTCGACGGCTTTTTGGTAAATCGACGAGCACAAGGCCTCGTCTTGATCCAGAGGAGTCGTCGCCACAAGCTTCATGGACAGCAGCAACAGGGTTAGTCTCAGGTCTCCTTCTGGGCCGCTGTTCTGCAGCCGTGCCGCCATTCGTTTCTCGCTGAGGAATGGGAACCAAGCCTGTATTGAAGAAAAGTAGGCATCACAAATCGATTGGTAATCCTCGACGTAAACCAGACAGTCTATCATGGATGGAGGTACGGTGCATCTCGGCGCGCTAGAATACCCTGCTGCCTGATGAGAATCCGAGTCCAAAAAGTACCTTGTCGGCAGTTGGATCAATCGTGGGATGGTAGAAATTGGCTGCGCCGAGCCTAAGTCGGCTTGGCCTGCACTTGAAGTGTCTGCTTGCACCGGCTCGATATTCGATGCTTGATTGTTCGTCGCGGCATAGTCACATATTTTATTTAAACGTAGGCACTGAATGCATAGTCAGTGGATAGCCTCGGGGATGGGAAATGCACGCCCACCAAGGAGCAAACCGGCAGCTCACGCGTGCATTTCCGCTTCAGAGTCCTACGGGGAAGGCTGGTTAGAATGATCGCACAGACAATAGATAAGCCTCGACACAAGTACCTGCATGGTAAGCAAGCATAAGTGGCGCATGGAGCATTGGAGGCCGACATGGTTCGCAGCATTTCAGGAGTTGTGGACAGTCAGCCTGTTTGCTTGTTTTGCTTCGTCCGTTTTCGGCCGGGTTGGTCGGTCTCGGCCGCCGTACTGCCAGTGGGCCTGAGTGCCTGAGTGCCTGAGACATTTGCCCCATGTGTAGGGAATGATTTTCGACCCACTTGAACATATTCATCGACCTCAGATTGAAGTTCGTTCGCTTCTTGGTCCCTCGAGGGGTCCTGTTCTACGATGTCTTCGGCGAGCTCTCTAGCAGCATTGTGACACGAGCGGTTTCCTGCAACATAATTTCAGGGCCTTCGTAATAGAGCATGTGCCGACACCTATACTGCTACCTATAGTTTCGACGGCATTCTACTTTCTAGATCTGGGACATTGAAGAAAACCACCTGCACGGTCGAATCGTCCCGTAGACGGCGAGAGAAGGGAGGGCCGAGGGCAAGCCGACCGGCGATTAACTCGTGATGATTTCCACCAAGGGAATTGCGCACTAGATGCACAGCAGCATTATCATCTTGGACGGTTGTTCTCCCCGCCACAAATTTCCAACTGACTCCTTTCCAGAATTGGCCAAAGTCGAATGGTTCGTGTGTTGGCTCTCGGGTGCTATTTCCATCAGCGGCCGATCTCGATTCTAACCATCTACCTACCAAGTCGACTGCCTGCTGGTTGGAGAGAAAATCCCATAAGCCATCTGTTGCCATGATCAAGAATGAAGGTATGTCAGGGTTAATCTTGGTGCTCGTGACAACCGGCTCAGCTGTCAGATATGGTGGCGTTTGGATAGCATATCTTGGTGTTAGGGGCGAGGGTCCATAAAACCTTCGCTGCACGTCCTTTTGAAATTCCAAAGGCCACTTCCACTGACAATCACCAAATGCTCGCGAGACCGCCAGTCCTAAAACCCGACCATCTTTCACTATCTCTTCTTCACCAGGGTGCTCCTTGCGGAGCCTGGAAACCTCTTCTTGGTTTCTGCCGGTCTGATCCACAGACAATGCCACTGCCTCCCATCTGCCGTCCGAGTCTTTCTGTCCGAGCACCGCTCGCGAATCACCGGTACACGCGACATGCAATGTGCTTGTACTGGAGTCATACATGGATAGCAAAGCACATGAACCGGCATAAGCGGGTGCCAGCTTTTTGATTTTCTCCTGCAATGGAATCCGACTTTCTGCCGTGCTCAAGGCCGTTTTGACAATGGAGTCATCCAGGCTCACAAACCCTTTGACTATAGCATGGTGTACTAACTCGTCAGGTAAGGATTTCCCGCTTGAGAACGGCTTTTGTTGACTCAAACTGTGCCGGACAAAAGGCAGGAGCTGCTGTCTCAGCAATTCTGCTGTCTGCCAGCCTGAATGGCCGTCGAAAATTGCCCAAGCCATCCACTGGTTGTCTTTGTTCCATGGCGAAGGAAATCTGCCGTGTATGAACTTGTCCTCGCACAGGCTATTGGAAGCCAACTGAGCGCCATCGTATCTACTGACCCCAGGAACGTTTCTGACAGCAAACGAATATGCCCCACGTGAGATAATACGCGTTACTTGGTCTTTAGAGGGACCTGGCTCAACGCCCTCATGCTCGGTTGGAGGCCCCTCAAGACGTGGGGGGTCATCATCGCAGGCCGCACTGTGACCGGTCGCATCCGCGCTCGTAGTTGCCAACCACCACAGGCCTGGTGTACTGAACAGGGTGGCAAGAGCGATGTACTTTGTCGACCTAAAGGGTGAGCTGGCGCGAGGACCTTTTGGTGCCCACGAGTACTTGGTCCGAGTCCGCAGGGTTGATGTTGTGGTAACGCGTAGACGCGTTCTGCCCATACCCAGTAACAGCATTTTGGCTGAGGTGCAACTGTGCCGCAAAAGACAGGCGGAGCAAGCAAAGTATGTGGAATTTACAGATATAATGTCAGATGATAAAAGAGGGGGGTGAACTAAATGGGGCCGTTTAGCTTGAACTGGGGAATCCGAGTGTTCGGCCAGTTATTTCCAGCAGAAGCTGCTGAGTCACCAACCATAGTCTCTCTTCCACCACCACCACCACCACGGTCGAGATGGTGTTTGCCAAGAAGAAAGGAGTCAGGAACGCTTAACTAGCTTGGCCCCAGTGTACCAATCAATGTTCGACGCCCCAGTCGGGCGCAAATTTGCACCCTGCACCTGAGCTACGCTGCATGGATATAAAATAGCCCTGTCCCCTATTTCCTTTTTGCACAGGATGCGTCCCGCCAGAGATCCAAGCCCCAACAGGTGATCGCCTTCGCTCCTTCTTGGTGCTATCGTCATAGCGCTGAAAATGCGGCTCTGGTTAGCTTTGGCGTTAGTGACCTTGTTGAATTGTACGAAAACCAGTGTACTCTTTGGAATCCAACATGCCTGTTAATGAGACACAATAGTTGCCGCCGGACAAGAGTGTCACCGAAATTTCACTATAACTCCCAACGACAACACCACCAAGCTCTTCCAGTCTTGCACCACCATTGTCGGGGATATCAACATCCGCACTAGTATTGATGGCGAGCTGTATCTTCGAGGAGTTTACAATGTCACTGGCAATATCGATTTTCGACCCGACTCCGACGCCAATACCGACTCTCGACCCGTTGTCCATTTTTTCATCGCACCCGACTTGTTCTACCTCGGCGGGTTAAATGTACACCAAGGCTTCTCGGTCTACGAGCTCTATTTGCGGGACCTTGAGACCGTTGGCAATATCTCGGTGTATGTGGATGAATACGCTCTCAATCTGGATCTTGGGTCGTTAGTTGAGGCAAATTCCATCAACATCAGTAGAGCACTTAGCACGTACGCTCAGCAGCCCAGTCGCACGCCCCACATTAGTGCTAATAGCCCTTCAGTGTAGATCTGGATGATCTGAAGACCGTCCATGGTGCCCTCACCATCGACTACCATGCAGCCAACGATAGCAGCAATGAGCCCACAAGCTCCAATTATGGAAGGATAGACTTCCCTTCGCTGGAGTCTGCGGGCTCTCTGAATCTGGCTGGCGCAACGAAGAAGTAAATACCGTCTCTCCCTCTCCGTTCAAGGTTCTTTCCTTGTCGACGTGCTAACACGACGCGCTTCTTATAGCATAACACTCCCTAGATTGACATCTGTCGGTCCTTCCCCTGGGTCAGGATCTGAATCCGGTTTGACTCTTCACATGGACAAACTGGAGAAGCCCATTAATCTGGATTTGCCCAGGCTTGGATCTGTGGAAGATCATTTGAAGCTATATGGGAATGTTAAAGAGTATGTTCTGTGCCATTTAACGACTACGATATCTACATGCTAATACCACACTCCATTATTAGAATCCACGCTCCAAGACTAACCAATTTCACCTCCATGAACATAACATCGACCACAAATCTAGACTGTGACTCATTCCTCTCTATAATAGAGCAATCATCGCAGTATCCCGATAATGGATCGTCGGTCACCTGTACATTTACCCCCTCCAAGGGTCTTAGTAAAGGAGCTAAGATCGCAATTGGTGTTGTTGTTCCTGTTGTTGTTATTGCGATCGTGGTGGGTATTTTACTTATGTGGATGAAGAAGAAGTCTAGGCGGGAGAGTCGAGCGAGGATGGGGTTGAGCAGGCTGGATCTGGCGGGGACAGAGAGGGAGGCGAGGTCGGCAACACCCCCGCCGCCTTATTCATCTCATGGGGCTAGATGATGGTCTTTTCGCCTGTTTATATCCTGCTCGTCAAACGGAATGTGACACAGTACGGCCAAGTCTCAGCACTGTGGTCTGTGGAGCGATAGGCGACCGTGTTGCCTAGTGGTGTCCTTGTTGTTGGATCTTAAACTTTCAGTACCAGACTCAATTTCGCCCAGGGTAGGATGACCATGATTCCTTCCGCCTTTGCGAGGCTCGGAAATCACCCAGCTCTACATTCCCGCCGACTACACCCTCAGCGCCTAGCTGAGTATATTCATATTACTTTCATTCTTCAGGTCTAATCTATTAACTAACTGTGCTCGGAAATAAACATCTCACTCCTACTGGTTCTAGAATGCCCGCCCTTTCGCCCCGAAATGTACATAATATGAGCGTGCTAGCAATGAAGTGTGTGTATTCCTATCTGCGAGGACAAGATATCCCTAGCTACAAAGAAGCCACTGTGGGCAGTACTAAGCTACATTAGGCAATAAAAGCAAGGAAGAAGTACTAAGTATAATTAATATCCCCTAACCCACTGGTGCAATCCCAACCTACGTAGGTTGGGATTGGGGTTAACCCACACCAAGCATTCTGATTGGCCACAATTCCCGAGGATAGGGGTAGGTTGGGATTGATTTAACTAATAAGTTAGAATTAAAAATAATAGTCTAAATTTTTATAAACTTTTAGATTATTTAGTCTATAAGATTATATATAAAGTAAGATTAAAAATAGTAAATTTTATTAAAGTAAAATTAGCACTAGATTAAGGTCTTATTTAACTAAATAAATATTATATTTATAATATATATTATTACTTTTATAATTTTTAATCTATTTTTTTTATACTTTTTATATTGTTTTCTTGTTTTATAATATATTTTTTGTTAGGGGTGGAGACCTTTGCCAGGTGTACCACGCCTTATTGCACAAGAAGGAATAACTAGTGTTTAGAAAGGGGGCTCGGGGACTCAGGGGTTTTATGTGTATTAATAAGTTATTAATAAATAATAAGGCTAACCAGCTAAGTACTATATATTTTAGGGATTTATGTTATAATATAACCCCCCCCTCTCCGGTCTCCCTACCCCACCGGGCCAAATGGGACGCACCCCCATCCCATCGGTGCGGGTCCGCAGCGGGCGCGCTGATTGGCCGGCCCAAACCCTACCCGGGGGTGCATCCCATATAACTTCGCAGGTGCATCTTATTTAGATTAACTAGCCTGATTAGGCTTGAAATTAAATAAGAAATAGATTAAATAATAAATTATAACTATGTAAATTTTAAAATAATTATTTATTAAAATAAGCTAAAAATAAGTATATAAAGTGCATGGGTTAAATCATTGATTTTTTATTAGGGTATACTAAGAAAATAGTAGAAAATAGATAACTGACTGTTTTACCTCTACCCTTCTAAGATCTTTTAAAACTAGTATCCCCTAAAGTACCCTCTAAAGCACCCTTTAGAAATAAGTATCCCCTTAAGTAAATATCCTCTTAAATAAGTATTCTCTTAAGTAAGTATTCTTTTAATAAAAATTTTTAATTTTTATTTTTATTTTATTTTTTTTATATATTTATATAGTTAAAATAAGATAAGAATAAAGTTATATTAAAAAATTATATATTTTAATAATTTATTTAATTTTAGCTATAGATTATATAATAATCTATATTAATTTATAATAAATTATTAAAAAATAAATATTTATATATTTTTTACTTTTACCTTATTTTCTTTATATATTTATATAATTAAAGTAAAATAAGAATAATATTATATTAATTAGGGTTACTTAATATTATCTGATTTATTAGAATTACCTGATCTTATCCTATAACTGAAATTATTTAAAATTTATTATAACTTTATTCTTACTTTATTGAACTTTTACTTCTACTACTAAATTATATAGAAAAAATAAGATAAAATTAAGCTTAATATAAGTAAAAAATAAAAAAGAAAAATTTTTAAAGAATTTCTTATTTTAGACTAATTTATTTTTTTAATTAGGAAATTATTAATTATTAGAATCTTATAAAAGTTAAAAAACATAATTTAATAAATTTTTTATTTAGGAAATTAAAAGTTTATTTTAATTATTATAATTAATCGCTTTATTCAGATAATTAATATAAAGGATCTAGAATATCTTGCTTATTTATTTTATAAGTTATAAAGTGAATATTACTACTTTAGTTATTCTAATATTATTTAAATAATTTTATTATAATTTATATATTAAATCTTAATTGTTCTGATTATTTTAATTATAAAATCTTGATTATTTAATTATTTAAATAATTAAATATTAATCTAATAATAATTTATAAGGTTGATCTTAAAGGCTTAGATTAATAATATAATTTATAAATAAAGGCTTAGAAGGATCTGATAATTTTATGTTTATAATATTTATTTAGGACTAGATTAAATTAGCCCTAATTTAATTATCTATAAATATACAGTTAATAATCTGTATTAATTTATTCTTTTTATTAAGTTAATTTACCCATTTAATTTATTTAATTAAATTTTATTTATTTATTTAATTAATTTTATCTATTTATATATATAGCGAATAATAGGACTTCTGGTTTATCTATTTTAGATCTAGATAGTCCAGGTGAACTATTTACTTTATCTAACTAATTAATTTTTTTTATTTTATTAAGCTATTTAAAATTTTTATTTAACTTATGTGATTTACTTATTTTATCTAATATATTATAATATAAATTTTTATATTTTAATAATTTAATTAAATCTAGTTATAGACTATATAAACTTTAGCTAGAGTTTATATAAATTTTATTTATAAATTAAAGTTATATAAAAAAAATAAGATTAAAATAAAATTATAATAAAATATTATATATTTTTAAAACTTTATTAACTTTAGTTATAAATTATATAAACTCCAGCTATAGACTATATAATAATATATAAATATTAAAGTTTATTATTAATTAAATTAAAATTTTTAAAAATTATTTAATAATAGCTAAAAACTATATACTAATTTATTAATATATTTAATCTTTATTTATTTAGTTATATTATATATATAGATATTGATAGAAATACTAGAAGAAAAGTATAAAAGTATATAAATTATATATAAAACTTTAATTTAAATACATAAAAAAGTAATATATATTATAATTAAATATATATTTATAAATAATATAATAATATTAGAGAAGATAAAAGAAATATATAAAAATAATTATAAAATATATAAATTAAAAAGATTATAAATATAAAATAAAAATATATAAAAAGAATTTAATAATATATAAGTAATAAAAAGTAGATTTAAAATATATATATAATAATATATATTAGAAATAGTTTAAAATAAATGATAATTAATAATATATATATATATATATATATTTAAATAAATATATAAACTAGAATTATAAAAGTTAAATAAAATATAAAAATATATTATTATAAAGTTTAATATATATAAAGTTATTTAAGACTTTATTTAAATATTAAAAAAAATAGAGTAATATATATATATAATATAAAATAATCAGATGAAAATGAAATATTAAAAAAAATAAATTTAGTTTTATATATATATATAAAGCTATTCCAGGGGCCGCGGGGCAGCGCACCTGCGCTACCATGGGGTGGGGCCGGGAGGGCGGCGCTTATTCGCCGGCCGCCCATGGGTTACCATCCGCTGGATCTTAACTTACCATCTATTACTTTTAACCCTCCCGGGGGTAGTATAAGCCCAGATTTTACTTATAAGTATTTTATTTATTTCTGAATCAGATCCTATAATCTTATTATAATTAGCCCCAGCTCGGGATCAGGAAAGCGGTTTTAAATTAATAAGTTATTTATAAAAAATTTATAAGGTGTAATCAGGAATTAGTTAGCTTAATCCCGCGCTGCGGTCACTATCAGACACTATTATATATATATATTTATATATATAGCTCTCTCCCTGTTATCCCTAAATCTTATATCTTTAAAATCTAGACTTATATAAAATTTTTACTGTCTAGAATTATATTCCTACTCTCTGCGCGGTAGTAAATCTCTTTTATTATTATTATTAATTTATAATATTATAGCTAACTAACTTTTTAAATAATTTTTATTACTATAAGTGCTTATTTACTAGCAGTATTAGTATAAAATATAGCCTGCAGAGGTAAAAAAATATCTTAAATAATAATATTAGTTAGATTATATTATTATTTAGCTAATCCTGTATAATATTTAATAATAGCCTAATCTTACTAAAGATCCGCAGGCGGTCTAGATTTCTTATTAGTTTAATAAGCTATTACTAATTCTACTTTATTATTTATAAGGACTACTATATTAATAGAAGCCTGTAACCTGCTAATATTTTATTTTTAATATAAAAATAATATAAATTTATTAGTAGTAGATTTACTAGTAGTTTTAATATCCTGCATAGGGCCTAGTGCCCTGATTATAGCAGGTGTAATAGGAGACTAAATTATAATAGTCCTATTAATTAATCTTTTATTAATAGCTATTCCCCTCACAAGCCAGCTTATATTATATCTATATCTAGTTCTCTAAGGGCTGATAGCCCCCGCCCCTGGCCCCGGACCAGGCTTAACAGGCCATAGACATAATAGTGTAGGCCTGGGAGCAGGCGGAGGTGGTATACGCGGAAGCCTTAATTAAGCTAGTATAGATCTATAATACTAATCTATAGTTACGTATAATTTAATAAACTAAGTATCTCGCGAAAATCCCCGCGGCGGACTTATTATATAATATTAAGGCGCCCGATCCCGCGGCAGAAGACCTAATTAAATAAGGAATATAAATATTATTTTATATAATAGACTAGTTGGCCCAGAAAAGCTAATAAATAATATAATATTATAGATAGGCAATCTATATAAAAGCTATATATATATAAGCAGACGAGCTATTATATTATTTTTTACTTATATATATAGATACGGCTAGCGTGCAGAAATATATATAGCTATAATAATAGATATTAGATTTTTTTATGTATATCTAACACCCGCACGAGGGGTAGGCCAGCCTCCCTTACTAGTTTACCGCGCGATAGCAGGCCTAATAGGAACAGTTATAGTAGCTAGTTAAGTACTCCCTTAAACTATAGCTGGAGCTATAAAAAATTAATAAAATATTATAATTATAATTATTAGAGTAATAAAAGTAGATATACTTAAAGTTTTATATTAAGTTATTAAACTAGT